GATGGCGTTGTTGCGTTAACGCTCCTCTCATCTACCACTCGCGGCGCGCGGTGCGTAGGCTTTGAACTGCGTGCACATTTGCAGTTCGCAAACGAAAGTGTCCCTTTGGACCAATCCGTCACTGGATTATGCTTTCGTAACCAGGGGAGTCCTAGTACGACGTCGAAGGTGGCCATCTTCAAAACGTCTAGGATGATCTCTTCCCGGTGTCCACCAATTTCCATAAACGTTGGGTTAGTTTCCTTATCGACCCAAGTTTCATTGGGTAAGCGCTCCCCGGTGACTGCTCGAATACCGTACTGCTCATGTTTTCCTCGAGTAGAAAGTCCCGCTTTCTTAACCACGTGGCTTGACACGAGATTGACTGAAGAACCGGTATCGAGTAGTGCTCTGAAATGGTGTCCGTTAAGCTCAACCGATAGCCTAACTAGTTTCTCTGAGTTCGTTGAACATACGGTTCTGTATGTATTCCTGGTGCTAGGCGTGTCCCTAAAAAGAATGAACTGGTTTGAATCCGTTGGCGCATTTAGCGTCATAGTGGCGTTCGCAATCATCGCATAAGCAGGTTTGCCATGTGTTATCTCCGATGCATTGTCGGTTTATTGCGATCTGCATATCCACTGTTTGCTTTGGTGTCTTGCCTGGAAAGTTTGAACTAAGTCTCTTATCGAACAGGTGGATGGGACAGAAGTCGTTGTGACACTTCGTCCAATTGTATCCACAGATTTTGTGCAGATTGTTTTTTGGATAATAGGAAGCACCTTTGTCTGACTGGTGTGTCCAGCAAAGGTCGTACATGCAAGCACTGAAATGTAGTCGTCCATGATTCTGGTTTCGTGAGTCAACGTCGTACATAGGTTGACGCATGGATGGCAGTTCAGGTTTCTTGGTTTTCTTGCTGTCCTCCTCGTACTTCCAACAATCTTGCCAGTGTTCTGAGACATGTTGTACGTAGTTGTCTCCCCATAGGTCTAAGACTTCTGTTTTGGTTTGATTCGTTTTCCAATTACCATCTGCTGTTTCGTTCGGCAGATCCAGTTCTTCAATTTGTTTAGCGAGTTCGTCATCATCGTATTCGATGGATCCTCTCGGGCTATCGGGTTCCTCAGGAGATAAGTACTCCTTTTCCGAGTCTGATCCGAATCCCCGTGGATTCTTCGTAATGTACATCTGTTTAGCTTCTGGTGGTGCATAGTTCCTTGACGTAGGATTTTCAGCCCAGAACTGCTGTGTCAGACGTAGACGTCGCTTCTCTCGTCGATCATTCCTGCTTCTTGCAGCAGCTTGTCGGGCGTTCCGTTCCGCTCGACGTTTCTTAGGTGGTGGTGCATCTTCATGATGCTCGGGACCGCTTTCCGAATCTGGGTCATCCACCATGAGTCGTCCTTCACCCGGCGTGGGTTCTAGGATTTCCCATTCCGATTCGCCTTCATCCCCCCCGGGGCATGAAGACTTGGTCGTTACGTTGACAAATCGTGTGACCTTGTTCTTTGATCGACAGTTCCTAGCTATGTGGCCGGTTTTACCACATCCGTAGCAGGTTATCCCCTTAGGGTCCTTGCTCTTCTTGTCATACTTCTTTCTTCCATTGTTATCTCCAGCCTTGGATGGAAACGTTGCATTAACGTCACGTGTCCAGTCCATTTCCTCGGTGTATCTGACCCTGGGTCGAACAGGGACGCTGCGGCCTCTTCCCTGGGGAAAATAGCGAACAGCTTCCTGAGTCCTTCCGTAGGCAGATTTATAACCGTGGATCCCTTTCATTTCTTCGGCTAACTCAAACAAGTCATTGTCAATGCGGATAGTTTCCTCGTAGAGTCGTTCTAGTGTGTCCATAACCACACCAGACCTCATGAGTTCTTCCTTGACCTTGGGTTTGAGTCCTTGGCGATACAGTGCCATGAGTGCGTTGTCATCCCAGTCAGTCTGGACTGCGTAGTGTTGGAACTTCGCAGCATAGTCGGCGGCAGACTTGAACTGTTTGACGCGTTGAATTTCACGCACTGCCTTATTTTTCTCGTTGGATATTCCGAAGACCTGGCGGAGCTTGGTCTTAAACACTCCCCAGTTTTCGAACAGAGTGGTGTTTTCGTCGTCTTCGATATCGTCGTCCAGATATTTGGTGAGCTGAGGCGCGATCCATTTATGGGCATCACCTCGCATAAAAGTCGCAGCGTAGGTGGCCTTGTCGTCGTTCTCGATCTTTTCATTGAACTTGAAAAGCAACTCGAGTTGCAGGATCCATTCCTCAAGCTTGACACGTTCCCCATAGTAGGTGTCAGGTTGTTTGGTCTTGATGCTGACAGGGGTGTCGTTGTCCATATCGGGAGTAAGGGTAGGCTGGTCAGTGGTACTGAAGCTAGACATCTTAAGGGTATTCACAATGTTGAGATCTTGGAGAACTCTGGTTGGGTTTCGCGGATGACTAGCGGGTAACACTGAAGTAACAAAGGTAGAAGTATAAAGTAACAACTAGATTGTATTTCCAAGAAGTGGGTTGTAACTTAGAGTGAATACAAGAACCATAAGGTCTTCTTGTCTACTGACTATATACATATTTTGTCCCATAGTTCCCATATGTCCCATAGGGTTTCATAGATGGGATATCGTGGGATCTCGTAGGACCCTGTGGGACACACGTGACTTGTCCCACAGCAACTTTCCGCCAAGACTCGTGGGACCACGTGACGTGCGGGGTGGCGAAGTCTATTGGTTCATACGTAGTGTCCTGTTTGCTGACCGTGAGTGTTCTTGTAATTACCTTCCTTCATAACCTGTGCATCCCCATTCTTAGGTTCGTAACACCTAGTTGCTAGCCTAGCTGCTACTAAGCTAAGCTTAACTCTTGCTTTTACTAGCAGCAGCAGCTATACTAGCATCTAGCTTAGCTAGACGCTTGTTATAAGCAGCTTTCTTAGCCTTATAGTAAGTAGCTTTCTTACTAAGCAACTTACTTTACTACTAAGTTTAGTTCTCCTGCTTATACTCTATAGGCACATCTAGGTCTAAACCTTTAGCTTTTATGTTGCTAAAGCCTAAGCTTAACTTACTCTTATAAAAAGGCTTAGTTAAAGTTAACTTAAGCTTGCGCTTCTTATTAGCAAAATTATAAAAAAGGCTAGTTGCAAGCTTCTACTAAGCTATTTTTAGTATAGCTTTACTGCGCTTACGCGCAGACTCTGCAGCTATAGCTTAGCTAAAATTAGCTTACATCTTCTCTATAGTTAAATTTACTTTAGCTACATGCTAAGTAAGTAGCTTTATATCTGCGTGCAAGCTATAGAGCGCAGTTATAATAGCTACTAAAATATTTTAATTATTATAGTTCTTTATCTAGGCGTAACTTACTAGAATTACGTTTAAGCAGTTTATAGCAGCAGCTTAGCAAGTCTTAAAGGCATTTTAATAGCGCTTGTTATTGTTATCTATAGTAGTATATAGGTTGTAAGCAACTATAAACGCGCAAAACTCTTTATTAGTATAAGCTAAAACTTATAAGCAAAAAGTTAGCACTAAGTCTAAATTAAAGTAAAAGAAATATACAAACTAGCACGCAAAGCTTATTTTTAAAAATATAGTAGTTACACTTCTTGCTGCAAACTAATATAAACTTATAGTTTACTTTGTTATTCTCTTTACTCTACTTAACACAGGCGTACTACTAGATGCAGTAAATACACATAACATAGTAAGCAACTATAGAGGCACTAGGTAAGATAGAAATAAGCATAGTAGTATAAATAAAATAGATAGTATAAAAAAAAATAGTAGAAAAGTAGTATAATCTGTTACAGGCTTAACAAGATACAGATTATAAGTTAAAAAGAAAAGGTTTAAGACTAAAAAGCGCGCAGCTTTTATGCTTAAAGGCGCTAAATTACTTTTTAGTACCCCGCACTTAATTAGGCAGCAACGCTAGGTAACAGCATAAGTAAGTTAATTCTAGTATAATATAATAGCTAGAAAATTTACTTTATAGCTTATTACAACAATTTTTAGTATTGCAAAACCTAATTTAGATACCTATTAGGTATTACAAAGACACAACAACTTACTTATAAGACTATTTTAACATTATAAATTACCCTTATCTTACTCTAAAAGACAACAACTATTACTAATAAAGATATTAGTTTTATAGATAAAGAGTAATGTAACGCAACGCTATACACTTAAGCTATACTTAAAAGCACTTTAAGTTATTGCAATAATAGCTTAACCTGCTACTAGCTACATTTAAGTTAAGCCTTAACTTAGCTACACCTTACTTAAGTGCTATTTAGCAATAGCTTAGCTTTTTAATAAAAGCACTTTGCATACTACTTTTAAATATATATATAAAAAATTAATTTATCTTTTACTTGTATCTAGAACACTACAGATACTTACAATAACTAGAAAACGCTACTTAAATGCTTGCTAGCAACTACAGGTATAAGAACTGTAAATAGTTTAACTCTAGTTAGATAGTTTTAATTGTCTTACTATATAAAACTTATAAGAATTTAGTTATTTCTCCTTAGCACTTTTTATCCTTATGTAATTTTTCTATTAAGTTAATTTGTAGCTGTATTAGAGCTGTACTGTGCCTGTGTCGTTACATAAATAAAAGTAAAAATTATTTAGTCTTTTTAGTTATAACTAATTTTTTTAGTATATTTTTTATTATAAATTTATTATTATATATAAAATTACTTAAACTTTTTTTTAATAAATAAAAAAAAAATAGTTTAAAATAAGTTAGTACTTTTAAATAGTTATACTTATACTTTATTACTAGTAAAGCTTAAAAAAAAAGTATAAAGTAAATATAAATAGTTTTTTATATTACTTATAAAAATAATAAAGTAATATTTATAGTAATAGTAATTAAAGTGTAAAAAAGTAGTTATATAAAGTAATTTATTACTTTATATAGTAGTAGCTGTATAAGTATTAAATTATTAATAAAAAGTAATATTATAAAGTAACTTTAAATTGTAATAAAATGTTAATTAACACTAATATGTTATTATAGACAGCACGTGCCTACAAATTGTACGGCGTGACTGCACCACTCTCACAAAGTCCTCCAAGGGTCCATGGCCAAGATGGCCATGCGTAAACGTTCCACAGCACACCAGCGCATCATAAGCTCCATCCTCTACGTCCAACCTTTTAGTAAGGTCCGCAATGTTGAGCTCGCGGTACACATCCAGCTTCCGAGCTACGTCCAGCATGCCTTGGCTTATGTCGAGACCATCGATAGCTAAATACCCAAGCTTACTCAATTCAACGCCCACAGCACCACTTCCGCAACCGGCATCGACGATTTGCGTTTTGGATGGTTTTGAGTTTTCGAGGTATTTGGAAACGCGTTCAGCTACCATCTGCGGCGCGGTAAATTCATGAATTGCCATGTCGGAATCATAGCTTGAAGCCCATTGGTCGTATAATTTGCGCGACTCATCGGTAGACGTGGCTGTGAAGACTTTCTCTAAAAACTGCTCATCTGCCATTCTTGGTATTGGATTCGAAAGCGGTACAGAATTTCAATATGTGTTCAAAGTTGTCTGTGATGGAGGTGCCGTGCTCGTTAAGGAATGCGGTATGTTGTGGGTTCGCACTGGTTTGATCGCAGCTTATGTACAGCGGTACGGTCCGAAGATAACCATCCCTTACGTCATAATGTCGCCTAGTTGTTTATCTTAATTATCCGCGTGAGATCATTGGAAATCCCAAGGAAAGTAGATCCAGACGTGCGAAGAGCATTCTTGTATTTTTGTGACTCGTCAAACTTTGCATTTAGGATGGTTTCAAGCGAACTACTGAGACTGCCCCCGTTGACACGAAAGGGCTTTCCTTCGAGAGTAGCAAATTTATTGTACATCATTCCGTCGTTTCATACACCTCTTTCAATGCCTAGTATGAGAGCATGCCTCACCCTCGAGACCATCTCCAAAGATCTCAGTAGAAAAGCTGCGGTGTATATTTCTAGTCTTAAGTTTTAAATGAAATGACAATCGTTCTGGATAGACGATGTTATAGCTATATCGGAGAGGACATTGAAAGCATCTTACAGAAACATCCGTTCTAGGACAGAGTTCCTATCGCTGTTCTTCGGGCTTCAGCAGGTGATCATGTTGCGTCCCCGTTCGTTTTAGATACACATGATAGAAAGCCATTTGCAAAGTCAACACGTCGCATGAGAAAGCACGGATATATGCAAGAAGCGAAGGAGCTTTCGACCCCCAAATTTAGGGAGGTTTAAGCCGTGAATTTCGTCCATCTACAATTCTTCCACCTTCTTTACGGCTCTCTCTACATCTAAGAGGACCCTCATCTGGTTCCCGTTTCTCTCGTCGAAGAAACCCCTTCTCAGTTCGTCCAGATATAGCTCATATCCGGGCATATAGTTGTCTATGAAAGCTGCTACCTGCTCGTCACTCATGCCCGTTCCCTTTGCGGCGATTAATTTGTGCTCCTGCTCCAATCGCCACTTGTAGACGTTACGTAGATCGTCCGTGTCAATGTGAATCATGAAATCGAAATGTTTGGGCCCCATGAAGGCCTCGCAATATCGCTGTAGACACTCATTGACATCCAGCAGATGATCTACTTTGTGTTTTGCAGGAGTGTTGATTGGTAGTTTGCTAGCGAGCGCTGATTGATGTTTCTCGTGCACAGCTTCTGTCGACAGTGGGCGGAAACCAACACACCAGCCTTCGAAAACGACCACATCTGGCTTTTGTCGTATGATGGGCCAATTTTCTTGAGTTGCACGATCGCCCTCGCCATTGAACATGCTCTTGTCGAAGCTTGGTATTCTGACTTCCCCGCCTCCCCCAAAAGCTTCTAAGTCGTGAAAGAATCGCGCGGCTAGTTTCTCGTCATGTGTGCCTGGTTGACCTCTCGTCCGATACAATTTATTGTCTGGATCTTGTTTTCGACGGGCTATCAAATCGTCATGTGTCTTGTAGAAATCATCCAGAGATACCGTAATAGCAGAAAGGTTGTATTCTGTCGTAAGCAGTTTCACAACGACCGATGCCCACGTTGATTTTCCGGAACCTTGAAGTCCTGTTATGCCGAGGATGATTGGACGCGAGGATGGTTGGCGGAAGGCCTGCAACTTTGGTGCGAGGGTGGAGAGAACATTTCGAATGTTGGTCTCGAGTGGTGACATTGTATGTAAAAGGTCCAATGCAGGCAGATTGACGTGCAATACGAGCGTTGTTTATGTCTTCTAGAGTTGACCTGGTTTCCCCCTCCACATAATTGGAGACTATATGTACTTTGAGTACCGTCGCACGTACATCAAGGTACAGACTGGAGATGCTCCCCACACGCCACCGGGAATGTTTCCGCACAGTTAGTGCCCCCACATCTTTCACTGGAATCAGTCTCGTAACCATCAATACAATCATATTCCTTTGATCGTATAACACCTTCATGTGCTGGGCTGCTCTACCGATCGCAGTGTCAAGACGACACTCAATCGCCACAATGGGCGCAGATGGCATCGGGCCTGGAGTCACCTACGCAGGCGTACAAGTCCTGGAAGAGCGGAAACGTACCGAACGATAGGAAAGTAAACTTCGCAGCGAGTTAAATGATTTAAAGAAACATGAGGCTATCTTGTTTGGCTGTAGGCGCACCCGCAATGCTTCCCACTCAAATCTTAACCAGGTGATCGTGTGCGAGAACCCCGAAGGTGGGTATGCTAGCAAGGTGGATTATTTATCGCAGACATCTATGGCAGACTGCCACTAAATTTCCAATATTTTCTCGACATCGAGTGAAAAGACTTATGTGTCTTGCATTTGAGACAACACGGAAAAGCTGCTAGTAGATGCTATGAACTGTAGAATGGTCTTAGATCCTAAGAGCTTGGATACTATTGTGGCAATGAAATTAGTACGTAGGCACTGCGTTCCCTTGTGCTGTGTGATATTGACGTATTCAATAGCATGCCAACAATCTCTCTTATCTAGCAGCCGCTCTTGCAGAATCCATCAGGATTGCTCCGACATCGAATCTTGATCCAACTAGAAAGGTTTCCCACTCGGCCAATGAAAGTATGTTTCTTCAGTCATTCGCTAAAACCGCAGAATCCGTCAATGTTCGAGCCTATCCGTGGTTTAGCTTCTCATATTATTGGGAGAAGAGGAGGTTACAACGGTGACGGATGCCGTGAAAACTGTCACGGGACGAGGGATTATGACCAAGGAATTAGAAGGGAAAGCAAGCACATAGGAGGCCACTGATGCCGTTCGCGCTGAACTCGAAAAGAAATTGGAAAAAGAATAGTGTAAGTTCAACGCACATAGGAAGGTAAGCTTGATTAATATCGCTTAGCCGATTGTTCGAACGCATGTCCGCGCAGCATCTGATTGAGAACTATTCACGGCACAGAAAGCACGCATCAAGTGATTCTCTCACAGGATACTCTCGATATAGTGAAGCTCTGGAAAGAGATGAAAGTCGGACCGATGGCTGAGATGGAGGTAGAACCGTTCGAGCGTTGATCTAACGCTCAACACCAAAGCAAGCGAGATACAATTCAAGTAGCATACCTGAACGTAGTCTCTTCAAAAGAGCTGAAGCGTCATATTACGAGTGATGCTGGATATCGTCGAGGTTCACTCGTATTGCACAAGGTCTAATTTACCCCCCTTGGGTTTCTAATTATAGGTAGTAGGGGATAACTCACGAATGCCCCACACAGAAGCGACACATCACGAAAAACTGATACTCCACACGCAAGCATTTAATAGCAACACCATTATGGTATAAAACTTGTTATTGTCCATTTTACCCATCATGTGTGATTGTTATGCATCACCCCATCGTCGCAGCCAGCAAGGATACCCATCGTACTGCATTCACCCCAATGCACTCTCCCCCAGGGCCACCCTCCCCAGATGCATCGTTAACCCCCATTGCGTACCGTGGATCAAGCGCAGCAATCGACAGTTTTCGCTCTCAAGTTACCACTTCAGGAAGGCATATGGAAAGTTGCAGGAATTAGCATGCTCCAACTGGTTGCGAGGTGGCACTGCGTGCGCCGTGTGTGCATGTGGTGGTAGCGAGCGTGGCGTGTTTGGAAATTGCATGGTCTTCTTAGGCCATCTGCGTGTGGGAATGTGGGGAAGAAGCGTCTTTTCTAGTTCTCCATAGGTAGGCGTGTTTGGGGCCTCGCTTTAACGGCGGTTCATGGCTGAAACACGGCACTACAAGCCTGCAGTCCTGCATATGGACCAGTGTTGTTCAACGGCGGCACGTTGATGCAGATCGAGTGCGTCGGTGGCGTGAATGAACACATAACCCATCTATCGTGACCACTATTTTATTTCTCTTCGAGGTCATAGCATTGCTTCTCTTCAACTGGCAGTCGCAGTTGGACTAGGAGTATCTGTATACATCTGCTGTTTGGTCGACACTTCTACCATTCTTTCAAGTAAACCAACCCACTTCAACCTATACTTAAACTTCTATACGGGAGTTTTGTCCTCTACATTCTCGGTTCTCACCTTCTCATTGTCCAACTCGGCTCTTGCGATCCTCTCGTCTGCCTCGATATACTGGGCTGGTCGATGCAGTTGAACGGCCAGTTTGTTGCGGTGAATGAACAACCCAGGTGAAGTTTCGAAGAACCGGTCAATATCTTCAAGTGTCCTACCAAAATGGTTAGAACTACAGCCACTAAGAGAATAGGAGTAACTTACCTGTTAGCTGTCTCAGGATACAGAAAGTACGTGATCGGAATGAAAGCAGCACAAATAACTGCCCAGATGATCCAAAACTTCCAGCCGATGTTTTGAAGACCAGGAAGTGTAACCTGAACGACCGCGTAGTTGCATATCTAAAATAGCGGGTAAAGGGTCAGTACGGCCTAGAGATATGGCTTCCCAACGAAATCTGAAGACAGGGCGTCATGTGATAGTCGGATCATTTGTACGTACCCAATTAGTGGCCATGGCCAAACTTGCACCTTTAGTCCTCATCTCGAGCGCATTGATCTCGGTGGGATAGAGCCACGGTACCCCAAGAACTCCCATACCGAAGCTGGCGAAAAAGGCAAAGAAGAAAGAAACAGCCACAATACCCAGTTTGTAGCTGTCGCCACCCTTCTCGGAAAGACCCAAGGAGATTGCAATGACGATCCAACATATTGAACATGCCCCAGCGCTGGTCATCATCACCTGAGATAAAATCAGTATGTGCGTATGTACATGTACGGTTCGAGAGTCACATACCTTTCTTCGACCATATCGTTCAATGACAAAATATGCCAAGCATGAAAACACCAAGTAGTCGATACTACCGGCTGCAGACAGAATGCGACTCAAGAGCTCTGATATACCTAGGGCATGAATGAACACATATGACATGTAGTATGATGTCACGTTGATGCCTGAAATCTGGTTCATTGCTTGCATCCAGGCGCCCAAGATCATCCTCCTGAGAACACCGGAAGGACCTTTCCCGGTGAGAAGCTGCCACCACGTATACGTATTCATATTTTCACGATCCAAGATATCCTTGATAATATTGAACTGGGTACGGACTGAGGCGGAATCTGGGGTCGCACCGTGGCCTTCGAGTGCAGCGAGGACTTCAAAAGCTTCTTCATGTTTGCCTTTGCGTATCAAGAGACGCGGACTGTCAGGGAGAAACGGACAGAGGGCATAAATGCAGAAAGTGAAAAACAGCTGGAAAGCCAGGGGAAATCGCCAGGAGATATCCCGGGGTGCGAAAGAGAATGCGAGAGTAAGCCAATTTGAAATAGAGAATCCAGTGATGCAATTTGCTAGTTATGCACGATTAGCATTTGTTCTACTCGGAAGGATCATGTTTACACACCCATCTGGATGATGACCAGTTTCCCTCTGCTGCTCATTTTGCTGGTTTCCGCTTGCCAGACTCCAGCCGTTGCTGTATTCATTCCTGTTCCAAGGCCAGCAACGATACGTCCCACCATCATCTGGGGAACACCGTAGCTTGCTGTCTGTATAATTGCACCAATGCCAATGACTGTGGAGCCCAAGATAATCTGTCGTGGACGGCCCAGAATATCGCCAGTCCATATTGTTGACATAGCGCCAATAAAGCATCCTATATTATATATGGAAGTCATGACACCCTAAATCATTGTCAGCCTGTTCCCCCCGCTGGATCGGGATCGAATGTACCTGCATGTTGGCCGAAGGGTATCCAAAGGTCTCAAGAAAGTTCTCACTGATGATAACATTGCCGAAAACGCCTTGGTCATATCCGTAGAAACTGTGTGTCGTGATAATCAGTTAGTGCTGGAGCAATTTGAGTATGTGTATGTTGACAAGATCTCACATGAGAACTGTGGAATGTTAGTGACAATGGACAATCATACATCCAAAGTTGATAAACAGACTATGCTGTTCCGGCGATCGAAACCAGTTCCTATCCACCATGCGAAAGGGAACGAAGTAGTCTCTCTTACCAGTAGACGCAGCAACTGAGATCCATATTGTCAGCCTCTCTCCCGAACCACCAAGGTACTTGCGTGCCATAGCTTCTTATCTCAGGAGTTGGTTTCTGTATCGCCGAGAATATTCTGTAGTATGAAAGGTCGATGATTTGTGCAGTGTGTCCTCTCTGTACCGAAGTCAATGATTGCAACACTCGGAAAGTCCACCCCACAAAGAGCGGTACCGTAAAACCGGTACCAATAATCAAGTGCCTTGCTAAGAAAAGCGGAATGCTGAATCCACAAACGGAGTAACAGTCAACTGTTTATACTAAAAGATTATGGCCTCAAAACTCGACGTTCTCCCCGCATTTTCTTTTATACATACCCTATGCATATCATCACTCACCAACCATTTTGTAGCTCACTTTCCGCAACCCCACGATTACCCCATACCCTATCCGCGGACCCACTCAATTGCATGGATTCACCATCCTATTCGCTCTGCAAAACCCTCAGAGTAGCAACGATGCACAATTAGTGTAATCCTAAAGGATCTAAGCACTCTGGTTCGAACAGCCTGGCCTCTCAAGATGCAACTGCAGGTTTCTCATCGTGAACAACTATAACTTTTAGCAGATACCTCTTCCTCTTCATGTGCCTTTTCGTCTAGTGAACGTGTCGTAGCACTCAGGTGCCATGGGCCGTTTCTAAACCAGAGCTGCAGATGACGTAGTTCGCAGCCGAAAAGACACTCTTGGCTATCTACGCACGTCATGCGACACACGGTTATCGTTTAGGTATGTACACAAGCGTTGCAATGTAACGGTTATCAACTTATCATGTACTTATGAAGAGGGGTGTGGATAAATTCACGTCGGCTTGCCTGATACGGTTAGGCGTAAACATGGAATAAAGCAGCTCGAATGCAAGAGAACAGAAAGTCTTCCGAGAGAGAGGGAACCGTATTTAACATCGAGAGAAGGTGAGGCGGAAGTGGAAGATGAGCGTGGGATGGTAATGCTTTTCCGGGTCCAGGCTGTGTACAAGGTTGGTACCTTGGAAATGTTCTTATTCTCGTAGGTTTGTTTATCATGGAAGCTCAGGTCCCAATCGCAAGGTGGAACGACAAACGAGCTTCGGTCGGATAGAAGGAAGTTCAATGATACGCGATCCAGTGGTATCAGAACTATCCGCTTCTTAGAACCCCATACTCCGGTGATCTTCGCTGTTGAGTGGAACAACTTTGAGAGTCCCATACTCTTCTCACCCGGAACTTGCAAACTGTGTAGTTTCTTGGCATGGTTGAATGGAAAACGCACCGCGCATTGTTAACGTTAGAGAGCGTGGAAAACGTCTGTTGATTGGTGCCCCAGTTCAACCTGAGGCTAGATGCCTATTGTACATTTATACATACAGTGTATATGTCTATCTAGACGTGCAGCTGAATGGCCACGATCGTCTTTGAGATATGCGGGTTTTGAGTAGCCTTCTGTGTCAAAACGCGATACACAATTGCCAGTATCCTACAAGCTTCGAAATCTTCTCATGCCACTCATCCGCGCTTCTTGTTTCGTTCTCTACTCCTCATAACCGACATCCATGAAGGGATCTACAGCATTCCCCTCTGGGTCGTAGAGCTCTATCCTCTCTCCGTCTTCCATGGTCAAGCTATACTCCTGGGTGACGAAGTAGCCGCCCCTTCCCCTTCTTTTACACCTGAGCCTAACTTCTCCTGCCGTTTTGGTTCCCTTCACCCAGAACCGAATATCGATGCGCCCATGCACCTGGTTAATCTCGCCCTTAATCCAAGGGTATTTGGAGGCAAAGTAGATCTCGTCGCCTAGACGCTCGCGTACCAGTGGGTTCGTGCGCAATGCGTAGAGGGTTGACGTAACGACGGAGGATTCTTGCTTTTGGTAGTTGAAGAAGGCAAATGTTGCGATGGCCATTGAGATGACGAAGATGGGGAATGTTCGAACAACCTGCTTTGGTATCAAAGGTGGAATTCTGCGTTACAACCGTTAGCATGCGCCTGCTCGTGTTTGCTCAGGTTGTGTGGGAGAGTTGGTTGGTGGATGAGTCGAAGAAGGGCATGCATACGGCGGTAATTCTCTGTTCGCCTTGCGCTCCAAAAGAAGCTCCCCTTCCTTGGGAGGAGGTATTAAGGGCTCCGGAGGCCATGAAGTTATACTGTGAGGTGTCTTCCAGGGTACTGTTGGTGGAGACGGCTGCTCGGTCGTAGTGGAGGCTTGTCTCGCAACGAGAGATCTACGAAGGCATTGCGATGAAGATTGGAGTCGCGCGCGAAGGATTGGGGAGAGAAGCCGGGGAGGAGGCATGGTGGATCGGGCAGGTCGAGCAATGGCACGTTGTGTGAAGGCGTGCGGAGCTACCTTGAAGCACCTCCAAAAGTGAGATCAGGCGATGCTTGGCGTCTGCGGCTAAGTGGACCTATCGCATTGGTTACATTCGCTCAACGCCTGAGACAATCCGATATACAGACTTTTTGGGGATGAGAATGGACCATATGGAAATCAATGAATTTTTGTTTACTTTTCATCATAGCTTTCCGAGTGCCAAACTGGCAACCCTTCCCTGTGCTCCAGAAGCCCAGCATACATCTTTTGAAACACACTCCACAGCGTCAAATGTACCATTGTCAATGCCGCGCCAATGTATCCCCCCATCCACCGTGATATCTGAGCCTGAAGTGCCAACGGCGATAGCAACATGACTTCTTCCTGGAACCCAAGAAGCCCCCGATCTATAACCCCCAGGGAAACTCTGCGCTGCCTTCCAAGTTGCGCCACCATCTTCTGACCAAGCAGCGCTGTTCTCACTGCCCGTAGGTTTTTCGTAGTCCCCACCGACAGCTATGCCATGTTTCCCATCGCGAAAGCGCACAGAGAAGACACCGGCGGCCGGTCCACCAGCGATGGACGTATTGCTAACCTTCCAATCATGTCCATCTCCGCTCCAATACACACGCCCGGGGTCCACTCCACCCGAAGCAACGTACCACCGCCCTGCAGCAGCCTCAATACATGTTCCTGAGGCTGCGAAGCCGAATTCACCCTCAAGCGCCGCTGGTATCCCTTGAGGGTCCACAATCTTCCAGGTGATGCCTCCATCCCAAGTCTCAATCAACCTGAATTTGCCATCGACCGGATCGCTCATTGCAAGCCCATGCTTCTCATCCTCAAATGCTAAGCAGTCGTAAAAGGCCGCTGGCTCTTCATTCACAAACGTTTTCTCCCAATTATTTCCGCCATCATTCGTCACATAGATACGTGATAGGTTTCCTTCGCCGATAGAGAGTACCACGGCAGATTCGGCAGACCAAGCTTGGATGTCGCGAAATTGAAAGTCTGTAGCGTTCTCAGGGCCGAAAGAGGGGGATACGATGTTCCATGATGAGCCGCCATTGAGAGTCCGTAGAACTGTTCCCGAAGTGCCAGATACCCAGACAATCTTGTCGGATACTGGAGCCAATCCTCTGAACTGTTGGGTACTGTTTGTTAATTTGAGTGACCATGTCAGGGGAGGAATTGAAGGCTCGTAAGGTGGTGTCGTTGGGTAGGCATCACTAACACCTAAAACGGTGAGAGTCGCGAAAAAGGTCTGATAGAATGTTGACAGTTGCATTACAGCAGATGATAACTGGATTTTGCTGCGAATGGACTGTACGTGGAGTCCTCAGCAAGTTATATACGATACTGTACAACCAAGAACTCGTGAAGATCGCTCTGCACCACTTCCTTATTAGGTAGGTGGAAATCTGGCCGAGACGGCACAATCCAGATATCGCCATCAACTTTGCAGTTTGGAGAACTAGCACCATTAGCGACAGAGATAAGCTCATTTCCAGGCAGGATGGTAATATGCCATAAATGGCGATGGCGAGTGTCTCCTATGGTATCAATGCAACAAGGACTTGAGAACAACAGCCCGCTTTAATGAACGACTGTTCTACTAGCTTTCAAATATATACACAACGTTGGAATCAATCATACAATAAAATTGAATGAGAAATTGTAATCATAAGGCGTTATAGATAGCTGTTACGTGCTTTACATACAGATTGTGCATCCCACTTGTTTAATGCCTCGAGAGAGCTATGTCGCTCTACGCAAGACTGACCAATCACAAGCCGCCAACCTCCGATCCAATCCGAGTCGCTCTAATAATACTTTTACTACATCCATCTTTCTCGAATGAAAGCATACGCACTGCAACCACCACGAAACAATCATGTCATCACAACCATCCGCCGACCCAGCTGCTGCCTGCCCAGTCGACCATGCATCGCGTGAAGCATGGCTCAAGCAAGCACGCGCCCAGAACGCCGCAAACCCCCCATCATCACCACACGCCCACCCTCCAACAGCTCCCGCCGCCGCCTCAAATCCTCTTTCGCAGACCCCACAGAGTTGCGACTCCTCGCAGATAGACCAATCAATGCCCAAGTCCTCATCCGCCTCATCATCAGCACCCACCGCCTCTAAGATCCTCAGCTCAATACAAGGCGGTAGTTTAGCCACTCAGCGCGAAATATCATCGATCCCACGCGCGGGACTCAATTCGTCTGAATCCGCGCCAGGAGCAAGACCAGCAAACAGCGAAAAGGATACAGGCGCCGATAAGGCGACAGGTAACTGGATCTATCCGTCTGAACAAATGTTCTTCGACGCCATGAAGCGCAAAGCCTACGATCCCAACACCGCGGATATGAAGACGATAGTACCGATTCACAACGCGGTCAATGAGCGCGCGTGGAAGGAAATAAAACAATGGGAGAATGGGAGAGGTGCTGATGCGTATGTTAAACTCTTCTTTTCCTACCAATCTCGTTCCAATGATCTATGCTGACAGATGGTCAGATGCGGTGGCCCACGTCTGGCTTCCTTCTCCGGCCTCGCGACCTCACTTACCCCACGTGCCCGCTTCAACACGCTGCTAGGATACAAGCCGCCCTTTGACCGCCACGACTGGGTCGTCGACCGTTGTGGTACCAAGATCGAGTATGTGATTGACTTTTATGCGGGGAAAGACGAAGGCAAGCCCGGCAAAGAGCTCAACTTTTTCTTGGATGTAAGACCCAAGCTGAACACGTGGGAGGGAGTTAAGTTGCGGGCATTGAAGTTTGTGGGGCTGTGAGATTCTGTATTACTGGTCTGAAGTCAGTTGCATTAGAGTTGGAAAGTTTTCAATGGTTCGTAGAGGTCTTGATACGTCAGGCACATGTAGTATTTGGGTTAACGCCAGGTTTCATTCTAGAGGAGCGGTAGGGGAGGATTTCAACTGTACGATATGGGAGTCCGAAGATTTCACGATTTGTATAGATATGTAGGTACCTTTATGTAATACTACAACGCGATCGATGTAAAGAGAGCTCTGAATTGTGACATCTAATCATAATAGCTCGACATCTGACAATACGTTACATTTCAATGTTCGTCGTTGAGCTGCATTCCGATATAGTACTTTACTGGCATCTTGCTATCTGATTACTCAATTCTTCATACATTGCTTATAAGCTCACTGAATGGCCCAAGAGCTGAACCGAGTATTTTTTCTTAATACTGTGCTATTGCATCTTCTATGCTATGACGTACGCCACAACTATTCATGGGAAACTGAGATCGCCCCAAAATACCCCTTTATAGTGCTTGCATTAGAGAGGAAACTGGCAGACATCAAGGAATGCAAAAACACTAATGGTTGTAAAGAAAAATGTCTTTTGAACTAACGTTTACAGTCATCCATGTCGTTCAACTATCGCTTGCCAAACAACACTATCATCTCCGGCCCATGATCATGATTACTACTATATTTCTAACTCGTTCCCGACACAGCAAGCTTCATCAAATGATCCATAAAGGTCTGCAAACTGACATCATCCGTGAAAATGGTCTGAGCAGTCTGGGCCACACCTCCATACGAGCCTGTTGTGTGTGTAGTGGAAGGGTTCAATTTCGAGAGCAAGAAACGGGCTTGCGAGCCACCAGCATCGCAAACGATGAATCGAGGTAGAGGGAATCGATCTTGGATCAGTTCTTTAGCATCTTCCTTGGGTGCCTCGAGCAGTTCTCTCAGGTTCTCATAGCCTTCCTGGTCGTGATAACCCGCTTTACGCCACTCGGCCATGGTCTCACCATGAAAGATGAGAATGTGGAAGAATGTGTCGAGGAGGAGAACGGTCTCAGACTGAATGGAAGCAGAGTCGAGAAGCACAGGTTGGCCACCTTGGTGATCGAATCCATAGCTATCGAGGGTGGGCTGGATCATGACAAGGGAATTGCTCACGTCCTCGTGGTTCAAAACGTGTCGGTAGAAAGCAGTCTCATCAGGCGAGTTGTTGAAAACCTGCAAAAATTGGGATCTCCGAAGGTGGAACATAAACTGGGGATACAATGTGAAGTTCTTTTCGAGACGGAAAGACGAGGGGTCATCTTTGCGGTATTCTGCGAATCTGGCACAGAGCCTGATAAGCATCCGATCAACCCATCGCAGAACATCGGGACCGTCGTCAACTTCAGCTTTGAACACTGCTATTCTTGACATGAGAACAGCGGCAGCTTCTTGATCAAACGACTGGGCAATAGCTGGGTCACCCGAAGGTCCGCTCAGATTACGGGCAACAGTGGTCACTGAGACAGTTAGCTTTGCCTGGTAAGTCTAATGTAGTGGAGGATGAACCATACCTCGAAGGTGGAACTGGCCAGCCGAATGCTGGTAGTATGTCAGGAACTGCATCATTCCTTTCTGTGGACCAGCCTGCATTTGGTTTGGCCCGCCCTGGCTGGCAATTTCGAAGTAGATACCGTAACTGGCTTCGGGATCAATACCGCACATTTTCCAGGCGCAAGTATTGCCAATGCCACATTCAGTCTCACCAACAGAGGCTGATTTCTTGTTGACGGAAATGGCATGTCCGATAAGGCCAGTAACCTTGAGCTCCTTTGTTGTAAGAACCTCGAGGTTGGCATTGAAACCCATGAGCAGATTATCCTCGGCATCTTTGTTGAAGACACGAGCGAATGACTGCTTGTACATGGAAGATGTGAAACTATCCGTGAGGATCATGTGTCCACCAGTGGAGTTCGATAAACTCTTCATCTCGAGAAGACCGACCTGATCCAAGCAACCTGCAAAGATGTCCACGATATGACCATTGTGTGCAACACGCTTGGCAAGGTTGTCGTAGAACTTCAGAGCCTTCTTGTAGTATTTGATGTTGTCGCGATCAATGTCGTGGTGCGATCGGATTGGTTCCCTCAGTTCAGGACCGACAACCATACCGGGACCTTCAGTGGCTGGGCCACCGCTGAAGAGCATGATGCGACCACCCATGTTTACAAATGAAGTTTCCAATAGGCCAGCCGCGACGCTCAGCGCAACGCCAGTACATCTCAGTGCACGCTTGTCGTTGGCAACCGGCCAGGGGTCCTTCTGCAGTTGCTCAAGTGCGTTCGTAAGTTGGAACTCACACTGCGAAACCGGGAGGAGGAAACGGGCACCGGGACCTCCGATGGGCATAGGGGGACGTCCGGGTTGTGGTTGAGCATTCGGTCGTGGAGCAATTTGTCCCAATCCAAGCATCTCCTGGACCTGCTTCGAGGTGTAATCCTTGTTTCCACGGAAGACGTACGATTTGGCGCATTCGGTGTAGCCGAGCTCGTGAACTTGGGCCTAGAATCATCAGTGCCATTCCTGTACTGGATATTGATGGAACATACCATAGTGCCGTAGGTGATCAGACCGACCAGAGCATACTGTGGGAGCAAGCTCAGACTCATGATGATGGAGTCCTTGAGCGCCTTCAAACTGTCCTCCTCTTGGCAAGTATCGACGACAAACAAGAAGATGGGAGGAGATGGCGCAGGGCGGGCAAGTCGGTATTCGATGGTGGTATTGCCGGGGTGGAGCTCTGGGGGAATTTGTTCCGCCGAGATATCTTTGTAGTGAGCAGGAAGGGGATTGCGCTGAAGACAGAATGGACATATCCAGAGCCTAGCACGCATATCGACCTGACTGAAAGAAGCTGTCAGCTGTATCCACGTTCCTGTCGGTGAAGGTGAATTACCAGAATGGGTTGAGCACTGCGCGGCATGGCGGTTTGCAGGTGACGGGCTCATACTGCAATAGAGGGCTCTCTGGCTTCTCTTTCAAAGGTGTGTAGAGGGCTCCGATAGGCACTGTATGGATATGTGAGACGATTTGAAGCGGGCAGCATTAGGAGGGCAGCATACCAACAAGTCGCGAAGCTTCCATGCGCGAGCTGGGGAATGTGTTCCAGCTAAGGCGAACACCCTCGGTCTCCTCAATATCGCTCCATTGGTCTTTCATCGCTTCGTAGTCGGCCATGATGGCAGGATATCAAGCGTGTATAATAACAAGGTATAGGTCAAGGTGGGATACCGAGCCGCACCCAATTGGTATTCGCGGGGCAGGCGTAGAGGGGCGGTAAGGAGGGTGGATGGGTGGATCCTGCGGCTGTCGATGGCAGATATGAACGGAATAGCAGGTGTACAGCACTCTGGTTCGAACTGTATGTAGGCAGCGACAGACGTCTAGTTGCAACGTGCCCCAAAGAGAAAGATGGCGGACTCGGTGTGGACGGTAGCCAAGTAGGCAAGCCCATGCGGCCAGATTGGAAGTTGCCCTTGACGCTAATCTATGTGGGGGCTAGTGGAAGGTGGTCCAAGCTTCCGACGTTCCAACTACAAAACTCCAATTTTTCCTCGCGATTCTTCTTCTTTTCTTCTCTAGTCAGTCGCCAGCAAACAAACACTACTTTACGGCAAGCTCGACATTTGATGACGAGCTTGTTTTCGCGCTGAGCGTAGAACATAGGCCCATGGCTGGGCGCCCGTTTTGGAAATGCCCGTTCCGGGTAGTGCATGACATTATGGGAATCAGCAGAGGCTACATACAAATGTAATCGTACATTCTGAGTGTGAATGTCTCAAGGTGCATACGTGGCAATGTTTTTCTTGGATAGCTACCGTGGGCACATGTGTTGCAAACAGTCGGCATGATGCGTTCATCTTTGAGTCTTACAATAGAAGAATTCATCCCATAACCAGTGTTTTCGATCTACGTGTATTCCAGTGACGTTGCCATTCCCTGTGTGGCACTTGGTGTAATATATTTGATCAGTGTCTTAAAAACAGACGGGATCATCGGATGGGTACTAAACAGTTACTCTACAACAATTCCAACATGAACTGTTGTATTCCAGCCTTCGAGAAACTTAGCATCTCGGCGTACCACGGCTCGTGATCAATTCGAACAGAACAACAACGAAGCGATCGTGTCTGTCTGCAAAGCGTGTCAAGTCATAGGGAACATAGAACCATCATTCAATTACTGGGCTGATTGAAAAATAGACTCTAGGGTCCTGGACTATGTTCATAAACTATATGACAAGTGAGAGCTAAACATCGAACGACATTCAGTTTTGTTGGTAATGTGTCTCAACGGCACACCACTTGCAAATACAAATGCTACTATTGCTGAGGTATCAGATAATTGCTCATGATTATGAGATTGGGAAAGCTATCAGAGCGTCGTGATGGGCCAGGTGAACACTTGGCTTACATGTGATGCCATCACCACACTTGCTGTCTGTAGTTAACAAATACAGATTTATGTTATTTTTCGGCAATCTATCAGTGGTAATAGTACCGCAGCTCGACATAAAGTCGCATGTTTATGATCAACTACCTGTGATAAAATGAACATGCAGTGTTCCAAGTCTATAGAAGTCTCTAAACTTCAGCTCAATAGTGCCTCGGCCACTGACAGTAACAGCCGTCATTGCATGTTGATTCTTAGCGTATGTTAAGTGGAAACATTCCATTGATTCATATGTACTACGGACGATATGACTTCAATGATGGGATGTGCATGTGGAGGATGGTGAGAGGTCTCTAGTAGCTTTGTACATGCCATTTCTCGGTGAAGCAGACTGTAAATAAATAAACATCACGGAGAAATTGGATGATGCCTGGTTTTCTGTTTATATAATTCAGTTAAACAGCAGACTGTACGTATCCTCTTATCTCCCTCCTCACCGCTACCATTTTACCCATTTCACATAACACGCTTATTGAATCCCGACACACGACAAGAGTCCACCGTCTTCACAATGGCAGATACCACAAACAACCCTGAGAAGACAACAGCCTTTAACCCTCTGTATGTACGCTGCTCTATATTGGAATTGGGAGTCTGAAATAGCAACAGTGAGGTGCACACCAAGCCCGTGGTCCTTGTGTGCGTCTGCACCGGGGAGGACAAGAAGCAATTCTGCGTCTACAAAACACTCTTCATGGCCATATCAGGCTACCTCGGGGGCGCCCTGACGATCGAGACTTTCAAGGAGGGGAAGAGGAACGAGGTGATCTTCCGTGACATCGACTACCGCCCATTCTCCCTGTTGTTGGCCTGGATGTGCGGCGGCACCTTGGGCAGCATGGCCGCAATCAACACCAGCGAGGGAAACGGCCCGCGCCTCTCTGCAGCCTCTTCTCTGCTGAATTCCTCTTCCGGGTGGGCAGTCTAACGCACTTGCACTCCAAGAGCACCCTGCGATTTCTTCCCACTGATCTACCAGACTTCAAATCAGCTAACGAAGAAAGGTAGATTAGCAGTACGGAGCAAGCCATACTAGCCCCCTGGGAGTCTTTGGATAGTCGTTACGACGCAATATCGTGGAGTTGAGGAGAAGAGGACTCTCTTGTGAATAACGGAATGTATCATACAGATAGGACATAAAGTACACATATAATTATTCCAAGCCCGTAGAACTGATTACGTTGGCATAGATCGCTCTACTTTCTGTCAAAACGATCACAGGCATACATGCTTTGTACCCAATACCTTCTTCACGCGATTGTAACCGCATCCCAGTTTTCCACCCTCGTATGTGCACTTCTCGATTACTAGCACGCCTCCGCAGGCCGTTTTGGCCATAAGCTGCCGATGTGGCACCCGATGTTCATCATGCTGTGGATGTGTGGAATCGGGACACCATATACCCGTCTCGACCTCACCACCAACAGATATATCTGCAGTCCGGCATTTATTCAACAGCAGACGATGGCCATTGGGTAATTTCGTCCATGGTATGGCTTGGGTTCTCTCGATGGAGAGTACATCGCTGAGTGTGGCTTTCGAGAAGTCTACGAAGCAATGTTGTTTGCTCAACTTGCCAGCATGATCTATAGGACCGCCAGACTGGGCATACCATCCCACATCTTCCAGTGGAGGTACAAAAGCCTGGTTTTTCAGCACATCTACAAGCATATCACCGCCTATAGGGCCCAAGTATGCTACTAGGTCTTCATGTGTTGATTTTTTGTCGTACCCTAGGCCCGGTTGCGGAGACTGGGCGAGGATCGTGCCACCATCGAATTGTTGGGGATGTAATGTCTGGACCGTGATACCCGCAAACGGGCGTCGTCGCAAGATAGTATGGTGCAAAGGAGCGGGACCACGAAGGTCTGGGAGGAGCGAGGGGTGGACGTTGAGGCCTCTGTATTTGGCGAGGTTTAAGATTCGTGGAGGCACAAAGAGGCCAAACGATACGGCGATAACAAGGTTGATGGGGACGGGGGGAGTCCAACCAGTAAAGGTGTCGATTACGTGAGTGTCGAGCTTCAGTTCTTCGGTAGCTACTGCTTGTATGGGAACTGCAGTGTCGTAGCACGTTGTTAACATCAATTCTTTGGCGGCATTGTGGGCGATGCTCTTGACGAGTATTGAAATAGGGCAGGACGGTTGCGCTTGCCTTGTCTCAATTCCTTCAATCCACGCCCTGTAGGTTTCGCGGGCCGGTGGACGACGTTGATAGTTTCGATCAAGTTTGGTTCGCTCTGTTTTGCGTGGAGTAGTTTACGCAGCGACGCGATGCTGAATTCATCGGATCCACAAAAAAGAATGCGCAGAGGCTCCGGAGGTGCGGCGGCGGCGGTGGTGATGGAACGGTGATGGCGGCAATTAGACGCGACGAGAGATCGAACTGGAGCTGGAAGCTTCCAAAGCATGACCCCGGTGCCGTACGACTACGACTACTTGAATGGTAGTAGATGGAAGGAGGTAGGAGTGATGTTGTCGTTCATCTGCGTGCGCATCGCGATCTCTCAATCGATCGAACTTGGCCCGTGCGAAGCTTGAAGTGGTGGTTTCTATCTGTAAATGAGGGACAGATATGGCAGACTATCTACAAACACGCCTATTTTCCCTACAGCACCTATATCAATAGCTTCGATTGCGCGAATACATTTAATTTTGCGCTTCTTCCCAGAAAATAACTCTGTTCATGGGCACTGTGCCTCATCATTCCCTCATTTCTCAACTCCCACCACCCCCGAGAGCTCCGCTGAAGCAGTGACGCCATTGGATGCTCATCCAGCCACCAGCACTCGCCAGCGTAAACACGACAACTCGACCATCCTCGAAGCAGCAGGCTCCGTCTCGAAGTACGAATGTCACCAAATTCTGCTCCTGCAAAGGTAGTGCCCGCTCAGCTCTCATTTCTCGCCATATACAATCCCTCTCTTGGGGAGTCAGACGAGACATTTCACAACCAAATCGTCTTCTACTACTCCAAAGCCGCCAAAGCGCGCAACCGACTTCATGGCAAGGATACACAGGCAGAAAAAGAGTTGCGTGAACAAGAAAATGAGAAATTGCGCCAGGTTGGCCTAGCTCAGGGCATGGTTGGCTTCGCCCGGTACTGTGTGCTCTCTGGTCTATATAAACTTGAAGGCACAGGATGCCATCTTCCAAGATCATACGCTGATTGCAGATAGGAACTTCTCCACTGGTGCAGCCGTAGACTCGGTAGAGACGGAGAAAACCCGCATCGTTCTCAAGGAGCTCGAGAAAGGCTGGTGGATACTTGCTGTGAGTGCTTTTGTCGTTGCAACTCTACGTTTAACTCCAGTTCTAAGCCAGTCAGTCCATTGACCTTACTCAACTTCCCATACACAGCGCCGTGTCTTCGGGGCAAAACGGCGCGTCCACTCCCCAGCAAACCATCGAGTACTCCTCCCGCGAAGTCAGCCCTCCTGCTCTCCTCTTGCAACAGCTCGTCCGCGCACATAGAGTCTTCCTACTCCACCACGGGCCATCCATTGAGCAGTTGTACCAGAAGTCCCCGCGCGCTAAGTTCGTGGGAATACTTGAAAGATACTGGTCGCGTTTCGCGAATAGCTGGGATGTGCTTCTTCACGGAAGCCCCGCCGTTGAATTATACAACGGAGTGAAGCTCGCAGCAGGAGGAGAGTTGGGAATGGGCGTTGGCGAGGAGGAATGGGGTAGCGGGGAGCGACTTGTACTCGAAGACTACGTGAACAAAACGGAGGGCCTCGTTGACCTTATGGTCTCGAGGTTTGGGGAGCCGTCCTCACTACAAGAGCAGAAAAATTCGGTCGAGTCAAAGAAACTGTTGGGACATTCAGCCGAGGAGTCTTGGGCTGGCAGCGGACGGATTCCCGGGCCTGCAGATGGCTTAGTCTTTTCTGGAGTCGGCGCTGTCAGTCGAGAGTCGCTTCGTGACTTGTCACATTGGATAGAGTCCATATATGCTTATGGAGACTACGCTTATGGCGTGCGAGATAACCCAACGAGTGACAGGAAACGGCGGCGGCGCAAAGAGCAAAAACATTCTGAACCTTCTTCAAAACCAGCTGAACCTCCCATGCAAGAACCAACCATACCGAACAAAAGTCTTCCTCCAGGCATACCACCGCCCATCGTGAGAGCTGCAGAAACATCCCTGAGCAAAGCATCCGCGGCTGCTAGTACGTCCAACACAAACTCAAAGAGTGACGCCGCGCCCCTCCTGGGCTCATTGGGTGATTCTGAGATGTGGGTGAAGTATTTGACGTTGGGGTATGGCACAGCATGGGGTGCCGGCAAAGCCCAAGAGAGAACGCCAACTCAGGAAAATGTCGATGAGGTAAAAGAGGACGCAATGCCTGCCATGCGCCACGTGGACCCCGAGCCAGATGTTGACGTGGTCACTGAGAGGCTCAAGACGCAGATAGTATCTGAGAACAACGGCTACTTTGCCATTGGTCTCACAGGTGACATGGACGAGAGTAGCATCGATGATGAGAACGACGATGGCGAGTGGAACAACCGTACCATACTCCGTACTGTGTACGTCAAGGTTGAGTCGACTGCCGAGCCAATGACACCTGGTAGCATTGAGTATGAATTGGCTCACTTTGAAGAAGCGATGCACAACCCCTCCAAGAGTCTTACTCTGGCTCGACTACGTCCTGTGGTCTATGTGGTAGGTCGATGATGAATACGGTGTAAGAGGCAGTTGACTGATACTCGTAGCATCGACCTTTTGTCTACGCCTTCCTGTTCAAGCACGGAACTGGGTCTTTGAGCTTTGCGAATTTCTACCGCAATCTACATACATACTTCTCGCCTCTACATCGTCCGCTGAGCAACAGCACCTCCCCTAATAAGGTTGCTGCACGTCTGTCGGACGCCTTCCATCCCTACACGACATCATCAAAGGAGGGTGGAGTAGCAGACAGGCAACCTATATACGATCTCGCTTATGACCCGCGAACGCTCACGGTTCATTCTAGTGTACCTAATATACCGGAGCCCGGGACTCTGCTAGCAGAAGGGCTCGACAGTACAGGAAGTCCATCAACAGCAGGTTGGAGCAGGGTCGAGGCGTTGAATGTACATTCCCAGATTCTTGCTACGATTACCAGTACTCGAAAAGATCTTTCCGAGATCGACCGGACGTGCAAAACCAGTCGCGGATGGTGGGTAGTGTGGATGAAATTGCCACCATCACAGCATGAGGAAAGCAAAGGTCAAGATGTCGAGGCACAGACGCAAGATTTTGATACAGATCAGCTACGCGAGGCGTTCCTTGTGCGCAGAGCCCACGATGCAGCCGGGGGACGTTCTACAAAGAGTTCTAGTGGACGGTTCGGCAGCGGCATGTGGGGTGGATCCTCAGCGCAGAGAACCGGCGGGGCGGCTGCTGGATGGGGCCCGAAAGGGCTTGGAGAAGGGATTGGAATTGATGCAAGGAGATATGTCGAGGGACTGTTGAGTCTGAATCGGTGAAGGCCCACAGACTGGTTGTTCTGTTCGCAGGGAGAGAAGCAGCAAAAACAAGAATAGATATGATACCACGACGGAAACGGGTGAGTCTCGCAAGACAGCTGGATGATGAATACATGTTGGAATTAGTATGATGCTTGTTCACTCTGTTTTTGCTCCGAAGACGTGGCGTCTTGTTGTTGTAATTGGTTGATGGCAGTTGGCCGTGAGATGGATAGGAGAGCGTATCAGAATCGTGCTAGACTTGTGGCTGAAGGGAGAAGACGCATGAACCACGAGGTTCGAGACACCACTGGTAATCCCAATGTGGACGAGAGTTTCAGAGGACCATCATGTCTGGATTCACATTGGTCCCGTTGGTGAATGGCATCGATTACAGACTGACATTCAGGGGGTGCCGCGCGCGCTAACAATGCTAGCCCGGCTCCCGATGTCTTTGTCGACTCCACCCGTGACAGCCGAAAGTAAATGTCCAAACCACCCAGTAACGTGCATGCATGCATCGATGGATACATCCATTCATCCTGTATTGCTGGCTGTCTCAACGGAGAAACATGGCCACATGCACCGCTCAACAAACATGACCTACACGCGGACGCTGTCACTTGACTCGAGCCATCTTTCAAATTCGTCTTCATGTTGTTTGTTTCCAGTAGTCCCATCTCGAGGTGGTGGCGGACATCGGACTTGACCCTCTTGGCCCTGACGTCTTGTCTTGTTTGTCCCGATCTTTTTGGCATTTGCATCTGCATCTGTTTCTCCATCCCCACCGTCGATCGTTTCTTCCTTTCCACAGCCAAGGTGGGCCGTGGGTGCCTGTGTTCCTCCTGCGCGCATCCACCACCGTCACTTCTTTCTTCCACTTCATTGTTCTTTCACCTCCCCTCTGCCTTTTGTTTGTGTCGAGCCTTGGGTCGTCTTGATTGACCGGATCCTTGTCTCTCGCCTTGCTTGTACTAACTATTTGCTCTTTGCTGTTGTGCATTTTCTTTTTGTATATGAACTCTGGTGCATGACCCGTTGAGCGATAGATCCGGCATTTTCATACACATTAGAACAATGCATATCCCACTTCAAAAGTTGGCCATTGGATGCGCCCTTACATCCACAGCTGCGGCATTTTATCCATACCACCGCCACCACGGTGAATCCAGTGCCGCTACACGTCGAGTACCCTCCGAAGCCGCCGTGTCTGCCACCTCTGGCGAACCTCGACGCTCAATAACGCTGCCGCTGCGCCGTACCTCGCTCGTTACTCGACAAAACCAATTCGATGTCTCAAGGAGCAAAGAGCCCAAGCTCAAAAACAGCGAGGCTGTTCATCAGGACAAGAATGACAATACGTACATGGTTGCCGTCAACATTGGAACCAGCAAGGAGGAATATCTGCTGCTGCTCGATTCAGCGTCAAGCAACGTTTGGGTCATGAGCGAGGACTGCACATCCGCTGCATGTGGAAAACACACAACATTCGGCAAAAGCGACTCAAGCTCATTGAAGGTAAGATGACGACTTCTCAGGCCTCATTATGGACTAACAGTCGATGTAGACGGAGACCACCCAGTTCTCCATAACGTACGGAACTGGCACTGTCTCCGGAACCACCGCGAGTGATACGCTTCACTTTGGCTCTCTCTCTGCAACACATACTTTTGGCCTTGCCAACAATGCCTCTTCCGAATTCGAGGGGTTTCCCATGGACGGTATTCTGGGCTTGGGTCGAGGCTCCCAAAGCGAGGGAACGATTGTATCACCACAAGTCATTGAGATTTTTGCAGATGCCAAACTCATTTCCGCAAAAATCTTTGGCTTACATCTGGGGCGGTACAAAGACGGTAAAAATGATGGCGAGTTGAACTTCGGAGAGTTGAACAAGGACAGATACGACGGGGATTTGAACTGGCTGGACGTTGTGAGCAACGATCGCGGCTTCTGGGAGGTTGCAATCTCAGACGCGGGCGTGGGAGATAAAGTCTTGGGCGTCAAGAACAAGATTGGCATCATTGACACGGGAACCTCTTTTGTTTTCATGCCTGAGCAAGATGCTATCGCTGTTCACAAACTCATTGACAGCTCCAGACAGTCCGACGAGAACTTCATAGTTCCTTGCTCTACCAAGATCCCCGTCACCATCAAATTTGGCTCACAAACGTATAATGTCTCTGCCGCAGACTGGGTGGGGGAGCAACTACCCGATAGCGATGAGTGCTTCAGCAGAGTGGTCGGTCGGCAGACGTTTGGCCCCGATCAGTGGCTGATTGGCGACACTTTCTTGAAGAATGTGTACACGGCGTTCGACATGGACAAGTCAAAGGTTGGATTCGGCTTGAAGAGTGCCAGTTCGAGCTCGTCGGAGTCATCGACTAGTACAGGTACGTCGATTCCGCACACGCTCACATCCACACCCACTTCTGTTCCTACTCAACCTCCCTCTTCCTTTCGTCCCACGTCCTCGTCTTCTCTGGTTCCAAATGCTCCCGTTTCCAATGCGAGCGGCTCCGCCTCTACCTCGAGAGTTGTGTCACACTCGACTACTCATCTGCTCCCCTCCTCATGCACAACAGTGCCAGTGCACACTGATTCCCCCATTGTCTCTACACATTCATCACCTTTAGATATTCTCCTTTCATACACTCCCACTATTCCTCTGTCTAACCCCCTCACCTCTTCCTCACCAACGGCGTCCAAACCAATCTCCAACCCCTTCTCACCTCCCCACTCTCCACACACACCCTCTACACTGCCCTCTTCCCGCCAATCCACTTTATCACTCATACCGACTAACATACCCCGACCAATAGGCGGCTCCAACTCGACCTCCAACCCCAATGGCAACGAGAACGGCAACGGCAACGCTCCACCTAGCACCTCAGGCTCTGCCACAAACGGCAACAACGACAAAGCAGAGCCAACGCAGAATTCTCTAGCTGCGCCTGCCGTGTCGCCGTCTGCATCGGCCCTAGCAGCGCTGTCTGTGGCTGTCGGCGTTTTGGCGTTTGCTTTCTAGCAAGGCCAGCAATTCAGTCGTCTATAGTCTATAGATGTAGTAGGAAGTTGGGAACCGCATATATTGCACTGGTTTGGAGTTTTTTGCATATAAGCATTAGGTTTATTTTATCTAGCATCGCAAATCTAGCATCGTGTTTTGCATCATTTTTGATTCTCTGGTTCCAATGTTCTCGTGTCAATGGTCATATCGATCGGTCTTAGTGAATAATGCAATGAATGTTTATACAGCGAGATTGACAAAGTTTTGGAATATGACCCCAACCAATGGTGGTATAATGGAATAGGTGGATACCTAGGTATGTACTGGCAAGGAACTAGGAGAACAAACCTCAATTGCTTGACTCCTGTAAGATAACGACGAAACCGTGCGAAACTGAAGACGGGAAAAGAAGAAGTTTTCAGACGGAGGAATGGTGTGAGATTCATATGTGTGCATACATGCTTCTTAATGGAGCCCGTGGTCGGCTTTGTTTCCAACTTGACACTGCGACACGTTATGCTAAGAAACCCGTTTTGGCAACAGTTGACTCTGGACTGGAGCAACGGTCACAAACAGAAAGACAAGGTCACTTCACAAAGGTAGGCACAAATGATTCTTGTTGTAAAGCTCCATTGACGCCAACGAGGGGTAGTAGGTAGGTAGATAGGTACGAGGATAAAAGAGTATTACACCGAGCCAAGATGCGCAGAACCACAAGACAATTCAGTCACCGAGAGAGAGAAGGAGAAGAAAACGACCAGCAAACAGACAGCCGAAGGGTCCACTCAGAGGAGAAGACTATGTGGCGGGCGGGATACAGCGAGAGAAAGATGAGAAGTGGAGGTCCTGCTGCCATTTACTGCAATCCAATTACTGTTCCGTCTTGACTCTTCGCCTGAAGTAACCCCCATCATGGACTGCCCCCAAGATGATGTGTTCAAAAAGTCCAGTACAGTAACGCCTCGCGGGGGTCGTCGAAAAAGATGTTGTAACCAGCCCACGGGTAGGCCGAATCGCGCTTCACTAACCCCGTTCCACGCCAATCATATCATAGACACAGACCGTGGCCAATGCCCTTGTCGATTTCGTCACAGGAGTACGTATGTGTAGCGGCCACCGGCTTAGCATCACGTGGATTTCTTACAAGATGATGCACTTGTGCTTCTTGTCCTTTCCTCCTTTCGTGCCTCTTGTGGCCAAGGCAGCGCGTGTGGCATGTTCGAAGACCTCTCGTACGCCCTCGTTTGTCTTGGCAGAGCACTCGAGATACTTCTGGGCACCAATCTTCTTGCGGACATCCTCAGCCTATAGGTATGGTTAGTGGCGGCTCAAGGGCACGGCAGCATCGGACCGACCTGTTCTGGGGTCACAGGCTTCTGGGAAGTCTTGTGAAGTTCCTCGATAGTCTTCTGGTCAAAGCGCAAATCCTTCTTGCAACCAACCAAGATGATGGGCAGGCCCTGGCAGAAGTGCAGAACCTCGGAAATCCACTAGGTCGAGTTAGTCACCGACGAGAGCGGTCGAGTTGTTGACTGGTGCCATACCTTCTCCTGGACGTTGTCAAGCGAATCGGGTGAGTCGACAGCAAAGCAAATCAGGATGACATGGGAGTCGGGGTAGGAGAGAGGGCGCAGACGGTCGTAATCTTCCTGACCCGCGGTATCCCAAAGGGCGAGTTCGACGTGCTTGCCATCGACCTCGACGTCGGCGACGTAGTTCTCGAAGACAGTGGGGACGTACACCTGTGGAGGGTGTGATGTCAGTGCATGTGTAACGAGGAATGGGTGCATGTGGAGAGGCGGTGGAGGGCGTCCTCAGCCTGGCTTCAGCGGCCCGAGAGAGAGAGAGAGGGGGGTGTCGGGATCGGGGGTACTGACCTCGGGGAAGGTGCCCTTGGAGAAGACACTGCAAACGAGGTGGTTAGATTCAAAGCAGACAGGCAGCCAAAGGGAGGTTCCTGAGGCGGCATAATAGCGGGCGTGGGCGACTTACATGAGGAGACAGGTCTTTCCACAAGCACCGTCGCCGACGATAACGAGCTTTCGGCGGATCTCAGCCATGGCGGGTGCTTCAGACAGATGGAGAAGGCGTCGGAAGTGGGTATCGGGGTTGAGAGCTGGAAAGTTGTGGGTGACTACCTAGCAGTGGATGGGGGAGTGAGGGTGATCAAGTAGTGTCGTGAAGACAGACGGAGGAGGAGGAGCTAGTTAGGCACTTGGATGCACGGGACAAGTGCGGCTGTGCTTTTGTGGCGGTGCCGGGTCTCAATCAATCACAACAGCACGGGCAACGAGCGAAGACAGCGAGTGAACAACAAGAAGAAGCAGCAGCAGCAGTAGCAGCGTGTTCGGCTAGCCCGGAATGCTGGATTACTGTACGGTGCAGGGTATCAGCTACATTACTAGCAGATGACATTTGGAAGACGAAAAAAAAAAGGAGTTGGGGCGGATCAATGTGGTCTTGTCATGGCATTGTGGTGAAATGGGCTGGTTGCTATGGGCGAGCGGGTGAGCGACGATAGTGAGAGAGGCCACGGGCAAGCCGAGCCGGGGGGTTTTTAGCGTTGCGGTAAGCCAGCCAGCCAGCCATGGAGCCATAACAGCCATAGAGCGTTATCGCGCCCATCATCATCATTCATCATCATCTTCATATGGCGGTCACATATAATCATACAAGCAGTCATGTAAATTTAAAAAAAAAGGTCAAGCAGGAGGCAGACACGATTGGGATGATGGATGGGTGGGCTAGAGTTGGGTGAAGTGATTGCTGCATTCGTCATACATCAACTACGTAAGTCAGTAAGTCCTTGGGGCAAGTATTTATGTATGGATGCTTTGAACTGGGGTCGCATTACCCGTTCTGCTGACATGCGATCGAGTTCAACATTTGAACATGTGCAAAGTCTGTCTTTCAGTGGTACAAGTGTGTGTATGCGTGTACAGGTACAGGTAGCGAGCATGTGCGCATCCATCCATCTGCTTTTGATGGCAATGCTCATCGGTCCCAACTTCAGTCAAGGCAAATGGATGGAGACATGTTGTAGACAGCCCAGAGATAAGGGGTTACGTGCCGTACCAAGCTATTGATTGCATCTCCCCAGGTTCGCACATCGAATGTCATTGCTCATCAACCGACCATGATGGATCATTATAATTGTTATGAAAGTTGTATAACTGGTTAATGATGACGCTTCTGCCTAGAGAGGGATCTGGGAATGAGACATTGGAGATTTGACAAATGCAAGCATGCATTGCCGTGGACAATACAAGACACACACACTCTATCTCTATCGAGGAGACGGCTACTGAGTACTCGCAAACTACGCCCCAAACCGGTCAGCGAGCACTGCTGTGTCGCCTCACTGGTTGCATGAGCGCTGTCGATTGTCATACGGATATCATTCACCGTCTGTCTCATCTGCCTTGGGTGAGCCATTTGGCATGTTTCGTTTCTCACCTCTGCCAGTCTGTCTATCCTGCCCGCACGCCTCCTCCACACAACATGTACACAGACAGGCAGCAGCAGGGACATAGACTTACCTAGTTGGTCTAGCGTCGTTGGGCCAAGCGCTGCATGGGAGTGGGTCTGCTCTTTTCCGCCCGGCGGCGTTCAAATGTTCGTTTGTTCGTCAACCAAGGGGCAATGCTAACACGCAAATGCTATTTGTCAGTTGGCACGATATATGTATATACATACATATGTATATATGCAGCAAGATGGATGCGTTTGACTTTTGATCTGTTGAGCATATCGAAAATGCACTCGAGTCTCACGCATGTACAGATAATGTAGTACCAGCATTGAGCTGCAAGTATCAGTGGATACATACTATATACTATATGTAGGGAAATAAAAGACATATTGCAGACATCCATCTTCAGTCGTGAACACTCTCCTAAAACACCTCCATATCCGAATCCGCAAAAAGGCATCCGAGCCAGCTCAAAATGCACGCGGTTGAAATGTGTGTATACATGTGTGTAAGCATGGGTGCGTCCCATCAATCATCCAGCTTCTCCGCGCTTCTACCTAGAGCACTTGCCTTGGTGATTGTCCATTGAATCATCGCTTCCGCCCCGCTACCACTAACTCCGCCGCCCACTACCTTACCTACGCGTATCTACATACCTAGGCATCCCGCCCTCATCCACCATCACCACTACCGACCGCCGTCGTGCGCCACCTGAACCTCTGCCACGCCCGATTCTTTGTTCGTCATTCGTGGCCACTGGAACATTGATCCTTCTCTCTTCCCTTTTGATTCTCAACTTTGGCTGACTGGCTGTTATCGGACCATGGCGGACCAGCAACCCGAAAACGACAAGCAGCCTGACGCTCTTTCTGATGCGGACAAGGTAAGATGGCTCAGAGTCTTCTTGCGCACAACATAACTATGGCTACACGCGCTGACAAGTTTCTCCACGCAAGATTCGTGCGAAGAGATTAGCAAAGCTCGGTGGGCCATCGCCTAGCCCTGCTTCCACCTCACAACTCACCTCACCTCCTTCTACAACGCCATCCAGCAGCACCCCGCGGCCTGCGCAGAACCCCGAAGCCGCCCCACCACAACACCCTGCCTCCTCACAAAACCCTTTCTCGCAGCTTGGTATAAAACCAGAGAACCGGGCTGCCCCCGCAATCAACATCACCCCGAAGCCGACGGCGAAATCCAATGGCGGCATATCCAACCAAGGTGCTTCGAAAGCACTAGACACGAGCCTTGAAGCCTGGATAAATAAGACTATTGGCGCTATTTTCCGCATTACGCTCGATACGAGCTCGACACGCGACACTCATGGACACCGTCTATTCTTCGTTGCTGGCGTGCGGCGTGACCTGGAAGAAGCAGGCTCCCCCATTCAGCTCACAATCGACGTTCTCGATAGTGCAATAGTAGAATCAGCACAAAGCAGATCAGAAGGCAAAGCACTGGATTATCTGCTGGGCTGCTGGAAGCGGGTGTCCAAGCTGTTTCGGAGCTTGCAGAACAAGAACGATCCAAAATTCGAGGTTGCTAAAGAAGCACGCCGAGTATGTTTCAGCTACTCGGTATTCGCTGCCACTATTCCTGATATGTTCGGCGAAGACGAGTCGCCAGTGAATCCCTTGGCCGATCACCTTCTCGTGGACCCAGAAAACGACCAAGGTATCTGTCATGACTTCATAACGGAGGCTGTTACTCGTTTTGAAGAGGATGAAAGCGTCAAAGAGCTCCTTGTTGGTGCTATAGAAGAGCTGAGCCGGAGGTTGTCGAGGATGAACATGAATGACGACTATCGACCATATATGCTGGCCATGCGGAATTTTGTTCGCTATCGACCTCTCCTTGAAGCCATGGCACAATCTCCCACTTTTCTCCCGGCGAACATCGAGGCGAGCAGCATCGAAAGCATGACTCTTCTGGGCCCCTTCTTCACAATCTCCCCGCTTCAAGGACAAGTGGCTCTCAACTATTTCTCAAGCCCCACTACGCGCGACAAGTCCTATATATCCAATTCTCAAAATGCATTACGCTTGGCCTTACAGGCCCATCAAGACGAGCTTTTCGATATTGCCAACTGTTTCATCAAGGTCAAAGACGCTAGAGAGCAGATCCTTAATTGGTTTGCTCTGACAGTGAATGCCAATCACAAGCGAAGAGCCATGCGTGTGGACCCCAAGACTGTCTCATCAGATGCCTTCATGGTGAATGTCACCGTCATACTGGACCGATTATGTGAACCCTTCATGGATGCAACTTTCACCAAAGTCGATCGCATAGATATTGACTATCTGCGCCGGTCACCTCGTGTCTCGATCAAGGATGAAACCAAAATCAATGCCGATCAGCAAGTCTCGGACGAGTATTACAGCGATCCTCTTGGGGGTACCGACAACTTCATCACGGAGATATTCTTCCTTACAGTCGCTGCTCACCACTACGGTATAGAAGCCGCTAATACCAAATTGTCTTCGTTGGAGAAGGACATGAAGCATTTGGAGAAGGAGCTGGCTAAGATTGAGTTAGAGCGACATAAATACGCCTCCAATCCTGCTCAACTTAACATATTCGATCGACATGTGCAAAAGATGAAGGACCAGCTTGAAAAGGGCCAGTGTACCGCACTTGCTACAAAGGGCGTTCTTTTGGACCAAACCATACAGACGCGATCCATGCAATTTATGCGATATGTCATCGTCTGGATACTGCGCCTCGTTTCGCCCGGTTCAACGTTTCCCAAGAGCGCCATCCAGCTCCCGTTACCAAAGGAACAGCCCAAGGCCTTTCAATGTCTACCGGAATACTTCCTCGAAGATATCTGCGATAACTTCAAGTTCATCACCCAGTACATGCCTCATGTCATCACGTCAACACAGTGTGAAGAATTGATGGTCGTGTGCATAACATTCCTCCGCAGCTCCGAATACATCAAGAACCCCCACCTGAAAGCTCACTTAGTGCAAATCCTGTTCAACGGTATATGGCCTTTCCCAGGTAAGGCTAAAGGCGTTCTTGGAGACGTTTTGTTCGCCCACAATTTTGCAACAAAATACCTGCTACATGCATTGATGAAGTTCTACATCGAATGCGAACGCTTACACGACAAGTACAACATACGGTACGAGATTTTCCAGGTGATCAAGTGTATATGGCCCAATATCATCTACCGAGAAAACCTCGAGGCCGAAGCGCAGTAAGTTTAGATCCTAAATATGCAAGAGAATAGTCATCTAACTGACATAGGACTAATCTGGACTTCTTCGTACAATATGTGAATTTGCTACTCAACGATGTCACCTTCGTGCTGGATGAATCGTTTACAGCTTTTACCCAGATCCATGATCTTTCGAAATCGCTCAGAGCACCAGATGCAGGTCTTGACGCGAATGCTCGACAAGAGCAGGAGGAAAAATTAGCCACAGCCCAAGATAAGGCCAAGAATTATATGGCACTAACCAACGAGACGGTTGGCATGTTGAAGCTCTTCACTGAAACTTTAGGTGATTCTTTCACGAAGAAAGAAGTCGTAGTCCGCCTGGCTCATATGCTCGACTACAACCTTGAGGCCCTAGTCGGACCCAAGAAGGCCAATCTCAAGGTTGAAAACCCGCAAGACTACAATTGGAACCCGCGGCAACTACTGTCTGAAATTGTGGATGTGTACTTGAACTTGAAAGAGAAGCACTCGTTCCTTGAAGCTGTTGCTACTGATGACCGATCGTATCGATCATCCTACTTTACCGAGGCGGCGAAGATTTTACAACGCCTTGCACTAAAGGCTCCTGAACAGCTCCAAGAGTGGGACCAACTTGCTGAGCGAATTCGAGCTGTCAAAGAGGAACACGATATGGAGGATGCGGACCTGGGCGATATCCCCGACGAGTATCTTGATCCCCTTCTTGCCACTCTGATGGAGGACCCGGTGATCCTACCCGTGAGCCGGCAGACGTTGGACCGGAGCACAGTGCGTAGTCATTTGCTCAGTGACCCGCATGACCCGTTCAACCGCGCACCACTCACCATTGACGAGGTCATTCCCAATGATTCTTTGAGAGCAGAGATTCAACAATGGAAGGCTACTCGGTTGGCCGAAAAGAGAGAGGAGCGAAGCTCAGGGGAGGCAATGGATACCTCTTAGAGAGGAGAGCATAGTGACCCAAATTCATCATCTGATGCCACCAGCCATTAGCATATACTACGATCACGCGTTCCGGTCGATTGCCGCTCGTCACACACGCAAGCTAGGCACTGATCGAAGCTATCGACATGAGCTAGATAGTAGAACCAGGCAACGAGGCAGATGCCTAATGTGCGATGTATATGATTAGCGATGGAGGTGGATAACGTATCTCAATCGTAACGACTTGGTACTATCCGACGATCATCGTCTCAATGCATTTTAAGAACGGACTGATGAATGGACATTTACAATTATAATACAATATGAGGCACGTGTTCTATTGTTCTTCCTTCTCTCTCTTGCCGAAGACATATGCCAATCCACAACCTGCCACATTCACAGCGCAAAGACCCAATGACGTACCACGTACGAGGCCTCTCGCACCGAACTTCTGCTTAAACTTCTGCGTGGAATCAGTCTGTCTTCTATTCTCATCACGCTAGCCAGTTGACGGTTGACTGGAAGATGGGGTAATGATAGCAAACTCACCTGACTTCTTCGCATCGCTAATAATGCGTATAAGCCACTCCAGGCCGCGGTAATGCCTGCTGCGTCGGTCTTGTACCCGCTCAAGTTGAGGTAGGACGAGAAAAGTAAGACGGGCGGAAAGAGCATCGGCATGGCTTGAAATGGACGAAAATGTTGGGCAGTGACCAAGGTAGCCAACGCGGTTGGAGGAACGGAATGTTCTGTTCTATAATGTTAGAACCAGCAAATCCTATCTCTATACATATATCGCAAAACGTGGAGAGATTGGATGATCAGCGCACATGCGCTTGCTAGAATATCCAGTACATCTGATAGTAGCAAACGGTCAACTCACCTCCCCAATTGCGAAGCGACTGAAGGGCACCCTGCTTTGGATTTTGGGCCGACATTGTAGGCTTGCCTGTTTCAAAAAGTGCCGATAAAATTCTATGTCAATTAGATGAGAGACGAACGAAGAAGGTGGTGTAGTTACATGAGCTTTGCCAAATGGTGTTGGCGTTCGGTGGTGATGACGTTGGGGTCCGTGCCAGCCTTCTACGCTTTTCTGTTGCTGTGGCCTCGCCCGTAAACTCCACATATCACGCACCCCTCCAAAACACCATCCAACCATACCTAATCACCTTCCCAGCCCTGGCCGTGCCCGCGGAATACCTACCAATACCCTACCTGCGACTGCGCTTATCATCAAACGACCACACGGCTCTTTCTTCCTATCATGTCCGCCAAAACCAGCGGCGCGGACCCCCGAGGCACTGGCGACGCAAAACACCGCCAACACCACGACGGCAGCGCCGGTCGCGCATTCACAGTTGAGCAGAAGGCAGCCGTTATTCGGATAAAACGCTGTGGAGCCACCGCCTACTATGAGATTCTCGGACTGGAAGATGTGAAGACAACGTGCACCGAGGGCGAGATTAAAAAAGCTTATCGCAAGTTGAGTCTTTTGACGCATCCGGACAAAAATGGATACGAGGGAGCAGATGAAGCGTTTAAAAGTGTGTTATCCCATGGAATCCCTGCCACGAGAGAGATTAGAGAGAAGGTGGTATGCAGTGCATGTACTAATGCGCTCTGTAGTGGTATCACGAGCCTTCCAAGTGCTCTCCGATCCAGACAAGAAAACAAAATACGACAGGTACGGTGGCGACCCAGACTCGCGTTTCCCTGGAGCCTCATCTGCAGGCGCATCACCATTCAGTAACTTCGGGCGTCCTTCGGGCGCGCAACGAGGTCCAATGTACGAGGAAGAGATAAGCCCCGAGGAAATGTTCAGACAGTTCTTCGGGGGTGGAGGAGCGTTTGGTGGACCTTTCGGTACGTATCTATGCCATCTCCAGCCCCTCGATGTCTCCGAGAGAGTCGTGACATGCAAGAGCTCTGTGCTAATCGTTACATTTAGGGAACGGCTTTGACACCGGCGGATTCGTGTTTAACATGGGCGGCGGAGGACCAGGAATCCGTGTACACCAATTTGGAGGCGGACGACCAAGAAGACGACCTGGGACTGCAACTCAAGATGGGCAAGAGCCTGCGCCAAGTTTGTCAAGCTCGCTGTCTGCGCTATTACCGCTCATATTCCTTTTCGTCCTACCGCTTCTCTCTTCTTTATTTGGCAGCTCGGCGCCTCAAAGTCCCTCCGTCGTTTTCGACCAGCCCCGTGGCGCATATTCGTTGGCTCGGTCGTCTAATAAACTCGGTGTCCCTTACTGGGTCAACCCCTCCGAAGTCAAGGGATACTCTGAACGCGACTTCCGTACGCTAGATGGTGTTGCGGAAAACAAGTATATACACACCTTGAATATACGGTGTGAAAATGAGAGGATACAACAACACAAGATGACGGAAGAAGCGTACGGATGGTTCAGCAACGACGAGGTTCTGATGGAGAAGGCGAGGAATTTGCCCATGCCCAACTGTAAAAAGTTGAAAAACATGATGAAGTGAAGTGGCTTTGGGCTGGTGTTTGCTGGATTACACCATTTTGTGAAGTTGGTTTTGTGAATAATATTTTAGGGTTGCTTGCATGTATATCATCTGGGGTATCAAGTCGACAACTTTCTCGAGAGGGCATGTCCTGTTCTTCGGTAGCCGATTTTTAGCGTTACAGTCGCAGTAATTCCCCACAAAGGTCGTTGATCTTTTCCTACGGGCCAGCCAGAGTATAGGCATATTATGCATGTGTTGCGTTCGGATGCAATGGTACACACATGGGCGTACATAGAGATTCAGGTAGCATGCTCTGCACCCACCTTGGCTAGTGTCCGCTCCTCGGAACCTTCCCTTTTTGTCCCCTTTTTGTTTAAAGAGCCCTCGAATAAACCCCCACCAAGGTCCCTGCATAAACAATCGCCAACCCCACCGCTACTCATATTTTCTTTGCTCCCCACCTTCTTCCCCCCTTTATCTCCTCACCGTGAACACATCGCCCGCCCTTCATCATGTCTGAAATCCACCGTGCCAGCACCACTGCCCCTGTCAATATCGCCGTCATCAAGTACTGGGGAAAGCGCGACCCCAAGCTCAACCTCCCCACCAACTCCTCCCTCAGCGTAACTCTCTCGCAAGCGGATCTGCGGACCCACACAACCGCGTCGTGCTCCCCTTCATACCCGGCTGAGGACTCTCTTCTTCTCAATGGTAGCCCGCAGGACGTCTCGGGTGCCAGGACTCAAGCTTGTTTCCGCGAGCTTAGAGCACTGAGGAAGCAGTTGGAGGACGGAAACAACGCACTGCCAAAGCTCAGCACATTCCCACTCAGGATTGTCAGTGAAAACAACTTCCCTACCGCAGCAGGGCTGGCGAGTAGCGCAGCAGGCTTCGCGGCGCTAGTTAGGGCCATTGCCAATTTGTACGAGCTGCCATCTTCACCAACAGATCTCTCGCGCATTGCTAGGCAAGGGTCCGGGTCCGCATGCAGGAGTCTCTTCGGCGGATACGTGGGCTGGGAGCAAGGTTCTGCTGCCGATGGAAGTGACAGCATGGCATTCCAAGTCGCACCGGCGGAACACTGGCCCAACATGCGAGCTGTTATTCTTGTCGTCAGCGCGGCCAAGAAAGGTGTCTCGTCAACAACGGGCATGCAAACTACTGTTGCTACCTCATCCCTCTTCGCAGCACGCGCGAGCGAAACCGTTCCAAGACGTATGCAGGAAATGCAGAAAGCGATACAAGATAAAGACTTTGAAACTTTCGCCAAGGTCACCATGATGGACAGCAACAGCTTTCATGCTACCTGCCTGGATACATACCCACCCATCTTTTACCTGAACGATGTGTCCAAGGCGGCCATCAAAATTGTGGAGAGCATCAATGAAGCAGCGGGCAAGATAATTGCAGCATACACGTTCGATGCTGGACCAAACGCCGTGGTGTATTATCTCGAGGAGAACGAAAAAGAGGTTGCTGGACTGTTCAAGAGCATTCTGGGTGAGAAGGAGGGATGGGCAGGCCAGCGGGGACAAGCTGTTCCTATCAATGATGAAGCGAGGGACAAAGTCGTCGTTGACGCAGCGGTCGCTGTGGGCTTGTTGGAAGAGGGCGTTAGTAGGGTTATCTTGACTGGTGTGGGAGAGGGACCGGTCAAGACGGACGAGAGTTTGATCAACGAGAAGGGCGAACCCATCTCTTCTTCGTCATGAGTGCATTATTCGGTGCATGAGATACCCGTTGGAGCACGTACATCCAGTTGAAGCTATACACGTAGACGCACAAAAAGATAACAGTCCAGTGAGTTATAATAGGCCATGAATAGATATTGCATGCCATGTTCATAAAAGAAATTGTGTTTGTGCAATCATGATTTGAACAGTTAAAATAGTTGATTCTCATTCATGGGTATCCCAACATTATATCGTACAAAAGAGTAAACATAGACAATCATATCCTCGACCAATCCGTAATCTCCTATGCTTCCTTGGTCAAGAAGAAGGGGGACGCAGTACTAGCATCCTTTCTAATAGACGCGGCGAGCGTTTCGTCCATCAGTGCCGTGCATGCGTCTGGTACCAGCAGCCTATAAACATTGCTCGTTAGCAAGATCTTTGACTGAAGGAAACCCACCCGAGATGGATGGAGGAGAGAATGGAAAGACATACCTTGACACCAGGCCTGTGAGTCAAGCTACCCTTGAGCTTCATCAACGCACCAGAGACCTTGTCGCCCATGGTAGCGTGGCGCTTGTGGTGGTGGACGGGAGCAGCGGTGGTGTGGTGACCGCGACGGCCGGTAGTGGCACCGCCGTGGTGGCGCGTGGTCCTGGTCGTGGTTGTCGTGGTGGTGGTGGTAGCTGGAGTGCGACGAGTTGAAGTCCTCGTCTTGGGGCCCATTAGCCTGGAAGCCAGACTGGGCTTTGCGCGGGTGGTGCGCGTGGTGGTGCGAGGAGCGGTGCGGGCGGTGCGGCGGCCGAGCATGTTGGATGATTGATGGTTGATGTTTGGTAGGTAGGTGTTGTAGTTGATACTAGCGGAGTAGTTTGCAAGGTGGGCTGTAAGCTAAAGAAGCTTATGAATTTGATGTGTTGTAGAAAGTTGTAGTTGATTTGATGATGATAGTGAAGTTTGAGAAGGTAGAGTTGTCCTGTCCTTTATATGCTTTGTTCCTTGCCTATACAACTCCCTTCCAGCCTTGCAAAGATCGATCCTGTCCGCAAACGAGACCCTGAACAACGAGCAGAAAAACAGGATACTACAGCTCCAATTTCCTAACAAAGGCACGATCAACTCAGGGACGCACAAGCAATGACGCAGGGCAATGCGCCAGGGTCCATAAGGCGATATGGGCAGCGGGCACACGCCGCAGCACGACCCCACACCAGCGGACCGCCCATGGACTCAACGGAGCAAGCTCAATTCTAAACACAGAAATTGATCCATCGTCAGTGTGGTTGGATGTCGTAGGCATGCAGGGGTTCCAACGATCGAGACCCTGATGTTGGGTACGTGTGTAGGGTTGGCGGCCGTTGGTGATGTCATCTTCAGCCCTACCGAAAAGCATGACCTCACTCTTCTCGGGGCAAGCCGCGCATGGCTTTCGTCATACCGGCTGCGTGCTACCCGTACAGTCGGAAGAATTCCACAGCACGCGTTTGCGATGCCGATTATCCGGTAGGGCTCGTGAGGGATGGATGGATGGGTGGTTGGTGACTTAAGACATGTATGTGTTCGTCGATACGTGATTCAAGACGTTCCTCCTTGGATGGGATGGAGGGGCAGCACGTGAGAGAGTGTTTCACCATGAATTTGCGCCATCTCTCTGTACGGGACGAAACTCCCCATCGGCCATCTCAGTTGTCATCTTTCCATCCAACTACCTGTATGATCAGATCAATGGGCTCCTACCATCAATAGGTCGAGGTTCAACCGATCACCTCTGCGTCGCCATACATTCTAACCTATTATCAATCGAAGCGTATCTCCATGCTACAAGATCATTTTTCTTTCTATATAACCTTTCACTTAGTGAATAGCGGTTCTTGCAATTCCAGCTCTTATCGCGCAAAACAGTTCAGGCAGCCCTGCCCATAGATTACATCTGTATGTAGACAATGCATCTAACATCCATCTAAGGAATTGCCCCACTACTGTACGATTTACACAGTGTGACGTTGCGAAATATGTGATGTCACGAAAAAATCACAGTTTAGAATAAAACTTCGTTTTCTCTACGCCCTCATGCTGGTCTCAATCAATATTCCACAGTCTCTTCGTTTCTGTCCATAATCCTACAAAACTCCATACAAAACACTCAAATACTTCACAATGTCTTCTGATAAGGGTCAATTCCAACAAGGTAAGTGTATTGCACGCTCGATAGATTCTTCATACTGGTGATGCATTTGAATTGATATTGGGGAATAAACGCAACTAACACATCATCCCCGTAGGCTACCAGCCTGAAGTCCAGCACCAGCCGCTCCCCGGGCTCGAGAAAAACCTCAGTCCCGCACCCCAGCCTGACCACCTTCCCACACCTGATGGCAAGGCCGAACTATACAAGGCCGCCGGCAAGCTCGAGGGAAAGAAAGCCATCATCACCGGTGGAGACTCGGGAATTGGACGTTCGACCGCGATCCTGTATGCCATGGAAGGCGCAGACGTCTTCATCGCCTATCTGAAAGAAGAGCAGGAGGATGCGGATGAGACGAAGCGTCTTGTAGAGGCCAAAGGCCGCAAGTGCTACCTCCACACCACGGACCTGAGGGACCGGGCCAACTGCAAGAAGCTGGTTGACGAGGCAGTGGAGAAGTTTGGCGGGCAAATCGATATTCTGGTGAACAACGCCGCGTCTCAGATGATGGTTAATGACATCAAGGATTTGACTGAGTAAGTGGCCTTGCTCATTCCCTCCTTTCCCCCAGCTACTATGGGTCTCGGAAAATTACAAGATAATTGACAATAAGAATTAGAGACCAATGGATTGATACCTTCAACACAAATATCCACCCTTACTTCTACCTCGCCAAGTACGTCCTCCCGCACATGAAGCCTGGCGCCTCCATCATCAACAACGCCTCCATCAACGCCTACATCGGCCGTCCCGACCTCCTCGACTACACCTCCACCAAGGGCGCCATCGTCTCCTTCACCCGTGGTCTCTCAAACATGTTTGTCAGCAAGGGTATCCGCGTCAATGCTGTAGCTCCTGGACCTGTGTGGACGCCTTTGATCCCTGCCACCATGACCGACGACGCTATCAAGCAGTTCACGAGCCCCATGGGACGTCCTAGCCAGCCGAGTGAGATTGCCACGTGCTTTGTGTTCCTTGCCAGCCCAGATAGCAGTTCCATCAGCGGACAGACCATTCACGCCAACGGCGGAGTGGTTGTCAACGGTTAAGCGACTTTTCTTTTTTCTTTGATACGACTACGACTAGTACTCTTCTGTAATGACATGGTAAACGACATTATTATAGTTATGAAGATAATGAATAACACCGTTTCTCTGGTATGACTTGCAATTGCATGTAAAGTATCTATGTGATATTGGTCGTGGCATACACCTCTCCCCATGATGGTTGTGGAACTCACTAGGTCACCGCTAGAAACGCACCCACGGGAACACTCTATACATTGGAAGTGAGCTGAATCAGAAACGCTATGATGAACTTGTGGTAATATTATGTCGACCCGCAGTAGAACCCTTTTTATCATGGTTATACCAAGTCCTACGTCGAGACCCACAACCCAAATTTAAGCCTTGGCTTTTTTCGCTTTTTTCGCCTTCTTAGTGGCCGGGCTAGGGATAGGTTCTTCGGCAGCCTCTGCAATAGATCCAGTAGACTTGCGCTTCTTGTCCTTCTTGGCTTTGGGAGCGGGTGCTTCTTCCGCTGGCTCAGCTGCGCCGTTGGTGTCGGGCTCGGCTGCTGATTTTGCGCTCTTCTTAGACTTCTTGACCTTGACTGTCTCCGAGACGGTGACCTGGTCAGGTGTTGATTCGATGACCTTCACAACCTCGGTAGCAGGCAGGGTGGGTGCTTCAAGCTGCAGTTGCTGTTCGGCCGCAGCAACAGTGTCCACGTCTTGTCTAGGCACGCTCTCCACTGGTTTGACTGCCGGAGCTTCGAACTTGTAGCCGAATTCCTCCTCTAAAATGGCCGCTTGTTTGATCCTTCGGGAATTCTCGTTCTTGATGCGCTTCTCCCATTCAGGTCGCGTCGCACCACGGGCAAGGGCGGCACCGGCCTTCTTATTTCGGGGATCGATCTTGAATCGTTGATTGGCACCTTTGAAAAGATCCGGGTGCACTTGCTCAGCTGGTACAATCTTGCACTGAAGAATGTGGCCGAACATCAAGTAGTTTTGCATCGTTTTGGCGACGATCTCAGCCACGTCACCATGGGCGAATTCGATGAAAGCATAGTGTTTGGATGCACCGGTCTTCTTGTTGCGAGAGAGGCGTAGGCGCTTGATTTGGCCGAACTGAGAGAAGTATTTCTTCATTTGTGGTTCGAAGAAACCGTGCGGGATACGGCTGGTACTGTTAGAATTCATTGATAACGGAGCCAATTCAAATGGAGCACTTACCCAAGGAATACCACTCCAGGCTCGCCATCTTTACGGGCCTTCTCCAACGCCTTCTGCTGTTTCTTGCTGAGTTTGGGCACCGAAACGGCATCTTCGTCGAAAGTCTCCCCTTCGTTTTCGGCATCGCTCTCGTCTCTGTCACTTTCGAATCCAGCCAGAAGGGCAGCAGTTTGATCGTCAAGGTCTTCCTCATCTTCTGCTTCGTCTACAACTACAGCGACCTCCTCTACTTCCTTTACCGGTGCATCTTCCAGATCCTTGGACTTCTTGGATTTCTTAGATTTCTTCACAGAAACCTCTTCCTCAGCAGCAGGCTCTCCAGCGGGCTCTTGGTCCTTCTTTGCTTTCTTCTTGGGCTTCTTGGTCTCGACGTCCTCGACATCGACTTGTGCAGCTAATTTGGCCTTCTTTGCTTTCTTCGACTTGGAAGCAGTCGCGTCTGCTGCGGTCTCATCGTCCGAGAAGAAATCTTCGGCGCGTTTACGGGCAGGCTTTTCGGTCGCAGCGGGTGAATCGGTGGGCACGACAGCAGCTCCCTTGACTCTGGTAGATTTCCTTGTAGCTTGCGCAGGCTCCTCAGTCTTCTTCTGCTTCTTCGACTTGGGAGATGGTTCGGATGCGCCTGTATGGCCAGTCAGTTGAATTGGTTTGTACACGGCGTGATTGAGTACCAATCGGGACCAGATAAGAGGCGAGGGAATTGGATGATGAGAATTCACATACCCTTGCGCTTTTTGCCTTTGAGATCTTCGGCAGCCATTGTGGTTTTTGTGGTTTGCGTGTGCAATATGGAGATAGTGTGAATGAGATGTGGGCAGGAAAAAGTTCCAACGGAGCTCGAGCCACCGACTTTTTCTGGCGCTAGTGGGAGGCTAGCCGAGGAACCACCGCTGTCCTTCCCGTAGTGAGTAGTCGAGTAGCATTGAGCTCTTGTATCAATACTTCCTAGGACCATACTTCTGTCAATAAAACTACCCTCGGTTCTGGTATAGAAAACCTCTACTCTGGCTGTTATCTATCACGTCCATCTGTCGAGACCTCAAAAGTTCAAAAGCGTCCGTCTGAGGCGTCAAACTGACAGACTTTGGCAGCATCTTTCGATTGCTGTACGATGAACGACCATACAGCACCAGAGATTACTCTGGGAGATGAAGGAGCATGGGATGATACCGCTTTGATTGATTCATGGGACGAAGCTGTCAACGAGTATAAGGTAGCTTTTCTTTTCTTTTTTAAGCCAATCTCGCGAGTAAAAGCTGACATTGGCACAGAAATATCACAGCATCCACCGTGCGGGGAAGCGTTTGGAGGACATGCTTGATGAAGAGGAGCTAAAGCAAATTCGAGAGTGAGCCGAATCCCTTCTGGTTCAGGAAAAAAGTCTTGATTCTGGGTAGCTCTGACAAGGAGTGACAGGGAGCACGAAGAAGTACTGGGAGCAGTGGAGACCAATTCCAGCCACGCAGAACGAAACATTCATGCGGATTCAGAGGCTGCCGACGTGCCTAAAATGGCAACCAATGGCAAGTGGGCTACGGGTGTGAATCAGGTACGGTTTGATCCTCACGGATTCGTGCAGCTGTATAGAACTGTCACTCAGTTAATGATAGGTACCGTCTCCAGGCTCTGGGCAAGCAGCAGGTGCAACACCAACGGCAGAAACATCCACGGCACAGGCCAACCCTCCTGGCTCTGCAATGCCCCAAGCTCTACTCGGAAGTGGTGAGTGCGCGCCCGGGTTGTCGAGAAACCGATCAACATCTTGGATACACTGCTTGGCGAGAAACATGCTCTAACCGTTCATCAATAGTGCCCGACGAAAACCTGAAAAACTTGATGATGTCTTGGTATTACGCTGGCTACTACACGGGGTTGCATGCTGGACAGGGCGGGCCGAACGGCAGCAAGACGTCGAAATAGCAGCAAGCGATGGCGCGGCAGCGGTCAACTTGACGATGCTAACTCGTGTTGGACATGGAATGGACAAGCCTGCAGTGCGACAGCAATAATGATTACTGACTACCAAGAGCTCTGGGGCGAACGTGTGGATTGGTTGATGTGCGCATGGGACAGTTTATCACTGAGGCTTGAACCAATCAGGACTGTGAGATTTCCCCCTTCTTTTTATCCAGCCACCCCGTTGACCGCGAACAGCTTGTGCCTCAGATCTCGGGAACTGCAGCTTGCGAGATGTACACTCGTCCGTACTCATGCAACGGCCTTTGAGTTCAGGCACCGCGCGCGAACACCACGCGTAAACGTGGGTTTGGCACGGCTTGTCGTGCCCGTTTTGGTAGCGCCCGGCGAAGCGAGACGGTTCTGAGACACGGGCTGCACACCTCCAACACTTCTCACACACTTGGAGCTTCACTCCTTAGCGCCACGCCCATGGCACCCGCGTGCCTCAGTAAGAAATCAGTTCATTTTTGCTGGCAAACTCCTCAGGAATTCGGTAATCTGCCAAGCCGAGGGGTGCAATGTTTCGTACCAGGTGCAGTAGCCCTGTACCCTTTCAGACCAAGACTTTCATGCTGTGATTTAAACAAGTACATCTCCCAGGCCCATCCACTTTTTTCTACTACTTACCTTCACGCACTCCACAGCTTGGTCTAGCACCATTCTCATTCACTCTCTTTTCTTTCCTCAACCTCTTTGAGCCGGCCCTCATCAGTCAGCCATTTCTGTCTTTTGTACCTTTCTTCACTCTAGCCATTTGTAGTATTAGCTTGCAGCGCAGGCCTATTCCTTCCTTCCGACCTTTACCACCATAACCGAAAATCTATTCATAATGAAGTACTTCACAATACTACCTATGGCAGCTGGCCTTGCCGCCGCTGAGATGCAAGTCATGAGCGTTGCTGCTCAAGCTGCTGGCCCCATGACGCACACCGTAAGCAAACATTTCAACCGTATCACTTCTGCTCGACCTATGTGCTAATGGAACTAGATTGCCGTTGGTGGCCTCAAGCCTGTCGAAACCGGAATGGCGCCCAACCTGGGCTTCTTCCCCGACCAGATTACCGCAAACGTGGGAGATACGGTCATGTTCGAGTTCTTCCAGAAGAACCACACTGCTACGCAATCAACATTCGACCAGCCGTGCAAGAAGAAGGAGGGTGGTATGGACTCTGGTTTCCAGCCCAACGCAGATGGAAAGCCTGGTGTCACCTGGAACATCACCGTCGAAACAACTGACGCACTCTGTAAGTTATAGCGCCCTTTATTTCTTGTCGTACGCTCGCTAACGAGAACTATAGGGTTCTACTGCAAGCAGCAAACCGGTACTCACTGCGGTGTAGGCATGGTCATGTCCATCAACGCCAAATTCGAGGGTGACAAGACCATGGCTCAGTTCAAGAACCTCGCTGTCAAAACAAATGGCACCAACCTCAAAGACGCTGCTATCCAGCAAGTCGGCGCCGAGGCTGCAGCTGTTGCTTCCCCTGTCACCGTAGTGGCTGCAGCCGGAACTGGAGGTGCTGCTCCTCCTCCTCCCCCTGCTGCTGCCAGCGGCGCCGCGGCGGCACCCCCAGCTCAAGTCGTCGGCGGTTCGGGAGTCGATTCTGTCAGCGGCCAGACTTGCTCATGCCAGTGCCTGTGCGGCATGAACTCTTTCCCCGCCCAAGCCGCCATCAACAACTTCGGTGGATTTGCCGGTATGATCGGATAGACGATGATTGTGTGTAATGTCGGCGGTGTGGCACGAATAGATAAAGATTTCTAATAACTTCTACCCGGGTTGTCCTTGTTGGCATGGACCAGAGGCAATTGCGTTTCTTTGGACTATGTTGATAGTACGCGCGGGTTTCGATGAATGGCTTCTGGCTGGCCTTTATGTACCCTTATACCACTTTTCTTATCAGTATCGTTTGATGTTGCTGTTCTGGTTCGTCCAAGGGCGTTTTGCTTTATACCGCAACTCATTGCACCTGCGATAATCCCGCTTGTGCACCGATGTCCTTGTTATAAAATATCAAAAAGACTTGGAGATGCCCTTAAGGCTTTCAAGGAAATGAAACTCAAGTTATCATTATATTACGAGCTTGCTGTTGATTAAATGCGTGTTGGTGAAGGTCATGATCGTAAAAGTTATTGAAGTCGCATGTGGAGGAGCGGCATCACTGCACATCAAATCATCATCATTGTATTGGTAAGGAAAGTTACCCAAGGCTAAAAGACACCTCTCAGTTCCGAACTCGCACCCGCTGTGTAACCATGCTGAAAGCGCTGTTGCGAAGCAGCCACCCATCACCGCCCATACTTGTATACTTGTATACTTGTATACTTCGAATTACCCAAACTAGGCGATCGCAATATTCATAGTACCATGGGAGAGATTGTTGATGACCATCGCTTATTTCTTCTTCTTTTCAGTACTACCGCCGCCTTCCTTCTTGCGTGCTTCGGCTACGCAGGTGTCAGCTCATTAACATGCATATAATAGCTTCCCTTCACCTGTCGGTTCACCTCTCCCGTTGACGCAGCTGAGAACAGTACGCGATAAAACTTTGTCAAAACTCACCAGCTTCCTGTTTGGCACGCATTATAGCAGCAGTGTCCTCTTTCGCTTTGGCATACTCGGTACCACTCATCTACATGCGTGTCAGAATACACTTCACACTCATGACTCCCTCTCTCCTTTTCCTGGGGTACTCAGGAGTTGCCGGAATTTTCATCCTCCAAACATGGGAAAGCTTACAGCGTTTTTTGATTTCTAGAGAACAGATCAGCATCATCCATCCGGACGTTGAAGCAAGAAGGACTGGTGGCGGTGTAGAAGATGAGAAGGCAGCAGCAAACAAGGAAAAGCCAAACACGAGGTAAAGGCAACGTACCTGACCGGCGGAGGCTTTGAGGTTCTTTTCGCGAGCCTTTTCACGCTGGTTACCGCGAGCCATTTTGCTTCCAAGCACTTTTTCTTCGAGCTTCTCGTGCCGAGGGGTTCCGATTTCAAGAGTGGCTGTATAGAGATTGTCGTGGGGAAAAAAGATTGGGGTGGGAGCTGGAAAGATGCTGGGAAGCGGGAGTAAGCGCGATAAAAAGAGTGGGGCTGTGCTGCGGCTAGAACGTGGTGAGGTTCGGGAAGCCGCGCTAACCTTCGCGTTGATACGCTTCCCATATGACAGGTACAATCAGGTCGTCACGTAAGCAGATGTTCAAAGATGTGAATGTTCCTGGTGGGTAGAGTCGCATTTTCTCTCAAAAATAAATAGAATCGCCGAAATCCTTTCGACAATCCCTTCCCGAAGAGCTAAAACGATAGCAAACAACGCTAGGTAACGTTCACTCAGTCTTTCTACCCGACTTGACTCGCTTTACAAAATTGAATACGCGAATTGTGACATATCGATGTACATATAATCAGATACCAGCAAAGCCTAAGAAATTGCCCATTCGTCAAATTATGCCGGACTTCTAGTGGAAATGCACTGCTTCACTGTTGGTTTTCAAGCGTGAATGTCCCAGTTTTCGTGATGAGATACTCGGCGACGGCCACGTCTTTACCAGATTCTTTCCCGTATCCGCTTTGCTTGATGCCTCCAAAAGGCGATTCTGCAGCAGAGGAGTTACCTATTCACATGTGAGTCAGGTCACTGCTAGATGCTAAGTGATGGGTATTCGACTGACCAGTGTTCAAGCCAATCATGCCTGCCTCGAGATTTTCAAACAACCTCCAAGTGCGATCGACATTCTTGGTGAAGCAATACGAGGCAAGGCCCATACTTGTGTCGTTTGCAGCCCGAACCGCCTCGGATTCCGTCTCAAATTTGATGAAGGTCTACACGAACCAGATCAGTGATCGAATAAATGTATTTGACTCGGTATCTCTTACGCAGACTGGCGCAAATATCTCTTCTTTAGAAATATCCATGTCTTCAGTGACTCCGGTGATAACAGTAGGCTCGAAGAAATAGCCGCCGTCTTTGACAATCTTGTTTCCTCCCATATGGACAGTGGCCCCCTTGGACTTTGCATCCTCCACCAATGCCAGGGCTTTATCGATTCCTCGAGGCGTCGTAACCGGACCCATCGTTGTCCGCTTATCACTCCCGTGGCCTACGACGATTTTTCTACTTTCGGCGTTCCAACGCTCCAAGAACTTGTCGAAGATACCGGCTTGTACATAGATGCGATTGGCCGTTATGCAAGCTTGACCGGCGTGGCGGTACTTCAAAGCAAAGATCTGACCCATAGCTTGGTCGATGTTTGCATCGTCAAAAATCAACACCGGGCAGTTACCCCCCAATTCGAGGGTTACCTTTTTGAGGTTATCGGAACAGATCCGAGCTACTAACTTGCCTACTCTTGTAGATCCTGTGAAAGACACCTTTTTGACCAAATCGTGTCTGCAGAGCGCCTCACTCAGCTCGGGGGTTTTCTCCAGGTCAGTAGTCAGGACGTTCAATGCCCCCGATGGAAAGCCTGCCTTGTCAGCGAGATATGCTAACGCCAGAATTGTGATTGGTGTTTCTGGACTCGGTTTCACAATCACTAATTTCAGAGGCATAAAATCAGTAAAGTTTGAACGAAACACCTCCAAAAGGGCCATCGAAGCCTCAGACGACTGTGTCGCGTGAAGCCTCCTCTTACGGCATTGTACTTGAAATTATACTGACTGGTACATCCCGCAGCGAGAGCCGCTCCCGCTTTCCTAAGGATCATTGCGATAGGAAAGTTCCATGGGACAAGAGCTGCGGCAACCCCCAGGGGTTGCTTGATGGTGAAAACACGGCGGTCGGGAAGTGCGGGTGTGAAAACAGTGCCTTGGATACGCTCAGCTTCGCCCGCGAACCACCACGTGAAGCCCGTCGAGTAATCGATCTCCCCGTATGCTTCAGCACGCGGTTTTCCTGTCTCATACACGAGAATAGTAGCAAGATCCTCTTTGTTCTCTCGAATCAGACTATCCCATTTAAAGAGCATCTGCGCCCTCGCTCGGGGGCTAATCTTTCGATAATTCTCGAAGCATTTGTGCGAGCTTTGAACAGCTTCATCTACATCAGATGCATCGTTTGTGGGACAGTCTATCCATGCTTTTCCAGTGCCGGGATCTTACAATTCATTAGGACCTTATTGTCAATTCTCAAACATCAAACATACCAACTACATCAAAAGTCTTTCCCGATTTCGATTTTTTCCACTCGCCATGGACGAAAGAGAGGCTGTGAAGAAGCTCTGGTCTGTCGAGCTGGACGCGTTAGAAGATACGTCAACTCAATGTCCATTCCAAATACCTTGAACGGGAGCTCGAATTTCTGGGCCGAACTCATGGTAGAGACTTGATGCGAAGTTGACGTTGTCAAACCGTTGGCTCGAATAAGTCTCAAAAATGGTACACCTCTTACTGTATGTTTGACCTCGATCAAGACCGGCGGGAGAGTGTCAAGCAATGTTGAAGTTTCGCTGTTACGACATTGGATCCCGACCCCACTTTGACCCCGACCTAAGTTTCTTGTTATTTGTCAGTATCCGAAGTATGCACCACCCAACAGTATTCACCCGAGATATGTAGAGCGATTGATCCGTTGGCGGGCAGACTTCCAGACCACCGCTGTCATCCGCAAGACCTCGGTTCTTCCCGGCGCGAACTTTGTATCCCCCGCGACGTCATTCATTCCCCTCTTTGCATCCCCGCACTCTCCACAAGGGAATTGCGGATACCCAGATCATCTGTCGATACACGTAGACAACTGTTCAGTTTCACGCTGAGCTAAGTTTTGACAGGTCGGGTAACATATTGATTGTAGTTAGTTACGTAAGGCATGTCGTACCGGACTGAGTGCATGTATATATATAACCACGTCTTCCCTCAAGCGTTGTTCTCGAACATATACTTCCATTGTAGCTCACAACTTGCCATCGGCAGAAACCCTGTAGTACCTGCAGCACCAGCACTGAGGGGCCGTGGATTCTCTATCATCTGTAGAAACTGAATGCGACTCATTGCAATAGCCTCTTCTACTCACCCTTACCTTTACTCCGAAGTAATTCAGCATCCTGAAATCAGGTGGCAATTAAGAATTTACGATATGGGCCGACTGGACGAAAAAGTTGCTCTCGTGACGGGTCAGTGTTCTTATACATCACATCAACTGCAGTCAGCTAATATGGCAAAATAGGCGCCGGATCCGGCTTTGGAGCAGGTATCTCTCATGCATTTGCAGCTGAGGGTGCTAAAGTTCTTGTGTGTGATATCAATGAGGAGGGCGGTATGAAGACGGTTGGATCTTCGACCAATATGGCATTCCACAAAATGGATGTTACCAAAGCGGCGGACTGGAAAGCGGCTGTCGACGCGACGATCCAGAAATTCGGAAAATGCGACATCTTGGTAAACAATGCTGGCACAAGTTACCGGAACAAACCCACATCGGATGTTACGGAAGAGGAATTTCAGAAGACATTCGACGTAAACGTGAAGGGGGTGTTTCTTGGCTGCAATGCCTGGGTTCCTCAAGCCATTCAGAACAAAGAAGGCGGCGTGATCATCAACATAGCGAGCGTGGGCGCATCGAGACCACGACCAGGTTTGGTCTGGTATAATGCTTCCAAAGGCGCCGTGGCCAACGTGAGTTCATGCAACATCCAATGAAGATAGTGTTTGCGGCTAACATGATTGCAAAGGCTACCAAAGGACTGGCTGCTGAATATGGCGCTCATCAGATTCGTGTGAACAGTGTATGTATCTCTATTATTTGCCCCCGAGAGCCCCCAAGTATCTTTAAATCTGGTGAAAATCGACGGCAATCGTGTCTATTACTTAGCTGCACTGAGTTGTACTGACTGCATACTCGTACCTTTAGATATGCCCTCTGGTCACATCCACAGGGCTATTCTCGCATTTCACTGGCATGGAAGACACGCCAGAGAACCGCCAGAAGTTCATATTCAACGTCCCATTGGGTCGTATCGGTGAGGTTGAAGACGTATCTTCAACGGCTGTTTTTCTGGCGAGCTCTGACGCAAAGTTCATTACTGGTGTGAATTTAGATGTTGACGGAGGCCGCTGTATCTAAGGCGTTCCGTTTTCCTTCACGTTCGTACTTCGGGGTTTTTCAGGCTCAACATGATGGATATATGCGTTCACTCATTCAGTGGTGACAAACGATGAATGATGTAATTGCAAGAAAGAGCTTTGAATGTCCAGATGTCTGCTTGAAGGAATTAAAGTTATAGCACGTGACTGTCCCGCGGCGCCGTTACGCGCTAGTGCGCTTCCGACGCATTATCATCGCCTGCTCCACCTCGAGCTCTTGTCCCCGCTGCTGCTCGGCCACCACCCCCAATCGCACTATCCTTCCAGTGAAGGCAACTCCGCAAAGATGGATATTGACATGGAAATAGATTATGACGCCAGCACAAACATCGATACGAGCAATCATCAGCCAGCACAGGTAGAGCTCACCGCGCATACCCTTGCCTTTGTTCGCAGCCAGCTGACCTACATACGAGGCTACCGCCGTAGAAAACAACGAGACTGCAGTGCCCGCGGCCTACTTTGAGAGCCTGGACGAGCGACCCTCAGATCCATGGCCCGAAAATCTGAACCTCCAAGGCGTGAACGAATTCGACCCCAACGACCCTCTTTATTATGCGATAGAGCATTGCCTCGAGCCACGCGTTAAACTCACCCGTTGGGTCAATGACAACTCCGTAAACCTTCAATATTACAGCGCCGAAGACGCCGCGATCGCGCTCAGCGCTCTTACCGACCCGGATGCTGGAGACCCCGCGTCAATCGCACCACAAACGGGTCGCAAAGCCCGCCCCTACTCGAAACGGCCAGGCCTTCTACTTTCCATCCGGCAAGCAAATTCGAGCGACTCTAAACCCAGAGGTGCTGCAAATCGCAGTCAATACTATAAACAAAACCCCGATGTGCGCGGTGAGCGTGAGGAGCGAAGCGATCGGTCGAGGGAACCTAGACGCCGGCAACCTCCTCGGAGAGATTTTCTCGACTATGATGACATGGACACAGGAGAGAAAGCGAGAAGAAGGTACGATCTGTCTTCGCCTGGGTTATTCTTTTGGGGCTGTCTTTCGATGGCTAGGAGATGGCCATTTCATGAGAGGAATCACTTCACCAACGATGAAGTATTCACTCTAGTAGAATATTATTAGCTGACTTTAATGCAGTGCCAGCGGCGACAATCGCTTACGCGACTTTGACAATCGCCGGAATCGCCGGAATGACAATTGGGAGAGGGACGGCAATCGTGAGAGAAACGGCAGAATGCGGAACGATGTCGACACGTACCGACCTGGTTCTAAGAGGTAAGTCACTCTTATACTCAAATTTTTGAAGGAAAAAAAAACTTTAGTTGCTAATACCGCCGCAGCCCGCGTGAGTCGCGTTTTGGACGGCTTCGTGGACGCAGTGCTTCTCCTGGTTCAGCCGATGACGGCGATGGTCGATATGGCTTCACTGAGCAAGGAACAAGCACACGTACCCGCTATCGTAGCAGGAGCCGAAGCCGCAATAACCATAATCGCCGTAGACGAGAAGTCAGCGGCGACCGATGGACTCATGACCGGGCCGGCTTCGATCAAGGCTCTCCTGAACGATGGACCAAGGACTCAACCTCTTATTTCGATGCTTCTCCTAGCATGAGCAACCATCGTAGGTCTGATGCCTTTGATGAGACGGCAAAAGGATCGTTACTATCCAGAATGACAAAGGACGGCAGACCCCTTGCTCCCAAATCACGGTCTTTGGCAAGTCGCATAACTCGCGATGACGATGAGGGTGATTCATATGGACGCTTGAAGGATGACTATAGTGACGTTCGTACGACCGATTTCTCCGAACCATCAAAGCAAGGACTTGCTGGTCGTATTACAAGGGATGACGAAGATGGCATTCAGATCCGCGGACGGGCTGGCGAGAATGAAGGCATCAACATCCGAGGTGCTTCTCAAGGAGGTTTTACGATCCGTGGCACGGCCGGGGGCTATTAAGCGATCATGATGGAATTGATTCCGTGCTATCATCCAACCAATCCTGGTCACAATGAGGATGTGTTTGCTTACCATCAACACGACGCGAACCATTGAACGAGACGTCGGTGGAGCAGCGAGCTCCATCAAAATGTGTACCGTATCTAGATCGGCGTTGGGAGATTGCTCTCCCCACATGCGAAATTCACCCGCATGGCTCTGGCGTTTAAAGGTCTTTTTTTCCATACCGGGAGCCTGCTCAGCATGAAATACTCTACTCTATGTTTCCTTTGTTTGGTGCTCGACTGTGGGTACTTATGTACAATGCGGATGCAATACTTGCGAAAAGTTTTTTTTTTTTTTTGGCTCAATCCCATGTGCTCTTGTATTTCAAGACTTAGATTTTTGAACACCGCACGTACGCTTTGCACGCTCATACTTTCTAATGGGACTCTAAGTGATGCGGTACACATCTGCCGATATGTGAGTCCAAGGCATGATATCGCTTCGCGTCTCTTAGGCGCGTGCAGGAATAGTCGGGAGTGACGAGGTAAATACCTAGGTATGGACAAGAGAAAGATGTCTGCATTCGTTCATATGCTCTTCTGATACACTAGGTGCAGCATTGCAAGAATTGATCAATCCTGCTATTTCACGCCGTGCTATTGGCCCTTGTGGTGTGTTGCTGGTTTAAAATTGCTACATGTACTTATCTCCGGGTCATTTCAACGTGCGAGAGCGCGTCCAGTAGCCCCCACACCAGACAGTCCAATCCCATCGTGCCCATTACATTGTGCATCACTCTACAATCGACACTACAGCCGAAAAACATGCCGACCCTCAAGTACACGACCGTCACTAAACAAAGCTTTGAAACAATCCTTTTACGGTATCCTTTGTTGGTTCCAGAGAAGCTTCACGACTTGGATCAGTTACGCTACCAGTCAATTCCAGCAACGGCTGCGAAGCGCAAAGCAGCACAGCACGAGGACGCCGAAGAGGCATATTTGAATAAAGACGAGGTAGAGAAACTAGTAGAGTGGAAATTGTGAGTGCTGTGCATTCTCTGTTACTCATGCCGCGCTCAATGTACCTTCTTGTATACTTGTACATTTGAGCTCAGCCCAACAAACTCGCAAGGTACTGCGGACGGATTGAAGGAGTCGAACAAAATGAAAGATACAAGATCTGAATACGACGCTAATAACATTGAATATCAAATAGATCTCACGGTACTTTCCGGCCCAAGCTTCTGCAGCTGGTCCTGAGTAATGAGTCAACCGCCATCGAGACAGTAACGCGTGACGGGTTCCGAGCAATCTTCCCCCACTCACAACAAAATGCAAAGCAAGATCGAGAAAAGAGAGATGCATCGCTTGCTTCCGCGATCAAGTATCTGACTTCGTTGCGTGGAATTGGCCCCGCGACCGCCTCTTTGTTGCTGTCTGTGTACGCTCCAGACACCATCCCCTTCTTCTCTGATGAGCTATTTCGCTGGGTCATGTGGAATGAGGCAGATAGTGGCGGCCAAGGAAGTAAATGGAAGAGAAGAATCAAGTATAATGGTAAAGAGTATGCGGAATTAGCGAAAAGGGTTGGGGATGTGATAAGCAGATTGAAAGTGAGCGCAGTCGATTGTGAGAGGGTGGCGTGGGTGTTGGGCAAGGAGGGCGCTGATGTTGATGTTGATGCTGATTTTGGCGGCGGCGAGTCCGTTGATCAAGCCAATGCCAACAAGGCGGAAGAGCAAAGCAGAAGTGAAACTCGGAAAGAGGGGAACAGAGGAGATGTTGCGGCTGTAAAAGAGATGCGAGCCATCGAAACGAAGGAAAATGTCAAGCGCAAAGTTGTAAATGATGATTCGCAGCCAGTGGAGGGCCTGAGGAGAAGCGCCCGAAGAAAGCGAGTTACCTGATAATACGACTTTATCGTCTTGATAGCATACAATATGGGATCCACTGATGAAGGCTTGCTTCATATACACCATCAAACACCATACGCATCTCCACCGAGTAGACCACTCTGCCATGAACTGTCAACGGTACCACCTAACGGCAATAATTCATTGGCGAATTGAGATGGAAAAGGATCGAAGGCCGTGATACATATACGCAAAAGAAAACGTTAAAAGCTAAACCGTGCCCTGGGTATACTACAAGCCATCAAACGCCATATTTGCTGAGACGCTCATACATCAAGTTCATGTCCCTTCTTGGTTTGTATTCTACCACCCTTGACCGCCGCTACAGTGACACCTGCCTCGCCCGTCATCCAGCCAGGCATCTCTTCACCATCTACAACCCCTTGTTCCACAAGCTGCCTGATACCGGCAAACACGTGTGGACCCTGGAATACAACGCGAACGTCTGGGACCCAAGCCTCACCGTCTTCCAATTCCTCAACCTCCGCAATCGAACGATCGAGTATAGATGGGCGACCTTTTCTGCGATCGTGATTCGCAGTGCGGGCATTGCTCTCGTCAACGGCTTGTGGTCCTCCTCCAGGTGTTTGCGGAAATGCATCGTCTATGCGTACCTCAATACGTTCGAGGCCCTGCCCATCGCCAGGCAATGCGGAAGTCCCAAACCGTCCCTCCGCCACTGCGCGTCTTCGCTTAGAATCCGAGGATTGGGTAGAGTCTAGTGTGTGCTTTGTGGGTCGCCCCATCGATGGAATTGCGGATGCGCTGGACGTATTATCTTGAGCGCCTGCCGTAGCCTGCGTACGTGCAGAGGACTTTTCGTTCTGGCTGGTGATGAAGTCGAGCGCGTTCTGACTAAAACTATGATCTTGGAATACACTCCAGCCTCCTGCCGCGGCGTTGCTCTTACCAGAACCGCGATAGTTGAGTAGCGCCTCAAGAGATTTCGTGGAGAAATTAGTTCCTGCCAGTTGATATCGGGCGGAAGGCCGAGAGAAGGCTTTCGGAATGGCTTGTTGCACGATATCCCGGAGATGCCGACCATCATCTCCAATTCCTTGACCCAAGTGATTGGCAATAGAAGAATAGACAAAAGGCGAACCATTCGGCCATATGAAAAACACTGCTTTTGCACTATCCGATGAACCCATCTCGGCTGCCAGGGAAGCTTCCGTACTGTATGGTGAATCGTGCATATACACTCTCAAGATCGTCATAGGTAATGTCTTGATCTTCGTGAGAAGATAGTGTGCCTTCATGAGTGGCGTCAATTCCCTAGCCAGATTCGCCATGAATGTTTGCGCCTGAAAGCGCGGGAGGTGATCAGAGTCGTTTGTGACTTCCATGTCCAGCACCGCGCTCTTAGCATTCGGTATCCGCGCAAGGCGTTTTGCCGTCCAGCGTAAGCTGTTTGTATGATCCAGAAGATATTGTATATCGGCAGTAGCCAATTGATACATGGATATGCCAGTCCGCCAATCGCCCTCGAGTATGCGATCCTGGACCTCGCGCTTTCCACCCTTACGCGCTGCTAATTGTTTGTATATTTCCTGCAGCTCATCGAGGCTTTGCGCTGGTGTGTATTGCTCATCTTCATCCGCCTCCGCTGCATCATTATCTCCGAGGAGGTAAGGCCGACAGAAATCACGATTCTTCTTGGCGAGCCATTGTAGGGCGAGGGAGATGAGAGATTGGCGGGAGAGCTTGCTGAAGATACGTTGGACTTCACGGTGATTGACAGGGACACGGTGCGCGTGCGGTATGTTTCTGTAGTCCGGAACAGAGGCTTTCGTATTCGGCGCCATGGTGCGCTACATAAGGCGATGCGCGCTTGCAGGTGAGGGCGTCTTGTACATCTCCGTTTGTTTGTCGTCGCGTATGTTTGTTATCGATAGAGAGGTAGGGGTTGAGTTCGCGATAACGCGCTAAAGGTACAGCCGGGATGAGAGCTGTTGAGGGATCACGTGTAGATGGAAGTGCGAAATCTCTCCCAATATGATGTATTGAGTTGTATTAAGACAAAAGAGAGGCTATTACTGTATGTTGAGTTTTACAGAGTCTTTCCGTGACTGTTCTCTCATGTGAATGAAAAGCATCTGACGATCACGTGCACAGCTCAGCTCACGTGCATCAATTCAATCTCTAATCGTTAAATGTATTCAAATGTTCAATTGTAACACGTTATATGGCCAGCCGAGTACGCCTGGATCATTGACCACCCTTCACTCACGCCTACGAATAGACCATCACGCATGTGTGCCTAGTGCGCAAATTTCAGATAGACTTATCAATGATTTACTTGTGTAATGAACAACATACGCCGCGTAAGTAGTCTTGTCACCCTATCACGCGACATGCAGCTTGAGGTGTGGAAACTTCCATGTATATATGTGCATACATACCTAGGTATGTTGGTGAATAAAGGTACTAACACCGACAGTTGGTGATTGAGCAATCAAAACATAACAAGCATAATATCACATAGTGACAAAACACGCGAGTGCTATATGTCAAGCATCGTTGGTAATAGAGCCCCAAAAGCGTGCCATAGTAGAGACGTATTTGACGTGTGAAGGAATGCAAGCAGGTATGCGACTGCACACTCAAATAATCAATACAGTAGTTAGGACGGCATACAGGATCGAATCAGTGGCCTCTGCATTCAAACCGCATCCAACACTGTAATATCAGGACTCTCTCTCCATCAGATACCACTCATGATATAGATCAACTCTCCGGGGGTCTAGATCTCCTTCTAACATGGCGGCTGACGTGGCAAACCCTCTGCACTAAGATCTTGAAAGCAGAGTGCACGGTTCCTTCATACCACATTCACAAGACAGATTTGATAGATTCGTGGATAGATTATCTTATGGTATGCCAATGTGTATGCCGAAAGCCGGCATTGAGGACTCGCTCGTCACCCTCTCAATTGCTTCCAAACGCCTACACCAGATAACAGAAATTTTCTGTACATGACGCGAAGGGTCGTCTCTTTATTCTTCAAACCATATCAACTGGCTGGGTCGCTTTATCCTTGACGTACCTCCCGTGACCTTCAGTGTTTTCATTGCCTTCGTCTCTCAGGATCCCGTGCTCCTCGCTCCGAGCATCTGCTTGAGAGTGGTTGTCCTTGCTTTTCCATACAACACGTTCACTTAATTCCACATCCTCGTTGCTGTTGGTCTCGGAGATGATTACCTCGGTTATATCTGGCTCAAGTTCTGAGCGCTTGGTGTTTGAGCGCGAGGGTGTGTTTTTCGAATATTGATATCCGCTAGGCCGGCTTTGCTGGGAAGCAAAGAATGGAATACATTGCCCCAGGAGCCACTTTAGGGTTGGGCCGCACGTGGCTATGGCAGAAAGGTTGATTTCGAGATTCGAGAGTGGAGTGCGAATGTTGTAAGGGTTCTCGTTACGTACGGGGTCGGGATTCTGAAAGATTTGGACAAAGAAGTCTAAGCGGTAAGCAGTGATGGCAGTCACAAACAATCCCAGGGACATGAAGCACAGAGCCATAACTTTGCTTTTTAGTGGCATCTGTAGGCTGTACACAATCCATGTAGGTATGATTGTCACGAGAACATCAGTGATGATGGTTGTGCTTGCACCGGCAAGCACATAGCTTTTCGAGTCGCGGCAGTGGCCGGGAATCGTTTTGTCCCAAAATTTAGCAACCGGAATGCATGATAGTATCGCCGTGACCGTGATGGAGATACAGAATGCGATGGTGATGACCAGAAAAGACCACAGAGTGCGACGAATCCACTTGTTCGGTGACTCCAAGCGTATCAAGGTGACTAAAAAGGATATTTTGATAAGATTGAGCGCAGGATGATAGATAACTGAGTTGATGTATCGCAACTATGTAGAAATATCAGCATAGGGCCTTGAGAAATGTGTACCGAAAGGAACGGGGAGGTTGGTAGTACCTTCGCAGTTACCACCTTGTCCACGGCCCCTTTAGGTATGTTCTCGAGTCTATAGCCAGTATAGGACCTTATCAGAACTGAGATTAATTAGTATTCGTAGCTCAAGCCAATACAGTGCTGCACATACATTTATGTGTCGATATAGTGAGACCAGTATTCGCTACCATCCCCAATGTAATCAAGGCATCGTCTAGTAGGGAGTCAATATTGTCGCAACGAAAGCCATAAAATTAGCAAGGCGCACCTAACGAAAACCGTCCATCCACAGTACGTTTCCATAGCCTTATAATCACGATAATGATCGCGAGGGCGTAAGGGAAGTACAATATGAACAGGTTGAGAGGTTGCAACCCTGGGTCCGACATTAGGGTTCGATCAGTGAGATGCGTACAAGGGGGAACAAGTGGAGCATCGCTACCGAACTACAGGTGGATGGCATTTGTTCAAATAGACCCATTAAATAATGAAGGATTGTGTACCAAACTCCATTTGAACCTTATTTCCAACAGGATTGGATGGGGCCGTCTGTCTGGGGATGCTCTGACGATACCGTAGCTCTCGATCCCAGCGCCCCGGCCTATCACAACACCAAGTATCACAAGGGCCAACATCCCATAGACGATCACGATGCATTGATCCTTCAGAGTCCCTGGATTCGTTTGCTTACTCGTGCGGCACGCGGCATGGTGTACTACTGCTGTACGAATACGAATGGTGAGATGTAGTAGGTATGGGATACGAAAAGAGAGTTGGCACTTGTGCCATACAGCTGTAACAAAAAGAATAGTCAGTATCTACTGGAATCTCTTTCACCGCTAAATTCGCAGCCTCTACCGAGGCTTGCGACTAGAAAAAGATTCCCCGGGGGAGATTAACTGATCGGGCGTGAGCGGATGCGGGACGAGTCCGGACAACGGCTGCTATATACTAACCATCTCGGAACCGGGCCGGAAAATTGCATTGACAGTAATCGAGTGTCATTTGTTTTGGAAGTGCGCTGGGCGGCGGGGTTTGAGATCCTTCTTCTTCTTGGACTCGCTGTTCAGCCAATCAGAAGCGGAGAAAAACGGCGTATCACTATTGTGACTGTCAGTGCTTAAGCACGGGATGAATTTGGCCCCTGCATAACAAAAAATGCTCGGGCGAGATGCTTAGAACAGGCATCTCGTTTGTTGGTTAACGAAGGATCGAAGGAAGGAAGCGGGGGGCACTTTCGACTTGGGAAAATACTCCACGCACACTTATCTACAAATGTGTTCCCGCAACAAACGCCATCGGATCCACCAGTTCCCTTCAGGTGTTCAATCAGGCACTTTTTTGCCTGTGCAACAAACTCGTACTCCCCCAGAATAGCGAGAAGGAAATTGGAAGGAATCCTGGAACCGAATTGACCAAGAAAGTCTTGTTTAGGAGCCCTGCCGTAGTTTTGAGGAAAATCCCCCGAAAAAAATGACACCAGGACCTTTTATATCATTCATTGTTATCTCGTGATGACAACGATCTTGAAAGCGTCGTCCCCTAGATTCATTCGAATATCTCCTTGATCATGGTATTGTAATAGGTATGGGTTTGTAGACTCTTAGTCTACATTGGTCTTGTAAGCACAGAAGTAAGCGGTGGGTCGCCATAAGTGACGACATGAAATTGCGTACGAAGGTTGCCTTGATCAACAAATGCCATAACCGCGCATTTTGCTTCGAATTCTGCATCTACTTTTGATCCTGCTTCTGCTTCTCCTTCATCTTCTCGAAGAATCTAACGGCACCCTCTCAATATGAGTGACTTCGAAGGTCGACAAAGTCTTGTAAGGTAATGCTAAAGATTCAGAGGGCTTTCATCCTAAGAAAAGCTGAAGCGTTCATGACACGGAGATACCCGCGTACGCAATGTGAGATTCTGGATCACGGTAAACGAGTAAAGAAGGAGCGACACTGAAACAAGACTTTTGTGGAAATTGACCATTCTGAAATATGGCCAACGACAGGCTCTCTTCGGTAGTTACGGGAACAGCCTTCCGACCGATTGAGGCCTCCTCTGCATCCCTGTTCGAAGGAATTCTAGGTGGTTCCAGATCAGGATGGCATCTCAAACTGGCTACTGAGCGACATAGACCATCACAACCCGTGATCCTCGGCAGACAGTCAGTTGTCAGGAGCGCAGCCGTGAGTGAGTGAAGTGGAGAGTTTGGGTCAAGGCGTCAAGGCGTCAAGGCGTCAGCCAACTGTTCATATAGTGGCTGCGGTGGCGCCTTTCGTGTCCATTCCTAGTAGGTCAGAGATGTTTTTACAGGCTCAGTTTCAAGGTAAAGGTCATGCATTATGAAGGCTATTCCAGTTAACAGCGCAGGGGAGGGAGAGATGATGGAGATGGATGCGTGTTGAGAGGCGTGTTGTCGTGGTAAGCCCGCTGTGCACACACATTCCTTGGGAGGCCTCATCGAGCTGGTGATGCTTCTGCCTGTGCGACAGTCAAAGCAACGAGCTCTCTGTTAGTTGATATGGCTGGTTTCTCGTAACAGACAATAGTTTCTAGAAGAGTGCATCTGCGGATGTGTGTTGTGGTGAGTTTTGTGAGTCTTTTTTAATTCGAAGTTGAAGTATTTCCTACACTCAGAAAGCTAATGAAGTAAGGTTACAAAAAGTGAGCGGTGACAAAAAGGATTCACACAAGGAGTTTTTGCTTTCAGCGTCGGGCCATAGTGCAGTGTTGTAGTGAAAATTGTCGGTCGATCAGCCCGCACGAAATACTTTTCTACTTGGACACTATGCCCCAATATAATCAACAGCGATAGGGTGATAGAAGTATTCCAATACAGTATTTTGAGAAGCAGAATAAGCTAGATACAGTACTCTGTCTGATCAGTGGTTGTTATCACTTGCCAAGTTTCCGTCCCAAGGTGTAGTCTATCATTATAACATCAAGTAACCGGCTAACAATCGTATTGCAGAAAGTTTAAATTACCATGAAACCATGACATTCGCGATGAGCAAGTATACCGACGGGAGATCGTTGTCTAACTAGGCTCGCGTTTCTAGGCAGGTCTGTCGATCAGAGGGTTAGCTTATAGGCCACTTGACGTGCAAAACCCCATCGCCCAACACCAGCAACATTGGTCATCAATCTGGATCGAGAAGTCTCTGCGAGTCAAAAGAGCGAGAATCAATTGCGAGACGATTACATAGACACTTTCAATCTCTTCGGAGCTAGGTATGCCCACGCCACACAGTAGTGCTTAGGTCTCACTGGAGCCTACGCAATAGCATGGAAGTTAATTATTATATTTAACCTGGGAAAGGAAGGAATACTAAGCCGAACACTCGCCATCTCGGAATGCTGTGCAGCCATGTGCAAAGTTTTCCATGCAACCCAGACATGGAGAATCCAGGAACCAGGTCAGGACCCCTTCAGGAAATGGTGGTCTTGGAAGAGTGGTGCGCCTCAACATACTGCGCGGTATCCCCGGGGAGTCCGACCAGACCAATTGTGCAATGGCGATTCATTTCTTGCAATGGGATTGCGTATCGTCAGGGCTGATTGGCCACGTGAAAGTATCGGTGGTAGCGACTTGAAGCCACGTTCGTGGGACACCCAATGACACATGATGGACTGCTTCCGTGCCGCTCTACTAGTGCAACACCTAAACGTGGAGGAACCATAGTCTCGAAAACGGCAGCTAGACTTGATGATCCTTGATTTCCCTGTGCTCGCCGCCATTTTAAGGACCGCGAGAGGGGGGCGAGGGAGGATATCCTTGTAATGATCCGCCTGCTTCGCATTGAATGGGTCAGAGGATGCAGCTTGCAAGACTCCTGGAGCTTCATTTCTTCTTGTTTTGGGGTGGTTCCACATTGAGATCTCTGGAACTCTCCTGTCACTAACTGTCAAGTCTCCTCCCAGGTCCCGCAAACCGTTTCTCCCGAGTAGTTGTTGAGCTGTAACGGCTTTGGAATTCCGTTACTTGGCAGCTGCTGGTGCAGAAGGTGTTTAATAAGGACCATCCCCCAGCTCGACTTATTCGATCGATCGATCGAGGCAGTGAACACATACCCAGAATTCGACAAGAGGCACGACTTCCATTCTCCAATGGTCTCGCCAACGGGCGTAATTGTATGTGGGGAGGGTTGGACCTTTATCCAGTGACTGACAAGCCTTCGTGATAGCTAACATGATTCTAGGCCACCGAATGGAGCCTCTTCGCGCTCGCTGTGTTGCTGGTATCCGCACGCGTAACGATGCACATCAAGCTGAAGAACTCGAATCTGCATCTCTCCGATACCTTTCTATCGCTTGCCGTTGCGTCTGCCCTGGGGCTTTTGATCTGCGACTCATATACTTACAAGGCTGGCGCCATGGACGAGTTTGCTGAGCCGACAGTGGAGATATGGAAGGTAGGTCATGATCCTACTACTGTATTGGTTATCTCGAGAAGCTGACTTGTATTACCTCCTATCTTCAATAGGTACGATTCGCAACCAACTACTTCTTCGACTTTGGGGTCTACCTCCCGAAATATAGCATGTTGGCTTCCTACTACCGCATCATACCTCGCACAGCCCAGCAGTCGCGAAAGGCGCTTTACGCAGTGACGTTCATCATTGCAGTTTGCAGCATGGTCACCTTATTTGCAGATACATTCTGGTGCGGCACGGACATAAGTATCAACTGGTACGTGGTTCAGTGATGCATTGCCTCCCCATTTTGTACTTTAGTAGTGACTAATAACTAGTCAAGGTCAAACGCAAAGAGCGACTGTACGGTCTTCACATCAATGACATTGGCCAAAATGAACTGGGCGCTCCATTTTTCGTGCGAGATCATGTGTAAGTACATGAACAGCATGGTTTGGGTAAACTGCTTGGTCGGAACTGACATTGATTACAGTATTTGTGCTACCCTTGCCGCTGATCAACGGATTGCGTCTCAGCCAAAGAAGGGAGAAGGCCGGAATCCTCGTAGTCTTTCTGCTTGGGGCCATCACGATCCTCGTGAGCACGGCTCGATTCACAGCCATGATGATGCTTAGCAACGATATCATGATTTGTGCGCCAACCTTTCTAACACCCTATGATCATAAGCAATGCTGATATATACACAAACAGACATATTAGCGACCGCCGAATTCACCATAGCGATCATGATCCTCTCACTCATCAGCCTCCGTCCATTGCTCCGCCGGATAGGGCGAGCCGCGACCGCCTTCACCTCCCCAACGCCATCGCGATCGCGATCAAACAAAGCCAGCCGTTCAATAGCAGCGACATTCGGGAGCCGACCCGAGAAAACCAGATCCTTCAGCCTGTCCAAAACCCCAATCCTGAACAGAGATCCGTATCCCACCAACCGGCAGTCGAGCTCCAAAGGCAGCGATATTAACTTGACGGAGCAGGATCCGGGTAAAATCTACAAGACGGAGGAGGTTATTGTTACGTATTCCAACTCGAACCGGGAGTTTGACGCGGATTCCGAGATCTCGCGAGGACTTAGTAGTCCTGATGCGGAGATACGTGTTAATTCGATGATGGTGTGAAATGAAAAGCATAATTGATGATATATAGATAGGGCGGGATTCCCCATACCCATACTTCAGAAAGATTTAGCAATAGTATAATTATGCGGTAATGAGTAGCCCATATGTTGTATAGCAGTGATGTGATCTATTGAGATCTGTGAAGGCACTCGGCAGCATTTGTTTATGAATCAAAAACTGAGGCGTGGAGCTCTATGTATATGTGTATGTACATGTATGCGAAATTGGGAGCTATGTACGTATATAGATTTTCAACGCTGCAGAAGAGTGAAGGATAAAAGTACATGCTACTGCTGCTGACAGGGAACCACAGGGTTGTGTCGTGGGCCTTTCAGCAGCAAACAGCGAGGAATTATTTGACAGCGCATATGCAAAAGAAAGACGATGGCGCAAAGGGATCGAGATTACAGCCGCATGATTTTTGAATCCAGAATTGAACTTTACTTGTTCGCTTTCGAATCAGGGCTCATGACAGGGTTCTGTCCGGAAGGGTATTTGCTGTCTGACTCCAATGTTTCGTCTGGCTTGTCTGTCGGGTTTCCATTAGCAGCCAAGACACACATTGCTTCGAGAAGATACTTACCGTGTCTAGCATATAGATCATACTCCTCATCAAGGTATTTACCTACCCTTCCGTTCTCCACATCTTTCCTTGTCAAATTGAGTTTGCTCTTGGGCAGTCCCATGCTACCTAGATATTTGACAGTGTCTACCCATTCTCTCTCCTTCCTTTTGGCGTCCCAATTCAGCTCCTCACTCATCAGATCGATGACCTTAGGCAGGGCTTCGAGGGCTGCCTGTGCATTCAAGAAAGCGAGACGCATACGGCGGGCGAGAATGTCGGCGGCGGTTTGTGCGTATTCGTGGTGCACGCAGTATCGGATTTCTCCATCAATGAAAGGATACAGAGTGGAAATGCGGTTGCCACGGACCGGAAAGCGATTCTCAGTGGGCGAGGACAGCGCAGCAACGGTCCACGCGCGATCACCGTAGGCAGTGCACAGGTACTTTGCTACTTCCGTCTCGAGGCCGTAATGCTGAATCAAGTTGATGAAGAGGGTCTTGGAATATCCGTGAGCACCAACCAACCTCACACGGTGAGTCTGGCAATTCCCGTCAAGCATTGCGTCATCTTCAACCCATGTGCCACTGATACGTGGAGGATCGCTGACAGCTTTCGGGGCGAGAGCAAATTCCTTGATCGCTTCGTCGACCGTTGCTTCGGCCATCTCCCGGTATGTAGTCCATTTGCCACCAGCGCAGGTAAGTAGACCCGATGCACTCAACGTGACTAAATGATTGCGCACAAGACCTTCTGTTTTGCCAGCTTTAGGGTCTCGCACCAAGGGACGAATTCCCGACCATGCGGCCAAAACATCACCTCTTCGTACGTTGATTTCTGGCTGTAGGTAACGCCGAATTTCCTTCAGGATCCATTCAATCTCATCTTCGCCTGCCACGGGATCTTTAGTGACCGATGTAGCTGTATCCGTTGTGCCTGCAATCGTGTTTCCTTGCCATGGCAAAAAGAAAATGACTCTACCATCGGATGTGTTGGGATCGATCAACCCCATGTCCGCCGGACTGAAATAGCCGGGCAAGATGACGTGAACACCAGAGCTTGGAGCTACGATTTCTTGTGTTTGAGGATCGTCCATTTTGCGAATGGAGTCGGTGAAAGGCCCGGTTGCGTTAATGATGCCCTTGGCTTTGATAGTGAACTCTTCTGCTTTCTTTCCATTGAGTTCTGGGATACAGTCTTTCACACGGGCTCCATTGAGACGACCTGATGCATCCTTTTCGAGACCTGTGACTTCCATATGTGACACCACGGTTGCGCCATACAAGGCTGCGGTCATGGCGAGGGAAACGTTCATGCGGGCGTCGTTATGTGCACCATCTTGTTCGCTGTCAGCAACGCACGATGGGGGATGCATATTTTCTCACCATAATAGACCAATGCGCCCCAAAGTCCTTCCTTCTTCAGCATGGGAAACGCATCGAGCGCTTTACTCTTTGTCAAGAAGTAGGAGCTCTCAATGTTCTCGGCACCCGCCAGGAAATCGTAGAATTTTGTACCAGCCCAAAAATACGGGGCTTTCCACCATGTGTCGATTGGGATCATGATGGGCAACCACGAGGAGAGGTGGGGCGCAGTATCCAGAAAGTATCGGCGCTCACGAAGAGCCTCGACGACCAATTTGTACCTAGGGAACCATTAGCAATGGACCATTACGAAGAGAGTAGCTCTACGCACTGATTGTAATCCAGATTCCAAACGGCTTTTTCAAGGTATCGCACACCACCATGAACCAGTTTGGTGCTCTTGCTGCTCGTTCCACTGCTGAAATCATCCCTCTCGACCATGGCGACTTTCAGACCACGGGTCACAGCATCTAGAGCGATACCGGTCCCCGTCGCTCCGCCGCCAATAACGAGCAGATCATACGCATCATCATCATCGCCGCTGCTGTCCGGTTTGCCAGCTACCTTGACTTTATCATTTGCACCACCCAAACGATTGCCCGCGCTTCGCTTCAATGTTTCGATCTGTTCCTCCCGACTCTTGACTTTGGGGAACTTGGGGGGTCTAAAGATGCCACCTTCGCCGTAGGTTGGGGGAGGGACAGCAGCGGCTTCGGTGCCAGGGATGTCGCGCGGGCGGTATGCAGTGTAGAGAGCTGCGCTTCCCAAAGCACCAGCACCGACGGTGTAGAACAATGGTCGCAGAATGCGACTTGCGCGGGATCGTGTCGCCATGTCGTGCTATGAGTATGATGGTCAAAGACAAAAGTTTTTCCTATCCAATACAGGCTCCAGGCCTATTCACATGAATTGTCAGCTCGATGCCGGGCGCGTATAGGGTTGAGGTTGGAAGTCTAGGTCCGACGGAGAAATGGGAGATCTGGCTCGACTCACCTCAGATGAGATTTAGGTGAACATTCTGGGGTATAGTGATGGCGAGAAAAATTGATCCGGAAGGAGAGGAAGGGGCGAACCTACAGCTCGTTGAGATAAAAGGTGGAGCAGAAGGGCTGATCTGAATGGCAGATGACGACAATGGAATGGCGAGTTTCCAGGCTTTGCGCCGGGTTTCGGCTCCCTGCGCGTCCCCTTTAGCGGGCTGATGCAGGTAGTGGCGCGCCAAAGCAAAAAACCATTCCAACAGCTGATGGAATCGTTCGTTCCACTTGTCCAAATCCCGGGGCACGTTGCTTGTCCAATGCCCGCATCATGAGGCTCTTGCGGAAGGCTATCCGAAAGCAGTATGCCGATTCCACTGAAGGATCCTCCGACCCCCACACGCACGCCAATCGACCGTGCTATTCGTTACCCTAGTATTCGAATAGTGGAGGTAGACACATGTACGACTCAGATGTCAGGACTCCAGTGCTGTCATGATGACTACCTAGGTATGGACTGTGATGTGTTTGTTCTTGATTAGATTCTCCCAGTCCACCACAAGGCAGCACCCTGCACCTGCAACCGACCCTCAGTTCTACATATGTATCTACAGATCTTTAGAGGAAAAGTGGTATCTCAAACAATCAATTGATGCAGGTGCCTTCAAGATATCCCGAAGACCCATCGAACCAAAAAGAAATCCGCAATGATATTGCCCACGACCAACGCACACATGACTCCCTGGTGCACCCATCCCAATCGTTCCCTGCGTGTCTGCATGCTGATCAGAGCAACAGCGCACAATATCAAGTTGATCGCTGTGCCAAAAAGCACGGCGAAGTCGACCACGCCTCGTTCTTTCTTGCGGCTAGTCATAGTCATGATGCTCAGCATTATGTCGATTACAGTGGCCATCACGATGCACATGGAATAGAACCGGAGTTTGCTAATTTCCGTTCTATGTTGATGAGCGTGCAGCTCGCTCAATAGCGTGCGCCGTTCTCTCGCGTTTTCGCCGTGGGCAAGTGATTCGCTTGGGGGATTGCCGAACGTCTGGAACAGACTGCTGAAGTAGCCTGCATGTGGCCCTCTGCCCTTTTTCGGGGTCATTGTTCCATAGTCTCGTGTTTCTGCTGCAGATTCATCCCTGATTTCGTCGTCGCTGCTTTCAGCACTGTCAATCAACGACCCTTCTTCTGGTGACTCGGAGATGCCAAAGAGCCTTCTTGCTTTGGCGGCGAAGGCTTCGAAGAACTCCTGCCCCGGAAATTTCACGGGCGCATCAGGGTCGATGTAGATGTAGTAACCTTCGTCTTCGGATTCAGGGTTGTCGTACTCGTTCCAATAACGTTGCCCTTCAGATTCCGCTTGCACAGTAGGCAGGTATCCCCCGTGTGACTTTCTTTTCTTGCGGAAAGCTTGTAGTGGTGGTGGATCTACGAATTCCTGCGCCGATGTTGCTGAGGATTCGCCGTGGTGGAATGGACTTAAAAATCCATCTGTAGGTGAGTTGACAGACGTAGAAGTCTGTGTAGGAGAATGATGTGCTACCGAGCCATGGGCACTGCTCATTCTACGTCGTTGCCGCTTGATGGCCGGAGGGAGTTTGCGGATATCTTTGTCGAGCAATGACACCTACAATGGTCAGCCACTTCAAGCATGTGCTGAGCAACGCAAAAATTGCCTGAACAGTGGGGGAAAGAGAAGCAGACTTACCCAGACAGGAGGCGACATGGCATCAGGCTTGCAACAGGCCCAAACTGCATGCGCTTCTAGCGAGAATCCACGTGCACGCTCAACCTGATATACTGAATTAGACACGGTCATCAAATCGAAGGATTTAAGATCTTTACATACCAGATGACTGCGGTCCAGGGCTTGGATGAGAGCAGACGAATGGGACCCTTCTCTCCGGACCTGGAGAACAGCGTGGGGAAATGCGATAGATCCATCACGTGCTCGAGAGAACCAGTCATCATCATCTAAATGTTGATGGATGGTAGATTTCATGTAGATGTTCTCGTCCAATATTGCCCACATACCACCCGAATTGTTGTTATGGAGTCCTACAAAGCGAGATCGCTCAGAACAAATGCCAGCAATGGGGTCGACTTGAGTATGTTGCTGCAGCCACTCACGGGTAGCATGCATTTTTTCTTCGTCCGAAGTGGTATTTTCCTCTTCTTGGTGCTGCAAGTGTGAGTCTTGTCGTGTATGAAAGGCGGAGGACGCCGTATCAAAAAAATCTGCGAGCTGCTTCCGCTTGAGCCTTGCAACCAAAGGATCATTGTTCCTATTGGAATCCAGATTGACCGCGACTGCCGCATTGTTTGAAGAGGTCCACCGAGCATTGCCAGCGGCTTTGACCTGCCGCGTTCCCACCGTCTCTTCAATACTCCCTATAGTGCTCGCATTCTGTTTAATTGCAAACAGCTCCGGGTGATCAAGGATAAGCAGACCAGCGGTATTAACGTTGTCAGTATGACCATCAGTGTTCGCAGAAGATCTAGGTCTCCTCACACTTGCGTCTAAGGAGCCGTTCACTGCAGATGCATCCGAGCTTTCAAATGTACCCATATGCTGTAACAACAAGACCTTAGCTTCGACAACATGATCGGGATGTATCCAGTATGTTGCTTTGGTGCCACTGGTCCCTAGCGGGGTCAACGACAACGCAAGATCAAAGTCAACATCAGTACCCGTATGTGCTGCTTTGGCTAAATCCAACAAAGGTAGAGACGCTGTTGCGGTGTTTGTGGGGGGTCTGGGGGTGCCCAGGGTGTCAAAATTTGCGCGCAAAGCGCCAAGGACATGAATGTATTGATCCAGCAGATAGCCCAAATTGAGCTGGTAAAAGCTGTCTGAACTACTCGTGACTTCACTCTTGAACCGGCGATCTATATCCCGGTCCCCGGTCCATCGTTTATATTTTTTCAAGATCTTACGAAGCCCGGTGCGTTGGGCGACTCGGAAGCGGGCGAGCGATTGGATTTCTTCCCCCGTTCTGCGAACAGTCAGTACTTTGCTCGTATGCAGTAGTAGACATGGTGAAGACGGGCTCACTTTGTTACGTCTGCGTCGATCTTGGCATATTTCTCGACAAGTCTCGCAGGCACGCGGGAATTGGTATCACCAGGGGCTCGGCCCAAGGGCTCCAGGCTTTTGGCAATGTGGTCCAAACGACGCTCGATCTCGCCGCTTTTGCTCCGTACGAATAGCGTTATGCGATCATGCTGGGCCTTGAGGGCGCGAAGAAAGGTGTCGCTGAAAGCCCTCTCGCTGGTTCCGCCCTGACCGGGGATGGAGACGGCCTTGCCAGTGCCAGTGGTGGTGTGGTGTTTAATGAGGTCTTTGAGGTAGTCGTAGTCGATGTTGACTGCACGCGGGACAATGGATCAGACTCGGTGGGCACAGGTTGGTAGAAGAGGTGGAGAGATGGACTTACAGTGGCCCCATTCCGGTATTGAACGTTGACGCAAAGTATCGCCGTATTTCATAGTCCAATGGGAAGAGGGAATGGCGGCAGAGTCGAGAAGGCCGGTGACGCAATACCTAGCCTATCTTCGCGTGCCGAGGAGGACGAGGTTTGTGCAACAAAGCGGGAGAGCGAGCGAGCGAGCGAGCAATCAATGGTGGGGAGAGGAGAGGAGAGAAAGAAGGAAAGAAATCGAGGAGGGAGGGAGGGAGGGGAGAGAAGGGAAGGTGGGAGAGAAGGGAAGGTAGGAGAGGAGGGCAGGCGCAGCTGCGACTATTGTGTACAGCAGCAGCAAGAATGAACGATAGATAGGTAGATATGATGATGGATGGTTAACCGCGGCCGTAGCAGTGGATGGCGCCTGCTAGTTTGGCCTAGCGGGCAAGGAATTGGGCGTTGAGACTGGCTGAAGCGTGCCTGCAGAAGCCCGCCCACGGGCTGTTCTTTCCCCACTACCGCGAGCCCACGGAAATGCATGCCTGCTACCAGGCATTACCCATCATCAGCAGTCCGACCTGCGTTTTCGATTCATCTCTCTGCGGCTCCCTCCAGCAACCCGCGTCGCGAATTGGTTATTTAGTATTGTTGGTGCATCCCGACGTCGTCACATCACCCCAACCCGACGCCAGAGAATTCGCAACCACCAATACTTGCCCGTTGCCACCACCACCACCACCCTGTACAACTTGGGCAAATGTCAGGGTCCAGACGTCCAGTCTCCAGTGCGGGGCCGGCCTTTTAGCCCTCACTTTTGCCTTGTACGGCAGCTGTCCGTGATATTGCGGATGGTGGTGGAGCCCGCGAATGGGGGGGGTTTTTTTTTCTTCGATTCCTGTCCTCCCTCCCTCGCACGGCAAGTGGGCCATACACCTCTACTCCATGTGCACGGTACTTAGTAGCTATCCACTACTCACTCCACACCCTACCGCAAACGCTCTGCTTCGTTACCGGCCCAACTTGCAACTTGACAGCGTCCATGCACAACATGTTACACGTGAAATCAATCCCCACTCCAAGTCAGCTCCAGCTTGGTCACGAGCCCCATACACTGATCTTCTGTCGTCTCTGCTCAGTGAAAAAGATGCCATTCTTGTCCTACACAACGCCTTATCCTGTACTATATACAAGCCCAAACGCCTACACATCCTGGCTCAGACCTAGGCCCACCGAAGCATGCATTCTTGTTCCTGCAGTCTAACCGGGAGGAAGGGTGCTCTGATCAACCACATCTTGAGCGTCTTTCTCTTCGCCCTCCTTGGGGTCGTGTAGTGGGGAACGGGGCAATGCCATCAGACCTAACGCGAGTCAAAATCAGCTCCAGTCCATGAATTTTTTTTTGGGGGGGGGGGGGGGGGGGAAGGGGTAGGCTTTACCTGTTCTGGCTGACTCAAGGATACCAAAAGGAGCGATGAGCTTCATAAACGAATCAATCCTAGTAGATTTGGCCGACACCTCTACAATACAGTTGTTCGTGCTGATGTCCAACACCTTTCCACCAAATTGATGCGTCATGAAAGTGATGGCGCGCAGGTGCTCGTGCTTGTGCCTCAGTGCCTGGCTGACTGCAAGCTTGTTGGGGTGGAAGTCTCTCCTCAAAGAATCGCGGGCTGCTTCTTCGGCAATAGCCATTTGCTCTTCAGACAAATCCGCGGGTGGCTCTCCTTCTTGGTGCTCCGGCTGGATGGCTTCCTGGTGGTGGTTGAGCAGCTCCTCGAAATATTCGGGGCCAAGCACCGAAACTTTGGCCAGAAGCAGTTCGCGCTGCACCAGGGGAGACTCGCTGTAGTCGAGGACGGCCCATACGGGTACCAGGTCTTCGAGCTGGCGACGGGCCTGCTCCACAACGCCGTCCTGGCCCTGAAGGACGATGGTCATGCGGGAAAGATCGTCTACCTCGGTATTGCACACAACCAAGCTGTCGATATTGAAACCACGAGCGGCCAGAATCCCAGAGACGCGAGATAGGACGCCTGGCTCATTCTGCACAAGACAGTTCAAAATGTGACGTTTCGGGGGAAGCTGGGACGGAAGTGGGGTCTCGTAGAGAATGCTGCTCACGGCGGCTTGGGCAGACCAGGCGGGTGGGCGGTCATCGGTCGGGAGAGGTGCGATACGGCGGTGCAAAGCTTTGTACGCGAGCGCTTGAGTGGAGGACGAGCTCGATGCTCGCTGCTGCTGTCGAGCAGTCGTCAAACAAGATCGGGAGAGGAAAGCGCGCACAGGCGGCAGGGCCTGAACGGCCCGCCGAGTAGCCATTGGGAAAGACACGGGTTCGAAAAGGATAATTGAATTCGTCCAAATAACGGGCAGCTAATTGATGAACCTCGACTTCTTCTTCTGCCCGAGAATGAACGTTTGTGGAGGTGGAACAGTCAACCGCTGGCAGCGTATGTAGTAGTAATCGCGTACCTAGCAATCGTGGAATTTGCTCTAACCATCGCCGGTGTCGGGCGTTTGTAATATTGGTAATGTTGGCCAAAGCTTTCAATACGGTACCACTAGTCCATCACGCACGTACCCGGAACGCTCTTTCGTTTTCCAGTTCGACAACTCTCCATCGACCAACCTCTACACAGTAGTCCTAGCACGGCTCATCTTCAACACAACCCTTCCTGCATCGCTGTAAGCCGTAGGTCTGTAGTACCGTGTCATCTCGAAAAACGTACGGTCTGGAGAGGAAGACTCTGCGCGCCTACCATGTCCTCGACACCTCCCCGGCGCTCGCGCTTCGACAAGGACGATTCCGACCGCCCACGCTCGCGCTTCGATACTGGACGTCGTTCGCGGTCTCCTACAAGTAGAGAGCCAGAGTCGCGTCGCGCTCGTAGTCCCGTAGCCCGTGATGTCTCGGACAGTCCGGCGCAGGTCGAGAGGAAGGCAAATGCCGCCGCTGCTGCTGCCGCGGCGGCCGCGAGGATCAATGCGCAAATCCAGGCGAAGAAGGGAATTCAACATGTCGACGTGCCCCCGATTCGCTCTGCTTCTGTATGTCTTCCAGCTTCCGCCATCAGTGTGGGCACTCCCCATTCATGTATGCTAACATCATCCTAGGCTTCCACTCCTCCTCGCCCCAAAACACCAAACACAGATCCAGGCACTGCTTCTGTTGGCGAGACGTACCAGCAAGACGGTGATTACATCAAAGACATAGAAATCAACGACCTCCGCAACCGATACACACTGACTAAAGGAGCTGTTCAAAAAAGGGTAATTAATTTTGCTGTCCACTGATTCTCATAGGGCCTTGTTTTTGAGCGTCTCTCTTTCGCGAGAGCTAGGGCTTACAGACATCTAGCCGTCCGCTCATCTGGCTTATGCTAACCTCTATTGTGACATTAGATCAAAGACGATACAGGCGCCGGTACGCTATACATCCCCGTAAATTTACTCAACTGTTGTAGAATGTTCTGCTTATACATTTTCAAGATGTCACAACCCGTGGGGAATACTACCCGGACAAGAACATGGCCACTGCTGCTGTGAGTGGCCCTCCACCTCGTCTTCGTACCATCGGTTCGCTAATTTGCGCAGAACCCTCCACTCTACCTTCGTGTCACTAGCACTTCTAAAGCAGGTCTCGATACCGCTGTTAAAATGATTGAAGAGATGATGCAACAAGACCTACCGAATCTTGTTGATGAGCGTAGGTTCCGCCGTCGTGAGCCCGAGACCTTCGAGCGTGATGAATATGGTCGCGTAAGTTATCCATTGTACGGAGCACGGGCACGGAGCTAATGTATATCAGCGAAAATGGCCTGAAGAGAAACTGCCTGTGGATCTAGAACCTATCAACGGATTCAATTTGAGAGCTCAGGTTGTAGGCCGTGGCGGTGACAATGTCAAGTATATTCAGACCGAGACTGGTTGCAAAGTCCAGATCAAGGGCCGTGGATCAGGGTTTGTAGAATCTGCAACCGGACGCGAAAGCGATGAACCCATGTATCTTCACATTGCGGGACCCCGACTGGAAGGTGTTGAAAGCGCCAAAAAGCTGTGCGAGGAACTGCTTGATAAAGTCAGGGGCGACTACCACAACTTCAAGGAGAACCAAGGCCAGTCCCGTTTCAATGGTGGGGGTGGTGACCGCTATGGAGGTGGGGACCGTTATGGGGGAGGCGGTGATCGTCATTCCAATGGACGTCCTAATTACGATCGCGACCGAAGCCAAAGCTATGGGCATGGTGGTTATGGTGGACAAACCGACTCCTACCAATCCCCCGTAGGGGCTGCTGAAGGAGCCAGTTCCGCTGCAGACTTGAACGCGCAATGGGCTGCTTACTACGCTCAGCAAGGTCAGCAGGGACAGCAGTCGCAGGCTGGACAAGACCCATACGCTCAATGGGGCGGTTATGAAGCTTATATGCAGTGGTACTACTACTACCAGCAGCAGGCAGGAGGTAGTCAGCAGTCTCCACCCCCAGGCACTGCATCGGCCGCGGTCCAACCACCACCGCCGCCACCATCTGATCCCGCGCCTCCTCCTCCACCGCCTCCGTCTGGTTCTCCTCCAGGATACAACGCAGTATGTATACCTCAGTCCGACGCCAATCCCTTTGCCTCGCATGTAGAAGCTTGATTGATCACTGAATAACATTTTCCAGGTTCCTCCGCCACCTGGCATGTAAGTATGCAAGCTTTCCTGTTTAGCATGTAGCTGGCAGCATCAAGCTTTCACTTTGAAATTAAACTCGTAGGGCGGCGTTTTGCTACTCGTGCTTGTTCAGCATAGTATGATGCTGGGTTTGAGTTGGTTTGGTCTGTGTCTGGAGAAGGTTCTAAGTCTCATGAAGACATACTATGCAAAAGTTGAGTAGCCTGTATATCAGACTTGAATTGTTACTATCATATGAACGTGCTCCACGCCCTGCTTACGTGATGTGATAAGTTCGTGGTGATGACTTTATATCTTCTTTGATTGGTCGGAGCTACCCTTGTATGGGAAACAAAAAAAGCTGCACGTCAAGTACATAGATGCTCAGGCACGTTTCTCATATAACCTCCTTTCGCAGAACATTAACTGTATCACAATATTCTCTCAGGACCCTAACCATCGTACAGTTCTAATTTGAATCCCACTATTACAGCTCGTTGTCCTGCTAAAATGTCACGTTCAAATGTTGGTTTTCGCATCACTTACCTTAGAAAATGACCCCTGCGGCCTCGGCCGATTTCGCAATCGATATAATTTCGTAACCGCACTTATTTCCAACCTTCTGTTGCCTCATACACGACAGAGATGCGGGCCCACGCGATCAAAGCCGGGCGATTCGCCAATTGCCGGGTAAGCAATTTCTCGATCTTGATTACAGGTTGCAGGTACACGATAAAACAACTCGTCAAATCCACACACACACACACACACACCAGGAGGCGTTTCCATGCCGCGTCCAGACTTTCAGACGAAAACACATGCACAGACAGCTTGCTGATAGTAATAGGTTCCGTCCTCCCGATTTGCTCAGCTAGCATCGAGCAGAGGATTAGCCACTGCACACCCTGTGCCCCGTCCCCATAATGTCGATATCGCATCGCGAACGCCACCGTATCGGAAGCTCCTCAAGAGACTCGAAGAAGTGCGCAGAGTGCTTGGACCAAACCGACAATTGACCCTCGCGGAGAAAATATTGTATTCTCATCTCGATAATCCAGAGGAGTCGCTGCTTTCGGGAACAAACAATGGCAGAGATGTAAGAGGCCAGGCAAACCTCAAACTCAAGCCTGACCGTGTGGCAATGCAAGACGCCTCCGCGCAAATGGCCCTATTGCAGTTCATGACGTGCAATCTCCCATCCACAGCTGTTCCCGCGAGTATTCACTGTGACCACATGATCGTTGGCGAGAAGGGTGCGGACACCGATTTGCCCAATTCAATTGCTGGAAACAAAGAGGTATTTGATTTCTTGGAATCGGCGGCAAAGAAATATGGCATTGAGTTCTGGCCTCCTGGCGCGGGTATCATCCACCAGTCCGTTCTGGAAAACTATTCGGCTCCCGGCTTGATGATGTTGGGCACGGACAGCCATACCCCGAATGCCGGTGGATTGGGTGCTATTGCCATTGGAGTTGGTGGGGCAGACGCAGTGGATGCCCTGGTGGATGCACCGTGGGAACTCAAGGCTCCGAAGATCTTGGGTGTTAGACTCGAAGGAGAATTGAGTGGATGGGCAAGTCCCAAGGATGTCATTCTCAAGCTGGCTGGTGAACTCACTGTTCGGGTATGTATCTCAGTCTTGCAACGATTGTCGTACAGAGCTAATGAGGATAAAGGGCGGTACAGGGTACCTCATTGAGTATTTCGGCCCCGGTGTTAACACTTTGAGTTGTACTGGCATGGCCACTGCTTGCAATATGGTAAGAGAGAGAGAGAGAGAGATACTCCGTTCGACCACGCAAACTCAGTCTGACTTGTGTTCTATAGGGTGCCGAAGTCGGTGCTACGACATCTGTCTTCCCGTTTTCTCCTGCACATGTACCATATCTGGAAGCTACACACCGAGGTTCGATTGCTCGAGCCGCACAGGAAATCGCAAATTCGCCCATGGATCGAAACCTGCTACGCGCTGATTCGGGTGCAGAATACGACAAGGTCATCACTATCGATCTCTCAACTTTGGAACCTCGAATAAACGGCCCGTTCACTCCAGACCTTTCGACGCCTCTCTCGAAATTCAAGTCGTTGGTGGAAGAGAAAGACTGGCCCAAAACCTTCGGTGCCGGACTCATTGGAAGCTGCACGAACAGTTCCTACCAGGACATGACTCGATCAGAGGAGATTGTAAAGCAGGCATCAGCAGCAGGGCTCAAGCCGAAGGCCGATTTCTTCATCACACCAGGAAGCGAACAGATCAGGGCGACTTTGGAGCGTGATCAAACTCTTTCCACGTTCGCCTCGGCTGGAGGTGTCGTTTTGGCAAATGCATGTGGTGTAAGTAGCAGCTCCAGCTGTACCAACTGCCCTCATGTACCTTGACTCAGCTAATTTATTTGTTCAGCCGTGCATTGGCCAGTGGTCAAGGACAGATGATGTCAAGAAAGGCGAAGACAACGCAATCTTGACTTCCTACAACCGCAACTTTCCAGGTCGCAATGATGGCAACCGTGCTACTATGAACTTCCTTGCCTCCCCTGAACTCATCACGGCAATGACATACTCCGGTTCAATGACTTTTAACCCCATGACTGACAGCATACCGACTCCCTCTGGGGAACTTTTCAAATTTTCCCCACCAAAAGGGTCTGACCTGCCTTCCGGAGGTTTTGCTGAAGGAGTTGCAGAGTTACAACCCACGCCCGGTGTGCCCGACCCCAGCGTCGAAGTTGTAGTCAGCCCCAGCTCTACGCGTCTGGCCCTCCTTGATCCTTTCCCTGCGTTTCCCGAATCCGAACTTACATCTCTCCGTGTTCTTTACAAGGTCAAAGGCCAATGTACAACGGATACAATATCTGCAGCTGGACCATGGCTCAAGTACAAGGGACATCTACCCAACATCTCAGAAAACACTCTCATTGGCGCCGTAAATGCCGCAACGAACGAGGTCAATGTTGCCTACGACGTAGACGGTACCAAGTCTGGTATCCCTGACCTGGCCAAACGATGGAAAGAGCAGGGTCAAGAATGGCTTGTTGTCGCAGAACACAACTATGGTGAAGGGTCGGCTCGTGAACACGCTGCTCTGCAACCGCGATACCTTGGCGGACGTGTCATTCTGGCAAAGTCTTTCGCACGTATTCACGAAACCAATCTCAAAAAGCAAGGCATTGTACCGCTCACTTTCGCCAATGAGTCAGATTACGATCTTCTCAATGCCTGCGACGAAGTGGCCACAAGGGGCCTACTTGATGTGCTGAAGAGTGGCGGCAAAGGCGAAGTTGAATTAGTTGTCAAGAAGGGCGGAGAAGAGACAGTAATTAAGACGAAGCATACGCTCAGCAAGGACCAATCTGCTTTTGTACTTGCCGGAAGTGCATTGAACGTATTGGCGAGGAACGCGAAAGTGCAAAAGGAAGAGGTGACGAGGGCCAATGAATTGTCTGATTAGGTGTTGGAAACAATGGGGAAATCTGTACATGCATAACTTAAAATTGTAGTGCCTTCTAGCACAGGGACCATATGTTCTGTCATTTGGGATTTGAAGGATTAAGACCAAAGAATCATCATACCTCTACATATATCCCGCGTGAGTATCGGTGAAACTCTGAATATCGTGCAGATCAAATCCAACCTCGGCAAACATGCGCAGGTATACATGAGTTGTGGTATATCTCAGACCATCACCAGACCCTTTTATCTATCATCTCCGGGTCAATATTAACAAATTGTGTGCCATCCGTCGCCGGGACCTCACCGAGAATCATTATCAAGCATCCCGGCAGACCGACTCTCTTTTGAGCTCACCGGTGCCGACGACCCTGGACAGATGAGCACCTCAAAGCCTAAAATCCAATAAAAGTCGCGGAAATAACAGAACCATGATGTACAACGAATACAAACCGTAAAGGAATGGGAGCCCAACGTCAGCCTCACGCACGGGCCGTCGCTGGCGTGCGGGGAGGGCGCCCGTTCGATCCGTTTTAGCTGTGACTTGCCGATATTTCGAGCTACACTCGCCACAAATCGGGGTTGTTGAGCCGCAACATGGCATCAATGGCGTCCAGGGACGGATAAGTCGGGACGCGAAAAGCTTCAGCGAGAGGGTGAAAAGGCCCCCGTGACGTGTGTATGCTTGGCCGTGATTTGCACGTGTCGTGAAGCTGGTCCGAGCGTTGCAAAGGCTTGTTCATATCATATCATCGTACATGGTGTATGTAAGCGTAGGATCAGAAGATGGGGGCGATCGGTGGGAGGTTGGTAGAGAGTGCCGTGTACCCGAAAGAGTCAAGAGGTTACGTTGCTATAGTCGTTATCATTCGAATGATTCAAGAGCCGCAACTGGAGAGGCGGGAAGAACATTTTCCTCTGACCCTCATGTTGGTGTATCATTACATACTTGTGCATGTACGCGTATACCCAGGAACGACGTAGGAGCGCGTAACGTAAGGCAAACCGCTGGGTTAGGGTAGGTCCACGACGTCCTTGTCTGTTTCTTGGAAACTTGCCTTGTTGGGTGGGGGGACGAAACAGATCGAGACTGCAATTGGTGCCTTGGGCCGGATATACGGTTGTGAAGGTGAACCCTTGTTGACGCTAATCTGTCATACTTCCCCGAGACTTACACTGTCGAACAATTGTATCCCGGTTGTCCTTGGAAGTTTTTCAGGATAGACAAAGTATATAGTCTTCGTAAATCCCCCGGTTTTAGGCATATCTGTATCTCACAAGATTACTTGATCCATCACTTTTGAGGTATATCTTAACATCATCACACGAGACTTCAACCTTCCAACCACAACTATCACAACTATCACAACCCTCCATCTTGTTCGAAGCAATAGAGCTTTCTAACGAGCCCGCGCTACATCGAGTCTCGAACGCATCACACATCCAAACAAACCATCGAGGTCAATCACCGGCCTCATCACGCCCCACCCGAAGACCAAGACTCCTGCCCGATGAAAGACCAGCAACTGTACAGCAAGCCCGTGAACTCTCGTGACCTCACGAGCCGTCTTACGCGGATCAAAAAATCACACTCGGTCCCCAACGATGGAGACGCCATCTCCCGACTCCCTCAATTCTCCAGAGAGCAGCGAACAGGAACCTCCTCCTCTTCTTCCAGCATGGACATCTCACGATTGCCCAGGTTCAGCAAGTCGACTACTACTTCGACAACTGGAAGCGATGATAGCATCGGCATCGGTAGACTCCCCGTCATGCGCACAGAACCTCTCACGCGAACCCACATGCAGAGCGTTGAGGTTGCACCGGGCGAGTTCTCGAAACCCCGCCTCAATGGCGCAAGGAAGCGCAGAGCGAAGAGCAGCAGCTCGGCGGGCTCGACCGACGAGTTTCGGTATTACGGACGCCATGCGAACAGTTGGCTTTTCAACGACTTCAGCATCTCAGGCACTGTCAAGAAGGGGTTTGGGAAAGTGTTTTCAGGCCGAGGAGGGGAAGGAGATGAAGGAAACAAAGAGACTGAGCAGGATGAGAAGACAGAGAGATGATTCCGGTATCGGCATTGAAGTCGTGGTACAATCGCTTAGTCGTGATCTGAGTCTTTATTATGTGCATGATCTGTCTGCAACAGTCAGAAGCCGTAAGCACATGTTATGGCCAAACATAGAATATAAACCATGGAATCATCTACCCTCAGTCCCAGTGATTCAGTAGTGAATTTTTGATCCCACTCAACATTTCCTTCCACAATGCATGTGCTTCAGAAGATATGTAGGCGCAGTGGGTGTAGCTGGCTGACTGTGAGTTAGATAAGGATGCATGTGAGACGACGAAGTAAGTATTCCGGGTCTCGTGAGTGAATGCAGTGCATGATGTGATGTAGAAGAGGAACGGTCTGGCCCGTCCATATATACATATGGACACACATAAGCTCGCATGCGGGTGAAGTTCGGAGAAGTTCGCCTCTGTTCCTGATGGGGGAGTTTCTTAGTCATCAGCCTAGGAGCATATCAGCCACTTGAGACGCGGGGCAGCAGGAACAATATTAGCAGAGAGCACAATCATAAGTGAAAACAATCTACGGAAACAAAGCTGCGGTGGCGCTGTTCTCATTGACCGTGCTTCACAGTATGTATGTATAACCGATGTGCCCTGCATTTGGCGTGTTGCATCGATCCATCCATCCATCGCGGACACGAACTGGTGACTCTGGCGAGGTAATTGCGGTAGAGTAAACCATCAGCATAATAGCGCCGGCCGAATCGCGGGGCTCCAATTCACTAATCTGCAAACCCTTCCGAGTTGCTCCTTTGATTTCTCAGCAACGTCACCACTCTCGCCTTCTCTCCCTCCCTCTCTCCACAGTCTCCCCGCCCACCTCGCTCTACTCCGTCTCTGGCTTTGCGTTGGAAACAAAGAACATCAAAGACCAGTCATTGCGCCGAACGCTTGGACGCTTGTCGAGGACCACCTTATCGGATCCGAAGACACTACCGTTATTGCGCACACCCACAAACATTTCCCCTCCGAGGACCACGCAAACACGCAGCACGACTGCCACCACCCTTTGGATGAAAACATCACAAAATCGTCTAGGAACCATCATCTCGTCAGCCAGTGTCACTGCTGGCACCGTATAGCAGAAACCCATGTCCGGCTACAACGGCCGTCGCGGCCCCAACGTGTCCAGCTACCTCGCTGAACTCAACACCATCCATTCGCCATCTGATCAAATATCCGACCAGCAGAATCTCGAAGACGAATTCGCCATGTTCACCAATCCAGACTTCGGCGACGCGGACCAATTCGCGATTCCGCTCAACTTCAGCTATGGCGGAGTCAACGATCAAGACCTGGCCACCCAGACAAACCCCCCGACAGGAAATCACAGCGCTGCACCTGTAGACTCCAAGCTGGACTTCTCCCTGGCTGGTACGTGATGGGCTACCCTCTCTCCTCCTGTATCTGTTTGTTTTCTATTTCCTCCACGTTTGGCTTCTTTGTTGCTGTCTGCTTTCGCTGTTTCGCTGTGCATTGCTCCGATGTGGTTGCATCCATCAAGGGTCCTGCCCAATCGCTTGCAAGCATGCGTATATGCGTACCCCGCCGGTAGCGCTGCATATTGTCTCTCTACCCCACGCCTTGTGCAGCCACTCGCGAACGCCCTGTACGGCGTGCATTTCGTGGGCATGCTGCCTGCTGAGCACGCCATTGTTCTTGATGTTGCGACAACATCACGACAGTCAACTCTTTCTTACCCTGCGATCCATTTGTTCTTCCATCACTCAAGACTCATGAATCATGTCTAATTTTGACGGCTTTACAGGCGACTTCCACTTTGACGCCGGCTTCTCCGGCTTCTCCAATAACCCCATCATCGACACTTCCATTCCTGACCTGTCAGGAAGCAACTATCCCGTCGCAGCTACCTACACGTCACCAGTGTCGCCGTCTGCAGTGTCTCCTGCCGTCCCTGGATTCGATGCCACCAACGGTAAGAAGCGCAAGCTGGACAACAGCGAAGCAAACAGCCAACAAGCAATAGACGAGGCTGCCCGCGTTGCCGCCGAAGAAGACAAGCGTCGCCGAAACACGGCTGCGAGCGCTCGCTTCCGTATTAAGAAGAAGCAGCGTGAACAGACTCTCGAGAAGACAGCCAAGGAGATGACGGATCGCGTTAATCTTCTCGAGGATCGCATCCGCCAGTTGGAGACGGAGAATGCGTGGCTGAAAGGCCTCATCACGGAAAAGAATGGAGGCAAGACATCCACTTCGGAAATCAAAGCCATGCTGAACAAGCACGAGGAAGGCAGAAGTATTGGCACCAGGACCGACGGCGTTGGCACCAAGGCCTGATATGAGGGCCAAGTTCTGATATCTTTCTCTAAAATGATCTTCGGATCGGATTTACAAGTTGTTCTTTTTCCTTTTGATCATTTCAACTGTCTGTCTTGAGCAGACAGTGCGTACACTACAATGCATACATGCTTGCTGTTTAGTCCGCTAATGGGCACTACTATATACCAAACAAGAGAAGCTGAGGTCGAGGATGAGTGAGAGGGGATAGGGTTCGTATGTTCCTCAGAGGAATATGTTGAAGGGCGTATGAAGAAGATGTACTGGTGGACCATACCTCAGCTTGATATTTGAAATGCATATCTGATTCACGACAAAGAAACGAAAGAAGGTCCTCGGTACACCACCACACGCACGTCTGCCCCATGTGCTTCTTCAGCCTGGTGTAGCTCCCATGATGGTGGAGAGGGAAGCGCCGGGGGGACTCTTGCGTGGATGGATGAGCAAAGAAGCCCTGCATATTGCGACATGCGGCCCACCCCCACAGTGGCACGCCCCTGGGATGATGTATACTGCAAGCGCGGGTGACGGGACTCGTCTACTTGATTGTGTAACGTTAGAGGAGATGCTGTGCCACTGTATAGTTCATGTACAAGAAGCTTCGCACGGCAGATTGCAAGGTTCAAGTTACACAATGACGGGGGTTCAATGATTGTGTACATGTGGCTGGTGAATGTAAACATATATATCCCCCACTCAAACACGAATAAATTGCTCATAAGCTTAGGAGAGAAATAAGGTAGATGCAGAAAGATAGTGAGCAAGCGTATGCACAGCGGAAATGGACGAGTGAAAGTTGGAGACCAAGCGAAACCCGCACCCCCTGCGCCAGTATAAGAGACCCTATCCGCTCCTCCTCATGTCGCCAAGAATAGACAAGTAGAATTAGAGAAGAACAGCACCTGAAGCCAGTGCATGTAGTGCCCAAAGCTCCCTCCATGCCAAATTCTCTTTGAATTAGGTATGCACACACACTGGTTGTTTTCTTTCCTTTTATTCCTGGAGATTAGGGCAGGGCAAAAATGTACATCTCTTCCTTTTGCTCCCGTCTTCTAGATGCCGATCCAGTTGATGCTAATGACAACATCCATGCCCTTGGTGTCAGCACCGTCCCACTTGTAGGAAAAAGTACCATCCTTATCGGTGTTCCAGAAGGCGCCCACGGCGCTGTGCATGCCGCGGCGGCCAGCAGTAGCAGCTTCTGAAGGGTGACCGATATGTTGGATTATGGTGCTGTTGGCGACGAATTTGTGGCCGGGGGGTGGAGGGGATTTGGAGTCGACGGTCGCGGACTGACTTTCCTTGATGACGGCTTGAAGGATGGAGTTCTATGGGATTTGAACCATCAAAAAGTCAGCTTTCATCGTCTGATCGCATCCCCGTGGGGAAGCAAGAGTAAGCAAGGGGCGGTGGATGTACAATGATGGCAGTGTTCCAGTCGGATACTTTCTCGTGCTCGTATTTCTCTGCGGAGCCGAGGGCTTCTTCGCATGCCTAGTTACACATTAAACATCAACCAGAGTCTCGTCGTCGGAGTGGGTGGGGTCACTTACCCTGTTGGCGATGCTTGTGAATTGTTCTGTGGAGAGAGGTGCGGAACCGGTCTAGAGACAAGTCAGGGATGGAAGTGAGTAGTTTTGGGGGGTGGCGACCGTACAGCCATTGTGGAGGAGGATGAGGGCCGAATACAGTAATATGACGGTGGTGGTGATTGGGTAGGTAGGAGATGGGTAGATATAGTTAGAGATAGGCCGTAAGGTAATGGTGGATGTTGATGTTTACTCGACGACTGTTTTGCTCTACAGCCTTGCCCACACCGTCAATTCGGCCCGCTCGGACCATCTTCAGCGGCCCGCTAATCTCCATCGGCACAGCCAGAAGAAGACTGTCACGTGGGCGTCTGATTGGTTGCCATGTGCAAGGATGGGTAGCTGCTGAGGTCTAGCTGCGTCGGAAAGTGGGATCAATCATGGTTTCTTGAATTGAATCTTTCTTCGTCTCTTCTTACAACTCGACTCCCGCTATTCCACCCGCACCTTGACCAGTCCACACAGCATTGGGCGAGTGAAGGATTTTGCCTCGTATTCTCGTTGCTCATCACCACAGAATCCCGCCTCTTCTTCGGCTCCGCACCATCAATCGATTCGTCGTACCGTCTCTCTTGTTGGGTGGGGCTAGCTACAACAATCGTCATAACAATGTCCACCCAACCTCTACTTCAAACCGCTCCCGGTACTTGAACAACTCCTCCTTCACCCTGCGGCAACAAGTGCACTTCCTCATACGTGTAGCACACTCACTAACCCATCCGACTCATGATATAGGCAAGCGCATCGCCCTCCCCACCCGCGTCGAACCAAAAGTCTTCTTTGCCAACGAGCGTACCTTCCTCTCGTGGCTCAACTTCACCGTCATTCTCGGTGGTCTCGCCGTCGGACTGCTCAATTTCGGCGACAAAGTCGGTCAGATTAGCGCTGGTCTATTCACACTTGTTGCTATGATGGCCATGGTGTACGCCTTGTTCACCTTCCACTGGCGCGCGAAGAGCATTAGGCAGAGGGGTCAGGGCGGCTTCGATGATCGTCTGGGCCCTACTGTGCTCGCTATCGCCTTGCTCGCTGCCGTTGTTGTAAACTTCATTTTGAGGGTCACTGTTAGCGAAAAGAAGAATTGAGCTATGCTCGCTCGGCGCAAAGTCAATGCCAACAATCAACGGAAACGAAACAATCGGCGATCATAGTGTCGGGGCTCACTGGCCTGTATCGTACAGTCGTTGCTGAGGAATAGTTGTGTCGCAATCGCTTCGAAGCCCGCAAGCTGTGAAAACTGGAGAGGGTACCGCCAACTAGACCTGTGGCGGAAGGAATTGTTTGCAACGGCTACATGTATTAATATAGCATTCTTATTTTCCTTTTGTAAACTTTCAACCTGCGATCACGCCATATATGTCATTGTCTCTTCCAAATATCAGGAATGTACTCCGTGTAGGGGATGAGAACCAGAACAGTGCATTGTTGTTTTCTGGTCGCGCTTCAGTTACGTGCAGAGGATTTTTATATCATACAGTTTCTTTTGGCCAATACCCTTCTATGACTGAAATTGATGTTCTACTCATTCTAATATACTACGATATGTGTCCATATGCGTCCAACATAGTCACATTATAGTACCATATATAGATAGTTTTCAGACCAGCAGCAAACTAGAACAAACGGTATGGGTCAATGTTATGAGACTTGGTGAGAGTCCTTAGTGTAAAGGTGTATCTGAGGCTCTGGCCCCTTTCCTACAGGTTTTAGTACAGATAAAATGTATACACGACCCCACGGCGTTAGGATTCCTTTTCGTGTCATTGCGGCAATTGATATAGGAAGTGATCTTTGCTATTCCCGGGTATGTAGAGCCACGTGTATATCACCGTCTTCTAGTACTCCCAACACTTCCGCCTCGTCCAATATGCGACGAATCACTATTGTTCAAATCTAGTAATTGATATGCTGGTTCGTATGTTTATGCTACATTATTCTACTTCATACGCGGCTACGAGGCGCAGCTGCATCCTTCCGCATCATTAATCCTAGATTGGAATTCTTCGACTTCACGAGAACTCCGGCTATTGAACGTAAACCACTACTGATATAGGGGTTTGTTCACATAACCCATCCTACTATCTGCTAATCCCAGTGAAAATACTATGCATATCCTAATTTCCGAAAAATTCGATATTGTACTATGTATATAAGTTTGATTCATATCGCGTGAGGAGCAACATCGACCTCACCGCGGTCTGTAACTTTATCCATTCACTATATATCTCTGGCTAGACGGAGTTTCCACTTCCGCACAGCAACTGTTTGATTGAAACAATGTCTCCTTCACCGACGCACACGGCAATATTACTTGCTTCAATCCTCTGTACTACGACCCTCGCTTCCGTTACATCAGTCCCACTCCAAGGCATCAGTGGACTGTCGAGCCCTAGCCTAAGTCGTCGAGCTCTTCCAATCGCTCACACTTACGAAGATAATGTATTGAACATCTCGAAAGTAACATATTTTTGAATCTCCGTATCTTACTTTTGCGCAGTTCTTCTGGTTTGGCAATTATTCTGTCGGGAACGCCGATAATCTTGAACTTCTCATCGACACAGGGTCCAGCGACATCTTTATCAACCCAGGAGAGTACGTGCCAAGTTCGAACTCGAAAGACTTGGAGGAGAACTTTACTGCGACTTTCTCAACAGCGAAATCTGATGGAACGGGATTTGTATCTGTAAGCATCATCTTCCAGCCTCATAGGTCTCATGATTGATAGCTAATGCTACTAGCTTGATGGTAAAAACTTCGAGGATTCAGTCACCCTCTCCGGCTCAAACTTCACCGTCACAAACCAGTACATAGGCATTATCAGCACGACGACAGAAGGTATACCGCGTGCGGGACTGATAGGATTCGCAGGCGAGAATTCGAGTTTCAGTGGACAACCGGGTTGGTTCGAAAACTTGTGCACCAACAAGGCATTCGACGAATGTCGTTACGGCCTGGCTTTCAATACCAATCACACTGGTGTCCAGTATCTTGGTGGTGTTGAAGATACTGCCTTCACAGGTGACCTGGTGACTACCCCGATAGAATCCCAATGGGTTACATGGGGCGATGTTGCTGTCAATGGAGAAATCACCTCACGCGACACACGCATGCTCACCGACATGGGCACTGCCGTCATCTGGGGTCCAAGCGATGTTGTTCAAGATATGTATGAGCGCGCGGGGATCGAGTGGGATACTATCCCCCCGACTGATACTTTTCCTGGTACTATCATCCAGGGCTCCTACCCATGCTCGTCACCGCCTACTTTCGGGTTCGGCTTTCCATCTACACAGAACATTACCGATGCAATTCTGGATCCGGGGAGTACAGTGAGTCGTAAGGGGTCTATCTTCAACGTCACGCCCGAAGCGTTGGTCGCTAGCGAGGCAGATGGTATTTGCAAGTCGATCTTGAAGGGTGTTACGAATATGAATATATGGATTGTTGGCCAGCCTTTCTACCAGGGTAGATATATTGACCATGACTTCGAGACCAACTTGATGGGTTGGGCAGATTTGATATAGTTTATCACGGGCAACTTCCGTCAACGATAGTAATAGGAGCTTCTCTATCGTTGCTAGTAGGTATGAGAACATGTACTGTCGTGATATAGTATGGAATGGTGTCAGAGGATGCAAATTTTCATAATGAAATAGTCTGTTTCAAAGCTCATTCAGATCCAAGCTGTTCATATGTAGTACATGAATGCAAATTTATTAGGGGAAGAATATCGGATCAGCCTTGTCAATCGAACATCTTATAGGTAGTTAGTAGTAAACCAAGCCCCTAGCTATACTGCATTTTTATACTTAAAACTTTCAATAGATCCTTTTGTAATTACGAACTATCTTGTTCAAGCTTACAAAGGAAATGTATTATATACACAAGAAACAGTCTAGTTGCACCTGCCCAGAGTGGATATTATTAGTCAAAAGGTTGAAATTGTTGTAGACTGTCTAATCCATCACGTCTATACAGAATTGAAGACATGTATGGCACTGATTTGTGAAGCCAATTTCGTCCAAGTCTCACCCCTTGTCCTTAGTACCCCAGACACCAGATATGCTTCCACGAGATGCACCACCACGACCTCTACCCAAAGACTTTGACAATTCGGGGCATGATATACACTGCCTGTTTCCGCGTTTCTTGGGTAGTATGTTTGATCTATGGTGCCTGTTTCGCAGGTGCGAGGGCGAGATCGACCATCCGGTCGGCGGCCTCCTCAACCTCATTCTCGGTCTCGGCTACAGCCTCTGCATCCTCCCGATATATAGAATTGGTCAATTTCATATGTTCCAGGTATTCCTTCAATCCGTCTAGGTCTTCGCGTAGTTGCTTGAGGCCCTTGAGGCCCTTGAGGTCCTACACATCATGTAATTATGTACTGTATACTACCCATGATCATAATAATATCAGACATACCTCTAGTGTTGCTGCATCGTTTCGGCTCCGGGATTTGGCGTAGCATGTCCAGTATTTCTGCTCCGCAGTTCGATGCCATTCCTCTCCCTCATTCCAATCCTCAAGAGCGATTGCAAGGAGTATGCAGTTTTGCATAAAGTAGTATGAGGTAATATCAGGTTCACTGGGAAAGAACTTGTTAGCAAGGCAAGGCAAGGCAACCCGTCAGCAATGTGGAGGGTAAAACGTGCGCTCACGTCAAATTTTGTTTGGCCAAGCGGATACACTCCTCCATATCCTCCTCATCAAACGCATCGCTAGCAGCTTCGTACTGCTGCTCTTCCAGAGATTCCGACATCAGAGGCAAATGTGAGTGGGTATCTGTTGTGAGTGAATGTCGTTGCAGTGGACAAGAAGGGCCGCTTAGGTAGATATAACCGCGCCAAGACTTTTCGATTGTCTCTCACTCAAGTACTTATCAGGTTTGTCGAAGTCTGTTCTTATTGGCTCGACAAGTGTAGTTTATGCCTACGAAAGAAATTAATAGAATTTTGCGGACATCGCTTCCCCTACACCGCTTGCCTCACAGCCACCTGATCTAATTCACCTGCTCCGAGCTACCATGGACTGTTACCTCCAGACTTCGCGCCTTTCGGTTCAAGCTACATCTTCGAGTGCATAGGCTTGCCCGATTGCTCATATCTGTGATTTATGCAAAGTCAAATGTGTGTTGTTGGAACTATGCCTGTTTTTTGGGGAGCATGATGAGTGACCTTGAGGAACCGACATTGGGTGGTGCAGTAGATACAAAGGCGAACACGATATAACAGCAGTGAGAGTACTGGAATCAAACATAAGCTGCAGGTGTGAAGAAAGAAAGGAGCGCTCTATGTTTAGCAGCCTCTATTGTTCCAACCACAACAGCTTACATAGCCAATAGCTTGAACATTAAGCATTATAACGTAGTACGCACAAGTCTTTAACAGATTGAACAATGGGACAATACACCCAAGAACACCGACCCTAAAATTTAGCTACCAATCACAATGTCTATAGTTATATGTAAGGCTGTACGATATATAATACTTTACATAAACTCCATTGAAACTGGTAGAGCAAGCAATTCGTGTGAACTTCCATTTACACCCGTCTCTCTGTTGCCTAAGTTCCAACTGTATTCGTGCCCCATTTGCACGGTGCGATGAGAGCAAGTGCCCAGTTGTGATTTCCAGACTCACGGAGCAAAAAACTACGTACTGTGACTGGAAAAAGCGAGCGTTCACTGGCTGTCTAGGTCGAAGTACCGATGTGGTGGTTCTACAGATGAAATGGTCTGAGTTTATCTCATCTTATGTGGTCTGAGGACTAATATGTCCGGATGATCTTAACCACTGTTCGAAATTTTGAGTCTCGAAACCTTGCTCCCTAAGTGCCTGTATGTCTACACCAAATCCGACTTTCTCAAACCAGTCCATACTACTTCTAGCATCTTCTACTCCCCACCTCAGCGCATGACTGGGCATACTCCAAATTCGGGGCATACTGTAACCCAGAATGTTGTGAAATATAGCATCGGCCTCTCCAAAAGTCAACTCATCACCGGCTATGCCTATTGATTTTTCTTTCCAGCCATTCACATCTAACAATGCCTTTGCTGCCACAACACCGATATCTTTCACACTAACGAGTTGCATCTTCCTATCTGGTGGCATTGTCGCCCACAATCCTGCCATCATCTTGCCAAAGAACCCCGGAGTGTAATTATCCATGAACCCCGCCGGTCTCAGAATTGTCCAATTCGTTCGCGTTCCTTTCGTCGCTGCCCGAAGATGTAGCTCGATTCTGTGCTTCGCCGCAAAATGTGGAACTGTTGTTTCGTTCGTCCAACTCAATGTATCGCCGCCTCGGTCGACGCTGCCAAATACAATATGAGGTATGTTGCGTGATATTGCTGCGTTGATCATTGGTAGTGCTTGCTGTTCGTCATTGGGCGGGACAGTAACCAAGAATATGGATGTGATGTTTGGGTACGCGTCAAATATGGGCTCCGGTTGCGACACATTCCCTTCTACGATATCTATTTCAGGAAACTCTGATATGAGATTCTGTGCCTGAATTGACTTTGAAGATCGTGTAAGCGCAAGAATTCGTACTGGCGGTGTCTGTCGGGCTGATGCTTCTAGTGCTGCGATGGTTGCGTGGCCTTGCTTGCCTGTGGCACCGACAACAAGAACATGAAGAGTGGCCATGTTCAGAAAGCGCTCAATGAGTAATAATTCGAGGTTTGGGTGTTATAGTCTATGTTGTTAGCCATGCGACGTTGCTATCTAGGTTTTAAGCTCGTGTCGGAGACATTGGTAACTTTGACCCCAACTCGTCCGGCGACATTCAAAGTCGCCGATTCGCTCAATAAAACCTATATATCTACTGGCGAAGAATACTCTTTAATAAACAAAAATGTATCAGGGTTTTGCGCCCTAAAATATTCCGAGTGTTTTGTATGTTTCAGCGTTACTCTCAATGCCGTTTCTTAAGTTGTTTGTCAATGATATGCTAACAATCTTGCGCACAGCAATGCGCTATTTGAAGTAGATGTAACTTAACTATTATTTATTTATATGGCAACATTTCTTGTATAAGTTGTAGTAAAACACTCGATAATAATGATAAATGGTTACTGAGAGATTTGAATACAAATTTAGGATGTGGCAGAGGTATGAAGTTATTGCAGTGCGGCGTTCCTCACCCGGTTGAGCAGCGCGTCGCTGTAATCATACTCTTCGTATTCCGAGATACCATTTTTGAAACACCAAGTTTTTTACTTCAGTGCTCACTCGGCACGTAAAACTCAATAGTATTCCGAGATTTCTGCACTGATGCGATCGGAAGCTTCGTTTTCCGAAATATCTGCACCATAGGTAGCGGCCAGATATTGAACATCGATGTTCTCTCTGCGCTTTCTCAGCTCACTGCTAGCGGTATTTGACCTATCATAAATGCTACACGAAATCATCTTTCGGCGTTGTACTTCGATTTGGTAATAAATGAACATGTATCCCGCCATTTTCGATAACAAAAGTGGCAACTGTTCCTTCGCCCCCGCTTCCGGTGATACTTACGCCCAGAATCAAACAAATCCAAGAGTCTTGAGACAAGGCCAAGCACCGACGCACAGGAACGGAAATACATTGTATACTAGGCAACGCTGGGAACGTACGTCGGTCAGTACCAAGATACTGTGGGTGTATGTATAATTCCCACGCCTTCCAAAAGTGGTTAAATTGTTAGTCAACGATGGTATTGGCAAGTGTTTGTCGGCACGAAAGTTGAACACATGTCGGCTTGGTTCCGCGGGAACGCGGCAAACCGGCACGTTACTTGGCTTGGAAGTCGAAGGAATCCGGGGGTCATTCGCTGCAACCATGATAAGCTGTCTTGGACACTGTAACATCTCACTTCATTCTCGAATTCGTGTTTGTGGTACAAGAGGTTTTCCAGGTATTTTCTTTTCCTTAGTAAATCGACCTCACAGAATTTCAGGACTGAATGCGCCATACTATTGATTGGACTATTCGCCTTCCTTGAATCTATATCCAGACACTCATACATTAGACCTTCAGCCTTACATTACATAATTTTCTGGGGTGCAGTAGTTTGCTCCAAACCCTGGTTGAACCCACTCTATCAGCATTGCGCGCCGCCCAGCATACCCAGCATGCCCAGCAAACAATCGCAGACATGTCCGAGTTTTTGCTACGAACTCTAGATAGGACTCAATCCCAATTGCTACGAATTCATCAATTAGTACTTTTTGGTAATCGCGTGTTTTTTGGTTCCTTTGTTGTTATAAACCTTTCGCTGTGTGTAGCACCACCAAACGCCAACTTACAAGCCATCCATCAATTGGTACTGTATTTCTTCTACTGGGATAGAGTATCAACCCTGTCATCCATGTGATCAGGCCCACCAGTGTGCTGCTGACAGCCAAACACTCGGGTACAAGCGAGCCAGAATCCAAGCCCATAGCGGTGGATTAGCGGCCATGACAATCCATGGCAAAGCGTGGTACCTATCTTACCTGTATATGTAGAGTCCTGTCCGCCCCTGAAGCTTCCTAACCTCGACCCCCCGCGATCACAATGGCAGTGAAGAACATTCTACGAAATGTCTTCAGCTCCGAAACAAAGAAGTCACAAGACGGCCGCGATCAATGGCCATCTCGTACCTCTTTTATCCTCGCAGCAATGGGCGGCTGTGTAGGGCTGGGAAATATTCTTAGATACGTGAGCTTCCCTTTCCTTCCCTCAAAAACCCTGGTAGGCTGATAGATGGGCTGTGGTGTGGTTATGGACCATACCGGAGCCCTATCACCAGCCTAACCTCTGGGGGTCACATGGGAAACACAACATACTAACACAGCATAGCCTTCCCAATTCTACAACAACTATGGTCTACAGTGGCACGTGCCCTATTTTATTGCCTTTTTCTTCCTCGGAATTCCTGGTCTGACCCTCGAAATCGCGTTGGGCCAAGCATATCGCGGAGGGCCTACCATAGCCTTTGATCACCTACAGAAAAGACTTAAGGGCATCGGTTTCAGCTTAGTCTACAACGGCTACATGGTTGCTATATACTACGTTCCGATCCTTGCTTGGGCAATGGCCTATTTCCGTCACTCCTTCAGTAGTCCATTGCCGTGGGAAGGGGATGCCGAAAACTTCTACCTCAGACAAGTCATCCGTAACGGAGATCCAACCCCCGGAGAACTATCCGCTGGGGGCGTCCAAAGCTACACTGACTACCCCCTTGTCGGTCTTGTCGGCGAAACAACTGGTTGGTGTGCTTTCACTTGGTTTCTCGTCTGGCTTTGTATCTGGAGAGGAATTGGCCAGACCGGCAGAGTTGTCTATTTTACTATGGGAGCCCCTTTGGTTATGATCATCATTCTTGTGGGCCGAGGTGTATCCCTACCCAATGCTGGTGACGGTTTGCGCTACTCTTGGGCTACATGGCGTTCGGAAGCCCTCGCCGACGGCCAGATTTGGCAAGATGCTTGTGGCCAGATCTTCTTCAGTATCGGACTGGGAATGGGATACTTTACGACTTACGCATCGTACAACAATCAGTACCAGAACGCCGTGCAGGATGCTCTTATCATCTGCTTTTCAAACTCTCTCATCGAAATCCTCTGCGGGTTGGCAGTCTTTGGCGTAATTGGGAACTTAGGAATGGATCCATCAACTGCGGAAGCAAAACTTGGAAGCTTCGACGTTGCTTTTCTTACGCTACCCGAGGGACTTGCGCAGATGCCCGGGGCCCAGTTTTGGAGCGTGGTCTTCTTCTTAACATTGATGGTTTTGGGTGTTAGCTCTGCATTCGCGCTGACTGACACTCTGATTTCGATGATCTGCGACAGCAATTTTGGCAGACGTTGGAAGCGAGAGTATGTTGTCACAGCTGTTATCATCATGTCTTTTCTTCTGTCACTGCCGTTTTGTACGGAATTCGGCTATTATTTGTTGGACGGATTTGACACATGGCTTAACAACTTTGCTCTGGTTTGGGTGGTTCTCTGTGAATTCTATGCGGCAACGGGAATCTATCGCTACAAGGATGTAGCTGGCCTTCTTGGGTGGATGTCATTCGGCATCTATACGGCTGGATATACTTTGGCTTTGGTCCTTGGCGTCGCGATCGGCCATGCCGTTCATCCAGGTATTGGAGCTGGCGTAGGCTTCGGCATCTTCTTCATCGGGTTGATCCTGGCTCTGGTGTTTGCAAAGACACCGCAATACACTGGGTCCGATCCTCCTCTTTTCTGGAAGAAGAGCGTTTGGCTTGAAAAAGTGTACTACCTCATGTTCTACCAGGTAAGCTGTACTCGTCCTCTATGCATGAATCCAACTGACACATTATAGGGATGTCAGCTTTCACTCGACTTGAATATTGTCGTGGCTTCTGGTAAAAACTGGAAAATACCTATATTCTGGGGTCCTCTTCTCCGCTACATTTCTGTTCCTATCCTGACAATCATTCTCGGATTCTCCTACCCCACTTTCCACAGCAAGCGGATGGACCCTCTACAGATCATTGGCTTCTTTATTGCGAATCTCACCATGGTCTTTGTGGCTGTTGGACTTATCTTCCCCCGATTCTTCCACCCATGGATTCCCGTGGAAAAACGTGGAGAAGGGCACATTCCATTCTCGCCAAACGTGCGGACTGCGGTCGTGGACGTGAGTGTTGGAAGAACTGTCGAGAGTGGCATGATAGAGCACGAGCACTCAGGCTCAGATGGAAGCCCCCATGGGCTGAAATCAAGGGCTAAATAAATCCACATGTATCATTGGAACCAGAAGATTACTTATCGTAATTGGGATGGCTTTAGTAATATGAATCGAATAGTAGGAACGTTGGAAGCAAGCTGCAGTCACATCTCTATCCTTTTCCTGAGAAACCCTGTCAGCTGGTCACGCAATTTCATGCGGCAGATGTTCTGTTTAGAGTTCTCCGACGAATTACAACTTTTTGAATATTTTCAGTGTCTGTGCCTTGCAAAATTATTCGTGGCGAACCTTGTAAGATTCAATGTTGCCGAACGCAACTCAGGTACGAAGTCGTTGCCCACTAACACTGCATGCATTTTATAGACTTTGGGATTATTGTGTGACTCTCACGCGAGCGACTTGACATCCAATTCATACATGCTATTCTACACGGACGCCACGTGAGGTTGACTAAATTTATATCACATAGTAGTTAAAGCAATTGATCCAGTATAGCATCGACTGCAAGACATAAATAAGAAACTCCGAGCAGAGATTTTTCTAAAGTCTAAGTCATGTAAATGTAGTGTCAATCTGTGTATTTCATTATCAACTGAATCTACGGCTTCGCACTTCCTCTACCTTCAACAATACTTAACAGTGCATAAAACGCTTTCGTATCCAGATCATCGCAATCAGGAAAACGTGTCAGTTCCAGTTCCTCGTTCTCGTCGATTACCCCATCTGGATAAAATTCGAAGCCGTCGTAGCCTTCTTCGTAATATTCTTCCTCCATCCACGGACTAGGCCCCATTCCAGAATGGAACATCACATATCGATCGCGCACCAAATCAGAGAAACTACCTAGGCGTTTCTTGGAACTTCCACTCCCACCTATGGCGAATTGAACCAATCGAGGTAAACTTTGTTGGAAGCGGGGGAAAATGTGATACCAGCGCATAGATATCTCGACCATGAAGTCGGTTGGGACGGAATTGTGGTACAGCACCGGTCGGCCAGTCCAATCTTCAGGCTTTTGTCTCTCATCAACAACAAGATGAGTCACAATTGGGCAGTCATCTAAGTTCAACTTCTCCAGTGTTGAGCCATGCGAGAGTATCCAGTCGATTTGCCAGTCATGTGTGATAGACCAACTGCCCAATGACAGATCCCTAAGATTGGGGAAGTGGATGCCGCGCAAGTCGCATACAGGATAAAATCCCCAATACGAAGCAGAATCGATAGAAAGACGCGTAAGTTGGGACTGTGTTGGCTTCAACCATCCGTTCGGGAGACAATGGTTGAACCCTTTGTGTATCCCTTTCATTTCGATATTGTTCTCCGGCGTGTGATCGTTACTTTCTGTGGCGATCTTGACATGTAAATCTTTGAGTCGCCCGATCATGACCTGAAAACTAGGGGAGTCGAAAACCTCCTGTTCGGTATAGTCTTGTAAGTTGTTTATGGTAAGAGTACGTGCGTTGGATACTGCGGTTTTACTGTTTGCCATGCCTCGCACAAGCGCTTGAAGCACTTGGGTTCGAAACTCGACTGTCTCGGGGATTGACCAGAACTTCGGTTGTTTCATGACACAAACGGATGAAAAGTTCACCACCACCTCTTTCAAGTTTTCAAACTGGTACAAGTTCTCCAGTGCATAGGAGAACCCGACCGGTATCTCCGCTTCAGCGGCCTCTGGCCTTTCTGGAATCATTGTCTTGAACACAGCTCGACGCACAAGTTTCCTCAACTTCGCATCATTGAGAACGTTCTTGTATCTTTGATGGCTCTCCTCGTATGCTTCATGCCATTCGTCCCGGGGCGGATCAAATCCCCTCAATGCCACTACATTAATGACGGAAAACAGCTCTGCTGTGGCTATTGCATGGGCTGTACGGCCGACAAGACGCAATGACTTGAGAGATTCAATATCCAGATTCCGGACGCATCGCTGTTGGAGTTCGAGGGGGAGATCAGACAGCATCTTGTAATCAGAATAGAAGACGGTCCTGTTGAAGATGGGATGTTGTGCTGGAGTTGACTGTCGTGTATGGACAACAAGCTGTATTTATACGAGCGAGAATCAGGCAGCTGTTGGACGGGGCCACAATAGGCAGTTAATGCACACATGAAATTTGCAACGCCAGATCAATTCCCTACTAGGCAATTAATGTACACATGGAATTTGCGACCCTAGACCAAGTCCCGAGTACAGCGCGGATTGAGCATGACATTCGGAACACACTAAATATGGACGTTCAACGGACATGAATGCTGGGGCTGCTTTATCGTACTACGTAGAGACCTAGCACCAGCTGTTTCGTAGGCTGCTAAACGCCAAACCAAGGACGCTAATGGGACATTCGCTCGTTATGCAAGCATTCGAAAATTTCCCTTCCCCAATGTCAGATGTTATGGGAGGTTGGAAAAGCTTTGCCGTATGTCAGGTCGGCTCAATGGCATTGCGTACCTAACTCAACGGGCCGTGCTAGGAGGAGCTAAGAAGTGTACCTAGCCAATCCCCACACCTCCCTCCACATCCCCGCGAATCCCCCATCAACACACAATGTACACATCTATGTCATCGTGAGAAATGTTGTTCATTGCATTCTCATAGCGCCGCGCTACTACCATGTTGAGCTTTGGGATGACGGCCACAAGGAGATTTATTTCTGCAGCTCCTCTGTGGACATGTTCACAATGTGGGCCTTGTGGCCCGCGACGAGCTATCATCGCGGAAGCCCGACGATGGATGAGCAACATGCGAGCTTCTACGACGCGACCTAAAACAGCCATCTTCTTCCCTGGTAAGCCCTTGACAGACAAAATCCCATCAGAGCTTGCTTCCAGCTCGGGCAACATGCGGGGCTGACACTGGCATCGCCATTCAATAGGACAAGGTGTGCAGAGAGTCGGTATGGCTACGCCATGGCTCGAGGCCTTCCCCCGAACATCGAAACCAATTCTTGAGGAGATCGACCACACCCTCAACGTACCCCTCACCTCCATTATTGAGTCTGGCACCAATGCCCAACTCAACTTGACCGAGAACTCGCAGCCGGCCATCATGGCAACCTCAATCCTCATCCTTCGTATCTTGGAGCAGGACTTCGGCTTCAAGCTCAGCGAACGCGTCGACATAACATTGGGACATTCACTGGGCGAATTTGCTGCGCTGGTTGCTGGAGGCTATCTGACGTTCCCTGACGCGTTGCGCCTGACTCGGAAGCGGGCCGAGGTCATGTCCCGCTGCACACACGATGCCGTTGAGCAGGAAGGGAGTGAGTTCGGAATGGTAGCGCTGGTCTGCGAATCTGAAGATCGGATGAAGTCGCTCATCCATGATATTCACGGATTCCTCGAGCTCTCCTCGTCAGGGTCCAAGTCGGATAGCGCGGACCACATCCCCGCGGTTCAGCAGGTCCTGATTGCGAACATCAACAGCAAGAATCAGATAGTGCTGAGTGGGAGCATCGAGAGGATCAATACCCTCATGACGAACCTGCGCCAGTTCGGCGGACATGACCCGCGAAGTGTGAGGCTGAAAAGTGATAGCCCGTTCCATTCCCCAATCATGGTACCTGCACAGGAATATATGAAACGCTTGCTTTACAGGGAACGACCGAATGGCGAAGATATCATCACCTGGCCGGGTGCCATGCCTTGCATATCGAACGTATCGGGCCGCCCTTTCCAGAGTAAAGACCAACTGAAGGACCTGTTGGCAAGGAGCTGCGTGGAAACCGTACAATGGTGGAGATCAATCAAGTGGTTACATGAGGAAGAGAAAGTAAAGAGATACGTAGGCATCGGTCCGGGTAAGGTGGGGAGGAATCTCGTGGGCAAAGAGGTGGGCATGAAAGGTGCTGTGAAAGGCGGTGGAGTCTGGGGCATCACGAGCCCAGCAGAAATGGAAGAGGTGGTTAGAGCTTTGGACGACACGGAAAATGTCGAAGACGAGTGAATAGGAGCCTCGACGGATGATGAGATGCAGAGTCACACCGGTTTGTTTGATGGTGTCACCTTTTGCTACCCGAAGTACACCAAGAGTGTCTGCATTCTGGAAACTGCATACTTTACCCACCACTTCATCTAGGCAAGCTCCTTTAGTGAAAATGGCGCGTATTTCTCAGGTGCAAAGAAATACAAGGCATTTCGTGCCGTGGACCATCTGAAGTATCGCTTGCAGGATGCCAAGGAAGAGCTTTTGGGCGGTGGTGGTAATAGGGTTGTCCTAAGGATGGCTTGCGTGAGGTCCTGCCTGCATCACGTATGATACCAAGGCGAACGAGTGGTTTTCACTGGGCATTTTCCCGATGACGATAATTATGACCCGTAGCTTAAGATAGAAACTTGAGGAAAAGCGGCAGGCAGAGAATTATTGGGGGAGGGAACGGTATCGTCATGTAAAGGTAAATATTCCTGACACCATTATTAGGCACGAAAGGAGGAGAGATCTCTCTGTCATACATGGGTCAAACTGTGATCCTTCCCCCCTCAAGTTTGAAATGTGAAAGAGGGATGTAGACCACTACATTGAGATCTGTATACAATCCACCACCGCTCCAAGTCATATTTGTTCATTGTGCACAAAACACACTTTTTACTCCCGCGACCCAAGTGGTTACTGCCTAGCCTGCTTGGACATTCAAACCTGCATCGACCTGGATTCGCATACCCGTCATCTAGAGAAATCGTAAGTAAAAAGTCGCGAGGACTCAAGCAGGCATTTCATCTTTTTGAACATTTAATCGATTACTTACGCTTGTGTTCTTGGCTAGCATGATAAAGGCATCTGCGCAATCATCCAGATAGACTTCGTGCTTCAACACGGCCGCGTCCTTGAGAGCCGCGATCTTGTCTTCCGGGTATTTGAGACCCTGCGCCATAGTCTCGATTAGTTTTCGGTATCCTATGCATATCGTGGAGGGAAAGGAAAGAACAGGTTGGTTGGTAGGATCGCGAACAAGAGAGGAAGGTCTCCAAAGATAACGAGTAGGTACACCAAGGCAATACGGGATTGCGAGAACAACGTACCCATTCTGTGAGCAGCAGACCCGGAAGTACGGTATTGACCCTGATTTTGGGGCCCTGGGTCTGCCCTAGACACTTGACGAGCTGGAGCTGTGCGGCTTTGGTCACCGAGTACGGCATGGAGGAGCCACCCTGAGTCAAGGCCTAGAAACGTTCAATACAGTCGTCAGCTCAAGTCTGCTACATGGAATTGAAAGGAAAACACATAAAAGAGCAGAAACATCAGCACGGGAAGATAGGGGTCCAGCTTAGGCCACGATGGGATAGATAAATGGAAGCAGAAACGCATACCGCAATAGACCCCGTAGTGATCATTACACCTCCATCGGCATTGGCCTCCAAAGTTGGTTTCGCCGCTTTGAGGAGCGCGTGAGGCACTTTGACGTTGGCTGACCAGCACTACAAGCACACGTGCGCGATATTCATCAGTTGTAAGCTCTGGATATAGTGGGTGGAACACTTGTTACCTTGTCCCACTCATCGTAATCCATGGCATCCAGATCTGCGAAGTTTGAGAATCGTGTCCATCCCTGAATACGCGTCTACGTTAGTATGTTGGTTCTCGATCATATTGACATAACACGAACGGTGACACTTGAGAGAGAGAGAGAGAGAGAGAGAGAGAGAGAGAGAGAGAGAGAGAGAGAGAGAGAGAGAGATCGTGGAAACGATTAGAATCGTAGGCGAAAGGATGTCAGAAGGGTGAGAAAGAAGACAGTGCCAAAAAATACCATATTCGAAATAATGATATCGATGCCACCCAACCCCTTGATCGTCTCGTCGATCACACGCGGGCATTCATCCGTGCTCGTCATATCCTACCAGCAATCCAAGCGTCAGTATCGCGTAGTCGATTTTCTTCTTATATTTTCTTCTCTTTGCAGAAACATGGTAGGAATTACGCACAGCCTTGACCAGAATCGTCTTGACACCATGGGCTTCGCATTCACGCGCGACCTTTTCCGCGGGCTCGATGCGATTGAAGTAGTTGACGGCGATGTTGCAACCGTGCGATGCAAACGTGGTAGCTACGAGGGCCCCGAGACCCCTGATAAAAGGCGCAAAAATTGTCGGATTAGCATAGGTTGCTTTTCTTATTCGATCCCAAGATTGTGCGATGATGATTGAGTGCAAATCGTACACGTGCGCCAATGTACTAACTTGGAGATGGGGACCCTTTTCCTTGTGGTGCAATGCATGGAATTGCTTCGACCACGTGAAAGCGGAGGAAGAGGCAAGGTAAGACATAGATACTCACGCTGATCCGCCTGTGACCAGGACGTTTCGACCTTTGAGAACATACGGCATATTCTATATATAATTTGATGCTTTCTATGCGTGGCATTGTCGATGTGGGGTTAGTCCTCTTCAGCTAATAACAAATGGGTATGGAGAATGCTATGTGTTTGTGTACCTGGAAGTTTGCAGCACTTTCACACTGTCTAGTATGGAGAACAAGATCAGAGTATTGACCAAATAGCTATGTAGGCCGAGGAGGAGAGTGGGGATGTGGAGACGTGGAGACGTGGAGTGATGCCGGGCCACCAACTTCACCCCGCAATAAGTGTCACAATGGCCCCCCGCTGATCCTCATGATTTCTTATCCAGGTTATTGCGCATCCTCACCACAATACTGCGCACGGCATCCCTAATTGCTTTGGTATACGTGAACGAATATTGACTGTCACGTTGGCAGTGAAAAACATGAGCAATACGTGGACAAGCAGCTACCACGCCTAAAGCGTGTATACGTGTGGGCTATCCAAAATACAACAGAGCCGACTTTACCAACATGCGCTACATGTCAGTGAAGTCCAACCCCCAATCGTCACCCTCCCCGCCCAGGCCCATGTCTCCCATGTCTCCCATATCTCCCAGATCAAGGTCAGGGAGATCGTCCATTTGAATATCAGCATCCATTCCACCAGCCCCCACTCCTATTGCACTTAGATCTACGCCTGCCGCCGAAAGATCCAGGTCGTCCATGGTGCGATTTAAGCCTTGCTTGTTCAGATCTATGTCGATTCCCTCTATTGTAGACATATCACCGTTGGCTGTTGCCAAGACTCCTGCTGTGGCATCATCCATTGCTTTATCAAGATCATCAGGAAGGTCCTGTGATGGTACATTCGTCAGGTTGACCGTTGATAACATGGCATCATCGGTAGGGATGCTAGCTGTTTGAGCGAGGACTGCAAACAAACCCTCCACACGTCGATGGAGACGAACAATACTTTCAGCAACTAACGGATCCGTGGATACGAGGCTGGCAGCATCATCTAGCTCGCTTTTCAGGGCTTCCCGGAGATTTGAACGGGTTCGCAGTGGCGAAGGAGCTAGGATTGAACTGCCAGCCCAGTTGACAGGTATGGGGCTGTTCTCAACCATTGGCGCACAAATGATAGAGACACCTACATCTAAAGCAGCGGGACCATTTCCAGCATCCGTTTGTGCTTTGATCTCGTCAACAATGGCCCGAACCGTCTTGGATGCGCCAATGAGTTTAATGCATGTATAAATCTGGCGATGAGTATAACTTGGGGGGTTAGGTTGTAGCCCTGCCGAAGAAGCCCACTGTGAAAGCTGCTGCACAGTATTTCGTAGCGATGAAACGAGCGTATTACTAGTAGCATTTGTCCATTGGTCCAACTCTGCTGCAGATGAATACACCGAGCGCTCGTAGTGGAGATTGCCTTTTACACCTTTGATTGCGTGGAGGAGCGGTTCGATATCGGTAAGGTTTGGATGGCGTCGCTTTAATGTGCGAAAGCATTTCTCCAGTCGTGGAGACACCACAGAGAGGATAGTGGAGTGCATAGCTTGTGCATCACCGGATGTCGGTGTAGACCGAATCAATTTGCCAAACATTTGCATCAGAACATCCAGATCTTGATGCCCAGAAAGCAAGGCATGCGATGCCATCCATGATAAGCCACCAATCAAGGCCGGCAAGAGAAAGGTCTCGTGGAGATCTAATTAAGTTTAGTGCAGGCTTAGGCTCAGATCTGGGAGCACGACTTACACTCTAATCCACCCTTGACTGTGTCCAAAGATAGCACATCTGCTGAGCAGGCCATTACAGTTTGACTGAAGAGCGTAGGCACTATGAGGTAGAAATCTTGGGGCCGACAAGATGCAAAAACCTCGTTACTGAGTCCTTCCTTATCAGAATCGTAGAGATCTCGTAACCAGCTCCCAAGATGATTGCCTTGCTCATCCGTCAATTCGTCTGGCATTACACTGCGGTAACCGCTTTCCAGTAATTGAGCGACAAAAGAGTTATGGTTAATCCCCAAGTCGTAATGGGTCAAGTCATATCGATGGATAAAAGCCATGACCAGTACCAATATTGCACCAAACTCATCATAGACCGGTTGATATTCACCTATCGTGATTAGAAACACTTCGATTCAATAAAGGCAGGTCACTCTACCTTGATCTCCATCGTACCGCCATTCATCGAGAAAGACACATAATGGTTTCAGTATGCTGATAGGCGAAGTGAACTGCAAAATAGTATCCAAGGCCTGTGACTTCCTAGATAAAAGATTGCATATGTTTTTGAGATGCATCGTCATCTGTGTCTCACAAAGATGCGCTATGAACTACTTGCGGGTTAGCGAGTACTGAATGCTAAGACACAAAGCGTACCTCTGTCACAGCGCCCACGATAGCGCCTGCGTTCCCGTCGAGGTTTTCCAATTCTTCAATGTAGGCATACACTTTTTCAAAATTATCCTTGCACTGTGCGAGCAGATTCTGCTTGGAATACTTGATTGCGGGTGGGCCTTGCATTGGTGCTTCCCCAAGTAAACGCTCGATGGTGCTTGTTTGGATCAAATTATGCAGTGCGCATGCGTTGAGGAACTCCTGGCGCACCTCAGATAGAGAGTTGCTGTTCCCCATAATGTCCTCGAACCCTTGCGAGAAGGCAGGGAAAGCATTTGGATCTATATGACTTAAAGCCTGTGTAATGCACAGCTCCGGGTTCATGGCATACATAGAAGAGGCGTATTGGGATAAAAGAAGGGGTATCTTGTTGACAAGGAAAGACTTCAAGCTATACATGGTCTGAGTCGGTTCATTCCGGTACATAGCGTTTGCTAGGAGATCGAACGCTGCGGTGACCAAGTCGGTTGCCATAACCTGAGCATCCATCTACATTCATTAGCCGTCTTTTCTTCCGGAGTCTTTGTGATTCGTGTAGAATATACCTTATAGCGGGAATTGAGATAGCTGGTGATTAGAATGTCATCTGTAAGTGGGCGGGCAACAAGCTACTCTGATTAGCATCCCATTGATTTGGCGAGCTCAGAATCGTACCAATGAGTGTAAGAATATATAGAGGCCAGCTCGGGTGTTGATTAAAGGGATTTCGATAACAGCTTCCAGCTGCAAAGCAGCGACAGCATTCTCTCCAGCATCTTCGTTAGAGTTGGGTAGTGACTTGTCGTGGAGGTCGTGTTCTTTTTGGTACATTTCGAGGCGGTTAGCAATTGCAATAGAGGTTTGCGAGAGGAATGGTATGAAAGTTGAAAGCGCCTGAGCAAACTGTTTCCGGATTTCTTTGAGCTCGCTCCTGTTCAACAGCTCAAGGATTTTGGCATTATCGATCAGGCCAAATATGAGCAGTCCCAGCGCCTCGCGGACATTGATAGACTGTTGCTGAGGGTGTTGTTGGATACCGGCTAGTGCCTGTATCATCGAGTCGCTAGTGTGAGAGGTGACCATTGCCGACATCCAAGCTGTGACAACGTACACAGTGCCAAGACCTTCTGCATTGGTAACGGGCCTTTCGACGCGTTCTCCTGAAAAGGCTTTGTGCAGGCGATGGAAAATAACCTCCTCCAGCTCGGGTGGGTTCCGCCATGATGAAGGATCCTTGGAGTCGTGCGCCTCGCCTTGCTTTGCGGGGCGATCCTTGGAATACTGAAAAGCAGCCTGCAGGAGATCCGAGGCATCAATTTTCTTCAGGATAAGTAATCGCTCAACGTAGACGAGAACACGAGGATCGGGGCTGATTGCTATAGCACAGCGCGGCTTCAGCAGCAGGGCAGCGATTTTCCGACCAGGAAGTGGAGATCTGATGTGTAGCTGGGCGACTGCAGTGTCGAAGAGATCAGCGTGAATCCGTGATGCGAGGCATTTATCCAGAAAGACGGCCCACTCTTTGGCCAAAGATTCCATGACCCATGAGACAGCTCCAAAGCGGATTATTGTGAGGCGTGAGGTTGGGTTGGAATAAGGTCAAGCTTCGGAGAGGTGTGAGTGAAGTTCCGCGGATCTTCCAGCGAGTCAGGCTTGGCGCTCCGCCAACACCAATACAAAGGGTTCCATTGCATGCAGCACATCGGTATACACACACACACGCACGCACATGATCTATCATTATTGCATGGTGTTGGTTATTACGCGGCCTTGTGGGTCTATACGAACATGCGAACGAGCCTGAATCGCGTCAATAAACAAGCCTGAACAGATCATGCATGCAGGCGTGATGGATCCCGAGCTCTAGGAAGATCTCGCAGGATGGATCAGGGGGGCGGGAATGCAATATCTATAGATGCTCATGCACGGCGACCTCGATTTGGTGAAGGGGATCGGGCACGTCAACCTCAAAGCAGACAAGTTGACTCTAGGGATGACACGAACACGAAGGAAGCACTGCACCGTGATAGATCTACCATCCCTGTCCTTGTACATATCATTGCTTTTGTTTGATTCGACCCAAACAACAAAAAACATAGATTGATCATCGTCACCAACACCAACACCATGTGCCATCTATTTCCAGGCGTGAATTCCTAATCATGCAGTAGCTACCCAGCCCTTGAGATGCACCAAGGGAACCCTTCTGCCCAATGAGAACAATGAATCCTCGCTATGCCCAGTTTCAACCCTGCTAACGCCGTGCAATCACTCCCAAAATGCCATGCTCGTACGTAGTCGCATCTCTCACTGCTTCAAGCAGATCCTGTGTAAATTTCGACGTGAACCCACGCCTACTCCAGCGCAAAAATCGCAAAAATCAAGACCCCCCGCCATCCGATTCGGGCGCCCTTGGGCCTATTTCCCAATCGCGCATGTACAGCCACTGGCTCCACATCTTCTCAGCGCTGTCGATTTCAGCCTCTTGAACATCTTGAAGAGGTTTCAAGAAGGGAACGGATTCCTGGGGAGACATGTCGTATTGAGTCTTGACACTTGCCCACCCACTCTTGGCGGCGAAGAGGTAGTTGCGTCGCTCGCACTCGTGCACAGGGCCCACTCCCTTCCGCCACTCATCACCAAAGAAGCCGTGCATGATGCCTTCCTTATCCATGCCTGTGATGATGAGCCGTCGGATAAAGGGCACTAGAGAAACCCATGCAGGGGCGGGTTGTCCCCGAGAATTGTTGGGGGGCCGGGGCCAGGGCATGTTGTTGTAGGGTGGCTGCCCTGAAGAGTTTGGCAGCGGACCAGATGAATTGAGGATGGGGTTGGAGGGCCATTGAAAAGGTAGGCAGATGTTGATCAAGGCGGCGACAGCCTGCACGCCATTGTCATGCTGGGCGTGGTCGAGAAAATAGCGCTGGCAGCTCTGGTACGCGGGGTGCCATTCGAAAATATCAAATTGGGGTGTTCCAGCGCTTGGGCTGCCTGCAGAGCTACCAAGTGCAAAAGAGCCCGGCCTGGGGTGGACAGCAGGATAGCCGGCAGGGAAGTGGGTGGTGAAGCCGTGAAGGTTGGACATGTTGAGCGAGACCGGACTACTGCAGGAACAAGAAGCATCAGCGCGTGTGGTTGGTTGGGTGGGGGAACACCAGTTCTTATGTACTACAGAACAGCAGGTAGTTGGCGACTAACCCACAAGTTTCACAGTGATGGGCGGCCCAGGAAATGACCTGGGTGGGCGAATAAACGCACGACGATCAGATGGAGCAGTCCGACCCAGCAGTAGTCCAGAGTAGTAGTATGGGTAGCTTGAGTAAGTAGGCGTGTGCGGGTTGTGGCTAGACGGGTTGATGGCCGGCTCACGCGAATCGATTACTTGCTGCACATGCACAGGGAACAATGGGGAAGAGTATGTTGAAGAGGAAGAAGAATATTATGATGGCGATGATGCAGAAGAAGAAACGATTGGGCGAAGCAACGCGCGAGGGCGCAATAGCAAGGCGACAGTGGTGAAGACGATGGCGACCAAAGGTACATGTAGATACGGCGGCACCCGCAGAGCCTTATATCTTTGATGATGTTGACGATGGGACCAGCGGGAATCAGGCAAGGTGTGGCTGGCCTCTCGGGCGTCTCCTACCGTCACCTATTGGAGCCCCCAATGTGATGCTCTCTTTTTGATAATTCCAAAACCATCCCTGGTGAAGTCGAAGTTCGAGGCGTCGGCTCCGGGCCCTGCACCGATCTTTGCCAGGGAGCTATGAGGCCGCGCCAATGGAGGGCTGGAATACGATCCGCCCGGCACACGGAGATAGCGTCGTGGCGAATGTGGCTGTCCCGCTGGGGGCTGTTGGTGTTCACGCCTGTCGGTACACTGTTATAGCATCGTGGTGTGCGTTCCGTGCTGGTTCGGGTCTTGTCAAGTGTGTGCTGTGGGGGGGCGGGCGAGTGGTGAAGCTGGCAGAAGGAACGATTGGAGGTACATGGATATACACGTGCACCTCCCACTCCATCATTGATGTAAACTATATATGTATGTAGTTTCAAATGTTACGTACCATGCTTGTATAGAAGGTACCTACATGGCTATTCCAACACTGCAATATCGCAGAAAACCTGCATCGTATCAGACGTATCAGGTTACGAAAGCAAGGAACAGTTGTACATGCATTGATCAATTATAGTTGTAGTAACCAGTGTACGGGTTCCTGGAATCTGAACAATTCGTATAGCCCCAATCCGTATGCTGTAGAATTAATAGCAATCGACATTGTGTACTGTGCATGCATGTATCTGCTTGGACGATCCTCCATCTTGGTGTTTCAAAGTCTCTCTAATGATGAATAAATGAATGAATACACCCGCGCCGTTCCCTCGACAAGTGCTGTGTGAATTCTCCGGCTGCCAGCGGTTTCGTTGGCCGAGCCCCCTAACAAGACCTCATCGCTTCCCACCATCTCACAACGTGCATGCACCTCTCTTTGCCTCACACGTAATATGATTACAAGGGATTGTCCTGTTCCGACGGCCTGCGTATTCCAGTCCCTCAAAACTCAGATATCCGGGGCCAGTCACAATCGGTGGGCCCGACTTGTTTTCTCCTCCCCTTCAACATTCTGGACCCCTTCGGAACGTCGCTCCGCCGCGGTGGGACAGGCCGCGAGTGTTTTGCCTCTTCATCCTCCTCCTCCTCCCGGTTTATCATGCTTCGTCGTTCTAATTCCCCTTTTAATCGTTTTGTTCCCTTCGGTTTCGTGTCTGTGTTTCATCATGGCCGTGCCCAAAGTGGTGACGTCTATGCCTTCAACCGACGTTCGCCGATCAACTCGTGGCAATGCCCCGCCGCGAGACGCCTCTGTAGCACACTCCCTACAAAAAGGACATGTCTGTCTACAAACATACACCGGGCCAAGTCGCACGCGCCAAGTGCTATCGAAAGCATGTCCATCTGTATGCACGCCATGTATGCAGTATTTCTGTATGTATGATGTATCTAGTAGGTATCTACATACATGCCTAGTACCTAGTCACGTTCATGTGTGCCCTGGTCGCTGCGGCACACATGCGACACCACCCACAATCTATGAACATGGCGCGAATCCCAGAGGATTGCATGCTAGAGCGTATTCTTTATAAAAAAAAAAACTTTTGTTTCCAAAGGGCGAATTTGCGCGGCTTGCAGGGCATGGTCCCGTGAGAGGCAGCCACGTCTCCCTGTGCACATGTGCAAGGTTCAAACCATCAATTGCCAGGAGCCATTTTCCAAAAAGCAAAAAGGCGAAGAGAAACACTCCCTCCTTCGCCGTCCAATATTACAACTGCAATTCAATATCACCACAGCTCAGCCAGCTGTGCACAATGCTTGTCCAAGTTGCTCTCTTCGGCGCGCAATCGTCGTATTGGGGTCGTGTTGGCCGCTAGGGTCCATCCTCCCCTCGTCAGAAAGCATTCACAGTTGCGTCACGACTCCACACACACCCACCCCATGTCCTTCCTTCGAAGCATCGCCTATGGCTGGAAAAACTCGTTCCGAATTTCCTCGCCCTTGTCCGTACGTTTGGTATTCACGCACATCAATCGTTACCAGTAACTCGGACGGCCCATTTGGCAACTGCTGCATTCCCGTCCCGAACATACATGGTCCCTCTTGCGACCCACGACAAGCATCGAGTTTAGCGAACACCCTACTGAGCGTATATTGGTAGATCGATCGTGGCGGCTTACTGCAGAATCGACAACCCTTTACCATCTCTATACCTGCGTGTGTTTGTGTGTTTGTGTATTCCATTTGCATCTACACCTGTCCCTTGCTGGCCGCTGTTACCATGTCCTACTCGCTAGCCTCGCGGACCAAGGTATGCAGCCATTGTTGCCATGCAGTGGCAGCTCTTCTCCGATACATGCGCTGATTTCGACTTCATTGCAGTTGGCCAATGGCTTGTCTATGCCCACTATTCATCTTGGGGTTTATTTGACCACGGGAAAGGAAACGTACCAGTCGGTACGATGGGCTCTGGAGGTCAGTATGCAACGAGTGAGAGCCTGAACACGTTTCTGAGCTGACTTGTACGTGACTTGTACACCTACAGGCGGGATATCGAGGGTACGTCATCAGGCTCTCAGCCCTGGTATGACCACTGACGAAGCACGCAAACAGCATCGACTCTGCTCAGATGTACCACAATGAGAAGGAGTCTGGGCAAGCCATACTCGATTTTCTTTCGGGCGACACCAACACCGAGTCGCTCAAAAGGGAAGATATCCACTTCACCTCCAAGCTGGCCTCCAACTCGTCCTACGATGCCGCCCGAAAAGCAATCAGATTGTCTGTGAAGCAGTGCGGGCTAGGCTACATTGACCTGTTCCTCCTCCATTCCCCATATGGTGGCAAGAAGGCGCGTCTGGAGAGCTGGAGAGCAGTCGAGGACGCCATTGAGGACGGTGAGATCCGAATCGGTGGTGTGTCCAATTACGGAGTCAAGCATGTCAGTGTCTCCCCTCGTTGGCGTGCGCATATACCCGCAACGCAGTACAGCCTTAACCGTGGGATCTGTGAGCGCAGTGCATGCATACACGGTGCATACGTGCGTGCATGTACCAACTATTTGGATACGCCGATTACGATGCTTACTTTGAACCTTTTACTGACAAAGCCCATCTGTGCAGCTACAAGAGCTTCTTGACTCCAAACCGAGGGTACAGCCCGCCGTCAATCAGATCGAAGTGCATCCGTTCAACACGCGCAAGGACATTACGTCCTACTGCCAGGATCACAACATTGTGGTGGAAGCGTATGCGCCTCTGGCCCGAGCCTTGCGCATGAAGCACCCGACGATAGTGTCGTTGGCCCAAAAGTACTCGTGCACACCGGGCCAATTGCTTATTCGATGGTCTCTGCAGCATGGGTTTGTACCCTTGCCCAAGAGTGTCAGGAAGGCTCGGATTACAGAAAACGCTGAGATTGGGGGGTTTGCGCTGGAAGACGGCGACGTGGAAACAATGGATGGGCTTGACGAATATCTGGTCACGGGTGAGTAGGGCAAGAATCCCTTGCGTGTTCCTTTTTTCTTTGCGCCAGACAACGAGAGGTTGAATGATAGATGCAACTGCCGGAAGGGTGGCCGGTGGTCGGAACAGCGACTTCGGCGGCGGGTCTGGGTCACGAGACCCATGTGTGGTTCCGTTCACGTTCATATTTGGTACACATGCTGACTGATTTGGAGACTGGGATCCCACCGACGCCGACTGAGGCGATGAAAACATGTAGGTATGGGCATGGAGGCGGCGTGGGGTAGGCAAAGAGAGGAGGAAGGCTGGAAAGATGGATTGATACGAAGGCTGAGGGTGGCGCCATGGTCACGCACCTGGGCACGTATGTATGTATGCTCGACATGTGTTGCGGAGTGGATTCGATGGAGGGATGATGTGGTTGAGCAAATCAAATAACATGAGGGAAATGCAAGACAGTATCTCCGCGCGTCCCCAATGGTGTGCACCGAGGAAAAGCAAAGACGATGGTGAAAGGACAAAGAAGAGGAAGAGGAAGAGTAAAAAAAAAGGCAACCAATCACAGCGAGAGGCGCCACAGATGGACGAGCACCCCCGCTCCCCGTCCCCCCATCCCATGGCCTTGCACATGCACATACACACATGTAACTCGATTGCACATGGCATGACCATCCCTCCTGAAAAAAAAAATTGGCCCTCACTCAGCACCCCCGCGGGCATACACTGTCTTCCCCACCTTGTCCGCACCAGCAGCTACACGGCTACAGGTGTGCTAGCCAGCTTAGCATGAGGTTCGCGCCGAATTCGGCAGCCATGACGGCGTGCTATGACAGGAATTCCACGGGCGCAGGCCCGACGCGTTCGCCCGCGCGCTCGACGCCATTGGCTCGTGCCGTCCTTATCTATTCCACCTACAAGATGGTTTGCGTCGCCGAAATCTCGACACATGGCTCTGGCCAGTGGCAGCCCGCAAACCACTCGTCGTCCTGGGGGGACGCCCTGCGCCGGTGACGTTGTATCTCGTCCCGTCTGTTTGTTTTTCGCTCTGGTCATGGTTGGGGACGCCGCGAAGGCGGGGTGTGCATCGGAAGGACACGGCGAGAGATGCCTTTGCTGTATACATATAAAATGCTACTCCATCTTTGCCTGTGTAACCGCCCTCTCTTCCAATTTCTCTCTCACACTTCTCTCTTCCTCTCCAATCTCTTGCAATCCTCCTCTTGCCCCGTCGACATTGCAGTCGTTCTGACTTGACTATCCACCTGTTGATACCCTATTCTTGCTTCCAATTCCACCATCATTATGCCTGCTGCGTACGAGCCCGAGTTTGAGCAGGCCAGGAAGGGTATGATATGCTATCCTTCCTACCACCTCGACCCTAGCTAACAACCTTGACTCCAGAGCTTGTCTCCACCCTCGAGTCCTCCTCTCTGTTCGAGAAGAACCCAGAATACAAGAAGGCCCTCGAAGTCGTCGCCATCCCCGAGCGCATCATCCAGTTCCGCGTCGTCTGGGAGGATGACAAGAACCAATGCCAGGTCAACAATGGCTACCGTGTGCAGTTCAATTCGGCCCTTGGTCCTTACAAGGGCGGTCTCCGCCTACACCCCACCGTCAACCTTTCCATCCTAAAGTTCTTGGGCTTCGAGCAGATCTTCAAGAATGCTCTCACTGGCCTGAACATGGGTGGTGCCAAGGGAGGTGCCGATTTCGACCCCAAGGGCAAGTCCGACAATGAGATTCGCAAGTTCTGCGTTTCCTTCATGCGCGAGCTCTCCAAGCACATTGGCGCCGATACCGACGTCCCCGCCGGAGACATTGGTGTGTCTGGTCGTGAGATCGGTTACCTTTTCGGAGCATACCGCACCATTCGAAACCAGTGGGAGGGAGTGCTCACTGGCAAGGGTGGAGCCTGGGGAGGCTCTTTGATTCGCCCCGAGGTACGTTGATATCGCTATATCATGTTGCAGTTTGATACGCCAGTTATGCAATCACACATGCGTTATGGGAAGTTGCTAACTTTGTCCTCTTTCTCTGCAGGCTACTGGATACGGTCTCGTATACTACGTTGAGCACATGATCAACTACGCCTCGGGAGGCAAGGAGACTTTTGCCGGAAAGAAGGTTGCCATCTCAGGATCCGGCAATGTTGCTCAGTATGCTGCATTGAAAGTGATTGAACTCGGCGGTACGTTACCCAGGGGACAGAAGGTATCAAGACGCCGCATCTCGCGACGTCTCGAGCCTTTGCTGTCCTATTCAATCAATCTTGTACGACTTTGACTGACCTTGTATTAGCTACCGTCGTCAGTCTTTCAGACAGCAAGGGCGCTCTCATCGCGACCGAGGGCAAGGGCTTTACGCCTGAAGACATCAACAAAATCGCCGCGCTCAAGGTTGAGCGCAAGGCTTTGACCGCTTTTGAGGGCCACTCCTACAACTACATCGAGGGCGCGCGACCCTGGACCCACGTCGGCAAGGTCGATGTAGCTCTTCCTTCAGCGACCCAGAACGAAGTCTCCGAAGACGAGGCCAAGGCTCTTATCGATGCTGGCGCCAAGTTCATCGCCGAAGGCTCCAACATGGGCTGCACACAGGAGGCCATTGACGTCTTCGAGGCTCACCGCAAAGCCAACGGCGGCAGCGCCATCTGGTACGCCCCCGGAAAGGCTGCCAACGCCGGTGGAGTAGCTGTTTCTGGTCTCGAGATGGCACAGAACTCGCAGCGCTTGAGCTGGACCTCCGAGGAGGTGGACGAGAAGCTCAAGGGTATCATGAAGCAGTGCTTCGACAACTGCCTGGAGACGGCCAAGGAATACATCACTCCTGCCGAGTCTGAATTCCCCAGCTTGGTTGCCGGTGCCAACGTCGCTGGCTTCAAGAAAGTCGCTGCTGCTATGCACGACCAAGGTATGCCACATCCCAGATCCTGATTGGCTGAGTTTTCACTAACGATGTGTGCAGGTGATTGGTGGTGAAGGGCTAGCTGCTGCTCTGCGAGCATCCAGCAACCGTTTGTTCATGTATAAGTTTTAGCGATGAGAGTATGTCGATGGGGGAAGAGAAACAGGCGCTATTACAGGGGGTATCGAAAATTATACCCTTCATCGAGTCCACTGAGTTTGGGGTATTTCACCTTTTAGGGACGGGCGTATTGTATATATAGGTCGCTTTTTCGTCTTGTTACTCAGATACCTTATGAATTTCCACGCATTATGAAAGAAACCTGATCCTGCCATCCTGAAATCAGTTTTACCTCTCTTTGAAAAAAGTTGCAGTGGGCGAGAACCCCGCAGATCAATCATTATGTTTCCCACTGACATAAAAACCCCGTGGGTTCGACAAATGCGCACGCATGTGGAAATGCCACCCCCACGCCGGGAAAGAAAGAAAAAATGGGAAAGAGGAGAGACTAGGGTGCAATGTTCCGATCGGAACTGTTTCGGAAGCACGATTTCCGACACTCCAAAACAACAAACATCAGCAAGAACACTTGGGACAACAATTGACGGTATGTAGGCAGAGGCGGATCCATACCACGGGACGAACATTCATCCCACCCACAAACCAGAACGATCGATTTTGTGATCTTTATTGAGTACGGGACTCATATATATAGAAGCCAGAACGGATCAAGAGATGATGCAAGAGGGCATCGTGCTGCAATTGCACTCTCTCCCTGTGTGCGCATCAGGTTATATACCGGATTCCTTCTGCCTGTGTTTCCCAGCATTCTGCGTCTCGGGCCTGAATATCCCATTCATTCCTTCAACCATCACACATGAACCCACTCGTGATGCAGTATCGAGTGACATCATGCAAGTAATGCCGTAACCGGGTATATATAGTGCGGCATACATACATATGTATGTAACCACTTATCCTATTAGCCATACGTTAGTTATTTGTGCGTCCATGGCTGGTAGAGAAGAAGTTATGTATGTCCATAGTAAGTACCTGTTCGATCGCTGGTTGACCGCCGCTTTTCCTCAGGGCGTTGGTCGGGGGTCGAGGCGTTCCCGCTCACCCCCGGATCATATTGCAGCTCTTAGAAGTATCCTTCCATGTCTTCCTCCGAGTATCCTTCACCGTCCGTATCGTTCTCCGAAAAGATCCCAAAGGCTTGCCGACACCTGCTCTCCTCGCTCTCTGAACCGTGGAAGTGGAACTTGCATCTCTCCTCCTCTTCGATATTCTGTCGAGACTCCGGGTTCAACAGCACTACAATTCATCGTGCCATGAACTCATTCGGAAGGTTCTCCCGCGCCAGATCCTCGAATCGCAGATTTTCGGTGGTGGTGGTGTGGTACCATTTGCGGCATTGATCCAAGACAAGGTATTGCATGAGGAAATCCTTCGCGGGGAGGTTATCGGAGACGAATCGAACCTCCTCGTACGATGTTCCGACATCCGATTCCCACGTCATGTTGACATAGGCATTCCAGGCCGCTTCGAAAAATTTAGGTGCGAGGATCCTGTCGCCGAATGCGCAGGCCTCGAGTGCCGACATGGGAGGGTTGCCATTGTGAGGTAGGACAGCGACGCGGATCCATTCTTCCTCATCGTTTGGGAGGTCCTGCGCGTACAGCCAGTGAACGAAGACGTTGAAGACGCTCGGGTCGACGTCGTCCATGACTACAGTTCCGTTGGACTCCCGCCAGTGGCCATTGAATGCCGTGACGAAGTACTCTGAGTGGTGGGTGAGCAAGTCTCTGTGAACCTGATACGCTTGATGATCAGATCCAACTTGAACAGTAGCGGTAGGACCCTGGACCCAGTCGCTATCGTCGTATTAGCAATCGTCTTAGGGTGAGGCAAGGTGCTGTACTCACCCTATAGTCAGCTGGGGTTGAGGCTGGGGAGGCATGGTTGGATTTGGTGATCTGGTTGAAAGGTTCGAAGTTGTGCGTGGAGAAACGATAGCAAGGGAGTAGAGAAGCAGCTGTTTGTATAGCTGCTGGGGAAAGTTTTCTACTCCTAGTGACTAAGGCTGACTCATTGATAGAAGTGAAAGTGAGGGTGAAGTTTGAGGTGAAGATGAGAGTGAGTTTCAAAGTGAAGTCTAAAGTGAAGTCTAAAGTGAAGTCTAAGGTGAAGTCTAAGGTGAAGTCTGAGGTGAAGTCCAAAGTGAAGTCCAAAGTGAAGTCCAAAGTGAAGTCCAAAGTGAAGTCCAAAGTGAAGATACAAGTGAATACACCTATAAAAGTGAGCAGGGTGAAAGCATCATCTGTAAGGTGTTAATACATCAATCGCATGTTACTGCAAACTCTCCCTACTCTTTAGTAACACTAATTAAGAGTCTCTACGCTATGTAGGGTATTCCTGTAGAGAACAGAAAAGACCAAATATTCTTATACTATAAATGAACTCGGGTTGTATAATGGTATCATAATTTTATTTATACACACTTCTGCCAACGTGTGCAAGTGTGTCTGTCTGTAGACAGTGAGGCATGAAGAGGCTTGACAAGAAAAGACAGGAAAGACTAAACCGACACCTATAAACAGAAAAAATCGGTCTAGATTTAATAAACAACATCCTTGTGCGCCGGCTAATGCGTTGAATGCTATGATGCTGAAGCCTGGTGTTAAACCATTTGTTGTACAAGATGCCCAAATATTTCGCTTTGCTACCCTTCTCTTGATACTCCCCCTCTGACCCAATCGCACTAGTAATACAAGATGACTTTCAGGACTCCTATAACAGATGCGCCTAAGCCATTCCCAACAAATTATACTCTATCTCTCAGCCCTATAGCTATTGTCCTTTGCCAGACCCAACGTATTTTCTTAGCCGATATTTAGACGAACGTTTAGGGAGCGGATTTTGCCGATCAGGTTTTATTTCCCATAGCCCTGTGAGGGCGGGCAAAGGGCGTCGCGGATTGATCCTTAAAAACGTCTGCGACGGGTTCGGGTCATCATTACCAGCGCTTTCGGTCTTGGAGGAGTTGGTTCTCGAAAGGATATCATAGGAATCTTCCTCATCAGAAGCATCATGACGTGTGCTGTGTGCGCTGGAATCAGGCACTGTAGTTGGACTACTCGAAATAGCGGGAAGCGATGATTCCACATTGGTCGGAAGCGAACGTTTGAGGCGCGCCTCCTCTACCTCTAGAGCCTCCATCTCACGGTTTAGCTTATTGATTTCCTCGAGCAACTTCTGCGACTCGGCTTCTTCGTGACCCGATCCATGTTCTCTCGATTCCGCATTATGGATGTCGATGGACTGTGCGGGTGATAGTATCTCGTTCACCCGTTTCCGCTCCTCCATATCGATTGTCCTGATATCAAAGGATGCCGGGTCCTGCTCTATCATATCCTTCTCACGCAAAAAATCTCCAACAAGATACAGGCTACCAGTGACAACAACCCGACGTGACCCCCCGGACATATATTTGGCGGTGCAAAGTGCTCGTAATGCTCCTGGTTGAGGGACATGAATGGCGAGCATTTTAGGATGAATGTCAAGGACAGTACGTTTCAATTCCTCGGGGTCCATAGGCTTGACCCAAGGCATGCCATCTACAGGCCCGAAGGATGTCGTCACGACGATATCTCCAGGTTTTATAATATTTTGAAGATATGCATGAGCATCCTTGCCTTTGGTCATGGCAAGCACCCAGACGACAGGCTCAGAGGGTGCGGAATCGCCATGGTCTCTGTTCGCACTGTTTCTCAATCGCCTCTTTACCCATTCGCCCAATTCGATCGCGGCGTCTGGGTTGTGGGCACCGTCAACCGTAAGATGGAAAGGCTGGCCATATATGACAGAGGGAACACTGACGCGCTGGGTGCGGCCTGGGAAAACCTTGCTCCTCAAGGATGGAAGCAAAGTGGGAGCCTTTTTGGAGCTTTCGCCGATACTCTGGAGCGCCCTGACAAAAGCCAGGTAAGCGAGGACTACATTATCTCGCTGGTAAGGCACGAGGCGCTCGGCTAGCTTTGTCCAATTTTGATATCTGAAAAGTCCGTCCCTTAGCTGAGGGGTGTCAGGGAGGATGCGAGGTCCAGCTCCTATCTTCCGGGCATAGTTGTCGATGGTGTCCTGTACGAGCCATTCATTAAGAGGGTTGACGATATATGGTACACCGGGTCTGAGAATGCCAGCTTTGTGAGCAGCAATCTCATCAATGTGAGTACCGAGAAATTCTTGGTGTTCACGGGCGATTTTGGAAATGACTGACACAACTTGGTTGTCCAAGATGTTTGTGGCATCATAGGTGCCGCCCATGCCCACCTCGACGACGCCAACGCGAACATTGTGGTCGTTGAAGAGCTGGAATGCAGTCGCGGTCAGAATTTCGAATTCAGAGGCACCAATGTCCTGTTTTTCATTGATGGACTTGAAGTGATTTTCGACCTTGAGGAATTTTGCAGGAGGTACTGGCTTATCGTTGAGATGGATGCAGTCCCACCTGTTGATCAGGTGTGGGGAAGTGAAGCGGCCGTTTTTGATGAGCCTGCGGGTCAGCAGGTGGGAAGCGGCGGCACAGATGGAACCTTTGCCATTGGTGCCGGCGACGTGAATGGCCTTCCAGGGGAAATGGATGTCCTTGAGGAGCAGGCGGATGCGATCAAGGCCAGGCCGGATCATGGCTGGCCACAGGCGCAGACGACAAGTGAGGGAGATGAAACGCGCAGGCAGCGACGTTTGGGGAGGGTTCGTCGGCAGATTCCAGGTGAGTCAAACGCTTCTTTGGATGAAAAGCGAGATGCACGAGCGGCCTGACCCGAAGCGGCAGTGGGGATGCTTGGCGGGCGCGGTTGTTTGGCCCTCGACAAAACATTTGCACTCTCCCGCGAGATGTCCCCAACCGCTGCACGCCGTGGGTACATGTGTACTTCATTTCAATGCACAAGCGTGTGCATATGTCTACTTGGCCCTTCATAATAAAGTGCAGCCAGAACGACGACGGCAACCTCAGCGCTCACTTGGTTACCCATATATCTATCCATTCGAACATAGGTAGACCCGCTGGCCTCAGCCTCTCTCCTTAGCGCGTCAAGACCTGTTCGGGGTGTGGTCCGCCCGTTCGTTGCTCGCGCACCCGCCTCCTCCCTGTCGCTTGTCGTCGCATCAACACCATCTCCCCCTTCCCCATCAACATCATCATTGCCACCATCCTCATCCCCACACACACCTTTCCCCCTCCCCCTCCTTTTTTCCTTCTTCCTTCCACTGCTCCTCTCCTCTCCTTCCTTCGTACCCTTTCCTCACCGCCGATATGGGTCTCCCCATGTGGCGCGCGCCGTCCCCCAAGGCCAGGGACGCGCTTAAAAAGGACCCGATAGCCAATGCGCGGAGCCCTATCAGACGACGTCGTCCTGCTACCTTTCCGGCATCCCCGAGTCACGCCTACGAAACTGTGACCGAGCAGCTTCACCATGCATCGCACCAGGACGACTATGGCCATCCGCTTTCCACCGCTCCTTCTTCCTCCACTACATGGTCGCCCTCACGCCCCCCACTGCCACCCCCCGCCCCCGAATCACCCAACTACTGGCGACGCGGTGAGCACTCTTCTGCCTTAGCCGCACCCCCACCGCCGCCCGACAGAGACATGCGCGCACCTTTTCGCCTGTCCACAGATGCTCCTCGTGGCTTGTCCTTGGATAATCGTCGTCCCCTCCCTTCCTTGACTCCAAACTTCGCGCCTGCCTCGGCCTCGCGCAACGTCCGCCGCAGCTCACGACACGACTCCCCCAACGACCCTCAAGACCGTTCTGCTTACCGGAGTCGGTCGCCCTGGGACAGTCTCCGCGCTGAAATTTCCGATCGCCGCCCCCACATCATCATGAGGTCTGGTCGTCGTAATATCCCCGATGGACCTTTGCCCTTGAGCTCGTTGCGCGAGTCCTGGAGCCCTTCCTCGACTATAGATGGTCTTGGGGATCGCGAACGCAGTCTCACCCCTACCGAGGAAAGCTCGCATTGGGAGCCTTTTCTCGCTAGCGTTGTGCCTGACCCGTTTCCACCTACTGCAGATTCGTCCTTCACTTCGGCTGCCGCATCAGCCTCATTCTCGAACACGCAGCCTAGCTCTCGCGCCAGTAGCTCCAACTCCAATTCGGTATCGTCTTCGCGTACCCACATTACTGTTCCTTCGCGTAGCCAATCTTTCAGCCTCGAGCAATTTCTCCACATCTGCGACACCTCATCGGATGATGGGGCCTCAGATACCGAAGAAGAAGATGGCGGGGAAGACGCCGATGCTCCGAGTTCTTTTCGCTCATTTTACCCGAGGAGTGGTGTCAGTCGTGTCCTGCAAAATCCATATCGACAACCGTGGCGCATCCGCAACCAGGTACGCGAGTCGGTTTCAAACGTGAGAAGCTTCTATGGCGAGATTGTTCCTCAGGAGCCGGAGACGCGACTCCACGAGCCGGAGGAGAATCACCCAAATATATCTAGCGAGGATCCCATAGAAGAACGCGCTGCAATAGACGAAGATCTGTCGCTAGATCAAGAGTTGCGTGATGCGCGTGCGTTGCTAGAACGCTTGACACAAAGGGACGATATCTCGGATGAGTTTTGGGCATCTGTGGGATTGCGACGACCCCTTGCTGATCGCCTGGAACGTATTCAGCAGCGCGAGCGCTTGTGATGAACGGTTTGTCTTCTTCAGTGTGAGGCCTGCGGGCCGGTCTGACACTGCAATTCTGCGACTTATTCTCTTTACGGACTCTATTTGACAACGAGTTTACCACTACCTCGCGAGTGGATGGCGACCACTGGACATAGGTCATCTCTATCGCGGATGTCTGGATTTCTTTTAATGATTGTTTGTGTAAGGAAACCCACGATCAAAATTTCGTTCAGTCTTGCATACTTGCCAATTCTTGGCGTTACTCCATCGATGGAAGGAGTGCTTTTATTTTCTTATACTCTATGTAATTGTGTCCTTTTTTTTTCTACCGGAGGGTGGTCCCAGGAAGGGAGGGGGAAAGGCTGTATGCGGTGGAAAAAAGGGCGAAAAAGCGTTTGGCCTATGAACGAGCTGTTGTATTCGTGGTTACGGAGTATTTATGTCCTTGATTCACGATTTGATAAACGGATACAAATGATGACATGGCTATTGTTCCCATGTCCGATTTCTACAACAGTTCTTTGCCCGGGATGCTTGCGACTGACCTCCTGCCTACTTATCTTTAGCCTTCGTGAAGTTTGGTATAAACAGCTGACTGAGGGTATGAAAATCGGCCTCTAAAAAAACTTGGTTCCAGTTGGATTAGAAGGCTGAGGGCTTGCATAGGGGGGAAGATTGTGCTGTACATTCTCGCCAGATAGAAATTTTAGGGCCAAGACCACTCTACCGTCCCGGAACCCGTCCCGCATTCAACAAAAGATGTCAACATGCAAATGAAGATCGGCCTCAAAAAAACTTGGTTCTAGTTGACTTTAAAGGCTGAGAGTTTGCATGGGGGTAAAAAACGTGCTGCAGATTCACGTGGTAAAGAGTTTTTGGGGCTAAGACCACTCTGTCGCCCTAGAACCCGTCTTGCATCCAAAAAATGCGTCAGACTTCAAAAAAAGTTGTCGCTCTACGCAGGGCTCGAACCTGCAACCTTTGGATGCCAAATAGAAGTCCAACGCGCTACCATTGCGCCAGCAGAGCATTTTTTTTTTCGATCCCAGGCGATTGCCCTGGGTTTTGTGATGATTTTGCATTTTTTTTTCTATATAATAGGTCTAAAATTGACCGAGAAAAATGCATTTACAGTTTCACTAGCTTACTCCACCTTTCACACCTTTCACAAACGCCCTATTAGCCCTTGTCAGCTTACTCACTGCAAGAACAAGCATGTTAAGGAGCCCCAGGGGTCTCCCGGAGTCAAACATCCACATAGTCTCGTAACTGAATGATTTTTCAACAACGACGCCGTATAATGCAAATCTAACAACAGGAGATTGTTCTTCACGCCAAATTCTATAGGACATTCTGTTTTGATGATCATTGGTGCTGTGGTTGATGAATCAGTGTCATGCAGATATGTGGGCTTAGGGTTTCACGGGTATGATGTTTTCGCCCCCCACTCACCCCTCCGCACTGACCCACTCATCTACAACCCACTCAGCGACCTCGCGAATGTCAACAGAATCAAATGACGGTTTTAGTGATGTTTTTTTCTAGGTTGGGAATTGAAGTCGACACCAAAAAGTTGAGATCCACCTCATAGATTACGGGGATCACAACAAACGAAATGGTTATATGTCACATACAGACCAAACACCTAGGGGATCTGATATTCAGCTAGCAGGCAACAGTCAGTCATGTGCGGCATCAATATTCAAACATTTGTTTTTGGGTGGAGCTTTCCGACAAATCTCCTATCATGGATTTGCAATGAGCGAGATCTGGAATTTTCCGATATGCTGTTCGCCGGTCCTTTTCGTCATCCGATAGGTACCCGCCTTCTCTGTTCTCGATTGAAGCATGACTACTTTTAACCCAACAACTCTTTGCGTTTGTATACTGTATCAAGAGGTGGGTATATCATTAAATATTTGATTGGAAAACCTGGAAATGTTATGTGGAGCGGATGTTCTGTACTAGCCTTCAGTATTGCTATGAATCGTGCCGAGTGTTATCTGTGATGTGTATCAATACTGGGGCGGAAGAATAGTTCAGTCCAGGAATCGTATCAGAATCAACTACATGATTTTAGGTTTGGGGTTTGGGTGGTTTTACACACATCGATAGTTAGTTACGACGATAAAGGAACCAAAAACAGGCGACAGCCAGAACAGGATCAACTATGTGTTGAAGGGGTAGTTGGCGGGGGCGTAAGCACCATTGGAATCTTGTGTTGTGTAGTATAGAATTCATACAAGCAGCAGTAGATGCTGTGGAGCACGATAGGCTTGATTCGATGTAACTCATGCACCATGATTCGGGGCATGAGCTGGGGATGCATGTGTAGGCCACTCCCTAGTTTCTCACATTATCATTATCATCATCGTCATTATTGATCCGGCATATCCGAGCATAATTTTCCAGGCATATCCATGAATAATCATGGCGATGTTCTGCTTTGGCTCCACTTCCGAAAAGAGACAGCCAAAACAAGTAGAAAGAGTAGGGAGCAGGAAAAGGTAAACTACGGCATACGAGAGGGGCTGGTTTATATATGTCCTAATGTGCACAATACAGAAGTATCGCGCAGCGGCGCCATCGCGCCGTTGATCCGATCAATATCAGTCAGCTCAACAGCATCTATATGTGACCATCTCGGGAGATTGAAGTGACATGAAATTGAATGAATTGACAATGAATGGTGAAATTGAGGGGTCATGTCGATAAGCTTTACCAAGGCTGGGTACCAACAGGAAACCTTTGCTTGCTCACGAGTATTTCCACGTGTTAGATTGACATAGAAGGTGACGGGCGGTGGGGCCTGATGTCATCAATTGCAGCCTCAGGTCGATGCGGGCAGCGTGTCGTGTTTGTACTGGCAGCGATTATTTTGTCCGGGGCTTATGAAAAAAGAGTTGACGGTAAAATCCTATACCGATTGTACAGTGTACCACATTTCCGGATCTTGAGTTTAATTTGCGCGCTTACCCCACGATGGCGCTTATCTTGGTCTTTCACGATGCTTGGTATTACCGAAAGACGGTTTTGTTCTCTTCTGACAATAGAGCAAGCGGGCAATGCCTTCTGGGGTATGGTGTCTGGTGTTTGGTGGCACACTTCCAAGAAATGCTCATCAACATGAATACGAAAAGATGTTCCGATAATCAAGATGAAGCCGCGTCCCCCCACGATATGTGGGACTTGTTATACATAGCTGCAATACATAGATGTTCCTATATAGCAGCTTGCGCTGATGCCGGCTAAAGGGCGATGGTGACGGATAAACTCGAGACTCAGTCGATGAGGTAGGGCATACGAGATGGACGAGGTAGGGACGATGTTTGGTAACGAGCGGGCCAAAAGGACGACTCCCAGTCCAAATATATACCTACCGGGTGGCTACATGGATAGATGTATGGGTGCTTGGGGGGTAGATGGATCGATGGCCATTGTCGACGGCGGGATGCACATGTATGTCGATACACAACCGGTGTACATACAATGGTAGGTGGTGGGATATCAATCCAAGCATGAGGTACCTGAGCATGTATCGCATACCTACATAGGGCTGATGTAAAACAAGACTGGACGAGCTTTTCCACCAATTCGCAGGCAGGACGGCAGCGCTGTCGTCTCGTGAGGCGGGACACGCGGGTCTCGACCACAGCGAGGGAGCCAATCAGGGCGGGCAGCGGACGGGACGGTTCAGGCGGTCGCTATTTCGGGCACCCGAGGTGGAGGAGAGTTGGTGAATGAGAGGAAGCGCATGAGAGCTGGGACGCTCGATGGAACAACAAGAAAAAAGCTGTCGAGCTTCGGATTCAATAAGTGACGACAGGAGGTCGAGTCCACCAATCCTCGCTCGGGAGTTGTGCAGTGCCGGCGACGGCGGAGGGCGACGTGATTGGTGCATAATTGGTCCGTCGGGGCCGGATAAATCCAGGCGGCCAGCGTCCCCAGCATTCTGGGGCGAAAGCTTGGTCGTGCCCGCATCTCCCAGAGAGCCCGAGATGCTGGCCCATGCGGCTTTGCGAACGGCATTTCCTCTGTCCAGCCATACAACGAACGCCTCTGGAGCCAGCAACAGCGCGCGGGATCGCGCGGCCATCTGGGTATCCCGTATGTATGTGCCAGCTCTCGTCGTGGTACCACCACTACCACCGCTACCACCCACCGCCCTGCTACCACCACCACCACCATAACCCACAGCCTTCCTCGCCCATCTCTCTCTGCCGTGTCCGCGCAGCAGCAGAAGCAGCAGCAGCACCTGTCCGCCCACCGCGAATTCTCCCCGACCAACCAGTCCGCCCTCGCGCACTCACACATGTTCTCGTCCCCCGTCGACTTCCACACCCTCACGTAACGGAGATGGTAGAGACGCTGCTCGACACCTGCCAGCTGAACACCTCCCGTCGCATCTTCACCGAGAACCAACTCCGCATCAACGGCTTCAACACATACGGCTAATCCCTCACCTCGTCTATGGCAACCATGATACAGGCTGAACGCGTGACGACGGCCCATCTCAAGGGAGGCGACGTCATGGACGTCCAAGAGATTCCCAGCACCACCAAGCCTGCCTTGCTCTGCTTGCACGGCGAGAGGGAAGAGGAAATGGTCGCTGTCTTTGCGGACGTGCTTGGTCAGTCCTGGGTCCCGGCGACCTCAATTGACCAAGTCAAGGCAACACCTCGTTCCACTATAGTTGCCCTGCAGCACACGCTACCGGGAGCACGCTTCGCGGATTGGGACCACTCGAGACTCGTCATCAACACACATTGCGTCGATGGTCCTCACCCGCGCGACGATAGCATCCTCGAGCATTGCGATTATGAGTACCTGTACACCAAGTCGCCTTTCTTCCGTAGAGATGTTGCGCGGTTCCTCTCCTTGATCCTGGGCCAGATCAGTCCCCACCGTGACCTCGCAAAGAAGGCCCGCACCACTCTGATATCCACTACTTTTCCTGATGTGCACCACGCGCTGCCGAATCTGGATATTCTGTCGGTCGGCGCTGACGCGATAGAGATCAGGGTAGATTTACTCGAGGAGCCTTTGCCAGATGGGACAGTTAGCAAGGTGCCAAGCTTGAAGTATGTGGGTGAACAGTTAATGATATTGCGCCAACGGACAGAATTACCCATCATTTTCACAACCAGGTGCACCAACGAGAATGGCCGCTTCCCTATGGAAGACCCGAATCTCTTTTTCAAGTACCTGAGCCGCGCGATCCAGTGGGGCTGTGAATATATCGACGTTGAATTATGGCTACCCGAGGACATACGACGCCGACTGGCGGAGAAGAAAGGAAGTAGTAAAATCATTTCTGCTTTTCACGACTTTTCTGGTACTTTCAAATGGACAGCGCCCGAAACGCAGAAGCTGTTTGAGCGTGGAGCCGTGTACGGAGATGTGGTCAAGATGTATGTGCTGGTCAGCACGATGCAAGAGAACATGGAGCTCGAGTACTTTCGTTCCATCATTCAAACAAAGTCAGTACAACAATGCCCCTAGGTACCGTGTCGCATAACGAGCCGCCATGTGGATTGACGTCTTGAGACTTTGATGACACACCGACATGTTTGGTTCAGATTGACTGACTCTGCACTTGCAACTCTAGGTACCCCCACCCTCCCTTCTCTGGCCTCAACATGGGACCTACTGGTCAGTTAACCAGGACCTTGAACAAGATCTTTACACCCATAACCCATCCCCTGCTGCCCATGATTGCGGCTCCGGGTCAACTGAGTGCTGCTCAGATCAACGAGGCACTCCATAGCATGGGTCAGATGCCCAAACTAGATATATACGGCATCGGTAGCTTCCGATCCACATCACAGGCCATGTTTTTCGAAAAGTGTTTCAATGAGCTCAGTTTACCGCACCAGTTTATGTTTGCAGAGCGTGCGCCCAAAGCGTCGATTGAAAACATATTGCGGCGTCCCAAGTTTGGGGGAGCCTACATCAACCCGCCTCTGATAGCGGCATCTGCGCCCTACCTTCCCGCTCTGTCCAACCCGGCGCGGGCCATTGGACAGGTCGACACGGTGCTGGTGCGCACTGAGAACGACAAGCCGGTCTTCATCGGAGACAATGCCACGTGGAAAGGGATCCGGGCGACGCTCACTCGCGACTTTGTGCCGTCGGCTTACAGCGGACAGGCGGCACTGCTGCTGGCCAATTCGGAGTCGGATGCATCTGCGTCCATTTTTGCGCTGAAAAGCTTGGGGATAGGCCCGATCTATACGATAGGGTTCAGGGCGAATGGGTTGCTGTCTACGGAGGTAGAGCCGGTACGGTCGATTGAGGATGTGAAGCGACTGGAGCAGCCGTTTGTCATTATATCAGCGCTTCCAGCAGAGAAGTCGCTCCTGGTAGTGCCGCTGCTGAAGCATTATCGAGTGGATGGAAGGAATGGAAACCACGAGGGCAAGGGGAATGGACTTGCAGCAGCGGTGGCGGCAGCAGGAGCAGAGGTGAAGCCGGCCGGCAAAGTTTTTGTGGACTTGGCCGGCGGACCACGGAAAGCTGACCCGCTTGCCATCGCGGCGTCGGCGGGATGGACTGCTTACGGAATTGCAGACGTCTCAGCGTGGACCACAGTGGAAACGATCCGGCTGCTCGAGGGGCAAAACGTGTGCTACGACTTTGTACGTTTAGCGTCGGGAAGACTGTTTTGAATGCAAAGACGTTATTTGATTTGGCTAGAATTGCAAAGGTGGTGAAAGTGATGAGCGGAATGGGAAGGGGTCTTTGCTTTGGGCGTGTTGCAAGTACGGGCAGCGCGGCGGCGAATCGGAAGCAAGCGGGTCCGAGGATACGTTACATGTGTAGGGAGGAAGAAATGATGGGTGGGTTCAGGGCTGGACAGAGTCAGTGGGGCTGATGAACGGGCGAGGAAGGATGAATGGGTGATGGGTACGGTATCGCGGCGATGGTGATGGTGATGACGATGATGGTGAGGGTGATGGGGGTGGTGATGGGCCGGGTGGTGGGTGCATGCATGGAAGAGGATTTGATTGCCGTGCAGCAGCACAGTACAGATACAGCATGACGGGGCGCTCCTGGAAAATGAGGTGGTGCGTATCCATACCCAAAGGGATGTCCGAGTCGTCTCATCGTGTTGCTGGCTGGCGGAGGGTTATCTCAGCCCATGCCACGCGGGAGCACTCGCACCGGGTTCAGGACTGTTGGGATTGCCGCACCACGCAGGCTAGCGTGCTCGTTTAGCTGCCGTACCCCAGATTCGAAGCCGTCTAGAAGACTTGTTCCGAGCGCCAGTGTCGCGAGTGGCCAGACAGGCAATTTAACGCTCACCCGAGGTGCAAATTGCCAACCGGCAGCGCTGACTGCTGTTACGTGCCTCGCGCCAGGATGAAGCGGTAGGTAGGTGGGTGTGTACCTGGGTACTAGGTAGGTCACTGTACTGCACTGTACTGTACGCAGCATTTGCGAGGAGCCCGGCAAGCAACCAAGCCAGCCAGCCAGCAAGCATGTGTATGCGCGCAGGCAGAGCGGAGAATGGCCGGGCGGCGGCCCCAGCGCACCGAGGCTCTTCTTTTTACACTAAGATGAACTACCGCAGTCTCACAATCCTCCTTCTCATCACCCACCATCTCGGTGCTTCCCTTGTTTCACGTGATCTTCCGAGAGAGACATCATCTGGACATGTAGAGTGGGCAGAGGCATGAGATGGAGAGGGACATGATCAGCAATATACAAGTGACTGCACCCACAATAGCTAACAAGAGGAGCGGCACCAGCGATAGTAGCAAGATCAAGATTGAACAACAAGAACACATGGCTAAAACGACCGGCGGTTCTTGTGTACCTGTTGGGTTCCTAGGGACCTTTTTTTTCTCACTCCCAATAGCGCTACGCGACGCTACACCAGCCCGCCAGCCCGCCAGTCATGCATGCCAGACGGGTACTGAACTGTCCTGTGCCGTCCATCTACGTGCAACACTCGAGTGCTGCTTCGTGTATGCCCTCCACGGCTCCGTCCCCCATCTCAACCACCATGGCCATCCCCCCTCCCCTTCGCGAACATCAGTAAACAGCAATCACAAACGTCGTCATGCAATGTATGTACGCACGCACCGCCGTGGCTCGCCAAATGGGTGCCGAGATCGTCATGTGGCCTCCCCCTGCCCGCTTCTTCTGGCACCCATGGCGCTGATGTCGCGGAGCAGGACTGAATCGTAGCGACGCCCGCAATCACTCCCGCCTCAGCCCTGGTCGTTCGTTGCCTGTCGCTCCTCTGCCCCCCCCCTCCCCTCGCCGTCTGGCGCCCCCCTGCCGCCTTCCCCACTGCCTGTGCGGATGCCAGAGGCCTTAATTTGAACCTACATCAGACGCCGTTGTGCGTGCGTGCTTGCCTGTGCGTGCGTGCGTGGGTGCGTGCGGCCGAGCGAGCGTGCCTGCTTGCCTGCCTGTGCGTGCATATCCTTCTTCTCTCATCTTGACAGGTCCTTGAGCCTGGCTGGAGGCGCTGCTGTCCTGTCCTGTCCTGTCTTGTCTTGCCTTGCCTTGTACATATGCCCTATCTGGTTCCCACTTCACATCACGCCTTGCCACCCCGCTGCACCAGACATGCGTCTTTTGCTCTTCTCCACGCCGCCCACTTGAGTCAATGTCTTCCCAGGTCGACCAGTCGCCTGTCATCGCCATGTCCCGGCCACAGATCGGTATCGATCGCTTACCGACGCGCCGAGTCTCCAACGAGCCGCGCGAGGCCATGAATTGCAAGAGTTGTCGCAAAAGAAAGGTAAACTCCCTCCCTCTGAACCAGACTGGCTTGCTTGCTGAGACGTCCTTCTTCTTTCTTCTGTTACAGATCAAGTGCAACCGGACACGGCCGACCTGCGAAGCATGCCAGGTCTTCAATTGCGCCTGTATCTACGGTAGGCCAGCGCATTCGAGCTCCTGCTCGCCCTTTCTTGTACTCATTCATATCTCTTCACGGTTCTGACGAGTCAAACCCAGATGCCGTTCCTAAAAAGCGGGGTCCAAAGACAGATGTGCTCGAAGCTCTCCTCAAGCGTGTGGATGGCCTGGAAAAGCGCCTCCACACCGAAGGGGGAAGGAGCGATGCGACCGACGCCGAAGGAGATGCTTCACCCGTGGGCGAAGATGCCATCATGTCCGAGATGATCTCCAGGGCACCCAATCCATCATCGTCTGCTGCCACAGCCTCGGCTTCAGGTTCCCATGGTCGGCCGACGCTCGAGATCAATCCTAATCCTGCGGCCAGCGCAAAGCAGCTCATGTCACCGGTGGAACCGAGGTGCGATAGATTTCCATCGTCCATCTCATGCAACTGGCTGGCTAACGTGCATCAGCTTGCAAACACCCAGCATCCTACCCGCCGAATCGCTCTTGGATACCTATTTTGCTCGCGTCCACGGGAAACCCTATTTCATTCTGGACGAAACTACCACGAGGCAAAACCTCCAAGCAAACCGGCTGCCATCATTTCTGGCTCTCGCCATATATGCAGTCAGCGCCAGGTGAGCTTGAAGCTGCTTTCTTTATCGGGGCGACTGTCTGTTGTGTCACCCGAACCTCTACTAACGCATGCATTCCCAGATATACGCCCCAGCTTGGCGGGTATAATAACGCAGTCAGATATGGCCATGATTATGCATGCCGCGCTCGCCAGGAGATCGATATAGACGAACCCTCTATAGAGGCCCTGCAGGCCCTCATGCTCCTATCTCAAGCAAGCTTCCAGTTGGGACAGGGCAAGAAGACGTATATGCTGTTGACTTCGGCTATTTCCATGGTGTTTGCCTTGGATCTACATCGCGAACTTCCCCTCGCCCTAAAGGTGTCGCAAGGCGAGCGCGAGGGCCGCCGCCGTCTCTTCTGGTCTTGCTATCTAATGGACAAATTCGCAGCCGCCGGCTCCAAACGCCCTTCGCTTATCTCGGATGAGTCCATTGTACTCCGCTTACCCTCATGGCAGATGCACCCTGGAGGGATGCTTCTCGAAGGCGATCATTTTTCTAATGGCTCCAATCTGCAGTACATGGTCGGCGCTGGTAAAGCAGGTCACGGAGGCATGGGTATGTTGATCGGCATAACGAAGATCCTGGGTATAACGAATCGCTACCTCGCCGCCGGCGGGGTCAAGGGTGATTCGCATTTTCCTTGGCACTCACTCTCCAACTTGTCCAAGATCCGACAGGAACTCGACATTTGGGCGTCCGAAACCCAGGACACCTTCACCTCGCTCGAAAACCTTTTTGGTCAGCCGGATAGTACTATACTGGTTCTCAGCAAGCTGGTCTACCACCTCATACACTGCCTCATCTACCGACCCTTTTTACCGGTGGATCTCGCCGAACTCTCAGGCTCCTCTCAGCACCAATCATGGCAGATTGAAGCGACCAACATGTGCTTCTTGCACGCCAATGCCATCGCCGAATTGGTGGAAATAGGAAGAGCCTCCTCCATCATCGACTGGCCTGCGTTTGTGGGTTATTGCGTCTGCACTGCCGGCACCATCCACGTGCACGGAGCACACTATCGCGGACGTGAGGGCGAGGTCTTTTCGGTCAGCCCAGAATTCTTGTCCCGCGAAATGCAACAGCTCTCCGATCTGCGCTTCCTGTGGGCAGGGATCCAGCACCAGCGTGACACTCTGCAGAACGTCTATGGGCGTCACTCCGAGTTTGTCAAATCGCTGGGATCCAACCCCGTGCGCTACTCGCCCGCATTCCAGCTGGAAGACTTCTTCGATCGGTATCCTGGGCAAAAGTTCGACGGTGCTCACGTAACTTTCCAGGAGATCCAGGTCGAAGGGGTTCACGAAAGGTATGTACGCCTGGGTATCTCTGAAGGTTCACGCGTGATATGATCTCTAACCATGCTTAGTGTCTCATCATATAACATTGAAAGGCGGAACAACAGCACGTACATGAACAACACAATGGCAACTCAAGCAATGTATCACCAGCAACCCCCGACACTTCCCTCGACCAGCGCCCATGGGAGCGGTGGTCCGCCCACAAAGAAACGTCGAGCAACCACTTCCAGTGCATCTCGACCGCCGGTCCAGCACATTGCTCCGCCAATCCCCCCGACACCTACTTCGGCCACCCATCCTCCCATAACCATGGTCGTTGGCCCCACGCATGATTCCACGGAGAACCGCCAACCCTCACCAACATCACTTCGGCCTTTCACGCCACCATCAGCCAACAGCACCGCTAACAACCTATTGAACAATTCCATGGGCGGTCTCAACCTCCCATTCTCGCCAAACTTTTCGTTTTCCCCCCTTCCGCAAATCCCAAGCTTGGCGCCAACACCCACCCCGGCCCACGCACACCCCCATCATCCGTCAGCGCCTGCCGCACCATCTACTCATCAGACGAATGATGGTAATAAATCAGCACCATCATTCGATCCCTCCCTGAACATGCCCACTCCGTATGACCATCCGACTCCTGGAGGTGCTAGTACCTCCGGGAGCGTGCATACGGACCCAGATAAGGACCCATTTCTGAGCTTACTGGAACAACTTGCGGAGAATGAGGTTAGCAGAGGCGGACCCAGTGAGCTCGACTATTTTCTCAGCGGTCGAAGTGTATGAGGAGGATTGATTCAGGCATTATTATTCAGCACTTGTTCAGGGTTCTTGCTTCTCTAGGGGTCTCGCTACGGCAAACCCCCGTGCCCCCCGTACCGCCCGGGGTTGACACCGCAACCGTTATCACTTCGCTCCACATACTCGGCCAAGTATGAGTGGACCTCATATGATGGGTGGAAGTCTTCCTCGATCATTACAGCTTTTCAACAGCCGGCTTTCTACTTGGTCTACTTCGATTTACATATTACACTACTACTATATATATCATCTCTTCGATAATTTTTGTCAATAGGGATACGGCAAAAGGGACAAAAAAAACTTGGCCAAAACCAGAGGCACGGCGCTGGATGGAGCATCTGCTGTTGGTAGCGTAAGATGGAAGAGGGGGTTTGAAGGAGTTTGAGAGGACGGGTCTGTGTGGGACCTGCTCTGACATCACATGGGTGAGTGTTTACTTGGCTCCTAGGGTTTATGCTTGTACAATATAGTTCCATTTTTTTAATTCTCTGTGGAGAGAGGACTTCAGAATCAGTCATTCATGGTCCCACTACGTATTTGCTATGGCTCCGACTAGAAGTGGTCCTTGAGGGTCAGCACACCTGATTGATAGTACCGCCGGCCTGCTTTTGACATTGACCGAACGTGAACCTGGAAGATGGGTCGATCGGTTCTCTGTTGTAGCCACATTCACTACCACTACGTAGTGTAACGTAGTTGCACAGTCAAAAGAGCGATCTGAGTGCTCGTAGGCGCTAGGTTCAAAAGACGCAGCGCAGCACAGGGCTGCTTGCAGCCGACGACGACGCACTTCCCTTACTGTGAGTGGATGATATTCGGAGGAGATGCCTACAACGGTTCCACGGAGGGACAGGACAGCTAGCGGGCAATCAAACACCATGCACAGTTGATCGCCACGCCATGCCCGTCGTATCCATCCGGATCCATACATTTTTTTTATGCCTACAATGCCCTACCGTGTACACCGGCACCTCAGTCGACTTGCAAGTTCCAAGCATGTACATCTGCTACCCGTCCTCGTGCATTATCTATCTTGCCCACGGCGGTCAGCCCCAACCACTTTCGGCTCTTATCCATGACTCTCGCTCCTTTCATCTTCCTTCTGCAATCTCACCGTTCGCTCCAAGCCCCTCCAAGATTGGCCCTGCATCAACCGTGTGTTATTTGCCAGCAAGTCACAATCTTGAAGCCGACCAAACCGCCAGTCTCATCGTCCCAACTGATCCTGAATCCCGCTACCTTGCAATCTGTGTCTAGAACCTAGCCACAGGGAAGAGACATGGCTTGATACAAGATCCAAGCCCTATTCGGTATTGCACCGACGCTTTCGCCTCAATCATCCCTTATCCTTCACCATGTCTGTCCATCAGCATGCAAATCCGCCAGTGCCACCGTGCGGCGCGTAGGGGTAGGGTAGGGTAGCAATCAATAGGCCACCCCCCAACGCCGTTGAGCCATGGCAGCGTTTTTCCCGGGTTTTAGAATACCCCGCAGATCCCGAGCCCGCGCGCGCGCTCGCGCCCCCGTCGCCCTTTTTGGAAGAATTCTCGAAGCGAAGGCCAAAGTGTCGAGCAAAGAAAAGAGAGCGCATTCCCTCTCGCCAAGCAAAATGGATCAACAGGGAACCACCTGGTGACCAGGCTCGCACGCTCCCCCCGTGTCCCTTGACCCTGGCTGAACATCCAGCCACCGTCTGGCCTTGTTCAACGCTCTTTTTCTTCTTTGCTTCTTCCTTCCGGTGAACCCACACCCCCCAATCTCTTCCAACTTTTTGGTGTGAGCACGGTACTTTGTTGTGTCGGGATATTGATACCCACGCGAGGAAGAGAAAAAAAAAAAACCTCCTAGGAAGAAAAATAACGGCTCTCGGATCCGTTTGGGGGTTGCTTTTGGATCGCATTGATTACCTGTCGGCGTCTGCTTGACAATGAATTGCAGGTAACTCGGTGTACGTCACAGTCAGTGACAACAGCACTCTGCATCGTTTCGCAATCCAAATGTATGTACCCATGTCGTGTCGAGAGTCAGGCTTGTACTGTAATCCCAGTTTACGCGCCCTCGAGGATTCCGGTTGCTGAGTGGGGGAGGAAGAAGCGGACGATAAGATACCATATGGATCCAGGTGCAAGCAGCAGCAGGCAAAAGCGGTGCCGACATGTTCTTTTTTTGTTCAAGCGTGTCATCTTTTTGCCGTTCCATACACACACGCACACACGTACGTACGTACGTACCTAGGTATATATTGCAGCAGCAGCAAAAGTATGGGGGATGGAGGGAGGGGGGACAGGTACACCATATGCAATGTACCCCATGATGCAGGTGACTTGTATTGCATGGCACGCTATGTGTTTTTGCATGTACCATCAACGAATTTGGACCGTACATTGGACGTATCGCGACGCGGGCCCGGTAGTTGGCACAGCGTCTGTAAGACGGAGTACGTACATGGGGGATGGATGGATGGATGAGTGGATGATACACAAAGTAAATCGCCGTTTGCAGTAGCCTGTTGGCAGCAGCAAGGGTGGCTAGTCGTCCGAATTTAGCGAGAGGTCCAATATTAGGCGGTGGATGTTATCAATTGTCATGGGGTGGTAAAAAGTGGTTTCTGTGGTTGGTTGGTTGGTTGGTTGGGCATTGGATGGATCACGTAGCTAGCTTCCATCATGCATCATTCGAGCGAGTACGAAATCGAGGTCCTTTAAACCCAGCAGACCCAGAGAAAATAAAAAGAAGAAGAAGGATGATTTCCCGCATTCGGTCTCGCAAGCGCCAACTGACGCCTCGAGAGACACTGGGTGCGGGTGGTGGGACTATCGTGGTACGTGTGTACATATGTATGCATCATGCAAGTTGAACATTGTATGTATATATGTGTGTATGTACGTATATATGTATGTCACAATTCAGTGTGGGGTACGTGTGCGAAGAACAAAAAAGCATGGGTGTGTGAGTGAGAGAGTCTAGAAACTCATGTCTTGTCCCCTTTTATCTTCTTCCAATCCACTTATTGAAAGATTGTTCTTCGATTCTGACTGAATCATATCATTCTTACGTCCTCATTTTCTTTTACAATTGCACACCAACCCAACTGTAGTGGTGGATGGGTGAAGAAAGAATCCGGACGAATGGATGTCATATGCACACCAAGACTCTGGGGAAAGATTGAAATGGATGGCTCGGTAGCAACAGCACCCCATCTACATCAAATACGTCTTGCCCCCCTACAAAAAGAAGCGGGATCTCCATTAAACTTGGATGCGGAATTGGGGACATACGATTTCATTTCTGGTTGCGAGCAATAGACTCCCACGGTACTGGGTTAACCCCATCAAGCACTTCCAACATGAACCGTGACCTGAGTAGCTGGCAGAGTAGCTAACTAATCTACATTAATCACCCTTGCATTTCTCTCCCCATGCCCATCCCTTCACTAGACACTGCTCTGCTTTGCTATATTCCCCCCGCGTTCGCGTCTGCTATTCGCTCGCATGTGTCTACGTTGCTTGCCACACAGCAACTCGTATTCAAAGTCTTTCGGCATGTGCCTCCCCTTCGATCTCATCTCATCTCATTCCTTTCTTTCCCCTTACTTACCGTTCGCAACTCGAGCCCAATATAGCTTCCCACCATTGTCCCGAGCCCAACGCAAGTTTTTCGTTCATCGTGCATTCGTGGAAGCTAGGGTAGTCAATCCATATATTGGTAGCTATATATTGACATGCATATGTACATGCTCCGAATCGGATTACGCGAGAGAGAGCGAAAGCGAGATATACAGTGTTCTCTCGTACCTATTCCTTTGCCTTTTCCCCCCCATTCTTTTACGTCTTCAAGGGCGGGCTTCAATTCTCGTACGGCGCTTACTACCCTCCTATCCGTACTAAGCGAAGCTGTTTTTACTGATAATAGATTAAAAAACATGGACTTGAGGCGCCATAATGTCACCATGTAGCTAGCCTAGTGGAAATCGACAAAAGCGATAAACGGGAAACTGGGGAGCAGGTTCGTGACCGGGGATTATAGTTGATGCAAACCCGGTATATCACAGACGTTCGCCGTTTGCGTGATTCCGTTCACCAACCTTGAGTGAAGACAAGCGGTAGCACGCAAGCCAGTCAGCGCATTAAACACGATACGGGCAATTTCGGGCCAGCATTGTAGATTATGCGATCGGTAGTTTTCAGGGATTCTTTCTCTCATCTTCTTTCTTTTTTTTTGTGTGATCAGGCAAAACTGAAGACAGTTTCGGAGAGAGGGGTAAGAAAGGACGGAAAAGCAACCAGTATGGGAGACATGGGGTTGAGGATGAGGGAAGTGGCCTGAACGAACATGCAGGCGTGTTGAAATCCCTACTTTCTTGATGGTCACGATCCTTGATTGGTTATCGCGATGCCAATAGCCTATTGCCAATAGTGCGATAGATACAATGTGACGATTGATGTAGTGATAGATGATGGGGCGGGAACAAGGGTATAAGCACACATTTAAGAGCGTGGAAAATAAGGCCTGTGCGCGCGGTAAGGTCACAAACACACACACAGGGAATTAATTGAAATCCTGAATAATCTATACGGCAGTCGACTGTGGAGGAAAAAGAAAGGAAAGGAAATTTGGGGGGATCGGTGGCGCAAAGACTACGATGTTGAAAGCGAGGGTAGGGGAAAAAAAGAACGATCGACATGCATCCAACGCATGACACACAATCACCCCACCTCTATGTAATTCGAAAACATGGCTGTTTTTTGCCATTGTAACCAATTTCCCGCGTTCACGTCGGCAGCGGAGAAGTAAAGAAATTACAAGATTAGAGGCTTTTGACATGTGTTACAGGACATATGCCGTGTTGATGATAAGTAGGGCCCCCGTGTGTGCTTGTTTAATTGTACTCTCGCCGAACCTTCACACACTATAACCCAGCACTTGCAGTGAAATGCCCTGGGGTATGCAACGTCGGCGAAGCATACCCGGCTGTTGTTCTGCAGCTCCGTTCAAGGCAACACATCCGCTGCGCTCGGGTAATAGGGAAGCAGGAAGGGACATCTACGATATTGGGAGATAGTGCGGTTTACGGAATCCGGGTTTCTGGCTACCTGTTCATCTGAGTGAATAAGAATGAAACTCAACAATCCGGGGTAGTTGAAGACCCCCCCGGGGAACCGCTAGGCAAGTCTGCATTCTAGTGGGGGTTGAATTGCCCTCGTTTGAGACTACGTGGAATTGGCACTGCACTTGGGTGGTTGGGCGTCGATGCTTGATGGCAGCAGCAACTGATGGCTGCCCTTGATCGTGGCAAGGAGCACATACATGGGAAATTGGGAGATCATATCAACAAGGGGTTACAGTTAATCAGGTGCGAGGGTGACAGGGTGTTCAGTATGTGATGCTAGTCTATTCTGGAAGCTCTATCGAACAAGTCACAGCAACAGTTCAGCAGACATTGATCTATGTACCTTGAGTAGTTGTATCCGGCACTGCACTGTGTATACTTGGATTGGTGGAATTTTCGACGGAAGAACTCGGCTAATCATCTCTTAAGCGATCCACGGTAGGGTTCGATTTGTCGATCTTTCCATTGCCGCAACGTCTATGTCATCGTAACCTGGGTCGCAATTAGACACAAGGCGCATGTTAGACAAGGGTTGAGACTCACCAATTCTTCTGCTGAGACTGGATGGATCGCCTACCACACAAGCATTCTTGTTAGCGAGATATTCATGCAAAGGCACATGTGTTGAAAGCGGCAAAGACTCGCTTCCCCGCAAAATGCAGGGTCAGGTCAATAGCAACACATGCACGCAATCTATGCATACACGAAACGGGAAATGCTGGATAGATTGAACATTGCAAGAAGGGGGGGTTATCATGACATACCACGCAGTTGTCGAAATCTTTCTTTGTGGCGCCCATCTTGATTGCCACGCCGAAGCCCTGAAGGATCTCGGCGCTACCTTGACCAAGAATGTGGAGTCCAACAACTTTTTCCTCTTCGCCAACGCAGACAATCTTGTATGCCGTGGGCTGCTTCTCCTCCGGGTCCATCATGGCAAAGTACATGCCGCTAAACTCAGTCTTGTATACTTTGACCTTGTCACCAAATTTCTCACGAGCCTCAGGCTCGGTCAGACCCACGGACCCAATTTCAGGGTGTGCGAACACGACTGAAGGGATGTTACTATAATCGAGATGAGCGTCGGACTTGCCACCGAAGAGACGGTCCGAGAGCCGCCGGCCAGCGGCAATAGCCACAGGCGTAAGTTCGAAGCCACTGTTTGACACATCACCGATCGCAAAAATGTCTTGGACGTTAGTGTTCTGGTACTGGTCGACCTTGATGTGATTCCTTCCATCGAGTTCCAAACCCAGCTGCTTCACATCCAAGTCTTCGATCTCGGGGTCACGGCCGGTGGCGAAGAGCACGCATTCGACCTCCAGTGAGCTTTCCTTTTTGGATTCCATATCCTGGTACGTGACACGCTTCATGCCGTTACCAATGTCTTCCACTTTTGTGATCTGGTGTCCCTTGTAAAGATGCAAACCCTGACGTTCATATTCCTTGGTCACAACGTCTTGGATCATGGGATCGAAGGTACGTAGGAGTTTTTGACCGCGAATGAAGAAGTGAACATCAGTGCCGAGGGCTTTTAACATGCCTGACATCTCTACCCCGATATAGCCCGCACCACTGGTTGCAATGCTTTTTGGTCGATCCTCCAGGTCGAAGAAACCATCGCTATCGATGCACAGCTCCGCACCGGGAATGTCTGGAACCTTGGGACGTCCACCAGTCGCGATGAGAATCTTTTTCGCCTTGATCCTCTGGGTACCCCCAGATTCGAGGGCCACCTCGACCTCATTCTTGCCAACGAATTTCGCCCTTCCCTTGACATGGTCAATTTGATCCTTGTTGAGGTTGTTCTCGTAGATTCCATTCAATCTCTTGACAAATGCATCCCTCTTTTTCTTGAAGTAAGGCCAGTCAAAGGTGGGCTGCTCGAAGTTGCCGAATCCATATGCTTTCGCATCCTTGAACGTTTCGGCAATGGCGGCGGCATTCCAAGTCACCTTTTTGGGCACACAGCCAACGTTGACACATGTGCCGCCCATCCGCTTCGATTCGATGGCAGCGACCTTTGCGCCATGCTTGGCAGCTCTTCGAGCGGATGCGATGCCGCCGCTGCCAATGCCTATGACGAGGTAATCATACTCTTGCGAAGACGAGGCCATGGTTGGCGGGGAGGAAGAGAAGTGGGAGGAAAATGCCGACAGGCGTGCAGATGCCACAGTTGCTCTCGAGGGGGGGTAGAGGGTGGTGTATCGTGGAGATGGGAAGAGCAGTGCGGTGGCAGACGAATGTGTGGATACAGCCAGGCGCGGGACAAGTCTGTGAATTCTGGTGGGGAGTGGTCGGTGCATCAAGGAAGTAGTGTTGATGGACAAACAGCGCGGGTATAAATAATGACGCAATCCCAGCGAGCAAGGAGCAGAAGCCTCGGTTTCAAATGTTACTAATGCTGACTGGGTCGCGATGAGCGGCGAGAACACAAGGAGCGAACAGCTGCGTTGGCAAATGAGAATTCAAAGGAATGACGAACATGAGAAACGGTACCAGCAGTCTAGTTGACAGTTTTTAGCCTCCGCTGCTTTAGATTGCACGGACCGCTCTCTGCGCAGACCGCCGACGAAAAAGTGGTTGACCAGCAGTCTGGAACCACCGCTTTGGAATGATTCCTAATACACGATCGAAGATGATGGCGAGCATCAAAACACACAAAACGTCTCCATCTATCCTGCACTGGGTAGAGTACTCCGGGGCCTGAAATCCACATGCTTGGTCCGTTCCGTTCCGGCATGTGACCGACCGTGTACTTGTATTCAAATGTTCAAATGTCATAGCCCGATGGCCGATCGATTATCTCGAAACGTTCCGGACTTCGAATATACACTGCGTTCCTAGCACTGTACCAATCGCACAGTGGTTTGCGTGATACAAATACGGGTACCCCTCGTGTTCTGCTCGTGTATGCATGACTTGATATGCCACGACAATGTATAAATCAATATGCCAGCCTTCCGCAGTCAGAAACTCAACCATCTGGCCTTTTGGCCTGCAACAACAGAGCTGACTTTGTCTGCGCCTTCGCCTTCGCCTTCGCCTTCGCCATGCTACCAGCTACTTTTGCTCCATTTGGGAGGCTGGAAGTAGTCACGTCGACCGTCCTCCTTATTCTTGGATTGCTGGTTATTAGTTTGAGACTCTGGACAAGGGCAATCAGAAAGAAGAGCTTCACTGCTGGAGACTATTGGATCATCGTAGCATGGGTAGGACGGCAGTGATTTGACCATCGAGACCATAAGTCCATGCAGCTAACAATCTCCTCAAGCTTTCGGCCTTCACGCGCCATGTTATAAAGCTAGTCGGTAAGTATCTCCAGGGCACTGTTCACGACTCTGTATCAACGAGGACCAGTATTTTCATGGTTCCATCTCACTCCAGACCGTACCCTTAGTATGGACTCTTACCACGTTCGCCAAAGTATGAAACTCCTCTTCATCACTCAGGTCTTCATGCTCTTTTCGACCGGCTGCGTTAAGCTATCGATACTTTTTGTTTACCTGGAGCTCTTCGACGTCATCGTCTTCGCTAAACGTTTCGTGTGGTTCATGATCATCTTTTGCCTTGCGATGGGCGTAGGCAATATCATCATTCTCTTAGCTATGTGCAAGCCACTCGCCAGTGCTTACGATCCTAGCATTCAAGGCACATATCGCATTGAGCTTAAATCGGCTGCCGTTTCATCAACCGTTATCAACCTGGTGACGGATATCATATTGGTTGCCATTCCTCTGTCTGTTGTATGGTTGATGAGATTGACCCTCCTGAAAAAGATGGGAGTGAGCTTGATGTTTGGTCTTGGTATAATGTGAGCCTCCTCCTGTATCAACTAGTACAATTATTATACACTTGGCTGTGTGCTAATCCATCATCTGCGTAAGCATTGTAATTGTTGCAGGAATTCGAGTGCATATTTACGAATACCAATCACTCACCAACAACAAGGATCTGTCATTGCTGTGCTCCCTGGAAATACACCTAGGAATCATCATAGCCTGCCTACCATTCCTCGGACCTCCCTGCTCCAAGATCCGAGAATGCACGAAGGCCTTCTCTGGACTCCTGGCGCCAAAATCTACGTAGTGCTTCCTGCTCGTCGTGCAATTCTACAGCGGGGCGCCTTCACTACGTGCAAAGCCGGATCGTGGATGCCAAGTGGGGCTTACTAAGGAAGAAGCTCAAGCCACACTTGCATACATACATCATCGACATCTGAATTGATCCACCACCACCAACATGGACCTTTTCCGTGCAAACCTTTCTCATCAATTTGTGTGAACCAGGAGGCAGCGTCTTGACTTGATTTGTTAGGTTCCGTATAGAGAACCATGTTCGTACATTGTGTTCCTTCTCAGAATTCATAGAAGTGGCCAAACCCAGACAGATCACTCCATCGGGGTCCTCAAGCTCGCAAACATCGACCAAACCCGCCGCGATAATGGGCGGTCGTCTGTCCATGCCGCGAGGGCCAGATGGCATAAGCGAAACTTCCAAGCCTACCTCTAGCTCCGGGCGTTTATCGAAAAGCAGAGGCATCATCAATGGTCGCGTAAGAAATCACGCGCTGACTTGGTTTCGGGACAGGCACTGACTCCCAACAGACGCTCATGGCTCCTTTGGCGGCCCTGACCATGGCCGGACTTCTATTCGTCTACGCCAGAACATCGATAAGAGCCGCGAAGCTCAACGCGCAAAAACATCGAGAAGCAGATGGAGGGCAGATCTCTTGGCACAAAGAGAGTCTGAGAAGACATGGACAACTCGAAAGGGTGGATAATGACAGGAGTACCATCAAGGAAGCTTTCATGGGGGATATGTCACGCAAGACCAAGGATAAAAAAACCATGCCAGCAGAGGATGTCAATGCCAGAACGGAGCGGTCAGCCGATGAAGAACAATTGCGCAAATTGATGGGCAAAAAAGACTGACAGGATGCAAGATAATATGTATGTCCATATAGGTACCTGGGTTGGAGTGTTTTACATGACTGCGTATAAACGGCAGCTGGCTGTGGAGGAGACGAATATCTGTAGGTGGAGGTAAGAAGCTTGGCCGGAGCATTCGAGTGTTCAGATGTTTGAGTGTTCAATCGACTCACGTGGCGTGACGGAGTTTCTGATCATCGACTGACCTGTCCATCAATCAGTGGTACACAGATACGTACATAGACACTATGCTACCGTAGCTTGAATGCATGCATGCGTGCGCGATTTCCAAACACTTCCATGTAGATTATGTGGGGTTCCACGCTGTTTTGTTCGACTACGTGGCGTGACTGCCCAATGATAAATCGCCGCTGGGCTAGCGTTAGACCACTTTAGGCGCCAGTCCATACAAAGCAGTGAGCTTCAAACCCCACCATTTCATCACCGCGCTTCTCAACCTCCCCATCAATTGCTCACCAAGCTGCCATTGCCCTCCATCTTCCCCTCCATCTGCTGCCGCTTCATCCACAGTTCCCAGAGAACTCCTCTGATCACCCGACCGATAGGTGGACGCGAGGCCGCCTTGATGGATCTTGCCCGGCTACTGGCCTCATCGCGATTGCCGTAGGAGGACGTCCAGTCTTCCTCAGCTAGCGATAGCCAGTATGCCCGAGCGTGGGGTCGACAAAAAGGACGCCGACCCCTTCCCCCAGCCAAAGGACTTTCGCGATGTCTCACGCGCTATAATTCGCAGCGAGCAGGCAAAGAGGTGGACCAAAAAGTACAGGACCGAAGTGGCTGCCAGTTCTAGTAGTCTGCTTTCCACATTCGCCGCCTACCCTCTTGATTCCGTCAAAACCCGACTGCAAGCCTACAACTTCAACTCCTTCTCCGACTGCGTACGTCATACATACAAGACAGAGGGCTTCAATGGTTTCTGGAGAGGTATGATCAGCAATTCCCATCGTTTCACAGACACTTGCTTACTCTACTCTCCTAGGTGTCTGGTCGCCTCTCGCCAGCATTACACTTGTTCGAACCGTATCCTTCTCTATATACCAGAAATCCAAATACGCCATCGATGATTGGATGTATCAGGCCACTGGTAAATCGCCGCTTGTCATCGCCAATACGAAAGATGCCCTGCCTAACATATACACGATGGCCTGCTTTGGCATCTCCGGTGCTATGGCAGGGGCCGCTATTACCACAATCGCTTGTAGGAACGCGTCGTTCTCAGTTTGCTAGAATCTCCTCTGACATATGAGTAGGCCCTTTTGAGCTGATCAAGCTGAGTGCTCAGATCTCGGTGTTGATGGCCGATCGTAATGATGGTAGCGGTTCCAACGACGCTGTCCGTAAAAGCTACCAGAATCTTGGCACTTACAGGACCGCGCAGAATCTTGTGCGACATCGAGGCTGGACCGGACTCTATTCTGGGTTTCACTTGCACATGTGTAAGTTTTGATTGGTTGAGTATGTGAGTAGGCTACTGATAACGACTCCAGTGCGCGACACCATCGGTACAGGCATATACTTCATCACATATGAAAGTATCAAACAACTGCTTGCAAATGCACGGGGCAGCTCCCCAACATCTCCTCTTGCTGTTGTGACTGCTGGGGGTATGTGCGGTTTGGTAAGCTGGGCATGTGTAAGTTCATCACATTTCGGTGGCGCAGCATGGTCAGGCCTCTGTTAATGAATAGTGTATAGATATTTCCCATCGATACGGCCAAAAGCATATACCAACGTAACTGCCTCGTTGGTGGGAAAGACAAGCAGAGTCGACCCAAGATCCAATTCGGAAACCCTCGAATGTACCGCGGTCAGTCCGATTCCTTGTCTGATAATTTGAACACTCCTATTGACAAGCAATGCAGGTCTCACGGTATCTATGGGCCGTTCGTGTGCAGTGAATGCTATATTCTTCACTGCATTCGAATTCACAAAGAAGCGCATCAACCATATGGACGTCGATGAAGAGCTTCTCCGTGAGCACGACCTGTGAGGTTTCCCTTCATGTATGATGATTTCTGACTTTGAGTCTTCCTGCTCGACCTGTGGATTCGACTGCATGGACATGGCGTTGGGGGCTAGGGTGTATTCTAGGGATTTAGTACACTGGTATAGCATTGAAACATGGAACGTGCTCGTCTTCTGAATAAAGGTTGGCTGGTTGCCACCAAATTGTTTCTCCCATATCAGACTCAGATTGGAAAGCTTAAGCTTCCGTATGGTGAAGCCTGCTATATAAATCACCTACGATTGTCCGTAGACCAGTTCACGGATCTGTTCGTGGGACATGTAGTAATTGAATGATGTGCTTCTCCACATGTATGTTCAAGCCAAACATTGAACACACTGCCTGTCACACGTGGTGAGGCTCAGCTCGGCTCAGCGAGATATCAAACACCAAACATGGCTTAGCGCCACCAGCAAGCGTCTTTGTCCAATCAAACACAGGCTCGCATCAAACGCCTCTCAATTCTCTACAAAGCCCTGGGACCGACCGACCGACCGGCAGATACGCCAGCCAAATACCTAGCCCAGTGCAGCATCCAAGCGTGTGCATGTGTTTGTATGTGTGTGCGCGCGCGTCTGTGTGTGTTGGCAATCCTCCTCACCTACCCTGCGGCGACTGGCGCTCTGCTTTGCTCTTTGCTCTGATTACCCACCTACTGCTAGGTACCTAAGTAAGTACTTACCCACTCCCTCTTCCCACGGCCGCCTCGCTCGCGTAGGCTCCCTGCTCGCTCGCTCGCTCTGCCCCACCATATTCAGCCATCAGCTTTGCACAGGCAGCCGAACGTCACTCTCTCCCACCACAACCACAACCACCACCACCGCGACTCCCACCCACCATCCAGCAAGGCACACACAGGCTCACGCGTAATACGTGTCAACCTGCTCCCGGGGCGAGTACCCCGCATCCAAAGCTGTCCGGGAGCTTGTCCCTTTGCGAAATAGCCCACCATGTCCGTCTCCATTGAAGAGTTGGACGTCACAGTACGCGCCTTTTATGAAGGTCGTGGCGAGTCTGTACGTATTGCCACATATCCCCCCTTCCCCTGCGAACGCCCTGCTAACTCACCTCCTCTGTTCAGCAAAAACAAGCTCAGGCGACCCTCAACCAAGTACGTATCCCCAGCACGCTTTCCTGTCCCTCCTACCCCCGTCCCCCACCCCCCATCTCCAGCCTGCCATAACCTTCATCGGCTGACTAGCGCATAGTTCAAGGAAAATCCCGATGCATGGCTTCTCGTCGACAAGATCTTGCAGGATGCACAGTATCCGCAGACCAAGTGTAAGAACATCATCCTCTCAGATTCGGGGCAGCCGGTGGTGTTTTACTAACTTTGACCCAGATTTGGGACTGCAGGTTCTGGACAATGTAATCATGACTAGATGGAAAGTGCTACCTCGCGAGCAATGTCAAGGTGCGTCCTTTGATCGCAGCATCGTCGCATTTACTGATTGATCCTAGGCATTCGCAACTTCATTGTCAACTTCATTATCCAGCTGTCCAACAACGACGACCGAAGCCAGATCGATCGAACCCTTTTGAACAAGCTCAACCTCGTGCTCGTCTCCGTCTTGAAACAAGAATGGCCCCATAACTGGCCAACCTTCATCAACGAGATCATTTCTTCGTGCCACAGCAGCTTGCCAATTTGCGAAAACAACATGGCTATCCTTCGATTGCTCTCAGAGGAGGTCTTCGATTATTCGGAAGATCAAATGACTTCGGCGAAGCGACGAGAGCTCAAGCAGAGTATGTGCGACGAGTTCACGTCCATCTACCAGCTTTGCTCCGAAGTCCTTCGTACCGCGACCGAAGCTTCGTTGATCAAGGCAACTCTCGAGACGCTGCTACGTTTCCTGAATTGGATTCCTCTTGGCTACATCTTTGAGACGCCCCCAAGCGGTACTAGTCTTATCGAGACTCTTCGAAGCCGATTCCTCGACGTTCCCGATTTCCGCAATATCACGCTCAAATGCTTGACTGAGATCGCTGGGCTGCCTACGGAACCTGCATATGACGACAAGCTTGTACAGATGTTCACTGAGACGCTTACCGCTATTTCAAAGATCATCCCTCTTACACTCGACCTGAAGAGTACATATTCTGGAAGCAACGGCAGGGACCAAGAATTTGTGCAGAACTTGGCCTTGTTCCTCACCAATTTCTTCACAGTGCATCTCAACGTCATCGAGAACTTGATGAACAGGGATTTCCTTACGCATGGCCATTTCTATCTCATACGGATAAGTCAGATTGACGACCGCGAGATTTTCAAAATCTGCCTCGAATACTGGACAAAATTGGTATCTGAGCTGTACGACGAAATGCAAGCCCTTCCGATCACGGACATGAACCCACTGTTGAATATGGGTCTATCCTCCACGAACGGCGGAGCCAGGGACCCCGCTATCCTGGCAAACTATCCCTTGCGAAAGCACAAATACGCAGAAATTCTCTCAAACCTTCGCACCGTAATGATTGAAAAAATGGTGCGTCCTGAAGAGGTGCTCATCGTGGAAAACGATGAAGGCGAGATAGTCCGCGAGTTTGTGAAGGAGAGTGATACAATTCAGCTCTACAAATCAACTCGTGAGTGCTTAGTGTTCTTGACCCATCTGGACGTCAACGATACAGAGCAGATCATGTCCGAAAAGCTTGCCCGGCAGGTGGACGGTTCCGAATGGTCGTGGAGCAATTGCAACACGCTATGCTGGGCTATCGGATCCATCTCCGGCGCAATGAACGAGGAGACAGAGAAGCGCTTCCTGGTCACAGTCATCAAAGATCTTCTTGGTTTAACCGAAATGAAGCGCGGCAAAGACAACAAGGCCGTCGTCGCTTCCAACATCATGTACATCGTCGGACAGTATCCTCGATTCTTGAAGGCACACTGGAAGTTTCTCAAAACCGTGGTCAACAAACTATTCGAGTTCATGCACGAGACTCACGAAGGTGTGCAAGATATGGCCTGCGACACCTTCATCAAGATTGCGAACAAGTGCCGGAGGCATTTTGTTGCGTTGCAGCCAGGAGAGACAGAACCTTTCATTGATGAGATTGTTCGCAATTTACGGAAAATCACAGGCGACCTACAACCCCAGCAGATACATACCTTCTACGAGGCTTGCGGTTACATGATCAGCGCACAGGGCCAGAAGAGTATGCAGGAGCGGTTGATTCACGATCTAATGACATTGCCTAACCAAGCCTGGGACAACATCATCGCACAGGCCAACCAAGACCCGTCTTGCTTGCAAGACCCAGAGGTGATTAAGGTTGTAGGCAACATCATGAAGACGAACGTTGCGGCATGCGGTTCGATAGGATCCTACTTTTACCCGCAAATTGGTCGCATATACTTCGATATGTTGACCATGTATCGCGCCAGCTCCCAACTAATTGACGAGGCTGTCCAGCGGGACGGAAACATTGCGACTAAGATGCCGAAAACTCGAGGCCTTCGCACCATCAAAAAGGAGATACTCAAGCTGATCAACACTTATGTGGACAAGGCGGATGATTTGGAGATGATCCACAACAATATTGTCCCGAAATTGCTGGAAGCAGTGCTGCTTGACTACAAGAGCAATGTCCCCGACGCCCGTGAGGCCGAGGTGTTGAACGTAATGACCAGCATCATCAACAAACTGCATGTACGTTGGAACCCCCGCATAACCAACCCTCTGATGCTGACTAGTCCCCAGGGAATGATGGAGGACCAAATCATGAATATCATGGATAGTGTATTTGAATGCACGCTCGACATGATCAACAAAGATTTCTCGGAATACCCCGAACATCGTGTCGAGTTCTTCAAGCTTCTGCGGACAATCAACCTTCGCTGTTTCCCTGCCTTGCTTCGTCTGGACGGTCGATCGTTCAAGTTTGTCATCGATTCGTGCATGTGGGCCAGCAAGCATGACAACCGTGAGGTGGAAAGCGCTGGTTTATCCATGTGTTTCGAACTGATCTCCAACATGGCTGACACGGATGCTCAAACCCGGAATGGTTTCTTCCAGCAATTCTTCACCACCATCCTACAGGACGTCTTCTTCGTTGTCACTGATAGTGATCACAAGGCGGGATTCAAGTCGCAGTCGATGCTATTGGCCAAGATGTTTTGGCTGGTTGACTCGGGTAAATTGGACAGCCCCATTTACACATCACCCGACATGGCACCAGAAGGAACCCCCAACCGCGAATTTCTTCGCAACTTTGTCGGCAATCTGCTCGCGACTGCTTTTCCCAACCTTCAAACGTGAGTTTTTCGGACTAGCAACGCTTCCCCGGCACATGAAACTAATCATAACACAGGGCTCAAATCGCTTCTTTCATTGACGGGCTGTTCGCCACCAACTCAGATCTCAACCGATTCAAGGTTATTCTGCGCGACTTCCTGATCTCGTTGAAAGAGTTCTCGGGCGATAACGCGGAACTGTTTGCGGAGGAGCGCGAAGCGGCTGCTAGCAAAGTGAAAGAAGAGGAACGTCAACGGGCAATGAAGGTGGGCGGACTGTTGAAGCCTTCGGAGATGGATGACGACGAATTGTGACTGGACGAAGAACTCGCCCCTGACAAGGCAACGCGTACTCCGTTCGACACGAGGGGTGTGGGAACAAATTCTGGCGATGGCAAGGGTGAGCCATCGGATGAGTTGGGTAGCTGGGGCACGTATCCCGGCATGTGATGATTGACGACCACGAGAACGGGTGGCAGGCTTTGTTTTCCTTTCTTCTTTTCCTAAGAGGGAGATGAGGCGGAGGAGGGAAAAGAACAAGATATAGGCCTTCGCCTTGCAACTTTGATTTCGTCTCTTCTCTTTGTTTTATTTCTGGTAGACCAAGCAAGTGGATGTGTTGGGATGTGCAAAACAAAACAAAAACGGCCAGCATACCCAGCAGATTCTTGTGGTTGAACGTTGACCTCGGTACAGGAAGGGCGGCGGCGACGATAGATAATACGGGGGGATTGGACACTGCAAGCAAAAAAAAAGGTTGGTTGAGGGAGCGGAACTCTGGTTGGGATGGGATGGCGATGTTAGCAGGCGGCATATAGGTACTTGAGCCGGAAACGGGGGCGATGATATCCTCGGAGCGAGAAATACGACAGCATCAAGGAAAAGCATGTGCAAGTATACAAGTGCTAACCGAGTATATACATGTGTATGTTTCCAGTCAATACATACATATGTAGCGAGACATGATGTTGACGAAGTGGATGGATCTGGACTGCCAAGCGCAAAGGGCAGGGCGCGTTGCCGGATGGGGAGCGGCGTCCCCCACCACCCCACCACCTTTTTCCAGAGCCTCTTCCGTCTCGACTCGTCTTGCAGGCTCCTGGCATGCCGTGCACTAGACGACAGGGGGGCCAGCGACGTCTCCACGACTTCCAGACGTTCCTTTCACATCGTGGCCCCATCCGGCCCTTCGATTGGCTGCGACGTGCGCGAATGCTCCAAACGGCCTCACTCGTCTGCCCCCACCATCATCGTCACCACCAGTTGACCACCACCACCGCCAACTCGTCGAGTCGGCCACGACTACCACGACCACGATCACGACCACCTCCCGTTCCGCACGTACATACGTACACAGCTACTTGCATACATACATACTTACGTACTTACGTACAATCCGTGCACACATAGCACCCGGCACATTGCGTTGCTCGTCTTCTCACGCCAATCTTGATACAGTAAGTAGAATCAGATGCCTGCTTGCTACCGTACATACTGCCTGCTTGCCTGTGTAATTACCTGGGTACGTAGCCACGCTCCAACTTACTCACGGTCATCATCGCCCGCTGACCCCATTTCCCACCAGCCCATTTCATGATAGATACCTCTGCGTGCACGTTCCCCTCCCCCGCTACACGGCCAGCCTCATCCACTGCCTGCCTGCCTGCCTGTTCCTTTCTCCTTGCTTTTTTTCTTCTTCTCTTTTTCTTGCTTCCTCCTTCCTTGCTTGCTTGCTTACACCTGCCTCGGCCTCGTCCTATAGCATCTTGCCGACCAGCACAACCCGGCCATCCTCTTCCTGTATGGTTGCATCTGCGCAACATTCTCGCTTGCCGATCTAGTCTCCCGTGCCGAATTCTTCAACGTCCAAAACACATCAAGTCGCCTTCTACCTTGCTGTGTTTTGAACCATCATGTATGTCCGCATCCAATGGACCTGCCCCCGCTTCCTCTGCTTGTCTTGCGCAAGACACCCTCATCCACGAGTCTTGCCTCCAAAGACGAACCCACTGACTCGTCTCGCTTCTCTAGGAAATTCGGCAAGCACATACAAAAGCGGCAACTGGATATTCCAGAATATGCCGCCAGCTTCGTCGACTACAAGGCTCTCAAAAAGGTCGCTCTCTTTCTCTCTACCCCCTGTTTTCTCCCTCATAGACTCCCTTGGCCATGCTTTCTGACCATGCCCACAGCTCATCAAAAGGCTGAGTAGCACACCCATCATACCCGCTCAGGCCGAACATGGCCATGACCTCGAGGTGCTGGACCCGCAGACGTCACTGCAGGCGAACAAGGCCACTTTTTTCTTCCGCGTAGTATGTTATTCTACATTGCGTTCGCTCGTAAGACCATCAAGTTATTTACACCATGTGCAGGAACGAGAGCTGGAGAAAGTCAACACCTTTTACTTACAGAAAGAGGCCGAGGTATTTCCGCCAATTGCTTCCTAATTCTCTTCTTCTTCGTCGACGCTCACGTGTCTCGTAGTTGCGATTAAGGTTAAGTACCCTTCTCGACAAGAAGAAGGTCATGCAGCAACATCCGCAGTCGGTTTCCAAAGCTTCGTCGCGATATATTGCCCTGGAGGAGGGTCTAAAACAGTTTAGCATAGATCTCAACAAGCTGGAGGTGATTGGTCTGTGACTACCCAATGGCGCAATAGACTAACCTCAAGACAGCAATTCGTCGAGGTTAATGCAACCGCATTCTCCAAGATTCTCAAAAAGGTAATCAGTCATCACCATCTGCATCCACAGTATGACCATCAGGCTAACCTGCTACAGTGGGACAAGACGTCAAAGGTCCGATCCTATGTCCCGTGCATTCCGCTACTCTGGCTGACCGTATTGCCAGTCACGAGAAAAGCAGCTCTATCTTTCGCGAGCCGTCGAGGTTCAGCCTTGTTTCAATCGCGATGTAATCAGCACCTTGTCGGATCAGGCAACCCAGGCACTCTTTGATTTCTCTGGATGGGCTGAAGGTGAAGGAATGCAAGTTCCACAGGAACTCGCGCAGTCGAGACCAGCAGAGCCATCCATTGAAGCAAATCTCGTCCTCGATAACCAGATTGTGCAAGCTATCAACACTGCCAACACAGTTCAGATTGAGGAGTGCTTAGCTAGGTTGTCTGGGCTTCCGGATGCCCATGAACGCATTACAAGGGCGTTTCTGAGCACTGTGGAATTGGCTCCCAACTCGGCTCTAACCCTCGTGTTAAACACGAATCAGGTCAATCTTCACCAAGAGGACGAGATCAACGAGCGCAATTGCCTACACAAAGCCGCTATTCGCGGGAGACTAGAGGTGCTACAGGTGGGCCTGGCTGGCAAGGTCGATGTGCACGCTGCAGATGTCTACGGGCGGATACCGTTACATTATGCTGCCATGCATGGGCGCCTGGAGCTACTTGAAGAGTTGGTTCGAGTTGCCCCCGACACTATCAACTTCCGAGACCAAGACAGTTTTACACCACTCATTCATGCCATTGTGCATTCCCAGCTTCCCTGCGTCCAGGTTCTGCTCTCAAAAGGAGCGCATATAACCCGTATGGGGCCTGCAGAACATATACCCCTCAATCTTGCTTGTCAGTATGCATCGTTGGAGATTGTGGAACTTCTGCTCCAGGTCAACACGGAAATGCTACCTGATGCCGAAGGCTTATACCCTCAGCACCTGGTGGCACGATCCGGGAAGTCGCCGCAAATGCTCCTTCTGCTTCAGAGATACGGTGCAGACCTCAACCATCCCGATAAGCTCTATCTTTGGACCCCGTTATTCCACGCTGCCAGTGAGGGTCACGTGGAATGTCTCAAGACGTTGCTTCAATGCCAGGTCGATGTCGATGTGGTCGACGAAAAGGCTCTATCTGCGTTATACTACGCGACATGGGAGGGCCACTTGGAATGTATGAGGCTACTAGCATCGGTCGGACGTGGGGTTGGCTTATCTATACAACGGCAACTTTCTCCCCAGATCACCACACAAACAGCATCTGGAACAGCACCTGGGCCGATGGACACAGGAGGGGATGCAGAAGGTATTCCGGAGTTCATTCTACCCCCACCCATCATCCCCTTCCGAAGATATGGTCACAACTTCTTGGATACGAAAACGTTCGTCGTCATTAGCTTTGAGAGGTTTGGCAAGGAAGCTATTCAATTCTACGACAGTCAAAAGTACCCCGCGGCCAGGCTTACAATCTCTTCGAAAAGTTCTGATCTTATTCCGAGAAACATGCTGCTCCCTATCCAAGATGAATTCAAAGTCATCTCATTCCAGATTGAGAATATCGATAATTTCTCAATTGACTTCGATGTATACCCAACGATTGGTTCAAAGGTTATTGCACGCGGTGTTGCATCTTCACGAGTTTTCACAACCCCGGGTAGGAGTTCAGGGCAATGGCATTTGGAGCTTTTCGACCCAAGGCTGCGCGCTATCGGCCGGGTAACGTTCGATTTCCAGGTTGTCAAACCGTTCCACGGCATTCCACTAGAGATTACCCATTTCGCCACCTACTGGAAAGCAACCAGCCAGTTGGATTCTCAGCCTCACACTCTGATCACAGGATCAAGTCTATCCGGCGAATACGTTCGATTGTTTGTCCAGCTAACGGCTGACGGGGTGCCCGTTTTATACCCGCAATGGAAAATCAGCCATGAGGGTTTGGACGTTCCGGTCAACATTCTAACGTACGCCCAATTTACAGCAATTGGAAATGGGCTCAACGCTGGAGCTGCAACTCAGCTCAGTGCTCTTTCAAATGCCAGCCTAGACGATATAGCAACGATATTTCAGACGCTGGCATCATCGTTTACAACCCTCAAAGAGGCGCTTGCTCTTCTCCCGGCGTTTATCCATGTCGAGCTGCATGTTCTCTTCCCATCACTTGCAGACGCAGACCGCCTAAAGCTCGGCTCAACTCAAGACATGAATGACACGGCTGATAAGATTCTTGAAGTGGTGTTCGAGCACGCACGAGCGCTGCGCGAACAAGGTGCTGGAGAAATCGATGGAACCTTACGGAGCGTGGTTTTCAGTTCCTTCAATCAGGATATTTGCACAGTGATCAACTGGAAACAACCAAACTGTATGTATATGAGAAGCCATGTTTTGACCGTTTCCAGTAATCCCATTATGCTAACTGAGCGCTTCCTTCATTGTACAGATCCTATTCTCCTTTGCAACGAGCTTGGCGCCGATGATTATGCTTCGCCATCACCATCGGGCGTGATTGCTAATAGCGGTCGCACGACGCTATCGGTTAAGGAAGCTGTACAGATTGCCCGGGATAATAACTTTATGGGGCTTATCTGTAGCTCCCGCCTCCTGGTACGCTTGTCTCCGCCTGTCACCAGATCTGCCTACAATGCTAACGTTGCTCGTGCTAGAATCTTGCACCCGCGCTCATCGAGTCTATCAAAACGGCAGGTCTCGTTCTCATCACTGACGTCACCGATAGTTCTCCATCGGTCCAGAACGGTGTTCAACAGCCAAGTAGCCTCGGGGTTGCTCGACCGAGGGGCGAATCGATACCTAACGGTGTGGACGGAATCTTGAAGGGCAATGGCATCCTAAGATTCAGTGATAGTATTGACATGTAAACCATGTTGATCAGAGAATTTGTGTTGGGTCACCTAGTCATCATATGACTTCAAATGTTTGTGACGGGAAGCCAGGAGATGAATGGGGCATCATACCTGTTCACTCTCCTTGTAGCCCCGCTCCCTCATCCTACCCCCTCTGATGCGAGGAATAGTGGTTTGTGAAAGGCGTGAAGATGGTAGGAGTTTTTTTTTGTTCTTTTTTCCTTCTTCTTCATCTTCTCCTCGTCGAATCATGACTTTATTCGCACCTCTATATTATTGTATACTGCATGGCCATAAATGGGGGGTTAATTGTGCATACATAGACTGTACCTCAAGCAAGAATTTAAAACGGGCTGGGGGGTATTTTGATAAAGGGAATAGGAAAATGGAGCATACATGTGTAATCATCAAATCGGGCTCACGCAAGTGCCTAGGGTAGATCCCGAGTACCGCATCTGCTTCCGCGTGCGCGTGCTTTATTGTACCGAATTCCCGACATGCGCTAAACCCCCCAAAAAACGCTACTTCCCTTTTCTCAACTTTCCCTGGCCTACTGTCTGTCCCTGCTTCCTTCTCAGTCCCTCCTTTCGCTATCACCACAAAGCAAGCCCGAGGCCTCGTTCGTTGTCTTTTCCGGCATAATTCCATATTACCATTGACGAATTCTACCATCATCCCTTCTCCTGCCTCGACGTCGACGACTCATTCACAAATGCGATGAGCAACTACGAACGACATTCAACACCATCGACCGATTCATCCCACATATGATAGCATGAATCCATTCGCTACCACAGCGCTCTCGCGCTCCACATTCTCTCATCGCTATTTTGCTCGCACCGTAGCCTCATCAACCCCATCATCACTGTCATCGCCATCGAGATTTCTATGGACTTGCTGCGCCTGCTCCAGACGTCGCATCTCACCACTCCGGGTCTTGTCCTTCGAGAAATCACATAGGCAAACTTCATCGTTGTTGCCGCCGATACGAGGATATCATGGGACGGAACCAAAAGATAGCGGAACCCCAGGAACGGGTGGGTCCAGGACAAAGCCGAGTGGGAACGGCAGCAGGAAAAGAAATAGGCGAAAGCTGGTGGTGGCTGGCGGTGGATTGGCGTTAGGTGCAGCGACATTGGTTACCATCACCGATGACGCGAAACATGCTGTCACTGCCGTGGAGCGAAGTGGAAGAGTGGTGGGGACTTTGTTTGTGAATATCAAAGAGTAAGTCCGCTTGCTTTCAATGTCCTACCGTGAGAGAGCACGCGAGGATGGGCCATACGAGCACATCAGTAGACTGGGATTTAGGATACAGCACGCAAACTAACATCCGCTGCCATTGAATAGCTACCGAAGCACGCTTAAGCGTGACAACGAAGATAATTACGACGAGTTGCTCAAGGCATGCCATTTACGCTGCGCCAAACGTACACTCAAGACACTGGAGAAAAACGGGTCAATCTTCATCAAGTTGGGACAGCACCTGTCTAGTCTCAATTACCTCCTACCAAGCGAATGGTGCGATACATTCATTCCCCTACAAGACAAATGCCCGGTATCGAGCTACGAGTCAATTAAAGAGATGGTACTTCAAGACACTGGAACCGATCTTTCCGAGTATTTCTCGGAGATGGATGAGCTGCCTATTGGTGCTGCCAGTCTGGCGCAGGTCCATAGGGCGGTCGTAAGAGCTACAGGGCAAAAAGTCGCGGTTAAGGTCCAGCATCCAGCACTAGATGAATGGGCGAAACTGGATCTCGCTTTAACACGTTTCACATTTGAGACTCTCAAGTACTGGTTCCCAGAGTACGATCTCACTTGGTTATCCGAAGAAATGGAAGTCTCTCTTCCACAGGAGCTCGACTTTGCGCTGGAAGGCAAGAATGCCATGCGTGCCAAAGAATATTTCAGCAAGGTACGCGGCGTGCCTGTCATAATTCCCGAAGTGTTGTGGGCGAAGAGGCGAATCTTGGTGATGGAGTATGTGAGCGGTAGGCGGCCAGACGATCTAGAGTACCTAGATGCGAACAAGATTGATCGGGACGAAGTCAGTGCGGCTCTGGCACGAATCTTCAATCAGATGATCTTCGGCAACGGAGCGCCTCTACACTGCGACCCTCACGGTGGCAACATCGCCATCCGACACAATCCATCGCGACCTGGCAAAACCAATTTTGACGTTATTCTCTACGACCATGGACTCTATCGTGATATCCCTTTGCCCCTGCGTCGGTCGTACGCCAAGCTTTGGCTTGCAGTGCTCGACGCGGACGAGTCACGAATGCGCAAGTATGCGAAAGAAACGGCGGGTATTGACGACGAGTATTTCCCCCTCTTTGCTTCGGCCATTACAGGTCGTGATTACAGGGCCATCATGAAGGACGTAACGACGAAACGTACGGGCGAGGAGAAGGAGATTATCGGAGGAAGTCTGGTAGAGGGGGGGATGTTGGAGAGCTTGATCCAGTTGTTGGGCAAGATGCCCAGAGTGTTGTTGTTGATCTTGAAAACCAACGATTTGAGTAAGTTCTTGGGATGGCAACAAGCAATCGTGTGCACGGGGTGAAACGCTGACGATTTGGATTCTCTTTAGCGCGCTCTCTCGACGAGAACCTACACACTCGACAAGGGCCCGTGAGAACGTTTCTCATTCTTGCAAGGTATGCCTCGCGCACTGTATATGAGGAGCAGGTGGAGAAGCTGAGTGGGTCGATGCTATGGCCTTCGAACCTCGTGGCGTTTCTCCGAGCATTTGGGGCATATATGAGAGTGGAGCTCAAGCTGGGTGCGTACGAGACGCTACTCCAGGCGAGGGCGGCTTTGGGGATGGGGCAGGTGACGAGTTAGAGGTGTGCATGGTAAAGATGTTCAATTGTGGTTGAGGTACAGGGGTTCGGGGTACGTGAAGGTGTATTCGTCAGCTAAATGAATGATACGAGAGGGCGGTGCAACACGTTGGAGGCAAAGGATGATGATGATGATAATGATGATGATGCTTTACGGCACGCATTGCACGTATACACTGTCAGATGGCATGGCGACGGAGGATTCAAACGACAAGTCTGGAGCAGAAATGCGGTTGGCGGTGCACAAGATGGGTAGAGATGATTGGTAGAAGTAGGTTGTGGGTGTTCCATGACGAAACGAAAACGGTCTCCACGCCACAAACAAGGAGCGAGCGAGTGAGGGAGCAGGCAGGCGGGGTGGGGCAGTCTCACTCTATGTATGGGGCCATCATCAAGCCTGCCATGTTATGTACGTACATAGCTAGACAGGTTCAGTCCACACCCAAGTACGCAACCACTGCGAATAAGCACAAGTGCATTTCTATCCTACATGTGCACATATCCAAGTAAGTAGCTACTACTTAGATGAATACTATACTTGGTTAGCTACTACTGCCATGAGTGACAGCAGCAAAGCAGGGTGTTGGCCGTTGCCCGACCAGTTTGTTACATCAAATACATACATTTACTCGAGCCGCTACCCGGCCCAACGAGCACGCGACGGTTTGATTGATTGCCTGAATGATTGAATGGGTTGGATGCTTGGTTGCCTGCTGTCTGCTGCCTGCCACCCATGTATTTCCGTATCTACGTACTGCATGCACATGAGAAAGTACATATATGTAGGTACTTGATTGACGTACACATATACCGACTATGTAGTGAGCGATGCGTTCAAATGTTCGTCGCAGGTCAGCCCCCTTCCCCATCGCCTGCATGACATATAGACACAAACACTCACACACACATACACATGCGTGCGTAACTATCCAAGTACATACATGGTATACCATCCTAGATGTGAGTGTGTACAGACATGGCCTAGGTACTAAGTTGGGTTCCCCTCTCTGTTCGGTTTGTAACCGCGCACGGCCCCCGACACCGCACAGCCCCAAGCGTCGTTCCAACCCACTTGCCTCTATCCACATCCATCCATCCACCCACCCATCCATCCATCCATACTTACCTTGCCTACTACCAACTACCTTCTACCCCATCGACTCACGCCTACGACCACTGACTGGCACCAATACACTTACATATACAGTCTGTCCGCCACGGCCACCCCCGCCACCGCCCACTCGCCTGGCACGAGTCCACAATCCGCTTGCGAGCTCTGAGAGCCGCAACTCCATTGCTCGCCTCCCTCCCCTCCTCCTTTCACCCACCATGGATGGAACCGGCACCCCCAACCTGCGCATTACCAGCATGTCTACCTCCCAGTCTCCAATACGTGCACTCTGTTGCTGACACTTTGCAGTCATTGCCGCAGACGGCCTCTATAAGCGTGATGTCTTCCGTACGTACACCCCAGTTCGACCCGCCTCGAACACTCCTCTTACACTCGTGCCCCAGGCTTCCCCGACCCCTTCGCCGTGGCCACCATCAATGGCGAACAGACGCGCACCACGAGCGTCATCAAGAAGACCTTGAACCCCTACTGGAACGAAAGTTTCGACATGTACGTCGCTGCACTTGCCGTCATCCATTCATGGTGCTAACACGTGCATGTCTAGGCGCGTCACCGAGGACAGTGTACTTGCGGTACAGATATTTGACCAGAAGAAGTTCAAGAAGAAGGATCAGGGCTTTCTGGGCGTCATCAACGTGCGCATAGGTAGTGTCGTTGATCTCGACGCTGGCGGAGACGGTAGGCCACATTCCCCTTGACTCTTGCGTCCATGCCCAGACTTAGCTGACATGTCATTCACATTTCTAGAGATGCTCACGCGCGACCTTAAGAAGTCAAACGACAACATGGTCGTGCATGGTAAACTCATCCTCAATCTGTCCACCAACTTGACCGCACCCATAAGCCAGGCCGGCCAGAACACTACCCCTCGTCCTCCACTCTCGGCACAATCCAGCGCAGTAAACGGAGCCGGCGGACCCTCGGGTGGCCCAACCCCACAACAGTCGACTCCAAACCTCCACCCAGACATGTATCCTGGCCAACGTCCGCAGATGGCTTCGCAGGTGCCACCCCCTCGTACCAATCAGCCTGGCCCAATGGGTGCCCCTCCCGCTGGTGCACCTCCTCCGGGTGCCCCGCCAAGCGGCAGCCGCGGCAGTGGCGGTGCCTACAGTGCATTTGAAGATGCTCAAGGGCGTTTGCCACCTGGGTGGGAGCGCAGAGAAGATCATTTGGGGAGGAAATACTACGTTGACCACAACACCAGGCAGACCACTTGGATCAGACCAGGTGCTGGTTTCAACGAAGCTGAGAACAGAACTCAAATGGCAGCGCAGACCCAACAGGAGCGCACTCGGCACCAGAACCGCATGTTGCCCGAAGATCGTACGGGCGCGAATTCTCCCACGCTTTCGGAGCGTCAACCCTCACCTCCTGGTCCATCTGCCAACGCTGTCAGCATGCATGCTACAGGGGCTACCACGGCCGGTACAGGTGAACTTCCATCAGGCTGGGAGCAACGTCATACTCCAGAAGGACGACCCTATTTCGTCGATCACAACACGCGAACCACGACGTGGGTGGATCCTCGTCGGCAACAATACATTCGCATGTACGGTGGCCAAAATGCCAACAACAGCACCATCCAGCAGCAACCCGTCTCTCAGCTCGGACCCCTGCCCTCTGGCTGGGAGATGCGACTCACCAACACAGCTCGTGTGTATTTCGTTGATCACAACACGAAAACGACCACGTGGGACGACCCCAGATTGCCGTCCTCGCTCGACCAGAATGTGCCTCAATACAAGCGTGATTTCCGTCGCAAGCTCATTTACTTCCGATCACAACCCGCACTCCGAATTGTTTCCGGGCAGTGCCATGTCAAAGTTCGACGAACACATATCTTCGAGGATTCATACCACGAGATTATGCGTCAAAGCGCTGCGGACCTGAAGAAGCGATTGATGATCAAGTTTGACGGTGAAGATGGTCTCGACTATGGAGGTCTTTCGCGTGAATTCTTCTTCCTGCTCTCTCACGAAATGTTCAATCCATTCTACTGTCTCTTCGAATACTCGGCGCACGACAACTACACACTCCAGATTAACCCTCACTCCGGTATCAACCCCGAGCATTTGAATTATTTCAAATTTATTGGGCGTGTAGTTGGATTAGCCGTCTTCCACCGCAGGTTTTTGGACGCATTCTTCATCGGAGCATTTTACAAGATGATTCTAAGGAAAAAAGTGGCATTGTCAGATATGGAAGGTGTAGATGCGGATTTCCATCGCAATCTGGAGTGGATGCTGTAAGCTTGAGCCATTGCCATATTCCGAACTCGACAACTGACGTGCTTTACCAGGAACAATGACATTACTGACGCGCTGGAACTCACATTTTCGACGGATGATGAGCGTTTCGGTGAAACTGTCAGTATTGAGCTGAAACCGGGTGGTGAGGAGATCGAGGTGACAAACGAGAACAAGAAGGAATACGTCGAGTAAGTGGTGGGAGTGCTCCAGATATTGTCATCATTTCTCTAACTACTACAGTCTTATAACCGAATGGCGCATCCAGAAACGGGTCGAGGAACAGTTCAACGCTTTCCTTTCCGGCTTCAACGAATTGATTCCTCCAGAGTTGGTCAATGTGTTCGACGAGAGAGAGTTGGAGCTTCTGATCGGTGGTATCGCGGATATCGATGTTGACGACTGGAAGAAGCACACTGACTACCGCGGATATACTGAGAACGATGAGGTGATTGTCAGCTTCTGGAAGGTACGTCGCCACGCACTGTCACAGATAAAACAAGGGACAGGAACTAACGTTACCTTGCAGTGCATCCGAAGCTGGGACGCCGAACAGAAGTCGCGATTGTTGCAGTTCGCCACGGGTACTTCGCGTATCCCCGTCAATGGTTTCAAGGATCTACAGGGATCAGATGGGCCGAGGAGGTTCACGATTGAAAAGGCTGGAGAGCCTACTCAATTACCCAAGTCACATACATGGTGCGCGAGACTTCCCCTCCAAATCACATGTGGATGCAAATGTAAACTAACACCACGTAGCTTCAACCGACTGGATCTACCGCCTTATAAAACATTCGAAGCGCTTGATAAGAAACTCACCATTGCGGTCGAGGAAACGGTCGGATTCGGACAGGAGTAGATGGCGACGCGAGGTGCACTGTACCTGTGGCTGTTCGAGGCTCCTCCTGTTATATGTCTCCGTGTAATGGGGGGTGGGGCTGATTAATTTTTATATTCTGATACTGTAGAAAGTCATGCAAAGCGTTTGGTCGACGGTGTCTAGGAGAGCAAGAGCACGAAGTTCATGGCACGAGAATTCGAACCCTGAGGCTTGTGGTGCATGGAGCACATGACAGGCACACGAGGAGGGAAGGCTTGAAAACATAGGGAGAAAGTGAGAGAGTGAGAGAGAAGTGATCGGTGGGTTTTTTGTATCTGATAGGACGAAGGGTGAGGGCAGCGCTTGTCAAGGGAGAGATCGGTGCAGTAAGATCGACGCAGCGCAACGAGACGGAGAGAGGGCATTCGGGTGGCATGGACGCTGTGATATCTGACGGGGAGCTATTGTTTTTTCTTGGTGCTTTTGTTAGTCGGTCAGCGTATGCAAGAAAAAATTGGTGCTTACACAGTGCAGGATTGGAAGCCATGCGTGGATGCATCGATGGCTCCATCAATGATTGACTCAATCAATTGATGGTGCTCGGCCGTACATATGTGATATGAGATGATTGATTAGTCAAGCACATGCATAGACGAATCGTTGGTTGGACAGTTTGTTGTTTATTGATTTGATGCGAGGGTAGGAGACGATTGGCGAACGAGGCGGGCACTTTCACGGAAGCGGGCAAGCGCATCAATGAAACCGTGAAAGGGGATGCTCCACCCAGCGTCCTGGACCAGATCAAGGCCCGGGTCCTGTACGAATCTGGGCTCCGGGCGGGGAAGGGTGAAGTGGTTGGTTGGCTGCCTGTCTGGTTGAGTTTAAATCTCCCCTTTCCTCTGTTCAATGTTTGCATTCCTCTCTTCCCTCCCATCCATTTCCCTTCAGACGCCCATCACTCGCTTTGGGTTCTTCTCTTCTCTCTTCTGTGCACGCACCGTATACCCCCTATTTTTAATTAATACATACTTCTACACTAGCCGACCTCGCCAAGTTGAATTATACCGGAGTCAGTCCACCATGCGTTTCGCCGTTGCCCTCGCTGCCGTCTTCGCCGGCCTCGCCGCCGCCCAAACCACGACTTCCCCGAGCACTGCCGCGCCATCGTCGGACATTTGTGCTCAGGACATTGTCGACAGCTGCGTGGCCCAGTTCAAGACGCGCATCGACAAGTGCAACGAGAAGCCCAATGACTGGGTCTGCCTGTGCGACGAGAACACCAATCTTTTGACCTGCTACAACAACTGCCCCAAATCGCCGGACCGATCGCCTGTCGAGAACAGTGCCACGCAGTTTTGCAATGCCGCCGCACCGTAAGCTCTCCATATCCCCCTCATGCGTTCTTGCTTTGCTTTGCTTTGCTGCTATCAGTCGGCCAGAAAGACGGTCGGATGAATGAACGAATGAGTGGATGAATGCTAATGGATCAACCAATCAATGCAGTCTCAAAGCATCGATGTCTTCTGTAGCCGCTACTGCTGTCAAAACGTCGGCGTCTTCGTCATCCACATCGGGCGCATCGGCTACCAGCTCATCCCCCATCGCATCTTCTTCGCTCCAACCCGAAAGGAACGCCGCCGAGGCTCTTGGTATCCCCGTGGGCGGTGTGTTTGCTTTTGTTCTCGGCATGGCCAATGTGTTGTAGACGAAGGTTGTGCGTGCTGAGGAAGAGGGGGAGGGGGAGGTTTCGTGGTTAGTGGTAGTAGTCTGGGGGAGGTTAGAAGTGAGATATGTGCCCATGCGGTGTAGTAATCTATAATCGAAGTAGCAAATCATGGACAACAGAGCGCCTATGTACTAGCGGGCTAACCGCACCATCAAAAGGTGACGCGTGAGGCAAAACCCCGGTCGATGAGTAATGAATGAATGAAAGAATGGATGGATGGATGAATGGATGGAAGCCTGGCCCGTTATCGGCGCACGGCGGCGGCGGCGAAGACCGACCGAATAAACCATGTGGTATCGGTACCAGTGAGTATGTATGTATAGTTTATTGACAGCGTGACTGGCGGCGGTGACGTAGCGCACACTCTGTTGCCCGCCTATGCGCTTAGCCCCAGTCCGCCTTGCCCCCCAACCTCCATCCTCCCCCATCTTAACCAATCGCCCTCTGCGCCATGCTCATCATTTTTTCTTCGCTCCCCGCTAATGGACCGCCCGCTCTCCAGCATGCCGGCTCACTCTGCGCCCGCCCTGCCACTTGGGCAGTCCTTGCTCCCGTACATATCGTTCCATCCAATTCCACCCCGGATTCGAAGCCAATATTCCTAACCTGACAGCCCGCCGCCGCCCGCGTCTTCTCCTCTCACGCACACTTTGTCGTCCCTGCGCCTGATCGTTCCTTCTCTTCCTCGTCGCCTGTTGTTTCTCCATCTGCCAATCAACCTTTGTCGACAAGAAGAAGAGGAAGAAGAATGTACGACTGCAACCAGCGGTTCCATCGACGACCGCGACCACGATAGACGACCACCCATTTCCATGCTATGATATGGCGAATCTGCACGACAACCGCGGACCCGCCGTTCTTGCCGTTACTGCCACCACTCTGGTCTTTTGCTCTGCTTTTGTCTTGTTCCGCCTGATTTCAAGATGGGGCATCGTCAAAAAACGAGCATGGGACGACTGGACCATCATCCTGGCATGGATCCTCGCCTTTGGCACTTCGTTTGCCATCTGCTTCGGTACTACCCACGGCTTGGGTAGACACCAAGCAAGCATTCCGAATGACATCGAAGCCGAAATGAAGAAAGCCTCGTACGCCTTTTCCGTCCTCTACAACCCCGCCCTCATGGCCACCAAGACATCCATCCTCATCTTCTATTTGTCTCTTTCCAAAACACAAAAGATCTTCCGATGGGCCACCATTGCTACTCTGGTCGTCGTCAACGTAGGCGGTTTGGCCTTGACTCTTCTCAATATCTTTCAATGCGCCCCCGTTGCAGCCGCGTTGCAAACACCAGTGCCCAGTTCTGCTTCCTGCACTGATATCGTTACCATCTATCTTTCGTCCGCCCCGCTCAACATCATCACCGACCTGGCCATCTTTTTCCTGCCCATGCCCATCCTGACCGGCATGAGGCTACCTACCACCCAGAAGGCCATCCTGATTGTTACTTTCGGTTTCGGTGTCTTCGTCTGCATGGTTGACATCGTTCGAATCTACTATCTGCAGGACGCTCAACGCGAAAACTTACGTGCCACTCACAACAACATGCCCGATAGTGGCACCGAAACACGAAACACCACTGACTTCTCGTGGTACGCTTCTTTGTCCTTCATGTGGAGTGCAGTGGAAATCAACGTAGGCATCATGGTTGCTTGCGTCCCAGGACTGAAACCTATAGTAAAACGCTTCCTCCCTCAGTGGATCATTGATCATACCGTACACGATAGAAGCACAAGCAGGACCAGCGACAGCATGGTCCTCGGACCAAATAGAAACTCCATTCCATTGCAATCTCCGCCTACTTCACCGCTGTCGCCTCCTTATTCGCCCCTCTCGAAGCCACCAGCTGCTGCTCTCCGAGGCCAGGATGAGACCCCAGGCGCGGTAGATTTCATCACGACTCCGGATGATCAAATGCCGCCTCTCAATCGTTACAGTACTGTAGCAACGTGTGCAACCACTCGCACCCGTCGCAATTCGGCTGCTTTCTTCGACTTCGTCAACATGGAGAAGCGAAAAAACATCACATTGAGAAGTACTAGGGAGGCGATTTTTCCCATCATAATGGTCACTATCCTGTTCTTCATATGGGGGTTTGCATATGGTCTATTGGACACGCTCAACAACAGGTTCCAGGAAGTGGCGCATATGACAGATGGCCAAACGATCGGCCAGCATAGTGCTTATTACGCCGGTTATATAGTAGCCCCGCTGCTCTTTGGAAGAATAGTGTTCAAAACTTGGGGCTTCAAAGCCTGTTATATGGTCGGCCTTACCATTTACGCGTGTGGAACATTGATCTTCTGGCCCTCGGCTGTGCTCTCCTCCTTCCCCGCCTTCCTCATCTCCAACTTCATAGTTGGTATGGGACTGTCGATGCTCGAACTTGGAGCAAACCCCTTTATCATACTCTGTGGACCACCCGAATTCGCCGAAGCGCGGATCAACTTCTCACAGGGTATACAAGCCATTGGGACAGTCGTTTCGCCGTTGCTTGCCAAGAAAGTCCTGTTCAAAGCTTCCCCCAACAACCTCATCGATGTACAATGGGCGTACCTTGGTATCGCCTTCTTCACCGTTCTTCTCGCTGTTGTCTACTACTACGTTCCATTGCCTGAAGCTACAGACGAGGAACTGGAGGCTGCCTCCGCCCGCATGCCCATGCCGCGTGGCAGTACAGTCGGTTCGTCCCAAATCAAAGTGATGGGAGTATCCCTCGGACTCGGTGCCGTCAGCGTTTTCTGTTACGTGGGCGGCCAGGAAACCGTATCGACTTCTTTTGCAGAATTTGTCGCTCGCGTCGAGCCGGGTCTTGACGTTGTATCTCACCAGGCTGTTGCGCACACAGCCTTTGCTGCATCTCGCTTTGTGGCTGCCTTCGTAGACATATGGCTGCGACCGCGCTTCACCCTTCTCTTCTTTTACGCTGGTGCACTTGCTTTCGCTGTGGCCGCCATGTCGGTGTCTGATTACGGTGCAGCCCCTGCTGTTGTTATCATCATGCTCAACTTCTTCGAGGGGCCTCTATTCCCCCTGATATATGCTCAAGCTCTTCGGGGAGTTGGAGGGCGTACAAAAGATGCCGCCGTCTTACTTACCGCAGCTATTGGAGGCGGCGCTATCTTCCCACCCATAGCGCATGGAGTCAGACAAGTTCGCAGTTTACATTATGCGTACTGTGTTGTGGTAGCTGCTTTCGCTGTCGGTCTCCTCATGCCTCTTTGGCTCAATGCGCATCCTACCGCAAGCAAGATTGCAGATCCTGCCCGGGACGAGCAGACGAGGCGAGAGCTTCAGGCAGAACGTGAGCGGCGCGAGAGCATGGGTATCAGTGAAAAAAGTAGCAGGCGGTGGAGCAGGATGAGAAGAAAGTGGAGCAAAGAGAAGTCCGACTTGCCTTCTGTGGAGCATCGCGAGCGTCGTAGCTGGCCAGATGGTCAAACGGAGCGTCCGGAGCTTGAGCTTGCACCACTACCACGGCATGAGAATGCTCCATCGCGAGTCGAGTCGATAGTCGACGTCAGCCCCAGAGGTTCTCTTGCCAGTTCACTCTCCTCTCAGCATACTCGTTGAGTGAATCCTGGGAGCTGCTCATATATTCTTTTGTATATATATAATTTTTCCAATATTGCCTCCCATTCTCTATGCGTTCATTGCTTACTGGGCCACCAACGCTCTCAAGTTTCCTGATTAGATGATGAGTCTGTGTCGGCTACAAGTGATTGTCATTTCGGCTGCTAATAGTGATCGGTTCGAGCGGAGACATATCAGCGTCAAACCTAATCTGAAGCTATCATCTGAATAAAGGACCCAGCATTAGCCCAATGTCGCGTATTCGACCTATAACGAGGTGCCGTTTCATGTCACGAGTCAGCGATGCTTGTGCTATGAATCTGCGAACTTGGACAACTCCACGTCCTGGTTCTATCCAATACGGCAATACAGTAATGTTGACATGCTTGGACCCGATAGTCAAGGCAACATCAGTGCCAATGCAGGAACCGGCGAGTCGAAAAATCAGATGCTGCTAGGGGCCGGTAATGCATTTCCCCCAAAGCGGCTCAGACCCTTGGCTGGAGAAACGTGGACCTCGGCTTCTCCACGTTCCCCATGTGTTTCAACGGCGCCAGCGGGGATAGAGCTGGCGATTCAAGCAGTTTAACTACACCGCACATCACCATTCCATCAGCCTATGCTTCATCTTTCGCTCCTCTTGCTCCTACACTAGTCAAATTCAGCGCCAGTGCTGCAGACTATTGACCTCTCCTCAGTAGGCCATTCACACTTCGATCTTTCGCTTCGGACTCTATCCTTCCCATTCGTTCATCACATAGCACAAGGTTAGATAATTTAGCATCGCCACCATGGTCGCTCAAAAGCAGCCCGTCTACGTCCTAGGCGTAGGCATGACCAAGTTTATCAAGCCGCGGGGCAAAGTCGACTATCCTGAGCTCGGTTTCGAGGCGGGAGTCAAGGCCATGCTGGACGCACACATCAACTACGACGAGGTGGACCAAGGCGTGGCTTGTTACTGTTACGGGGACAGTACCTGTGGCCAGCGTGTTTTCTACCAGTTTGGAATGACTGGTATTCCTGTTTACAATGTCAACAACAATTGCTCAACTGGCAGCACTGGCTTGTACATGGGTCGCAACATGATTGCCCACGGTGCAGCTGACTGCGTGCTCGTCGTCGGCTTCGAGAAAATGTTCCCCGGTAGCTTGCAGAGCTTCTTCCAGGATCGTGCCAATCCCACCGGGACTACCAATCTCATGTTGAAAGAGACGAGGGGTATTACCAAGGCCCCCGGTGCAGCGCAATTGTTTGGCAATGCAGGCCGTGAGCACATGGAGAAGTAAGTCCTCATCCCTCCAGGCACCCTAGCTTCTATGTTCACCATCTCTGCACACCCCTTGTGCTATACTTTGATTCTCATGTGCCCTAACTTGGCTACTTGTTTAGATACGGCTCCACACTTGAGGACTTTGCAGAAATTGGCCGCGTCAACCACGCCCACAGCAAAAACAACCCCTACTCGCAATTTCAAGACGAATATACGCTGGAGCAAATAGCAAAGTCACCCATGATTCACGAGCCCCTCACCAAACTCCAATGCTGCCCAACCTCCGATGGCTCCGCTGCGGCGGTTCTCGTCTCCCAATCTTTTCTTGACGAGCGACCCCACCTCAAATCGCAAGCCATTCTCATCGCTGGTCAAGCTATGGCGACTGATACCCCAGACCTGTTTCAGCGCTCAGCTATCGACCTAGTCGGCTACGGCATGAGCGAACTTGCTGCAAAGCAAGCGCTCAAAGAGGCCAGCGTCAATCCAAAGGACGTCAAGGTCTGCGAACTCCACGATTGCTTCTCGGCCAACGAGATGGTGACCATCGAGGCGCTCGGGCTGGCCGACAAGGGCAAAGCCCACGAACTCATCCGCGCTGGCGGCATCACATACGGGGGCCAAGTCGTCATCAATCCTTCGGGCGGCCTCATCTCAAAGGGACATCCGCTCGGCGCAACCGGACTGGCTCAGTGTGCCGAACTTGTCTGGCACATGCGTGGATGGGCCAACAATCGCTCCGTCAAGGACACGAGAGCTGCGCTGCAGCATAATCTCGGTCTTGGTGGCGCCGTCGTTGTCACCGTGTACAAGCGCGCCGATGGCTCTGCTGCTACTGACGTGTCGGACGCTGACATCGCAAAGACTACAGGTCTGGGATATAACCCTGCAGTGGTCGCAAAAGGTTTCACAAGAGAGCAGGTAGATGCTGTTCGGAGTAGGAAAGCTAGGAGCGAGTGGGCGCTGCAGGATACGCAGCAGAAGGTCGAGGCAAGATTTTAGGCAAGAACGCGTTGGGGTATATGTATAGAAATTCATTATTTTGTATGCGAATTGGAGTATTGTCAAATGCCAAAAACCAAAAGGCATTATAGAAGCTGTCGTGGAATCGTGCCTCCCAGAAGTGATGTGTAAGCTGCATAATGGTTGCTGAAGAAAATTCAACGTTTGCAAATCACTCGACGCGCATAATCCCATCTACGCAACACTCTCTTCCCTCACCATTATGGTTCTTTCCTTCCCGTCCGCGACTCTTGCTACCGCCTCAATGATCTCGTTCTTCGCATCCTCGCCGTCAATGATAGCAGCCATTTCCTCGAGCGAGGAGCCGGACGTCTCAACAAAGAGGAAGTAAACCGTCACCAGTTCAACCAGTAGCCAGACGTCGTAGACGACATAGTCTATTAAAGAGTCAGTAAAGCCAAAACCAAAAAAGGGAGGTGGCGTACATTTCCACTTTATGGCTTCAAGAGCAATGGGGTTGGCGTATTGGTTGAAGATGAGGGCGCAAGAGACGAAAAGATTGTAAAGAACAAGACCCTATACATATTTGTTAGTGCATCAATGATAGTATTTGGCGAACCTCCGGGGCAGCATTTACCCTCGCACGCATCTGATATGGCAAGATTTCAACGACATATGTAACCTGCAGCGGAGCCCAGGCGATGTTGAATGCGGCGTTGTACAAGAAGATCATGGCGAGGACGGCTCTACCCACGGCTGCGGACCCGGATCCCGTAGCGTCCACCTGTTTTTCGAAAGTCGATTCCAGTGCCGTCCAAATGATGAAGCAAACGAGCATGCAGGCTGTGGAAGTCAAGAACATGGTGCGTCGTTTGAATCGATTGACGACGAGGGAGAAGCCGAGAGAGGTGACGAGATTCCAGATTGTAAGGATTCCGTTGATGAGGGTTTGCGTTTCCTGCGATTCAATCCCTATAGAGTCGAGGATGAGTGTGAGGTAATACTGGGTCTGATTAGTATCGATGCACAGAAAATGTGACAAAGAACGTACCGAAATCAAGCCGTTGCCGGACCATTGAGAGAAGAAGCCTACTGCGAGGATAATCGAGAATCGAAGCATGTTGCCCCGAGTTTTGAAAAATGACTGGTAAGAGCCGCTGGCAGAGGATTCTTTCTCAAGACGCAGGGCTTCTTTTATCTCTTCCAGCTCGACCATAATGATAGGGTCATTCCGATTGTTGTTTCCATGATACTAGACGAGTCAACATGATATACATTGGCTTTGGGTGGGAAGGCTTCTCACTCTAGTGATGATCTCCTGTGCCTCATCACATCGGTCCTTGCTCACCAACCAACGGGGAGATTCGACTATCCACCACATGCACAAGATCTGAATGAAGCTAGACAAAGCTTGCAGAATAGAAGGAATCCTCCAAGCCCATGTGTTTGCGATGCGAAAGGTGCCATACGTGGTCCAGGCAGCAACAATGGCACCCATACTCCACAAGGAATTGTAAATACTGACCATGGGTGCCTTTTGTGTTGGAAAGGCAAGCTCCATGATAAGAATGGGCGCAGCAGTGATGTTGAAGCCGAGGCCGAAGCCAATGATTCCGCGGGCGGCGATGAACATGCCGTCTATATCTGAATCAGTCTTGCTCGCTCTTCAGTTTAATTCACCATTTATTTACTGTTTTGTGCGCCACCCTGCAACCCGACGCCTAAGAGGATTATGCAAGCTCCAAACACAAGAGTCTTTTTCCGTCCGAAATAATCGCATGCATAAGCACAAAATGGTAGAGACAGGAGTTGACCGACGTTCTGAATGGCGTTCAATCTGCGGAGGCTGTTAGTAACAAGGCAATAAATTAGGAGGCTAACATACAGAGCCAAAGTGCTGGCACCCGGTTGATGGAAGAACTCTTTCCACTCATCCAAAGATTGGAGTCCATCTAGATGGATGGATCAGCTTCGTTCGTTATTCCATATCGCCTGCTATTGACTTACTCATCATCGATCCATCGTACCCAGTTGCATAGGACGAGATTTGACACAACACAAGGAGCAAGTTGATGGTGATGATGCCTCGATCAGCAAACCAGCCCGTCTTACGGCCCACCAGAGCTTGATCCATGGTGATAGGAGCCGACATGGTGAATTGATACACAGAGCCCGCGGCGAGGTATCACCACAAGAAGTCGCGCGACCTGGGACGCCGAGGTCTTGTATACCAACACCAAGGGCTCTTATCTCCCCACACAAGACTATCAAGGGAATCCAATGGCATGGGATCGGGAATGCGCTCGTGACTTGTTATCAGGGTCCACATACGGGCGCCACCCCAGCATGGGGTAATTGCCCATTCCAATGTAGATGTTTCTGTGGGCTACCAAAGGAGACCATTCGCAAAGCGCGAGGGAAACATTGATATTTTGCCTAGTTTGCCGGTTTCGCCGGGTTCACCGGACCATCTAACCTTGTTGAAGAGTAGTGATAACGATAGTCTGGAACGACCAAGGGATCTTGGTGTTGAATTGGGTATGGATCATGGCGATGAATTAAGGCCGCGTTTTCCCCATGCGGAAGGAGCTTATGTTGCGCAGGACATGGGCAACTACAATGGTATTTGCAAATCTGGGGGTCATTCGTTTATTAGTTAACATCGGTGAGGGCTCAGCGTTGAATTTACATCGATTGATTGCTCCATCGAAATCATGCCTTTTGTCCAGACTTTGTGTTTGATGGTGGCGGCTGCAACCAAGTTGGGCGCAGCCCAAGAGCTGCAGCAGCAGCAGTTGTCAGAATGTGTGTATATGTTTATATTCAGACAATCAAAGAGCTGTGTTGACATCTGATACAGCGGCGCAGGACTACTTTGATTACTCAATGAGCGTGGCAGATTCAAGATATGATGCGAGCTACAACTATATCTGGTACAACGACAACGGTCCATGGTCCACCCGCTTCACTGCGTGGTATATTCCGGGTTTGCTACATCGAAACCAGGGAGACGATGTTGTAAGAGCGCAAAAAGCGCTGCGTAATCTGTAAGACCTCGATTTCCATCTGTACCACTTGTTGCTAATTCTTTAGTATTAATGTGCAGATGAATGAGAACTTCACTTCACCATGGTACGCTGATTATAAATTGTCCCCCGACGGTATGTACACGACCTTCGCGAATTGGGACCACACACTGACTTCAGAAGAACCGAATCCAACATATATCGGAGATCTCTATCCACAAGAAGTCTATGCAACTTATGATCCAAATTGGCGGGCTTTTGTTGGGTCCGCCATGGTTCAAGCAATCGCAGAGTTTGAGCACTTGCTTGATCCTGAGCTTGTTAAGGACATTGAGAATTCCCTTGCTCGCGCGGCAGTTGGTGAGATGCGACGTGATGGCACACCGCCAGATAATCTCATTCTAGGCTATACCAATCCACAGCTCATGGGCACCATGATGATTGGCTGGCTCGGTGAACGACTGAACAACCAAACCTTCATTGATGAAGCGAACACCCGTGGAGAAGACATCTACAAACTCTTCGTTGCTAATGATAGCAACACTTTTACCGAATATAATTGCCCTACCTACTATGGAATCGATGTTTTCGGGCTTGCCGCCGCCATCAAATACGGACCACAGAACTCGAGTTTGACAAAACGAGCACCATTCATGTTGACAGAGCTATGGAAAGACATCGCAGACCATTACAATCCATATCTGGGAAATCTAGCTGGTCCTTACGACCGCGCTTATGCACGAGATATGCCCACCCACAGTGCTATTCTCGGCCAATACTGGTGGGGCATGTACGGCTATGAGAAAGCTCCTCTCCCGTGGAAAGGAAACGATGATTTTCGTTACGATCTGGCACAGGGTCCTTCTCTCGCCCTTCTGGTGTCGACCGTCAAATCTCATATTTCTCCCTCCGTCGAAGAGAAACTTTTCAACCCCCTCACATCGGAGCGGATGCTCCGTAAAACCATCCGTCAGGATTTGAAGTCCCCTATTCTTCGCCACGCTGATTCCTGGCTCTCCAACAACATGATGATTGGTGCACAGTCACTCGCTGAAACTGTCAACCGCGGGAAACAATTTACACCAGCCATTATTCACTGGGCATCGGATCCGTCGCATACTCCATTCCCATACTCCGCATGGCTATCTCTCTACCCTACCGCATCCACCATCTCGACAAAAGTCGAGCCTAGAAGCCTAACCGTCTCATATCCAAATGCTACGCAGGCCGGCACGGACACTTTCACTTATATGATTTCCGGCATCCCGCCACCATGGAGTCTTGCTGGAAATGTGGTGGATGGATTCAGCAACTTGCCATGCGTAAAAATCAATGTCTCTGCAAATGGGCTGGAAGAGCTGCCTACAAACTATTGGGGAAACTCCATCTCCAACCACTATTATTATAATGTCACTTACAAAGTACCTGAAAATTTTGTGGGGACACCAGAAATGAGGCTTGACTTGGAATATACTTGCTAGGCGGAGCAGAACTTCATGTGGAGATGGGTAGTACGTAGTGTCGCTAATATTAATATCAGTCTTCCTCCATGTTCATCCTACTGCTCCACTTGCTTTAACATGATGACATACGATGAATCTTAAACATCATCTGCTGCATGCCTTAGTATTCACTCCAATGCAGACAATAAATAGATGCAGACGTCCGCATCGGGCTAATATAATTTAGGTCGAGGCTACCATCACAATGGTACCCGTGCACCCGGTGATGCCATCGGCCAATTCATGCCATTTGAACATTCCACCGCAAAATTACCGGCGTCCGTGTTCACAGTCGCGTGATGCACCTACCTGGATCTTGCAAATATCAAGAAGCGCTAGACACTGCATAACCGACCACTAATCAACAATTGCAAAGTAGTTCAACTTTGAGGATTTCTGTATCTTGCATTTGAAGGAAGCTGGAAGGTCCACAACCTCGATGTAGAAGAACGCCTTTGAGCTTATTGCCATGTGCTCCTCAGTCGCGCCTCTTGTGCTGCACTTATCAACTCTACGATCAATTGTAAGTTTGTTCGGGTGATCCTACACATAGCGATAGGTTTATAACAATGATAAGATCAAAAAAACAGGCGATTACCAAAAACGACTCGCGAAAGACGCCTTCACACAAGCTGTTAGAACGCAGCTGATAAATTGCAGCTTGAGCTGTATTGATGACATTGGAGCAGAAGGTGAAAGACGAAGTAGAGTAGTGATCGTGAAGGACGGTAGTGGGTAAGGTGCAATTCTTGCAGCACACGTTGCTGAGATAGCTCAAGACGTTAGTCACCGTAGATGAATCAGCATAATCCATATGGATATGGTGCTCGACATCGTTGAGTTCTGATAGGTGAATTACTACCATTCGCATGAAGCATATACCAGCTATCGCGCCAAGAAATTAGCCTAGAGCTAATAGATAGCTACGGGCGTTGTTTCACCCGAAACATCGACATTCTCAAGCTCTCGTCCATCAATCAACAGTCCATCCATGGATGATAGTCGAACAAGTAGAAATCATGACGGATACAATCCTGGTGCACGGCTTACTAAAGCATGTGGTGTGTGATCCCTCCAGTATATTAGTTCCTACTAAATAACGACCAGTGGGATGTCGTAGACAAAAGGTAACGCATGAGGGCACCTGGGGGATCCAAAGTGTTTCTGATCCACTCCAGATGAAATGCGAGCCGGAAAGGGGAGGGTCGTGTAGACGATGTCGTAAGAACGGTACTCCTTGCGTTTTCACTGCTCGAGCAAATGCAAGGCAGTCGCCCACTAGACCTGTCTCCGAGAAGGCGTCGAGATCCCTCTCTGAAAAGGGATCTCATGATGTCATGGCACGATTAGCGGTGATCGAGACTATTCTCGGAATTGACGATAAACACTATGATATACCAACATTACAGGCGTTTTCGTCTGAATCTGCTCATGCTCCTTTACTTGCAGAAGAAAATGAGGATGCAGGCGACCCATCTTTAGTAGGACTGTGGACGGCGACTGCAAATCTTGAGCGATATGCAGAGGTTACTCAAACACGTGCATGGTCCCGATCGGTGGTATCTCAGCTTTGGTTCTCGTAAGTTAAGACTTGACAACTTCTATATGAATACAAAGCCTAAGGAAATAGATTCTATGCGAACATAGAAGGTCTGCACTTCCAACCCGAACGAGAAGCGGTCAATGATCCATCACCGATTCTTCTTGCAGCTATCCTCTATGTTTCGGCTCTACACCATTCATCAGACGAGCTGGCTGCTCTGGCCCCTGAGTACTTTCGAGCGACCTGTAGTGCGATTGCTGAGCTGTCAATCCCCAAAATCCCCCAAACCTCTTCTTCCTTAAACATTGACAGTAACCTGACTTCAATATCGAGTCAAGCTGCATACCAAAATGTGCTCGGGATCATCTTGGCTAGTCTCATTTCTGAGGCTTTTGTTGATTGCACAGGCATATGGATCTCGATCGCATACCGTCTGATTATAGATAACTGTCCTGTGCATCCTGATTCAAGTGTTAAAAGATGGCGACAGCTCTTCAATGGACTCCAAGTAAGCATGGAGTGATGCATATATCTTATTGACTAACTTATTTCAGATCATCGACCTGGAGCACGCGTCACTCCACCTGTCATCTACACTAGTTCCCTTGCATGCCCCCTTGCCATCTCTGCGACAGTCACAAAACCTGACAGACGATCCTTTCAGTAGGCTTACAGTATGTATTCTTTTGAAGTCGGCCAACGTGATTTCACTAATGCTTGCATAGGTCATGACACACACAGGCCTCAGCCATTTCACCAGCCGAGGGTTACCAACCATCTGGTCTCTTGTTTCATCAATGCCCAAACAAAGGACCCAGAACACAGTATATTCTTTCACGAAGAGGGATGCCCAATACATTAAAGAGTGGGCAAATAGCCTTGATGAATGGCTTGTCAGCTCGCACCGTGAGTTATCTCCTCTGCTAGAGTAGCACGAAGTGTAATTTGACATTAGCAGAACCCGAAAATACAGCTTATGACGCTATTCAGATCTGGAGACAGTACAATCTACACAGACTCTTGGTGCTTTCTATCTATCATCCAGCACGAGGCTTTAATCTGTTCACCAACTGCGTTACGTCAGCTGAGCAGCGTGAGCTACTGTCAGCGGCACGATCATGTTTGAGGTTACAGAACGACGATAAAGGCATTTGGGCAAATTGGGATCTCATTGTAGGCGCACTATATTCCGTATTATATTCACCTCTGACGAGTAGCAGATGATCACATGGGCAGCTATCTTGCTCCTACGCACCGGAGGAGATTCGTGTGAACATGATGGTTAGTATAAAACACTTGTGACAACCCTGTCTGCTAACCTGGACAGATCTACTTTTGGTACAGAATCATCGTGACAGACTGCGGAAAATCAAGCATCCGAAGGCGAGTCTGCGTCACCTGTTGGCTGACCGATTGGATACCTGGCTTCAAACTGTGAATACCCCATCAGCAAGCATATTATCGCGACCGATGTTCGACCAATCATACGCACTCTTTGATCCAAACATTATACAAATCGTATCGGAACCATTTTATCAACCAGGTCCATCAGAGGATGCGTCGGTTATTAACAGCTTGAGTACATCAGCATCGCGTAGCCTGCCAGTGAATGGCTCGGAACCTGCACACAACAGCAACCAGGAATGTGGGAACGTTCATGGTCATACTATAGGTACTTGGCCATTAGGCTTTAGTCGGGCTGTCGACCTGAGTGTGTCACCCGACTCAAGAGGTGACATTCAGAGATGATGGATATATATGTGTGTATTAACGACTTGTGATAGAGATCATTGACCGCGTCATGCTGTACCTTCTCCAATTATGCTTATGTACTCATACAATACCCCGCTCGCTCGATAAAGATCGGAACATCTATAATGCGAATAATGTAGTATTTGGGCAAATATTCGGAGTTTCTACACAATCACGCAGAAATATATCAGCGCGACCATGATGCTCGGAAGCAATGCAGTTCCGTAATGTACATGTTATGGAGCTGTCCTCTGTATGCTGCCAATAATGCCTTGACCGCAAGTAATAAGGAACAGTGGTGCGAGACATAAACATATCCAGCAGTCGTAGGGGGACAAAGGTAATCAAAGGGACGTTGGTTAACCCCAATTCGATTCCATGGCAAACCCGCCAGGTACCGAAGCGCCCACTTTTGGCGAGTCAACCGCTGGTCCAACGAAAAACATATTCAAGAGTCAAGTATGCATATAGTCACTACCGTGGTGCCCTAGTAGTAGATCTGTAGCTTCTTGAAGTCATGCCCAGGAACTTCAAAGCTTCCAATCGCGCACACCCAAATCCCCCATACACTAAAATTTCAATGGAATGTAGGCCTAAAGCGAACCCAAAACTCCGAGACTGGCCTTCGGACGAAGACCAGCGTAAACGAGCCCCAGGATTAGAACAGCCTTCATCAATCTAGGTCAATCAGGTCGAGGTTGAGGCGTCAAGACGAGCATGTCAACCAAAATAAATATCAAGACCGGTTATGTATGTATGAAGGGAGAAAGGGAAGAACAACAGAACCGAAAAAATTCCAGGCAGTCTAGAGAGGCTTGGCTCCCGCTAATCCTATTTGGGTCGACTCAACTACGCACGTTCATGCCACTACCATTTGCGAAAGTGAATACTTTGGACATCATAGTCCACTGGCTGTTGTTTCCAGACACTTCAAGTGTCTATGACATTTTTCCATTGCCCTGAAGCATGCTGAATTCTAATGGGGTTCAGGTCGTCATGCCTGAACACCTCACAGTCCAATGTCGCGCGTGGTCCAGGCGATGCATGCTTGTGTGATGAATTCAGTAATTGCATTAACTACATTTATGTTTGATGGGAGTTGCACCCACCCACGCCAATTGTGCACGTGTATCGCTATACATATAAAGGGCGCTATTGAACGCATATTGCGGTTGGGATTCGATGATGCTCATTTTCAACCACACTTCCTGGCTCAGACTCTTTCGACTCTCCGTGATTGTGCCGATGCGAACTTGCTCTGTTCTTCAAATAGTACATCAAGGGCGGTGGCGGACCTGGATTGGCGTATTTTGACTTTTTTTTTCTCAACCGGCAGCTTCCCTGTAGAGACTGATGGCAGAATTGCCGCCTCCTAATGCAAACATCTCGCTCCTCGTGTTCTTCGGTAGCCACTTTACTGACCACAACGGCTTGTCTCCATGAGAGTGCGTAGCGACGCAGGTTCGAGTTTCGATACGCCATACTTTGGCCTTGGAATCATGCGAGCTGTAAGATGTTAGCGCGCAAATCAGCAATAGCTTGTGAACTGCTTCCTTGGATGAAAAGCCCGTTCCAGTACACGTACCCGGACAACAAGTACTCTCCAGTATCACTCCAATCCAGTGATAATACCCAACCACTATGGCCGGTAAAGTTCGCAACTTGTTCGCCTGAAGTGACATCATATAATGCCACAATCCGTGCATCTCCACCCGCAGCCAATAGCTTGGAAGCTGGAGAAAATGCCACACTACGAACGGGGTGGACTAGACCAGCAAGAGAGTGTGCGAGACGACCAGTATCGTTGTTGAAGACGTAGATGGAGCCATTTTCATGCCCAGAGGCAGTGAAGCGTCCATCTTGGCTCTGGATGAATGTTGTTAACGATTTGAGTACAGATGCCCAGAGCAGATTGCACACATACCAATGCTACCGATATGCCAAAGCTGCCCTTTGTTTCGTATTCCCTGATCTTGGGCATATTCGGCTCATTCAGACTCCAGACATGTACCTTGCCATTGATACTGCTGCTCGCCAGATACAGCCCATCCGCACTTAGAGCAATAGCCCAAACGTCGCCAGCTTTCAGTCCATCTGCGCAAAGTCAGCCCCAGTATTCGATGAGAGTTGGAGCTATTTGTTCTGATCCGGCCGAGTTCAAGGAATCGAAGTATCTTACCAGTTATCTCCCCATCTGCCGTCCACTGCCCGTTGTCCCCTTCGCTCCAAACTTTCACCTTGCCCTCGAAGCCTGCGCTTGCAGCCCGACGGGCGTCTTTGGCAGTGACAAGATGGTGGATTCCGAGTGGGTGCACGCCGTGTAGAGTTTGAACGAGGGGAAATTCGGAGGACGTGGTGTCGTGAACTTGTATAGAAGAGGAGCCGCTGGCAGAGAGAAGGGAGGTTGGTGTGGAGGCGAGAGCGAAGATGTCGGATGGGTGTGCATCGGAGATGGTGTGAAGAGTAAGATATTGTTTGGACTGGCGATGGTTCAGTTCTCGAAAGCGGGGGATGACGACGGATCGTGACTTACCATGATGTATGGCCTGCCTTGCACCGAAAGAGGAAGATATATGTGTACGGTGCGTGCAAGTACAAGGAAAAGGGAAATACAAAGTGGAACGCCGGTAAACCGATTGGTCTTTTGCGCAGTCGTCAAAGATGGAGATGACGCAAGACGCAACCGTAGATATGTAGCTCGCCAAGCATCAACATACCAAAATTTGATTGCAGGTAGCCAGTTACATGTATGAATATCCAGAGTTATCACCCATTTCACACTGCCTCTATACGTGATGCAATATGTCAGGGTTATATTCCCACGGGGACTGCCGTAACATATATGTAGGACCAGCCCGCCGCCCACTCAGCCCCGCCGTTCAGAGCAGTCAAACAAGGCAAACAAGGCAAACAAACAAACAAATCGCATGTACGGACTGCGCTCCCTTCCCCTCGACCTCGACCACCAATCACATGCGGACTGTGTTGGACTCATCCATCCATGCCTGCGCGTTTCCCAAGAACCCCACCAACCGTTGTACCTGCAGCACCCCGCTGGCATATACCAAGTCGTATACCACCACTCACCTGTATCCTGCAAGCCCCGCCCCGACTCGCCTTCACCCCGTGTTCGACCTTGTCCACCGCAATGGCGCCCGCACCATCTCACACCCCGATTGTCATCTCTGGTCCATCAGGCGCCGGCAAATCCACCATCCTCAAGCGCCTCTTTGATGAATACCCCGACAGGTTTGGTTTCTCCGTCTCACACACCACTCGAAGCCCCCGTGCTGGCGAGCAACATGGGCGTGAGTACCACTTTGTGACCAAGGACGACTTTCAAGATTTGGTCGACAAGAAAGGATTCGTGGAGCACGCACAGTTTGGCGGAAACTGCTACGGCACGAGTATCAAAGCGATCGATGATATTACAGCCAAAGGGAGGATTTGCATTTTGGACATTGAAATGGAGGTGAGCTAGGCTGTTGTTTCCTGCACGCCTACACAACCGTAGGCTTGCTTGTGTTATGGTATTGATACTTGCTGTTTAGGGTGTCAAGCAGGTCGCAAACCACCCAACGTTCCCACGGCCGCGCTTCCTGTTCCTCTCACCACCTTCCAAAGAAGAGTTGGAAAAGAGGCTGAGAGGCAGGGCTACCGACAAGGAAGAAGCTATTCTGAAGAGGCTCAAGCAAGCCGAGGCTGAGATGGACTTTTCAACAAGCCCCGAAGCACCCCACGATAAAATCGTCGTAAACGACGATCTGGACAAGGCGTATGCTGAGGTCAAGGAATTCATCGTAGGCAAGGACGCGTGATGGGCAACGATGAGCGGCGAGCACTACTTGACGAGCACCACAAACGCCCGAACTGTATGCGCAAGGGAGACATTGGCAACGATACATCTATATAGCATTCACCACCCATGCAGATACCAAAGCCAGCTGCGCAAACTTGTTCGTCAGATACCGTCGTAGAAATTGATCGCCATCGACCGCCCTACCACTTTGGGATTCAGGCAGTCTCAGTGCTTGACTCTATTTCACTGGTCTCATCACAGAACAAAGCCAGGGGTGGCCTCTTGGGTGAGTGGTAATGAATCTGGCTTGTTCGACCAAGCATCGGAGCAGCCAAACTGTCCTCAGATCCTGAAAATAGCAAGTGAACACCCCTCGCACCAAGAATAAGCCCCATTGAGTTACCTCCCGCGTCGCCCATATACCTAGGGGATGAGGGAGGCAATCGCATAACTACACACTGGACGAGAAAACCCTCCAAGCCACCAGCAACCTCTACACCCGCACACCTCCTCTGTACCACACCGAGACGTCTACGCACGAGATGTAGGGACTGGCGGACTCATATCATCGTCCAGGTGCCAGTTCTACAGCACGAGGTGTCGGACCACGGTGGCGTAAAGAGTACGGGCGGTGGTAGAGCGTCGGGCTGCTGTTAGATGTGGGGAGGCCGCGCTTCTATGGCGGTTCGTTGCTGAAAGTGCAGACCGCGAAGAGTCTGATGTCCGGGGACTTTCTCCCAAAGCGGGTCAGAGAGATGTCACGATGACACTCTGTGTGTAAGCTTCGATGCGATCCTTTGAGCGAGGGGTGCTGAGGAAAGAAGAAGAGAAAACGAAGCGGGCGAGAAAAACCAAACCCTAAGTACTAGCTAGTACCGCCAGAACTTCGGTCGCGTCGGGCGACGGGTTTTTCCGCGACAAAAGACATGTGACTTGTGAGGCATAGGCTGCCACTAGGCAGAAAGCGGGCTGGCGGCTGTCTTGCTGCCTCTGCGTTCGCATGCGTGTGGAAGCTGCGCGCGGCTTGGCACTCAGAGCATTTGATCTTCTTTCTTTCACGCGTCCCAGAAACATAAAGCCTCGACGGCCAGCCTCCCCAGACAGACACACGCAAGAATACTCGAGTCTTGTCAATCCAATCAGCCGCATTTTTTGCGCCGTCGTGGGACCCGCGCAATCGACCACTCCCCGTCTCTCCGCATTCCTCCGTGCTGCCGTTGCGTCGAGCTACCTGAGCTCGCGGAAAGCTCCACCATCATCAGTTAACACCCGCTGCGACCTCTCTCTCACTACCGCCCGCTCACCATGTCGACCCTTTTCAGTAGCGCCGCAGCCCCGGCGCCTACGTCAACAACTGGAGACACGAGCAAAGACCTAGAGATCGCCGCCAATATGCTGCCATCCGATAGTGTCTCCGCCCTCGCCTTTTCACCTACCCACGATTTGCTCGCCCTGTGTGCATGGGATGGCACGGTCCGCATCTACGAAGTGAGCAACAATGGCAACGTATCTGGCAAATGGATGTTCAAGTGCGAGCCCAAGGCAGGAGGTCCGCTCGAGCATCCTCTCTGCGTCACTTGGTCCAAGGTATGTGCCCGTGTCTCCCCTCCATGACATCTCGTATTCTGACCTATGCTATTAGGATGGAGCCGCCATTGCAGCCGGAGGTGACGGTGGCACGATTTTCTACGTTAACCTCAACGAAGCTGGACCCGGGGGTGAGATCAAACCTACGCTCGATTTCAAGCAGCATGAGTTGGGTGTCAAAGGTCTTTGCTTCTTCATGAGTGGTGGGAAAAGTTTGCTTGCGAGCGGCTCTTGGGACAAGACGTTGAAGTACTGGGACCTCCCAAGCCATGGCCAAGTGGGACAGACCGTACAGTGTGCGGAGCGCGTCTACAGCATGGACGTCAAGGACCACCTACTCGTCGTCGCAACTGCCGAGCGCCATATCCACATCATCAATCTGAATGAGCCTAACAAAATCTACAAGACGATACAGAGTCCGCTGAAATGGCAAACGAGGGTTGTGAGCTGTTTCACGGATGCGTCAGGGTTTGCTGTAGGCTCCATCGAGGGTCGTTGCGCCATCCAATACGCTGAAGACAAAGACACAAGGTACTAGCGCCTTCACTGTATACTCCTGGGTCTTCTCCTGCTGACATTACTCCCAGTCTCAATTTTTCTTTCAAATGCCATCGCCAACCAGATCCCACTACCCGCGACCTTGCTAAGGTGTATTCCGTCAATGCGATCTCCTTCCATCCGCAACACGGCACATTCAGCACTGCGGGCTCGGACGGCACGTTTCACTTTTGGGACAAGGATGCCAAACATAGACTGAAAGGATACCCAGAAGTGAATGGCTCCATCACAGCTACAAGTTTCAGCAAAGACGGTAATATCTTTGCCTACGCCATCAGCTACGACTGGAGCAAAGGGTATAGTGCCAACAACCCCCAGCAACCCATTAAAGTCAAGCTCCATCCCATCATGGGTGACGAGTGCAAGCCGAGGCCCGGGTCGAAGAAGAGATAGAATCGAAACCAAATCATGGAAGAATACCACCGGTATCCTTTTGATCTCTGATATTGTCATTCTCACTTTCTCGTTGGCGGGTGGAGGTAATATTGAAAGACCGGATCGCAAAGAGAAAGATTTCACAGTCTTGTCTGAAATCACCGGGAAAACAAGTCAGCCGATTTTGACAATTGTGGCAGTGCCCACGCTCTGCACACATTATTTTTTTTTCACCTAGGCCGTTGGCCTTCCTCCTATTTGGCCTGTTTGCATTAGCGCTGGAGATGGCTGGCTGGTTTCGGCGTACATGGACGGTTCGAAAAGGAGGTGCTGAGGGTTAGTCTTCTTTATAACACTATCATATCAGACTCAAACGATCAATGTTTGCATTGCCACATTGCATGATTATGATGAAAAGCAAAGAAGACTAGCGGCATGTGGGGTGGAATATGCAGTGCAATCGACATATTATGTATGCACGCATCTTCTCCAGGAAAACCAGCTGCCGAAAGGACTAGTAGATAGATTGTTAGTAATCGTCGAGCTTTTGCGGATCTCTTTCCATTGACCATAAAATGATTCTACCGTCTCCATTGCAGACACTACCCTTCTGGTCAGACAACAGAGACTCGGCCTGTCTCCGCTCTTCGTCTTACCCCTTTCCAATCTAACATTTTAATCACATTTTGCCATCCGTCACAATAGGTTCCAATCAGAACATAACGTGTAATGCTAGAATTGTAAACTGTCAATGGCGTCGATGTATCACGCCAGACTGCCTATTGAAATGACTTTGCCAATCCGTGAAACTAAAAAAGAATACTGATCCCATACCAAAACCGTGCCAGAATTTGCCTGACAAATATATTCCCATGTCATCGCGCCCATGTCCGTATGTAGTCTTCGCCAATAAGAAATGCAAGGAGATATGCAGCCCCAGTAAGTATTTTCACCCAGACAATCCCCGCGGCTCGATCACGGGCGCGGGATAAAGATTACGTCGAGCTCAAGAAACGTGGGCAATGCTGGCGTTGTCCGTTCTGGATGTGCCTCCGTCGTCCATTTTCACTCTCTTTGCATCCGGTTCGCCAATAGTAGCGTCATTGCGCTGATTGTTGTTGCTGACATCCTGCAGTGGAGGTCTTTTCATCGGAGGTTTATATGCAGTACGGTTCATACTGGGACTCATGCTCCCACCCCCAACAGGCATACCAATCCGGCGATTCATATCCTGTTGTGGGTTCGTGAAATTAACGTTGTTGCCCCCTACTCCTCGAGGGATCGGTGCTCCACCTGATCGATTGAGCACATTTCCACTACCAACAACATCACCACCATTGTTAGGTACCGAATTCGATGTATTGAGAGTAGATGCTGGGAATGCAGTGATCTCGCCGCGTTTGACTGGTAGACTGCGAGTATGATCTGCTGTGCGTTGCGCTTTTGGTATGGGTGATTCCGCATGAGGGTCGAATGTGGGAATGCTAGCGAGGGCCGAGGTTGACTCGGGGTTCTGCACCAGTTCGGCGGCACGAGATGTGGTGAAGCCGATGTGTGGTCGATTTGCGGGTGAAGGTTGTTCAGCGCTGGAGGTGGAATTTTCTTGAGCTCCTGTTCTGGATTGTTGGTGAGGAGGCGTGGGTCTAGTAGGTTGTTTCTGCAATGATTGCTGAGCTTGTTGGTTGTTTTGAAGCGGAGCATTCTGAAGATTCGGTACAGCATGAATATCTATCGTTGCTGTGGATGCCCGTGGCTTGCTCAAATCTGGGCGACCTGTGTTTTGTTGCGGTGCTGGAGTTTGCGGGGCTCGGGGGTTCTGTATATTTCCTTGTGGTCTCCCGTGAGCAACGTGATTTGGCTGCTGCACTCCATTCTGAGGCCTTGTGGATGGCGCAGTCTGTATTCGTTGATTGGTTGGCCGCTGAGGCCTATGATTTTGAGCATTTGTCGGTTGGTTCACGGATGCGCCGTTCTGTGCAGCTGTCGGCATTGCGAGCCTAGGATTTTGCGGTACCGACTGCTCGAATGTGAAGTCATCACCGTTGTTTTCGCTAATATCAACCCCATCGAACAAGTTGCCGTCGAACTCATCATCGAATTCACCCACAATCGATTTGTTCACAGTGTCTAGTTGCGATCGCGTCATTTGATTAGATTTTGCTGGCGTTTGAATCTCTCTCTTCATGGCCACGGTCTCCTCTTGCTTAGGTGGCGGCGCAAAATCAGGATGTCTGTGTAAGTTCTCCTCGTTGAACTTGACAGGCTTCACCTTCATGCCCTGCACTTTCTTAAGGTAGTCTTTGTCGTACAGACAATTCCCTAAAGCATTGCCGAATGTGCGCAACGCGCGCTTAAGTCCGTCTGTGGCGGCTTCTTTCTTGGCTTTCTCGAACGAAGCGGCTTTCCCTTTGCCATTTTCTATGGAGCCGTAGCCAATATCCTATTATTCGTTAGACAGAGCATTGATAACAGCCTAGCTCGCGTTGTTTACCTCGTGGTAGGTACCACTCTTCAAGGTTATTCTCACGATTATTGACAATCCAAGGCAAACCTTGCCGTTTTGTGTGTTCTCGTCGACCTACGCATATCAGTCTGAGTTGGGTCGGCCAAACAAGCAGACGACTTACAAAGTCGACTTGGACCTGTCCTAGAGAGCTAGACCAGCCATCGAATCCAAACATCTCGTTTGCAAGGGCTATTGCTTTATTTCCTTCGAGATACGCGACTTTGCCACCTCCATTACCCGGCCGCTGTGAAATATATTCAGGCCCGAGCTGCTTGTTCAGACATTTTTGTATTGTGGCTGCTTCACGTGCCGAGAATTTGTCGTTGCATCGCTCTTCGAACGGGTTCTTCACGTTGCCGTATTGGTCGCCTGGCCTATAAACAGATGTAAGCATGCAGCATGAAATGGATGATTCAGGACGCGTCGATTGAACAAGATTGGGAGATTTATCTGAAGCTTACGCAGGCATGTTTTTGGGTTCACCACGGCGTGGTATAAGGAAGGGTTGAGGTATGTAGTTGAGCAGTCGATAGCTGTCGGCACTCTTGGTGCCTAGCATGACGCGCTCAGCCCAAACGCGAAAATCACGTGATCTACCTAGCTGTCTTCGCGTAGCGCCGCCATGCACCCCTGTTGCTCGCGTCTCTCACAAAGGTTGCACCGACAACTTCAATTCTGTAATGTTTAATATAGCAATCCTCTTTTCATATATGATATGATGAAAATTGCAGAATCGGTTGCTAGTCTAACATTAGGGCTGTGGCTATGAAGCCGAATGTCCTCCTGCTCCCAGCCCAATAATTCGCCAGTTCAAACATTTGAATGTTGCTCCCCTAGAATAGCGCTCGTGGTGTAGATTGTGTGGAAGCTAGGTGAGGTGATCAGACATAAGATGAATTCTTGATAATAAGCTACATAGGTCTGATCTATTCTAAATATACATGAGATAGATAGCTTGCTATCTAAAACAAGCTGCTTGCTAAGTTAAGTAACAAGCTGATTGTTGTTTGTAGGTTGACCGGATGAAAGGAGCCAACAGATTGGGGGGTATCGTACCGTCGGTCCAAGCCTGCATGTATCTCGAAAGAGCAGCAGGTGTAAGTGAAGGTGCATAGTTCAAAAAATGAGCCCGATATGAATTGCAATAGAACTACGTAAATATTACATAACGCCGCCAAAATGCTATACCAAGTCTTGAAAAACTTTGCGTGATACGTTTTCGCCCAATTTCATGGTTGACCAGGCACTGCTGTTATATACTCAATCGATTCGAGCGCCCAAGAATCAACGCATAACCGACAGAACAGTCCAACGCCCATCTCAGGATTTTTCTGCGGCAGTTAACCGTTCTCTTTCGCTGCCGCTGCCTTCACCGTCACTACTTGCACCCCCCAGACTGAACGTGCTATCATTCTGAGGCACACTATTTTTCTCGCGACTCGCTCCAGCGCCGCCTGGGGTCGTTCTCGATCCGCCATCTAGGTCGGCGAGCTCTCGTTCGTCGAAATCTGCGGCTTCAACATCGCGGTGCTCAGTTCGTCGGCGGAAATTGTCCAAGCCCATGCCCATGATCAAAGACTCACGGCCTTCGTCGCCTTCCACACCGCTGTAACCTGCTTTAGCTCGACGGCGGCGGTCACGCCATACAAAGTATCCCCACAAACCAGCGATAATAACCACAATGACAAGCGCGACTTCTCCGGAACGGTAGTAGGCTTTCCATTCGGCTTCCTTTAATGACTTGGTCTTGTCCTCCTCAGCTTTGGTCGAATTGGGATGATCACCCACACTGATTAGTGGGCCCTTCTCACCATCGATGCGGCTATCAGACGGATCGCCACCAATGGCACTGATGTCGACATTCATAAATCGGTCAAGCATATCCCGCGTGCGCCTGGGAAAATCGAAAGGCACCATGTGACTCGAGTTGTAGAAGACAACATATGTCAAGTTTCGGGCTTGCTGATACGTGCCCGCCGGTTCCCCCTCGAAAGTCCAGTCATGGCGTGGAGCATATACGTTTGGTGAGAGCTGAAAACCCTTGCCGCCGTTCCACTCCATACTGTCAATCATAGATTCGGTACCCAGATGATTGCAGATCAGATCTTGGTCTCCAGAGAACAGTACGATTTCGACTTGAGATAGCAGCTCTGGGAGAAATGTGATCGATGGAGCGCTCTTTTTGGCGCGGAAATGTCCAGAGACTGCACCGTTGCACTCCTGCCAGCCAGTCTTCTTGTCCGGGTTAATGTGGAGTGCCGCGACAACATCCGGACTGCGTAGGTACGGAGTGACTTGCGAGAGGTCCGGGGGCCAGTTCATGCCACAGGAGCTGTCGTCGCGCAGGCGGATATCGTACATGTTGAGACACTGCTGGTTGCTCTTCGCGGTCCTGTCTTTGGTCTCATCGAGGATTGTAGTCATGATAGCTTCGCATTCTGGAGTGTCGACATTGTCTTTCCCTCCCTCATTGAGAAGATCAACGCACCTGCTTTGCAAAGACTGGATGCGTTTTGCAGAAGGTGTATCGCCCTGTACAAGTCCCATTTTGTACGCGTAAGGAAGGTAGCTGAGGTATTGATCAACAGGCGAGATCCAGCCATTGCCAATGAGAAGTCCCTTCAGCGTCCACGGTTTCTGGGCTTGCTTGTTGCGATTACGGTTGAGGATGGCCCGAGCAATATATGGAATGTGTTGACCAGCATACGACTCTCCAGCAATGTACAACTGGCAATGATATTAGTCGGATGTTGAGTGATTCAGCACCTTTTTTTTCCTGCAACTTACATCATCGTTTTCATACTCGGGGAAAAGCTCAAACCACTTCTCTAGGAAGATGAGGAAATGATCTGCCATTTGATCGAGTTCAGTGAGGTAGCTGTCGGTGCTCACGTAACTGAAGCCGGTCCCCACTGGCTGATCCACGAAGAGCAGGTTGGCAAATTCATCCCACGAGCCATTGTTGTACACCAAGTTGCCTCCTTCTCTCACTCGGTATGGGCCAATCTCCATCAATGCGCCATCCATACTGCTGCAGCCAGGCCCACCGTTTATCCATATGACGGTCCGCTGTCGATCCGCTATGTGTCGGTTCTGGTAGTGCCAGAAGAACAAATTTCCGTTGGACGGCGCGTCGACTTCAATATGTCTGTTGGTTGAGTTAGCCCTTGGTCGGAGAAGCGTGAGAGCGCTGTCGATTTACCCTGCGTGCATCTTCAGTAGCGGTTTGGGTGCGCCCGGCAGATCGTGTATGTAGTAGTCGGCTTGAGTCTTCTTCTGCTGCTGAGCAGCGCAGAAGGGCAGCCACGTGAGCGTTGCGAGCAAGCCGCCGAGCACGGCTGTCCGCCATCGTGACTGCGTAGATGTGAACATGATGGCGAGACGGGTGTGGGCGGAGTTGAAACCCAGCGAGGACGGGAGCACTATCGCTATCTCATGGAACCCGAGAGAAGACAGATGAAAAGAGCGATGGTATTAATGAGTGAATTTGAACAAGTCCGAGTGCAGATTTGGGGGTGTATGGGGTGTGTAGAGGTGTTGCGATGGATAGGCAATAGGTATGTAGGTAGGCAATTAACGGCGGTACAGCGAGTGGCTCCGGAGCTTACGCAGGCAGGGGTCGCACAAACAACGGTGGCCAAAGGGATTACGAAACCGTGGCCAAAGGGAGATGGATGGGTGCGACGGTCCGATCTTTTGCAATTCTGTACGTATGGGTACTCCGAAATACAGTTCCTACATAGGCATGCAAAATACTTGGGCACGTTGACGTTCGGTATCAGGGGTTTCCCACAGTCGTTCTGTGCTGGTTGTACTCTCCGTCTTCGTCGCCCCGAATCTTCGACACTGGTTGTTCGGGGGTCGATCAGAGAGGCTTGGTAATTTTCAATGTAATGAAAGGTAGATAACGTCGACGATCACTGCATCCTACAGTCCCATTATTTTTATTCAGATTCATTGTCCAGGCGGCTCCCTTTCTTGCCCCCGCACGGCAAGCTGTCTTGTGCATGTAGCTTGTCACAGGCAGGCGAGTGCGTGAATGATGTACTGTAGGTTCCTTGGTTAGGCAAAGATTTGGTTATTTATTTCTACTAAACCTCTCTTGTCCACGACCCCCGTAGGTTGCGCTCCGGCTGGAGGAACTCCCGCGTCTCACACTCTCACTTCACTGCATTAACACAATACGTGTCTCTGAAAATCCGGGTGTGCCTCAAGCCTGTATCAAATGCGAGAGTGCAATTTCAGGTCTCCAGGCAGGCGCCAAAGCTTGCTTCGGGCGAGGGGGCAAGGAAGAAGATGTGCGTACTTAGGTACTCGATTATCCCTATGTATGTTATGTATGCGCACTCCTTTGTACCACCATTGTCGCACGTGCTCTGTCCTCGTCCAGTGCTCCCATGACCCAGCGTCAAAGTCGGCTTGGTAGGAATCTCCCCGAATGGCCATATATATCTTATTTTGGAGGATTCTAGGTGCCATATAGACCAGTACAAGGCACCGATTTACCCACTCTACAGAGGAGGCGCGAAGCAAGCCGTGTGGATGGTACCGCATCTGCGAATCCCATCGACTGATTCTCCTTCTCCAAGCACGTGATCCGGCCCAAATCGTAGGCGCTGCAAATGTTGATGCTGGCGACGCGGGAGTGAACTGACGAGGAAGTGGTTTGTTACCTACAGATCCTACGTCTACACCATTATTGATGGTATTACCTAATGGCAACGCTAATGATTTTTCCAGTCAAAGCTGCTGGATGGGGGAGCAGCTTTTGATCGAAAACAGTTCAATCGTCCATGCACACTCAAGCATATTACATCAAACCGTCAAGGCCTTTTTCTGTGTCCTTGACAATCAACTCAAGCATGCCCTAGCGAGGGTTAGCCCATATAGGTCTGTCTCGAACAGAGATGCAAGCGCTTGCAGACACAGGATCAGGAAGACGAGGGGGTACTCTTCTTACCTTTGGCATGATGGGTGCACCGTCCTTGCCTAACACATAGCGAAAGGGCATTTCGGTACTTTCATTCTTGTTGATCTTCAATTCGGGGTGATCGACGTACGGAATCTTGTCAACAGGTACTATCCCGCCGTCAGTGACTTGTTCGGGACAGGCAATATAGTTACGGGCATCAGATTCTGTAGCTCACCTCTGTCCTGGACGACGATTCTAGTGACGCGAACCGCAGTGTCCGTGGTCATCTGTACAGGACCCAGGCGGCGTCCTTGATAGCCTTTCTTACGCAACTCGGAAGTACGATCTACAGGACAATAAAGTCAGCCGACCCTGAATAGCGTCCCGTCCCCCGCCGAGTGGCTACAGCACGAACCTCTGGGGGGATCATCTCCTAAATCAGAATCAGCGGGCGTGTCAACTATCAATCACAGGGAGGTATATAGCGGACGCACCGAGAATACCGCCAAACAGGAAGATATCAAAAGCATCGCCGTCCTGGGGGCTCAAATCTTGGGAAGCTGCGGGGTCGAGCAGGCAAACTCTGTCTTTGCTATCGGCATAAATTTCTTCGATGCCCCTCGTCTCGACCTGCAGTCCCTGGGCACCCTGGAGGTTGTGCGGTAGAGTCAACGAAGTAGGAACCGAAGAGAGCAGAAAGCGAGCCCCCTCAGCATGGCTCTCAGCAGCAATGGTAGCATACTCGAGTGAAGACCATGCTTCGAGTTCGGGATCCAGATGCTCTACCACAAAGGTTTTGCCCAAAGGCGGACTGGTGCTGGCCATGTGGAGTGGGAGGCGGCGTGGGGTGTGGTGTCTACCGGGCGTCACTTGTTTCTGACTGGGTTCATGAGTGTGAACATTTTGAATGTTTGATGTAGCGGAAAAGTCAGCGGCACGCTGGGAGGCGGATTGACCAATGAGATGGGATAGTGCCGTGGGGTGGGCTGGAGCGTGACGGCAGCTTGCTTGCTTGCCTGCAGAGCTTCATAGAGGGAGAGTGGTCATGACGGCTGCCATGCAACAATTGAAGTGTGCAGCTTGTCACGCGATCGTGTGCATTCATCCTTGGATACATGGTACGAAGGATGTAGTTGGACGTAGCTATCGTGCATCGCTTACCTACCTTGTAAGTATGTACCTATGTACACAGGTTGTATGAAAGAGGAAGAGGTTATTATGAATCGGCCCACCAGCACATGCATACTTCTAGACTTGGATAGCCTTGAACTTGCTAGGTGCATTGTACATGTGTGGATACATGTCTACCGGAAGTATATATAGGTAGAGAGTTGCTGCTTTGCACGACCCCTCCCTCTCCCCCCTCTTTATCCTCTGACCCTCTGACCTGTCTGCTCTTACATATGCCCTCAAGTGCTTGAATGCCTCGGGTCCAGACTTAGTTGGACTGGCCGGAAGACTAACGACAATCTTATCGTAATCAATACACATCCGCTTCCCTAGCTCCAGCAGATGTGAAGAGGGGTCCGTCCACCCGCCCTGCGTCCGTCCATCCACCCATTGATTGATAGTTTGATTCATCCATCACAACCGATCCCTCTTGTGGGCTTTGCGACCTGCATACAACTGCTCACTCAGTCCTCTACCCGCTTCCCCGACTGCTCGTTGGCAGTATAGCCACTCGCCCAAACGCGTCGACAAAACCACTTCGCCGCCCAATCGCACGCCGTTGCAGCGCTCGGTGCCCACAGCGCGACCGCCGACCGAGCCCCCCCCCCCCCACCCCGGCCCCAAGTTCGTAGACTTGCTACCCGTCCAGGAATAAATACTTAGCTACCTACCTACCTACCCATCTACCCAACCGCCTGTCTGCCTGCCTCTCTACGTACCCACGCACTTCTTCGAAAACGCCGCGCGATTCTGATCTCGCTGCCACCGCCAGCTTGCAGACAAAGAATCGACGAGCCCCCCATCCGCCCCCCACCCAACGTCATCCTCAACCTTCGCTCGCCTACTTGCCCAACTCAAATCATGAATCCTCACCAGACGAACAAGGTGGATATCAGCGTGCGTCATACACTTGCCCTTCCTCCCTGGCCAATCCTCTGACCCTATCAACGCAGAAACTGTCGCCTGATGAAGCCAAACTCTTCCGTCTCTATGGGAAGCTGCCCAACAAGAAAGATCTACTCCAGAACAAACTCAAGGTATGTATGCTTTCTCGACCTACCTACCTCCTTGCCTTTTGCATCGTATTTCGACTAACCATCTTCCCCGCAGGAGCGCAAATACTTTGACAGCGGCGATTATGCCCTCTCCAAGGCTGGCAAGGCTTCTGACATAGGTGTTACTGCTATTGGCCGTGAGCACCCCGTCCCCGAAAAGATCCCCCACATCGCACCTCCGACACCCAACGGCCAGACTCCCAATGGCCACAGTCACGCCCACGGTCAAGAAAAGGGCCTCAGTGGTAGCCCTGTCAAAGAGCACACTTTTCTGCACCGGGAGACAAGCCTGAACCGTGAAACATCAGCCGAGGAACTTGAAAACGAGAACGAAGCACAGAAAGATGAAGCTACTAAGGCGTAGTATGACAATGATCACCGGCATTGAAATTGCTCAACGGGCGTTGCAGCGCCGACGGAAAGCTGAGGATGTTCAATAAAAAACAGAAAAGGAAGCGCACGACGGCCGATATGAAATACGCTACTAACGCACACCGATGACGACCTTTCATACTTTGGAGTCTACGGTGCGAATGGAAATGGAGTTTGGGATTGTATTGGATGTATGGATGACATTTGCGAGGGTGACTCCTTTCCCTGGGTTGTTTGGTTTCACTACAAGCTGGTCGCCACCGCTGTTTCTTGGTTCTTCCAATCAGTGAATACTCAAAATCAGTGAATGTCTGGCGCACTCCTTTTCGCGTACAGCCAGAATGGACATGGTCAGATTGTTTGTTGCTTGCATTAAACGAGCTGGGGATGTTACACCCGATTAAGTGTTTGTGTCAACTGATGGCTACTACCTACATGAGATATGTATGTATCTAGGTACCAAAGGAGAACACGCCTGATATTGAGTACGATGTGTAAATAGGTCGGTCGGTATACAAACGGATGAGAATGTTCGGCATGTCTATGCCGTGCGGTATATTGTCCATTCACATTGTGCCACGCCTTGTCTCACTCATTCTGAAGTATATGCAGCAAATGAGCCAACATTATGAATACAATATCACTTCACAAGCCTGCTTGATCGATGTGCGCAACACGCGTCTAAAGACTAGCCCCGCCAGCGATTGCCAGAAGGTGCCAATTCGCCTTCTCGCTTATCCGTCTCTTCCCAGTACCGAGTAGAGACATTACTCAAGCGGCCAAGAGTGGCTGACGTGTGTGGCTAGTGGGAACTTCGATGTTAACACGCAACGCGCATGGGACTTGCCGTCGTTGTCGACGAAACCCACTGTCGCCTCACTCAAGAAATAACCTTTCAATGGTTTATGGGCTGAGTCCTTGCTGTCTTTTACCCCATTGATAACAGTTCGCTGCAAGTTATGTCCACCACCGTACCTTCAGATCCGGTCAAAGAAAGTGGTACGTCGCTGTTTGATGTATACCTGCGCAATGGGGGTTCGGAGGCCCAGAGTCGCTAACTGTGAGGCTAGGCGCGGCATCGAAATCGAAAAAGAAGAAGAACAACAAGAAGAAGAATGCGGGAGCAAGCAAAGCCGAAGAGTCTAACAGTATAAATGGCGACGACGACAACCACGAAGACCAGCCAGATGCTACGGAGGGGCGACAGGGAGGAGAATCTCAACTGGTACGGCTTCCTGAAGAGCTGAGGAGGTGGTCATCAAGTGCATCGATTCGCTAACCTGGTTTCCAGCAACCCGCTGCTCACTCCACAGGACCCGACGACGTCGAAGACGATGAACAACCACTCTCCCCTTCCATACAAGCGAATGGCAACAACCTCCATTCTATATCGTCCGCTGTGGCTCTCGGTCTCTCGAGATCTCGATCGAAACAAGGCTTATCACCATCGCCGCCCCCACAATCGGACACCAGTGCACGCCTCGATGCTATAGCGAAAGAAAGGGATGCCCTGCGGCAAGAGGTCACTGAGCTCCGAAAAAGCTTGGAGGGAATGCAGGAGAAACATGATGCAGAAATCAGTAATCTCCAAAGCGAGTTGGAAGAGTCTAATGAGACCAAGGACCACTTTGAAACACAATACAAAAACCTGTTAGGCAGAGTGAACACGATTAAAACCTCACTTGGTGATCGCTTGAAGGCTGATGCGGTAAGTCTAGCATTTTGCTTTCCCTCTGATAATCCTGGAGTACTCTAATCCTGTACACAGGCCAGGATCGAGGAATATCAAACCCACATATCAGACCTCGAAGAAAGCAACAGAGCACTACACGAAAACAACACTTCTTTAATAGAAAGTCTAGAAAATCTGAGAAAACAGAATGAGGCACAAGAGGCGGAAATGGGAAATCTAAGAAATCGAGGCAATTTGTCCCAACAGAACTGGATCAAGGAGCGCGATGAACTTATCTCAAAAGAAGCCTATGCAAGGGAAGAGTTCGAGAATGCGAAGCAAGCAATGCAAGACTGGGAGGTACTCGCCATGAATGAACGTTCATTGCGGGAGAATCTAGCAGAAAAAGAAGCCGAAATGCGAGAACAGCTAGAGTCGCTACGTGAAGCGTATGCGAAGGCGGCCAACGACCGTGACACCAACAGTCAAGCGGTGGAAGGTCTTCAGAAAGCACTGCAAGAGGTCCAATCCTGTAAGCTCTCATTCAAAACGTAAGCGATGCTCACAAATTTAACAAGTCGATCTAGTGCGTAGGTCTGAACTCAAGAAATCAGTCGAAAACTACGAATCGTTGGTCAATGAGCTCCGGAAGCAGGTCCAAGCTGCGGAAGAAGCTGCGACATCGGCCAAAACCGCTTTGAACGCCACCAGAACCGAACTCGACAGGGCACTGCCTTTTGAGAAAGAAGTGAAAGAAAAAAATCTTCTCATTGGGAAGTTGCGGCACGAGGCAGTCACATTGAATGAGCACCTCACCAAGGCCCTTCGGATTTTGAAAAAGGGGCGGCCCGAAGACAATGTAGATCGGCAGATCATCACCAACTACTTCCTGCATTTTCTTTCCATAGATCGATCAGATCCCAAGAAATTTGAAGCACTGCAGCTGATTGCTGCGTTGCTTGGATGGACCGACGGTACGCTCTCTTCCAGATTTTGGTGTTATGTATGCAAGCTGACCAGGAGTAGAACAGCGCGAACAATCTGGTCTAGCACGCCCGGGGGCGTCTAATAGTAGTTTACGCATACCCATGTCACCCTTTCGACGCACACCTTCCACGCCATCCCTCAACAGCAGCTTGAATGATCCTATGCTCATGGCAAGCAGCTCTAGCAACAAAGAGTCGCTGGCTGAGCTGTGGTCCGACTTTCTCGATCGCGAAGCTGGGGAGGAATCTCGACGAGGGAGTGGTAGCATTGCCACTTCACCCCCACCACGAAGTGATACGGGGAGTGGCCTTGGTATCAGCGAGAAATGATGGACAGAAGCGATGAATTAATGCTTGATGGAAGTTTATGGCAGGATGATTTTCACACATGTATAATAGATACCTTGAAGCCAGACATGGGCGTGTCGGCTAGTTTCAATATGGGTTGAGGTGATATTGCGTGCATTGAGCGACAGAGTAGGTGCTAACTGGATTGGTGAAATGTCTCTGACAGCTATACACCTCGTTCTCGATTACGGATACCGCAGGAAATGACGTGTGATAATAACGAACCTCCTCCCAATTTTTACTCCATACAAGAAATCTCACAAATGGCACCCTGATGTATCGAACAATATTTTACACTGGTGAATCTACACATGTTCGCCCTCATTTTTGCTTCCAATCGCCGTGCTTAATGATGGGATCCTTCGCGTCGTAGTCAGTGGGACTAGGTTTGTAGGTGAGTCTCCTCAGTTTATTTTGTCGTTCTTCCCGCTTGATTTGCTTGAGCTGTTTTTCGGTCGGTTTTCGCACCGACCACCATGCTTGTCCAAAAATGTTGGTTTTGATAGCTGTAGCGCTTGTTAGAGTCGAGAAGTAGCGGACAATTTCTTCAGCCTCGTGGCGCGAGAGACTCACCATCGACGCAGTATGGGCAAAGGATATGGGCTCGTTTTACTCTACCACAGGCGGAGCATTTGGTGAGCGAAGTGAGATCTTTCAAGCCCTTGCCGGCCATGAAGCGTTGTCGCTTCTTGCGGTGTGATGTCTTCTTTTTTGGTACAGCCTTGAGGATGCCTTCCCATATGTCTCCCAGCGAAGGAAATGTGGGGAGCGATAGTGATGGAATGGCGAGAGAAGCGAAGGGTGTGGGTAGCATTCGCAGCGGATGGGTGAGGCGTTGCAACAACGGCAAGTTCAAGAGGGGCCGTCGCGCAGCAGGCCCATTAAGGGCGGGCAGCAACGTCTGCCATAGCGGCGGTAAAGGGCGGGCGAGGGCCATTGGGGCGGGAGACACAGAGAGAGAGAGGTGGTGAAGGACAACCGAAGCGCTGCTTCTGCAGTTGTCGTCGGTCGGCCGGGGATGCCCCGGAGCGCAGGCCTAGCAACAAAGTTTTGGTGTTCCATCAAGCTTCACCTGGGGCTAGCCCAACGGGGAGCTAGCGTCCCTTCGCTTCTAGTGGCTGCCCCTTTCCGCGCCAGCAACTTAACTCCACGAGAAAGTCCACGACTGCGTTTACGAACTCGCTGTTGTGTACACAGCTCCGCACCTGCCTCTGCATCACGCCTAACCACACCACTCCCGCCTTAATACATTTCCACTCGGATTCCAATTCTCTTGTTTGTCTCATAAAATCGCCAGCCTCGAGGCTCCAAGTACCCCACAATGGCTGCCCCATACGGATCCCAACAGTCGTCGGTCTACCCTGAGAGCTATGTCGGTTTCGACACCATCACCAAGCAGATTGAGAAAAAGCTGGTGAAGCGTGGGTTCCAGTTCAACATCATCTGCGTCGGTAAGCTGCCTAATCATTAGCCATGATTGTTGGCTCCGCCTCCCTCTAACCCGGCGCTGCAGGTCAAACAGGTCTGGGCAAATCGACCCTTATCAACACCATCTTCGCCTCGCATCTCATTGACAGCAAGGGCCGCTTCCTTCCTGATGAGCCCATCCGCCAGACCACTGAGATCCAGACGGTCTCGCACACCATCGAGGAAAACGGCGTGCGTCTGCGCCTCAACATTGTCGACACCCCGGGTTACGGCGACCTAATCAACAACGAGCGCTGCTGGGATCCCATTGTCAAATACATCAAAGACCAGCACAGCGCTTATCTCCGCAAGGAACTCACCGCCCAGCGTGAGCGATACCTCCAAGACACGCGCATTCACTGCTGCTTGTTCTTCATCCAACCCTCTGGCCACGGCCTCAAGCCCATTGATATTGTTGTGCTCAAGAAGCTCAGCGAATTTGTCAATGTCGTTCCCGTTATCGCCAAGAGTGACAGCTTAACCTTGGAGGAGCGTGCTGCGTTCAAGGAGCGGATAAAGGAGGAATTCGCCTTCCACAATCTGCGCATGTATCCTTATGAGAATGAGGAACACGATCAGGAAGATCTTGCTCTGAACACTTCCATCAAGGCAAGTGCTATTTCCAATATCTAGCACTGACTTTGCACGAACCCCTCTAACTTTTACCAGGGCATCATCCCCTTCGCCGTCGTGGGTTCTGAGAAGAACATTGTGGTCAACGGCAAGCAAGTTCGCGGTCGCCAAAACCGCTGGGGTGTTATCAATGGTATGTCATGCATGAGAGCCTGGTCTAGTGTAGCACGGAACTAACCAGTCACAGTTGAGGATGAGAACCACTGCGAATTCGTCTACCTCCGCAACTTCCTCACTCGTACCCATTTGCAAGACCTAATCGAGACAACATCGCAGATTCATTACGAATCCTTCCGCGCTAAGCAGCTCCTTGCTCTCAAAGAGAGCTCCGCGGTTGGTGGTCATAGTTCGCGACCCATTTCACCTGCAGCCGACCGCGAGCTCAGCAGGAACAGCCAACGCATGACTATGAACGGGTACTAGGAATTTCCCGCCCACAGTCGGATCGATAGTGTTGGGGCCAAGCCGACAGTGCCTGGTTCGAGGGTGAACCCAATCATTGATACAGTCTAACTAGATTGCATTACATTCGGCATGTATACCTGGGATGACTCGGGTACTAATGGACAAAAGAAGCAATGCTGTGGACTGGTGGCGAATAGCACAGTGAATAGCAGTATGATACCAGTGCAGTACTCGGCACGTAACCGAATATGGGGGCGTTGACTTGGGATTGCAGCCTTTCTTTTTTTATTCTACACAACCCTTTTTTTCATGATATCGAATTTAGTCATCAATGGTTAGCCTCCCTTCTTCAACCACGTTCCCTTGCCGGCGGATGGTTGATTCTTTTCTTATGTTTCTGAAGCGAAGTATGAGTTCGCGAGTGTAGTTGCTGGTTTATCTGTGTACGGGCGCCGAGCCTATCTGACTCATGGCTATGAAGAAGCCGGCGACATAATAATATAAAACTGCTCGTGAAGAACAGCAGACGTGGAATTCGGGAGAGTCCGTGGTAGCAACTAATTTCGGCATTCTCCAATGTTCGATTTCCTCCCAGTTCACCATCAGCCCCTGTCTCTGACTGGATATATATATCCGTGTATTATTCTAGTGCCGTTGCTCGTCAATATGTGGTGGGTGCTTTGGCCCTTACAAGTAAGTGGCTCTGGCTGTGTAGTCCGGGATCTCGACACTGGGTCAAAACGAGGCGTTATGGGAAAGTCGGTCCACCATATTCAAGGTAGTCGAGTAGTGCTGCTCGAAGGAAGTGAAAAATCTTCCATATTATCACTTTGCTTGCGATGTTGGCCGCTGCTACCTGATATCTTTGTGGCCCTGTTCACTTGACCAGGGCCTACTTTTCTAGGTGATTTTCTTGCCTTTGTCCTGTCCACTGTAGGTAGGCTTGCGTGGTGTGGACTGAGATGGCCCATGCCAGCTTCATCATGACCGTCGACATGTTGGTCATACTCAATGGTTCCTACCGTATCGTCTAGGTCAATGCCATCGGAGGCGGAAGAGCCGATGACTTGCACAGCACGCTCAATGATCTTGCATTTGGCGGTTGCGCGTTTGAAGCGGTCGTCGTAGTCTGCGACAGCATCGTCGGTGTTTAGCGTGCTGAAGGTGGAAGGGTCGGAGAGGTGGAGCAGTGTATGGGTATTGTTTTTAAGACGGGTGATCCTTGGAGTGGACGAGGAGAGGGCGTCGGTGGTGGAAGGCGGCGAGGTGAGGGGCGACGACCACACAATCGCCCTCCCGTGCAATGCACCCAAAGCAGCAAACTTTTCGAATCCCTTCTCCAGCCCAAAGATTCTGCCTTCTATGCGTCCGGCGCGCGCACCATCGCGAGTGCCCTGCTCGTAGGCCGAGGTGTAGAGCGTGTCCTCGAGGGTGAGCAGCGAATCGAAGGGGTCGTTTGTTGCTGTGGGCATTTTGACGTTGGTTTTGTGGTTAGGATATGTCTGAATGTGTATACGCAAGCAGGGTGTTTTGTGACGATGGCGGGGTAATTCGGTCGCAGTGCTACTCAGCTACCACGATAATTTTGGAGGGGTACCTATCTGCAGTGCCCAATGAGCGTGTCCCTCGCTCCGTTCCTTTCTTTGCTTCAAGACCATTGCTGTTGACTCACGACCTCTCCATCTTCTCTCTCACCCCTCTGCCTCTATCTGTATCTCTACAGCACAGCCAGACACAGAACGGCACGGCACTGCACAGCACAGCATGGCAGAGACCAAGAAAAAGATACTACCCGTCGACGGCGAGCGCAATGTGCTCATCACAAGTGCTCTGCCCTACGTCAACAACGTACCCCATCTAGGCAACATTGTCGGTAGTGTGCTTTCGGCCGACGTCTTTGCCCGCTTCTCGCGCGCTCGAGGATACAACACGCTATATGTCTGCGGGACTGACGAGTACGGGACTGCCACCGAGACCAAGGCCATCGAGGAAAACGTCACACCCCAACAGCTGTGCGACAAGTACTTCGCCCTGCACTCGGACGTCTATGAGTGGTTCAACATCAGCTTTGATCACTTTGGCCGCACACCCACTCAGCAACAGACCGATATTGCCCAGGATATTTTCACGAAGCTGCACAAGAACGGTTATCTCGAGGAACAAACCACCACACAACCTTACTGCGAGACCCACAATAGCTTCCTAGCAGACCGCTTTGTCGAGGGAACCTGCCCGCTATGCAGTTACGACGACGCTCGTGGCGATCAGTGCGACAAGTGCGGCCACCTTCTTGATCCCCTCGAGCTGTTGAAGCCTCGTTGCAAGCTCGATGGCGCCACTCCTGTGCCCCGTGAGACCAAGCACGTCTACCTCTGCCTCGACAAGTTGCAGCCTGCCCAAGAGGAGTGGTTCAAGAAGTCCAGCAAAATCGGCAATTGGAGCTCCAACGGCACTCATATAACTTCAGCCTGGTTGAACGAGGGTCTTAAGCCCCGCGGCATTACTCGCGATCTCAAATGGGGCACAGCTGTCCCTCTCCCTGGCTACGAAAACAAGGTCATGTATGTGTGGTTTGATGCTTGCATCGGCTACGTCTCCATCACGGCCAACTATACCGATGAGTGGGAGAAATGGTGGCGCAATCCCGAGCAGGTTAAGCTGTATCAATTCATGGGCAAAGACAATGTCCCATTCCATACAGTGGTTTTCCCTTGCTCGCAAATCGGTACCCAGGACAAATGGACTATGCTCAACACCATCTCTACGACTGAGTACCTCAACTACGAGAACGGAAAGTTCTCCAAGTCAAGAAGTATCGGTGTGTTTGGCAACAATGCAAAGGAGACGGGTATTCCCTCGGATGTGTGGCGCTACTATCTCCTTTCCCACCGACCAGAAACTGGCGATTCTGAATTTGAATGGAAAAGCTTCATAGATTCCAACAATAACGAGTTGCTTAAGAACCTGGGCAACTTCGTTAACCGTGTCATCAAATACGTCAACTCAAAAGTTTACGATTCCAAGGTCCCAGACTGGACCAAGTTCAGCGACCCGTATTTTGAACAACACAAGGCAAAGGTCAACGAGTACCTGAAACGGTATATTGGAGAGCTAGAAGATGTCAAGATCAAAGCGGGGCTTTCGACTTGTCTCCACATTTCAAGTCTGGGAAACACATTGCTTCAGGACAATAAGTTAGATAATCGTCTGGCAACCGAGGAACCGGATCGATGTGCTGCCGTCGTCGGTATGGCCTTGAGTCACATTCACCTCCTTGCCTCGCTGATCCAACCCTACATGTGAGTGCATACCTATAACTAATCAAACAAAGTGACTCGGGTCTTGCTAATCATATTATGAGATAGGCCCGCCACAACCGACCTCATTCTACAGCAACTCAACACCACCTTTCTCATCATCCCCGATGTCTGGCAAGCACAATCCATTCCCGTGGGTCACACCATTGGCAAAGCCGCCTATCTCTTCTCGCAGATCAAGCCAGAAAAAGAGCAGGAGTGGCGCGAGCAGTTTGGTGGTGAGGAAGCTCGCAAGGCCAAAGAAGAAAAGGCAGCCAAGGCCGCTGCGAAGAAAGCGGACAAGGAACGCAAAAAGGCGAAGAAAGCTGCCGCTGCTGCTGGCGTGGGACAGGGTGTAGAGTCTTCGGAGAAGGGTGGGAAGGGTGAGGTCCCGGCTCCAAGCACAGCAGTCGAAGAGGTCACGAAAGGCGTGGACCAGACCAGCTTACAAACTTCTTAATCGGCGAGAACCATGAATTGCTACTCTTCGTTCTCAATCGCTAGTAATAAGTCGCGTAAGGTACAAAGACTGGCAAGCTTTTCAATGCATTACCCTGAAAACATGAAACAAGATTTGCATACCGATTGGAGGGCCCAGTAACGCGTCGACCGAATGTCTAAGTTCGGAAATATGATCTGACTTTGGTCGTGATCCATGGGTATGATCCACATACTAATCTCAACGAAAGAACTAAGTGAAGTCTGGTAGGAGTATAGCCGCAAGCTCAAGGGGATCACTGGAAGGAGAACTAGAGAAATTGTTTGCAGAAAGCTATAGCAATGAGAACACACACATACAGAAGACTGTGGCGCATGTATACTGGCAACATCAAAGACAAAAGACATTAATCGAACAAAAAAGAGAAAAACGTTTTTACGCTGTCACAATCCCCTCCTCCTGAGCCCGGCCGATCCACCCTCTGCAAGATGTGTAGAACTTACCCAACACACGTCCAAAGTGATGGGAGTACCATACTCGCTTGATCTCACCTGTAGTCATATGTATTTTTATCCACCGTGAGCTCCAATATCACCCCAAAACGTTGACGGTAGATAGATAGCTAGCAGCAGACTACGCCGTAAACAAAAAAAATTAAACAAGACCTTCCTTTCCTATACGAAAGAGAGTTAGTCCCCCCAAGGGAAATAAAAGAATGGAGAACAGAAGAGGCGGGAAACATGAAAGAAAGGAAAAGGTCGCCGAGCCGGCCATCTCGCCCAATCTATGAGGGAGGGGGGGCAGGCAAGGAAACAAAATTGAATCATCACAATGTGTGAGGGCGGCGTAGTTATAACGGAAAGACTACATGGAGATGGGTCTAGCGCGGTCACGGCACGGTAGGTGCGTGCATCACATAACATTCATGGAGGAGACATGTGGATCTCTGAATATGTATAATTGTTACTTGCGTGATAAGATGTGGTTATCATATCGAATCATGATGACATGGTATACATACAGGTGCAAAAGTGAGAAAGAGGGAAATAGAGAGAAGAGAAGAAAGAAGAAGAAAGGGCAAATGCGGCATCATCTTAACATGAACAGGGCACAGATACACATCTTTGCGGGAACGGCACATGAACAATGTCATGTGCATCTGCGGCGCAGCCCTAGTCATAATCATAATAATTATAATGGTGGGATTTCAGAGGATTGGGGTGTAGTTAGCCCTCTCTCACATGATGATGATGATGGTGGTGGAAAGCAGTTGAAAGACGGTATACACACCCCCGGGGAAGGGGGGTTTGTGATTGATGGACAGACAGATAACTCAGACGCTGATATATTTTTTGATATGCGTATGCTGCTGTTCAAGTTCAAGTGGATGCATGGGAATCTGGAACCGTTTGAATGATGCATTCTGGACTTTGATTTCCTCCCTTTACCTATGTATAATGGACTTTGCAAAACTTGGACGGACAAAGACGTGATGAAGGAACATTCGAAGACGCGAGGTAGCATGGTGTCTCGAATGGAGATTGCTTGCATGGGAAAAGAATGGGAAAATGGAAAAGACGTCGACTGATGCTTGGCAGGTGAAGATTACATTTGTTTTGTTCGATTCCAAAGGGTGATTTGGGGCAGAATCAAAGAAGGGGATGTTGATTCTCGGCTGATTCAACGCATGAGGTGCGGCGGCGACACAAACCAAGAGGAGGGAGAGAAACAAGTGTGGGATGGTCGGGACCAAGAGGCTTGCGTGCGGGTGCCGAGTCCGGTGAGGGATGCTGATCAGTGCGGTCGGATACCGCGGGTAATTGGAGGCCCTCGTATGACGGGCCTCGGTGCACGCAAGCTATTGTATGTGTGTTTGGTGGTGGTTGGAGGGGAAGGGGGAGAGGGACGGGGGGAGGCGGACAGACAGACAGGTAGGCAGACAGGCACGCAACGCTGACTGAAGTTGGTACAGATGGCTCACCGATGGGGGGAGGCGCATTGTTTTGCCGCGCTCATTGTTTCTGATGGGTGGCGAACCGAAAGGGGAGGATTGGCCAAGTGGATACATGGACTCTGTAGGTAGGTAGGTAGGTAGTCTTGGGACAGTAGATGTGTGTGTGTGTGTGTACATGTAACTAGCTCATGTCGCTACGGACAGCCGCGTGGGACGCAGGACCGGGGGGAGCATCACACATAGACACACACGCAGCGGACATGGATTGGATGCTGGAGAGCATGCCTCGAGTGACTGTATATGCGCGTTTTGATTGATTTCCACCATGCGGCGCAGTGGTCGAGCCATTCACATTCACCAGCATTCGCCGTCACTCTTCTCCCTCTCGCCCGCGCTCACCGCTTCCTGCGTCCAATCCAAGTACCTACATACCCACGCATGTCTTGATGGTGATAACTAGTGTGAGGAGAGTGTGAGGTGGACTACAGTAGCGTGAGGCCAAGCCTTCCTTTGATGCGTCGTCTAGGTATGCTATGTTTACTTGACCGTGTGCATATGAATCCATGCACCGCAGAGGCGCAGTCGCCAACACGTCCACCCACCCAGCCTGATGCATCCGCAAGGCGATAGATAGCCAGCAACACCGTATACATCAAATCTCCTCTTCGTCCTCACGGCTGCTTCTCCTGCGGCGCAGCCATGCCCGCCACTCCGGTCGCTGGTATACCAGGTAATCAAGGTTCCCAACAACAACAACAACAACAACGACAGCATCCCGCCCCCTCCGCTGGGAAGGGCCATTCGTTGTTTTTCACTCGGTGGCGGCCAGCGGGCATCATCGCTGGACTCTCGACTGTAAACGCTGGGAAAGCCATCCATCTAAGCGCGCTCCAGGCTAGAATAACGGGCGGGCATCCGACCGAACGATGGATGCGCAACTAAGCACATGGACATGATCCAGGGACCCAATGTATGTAATACATGATAAGCGCAGAATCCATCCTCCTGATGGTGCTAGAGCAGTCGTCAGTATGCCCATTTCCTGGCGGCCACCTGCTGCAGCTGCCGGCTTACCTGAGTGGCTGCCTGGCCTGAGCCAATCCGATGCTTGCACTCTTGCCGCATGATGCATCATCCCCCGTTCCCTTTCCGCAACGGATTTCAACGCACCCAACACCAACGCCTGGTGCCAGCCTGTACTATACTATACTGCACTGCACTTCACTACATTGCACTGTACCTTCTCGGCTGCAAGGGCATCTTCTTCTTCATCTTCTTCACCACCATTTTCTTGTTCTTCTTTTGCTTCGCTCCTCTCTTTTTCCTTGCTCGCGCTCTGGCTTTGCTTGCGGTGATATTGCCGAGTAGTCAGTAGTCAGCGTCCGCCCGGAAGATCAGCCAAAGAGTGTCCATCTGTCAATAGAACAGCCATGCCGGTTAATACCTGCCTAGGTACTCGAGTGCTCAAAGGAGATGGGTAGACCCACTTTAGCCGATCGTTTGCATTCTTCAGTCCCGTTGCTCGCCGAGGCCTCTGGCTGGCCAAGCAGTTGATTATGGAGCAGAAGAAGAGAAAGAAGAAGAAAGAAGAGTGGTTGTTACAGTAGTGGGAGTGGTATATAGTGAAGGTTGGTTGGTGTGGGGTTGATGTCCAAGTAAGTAGGCGAGTGAAGTCGCATTGTTATGTATGTATAGTGCGGGACAGTCATAGACAAGCTTGCTTGCGCTCGTATCTTGACCGATGAATTAGGCGCGGCAGCGACAGCGGATGCTGGCTACTGCAGAATCACACGTAAATTGCCAACGCCAAACGCTTGACGATAGCAGCAACAACGATAGCATCGTCATCGTCAACAGCCACCATACGACCTGCCCTCGGCCTACAATGCTGTGCTGTAGCTAGCCTACATCATTTTAGACGCGCGCGCCCGCAGTGTTTGGTTCAGACAGAAACGTTGTCCGGTTGCAGCTAGGAGCATTTCGAGTATACCTGTGAAGCACAGACACCAACATTGGCACACACACACACACCGGGTCACGGTCCCACCAACGCTGCGGCATGGCCCTGGGTTGGCCGAGTGAAACAAACAATCGATCCCTTGGTTTGGCGGGGGTCACGAAACAAGACTCGTGCCTATGTACGCACCAGCGGCTAGCCAACGGTACAGGACAAGCTCGAATCCATCGAGCATCGCAGAGTGTAGGTGGTAGTAGTTGGGCAGCGGGCAAGGTGGAGGGTTCTCCCATGGAATGCAGCTGCGGTTGATTGATTACCGCCGACCGACGCGAGGAAGCCGGCGCTAGGTAGGGGCAAGTGCACCCCAGGTTTACCGATCGTATCGCGTGTCGTCCTGGAATGGCGACGCTGCGGAGCAAAACAACATTCGAGTAGAAGACGGACTGACAAGAAATGTTGCATGTGTGTCCCGCCAAAGCACGGCGATAGTCTGTGGACAACAGCATTGGGATGGATATGTAGGTGCGCTGGTATTGCGTCGTCTACATTCATCTACATGGGTACATGTGCACTTGGTCAAGTCTGTATAGTACCCCATGCATGTCTGTATGTATATGCCTTGAGGCTCATCTCGCGAATGCGAATTAAAGTAACGCATATATATATACATACATATATCCCATGAGCGGGTGGCCAACTCGGGCGAAATCACCGTGAGTTTACCTAGGTACGTACATACATGTGTACATTATCCAAGTACCCACAAAAGTAGTTGGCTCTGCTGCGTGCGGCGATGGATGATGAGTGGATGCACAGAAGCCGTGAGCTAGTTGGAACAGGCGCGCCGCCGCGGCTGGGAAGCAAAAATAGGCAAAGTCCCACCAGTCATTGCTTTTCCCTCTCCACCAACCCTGGCTGCGCGACGAGTTCTGGTCCGTTTTCTTCATGGTGATGGTGATGGAGGCGGTGGACGGTGGACGGTGGAAACGACGGTGGACCGGAGGTTGCTGGGGGAGAGGAGAAAAGAGGTGGTGGTGGCCAGCCTACTACGCCAGCCAGCCAGCCCAAGCTGCCTTGCTCATTTCCAATTCCCTGCCCCTCCTCCTAAATGTCTCTCACTCTCTCTCTCTCTCTCTCGCTCTCTCACATTTCGCTTTTGCCCCTCCCTGTCCATCCTCCCCTCACCCTTCCCCCCCCCCCCCTCGCGGCGGGTGTTGTTGGGCTGGCCCTAGCGCACGATGGGATGTGCAGCGCTCCCGCCCGCAACGCACCGTCACGCCTTCAAGCCCATTACACCCCCTGGTCCAATGAAACGTCGTCACGCCGCGCGCTGGCCAATCAAACAGCGCCGCTCCCTTGGAGGCCGGCGTGGAGGATGGTGCTGTTCCCGCGCAGGGGCGGCTGAGCTCACTTGAGCATTGCCGCTGTGCCGGGTCCCGCTAGCCCCCTTTGGTGACGCCCGTTCCACTCTAGGTCTCGTCCTCTGGGCCACATCCTGGTACCATGTAGAGGCTTTCCACCCACCACTACAGCCCGACAGCGACTCTAGGGCTGAAGACGAGCTTTTTTCGCCAAAAAAACGTGGCATCGTGTCTTGAATGCAGGGCTCGAGAATCTCCAAGTTTCCCCATATTTTTCGCCCGCGAACTGGTGTTGGGGGCACGTCGAAAGCCGGCCCTCATAGGCCAATAACCGCCGGGCTGACGCTCGGCCAATCAGTCGCGACGAGCTAACGCACAAGCCGGCAGGGGGGCGGGGGTCTGTGCACGAACAGCCGCCGCCGTGAGGTGCTCTTTCCCCTTCCCTGCCTGCCTGCCTGCCTGTCTGGCAGACTATGCTTTGATGGAGACATGGGATGGCAAGATGGGATAGGACGGCCAGCCAGCCAGCCAGCACATGGGCCTGTCCTGTCCTGTCCTGTCCTATCCTGTCTACTTGCTGTACGCACCGCCTGCCTGCCTGCCTTGCCTTGCCTGTCTGTCTGTGTGCGCCTACCGACTCCCGTTATACTCTCTTCTCCTCCTCCTCCTCCTCATCCTCTTCTCCGCAGGAAACGAAGCCTCGCCGTTCGTTCGTTCGGTCGTTCGTTGCCTTGCTCCCCACCTTCCATTACATACCTGAACCACTTCCACCGCCACGCCCTACATCCGTCACACTCATCCATCCTCTCTCTTTCCCTCCCTCCTTCTCCAGTAGCCAGCATCAATCATCAACATCAATTAACAGCCCTCTCTCCCCTCCTCCTCCTAAACCCACTCACTCACTCACATTCTGTCTGTCTGTCTCTTCTTCGGCGCTCGCGCCCCCACCACCCTGTGGTGCCGTCCCTGTATCGATTGCATGAACCACGCTTGCCCCATTGCACAACACTCACTCGACTGAACACCTCAGTTGGCAAGCACTACGAAAAACACTGTGGTCGCTCGTCCGCTTCATCTGCCTACCTGGTGACTTTCCATCCTTAAGAAACCGCCATACCCAACTCTGGACACCATTGACACTGCCCTTTTCGTGGTTTTGCGGATATTCCAGTACTGGCCTTGTCAGCCCTGCCTGTCTTATCCTCCTCCTCTCGCCCAATCCATTCACCATCGTGAAGCACCAGCACCACCACAACTGGGGCCAGTGCGGGAAATTCCTTTCTCACGTGTCCGCCGCTCAAGCAACCTCGATCGTCGGAGGACCTTCTGCGACATTCTCAGCGTCCGAATCAAACCCGTCACGTCATACCGATCAAGCAACCATCCGAGTCCAGACCAGCTCGCTCTCTCCCTCACTTCTTACCGAAAGCAGTCATAGTGACAGGTCCCCGCGTCCTGTTTCTGTCTCCACCTGTTCGCCTGTATCATGCCGGCTGCAGTCCACGCGCCACTCATCACCCCTACCGGCTTCATCTTCAAAGAGAAATCTGGGGAGCCGCTGGTGCCTGCTTTCACCGCCGTGAATGGACGGACTTCTCCCCTGTCCCCTCGCAGGCCGAGTGGTATGAGTTCAATGGCCACCGATTCTCTTCACATTTTGACCCGGACTACTCCCCCTGAACAGCCACCACAGGAGCCAAAGGGTCCTTTGCCCGACAGAGATGACTGGCATCCTGCCCCGCCAGCAGCAGCAGCAGCATCAGACAGCGCTCGCCATCGCCCAGCCTCGCCCACCGCCTCTCCGGCGAGCCCTCCCACAACGAATATCAAGAGGAAGCGCTCCAGCTCGCCCGAGGCTTCTCCCCCCTCGACATCTCCCGACCGGCCCACGACGACACGGTCTCGTTTGGACTCCTTTCCACCTTTACGACAGGACGTGTCCCCTCCCGCAGTCTCCTCGGTATATCACTTGGTCAACGAACATCCGCACCCTCGCACTCTGCCACCTATAGAAACCTCCGATCCGGACCTCAACTGGCCAGCCTCTTCTCACAATGCGCAACACAGTCGATTCGAAACCCAGCGTCACGAATCTCACAGAGACCCTGCCGCTCCGATGTATCCAAGTTCTCATTCAGACTCCCATGGGACTGGTCTGGAAGGCCCCAACGGCTCAGAGCGCTCCACCACTACGGAAATGACCCGGGCTGGTGTTCAAGTGGACCCCAAAAAAAGGAAAAGGGTAGGTTGATAATAAACCCCAAGCAGAGTTTAAGCTGGGCTGACCATTTTAGCAATTTGCCAATCGAACCAAAACTGGATGCGGTACATGTCGTAGACGAAAGAAGAAATGTGATGAAGCCAAGCCAGAGTGTAAGGTGTTTACGGAAGCATGCTGTCGTATAATTACTGACATGAACAGGCAACAACTGCCAGCGTGGTGGCTTCATTTGCGAAGGTTATGCAAACAAGATCCCGTGGCCAAAAAACGGGCCGCAGAAACCGCCGCCCTTGCAAGCCAAAGACCGTTTCCCTCCGGAACACTCCCAGCTTTATCACAGTCACGGTACAGCACGCGAACCATACGGAGATCCAAACAGCCAGTCTGCCGTGGATGGTGGACGAGGCCGGCCAATTGTGGTCGAAGAGCACAACCCTCAACCCCCTACAAGCAGATGGGGTCCAGACTGGAGCGAGCCACCACGCACCTCCTATCCCTCTGATCAGCAGACCCATCCGCAGCACTCACGGCCTCCATTGGAGTACTCGCAACCTCTCCCAGTCTCCAGTCACAGCCAGTCGCGTCCAAGTGATCAACAGCATTCACCTCCAAGCCAAACGCTACCTCCCCCAAGACAGCACAATCCTCGAATTTACCATCACACTCCTCAAACCATGAGCCAAGTAGTCAATCATAGCCCGGCGGTAACGGCAGAGGCCCCTTCGCATCACCCACCGCAGCCCTTGCCCCCACAGCCCCACCATAGCCATCCACCGGCCATTGCGTCTCTCACTGCTGCTCCCCCTGGGCCTCCCCCAAATCACTATGCGCCTCCGCCTCCATCGAGATCACACAAGAGTGAAAAAGAGAAAATGTTGAACGGGGAGCCGTTCATGCCCTTTGCGCCACAACTAGTTGAAGAGCGCGACAAGTGCAAAAGTGCCGTCTACCGGTTCAACAACACTGACAATCCACAAAAGGAAATCGCAAGAGAGACGCGAGACAATATCTTTAGAGCCATATTGGCAGCAAGATGGACTATTCCGTACAGTGAGCCGGGTAAACCACCTCCTTGCGGACACCTTGGCCGGGAGGGCGTCTACATTGACTCGCCCTTCATGTGCGAATATGGATACAACCTTTCAATTGGCGACAATGTGGACATTGGAACTTCCTGCAAGTTTCTCGATTCTGGCAGGATATCAATCGGCCGGAACTCGTCTATTGGTGCAAATGTAACCATCGACACACAGCGCACACCAGGCGACTGTAAAGTGATTAAAGGCAGTCGTCGAACTGCCATAGCCGCCGAGGTCCACATTGGAGAGAATGTCCATATTGGCTCCAACTGCACCATTCTTGCCGGCGTGAGGATTGGCGCGGGTGCTATTGTTCACCCTGGGTCTGTCGTTGTCCGGGTATGTTTTCCACTTCTCTTGCACTGAATCTCTTCAGCTAACTTGTATGTAGGATATACCACAAAATTGCGTTGCTCGTGGCAACCCTGCGGACTACGTCTGACATTTCCACTCATCTTTGTCCTGCTGGCGTCTTTTCGTGGTTCAGAGCCTTGGTCGGCTTTCTTCCCTTCATGCTACTCTCTGGCCTTTTTTTTTATATCTTTTATGTTTATTTTTATTTTTATTTTTGGTTTTCATTTTGTTCTGTTTTTTCTCGGAGGATACCCATTGCTTTATTGCGCTTTCCTATCTTTTCGTTCCTCGCTTCAATACATTATTGTCTCTGTTCTTTTCCGTGCTTGATCATGTTATTTTCTGCGACAAGATAGCACGACGCTAGAATCACCTTTCATTATCGAAGTCTGCAATGATTGCGTTCTTCGATTAATATATGATGCATGAATAGAGTCTACCCAAACTTCTAAATGGACGATTACTGATCTTGGCCAATTCGTTGCCAAATTTAATTTGATACTGGCCACTAGTTGTACAAAACATCTTTCGCGTGTCTTACTGCATGACATTGATTGTCATGTGCTTAGTAAAGATGTATCATCTTGACTCGTACACTTGATACTGATTATTCAATTATGTTGTAAAATTGGTGCAAATTCGCGATAGCATGTACACATCTCAGGTGTTAGTAAGTAGCTGGATAGGTATGTAGATAATCTATAGCTACCTGGTTCAGGTGCTTATAGCGACGTACTGTTCCAACAACAAACGCACACTCGTATTTCAATCTATGCAAGATATCGGATGAACTAGCGTTTAGCTTTACATTTAAAAAGAATTTTCTGTACCATGTATACGGACCAACACAATTGCTATCACCCAAGTCAAGACGTCTGCATTAGCGGCTCCACGTGACATGGCGGTTAGCGCGTAAGCTCGGACCCTAGTCAAACCAAAATCTCCCAGATATCTCTCTATCCTAACATCATCCCAACAGTTACGGAGACGGACCACCAAAATGCCACCTAGGGTACCTATAAATCGGGGTCTCGTACCCTCATCGATCACCTCTCTCCCAGCCACATACTCGCTCAACCAATGGACGCCGCAGATTGGACTTGCAATGGCCAAGCCCTCACAAACCACAATTCGAAGCATCAAATCTACCAATACTCCTCGTCCTGATCGTTTCGCACACCACCCCTCTCGATCCGCATTGAACAGTACCTCTTCGGCAGCTTTGGAAAGAAAGGCCCATTCGACACCAACTCGAACAGGCCTTGTGGCGCAAAAGCGTGGTATGACGGCTGTCTTTGATCCCGACACTGGCATGCGCTCCGGGTGTACGGTCCTGCAGATCGACCGCAACGAGGTCGTTGCGCATAAAACGCGAGAAAAAAACGGGTACTGGGCAGTACAGATTGGTGCGGGTGAGAAGCAAGTGGACAATGTGTCGAGACCGATGTTGGGCCATTTTGCGGCAGCTGGTGTTGCACCTAAACGCTGGGTCTTCGAGTTCAAAGTAAAGGGAAAGGAGGGACTAGGTGTTAATGTTGGCGAGAGATTGGGTGCTAGCTGGTTCCAGGTCGGGCAATGGGTGGATGTCAGGGGTGTGAGCCGTGGAATGGGCTTCGAAGGTGTAAGTGGGGCGAAGCATCGAGGCAAGAAGTCTTTGCGCTTACAGGCTAATCGAACTTCCATTAGGGCATGAAACGACACGGTTTCGGTGGTCAACCTGCCTCTCACGGTCAATCGCTTATGCATCGTGGTATGGGTTCTGCCGGAGGCTCACAGGGATCCGGTTCCCGTGTTCTACCCGGAAAACGCATGGCTGGAAACATGGGCAACGAGCGCGTCACTGTTAAAAATCTCAAAGTTTTACAAGTTGACGAGGCAAACGGAATTGTGGTGGTAAATGGTATGTGTCCTATCTCTAAAGCCGTTCCCTGCCTCCTAGCATCTCCAATTCCTGGATGGAATCCACAAAGATGGGGGAAGAATGCAGGTACTGGCGTCAAATCTGCTAGACGCGGCAAAGGCAAATATTCCCATGATATAACCTTCTAACACTTTGATAGGCAGCGTGCCAGGCCCCAAGAATCAGATCCTTCAGATCCAAGATGCTATTAGTACGTACACTATATCTGCAAAGGCTAGCATATTAGACTACTATGCAGCATCATATCCCCAACGCTAGTGTCTATAAGTGCATATCTGTTTGACCATACTAACATTATGTCTGTAACTCTAGGTAAACCCTGGCCTAAAGGGCCCATGACAACGGCAGAGACTATATCAGCTTCCGAAGCACTAGCATCAGCAGCAGTAGCTAATACAGTAGCAGGAACTACTGCTACTACTGCTACTCTTTAATACCCTGCTCAAAGTATATATATGTATTTATAAGTGTTTCTACTTAGTCATCCAGTAAGGCGTTGACTTGTGTTCTGTATTCATGGCAAAAAGTCTATGTAAACTTCTTGGAATTCTATTTTATCTTTGGTCCGCGAGGATAATAATCCATATCCCTATACGATATTCTCTCATGTGTTGGGGGGAGTGAGGTGGAGAAGATGCTGAGGTCACTCATCTTCGAAGACCTAACAAATAGCTTTGGCAATGGTTGAGCCTGGATATGAGAAGATTCGCTTCTGGCGAGCATTGGCATTTTAAGGATTTTGGATAGGATACTCAGCCATATGAAGTTGGAGTCTAGATGACCCTACACACAACGATAGTTATAACAATAGAGGGACCAAGAAACAGGCGATTACCAAAAAGGATTTGCGAGTGCCTTCACAACAAGCTTTTGAAGCAAAAGCAGGGACTACCCCTAAATTCAACCGATTTCGATGCGATTGAGCCTTAAGAATTCAGCCTTACCTGGTATACATGCTTAGCGACACCGGTTACGAAGGACGCCGCGGCTGGGCTTCAGCTTCGGATCTCGCTTATGGAAGGGAACGTTCTTCCCAGGGTGTCTAGAAATGGATATCATTTCTCCCACCGTCACAGTCGTTTTGAACGCGCCGGACGATTTTCGTAATTTACTTTGTGTCGTGCAAATAGAGCTTAGCTTTCTACGACTGCTGGAAACAAATCGGAACAGATGGAAGACATCGATCTTCACAAGGCTGAGCTTCAGCAAGATGCGACAATAACTAATGCAGCGACAACCCCGGAAAGAAAACAGGAGATGGATTATGAAATGCACTACGGGTTATCACATCGCAGCGTCAAAGACGTCCTAATGGAGATTCTCGATGATATTGCCACCTTCAAAAACATTCACGACTGGGATAGCAAGCTTGTTGTCACACCCTTCAAAAAGCTAGAGACAGTCATTAGAAGACATGTGGCGGGATGTAGCCAAGAAATGATGAACAACTTGCTCGTCCATTCATCGGTGGAGGAAGTTTTCAGTGCAGATGGGAAACCAGAAAGCATCCCAGCCATGCAGGAAGACGGACAAGTCAAGAGCCATTTTTTCTTCTCCAAGGTAAACCCAAGCCTCATCCACAATTGACTGCGTGTAATTTGCTCATCCAAGGGGAAGGCGGGCGAAAACGAGGCTACATCAAAAGGGAAAGAACCAGTGAGTCCCTCCCGAGGTCGTGTCATGTAAGTGTATCACCAGAAAACAAGACATGAGACTAATGGATCATAGATGCGTCAAAGAGTGCAGATCTCATATTGAGCGTGCAGTCATGTTGTGGATACATGCTCTCTGTATCCGGCTGCAGAATGAAGACAAGGCATACATTCGCAATTTCATTGAACGGCACCTCAATCTCGAATCAGCAATGGCTACTCCCTATCACTGGCAGCCTACTTCCCCACCGGAAGTTGGCGCGGTACGTCGGATTCCCTGAACTATGTCACTTTCTCCTCGCACTTACACATGGCATAGGAGCAGCACCAAAAGCACTATCGAAGAGTGTCCTTGTCGTTTCACCTCGCATATCTAACCATGTCTGCTGTCGACAGGCCAACTGAACAGCAAACTGACCTTGACCGAACCCCGATTCTCTCTTTGTATAATGAGATGTCGGGTAACAATGCGAATAACTATTACCTCTATCGAGCCTCATCGTCCACCTTGATGACTATTGTGATTCCCGAAGAGTCCGTTGGCCGAGAGGAAGAGACCCAGCTACTGAAGTCACCACAGGGTCTTTGGACAGTACTCATGATCAATTACCCTCGCCGTAATTTCGATCGAGAGCTGGAACCGCATCTCAATCCAATCTCCCAATTCACCCGGGGCATAACCGCGGCACTCGTCACGCAACGGGATAATGCAAAGTCAATATGTGACTTTCTCAGACATGAGCTGCAGTCGTGCGATGTAGATGGATTTCTGGATGACGAGCATTTTACCAAATCCAACACGTATCATCGCACGATCCAAGGGTGCAGTGAGCTCAAGGATTCACTCGATTCTACGCTTCGATTCATGAAGAAGCTCAACGACGGTCAGTTGAAGGAGTTGAGAAGTATTGTACACCCACAGGATGAACCAGGTGTGCAACACTGGACACGCGAAATGCATGAGGAGCTCTTTTCTTTGAGGGAACTGCGAGCTCAGGTTGAGGGATTGAGCAAACGGGCGCAAGAAAGCGTGAGCATCTCAACAAGATCAATAAGATTCAGGCCAACTAACGTCTGCGCAGCGTGCTGCTGTAGGATACATCTAACCATGCTGAAACAGTTGTGAGCTGACATGGTGTAGTTGCATGGCGCGACTGCTCTTGTAGAAGCGCGTACTGCTTTGCAACAGGGTCAACGACTAAAGGTGTTGGCGTACCTTGCTACGCTTTATCTACCTCTGACGGCAACTTCTGTTCGTATATTAAGACTACTTTTGCACTTTAGTTTCCGTTTCTAACCTTTTCCCTTAGTCAATTTACAGTATGAGTGTCTTGCCCAATTCGGCCTCATTCGCATCCTTCTTCGTAGTCTTCGCTGTGCTGTTGATCCTTACTCTATCGCCCAGCATTTACCATGCACTCCTGCTTAGACTCCAATCGATCGATACCACTGCTTTCAGGGCTTCTTTCCAAACCAAAATCACTGCTCCGGCTCAGCTCCCGACACCACCGGAAGGTCCAGCTTCATCCCCAGATATCGTTCCGGAAGCATTGATCGATCCGTCAAAGGTCACCCCTCCAACCGGACCGAGAGAAGAAAAACCACGCCTCATTCGCTATCTTCATGCGCTAAGACCTCACAGTAAAGGGTACATTCCTGGACATCTCGCCCTCCATGATTTCAAAGACCGCTTCCCAAAGCCCAAGAGCTTTTACTACCTCATCAAATGGCTGGTCTGGGAGATGCCGCAGGAGATTGCGTTTTGCTACTTGATCCCGGAGCTGCGTTTCCCGCTCGATCAGTACCACCTGTACCGGATCAGAGGAAACGCGGTGATACAGAGCGCAGGGTGGAAATGGCATCCGCTGGCGTTTGTTAGGGATATTATCCGTGCTTTGCTCTTGCCGCTCTGGGCAATTATAGTTGTAGCTATTTTCATCTGGTTGCCGGTGTTGGTTTTGCTTTGGGTCCTTGGCGGCTTTGTACTCTATTTACTTGCATGTGTTTGTTCGTGTGTAGGGCTTCATACATGGGCTGACTATCTATATAGTTGAACAAAACACAAGAACTTTCTTATCATTTGGTTATTTGAAATATTTTGCTCTAGTAGCTTTCCGGTCTCCCCATATCTATGCATGCCTGCTCTGCTTCCACTTTAATTTAGCGCCACACAGAAAACATCATCATCAAACGACGCCAGTGATGACGACGACGAAGAAGAAGAATCCGGATTAATATAATCGTCCTTTGTAGTTGCTCTCTGTCTCGCACTAATATACTCATCCGATGAAGAGTAAAGATCCACGTCTTCCTCGTTCCATTCGCGGCTTGCGGGTGGTGGTGGGGACTGAGGCCACGATCGAGGCGGCGGTGATGGACTCGTGTAGCGTTGCATTGGGCCTGGCGCATCATAAAGAGGTGATGGGCTACGTATCGATGCAGGCGGCGCGGGTTGATGGTAGTCCTCGTGGTGTAGGCTCTCTGTCGCTGTGTTGTTGGTGCTCGCAGTCTCGGCATAGGTGTTGTCTTCTTCGCTTTCAGAGGAGGTCTGAGTGGAGGGCGATGGCGATGGCGATGACAAGACAGCAGGCGGAGGACTGGGTGCTTCAGGTGGTGGTGGTGGTGGTGGTGGTGGTTGTGAAGGGTCACAATCCGTTGCCACGACTTCATTGGTATTTTCCAAAGTAGCACTACTTGTCTGCAAGTCTTGGTGATGATGATCAGGTGCAGAGTTGTTGCGTCGAGCCACTTCTTCATCATCGAAGGAACTAGCTTCGGAAAGCGTTTCCACTCTCGAGACAGGGCGTGGTTCCTCATCTTGCCCCCATCTTCCTTTCTTGTTCCTCTCCTTGCTGTCTTTGGGTTTCTCCCCCCGATTCTCTTCCGGACCATCGTTGTCTCCGACTTGCACGCTTTCTTCCTCATTAGACTGTTCCGCAGTGCCCGCCTCATCGCAGCCATGCATGTTCTTATCATTCCTACCTACTCCCCTGATCCTCGCATCCAACTCTTCATACTCCCCCAGCAGTCGTTCAGCCTCCGCCACGTCACTCGGCTCCCAATCCCTCAGCCCGCGCGCCTCCATGAACGCTCTCATCCCTTCAGACCCGCCCTCGCGGATGCTCCTGTAGTTACTCGGCGCATAGTCGTAGTCTGGGTGCGGCGAATACACATTCGCCCGCTTGGTTCCATGCGTGTACGATGATTCCCTGTTCATCCCGCTTCGCGCCGACGGCGCAAAGGAGTGCTCTGCTGTGCGGCTCGAACTGGAACAGCGGCGGGACGACGGGAAGCTTGATACCGGAGTGGGTGGAGATGCGAGGGGTGCTGAGTACCCGTGTGGATGGCTGACGGGGTGGCTGTACGGAGAGTAAGTTGGATAGAGACCACGGGGTGACATGACCGGAGGGTGTAAGGCATGGTGTTCAGGACTTGCAAAGTGCTGGTGATGATGGTGGACAACGGGCGGATAGGGCGTCTCGTGGGGTATCCTTTGATACGGCTGGTAGTATGGTGGTACATCGCTTTGGTGATGGCTGTGGAACGGACGTGGTGATGAATCGTTGTTACATTCACATCCGAAGTCGCAAGGTGGCACCGTGGAAGAACCGGGCGTGCACATCTGAGGAGGATATGTAGCGTAACTGGAGCTGTGGTGGTCAAACACACCACGCCGTCTGGGACATGAGTCGAAGTTTGGATATGCCATTTTGGATAAGCTCACGTTTTCTCGGCCTTTTGAAAGAAAGAGAGGGTCAGTGAGGTGGCAGAGAAACGGAGGAAATGTCGAAGATTTCACGGAACAAAAAGCATAGAGAAAAAGCAAAAAGTTGACAGCACACTCGTGGTATACGGCGATTGGTGTATTTCTTGCCGCCTTTCTTTCTCGTCACTCCGTTTTTTCTTTTTGCACACAAGCCCACCACTCATGAGTCTAGGACGATAACTTTGCAGATGGGAGGAGTATTGGATAGAAACAGGACTTTTGCTCTCGAAGCCATGTGTACAGTGAGAACACCAGTTATCGAGACATTTGAGCGTAGTACGGCGCCAGAACAACGACGGATCCTATTCAGTCATCTTATCTGGCATACCGAATCAAACGCTCCGACGAAACTCTGAAAGGATTGCGCGGAACGGTGGATGCGAGCATGTTTAGGGTCTCTTCACTTATCTCCGTGGTGTCTTTCAGCACCGTAGTTTGAATCGACTCCCCAGATGGGAGCAATTTCTTGTTCCTCATCACTTCAGCAGGTTGAGTCCCGAGCTCGCCACACCTAACTCGAAAGACATAACCATGGCTCTGCATTAGGAACACTCCCAGCCAATGCAAATCTTCACCGATGTAGCGCTTACACCCCAGCGGTAGGAAGCCTATCTCGAGGGCTTCTGGGGTCCCAGCTCCAATCGCTGCATCAATTTGCAACCCTTTATTCGTCATCCGGAAGCCAGGGGTCCTGCTTTGAATTGACGCGGGTATCCCGCTTGCCTGGGAAAATTCAGAGGGAGATCTTGCAAGAATCCCTCTGATGCGTTCATGAGGCGGGAGGTCCTTGTCCGCGATTTTGCTTTGCCATGCGAATACACTGAGATCAGCACGCGTCCTAATAATCTCTTCTTGGAGTCTGCGGAAAGCTTTATGCCCTTCTCCGTATATGAGCGGCAAATTGACATCGAACAGACCAAACAAACAATACGATAAATCTTCTATCCGATCTGTCCGTCGACGGGATGCCCAAGACATGATTTCTGCGACAGAATAGCGATGGCAGTTGTAATTGGCGCTTTTAAGCACTTGAACGGGTATTCGAGTGATGCGCGAGATTTCAGTCGCGAATTCCCGCTTCTCTTTATAGAATCGCCATTGCGAATCGTAGAACTGCACGTGACGTGGTGCAATCAAATGTGTGAGAGTCCAGCCCGAAGAAAACCAATCACACCTCCCGAGGTTCGCCAAAGAATACGTTTGGTCGACTTCGGAATACGCAGGGGGTTCGGCTTCTTTGTCCAAACCCGCCTTGGATTCGAAGCTGGCATTTGCATTTCCCACAGATTCTCCCGAGAGTCCGATGCCTTCGAAGTCATTCAGATATGCAATGCAGAAAGTAGCATCTTGATACCATTTGAACATGGAATTGACAGCTTCGCTCCAGTCGCCAGAATCGGATCGGTTTACGCAAACAGTGTCGACCCAGCAATAGTCGCATCCGTGTCCAAGTGCAATGTCACATGCCTTGGTTATGATCTGGGATTCGGGGACTTTGACTTCCTCTTTGACATCACTCGCGGGTTTGGTGATGATGCTAGGCACTTTGGAAGTATGCGACAATATTGCGTATCGCGGCTTCTTATGCTCGGGAAACTCTTCAATTTGAAAGGTGTGACAATTGATCAAACGCATTGTGAAATGTGTACGCCAGGGAGGATATATAAAAGGTATGGGAACATATACAGATAGACAGTTGAACGTGGCTAGGCAGCAGTAATGTAAACCAGTAAGCGTGTTGGCGGAGCCGATGATTCCCGGACTTTGAACGAACTTGCCAAGCCAACCGAGCATGTAATCGCTAGCTGACCTCGTACAAATCTACTCTGGGTGTAAAACTGGGACTTATCTGAGGTTGTTTGGCTCTCCAAGTATCTCATCAAGCAGATGCCAGAAATCAATGCTTGGAAGGAACTAGTGATTTCCGCCATTCCTTTCGGCATAGTTTTACCGAACATGACCAAAAGTGTTGTGCGCACTGGTGGGCATAGTTTGCTTGGTCAACATCGTAGTGGCACAGCCTCGTTGTAATTGTATCGAATCTACTGAAGTCACGTGCTCTTCAATGGGAGGCATCCTACGTGTAGAACCTTTTCTATCACTCACACTCACGCTCTAAGGATACGCCACTCATATGGGGTGCATGATGGTTCTTCAAAAAATTGGTAGACTCAATATCATGCGATCGATTAGTAAAATGTGTGCTGTATATACTATGTTTCTGCTGTGTAGTGGATTCTATCTCGGGACACCAACATAGTTGAAGTCGCTGCCTAGCTGCTAGGTAGCGCGTCATCGAAGTTTGTCTCGTATGATAGAGGGAATATCCCCGGCATCTCGAGTCCCTCGAGATCTTCCAGTGAGGAGTAAGAATCAAAACTAAAATCCTGCGCACTGTCATCGTACGTGGATATCATCAGATTCGATGGAAAGAGGCCGGGATCGTTTGTGTGTCGATTGATAGCATGGCAATCATGACATGTACCATTCTCGTTCAACAGGGTCCAGAATGAGTTGCATACTCCACATTTCAGAAGGTCAGAGTCTTGAGTGAATTCTGTCAGATCCTCGAGCTCCGAAAGATCAATGTCGATACTGCTGAGGGACTCGTTCTCCGACGACGAAACAATCCAATCGGCTGGAGGCTCAATCCTATAATGCATTTCCAGTTCATGTCTCGAAGACCAGGTGAATGCTGCAGGTTTATCCCATTGCATTCTTGACTTCTGAAGAAGAATCTTGTCATCGCCCGTGTAATCAATCATAGCTGTGGCCCTGCCAATATGTATAAGATAATGACAGAGTAGCCGGAGTAGGGCGTCTTGTTTCGCTTCAAGCTCCGTACCGGGGGCAAAATTTGCTTCGGAGGCCTACAATCTATTAGCGGCCAGGGAAAGATGGGCTGCAGAATCTAAGGACTCGAGACGAGTTGTCAAAACCGTTGCCGGGAGATTGATCTCACCAGGTTTGGTTCAATGCAATAGATTGTTAATGATACTCTCACTCACCTCCGGACATGTATATCGCACTCCAACGACTGTGCCTAGAAGCAGCAGGAAAAGTGATCGCAGCCTTCCCAATCTATCCTCTGATGCTTCAATTTCAAGAGGGCGCAGCAAAGGGTCTAGTGCTGTTAAAAGCCGATTGCCGATGCAGTCACGCACGATTTGAATGTCTTCTTCTGTATATTCGTGATACCCACCCTGCATGCCAGTGGTGTGCAGATGAGTCGTCAAATGCACAAACAGCCGCAAATCTCTCGCGAGGCTAGGATCAAGCGCATTTTGCAGCAATTTGGTATTGGAGCTACATGAGAATACGCCCACGAGGCTAAAAGTGGTTGTCGAACCTTCCCCCGACAGCCATTGGCTGAGATGTGACGATGCTCCGTCCGCGTTCAGAGCAAATGGAATGTGGAGATCAAGATACACGTCGCTGTTTGATAGGTCTGTCAGGATGGTTTGGAAACGATTTTGGTCAAGCACTCGGCTCTCTGCAATGTATCACACATGTAATCAGCTTAAGGGTCATCAATAGACCTAGGATCGACACATACCATTGTTGAATATGTTGATTGCTTGAAAGGAAGGTCTGATGCACTCCATCCACATCAAAGATTTGGAATTGGCGGTTGCGTCTCTGGCTACAATGCAGGTTTTGCAGGGATCATCGCCCGAGCACTACAGTCATGACGGAGTTAAAATCCATCTCCGATCGTGAAGGAGGAGGAGGAGGAAGAGGTAAGCATACTGCTCTTTTCAGGATTCGACACCGAAGACAAGCACCTCGTCTCCTGATACTTTTGACCTCCTCTTTCCTCTCCCGAGAGAAAGTTGAACGTCTGTGGAGGTTGACATTGTTACCGTCGGCGGAGAAGCACGAGAAGATGCCCGCCGGTCCAGCATAAGCCGTCTTCTGGCGCTTTTTGGGGCCATTTGACTTGGTGTGGCGGCCACGCTTGAGGCGCTCTCCTGAACGAGTTTGAGATGATACGCTGGGGTTGACTTCCGTCTGCTCCATTGTGCACTGTTTAGTACCCAGTAGTGATGGGTGACAGCCTGGGTGGGGTCCTGGTGTCGTGGCAGTTTGTGCCTTGTGGAGAACACAGTGTTGTGGGGAGTAGGGGAAGGCTCCTAGTCATACAGATTCAAGCTCTCAATATACCCCCAGGGTGAGTACAAAAACAGTAGAAGTGGTGACGCTGCATGAGTGAGCATGGATGGTCTTGATTCGGTAGAAGCTTACCGCAACCCTGATCTGGTTAGCTCACTTGTACCGGGAACCACCAGTCACGGTCATTTCTTGCGGCTTTCGACAGATAGATCTATGCCTTCATTGTTTCCCATTTCTCTCTGGGAGCGAATGTGTGTAGCCTTTTTGGGATTGATACTTTACTTTGGATTTCACGCTACGCTGTATTGCGCGACCTCGCGTTGCCTCGCCCTCTATACACATGTAGTCTAGTACAAGTCCTTCCCACTGTCTTCCCACTACCGCCACCCCCGTGACTCCTTACAGTTTCCTAATCCCATCCATACATGTGTGCATTTTAATTCAGATCTGGGTATCTTCTTATCATTGACAGTATACAGGGAACCGGCCAAAATCTCGTCTTTGCTCCTGATTCTCTGGGTCCTCACCGACCGACGACCATTAATTTGGGTCATTCGAAGGGGCTTACTCCAGGTGAGGAGGATATTATTATTGTGTCGTGTACCAACAACACGAACCCTAGTGAGACTGCTGGCGTTGTAGCCGCGGCGTTGCCCGTATGAACGGTCTGTTTCTTCCTCGGAGGGTTTCGCGACCCAGCCCATACTTCTACACTTTCCCGGCTCTTTCTGTTCGCGTTTAGTCGCTTTTCCAGTGGCTGGTAAGCCGTCCATCATCGTCTTCTTTTGATATTCTAAGCTCCACTGCGTATATGGCCATGGTCACCGCAAGGTTGATCCAGCGCCAGAAATTGCCCCCGGTATCACCACCTTGATTTTTCCACCATTCGCCTTGCACCGCGCTCCCAGCATCCACAATCCCACCATTTCCGCTCGCAAAATGCTGCATGAGTAGACTAGTATAGACAGCAATCAGAATACTGGGGCTAAACCAAGTAAGAAGTCCCAGCAGCTTTGTGGTGTCGTCATCATCGTCGAGACTGGGCTCCTGGGAGAGAGCTCGTGCACCGCTTTCTCGGACAGCGGGGATGATGCGAGCGGCGGCATACATGACAAAAACTCGGTACGCGAGTGATACGATGACGCTCGGGGTGATGGTCATGACGGCGCCCACCATGAGGTTAAACGCGGTGTGCATTATTGTGGGAAGCGAGCCCAGTGCGTGTATGAGTGTGGTGTAAGACGCCATAATGATGGGAGGCAGAGGAGGCAGAGCCGGATCAGGAGGTGTATCGGGCGCAGCGGACGAGCCAGGAGCGGGCTGGTAATCTGTGAAGATCTGGTAAATGCATAGAGTCACGTATGCAAACTGCCATGGTCAGCAACAGGGCCGGCGAGGAGGAGCTAGGCTTACGTACCAACAACGAAGACTCCACAGGGTTGCCTCTTCCGCTGACAATGCCCCACGCACACAAGAACATGGCGGTTGTGAGAGCGACGCCAATGAGGATAGCATCCACGTTGCTCACTTCGGGGAAGGTGGTGATGCGCCACAGGAAGTAGACGGACGAGGAAATGATGGAGGCCGAAGCGATCAAGAGGCCAATCTGAAGGGTAGCAAAGTCAGCGCAGGACATAGTGGCAGACATGAAAAGAAGGTCTCACCATCCAGTTGTCTCCCCGTTCCCTATTGACGAGCCATCTTGTGATCTGGCCGGCAGCTTGAATGACCAACAGGCTGCAAAAGCCCTCGCCAACCTGGAAAATGGGGGTGCTGTAGCGCAGGACTTTATCCCAAGTGCCTATGGTGAGGGACTCGGCGAGACCGTCGACGCCGAAGATCCATTCGTGCACAGTGGCATCTTGAGCCCTCTTGCGGCCAAAAGTGCGCTCCACCCAGCCCGAAGCGTTGTTGGAATCGACGGAAAATTTATTCAGACTCCAGATGAGAAAGGTAGGTATCATGAGCCATTGGGTGAGAGCAAACAGCTTGCAGACGGACCAACGGAAGCGGGAGTGGTCGGGGGTAGCTAGTCGTAAAGCCGAGTACAGGAAATAGTAGGTGCTCAGGGCAAGAGAGAAGGCCAGACCACACTGGCGTCCCCCGATGTCAAAGGCCAAAGGGATGGTGAAGATGATGGCGCCGAGGAAGGAGGCCGAAGAGAGGACCTTGGTGAGCCACATCTACACGCGAGGTGCTTTTGCTAAGCTCGTCGGGTTGGACGAACTTGCTCGGCGGGCGTGGAGGGTGGCACTCTACTTCGGTAAGTGATGTAGGGCAACGCGCGCGCGAGGGACGCGCAGAGTGCGCGGTAGGTGCTTGGGTAGGGCAACGTGCGGTGGAGAAATGGCGATGGCGATTTTTTTGGGTTTGTTTTTGGATGTGTGCACCTAGGGGTAAATCGACGACGTGGCGTTTGGGGGTGTCTGTGTGCGTGTGCGCGAGTGTGGAGTGTCGCGGGCGACGATACGGGGCTTGGCGAAAGGGGGGTTGGTAAAGAGAAGAATAATAAGTAAGGGAGGGAGGGTAGGTGAGTAAGTGAGTAAGTGTAGGGGAGGTAGGTAGTAGTAGTAGTGGAGGTTGTAGCAATAGTGGGAGTAATGATTAATGCACAGTATGTACAGTCCAGTCCAGTCCTCTCGGCAGCGGTACGTATCTAAGTGTGTATGGATGTACGGATGTGTGTAATTATGTAGTAGGTGGTGAGTATATTTGAATGACTACCTAGGCATGTAACATGGCGTTTAGATACAGGTCGCTCGACCTTTTATCTTCACGTGCAAATCGGCCACGACACGACATGACCAGACCAGCCCACTGGCGACGGCTGGTGTGGATGAGATTGAATCAATCTCGGAAATGTTGAGAGTGAGCATCACGGCATGTTTGCCAGACTCCAGATGTCTGCACAGTGGGTGAGTGGACATGAATCAAATCAAATCGACAAGAAAGGGAGAGCGGTGTGTCTTTATTCGCGGCTTCCAAGTGTCGCGTGCTGGCTGGCGCCCGTCGCCGCAACATTCATCCATTAACGACCAATCAACCAGCCAATCCAGCCATGAATTTAAAGGACAAGTTTTTCTGCAGAGCAATCCGCCAGAAGAAGCGAAAACTCATGGCACTTGTCCCCTTGGAGCCTAGTCCAGCTGTGTCTAATCAATGTAGCCCGTGCTGAGTGACTGTCTTACTAATCTGAACGCCCAAACAAACCGCAGGAATAAACAAAACTGCAAACACTGCAAATCATACAAACAGACAGCAAACTGGTCCCGCTAACCTCCCCCGCCTCCCCCTCCTCCCTCCCTCGCCAATCACAGAGTTGAAGAAGCTGCTTAGTCTACTACCTAGTAAACACTACTAGGTATTGACAGTCCTACTTACTGAACAGACATCTACACACACACACACATAGTGAATGCTGTGCCTCCGAACCCATCTTCTCAGAGCTACACGACGACAATCACAAATTCCGTCCTTCCTGTTCCCACCACGCTTTACCATGGCCACCTCCACTCACAACCCCGCCAAAAAACTCAAGATGGACGTTGATGCACCACTGATTGGCACCCACAGTGGCCACTTTCACGCCGATGAAGCCCTTGCCGTGTCAATGCTACGCCTGCTTCCCACCTACAACAGCTCGCCCCTTGTGCGCACCCGCGATGCAGACGTCCTTGCAACCTGCCACACTGTCGTCGATGTGGGGGCCGTCTACGATGACGCCCAGAAGCGTTACGACCACCACCAGCGCGAGTTCACCACCACCTTCCCCGGCCACTCCACCAAGCTGTCATCCGCTGGACTTGTCTACATGCACTTCGGCAGAGACATCATCTCCACCGTCACCGGCCTGGCCCCCGGCTCAGATCTGGACTTGCTCTACGAGAAAATCTACACCGACTTCATTGAAGCTTTTGACGCAAACGACAACGGTGTAAGCGCCGTTGCCCCCAAAGATCTCACAGCTGCCGGCCTCGCCAAGAAGTTTGAAGATCGCGGCTTCAGCATTGCCAGCGTTGTCAACCGATACAACTACTCATCCTCAAAGGGTGCCGATTTTGGCAAGAGCAAGGAAGAACTGCAGGTTGAGGAAGATGCACGCTTCGCCAAGGCCTCGACTTTTGTGGGCGAGCAATTCGTTCTCGAGCTCACCGACCGAGCCAACCACTGGCTCCCCGCCCGCAACGAAGTGAAAAAAGCCTTCGAGGCCCGTCTACAATACGATCACCAGGGCCGCATTCTTGTTTTGCAAGAGGGTATGCCTTGGGCTGACCACCTCTATAATCTGGAAAAGGAAGCTCCAGCTCAAGACGGTGTCGCTCCGCAAGTCCTCTATGTCTTGTTCCCCGAATCTACACCCGAGGGCAAGTGGCGCATCCGCGCCGTTAGCAAGGAAAATGGCGGGTTTGAGAACCGCAAGGATCTCCCCGACGCATGGAAGGGCGTACGCGATGCTCAACTGGACGAGGTGTCAGGTATCCCTGGGTGTGTGTTTGTGCATGCCGCCGGATTCATTGGTGGTAACCAAAATTTTGAAGGTGCCCTCGCCATGGCGCAGAAGGCTCTCGAGATTTAAGAGGCAAATGTTCCCGGTGAACAATCGTTTCGAAACGAACTGCGGATGATGAAAAGCAATGGAGCATAGAGGTCAGGCATCTTTGGAAAAGTACGGTTTGCTTTTAGCATGGGTTTGGCGTTTCCAGGTTCGTGTGGTCGAGATACCGCGCGGTAGTCAGAGCTGAACGAAGTTTGGCCAATGATGTAATATCCTCCAATTAGTCTGCATACATGTATGCTCTGGCTCATCTTGTGCCTTGACAATTGTACCTGTGCAATCCAATCTGCGGTGATCCTTTCAGGAAGCTCCATTTAGTTTTTCCCCATCAAAACCTTAGCAAGTAGTCAATTGGCAAAGCTTGCTGAAATGTTTCGAGCAGATAGGTTATCTGGGTATTCCCAAAGACATTTCGGTTCCCCACATTACACCACCCCGCCACTCCTCCGGATAGATGACGGCACCACCACACCTCATCGCATGTATGTGATGGGCCCTACCCGGTAGACAAATAGCAAGATGATAATTGCCCTGGAAATACTCATCATACATGTATAAGTATGTATAGGAAGTCAACGTTGTTTCACGCATGATCATGCAAACATCCTGATTCCAAGTACTTCTTTATATATACTCTCTTCCCACGATGACGACGAACAGCGGCCAAACGAACGGAGAAGATACCTCAACTCCTCCTCCCATCGTTATAGCAGGTGGTGGCTGTGTCGGTCTCTTCCTCGCCCTGCTCCTAACCCAGTCCGAAATCCCGAATCCCGTCATCGTGAGAGAACCCCCCTCCTCATCACGGTTGGCAAGATTGATTTACGCACACACATACTGATAGATAGTGAAATTATTGCCCAGGTCATCGAGCCGACTTACCCAGATGCAACCTCCACCCGCGCCATGGCGCACCAGCCCCTGGTGTTCCCACTGTACGAGCGCGCAGGACTCATGCAAGACCTCGCGCAAGCCGGCACGTTCTCCAAGGGCCTTTGCTTCCGCACGAGCCCGCAGAACGGGTCGAGAGTCATTGCTGGCAAGTTGTTCCGCGAGGGAGAGAAGGCACAGATGTTGTTACCGCAGGGGCAGCTTCAAAAGATTCTAGTGCAGAAAGTCGAGGGGTCGGGGAAAGGGGAAGTGCGATGGGGGTGGAAACTCGTCCATTTTAACGAAAAGCAAGGAAGAGTAATGGTGGATATCGAACGAGAGGATGGCGGCAGCGACGGCAAGCAAACGATAGAAGCGATCTATCTTGTTGGAGCAGACGGCGCGAAGAGTGTGGTGCGTAAGGGACTAGGGTTGACGTTTGAAGGGGAGACATTGTCCACTGCGCTTGTTGCCACGGATATTGTCTATGATTGGCACAAGCACGGTTTCTACGATGCAAATTTTGTCGTCGACATGCACGACTATGGCCTCGTTGGACGCATCGACACCGAGGGGCTGTGGAGAGTGAGCTACGGGGTGCCGTCGGAACTGAGCGAAGAAGAGATACGCAAAGGCGTAGATGCAAAGCTACGAAGAATGATGCCGGACGGGGGTGCGGGCGGGTTCGAGGTGAGGAGGATCGCACCGTACAAAGCGCAGCAGCGGTGCGTGGATCAGTTCTGGAAAGGAAGAGTAGGGGTTTGCGGGGACTCGGCGCACTGTGAGTCTCAAAATCTTTACCGTATGCCTACATACATATATGTAGATGGCTACAGTTCCCAGCATTGGACACGTCTAACGCGCGAGCAAAAGTGACCAACCCATACGCTGGTCTTGGTCTGGCTTCAGGCATCGCGGATGCGTCATCTCTTGCACCCATTCTGATACGCATTCTTACTTGGCAGGCAACTGACGCTGATAAGCTCTTGTCGTCTTGGTCGTCGGCTCGGCGCCAGAAATTTTTAACAGCCGTTGATAAGCCATCGCGTGCGGCATATGCACGGGTCGTGAATAAGGTCGATACGGAAGAAGATATCAGCAGGCTGCTCGAGAAGGATGGACTGATGGGCTCTTTGAAGAGGGGAATGCCAGTGATGCCGCCCAGTCTGGAGACCCAGGTGGACGAGTTGGAAGGGTGGTGAAGATGAAGTGAAAGACGGTGGTTTTTCTATATAGCCACACTGTTTGTATCTACTATTTTGATCGTTTTGGGAAAGAAGAAAAATAAGATGATGATAGACAAAAGATGGCTTTAAGTGACTAAGTTCATCCATTTGAGCATTGGGGCGTCGTAAATACTGGAGTAGTTACCAAGTACTCAAGTATGTACGTTAATCAATTGATGATGTACCTGGACCTGGATGTTTGCACTAAGCCGAATTGGTGGAGAAGCTTGGACTTTCCCTCCAAATAATTATCATGTCGGCGACAGAGCTCTGCCATCACCAACCATCACAGCCGCCCGGGAAAGAGGGAGACTTCGATTGAGTATTATGGTGGCGCCTTCGCGGGGCCTCCTTTCTGTCTTTCGCAATTCCACCCCCTATCAGAATGGAGCTTCCTTCGCACGACGCGCCCTATCATGCTCATCGTTTTCCGAGATGCTGGCGGATCCAGCACATAAGGTACAGAGCTACCTTTCGCAAAGCAGGGATCCGTACTTGAACCTGTCCATCGAGGACTACATACTACGCACCTCACCTGCCGATTCGACCGTTCTTATGCTCTATGTCAACCGACCCTGCGTAGTTATTGGTAGAAACCAGAATCCCTGGTCCGAGGTCAATCTCGCCATTCTACGTTCCAAGCAACAACAGCAACACACATTGGGCGACGTACATCTTGTGCGGAGACGATCTGGCGGCGGCACTGTCTTTCATGACGAGGGAAACCTGAACTGGAGCATCACATGTCCACGCAGCCAGTTCACGCGTGATGCTCATGCTGAAATGGTTGTGCGAGCTCTTCGGAAGCTGGGTGTTGATCGTGCCAGAGTCAACGAGCGGCATGATATTGTACTCGATCAGGGGCCCAGGCGGGCAGGTGTGCATTCCGATGGGGATACACATCAAACTCCGTATACAGTGGCGGACCAAGAGGGACCCAGGCCGCTCAAAGTGTCGGGCTCCGCATACAAGCTCACATCGGCAAGAGCTCTCCACCATGCGACCACTCTTCTTGCCTCGCCGAATCTGCCTCTTATATCGCACTATCTGCGGTCGCCTGCCAAGAGTGCCATACAAGCCAAGGGTGTGGAGAGTGTAAGCTCCCCTGTGAGCAATATCGGTTTAGACGTAGAGCTGTTTCAAACTCGCCTGCAGGAAGAGTTTGCTGCTGTGCACGCATCTGCTGGACAGTGTCCCAGCGTGCAGATGGTCGGCGAAGAACATCTGAATATCCCAGCTATTAGGAAGGGGTACGAAGAACTCCGGGTATGTCTATCCAGGTATATTTATAAACCGTAGCGTCTACTAACACGCGCAGACGGAAGATTGGATGTGGTCACAGACGCCACAGTTCACCCTTTCTCTACAGCCCTATCTCGATTTAGAGATCAGTGTACGCCACGGTGCCATTGAAAAGCTTGATGGCGATTCTTCCATGATGGAAGAATGGCGAAGTATTCTTGTGGGACAGAAGCTCCAACATGTCCGTGACTGGAATGCGTTTTTGCGGAGTCGCATGCGCACTTGGACCAACGAATGTGCCGTGCTAGCAAATCATCTGGCTGTGAATTTGCCGGTACCGGAGCTCTCCATTGAGAATTGATTGTGATACGAGCACACTCGCGGTCGTCTACCGGTCGGACATGCCTATCCTGGCTTCGTCCCGAGACACCAACACTCGACAAAGATGCATATCGATTGTGCAAAGCTTGTGTGTTGGTAGCCGGATTTAAGATGTAGGTTTCGCGTGGAGCCAGCGTCTACGGTAAGGCATGACCTGAAATGGCTGCCTATTCGTAGTTGTTTTTACGAATTGAACGCGTGTAGTCGTGACGATGGACGATTGAAATCTGTACAAACTTGAAGTTTCGTCATTATGCAGTGTGTGAGGAGGCGGCCAGCACAACGCGCCATACCCTTGGTATACCGATGTGCTGGTACATACATACCATCTACTGCAAAACACCTCTGTACATACCGACATGTACATATGAACCTGTTTATAGCTGATGTCACGTGAGGACAGGCGAATTCCAGGTGTCAACCTGGCTTGGCGAACTCCCGCTTTCGTTTCAGCCTTCTTCGTCCTGCTCGCCCTGCTCAGCCGCTCACCAAACTGTGCCTCGCCCCTTCATCGCCATCCGCCTGGCCCCACAGAGCGGAAAACACATCCAATGGTAGTGAGTGGCTGCCTTGGGACGTTTGCTGGCATGGTCACCGCATCCCAATGATGCCCAGCCGGCAGCTAACTGGCTCCATATCTCGCCCTCGAAACAAAACGGGAGCGACAAACACAACCGCGTCCGTGCAATCAAAGTTTCAGGTGAACTTGCGGGCTTATCCATGCCTGACAGACTGACAAGGCGCTGACCCCAAGCCCAATGGTAAAAACCGACAAGTATGTTCACAATAATCTCTAGGACGCTGCTCTATTCTCGCTTCCTCGCGGAGGCAGTAAGACCCCGATTACAACATTCTCTCTTTGGGTCTTGGACATCTCCATCTGTTCATCTCTTCTTTTGCTTGCTATGCGCGCTTGACCCGGCGACATGGATCGTCACTTTTCTGGCACCCACCAGAGTACTCATCTGGGGGAAGGCGTGGAGCACGAGATGGAGTTTGAGTTGGCCTATTATGACACTCAACACCATATTCCTCAAGATTCACAGCCGTATGTTCCCCAGAGTGCTTACGGTGAGCTTCACTGCAAGCACAATATGCCGGACCAGATTGGAATTGTGAATTCGGGGCTCCCGCTGCACGCTTCTGACTTCACTCCCACATCCAATGTCGACTATTACCCCACCCGCACCCATCAACGCAATGCTTCCAGCTCTACCCAATCGTCACACACTTCTAGCTATCGATCCTCAAACGGAAGCTCATACTCGCAATGGCAACCTAGATATTCGACCGCATCCACCAACAGTACCTGGTCTCAGATTTCTGCTTTTGCAGAGGACCAGCACGTTACTCAAACAGGATGCGCGCAAGATGCGCCTCTGACCGTCTCTTCATCCACTTCGCTCGCGGCGTTGGGAGGATCCACCGTGGAACCACCGGCTAAAGGGACTCCGACCCCACGTCAGCAGGCACCACAGAACGTTGGACCATCAGCCAGCAATCCACCAAAAAGAGAGCCTTTCCAGACATGTGTATCGCGGAAAAAAAGATCCCGATCAGCCCAGCAGCTGGCCCGATACTGGTGCACTTCCTGCGGAGAAGGATTCAAAGAAAAATATGATTGGAAGAGACACGAGGAAACGTATCAGGAGAGAACTGAGATGTTCGCTTGCGAGCTTTGCAATAACGTGTATTTCCTCGACAAGGACTTTGTACATCACCATCAAAAAAGCCATCGATGCCGGGTGTGTGCCGAGAAGCAGCATGTCGAGTTGGCGCGAAAACCGCGCATGACACGAACGGGCTGGGGATGTGGGTTTTGCAGCCATTTCAGCTCCAACTGGGCGGAGCGATGCAACCACATCAGCAAACACTTTGAAAAGGAGGAAAGAACTATGGATGACTGGCACCACTCCCAAGTCATATTTTCGCTCTTGCACCGGCCCGAGATTGCGCGATATTGGAGCCGTCTGTTGGAAATCAAAAAGAGCAAAAGTTCGCCATTCCGGTGGCATAGGCATAATACCGGCCGTGTAGAAGGCTTCCCTGAGGCAAACACTAAACCCCAACTGCAGGATCTCCTTGAATACTACAACTCGGAATATGGCAGCTCCATGACCATCGTACAGTTGGCGTTTGAGACCGGCTCGAGAGAAAAAGAACTTCCCAGTCTTCCACTCAAGGAGAAAGACGCAGACTCTACGACTGGGCCGTCATCGCAAGGAAATCTCCATACATTTGCCCAAAACGATGGCATGAGCGAGGTTGCCCAGTGGCCCTTCCTCGATCCCATACCCGAGGACCCATTCCAACCAACGGATGTCTGCACTCTGGACTGCGACGCACTACATGACGCATTCAACGACGGGCATGATTTTCACTCCTTCCAGTAATATTGCTTTTTTCTTCTTCTTCCCCAATTTCTTCTCCATTGACTTTCACGGACTAGTTTTGTTTCATTCTATTCTTATTTTATTTTTTCACTCTGTACGCTCTGCACGGAAAAAGAGCGCCTGTGGCGCCAAATGATAATGCTGGGTAGAGAGAAGGAGTTGAATGGGGTTGCCACATGACACCCACAAACAGTGACCCCAAAGGACATGTCGAGAAACACAAAACAAAACAAAAGCCTCTGGATCGGTTCCCGGTCCACAACGCTGTGTACTACCATATAGAGAGATATATATAAATATATATATATATACATGTATATGTAGACCATGATGCTAAGCCAGGCGCCCTCAACACCCTAACAGAGAAGACATGAACATGTCATGAATCGCTCGCAAGCATTAAGGCCATGTTTTGCAAGCCGTTTCTTCCTCTTCTCCTCTGGATGGAGCGATGGAACTTGGCACCAGTGGGTGAATACTTGTGAGCTCACCTGAAACGATGAGGTGCAGACGTCTCTATGCCTGGCATGGATGGAGATCGATGACAGAAAGCAGGCTAGTCGGATTCGGTATTAGCCTGAAACAGGAACGCGCTACCTGGCGTCGGCTTGGCCGGCCTTTGGTTTTCCACTCGACACCACCACCATCAATCGCCGACAGAGATTGCTCCTGCAACGTCGCTGGGCTCGCATGATTTTGCGTGCCTGGCTTGGTTTCCAGAAAACGAGGGAAGCTGCCGATGGACAACACGGAGCATCGTCGACAACCTGTAGCCCCGAGCATATTCGCGCATGAAGTCTCCGGACGACATGCGTGGGTTCAGCCAGCCGGATCCTTCTCCTCGACAGTCGGATCAACCAGTGGGATGGCGGTTGAACAAAGGCAATGCTCTAGAAGAAGCGGGCTCGGACCGCGCGAGTCTCTCTGGCATCTTTCACCCATGGGGATTCCCTGCCGCTTCATCCTCTTTCTCGCAAGGGAAGGATGGGAGGGCGGCGCAATGGGATTGGTGCTCGTTTTCAGCTCGTACACATGTAGGGAGGACGTTTGACACATTCGCTATGCATACGGTATACGCGTCCATCATCTACTCTGCTCCCTTGTGGCGTCTATCTTGTCCGTCTCTGGCTCGTTGCCTGCCGCAGAATATATCTAAGCTCGGGTGATTTGCCGGGCGGCTCAACTGCGTATACTTGCTGCCGACAGGACAGTTGGTTAGCGGTGAATATTTGGCCAAGCAAGTACTTGACTAACTACCTGCTCAACTGCCACTCAAGCAGATGGATATGTACAAATAGGGCTACCCGAGAAAGGATGCGCGGACCGGAACACCGCCTGGGTGCTGGTGGTTACTCGTTACATACATAGTTGACTATGTACAGTAAGTCGACTGAGTTCACAGTACGTGCCGCCGCCCCACTCGCTTAGCCCCACCCACGCGGCGGAGGCCGACTCGGTACTGTCTGTCCATCATCAAAGGATGCTTGCATGGATGCTGGCATTGTTGCGGCATGCTTGCATGGATGGGTGGTGCATTTGGCCGTTTGGAGGACATTGATTATTTCGCAACTTGCCGCTGCACCCTTTCATCACCATCTCCAACCCCTCCAACCCCTCCCCCTCCTTCTCCTTCTGCCTCACAGTCGAGAAACGAGAAAGCGCCCTTTTAAAGGTTGCTTGCCGTTCTTCTCCATCTGCTCATTCATACAGCCATCCATACGTACATATATACATATATAAAGCCATCCGGCACATCGTCTTTGCACCCACCCGTCGCAATGCTACGACCCACGAGTGATGGTCAGCGGTATGAGCTCACCAGCCCTACCGCCTTGCCAAAGGCTGGTGGCTTCTTATGGAACCAGAGAATGATGATCCAAATCACTTGTCGTGGTTATGCAACATCACAGTTCATGCAGCCTGAGCCTGCAAAGTATGCCCACGCACCCAACCTCGAGGCCAAAACCTTTATGCAGCCCGAGCAAAACTACTATGCACATCACCCAGGCAGATTCGTATACGTCAAAGACGAAGAAACGAACCAACTCTTCTCGGCACCTTATGAGCCCGTCCGAGCCAAACTAGACAGCTATGTCTTTTCTGTCGGCAAGAGCGATATATCGTGGACGGTCGAGAAGGACGACATTCGCGTCGAAATGAGCGTGCTCCTCCCCACCCAAGATGTAGCCGAACTGTGGTCCATCAAGGTGACCAATCTTTCCAATCGCCCGCGTAAGCTCAGCATTTACCCTTATTTCCCGATTGGCTACAAATCTTGGATGAACCAAGAAGCTGAGTGGAACGAAAATGTTGGCGGTATCGTTTCAAGCGGCAAGACGCCGTACCAAAAGGCGGAAGACTATCCCAAAACAAAATACTTGAAGGACAAGACGTACTTTCTGTGCGAAGAAAAACCAGTCTCTTGGGAGGCGAAGCAAGAAGCGTTCGAAGGCGAAGGCGGTTTACATGCTCCATCATCGCTACAAGAACAACAGCTGAGCAACAGCGAAGCGCGATATGAGACGCCCACATCCATAGTACAATATCGCATTACCTTGGAGGCCAACGAAGAAAAGGACTTTCGTTTCTTGTTTGGCCCAGCTTATGACGACAAGGAGATACTGAGCATGAAGAGCAAGTATCTCAGCAAAGAGGCATTCGCTACCTCGGCGAAGGCCTACCAAGATTACATCGAACAAGGGAGCGGATCGCTGTCGATTCAAACGCCCGACAAAGAACTTGACAATCTTGTCAATAATTGGTTGGCCCGTCAAGTATACTACCACGGCGACGTAAACCGCTTGACTACTGACCCACAGACACGAAACTATCTCCAGGATAACATGGGCATGAGCTACATCAAGACCGACGTGGCCCGAAGCGCCATCATCACCGCTGTCTCGCAGCAGGAACCAAATGGTTCTATGCCTGACGGGATCCTGTTGGCTGAAGGCGCTGAACTGAAGTACATCAATCAGATCCCGCATACAGATCACTGCGTTTGGCTTCCGATAGCCCTAGATATATACCTCAACGAGACAGCCGACTATGCGCTGCTGGATCAGAAAGTCACTAGTATGCATGGCGATTCGTACACGGTATTTGAACGATTCAGTCGTGCAATGCAGTGGCTTCTCGATGCCCGCGATCATCGGGGTCTGAGTTACATAGCCCAAGGTGATTGGTGTGATCCAATGAATATGGTCGGTCCAAAAGGTGTTGGCGTCTCGGGATGGCTCACTGTTGCAACCGCATATGCGGTCAATCTGTGGGCCAACATCTGCGAATCGGCTGGTAAAACGGACCTTGCTGACACATTTCGCAAATCTGCCGAAGAAGTGAATGCTTGCGCGAACAAGCACCTCTGGGACGGCGACTGGTATGCCCGTGGCATCACTGACGACAATGTCACCTTTGGGATCAAAAAAGACGTCGAAGGACGTATGTGGCTCAACCCCCAAGCGTGGTCGATCCTGGGCGGCGCCGCATCCTCGGAAAAGATTGAAAAGATTCTTCCTCAAGTCGATGAGCAGCTTAGCGAGCCTTACGGTGTAGTCATGTTTGCTCCGCCCTTCACTGCGATGCGCGAGGATGTAGGGCGTGTTACGCAAAAGTTCCCTGGCCAAGGCGAAAACGGAAGCGTGTATAACCATGCCGGCGCATTCTACGTCTGGGCTCTATATACCATATCAGAATCGGATCGCGCATACAAAATCCTTCGTCAAATGATCCCCGGCCCTTCGGAAGAAGACTACGTACAGCGAGGGCAGCTTCCCGTCTACATTCCAAACTACTACCGCGGTGGGTACAAATTGCACCCAAAGACGGCAGGTCGAAGCTCTCAGCTGTTCAATACTGGCACCGTGAGCTGGGTCTATAGGAGTGTAGTCGAAGGCCTCTGCGGATTGACTGGTGTGAAAGAAGGCTTGTCCATCAAACCGCAGCTCCCCAGCGATTGGCCGGGTATGAAAGCTACACGTCTGTTCAGGGGTGCTCGCTTCGATGTTGAGATCAAGAGGGCTGATGTGCAGGGAGTCAAAGTCACTGCGGATGGGCAGGCATTGGCTGACCCGGTGATTACGAACATTGAGACTGGCAAAACATATAATGTGGTGGTCGAGATACCGAGGACTTGATCAGCCACCAGACACTCACTCGCCTTGTTTCGTCTGTAGATACTATAGGTCCTTTAAAAAATAAACCCCTCCTCCATTCAACTAGGTATACAAGTACACAAGTATGTACGTGACTCGTATATGTCTATACATTCATACGTGCTTACGTACAGTGCAATTCTGTTGATGGCGCTTGCGATTGATTGGCCATTCGAGCAGGCACGGTGGTGGGTGGGGCTGGATCGGACCTCGCGGAGACTATCTACCACTAGTTTGCGCTGATGACGACCTCTTCTACCCCTTCCAATTACTCGCATCAATTGCTTCTTCATCGTCATCGCCCTCCATTGAGTGTTGTATCCGTGTCGTCGAAAAACCCTTTGGGCTCGCTGTGGTCCTTCTACGCTGATAGATAGCGTTTCCATCATTGTTATTGTCTACATCCCTTGCCAAATTGAGCATCACAACCGTATGGCAGAAATTGTTCATCATAAGCCACAAGGCTTGTTTGCAAAGCTTGGCTTCAAGCCAAAGAAAGAAAAGGACCCAGGATCCCGGAAACTGATGAAGAAGAAAGACAATCGATATGCAGCTGCACCCCCCGTGGAACCCGTGGAGCCGCTCTACCGCTCTTCATCGTTTGATTTTTGGGCACCTCCAGGAACCACTTTCGCAGAATCACACAGCCAGCCCAACTTCATTGAAGACTCGACTCCGCGAAATGACTCTGTAGCCACCGTCAGGCATGCACCGCGCAAACTTCTGAAGCATCCACCCCCAGATCGCGAGCAACGCATGGATGACGTGCTTGACAAAGACACGGGCGAGAGAAAAGACTTGACCGAGATGATGCATGCATTTGGGTATGACGAAGAGATCGAAGACATTTCCGAAAAAATTGAAGATGATACGGTGGAATACGACTACTCAAGACCAGATGGCGCAACACTTCTGGCCCGCGCATCTCCAGAACTATGGCTTCTCATTAGCGACCATCTCTCCCCAATTGACATTGCAAATCTTGCTTCCACATGTCGAACAATGAACATTCGCCTCGGTGATCTACCTTACTTTGTTTTGCGCAATCCATCGAATCGAAGCTATCGACTCGACTTCCTCTTGCCGCTAGACAGTAAATTGCCGAACCATTTATTCTGCTTTCCATGTGCATCGTGGCATTACCGTACACAACTAGGAGCTGAAACTCTCAAACCACCCACTGTATTGAACCCGCTGTTCATTTGCCCGAACCAGACCAATGTTCTCCTTCCACCACCCCGTCTTCGCATTAGCGAGGGCCGTCAGCTTCCCTTTACATTTGTGCAATTAGCCAGGCGTCACTGGGCCTACGGTCCATCCTATGGCATTCCCGTTCAGTCCCTCGCAAGGCGTTGGAAAGACCCTTCTTCGCCTTGGTCGCACAAGACAATGTATCATGTCGCCAGCAATGGGCATGTTCTTATGCGGGTGCAATCGCAAGCCTTTGTTGCCGGTGGCATGACGCCGGCGGGGAAACGCATGCTCCTTTTCAGTCGAAGCGATTACACGCCCTACTTCAGCGTCTGCGCCCACTGGCAGAAAGGCCTGCTGTCCAGTCTTTGTAAATGCGCCCTTGATCACATTCCTGTGCAAGAAACAAACGCCGTCACACGATTCCGCACTCAAAAGGCGGTGGGCCCCGTCTCCCTCTGCGGCAAGTGCCAACCCATGCGCCGCTGCCCGTCTTGTCCTACAGAGTACCTTTTGGAACTTAAGCTCGTCGAAGATAAAACAGTCAAGGTCGTCGGGCCTGCGCGTTTCAAGCAGGCTCTCATGATGACGCGGTGGAGCGATTTGGGACCTGCACGGAGCCCCGAAGATGCCGAATGGAGCGCCATCGTAGGCGAGCGAACGGGTTACGATAGCTTTGCTGAGATTGGCAAGAGGGCTGTTTGCGGTGTCTTTGAAGCAGCGTTTTCGGATACTACGCCTGGTCAACGCATTTTGAGCTTGGATCCTGGCGCAAAGAAGGGGCGGAGGGTCGAGGACCCATCCAGAGAGGATGAAAATGACGATGATGGTAGTTGGTATTGATGAAAAAGGCGTGGAATTGTGTTGGTGGAAGAACCGACTGATGGATTATTTGTTTCATTCTGGTATTATTTGCCACGGTTGACTTAGGACGTGTCGACGCGATGAATAAGTGTGTACATGTATATACGTCGATCGTCATATAGTTTCCGAGCTGTATCCGCCATTCTCTTTTAACTATATTTCGTTGCTGCTGCTGCGGCTACTGGCATTTTTTTCTGCTGTACAATTCTTCTGGGACAATAGAGAACGAAGACGTAAAGATTCAAGGTGAGAACACGAGGGGGCCATCCAATCACCATGGTATGCAATAACTATCACCTATTCATTGAAGAGAATTGCTTTCCGAGTCCAACCGCTTTACTTGGTATTCAGTTGGGTAAGTGCTTTCACGGAACTGATGAATTGTCTATAAATTCTACAAGTTTGCCAAACTCTTAATTTTTTTCCTTCAGAGCGTGTGAAATCCCCGTACGAAAAAAAACTTTGGCCATTCGAATCGGCGAAGAAACCCCCTTTTACCTCCCAGCAACGACATTCAACACTCCACCATCCACAGCCAAAATCTCTCCATTGACGTACTTGTTCTTGGCCAGAAACAGGACCGCCTGTGCCATTTCCTCATCCAGCCCCGCCCTGCCCATGGGCACGTGGCCCTTTTCCTGGATCTTCTCTTCGGGAAGGTGGCTCTTTTGCCTGTCGTCGCTCTCCTTTGCCGTCATCTCGGACGGGAAGTAGCCCGGCGCGATGCTATTCACGCGGACCTTTATCTTCTGGAACTCAGCGCTCATCAGCTTAGTGAGGTGGACGGTCCCGCCCTTTGCCGCGTTGTAACTGAAATGGCCTTGCGCGTGTCTCATAATGCCCGACATGGACGAGATGACGATGACGGATGCAGCCAGGTGGCCGAGGGACTCGGTGCCGGCCTGTAGCAGCGGCAGGAGCGCCACGACGGTAAAGTACACAGACGTCACGTCGGTGTTGTACGTCTGGTTCCAGCCTTCGAACGTTTCGTTGTTCCAGAGCTTCTCTTTGAGCGTGGTTGCGTTGTCCGAGTCGGGCTCTGCTTTCTCGCCTGAGATGCCTGCTGCCGCTATGAGGAGGTTGAGGTAGGTTTCCCGCTGCGAGAGCTCCTTGTATAATTTCTCCAGGTCATCTTTTTTGGTGACATCGCAGGGGCCCAGGCTTTTTTCATGGGGGTTAGTATGGAGGAAATTGGAAAAAGTATAAAGTCGAGGACTGAGGACTACATGGTGGGTGCGTGTGCTTACGGGATGATTTGACCGCCTTCAGTGGGGTTGTGTGATTTTGCGGCTTTTTCCAGAGCTTCTTGGCCTATCCAACGCGTCAGTCCTTCCTTGTTAATTTTGTTAGATGTTGTTGTTTACTTACGTCGTCCCGTGATGTACACTTTCGCGCCTTGGAATTGCAACCGTCAGCATATGGGCGTGTTCAATTAGTTTAGGATCCGGTGCGGTACCATTTGCAGCCAAAGCTTGCGCGGCCATCAATCCAATCCCAGAGCCTCCTCCAGTAATTAGGCATACGTAGTCCTTCACGGAGAATAGCTCCTCGACGCGGAGATTGTGTGTGTCCGCCATCGTGAGAAGGGTACTGACAGTGAGATGACTCGGATGTTGGAATTGCGGGGTTAGTGCTTGACAAAAAACGTGAGATGCAAGGTTGAACGGTGATTATTGCAGTGTTTCCTTTTTGGAGGGAATGAGACAGCGATCAAGGATTGAAAGAATTCAAGCCAGTGCACTTTGTATTTATTCGCATGACGTACTGTTGTCGACATGAAGCGAGACCCAACAAGGCTTAGCGGGCCGTTGCATCACGATGTAGTAGTCCATTCGATAGAACGTTCAAATAATGGCTGTTAAGAATGAGAATACGTCTATGAATTGGGTAGGACGAATAGCATGGTCAAGTAACTGTTTGGGTAGTAGATTCATACATACATACTCTAAATTGAAATCTGGAGCAATCGGGCATTGGCTGGGAAGACGATGATGAAGACGAAGACGAAGACGAAGAACGCGACATGTTTTGACAACCAAGTCCCTTGACCGGGCAAAAGTCATTGATTGAAGACAGGTGGATTGCCGAAAAGCAATATGCTAGGTGGTTGTCAGCCATGTCAGAGTTGAACTCTGGAGAGTCACGCCGAGCCGGCCAACACCATAGTTGATGATTACCCAATTTCCTCTGAAACTCGACGCCGAAGAGTAGTAGCCTATTATATCTGATCTTTATATGGCATGGGGAGATGAATGCTCAAATTGGCGTTGCCTATACTTATCCTCCACAACGGGTACACGTGCAGGTATCGATGGAGAGACGGGTTTAGGTCGAGCGTAGTTTGCACCATGTTTGAGTCCTTGATTGCGTGGATGATTCGTATGTTATCTTTTTGTATATACCTAGGTATGCACATACATATTTAGAAATCATCTGACTGATGTACCTCCAAGCTTGGAGTGAACCTCGACTTGATCTGCAGATAGAGGCACGGGCCAGGCGTCGGTTCAAATTCCAACCGCTTCCGGTCGAGACCAACATTCAACTCGCACACCTCCAGGACTTTGACGTTCTACAGTGTATATCGCTGTACACAGATTCCAGACCACCGTCTGATAATCTTCAAGTTACGGATGAGGAAAACATCAGCGCGCTGGTTTTGCAATCACAACAGTCATCATAAGGGACCGTTCCAAGGGACCTGCACACACAATCGGTGCACTGTACTCGCCGCACAGCCAAAGCAGGCTGTTTGAGCCAGATTGATTGCCTCAGATTGGTTGTACATCGACAGGTCTCACTAAAATACCCTCTCTCGGCGTACACTAACGACAAAGAGGGCATCAGCAGCGTAAATACATCTAGACACGTACGGAACGTGAGGGACGTAAGGATCGCCACCCCACTCGAGACACGCGACCTGGTCAACCATCCGCGACTGATGGAGAATGGCATGGATGGCAAAGACTCCGCTCGGTATCCAACAAGTGCGCAAGGCGAGGAAAGACCACGCGTTTGGCAATTCGAGGTGGCCATGTCGATGGGCCATGTCGATGATTCTGTGATTCGTACGAATCACCGCCACATCTGATTGGCTTACATCAGATATTTCTCCAACACAGCCCTGCGGATGTCATGCATGCATGTAAACGTCCGGGCCTGAAAATCGAGTTGGGTTTGAAACATGCAAGCCGCTGCGGACCGAACCTCGACGGGCAACACTTGTACATGGCCGCCGCAATCCACTGCACGCACTCTATGTAGTGGTGCGCCAACCGAGTGCACTTGCTATCAGCCTTACCCACCTACGCCTCTGCGCGCCCGGCATCCTCGTTGGCAGGCACTTGCAGCTTCAATTCACGCTCGGATATGAGAGGGACTCGGCTTGAAATCGCTGCTTCATGCATTCGTCAATGTTCGTCGCGCTTTGAGTTGACGTCCTATTCTTGGAGAGTGTGCCTTCATGTGGAGGGAGTCGCTTCCGCTTTCGAAATCCACTCGCAACATCATCACGCCAAGCATTCTCATTGATCCTTCTCGGGAACCGACCAGCAACAGCAGTTGTATTCCAGAGGGCTCCTGGTGGTCCGGACCATTGCCACCCGCAATGGATAGTGCGCGTATGACTTTGAAAGCTTCAGCAGCGCTTTGAAAGCAAGTGGGACCTGATTTGGGGGGGGGGGGGGGGACACTCCACGCTATCAATCGCACACTGTCCCCCACGGTGCCCCTGTATGGCCGGACCTGTACGGTCATTCTCATGGGTGGTTGTACGCCAGGTCTCGTCGTGTCTACACTGTAAGGTACGCCTAACAGGTTGCGTGTCTAGATTCGACGGGCACAGACGTAGGGTGACAGATCTACATACAACTGCGGCGCCCATAGTACGGAGTGTACCACCTGCACACGCCACCCAAGCTGACCACAATATGCCATCTGCCTACATACTGATGTGCACGCCCGTCGAACCCGCTGTTCTCCACATTTGCTACTCCTCCTTCAACTTGTGCGCGGGGATGATTCGAAGAGGTTGAGATCACGCTGTGCTTCCAAAGTCTCAGCAACGATTGTTTTCAGCGTTATGACCTTGACTTTTCTTCATACGTCAAAGGATGCCGCGAGGAATGCCAGCCAGCCTCTGATCGATGTATGCGTCTCTCTCGCTGTACTTGAAACGTTATTCGTGGTTGCGTTTATGCTCTCATGGCATATCAACAGAGGGAGCAACAGCCATAACACCAAGGGTGTCTACGCCTTGATGTTGGTTGGATATGTCTTCTGCTTTGGTGGTGCCGTCATAGGGATCCGTACGTGTAGTAGTTCCAAAACGCTAAGAGCAGACGCTGACTATCTACCAGTGAAAGTGGTCCTCGGGGGTGCTGGGCAGCATGCGAAAGAGCTATCACCTGCGACTGTTCGAACGATGCTCCAACTCATCAAAACACACGAACTAATTTATGTAATCTCAATCCCGTTCCCGAAACTGGCCGTCATCAGCCTCTACTTGCGGCTTTTTCAGGAAAAGTTTTGCAGGACAGCACTGCAAGGCACAGCTGTCGTCATCTCGGCGACGGCGCTCTTTGGGTTCGTGTCTGTGTTTGCCAACTGCAGACCGTTCCATGCGTTTTGGGACAAAAGCATTCCGGAACAATGCAGCTTTGATCCCATGACCACGATGAAATTTTACAGCATCCCGAACATAGTGACGGATGTTGTCATGCTCCTGGTGCCTATACCTGCATTGTATAGGCTAAACATCAGCATGTTAGCAAAAGTCGGCGCAGCTTGTACGTTTCTAATCAGTACAGTGTAAGTTTTTGATGCGATTGAGTGTGGGTCATTGACGCGAGGACTAATCTGATTTTATACAGTGGCATCATAACCGCCGTACTGCGCTTCCTGGTATTTTTGAATGTGGACGTTTTCGAGGACGTGACGTACAATTCCATCTCGACGACGAGCTGGAGCATCATCGAGCCGGGCGTGTATCTGATGGCGGCGACAGTACCGACTCTCCGACCGCTGGTACGGCGTTTCTTCAGCAGCATATCCTCGGATGGATTATCCCGACACGCGACATGGCCATTACCGTCGCACACGATATCGACGAACAAGGGACGACCAAACACGGCGCATGTAGCGACAGCTTCGATGCCGGAGCGCCCGAAACTCTCCAAAAAGTCATCGTCTAGAAACGTGATTGAAACCATAGGGCGGGCGTCGAGCAGGCCACTGCAGCTAGATGAATACCATTATCTCCGGTATGGGTCTGGTGTATTCAGTGTGCGGTCCGAGGATGAGGAAAGCATGGTGTGTGCGGATGCCATTGTGTACGAGCACATGGGACGACAGGGCAGGAATCCGGACGGGACGCTGACGGCGTGGTCTTTGCAGCCAATTCACCTCACAAGTCCTTTGAGGACATCATTTTTCTTTGGATCGGATACGGCTACGAGTGGAAGGCTAACGCCCTGACATGCGGCACGTGGCGCGTGTGTGTATGTGTGTCTGTACGTGAGTGTGTATATATATGTGTGTGTGTGTCTGTGTTTGCGTGTGTGTATATACATAATGTTATTTGTATAATGGGATCGTGTTTATGAATTGGCCGAGCCAGGAAGTCGAAAACTAACTAAGATTGTTGAGCAAGGTTGTTGTTGCGGGGACGAGTCGGCGGGCTGGTGTTCGGTGATGCACGTGGCAGGCACTACTACAAGGGGAAATGAAGACTGACGACATAGATGGCCGTGTACCTGCATGGTTCAGTACAGTATTTGGGGGTTGCATGGTCAAGGAACTCGGGGTAGCTTTAAAGTTGAAGCCGTGGTAGGCAAGGACATGGATTGGCACGGATTGTCGTTCTGGTTGATGATGCGAAGTAGAAGCTTGAACCTGGACGAGAGGAGAAGGGGGATGATTCAGTATCAGAAGCAGGCAGAAGCAGAAGCAGAAAAATAATGATAATAGGAAGAAGAATCACAACAACGGATCGAATAGAATAGATGGATGATTGTCTACATACGATTGCACACTTGGATGCCCAGGCGGCAAATGCTGCCCATGCATGTATTTCTGTTCTCCCCCCTTGCCGGAGCATTACCCCACATGCACCCGCTGGTTGCCCATGGACGTGGCGGTGAGCAGAAACACGCAAAGATTCAATGTACAATTCCATGTATGTGTGCATGTGGCCGAGCAATTCCTAGGTACCTAGGTAGTAGGGACACAGTTGACGTATGTAGCTAAGCAACCCAGGTACACAGATAGGTACTAGGCAGGAGGGACTAGGCAAGTAGCATGTTTTGTGTACACGCCCACATGCCCGCCTACCCAAGTCAATCCGCCCAACCCTGCCCGCCTGCATAATCAATCATAGCTGTGTCCAACCAACTATGTATTGTTTGCTCTCGTCTGGAACGAGATTCCCCAATCCTCCCACATACCTACCTACCTACTTGCCCAACGACTGCTTTAATTTACACCACTACATACTTGCCTACCTACATCATACAACAGCAATAACGCCGGCCCATCCATCCCATTGCGTTTCACCTCACCCCACCCACCGCTCCGCTTCGCACTCCTCCACTCATCACTATACAAATCCCACGATACGACAACGACACCCTACCTACCTTTCCACGCACTCGGGCTCCATCCATGCAGACACCGCGCCTCCGTCGCCGATCCACGACGCACGCTTCCATCTCTACCACCACCGCCATCATCGCCATCGCCGCCGCCGCCGCCGCCGACCCTCCTGCCGCACCGTTGGGCACAACACCGGACGGCACAAGTGTCGGCGTCGACATTGGTTGCACACCCGCCTCACAATAATAGAAGATGGTTTCGCACCCGTCCAAGCAGTCTGTACACCCACAATCGCATCTGTACGCAAAGAAGACGTCGTCGTCGTCCTCCTCGTCCTCCTCCGCTTCGGCCTCGGCGCCGTCCAATGCCCGCGCCCCCAGCCGTGATGGGAGGCCCAGTCGCGAGGGCTCCGCCCAACGCGCTGCTCAAAACATTGCCGGCCTGCAGGACTACCAGCTGGGCGACTGTCTAGGCAAAGGTGCCTTTGGGAGCGTCTACCGCGCTCTGAACTGGGGCACCGGCGAAACGGTGGCTGTCAAGCAGGTGCGCCTGGAGAATCTGGGTGTCGCCGACCTCAAGACCATCATGCTGGAAATCGACCTCCTCAAAAACCTGAGTCACGAGAACATTGTGCGCTACAATGGCTTCGTCAAAAGTCCCGAGAGCTTGTACATCATCCTCGAGTATTGCGAAAACGGCTCTCTGCACTCCATCTGCAAGAACTTTGGCAAGTTCCCCGAGAACCTGGTCGCCTTATACATGTCTCAAGTACTCAATGGCCTGCTGTACTTGCACGAACAAGGTGTCATTCACCGCGATATCAAGGGTGCCAACATTTTGACCACAAAGGAGGGTTTGGTCAAGTTGGCCGATTTCGGTGTAGCCACCAGGCAGTCTGGCCTGGATCAGTCGAGCGTCGTCGGTACACCCTACTGGATGGCTCCGGAGGTCATTGAACTATCTGGCGCGACAACCGCTTCCGATATCTGGAGCGTGGGTTGCACCGTTATTGAGCTCATCGAGGGCAGACCGCCATATCACAAGCTCCAGCCCATGCAAGCACTGTTCCGCATCGTCAACGACGATCACCCGCCCATCCCTGGCAGTGCTTCCAAATATCTCGACGATTTCCTGATGGAGTGTTTTCAGAAGAATCCAAACTTGCGCATTGACGCGAGGCGCCTGCTTAAGCATCCGTGGATTCTGAGCGCTAAACGCCAAGTCTTTACCGTTCCGACCAACAAGGAAGCCATAAAATCAGTGCAGCACTGGAACGAGGTCCTCAAGTCCCCGCAGTCCCTCAAGCGGGGCTCCCGTCTGGCTTCAGGATCGTATGCCGAAAGCCCAAAGTCTGCTTCGCCTGCTGGTCTTTCGTCGCGCAAGCCGGCGCCAGTTCAGAATCTTCAAATTCCCAGACACCGCCCGACTGCAGACTCGTTCCGATCGCCCGACATGGACAGAGATGACAATTGGGATGACGATTTTGCCGAAAGCATTTCCCCAGGAGCGTTCCACCAACCCCACCTTAAACCTCAAGACAATTTCGCTGGCCTTTTCTCGAGCGATCGGCTCAAGGCCTACGCCAGTTTCGATTCTGTTGCTGAGGAGCCTTCCAACATGGACAATGAAGCCACGGTGAAGAGCCCGCTCAACTTGCAACACCTGCGCGGCATGAATAACTTGTTCGCCACCAATAACTCATCAAAGTCATCTTCATCAAGAACACGAGTCGCCGATTCACGCTCTACATCTTCATCTACTGTTATAGATGACCACAATCAAGCTCAGCCCAGAACGGCGTTTCTTCGTGGCATGCCCAAATCTTCACACGGCAAGACTCAACCCTCTGCGCTCAAACAGCGCCCATCGCAGAAATTCAGAGAGAACACAGTGGAGGACTACTCGGATTTGACCCCTGCCGATGAAGATGCCTTCAGACTCAAACTGAGGGCTATGCAGGGCGCTCATCCGTCGTCAGTCCTACATGAATCTTCCAACGGCGCGATGACAAGCTCACCTGCAGAGCTTTACTCACCCCAGCTTTTCCATCCCAGCGATTTGAAGATGGCTCCCAAATCAACCCGAAGCAAAAACAGTGGCAGTGCGAGACAACGGACGGCGTCATCGACGTCGAAACGCAAAATGCAGCGGTCCCAGTCCGAAATTGAGATGCAAAAGTATGCCGAGGATGATCGTGATGACTTCTCAGATGTTTTTGGCGACATAAGAGCAAGCAAAGCAGAGAGTGACAGCGGTTCGGAGCATAGCAGCATGGCTATGATCACATCGAAAATGTCTTCTTCATTTGTGAGTCGGCAGCATTACTTTGTCCTTGTCCATTGCTGACTGTTTCAGATGATTGCTGAGGATGACGATCTCGATCCCTTTGCCAACATGGATGAAGGGTTGGAGAACATCAACCTCGAAAACAATGTTGCGCGCGACCGTGACGACCGATTGGTGAAGCAGACTGAGAGCCTAGTCGGGTGTTTGAAAATGTCTCAACCTGACGAATTACTGTTCGATTACGCCGACCAGCTCCTACAAGTGCTGTACGAATCCCCAGACAAACGCTCGATAGTGTTGCGTTCCCATGGAATGCTGCCTATATTGGAGATCCTGGGCGCTAAGCCCCCGAACGAAGTCGTCCTGCCACTACTCAAAATCATCAATCTGATTATCCACGAAGATGGCGACACTCAAGAGTCATTGGCATTCTTGGGCGGCACCCCCATCATCTGCGACTATGCATCCAAGAAGTACCCCAGCGACATAAGAAAAGAAGCTGCCGCCTTTGTCCGACAAATGTATACCACAAGCGCTCTGACGTTGCAAATGTTCATCGGCTGTGGTGGCATCAATCATTTGGTAGAGTTTCTGGAAGAGGATATTGACACAGAGCGCGACCTAGTGTTGATAGGCGTGAATGGAGTGTGGAGTGTTTTCAATCTACAAGGTTCCACTCCCAAGAACGATTTCTGTCGAATATTCTCACGCAGCTCTGTTCTGTATCCACTTTCCTTGGTGTTGAATCGAGTCGTTGGCGAAAAGGATGAGCTGGCGCAACTGGTCCAGGGCCGCATTGTCAGCATATTTCTCATCTTTTCGCAAGCGGAGAGTTACGTGAAGGAACTGGTGGCAGATCGCATGATCTTGAAGCGTAAGGATGCCTCTTCTAAACGTAGTTGTGAATCAGTTGCTGACTTATCGTACAGGTGTGCTAAAGGACTTGCCAAAGATGTCGTCGCTTCACCAAGTCACAATGCTCAAATTCATCAAGAATCTCTCTATGCTGTCTTCCACTCACGAAGCTCTCCAAAATTCCAACGCAATTGACATCTTGATTGACCTCCTCAAAGATACCCGCCACCAAAAGAACTCGCGGGAGATCTCAAACCAGGTTCTGAATACCATGTACAACCTCTGCCGACACAACAAGAGTCGACAGGAGGAAGCTGCTCTCTCGGATGTCATACCCCTGCTGAAGGAAGTTGTTACTGGGGGCGGACCTTTGAAAGAGTTTGCATTGCCTATACTTTGTGAGCTTGCACATAGCGGCAAAGTGGCAAGGAAGATGCTATGGCAAGCACATGGCTTGCAATTTTACATTTCCATGCTCGCAGATCGAAACTGGCAGGTCACTGCTTTGGATGCAATTTTCGTGTGGTATGTGGCTTCATCTTATCTGTATTGTTTTCTGCTAACGAATTTTCAGGCTCCAAGAAGAGACTGCACGCGTGGAACAATGCCTTCTTTCGTCAAATTTCAGTACGGCAATCATCTCATCATACACCTCGCCTGAGATGTCGCAATCCAGCTTCGAGAGTATGCTTGATCCTCTTCAGAAGCTGGTTCGACTTTCTCCTCCCATTGCAGCCTCACTTGCGGTGCCTGAATTATTCACTCGTACCGTGCAAAAGTTGGGACACAAGGACGCCGTAACGCGGGTCAACCTCCTCCGTATTTTGCGCACTATTTGCGACGCCATCGAGGACGATTGCACATTGATCAAACAGTTTCGCGTTTACGAACCGATTCTGGATCTATCGCGACATGACCCAGCTGTTCTAGTCCGGCAGATGGCCGAGGATATGGTGCGTTCCTGCGATGATATAGGCAAGCGCAGTACGTCCCGCGCGGCGGGCTTCCGCCGGCCTGCATCTAGCGCTGGTACACGAGCTGGCTCTGGTTCAAGTAATGGTTCGACCCTCGTGACAGGCATGACACCGCCTACGCCAACCAGCCTCAAAAGCACATTCGCACTACCATCCATGCCTCCTACCCCTAGTCTTGTTGTAAGCAATGGTCGTGAACGGATTGGAAGAAGTCATTCTACGGCTGGAATATGGGACCTTGAAGAGGAACCATCTCCTCGCAATGGTGGCATGAAGCCTCCTGCGCTTGTGCGTTCATCGACTGCTGTTCCTGCGTTGGCAGTACCTCCGTTGCCATCATCGCCATCCGTTCCACTCACCTCACGCACTTCAAGCCGTCCGTCAACCCGCGACTCATCATCTTCTTCCTCATCATCTTTCGCCCGTCTTGAAGCTAGCAAAGACCCAACCGGTCGTTCTTCTCGTTTACCAAAGGCCCGACAAGGGCGACTTAGCGAGGCTGTGAGTCGGCGTCGCCAGTCACAGGTCAGCAATCCAGGCACTGGCGAAGAGAATAGTAGACCTGGCACTGCTGGAGCGGGCACTTCTAGCTCAAACAGCACGCCGCTTCCACGTTTGCAGATTGTGAGACGCAGACGCGAAACCAGTGGTGGTGAGATGTCATCCGGGGGTGTTGTCCCGGTCACGACTGCGGTCGGTACTCCCGGGCCTACGAGGAGAAAAAACACGGGAGATTAGGTATCCAGACACGGTGTTGACTGGCGTGGTCCATCAGTGAGGCGGTGTAGAGGCTGAAACTATGTCTATGTCGGCATAAGCAGCAGTATGGTCTGTGGATCTCGGAAGAGACGTGGCAATCCGAAGTGGAAGCAGCGATGGGTACGATACCTCTCTATTACTTTTCCTTTGTTATGTTGAACGTTCCATCTCCGTTCGCTGCTACGGTGGCGACACGGGCAGATGTTGGGGGAAGGAATTCCAATGATTTAACGGTGGTGGGCGTGTTGGATGCGTTTACGCCGGTCTTTTATTTGGTCTCGGGAAAAAGCGCATACACACATTCAGGTTTTTATCAGCATAGCTTAGGCGTTCACCGGTCTTATCCTGGGTGGTGGTCACTTTACATATACCTTTTAACTCGTCTTTTACACTTATACATCATATCCTTGTCTTTCACGGGCGTTGCTTGTTTGCCTTTGATTCTTGAAGTACGCACATTGATGTGATTTTACTCGATAATGTGGCCCAGGAACATCCTAAACATCGTTACCCACACACCACACCGCCGACCACTCACTCGACCTGCGCTTCTCCATGCGGATCGGTGCACAAGAGACCAACGGCAAAGACAGCAGCTACACCCGTCCTTTCAGAATCCAAATCCTCACCCCCCCTCCCCACCTCCACCTTAAACGTCACATCCATACCCCCCTTGACAAACCAAGCACACGTCCCACCCCTCGCACCAAACGATCCCAAACTCACCACCTCCCCCGCTGTCCCGGACTCATCCACCACTTCCCTCGACGCCGTCACTTCAACCCCCTTATCCAGGAACGCCGGCAGAATGACGATATTCCGCGGCCAACTCTTCACGACGACGACCGTCGTCGCTAACGGTTCCGAGTCAGGAGACGGCTTGTCGTCATAGGAGATTGTCCATGTCTCGGAGTTTGGGGAATGGAAGTGGCCCATGGCGCAGTTGGTTTCGGGTAACATGCCGCCGATGTCGTAGAAGAGGTGGTTATCTGTTTGTGCGCCGTCATCAATATATATACAATTAAACTCGAGATGCTCACTTTTTCTTCTTCTTCTTTGTTCTCTAGTTTGTTATAAAACGGAATAATTGGGAACCTACACATATACACCAAATGCCTCCTCCACTCGCTTTCTACATCCTCTTTATCCGGATTCTGCGCAATCCCTTCATCATACTCTTCATGCTGCGCCTTGTCTAATTTCTGCAGCGTCGCTTTATGGTCTTGGACCCAGTCCTTCAACGCTCGTTCCACGCCGAGTTTTTGGATCGTTTCTGGAGGCGGTGGGGTTGCGGTCCATGCGCGGCGCAGCATCTGCACGACAAAGTTTTGGTTGACGGACTCTGCGAAGTTGATTTTGCGGTGTTTTGGGTCGAGGATGTCGGAGATTCCCGAGGTTAGGGTTGTGGATATGAACATCTTTTTTTTTTCTTTTTTTTTCTCTTCTTTTAGAAATCTTTCCCTACTTTTTTTTGTAGCCTTTTGGGTTCGTTATTTGCGGGACTTGGGATTTTGTCGACTTTTGAAATTCTGTTGTTTGCAGTTGGGTTGAATGAGGATGTTCTGCGATTTGATAGTCGACAAAAAAGAAGCGGGAAAATAGACCGTGATGTATTGCAGTGGTTCACGGTTCTAGAAGCTTTAGTGAGTATGTTGAGTAGTAGCAGTTGTGTCTTTCCCGCCAGAGAGAAGCGAGATGCTTAAAAACGCCGTAATCTCACTATCTAATCTTGACATCTATTTATATAAATAGCAGTGAAATGTTTTGCGGTGATAAGCGAGTGTTTTAGAAAAAAAAAACGTGGTTGCCTTGAGCCTTGGCTGATGGAGGTAATGACATGTCCGATGAGGTTTTGACTCATGCAATAATAAGTGAGTCGATGATCCACGAAACCAGAATAATCAGTGCTGCGCCTCGCTAGGCTCATTTACCTACTTGAAATGGTCGTGTGTAAAGATAATCCCTAGACAACAGAAAAAATGTCTTTCTGTAATTTCCGGCGTGGTTATCTCGAAGATCCACACCGCTTTAGGGTGATTTCACGAGAAGTCCTATCTCTACGTCTTCGCCATTAGAACAGAAAACCTCATTCGTAGAATCCCTTGGTTCTGAATATAGCGGATGACTACATGCATTATGACTCTAGGCAGAATATGTATCACGTGAATTCAAACGATATATATACCTAGGTACCTAGGTATATACCTTAGTGTTTACCTTTATTCGTCGACTTTGAAAAGCAAAGTTGGATCGAGATGATCGGATCCCACTAAGAACCAGGACTGCAACATCACTGCCAAAGTCGGTTTTATTGCACGCAGGTTGTATATATATTGTGAATAAGATTCTAAAAGCATGCCTTATGCTCACACTTGTTTACTCGGTAGAACACGCTACCCAAATACAGACAACGGATGTACGCTTAAAGAATTTGTTATCATTTTCGAACCAGGGCTTATTAAGAACAGTCTCATCAGCCTTGAAAATATAAATCTAGTCCCGGATATTGCGATGTCCGGTGGAAACAGATATTCAATTGGAGAACATAGATTTATCTTGGTATGATGATCAAAGTGTTATCTTGCGGCGCAAAAAAAAAGTGTTTGTAAAGTGACATGTCGGACACGCAGGCATATCACCAGAAAACCTAGTTACAATCACTGGGGGAAAATAAACTAAGAGTGGTGAAAAGATTGAGGGATACAGAATCAATAGAACTCCGATCAGAAATGCCAGTATACATGTAGACTAACTCACCTCAAATAACTCCCTTCACGATCAATTCTCGTGCGTGCTTTCACTAAACCAGATCGGCTCTGTGGGCGATCCCCCACACCCTTGAACTTCCTCGGCACGAAATTCACCGAGGAGTTTGTTGCTCAAAGCATCTTCCCCATAGGCTTTGAGTGATGCCTCCAATGAAACGATGCGCTAATTATTTACTCCTCCTCTTCAACAACCATTTATCCGGACCCGATCTTAATCAAGCTGTTGCCCTACTTGGAGTGCATCATCCGGTCGTAGTCAATGTTTGCATTCTATATAAGTTGGCGCTGGCCCGCCGTACCAGTTGCAAAGCAACACGGGTCTTGAGACTTTTCTCGCCGATCACAGCCAATTGACTATGAAGTCGTTTATATTCGCATCGCTCTTGAGCATGCTCGCCGCAGCCGCACCAGCTAGCCGCAGGTACGCTTGCCCCTTCATCTAAATTAACTCGGCTAACGTTACCCAGCCTCAACAGCTCGATTCTAGCATACTACCCTTCGGACAACCCCAAAGGCGACGGTATTCTCGTTGTCCCCGGAGGTGGCTACCAGCACGTTTCTCTGGACTATGAAGGCGCAGAAGCGCAGACCTGGCTCAACCAGCACGGCTACCACGTGTGGGTCCTCAACTACGCCGTTTCCAGCACAGCATCCACACCTCTCTACCCAACGCCGCAGAACCAAGCCGCAGAAGCTGTCCAGTATATCCGCACTCTCGATTCCGTCAAGAAGCTCGGTATTTGGGGGTTCTCGGCTGGTGGCCACCTGGCTGCGACGACAGTAACGAACCCGGATGTCGCAGCACAATTGGACTTTGCCATTCTAGCATACCCCGTGATTACCATGGACCCGTCCTTCACGCATCCCGGATCCCGCGAAAACCTCATCGGCGCAAATCCTTCGCCAGAGCTGCAAGCAAGCTTGAGCGGAGAGAACCGTGTAACGAACTCGACGCCTCCGGTGTTTTTGTTCCATACCGCCAATGACCCCGTAGTACCGGTAAAGAACACTCTGGTGTTCGCTGAGGCTATGGCAAAGCATGGTCGGAAATTTCAGAGTCTGATTCTGCCGGATGGAGAGCATGGTATTGCTCTGGCATTGGATGACCCGGTACGGACCTGGACAGGGGAGCTGGAGAGATGGTTGACGTACTCTGTTTGAGTGATTTTAAACACCGTGATAGTTGCAACAATGAAAAGGCCAAAGTAACAAGCGTATCCAATAAGTATCGAGACCAGTGTACAAAGCACTGGGGCTTTACACTTTCCAGAAGGTGTTGTGAGAATATGAATCCAAATTATATGACAAACCAGTAAATCATGACCTAAATATACCAATGAGATGTGATATGTTATAGCTACAGGGTTTGCCTGTCAAGATCATAACAAGGCGTAGAATAAAAGCACATATATTGGAAAGTGCTGAGTGGAAGTGAACTTCTCTTTTTTTGTTGGAAAAACACCGAAGTGACCGAAACCGTGTGCCAGAAGCAGTAAATATGTATAAATGCAGTGGATAAGCTTACCTACTGGCAATTTCTATGCAGTGAAGCGTCTGAACTGAAACAAACATCACGGTCACGAGAGAAGAGAAAAGCATTGAAGAGTATGTAGTACCGGGCTTGAAATCAATATATACAGCAACCCCGTAACTTTTGATGCGCTAATAATAGAAACCAAGTCATTATCATGATTATGCAAGACTTTGCGCCTCGCACATTTTTCTATATAAACTTTCTTCTCCGCCGTTTAGTAGCTCCGCGTGTGTGCCTTGCTCGACGATCTTCCCTTCATAGAAGACACAGATCATATCGGCATCCTTGATCGTCGATAGTCGATGTGCGACGGCAATGGTGATGCGATTCCCCTCTTTGGCGGCTTCAGAAAGGGCATTCTGCACAATCTTCTCGCTTTCCGTATCCAAGGCGCTTGTAGCCTCGTCCAGCAATAGTATGCGCGGGTCGCGAACGAGAGCTCGAGCGATGGCAATACGTTGTCGTTGGCCTCCAGAGAGCTGGGTTCCATTCGGCCCAGCTGCTGTGTTTAAGCCTTCGGGGAGGGAAGAGACGAATTCCCAAGCGTTAGCGGCTACGAGAGCCTTTTCGATCTGCGCATCAGGAATCGCGCTGCTCGCAATGATCCCGTCGGCGACTGTGACATCATCAACGCCAAGAGCGATATTCTCGCGGATAGTGCCTTGGAACAGTGTAGGTTCTTGCTGTACGAGTCCTACTTGACTTCTGTACTTCCGTGGGTTCAGAGTGGCCAGATCATCACCTGCAATCCTAACACTACCCTTGGAAGGATCGTAGAAGCGCTCGAGTAATGATATGATGGTCGATTTGCCACATCCTGAGGCCCCCACAAGGGCAACAAATTGCCCTTTCTTCGCCTGCAGATCAATGCCTCGGAGTACAGGCGCTTCAGGTCGGAGAGGGTAAGCGAATCGAGTACGGTTGAGCTCGACAGCGCCTCCAGATTTTGGGCCGTTGTCTTTGTTTTCCGGCGTCTCTTGCACCGCGGGTTGGAGCTGTTGGAGCCAGAAGATGGCATTAGCACCGTTTATCCCCTTGGTTATGCTAGTTGAGAAACCAAAAACTTGCGATGTCGCTTGTGCGGAGAAAAAGACAGCCATGAAGGAAACGAAGAATTCAAAGATGGTGATGTCGCCAGAAGCAACCAGCCGAGTGCCGTACCAGTAACCGAGGGCCATGAACCAATATTCCGATGATTGTGTTAGAGCAAACCATCCCATAGTGTTAATAAGTGGTTTCACTGAGGCAGAGATGGCTTGATCAAGTTCTGAAGTGTAACGATCCAGAATAGACCGCTCGATACCCAAAGACGAAACAGTCCGGATCGCTGTAGTAGATTCAGAGGCAATGGCAGCGCTGGTTGTGAGACGATCAGCTATCTGGCGATCGAGCTTTCCGTCAAACCGCATTTTCAGATAGCCACATCCAACAACAGCGGGAAGCCCACCGAGGACAATGACCAACCCGAGCTTCCAAGAAAATACTATCCCCAGAATGGAGCAGGCTGCAACATTGAGAACTGCGATTAAAATTAAGCCTGCATTGAAGCCCATGAGCTCGAAGACAGCCTGAGGGTAGGCATCAATGCGACTTGCGAGTGCCCCGATATTATTTTCCGGCCTATCAAAGTAGGCCAGGTCCTGACGTAAGATGTTGTTGAATATCTGCTTGCGCAACTTATGTGCCAGACCCTACGTTTTGAATCAGTTTTTTATTCTATTGCAGGGATGAAAGGGGAAGTCTCACTTGTGCCACTGCGTTAGTTCCCCAGCCCATTAGGCCATAAGAGAATAAGCAAACGCCGGCAATAGCGACGAACATAGCGGCAAAGAAGTCGCCACGGGTAGTCATCTCGGATCCGGTCAATGTGAACACCTCAACCATGAAAGCTAAAAGAATGGCTTGCCCAGGAAATATACCAGCTATCGATGTGTGAGTCTCATATATTACAGTGGCATAGGTGGAGCACTTACAAGATACGACGCAGCTAGCAACGATAGCCACGAATGGCCATCTCACTTCCGGGTAATCACAGACCAAACGCCAGACAACACCACATAGACCAAACCGATTGTGATTGTCATCCTCATAATTGGTTTCACTCAATTCCAGGTTGATACTCGCGTGGTCGGCAGTAGGGTACCGAGTCAATGACTTGATGGGTTCGACCAGGGATCCAACGTGAGAGCTTGCAGTTTCTTCGTCGCTATCCTCAGATTTGTTGTCGTTGGGCACGGTAAGCTGTTGAGTTGCTACGAGACGCGCGTAGGCACCATCCATGGCGATCAGGCCCTCATGAGTTCCCTGTTCGATGATCGTTCCTTTCGACATGACGACAATGTTATCGGCTTTGCGGATCGTGGCTAGTTTGTGGGCAATGACGATAGTTGTACGGCCAGCGGATGCTCGATCTAAAGCTTGCTGAACGATGCTTTCAGCGTTGGGGTCCAAGGCACTAGTAGCCTCGTCCAACAAAAGCACTTTGGGGTTGGAAACTAGACTTCGGGCGATGGCGACTCTTTGTTTTTGTCCGCCAGACAGTAGACCTCCGCGCTGACCGATGTCCGTGTCGTAGCCGTTGGGGAGCTGCGAGATGAAGTCGTGAGCATATGCAATCTTGGCAGCGTCGATTACAGCTTCCATCTGCTCATCCCTCGAAGAGTTCTCCAAGGGTGTGCCAAAAAGGCCGTGTGCAATGTTTTCGAAGACAGTTCCGCGAAACAATACAGGCTCCTTTGTACCTAATTAGCTATAGAACTCATACAGAGGGAATGATCTACTACGTACCTGTTGGACTAGACGGATATTTCGTCGAAGCCAGGCGATGTTGAGCGAGTCTATTGGATTGCCATCCAATTTGATTGTGCCTGAGACAGGATTGTACCACCGTTCAATAAGTCCAACAATCGTGCTTTTCCCAGATCCGCTGTGACCGACAAGCGCAGTGACCTTCCCAGCAGGAGCTTGGAGGGAAAAGTTGTCCAAAACAGTAGTGTTAGGTCTTGTGGGATAACAGAAAGTGACACCTTGAAGCTCAACCACCCCACGAATTTCTGAAGGTTGTTTTCCACTGGGCTCAAAAGGATCTATCTCGGTTTTGCGGTCGATGAGTACGAAAAGTTGAGCGGCGGCGGATGCGGCACGAGTAAACTCGATCGAGTATGGAGCCAGCTGGGTAATACTGAGCGCAGCAATGACAACAGATAAAAGAACGGTAAAAACGTCGCCGGTTGACTCAATTTCTCCGTCCGCCAACATATGGACACCTCTCCAGAATGCTAGCGCATTTCCCAGGTAGATGATGGTATATTCGGCAGAGAATAGGATGCCGAAGAGCAGCGAGATCTTATTACCCCATTCGTGTGCTCTCACGAGAAATACATCGAACTTTTGGACCAGACGCGATCTCATCTCAAATGCATGCACAGTGCGAACGCTTGCCAGTACACCTTCTGCGAAAGAGTTGGCCTGTGCATAATGCTCGAGAATCTTGGCCTCATAACCAGCTTCGATGAATGCACAGACAGCCATAACCAGGACGTTCAAGGGAGCGATGGCGCAGACGATAAGGGTCAACTTCCAGTTGGTGATGAAAGCGATAATGAAAGAGCTAATGAAAGCTGATGCGCCTTGGGCCGTAAGGCCTAATTTCTCCGAGATACCGTTCTGGATCAAGCGACCACTGGCATAAGCTTGCGTAGCAATTGAGCCTCCCTCGTCGAGATCAAAGTAGGCAACTTCTTGACGTAACTAAATTCGTGGGTGGTGAATTAGTATAGTTCAAGAACATAGTTTCATATGAAGAGTAGTCATAAAGCCCTCTACCCTAGCCGATCTGTCATCGTGGAATATACGTACCGCTGATCTGAGATAATCATATCGTACGTTACGGACGATTCGATATGCCGCGTATGTCAAAAGAGTGTTGTAGATGTAGGCCATCACCAATCTTCCCAGACCCAGATAGAAGAAGTAAAGGGCTAGTGTTGCGCCCGCACTCCTAAAATCATCTGCTGTCTGCTGGCCGGTTCCAAACTCTGTGAATACGGTAACGAATTGGCCAAAAATGATGTTTTGCGATGCGATACCAACTCCGGATGCAAGCGCGGCCACACCAGCTATCCCGAGCAGTGTGAGTTCTCTTGGTTGAGCATAAGTGAAAACTCTCTGCATTATTTCCAAGTCAGGGACAGTTCTGCACTATGATCCACGAACCACTTACCCAGTATGCTTTCCAGCTGCTCATCTCCCGTGGTGAAGTCATAGAATCTTCATCGGCATCCACCGTGATTTCTCGTTTCTCGCCCTTACTTGAGGCCCTCATCTTTGGCGATTATCCAGGATTGTCGTTGCTGGTCTGTAAGGCCGGTACCGCACGCGACTGATATGTATATTCCTACAAATCATGTCGGGTAAGAATACATACTTATTGTTTCTTGTCCATCACCATGCGATTACATCAAGGAAGGCTTTTCGTGATCATCTTGCATGGCGCTTAGTCAATGTCGCGACGCTATGGGGACCTTCGGGTTCCACGGGGTCCACGGGATGCGAATCGAACAGAATCACTAGGACCACATGTTGGGGGTCGCAGACTGAAACCCCGCAACAAGCATCGCCCAGACCTGCGGGTACATCCATGTGCTATGTGGTGATCTGTTCAAATGCCGCAAGCGAGGGTATGTGCCGCGTTAGAAGGTAAAGGTGTTTCGAAGTTCAGACCCTGTTGCCCAGACATCGTGTGACAATTGCGCCGGCTTAGTGACCGACGTGGTTCCTGACTTCCTAACGCCTTCGACCGATCGCTATAGTTAGCCGGCTTGTAATGTATATTCGACATTGCCATGAGCGGTGAGACGGTTTTTTGTTGCTTGCATGTGAGGCGATTTCCTACTTCGCACTACGATCACCGTATGCCCTCATACGCAGACCAATCTAGAATAAACACAATCTGATAGTTAATAGACCCAATCAATCTTTGACGAGTGCTCATGTATAAGAATTCATCTTAAGATATTTACCACAAAAACTGGGTACTATTGTCTAAAGAAACGATAACAGTCTGTGAACCGAATTTCCATCAATAGGATCCGGACATGTTCATGTTGATTCTTATTAATGAATGGGACTCAGGAGGTGCATCCAAGTACTTATTTCCACATAGAATGCGAAGGACATAACTTGAGGCATTGACAATAGAAATATTTTTGCTGTGAACAATGATGTTGATGTATTTCCATAGACGAACATCTCAAAACGAGGTGGCTAGCATTTGGCCTGAGCTGTGCTGCCATTCGATGAAGGATTCTATTATAAAATTCCTTGCCCAAGACAGTCGCAGGTAGACACCCCGTGATTTTTAGTTTTGTTTCTAATCCAGTAGGCTCTTCGTAAAAGATAAAGAGTCATACCAAGCTCGCATCTTCTTGCCAAAAACATACACCAGAACGCTGACAGCCGTTGCCATAGCCAAGCCTGCTGCCATACACCCAAAGACAGTCAAGGGTCCGTCCAGTTCAAGCCAAGTGATCATAGGACCAAGTGCAGCCGTTGCAGTGCCAGCGGCGGCCATATTGACGGATGCGAATGCCTGAGCTGAGTGTTCTGGAAGACAATCGATGACGTAATTGATGGAAAGCTGTATTCCAGCTACTGCGCCAACGTTGGTCACTGTCATCCAAACGAGAATCCAGACCAGCGGTTGTTCCTCTTTGAAAGCAGTTCCCATACTGATAAGACCGAACATAGTGATGGGAGCTGCGAGTAAAAGTAGTACTAGTCGGAACTCGGGCTCAGCTATGCCTTTGTTCTTGCGCGCCATGAATGAGACGGAGGCATCTGACATCCAGCCAAATAAGGGACTAGCGACCAAACCAACCACAAAGGGTGGCAGGTTGGTCAGGCCGATCTCAGTGGGGCCCAACTCATATGGTGGAGATGATAGCAGGATAGAGAGAAATGTGGTCATGCCAGCGATAAGTATGAAAATCAGGGCGTTCATAATGCAGCTGTAGATAACGATGGGTGAAGACAACAGACCCAGAGGCTTGATGACTCCCTTTAGGAAAGACTTGTTTGACAACCTACCACGAGAAAGCGCAAGTTGTTGTCGATAGCTTTGGCGTGGGGGTAGGATAGATGCCTTGAGGTCTTCGTTGTCATATTCGCTAGACAACTTGTTCTGCACTACGCTTATGACCTCCAAGCTTTCCGCGTCTCTCTTGAAGTATGCCGACTCGAAAACCGTGAAATAGAACACTGGTATAAGTGCAGTCCATATGAATCCAGTAAGCAGAAAGTTGGCTTGAACACCGAGAGTGTCGGTGACCACGCCAGCTATCACTTGACTATAGACTTGTTAGATGATGCCCTCATTCATTGGTACCGATAAAACTTACCCAACTTGTCCTCCTGCATTGAGCGATAGATTCCATATAGCAATAGACTTTCCGCGCTGGTGAACAAAGAAAATGTCGCTGATGGTCGCAGTCACAAGCGTAAATAGCGGTGCTGAGAAGAATCCGTTTGCTGTTCTCGTCACCGCCAAGACAGGAAATGACTGGGAAACGAATGACAAGAAGTTGGCGGCAGCCATTAGGACGACACTCCAAAAGTAAAATGGTCGCCTGCCCCAGATATCGGTGCCGGAAACGAGGAGAAAGGCTATAGCAGATGTCCAAAACGTAGGCGCTGTAAGAATCCAAGTTCCAACGTCTACGTCGTTACTTTGGAATCGTTCAATCAGAGGTTCGAGGCCGGGGGTCAGCATGGTGGTACCACTGTGACATTCAGTAAGTATGATATTTCACAAACATCGTCGAAAAAATAGGACATACGCATTAGTAACTGCCGAGCCAAACGCGACGACGATCAAATGCAGCCATTTCCACGTGGATGACCAGTTTAAAGGATCATTGGGATCATCGCTTGGCTGTGGAGAGAGTACGATTGTTCCTGATCTTTTTGCGTTTTCGAGCTCAGGAACGTCCCCACTCGTTTCCTTGACTCCCACTCTGGTTGTGCCACGCGGGAATGCTGTGCGCCGGCTTTCAATGACCCCCCAACCCATTTCAGATTCTCTGAAAGAAAAAAGGTCAACGAATTAGACGAGTTTATAGGACAAAAATCAATACAGGCAGCGAAGGAATAATTTTTGAGGGTCTTTTTTACGTTGGGTGAATAATGAACCAAAGGGATTAAAAAAGGCTGTCCAGCAGCTGGGCGTCCAATCCAGTGGACAAAGTGTGAAGGAGAAGAGAAGAAGAAAACAACGACGTCGAAATCAAAATGAAGACAGGCGCCGAACGGATCATTTTGGCACGTTTTGGACACGAGTATATATGTGACAATCAAGGTGATACTTGACAGAGATAATGGATTGATAAGCCGTGAGATCATAACAGCTAGGAGGCTGCAACACGCGTCTATAGATGTCAACGGGAGCGCAATGTGTCTCAAGAGGTTGTAAACAATTGACTTGGCGGCAATTACACGGTCTTGCGCCACATACATGGTTTGTTCTCCATGCCTTTTGGATTCAGGCAACGAGAATCACTATTTTGGTGGATGAGGCTGGGGAATCCGGGGGTCCAGATGGGAATTTTTCGAAAGCTGCAGGGGTTTGTTTACTCTCTAAGTTTGAGTTTAGTCTCACAACCAGGGACTCGACTTCAAGCTAGGCGCAAACTCGGTGGGCTCTCGCGCCCCGCGGGTACCGTCCGATCCCCACGTGACCAGGAACTTCATCATCGTCGGGATTATTGCTTGGAGTAACGCAAGTAGAAACACAGTGGAATGGAGCAACTTCTTTCAAACGGAACATCGCCTGACGTCCTTTGTCGTTGATGGCCCTTCGGGCTCCGAGCCTGTCCAGGCCAACCTTCCAGTTTCAGCTTGCATTTCAAGAAGGGTTTCCAGTAGATATCCACATGGTGTCGCTAAACATTGCAATCCTCAGTTCGACTATCGGCAGTTTTAGTGCCACGACCGTTCACCATGTGCTGGGTTCGTTCGCACTTCTCGGGAAGCGCACGCCTAGTCGCTTTGTGCACCTCAGTGTACTGTCGCAAGAGTTGCAAGTATAGCCTTTTCTTCACTCTTCCTATCAATGAATTATGACTCTCTCGAGTTTCATGGTTAGATAAAATCGGATATCCTCTATATTCATACAAAGGAGAAACCGACTCGAGTAGAGTTGGTAGCATGTCACCGACTCTCGTGGCCATATTGACCTCTACCAAGTGTGAGATGAGCGAAGACTGTCAGACAGAGAATAAGTTGAATAATCAGAGTCAAGTTAGTTGGGCAGGTTGGCAAACATCGATATGAAAAATAATTATTCCTCGTAATCAAGAACATGTAAGGTTTTCCCCTTGACTTTTTTTTCATTCTTTGCTCATCTCGATTTGCTGGTTGTCAAAGCTCTGCACACTATCGGAAGTCGGCGCAGAAAGTTTTCAGGAGTATTTCGATCGTCCACTTTGAATACCTTGGCGACTGACAATCCGCAATGCGACTTGGCCACCGTTGATATTTTTCTCAATAGTACACATGTTATTCAATGCATTCTTAGCTGCGGTGGTGAATTACAACGACATCGTTTGGGCTCCATCCCATCACCACAAGCAATTGAAAAGTTGTGAAAAACCTCTCTCCTGACATGGGAGAGAGCAGTATCAAGATTGAAGCAAATTCGTTTTGGATTGTGCCCCACAAACTATTTGGCCTAGTAACCCAAAACTTCCAACGTTTTTTTCGCCGCGTCCAATGGGGTATATAACGACAGAATTCTATAGAGGATCAATCCAACCAGTGACGTCGAACTTTCACAGAAAATGACCCTCGCATACTATGTATTCATTCGTAGCATTATGAAGATCGATCTGTTGAGATATATTCGTGCGCAAGTTCGTCGGGACGTTACTTGCGTTACAATTCGTCTAATGTCCCCTCTTCAATCGGAGGAAAGCCAAGGTAGCAGAACCAACAAGCGCGGCGACCAAGATGAACATGAAAGCGGCGTCAGCCTGACTCTGCTTACAACGGCCATTCAGACGCGAACGTCGCGATTCTTCTACCATATTCAAGCATGCTATATCCTTCCCTACTTTTATGCAGCCGCCGTTGAGCAAGTCGTTTTCTTGGAGAACGTTGTAACGGTATGTGTCACTCTCATCTTTACAGTCGATATCCTTAAGCTTGATGAGAATGAGCTGCAAACTGTCAGTATTTTTCTAATTGAAGCGTCAGATATCTCCAGGCAAACTCACTGCTCCACCAGCGACATTGATGAGTGCCACCACGCCGTCAATGATCATGCCGATTTTTCCTTGCAGTTTCTCCACCCAGATCGAGGCAAACCCTGCCAGTACGGCGACTAATGAGATGCCGCTCACGAACACTGTGAATCCCAGAGTAGCTGGTAGAGATCCCCATTTGTGTTCTACGACTAGGTTGACTGAGAGGCCGAGAATGATAACTGCCACCAGGAACTGAACACCCCGAATAGCAAATACCGCAATTGAGCCCATCATTTTGTCGAATACGTTGTGGATTCAAGTGCTAGGGTATCGTGGAAGGCTCGCGGTTCAGAAATAGGGCCAACGATATGAGTTGATGGCGGTAGAGCTCGAAACTGTATTCAGCGATCGCAACAAGAACCGATGCGAGTAGATAGGAAGGTAAAGTGAAGGTGTTCACAATTTTCGCGCCGACGGACTGGATTTTGCGATTGAGGGATAGTATGAAAGACAGAAAAGGGCAGCTATTTAACGAAAATCAAATCCTCCAGCGGACATTAAATTGTGACCCATGTTAGGCAGTGGATTGGCTTCCATGCCGATATGCGATCAGGCTTCCAAGGCAGCAGCCCCGAATCTAGTTTCAGAGTTCGTGTAGGCCCAAAAACGCCTGTCAGAATACACCAGCATTACTTACGCGAAGCGCTGAGAGATCTACATAACGAGCGTATGAGTGGTCAGTTCTTCTATGTAGGGGGCCGAAATTGCCTGTAGGCTACCGGTCAAAGGGGCGCAGTGGTCACAGAACGGCAGCGGGGGCCGAGAAAAGTGGGGACGTGAGACCAAAATAACACCATGGTAGAATATGCGGCCGCCATCAGCTCCATGAAACATTCTACACCCGTTTGGAGGAGAGGCGTAATGCTTCGAAGATTCCGTGTTTTGCAAGCCAGCACTATTATTAGGGCAGAGTGGCGTGGATCGCTGCAATGTGTACAAATCACACGCAGATTAATTTATGTAGCAGAGTCGTTGCAATCTTCCTAGTACAACTTGTAGGATGCCGCAGGCACCGTGTACGCCGCAAAAGTTCGTTTAAACTGACATTGGATAAGATTGTCCGAAGCATGGCTACAATTGAATAAAGCTGATTAAGAGATCAAGTCTGTTTGGTTGCTGCTGACCCAAAATGCAACGGCATTTCCGGTGAAATGCTCAGATAATCTCAATGCGGTCATGCATCACTATCACAAAAAACACCGGGTACCTACACAACCCATGCAGCTCGGTGGCAGTGCTGGTACAGTGCTATTCAAGAGAAGCGTAGGGGGGTCTCGAACAGTTGTCACTCGCTGCAAATCAAAGCAGATGATCCCTAATTTTCTTCCATTCAACATAGGTTGCAGTAAATACCCTTGGAGTTTCAATACTACTTAAGCAATCTGCATCAAATTAATCCATACTCGAAAACACTAATGTGTTTGTTAAATGTCGAGTATATCTAGGATCTTACAGAACAGCGATAGCAACATCTGTGACAACATCGCCACACTCGGAACATGGATTCATGCAATAGTGCAGAATGCCATTGGATTCCAACCCTGGAAAAGTTTTCACTCCTTATTCCGGTGAAAGGTCTTATCTTTCGCGCGAGGTAGATCAAATCAGTGATTATCACTGTCCTAGAGCAGCAGTCGATAGGAACCCAATCACTGGGTTTGCGTTTATTGACAAGATAATTTGAGCAACAGTAACGCTTAAGCCCGCAATACATATTAATACATGTGTGGAGAGATGGTTCAACCTCTACAAATAGACTCCAATCCTTCTTTCTGTGATTGTTTCGAGGTGGGAGGAGAATGAGGCTCCAGTTGCAAAGGTGGAACCCACCGACGGCCCGTCCCGACCAGGATGAGTTGCGGGTAGACTAGACTTGTATGATACCCAAATCAAATCAATCTCGATAATACCGCACAAATCAATGCACAATAGGCTGAATATCAAGTTGGCAGTAATTGACTACATGATTGTATTTCTTTGTAAGATATCCAAAAGACCCCCTTTGTCCATTGCTTGACTAGAGAATGGTAAATTATGAATTTTTACACCATAAGTAGATCCTCGAAGTTAACTCACTGTGCTGCTTCAATACTTCTGATAATCTCAGACTACAGCATTCCATAATCTTCCTTTTACCACCACAAGACGTGCGTATCGTCCCTAAACACTGCCGCGGTTGTATGCAATGAGAAGATATCAATACAGTGTGCGCTTCCTGTACGCTTCATATTCCTCTAGTTGACTCGGTAGCGAAGGCGGCTTATATGCTTTGTACCCATCCTGAATTGGAGGTGCGGGCTTGCGGTACGCTGTGTATCCCTCTGGTTGACTCGAAGGCGGCTTATATGCCTTGTACCTATCCTGAATCGGAGGTGCAGGCTTGCGGTACGCTTCATATTCCTCTAGTTGACTTGGTAGCGAAGGCGGCTCATATGCCTTGTACCCATCCTGAATCGGAGGTGCGGGCTTGCGGTACAACTTGTTTCTGAATGGATTCACAGTATCTCCATTCAAAGCTATGTTTGACAGATTTCGGGGTGGTCGGTTGGGTATCATCTGATTCAAGTCTGGGGTAGATCGCACGCTGGGTGCTAGCGATAGCCTTCGAGCGATAGGAGCGGCATATCGCTGGAGAAAAGCTAATTTAGAGTGTACAGGTTTTGCTTCTCGCATAAAAACCTCGCTCTGCTTCTGGAAATTCTGGTCGGTTTTGTAAGGTATTTTTTCTCCGGATATAGCCTGGCTCAACATTCCACCCAGTTCTCGTTCCATACTGGCCAAGAGGTCTTCCATAGCGTCCATCGGCGATGCTTTCGGTTCGCTTTTGCAGAGAAGAATACCCTGAACCGAGCCATTTGGACCAGAGAATGCAACTAGTGCTGCTTGGTGTTCATTGCCGATAGTCGCGGTAAGTCGTGTGGTGATGACGGAATACCCGTGATGAAGTACACGAGGTGATGCGCCGTAGAGTACTGGAGCATTGTCTGAGATACCTATTAGGCTTATGTATTTTCATAGATCTCGGTCGTGGCTTACAAATTATCATTTCGCGGAGGTGGTTGTATTGTCGGGTTTCATTTGGTTGCGTTGGCGTTCTCACAAAGTTTGCCTGTGTTGGCATTGTAGGTTGGAATGCCGCGGTTTGTCCCGAGTTGAGCACATTACTTGGAAGTGAGTGAATTAGGGACTTCCTACAAATTTGTACCGTTGCCTGCTCTTCACTCGATCGTTCGGTGGCTCACCATTGACTCCAAACGACCAGTCGCGGCTGGACACGTGATCGTCATTCACACTGTCGATTTCGATATGCAACGCCCACACTTGCGTCAAATTCCGCACTAGATTTGATTGTGGAGAGTATGTATCCCATATATTGTAGGCCATGATTTCCGTCTCAAACAGGTGACTGCGTGTATACGTACATACATAGGTACATATGTACATTATTGGGCTTGCCACTAACTGTCAATACTCTGTCAAGGTCTTGAGTTATATTTAATCTATATTAGATAAAATTGAGTAGCTGTAGAATATATGTTAACATGCTGTTCAACAGTACATTAACGCAGAAAGTGTAGTCAATGCACTGACATGGAGTGCGTCAAACCTTTGAACATATGTATGGACCTGCAATAGCAGACACAAGCAATCAGTCGATAAGACACATACTCGATGTTGAATGTGCACCCATAAGTTGGTACATAGGGGCGCCATGTTATCATGCATGGAATCCTACATGCAGAGGTGAGATTACATGTGTGGTTTAAAACAGGTTGTGAATGCCTTCCAGCCTCATTATGCGTCATACATGAGTTATCATCTTATTACGTGACCACCCGCGACACTGCTCAAGTTCCTCGACCACAACCTAACCACACTACTTTTTGCATCAATCTCAATCCAATACGTACAGCATTGCAATTGCTACTTTTCAAAAATGTCCTCGGCTACAAACAAAGACAACCTCGAGGTCTACTTTCACCTCAAGTCCCTCATCATCTGTGAGTGTGCCGTCCAGCCTATGATGTCATCGCCATAACGCGAACGTGCAGCAAACGCCAAACTCCAGCACGGCGCATCCATTGGAGGCCGCCCGCGAAGCTATGACATTGTGACAAGCAGCCAATTACGGGGTCAGAAACAATACCGTGTCAGCCTTGTTGCGTACGACGAGAACCAGAAAGGAACGGGGAAAGTGGACATTGACAGCAAGGTGCTGAGCAGGAGTGGCATGAAGCTGAATTTGAACGGCGCAATGGAAGATTTGCTGAAGAAAACACAGGAGGAGTTGTGGAAAGAATGATGGTGAGTTGCGACGTGAACGGGGCGCTAGTCAGGCACAGGTTAGCCCCCGGCTAGCGTTGCTCGGATCGCCGCCGTGAATGGTTCTCACGTGATTGTCTGCTGTTTATCTGCCCCGTTGCATACTTTTTCAGATGTCGGCATGGAAATGAACGACTTGAGCAGTCTGGTGATGTGATATAATAATGGGTAATAATATATTCTATCGAACTTCGAGTCGCAGTTGCTATCTTCAATTGTTTGTTATTATTGCAGAGCCGCCCTCTAAATTCGCGCAACGCTGACCTCTTGAGTACCATGTTATAATGCCCATTTTCGTATCTTCTATGGGCGCGGGTTTCAATCTGTACTCACTCGAAGCTCGCCGATGGTGGTCGATGAACGGTCGCGTGAACCTACATCGAATAACCTCAAGTGCTCCAGGCAGAACAGCACCGATACCCGTAGAAGCAAACACAACCTACTCACCTTGCAAACACTATCCACCCGTACAGCTTCAATATGCAACCAACCTGTATTTTGAGCAGTATATATACAGTGTAAACCGCAATTTCTTATATAAACAAGCGCAGTTGGCCCAGAGGACCTCACTGTCATGGCCACCTACCATGATAAAGAACTAGTCCTGGATGTGATTCTCCGCTATGAGCGTCTGATAATCAGAGTCCCTTTCAGATCTTGTGGGCACAATCAGCAAACCGCTTAATAATAGCAGTTTCGGGTCAACGGGATGGGCTGATTCTTTTGCCTCCTTTTTTTTGTAAGCATGTATGGACTTGTGTTTTTTTTTCTTTCGGTTTGAGGTAGATCTGATCATGTATGTAAGGCAGCAGACACGATTACCGCTATAGCAGACAAGATGCAATCTTTTGGAGTTTGAGCGTGTATGAAAGATGCGGGAACACCTTGCTGCCTACCCTGCTTTTCTTAGACTAATTTGCATATATTTTCAGTCTATGCGTCTTTCACATCTCTACCGTCAGATAGTCCGCATATCTAGATTGTGAGTGGATCAGGCCTCTTACATTTCTTCTCTCCTACAGAGCTTGTCTGCTTTTGCGTAACGTGACCTAAGCCGCAAGATGATAGAATGCTGTATCGACCGGGGGCCTCTTCCAACGGCGAAGATGAAGTAAAAGCACCCCTGCACCTTTTACCTTAACTCGAAAACCTGAGAGACCAGTATGCCATAAAAATGGATACAAGGACCCATGCTCCACTCCTCCCTCCACCGCCTCACCCCTACACCGCACCATTCACCCCAGGTGCTCCACCAGCCTTTCAGCCCACTCCCTCCTCCAACCCTCTCCAACTCTCAATCTCCACTACCCCATCACCCAGGAAAAGCAAGTACGCACATCATGGAGATCGACCCACCCCTCACGGCCACCACTCCCCAACCCGATTTCCAGGAAATCCGACAAATCCTAGACCTCAAGATATACGCTCTCTCCCACGCGCGCATTCTCTACGGCAGCGAGGCCCGCAAGTTCTACGACATCCTCGATGCACCCGTAGCGCCCAATTCAATGGACACACCTGGCAAATTCCTAGCAGTGCTAGTCTGCTCTCTCGAAGGAGCATCCAAGACGCTGCGGATCGCGTATGCGGACGAGGGACCCGTTCACGCCGTAAACAAGCTTGTTCAAGAGCTGAAACGAGATTCTGGGGTTCTGTACAGTACGTCGTATCTCTTCCGCTTCTTTTCCAGGTCCTTCTTCTTCTTTTTCTTCTATGTCGATGTGGAAGTGTGGAGATTGCTGACATTGACTGTTAACGTGTAAAGGCAAGATCACTGTCGGCGACCAAGTCACGGGACAGCAAGGTTACACTTCCTCCGAGACGGGGGTCTTCATGCTCGACGATACGAAGATGCCTCGCCGTACGACTGGTGCGGTAGATGCTACGGAGAGTTTGCCGGGAGTCAGGAGGCCGCCGACCGGACCGCGTGGTGGTGACTATTGGAGTCCCGCAGCGGTTCCTGCGAAGCGGGTGCGATTCACGGATAGGGGTAGCGATGGCCGGTTGGCTACGGTTGGTAGGGGAAAGAGCACGGACGACGGATTGGATTACGGTGGTGGTGATGCAGGTGGTGTGAAGGGAGACGAGATGTTGTGAGGAAGGTGGAGCAAGACGAGAGCGGCTGAGATGAGTGGATTGTTTGGTTGGATCCGACATGGACATGGCGGCCGTTTTCCTTTTCATTTCTTGCTGATTGCGAGATCGCGAGTGGGCATGTTTTGGAAAAGTCAAGTTTGTGTTCCATGCCATCGTCTGCATGTCATTGATCGCGATGGCCTCACATCAAGCCATCGTTTGCCCAGGAGAATAAATTTCTGCCTTGTGGTCTGGTCAAGATGAAGGGGATGGACAAAGGATGGCGAAAATTGGATGGGATATATGGGAAATTTGGAATTATCGACGGAGATGTCCTTGGAACAATCGAAAAAAGCGTGATTGAGACGGTATCATTGGGGGACTCAAGTACACTCTTCCAAAGCCCGACATGATGTTCAACTAGATACACTGCTGTCAGATATGAGGAATCGGAAGACACTGGAGGACAAACAAAAAATAGCATTTTTGTTTAGGTATATCTAAGCTAAGGAGTGGGGAAACTTAGCAGATGCGATGTCCCACTGCATATCTTTCCAAATTCCATTCCGATGGCGTCATATATATACAATAGTTGATTTTGGTAATGGTAAAACATACAAGAAATGAAAGTCGACAGTGAGTACGAGACATGAATTGGCATAAGTCACACAAGGTTAGCTAGTTTTTCTTACTCTTGAACAACACACCAGGAAAGAGCTTCAAACTGCAGAGTAAACAGCGCTCACACCCCTGCCACATTCGACCTTCTGCTCCATATCCACTGTGCGTCCACCTAGTGCGGCCACTTTGACACGCTGCTTCGGCGTGATTTGAAATCTGTGCATCTCCTTCTCGCGATCGCGCTTCGCCTTGGCTACACCCGTGATGCCCGCTGAGCGCTCATCCTCGGCCTTTTGATCAAGGGGGTTGATATATGTAGGCGTGGGCGCGTTGCTGCGTTTGCCTGTACCGAGCTGGTAAAATTCGTTATTGCCCCAGAACACGATGTCGCGACCCCAATTGGTGTCGTTGGGCGTCAACGCGTGACTTTTTCTTGCAGCAGGGGAAACAGCAACGCTGGCAACATTGTCCAACACGGCCGCAGCGTGCGTAGTCCCGATAGACATGTACGCAAGGCGGATAGGAATCACTCTGTTAGCGGGCTCATCGTACTCGAAGAGCCCCGAGAAGGTCGGAACTTTGACGGGTGTGGCTTGTGTATGTGTCCAGCGGCCTGTGGCGAGCTGTCCCGTGAGCCCGAAGCCGAATGCCCACGTATCCGCCTGTACGCGAGTTGTTTGGGACGGCGTAGGTGCAGTGGGATTGGGCTTTGCGGCCTCAATAGTGAGGAAGGAGGTGTTTCCGCCAGCAAAAACGTTGGTGACAGCGGCTTGCTGCGCGGAGCCTGCATATAGCCTCTGTGTGGGGAGCAGAGAGGGTGCGTCGATGTGGGCAGCTTCGGCATCAAATTCAAAACCAAGTTGTCCAGAAGAATTGTCGCCGAAGGAGAAGGCCCGGCCAGCGGCGTCTGAGACAAGCGAATGATTGTCGCCGGTTGCAATGTGAGTTATAGGGAAGCCTTTGAGGGTGAGTATCTCGTGCGCCATGTCGAATGCGCCTTGAGGTCGCGATTCCCAGGTCAGACCGGGCACACCGAGTTGGCCTCTGCTGGGGAAATCTTGCGAGCCAGAAGCGAACGAGAAGACGCGACCGGAGGATGTAAGCATGAGAGCATGTTCAAGGCCTGAGGAGATGGATGTAACTTTTTCGCCGCGGGAGAGGTTTTCGGGTGTGCGTATACGGTATGATATGTTGTTTGTTGTGGAGCCCCAGAAGGGAATCCAAGAGGAGGAGGCAGGCGGTTTGGGTCCGGTCATCTGTTCTTCCCTGGATACGGGAAGCGAATAAACGTCGCCAGAGGAGGATAGGGCGATGATGCGGTCACGAGAAATAGCCAAACTTTTTAGGTTTTTCCCTTGTAGTGTTCTGGTGGGCTGTGTGACGTCCTTTGCGAATGCGACGCCCCACTGCAGCAGATCGCCGTGCTCGTCAATGGCGGCAGCAAAATTTCTATCCAGCTTGATGTCTCGTAATAGGATATTGTCGAAGAAGGGTATGCGGCGGGGTGTCTTGATGAACGTTTCTTGCGAATCCGGAGCAACGACTCGTCCAGAATTGGAACCCCAAGCATACACGCCTGGATTCTCCCAGCTCTTCTGGACCTGCAAATGTTGCGAGCTGATGATGTTACGATTGTCCTCTTCCGACAAGGCCTGGCGCCTCTGTTCCTCAAACTTGAGATTTTGCTCTTCCTGGGATGGTGGCTCTTCAGCGTGAACTTCGCCGAAAATCTTGTTGCCGTTCATCCATTGCCATGTTGCGCCGGTTGCGAACAGGACTGTGACGGTGGCGACAGATCGGACGAAATGCTGTTGTCTTCGCTGGGCATATGGGTGGGGGATGGCACGCGCCCGTGGAAGAGGGCGAGAATGACGGGTAATGGCCCTGGTGAATTGTGGCGGATGGGGGGCTCGAGACGTTGCACGGCTGAGGCACCTTGTGGAGAGCATCGTGTAGGTGTGTAGGTGAGTGGTGATAAGTCGGGTGGTTGCGAAGATGGAATTAAATTTGGTGTACAGAACCCATCGGAGGTACAGGACAGCACGTGGGGGATGGCGAATGAAGAAATTACATTAATAAGGCGGGCATGTGATGTGGAGCGGCGACTGGCGGTGATCAATGGGGGGTAGATAGATGGGAATGGGAATGATTGAACGAACAGTGGATAGCTCCAGAGATGGATAGAGAGAATGGTGACGTTCTAGACTAACAATCGAGAGCGGGCCATAAGGAGCACCCCCACAGCCGCCCTCTGCGGCGCCGGACTTGATTCGGGGCATCCTTCCACCTTTTAGACAGCAGAATGTATGCGACTCCCCCACGATGGCCCATGCGCAACATGTTGTGTAAGGACTAAGTAGGTGTTGATTGTTAGCGGTCCATAGTCTCTCCACCACTCCCTCTTCGCCCACCCCATACGTGTATACATACAATGTACGAGGATTCCTGGTACAGCGGATTCGTCTCGCGGGCTGCCAAACCCTCCGCCGCTGCCACCACTGCTGCCGACAAGAACAGGCACCGCCGCCGCGAGTCGCTGCTCAAGCAGCCAAACGTAAGCATGCTACCTATCTCCATCCATCCGCGTCGTATTGATTGTGGTTTCTGCAGGACAGCCAAGCTGACGTCGACCGCGTAGGAGGCATTCAAGACCCTATTCTAGAAGCAGCAGAAGATCCCATCGACGCCCTCAATCCCGCCCACAACGGCCCGCCGCCTGCCACCGTGGCCCGCCGCGCCAAATCCTACAGCGACTTTTACGACGTCGTGCGTGCCCACATTAAGAAGGAGGAGAAGGAATTGAAGCAGGACAGGGAATCAAAGTACCCCAAATCGCGCGACACCATCGCCGACGAACTGGAATTTGTTCAATGGTACAACACCATTGACGAGGAGCTGCTCAATGCCAGCCACGATGAATACAAGCTCTACCAGAACCAGTTGCGCCTGACCCGGAACCACCTCGAAACCATAATAGCAGACACCTCGTCGGCCCTCGATACCCTTTCGTCTCTCACCGAAGCCTTCAAGGCAGTCGAGTCCCAGACGACGGCATTCCAGACCCAGTGCGAGGGTTTGATCCAGGACCAGAAGCGCATTACAACTCTTGCCGACGGCATGGAGGAAAATCTCCGGTACTACCTTTACTTGGAACCCATCACAAAGCGTCTCAATGCCCCTGGCGCCGGCAATATTGTGCGAGGCAAGGAATTTACCGATATGCTGGCCAATCTTGACAGTTGTCTAGAATACATGCAATTGCGAACAAAACATCGCGAATCAGCCACATACCGATCCAGATATCGCCTACTGCTGACTCGCGCCCTCACTCTCATCCGTGTTCACTTCACCAATGCCCTCCGCGAAATCGCCGCCGATGTGTCCAAACGGATAGCCGACCGCCAGCTCAACGACACAACCATGTCTGCCCTCCTCTATGCCAAGTTCCGCGTCGGCGCTCCCGAGTTGAAGCAACTAGGTCTTGAAATACAGAAGCGTGCTGTTCTACCAGCGGGAGCGGAACCTGGCGCTGAGGCCGAATACCAAAGCTTGATGAACGAGCTGTATCAGAGCTACTCGGCGACCCGCGGACGCCTGATGCTACCCATTGTGACCAAAAAAATTGCAGACACCGCCCAAGCCCCTAGCACCTCCAAAGATCTGGTTGCCTTCGCCCGGAGTAGCATCAGCTACATTCGCGACATATGCCTTGATGAGTCCGATCTGTGGCGAGAGTGGTTTGATGGGGACCGCGGCATGTACGATTTTCTCGAATCCATATGCGAGCCTTTGTACGACCAACTGCGCCCACGCATCATTCACGAGACACAAATACTCAAGTTGTGCGAATTATGTACGCTGATCCAGACAAGATACATGGAGGAGGAAGATGACGATGAAGACGAGGAACCTGTCTCGCCCATAGAGACTCAAAAGCTCGACTTTACTGCCACTGTACACCCTGCGCTCCAAGATGCGCAGAACCGACTAGTTTTCTTGTCTCTCGCCACATTGCGTGACGAGATTGAGAGATACAAACCCAAACCTGAAGATCTTGACTATCCTGCTAAAAACAAGAAGAATAAGACTGCTCTATCAGGATCCAAGTCCCACCAGCCTATACTCTCAGGAAGGAAGGGACCTCAAATGGATGCACCACCCACCGCACAGATGCCCAAAACACCCACGGTGGTCGAAGAGGATGATGCCGACGGGCGATGGAGCTTCAACACCGAAGCAGCATTCAAAGATTGGTACCCCACACTACGCAAAGCGATATGGCTTCTCAGCAAGATTTATCGTCTTGTTCATGTATGTCAGCCCCAATCACCACTGCTTCTTCGACCTCAATTGACTAATCTTACCAGTCTTCCGTCTTTGATGATCTTGCCCACCGCATCGTACACAGCACCACGGCGTCTCTCCGTCAAGCCAGCACCCTCCTTGTCAAATCGGCCTCCCCAACAGACGCAGCCCTTTTCCTCATTTCCCACCTACTTCTTCTCAAGCAGCAAATCGTCGCCTTCGACATTGAATTCGTCACCCCGGAAACCGACATCCACTACGACATCTCCAGCATCACAAACACCTTCTGGGAGCTCCGGTCGCGCGGGGGGCTCTTCAACCCCCGCAACCTCGTGGGCCTCCTGATCCCCAAAGTCGTCGAGAACATGCTCGACGCCAAAGCAGAAGTCGACACGGTGCTCCGCCAAGCCATCACGGATCTGACGACGCAATTCCAAACGCGCATGCTGGCGCCCATCCTCTCCAAGGACGGCGTCACGCCGCTCAAATCCGTCCCCGTCGACATCGCCCCGCGCACAACTAAGCTCCGCGAGAACATTGCACAGCAGACGCCCTTTTTGCGCCAGAAACTCGATGAGTACGTCGCTGATGTGCGCACCCGCGAGATGCTCGTCGCCGCCGTCATGGAGTCTGTCTCCCACACTTACGAGTCGTGGTACGACACGTGCTACGCGCCCAGCGGCGGGTCTGCTGCCCCCGCGGCCACGGGTCGCAGCGGCAAAGGGAAGGGCAGCGTCGACGGCGTGTGGGATCCGGATGTGTTTAGCGAGTGGTGTGTGGAGACTTTCCGCGTTGGTGGTGCTGGTGGGGTCATGGGACTTGGGATTGTGGGCGGTGGTCGCGATGGGGATGAGTTTGATGACGACGACGATGATGATGATGACGATCGCGATGATGGCGATCGGGGGAGGAGGGCTAGCATCAGTGTTGCGAGTGCCAATGCGAGTGTGAGGACCGGCACTGGTACGGGGATTCGTATCAACATGTAGTTTGATGTTGTATGTTCATACACACATATATACATATTACGCATGATATGGAGCAGATGAAGATGAGTGGCATGTGTCTGCGTCTATCCAAAAAAAGAAAAAAACAAGGTCAGACTCGAATACGTCTTGATCCTATCCGTGCAAACCGTCTACCTTTCCCCATTCCACCATATTCAACGCGAGTGAGGAGCAGTAAACCCCATAAAGAACCAAGATGCCAAGATGCATCGTCGTTCGTCAAAGTTAAACAATTTTACAAATCAATTGCAGCAAAACCTGGTCACCAAAAAGAATGGTAGTGTTCACACTGGTATATTATTTGATTGTCTTGCGCTGTGCATATGTGTGTGATAGACGCTCGTCCTCTATGGACAGAGCCAGTTGAACAAATAAACAAGCATGCGAGGAGTTGATCCTACGCAGATACCCAACAGACAATGGATAGGATATAGATAAACATGACGAGAAATGGTGATAAGAAACGCCTTCCATGAATGATGTCTTGGGGGTTCCTTCCTCCACAAACCCTAGAAACCCCATTTTCCGTGCTCGATCCAGCACTAATCCACCCCCATCAACTCAAGCGGCTCGTTCGACCCCTTTTTGCCGCCTGCACACCCCAGTCCGATGAGACCAGGTGTCGATCTAAACCAAGAAGATAACTTTTCCCATGTTGAAGGAAGAACCTCCTTTTCCTGCCGATGCTCATGATGCGAAAAAAAACGAGGTTGATGAAACCCAGAAAGAGAAAAGAAAGGACCTTTATGTTGAAGAGCCCGCCCAACGCCATGATATTGCGGCGACAAATTGATCGCCGGCGCTCCCGAACACAAGCACAAGCACGAACACGACGACGGGCACTCAGCAGTGTGTACCGGCATCGCCGCCCCGACGTCCCACGCCTAGATGGGAAGCGGGAAGGTGACAGCCCAGGCGGCGATCTCCTTCTTGAGGTTGTTGATTTCGTCCACCTCGCCACCAGCTACCTTGGCCTTGAAGTCCTTGAGCTTGTTGGCTTCCTTGGGAAGCTCGCCCTGCACCTTCTTGCACAGCTTGATGCAAGTGTCGATGTATTGGGCAATCTTCTTGAACTCCTCCTCGCCCAAGCCACGCGAGGTCATGGCGGGTGCGCCAATACGGATACCCATGGGGGTGAGTGCAGACTTGTCACCGGGGGTGGTGTTCTTGTTGCAAGCAATGTTGACTTGCTCCAAAACGGCCTCAACACGGGCACCGTCGAGAGCGAGCGGCTTCAAGTCAAGAAGTACCATGTGGTTGTCGGTACCGTCCGTGACGAGCTTGTAGCCGAGCTCTTTGAAGGAGTTCTCGAGCTGCTTGGCGTTCTTGATGACCTGTTGCTGGTATTTCTTGAAGTCGTCTGTTTGAGCTTGCTTGAGAGCAACAGCAAGGGCAGTGATGGTGTGGTTGTGGGGACCACCCTGGTGACCAGGGAAGACGGAGAAGTTGATGGGGCCTTCAAGATCGTACAAAGTCTCCTTGCCGGACTTGGGATCTGTCTTACGAACGCCCTTGCGGAAAAAGATCATGGCACCACGGGGACCACGGAGCGACTTGTGGGTGGTGGTGGTGACGAGATCGCAGTATGGGAAGGGGGAAGCGTTCACACCAGCGGCGACGAGACCAGAGATGTGGGCCATGTCCATCATGAGGTAGCAGCCAACCTTGTCGGCGATTTCGCGCATGCGGGCATAGTCGATCTCACGGCAGTAGGCCGAAGTTCCGGCAACGAGAACCTTGGGGCGGTACATGAGAGCATTTTGCTCCAACTGGTCGTAATCGATGAGGCCGGTCTCGAGGCTGACGCGGTAGGGGAAGGTTTCAAAGTAAGTAGAGACAGCGGAGATTCTGGACATGCACGGTCAGCTCGTGTACAAACTCGACGACACGATTGGTAAGACTCACTTTCTCTGAGGGGTTTGGTAGCCGTGACTCAAGTGGCCACCGTGAGGAAGATCCAAGCCCATCAGCCTATCGTGAGGCCTCATGATGGCTTGGTATGTCTGCAAGTTGGCGGGGCTACCGCTCAAGCACTGTACGTTGACTCCCCACTTCTCCGGGTCCAGGCCGAAAGTCTCGAGGGCACGCTTTTGGCAAAGCAACTCGACGGCGTCAATGTGCTCGTTGCCACCATAGTACCGGGCGCCGGGGTATCCCTCGGAGTACTTGTTGGACATGGGCGAACCGAGAGCATCAAAGACAGCGCGGGATGTGACGTTTTCGGAGGCGATGAGGAGGATTGACTCGCGTTGACGCTGGATTTCCCTCTCCTGCAGGGAATTAACACGGAATGGCTCTCGTTGTGAGTGATGGAGGAAGGCAGAAGACGACTTACCATGATCTTGGCAACCTCATCGTCCGTCTCGATCAAAGACTTCTCCATGAGGTCCTTGTGGGACTGGGGGAGGGCGTAGTTGGCCATTGTGATACAATTCAAAGAAGATGAAGGGTGGGAGAAGAAAAGAAGAGGATGGGGAAGAAAAGGAGGCAGTAGTAGATGATGATGATGAGGGGGAAGAAGGGTGGGTGGTGGAGGGAAGGAGAATCTGGGGCAGCCGGTCGGTGTATATGTACAATATGACTAGCGGAGGAAGGAAGCGTATTTTTTTTTTCTTGTATGCGTACTTGTCCAAGAGAGTCGCCAGGGTTGCCTCAACTAAGAGCCAGCCAACCAACTAATGAGTTAGTCAATCCGTCCGGGTGTGCAACTTTTTTCTTCGCTGGTTGCAGCGGCGTGAGGGAGGGGCAAATGGTCGGTCCCCTCACTAAACTCAGTTCGGCTAGGCCGGCAGCCAGGTGTTCTTGCTGCCGATCATCGGTCTTGTCTCTTGCTTTGCCGGAACTCTTGCGCTGCTCTGTATGTATCTTGTACTCAAGTACTTACCTACTCACTGCTTGATCACCTACCTGATGCTTCTTCTTCTTCTTCTTCGACCGATTTCATGCCAGAGCGAGAAAACTCTTGACAGAGAAAAACTGCTCCTGAAACCATTCCGAGTGTAGCTTCTGGCGGGTGCTAACTCTCCGACAAAGTGTCCGACGTCGCGGCCGGTAAGATAGGAACAGCCACCAACTGTGAGTGCCCGGCTATGCCAGACACACTCAGCAGTCGAAAGTCCGAGAAGCCAAGTTTGAAAGTAGTCACACACATGCATCTTCATCTTCCTCGGGGGTTGGTATTTATTAGACGACTTTGGTCTGTAGTCGTTGTTGATTCATTGCTTGTTGGTATCTACATATCCTTTTTTTCTCCCCTTTCCATCTCGTTATCGTATCCAGATATTCACATCCATCTGGTCCACCCATTCATCCATGCGTCTTGCCGTGTCTGGCTCAGCTCATCTCGAATCAATGACGTCATTCCATTGACTCAATGCACATGTATACACAAACCAAACGCCAAGTATGCCAAAAAACAACAGGGGCGAAATCAGAATAAAATCATCCTTCGAAAGGTGGACGCGCAACAGCAGCGAACTGCATCTTGCTGGGTACCCACCAAACTGCGGATGGGGGTATGTAATCGATCTTGTGAATGAAGGCGTCAACGCTCGGCGCTCAAAGAAGTAGAACAAGAACAAGAAAGCTGTCGATCAAATCTTTCATTCCCATTGCTTATTTCGTTTCTGCACCTCTCTCTCTCTCTTGCTTCCATCTCATTAACATGCTTCGTATGGGAAATCAGAAAATCATCTTCGCAATGCGGCACCCCAAATTGGAGCGCTTAGTCGTCGGTCAAACGGTCAAGAGCCAAGATGCTCAAAATCATACACAGCAACCCGATAGTAACGATGATGAACAGTGCAAAGCCGAACCAACCGAGCACCATGGCACTGGTACCGACGCCCGACTTGACACTGCCATTGCCCAAATCTTGCACAATGGTCGCAGCGGATACGGCGGCAGTATGTTGCCAAAGTACAGAGACGAGGACGAAGATGGAAGCGATAAAGATGAGGGCGAGGGCGACCTGGGACACGGGTCTGGATGGGAAAGGCTTGACGTCGACCTCGGAGCCGGTGCGCTCATCGCGCTCTTCGTGCCATCCGGGGAAAGTGGCGAGCAAGACGAAGCAGAAGAAGGCGAAGATGATGGCGACGATGAGTAGGTATGGGAAGACAACGGCATCCTTGAACGTAGAAGCCACCCACACGAGGTTGAGCGGATCTTGGTCTACCGACACACCGTCGACGAGCGCGGTAGCGTTGTTGGTGCAGATGTAGTCGCCGCCATCCTTGTTGATGCAGATGCCAAAGTATCCCACGCGTACCGCGAGTTGGGCGTTGCCGACAATGTTGGCAATGGCTGCTGTAACGCCGGGGTCGACTTGTTCGGTGGAGTAGACGGGGGTGTACTTTTCGTACCACATGGAAACGAGGAAGATGCCTGGTATCAGGGGCGAGGTGGAGGAGCAGCCTGCTAGTAGTAGTGCTGCGCGTAGAGGTCAGTGGCTGTTCCAATTGCATTTGGAAAGGAGGAAGAAGAGACGTACATAGCAGGATGATAGCAATGGCTATGAAGATCATAAGAATGTGGTGGTAGCCGACAAACGGTAGCAGCCCTAGAGGTGGGTTAGCAAGACATTCCTGGCTGTATTTGGATGGAGAGGAGGAAACGCACGTTGCATGCTAACCGCGAAGCGCATGTTGGCCATGATGTCTTGTTACTTGCGGGGGATGTGTCTGGGGAATGTATCCGGGGAAAACCTCCTGCGCCCCAGGAGGGCCGGAGAGAGTTGCGAAGGAATGCAGACAGAGAGAGACCGAGGCGAGCGAGCGGAATCAGGAATGCGATGGATGTGGCGGGTCGTGTCGCAGTCGAGGAATTGAGGAAGAGAGCGGAGAGAGGTGTGGATAGATGTAGTGCTGATGATGCTCAACTGCTATCACAACGATTGTCAGAAACAAACCCGAACGCTTGCTGTTTGTGTGGATGTGTGTGGGTGTGGAGAGAGGAAGTGAGGAGAGGGAGGAGAGTAGCTTAGTGAGTGAGTGAGAGAGAAGTTTTTCTCTAGAAGCAGAGCGCGTGCCTGCCGGTATACTTTTGGAGTTCCAAAAATGCGTGAGGTTGGGTATCTGGTCGTGGTGGCTGGATGGAGGCCCAGCCTCCCCAATATCTCTCCGCTCCACGCCAGCGCCACTGTTTACTACCGCCCGGCTGCCATGGCAACCATCCCCCCCCCAGACGTCATTCCCGCTTCTCCACCCAATCATGGCGCAAATCATCTCCGCTGGTTGCAACTCTTCTCGACGCGTTACTTGGTTGACTGGTCGATTCTTCGCTCAATGGATTGAAACAAGTCTACCATGTATGTACACTACCACTACTGCTACCACTACCGTTGTTCCTGTTCCTGGATTTGCTGCACGCGCGGCTTCAAGCGAGCCTCGGTCCCCAAACTAGACTGCCCACCTCAGGCTCTTTCTTTCGCCATAAATCCCCAGCCTCGCCCTTTTGTATTTCCATCTCTTTGGTCCTGTCCCTTGATAATCCCCCGGTCTGTTGTATCAGCTACCCCTGCGCTAGCGACCGTGTCGACGTGGCACAATCCATCACCGACAGTCCTTTGAACTTTTGATGTTCCAGACCACCATCAAACATTGGGACGTGGTTGTTTGAATGTTCACGTGGGTGTTCAGACGACACGTGATCTCTGCACGCCTTGCGCGGTATCACGTGTCTGCGGGCGGCCAACATCCATGGGCTGATGGGATGAAAATTCCTACCTACCTAGGTACATATGTAGGTATGTACTTCAATTAAGCGTGCATCACGTCCTCGTACTGCCAGAAAGGTATCGCATCAAACCACTTGAAGGCATTTGGTGTGGGCATGAATTCTCCCTCAACAACTGGTCATGAAAAGCGCACGTTGCCTGTAGCAACAAACATTGAATGCTAAGAATCGTTCGCTCTGCCAGTACCCAGGATACCTACCAGGTTCCATCATGAAACCTTATATTGACCTCGGGCTTTGTGACTGGCAACGGTTTCAATGCTCCCATATGGGGGGGAAATAATCGAAGACATACAAATACATATGTACATGCTGAGCGAAGGACAAAGAAAGGTACCTTAAGCAAGCAGACCAGAAGGGCGATGGATATCTAGCTTGAAACAAGGCAAGGCCTGAACTTCATTCCAATGCCATTCTTACAGGTTAATTGTATGCACTCCTGCCAATCCACGTTTGACCCAGTCACCCGTCAGTTCAAAGGATTCTCTGACCGCATGCATCTCATCTAAAGCAGAGTACAACGGTACCTCACGATCGAGAATCACAATAACGAATCTCGATTATCGGTACTCTGCTTTGGTCATGTGCCATGTACGTACTTCCAGATGTCGCAATCAATTCATCAGCTTGAACTGCCGGCCAGTCCTGGTGCCTGGCAGGTGAGCTTCATTCCAAGACGCATATACACGCACCTATATCATGCACGGCATAGAGCACCCCCTAAGCTTCGACCAAAACGGACTTATTTTATGCATATCGCGGCCCTCGATCTTGATTTCTCGTGTCGAATTGCTGTTGTCGAAGTCGAAACTTGGATTGTGAGAGCAACGCCGCTGACCAGTGATGTCATTTCGCGAGACCCCTGTCGCACCGCCGCCTGAGCTCCTCCCATCATCGAGCATCAGCACTGACACGCAAACAGAGACAAAGCCCGCCGATTGGCACGGCAACAAAACAATCTCGATCTTTTGACAAAGGATGCTACACTCAAAGACATCATGCTCGCCCCCTTGTATGTCATATTCGGGTATGACGTAGAATCCACCACTGTCTGCCCTCACTCGGGAGAATGGAGGCGGTGCTCTTATCCTATCTATGAGCCTCTGTTCAACGCGTATGGCTGGATGAAAGCGGATCTGCGAGGACTTCTCAAAGAAGACCACGTACAAGGCTTGAATCCCGATGAAAACAGGATCGATCGTGGTTTACCACATGCAACACCCTGCAACCGTGCTAACCACACATTCATCCAGCACGCACGCATACAGATGATGCGGGATACTGAAACCCTGTCATCAGCCGCCTCCTGTAACAGAAACAATTCTTTTCTTCTGTAATCGCTCACCCCCACGGAGAAATGACGTAGCTCTACACCCTTTCCCCATTGCATTTGCGTGGCTTCAAATGGATATATAAACCCCCCTTTCCGCAGCACCTATTGACCTCCATCACATCCAAGAAACCAAATCAAACTCAACACTACACTACACAACCTTCATCTTTTTTCCCCAAAAACCCAAACTACCACTCCATCAACATGTCTGACATCGGCCGCAAAGACTTCCACGACAAGGCCAAGGAGTCCATGGTCCCCGACTCCACAAAGTCCACCCAAACCAAGCTCAAGGAATCCATCACCGACGCAACCGACAAGTTCGCTCGGTACGTCTTCACCCACCCCTCCACCCCTCCACCCCTTACCCATCCTACACTCCCCTCCAAAGCACTTCCCTTGATCAAAACAACATGACAATAAGATATAAATGAACAAATACTAACATCGATGAATTACAGCGGCGCTCAACCCGACTCCTCAAAGTCCTCCGGCCAGGAGTTCTCCGATAAGGTCGGTCGCTCGCACGACCGCAATGTCCACGGCTCTGGCCCTGAGAGCGTTCTCGACAAGACCAAGCATGCTCTTGGTATGGGAAGGCACTAGACATGCCTGGCTACTAGGAACGAGGGATGTTTTATGATTTGTTGTCATGTTTTTTCCTACCTTTTTTTGTATTGTTATAACGATGTAGCGTTGGTGTTTTGGTACTTATGAGTGGAATTGAATCGAATTGTTATTGAATTCATTTGAGTTGAACCGAATGGATAACGTGACTTTTGTAGTTTTCGAATGTGTGTTGATGGGTTATATTGCTGTTTTCGGTGATGTGATGTGGCTGTTATGAATCATTTGAACATAACTTTGCGTGGGGAATAGCAATGCGCATATTACTCTTATCACTGAAAGACCATATCAAAAGAGATTGGATGGGTTCATTTTTATAAATCCCATGTTTTCTCATAACCGACCCACTCGCTTGAAATCACGTCTCGAGTACATGAAGAATATGGATGATAATCACCTTTCACTAGCATAAAGTAAACAGTGTTAAGAACAGAGAAAGAAAAATGGATAATAATCAAACGGCCCCCTTCCAAACGATCCCGCTGATTACCCAATGAATACAGAATACCAAAAGTATGAAGCCACCAGGAAAAAAAAAAGAAAGAGTGATTAAACAAAACGGTGGAGGGGATAGCAAATTCGTAAAATCATCATCTCCAAACAACAACACCATATCAATTCTTCCCACCCGAGTCTTCCCGCTTCGAACACAGCCAGGAAGAAAGAATAAAACGGAACAAAAACCAGAGAAAGAAAAAAAGAAGGAGAGCCCTTATTCAGTTTCCCTACTACCACCCTCCACGAACCCTCCTCCCAGCACCTGCCTTCCCACCAACCTTCCCCCCTGTAACCCTCGCAGCCCACCTCCTCACAACGACCGCACGAGCCCAACTCTGCACCGCCAGCACGATCCCTTCCAACCGCACCTTCCTCATCTCCAGCACAGCTCTCCACCGCTTCTGCACAGCAATAGCAGCGCGAGCGAGTTTCTCCCTCTGCGCGCCAATCTCGGCAGCGGCGCGCGAAACGCGTAGATGCGCGACGCGGGTGGCGATGATGCGGCGCGTGAGGTGGGCGCGGTAGAAGCGTTGGATGGTTGTTGCTGCGCGGTGGGTGCGGGCGAGCGGGGGGAGGCGGGAGGCGAGAAAGGAGAGGGTGAGGAGGGTGAAGTCCCTTGAGGGGATCGTTTGGGTTTTGGTGTGGGTTGATGTCGATGATGATGATGTGAAGAGGGTGATGAAGGAGGGGGAGCAGCCTGTTGCGCGGAGTTTGGAGGATAGCGTGAATGTTGAAGATGATGAAGATGACGATAGTAGTGATGGAGGTAGGAAGGTTGGCGGTAAGTATTCGTCTACGATTGCCTCGATGATTCTTGGGTCGGAGAAGGATGTTGTGAGGTTGGTTACCTTTAGGCCTTTGGTGCGCGCGATGCATCGCGCCCAGGAAAGGAGTAAACGTGTGTGGTATGCCAGACCTGCATTGCCATCGTATTCACCCCGGCTACCCGTTTCGGTGTCTTCTTCTTCATCGGAATCCAGATGTCGATCTTGGTACTCATTGCGCCGCTTGTACCATTGCGATCTGAATCGCTCAATCTCCCGCACAATGTGCGCCCAGTCGACGAGGTTCGCGAGTCCGTGTTTGCCGACCAGCGACCAGAGAAGCAACATAGTTTTCTCGCGGTGTCCATCGACGATATCTTCCGGTTTGATGCCGCCAACGACATTAAGAGGGATGCCGCGCACGCCGTCCAATGCTGCGAGCGCGACTTGCACGTTGTATAGCTTCTGTGCGCGCCCAATCGATGGAACTCTGAGGTGCTGCGAGAGAACCCAGCTTTCTTTGGCCGTAAAGTCGAAAGCGCTAGTGAGCGTGTCGCCTGTGGGCATAGTGACGGTTACAGTATCTTCCTGGCGGGCAACAAGAGTAGGAGGTGGGTACAACAGGAGCTCGACGAGGCGGGTGAGAATTACACCGTCGCGAAGATCAATGGCGATGTTTTCGATATGGTACGTAAACTCTTGGAGTGGATACTGCGTGTGATCGACTTTGTAGTTGAGGTGACCCAGTGGTCGCGTAATGTCGCCGTGAGAGGGGAGAAGCATAGTAGATAATGCGTGAAGGACGTCGGTTGATGTTTTATACGCAGATGCGGATTGAAAGAGACATCCCGACACCATATCTGCACTTTTCGCCCGGTCAAGTAGATAGATGAGCGATAGACTTCGGAGAGCGGTACGGCGCCACGACCAGCCTTGCGAGCCAAAGTCGTCGTTGGTATGATCACCTCCACGAGCAAGCGTAGCAATGCTACCAACCGTGCCAGATTTGACACGTACGGCGTCCTCGTTGCGGATGAGGAAAACATCTAGGAAATTTTCAATTGCCCTTCGCTCGGCTCGCATCGAACGCGATCCGTCGTCAGAACTGGTAGAGCCACTTGACAGGCGCGATGGAGCAGTAATTTGGCGACCGATTATGGCTTCAGCTGCGGCACGAAGAGTGGTGAGGTCGTATGTCTTTACCCAAAGATTTAAAAACTTTTTGCGCAAGCCAACGTCGTCTTTAAGTCTCAGCGTTTGAGCAAGGAGATCTTTTGGTATGCTTAGTGCACCGTATTGCAAAGAAGCCTGCAAGCGCTTGTGCAAGGAAAGCATGGCTGGCTCTTGGTAAAGATCTAACAACCTCCTCCTTAGTTCTACGTTAGTTTGCTCAGCATTAGGATCTGCGCTGGCAGCCTCGAACATGGAGTTGAGAAGCTGAGTGATAGCCACCTCTTGGTAAGTCAACCAATTGTCCTCGTACAGCTCTGGTCTAGCTAGATCTTCTGTCAAGACAGAGTATTTTTCCTTAGGGGGCGGCCGTGGTTGTCCCACTTCATGCATCAGTGTGATCTGCGATGAGGCTCGCTCCGCTCTCCGCCGTCGAAGCGCAGTGGGGGGTGATCGGTCCGTATGGAAAGGAGAGGAAGAGGCCAGTGGAATGCGAGGAGCAGTCTTTGAAATTTTACTCTTTGCGTTCTTGATGTCAGGTTTTGGTGCGGCGGGACGTGTGGAAGAAGCCAGTGCACCGGCCCTCGTCTTGAGAGCCTTCGCAGGTGACCCCTCATACCGCGTAGATGTCCTTGTCCTCTTCTGTGTGCCCTCTTTCTTAGTGGTCGCCCGAGAGCTCGTCTCAGAAACTTTAGAGCTAAAATGCACTTTTGCGGGCTTAACGGCATGGTTCCGCTCCTCTATCTTGCCAAAATTCAGCTCAATATGCGTGGCTCCATTCTTTCCCTCAAAAACCTCCATGCCAGGCGGCACATTCTCCTTTCCGCCGCCCTGACCACACACATCATGGCTGAAAGAAGACCCCTGTCGGCCTGTTTGTACAAGAGGCACCCGTTTTGGTGGCGCCGCGAGCGATTTCCTGGAACTCTTTCTCTCCTTCTTCAACACCGATACGAGGTTCTCAGGTTCTTCTTCCGATAGCGTGACAAGATCCAGGCCAATATCCGGACTCTTCTCGCGCGGATTGCGCGCCTTGTGGGCTTGAACTGCGTTTCCAGGGTGTATGGTGAAGATGGATGTTTCATCAGATGGGATGTAGATAGTATTTCGCCGAGAGTTCTTGACATGATCTTGCTTGCGCTGTTCTCGGTTGCCCAAAAGGTCTTCACGCAACTGAACAGTGGCATCTGATGCAACCACCGACTGTCTTTCCACTAGCAACTGCGAGACGCGTCGTCTCTGGGGTTTAGTTTCCCTACGCTCTGGTGCCGGCGCAGGAGCTGCGATGGATGGTTCGGGGGCAGGTAGATGTATCCTTTGCGCGCCTCTCGCCAGAATCGAACTCTTTTTCTCCGTTCTCACGCCAGCATTGACTGCACTCGCGCTGACCCCACTTTCCCTGACCGGCCCCCTTTCCCTCGCCGTGCTCCTCCTCATACCTTTCCTCGTGGCCGTGGGCTCTCGCTGGAGTTCCGCTTCCTCCTCTTCGAGCGCGACATCTTCGAAAATATCCAGGCTCGGTTCGAATCCTCCCCTGGAGTCCGCAACACTCTGTCTCATCATGCTCTTACGCATCATGGGCGGTCTCTTAGGCTTTGCATTGCGCAGCCCCGCGCCAGTGCTTGCGCTCGCGCTCGCGCTTGTCTTCAGATCGGTTGTGTATTCGATGTTGGCCGTGGTCCCGTCATCGTAGGCGTAAGCGTTCGCGTAGCTGGTTGAATGGGGCGCGTTGTACATGGACGAAGAACGGCGGCCGGCAAAAGATGTGTTGGACGGGCACGGTGTACCCTCTGCGTAGCGACGCATCGTGTCTTGGGTAAGCGCTATGAAATGGACATGCGACGATGTGGAAGTATATATGTGGGTGGTGGTTGTATGCGTGTAGTGTGGTGTATGTAGAATAGCAGGCGGAAGGTATGACAATGTTCAAGACGAAGCAAGGGAGAGTGGGTTTGTGTTCAATTCATGTCCTTCCGTATGGGGCGCTTAGCCGGTTGGATGCACGGACGCGACAACGTTGCTTGTTGCTTGTCGCTCAGGCGGTTGCGAGGGGCAACGGCACCGCTTCATCCCCATAAGCCTATCATCCCATCACACGTGAAACACTATTCTAGAACACCATGTCAAACAGCCCTAAAGACAATGAGTCATACAATCATCATTAAAGGTATCAAGTCATGTGCAACCAAACAACCGATCCCTAGATATGAACCGTTGATGTATCTACCCCCAAGGCCATCATACACCAGAATGCAAGCCATCACCCAAACGCCGTATCCTCTCATCGTAAATGCATGCATACATAGCAAGAACCCTAGAAAAAAGCCGATGCCATTCAGAATCCGTTATGCACCGGCCCTAATATAGTCCTTGTTTTCAATCGTTACACTCTTCGTCTGCGCGTCGTCGGTCAGTAAAATTGGTCAATGTCAGTGCAATCGAGTTCCTGCTTACCATGTGGTTCACTTTGTACACGCCCACAAGCCGGGCTGCAAGCTCAAACATGTTATTGCGCAAGGAAATGACAATAAACTGTGCGTTCTTCGTTCGCTGTTGAATGTAACTAGCGACGATAGACACCTGTAGAGTAAGGAGACATCCTTGTTAGCATGTTTCTTTCCATCATTCATCATTGTGCTGCACTACGTTGTGCACCGGATCGTGACTTACATTTCGGAAGTCCAATGCTGCGTCGATCTCGTCCATGACATAGAGTGGCGTGGGCTTGTAATGATGCAGCGCAAATACAAGTGCCAGCGAACTCAATGTCTTCTCACCACCAGAGAGGTTGGAAATGTTCTTCCAACTCTTCTTGGGTGGCATCACACTGAAAAGGATGCCTTCCGAGAAAGGATCCAGCGAGTCAACCAGCTCCAGCTCCGCATTACCACCCATCGTAATCATCTGGTACATCTCTTTCAGGCGCGCCGTGATGATACTGAAGCCTTCCATGAACCCTTCCAATCGGAGTCGGCGCAGTTCATCGCAGCGTTTCTTAGCTGTATCGCGAGATTCTACGGCTTCCGCGAGGTCCAGGCTGCGAGCCGCGTGTTCCTCAACTCGCTTGCGGTATTCACCGAGAACTGCCAGATCGACGTTAACGTTCTCGTTCTTCTTTTCGAGCTGCTCAATCTCATCCTTGAGCTCATCTTTGTCCATGTCTTGTAATTCGTCCTTGGTATATGTGGGCAGTCCTTCCGACTCTTGGTCCTCTCCAAGATCACTGACACTCTGGTATGAAAGCTTCGATAGTTTGTCCTGGTAAAAGCGCTGCTTTTTCATGTACTCATTCAGACCCTTCTGGCCCTCTTCAAGTTTGTTGCGCATCTCAATCTCGACAGCTCGTGTCTCGTTAAGCTCAGCAGTCTTCTCATCCAGTTCCTTCTTCACTGCTTGGAGCTCTTCTTTCCTCGCCTCGAGGGCCTGTATCGGGGGTTAGTCATAATGATCAAAGCGAAATCTGGCGAAATGACAAACCTCCAAAGCCTCCTCCGCTTGTTGCCTTGTGCCAGCAGCGTCACTACGCTGTGCCTCCATATCTTCATCGACCCTCTCTGCATCTCTGGCCAGCTTATTGAGGTCCTTGATCGCATCATTATGAGCCTTCTCGTGCTTCGCCCGCTGCTTCTCCTCTTTGGATTTGGAGACTTCAGCATTCGAAGAAGCCTCCGTAAGGGTATCGATCTGTTGTTTCAGACCGTCAACCTTGGCTTTTTGACCTCGGAGCTTGACACCACCAATTTCCATAATCTTGTCTTGCAGAGCCTTGATTTCCGCTTCCACGTCCGCGGTCTCGGCGTGCAGCTTCGAAACCTCTTTCTCGGTCGATTTGATGCTCTTCTCGAGAGCAGAGATTCGGCCTTTGTCGGATTTGGTAGTAGCAGCTTCGGCAGCTAGTTCCTTGATGCGACGCTCGGAATCCGCAATGTTGCGATCGAAGCTCTCCAGCTCAAGTGCGATTTTCTGTATCCTTGTTTCCAGCTGGGGTATTTGGTCGTTGATACTCCGAAGTGTGTTCTCTAGATCTCGTTGTTCCTGTTGAAGTTCGGCAAAGGTCTGTTCGAGGGTGTCGCGATCCTGCTCCAACTTCACCACTTGGTCTTTCGAAACATCAGCAGCAAGCTTAGAAGACATTCCGCCCTTGGCTACTCGTGTTCCTCCACCACTCATGGTACCGGACTTGTCGATAAGTTGGCCGTCAAGCGTTACCACTCTCCATCGTTTCGCACCATATGCGATGCGGTTTGCATGCTGAAGCTCGTTTGCAACGAGAGTGTTTTGGAGTACACTGAAGAAGGCGGGTCGGAACCTATCATGCTTCGGTTTTACCAAATCGAACAATCTCGGCACGTTCTCGGGCGTATCGATCGGGGATAGATCTCGTTGAGGCAGACGATCCAAACAAATAAAGTTCGCGCGGCCAAGGTTGTTCTTTCGAAGATACTCGATGCATTGTTGCCCAACCTCTACCGAATCAACAACCAGATTGTCTAGCTGAGGACAAGCCGTGGAGATGGCAACATCGTACTTCTGGTCAATGGCACCAAGATTTCCCAGGCGTCCGTGGAAGCCGCTGATACGGCCTGAATCTTCCAAACGCATGAGACCGGTGAGAACATTGCCTTGTGTTTGGGTTGCCGACAAACTAGCACGTGCTTCATCTGCTTTCTGTCGTGCGCCCGACAGTTTGGTTCTCAGCGTAGGCTCCTTTTCGGATAGCTTTTCGATCTGTATCTGAACTTTTTGCGCCTCTTTCTCGAGCTTCTTCTTTTCCACCTTGCACTCCTCAAGTTCAGAGGTTTTGTTGTCTTTGGACTCTTCGAAGGTGGCGATTTTAGCTTCAACTTCAGCAATGCCCTTTGCACCTGCATTTTCCTTCTCACGGAGGATGTCAAGTTCACTTTGCGCGACGGCAATGGCAGACTGCTTTTCGTTGATCTTGGCGCTCCACGGTTCTAACGACTTTTGCATCGCCGCGATCTCGTCCGAAAGCCCTTGTGTCTTGCCAGCTAGGCTCGCGCGGATAGCTTCAAGTTCTTTTTCTTCAAGCTTCATACTTGCTTCCAACTCTTCAATCTCTTCAGCATAGCGTTCAACATCAGCCGCATATTGTGTAGCAAGCGTTTCAGATTCCGACATGCCAAATTTGCTGGTTTCCTTCGTCTTTTCGAGCTTCTTTTGTTTGTTGGCGAGGAATTTCTTCTTCTCCTCAAACTTGACAGTCTCCTTGTCGATCTTGGCAACTTCTTTCTGTAATTCCTGTGAGTGCTTTTCAAGACGCTCGTACTCCTTGGCGCCCTTCTTGTGCTGCTTATCGAGTTGCTTGATCCCTTCTTCGTTGCCTTGGTGCTTTTCGAGCTCCTCGTTGAGTTGAGCTTGCATTTGAGCGACCGATTCGTGCGTTACAGCAATATGATCATCCATGTTGGAAATAACGATTTGATATAGGGCCGATTTCTTTGTTGAAAGCTCGTTTTCATCACGGATGAAAGCCAGAGCCTTGTTTTTCTTGTCTTCCAGGCCACTTCTCTCCTTCTCAACATGTTGTACGCGGTTGTTTTTCTCCATGCAAACTTCGTTTAGCGTCTCGGTCTCTGCGGCGGACTCTTCGATTGGAGTCTTGTACTTTGAAGTGCCAATAATATCCTCAAGATACTCAAGCAAGCCGTCATCGTGTTCGGTGGCAGCTTTAGGTTTCATCTGTGCAATGGATTCAACCTCGCCCTGTAGAATCAAAAATCGCTTGTGGTCGAGATCAACGCCTCGATCCTTGAGCAATGTGGTGACAATGGTGAAACTGGATTCCTTATTGTTAATGTAGTACTTGCTAGAGTTGTTTTTGAACGCTCTTCGAGAGATGACCAGCTGAGTATCAGGAAGGACCTCACTACCACCGGCTGGTAGATCCTTTACTTCCTGAAAATGTACGGAGACCTCGCAATATTCGAGATTGGGATAGGCAGCTGAATTGTGGATGAGGGCGGAGATCTTGCCCTGGCGCATTTTGCTTGCGCGAAAACCGAACACAAATAGCAGCGAATCGATGACGTTGGACTTTCCAGATCCGTTCGGGCCTACCACAGACGAGAAGGACGCATGAAATGGTCCGACCTTTTGCTCACCAGCGTAACTCTTGAAGTTGGTGAGGACCAACCAAGTGATGACTGTGCGCTGTTTAGGGATGTTGGATTCCTGGGTCGAAGGTATACCAGCAGCACGTTTCCGCACTACAATGTCCATGGGCCTCTCCAGCGTTGTATGTTGGACATTCACGCGTTCGACTGCAGCGGTTGCCTGTTTGGACGAAGTCGCAGACTCCGCCTCGGATTCTGGCGTCGGCTCGACGACGGTTCTCTGGGTGGCATCTGCTCGAGGGGTATCTGGCGCACTGGTTGGAGCGGTCTCAGGCACAGGCGCAGGCTCGGGATCAGGGTCGGGTTCGCTCTTGATGACGGTGGCCTCTACTTCCGGCTCCAGCTCCGGCTCAACTTGAGGCTCCGGCGACTTCACTGCTGTAGACTTCTTCCGAGGGGACCTTTTCACCGGCGACGCGGGCTCGACATCATCGGCTGCAGGCGTAAATACCTGCGTGGGCTCGATAGATTCGGGCACACGTGTGCGCCGCCGTGTTGTTTTCGGGGCTGGTGTGGATGAAGCGCCCGCCTCTGTGTTCTTTTTGGGTCGCCCCCGAGTTCTTTTGGGCGGAGCGGGTTCTGGTGTGAAGTCATCTTCTTCCTCTTCTTTCACCTGTGGTGTGCTCTGACGGCTACTCTCATCGTCGGAATCGTCCACGACAGGCGCTCTCCGGCGGGTTACGGCAGCGCGGGTTGACTTTCGGGGCGACGCTGAAGACATTTTTGCGTCTAATGTGGTAGAATGGCGAGCGGCTTTACAATCAGCCTGATATAGGTCGTGGGTCGTGAGCCCCGAGGGTTCGGTGTCGTTACGTTTGTCGTCGTCGGCTTTTCCTATGGGTTGTGCGACTCTTCCCTCTCATGTTGGTAAACAAGCGCACGGACTCCAAACTAAACTCAACCCCACGCGCCGCGTCAACCAATCATAGATTCGTACTAACCTTAGGTATCAACAGATACACATCAATATCAACGTCTCCGGCGATTTTTCTTCGTGAAACTGTCCTCTATTCGAGTAATTCAATATTTGATAGACGAAATTTTGTCAACAAAGAAGGCGTAGGACAAATGATGGGTGTGGTATTGGAGAGGACTCCCATAAATGGAGAGAACGGGATGGGAAAACCATATATCCGACACTAGCCCGATTTGAACTAGTGCTCAAGAGTGTCCCCCAGTCCCTGCTTTTGCTTATTGCAATAAGCTTGTGTAAAGGCGTAATTGCTCATTTTTTAGTACCTCTATTGTTATAAACCCATCGCTGTGTATAGGAACACCTCAATTCCAACTTGAAACCAATAAAGAGGGCGAGCAGTCATGTCCTTGTCCTACAATGAAGAGCAAGAAATTACTTTGAACATTTGAAAGCACTAAACTGTTCTGCCCCTAGCACGTAGGATTCAATCTCAGCCTTTCTGGTATGCCTTATATAGAGCTCGCTCGTTCATCGATTTCCATACTCCCGGGAGCTTCAAAAACAGGTAACAACTCGGCTGACGTCAGTGAAAACCCGGCTGCAACTCTGTGTGCACAGGTATACAATAGCTCCAACAACAACAACAACTTAGTTATCGGCATCGATTGATAGTTTTTTCCCTTGCTGCTTATTTGATCCTGCCGATTCAGAAACACAACGTATCAAACATGTCGATCACTATTCACCATCTTCAAATGTCCCCAAGCGAACGCGTTCTGTTCCTATGCGAAGAACTCGACATCCCCTACACCCTGATCAAATATCCGCGCAACCGCGATACAGTGCAAGGATCCCTCAGCCACATGGATAATGGATCACCGGGTGATCCAGCTAGCAAATTGCCCATCATTGAAGATCCTGAAAACGGGGTTGAGCGACTCCATGAAGCTGGCGCTATCTTCCAGTATATTCTGGCCAGACACTCCGCGTCCACCAGCAGCGGAAGTACTTTACTGTCGAAAGCGTACGGCGAAGAAGGATACGTGGATTTCATTTACTGGCTTCACTATGCGAATGCCGATTTTGAAGCTGAGATGAAGTCGGCTATGTACAGTGATTTGGCAGCTTTGCCTGGAAGCTCGAAGCAAACTTCGCTCCAGCGCATGCACACCGCTCTTCGACACATTGGTAGCCGTTTGGCCAAATCGAAGTGGTTGGCGGGCGATGATTTCACGGCTGCAGATATCATGATGGTGTATCCGCTCACCACACAACGTTATCATGGCCCGCTAGTGAGTTATGAGGACTACCCCAATATTGTTAGATTCCTTGCAAACATTGGCGAGCGGCCGGCGTACAGAAGAGCGATGGAAAAAGGCGATCCTGGGATGAAGACATTGCTTGGTGTTGAGGCCCCGAAATCGCGATTTGTAGACAGTGAACTGGTCAAAAGCGTCGTCGACAGTAAGAAAACTGCCAGAAGCTCGGTCCCAAGTCCTTGGAAGTCTATCCTGAGAGGGAAATCTTTGAAAAGGGAAAAGCAAAAGCATACTGTCTCATAGTGTTGACAATATAGGAACCCAGCCAGAGTGTAAAAAATATGAAGCCATATGAGCAAACTCCGCCGAGACATGACAAAGTTCTCACTCGCATATCGTGCGCGTGACCAATTTGTTTGTCGAATGCATGCGCATAGGCCAGCAGCAATTACACTCATACATGCGTGAATGCTTTGGCGGTCAACTTCGCAATCGAGAATAAAAAGGACTTGTTTGGACATGAGCAATCGCGTAAGACACAAACAACATGTTTCACCGGATGCTTGTCTCCCAGTCTGGTATACTCAATTCCGTAATGCTAAATATCAGCTCCACCTCCCAGCGGGTCATCAAGCCAGAATTTATTTCATCATCTTCGATTTTGGTTTTCCCTCTCCAGAGTCCCTCCTATTTGCAGTGGCCGAAACAAGAAATGAAGATGGCAGATCCAACCACACCACGACAGCCTACCAAGGAATCAAACATGCCGGTCAGACCAAGAGGCTCAAGCCGATCTCACCATCTCAATCTGACGCCAACCCCAAATAGACTATCCGACGAAAATTTTAGACTAAACTCCAACACCTACGTATCCCCCCAATCTTCCATCTCGATCGACGGAGAAGAGGATCGGGACGAAGACAGCTATCATGATTCCAGCCCTGTGACCCCTTCGCCCAATATGGTGATATCACCAGCGTCCCCGATTTCCCCCACATCCACACCTATACCTATCATCTTGGATCCGTCGAGCCCAACGCCACCGATCTCTCTCAATGGCAAACGCCACCCTCCAATTCTAGATTCTTCTAGCCTCTTGTCCTCAATGCCTGAATCGTCGACGCCACCGAGCGAAATCGTACAGATACCAGATCCAGTCAGAGTACAAGGTCGTAAGAACTCGAAAGCAGTCGAGAACTTGCAAGTCGAAGAGGGTGGGCAAGGTCGGCGAAGATCATTACGTTTGGAAGAAGCGAGGATGCACATTGCGGAACTTCAAGAGGAAGTAAGAAAAAAGGAACAGAGAAGATTGTCACGCGCTACCGCCAAGTCTCGCTTTACAAAAGAGAGAACGCCTACCAGAAGATCTTCGCGTCTGGCTTCCAGGAATGATGAGGTTTTGGCTGCAGAGAACGATCTCGATGAAGTTCAGGAGGACGGTGGGGAAGAGGAGGACAGAGGTGGTGCCGAGGGCGGGGACAAATCTAGCGACGAGTACACTGAAGACACAGACATCAAAGAGGTTGAGAAAGAAGTCGAAGATCTCCATATTGGCAGAGCTGAGATGACAAAGGTTAGAAAGGTCGTTGAAGAGGCCTGGGCAACATATCAATTTGAGGGCGCAGGGGGTATCAAGAGATTCATTGATGTAGTGTGCCATGAGCAGAGGGCTCTTAAGAAGGTAGAGGCAGATTATATTGGTGATATGGACAGTACAGAGAGGAAGCGAAAGAGGAACCATGATGGCAATGATGATGAGACAGAGGCTAATGCAAGGAAAAGGGGTAAGTATTGACATCTTTGTTGGGGATTTGCGAAAGGAGATCACGGCAGGGGCTTGAGTACCTGAAGGGCATTTCACTTTTGTATCGTGATATTCCCCCCCTACGCATGTGTTCAGATGTCCAAAATGTAGAAATTCAATGTTAATTCCCCTGTATTTACAGTGGGGATATGCATAATGCCAGCGACACTTGATTTCCATCATGAAATCTTCTCACCCCTAGAATCTATCTTTGAATTGGAGACGATGTAGACTACTTGGATTGAGTAGTAGCATTTTCAGATGATATTGTGCGTTAATGACTTATTTGCCATCGACATTAATTGACACTATCTCTATGATAAATTTTGAACAAACATTCATAAGCTTCATGTACTAGACCACAGGCTGAACTACAACAATCGGACGAGTCTTGCTATGGGGGGTGGATTGGTGGTTATAGACGTCTTTGCTGCTTGATCTTTATATGTTTCAGCAGCCTAGTTCAAACTGCAAAAATCATAGCAAGAATGAGTAGATAGCATACATATACAAGATAGAATATGAGCAGACATGACATATACAGTGTAATATAGGGTAGGTGCATTCTTGTCAGAGGACCTACGGGCAAAAAGATTGAATACATTATCATGATCATCGTTAGAATATATCAACAATAGAAAAGACCGAGTTCAAACAACATAACGCCCTTGTAGAGACGAAACAAGGTTTCTTCAAGTAGGCATCGCTGCGATACCACCGCCTCCTCTGCCCGTTGTGGAAGTCGAAGCCTTTTTGGAGCTCCCCACATTCCCACCAGACTTCCTGGCCGTCGCCTTCTTCACCCCACCAGATCCTCCACTCCGACTATAGCCAGTCGATCCTTTCTTGCGCCATGTCTTCTTCTTCTTGAACGGTGGTTTGGTGGAAGTGCTAGAGGATCCAGCACCTCGTAACGATGCGCCAGCGGGAGGTTTTGGCTTTGGGTTGGGGCGCTGAGATTCGAGTTGGACGTAGCGATTGTTGAAACTTTCAACGCTTGGATCGACGGAACCTTTGAAAAAATGACTAACTTGTTCTTCGCCATCGTCGTCGTCGTCAAAGTTGTCGATATCTGAGTCGGAGTACGATGTCGAATTATCATCCCCGACTGCCGCTCCTTCGGTTCCTCCCTCTTCTTCGCTGTCATCGCAGAGATCAATAACATTTTCGTGGTTGGGATCCATTACTAGTCCATCATCGTCATCGTCGTTGTCATACAAAACTTGTGACGGTTGGGGTGCTCCTCCTGTGCCTTCATAAAAGTTCTTTATTTTCGCAATCAGATCTAGGAACGGTTTCCCGAAAAGTTTGACCATCTCAGGTTTGATTTGAGGCAACGCTAGCATTGCATTCTCATCTTCTGGAAGATCAAGACCCATTTCCCGCAGAACCATGTCGGAGAATGGCGCATATCGCATGGGCTTGTTCATCTTGAGCTGATTTGTAATCTTTTTCGCTTCGGTCATGAAGTGCTCCAGGACATCTTTTTGCACATCACTGAGCCCTGCAATCCGTTGATCGACGGTAATTGGAGGCCCACGCGGCTTTTTTGAGGTACGCGTGGTTGCACCTGAAGTTTTGGCCACACGGATCGGTGCAAAGCCATAGTCATCCACATCCTCGTCCTTGTTGACTCCACGGGCTCTTTGCCTGTTTGTGCGACTCGCACGAGAGGCATCTTCATAATAATCATCGTCATCGTCATCTTCCCGTGGCAGACTGTACGCATAGTCTCTGATGTTACGTTTTACAACTGGCCGAATGGGAGATGAAACATTGGTGGAGGGGTACTCCGCTCGAGCTTTCACGCCCTTCTTTTTCGGCGCTTTGGTTTGTGGTTTACGAGGTGTCACCCGGATTTGCATCGTGAACTGCTTCTTGCGTCTTTCGTAATCATAAGCCTTGGGCCCGAGCTGGAAATACGTTAGCTGCAGCCATGAAAGAAGCATTGCACATAACTTACGCGGATGTAGCTGATGGCCCACCCAGCTTTGTTCGACTTGCTCTCGTGCCTCAAAGCCTGAGCTTCGATCAAATGTGTAAACACACGCTCCACGTTCTCTCGTTCCAAGCCCTGACCGAAACCATAACAATCTCCTAAGTTAGCCCCCTTCAGCTTCGCATTCTTCGCCCCTCGGAAAGCATCGACACATTGTAGTAGAGTGACCTCGGAGGATTCTACCTGCTTCACCAATCTTATTGCTGCTGCGGCATATTCCGACAGATCCTTCTCCACAAAGGTCGCATCCGACTTGCAATTGTCACAAGTATTATTACAATCTTCCCTGTTGAATCGTTCGTCAAAATAACCTAAGACCTGTGCACGGCGACAATCGCTCCGGTTCTCACAGAATTGAACGACTTGCCGAAGCATATCGCGCTGACGTTGTTTCTGTTCCATGTTGCCATCGCCGTCTTCGATCATTTTTTTCAACGATATGGTATCGGCGTATTGATAGTAGAGATAGCACTCCGACCGTTTTCCATCCCTGCCTGCTCGGCCAGTCTCCTGGTAATATCCTTCAAGACTTTTTGGGATCGTGTGATGCATGACAAATCGGACGTCTGCTTTATCAATGCCCATACCGAACGCGATCGTGGCAACAATGACATTATATTCGTTGGACTGCCACTTGATCTGCACATCGGATCGTTCAGCAGAGGCCATACCAGCATGATAATGGTAAGCTTTGATGCCGAGTTCGGTCAACTTCTTTGCAACTGACTCGCAGTTTTTCCGGGACAAACAGTATACAATGCCTGACTTGCCGGGATATCGAGCTTTTATCAGCTCAGCGATATTATCGACTATGCCTTTGGCTTTGGCTTTGACCTCGTATGATAAATTTGGTCGGTTGAAGCTCTGTGAAAACAAACGACCGCCACGGATACCAAGATTAGCCATAACATCTGTCCGCACAAGCGGAGTCGCAGTAGCTGTCAGAGCGAGAATGGGCACCCCTGAAAATCGGTGAATGACGTCTCCTAACAGCTTGTAGTCGGGTCTGAAATCATGACCCCATTGACTGACGCAATGTGCTTCGTCGATGACAATACGAGCTAGGCGGTTGCGCTGATGCAGTTGTTCCAGCGCTGAAATCATCCGCTGATTCTTGCCCAACATCTCTGGAGTGACATAGAGCAACTGAATGAACTTCTCAGGCTCCCGCTCTCTCAATCCATCCATGATGAGATTCTTCTCGGCAGCCGTTGATTCTCCATTAATCAAAAAAGCTTGCATATGGAACCGCTCTTTGCAAGCCGTCACCTGATCTTCCATCAAGCTTAGCAAAGGCGAAACGACGATGGTCACACCCTTGGTCTTTCCAGAATTGACAACAGAAGGAAGTTGATAACAAAGCGATTTGCCACCACCAGTCGGCATAAGTACGAAGCAATGTTCACCACCCAATGTCGTATTGATAGCATCAAGTTGCCCTGGTCTAAACCCTCGGAGGTGAAATCTATGAAGCAACATGTCCCTCACATCCCTGGACCAAGGATGCTGCATCCCAGGCATATTCAGATGTGGCTTTTTTGGTGATTGAGGATGATTGCGCTGCGATACCGGGTTGTTCGATGTCTCTTTAAGAGCATGTCGAGAGCTCAGGTGGCTTTGACTGTCCACCCAATCCCCTTTCCAATCATAAGCGCCCGCCGGGCGATTTGGGATGTTGCTCATTTCGATGAGGGCGTCGTCATCGTCATCATCCTCACCTAGAAAATTCTCCTCGTCACCACCTAATGAATAATCTTCCATGTCTATCTCATTGCGATCTGGCGCAGGCCCCATTGTAGTTGTGTTAAAAATACGGGAATCAGGTTCATCAAAATCAAAACCGAATCCGTCCTCGTTGTGAATTGCAGGTGTCGCTCGTATGCGTTCACGCCTTGGAGTTTCTGGTATACGGTGTGATCTGCTTTCCAGTGTGCCCTTGGATACAGGAGCTTGTTCTTGAGCTTTGGTGGCCCAACTAACCTTGGGAGGCGGTGATTCCACATCAGGCTCATCTGCAAAACGTATCTGGTGGCGGGGCGTCCATAGATCTCCAGCTGGAGGATTATTCCGCTTCGAATACTGTGTTTGCGGTACATGACCAGAGCCCGACGCCTGCATATCTTTTTGTTTATGGGTAACCGAAGGAGCCTGTGTCGACTTGACAATGATCCCAGTATGCTCGTTGCTGGATCCTGGCACTGGTACTGGTGACTCTAAATACTTATTCATCCCTGCGGGTTCGAGCAGATGATAGACATTGATGTTCATTTCCTCAAGTTTTTTGAAGACTTCTTTGAGCGCCTCGCCATCAGCTGGATCAAACTCCCCATCAGTATTAAGTCCCACATCAATTTTCGTCCGAATTTCCTGGCGCTTTGCGACCAGAGTCTCGTATGTAGCCTTAGTTGTGATTATCTTGTCCAGAGCAGTCTTTTTCGCATGAGCACGCTTGACGCGATCATTGATATCGGATGAATCAGCACCTGATTCCAATTGCTCCATCAACGCTATTTTTAGTTTTGACCAGCTGGAGGTAGCGGCGTCCAGATGATTTTTTAGACGGAAGCCATCGCTGTCGAAAAAAGCTTCGACAGTACGCCGCATCAAATCCTTCTTTTCCTTTGACAATTCGGAAGCGAGGGGTGCCGAAGGAAGTTTCACGAGTGTCGATGATGGAGTAGACTGCAGTTTTTGGGATGATCTGTGAAGCTTTCCTGGTGATGCAGATGCGTCACGAGTGACCAATGACGTAGTGTTGTTCCGTGAAACTGTAGACCTGGCTAGTAGCTTGGGAGGTGATTGAACCGTAGTGGCATTCCTTTCCGCAATTTCCTGAGGTGTTTGTGCTCTAGTTGAGGGCGGCCGATGTGATGATACCGGCTCAAATTTAGGGTTCACATGAACCTGATCGAACACACCGTCTTCATCGTCCTCCGAATCCATTACTGCAACCCGGTTTCTGCGCTGATAACTTTGTGACGGTTGAGTTCCATTAGATGCATTTTCTACCTTGATGCCTAAAACTTTTCTTGGTGATGGGCTACGATCATGCTTTCCAATTTTCCGCGCAGGGGCAGGTATTTCGGAAGGAGCCCGACTCAGCGATTTGCGTTTACGATTGCTCGGAGTAGCCTCAGCTTCCGCGTCTAGCATGAGTGAATCCTCATCAGAGAACAAATGATGATGATCCTCATCTTCATCATTGATAGTCGCGCTCTCCGGCTGCCTTGACTGTGCCAACCGAGAGACTGGGAGAGTAGTGGAATACGGTGGCGGTGGGCTTTCCGGGACGGTTGCCAGATCATCTATGTGTGCAAAATCTTCGATTCCTCCTGTGCCATTGGCAGGTATCAAGGCTTTAGCCGATCTAGGAGGTACGCGCTGCTGCCAGTCTTGCTCAAATTCTTCGCTCTTCCTCTTTTTGCCTTTAATACTGGACGGCGGAGAAGTAAGATCTATTGACTCTACTTCGTCTGGCTCCGCCTGTCGCGTGTGGGCCGCCCGCTGCGTCGTGGTTGGTGTCGCATTCCCAGAAACCTGTGTACGTAACGACAAGGTGGGCACCGAGTTGTATGACTGTCCACCTGCTAGCATAAGCCGAGGTCTTCCACTCCCGGGTGTAGCTCGTAGCCTCGCCATATCAGGGTCTGCAATCTGCGAGGGGATTGGCTTGTGTATATCGACTGTATAGCTCGCCGAGCGAGTTGTGGCGATTCCGGGGAGCGTAACTGGGGGTGCAGGTGCAGGCACGGGCGCATTGTTCGGTTCAAATTCTAGGATTCCTTGGGATAGCGTGAGTTGTGATGCAGTTATCAGACCGGTTGCAGAGCTTTCGGGTGCGTTTGTATCATATGCAACGATGGGCTGCGCAGGCGGGATGAATGGCTTCTCAGCCAGCAACCACTTGATTTGCGCGTTGAGGTTGTTCTTAGGAGGCATTAGACCGATGCCTTTCCCGGTTTGTTGTCCGCATCGATGTCCAGCGCGTCTTTAAACCCAGCGAAAATGAGAGTCGAGAGTACAAGGGTGGCGATATCTTCTAGAGGGGTGGCTCACTGCATCTTATGTTTGGAGGTCGCGTCCTCGCGTCCGCCGCTCCGCTGACTAAGAAAACACCACAACGCGTAGCACGTGACCTGCGGTTTTGACGCCGTTCACCGCCTTCGCAAACTACTTCCAATACAAGTTCAGATGGATACCAACCAGCTCGACCGACTATGTAACAAAGGTACTGAGAGTGCTTAGTGCGACCGTACTTTGTACTGGTTTCTACAATCCTGGATCATTGCGGTCAAGTTAATCCCCATCAGGCATGAGTCATCATTGTTCCGCTTCGCACGAGATGAAAACACCTTACAAACAGCTAAGATTTGGATACGTGGTACATTCTCGTCTTGACTAAATCAGGCAATCAAAGCTAGCGGGTTGGTCAACTTACGGTGTCGTGTGTTCCTTGAATATCCGTCGAGTCCTATCTATCACAGCAAGTCCAAGATAAATACCTTATCCACAGCCCCATCAGTGAGAAAGCAGAGAGGGCAACCAAATTCCAACATGAACTCTGAAATCGAAGCGACCACGAAACTCTATGAGGCCATTTTAAGCATACACAACGAAACTGTTCCCAACCACGTCTTGCCGGCTGATGAAGCGTTGACTCATGCGCGAGAGTCTCTCCAACAGAGTCTTAGCGCCCATGGCATCGGCATAGAAGGAGCAATTCGGCATATACTGAAAGATTTAGCACCCGGCTTCAATGCTGCATCCCGGTCACCGAACTACTATGGCTTCGTAATTGGGGGTGTTACACCAGCAGCAGCTCTTGCAGATAATCTAGTGACCGCCTACGACCAGAATGTCCATGTACATCTGCCCAAGGAAACAGTTGCCACCAACGTCGAAGATGCTGCGTTATCGATGCTCTGCGAACTTCTGAAATTGGACCCTACGCAATGGTCTCATCGAATCTTCACTACCGGTGCTACGTCTAGCAATATTGTCGGTCTCGCGTGTGGTCGGGAGTATATCATTGCCGAAGCCTCAGCACATAGAAGCGACAAGACGAACAGTATTGGCGAGCTGGGTATCATGAAAGCTATGCGCAATGCAGGAATCGATGAGATTCAAATCTTGACCACGGTACCTCACTCATCCCTTACAAAAGCGGCGGGTATCTTGGGGCTGGGACGTGCTTCGGTCAAAGACGTAGGCCTCAAGGATAAGCCCCATAAGTTTGACATCCCGCAGCTGAAAAAACTGCTGGAGCAGCCTGGTGCAGCATCTATCATCGCCATCTCAGCATCTGAAGTTAACACTGGGTTGTACGCGACTTCTGGACTAGAGGAAATGCAGCAAATTCGGGAACTGGCCGACATGTATGGTGCATGGATCCACGTCGATGGTGCTTTTGGAATCTTTGGACGAATCCTCACTTCACCAAATCATCAGACTATCATAGATGCGAGCGCGGGCCTTGAGCTTGCTGACTCCATCACTGGCGATGGTCACAAGTTGCTCAATGTACCATACGACTGTGGTTTCTTCTTCTCGAAGCATCGCTCAATTGCTCCTCGGGTCTTTCAAAATCCAAACGCCGCCTACCTTAGTACTGGTCCTGCTGCGGATACAATTGCAACTCCCCTGAACATTGGCCTAGAAAATTCAAGGCGCTTTCGCGCACTGCCGGTGTATGCAACTCTCACTGCATATGGAAGCGATGGATACCGTGATATGCTATCCAGGCAGATCGAGCTGTCTCGAGCGGTTGCAGAATTCCTTGATGATAGCGAACATTACGAGCTGCTGGCGAAAAATGGTTTGTCGAAGGAGGCCGCCATTGACCAAATCTACATCATCGTGTTATTCCGGGCTAAAGATGAGGACCTCAACAAAGAGTTGGTCAACAGGATTAAAGCTTCCAAGAAAATATATCTCTCAGGCACAGCTTGGGAAGAAAAGCCAGCATGCAGGTTTGCCGTTTCAAATTGGCAAGCAGAAGTGAAGAGGGACTTTCCCATAATCAAGAGGGTGTTGATGGATGTGGTTAGTGACTGGCAAAAGAAATAGCATACTTTTCTCAATCTCTCAAACCGATGTACAAGCCCCCAGAAATATTATTACTCATTATCTCAAACGTTTCGAATGATCACTGTAGGGTAGTAAATGGCTGTAGTGTGCCCGCAGGTGGGGTGAGGGTAGGGTACTGTCACATGACGCCAGGGTGAGAAATAGTAAAAAAAAAGTAAAGCAGAACAGAGGACTCAGGGTGTGGGATATGCCTATGGGTGCCCATACAAAAGGCTCAACTACATCCATTTACCACTCTAGATCACTGTCCGCCACCTTTCCTCAATTTACCGCCATGTTACCGCCATCTTTCTCCTCCCCTTTGGAAGTCGGCAGCTCCTCGTATATCTCTTCCGGGAGCGTGATCACATCCTCCAAGCTTGCCGCCCTCCCTTTCATCCACCCATGCAGCCCATCCCAATCTACACAGACATTCGGGTTCGGGACATGCACGCCAGGTTTTGTACTACTGTGCGGTGTCCAGCGAAGTGTGTAGATAGATAGATCAGCTTGACACATTAAGGTCTGGCGCAAACTTTCCAAACAATGATCTGTGCTGTTTTAGTATAGAAAGAACTATGCCTCGATCGCAAAGTGCTGAAGATGAAGGACCAGCACCACGAAGATAGGGTGATGCTTACCGACGTGTTCATAAAGATACTCCCAGTCGTGATCCGTGGAATAGTAGTAATCAGGGTTCAAAATCTGTCTCAACCGTTTCTGCACATCAAGTCGATTAGCTTTGATAGATTTTAGGATGAATACGATATCTCGACTTACCAGGCAATGCAGATTGTGCGATAGACCCAGCCCGCCTACGTATCCGCCGTCTTTGTGCTCAAGAGAAGTAGCATTGGCACGTTGAAGCTCCTCAGCTGAAAACTTGACCAGAGTTCCTATTTGCATACATCTCAAGTCAGTCCCACAACATCCTATGGCGATAAAACTCGGAGGCTTGCTATCGGAGTTGATGGCACCAGCGCGATTATCGTACCTTCGAGCAGATCGTGCCAGGCTTTATCCATTTCAGGGCGGGGTTTTCCCATGAATTCTGGTGAGGGCTTGGTTGTGTCCTTATACACATATTTTGCGTGTTCATAAGCAGGTGCTACGCGGTAATTGTCACTTAAAGATTTCTATGCCGCGGCTGTGGATGAGGGTGCGCTTACAGTAGAAGGGTTCAAGTTGCGGTATTGATGATGTTTGCGATCGAGTTGTCACTGCATGAAATGTGTAGGCGGCCAACGGCAGCGTTACTATGGCGAAAATTGATAGCAGCAAATAAAACCTGAATTTCCATGGGTCCGATGTTTGCTGTGATGGTGGTTGTTCCTTGCCCCTAAGCGACTCTTCATCGTTTTGAGCGACTGGCGCATAATCTGATCTCTCTTTCGAAAACATGTTTACTATGAGAGAATGAGAACAACAGAAGCGTGAAAGTTCTGGCGCTACAACAAAGGAAATGATGTCTTCAGCCGATGTGCCCTCTCTCGCATTTTCGCGGTTCCACCTACCGGGATCTGCAGCGAGACGTCAAGGGGGCAAAACTTGCATCAATCAGCTGGAAATAGGACAGCGGGAAGTGATGCTATACATCACTAGATTGTACATATACCAGGATTGGTAAAAAATCACCGTTCAATTAATGCGACGCGGCTTATCCCGGCTCGACAACGTGGTGTAATCACACTTGCATGGTTCTTTCGGTCTCCGAACGAGGATCCTAATAATCCTCTTCAATGGGGTCTTGGCTATTCACCATTGAATTCACCGAAGGTTGAGTATGTGAAGGCTATTATATACGATGAGTGTATCGTGTTGATAGGCTCGGACTACAAGCTCTTATTAATTTATCAACCGGCACCCTTCCTTGCCAGTCGGAGGAGCTCAATGAGAGCTTACATTTTGTGTGTAATCGGCGAGTTGCTTACCGTGCACGACTTCGAGGGACTATCAAGCTCTCGGCTAAGTTCAAATACCCTGGTCTATAGTTTGTAGATCTCTATCGTAAAAGGTGTACACACCGATACATGCCCAGTCGGGTTGTCGCCAAGTGAAATTAGCTGAAAGATACGGGTAAGGAGGCAAACAAGTGATTCACTTGGGTAGAACAGGCACATTCATGTTGAAATCATATATCTTAAGTAGCTGGACGGTAACTGCGCACAGCTACTTTCCGACACGCACACTCTAACTTTCCGGGCACCACTACTTGAGAAATACTATCCAAACACTACCTTTCAAGATGCAATTCATCAACATCGTATTCACTTCTCTGGCATTTGCTGCTTTTGCCGTAGCTTCTCCAGTCCCGGGTACGTACATGGAATATAGTTCCCTACTATGGCGCCTCATACTAATTCATGGAGCAGTTGAAGGCACAGTGGCACCTTTGGCCGATGCTCAAAAACGAGATGGATCGACCGAGTTCGATGCTGACCTGGGGTTCTTCAAAGCGTGAGGACTACTCGGTAGCCTTCTCTTCCTTAAAGGATTCCCGAAGTACTAGATGGATACGATATCTACGCTGCACAGATTGGATGTTGGTGGAGGCGCGTAATTTTCAGTCAGGTCAGACAGGGAACTATAGTCTATAATGAGGAATGAACGATTGTCGAACTGCCGCTTACTCTCGATTGGCGAATAAATCCTACCGTGACTGTCTTACTGCTTATGATGGTCCAAGTTCTGTGAAGTTCAATATACGTGGTACAACATGAGAAAATATCTCATCCATTAGGAAATTTACGTCAAGTGGCAAATCGATAGTGTGGAGGGTCTATCCTGCCTGGCCTGTTCATGCCCCGTCTTTCTTGCACACCCTCGAGACAAGGTGTCAGAGCTGACCCGTATGAAGACGGAAAGGCTCAGAACCCACACTCCCTCTAGCCCCCAAACTTGAACCGGCAAGACGAAGCTCTAGCGTGCGTGCCGAGAGTTCAAAATGGTATTCGTTGTGATGATCCCGCTGTTCCATGCCTCTCGTACGAACACGCATGCATATCGGATTAGGAAAAACGTGAGACAGGGGTGGCGAGAATTGGCCCCCTATCCCCAACAACAGTCTTCGGGATAAGCGGCGCTGACTGCATCGAATGTCCCCGAGCTGATATGAATTAAAGGATGATTCGATTCCAGATCGGTGTCGGGAATGTGCATTCATCGTTCGGCTTATTTTGCTAGCACCGATTCCCAGCTTTCTGGTTTCTACCGGTCTCTCGTGCATTCCCCCTCCGCTGACTTTGACAGATTCCCGGTTTGAGGGAATTTACTCTTGTCAGAAGATGCAACACAGCACTCCAGCCGGAATTATCGTCGGGACCACCATTCTCCAAGTGGTGAGCGCGGGAAGTGTTGGTTTGCGATTTTACACTCGATTTTGGAGGCGATCCAGCATTCTCGTCTCGGATTGGCTTATTTTGGCTGCCTTTGTGCTGGCTACTGGCTTGACCATCACTGAATACTATGGTGAGTATACTCCATACGCGCTTGGATGCCAGTCGAAAAATATCATTGCGATTAATAACTGACGTGCGCGATTGTCCAGGAATTGCCGTAAAAGCTTTTGCCTATCCAATCAGTTTGACATTTCACGATGCCAATGCTGCCAATCGACAACTTGTGCAGTTGAACAACGTGAGTAAAGTAGTCTAAATCATCATCTGTATCTACGCTGACTCAGTATACGTAAAGTTACAAAACGTGATCTTTCTCACAAGTATTCCAGCTTTAGGGCTAATCAGAGTGTCCGTATCGCTGTTGTACTGGCATCTGTTCGCGGCCGTCAAACTTCGGAGATTCCTGATTTTCTGGATTGTGCTCATGGTTGCGTGGACGTTGGCTTTCTTCATTTGCAAAGTTGTCGAGTGCAGAGGGCGTCTCGATGCGCTGGACCCAATGGAAAGACGAAAATATTGTGGCGCGTGCCGGAACTCGGGTTACGTCTACGCTGGGAGTGGTATACTCGCTGATCTGATTACACTTCTTATACCGCTTCCGATAGTAAGTGCTATTCATGACACCCCTTCCTTCTTCTTTTCGGGCAGAGTGCTGACACTAGAATGAAGGTTATATCGCTATCGCTGCCAACGAAACAGAAGTGTCTTGTGCTCGCCACCTTCATGATCGGTGCTTTGTAAGTTGATACTTGAGAAATGCAACGCTTTTACTTACACGCTCAGGTCGGTGGGAGCAAGCATAGCGAAAGGCTATATGTATATCGTGTCAATGATGAACAATGCGAAATGGGATGCTGCTTGTAAGTTCGCTGCAACCAAAAATTGCTAGTCATGAAACTCACGACCTACAGTGCTCCTCGGAGACTTCTCAATGTGGAATCTAGCAGAAGTTCAGGTTGGTATCATCGCAGCATGCGGGATGACCTTGCGGCCCACACTTGCAAGAATCCTTCCAATAGGCCGTATGAAGGCGATTTTCAGGAAAACGAACGAAGAAAGCGAGCCGAAGGACCCTACATTGCCCTCATTCGTTAGGCCTGAGCGTATTGATAGCCCACGAGAGGGACAGATGTCATCTCTTGGTCCTCGAAATGTGCGATAATGAACAAATCCGGATCGATGTAACATTTGGATATTCTTAATCTGCTATCACGCCCAAAGATAGCTCAATTTCGATCTTGTGCCAGATTACCCTATCTTATCTCCCCACAAGTTTTCGAACTTGCTCCTCGAGGCTCTCCGTCTTAGGATCCCCAACCTTCACATTATCACTTTGCTTATACAGTGTACCGCCCTCGGTCCAGATCCGTCTCAGCGTATAAGCAGTCGCAGATGGAATACCCTTCTCCCAAGCTAGCGACTCTAGACTCTTGAGTTCGGCGAGCGGTGTATAAACTGTTTTCCACTTCTCACCCCCAGTTTGCTTCTCAAATTCAGCAAGGATGCGGTGTGGAGTTGTTGTGAAAGAGTTCACTTTGAAAATCCTGGTATTGGGCGAAGAAGCATCCGAAGCGACGAATGGCGTTTCCAAGGACGCAACGAGCAACTTCCCAACATCTGCCATGGTGGTAAAACTGACTTCCTCGTCACCACTTCCGAGCAGAACCGCCTTCTTGTCTTTGACGTCAAATCCGCCTGCTTTTCCACCTTCTCCAATCGGCTTTCCCATATACATGTCCGAGTAAGGTCCGGTGACCAGATATGTTACAAGGAGTCTCTTGATGGAAGATTCAACAAAGGCGCGCACACGCAGTTTGTCTTGGTGGGGTTTTTCATGGGGAGAAGTCAGCGGGTTATAGGTGATGTCTGTGCCGTATTCAGAGGGGTAAAAGGAGGTGATGCTGTTCGAGCGCTCAGCAAGGGCGAGGAGCTGAGTTTGGTTGGTAATGGTGGAGCGACTCAAAGCTGATACAACGGTATCGTAGCCTAGTATATTGTGTCATCTGTTAGAAAAATCTCATGACTCCAGTATGAGGAAAGGGCTGGCATAGCTGAGAAGAATAAACCAAATGGATTCAAATGCTTCCAATATGTTGGATTCAGTGCCCAAGACTTGTATAACAGATTACAAGAGGGGAAAATGGCAATGAAATGGAATTGAAGGTGAAAAATTGGGGGAAGACTGTGAATACGTTTGTTTGGTCTCACCTTCATAAGCGCTGGTCACATCTTCTTCATTCTTTATATCGCCCACCACGACTTTGACTCCTTCATTCTTCAGCTGTTCCACCTCCGCCGCCTTATTTTCCACAGTATTCTGTGATGTAAAAATCGCAATGCTCTCGAACTTCGATTTGTTGTCGACGAGAGCTTGAGTGATGTATTTCCCGATCACACCAGTCGCACCGAAGATGATGATCTTCTTGGGAGTTGGTGGTTGAGAGGCCATTGCTTTAAAATATGGGATATGTCGATTGTATTATTTTTGTTGTTAATTCAACTTTATCTGATGCTGTCACTGTTCACCATCACCCTTCTATCGAGCATCACCCCGCCTTCGGCTTATCTTTATCGGTGACGCTAACTACTCGAAAAGTCATAGTTAGTAAGCAGAGATGACCCTCGGCTTCCAGCAATCTCAGTTCATCTACTAGAGCAGCTATAGTAGGCAATTGGAACATTCTTAGTGGTTGAAGAAGACGATTACGGTAGCTCACCGCAGCATCTTACGAAATGTCGACAGCGGCGATACGTAAGCATACAAATTTTACGCATCCAAGAGGAACGTCCCTACTGACGAAGAAGTTATCACAATATATATTCACTACAAGGATTACATGGCTGCATGAATTGCGTGCTGGGAATAATCATTTAATATTTACACGAAGAACCCCGAAGATGGGCTTATCAATATATACGTAAGAAGGTGTAAGGAAAGAGGTGGATAAGTCGCTGACAGTCGCCTAGCGCAGCAAGCCCGGGCTTACTCATTACTAGGAATAACCCGACAAAAGGGATGTATTTGGGCGTATTTAAAGGCCGGTAACCTCAGGATGTTCCTTTCCACTCAGAATCTGAGGAAACTCGGAATCCGACTCGGGTACAGTCAATACTTGAGAGACAACGGTGATGACAAGTTCTGGTACATCAGCTGGCTTGACCTCTTGACCTCTCTGCAAAAGACGGTTAGCTGCAAATTCTCTGACAGGATGATATTTCATCGCAGGGAGATGAGATTAGACTTACCTCGTTTTTGATGACATAGGTGAATTCATTCTTCAGGTACTCGATGACACTCTCATCGCCATTTGGAGCAAACGACCCGCTCTTTGCCTTTCGATCCAGCGCAGGGGTTAGTTCGATGAGACCGGTCATAGCACTCTTGACCTGGCTGAACTTGGTTGAAAAGGCTCCAGCACGGGCCGGGTCTTCCTTTCCAACACTGGCCTCAACAATATAGCCAGGGACGAGCGAAACAACAGCGAGGTATTCTGTGTGAGTCTTCTTGCCGTCCTCTTGGCGCTTTGCGAGGCTCCATGAAAAGGTAGCAGTGTTACCCCAGTTTGCTTTGATAGTTGCTTTGAGGGTATCGTTGGACGGCTTGTTTGCGAGTTCAGGGTATGTGTAGCCCAGCTTGGTGATGTCGCGCACTGACTTTGAAGTCCAGAAGGCTCCTTTATTGTCCGAGTGAAAGGGGTAAAGTGGAGTGTTCTCGTCAGAAACTTGAGTGGCGTCGAACGCGAAAGTGCCTTGGTTGAAGTTGACATCGGGAACCATCCAAGTAGTAGGGTAGACTGCCTGCCATATGGCGATGTAGCGGTCAACATTGGCGTGGTGGAGCCAAAATACGGGGTCGAAGGCTGTGAATTGCGAAGGGCTCATATGACCGTTCGCAAATGTTGTATGCCCTGTGCCGTGTTTGGTCTCGATATCACCAATCTGTGTAGGGCTACGAGGATCTGTGTAGTACGACGTTGAGAAATTACCCCATCCTTGCCACTGGCTCATGACTCTGTAGATACCACTAGCCGAGAAGTCTCTACCCTCATCGAGCCATTCGTGCATCTCGGTTTTGTTGGTCTTTGCATTGACGTCGTTATCGGGTCTCGTAGGATTGCGCAGTGTGCTCGGCCACTTGTCATAAGGATAGAATAGCTCCTCGCCTTCCGACGCAAAGTCTGAGGGGATGAGGGGGTGAAACGTATACTTGTACAGAGGGTTGGCAATGCTTTTAGTAGTGCCGTTGGGGTATGTGATTGACAGATTCTCGTCCGCAATGGATGTCGGCATGATATGCTCTCCAGAAGGGGCTTTCATAGCCCAATCCCAGTACGGTAAACGAAACTTGGATGCAGCGGTGCGCCATTTGGCCTTCACATTGGTATCCGTGATTTCGTTGACGATTGTCAAAGCTTGCTCATAAATGAGTTTCTCATAGAGCATAAGGTATGGTCGGTGCCACATGGCAAATAGTTGCCCTCCGTGATGGCAGTATCCGTATTGAGATTCCCAGCCATCGGACCAGGAAGGTATACCGTCCCAAGACACATAAGGCCTTCCGTGGATGCCTTCATACTGTCAGCTTATTCATGAGACAATGTTACTAAGAACACAATATCCTGGCTTGTATGAGGATGAAGCTTGAATTGGAAAGACATACCTGCTACTCCATAGAAACTAGTCTTGGTTTGTTGATCCATGGCCTTGAATCGCTCAAGCGCAAGAATGAACAAAGTCCAAACTTCCTTATATGCAGGGTTACGCTCCATTTCCCTGATATCGAGTCGAGTTTGAACTCCACCGTCTGTCATTGCCTGAAGCACATAGTAGTTGTTTTGGCGCGCTTCAATTGAGTTTTCGGGACCAATAGGTGAGCCGGAAACTAAAGAAAGCAAGGTCGCCGAGACGGCTGCTACAGCAGCAATAGACGGGAAAACAACCATGACGAGGAAAGAGTGTGATGATTGGCAATGAAATGAAGATTTGTAGAAGATGACCGAGAGGAAAGACCGAAGGGTGGCGAGGTACTACAACAGCGACAGCGTCCAAGTTTATATACTTCGTGCTGAAGAGTAGGTGCTAGCACGAGAGAAAGCACTGCCGGCCCCCCATTGTGCTTCCCCAATCCCCAGCAAGATGTACAGGCGGCGCCGCTCGGCCAAGCGAAACGATCATTCTCGTATATGCTCGTGCCCTTACATGTCAGCGTGAAATCCGAATCTAGCCAGTGCATTGAACCAAACCCGGGCTCTGGGTAACTGACGAGAGTTCGTATTATTGTCAACATCCTGTATGATTGGATTATTCGCCATCAGCATTGTAAAATTTCAGTGCACGTGTAATCGACATGCCATTAGAGCGTCTTGTGGCGTTCTGAGATGATCATGTTATGCGATACAAGTAAGATTCGAGAACAGTGCCATCATGTACAAGGGTATCGGCGGCACGTTCACCACGGAGGAATCGGAACCAGGCACACTGATTTCGGAGCGATCGATAATGTCTGCCATCTACTTGCCGAGCAGGGGCAGCTGAAAGCTTCCTGTTACTAAAAGTTGAGAAGACCACTGCCATCTAGACTGAGATGTATATACATTTGATCCAAAAGAACATTGACATAGATAGTATTGATGTCAGTCAGTCTTAAGACTATTTCGATGTCCGAGAATGGGAAGTTGATTGTATGTTCACAGAGTTGTTCACTTCCATGTCCTGTGTTCGCGAGAGAAGGATCCCTCTAGACCGAAGACATCGAAGATCTCGGCATATAGAAAGCCTAAAAACAGCCAGTGAATGATCCCGCTGGATTGGCCTATGCACTAGGCATGAAAACCACCAACTTCTTTGCATTTGATCCTCCCGCACGTTTGATAGCCTGATCCGTGGCATTGGGAAAGCTGAGTCAAGTGAGGAAGGTACTTCGTAATGCGCAGGACTTCTGATTCACAGCATCATATCGTATTCCTCGAATACTTATTCGTTCTCACTCAGCATAGGTAGTATTCATTCCTTCAACCGCTTTTTTGTTGCATACAACCAACGATAATTGAGGTGCAGGTAATGTTCCAAACGTTTTCTAGCGTAAATATCATACAGCATCGTAGAGAAGGTTCTGTAGTGCACAGACACGGTATCCAACGTAAGCCACCATGACCCACAATCTTGGATGCAAGCCACATCACTAGAGCTATGTCACTAAGCGATACTGCGATCTCACATCCAATCCTCCTATCACACCTGCATGACACTCATGTGCCTACCCAGAATCCTAGATATCCAATCCAAGCTATAAGATGAACTTAGCAGGCGTTCTCTCAAACACCAATTGCAATGTCCGATTGTTGGCCAATGCGCAGTTGCAGTGAAACCGGTCGGGTACCTATCTACAAATATCGTGCGTTACGATGATGGTTCACTTCTTTTTAATTCTGTAGATGAGGTTAATCGCCATCGGCTTTTGCGTGTGCAATACCACTTCAAAGAATCTGTCTTACGATCACCTTCATATTCAATACCAATGGTTGTACGAAATATAATCAATGCTATGTAAGCGTAATCGTAACTCAAACCGACAGTATGTTTTCGACATGAGGCCCTCCTCCAAGACACGGGAAGCAGTTAGCGGCAAACGAATACGAGCAACTCCAACGCGAAGGACGATAGCGAAATGACACTACGAACGACCAACCCACCACATGAGGTCTGGATACAAAAAACTTCCCTCCAATCACCGATGAGTGCCAAATCTGTCCTAACCTTTTTAGTGAAAAATGTGGCTTCGCCATAAGTTTTGCGGTTTCTCAAGACGGACCCTGCATCCGCAGCTGTCGAACGAGTATTCGCACGCTTATCTGACTCGTGCCGACCTCGCTCAAACAGTGAATATGAAGGAGCAAGGCGCACGTTACAACGGTTGCCTTCACCGGCTAATTTGCTATTGGCTATGTGTATACGCCACGAATAAGCTCGATAGGGTAAATAGGGTGAAGATTCAAACCCATCTTTTTTTGTAACTCTTCGTTCATCCTCCGTCGTTTGGCACACGCCGCGATCTTCTTCGAGGGTTTCGATTGCCAAGTGTTAATACCGGTAGGGCTAGCCGAGCCGCGTGTGAGTAGGTCGGTGCTTTATCGAAGGAAGGCTTTGAGAATCTAGAAGATAAAAAGAAAATCCTGAAGTTAGCTCCAGGACACTAGTTGGTGACATTTGTTGCTTCCAACATCGGCGCACCTTGTGACTATCTGCATACGGGATGTCTGCTACTATTTTGAGGGTTAACGAGGTCGTACTGACCAGATCACACCATGCTTCTAGATGAAAAATAGGTAAGATCGCCATGTGCTGTAGTGACTTCCTAGACTAGCCATAGGAATGTTCTTGGGGCATTGAATCACATCCGAGGGATCAAATCATAGTCGCAGGATTGTAATGATTCTCGTTGCTCACACTCCATGACTAGTTACAACAAGTCCACCTCTCTCGGAGGATGTCCCGCTCCAACCGCTTCCTGTAACCTTTGGTACATTCTAACACTAGCTTTCAGTTGATAGCCCATATCCGCATTGAATTGCCTTGGAAATTCCACAACGCTGTCCAAAAACTTGGTAGGTTATGTGATGTCTCCTCGGAGAAGTGCATCGCATGGCAAATGTCCATTTCAATCCTCTTTCTTTTCAAGTAACTCATTCTGTTCGCCACCGGTCGGGTTGACGCACTCTTTGCACCTATCGGAGAGCCCCAGATTGATGACATCTTGATTTTGACACGCGATATCAGATTGAGCCGCACACTTTTCCGAGTGTGAGACGCGTGTCCAGGCTACATGGTCGCAGTCATGCTCGAAAACCAGGACAATGCAGGAAGAGGGATGTGGGTCGATTTGAGGTGCGGGCTTAGACATTTGCGATTAAGATTTAGGCAGCCGAAGAAAATGAATATTGGGTTATTGAGTATTAAAGATGTCGATCCGAGGAGCGATGTGTGCGAATTAGTTATAGAGCAGCAGTGTTTAAGTATATATGTATGGATATTTTGGTGGATTTGTAGAATACGTGAACTACTCGTACAAGCAATTGACTTGCTCACTAACTTATTCATATACTCAGACATGCTCAGAGATTTGAGTATTTCCCTAGGAAGAGTTGGTCGCCGATTGTAAACGCTGGATCGAATGAGCAGTCGTTACGTGTTTGCCATATCATGCATGCCATGTGTGTCAGATGTCATAGCGGTGTGAACTGACTCCGGCACCTCAAATTCATCAGGCTGAACATGAATATCAGATCTATGGGAATCGATTACTTCAATGGTTTCAATTCTCGTTGCATATAGTAGAATTGAAGGCACTGGCAATCACGATTGACGATGGTGGACCTCGGCGCAAGGTCTACGGTAGCGACTGTTGCCAAAATGGGAAAGGTCGCCAAGGGCTCGCTTAGCCCACGAAATCCCGTCTGTACAATATCATCCACCACGAACTTTTATTCTCTTCAAGCTCCTCAGTCCCAGGATTCACAACAAGTCGCGGAGTTTCCTCAACATTCCCTCTCTTTCACACAAAAAAGAAATCAGTTGAGACAGACTACCTCCCGCACTAGCCATGCGTGAGTATCGTCCCTCTGATCGGCTGCAACAGCCAGGCTAAACATGTCCAGCTCCCAAATTCGACGCCTCCGAGGTCAAGGTCATCCACCTCCGTGCCACCGGTGGTGAAGTTGGTGCCTCGTCCGCTCTCGCTCCTAAGATCGGTCCCCTCGGTCTCTCGCCCAAGAGTACGTTTTCGAAATACCACTCTGCGCGCGGCGTACATGCGCTTTGCGAAACCGAAAAATCCAGCAGACTAACAATTACGCAGAGGTCGGTGAAGATATCGCCAAGGCCACTGGTGACTGGAAGGGTTTGAGGGTCACTGTCCGCTTGACCATCCAGAACCGTCAAGCTGCCGTTTCCGTCGTTCCCTCCGCTTCCTCGCTCGTCATCAAGGCCCTCAAGGAGCCTCCTCGTGACCGCAAGAAGGAGAAGAACATCAAGCACACCAAGAGCATTCCTCTCGATGAGATCATTGCTATTGCCCGCACCATGCGCTTCAAGTCCATGGCCAAGGACTTGAAGGGAACCGTCAAGGAGATCTTGGGTACCGCCTACAGCACTGGCTGCCAGGTTGATGGCCGCAGCCCCAAGGATATCTCCGACGATATCGAGGCTGGCGAGATTGAGAGTACGTTTGATCATAATCTGCAAGACATTTGAGCTTCAATTCTAACAATTTCTTAGTCCCCGAGGAGTAAGCGTTTTTATCAATTACGAAACGGAAAACTCGACGATGGGACGATCTACGGCATAAGAAGGCGCTACATAGCTCGAATAGGGAATCCATGCTTGCACACCAGGACTCTTCGTCCGTGTGAGTCGCGATGCTCTGGTTTTGGCGTTTGCGGCGCGTTGACAAAACTTCAAAAGCAAGCGACCATGGGATACACATGAGGGCTTTCTTGCAATGACATAATGTGCCTTTTTTTGAACAAAATATGAATTCTGATGATACCCATTGATCCTAGTCTATGACTGCTGAATGCATCCCTCTCAAAACGTGCAAGTGATCGGTCAATTGAACCTACCATAGCCACGACTTTCAACATGCGGTACTGACAAGTTCGTTGGGCGGTAGATTCCATCCCACACGACCACTCTCTCCATAGCATGGCCTTAGCCGCCAATCGTACCTGTGCGGCGGCGGGACACCCGTCACCTCCGACCAGCTCCGCGCATTGATCATTGATCCCCCCCTGATTACTCCCCAAAACCGCCGCCAACCACCCCTCAAGCCCGGCCCAAAAAACATGATTCCCGCCTCGATGCTCCTCCATATTATTATATCCCGCTCGGGCACCCGTCACGAGCATGCGGAAAAGACACTCGGATGAACTCCCACGATTCCTGAGGGACTCCTCCTCTTCATCCAACAACAATTACAGCCATGGCCAATCGCCCCAACAATGGCCGCGCAGATACTACATCTACGTAGCCATTCTGCTGCTCGTCTGCTGGCTCATGTACCCTTCCTCATCCTCGCATTCTCTGTCCCACGAACACGGCGTGGACAGCTGGAACAACTATGCATATAGTCTGTATGCGAGTGACAGCGCGACGCTGTGCCATGCTCTGCTCGTGTTCCACGCTCTCGAGCGGTTCGGGAGCAAGGCCGAGCGCGTGCTGTTCTACCCTGATTACTGGGACTTGAAGATTGATGGGAAATTGGATCGGGATAGCCAGTTGCTGGTGGAGGCGAAACGAAGGTACAAGGTCAAATTGAAGGCGACCAAGTTGCTTAATGTGGAGGGGCGCTCTGCAGGTATGTTGGTTGTTCCTCTCTCTATACACCTATCTCTTCAAGACAGTCTATTGCATCCATCTTATGGAGAAAAAGAGAGAGAATGAGATGTACTAATCCTCGACAATGTACAGACGCCTGGTTAAACACGTTCGACAAATCCGTCACAAAGTTCCTCGCCTTCTCCCTAACGGCCTACAAGCGCGTCATAGCCCTCGACACAGATATAACGCTGCTAGCGCACCTCGACGACCTCTTCCACCTCCCCGCAACGCCCATGGCGATGCCGCGCGCATACTGGTACAAGGCCAAACCGTGGCCCCTATCCTCCGTCCTCATGGTCCTCACACCCTCGCTCGCCGAGCTCGCGCGCTTCACTTCGGAGATGGATAAAGGTGCCGACGAGGCTCTGGTCGCGGCACACAAGTTTGATATGCAGCTTGTGAATGATCGGTTTGAGCACAGTGCTATGGTGATCCCGCATCGACCTTATATAATGCTGTCCGGCGAGTTCCGCGCGAAAAACCATTCTTCATACCTAGGCAATACATTCGAAGAATGGGATCCCGCAGCGGCGCTCGCAGAAGCGAGAATAGTGCATTTCAGCGACTGGCCGCTTCCCAAGCCCTGGATTATGTGGCCGCATGAGGGCTTAGCAGAGATGCAGCCCGATTGCGCTGGGCGAGGGGCGGGTGGGTGTGAGGATCGCAGGATATGGAAGGAATTGTATGGGGATTTTCGAAAGAGAAGGAGGGATGTTTGTGGGTATTTAAGTGTGCCGGCGCCGGATTGGGTCAGTGTCAAGGATACAGTGCACGGGGACAATGCGACCGAGGGGACTGGGTATGCTGCTCCGCATGTTGATGATGTTGAGGGTAAGGCTGGTGGTTCTGCGGACTCAGTATTAGCGGAGGCGACGAAGAATGTGGCCGCAGACTTGGGTTAGCAAGTGTCTGTTTATGTCCCTATATTTATTCATGTGCAGTACATGCACTTTCAGTGATTTTGTTGCTTGTTGGGAACCAAATGTGAATGTACAGTTGAGTATGAAAGCACTCGTCTAATTCAATGCAATTTGTCTAATTCATGATTGGTATCAAAGTGGTATAATGGGTATGTATGCAAATGTGGATTATAAAATAGAAAACAAAGAAGAATGAACCGATTCAAAAGCCTCTATGCAAGAATGAGAAAACAGGCTGTCCCTAAGAGGACATTACGCAACTTCCTTAACAAAAGAGTTAAATGGAAGACTGCGTTCCCCAAAGAATGGTCTGGTTGAGGTTCAAATCGCACTCGTGCGGGTGAGACAAGCAGAACTTGGGCATGAGCGGTGCGGCGTTGACACCAATCTTGAGGAGGTACTCCCTGAAGTTGAGGATACGCTGTGTGAGCTCCGTGGTGCGCTTGTTGCCGTTCTCATCGCGGTTTCCACTCCACACGAGTTCGGCGAGAGCAGCGGCACGCGGCCACAGCTTGCCGCTGAGGACGGCGTCGTCGACCTGCTCGGACCACAGCGGGGCAATGGCGCCCTGGACGAGCTTCTTTTGCTCATCCGACAATCCGTGGGTGAAGTCGTAGTCGTAGATGCGCTGCCATGTCTTGTAAGGGCCGCACCAGGATCCACCGTTGCCGCCCCAGTTGAAGTTGGGAGTCAGATCAGTGGCATTGGGGTTCTCAAGCACATCATAGCGCTGATCGTTGCCAACCCAACCGCCGTAGCCGCAGTCGAGGTACATGAAGTCGGATGAAGAAACAATAACCCGGTAACCCTTTGCGGTAATGTTCTGGATGTTTTGAATGCCGTTGTTCCAAGCTTGCAGAACGACGTCCTTGGGAACGGTGCCTGCGGTGTTGTTAGTAAAGTTCAAGCGAATGCACATTGATGAGTGACCATAGTCTCGGAATGCCACTCAATGGGCTGTCTCAGTGGAGCTCTATATCAGGGATAAACGTACCTGTAGCAGCGGCGTCGGCCGAAAGGAGAACATCATCCCACATGACGAATGTCTTGTTGGCTTGCTCGGAGAAGTGCGGAAGCGCGCGGTCTACCCAGACCTGGTAGAGATCTCCCATAGACTTGCCCTCGGCGAAGAATTCCTGGGCCAGTTTGGAGAACTTGTAGCAGTTGACGTGCAATTCGTCGCCACCAATGTGGAAAAAGTTATCAGGGAAGATGTTGGCGATCTCCTTGTACACTTTGCCGGTGATTTCGTAAGTCTTGTTGTTGAGGATGTCGAGTTGACCAGGGTTGGGCTCGACAGCCGTGTGCGTGGCCCACACATCGTTGGACCACCAACTATCAGCGCAGGCCAAGATGTCCTTGTCCACTTGTCTCCAACCCAGATTTGCGTGGCCAGGCATGTCGATTTCGGGGATAATACGCACACCACGGGCAGCGGCATAGTCGATGATGTCCCCGAGAATCTCCTTGTTGTAAACCTCGTCGTCGGAGTAAGCATCCTCCGCCATTTCCGGGAACACATCCAACTCGATCGCCCACGACTGCGCATCAATCATGTGCCAGTGAAGGGTGTTCAGCTTGGACATCGCCATACCATCAATCTGCTCCTTGATCTTCTCCTTGGACAGGTAGTTCCGACCCGAATCGATCATGATACCGCGGACAGGGTAGAGAGGTTTGTCATCAATGTCGACGGGTTGCTCAATGATTCTGTTGGTACCATCACAGATGATGATCTGCTGGAGGGTGGTGAAAGCATGGAGAGCACCATAGGCGGTGGCGGCGGTGATGTCGATGGTGTCGGAACCAGCTTCGATTTTGAGAGTGTAAGACTCATCGACACCGTGCTGGAGAGGAGCTGCGGTATCCTTGATATCGACCTTGACTGTAGTAAGAGTTCCAGTGGAATTGCCCACCGGAAGAGCTTGCCGCCTCAGCTTTCTCCTAGAAGGGGTGGTGGTAGTAGTGTTGGGGAAAGGATCGAAGCTTCGAACAGGAGCCTCAACGGCAGCGGGGGTCCATTTGATTTCCTCGATGGTTTTCCAGGCGCGATCGAAACCTTGTTTGACAAGCTCGTTGTCGGCGCCTTCGAGAGTCAACGATGGGACTGCGAAGGAACCCGAGGTGCCCCACGTAATTTTGGCAGGTTTGGGGAGTGGGTTGACAGCTACAGCTTCAGCTCCAGCAAAGAGAGCTGTGGCTGAAGCCAGGGAAGTGAGGACGGCGTTACGCATTGTGGTGCACTGGGCCAATAATTATTGATTACCTGAGTCGGGGAACAGACGAAGAGAAACAAGTGAGTGTGAAGCCGTCAAGTTGTTGGCTGAATAGGTGGAGAAGAGAAGTCCGGGGTGGAGGGGGCGGGCATGACGAAGATATATGTACATGACTTGGATCACAGAAGGCGCAGGGTGATAATCCTAGGATGCATGGAATAGCAGCCAGCTCCGAAGAGGAGGGACAAGATCGACGGTACGGCTATGCCCAGGCCGGGTGATGAAAAGGGCCGTAGTCCAAGTCGATTGGCTGGCTGGGAGAAGGCAAGCTCAGCCTTGCACCGTGATCTTTTGGGTTCATGCTTTGCCTTGTTTCATCGTTTCGTTTGTCCGTACCCTTCCCGGCCGTCGTGCCGCCAAATATAGAGACAAATGGTTATATACGCCGCCTTCGCCGCCCGTCCTCCCTAGGCTAGTGCTGTTCAATACACATTTTCAGTGGGCTGAGCCGGCCTCGTAGTGAGTGAATGATCGGATCAATGCAAATGTCGGATGCAACACGCCCCGCACGCACATAAGTCAATAGGCAGGCTGGCATCGAATACGAACAAGACCACCAGACACACGTACGTTGAAAGTGGCGTCCCAAGCAAAATAAACGCAACCTCAGAGTACTCGTGGACCCGCAATCGCGAAGCTTCGTCGACGGTTTGAACACCGCTCGCAGGCTTGGAACCTCCCTGATTGAGGGTAGTTTGGCGGTGCTTAGCTGGATTGGACCGATATGATCCGAGCGCAAACGCCCGCCGCAGATCCAAATCAGATCACCATGTCGCCTTTCCCTGTAAGACAAACGGCTGTCATGTTCCCTCAGATGTTACCCAAGATTTTGGCCCCGTGCCAGGTTACACCACACACACACCCTTTGGCTGCATCGGTTGCTGCATGCACGCAGCCATATGATAGGAACACAGCCATTATCGATAGCAGAGTGGACAAACGAAGAGGGGTAGAGTGGCACGAGTGGCTGCGTGGGTTATATCGAAAACCATATGACACGGCGCATGAATACTGACATGCCTGAAAGCGAGGATCAATAGAAGAGAGAGGAGGAGTGGTGAGAATGACGCCAAGACATTTCTAAGCATGCGCCTTTCCGTTTAGGACTAGCGCCTTTGCCTGCCCCGGTTCGGTGACCGTCAACAGCTATCGAACCATTCCTCTGCCCCCTTCACTGAGTCTGTGAGTTTCTCAACGTACAAACTGGGTACGCAATCTGCATCCAATCTCCATGTCGCAACCTTCACCCAAGGACTGCAAATCAATCCCCTTGCTTATAACCCTAAAGGGACTTTCACGGTAATACTGACATTACGTGCGAAAAGTCGGCCGCCGTTTCAAAGCTTACAGAAGGGATGCTACCCCTGCTAACGAATCATGCCTTACGTACTCTCCGCTCATTAACACCACATTTATCTGATAGGGTACGTGGTGAGCTCGATGGGATGACTTCATTTCACGCAAAGGACCGAATCTGTGCTCGCTGACTGTCCGGAGATTCCGCTCTCCCCCTTTTTTGATAACTTGTGGGGAAGGACGCGGATCACTGTCACCTTGAACCCTGCCCGTACCCGCACGTAAGCTATATCGCCCGAACAATTCATATTTATCTGTTTCGCATGCGCGTTCCTTGGAATTGGAGAAGGATGAAGCTGTGTAGGCGCGCCGCATTGTTGCAGGCCGGATTTCCCGATGAATGTATATGAACATAGGCAAAAGGCAACCAATTGTCAATAAACAGTTAGAAATGTCATGCAGGACTTATTGTATGTATATATAGCTACAGAATGAATCAAGGGTCATGTTACCGACTACCCAAACCTGTATGACACCACTAGGCAAAATTGACATCTGTGCGATTCTTTGCAGCATCGACATCGGCACTGCCACTGCTGCTCTTCTCAATCTTCATAGTCTCATCCACGACGCCACTCTCCTTGCGACTGGCCACTAATGCCTGGATGAGGTGTATTGCCACACGTTTCCCATTCTCCAACTCTTTTTCGCTCGAGGTCAGATCAGGAACGTGGAGGAACACCACGGGACGTTCGGCCTTGTTGATGCTGTAGTAATGCGCCAGCGAATTGTAGTATATAAAACCACACATGAAATTTCCGGCGTCGTTGCTGGGTTGCACAACGGTAGGCAGCTCTATTTGCTCGTCTCCTTCAATTCCCTCTCGCCATCGCTTTAGCACGTCGGTAGTGTCGAAGCTGGTCTCCAGACGCGCCGGGAATTGCGTGCTGGGAAACTTGTGCTTGGCCTTCGAGTCGGGGAACAGGTTCCCATCGACATCGTTAAGCTGACCGTAGCCGAGGGAGTATGAGCCCTGTTCTAGCGTGTAGCATGGTCGGCTTGCAGCGAGGCCGATGTGTAGGATGATGTCTGGTTGCCATGGCGGTTGCGAGGGTTTGGGGGATGATGGGTCAGCGGGTAGAAGCTTCGGTACAAGATCAATGACCGTCTGGTAAGCTACCCGGATGGGTTCATAATGCACGTGGATATGAATGGGCGTCGGATTGGACTCAGTTGCTGGTAAGAGCGCAGGGAGCTGCGATGCGATTTCCCACGAGGAATTCCGTGGAAGCAAAGTTAGGAATGGCTGGGAGCACAATCCGTTAGTCTCGTACCAAAATGTGATTTGAATACAGTACGAAGGGGCCGATACATGTGAGCGGAGATGATCAATGGAGAAGAACTCAGTACACGTGACTTCTACATTCACCCTCCAATGTCCGTATTTGCTATTCTCTCTCAAAAGGTCGCTCAAGCGCGGATCGGAGATTGCAACCCTCTACGCAAGATTCTCGTACGCTAAAAGGGATAGAAGACATACTCCAAAGCCGGTGACCAGAACCGTGACGGGGTCGTCAGTGCCCTCTTTTTTCGGAGGTTGTCGTGCGAGTGTCGAAAAAGCTCGTGGCATCTTCTTTTTTTACAAAAAACATACAAACCTACTGATTGATGACTCTGCAATGAATCTGGTCCTGGTATTAGCATTTTCCCCTACGGTTGGTGGACCTGCAAGGGGTATTCGAGGCTTTGACTCGTGGATAGCTGGTGTTGAGATGGCAGATGACGCAAGCGGATGACTCGCAGCATGCACGTAACAACAGTTTGTCTGGGTTTGCATGTTGGGAGTTACTCACTGTGATAAGAAGTGATCGGTGGACGTACGATGAGGCCCCACAAAATTGGACGATGAAGTAAGTGGATGGTCTCTTCAAGGATACACGAAGCGGAAGAGTCGTCAATGGAACGACGGCAGATATAATGTTCCAGGTCGTCGTTTCCAAAAATGCAGCAACGCTAGCCATTTTGCTAAACGCCAGGATCTCTCGCCCCGAGCCTTTTCCGGGCCGGTGGTTAACTACGTAATGGGGGGGGGGGGTTTCTGTACTCGAGCTATGCCTTCACCCCGCATCTACCCCATGGACCACCACAAGTGCCGGCATTAATCGTCGTGGAAATCGGTATGGCCAGCATGTGGATCAAGTATCATTCCGCAGGCCCAGTCAGTAGCAATACCAAAAGCAAGTTTAAACCTCTTTTTCCATCTTGTCGTCTTGACCTTTTCTTATTCCCGAACGCTGGATTGGTGGCATCGACGGGATAATCTACGACCCCAGTACCCGTGAAGTGCTTCACATGACAGCAAATCAATCCCCGGTAATATCGTGCAGGACATCAACATGACCTCCGAAACCAAATCTCGAAAACCTTTCGACATCGCCATAGTAGGGGGAGGCATTTCCGGTTTGACACTTGCCATTGGTCTCCTCGAACGCGGTGTACCTGTCACCATCTATGAAGCCGCATCGAGATTTGGAGAGATTGGTGCCGGTGTTGGTTTCGGTCCCAATGCCGCCCTTGCAATGAAGCTTCTGTCTCCAAAAATCGAGGCTGCCTTTAACAAGTGCAAGACGACAAACGCCCCCGAAAAATACGATTCGTGGTTCACTGTGCGCGTAGGCGATGCACGGAAGGCAGATAAAGATGGTTTTGTTGACAAAGAGCGCAACAAAGTTGGCGATGCGCTATACGACTTCAATTTCGACAGTGATCAAGGAAGAGGCGGCGTGTATCGGGCTCATTTCTTGGATGAATTAGTCAAAGACATACCTGAAGGCGTTGCGAAATTTGGCAAGAGGTTGACGAACGTGAGTTTAGCGGAGGATGGGTCAGGTGACGCCATATGTCACTTTGCAGATGGAACACAAGCAAGGCATAATGCTGTAGTAGGGTGCGATGGAATCAAGTCTGCTTCACGAGCCTGTGCGTACCAGTGTTTCCAATGGAGACTTCTCTGCAATCTCTCTTTGCTAACTAGTTCCACGAAACGTTAGGGATGCTGGGAAAAGATGATCCAGCGACCAAACCGGTTTTCTCTGGGAAATTCTGTTACCGAGGCTTGATCCCCATGGACGAGGCAGTAGACATGTTAGGAGATGAGATGGCGCGAAACAGCCAGATGTTCTTCGGATACCACGGTCACCTACTCACTTTCCCAATCGAAAAGGGAAAAACGATGAACGGTATGTAAATTCCTCAATACCAAATCTTACCCGAAGAATCTATAGATTCTGTTATTCGCAAAGAACTAATTTTCAATAAACAGTTGTTGCCTTCAACTCTCGCAAAGAGTGGACAAGCGACCAATGGGTCATCTCAACATCTAAAGAGGAAATGCACGCCACATTCGAAGGCTGGGGAACCCACGTCCGCACAATAATCCAAGCCATGCAAAAACCAGATATATGGGCGCTTCATTACCATCTTCCCTGCTCAACATATTATCGGGGTCGAGTATGTCTGCTAGGTGACGCCGCACATGCGACAACGCCACACCAAGGCGCAGGTGCCGGGATGTGCGTGGAGGACGCGCTGATTCTGGCGAAGCTGCTGGAGGACACGGCGCGTGTGGAGGACATTGAAAAGGCGTTCAAGGCGTACGATCAAGTGCGTCGGCCTAGGTCTCAGAAGAATGTCATCACGAGTAAGCAGGCGGGTGAGCTGTATGACTTTGAGCTACATGGGGATGATTTGGAGAAGATTGAGCCGATTTTCAAGGAGAGGATGAGGTGGATCTGGGACGTTGATCTAGAAGAGGAGATTGAGAAGGCGAGGAAGATATATTTTCAGGATTCCGCATCTAAGATGTGATGTATGCAAAGCCTCTCCGATTTTTCCTGATCTGCAGGACGTAAGACTATGTATCCTCTCTTGTCCTGTGCTTTTTTTTCCAGTACTCTACAAGAAGTTGGAGGTAGAAACAAATATATTGGTAAATGGCAAAGGAAAAGTATTCAAGAGGTCATATGAAACCCAGCACAATACTGGGAACCTCGAACTTTTTCATCTAAACACTCTCTTATCTCCTTCGCCCAACACCCGTACCCGCGCCCGCCCCTTCCCTATCCGCCAAAGAAACAACCTCCCCGATACCAGCCGCCTCCTGCTCATCCTCCAACGCGCGAATCTCCTCCCTGCAATCCCACCATTTCTCCTCAGCCTTCTCAAACGCCAACTTCTTAATCTCCTTGGGCGACTTCTCCATGCCCTTCGCGCTCTTGGTAAGCTCGTCAATAGTAAGATTCTGCCAAGCCTCACTCGTTCTCGCATAAAAGTCGCGCAGCGACTCGAACGGGCGCGGATGCGGTAGCGTATCTGTAAGCGCGGAGATTTCCTCCGTGGTGCCGATATCTTCATCCACGGCTTCCTTTGGCGGGAAGGGCGATGGCGTCGAGGGCGCAGTCGACACGGGTGAAGCGAGGGAGGATTTTTCTTCTTCCTGCTCTTCGTTGTCTTCTTCGTCCGAGTCCCCTTCTTCGCCTTCGTCGTCTTCCGAGTCTGCTTCGTCGTCGCTGCCTTGCCAGTCTTCGAGCTCGCGTTTAAAGATCTCGACGACGCCGTCGAGGTGGTTGAGGTTGATGGACCAGAGTTCGTCAAAGGTGAATTCGCGGTCGCCTTTTTCATATGTGCCGCCGAAGATGTAGAGGGTATCGGCTTGGACTGTGAGGGAGGCGTTGAATCTTGGGTGCGGGTATTCGTAGGTCCGGATTTTCTCTACTTTGGTGGCTTCTTCGTCGTCGTCGTCCTTTTTCTTCATTTCCTCGTCGTCGGAGTCGGGCTCAGGGGCTGTACCACCGCCAGCCTTCATCTCAAGTGCTTTGAGGTTGGCGAGGAGTTCTTCTTCGTCGGCTTTGGCGCGGTCCCGTCTTGATAGGTTGGCCTGTTGAGCAGCTTTCTTGTTCGCATTGGCCTTCGGGCGACGCAGATTCAGAGGCATGTATCGATTTCTCTCAATGTTCCAAACATAGAGTTGGTTGAAGAATTCGGAATCCAAACCCTCTTCGCTCTCTTCAACATCGTGCACACCACCAAACATGATACCGCGACCTTTGTGATAGGCCATAGTCGCTCCAGCGCGTGGTGGATTCGGCGGATTCGCAGGTCTCTTACGGCGTTCCCAAGAAACGGTTGGCAGATTTGTGGAAGGCTGGTCTGATGGGGGAGGCGTGATGCGTAAGAACCACGTATCTTCATGAACTTTGGGTTTAAGAACCATACGCGCGCCTCCTCCAGCTCCTCCACCACCCTTCTTACCCTTTCCTTGTTGTTGCTGCTGCTGCTTCCCACCTGCCACAGCCTTGACACGCGAGTATCCGCCATACAGCACAGCACCCTGATCATGCGGAAGCAGCGTGAAACTCGATCGCGCATCGGGGACAGCTCGTGCGGATTGTAGTTTCGGCTGGTGCCATACAAAGTTGACACAGTCGTAGATCCAGAGATCATTGAGGTATTTAGTCGTGGCCGAGGTATCCTGAAATCCACCAAAAACCACAATGTACTGCTTGAATCCCACCATGCGATGCCCACTGCGAGCTGGCGGTGAAGATGCCTTGCCTTTTACTTCGATGCGTGTCCACTCGCGGTTACTGGGGTCCAGTTTCCAGAAATCATTGTAGTGATAAAACGTCCCCTGCTTGGGCGAACTAAACTCCCCTCCGAACAGATAGACTTCTTTAGTATTTGCTGCCCGACACCAGGCATGTCCTGAACGGGGCAGTGGCGAATTCGGACTGGTAACTTTATTCCATATATCCTTCTTGACATTGTACACGAACAAATCATTGAAGAACTGCGCCGTCGCACCATTGAAGTACTCGCCTCCGTAGCAAAACAGCTCATTCTCATTCGCAGGATTTCCAATAATGGTGCTTGAGCTCCGAGCCGACGGCGGGTCGCATGCGACTTCTGTAATGGCGTGATATTGCTCCTGCTCCTTTGCGTACTGTGCGAGCACATCGTCGAGATCGACCGATTCGGCATCGGAATCAACATCCTTATCTTTGGATGCTTGCTTCTTTTCCTTCTTGCCTGCCTTCTTTTCTTGCTTTGCAGCTTTTGCGGCCTTGGCGGCTGCTTTCTTTTCCGCAGCGGATCCACCACCTTTTTTGCCGTCGGCGGCGCCTTTCTTTTTATCTTTCGCCATGATTTTATTGAGGGTTATGCGCCGTTATGTCCCGGTGGTGATTGAAGGTGATATACTTCCTTGTGTCAGTTGAGAAGTACCTCTGGTGAAGATCGCCCCCGCAAACGAAAACTTCAATCGAAGTTTGGCGTGTAAGCACTCGCGATAGCAACGGAGTATATGCAGATCTTCTGGGCGTAGAAGCTCGCACACGGTCGGAATGGAGTACTATTAATCTGATCGTGATGATCTGATCTTTCCTTGATATTGTGACGCTTGCTTGCTGAGCTCATGCACACATTTGTGTGTGGGGTGGATGCGGAGCACGCTTTGGTTGCTCCGGAGCATCATCGGTAATGTTAAAGCTCCCGATTTCCATCTGGTGACCACCCTCCCCGCCTCCTTTCTATCTCCCCAACAATTAAGCTACATGAGATCTACTTTAGCGGAGAAAACCAAGAGCAAATAAATACATTGAATAAGAAGCCAAAATGATTCAAGCCGCCAAGATTTTGGAACAGCGAAGCCATCTCGTCCCAGGTATATAGAGACACCTGTTCCGTAACACCAATATCCCATACTCGCAAAAGAAATTATAGATTAGATGGCTAATTGCTATGTGATCAGGCAAGCTCCGAATAACAGAGTAAGTAAATATTGAGGAAAAATATCTCGGTGATATAGCATGACATGGCCAACCCGACTTCTCGAAACGATTACATGCCAGTGATCACTAACTCGAATCCTTCGCTTTTAGACACTTTTTCCAGGTGCCACGAGACTACAAAAATCCCTCACTAGGCAACTTGACTCTCTTTGCGCGATCCGCGCGTAAAGTGGAAAACCACCTTGAAAAGGCCCCTGAAAAACCACTTCCCTGGCTGGTCTACCTCCAAGGCGGACCAGGCTTCGAATGTGCCAGCCCTGAGAAGCAACCATGGATCAACTTTGTCCTGAACAAAGGATATCAAGTTCTCACGCTCGACCAGCGAGGAACGGGCTTTTCGACTGCAATTTCTCAATCGAGTCTGCAGCTCCGAGGCGACGAAAAAGTGCAGACAGAATACCTCAAAGCGTTCCGCGCGGACAACATCGTCAGAGACTGTGAGGCTATCCGCAAAGCTCTCATCGCGGACGTATCCCCATCTTCCACTGACGCCGGAGACGACAGCGAAGAGAGCAAGAAATGGTCCATCATGGGTCAGTCCTTTGGTGGATTCTGCTGCACGACGTATCTTTCGTTTTACCCCGAGGGTGTCAAAGAAGCTTTTATCTTGGGTGGCTTGCCACCCGTAAGAGATACCCCTGACGATGTGTACGCGCGCACGTACGGACGCGTAAGGAGGCGCAACGAAGCTTATTACGCAAAGTACCCCGAGGACGTGGACAGAGTAAGGCGCATTGTGAAGTTTCTGACTAGGTTTGGAGATACGACGGTCAGAGTGCAGGGTGGGGAAGGTTACTTGAGCGCGAGGCGCTTTCTTCTTCTAGGTCTCCAACTTTATGGCCACGGTACGTCATGTGTTATTCTTTCTCTTCTCCTTCTGGACTGTAAAATCCCATCAATCCCCTGGGTTTACACGACGTGGAAGCTCGAGAGTATACAACAGAAAGCAAGATAAACTCCGCACCGAATACAAGAAACACATGAATCGAATCCCAGCAGAACTAACCCCAACCACAGGTGGCATGGACATTCTGCACGACCTCGTCCTCCGCGCCGACACAGACCTCACGTCATTCGGCCACCTAACCCGCCCAACCGTCCTCGCAATCGAACACGCCCAATCCTGGGACACAAACGTCCTCTACTTCCTCCTCCACGAACCTTGCTACTGCCAAAATGCAGCCGCAAACTGGTCTGCCGACCGCCTCCTCGCCGCAAACCCAGACTTCATTCCCTCAGACCAACACGCTTCTACCACCGCTACCGACGACGCGAAAACGGTCTTGTTCACCGGCGAAATGATCTACCCACACATGTTCGAGTCGTTCCCTGAGCTCAAGAAGATGCAGCTGGTGGGTGAAGCGTTGGCGAAAGTTGATGATTGGCCTCGGCTTTACGATGAAGAGCAGTTGGCGAAGAATGAGGTTCCGGTGTATGCGGCTGTGTACATGGATGATATGTGCGTTGATTATGATTTGAGTATGGAGAGGGCGGCAGGGATCAAGGGGATCAAGACGTTCGTTACGAACACCATGTATCACAATGCATTGAGGGCAAAGACTGAGGAAGTGCTGGGGCAGCTCTGGAGGCTGAAGGAGGATGTTATTGATTAGAGTGGCGTGTCACGAACTGGATGATCTTGGGTGTTTCCCACGGAAATGGGTACGAGTGCGATACAGCAAAGGTCAGTCTGGAAATAAATTCTTGCAGAAGCTGCTTATAATGGAATTATCTATCACGCCTTAGCCAAGTAGAAATTCTTAGATGCCGAATGCTTCCTTCATAACATCCTCGACCCAATTCATCTGCACCGCACTGACTTTCTTCGCATAGGCCTTGTTCGTGTACAAAAACTCGCTAAATACAATCGCTTCTGATTTCACCTTTCTTCCATGGAGAACACTGCTGGGGTGTACGGACACAGTGTGGTTGCCGACAAACGTCTTGTAACTACCGTCGGGCGCGAGACGTGCTGTGTTAGAAACGAAGCCTCGGAGAAGCGAGGTCAAAATCGCATCGGTATTTGGCGAGGAAGATGAAGATTCTTTGCTGAGATCGGCCGGGGTAAGCAGTTTGAGGGACTGGCATTGCTGGCGGAGTTGTTTGCGGATGTTCTGGATTTAGAGTTTTATTAGTTTACTCGTATATTGCGTGCGTGGAGATTGTGAGTATTTACCATTACGTTCTGCATGGCGCGGTGTGATACAAAATGTCTGTCACACCATGCTCTTCTGTCAGTTTCCTCGTCTGCGTATTGCTGGACAGTCGCTAGGAAAGTTAAGTGATCTCCCTCGCGACGGTAAAGATCCCTTCGTGCTTCCTCGGCGGCTTCTTTCTTCTCTTCTGTAACAACGTTGAAGAAGATGCTGTCCTCAGTGCTCAATGCCGATATGATATCGATGACATCGAGCAGACAGTCTTTCTCGGGCCTTGCAGCCTCGAGTAGAATACGGCCCAGCTTTGGGGTGACAGGCAACTTTGCCATCTGCAGTCCCATGTCGCTGATAGTGCCATCGGCTTTCAATGCGCCGAGCCTTAGAAGTTGGAATAAAGCTTCTTTGAGCGACTCTACCGGCGGTTTATCCAAGAAAGGAAAGTTAAGCACATCGTTGACACCACGAGCTTTCATTGTCAGAATAGCCTGAACGAGATCGCACCGCAGGATCTCGGGCGTGGTTCTTTCTTCCAACGTCTTATAGTCGGCTTCGGTGTATAGTCGATAGCATTGACCTGGCGCTTCACGTCCCGCACGACCTTTGCGCTGGATAGCTGCAGACTTGGACACAGATTTTGCAAGAAGAGACTCCAAACCTAGTCTGCTGCGGAATTGTTTGATCTTGGACTTGCCACAATCGATCACGAACTGAACGCCGGGAACAGTGACGGAAGTTTCAGCTATATTGGTGGCCAAAATCACTTTGCGTGTGTGTCGTGGGGTAGGCTGAAAGATGCGTTGCTGGGCTTGCTGTGGCAGCGCAGCGAACAGAGGGAGCGCGAGTAGTTTTGGCATTTCCTTATCCATTCCTTCTGCGTAGTCATTGACGAGCTTTTCAAGCCCTTCAATCTTATCTTGGCCTGTTAGAAAGACCAATATGTCTCCAGGCAATGGCTCCTTGTAGTGGATCTGGAAAATGATTTTGAGTGCTGATTCGACCCAGTCCATGCTTGGCTGGGGCAGATAATGTGTCTTGACGGGATATTGGCGTCCTTCGACAAAGCACTTGCTGATAAATTTGTCGGCCTCGGGTAAGGCTGGCTGACCAGAGTTCTTGGCGAAACCCTCAGCGAAGAAGTTCACTAAACCCTCCACATCTGCTGTAGCACTCATGATGACAACTTTGAGGGGTTGCTTGCGTCTACTACTTCCTTTCTCAATCTCAGCCACCAGATTCCGCAGAAATCCGAGTATTAAATCGACGTTAACGCTCCTTTCGTGGACTTCATCTACGACCACTGCACTGTACTGGTTCATATCCGGATCTCGAAGGACTTCCTGCAGAAGCATACCTTCGGTCAGAAACTTGACCTTGGTGCTTGGTCCTGTGGCGTTGTCGAAACGAACACTATAGCCGACCTTTGCTGCTGGACTCTGGTTTCCAAAGTAGCTACCCATTTCCTCGGCGACACGGCGCGCCAAGGATATTGCAGCGACTCGGCGTGGTTGGGTGATCGCAATCGTCTTGGTACACCATGGCTCAGAGATCAGAAACTGGGGGACTTGAGTCGACTTTCCAGAACCCGTCTCACCAGTCAACACGAGAATGTTGTTTTTACGCAGCCGTTCCCGTATGGGATCCGCGTGTGGCCATATGGGAAGCGTTTGTCGAGTTTGTAACAACTCGTCCCGTTTCTTCACAAGATGTGGTGGTACATGGCTGTTGCGTGAAGGAGGTGGTCCGCGACTTTCCAGATTTTTTTTGCGCTGTTTCTCATTTGGCCGTTGACCATGGTCCGGCTTATCTTTCTTTGGTCCTTTGGCAGATTCGTGAGGTGTTTGCTGAGGTTGCGATTTTGGCTCCACCTGAGGTTTTGGCCCCGGTATCGTTTTTAGCTTCGGCGTAGGTTCTTCAGGCTTTTCTATTGGGGCCTCTACATGCTGCGTTGGCTCGTCGAACTTGATCGACTTTCCGGTGCCTTTCTTCGCATTCTCTTCAATCACCTCGGCGTCTGCCTGGCCATTACCCTTCCTCTTCCTCTTCCTCCCTCTTTTGGTTCCCAATGTCGATTCTGGCTCACGAGTTTCTGATTCTGCAGCGGCAGGAGGATTTTCGAACTTTGACTTCGACATGCTTGATGTGTTTGACACCAATGTCACGCGTCACGAACTTTTTCTCCCGACGACTGGCTGTCTAATCGATAAGGAAATGCGCTAGCTTAAAGAGGTAAAGCCTACAAACCTTGCATAGCGATAGAGGTCGATGGCAAGCTAATAGACGTTACTGACTACGAAAATCGATTGATAAAACTTCTCATCAGCCTGATGGATTTGATATTGGATAACTAGGTAGGCACATGATATTGGTGTTTTGCTAGTCAGCAAATGCTGAGTGCCTGCGCGTATACCAGACCCCGAGAGTGACACTGATGGTAAAGCTACTATGGTATGTATCGTTCTTGTCAAAAACTGATTGTAATGTATATTGATTATTCAAAATGAAGATGGATATTAATATTGGAAAGCAAGAAACGCCAGTCGCTATGATGGTAAAGACAAGTACAGACGCTCGAGCTTTGGCGCCAACCCCACAAACTACCTGCTCTTCATCCCATTAATCAATCGTCTTACAAACTATTATCCCCACAAGTCCAGCTTGCCCCGCCAGTGTTTTCATGTATGGTCTTCCCACTTGCATATAGGCCCACACCACAGATGACGAAACCCATAATTACCAACCAGATGTTCAACGCCGTCAAACACATTTTCTTCCAGTTCTGGGTGTATCTGCCGTGGTTGAGGTATAGCCACAAGGCGCCGCTCATACCGTACGTAAACCATGAAGCAAAGAGTGCTGAAATGAGACCGAGAAGCGTACTAAACGAGGGGATCGATTGAGCGATGATCCATGCGATGAGCCAGAAGACAAAGGTGATGCCAGCCCAGGTACCGAGCGCAAGAGGTGTTCGTGTGGACATGTGCTTGGTCCCGCGGAAGAGTCGCACGTAGACGTATTTACTAGCAACGTGACCGTAGATGACACCTGCGAGGAGGATCTGAAGGGAACAGTTAGTGGCTTGAATATATCTTCTCGGTTGAGGAGCCAAACATACAGTTGGTAGTGCAACTCCATACGCAACCTTCATCACGGTATGGCTCGTACTTCCCAGGGCGGGGCTTGCAACTTCGGATCCTGCGTAACGATAGACTACGATAGCCACAATAGTGTACATAGTGATGTCGGTAGTCTGGAGCATGATGAGAGATTTCGGGAAGTCCCTGGGATCACGGAGCTCGCTGATGAAGCTGAAGAAGGCGACATGACCTGCATAGGCGAAGATGATGTTGCAAACTGCCAGGAAAGCTGGGACAAAGGCAATCTCGCGGGTGGCGTGCAGCTGCAGATTTGGTGCTGGGTCGACCCCTACGCCGATCATCGTGATAAGTACAGCGGCGACAATGGACGCAAATGCTGAGGTTATATATTAGTAAAAGAATTCGGGTTATGGGAAGGGCTAGAAGCTTACAAGCTATACTGAGATAAGATACTTTCTCCAAAGTTCTCGGTAGTGTGCATAGCCATAAGACTACAAATGCGACGACGCCCCATATAATCGTGCATGTTGCGTGTCCTGTAATGACATTCATTGCGATTGTGAATGTCAGGATGTGACTTCCCATAACAAAGATGAGGAAGATGGTCTGCGCTGCTCCACCTATTTCTCGGCCCCATGGCCCAAGAAGAACCTCGCCGACATCACCTAAGCTATGCACCTATGTCCCCCGTAAGCCTCTGGGAAGATCGAGGGGTGATGTTGGCTGAGGGACTCACAAAAGGATATTTGATCTTGAACTGGCCGATTACATATCCCGTGTAGGTTGCAAGCACACCTAGACTCAACAGGAGAATGAGGCCAGGTACCAGTCCGATAGCCGCTAACGCAGAGGGGAGAGACAAAATGCCCAAAGAGATGGTCTCCGCGATCATAACTATGCGGGGTTAGGAATCTAGAATGACGTCTCAATAAGCGTATAACTACTCACTGAAGCCCGCTTGCCACCATGTCAGCGTTCGATATTTGACTTGGGCGTCTTTTTCATCGCCAAACGGGTCTTCTTTAGCTTTTTGAGAAGGCTGTGGGTCCGAATCACTACGTTCAGGAGCGGACGCCTTTTCGACATCTGTAACGGGACTGTGCGGAATCTGCGTATCCTCTGAAGACGGTCTATGTTCGCTATTTTCGTACTCCATGGTCGTCGGATGAGACTCCATGACCGGCAATCGCGAGTGAAAACTAGAGGGAGTCGTTCGCTGCGCAGTGTCGAAAGCGATCGAGTTGTGTATCACTGGTAGGAATATACGGTCGTCTTAAGCAGGTCGTGTGTCGCAATAAGAAGAAAGAGAGGCCTGCCGGTTGAGTGATTGCCGAACGTGCTGCGTCATGATTGCCATAAGTAGGAGCTCGACCAGATTTCTCGCATCGAAAAACCAGAGATCCAGACCTCCGATAACGGAAAGCCAATAGTCATTGCGACCTTAGTCAAAGGGTCCCAAAATTACTTGGACTTGTATCGCTATGGCCGCATTGCGTTCGCTGTTCTATGCACAGGGTCCAATGTGTGGAGATGTACGTAAAAAAATCCTCTAGTGAGCTGCTTGCGAAAGACCCTTGCCGGTACATTCGGCGCGATTCTTCATCGGCAAAATTTGACTTTTTCTCCGGTCGACGTCGGTGGCGACTTGCTTTATTCAATGTGGAGTGTTGGAATTCACTTATCATTCCTTGAATTTATACTGAGACTCAAGATTGGTATGTATAATCAGTAGACTGGCTGTTGCCGAAATCGTACCAAGGTACTTGCAAAAGCGGGGAGGCCAACAACCACCACAATCACAAAATTCCATTAGATAAACAACGACTTCTGATATGGGATTTAGACTAATCAAAACGAATGTATTACATCAACGAAAGAACAGTGTCAAGGGACCTGCTTATCCAATTTCCTACAACTCAATCATGCAATCAATGTCTTTGTCTCTAAGTCTTCTTACCAGTTAACTTGTCTTCTGCGTTTACGCAGACATTCCAGGTAGCTCCTTGAGCCCTAAAAGATGAAAGGACTCCTCGTTAGCTTCGGATTATAACGTGTATAAGATGTCTTAAGAAAACGGGTGGGAAACTCACATCCTTCGGTGTCCTCCTTGACGACCTCCTTCGCCTTGCAGGCATTCATCTGCGCAACACTCTGGCTCTTCAACGGTTTCCCATTCTCGCAAGCATTGAACATGCAGCTCGAGTTCATGGCCTTCTGCAACGAGTCACCCTTCCACCCGAACATCTATATTCCGCATGTTAGCTAATACAACAACACACCACAGAGAGTGAGAAAATAGTTTCACGCACGTAGTCAGCATGCGTTCCATAGCCATGACCTTCCTGGTTTCCATAGCTAAACACGAAAGGATTCTTCCCGTCCTTGGGCCACATGCTGGCGAATTGTGCGGTGTCCCAGAGAGTCTCGTATGCGAGCTGCGGCATGCGGACTGGGTGCGAAGAGGGGCATGCAGCGCCGGCTCCGAACCCCGTGGGCTGCGTATCATACATGTGAGACTGGTGGTCGGGGCTGTCGAGATCTTTGCCGTTCCAGCACGCTGGGAAGTGGTGCTCGGTCATGATTCCGCCCTTGCAAGGCTTGGTGGGGAAGTCGTCGATTTCGGGGAACCGCGTGGACTTGTTGTCTAGACAGGTGAACCTCAGGCCCTTGTGCGTGGTCATGCCGTCTTTCCCTGCAGTGGGCGAGCCGACCGTCATACGGAAACCCTGTGTTGATGATTGAGTCAGTTCCAGTGCTTTTGGGTACGTGGATAAGAGCTTACGGGAGGAAAAGCTCGAATGAACTTGTTTCCGTTGTTGAAGAAATCCTGTTGAGTGTAGTAGATGGTCATGCCACCTTGAGTACCCGCGGGCAGAGCATCGTTGGCCATGATTGGAACGCGCTTGTAGGTACCGTTCTCGTGTCTGAAGAAGAGCACAGCCGTCCAGTAGTTCGAGAAGTCTTCGGAGAAGACGCATGTGGTGCATGTTCCTTGCTCTCCGATATCACCTTTCATCTCTGGGGCGAAGGCATTGCCGCCGACCTTAGCGGCTTCTTAGTACAGATTTGAAGAGATAAATGGTTAGAGAAGGCTTGCTTACGACCTGGTGAAGATGAGCTGAAGGCAAGTTTCCTGGCTCCACGACCGGGTCAAGTCGTTGAATGGTCACAGTGCTGCAACCAAATCGCAGTGCAGCATCAGCCTGTGCGGCGAGCGCAACAAGCGCAAGAGCCTTTTGTGAGTACTTCATTATTCGATTTGAAATCTGTGTTCGAGTATCCAACCAACTTCTAAGTCAAGAATTGAAAGAATCGGACGGACCCAAATACGATGCTTAGCGATACCAACGAACTATTATAAACTCCCCAGAAGCTGGAGCATGCCGTGTCCCCCATGCTCAGATGACCATATACCAATCTCTCCTCACTGTTCCAATTGGCTCTTGTTGACGATAACTCCTATCTTGAGCATTGTTAGTACCCACTTGGTCATGATGCCCAAGCTCTTGGAAGATTACACCCATCTATCCCACTGGCACGGCAAATCCAAACCCCGCACATGTCCAAATTACACATACCCAGCATCACGTATTAACAAAACGTGGTTTGCCTGTGTCGGGCACATGTTGTAGCAGACTACCATTCTGTATATTGGAACAGCTCGAAGTAGCCAATCACAAAGCGTTCGGTTCGAAGCTGATATGACAGTCACCCCCGGAAACTGCAGGCATGGTGGCGATCGTAGAAGAACTATCCCGACACGGAGAAGCATAATTGCCGGCATAAAAGGAGATTATTGACCTATCACCAGTTAGCAACGCGTGAGAAGAGCGTCTAAATGGACGATCACAAACAAAGCCGCTGCGAACACACCGATTCAGGCTCAACTGCCGGTGGGGACGGTTTCACAGAGCTTCATTAATACTAAATTGGAGCTTGGTAGTGCTTCGTCGGTTTTGGCTTTTCTGTCCCTGTTTAGTAGATATGAGGTGTGTATATTTGGGCGCTTAATGTTGGTAGGCAGCAATGGAACTTGAGCGAGTCTCTGATTTCAAAGCTGCGAGTGCCTGGCTTGATTCATGTCAGATAGAATCAACGTTTATTTCCTGCTGCTTAAAGCCGTTGCTAACAAAATCCGGATGGAGGAAAGATGGAGTGGTTTAGCTGAGAATCGCTGGGCAAGCGCCGCAGATCTTGGCGAAGGCTTAGTTGAACCGGTAAAGGAGCAGCTCGAAGAATTATAGTTTTTGAAAAGTAGAACACTTCTATATACACATCTATTGTTTTTTCGATTTCGCCGAACCACTCCTGTAAACGACCCCCCTCTTTCTTGTAGAAAAAGCGGAAGGTTGCACATTGGCCTTGTCCATCGGCGTTTGCTCTTTGCTGTTGAACTGTTTCCATAGCTCTGCGATGCCTGCACGTTTCGCTGGCAGCATACCGTATTGCAAGCTGTACAAATTGCGCCTGTGAATAGGAGGAACGAATCGGCCAGAGGCTAGAGCAGAAATGACGTCGGAAGAGAGGTAGTGTTTGCGAAGGCGGTTTCCAAGCTCGAAGTAGGAGTCGAACATTGCGCGCAGAGAGAGCGGAAGCGACTAGCAGAAGATTTAGTGATACAGATTTCTAAAATTGGAGGGGGAGATCTACTTTGAGCATCACATAAGATGTAGGTGCCGAAAATGTTGCGTTGGGTGGGTACTGTGGTATGACAGGGTTGCTTTGAAGCTCAAAATAGATGCCACCTGACGACAAGTTAGTCACACGTAGAGGGGATGAAGCTGAGGTAACAAGGTACCGGGAAGACGCCGCGAGTCTTTGATTCGAAGCATTAGAGCAAACAGCGGAAAATGATTGAGACAAGCTAAGCCAATCTCCAGCACGGCTTTCATAGTGATAACAGCCACTCGGGCTGCTGCGAAGGTCAGGTAGAAGACGAAGACAGTGGGCAGAAGGAAGATCAGCAAGGTGAATAGGATTGTTCCCAGAAGAAGCTGATCGAGGTCGTAATCACACGAGTCGATACGATTGCGTAGTACGTTTCGTTTCTTTCCACGGAACAGATGGAAAAGGGAGATAATGATCGTAAGCTGCCAATGAAATATCCGGGTCGAAGCGACATAGAATGCATAGATATGCATGGTGAACAGTGATGCGAGGTCGGCAAATAGAGATATTGGTACTGTAGCCCCAAAGAACGCAGAGAGACCTATTAATTGAACCATCTTGGGGAGATGTGGGCGCACAATCGCTATACAGCCTGCAAACAAGGTAAGCCTTAGATACATGGAGGCTTTGGAGTTACACCCACCGGCCCAATTATCAATAACCCACAGAAAGAGATCACCCATGAACTCGGCTAGCTCAGTATTGAGCTTCAAACCACCAGGCCATTCCATCAGCCAGGATATGATGCTACGTAAGCCCTCTATAGCCCATACATTGAAGACAGTATCGACCTGTGCAGCCACATGCACAGAGTTCTCAATAATGTATGAACCTAGGGCCATGCCGATGATCATATCGTTCGCCACAAGCCACAAACTGTTAAAAAACCGGATATACTCAGGGTGACTGTGTGTAATGCTGCCCCAATTGTCCTTGCGTTGGCGTAGGGTTAGGTACTGAACAGGCCAATAGCAAAATTGTTGCAAGCGGATATCTAGCTGTTGTGCTGTAGCAGATACATCCTTTAATGCAGGTGATTCCGGCGGTCCTGCTCGCCAATCTAGTATTTGCAAAACTATCTCACCAGCAACCCTCAAAGCAAGCAAGATTGATATGAACAACAGTGAACACATAGGATAGAGCCAGACCCCCCAAACGCTACTGAGAGCGATATAAAGATAATCCCATAGGTTGCTGGCGGATTCGACTACACGCTCGCTGACACTCAGCGACCGCTTCATGCGACCGCTGACTGACCCAGAGTTTTGTTGCAAGACTGCGTTGAGCTCGTATGAGCAATTGATTTGATTGATAATCAATGGTAGTGCAGCTTCTTTCCTCGTGATTGGGTAGGCTCTCACAGTGTGCAGCTTCAGCTTTTCTGCGAGCTTGTCCTTGCGCGCTTGTTCCCTTCGCTCTGCTTCTTCCGCGTCCTCCAAACTCGAATTCCAATTACCAACATTTGTTTTATCATCCAGAGCAAGTGATATCGGGGTCGAGGAGAGGTATTGCATTTGCGTTGGGTGAGGTCGATCGTAGACGATGACTTGCAAAATCATTCGCGGATCGATGAAGCATTGCAGACGTGGAAAACGAGCGGAGAGGTCGGTAGTTCCTGTTAAGAGGGTAGAGCTGGGAAGATCCAAAGAAGCCTGGGAGTTAATACAGCCAAGCACACGCAGTGAGACATGTCCGCATGGCTTGAGAAGCTCCTCAATATTGTGGGGACTTTTCTGCAACAGCAAGCCAGATGCCAAGGCGGTTTGGACATGAGGCAGTCGGACGTTTTGGAGGACAGCCACGACGAAGAGATCGAACTTGGAGTTCTGAAATCCCACGAGCACACCAGGCTTAGAGTCCCTGGGCGCATCTAAGGGCCAAAATATGCGCATCAACTCATTCTGAGGGACCATGTCACCATGTCGCAGCTCTGCCACTTCAGAGGGAGCCTCGTCGCTTTAGTTGCTCGCGGGCCGAAATGGTGCCTTCGGCAGTCCTGGGGTTCTGCTCGATCTCGTACGATGCGATGCGCTCGACAGGCAGGATGACGACGAGGAACAGTATGGTGAGGAGGGCGAACGCTTTAGCGGCGCGGGTTATGACGCCGTGATCCCAAGCAAAGACAGCCAAGTCGTATAAACGGGTGACGAGGTCCCAGCGGGCAGTCGAGTAGCCCGCAACGAATATTCCGAGCGTGAGAACGGAAAACGCGCGCATTTACTTTACCTCGACATGCCAGATCAGACAGACTGACTTGGAGTGGGGCGTGGTTGGAAGTGTGCTAGTGGAGCGAGGACGCAATGGTGTTTTGGCGCGTCAAGCTGGTATCATAGATAATGGCATCGACCATAGCGGAACGATCCAATGCGCGTAGTGCAAGTAAAGAGCGTGTTTGTTGGTGGGAGAAGTATTGTGCGTTGCATCCATCGTATACGTAGCCAAACGTCTTTACTTCCGCGATCTGCTAAGCCCAGTCTATACTAGCGTGTTGCGAGAGGATCAACATCTATCCATTCGTCGAACCTCAACCGCCATGCTCACTTACACGCTTCGCAGCATATCACTGTCTCAACCTACCCAGATTTTCCTACCTTCACCCTAACTGTCGACCTCATCACAGCTTCGTGTCCCAGTAAGTCGACTCAGTCTATTCAATCCTTCTGTTAGCGTGCGATTACCGTCTGTTCCTGTTTCTCGATTCGTATCCAGCAGCAAACGTCAAAGCCCGAGATCGCAATGTACCGTTCTGCATGGACTCCACCGCATCTTCGGTATCTTCCAGAAGGAAATAATGGTCATGGTCGTCAGAGGTAACGTGCATGTCTGTGCATAATATATTATGTTCATACATTTACGCAATCGATCGCCTCTTGGTCGCGGACCTGCAAGGCAGCTGACACCGCGCCTGCCCATTGCGATATTCGAATAGATTGCAAACCATTCGTCATACCCAGTCCTCATATTGTTCTCTATATTACAAGAACCCTGCCCTATTCATATTTCGGGCGACGTACTTGCTGCGCACATGGTAACCATGTACTAATCAAACACCGCTACAGCCTGTCTCATACCCGTGGATTGAACTACATACCCGTGGGACCTCGGTCAACCAATATGACCGTTTGCAAGTTTTGGTTAGAGAACAGATGCCGTTTTGGAGGTAAATGGATTTTGCCATTGAATCAACGATGCGCTGGCTGACATGATGCTTAAAGATAGTTGCAAGAATGAACACTCGAACAATCCACAAGGCAACCGCAGTGGGGGTTTTGGTGGAGGCTTAAGCAACAATCGATTCGGAGCCTTTGGGGGTGATAGTTATCGACCCGCACAGCAATCTGGAGGTGGGTTTGATATGCTTGGAACCGACCACTAGCGGTCATTGATGCGGTTCACCATGTCTAACACATCGTGCAGGACGAAACTCAAGCGTTCCACGTTTCAATCTGGATGATGGAGTCATTAAATCGGATCTAACGAATGAGCGACCCATTTATCCGATATCATGTTATGGTCCTGGTCGAGATGCGCCGCGTCAACTAATAGAGGGTCCGGTCGAAGTCAGCCCTGAAGAGCTACGATCTAGGTATTATCTAGCACGTCGCACCGGAAACGAAATGGCCGCAGTATGCAGTTTGACAGACCCCTATTGAAATGCACCGGTACAGTCTGCTGACAACTTATAGCAACAAGAGCAAACCCAGCTGGCCGCCAAAATGGATGCACAAGTCAAAGCTGTCCTCGATGATTTGAAAGGTGCGGTCAGGTACATCGAAGCAGGTACAGACGTTCACCCGAATCGATTGGACATTGTTGCAGGAAAAGCTCCATTTACGGCAAATAATTCGAATAACAACGCCCCTACGTCAAATCCGCTTTCCCAACAGCCTGCAAATCCTTTTAGTGGAGGTGCGAAAATGCAGACCCCTGCTTTTGGACAACCCGGAGGTTCTACTTTTGGACAACCTTCGAATCAGGGGCAAGGCACAGCATTCGGTCAGCCTTCAAAGCCGGGACAAACCACAGCGTTCGGCCAGCCTTCGAATCCTGGACAAACCACAGCGTTTGGTCAACCCTCACATCCTGGACAGACTTCTTCAGCATTCGGACAGGCGTCAAATCCTGGGCAGACGAGCTCTCCATTTGGTCAGCCGTCAGCTTTGGGAGGGACCTCCGCATTTGGTAAACCTTCGGTCCCGGGCGGAGGTGCCTTCGGTCAGCCTGCTACGCCATCTGCTTTTGGAAGCTCAGGATTCGGGAAGCCTTCAATGCCGGGCGCTGGTGCGGCTTTCGGGCAGGCCAGTACTCCAGGGCAACAGTCTGCATTCGGGCAAACTTCAGCGCCCGGAGCATCATCCGGTTTTGGTAAACCTTCGATGCCTGGGCAAACATCGGCCTTTGGACAGCCCAGTGCTCCGGGTCAGGGCAACGCATTTGCAAAGCCTGCCTTTGGTCAGACTGGATTCGGCCAAACCTCGCAGCCAGGTGCTACATCCTCCCCCTTTGGACAGCAATCGCAAGCGAACAAGCCAAATCCTTTTGGCCAAGCCCAATCAAGCAACCAGCCTTCACCATTTGGTCAGCAAACACAGACGACTACACAGTCAAGTCCGTTTGGTCAAGCTCAACAGCAGAATGCGGCTCAGTCAAGCCCCTTTGGAGGGGCCAGTGCCGCACAAAAACCATCCCCATTTGCACAGGCTAGCAATGCAAATGCATCGCCCTTCGCACCACAAAACCAAACATCTACGGCACCGAGCTCAGCTCCGAACCCCTTCAATACGAAACCTCCGACTCTAGGTAACACACCTTCGCCCTTTGGAGCACAGACCCAAACTAGCAGTGTCTTTGGACAATCCCAAACAACACAAGCGCCTTCGCCATTCAGTCAGCCAGCTGGAGCAGCTCGGCCTGCAACGACTTCAAACACCACTGCAGCCTCCGATATTGACCCAAGGGATCGACTGAAGGAAGGCAAACCGGAAGAGTATGATGGCGAACAAGGGAAGCTGCTCGAGGAAATATATCTCCGCGTTGCGCAGACTGGTTTCTTCAACGACAATGAAGACATCCCATTGACACCCCCGAAGTGTGAATGGATCGTACCAGTCGTATAAATGGCACCGTCCGTAGGGGACACTATACATTGAGCCAGTACGCCAGAACCCTTTGCTCACGGTCTTTCCACGCTAGAAACCTACGATTCGGTGCTTCGAAATCACGCACTCGGATCAAACGGATGTGCGTTTTGTAAGATATGTATAGTTCAGCTTCATTATGTGGCTTTGGAAATAGACTGTTGTCAGCCTAGAGAAGCGGTCTTCATCAAAACATTGTTATTACGTTGATATCAATTTTCCATTGTTCGTAGACCCCGTTAAAATTTGTATACCAGCTTATCCAAAAATTTGATAATGTCGAACGAAGTCCTGAGTAATACTCGATATCTTTCATGGTCCAAGCCCAGAGATGGAAAGAAGGCAAAAGACGCAAAAGAGAAAAAAAAAGGCAATTGAGTGGCTGGGAAAATGATGTACATAGACATGTACGGATGTTACTTGCTCCCGCACCGCATACTCTTTATAGGCTGTGCTTTCTTACCGTGACTGAAGCAAAGCTGCCATGACACGCGATTGCATACTAAAAGATTTGAGGATGTACCAAACTCGTTGACTAGAAAATTGTCCACTGTTGAGAAAGAAGGCGAATTCCTGTACATACCTAGGTAGGCAGCCAAGTTAACGTAACGTGAAAAAAAACGATCAGTGAGGTCACAGACACGATACCCCAGCATCCTGATCGAAAATCTCCATTTTCTCCGAGACATTGCTGATCCGTGCAGCAGACGCGCTCCGATCCATTGGATGTGAAGCGCCGAGCGGGTGCCTCATGCAGATACGATGCGTCCGTGTCACATCGCGTGCAGATGGAATGGGAAGTTTAATCTCAACAACTCTGGAAACAGCAAAACTCTGGAAAAGCCTACATACATGTATGCAAATACCCCTCTCGAGGTGGAGATCTTGATGCGGACTCAATACTTTGCACGTGACATGGTGGTTCACGGGTACCCCGTTTGCTCACCTTAGGCGCACTCCATGATCCTATTCGGGACTAGCACGCCCTGGGGAGGCTTCTATAAAGTTGTCTCACTCACGCTTGCACTTGAACATACCCTGTGCTTGCCCTCGGTCTCTGCTTGCCTTTGACTGGCTGCTACCTGGCAACCGCTTCCTGTCTTCCTGGTCCTCCACGAATTCGCTTTTTACCGACTATGATTCGATCTACGCTCAAGATGCTACTCGGAGTGGCATTGCTGCTTTTTAGTAGCATGCTGGCTGAGGCGGGGTCTTACAACGGGTTGAATCTCTTGCCTCAAATGGGGTGGAACAATTGGAACGCGTTCCATTGTGATGTACGTATATGCTCATGCATAGCAGAGCCTTTACGGATATTGTATCATATCTGCTCGAAAGATACTAACTATACCCGTAACTCTAGGTCAGCGACAATCTGCTCTATGAGACCGCTCAGCAGATAGTCAAGCTCGGGCTCCGAGACGCAGGATACAAGTACGTTGTCCTAGACGACTGCTGGTCTAGCGGTCGCAACGACAGCGGATATCTTGTTGAGGATGGTGAGTGAAAGACCCACCCAGCTGTTCTTCACACTTGGTCTAGACAGTCAAGTAACTAATGCGTTTGTTCTAGCAAAAAAATTCCCGCGAGGGATGCCGGCTTTGATATCTGATATCCACGCTCTCGGCTTGAAGTTCGGCATATACTCATCTGCTGGAGTCATGACTTGTGCGCAATACAAAGGCTCGCTCGGCTATGAACAAAAAGACGCGGATCTGTGGGCATCCTGGGGTGTGGTACGTATACTTCGAGTAGAGAGTTGTTGTCACCCAAGACACCACGCGAAGTGTTATATGAGCCGTGGACAATGTACTGAAGCATCTCTGGACAATTTTAGCTAATTAAACAACTGTGGTATAGGACTACCTGAAGTACGACAACTGTTACAATGAAGGTATGGGTCATGGATTTTTACGTGCTGAGTGAGCACTGAACTGAAGCAAAAAACTGACGCTTCAAACAGGTCAGAGTGGAACCCCTAAATTGTCATTCGACCGCTACAAGGTAATGTCCCAAGCCCTTGCAACCACCGGTCGAAAGATCGTCTACGCTCTCTGCAACTGGGGCAACGACGACCCATACGACTGGGCGCAAACACTCTCCAACTCGGGCCGCATGAGCGGCGACATCATCGACACCTTCAACCGCCCCGACGCCCGCTGCCCATGCACAGAATCCGTAGGATGCGTCTGGCCCGGCTTCCACTGCTCCGTCATGAACATCTTGAACAAGATGGCGGCCATTCAACCTCGCACAATCCAAGGCTACTACAACGACATGGATATGCTTGAAGTCGGCAACGGCGGACAGACGGATTCAGAGTACGTTGTCCATTTCTCCATGTGGGCGATGCACGCGTCGCCTCTTTTGATCGGGACGGATATCCGCAAGCTATCCCCCGCAAATCTCGCTATTTATTCCAACCCGGCCATCCTTGCGGTCAACCAGGATACATCTACCAGCGCCGCTCATCGCCACTGGCTCTACCGTGTGGAACCCGATCAGTACGGCGAAGGCGAGATCAGCATGTGGACGCGCGAACTCAGCAACGGGGATACGATCCTCGCGCTTATTAACGCGGGTATGCATTCCTTGTCCATGAACAGCACGCTCGATGAGATCTTCTTCGATGGACCGTCACAGCGGAAGCAGACGTGGGATGTGTATGATCTGTGGGCGAACCGTATGAGTGAGGACGAAGCCTCGGGCATCATCAACGGAGATGACTCGCCTATCTCTCCGACTAGCTCCACGAGGTTCAATGCCTCTGCTATGAGTTATGACGAGGGGATCAAGAACGGTCACCCTGCGTTGACGGGAGGAAAAGTCGCGAGTATCGAACCGGGAGGCACGTTTGCGAAGGAGATTCCTAGCCATGGCGTTGGAATTTTCCGGTTGAAGGCTGCCAAGTAGACTGGTATACTTGTCATACATACATACATGGACGGTAAGAGTCGGATCTGATAGATACTCAGATACGGGCTGAAGATGGGCATTCTGAATTCAACAAAAGGGAAAAGAGTTAAGGGATATAATACGAACGTATGAGCGGCATGAATTCACACTCCTTACCTACATGTATCCATGTTCAGATAGCTATCAGCGTTCTGACCCACGAATGAATGGTATCACGACAAACCTTATGGTCATTAATCATGTTCCTTCCCTTATACGTGATAGCTTGCTTGTCTCGTGGAAATAGAGATGCTTCACTTATTATGAGCCATAGCCAAGCATCCGCCAGTAATTTGCAGAATACAGATACATCCGATTGCTGATTTGATAGAGACCTTGCTTCAAGTTTCAGTTTTTTGGTAAGTTCCTTACCCGTCCGAAGAATGTACATATGTAAGTCCGTTCATGGACTCGCTTAAACTTTCCACCCAGGGGTGGGAACGCCGTAAATAACCGAGGCTCCCATGCGTCCTCTTCTATCCGGTCCAGCTCCAACCGAAAGTATTTACAAAACGAAAACATCGCCCAATTGAAGAAGCATCGAGCCTCCGAAGCCCGACAGTCTCTCAAAAGCAGCACAGATGTCGTTGTTCAGATCAGCAGCACCGCGGCTATGCGCTCGCCAGGTCCAGCGCTGCGCTTACTCGACCGCACCGTCTCCAGTCCTCAACGTCAGAAGCGTGCCAGCACCGCATTCCGGCAGCATACGCATCCTCTCTCTCAACCGGCCGGCTGCGCGCAATGCGATATCGAGGCAGCTGCTCGCCGAGCTTAGCCACCACATCAACGGCATCCACAGCGAGGGCGAGACGGGGCCCACCAGAGCTTTGATCTTGGCCAGCGACGTCGACACAAGTTTCTGCGCAGGCGCGGACCTGAAGGAGAGAGCCACATTCACACCCGAGGAGTGAGTAGTTCTACAAATAAATGTCTTGAACTAGTGGTTGAAGTACCAAACTAACGACATTGAAAGTACCACAAACTTCCTCACCTCGCTACGGGGCACGCTGACCTCGATCTCCCAACTGCCAATCCCCACCATATCCGCACTCGCAGCACCCGCGTTTGGCGGCGGGCTCGAACTAGCATTGACGACACATATGCGCGTCTTCGGATCCACAACCACCGTCGCGCTGCCCGAAACGCGATTAGCTATCATCCCCGGCGCGGGAGGAACGTACCGCCTCCCCGCCCTCATCGGGCTATCGCGAGCCCGCGACATGATACTGACGGGCCGCAGAGTCGGCGCGCCAGAAGCATATTTCCTAGGGCTCTGCGACAGGCTCGTTGAAGTTACGCAGGAGGACGCGCAGACGCCTGGGGCGGCGCGGACAAAGGTTCTGGATGAGGCTGTTAGGCTGGCGATGGAGATTTGCGAGGGTGGACCTGTTGCTATCAAGGCTGCGCTTGCGGCTGTTGAAGGGTGTGCTCTGGGGGAGAAGGCGGAGAATGCGGCGTATGATATTGTGGTGAAGACTAAAGATAGGGATGAGGCGCTGGTCGCGTTTAGAGAGAAGCGGAAACCTGTGTTTAAGGGGTACTAGCTTGTGTAGATGAAATAATACTAGGGACGTCAGATACCATGTTAGTCAAATGCCTACTGAGCTGAATTCTTTATCCAGGAAATACATATCCAAGTGCGTGAGCATTGACACATGGTGGATGGAAGAAAGTATGTAACATTCTGAAGAAGCTCCGGCACGCATCATCAAGAGCTACCCCGCAAAGCTACCCCGCCTCGGCCTCGACACCTCCCAAAAGCTCTCTTCTCTGGAAACACCGAAAACCCGCCATCACGTCACTTGTCCAACAAGCCACCACCACCTATCACTGCGACCCCGAATTGAGCACCATCATGTCCGCCGCAGCCTGTATTTTTTGCAAGATCATCAAGGGTGAGTGGGACCCTCCCTCTAAACTCGTAGCCAACTGACTAACAATGACCCAGGTGAAATCCCCTCGATGAAGATCTTCGAAAGCGACAAGACATTCGCCTTCCTCGACATCGGCCCGCTGTCCAAAGGACATTCCGTAAGCCCCCCCTTTCCCATTTCCCTTCCTCACACCCAATTCACGCTCCAACACAGTATAATAAAACTCACACACACTCTCCCCAAAACAGCTCATCATCCCCAAACACCACGGCGCAAAGCTCCACGACATCCCCGACGACCAGCTCACGGAGCTCCTCACCGTGACCAAGAAAATCGCCGTCGCGCAGAATCTGTCCGACTACAATATCCTGCAGAACAATGGTCGCATTGCGCATCAGGTGGTAGATCATGTGCATTTCCATTTGATTCCCAAGCCGAATGAGACGGAGGGGCTCGGGGTGGGGTGGCCGACTAAGGAGGCGGATAAGGGCGAGCTGCAGAAGTTGTTGGAGGAGATTAAGAGTAAGATGTAGATATAGAATGGAGGTGTGGATATGTTAGGATAGGATAGGGTATCATCATTCTTGATGTGGGTTGAGCATAAAGGAAGGAAGTGTTACAACCCTCTGGAGCTAGAGCTAGAGAGAAGCCATGCAATTGAAGAACCACAACACACGCTATACCCGCTTTTTGCAATGGATAGATAGATTGTGTTGCTGATCATGACACCCACGTCCAATCCCCACACTCAAAGTTTGCATAACACCGAAACTCATTGCTCAACCCCTTCGCGTGCCGCGGCTCGTACGATGTCGTCCTTGCCCCCACCCCAGCATACAGCTTCGTGATCAAGCTCTCCATGCGCTCGCCCGTACACACAACGAGTCTGAACGAATCGCTTCCGTCTTCGCCGCTCGCCGCGGAACTCGTAGGGTTCGTCCACGATCTGGCTAACCACCGCACCGTCAGCGCTGCTTTGGTCTGGCAGTCCTGGCTCAGGAACGGCGGGTCCACGATGATGCGGTCGAAGGACGCTTTGAGCTCGCTGGGGAGCTTGAGGGGGGATTGGAAGTCGTAGGGGACGAATTCTTTTTTGAAGACGGAGAAGCGTTGGTCGTATTCGAGGAGGGTGAGTTGGGGTTTGCATTTGTATTCGCCCGAGGCCTGGAGGGATCGAACAAGGACAAGAAAGGTTAGCTTTTTCGGATTGTTTTCCTTGGTCGGAGGGAATTGCTGTTCATAAAGTCGCTAGGTTACGTTGAGCGGGGAGGGGAAGAAGGACGTACCAAGAGGTTCTTGAGCTGGATGAAGGCACTTGGTGCTGAGACGACGGCTATGCGTGTTGAGTCGGTGGCGTTGTGGAGCAATTGGCGGGCCAGCGCCGTCGCCGTGTCGTCGTGGTACTATCGCACAATCCGTCAGTCGTTGACTTCTCCCAAAGTATATGTGTCCGATGGCTTAATTCTGCCGTACCCAAAACTGAGAAGCGTTCCAGTCCTCGGTGAAGGCTTCCATGGTGAGTTTCTTCCCCCCTGCTTCGACCTGGTCGAATTCATCTTCGGCGTTTGCTTGCAGGTCTTCGAATTGCTTTTGCCGTGTGTCGCGCTCGGTGTAGAAATCTTGGAGCGCGGAGAGGGCATCGGAGGAGAGTTGTCTTTATTTTCCAATGGAACGGGCTTATGATGAGTCTTTTTTCCCTCAAACTTTTTTTATTTTTTTGAGAGTGGGGAATCGAGGGGTGGTGGTTTTTGGGATTTGTTCGTTGTTCAATGGATTTTTAAAATCACTCACGGCATGTCATCATCGTCTTCGATGAGTGAGCCCATCTTGAGGGCTTTTTTTGGCTCTAGGAATGGCGGGCTTGGAGAATGGATGTGTGAAGGAGGTCGTGTGAGTCTACATGGGAATATCGAAGCGTCGATAAATAATTCCGATGTCAATTTAATAGCGGGTCCTCGATGAACGCCCAAAGGGTCTAGCCTCCGTCACCCCTCCGGCTTTTGCTATCGATAGGCGAGAGCTGGATCCCGAGCCTCGGGACAATTCTCCCCCACTCAGCTCTCCTCTGTATGACAGGATGGGCGGCTGATGGGACATGCGTCACCCGCTGATATGGCGATTGCGTGCTTGTTCCACGCTCGCAACCTCCTTTAGACGATATTCCATCATGGCTGAAAATTTGGTGCCTCTGCCCCCGGTTGAGAAGTTGAGTGATAGGGTTATTCGGGTGTTGGGAGGGAATCCGGGAAAGGTTAGTTTGTATAGGGCATCGTGAGGTGTGGTGTAGACAAGAGTCGCAAGGCTGACGGCATGATTCAACACAACCATATAGTTCACGCTTCAAGGTAACAATAAGCAAAAAGACTTCACAGCGTAGCAACAGCTAACACAAGACACAACCAGGCACAAATACATACATAGTGGGCACCGGATCCAAACGCATCCTCATCGACTCAGGCCAAGGTGAACCCGCCTGGATCTCCTCTATCAAAAAAGTACTTTCTTCCGAAAACATCACCCTCACCCACGCTCTCATAACACACTGGCATCACGATCACACCGAAGGCGTACCCTCGCTCCTAGAGCACTCCCCCGCCACAAAAGTCCATAAACGCGACCCTCAATCCCACTCGTCAGCCTCAACAACCTGGCACGACATCCGCGATGGCGAGACTTTTACCACTGAAGGCGCGACACTCCGTGCATTCCATTGCCCAGGCCACACCACCGATCACACAGCCTTCGTACTCGAAGAAGAATCGGCCATGTTCACTGCCGACAACGTCCTCGGACAAGGCACTGCCGTCTTCGAGGACCTCGCAGTCTACATGAACTCTCTAGACCGCATGCGCACCCAGTTCGAGAACCGCGCGTACCCCGGTCACGGCCCCGTCATCGAGGATGGCCCAGCTAAGATCCGCGAGTACATTTCTCACCGCAAGCAGCGCGAGAAGCAGGTCTTGGACGTGCTGGCTAGTGACGAGGAAAGGAAGGCGTGGACTTCGATGCAGATCGTCAAGGTCATTTATAAAGACTACCCGGAGAGCTTGTGGGTTCCAGCCGAGAGGGGTATTATACTGATATTGGAGAAGTTAGTGGGCGATGGGAAGGTCAGTAAGGTTGGAGGTGGGAAAGGGGAGGATGGCGAGATTAAGTGGGAACTGAATGACAAAGCTACGTCTTCGCTCTAGGTCGCTGTACTTGGGGACTCGCAAATCTATAGACTCTACACCAATCACTCTTCAAGCTAAGAAGCATTTGGCAGAAATTGAAGGTCTTCTATAATACTCTCTTCTATCAAAGAACTGTTGGTACTTGATGGTGTGTGAGCATCTCGATCACGAGATCCGCCATAGCACAGATACGACAACACTGGAGTTGTCTACCTAGGTAGAGAACATTGAAGAAAGCAACCACTGTGTCACATGGATCAGACACCTAAAAAGCCGGTAGCTTCGTGACGAGTATGCCAATATCAGCAAGACACGAGAGAATACATGTACGCTTTGAAGGGTCTTTATGAAAGAGTCCACTCGTGATGAAGAGAAATTGCGAGGCTGTATAGGCGTGGATATCAAGCTTCGCCCAACTACGCGTACTGTCCCCTGCCATGCAAGGTTGTTACAAATTCCAGCCTTCACTACAGGTATATTCTTTCGAGTCAAACATGCAGAGAATTAACAGGAGCTCAAGACGGTGCTTGTGTAAACAAAAGCAATCAATTGCATTCGCGAAATTCAGATTATGTGACGATGGATTTTTCACATTCAACAATACATACCTAGGTATATCTCTCTAGCGAACGCGACTCCCTAAACGACCCCACCGGCGATATACCCACGAAAATGCTTGTTCATTCGTGTGTGGGTGAACTGCGTAGACAGGTGGCGTACCTTGGTATATATATGACTATCTAGGAACATAACCACATGCAGGTATGTACATGCGCACGCGAGGTTTTGGCAGGTCCAATCACAAGATAGTGAGGAAGATGCTCGTTGTGCCGTTTTGGGTTAGCTCTCCGTTCAATTAGGGATTATGAGGAAGTTACTCGTAGGGGCGCATGTGTGGAATTAAGATTCTGGATGTGAATGTCAGCTTAAACGAGCAGTGGTATCAACAGGAGTCTCAGTTGTCCTACGTTATTGTTCGCACGGAACACCAACCATTGTAGGTCGAGATTAAATGTTGGGCGGATTACCTGGGTATCATGCACATTGGAGGCGTTGCGGCGCATATAGGAATAAGGCACTCTCGCGAAGTCCGGAGAGGATGAGACATCAACTCATCAGTGGTGGATGAACAACAGTAGGCTCACAGATCGATTAGACAAAGATTAGCTACGCACTTTAGTTGTTCTTTAAAAACCATGCGTTTTCCACTCTTCTTGCAACAAAAATAAACTTTTGATTTATTTTTGGTTTTCATTCTCGTCATGTCTCACCACCACGGCATAGAGTTACAAGGATGCGTCGATCCCATCTTATCGACGACTTTTGCTGCTTTAACTCCTTCGCCCACCTTCTCCAACCTGGCCCTGCAAGACCCCCAACAGCAGCAGGGTCTCGCCGCCAGACCAACTCCTCGAGATGTCTACGACCCGATCCCTGGACTCAATTGCACGTATGAAATACACTGCCAAGCAGATACAGAATTCGTCTGCGAATGGGGCATGGGATGCGATCAGCTGATAAAGCCGCCGCGATGTAAAATCTCTAGCGACAGCCAGACAATCACAATGTCCCAATACGCCTCGAGGTTGCCTATCGATCCGGAGGAGCTGTGGACGGAGCTGAGCATGAATATGATGATGTTGATTTCGCATTCTGCGACTGCGACGAGTACGTCGGCACCGACGACGACGGCGACAGATGTTGTACCCACTGCAACGCAAACTGGAGGAGGGAAGATGCGTGCAGCACATGGAATGATTTACTCCAGCCCGACTATTTATGGATTTTCGACCGTCGGCGATATCGTGTGGGGGGTGCTCATGGCATGGGGCATTTCATCGATCTTGTTGTTAGTGCACTTTCTGTAGGATCAATTGATATGGTACTGTGTATATTCCATCCGTCACATTTTGGAATTATGGCTTCTATCCAGTATCTCTTCATCAATGCAAGGGATATTCTCGGGTAGCAGCAAACAGATGGAAATGATGGAACAACTAGTTAGCTGAGTATTGTTCAAATGGGGATGGGAGTACGTACCAACAGTGCTGCGAACATGAACTACAAATTTCCCTTCGCTGGAGTAGCATTGGGAAGTTTCACACTTGAATCAAGCTCGGCTTAATATGAAAGCCAATCTGAACAATTGATTGGAGTTATTGAACGTAACGTAGGCAAAATTCGTGTCGTTCAATCGCGTTGTGGATCCGCTCGCAACAAACGCGTGTATGCTTTTAGCGATAGATGGATCACTCAACAATGACAAGATTCCCGATACCGATTTTTTTTGTTGGCAAATTCATAATAAAACAACAAATCAATAAATAAAAATGGAAATGGTAGTGTTTTGTACCTCCTCAAGATGACAGGCACCCACCGAGAACCACGAAAGAAAAAAACAAAAAAGAAATCATCGACGTGTGCATGGTTCGAACATGCGCTCCCGAAGGAACTAGATTACTGATTTACAACCGAAGTCGAAATTCAAGTCTAGCGCGTTAGACCACTCCGCCAACACGCCGTTTGATGTGATTTGCATCTCCAAGATACATTATATAGCTCCCAACACAGAATCATTGCTGAGGGATGAGCGTCGCGAATCCAGATGGTAAAAAACGATAGTTGGGGCGGGCAGTGAGGGGTGGGGCAGTCAGATCCCCACCATGCAGTGAAGAGGCTAGCTTATGTTAGATAGTGGCACAGGCTTACTTTGAATGTGGGGGGAAGTCGTGATTTGATGGGGTTTTTTGTTTTACCGATGAGGGATGATGGGTGGTGATGGGTGATGTGGGTCCTCCACGCGCTATTCTTGATGTTTGTGGTTTCTTGTGGATTATTTTGCATTTCCGCCGATGGATGGAATTCTAGCTTTTGCAGGCTGTTGTTATGTGCTGGATTCAAATGGGTTACCCTGTCATCGAGACCGATATGGCAGACTGTCTCATACAGTGATTTTTTTTGAGTCTGTGCTATAAGAATAATACGTTTTTTGATGGCAGCGGAGAGAGTTTTGGGTGGAGCAATGAATATACACCCGTTTGAATCGCAGAGTAGGGTATCGGAAAAATGGTGTATTTCTAAGACCTACCATTCAACTAACTCAACGACTAAAAACAATAAAAAGAACACGCTATGTTTATGTATGTGCCGAGCCCACCCGCTTCAACATGACAAGGGAAAAAAGATGGATGATCATTCTGAAAGGAAACACAATCTCACGGTACCAAAGTATATCCTCGCCCAACCACCATCTAAGCAGCAGAAACAACCTCCTTCCCACCATCACCACTCACCCCTTTCCCCTTCCCCTCCCTCTCCCTCTCCAACCTCTCCTTTTCCCTCCTCTTCATCTCCTCCTGCACTCTAACTCTCTCAGGGACAATCCCCTCCCTCTCGCCCTCAATCTTCCACCCTTCCAACCTCTCCCTCCCCAACGCCCTCAACGTCTTCCTCTCGACAACACTATACCCCCCATCCTCCCTGTCAAAGCAAAACGGTTCTCTGATCTTAACAGGCGGATTGGTGATAACCCTTACACTCCTAATCTGGTTGTTACTCGCCGAATGTAGCATCAGCGGGTGCAAAAAATAGACGTCTCCAACCACCCCAGTCGCTTCAACAAACGCATCGTCAGGCATCGACGCCGCAACATCATTGAACCACTTGAGGCCCGGTTCGTTTGCGAAAGTGGGGTTCGCGGCGCGCGGCGTCATGCGCGGGGAGACGCCCTCGGGGTGGTCGTGGAGGTGTTTGGCGACGGTGTCGATGGCGGCGGGGCAGATCATGGTTCCACCGCCGCCCGGCGCGATGTCGCTCCACAGCGGGATGATGAGGAGGGCTTGCTCGGGGGAATCGAGGTAGTGGACGAAGAAGTCGCCGTCAACGTGCCAGCCGGAGAGGGATTGCGGTTTGATGGGGACGTTGTGGCCGGCAGGGGTGCCGAGGTTGACGATGAAAGAGTCGCGCCAGGCGGAGACAGAGGGGTCGATTAGGGAGGGGGGTCCGAGGAGGGAGAGGATGGCGCCCCAGGCTTTCGGGGCGAAAGTTGAAACGGGGAAGCTTTGGTGCCAGGGCATGTTTGTGCGTTCTGTGTGCCTTTGAGGGGGGGAGTTAGGAGCTGTGAGGTAGATGAGATTGGGGAAAAGGGGGAGGGGGAGTGTTACCATGTGGACATGTCTTGGGGATCCATATCTAGTCTGGTCCAGAGTGTGGTTTGGAGTTCGGCTGCTTGTTCACGTGTGAAGCAGTTGGATAATTTGACCCAGCCATGGTCCATGAAGTGCTGGATGTCCTCCGAGGAAAGGGGGCTGGGGTTCTGGTTGTCGTCCGCCATGATATAGATGGAGTGTTTGTATGTTTCTAAACCGATACCAGGATATCCTCTCTTGTGGCCTTACTTTTCCTCTCCTATTTCTCTGTGGGCCGGCAATATCCTTCAATATCTTCAGGTGATCCTATCTCCTAGCTCTTTTCTGTGTACACTATGCGAATGTATATATCTCTGATTGTGGATAATAGAGAAGTCAATCCAGTACAGCAATGTCGTACTTTACAAGCTCACTCAATCCTACCGCTCAAGGTCCCTTGTAGAAAATCGACTCGACTCACAAAGAAAAAAAAAGAAATAACAGCGCCTTACCACCCGACTTTATACTTGTAAGAAGCAGTCTTACATGTACCCAAGGAGGGGCAAAACAAGCAGGACCATGACACCCACAAAAAAACAAACCCCCACTCATCATACATCTCGCTCACCTGCCCATGGGCTTACCATGTTCGGGTTACCAATTCAACCAATTTAGCCGGGCAAATCTACGAATGCCATTGTAGCTTTCGCGGTTGGTTAGCCGTAGCGTGACGTTTCTTCGCTGTCACTGTACCCGCTAGGCCCGGGGATCGGTCGTGATGTCGGAAGCTTGTCGGACCTTCTTGTCTGGGAAAATGTGGAGTGGAGAGAGGCCTTGGTTCGTCAGTGTTATTTAGACGAATCGACCTATCAGAAAATCCCTGTGTGATGATTCAGCTTGATTACATTTACACTTCTTGAGACTGTGCACACAACCTATGCTCCATCACTTGATTGTTGGTCATTAAATCATTCATTCGTTCTAGATTGATAGATGCAAATTCCCTACCGCTTTCAGTGCACACCTTCTCGCTCATGCATGGGCTGCTGTCCGGCGGGTTGCTGCAGTCCCCCATATTTCCACTCAAACGCGCGCTGCCTTTCCTCTGTATCCTCAACTCCCCACCCATCTTTCCCTCCCACAAAGTTATCAGCAATCAACCGTGCTACATTCCGGCCCATCAATGCACTCGTCTCCATTGTACTAATGAAACTCTCTATCCCGCTGGTATACCATAGCCCTTCGTCGAGTTTGAGCTCTTCAAACGTGAGCCGTGGTAATTCATGTGGGTATGATTGGAACAGCTTGTGATGGATCCAGCTCACATTCGCGTCCGGGTCTGCCTTTCCTTCGATCTCATCGCTGGTGACCTTCACGCCTAAGTATTTGGACAGGAAGGCGGCGGAGACGGGTTCGTCGGAGAAGATTTTATAAATGTATTCCTGACGGGCTGTGGATGAGCGAGGGTTGATGAGAGATTTGAGGATTGAGATGCTGAAGAAGCCCGGGCTACCATTGAAGGTGGTGCCATTATGCGGGTAGGACTCAGTCGCGGGGATGGTAGTCAGAATAGCTTGCGGGACCTGGGCTTCTGGTGCAAGGTTGAAGGCTGCGGGAGAGAGTTTAAGAGGCGTCGCGAAATGAGTAACGTGTAGGTTGACGTAGGGTATCTGGTCAGGGACGTGTGCAGGCGCAGGATCGATGACCAGGTTGGAGAACTGGAGCGGAGAGGCGAGGATGACTTGGTCGAAAGTTTTGGTGTCGCCAGTCGGTAGGGTAAGGACATAGGTTCCATTGGGCTGCTTGGAGATGTGTGTGATGGTGGTTTGGAGGTGGGTAGAGATGGATGATGAAGACGATAGCATGTTGTCAAAGATCTTCCAATTCCCACCTTCAATTTGCATAGCTCCATTGGCGGCCATGCATACCATTGTCTCCACCCCATGAATGGAGCCCAGATTCGAGGCGTAGTTGACGCGCGTACTGGCTTGTATGATTTCATTCGCAAACAAATCCGCCACGCCTTTATTCTTCAGGAACTGCTCCCCGGTTAAGCCTGTGACCTCGACCAGTCCAACATCCTGCACCGCTTGACTCAGACTCTTAAATGGAAACAGCGGTTTCTCGTAGAGTCGCAGAAACTTGCCCACGGTATCCTTCATTAACGAGTTGGTCTTGACGGGCGCGTACCCGTATCTCCAGAACAGTTTCGCCATGTCCCACCAACCCCCCTCGTCGGTCATGGTGTATACAAATTCGTTTCCGTTCCATATAGCAAGATCTGCCATGCCTTCATCATCGTGGACCGTTCGCGTCGCGGTTCTCAGCCCAAAGTCGCGGCTGGCGTTCATGAGGATGTGGTTGACTTCAACAAAAATGGATGCTCCCAGTTCGACGGAGTACTGGGGATAATCCCATGGACTAATGGTGGTACTGCGGCCGCCAACATGGCTAGATCGCTCATATACATCGATTTGCGTGGGGATATCGGCTTCGCGGGCGTACTGGGCGAGGTGGAAGGCGGCGGATGAGCCTGCTGCTCCGGCGCCTGTTCATCGTCAGCCTCGAAGCATTCTATACCGGAAATCGGTATATAATATGATGTGCATCGATATTCTGCAAGCAATTTGACATACCTATGATGGCGACTTTCTTAGCCGCAGCTCGTTCCGAAAGCCTCTCTCCAGCACTCCTTCCATCATGGCTGAGAGCTGCGGCGAAGGGCACAAAAAGCGGAAGAGCAGCGATCTGTATTATCATGATGGCGGCAGATGCGAGGTGGTAAAATGCTGTGGATGCAACCAATACGTATCCTCGAGATATGAAATGATGATATCAAGATTGCCGTCAGCCCATGGCTGCTGTCGAAAAGGTGCTCTGTCGGTGATACGATGATGAAGGCACGCGGGAGCTCGGACACTTGTAGGGGTGTCGCGACAGGGCAGCGTGGGGGTGGGGGCGCTTCTATACCAAACTCTCTTCTCCCCTATGCGCGACACTATCACTTTATATCATGGACACTTCGTCACGTCCGAATGGCTTTAAGATAGGATTCTTTTATTGACGAAAAACTAAAAACCAAGTCCAAAAATTACTCCCAAGAAAAAACAAATAACCATGTAACAGCTTCTCACTACAAACATGCCACCCTCCCTCCTTTTGAGCTTCCACTGTAAAGTCATCAAAACACAAAGATTCCTCGCTCGCTCGCTAGAAACAAAGGGTATAATCCTCGTGACAAGGAAAAAGAAACTCGTGAGTCGTGAAACGTAAGGTCGTGAACATCAATCGCACACAAAAACAGAGCTGAAAACCAAGAAAAAAGGGAACAAGAGCAAAACATAACGAAACAGGAATAAAAAAACAAGATCAACGCAAAGACAGGACTCCATATACCTCATCATCACATCACACACACACACACCCTACACAGCCACCGCACTTCCCCTCCTCATGAACTTGAACAACCCTTTCTTCTGCTTCTTATCCCGTCCAGCAGCAGCAGTAGGCACAGGATAATACCCAGCCTGGGCCGCAGCAGCATTGAGTCTCTCCGCACCTTCATAGTCCCAGGGCACAGTCCAATTCCGCTGTGGGATCTCGCCTAGCTTTGTGCTATCAGACGCGAACGTGTATGAAGAGGGTGTGAGTTTATCGAGTCTGCGTCTTGCGATGGCGGCGTTGAGGGGTACTATTGATGGAGGCGATGACGAAGGGATGTGCTTTTCGTTGTACGAAGGAGAAGAAGGCGTGTGTTGCGGTGATGGGAGAGGGGAGAGTTCGTCGAGTTTCGGGTGAGGCTGTACTTTTGTAGGACGTTGGTGGGGGGTTGATGGTACGCCTTTTCGCTTGCCACCACTGTTCATCTTCGGGGGTGTCTTTTGCATGGGTGGGAAGGGATCTTTGGGTGAGTATTGAGGGAGTGGTGATCCCATTGCTGAGCCAGACGGCGAAGAAGAGATGGATGAATTCACCGTGGTAGAGTGGGGTGATTTCATTGAACTAGAACTACTCGATGTGGTTGAACCTTTTCTTGTATGCTTGGGTCGCACCATCACAAGTTGCTTTTGGTTGGAGTTCTTCACGGAGGCGCGGGCAACGATGGGCCCGTTGATTCTTTGACGGGATGATGGTGATGATGCCGCGTGTCGTTTTTTATCAGTTTGTTCAGATTTGGAAGAGGACATGCGATGAATGTGGAGCTGTGACTGGCTTAACCGGCTGTGTAATTGGTTTAGCGACTCCATTGCTTCTCTGCGCGAGGCATCGGATAGGCTGATGAGAGATTTATAGTCTAGGTGTAAACTGCTGCTTTTGGAGTTGCAATTCAAGAAGGTTGCGATGATGCGGACCAAGCCTGTGTTTAGTTTGATCAATGTCTCAGCGAGACTTGCATGGGCAGTTGCTAGGACCTTGATCAGCAAAAGCGCAGTGATGCCAATGACTGCTTCACTTACCGTCACCTTTCGCAAACGCCTCTCCTTTCTCCCCGTAGCACCTCTCATATCTATCTCTCAGCTCCACTGGCCCTCTCCTCAGGCTTGTACTCAATTGCAATTCCGCTTCCGAGGGCACGTCTTCAGGTTTGGAGGCATTCTGTTTACTTTTCTTCCTTTTGCTTCTCTCTTTCAGTCTTTTGAAAACATTGAGACCGTCGGTAAAGGCAAGAATGATGTTCTGCACGCAATTTGAGACCTCAGCCTCGCCAGAACTCTGTGTCGTAACCACCGCCATTTTGAACCGCAATATATATACAAGGGAAAAAGTACAAAGCCAACGCAAGATAACGAAGAGAGGAAGAAGAAAGCAAAAAAGAAAAAGGATTTGTGCGCTTTTGAAGGCTCGTAAACGAAAGAGACGGGCCAGGGCAAAGAGGATGAAGGCAGAGTCACACTCTCGTATTGAGCTTAGCTCTCGAGATGGTCCATGAAGCGGACAAGGCTCCATAGTTAACCGTTGTCCACACCCCAGCCGGCTCGTACGCGACTTTTGGTGCCTGCAGCCGCGAGTGGTCTCGCTTCCAACCTGGCGTCGCACGAGGCTCGCGCATAGCCGCCCACGTCGTGTCTTGGACGTGATTCCGCTCTTGACTGGCTGTTCACGCCCCCGCGTGCTATCGCAACCTGGTCTTAGCGTACGAAGAGGAGCATGTCCAGTTGTCGTTTGCATGGGATGGAGTGGAACTCACAGGGAATGCGCTGTTGTGTGTACAGGCCAAAATGATTTGGCATCGGAAATGTGCATATTTCTATAGAGATATTTACATGCATCTCATTCGTCTCCGATGGAACGCACCGCTAATACAATCAATCCCAAACGCCACGCTATGCATAAATGAACATCTCCCCCCATCTTTCATCGCCTCATTGGCCCTCGTCGTTTGCATCTTCGACTGTAACAGTGCGCCTGGTCAAGTTGTGCTCCTCTGAGTTGCTGCCTGCCACCGCCGAACTCGATCCTTCCGCTTCCGTGTCCCCTCCGACGTTACCGAAGCTCCAACTCGATTCTAATGACCGATCTGGGGTGGCCTGAGGCCCAGCTGTTGAATTTGAATTTGTTGCTGCCACAGGAGGCTCAGATTGTGTTGTGGTCGCAACCATCGGCCTCAATGTCCACCCCTCGGGGAGCACCACTCCATTCGGCAAGCTAGCGTCACCCTGCCGAAGAACGGGACCGTTGGGGGAATACGCCTGCGGGATAGTATTGTCGGCGGAAAAGTGTGGGTTTAGAGGGGCTAGAGGCGGCAGATCGAAGCCTGTCGCTGTCGCTGTGATACCCGAGGCCTGCTGGAGACGGTTCAACTCCGCAATGAGAGAATGCATATATTGCAACTGAGTATGTTGAACGTTGAGTTGCCGCATAGATTCGATAATGTTCTGCTGGATGCGCAAAATGTCCATTTGTATATCAGAGGGGTGTTGCCCGACGGCTCCAGGTATCACGGGCACGTGCATCTGTGGCAGTGTCAAACCTTGTGGCAGTGGTGGCTGCTGTTGTGGATGGAGATATTGGTTCTGCGCAAGCTGTTGCGCCAAGTTGGCTATCGTATCATTGTTGTTGTTGATATTATTGGCGTTGCCTGCCTGGTTGGCAGGTACACGAAGATTGCCCAGAGCAATTCGGATAGGGCCGAGGTTGAAAACCCGCAGATTGCCCACAGGTCGATTTGGCTGAGCACCAGGCGCTGGTTGTGCTGGCTGCCCAGGCTGTGCGGGTTGTCCAGGTGGACGTGCCTCGGGTTGTTGAGCGTTGCCCCACGGCACCCCCATGATACCATTCCGGGGTCGTTCGGCGTTCTGTAGACCTGCGTTGGGTTGATTTGCCTGGACAATGGGCGAGGAGAGAACGGGACGCCTGCACGTAGGGCATACTTGCTGCCTCTCCAGCCAGCTCCTCAAGCAGCTGAAATGGAGAATATGTCCACATGGAAGCTTCTTTGGTCTTTGTCGTTCGTCGACGCGCCGACCCGGTTGAGCATCGGCGGCTCCCTGCGGAACCCAAAGTTTCATTTCCTCGCGACAAACAATGCACGTGTTTTCCCTTTCCAACTCCTCGGCTGTAGCATCCGGATAGCGAGTATTCATGTCGCGAGTTGCGTTCCGGTACTGAATGAAGTCGTTGACGCGATTATAGAAAGAGCGGCATGTTATGAAGAGATCTCTCATGATGTGAATCGGGATCCCGGAAATCGCTATGAGGATGAAAAAGAAGCCGACGTAGAGGACAGATTTGATGAAGTCGGTAGCCAGGTCCAGATAGAACACCCATCGTCCCTTCTCTTCCCATCCAGGAACATCTGCGTCGTCATCGTCATCATCCTCGTCCGCATTCTCGGGTTCTCCATCGCCAGCTTCTCTCCGTTGCTGCGCTTGCTCTCTTGCAAGCCTCAAAGCTTCATCCCGAGCTATCTGCTGGCGGTGTGTGACGTAAATTTCCACCAACGACAGCACGTAACGCAAAAGGGTCGAAATTGAGGCGATTGTGAGGAGTACGTATTCGAATCCGAACATGATCATAACGCCAGCTCTTGGATTTGAAAGTATCGTGTTGATGCTGTAGTTCATCATGAAGATGTCGAAGGCCACAGAGAGGAGCAGCGAGGATATTAAGCGGGCGTGAAAGAGCTTCGGGTTGGTGGGGGGTTGTTGCTCGAGGAATTCTACACGTCCTTCTCCGATCCACTGCCACAGCTTCCCACTCAGTAAACACACAAACATGGCGAAGAAACCTATTCCAATGTCGTCCCGGAAGATGGTCATGGCCAACAAGGTCTCGCTGATGGCGAACCAGGCCTTGTCATATAGCTGTTCCGTCTCGATCGGGCGTAGCGGACCGTAGAAGAGGCGCTGAAGTCCATATCCGAAGCTTGCGAGAACGATCAGGGCTAGGTTTATCAGGAACTGGCCGTTGTTAGTTTGCGCGTGGCATTGCACGACAGGGCTACAATATGACGAACCATGAGCGAGCCAGTGCTCTGTGAGATATACACGGCAGCCGAGTAAAAGTTGGGCCGCTCGTAGTATGCGCGCAGGAGCACGACCTTTGCCAGAACGGCCGAACCCTACAAGTCATCCGTTAGCAGTGCGAAGGAGCTCAGCGGGTTGCACATTACATACCGCGATATACATGTGCAGCCGGGCCATGATGAAGAGGCAATGCAGGACAGCTTTCAGAAAGAGATATATGTCTCCATCTGCATGCGCGACGTCTGAGAGAGTGAGAGCCTCAGAGAGTGGTGAGTTTGGCTCTGTCAACGTCGCGTTACAGCTTGCCAAACGTGTCATTAGGACACGTGACTGATGACGGAGCGCCAAGATTAACATCCAATCTTCAACACTTTCCCCGGAACTCATCCCGTCTCACCTCCACCTTCTCGAGCTCATCTCATCGATTATCACCTGCATACTTGAGTAGTCACTGGGTTCTTTTTCAACCATCCATGCTGGTTATATAATCTAATCACATTCGATCTACAATGACTACGACCCGTAAATCGCGACCAGTCCATCCGCGGCGCGTCTCCCCAACGCCTCTAGTGTTCCCATGCTCAGCATTTCTATCGTGCTGATATCAACCCCAAAACTCAATTTCCACCATGCCTGCAATTCCACTGCTACCAGAGAGTCCAACCCTACATCCGCAGTACGTACTGCAATATTGATCTCGGTATTTCTAGACAGGGTGAGAGCGAACAGCTTTTTGCCTATCTCAAGTGCCAGGAACTCAGCAGTTTCACTAGATTCCAAAAGGGCTGGGTTCTTCGCGAGCGTGGCAAGAAATGTGCGAAGCCCATCAGCGGCAGTGCCAGACTTGCTGCTGATGCCGGCACTAATATTGTGGTAAACACTCATGCGCACGTCTCTTCGCAACCGAGCGCTACTTTCTGGGCTACTCAGGGGTACACTGGGTGCAATGCCCAGAAGGAAAGTCTCGTTTGACGGGCTGATAGAGCCTTTTCCCTGTCGTTTTCCTGTTTGATGGGACATCATGGCGAGAGGTAGAGCCTTGAGAAGATCCTTCTCCTTCACTGCCCTCCAACCAGTCCCTTGCATCTTCTTCAACAGTGCTTCGTTTTCTGACAGGTAACCAATGCCTTCCATTGCACCAAGATCAATGGCTGAGCAGGCGAGGCCATTGTTGTTTCTGAACCGCGCAAAGGCATCGAGGAACGTATTTGCGCTGGCATAGTTGGCCTGGCCAACTTGACCAAGAATGCCGGACAGTGAACTGAAGAGCACGAAGAAATCCAAATTCAGGCCTCGCGACACTGTGACGTCGTGGAGATTGTATGTTCCTTTAATCTTCGGCAAGGTAACATCGCTCCAGTCTTCTATGCTCATACCATCAAACAATTGGTCGCGTAGAACCATCGACATTTGGATGACGCCCTTAAGTGGTGCTGATGCACTATCCACTGCATGTGCGACATCATCCACATCGGTGACATCTCCACGGATGAGCTGTACGGTACAGCCCATGCTCTCGACTTCTCTCGTGAAATCGGCATCATGTTGTCCCTTGCCTGCACTGCGTGATAGGAAAATTAGGTGTTTTGCACCATGTTCTACCATCCACACAGAAACTGCGCGGCCTAACCCGCCTAGTCCACCGATGAGAAGATACGAAGAGTCACCGTCCAGTTTGGTTTGGACCTTCTTCATGGCATTCACATCCCGTACTAGAGCTTTCCCAGACGAGTCGCGCAGCTCAAGCACAATCTTGCCTATATGCTTGCCCTGTTGCATGTATCGGAACGCTTCCAGCACTGCGGGAGCCTCGAATGTGCGATCGACTCTAATCGGCTGGAAATGGCCCTGGGCAAAGCAATCCATGGTATATTTCAGCATCTTGTTGCTGATCTCCGGTCGCTCTTGTCTCATTTGCTCAACGTCCAAGCAGCAGTAGCGGCGATTGGCGAGGAATGGACTCATATCAAGCCGAGCATTTCCTAGGAGATCGCGTTTGCCTATCTCCACCATAGAACCCCAGGGAGCCACGCACTTCCACGTTGCGTGAAGAAGCTCGCCTGCTAAGGAGTTCAGGGCAACATCTACTCCTTTGCCGTCAGTGGCTTTAAGCAGATCATCAACAAATGATGTGTTTCTAGAGTTGAAAATGTGGTCCCTTGGAAGACCGAAGGTTTCCATTAAATATTGCGCTTTCTGCTCGCTTCCCACAGTTGTGTAGATAGTGGCGCCGAGCATACGAGCGACTTGAATAGCAGCCAGCCCCACACCACCTGCTCCGCTGTGGATGAGCACAGACTGCCCTGCTGACAGGCGGGCGAGCTCAATCAAACCATATACTGCTGTGATGAAGACAGTCGGGATGCAGGCGCCTTGAACGAAGCTGATATTGTCAGGTATCTTCTCATAGTATACCTGGTGGCCTGTGATGGTAGTAGAGAATGTGTTGATTCCAATCACAACAGCTCGATCTCCTGGGACAAGCTTGGAGACCTTCGATCCAACACGCCGTACAATACCGGACGCTTCGTATCCGAATTTCGGTTCGTGACGTCCGGGAATGATTTGCATGCCGACAAGAACATCGCGGAAGTTGAGGCCACTCGCATAGACTTCTACTTCTACATCTTCATCCTGTAGGACCGCCGTGGGCTTTGTTGACCACGTGAGAGAATCAAGACGTCCAGGATGAGACTGCGTCATGACCGCTTCCTCGGTGTTTTCGGACGTAACGAGTTCTTTGTCTAGGACAAAGGGGAAGATCCGGTTAACCAGCGTCTGTCCGTTATGAATAGAGTACTCGTAATCTGGACCAAGAATTCCATCGGCATGTCTGCATTGCAGCTTGCCCACAAAATCGGCGAGCATAGTGGCGTATTCGGCGGCGACAACCTTGTCCATCTCCAGGGTGACGAGCTCAAGGTTCTTTTCATTGCGCAAAGTTCGCAGCAAGCCAATAACCTGCGCATATCTCGGGTCGGTGCAAGCAACACTTGTAGGATGCGTGACCCACACCATGGTTGATTCTCCAAGATGATCCAAAAGGGTTTTGAGCTGAGACATCCTTTCTGCATCCATGGCCCCGCAGAATGGTTGCTCTTCGTCAAGAAACGCGATTATGTCCTGGCCGGTCGGTGGCACCTCCCCTAAGGAACAGTGGTCAATAGTGTAACCGCGAGTCGTCAGCTCGTTGACAAAGAGTTGAGGTTCATTGCCTTTCTCATCACACAGCAGAGTGATGCGGTTATTGGATTCAACCAAGGGCAATGCCTTTGCTACAAATACGTTGTTGGTTGATGTTGTCAAGTTCTGCTCAACTTGTATCACATCAACAAGACCCACAGCGTGCATTGCGTCTTGCCACTGCTGCTGTGTCAGCAAGGGCTCGTCAATTCGATCCAAATCGTCAGCATGAGACCACCAGCTAGGCAAAGTACCGAGAACAAATTTGATCCATGGCACACCAGCGCGCGGCTCTTGTAGGACCAGTCTTCCTTGCGGACTGAGGAGTGTCTTGATGGTCTTGAGAGACCGATTGATGTTTTTGCTTCCATTCACAACGTTTGTGGCGATGATGAGATCGAATTCGCGACCTTCCAAGCTCTGTTGTGCGAGGTCGTGGTTGAGATCAAGGATCTCAAAGTCAATGTCGCCGAGTTCCTTCAAACGTTCCTTCGCGGCAGTCAAAACGCTAGATAGCGCATCGGACACAACGTACTCCGAGTACAAAGGCCTTCCGTCTGCACGAGTAATACTTTTAACGATGCTTCGCGTCTTGTGACCCAATCCTGCACCGATCTCTAGCACTCTCATATTCGGTTTTGTGCATGCCAGGGTGTGGAAGTAATCTTGATCTTGTTGCTCCTTCAGAAAGTCGTTGAACTGATCGAGACGTCCGTCTTTGCTAAGTACTTCCATGGCAAGGGTCTCGCCTTTCAGAAGAGCCTCCATATTCTGAGAGATGGCTATTAATGTGTTGGCAGCGGGGGCAGCAGGCGTTGACTGGAGTTTTTCGATTAACTCATCCATACGCGATGAAACGTCTGGTTGTGCTATGTCAACCACTTCGTGTTGAAAGAGCCACTTATGGTACTGAGAGAGGCTTGATGAAGATGCGTCAACTGTCTTAGCTACGCTGCTGGCCATATTCATAGCCATCTGAGCAAGCTCATCGAGTAAGGGCTGGAAGGAGGCAGCGCCTTCAAGTGGTTTTATGAGGGTATCGATGCTAGCAAAGTCAACATGAGGAACCCACTCACAATGAGCAGTGATTGGCGTGACGTCCTCTTCTTTGTCTTCTCCTTCGTCGAAGAGCGACACATTGGCACCTGACATGCGCAACACTGCTCTATCCCCAGCGTAGATCCCCCCATTTCCCACTTGACCTTCATCGGTTGGTGCGGAAGTTGTCGTGATTCGTAGACCATCCTCATTGCAACGAAGTATCGTCATCGAATCAACCGATGAAGCCAGGTGTCGTCGGTAGTGACGTCCAATACCGTTGAAGATTGAAACATTCATCAACTGGAAGTACGCATCCAGGATGACGGGGTGGAGGAAGTATTGCGACTCATCACCCCAGATGTTGTTACGCACATGTGCCGACGCTTGATGATTCTCACCAGTGGTAGAACGAATCTGCTCCAGTACAGCGAACTTGGGCCCATATGTCAGTCCTCTCTGTCTCTGTACGTCGTACCATGTTGAGCTATCCACCTTGCGCGGTAGATCTCCCTCATTCATGTTTGTCGAAGGCGTTGCATCGGATGCCTCTGCGCGGATCTGCCCTACACAATGTTTTGTCCAGGTGTGTCCATTGTGTGAGGAAATTGAGAATTCGCACCATTCGCTGTTCGCGCTATCGGTCAAACGATGAGGCCGCAGTGTAGTAATGACCTCAGTAGCCGTGTCATCAGCGAGTACCATCGCGTTGCCAACAGAAACATTTCGTAAGCTCACTCCGTGGTTGACCCCCGAGTATTGGCGGATTGCCTCAGCCGCGATGCAAACGTAACCTGTCAATGGGAACACGGTGGCATCGTCCACCCTATGATCTAGAGCCCAGGGAACGGCGTCTACCTGCAGGAGATTTCGCCATATAGGTTCTGATTCAGTACACTCGGGTAGTCTGGAGCCTAGAAGATCATGATGAGGGTACTGCTTCTCTCGCCATTCTTTGGCAATGCGGGATTCTGACCAGTATCTACGAGAGTGATCCCAAGGGTAGCGAGGCAGGTTGGGTATGCGAGATCCTTCCGGCGCCAGACTTTTCAGGTCCAGATGAACATGCAGGGCGTAAAGCTTTCCGATTGCCTGCAGAAGATTCTCGCCACTATGTTGGTTCCGGATCAACGTTGGTATGTAAGCAGCGTTGCTTCCAGTTGATGCCAGAATTTGTCGTAGCGGGCCTGCGAGAGCGGAGTGTGGACCCAACTCCAGGAATACCTCATTTTGTATCACACCGGAGTCTACTAAAGCAGAAACAGCGGAGCGGAACAGAACTGGACGCTCCAGATTGGCCCTCCAGTATTTGGGGCCTAGTTGATCGCCTTTCGTTTGCCCTAAGAGTTGCCCCTTGACACTCGAAAAGAATGGAATCGAAGGAATCCGGCCAACCACACCTGAGTGGACCATAGCTTGCTCATAGTCCTTCCCGAGAGCAAGCATATGGTGCGAGTGGTAAGCTTTGTCAACCTTGAGTCGCGTTGTTAGAGCCGTAGGATGATTGGCTTTGATTCTGGCCGCTACACCATCTAGCTTCTCTTCGTCGCCGGAGAGCGTCACGCTGCTCGGTGAATTGTCGCAAGCCGCCACGACACCGGGTACAAGAAACTCCTGTACATCATTCCATCCCAGCCCAACTGCGAGCATGCTACCGCGCTCGGTGCGCCCTTTAGTAGAAAGACCCCGATGGAAAGCTACAGTTATCGCTTCTCCAGCAGTCAGGGCTCCTGCGGCATACGCTGCTCCAATTTCTCCGCTTGAATGTCCTACTACCGCTGACGGCTTGATCCCGAAAGTTGCAAGTGTATCAACTAGGGCTATCTGGAGGGCTGTACACAGTGGCTGCGAGAGCTCGGCCTCGTTTATGCGACTTAGCCTCGTAGCTTTAAGAAGTTCTTCCCTTAGCGACCATGACGGTTTGGAGTCGTCTAATGTTGCGAGATGTTTCTCAAGATCTGCAATAGTACGTGAAAAGGTGCTGTTGGAAAGTATCAACGCACGCCCTGCTCGTGGCCAGGCTGCGCCCTGCCCAGTAAATACCATGACAATTGAACGTTTTGTGGCGGCGTCATTCTGCGATGTCGGAAGAGTAGCTAAGTCGAATTTGTCTTGTGTCGCTATTGCAAAAGATCTATGAGGGAGATGCTCTCTTCCAACGGATAGTGTATGTGCTACATCGACTAGATTCAACGAATCACCTTTTTCGCTCAGGAGAGACTGATAGCTATCTTCGATATCTTTCAACGATTGTGGAGTGTTCGCAGAGAATAGCAGAAGTTGGGGCTCAGTGGATTTTGGTGCTATCGACGAGTTGATGCGCCGCCTCTGGTCGAAATTTGTCGTCGATTCCAAGATAACGTGCGCATTGGAGCCACCTACGCCGAAACTGTTGATACTGATACGTTTTTCTCTGTCGGTGGGCCATTCTGTAAGTTGTCCGGGAATCTGTAATCCGGCCTTTTCAAATGGGATCTTAGGGTTGAGCGGCATATATTTTATATTCGGAGGGATAGAACCATGCTCTAGAGCCAGCGTGGCCTTGAGTATCGCAGTAAGGCCAGAAGCTCCCTCAGAATGACCTAGGTTAGGCTTTAGCGCCCCGAGAATGATTCCATCCTCGAACACAGAAGCGATAGCTTCCGTCTCGATAGGGTCTCCAGCGTTTGTACCAGTACCATGGCACTCGAAAAGTCCGGTGTTTCCGATGTCTTTAATACCAGCCACTCTATAGGCCTGTCTTATCAACGCCTCTTGAGAAGTGGCGCTAGGCATGGTCAATGGGAAAGTCTTCCCATCAAAATTGACCGCAGTACCCGAAATAACAGATCGGATAGGGTTGCCATCGCGAATAGCTGCACTGAGCGACTTCAAGTAAAGAGAGACGATCGCTTCTCCTCGTGCATACCCATTCGCGTTGGCCGAAAATGTATTGCAAGAGCCATCTGGGCTGAGCACTCCTTGGCCAGATAGCCTGGTGGCCATATCAGGGGCCAGGATAAGACTTGTACCTCCGACTATGGCCTTGTCGCAGTCGCCCCGGCCAATAGCCATGCAGGCTTCGTTGAGGCCAGTCAGAGCCGATGAGCATGCAGTGCGTATCGTCAGGCTCGGCCCGCGCAGATCCATCTCGTGCGAGATTCGCTCCGATATCATAAAGTCATGCGTGGTCGCTGCGGCGTAGTGACTGTGGCGCAACCCATCGCGTATCATCATATCGTACCAATCCTGGGTGAAGTTCCCCATATAAACACCAGTATTGGATCCTTCCCAGCCCACTTCGCATGCGTCTTCCAAAGACTCCCTTGCTACTTCGAGCATCAACCGCTGCTGGGGATCCAACCACTCCACTTCCTTCCGAGTCATGGAGAAGAACGACGTATCCAGGCCAGCTAAATCTACGGACTCATCTAAAAAGTAGCCATACTCGGTATTGGATGTGCCTGGTTGCTTCGTCGACGAATACCATCCATCGATGTTGAACCTTGATTTCGGAACACGAGTCCGTCCATCTCGTCCCTGGACTAGAAATTCCCACAGGTCTTCTGGAGATCGAATCCCTCCCGGAAGCCTGCATGCCATTCCACACACAGCGATTGGTTCGAACTGATGATTTTGATGGTTGGTGTCGCTTGGCCTGCGGGCATGGGTGCTGTTGCCGTTCGCTTGACCGTTTAAGTTTGGCATCCCGTTTCGACCCCCATGAGTGCCATTACTGTGGCCATTTGCACCATTGGAATGGCCATTGATACCATTTTCTTGATCTTTGAAACCATTGCTATGACCATTGGTGCCATTAGAGTGGCCGTTGGAGCTGTCGCCGTGGCCATTGGGCACATTGCTAAGTCCGTTACTGCCACCATTGCTGTTCACCAATGTAGGCACGCTGCAGCATTCATCATCCATCAATGTTTGAGTCATCTTGAAAGAATGAAGATAGTATCTTGGAATTGCCTTCGGCAAGAAAATAGAAATGAGGGTTGATTGATCAAGTTTAGAGGTGGATTAAACGGGTATTTCGTAGGAAATCACCGTCTCAAAAGCCATACTACACATTTTTCTAAACCCAGAGAACAAATCTGGTTGTATTGTGACTGACATCCGCGAATTTCGCCATCGTACTGTTAGTAGAAGACGTTTCGAGTGCCTCGAGCATAGATCTGTGAGGCATGTCAGCCACCAGATCTAGGAAATGTCAGCCGGCAAGGTGATCGACAATGCAATGTCAGCCCACATGGTGAAAAGTTATCATCTTTTAGTGGCATCACGACAAAACTGCAAGGTTGGCTAAACTTTCCCTGGTTTCACTGATTATAGCTCATGGATCGGGTGATATGCAATGTCAGCGAGCTGTCAATACAGTACAGATCAAGTTGTGGGGCGATACCTCGCGTCATATGCATTGACGGAGCTCGGTGTTCCAACGACTCCACAATAATGTACATCGTGATTCTGACACACGCTAAGTCATACACATCACTGTAGCCAGCGTTCAATACCATCTCACTAAAATACCCCTGCTGTCAGCAATGTATGATAGAGGTGAAGGAGAAGTGATCCATGTCATACAATGTCTGCTCTGGTTCATTGAACGCACATTTTATAGCGACACATTTCTTCGAAAAAGACAGTAATCCCTCCAGCAAGAAAAGTTTTGTATTTGTTTCTAGCCAAAACTCTCCCCGATTCAGTCAACCTTCATTTCCTCAAGTCTTTCAAGATGTATTATGAATCACTGCTTCAATCAATGCTCCCTGCCCAGGATCTCCGCGGGCCCGCTATGAAGGACGAGCCTGCGTTTTATCGCAGACTAGAAGAGGCTATGGACGTTCACCGCCAAAAACGTTCGCTTATGTGTCTCAAACCAAGATGGGATAGCAGTGTAGCGGACTACACTACTAGCGACTTCTTATCCTTGAATCGCTCCGGAAAAATTCGTGACGCATTCTACGAAGAGCTGAAGAGTCAAGGATCTTTCGAGCTCAGCGCATCCGGCTCACGTGTGCAGTACGGAAACTACGACTATCTACTTCAAGTTGAGCGAGAAATCGCTGCATTCCATGGAGCCGAGACCGCCTTCATTTGCCACTCTGGATTTTTCGCAAACGTAGGAATTCTGGAAGGCGTTCCGCAGCCTGGAGATGCCATTGTCATGGACGAATTTTCCCATGCAAGCACTCGCCTTGGACTCAAAGTGACCTTGGCTGCGCATAAGCTCGAGTTCAAGCACAACAATCTCGACTCTTTCCGAGAGGTCATGACTTCCCTGAAGAGCAAGGATCCCGCGTTCGCAAGCGGCGATAAGTCCATCTTGATCTGTGTGGAATCGATATATAGTATGGAAGGCGACATCTGTCCTTTGCGAGAACTAGTCAGCATCGCAAAAGAGTTATACCCTGCTGGCAATGCACAGTTCGTCATTGATGAGGCCCACAGTACCGGCGTCCTGGGTCAGAATGGGGCTGGTTTAGTATCTGTGCTGGGACTCGAAAAAGAAATCGCCATTCGTGTGCACATGTGTTCCAAGGCGTTAAGCTCGACGGGAGGTAAGCTTCGTATTCACTCGTCGACGTGACGACCCGGAAATAATCCTGGTCTTTGCTGATGCGCTATGGCAGGGGTAATTTTGTGCAACCAAACAATTCGAAGTGCTCTCGTGCAATACGCACGGTGCCTGACGTATTCCGGAGCACCTTCTGTTCCTATGATCGCGTCAATCCGTGCTGGATATAACCTTTTCAGAAGTGGGCAGACTGTAGAAGTACGTTACTTTTTCCCTGGCTGATTGTCTCCAACAGACGTACTGACATAGGCTTAATGCCTGAATTTAGCCCCAAGAAACTATCCAAAGACATGTGAAACACTTCTTTACCAAATTACTGGATGACCCAAGATGGCAAGACGCAATGGATGAAGGGTTGATAGCTGTGCCGTTAGCCGAGGACTGGGAAGAACGTGAATATCACTCTCACATTGTAGCGGTGAAGATCTCCGGGGGCCACGAATTCGCTCTGTTCGTTCACTTGCTGATGCTCAACATGAACGCTTACCCAATCAGCTACCCCACAGTCCCAAAGGGCACTGGACTGGTCCGATGCTTGATCCATGCCCATAACACAATTGAAGACATTGATCGCCTGGTGGAAGCCATTGGCGATTGGTCAGAAGAAATGTTGGAAATCCAACGTGGCGATTCCAAAAGCACGGTTCCGAGCGCGCTGCGCCGAGCTATGGGTCTTCAGGCTTCGGGGTGGAAAGAAAATTGATGTTATTTTGAGTGCTTATGCAGAATGTCCAATAGCTAGCAGCTCTGATCTCGTCTACACCTATATAATCTCGTTCTTGTTTCCCATCCAATCTTCCAAACAGTAATGTGTGATGTAATATCGTCGTCACTCGGCGTTCCGCGCATGTAACAGGATCAAGAGCACGGCTTTGATAATTCGCTCGCAGTAAACACTGGACCCACCAGCTGTTTCTGTGAGTAACGCCCAGAGATGCGGCATCTAACACGTTAGGGTGCTATAAGGGATTTCATCCAATACATAGCTACTCACCGTATCTGGTATAGCCTCCATTACTCCCATTTGCTTATGATGATGCAATTTGTGAGCTTCGGTATCTTTGACCAGCCGCTCGAGCGCTATTATCATTCTCCTTAGATCATCATGGGACGTGGTCGGGTGTGACATGTAAGGATTTGATCCGCCGATTTGATCCATCTCATCCGTACAGATTGAAGCTGAAAGCTGAGTCAATATTACGAGGCTGAAGTCGTGACGTGCGATGCTGATGAGGTGATGACCGAAGAAAAAGTGGACGAGGCAGCATGGCAGGGGGAAATAAACTTGCCAGTCATATTAGCGACAACTTCGTAGAAGCCACGTGATTGCCATCGTGGCCACGAAGTGCTACTATCCGATATCTCTTTTAGCAAAGATTTCAACCTCCGGCTGCGGCTTGTCGATTGTGCCATGGCAGGAAGACTGTCCTGCTCAAATTGAGATGTGTAGTAAGCTCCCATCATACTTTCTAAATCTTGAAACCCCGCCGTTCGCACCATCTCTAATACCATCTCAAATCTCCTCGTCTCTTCAGTAACAGCTGGAGTATTCTTTGTATTCGACCAAAGATCGTTCGTCGAGACGGCAGAGTTGGCTATGTTGGTAGAGAATTCGTTGATGAACGTCGGGTGCAACGCAACGTTGTCTAGGTTCCCTGAACCGGTATGAGGAAATGGCGGACTAGACTCGTTACTTGAGAATGATTGGTCAGAATGTTTCGACTAACAATAAAAGTAATGCAGCGTGAGAAACAGATATTACCTTGATTTGGGGGGATCAGGTCGACTTGGTGGCCGTGAGAAGTTCTGACCTTGCGATGAAGACGACGTACTAACGGACGACTGAGCCCATATCATTTCAACATGTGCCGCACACGGACCCGTGATACCGTTGCAGCCACAGTTGTGAGCCATGAATGTCGATTGTGACTGTGCCATATTGGCGTTCATCTGTTGCAATGACAGATCGTCAGTCCCTTGAGAATCATGAGCTAACAGCGAAATGGCTGATGTTGAGGTACCACTGATGCTCTGTGGCCCACCAGGTATCGACTCGGCAAGACTATAATCTGGAATCAAGGGAGGATGATGCTCGAGAGAAAGGTCACTTTCGCTTCTACTATGCGTAGGCTGGTGGTGGTGTGGGTGCCCGTCGGAGGACATAGACTCATTCTCCGCGTCTTGAGGTATTGATTCACTTTCTTGATTCGACTCTCGAAGCCTACGTCCTAAGTTAGGGGCGTGCAATGTTAACAGATGAAGAGATACCACAAGCAATGGCTGAGCTGAAGGAGTACTCACGGTGATTTCGTTGAGCTAGCCGATTCTGAAGTCTGTTCGGATGTCAATACTAGTTAGAGAAGACTACATATAGTCTAGTACCTCCTTGCCTCTACTGCTCTTGGGCTGGTGGATCGACCTGACTTCTTGGGGGGTTTTGATGAAGTATTGTCAGTGTTCTGGTTCATATCGCATGCAACTCGCTGAAGGATAGTCCTCAAAACCAACGGTAACGCATATTGCAGCCATCTTAACTTGCGGGAAAACGGCGCTACTTAATGCGGACCAATGCTGCGCATGTTCGAAAACGTGGATCTGCTGTACAGGGGGGTGATAGAGCGGTCGAGGGCGAGCAGGGGGACATCAATTCGATTAAGAGCTGAACATGCGGCTTGCCCGAGTAAGTAAAACTAAGTCACGGTACTAGTCGACGGCACGCACCGCCCGTTAGCCTCCCCCTTGCAGTGGCTAGACTCTAAGTTCTGACATCTTGGCATAAGTCTTACCAGCAGCCAATTCTTCGATCAGATTATTGAGAAATATGCACAAGTGATCATGTCTCCATGCGATTCTTAGTGCATCGAGTCAAAAGTCTGAGATCTTACACAGGCCAGGCCTACCGCTAGATACAAGGATTTTGTAGAATACGAGTGAACCTCAGTTTCAGACTTTGTATTTTTAAATTCCTTTGGTCAAGGCTTAACAGGGGCTCGTAAACGCTTACTTGTTATCGGTGTTCTAGCTACGCGTTTTGCAATTGGTTTAGTAGTTTTTCCATACTTAAAGCTTGACAGAGGCTCGTAAACGCTTACTTTTTAACGGTGTTCGAGCTACGTTTTTTTGTCATTTTTCATGCTTATGTGCAGTCGGTTGCCTTCATTCAACTTATCATGCACGCAGTCTGTAAATGTAAAGGATCCGAGGTGCGGAAAACTTTATTCACGAATCAGATTCCGCTTTCTGATCAGGTGTGAGTTCCAAGGGTGCCCTCGGTACTTTCCCCTGTGCGATAACTGCAAGACTCGGCTGATCATGTTTCTTATTGGTAGGTTGCTCGTCGCCCCCATCGTTTTCGAGAAGGCAAAAGGCGTCCAATACGTACAGCGCCAAGTATAAGTAGATTCTCACATACATAATAAGATGACAAAAAAAAGGCATTCCTAAACGTCTTGTATTGTGCTGACCTCAGATCCGATTCACACCATTATGCCTCCTCCGTACCCCAGCAAGGACGCCTCAAAATATCACCATCTTCCATCATACCTGTTAAAACCTGCTCACCATTTTCCTTGGTGTCCGGGGATCGGAAAGCGTCGAACTTGAAGTCATGCCATTCCTTTGCCGTCCATTCCTTCCCGGTGCTATCGACCCACGGCGTTAAATCATGAACGCGCAAAAAGTAGGCAATACTATAACGGTCCTCCATCTGCTTGTCAGCCACAGGAATGACGCGGTGTACTACCGAAGCTAGTCGTCGCCCGGAAGGAAAGTGTAAACTGTCCCCCACATTGACAACCGCATGCCCTGGTCGAGGTTTGACAAAGGCCCATGTTTTGGCGTCCGGGGACAGGATTTGAAGCCCCCACTGCTTCGCGAAAAGCAGTGTCAGCGACCCAATGTCTGTGTGCTTATTGTGACCCACCGTATCTGGACTGATAGAGTCGTATTTTGGATACCGCAGCCACGCCAGATTGGTCAACGTGGGGCTTTCAGTGCTGTGAAATGACTCGAAACGGTCCGAGCCGCTCAAGCCCATCTCGTCCGAAAGTCGCTCGCACATCATCATGGTAATCTCGTGTGATTTCCTCATGAAGTCGAAGATGAACGGGGTCTTGTCACGAATCGACGTGGTAAGCTCCGCATGTCCCTGTAGGTGCTCTCTCCGTGAAACCTTGTCAAATCTAGTTAGACTTGTATATGTTCTTCTGGATCGGAGGGTAGTGGTTGAACACAAACCTTCAGTGATTCGTATCCATCACGCGTCATCCCAAAAGGACCCACTTCTGTCCCCATAGGTTCGTATCTGTGAGCTCTTGTCAGCGGATGTAGTCCATGCGACTAAAAATCATATTATCTTACCCGGTGTTATCACTACCCCGAGCATCTTCCATTTTGACTTCCAGAGGCTGCTCAAAATAGTCCTTCATAGTCTCAAGCATTTGTTCCCAATATCCCATCATCTGCAGATCACTGCTGAGGTCGAGATAGAAGAATCCATGAGAGCGACAAGCATTGAGCAACTTCCTGCGCTCGTTCAAATCTGCGGCTAGCAAAAGGTCCAAATGAAGTGTCGGTAAGCTGCTAGAGAGAACTGGCTTCTCGATAGATGGCATGATGAAGATAATATGAAAATAATAGACTTCTAGCTGGAATGCTCGTATGTAGAAATATGTGTGCAGATAGCGTTCTTCTTTTGGAACAAAAATATCCAGAATGTCTTCTTGCACCTGAACTTATACACAAAGGCAAATCACATAGAGCGTGTGTATGATAAGTTGCACCTTATCTCCTGATAGATACAGTGTGGGCTCATTGAATACCACAAATTCGATCGCAACGGAGCAGCCGAAGAATGGGCCAATCACGAAACGGTATTGTGCTGTCAGCCACTCTAACCATGCACTGTCAGCCGTTGTTAGAGCCGCAAACTGCGAATAGCGCATGAGCAATGCTATTCAAAAATCTTCGAAATAGCCTGCCTTCCGCTTCAAGTAGCCAATGTTCCAGCTTCGCAGTTTCTGTACGTGCTAGTCACTCTGCAGGTCACACCGTTAAGCGTTCCTATCGATGAACAACAGCCTGTCTTTCGCGATCCAGATTATCAAGATCGAAGCATACATTCCCACGAAAAGTCTCTCTCTAAAAAATATAAAGAACAACTATTCGATATCATCTAAGACAAAATATGCGCGTCAGTGATACTTTCAGTTCCAAACATCCGGCGAGAGCCAATGGAGTGGATCCGATCCAAACTACCATCGTTGACCTTTTCGACTACTGGGCGCATAAAACACCAGACAGAACTGCCGCGGAATGGGAAGGCAAACGACTGACATACTCGGAGTTACGAACTGCATCTTTACATGTCAGTCAGGCGCTTTTGAATGCGGGAGTGGCGCATAGAGACCAAGTCCCGCTATTGACCCGCATGTCGCTGGAAATGCTACCGGCAATCATTGGAATTCTTAGAGTCGGAGCGTGCTATGCACCAATCGATGTAGCAGTATGGGGTGTCTCTAGAATTGAATACGCGCTCGACGCCCTGTCTTCTTCTGTGGCGGTTGCTACGACTTGGTGCCCTGAGGTGCAGCTTCCGATCGTAACGGTCAATTTCCAAAGAAGCTGGTTCCATGCGTCATTAAAGGAAAACGAAACACTAGAAAAACAGTTGTCAGATCGAAGGAGCGCGTTGCAAAATAATGACCTTGTTTGGATATTTTTCACCTCGGGAACTACGGGCAAGCCAAAAGGTGTCATGATTCCTCATAGTGCCGCGTACGCCTATTCACTGGTACAATATATGGATCAAAACACAGAAGACGTCGAGTTCCGCAATCTGCTGGCCTTTTCGGTCTCCTTCGATGGGTGCGCCTCAGTCATGTGGGCGACAATTACGCAAGGTCGAACATTGGTCATGGCTTCAGCATCAAGTTTTCCGGATGTCAGTGTCACATGCGATGCATTGATGTTGACCCCTTCTATGCTGGAAATACTCGATCCACTGGGTCCATATGAACGAGTGCGCTATATCTTTCTGGGCGCAGAAGATCCGAGTCGTGAGGTGGTACGTCAATGGATCACACCAGCTAGAAAGGTTTTCACAACGTACGGGCCGTCGGAAACCACGTGTATCATAACACTCGGTAGAATTGATCCGGATACAGAGATAAGTCTGGGCGAGCTCCTCCCTGGATTCAAAGTCGTGCTCGTGGACGAGAACATGGAAGAGAGTGATCGCGGCGAGATGATGATCGCAGGTCCTGGTGTTGGTCTGGGATATCTTAACAATACCGAGTTGACGAACCGAAAATTCATCCAGTGGAAGGGTGACCGGTTCTACAGAACTGGTGACCTTGCCCGTAAGAATACATCCGGACAGTTTGTATGGGCAGGTCGAGCAGACTCGCTAGTCAAGAATAGAGGCTTTCTCATCAATCTCGAAACGGAGGTAGAAGCTACGATGCTGAGCTTTCCCTCAGTCCAGAAAGCCGTCGCGCTGAAATGGCGGGATAGACTTATCGGATACGTTCAGCCTACTACAGTTGATACCACGGCTTTACGAGACTTCATGAAGACTCGTGTCGATCCGTTTGTTATACCTGACGATATAATCAAGAGAGATAAGTTCCCTCTGAACGTCAATGGGAAAATCGACAAGGTAGCGCTTGAGGCTCAGCGCGAGGAGAAGTGGCAGTCGGAACAAGCGCATAGCGAGTCTGTACTGGCTGCTGGGTCGAACATGAACGGAGTCGAGCCACGAAGCAACGGTGTCGAAAATTCACACATACTAAATGCATTGCGAGGAACTTTTTCCAAATGCCTACACGTCGGACAAGCACAGCTAAATGAAGAGTCTTCCTTCACGTCGTTGGGGGGAAACTCATTTAGCGCCATTCGAGCGTCACAGTCTCTTAAAAGATTTGGGTACGAAGTATCGCCTGTCCAGATATTACGTCTAGACACGATTGGTGAACTGGAGCGGATCGTACGAGAAGCACCTTCTTCAGAACCAAGGCTTGAAACGAATGTTCTATCGACTAATGATTCCGAGCGCATACCGGCGACCCCAGTTCAGGTCGTTCACCTCCGGAGATCGATTGAAACTCCCGAGGCTGCTGCTCTTATCGGTACAGCGAGATGGATTGCGGACGCGCGCAAAACGCCCACACCGTCAGAGCTTCACAAAGCTTTCATCAAGGCACTCTCAGCGCATGATGTATTCAGCACCAGATTTCATTTGGAAGATATGACTTTCTCCAGGCTCGATCGTCTCAATTTCGATTGGCGCGAAGTCAGTGTGAGGGACAGCGAATTTGAAGAAGCATGTATTGCGGCAGAGCAACAGACAAGAAGGGACATGTATCCTTTGTCTACCAGCGATATTGAGGTGCCTTTCTATCGGGTAACATGCATTTCTGTGCCTGATCGTAAAGCACTGGCTTACGTGACTGGAATACATCACGTTCTTGTCGATGTTATTGCACAAACAGTCCTCGCGCGGGATATAGATCTGGCTTTGGCAGGAGAATCTATACCTCAGGGCCCTAGCATGAAAGAGTTCGCCCGGTATATGAATCAGTACAAGCAGCGAAAGCTCGAAGATGCGATACGCATGGTCGAAAGTATGGTGCAGCCATTAGCTACCACGGCAGTATTACAGCTGCCCCAACCAAACGAGTCTCAAGGTACACGAGAGGTCGGCGGTGAGCAAAACTCCTCGGATCAGGGTTTTGACAGCACCTACCTTCGTCTGAATGCGCCCGATGTGATTATTCGGAAAGCCGATCTCGATGCAGCGGCAGCACGCCTGCGTTGTACACCGAGTACGTTAGTATACGCGGCCTGGTCGCTGTTTTTGCGCAGCATCAGTACCCCAGACTGCCAGGATGCTGTAGGATTTCGCATCAGTCTCTCAGGCCGAACCGTCTCCTGGGACAAAGTGGACTCGGTCGTTGGGTGTCTAACAGATAGTGGACCTTTTGCTACGCGAGTTCCAAAAGACCATACCGACCTAACCATCTACGACTGGATCGCCCAGGTCCACAAATCTACACTGAATTTGTTTGAACTGGATGGGCTTTATCAGGCTTTGCCTAAATCCTTGCTGTCGGATCCGCACACTAACACTACTAATGTGCTTTGCTTTCTCAATATGGATCCACCGTCGACGCCACACTGGAGCTACGCTGAAACTCAGAAACACGTTTATCACATTTCTTGGTATGCGTTCCAAGATGGGGACAATGTTGCTACTCAGTTCGAGATACAGCGCCAGCGTGTGGATGCCGATTGGGCGGTTTCAATAGCTAGTGTTCCTACTCGCTTGCTACAACGTCTTGTCAATGCTGATGAGGGTTGCCTTTTGGCCGATTTTTTCAACTAGATATACTGCCCGAGTATGAATGAATACTGTCGCTTAGATCTATTAGAGATAATTAGATTCGATGAGCATGCGATAAATCGTACATATGTACTAAATTAGTACACAAGTGATGATATCGGAGCTGGTCATGTGATATGTCCATTCACTCCCGAGGTTTACACACTCGATGGGTGTATCAGCATACCATCAGTAGACTCGGAATAGATCTATAGAAGAGCCAAGTTTCTGACTTGAAGTCCCAATAGGGTTTCTTATATTAAGCTTTTCCAAGCAACTATGTCGAATCCTTCGCCGCAGCCCTGACCAACTCTCCAAACCGACTTTCCTGCTCGGTAGCTAGTATCACAGGCTTACCGACTTCAACAACCCTACCCGACTCCATTACTACGACTCTATCGAAATCCATGATCATGTCTAGTCTGTGACTGATCGCAATCACAGTATAGTTATCGAACTCCGTCCTGATTATACCCTGGATAAGACGCTCTGTATCCCTATCGACACTCGAGCTCACTTCGTCCAATAGTAGTATGCCGTAGTTAGACTCACGGAGGCGAGCCCTAAGCAGTGCGCGACCAATCGAGATGAGCTGTCGTTGACCGCCGCTCAAAGCCGACGCATACATATTTCCTTGCACTCCACCGCGCTGTTCGATGAATTCCCATAGACCAACGTCTTTAAGAACCTGAATGCATTGCTCAATCGATGCTGACTCGGTGGGGTCGAGGTTTGTTTGGAAGGTGGTTCCGTCGGGTAAGAATACTGCTTCCTGGGGCACTGCGATGATGCGTTGACGTATCGCGCTTCGATCGATATGACTAAGTGGGATACCGTCAATCATGATTTCGCCCGCAGACTCATTCGTGGGCTCCAAGAACTTTAGAAGCAGCGATAGGACGCTGGACTTTCCACTCCCGGTTCGTCCACATATAGCAAGCTTCTCACCCGAATGGATCTTCAAATGAATATCATCCAGGGCTAGCCTAGGCTTCTCACTGTCCTCCTCATCATCCTTCACAGCGGAATAAGACGCTGAAACACCGCTGAGCTCCACCACACCGCTTGATGGCCAACTCTCTGGTGGAACAACAGTTTCATCGTCCTTTTCTTCAGCTGTGGCTGTCTTTCGAAATGTTTGAAGTCGGGAAATGGCGCCCAGACAGGTCTCTAGACGGGTAAAATACAACACAATCCCTGCGAGATTCTCACCAAGCGTGATGAGACTGTACAGGGATGCGCCAGCGAAACCTGAACTGGAATCGAGACGTACGGCAAGAGTCACAAGCACCACTGCCAGAATCATAACAACTAGACCGAGAACAAGGTTTAGCCATTCTTGAATCATCAGCAGGAGATAAGCTGGACGTTGGCTGGTGTTAGTTTGCTGGATATTTTTTCGAACGTTCTCAGTAGCAAAGCCCGAAGCCCTTAGTGTAGCGATTCCTTTAAGCGTATCGATGAAGTGCGTGCTGGATAGCTGTTAGGAAATTCATTTGAATGCGAAAAATAAAACAATACTTACTATAGAGGACTCTTGAGCTCGAGGTCCAGCAAACGCAATTGCCGTGATGTACGCAAATAAAACCTTCCTACCAGATACAGTAGAATCCCCAGAAACGGGTATGCGATCGCGAGATATGCGGAAGAAGTCAACATCACTGCTGCTTGCCCAATGGCTTGGAATACACAGAACAGTGTGTTTAGCAATGAATCAGGGAGCTCCGTGTCAATGAGGTTCAGGTCTTGTGAAAACAGATTTGTGATAACGCCTGTGTCCGTCGTTGTAAGGAATTGTAAAGGTGCATGTATCAGTGTGTCCAAAGCTTCTTGGTGGAGGTGAGCACCGGCTCTCTTGACAGCAAAGAACAATAATGCTACACCAAGAAGTAGGAGGGATACAAGAGCGCATACGTTCAGCACAGCGTAGATGCTAGCGTAATAGCTATGGCTGTGCGATGGGTGACTTAACTGAACGTCATCGGTCCAATAGGTCAACCAAATAGTAGGATAATTAGTGAAAAACCCCCAGAGAGCTGACGAGAACAGACAGCTTATCGTCAAAAACCAGCCCATGCTTGCGGCGTAGTGCTTGTATACAGCGGCATCGCCAGCTTGTCGTGATGCATCATTGGCTGATACAATGTCTGGTAACTCCACCGCTAGCTGTTCCACAAGCCCACTAGGCGTAGAAATATCCTTAGGCTTTGAGGTTTCGGGTGTCGGGTTAGATTCTAGTCCCAATTGTTGAACATAACCATCTTGCATCATGAGTTGATCGAATCTTCCTTGCTGAACAATCGTCCCACTTTCGAGTACAATGATCTGATCGGCTGCTGGTAGATGTCGAACACTATGCGTGCAAAGTATAGTAGTGATTTGTAGTCTCCTGAGCAACCCTTTGGCACCAAAGACGTCCCGAAAGATGCGATGCTCGGTATCAGCATCCAAACCGCTGAAAACATCGTCAAGCACGAGCATATCCGGATGAAGATACAAAGCTCGCGCGAGGGACACTCTTTGCTTTTGACCCCCCGACAACGTGATTCCATCCGACCCAACATTTGTAAGGTCTCCGTATTGGAGAGTGGCGAAGTCCACATCGAGGGCGGTTGCCCTGATAACCTGGACGTACATTTCGTTGTCAAATGGAAGTAGTCCGACTATATTATCTCGTATGGAGCCATTAGAGAGAAATGCGGTTTGATCACAAAATCCAACCCGAGCTAGAGGAGTCTCACATTTCACTTGACCTTCACTGAAAGGAATCTCTCCCAACAAGGCCTTGCAAAGAGTCGATTTACCAGCACCCACTGCCCCAACGACAAGTGTTAGACTTGATTTGGGTATCTTGAAATTTATATGCTTCAGAACAGGCTTGTCTTGTTCCCATCCAAAGCTCCCATCTTGAAGAGTCATCGCCATATTTGATGGTTGGGTCCCATTACTGCCTTTCTCTGAGATTCCATCGTGGGGAAACTGTCGATAGTCTTGACGTGGGTCGCGCTCCAAAAAAGATTGAATTCGACCCAAGCAGGTTATCCCAGCTATGAGTTGTGGTAGGGATTCAAAGACTAGTTCCAGTGGGTGGGTCACTAGTGTGATGAAGGAAAGACTAGAAAATACAGTGGATACGTCCATTCGAGAATATGCGGCGGCGAACGTGATTGGCGGACCGATGAGATGAGGAATGAAACCTATCATTGCTGCAGTGATGAAGATCTTGCGGAAGCGGGCGCCAGCTGCTAGTTCTTTGATACGCAACCGCTGGATGAAACCGCCTATAACCCCAGAAAGTCCAGACATCTTGAGGTTCTTCATGCTAGCGATGGCTGTTGCTGTCAAGGTGGTCCGCTTTTGAACCCCGGCCATCCAGGCTTTTTGGGAGTCTCCAGCGAATTGCATGAAGACTGCCAAAATTACGAAACATACTATGACGAGACCGATTGGGGCAATAAAAACGACACCCAGCCGCAGATACAGCATCCAGCCTGACAACGCGACCTGGATAACACATGCCCAGATCTCGTGCAGTGATCTGAACCCGAGCCGGATCCGCTCCATATCTGCGCTCATAAGCGTTAACGCAGCATTGTCATCGCTAGCCCCAATTCTGACTTGTATTGCACGGTTATAGATTTCGGTGACAAGGATCGATCTTGCTACTGTGCGCGCTCTGTTGTGAAGATACCTTTAGTGTCAACATATTAGTGGTGGCTTCTTATGAGCATCTTTGACGACAGTGGAATTTACATACCAGTAGTATGCTTTCGAGATGGCAATCCCAGCATATATAAGTAAAGCCGCACCAATGAAGCCATACTCGATATTGCGGTCCCGTTCAGATTGATCTAAGTAGCTCAGAAGCCTTTCAATGAAGAACGGCTGGCTGAGTTCGAAACCCAACCTGGCAAGGCGCGCAGGCACAGGGATTAATAAGTGGTATTTCATGGTGCGTACAAGAACTTTGACCAAGCCGAACTTGTCACCTTTCAGCTTTTCGTAATCAATGTTACTAGAGAATTTCCTATGTAGTGACTCGGCGTCCAGGGCAAGATCGAGGGGGTAGAGATCTTCCAATGCTAGTATTTTGCTGTAGCCCAGTCGAAAGAGGTTGTTGAGCCAGTAAAAGACACCAATATTAAAGATGCTACCCGTCTCTTCAGGACTATGAGCTTTATGATCCCATTGTGTCCAACGAGTTTTCTGTATCGCTTCCAGATGTAATATCACAGCCTCTAAAGCCACAGTGGTGGAAAAGAGAATGCTATAGACGACTTCAGGTTGGTCGTGCGACGATAGAAACAGCGTGCGCGTTTGAGCGATGTCCAACAGCAGAATGAGAAACAAGTATGTACTCAAGAGCATAGATGGGCGAGGACTCCTACTGTGCTCAAGGACACTGAGAACGGTCATGAAGAGAGCGGAAACAAGCTTGAGAGCAGACGCGGCAACGAACAGACTGGTGACATGGAATGATCCTACTGTAGCTACGATGAGAAGCGCGAGCTCAAGTGCAGCGTAAATTCCGATTACGCCCTAAAGTCTGATTAGCATCTCGCCCACAGAACATGATCTTGACGCAGCTTTAAGATGAATTCACATACGACTTTGACAGATTGAAAGATGGGAGCTTTGACCACCACGGGTCTGCGTGCTTGGTAAACTGCACGCCATATTGCAGCGGAAATGAACAAGGCCGCGGGGATAATGGAGAAGAAAAGCTGCTCGAACTGCAGGTTGAAGTCGAATTGTTCGCTATTCAGCTGGAGCAAGTTACCACCGCCGGAGAAAGGCATGTCTCATGTACTGGGTGAACCGACAAGAGTCGATATCGGCAGCACGAGAGAGGTTGGCACAGCGCACTACCATAGACAATAAAGAAGAGGAGGAGTGAGGAGCACGAGAGATGCAGGAATAACGACTATCTGTTTGTAAGCTGCATCCGACCCTGTCAGCCAACCGTTGTCGACTATGCCTAATTGAGTTACTCAACGAGCTGATCCCGGTATTGACGGGTGAAATGATTTGTGCATATCACATGTCGTCACTGGACAACTGATCAAACATATCATTTTTCGTGTTTTCATTCAAGCAGACTATAAGTGTACTCAGCACGAACAGTAAGAGACATTTTGAATTCATAGATATCGAATTTCCCTCAAGCTCGGAACATGTGCTTTGAGCTCGTCAAGGATTTCGCCCCAGACGAGTTCCCGCACCCTTAATGCAGTTTCGCTTTTGAGGTTGGGCTCAGCTAGTTTCTCGTACTCATCATCTGTATATAATGATACTAGGAATTTCCCGTGCTCATGTGGAAGCGTACGTGCTGCCGAGAGATATAACCTGGAACCGTAGTCGGTCGACTTGCCGAGCGTGCTGAGGTAAAATGCCACAAACAACTTCATTGTCCATGAGATCTTGGATATTGATCGCCCGATGTCCGAATAAACAAGACCCGGACAAACCTTGTTGACAATGACTGGGACCCTTTGGTTATGTCTCCGGGTCAGCAAGATTCAGGGTGTGAGCGTAGCATAGGCACTCACCCGCCATCAGCCTTTGCGACTTTTTCACACATTTTCTCGATCGCATATGTTACCATCAGCTTACTCTCGCAATAGTTTGGATCCAATGAACCCTGAGGCCAGTGGCTCTCGTTGTTGAAGTGTTCGAGAATTCCGCCATCGACAGAGTACCCTTCCCAATTGCTGATATCTGGAAGTAAATGGTCCCGAGATGTTACAAAAACTAAGTGTCGGGCCAATGCATCACTGCGCTCGCCAATTGTCATCCAGTCTAACAAGAGTAATCCAAGCAACGTAGTGCTCAGGGTATTGATCTGGATAGTTTGTTCCCTATACGACTGTAAGACACGTGGCCGTTGATGAATGAAGCAAGCTGGAAATACCATCCTTGGGGACTTTTTTGAAAGTCAATGTTGATGAGTCCTGCATTGAGCACCGCAACATCCAGACCGGCACGGCACACTTTGCTCTTCTTCAATTCTTCGACAAAGTCTACACATGAACGATAAGTGTTCATATCAAGCTGCATAATATGTACCTTTCCTTGACCGATAGTCCCGGTCAGGGTTTCGATGGTATTTTTCGCAGTCTGTCCCTGTTCTTTGCTTCGCGATGTGATGATCACCACGGCGCCGAACCTGACGAAATGGATAGCCGCAGCTAAACCGAGGCCTGCGGTCGCGCCAGTGACGAGGACAGTTTTTCCATTGAAGCTTCCGAGTGGAGGCAAAGGTTCCGGCCAGATCTTGTCGCGTAATCGACGAGGCCATAAAGAAGCCATGATAGTTCGCGAATTGAAAATGATAGCGATCAAAGCGGCATTGCGATGAGCTTGATGGTTTGTAGTCGCAAGGTCTCGTATGCAGCCCGAATTGCATAGCTCGAGACACATTGGCACAGATAACTGGCTTATGTCCTGTCAGCCAGTGCCCCATTAGAATCCATAAATCCTCATGCACGGTCAGCCAGTTGTCAGACCCCGGTCAGCATGGCGACAGTTACCGATTCGTATCTAGCGGCAACTTAATCCATCTACAGCTACATAGGCTGGCCATTGTAGCCTTTCGTATGTATTTTCTTCTTATTTTCCATTTCTGAAAGGTGTAAAGGCAAAATACAATTGCCAGACTTGATCCTTGTCAAGGTGTACACTTCAACCGCAACATTCGAATATTGGAGGGAAATCAAGTTCTGCAAATCGTGAGCACAATGCTCTTCGAATCGAACGGCACAACATCCCCAAAGGAACCAGGCAAAAAACCAGAAAATGCCTTGAAACTGGAAACTTTCCAGGTGGGAGAGCGGATTCTCCATTGTCGCTGGCGACTTGTCACTGAACCGCTCGCCGCAAAAACCGCAGCTTACTTTCGAACTCTTGACTTACTGTTGAGCCTTTCGCCTGTGGAACAAGCCTCAGTTCCCTCGGATAGGGTTGCATGCACAGATGCGACAGGTACTGCCATCGATGTCGTACTCGGCCATATTGCGAAACTTGATGGTCTAACTGAGGCGACATTGAAGATCATTCTTGCACCTGATGGGGGATACGTTTGCATGGGCAACATCCTCAAGTTGAGAGTACAGCATTCGCACTTGGTTGAGGCGGTAATTCCTCTTGCAACCTGGGACCAGTATCTTCCACGACCGTCACTTAGTACCGACACCGCACTACTTGACTTGATACGCTCCTCGCCTGGAGCAATAGTCGCAAAACCGTCGGGAAATGGATGTCAAACCAGTTTGAGACTATTGCAGGAAGATCTGGAGTGTCGACTGGACTTCGATTGGATACTTCCAACTAAGCCCTCTGCTCGCACCGTCGCGGTGGTGGGTGCCCGGCCTATGCGCGAGCGCAAGAGAGGGATATATTGGTCACAGGGATATTTCGAGGCTGCTAGATCGCTCGGAGTCTCTATAATTGTGCTTGACCATCCGGGCCACTGGCTGGAAGGCCCGGACTTTGCACACCTCCGGCAAGAGTTCATAGCCGTGGATATGTCAGATCCCGAGTTACCGCAAACGATGGCAATAGCATTGCAAGGCAAACCCCTCGATGGCATTGTAACCTTCATAGACGACTATGTCATTGCTACCGCAAGAGCGGCGGAATTGCTTCAACTGCCGACTGAATCAGGACGATCCATGTATGACTGCCATTTCAAGCACAAAGTGCGCGAGATGATCACGAGCAACATTTCCACTGCATATCTAAACAACGCAAAAGAAATGGATACCATGCCCGAGAAGGTCGCTTTAATGGAATACCCCTTGATCGTCAAGCCTACACGAGGTGGAGATTCCAGGGGCGTTCAGAAAGTGAATGATGAGAAATGCCTGCGCGAAGTGATTCGTACACTCGACGAAGAAGGTTTGGTAGATACTGGTATACTCCTGGAGCCGTACATTGATGGACCCGAACTCGATGCTAACTTCGCCTTGTGGGATGGCGAAGTTCTCTTCACGGAGGTTTGCGATAATTTCCCGTGTTCGGCAGACAGCAACACGGCCGATCTCTCCGACAATTTTGCCGAAACGGTTCTCATCTCACACAGCGCGCTTCCTCTCAACGAACAGGAGATAATTAAATCAACGTTGCATAGCCAGCTACTTCAGTTGGGCTTTCGGTCTGGAATTTTTCACGTGGAAGCTCGCATGAAGAACTCAGTCATGCAATACAGTGACAGTAATGGCGACGGAATCTTAGACCTCACCGTCACGGACGGACCTGGTGGTCAACCTGATTGCTTTCTCATTGAAGTCAATGCCCGACCGCCTGGCGCAGGTGGAACTTGGGCCACACTCTTTACATACGGTGTTGATCTAGGTGCACTTCAGCTACTTCGGGCCCTTGATGACGGAGAACGCTTCAAAGTACTGTCAAAGCCATTTTCTTTCCCAACGGGAAATTCAGGAGGCGGTGGTGGAGCCCAGTACTGGACTGCGCATTGCATGATTCCCATTCATCGGGCGAATGTGTATGTGCCAGAGAGCTTCTTTGACGAAATCTACCAACTCCACCCGGACATTGAGAAACACGTTTGTCGCGCAGAGCTGTATTCTCACGCCGGGACGACTGTTTCGCCACGAGGGGGTGTAGGCTGGATTGGATACCTGCTACTCTGGTCGAGAGCAAGTAGGAGAGACGCTGTAGACATGTACAATCGAGTTGCTGAAGCTGCAAAGCTGGTTCTAGACAAATATTGATGTACGGGGGGAATCTCCACAGCGTAAATACTAGTCTACGAGTCATGGTCCGCACCAAATCACCGAGATGGCTAGTATCGCCGTTTGCCAAGCTGCGAGTGAATTTGCCAGGTTAATGGGCATCATGCAGATCCAGGAAAAAAAGGCTTCGAGACTTGAGATCGGCCAAATACTCGGAACATCAATTTCCATCCACGTTTTTCGCGACTTTTGTTAACTGCATCGAGAACTGGATATTTCACCAATCACGATATTTGTTGTGGAAATCGGAGAGATCTCCGCTTCAGATCTGATGTTCGACCAAAATGAAGCTTTTTCCACTTACGTCATCTGGCCATATGTACGATTGCTGTTTGGTAAACTACATAGAATATCTCCATGATCAGCCCTCGGCGACTGTTAGTAAACACGGCTGGCTGCCACTCGCTCGTATTCTAGCGGGGGTGAATTGCGGGGAACCATTAGATGCTACTGCGAGCTAACCCCGTCAACTTGGACCTGTCTTGCCTGCCTGCCAACTAGAGCTCGTGCCCAGATGGTGGAAAAGTCGGAAATGGGCTCTTGAAGACCCAGGATGATGACATGAGTGCATGTACCCAGCAATACCCAGAATCATGGCGTCTCCACTATCGACTGAATAAAAACCTCGCAGCCCCTTGGTGAAGTGATCTGGTATCTCTCCTTGACGAGTGCATCCCACTTCAACTGCTTCTGCACACAGCACCAGCAATGAGATTCGCAGTAGCATCGAGCTTCGTGCTCAGTGCGCTTCAATACGTTTATGCGCAAAACTCGACGTCGCTACCAGATGTTCTTGACGCGGAAACTATTGCATCGTTGGGAAACAACAGCCTCTTCCTTAGATGGCGGCCTCGTTCTCACTTTATCGCGCCCGCTGGATGGATGAATGTACGATATTGAACCTACTTTACATTCGCTGGTTACCACATACTGAACTTGAAACTAGGACCCTTGCGGGATGGTCTATGACCCGACGAGAGATCTGTATCATGTCCAATACCAATGGCATCCGAATCACATCAACTGGGGTATGTCCCCATCCTTGTGCCAATGATTGCGTGCTAACATTCGGATAGGAAACATCTCTTGGGGGTCAGATCTATACATACGCTTTATTGATAGTGATTTTGCTAACGTACCATAGACATGCTGTATCCAAAGATCTTGTTACCTGGACAGATATGGGGGGTTGGCAAGATGCGGAAGCTGAATCCCTAGGTCCTACTGGCAACGGAACTTATAATGGCCTTGGCATCTTCTCAGGGACTACCCAAGCCGTGAATATCACGGGAGGTCAAGATGGAACACTCCTGACGTTCTACACTTCTGTTTCGCGGCTTCCCACCAACTGGGCCAAACCTTACCTCGAGGGCACCGAGACGCAAAGTCTCGCTATATCCACCGACGGAGGAGCAACCTGGCAAGACTACGAGAACAATCCAGTGATTAAGTCACCCCCCGAAGGCTGGAATATCACTGGATGGCGCGATCCCTTCTTCGAGCTCTGGCCTGAAATGGATGCGCTTCTCCAGCAGCAAGAACCACATTACTACGCTGTCTTTGGGTCCGGAATCAAGGGCAATGGCCCTCGTATTCCGTTTTATAGTGCTCCAGCAAACGATCTTACCAATTGGACGTTCCTAGGTTCACTGTGGGAGCCGTCCGACAACGAGACACTGGGTGATATTTTGGAGACGGGCACCTATGGCTTCAACTTTGAAGTGTAAGTTCTTTTTAGGCCTAATTTACTCCTGCCCAAACTCACAAAATCAATTCAGATCCAACTTCTTCTCGCTAAATGACGAGGATGGAGATGTGCACTACTACTCTCTCTTTGGGACTGAAGGAGGGAACACTACTTTCCACCCTCGAGCGCAGTGGGGGCTATGGAACGAAGGCATGGTGACGCGACGTGCAAATGGCTCTGCTGAATTCACGCCTCTCTCCGGCGGTGCGATCGATTCCGGCCTTCTCTATGCCGTCACATCTTTCCATGATTCCAAGAACAACCGCCGCGTGCAGTGGGGATGGGCTAACGAGGAACTCAACGCCTACTACACACAGCAAGGCTACCAAGGAGCATTCGCACTACCACGAGAGATGTACGTCATCAAGAAGCAGGGTCTCATCAATCCTGACGGCCGCTTGACGACAAAAGGCAACAACAGAGTTATCGAACACAGCGACGGAACATTCACGGCATACACGCTCGGCGCACGCCCACTTCCCGAAGTCGTAACGGGCCTCCGCGACGGCGCGTCTCAGAAGAGCTATGCCACGAACGGCACTTCGACCCAGACACAGCTGATTGGAACTGGTAGCAGCCACATGGAACTCAAGGCCAAGCTTCGCAACATCACCGGATCTGTCGGTCTGACCGTCGCTGCCTCTCCCGGAGGTGAAGAATACACAACCATCTACTGGGATCCTTCAAACTATACAATCAACGTCGATCGCTCCCACTCATCTAGCATCGAGAATATCGCACAAAACTACACTGTTGTTGGGTATTTCTACCCCTATCAATACCCCTCTGGACCCGAAGACATCGACATCAACATCTTCCTCGACGGCTCTCTCTTGGAGGTATATGTGAATGTAAGTTTTCAGCTGTCAACTTTGTGTAATGGCCAAGACTAATCAAATGCGCAGGATCGTTTCTGGCTTACTACCCGCATCTACCCCGGCCGACTCGACTCGACAGGCTTTGGTGTTTACGTTGGCGATAATTCGAGCAGCGTGGACGTTTCCGGCTTAACGGTCTGGACGGACACGGCGAATATCTTCCCTGAGAGGCCACTGAACTCTAGCAGTGCGTTGGTGTTTGATTCCGCCGAGGAAACGAACAACTATGTCTGGTGGACTGGAGATTGAGGGGTTGTTCGAATGTATCGATGCCAGAAGATAGAAAGACTAATCTATAAGGGTAATGATTAATCGAAAAAATCACGTCAATGCTGTTTTGAGCGATTGATAACGGTGTGTAGAACTGTGTTTATATGTAAATGGATTGGACCTGATATCTCACGTGATTCAAGACTGTTAGACTGTGTGAGACGTACCTGGCGGAAACCACTGTTCATATAACGTATACTATATCATGTTCCATTGACACTATTGTGGAAAATGGCGGAACGGGATGAAAGCAATGTATACCTCTTATAGTTAACAATCCGGTCGGTCGGTTCACCCGCAGCACATTGTTAGCTGAAGTAGCCACGGGAACGGGAACGGAAACAAGCTATCGCCGATTTTCACTTAAAGCAAGCATGTAGAAAAGCTGAAACTGTTAGCCAATAACACACCGAGACAGCATGTATAGTGACGTGCTGTTTCTCTCCTCAACTACCAAACTACTACTAGATCCGGACGGACTATAGGACAAAAAAGCAGACAACATCCTACGAATGATTATTTTCGGGCACGCAATGAGATGGCAAAAACAACACTAGGCGCAAAGTTGGACCTTACTATACTAATCAAAACATTCGAGTTCGACTCGGAGCGCTGTTTCGATTCGGGACAACAAACTTTCCATGGCATGCAGGTAAACGCGGACTATCGGGGTCCACGGCCCCGGAGCCCTCGGCGTCCTACCCCTACCTAGCACCGAGCTTCATTCATCCTGCGCAACGCGAGATATACTGCATTCAGACTTGTTCAACGTTACCTTGGTTCACATGGACCACGAGGTCATCTCTAGGGCCTTCAGAACCCGTTCTCCGTCATCTATCCTTTTTTTTTGCGATTGTGCTGGGACCGGTTGACCTTTTGGAAGGCGACTCGGAAGAAAAAAAAAACCCCCTCGATCGTGATGATCAACAAGACGTATATTTACCACTAGATTGGTAGACTAGTAGGGGGGATGTTCGCGGTATACCGCATCCGCAATCGCGATGAGGGAGGATTTCCCATTATGCGATATGCGAGAGGGCGGAGAATTGGACCTGGAAATTCGGCAATTTCTAAACTCCTGAAACGCAGGGAGAGGGACGACGCCAAGCGAGAAGGACTCTTTGGACACGGCACTAAAAACCCAACATACAAGCCACAGAGGCTCAGCACTAGCCAACATGCGGTATTGACGGGGGTTCAAGAAGGACGTTTTTCGCGCGCGGTACATACGAAGGAACATACGAAGTGAATGCTCATCTTGGCAGGGCTCGGGGAAGTAGTGGGTATGCATGGATAATCCCTAGTAAAGGAAAACGAGTTCAGCGTTTCGCAGCGGTACAGCCAATCCAATACGTTGCACTGTTGGCACTATACTAGCATGATGCATACCCAATATAGTCGCCCCGGTCCAACGCTTTGCCGCGCCCCTCTCGTTCTGATAGAAGTCGGGTAGAAGTCTGGCCGTCCACTGACGATTACAAAAAGCTGGCCTCTTGCCTGGAGTACGGCGTATTCGATTCGACTCGTTGCTCTGTTTCGATCAGACCTCTACGAACTTGCACACAAGGGTACCCATCTATCCATCTTCGTCTACCGGTTCCTGCTTCAGAAGCCGTGGGAAAACCAACGTCGGTCGTTGCCTAGAGCAAGACATCATGCACAATTCAGTACTCTTGGCCCTCTGGGGAGGCCTTGCTTTCATCCTCTATACAGTGGTCAACTATGTGCGAGAAGAGCGACGACACCGTCGCAATGCGGAGCAACTCGGATGCGAACCTGCCTACAGCACCGTGAGCAAATGGGATCCCCTCGGGTTACGAGTGGCATCTACGTTCATGGCTGAGTTCAAGAACTTTCGATTTGTGCCGTTTTACAAACAACGGATGGACGGAATATGGGCCAAGGAGGGCAAAATCATACCCACCATGTTCCAGGTACGTGATCGGTATACCTGTGTTGTCTGCTAGTCGTAGTGGTCGACATTCCTCAAGATATGATATGCTGATAACGCGGGACCTAGGTCGTTGGCACAACTCCCATTATAGTCACCGTAGAGCCAAAGAACGTGCAGGCTATCCTCGCAACCAAGTTCAAAGACTTTGGACTGGGCCAATTCCGAAACAAGTTATTCAACCCTTTGCTTGGGACTGGTATCGTAAGTGCCCTGACAACAAACATATATCGCGCACTGCCGTGTCCAGGTACTAACATAGAGGCCAGTTTGCTACCGACGGCGAGCAATGGGCGCATGCGCGAGCGATGCTCCGCCCTCAGTTTGCCAGAGACCAGATCAGTGATCTCGACCTCGAAGAAACGCATATCCAGCACTTGCTCCAACACCTCCCAGTCAAGGGCGACGGATGGACCGACGTGACAAACATCCAACCGCTCTTCTTTAGCCTCACCCTCGACTCGGCCACGGAATTCCTCTTCGGCCAAAGCACAAACTCGCAGCTCTTCAACCTCCCCAACCACGCCTCCAAAACCGCAAACGACCCCACCATCTTCAAAGACTTCCCACTCGCATTCGACAACGCGCAGCGCATCACCTCGTCCGCCTTCCCCCTCGGCGAAACCTTCTACCCGCTGAAATTCGGAAAAGAGTTCCGCGCCCAAGTCAAAATCTGCCACGACTTCATCGACCACTTCGTGCAGCAAGCGCTCACCAAAGAGAAAACCCCGGCAGGCACAACATCCTCTGGGAAGCAAAAATTCGTCTTCCTAGACGCCGTCGTAGAATCCACCCGCGACCCCATCGAGCTCCGCAACCACATGATCAACATCCTGCTCGCGGGCCGCGACACCACCGCCTCAACGCTATCCTGGGTGTTCCTCGAACTCGTCAGAAACCCAGCCATCTACGCCAAGCTGCGCGCCGTCGTCCTCGACAACTTCGGCTCCTATGCGAACCCGCGCAACATCACGTTTGAGTCGCTCAAGGCGTGCAGCTACCTCCAGTGCATCCTGCAGGAGTCGCTGCGGCTCTACCCCGTCGTGCCCAACGACTCGCGCGTCGCGCTGCGCGATACGTGTCTCCCGCAAGGCGGGGGGCCGGATGGCTCGAAACCCACGTACGTGCGCAAAGGCACGGCGGTGGAATACCCGTTCTACATCATGTCGCGTCGGAAAGATATATGGGGTGAGGATGCCGATGTGTTTAGGCCGGAGAGGTTCGACGGGAGGAAGTCGGGGTGGGAGTACGTGCCGTTTAACGGCGGGCCGAGGATCTGTATTGGGCAGCAGTTTGCGTTGACCGAGGCCGCGTACGTGATTGTGAGGTTGTTGCAGAGGTTCGAGGCGTGTGAGGGGGTGGGTAATTCTTGGGAGCCGGTGGAGAAGGGTGGGTATGGGTATGTGAGGTGGGATTTGGGCTTGACGGGATGTCCGGCTGATGGGGTGAAGATTCGGTTCAAAGAGGCTGTGGATTCGTGAGGGTCGATTCTTTGCTATCTAGATCGAAACGGATGGTTTATTAGTATGTCTTTGTATAATTAGCAGCTTTCTTGTTTGTCAGACAACACCTTCAACCCGTGACTTTATTGATTGCGTATGAGTATGTGTGGACTCAGTTTCATGATTGTCCAGGACACGAGCATAATTTGGGCAGATCGACTCAGAGATACCGGTCGACATCAAAGATTCCATGTACTACTGAATATTCTCACAGCTAATACCTATAACGTCGTTCCCAGCTTCCACTATGAGGAAGAAGAATATGGCAAACTCTTCACTGATCTCTACCCGACCCGACCGACCTCATAAACACTTCCACACAGCAGACAAGAAGACAACGCACGATCCATCACTTCCCATTTATTGAACCAAGAGCTATACACACACAAACATCTCAATACCCCTTCTTCTCAGGCACCTTAGCATACCCCGCATCCCAAATCTTCCCACTATCCTCCCCACACCACCTCTGACTCTCATTCGCCCACTCCACATGCTTCCTGAAATAGATGTTCTCCTGGCTAAGCTCCACCGCCTGGCCCGTCATGGCATCATCGGCAAGAAACGCGTCAATGGCCTTGAGCGCCGTCGACAGCGGGGTGATGTGCTCCTTGGGCCACAGCGCGAGGATCTCGGGCGGTGGCAGGTTGGTGGGGATGAAGGCTGGACAGATTGCGTTGACGGTTATGGAGTCGTTTGCTGTGAGGACGGGGCCGGCGGCGCGGACGAACCCTACGACGCCGTATTTCGAGGCTGTGTATTGTGGGTTTTGCGTCATTACGCTGGTAGGGCGTTAGTGGTGAGCCGGGGAGTTTAGTTTGGTTTGGGTTGGTAATTAAAATGGGTGAGGGTGTTAGATGGGTTGATGGGCGCTGCGATTTGCTCGCAGGAGGGTCCAAAGGAACAAATTGAACCAGACAGACAAAAATCAAACCATCCAAACGAACATAGATGAAAAACAAAAGCAAAGAAAAAAAAAGATAGGAAATAAAGTAAGGAAAGGAGGAAAAAGAGAGCAAAACTTACTACAACCCCGCCGCCGAACTCGTAGCCACAAACTTGCCCTTCCCCCCACCAGCCTCCTTACTCCTCCTAACATAATACTTGAACAACCACAATCCCTGGATCACAGCTTCAAGATTGACCTGCATGGTCTTTGTATTCAGCGGCTTCACCAACCCCTCGTCATCCACCTCCTCTTTATCCATGCCATCGTACAGCAACTGGCGGTCATCGACCCCAGCATTCGCGTGGCAGAAATCGAGGCGGTTGCCGCCCCACTCGTACGCTTGCTTGAAGAGTCTTGCTTGCGAGGTGTATGAGGAGACGTCGCATTGGATGAAGGTTGCGGAGGGGCCTAGGGATGCGGCGGCGGCTTCGCCGGTCGAGGGGTTGAGGTCTGCGATTACGACGCGGTAGTTGAGGGTTGACAGGTGGGTTGCTACTGCGAGGCCGATGCCTGAGGCAGCGCCTGTGACGATGGCTACAGGTTGCGACATGTTTTTGTGTTTCTCTTTCGCTTTTCGCTTTGTTGTCTAGGTCTGTTGTTTATTTAATTTTTCTTATGTCCCCTGGTTTCGGTGTTTGGTTTTTCGTGGAGGCGTTTTCGTTATGTCGTGCAGATGATGCTCTTGTCTTTACGTTCCAACGCGTCGTCGATGATATACTCTAGTCACACTGGCACAGCAACCCAGGAAATCTAATGGGATGTAAAAGTAGGAAACAAGATCAATAGAAGAAACAACCTTCAGCTCCTCAAAAGAACTCGGCATCTTTGGTGTCGAGCTAACCCACCTTTGGTGACATTCGTGGAGCTCAATGCGACCTGCCTAGGTACGTACCTACGGTAGTTGTGTGGAGGGGTGAATCAGACCCCACATGAACCAGTCCCGCCCCCCACCTCCGCTAGTCAATCATTGTGTCTTCGTGTATGCGGGGTGTCTGTAAGAAGAGGGTCCGGTATACCGGTATCTGGGATGGTACAGATTGTGGGGTTCATACTGCGGTACGGTTTCCGAGGGGAATGTCGTGCATGGCGAGGAGAGATGCTGCGCGTGTGGGGATGCGAGCGAAGAGTTGACAATGTACAGCGAAATGCGCGCTAGTTTGTCACCAATGTAATGAGACATTATATACTGCTGTTTCTTGTGGTCGTGGAGATTTCAAAAACTCAATTTATTCGGTGGGGATGTGGGAGGGAGAGTGAGAAAAGACTCGGAGAGCCAAATGAATACATGATACCGCCAACTCCTTCATCGCTGCGTTCCCACAACAGCGTGGCAGAACCCGAGCGGAATGTCCACTTTCCTCCCTCGCAGTTCGGCGCAGTTACCGGTTCAAATGTGATACCAGTGCAATCTCAATATGCTTCTTCCAGAGAGGAATATACAACCCCTAGAACAGCTAACGCCAAGCAATCTAAACGAACTGAAAAGCAAACAAGACGACTAAAAAGTACGTATGATAATATGATTAGACGTCTAAATGACTAGACAACAAAGAAGACGCCGGGGGGGGTATGTAAGGCAAGTACATATGCATGCAGCAAAGTCTACAATGTTTTATAAAAATCAAGCGCTGATATGATTCTCACTTCCAGAACAAACAACCACAAAAGAGAATCCAAATTTTTTCGAACAATTGGACGCTAATATTGACTAACCAGATTTCCTATCTCTTCAAGCTCTTCGTCGACGACGATGGCAGCTCAGCGTCCGGCACAGGCAGCTCAGCAGCCTCGCGCTGCGCATTCGCTTCATGCAGTCTCGTGGTTGCCTCGTGCGCATACTTTTCGGACGGGTATTGAGAGTCGGTCCAGCTGGGGGTATATACCTCATGGATTTCGGCGTCCTTGGCTTGATAAGAGGCTAGTCCTTCGGCTTTGTCTGCTCGTCGTCGTCTTCGGAGTAGGAGGAAAACTACGGCGGCGAGAGAGGCGATGGAGATGACGCCGAGTGGGATGCCTACGCCGAGGCCGATGGTCAAGGCGGATGTAGAGGCGGGTTCGGATGGTTGGGGGGAACCAGAAGTGAGGGCACCCATGGGGTTAGAAGATGGGTGGTTGGATGGAGACGATGAAGTATTTGAAGATGGCGAGGAGTTTGTTGGTTCTGATGAAGCTGATATAGCTGTTGAAGCTGGTGAAGCTGCTGGTGTCGCGGAAGAGCCGGCTGATTTGCTTGTAGCTGTTGAGACAGAGGGAAGTTTGGCGGTGGCGTAGATTAGAGGTGCGATATCTGTGAAGACGAGGTTTGGGTCGTCACAGCCGTCTGTTACGGTGCCGACTAATGGATGTGGTTTTGCCGGATCTTTGCATGTCCATTTTGTGTTATCCGATGATGGACAATGGAAGATTTTGTGGTTGTCGTTTGCGAAGTCTAGACATGGGACGATTAGCCAGCGCATCGTTGGAGGAAATGGAAATGGGGAATGATGCTAACCTCCACTTGTACATTGCTTTGGACAGGCATTGTCTGAGTAACTCTCATCTGTGCAACCTTCTCTCCAGTAGTAGTTTCGATCTGCGTCGTGGTCTTCGGTGCTCATGCACAAGCCGTTGGTCAGGCACAGGTCGTTGGAGCGGCAGCAAGACGAATGCTGCCCGTCTGCGACAGCTGTTCCATTGCATGGAATTACATCATTGTAAATCGTTCCATTGGGATAAAAACACTGCGAGGCCATTGCCCTTTTCCTTGAAAACCACTGACCGACGTGATTACGAGTAGGTGTGTAGGTTGCAAGCAGTGGAGGACATGGCAATATGAAGTCCGATCAGCGGGACGAAGGGACCTCTTCAAGGATGTCTTTGCTTATATTGGCTTTGCAATTTGAGACGGATTAATGCGTCAGAATAGGACGATATCCATATATTGATCTACTTTTCCACTGACATTTGGGTTGAGCGACTGCTGGAACGAGCCAGTCGGAACGCAGCATAAAGCTGTACCTGCAGGAATGAGGCTCAGTTGCGCAGTTGCTTATGATTATACTTAGGTTGTCCTCCATTACCGGGACAGAGTCCGCTGATTTGCTCGTTGCTGGCTTGGTATTGTTGTGCTCAGCTCAATGGGTATAGGGGTGGGCGCTACGCCGCTACAACGACGTTTCAAAGAGGGGCCGAGAGACCGAGGCTGCTCAGCATGGCTTCATTTTACATCAACCCCAGCCCCGTCCTATTAACTACGCCGCAACCCACGGCCGCAAATAGTAGATTCTCCGTTGCATGCACTCCGCCGTCATTCTGGCCCCTAGGAATGGTCCATCTCGCTCGTCATAACGCACAAAATGTACATCTCGCACTGTCTCAAATCTTCAGCATAGACTCTAGGCGCATGCAGTATATACTCTGGTTATCCTCTTCATGGCCCACCTAAGGACATAGTGTCAAATTGCTTTTTCTACTTTAACATCTTGTTAAATAGCATCTTAACAAGTTCTAGACAAAACATAAAGCCTTGAATGAGGGTTGATAGCTGATCCTAGGGGCCCTCCCACACGGCATTTTCCGATAACCGACTGCGCACTCTAACCGCCCGTCGAACCCAATCTAGACGTTTACACTTCTGGTCCAAACCAATCAATTCAGTAATCGATACTGCTCATCTCCTTGAGACTCCTTCTGCCCTCATTTATGCACACTCATACACTTATACACACCCCATATACTACTCATCAACATCACTGAAGAAACGCTCCGAGGATCCCAATCGCAGTACGAAGACGGTATTGAACTCCATAATACAAGGGGGAAAGCATGTACCCATGGGTATATCTACAAGACGAAAAGAGAGAGAGAATCGCCAATCAAACCAAGCACAGGAATGGGCCCCGAATAATGCTCCACGAAGTTCAAAATCGTTCCGTTGCCGTTGTTGAATCATCCGTCAGCCCACAAGCGTACAGCCCACATACATTCCTGTGTACGTTCAAAAGCCCATCAGCCCCACCAATGTTTACTAGGAGAAGGAGAAAAGCGATAATAGGTTGTAGCCAACCAAGAAGACCAATGCAAAAACGCCATTTCGATCACGAAACACACGTTTTCCGATTTTCAGACTTCTGAAAGGACACCCATATACATATAAACAAGCCACATGCGTCAACAGAATCATGCCAGGGCTATTCAGCCTGCGTAGCTGTACATGGTGACATCTTGCTCTTTTTATCCGGAGATGTAGGTTCTAGCTCATCGCTCGAAGTCCTCTTGCGCATGACAGCTGCAGACACAACGCCTGGTTCTTCACCCATAGTCACGTCTTCGACTAACTGTATTTTAGGGCTAGAGCCACTGTTCCTATGGTCGCAATATGATCAGCATAGCTCTCCGTCGTTGACAAGTGTAGTAGAAGCGCTGCGCAAGAATTCGCATATTTGAAGCTCTTACTCCTGCTCGACCCCATTGATGACACGAAGGTCCATGTACTCGTCCATGCGCATGATTGGGGCGTTGGCATCCTTCATTTCCACGTCCGCATCGCCGCTCAAATGCGCGCCTTCTTCTAGTTTGCGGCACACCGCCTCTGTCAGTTCCTCGACTGCATCTTGCCGTACATAAACAATGCCAGTACTTGTCGGAGGATTGCTCCGGTCTACCTTTTTGAGGATCTCTTGCTCCGACTCTTCACTGACAGTCTCATCGTTGTATTTCCGCCATATCTGTTTTTGCGCGTCGTAGATGTAGATCCAGTAATGCCCACCGCTAGCTGATCCCGCATGCATGAAGATGGCATGCAGGCGGTATGGGTGATCTTTGCAGTCTGCAAATACTTGGTCAATTTCCTTCTCCAATTGGCCCACGCGATTTTCGATGTTTTCTATCTCAGAGCGAATCTCTTGGGCACGTTCGTGGAGCATGGGTTGTAGCTCTACCGGGTTGATGACAGTAGTTCCAGGGGTTTGTTCGTCACCTAGTTCAGTAACGTACTCGGCAAATGCGGCTGTCTGTTCAAGGACAGTAGGAAGATCGACTGATTTACCAGCCGATTGGAATTCTGTTTCTTTCAAGGCTTTCCTCTTGCCATCCAGTTTCCTTAGCTCATCCTGCAACTTCCACTGCTGCTTACGGAGATCTTGGAGCTGTTCGTGTGAAAGTGAGTTGGTCGATTTCAGATAGCGGTCCATGTACAGAATCTGGTCCAAGGCGAGATGTGACTCATTCTTCACCGTCTGCTTGGCCACGGGATCGAATTGGAGCCTCCGAGCATTGAATATTTGGATTGGCGGCGACTTCTCGAAAAACTCGTACTTGAAAGTACCGGGTTCCGCCTCGCCCCAACCGAATTCATCGTCGAGGGCAGCGCAAAGTGTTTGGTCACGATCTTTAGGAGTGACAGCGATTGTATCCTGCAAATCAGTCTTTAGTGTCTCTTTCCCGTCCTTGCTTCGGACAGTTGTAACGTCCGCAAAAAAGTATTTTTTGATCCAGTCATCCTGCTCATCGTCTCGCAAGATACCGTCGCCTTTGAATGCGCAAGATAACAAGTCAAACACGTTGTTGATCGATTCTGCAGCATCCTGCTGTCGCGCAACCTCCTCAACCTTTCTGAAGCTGTTGTCCGCCGTAGCCTGTGGCCTGGGTGGGATAGGAGGAGGGCGAGATGGGGGTTCGGGTACGGTTTCAACGGTGTCGACCGGTGCATCAGCATCTTCTGTGAGATCCATGGCTTTCATAGAATCAGTATCGCTCTTGGCATCACCATTGTTACCCATAACAGAATCTGCAGGGGTAGTGGGTCTCGTGCTCTTTACGGCGGAGTCTGAAGGTGGCAGCAAAGGGCCGATAAAAGCTTCGTTGACAGCTTCACTTGGTCCTTCAGTGCCCTCCTCGACTAAACCATCGCTTCTAGTCAAAGCTAGGGCCGCGAGGGTTCTATCGGGTCGGATGCTTGTGGTAGGTGACGTGATCATTTGCTGGAACAATTTTTGCAGTTCGCGAACGACTGTTAATATGGTCAGTCAAGATATTTTGATTTGCCCGCGCAGAGCAAGATTTCGGAAACTTACACTGTTGTCCAGTTTTGGCTCTCGCGAGAGACACGGCTGTTCGTCCCACCCGCTTCTTCTCTAGAGACTTTGGATCCAAATCTTGCATAAATTTCTCACAGTCGAGTACCATGTCGCGCACTGGCTTAACAGTAAACAAGAACTGTAGGACGCTGTTAAGATAGCAGGTGTTGCCTATATTTGCACAGCCCACAGGCCAGGAGTCTAGTGGATGTTTTGGTTGTTGCTGCTGCTTAGTGGACTCTTGGTCTCGCTGAATGATTGCCATGGCCTCTTTATATTTCGCTTCCATTTGAGGTGTTGTCTCAATCATGATATCAACAGAGCTGGCCAAAACTTGCATATCAACGGATGCCGTTCTATCATTGATACAAAGCAGTTGATAAGCTTCGGCAGTATCCATTGGTAGAACGCTCATCTCGCCGGTTGCCAGAAGCTCTCGCAAGCGCTGGCTGTTGCGGTGTTGCGCAATTATTTCAACCGCTTTTCTAGCAACTTCGGCACTGCCATTTTCGTCGGTTTTGAGGCTGTACATGGCGCGCACTATGTCGTCGTCATGATGCTCCTCGATCCCAAGCCAAGCTATGGCCTGCTCATACGTCTCGATGGTATCGTTGGCCGCCGCTTTTAGAGAATCGCTTCCACGGGCTTGCCCAATGATACGAAGATGACTACGAAGATCATTGGCCATGCTGGGGCCCATATCAGCCATGCGGGACTTGAATACGCCGACGATGAAATTATCGGAGAGGACGCTCGTGTGTAGTGGGTCGATACCGAAGAATCGGTAAGCCCGTTCCAAGTCCCTGCGACTGACACAATCTTTGGATGCAAGTTTTGCGACATCTTCTTGGAGGAACCCGCTTCCCCGTCCGACGGCGAGATCTTGGAGGCATTCAAAATAGTAAGGAGCGTTTTCCGCATCCACGACACTTTGGCGTGTGTAAGCGAATAGCAATAGGTGGTCTGCAAAATCACCCACGGTACCGAGGCCAGCATAATACGGATGGTCTTCTTCGTGGTTGGTAGCGCGAGTAGTGCGCCCGGGAACTCTATCGTAGTTCTGGCAGCCGAGAATTTTCTCGATGCTGTTAACGGATGGCTTGCTGTCCCAAGGATTAGTCCGCAAGCCAGATCGTTCGGCATCGGGGAAGCCAAGGATAATCTCATTGAGCTCGTGTCGCGCATCTTCGATAATGTTGCGCTCCGAAGGTACAGGTTCATTGATCGCCACAGGGTATTGCGAATCAGGGGGGTGAGGAAGATGCCAAACCTCGGTTTCTGCACCATCTTGATCCAGCTCTATCCCATACTTGAATCCCAGCTTCTTCAAAAGGCCATCGCAATCCCTCCCGAATGTCTTCAAGAATTTCCGATTCAGCAGGGGTATCCGAGACTTGCCCTGAACGGGGTTAAGACTGTCTTGAAGATATCTGCTTAGAAAGTCGGGCGCATCCACCCGGCGGGCCATGCTGGTATCAACCCGTTCGCCTGCATGCTGCCTCGCATACTCCCACCGCCTGCGGAGAAGCGCCTGGTCGGTCAACAGCTGTGTGTCTGCGTCGGTGATCCTGGGCGGCATGACGCGAACGAAGACCCGCAAGGGGCATTGCGGAGCAGAGCAGCGAAAGAAGTGCGTCCGAAGACCAGTCTGAGTGCCGCCTACGCCCATTGCGGGCGCATCGTGGCTCTCTTCGCGCTCGAAGACAAAGTGGTGCAGAGGAAATTGCTTGTTGGACTTTTGACAAACCAAATCTTGCCGAGTGTTTGGGGCGAAAGATACAGCGACGTGGAAATGGAAGCGGCATTTCTTGCAGAAGGAAGCAACCTGGTATGTGACGGAGGAATCGAATTGCTGGTCGGACGTAGGAGTATGGGTCTGCTCGGGCTTCTCGAAGAGGACGTGGCGGCAATTCTTGGGCGAGACAGCAGGTCGACGCTCGGCGGAGTCTGGGTCGAACTGGGGAGGCGGCGAGGTAAGGAGATTTCTATTCGCCCTTTGCTCATAACGAGGATCATATGTGAGCAGATCTTGGAGCAGCCGCGGCGCTGTCTTGCCTGCATCGTGGCTGTTAGCTCGTGGACTTGTAAGGAGGAGCTCGGTCAGGCGCTGGACGCTCACCAGATTTGCCGTTCGCCATGATGGCTGCGGCAGGGTTTGCAAAGCAATATGGCGGATAGAGATGGGAGGTGGAGCTACAGTGCCTACGGGGGTCTGTTAGTTGGTGTTGTGGAGTTGCGTGTTCAGACGAGCAAGCGCGAAAGCTGGGTAAGTAGGTGGGTAGGTAGGTAGGTAGCGCGGTGACGACGTCGTGGTGGTGGAGAGAGCTCCCGGCAGGCAGGCGACAGCGAACAAACTAGGCTATCGTGCGGATGATGTATTGAGGAAAGGGTAAACAAGAAGCTTCTGGGAGAAGTTTGCGTATAGCTGCATGTATCACATATACGTAGAGGGAAGTGACTGATTGATTGATTGCTCAGGGAAGTCAAGTCGGTGGGCGGACAAACGGCGGAAGGTGAGCAGCAGCAGCAGCAGCAGCAGGTCGAGGACGAAGCACTTCAGGTCAACAGGATGCAGACAGATGGCAGCATGACTCGCGTCGCCACAGCATACGTATCAAAAGAACCACTGGCGTGCTTGTTATTACTCGAGCTTGTATGTACCTATCTATGTGCATGTTGATTCCCTCTAGTGACGACGCTCGTTCATGTCATTTTGCCAAGGTTGATTGATCTAGAGGTGGTGGTGGTGGCTGACTCAGCATCCCATCATCCAAGCTCTCCTCCGCCGACCACCACCACTGCGCCGAAACGACGAGACATCCACGCCTACGCCCATTGCGATTGCGCCCGCCATGGCCGCCCAACATGATTCCTACCACCCGCGGGACACCATTGCCAACACTGGCTCCACCACCCTCAAGACGACCCTCGTCGGCACCATGATTGCCGCTATGCAGAACACGCTGAGAAAGCAGAATGTTGGAGCCATGGGCGTCTTCACCCGCTCCGGCGGCGTAATCGCCCTCTTCGGTGCGTGCCCCCCGTCTGGACACGCTTGGGAAGCTGTATCCAGCTAATTGAACTTGCAGCCGGCGTGGGAGCCTCATACCAGTTCACACTGGACGCTTCTGCCAACCTGCGACAACAGGACGATACCTACAACGACGCTATTGCGGGATTTGCAGCTGGTGCCGCTGTTGGAGTAGCCCGTATGTTCTCTACGAGCCTGCATAGCAAAATTCACTGCTGACCCCATATAGGCCGAAGCATCCCATTCATGCTTGGTGCTGGCGCCTGCTTTAGCACCGCCATGGCTGCTAACCGATACACCAACGGCTTGACAGGCTATGCCGTTGAGGAAGATGATGAAGACGAAGTAGCGCGCAAGGAGAATATGCGGAAACAGCGCCGGAGGCCATTGCACGAGACGCTGGAACAGCTTGGCGAAGGTCGAGGTAAGGCTAGCAAACCTCTTGTTGGGACATTCTAAAGAAACTAACACCTTTAGGCGTCTACGGACCTGGTTACGAGGAGCGGAGACGAGAGCGGCTGTTGGAAACATACGGTGTCGATGTGAAAGAGGCGCAAGAGCAGTTCAAAGCGAAGAACGTTGACCCTACAGCCAGTCTCTGAGCCCACAGCTCCTGTAAATATACATTGCATCTTACTCCCAGGTACCCGGTCTCTTATGTACACGTTTTCTTTTTTGCTCTTGGACTCGATGGTGCTGCGTAATTATCCATATGTATGTTCTGTAGTGATGCCATCCCTATTGATCAAAGGTCGATCTTGGACGCTGCTCTGTTTACATCATTTGATGATACAATGCATGCGTACCTACTACCTACCTAGGTACACATATATGTATCTTCAAAATATATGTAGACATGGACGGGATTTAACTCAGGAGCGCGCATTGATCCCTTGGTGTTTGATCAATCGAATCAGTATTCCAAGCAGCTGCGGTCTCAGCATCATTCGATTGAACATTTGACATTCCAATGCCTGAGACTCTCGAGGCCGCGATAATGTCACGTGCTTTTTCTTCTCACGGTGCAACGTGTCTGCAGTCGGAACTTCTAGGGAAAAGCTACTCTATTCAGATTCCACGATATTGCAAGTCAATGGCGAGCACATGGAGATGTTCGACGTTGCCCCGGCACACAGATATATGATGGTCCACCATAACCGGTCTAGCTTTGCCAAGCAACATCTCCGCTCTCAACCAGAAGAGCTCCCGAAGCTCACTTGAACCACGAAAACGTCAGTCTCCGCACGCGACCTCAGCATCCCCGGCCCCAACCTCTTCTCATCTAGCCACCAAACGATTCGCATACGAACCACTCGAGTACAGCTCCTCACCAGCCATTGGCGCGATCATGGCATCCCGATTCCTCGCTCCCGCTGTCCGGTCGGCATCCCGTTTCGCCGCACCCGCACGAAGCTTCCAGACCAGCGCAGCTCTGAGGGCAGAGGTAGTCGCTGCGGCGCCTATTAAAAAACCCGTTGGAGCTTTCCGTGGCGGGTGAGTCATTTTCTTCCATATTGCGTGATTGGGTGTATGGGATAATCATATCTGGTGGGGTGGAACCGAAGCTTCTGGAGCTTGAACTTTCTCGAACCAGAGAGGGGGATGGAATCTCAAGCGGTGGGAATGGGCGTATCGTGAAATGGAATGCTAATGGTCGGGCGCTTCAGACTCTTTGGATTTCTCTTGGGATCCACGACAGCAGGCGCCGGCATGTACTACTACGTGATCGATGAGTACCGCATCTCAAATGAACTATTGACAGAGGACATCTACGTACGTTACCGAAATCGGTCTTCCGGATATTCTTTCCTCTGAGCGTTCATTCCATCAGCTCCTAGTGGAACTGCTTTGGAATAGATTGGTGGCTGACACACGTCCAGGCACTCCAGTCTGCCGTACAGCGAATAGAATCCTACGTCAAGACACTCGAGGAGAAGGTCGATTTGAAAAGGAAATAAGCGATGAAACGAAACCAAAACACAATGTAACTCTATATTCTCGGCACTCGAACGAAGGGCACACCAATGAAGGGTGAGGAACCGCGGGAGCAGTAACGGCTTGCGCGTAAGCAGAACTATACAATGGTTTTGTTTTTTTCATTTGAGTCTCACCTCAGTCTATTTCCCTCGGGTGTACGATGCCAGATTGAAGCGAAACAAATTATACCAATACATGCCATTTCCTTGGGTTGAGATTGCTATCGCCAACGCATCGATGATGGATCTAAGTGAGACTGGCAAACAAACCTACAATGCAGTTAATTTCCCCAGGTAGCTAGCGCGATTGCTCGCTGGTCTCAAATCCTCTCCGGCAATATCTGCAGCTTGACCCTGTTTCATTTTTAACACGGCCTGAACACAACCCTAGAGCCAGACAGACCTGCTCGTAATTAACCAGTATTCTCGCCGTCTTGTTTGTATTTTCAACCTCCTTCCCGTTTATATCTTTCTGATCAAGATTCTCGAGCTCGCCCTCACTGATGCCAACAGTCGAACCCACAAATTGACGTACATCAAATGATAGTATGCGCAGAGCCACATTATAGCGACTTTTCCGAAGACGAATCATTTGTTTGTCAAGCCGAAACAGCAAATCCTCAGCACACTTCACGCGAAGAAAATCGTACAAACTCCGAAGTTTCCTATTTGCGTGTCTGAAGAGGCGGGGCTATATCAAACAAGGGGTAGCAATTGTGTTCATACCGCTATCAGTCGTATATTAGAATAGCTGGGGACTCAGTACCTCAGAGGATGAGATCGAAAATGATCTGCTGAAAAAGATATTGTTTAGCGTTCAACACCTTTTGCATTGTACATGGGTCGGGAAAGAAGCTCGCTCAATCACGATCATATGCACATCAGTATCGTACCTACAATGCAGTTAGACCTCGCAATCATCAGGTCTAGCACAATTCAATGCCATTGCCATCTTCGAAGCATCCGTATCCACGATATATACAACCCACCCCAGGAACCCCACCGCCCTTGGGCACGTGTACACATATTCTTAGCTCAAAAAACACCCTTGATAACGCTGGCCTCAAGCTCATTCTTGCAAGATAGAGTGAGTGGTTGGTTCGGACATTTACGAACAGGGCAGAGATGCTGTGTGCCTGTATTCGATGTGGTGTGGGCCGTCACACAGAATTGTGGATGGGAGCGGTTGCATTGTTTAAGAATAATGCAAGGCATGGCTCGCACCAATGAGCAGCATTGTGTATGGAAGCGATTGCATTGTAAGGTAACGATGTGTAGAGTGAATGCACAGCGTTTGTATGGCGCATAGGGGCTTGGCTGAGTGAACGTATGGTATATAAACTCTTCTTCTTCCACTTGAGTATCTTCTCTTCTCAAACACAACCACATCATCTCAAACATACAACACCTGAACTACACAACCACCACATTCAATACGACATCTTCCTACTTTCACATTTTAAAACAACTACACATACCAGATTCCAACAATGTCTGAGCCATCTAAACCAAAACTCAGCTTCGCCCAGAAGATGATGGCAAAATACGGCCATGAAGAGGGACAAGGCCTCGGCAAGAACGGTGAAGGTATCACGGCACCTATTCAAGCCGTTACGACTTTCGATCGTCGCGGCATTGGTCATGAAGATGGCCTCGTTCCGGCTTCGCACTTCGAGACTATAGCTGGGCCTGAACAATCTGTTTCGAGGTTCATCAAGGTCGAGAATTTACCTGGCAATATTGGGGCCATCACCGTTCGTGCACTGTTCGAATCTTGCAAGGGCTTGAAGGACATCCACTTAGAGAGCGTTTACGCCTTTGCTGAATTCGAAACCGAGGAGCAAGCGGAGGACGCTATCGAGAAGATTAACGGTTATGCACTTCGTCTGCAGAGCTACAAGACGAGGCTGACCTTCATCGATGAAAAGGACGTTCCAGCTCCTAACGAGTGGATTTACGGTCCGAATCTCAGTACTTTTCTCCGAGAGAAGAAGGAAAACGCAAAAATCGCCTCTTCGACCCTACTCTGCTCGTCCTTTCTTGTAGAGAGTGAGCGTAAATACCTCAACGCGATGATCGGAGACAGTCAGGAACTTTACTTGGTTCCGGATCCTGACGCTTATGAAGGTGACGAGGAGGATATCAAGGAAAGCCTCAAGTACGTCTACGCCGAAGTACAAGCCCCCGGGGAAATCCTTGTGCGAATGGAGAACCTCGAACACGCTCGTGAGTTTGCCGAGCAATGGAATGGTGAATATTTCCGATCTCGCACCGTGTACGTCAAAATGGTTGCGGATGAAGAGATGGACCTGATCATTCCCGAAAAGAAGGACCGAGCCACGAAGACTAAGGGCGCGTTCTTTCTACGCCCGGTTCCCAAAGATTTGGCTACGCAGGAAGCCATCGCTCAGATCTTTCCGGATGTTGACATTCATAATGTGAACTTCCCCCCGAACGGTAATTCTGCGATCGTATTCCTGAATCCCGACGATGCTGCTCTCATCCTGAGCAAATATCAGAACGGCTTCAGGTTCCGAGGTAACAAGATGTGGGTGTCGCCATTCGGGAAAAAGAAGCAGAATCGCAACGCTTCACCGGTGAACACCGATACCGCACATTCCTCGGATCGAGTCGTGAAACCCGGGCAGAACTGGCGCAATAAGAAGACCTTTGATGTCATTATCAAAGGTCTTCATTACGACGCAAAGGAGTCTCATATCCGGGATTTCTTCGGAGGGTTTGCTGTTGGTCGCGTGAACTTCCCAAAGTCGAGGGGGATCGTGTTTGTAGGGTTGGAGACTGCTGCTGAACAGCAGCGAGCTGTTTCCTCCCTGAACCGGGGCAGCATTCTCGGTAGGCCTGTGACCGTTGAGGTCACAAGACCGAAGACCTGAGTGATGACCCCATTTCGGGATCAACAGTCTTTCCGGTCCAGCCTCTGGGCGGGCCAAATGGTTTTTTTTCTAATCACCTGAACCAAATGCTACACGTTATTTGCCACTGAAAACAGAGGGAACTGATGTAACACAATGTGGCTTTATCAGGTTTTAGTTTATCAATTCATTCCATTCTTAAATATTTTCCATCGTATCTTGCATGCAACAGTGTCTTCTCCCATCAGTCTACCTCAAGTACTCATTACGTACAAGTCCGTTTATCTAGCCAAGAGAACTAATCATTTTGAAGTTATAGAATGTCTAATACTTGTTCTGGGTGTGTGGATGTTGGTCTACCAATGGTGATTCAGTGACCATGCAATTTCGATATTTCGAGGTCTTCAAAGAGTGCAAGACTCGACTCGATAGCAGCATCCCTTTCTACTAAGCTAAGAATATTCCAGCTAGAATCTCCCCGTGTGCCCAGAAAAATGCCCAGTGTTGCTCATATAGAAGCGTCCTGGTCTGACATTGGATGAGCGAGGCACTCTGTGTATCAGGCGTAGTAGAAACTTCGTGAACGCAAATTTCACAGGGAACTGGATATTATTACTTAAAGTAGGCTTGGGTACATTGGTTATATAGGCTATAAAGGCACCGTATGAATGCAAGAAGTGATACCAGCTTGAAGTCGAGGGGGCTCGTTAATTTCCGATGCAGAATGTTTTCTTAACCTAGGGAAAGGGCACTTACCAATGGTAAAAATTGAACCTACTATTCTTAAGTTCTCTTAGGAATATTGAGAGCTATAATACAAATATTTTGTTGCGGCTTACATTTTAAGCCGCAGGGTCGGGGTTCCTTTAGCCCTCGTGAGGATCCGATGTTCCCGTCTCCACCATGATGTCGGACTGCGGGGCATTCTTTTTTGGAACAACATCAATGGCGTAATGGAAATCTCGCACGCATATTTTGTCCGCAAACAACTGAACTCACCTTTTGATCATCCAAAATGGTAACGATACCCTCCAACAGCACCGGCCAAAAGCTTCGTGTGGGTATTATTGGTTGCGGTGAAGTCTCCCAAGTCATCCACATTCCAACCTTGAACAACCTCTCGGACTGGTACCGAACGACATTTCTATGCGATGTATCGCAACAAGCATTAGCTCATTGCGCGAGCAAAGTCCTGAGTTCTACACCACCAAAAACAACGGCTATTGCGGAAGAAATATGTGCCTCACCTGAAGTCGACGTTGTACTTATTGCGAACGCGGATGCATACCACGTCCCACACGCGTTGCTTGCACTTAAACACCACAAATACTGTTTGCTGGAGAAGCCGGCCGCGCTGTGCTTTCGAGACATCGACCTCCTAATTGCTGCGGAGAAAAAATCGCAGGGCAAGATTCTCGTTGGCACTATGAGACGTTACGCGTCTGCGTTGGAAGATGCCATCAAAGAGATCGGCGGAATGGGACAGATCAAGTACGCCCGCGTAAGAGATATCATAGGGCCTAATGCGCATTTCATCGGACAGTCGGGAACGTTTCCCAAGCGATTTGACGACTGCAGTGAGCAGGATACGCAGGATCGATTGGCTCGCGAGACCGATATGCTTGAACAGGCACTTCGGGAAGAGTTTGGCGTACCCGTCACCCAAGAATCCAAAAACATGTTGCGCCTTTTGGGAGGGTAAGTCCAGTCTGTGAAAATTCCAATCTCTTGTAAAATTGATGAGCTGATCGTGAACTAGACTCGGAACTCATGACCTCTCAGCAATGCGAGAAGTGCTCGGTATGCCCGACTCTGTCGCCGGCGCCGTTCTTACGTCACCGGGTATCTTCAGTGTCCTCTTCAAGTACAACGATTTTCCCGTGACATACGAGTCAGGGGTGATTGGCATTCCGGAATTCGATGCTCATATTGAAGTCTACTCGACAGACAAGATCGTAAGGGTCCAGTACGATACCCCCTACATTCAAGGTCTCCCAATCACCATGACTGTCAAGGAAAAGGTGGGCGATGCTTTCGAGGAACGGAACGTTCGAAAAACTTATACGGATCCCTACACGATTGAAATGCTGGTGCTGCATGACTGCGTTGTCAACAAGACATCTCCGAAGACGAGTGTTGAGGATGCGAAGAATGATATAGAGATTTTCAAGATGATTCTGCAGGCAGACTCGAGTCGTTATCAATCATAGAATTTGTCCGCATGTCTCTGATGCGATAACTTCAATCGAATCTCGAGAAAATATAGATAAATACAATTTACAAGCAGTCAAAATTTCAACGATCGTGATGTCAAGTTCGACGCTTGCCATTAACAATGTACATAGGAACAGCATAGAACTGCTATTCAGTTCAATGCCGGACGGCCAGAATTACTAAAATAAGAGGATCAGCCGTCCGAGGAGGTCATGCAAGGGAATATATTATTAGCCGGTGCCTGCAAGCGGAGACTTGGTGACGTTGGACGCAGGCGGGGTATCATCCTCATCCATCATTCTATATCACGACCCTTGGAGACCTCTTCGCAACACCTTGAAGCCGATTGGATCTGAGTCTCACGTATTCGGTTAAATAAATTCATCCCTAGCGCATCGTTCTTCCAGCAATTCCATAGTAACAGCCATCATCCTACTCTTCCACAATGCCTTCGGACGAGAAACCAACGTTGCGCTGGGGCATTGTAGCGACTGGCTTGATCTCATCTTGGTTCGTTGCCGACTTGATCATCGACCGAGAAGATGCTCAAGCAAATCACATCATCCAAGCCATCGGCTCATCCTCCCTAGAGAAGGGCAAAGCATTTGTCGCAAAGCATTTACCAAACGTCTCACCAGCACCAACCGTATACGGAAGCTACGATGAAATTTACACCGACCCCAACGTAGACGCAGTTTACATTGGCACTCCGCACGCGTTCCACAAGAAGAATTGTCTGGATGCTATCAGCCATGGCAAGAGCATCCTCTGCGAGAAGACCTTCACGCTCAATGCCGTAGAGGCAAAAGAGGTGTTTGAAGCCGCAAAGGCCAAGGGCGTCTTTGTCATGGAGGCCATGTGGACGCGGTTCTTTCCTCTAGTCAAAACAATCCAAAAGCTTGTCCACGAGGATAACGCAATCGGCCATGTGCTTAGAGTGATTTGCGACTTCGCCATGGATCAACATCTTGACTCCAAGGGCCAGGAATCTCGGCTGAAGAATTTATCCTTGGGTGCGAGCTCTCTGCTCGATATCGGTATCTATTCTCTGACTTGGGGTATTATTGGGCTCGAGCAGCCACTAGGTGATACCCTTAAAGAAGCACAAGAGAAGCCTAGGATGCTGGCCACTTCGACGCTATCGGAAGGTGTGGATGTCGCGACTTCCATGATATTGCATTACTCCGATGGGCGGCAAGCTATCGCGACTTCTCATTCGGGCGTCGGCGTGAGAACACCGTCAAACTTCTGTAGGATCGAGGGTAGCGAGGGTAGCATAGTTGTGGATGGAGGTGCGGCTTCAGTACCCAACTCGTTCGTACTTCAAAAGCGCGGCATAGAAGATCAGAAGTTTGAATTCAAGAGACCTGGGAAGGGTCTTTATTGGGAAGCTGATGCGGTTGCTCTCGATATCGCTGCTGGGCGCAAAGAGAACGGGACGATGCCCTGGGCAGAGACTATTCGTGTCATGGAGCTTCTAGACGAAACTAGAAGACAGGGTGGTGTGGTTTTCCCCCAGGATCCTCAATAGCTCAGTACGTTTATAACTATCAATAAGATATGAATTCGAAACACCTTGAGGAGATAACATTTAATTCTTATTCTCTCTAGAACAACACTAAGATAAATACATCAGAGTCAATAAATGGGATTTGGCACTTAGTACCTAGTTAGATTGAGCTGAGGGTTGCTCAGCGGAAGATGGACTAAATCATTTTTGTTTTCTCATCGATGGCCCAGACGAAGCGCTTCAATCAGACATGCGCTGACCGATCAATGATTTCTAATTCTGCAATCTGTCTACCTAATCGGATAACTATCAGAAACCCCGGGAATTATTCTCATGGGTGCCTCAAACCCAGCAAGTCTAGAAACGGATCATCATTCACGGCCAGCAAAAATGCCTCGTTTTCATCCGAAGCGTTGAAATGCTGAATCTTCGACCACGCAGGCACAGCAAACGTGTCTTTTGTAACCCAGTCGAAAGTATAGCGCTCACCCGAAGGTGTATCGATCGTGGTGTAGCCTTCTCCTTCATAACAATGATAGATAAAAGACGAACTAGTCTGAGAGGCGCTGCTAAATTTTCCAGGGCTGATACGCTCAGCTTGCATCCCGATTGATGTGGAAAGCTGTTTGCCGTCCCTGGTCTTGTAGCGATAGATAGCATGATCTCCAATTTGACTCCTTAAGTCTTTCTCGACAGGATCCCAAGGATGGCACCAATCAGACTCATCGCAAGGACTATGTTGCAGAAATCAGTTTCGGATGTTATCAACTTCGACCATCGATGAGTCGGCAAGTACTTACGTGCTTGGGTACCGCGTCTCCGAATATCCTTCAGTGAAATGCACGCGAGCATGCATAAACAGTGGTAGATTCAGCATATCCAGAAACACAAAAGGCTTCTCGCCTTCGTTGCCATGATCATGCCAATGCCATGTGGGCGTGACGATCAGATCCCCGCGCTTCAAAGACATCTTCTTGCCCTCAATCGCCGTGAAGCCCTCGCCATCAATAATGAAGCGGCACGCAAATGCGATGTGTCGATGCGCAGGCGGAGACTCACCCGGATTCACTATCTGTAGGCCACCATAGATTGTGTCGGTCGTGTGTGGGGGTGCTGGGTGCCACGACTCAGCGCATGAGAGGTATGGTGGAATCATTGGTCACACTTACGTATGCTTGGGTTCACGAGCATCAGTACGCGCCTATCTGCTTGCTCTTCAGGGACTAGTCTAGCCGCCGTCAATAAGTCTGGAAGCGACGTGGAATATTTCCACATGTGAGGCTTAGCCATCGGTTTGGGAAGAGGTGGAACCATGTCATTCATTCTGTTCCACAGAGGCTCCAGATTTTTAGAGGGGAGGCTTGCTAGATACTGCTCCATGATATTGCCGATGTAGGTTGTATTTCGTTTGCGTGCTGTTCGAACGAGGTCCGTCGCCGGGTGAGTGTAATGAATAATAGGACTCTGTCTTTCCATTCAGAAACGCCGGTTTTGAGGCACAAATCCCAACTCGACGTCATCTTTTCTCATCGCCGACTTCGGTGTTATATTGATGGTTTAAAGAAACATGGTGGAGAACTTTCACCCCTGTGTTGTTCTTCTGCGACAAACCTTATACACGTCTGCAGGGGCTCGGAATTAGAGTTATCAATCAGACGTTTACTTTACACTCCGTGTGGTGAACATTTCTGGATGTTATGAGCTGTCACGACCCATTCCGGCCATTATTTATACAATCAATCACCCTGATCGGTGGCCAAATAGAATTCTTTGTTACTTAAAAAAGGCTGCTCCGATGGGAATTCGTTCCGACTATGTCGGGTCTCACCCCTCCATTCAGCACTCGTCTCCATGATGCAGAAGCTGAGAAGCAATCCAAACGATTTATTCAATAACAAGATAGCCTACCTCATAACTTATCGTAAGTCTTTGTGCTACAGAAAAATCACACGAAAACTAGCCAGAGATCGCTGCCTCAGCGCAAAAGTCAGCTACAAACAGCGCAGTCTCCCAGTACCCCCCATCCTTTTCTCCCTTGTGAAGCTGATAGCAAGATTCCCCTATTCTTGGGCTAGTACTCGCCGCGCATTTCATGAGAGAATTGGCAGCCTCCATGTACGCTGGCTCCCACAATAAACATTCCCAGTCGACGATATAAATGTCTGGATCTTCAGGATTCTCGGTGGCTTTGATAACCACATTGTGGACTTGGAGGTCATTATGGGTCAGCACAGGCCTTTGGCCAGGGGCGCGACGCATCGTGTCGTGGTAGTACTCCATAAACAATTTGAACCGCGGGAAGAAGTCCTTTACATTGGTGTAATGAGTCATGTGCGTTAATCCGGCACTGAAAATGCGTTCAGTAAAATCTTCGTGTGATTTTTATGGGCCGTGGAACATCTCGCCGTTGCCGTTGTTTTTGTGCAAGTAAATATAACTATTACCGTTCTTGACCAAGCTTTGGTTGTAAATTCGGCCGTAATATGTAGGATTGGGTGGCGGGACTGCCCGCAGAAGCCGTACTTGATCTCCTAGTTTGCGCAGAATGTTCGACTTTGTTGTGTCAGATAGTGGATCCCAGACAGGAGGATAGCATGAGGGGCCATCAATGTACTCAGTGATGAGCATGTAGAAGTTTTTGCAGTACCCCTCGTCGGATTTGTACGCTGCCCATACTTTGGGGATTTTAAGTTCTGGGCAATGTTTCTCCAAGTACAGCATATTCTCAGCTTCCTGGTAATCTATTAATGAAAATATTTACAACAACAGAAGCTCGGAAGACGTACCTGTAGTATCTTAGGCATTCTGCCCACCTTAACGGCGTAATCTCGAACTCTCCACACAGCCGCCGAACAAGGCAGACCTTTGGTCAGATCATTCTCAGTGCCTCTTGCATCTACGACTTCTTCATCTGTCGGCAAAGGGCTGGGTGGATTGGGACGATAATATGGAAATTCGGTGGCTACATATAGCTTCCAGTCTGTGGGGCCTGGAGCTCGGATACAGTTGAGGTCTTTCCCTAGTATTTCTAAGCGTTCGTTTGAGCCCCATATTTGCTTTTGAGTTTCAAAAAAATCATACATGGTGACTAGCGGTGGATATTGGAATGACCAGAAAAAGGCTCAGAGAGAAAAGGCTTATAGAGAACGTGAGTAGGATCAATGTTGCTCCTCTCCAGCGAAGATACTTATATATGTCTTTTGACCTGGCTTTTCTTTGTGCGCAGTTAGTGACATCCCGAGCATAATGAGAATATTCGCGTGTAATACTATCAAAGAATATGAGGTCTCCGCTTGTTCTTGATATTGCATACGCTAACCAGGCCTGTACAGGCCCTTTGCTGCTGAAAGATGGAACTCGATGTGACATGAACTTGTGTACTAACATACAAAGAAATACCCACAAAGAACGATATCGCCATCATCCCGAAAACTCCAACGCCATTATACAAAGAATATCCTCCCTCCCCCAATCCCCATCATGCTCTTCTTGGGGAAACCTCATCAAGATAATTATCAACCTAAGATCTGGTTGGAATCATAATTAAGCAAGCGCAGTCTCCCAAAGATCCAGGCCGTTCTATCTGCCGATGAAAAGGCTTTCATTTTCTCATACAGGGCTAACGAGCTGACGAAACTCAGCGCTAGCCTGTAAACGGACGGCCCATACACGGAAAAGATCTGTATCATTGTTCCAATCCATACCCAACTCTTCAGGGTCAACTGTTGTAGGAGCCACGGTGGGAGCTACTGGCACCGGAAAATGCGGGCAGTGACTGAAGAGAGCACGTGCATTGGCGGCGCTCACGAAGCCTATAGGCTGATGAAATTGGTCGGGTTCGGTCGCTTTACGCCCATGACAGAGTACTTGGTCAAAGATCCAGAAGCATTTGCAGGAATCCCTTTTGTTTCCATCGTTGATCTCGTTGTGCACACCGTTATGAAAGTCGAGTCGTGGAGCAGCCGACAGATCGCTCCCCTCGAGACGAATGAAGAGTGCCCGTACTAGATTTCCAGTCGGCTCGTCTTTGAAAGAACTGACGAATACATCGTACAGTTTCTCGTTATCGCTTAAATCTTCCCTCAGTTGACGCCGTCCTTCGCTTGATTCGTCGTCGTTCTTGGATGGGTTATCGTTCACATGACGATCCACTAAGAACTTTGGAAGCTTCATGTCTGTGTTTTGGAGCTTTTTTGTGTCAAAGTGACATTGGTGTTGTTGTTCAAGTCGCTCTTGTCACTTTCAATTTTCAGAAGCTTCACAACTCTGTCCTCGGCATCGTCAGGCATACTACCCAAGGTTTTCTGCGTCATTGTGTAGATGGAAATGATTTCAGGTTGCTTGAAAGGAATATAGTAATCTAATTCTACTCAAAAGATCTCGAAGTTGTGTGTTGTGAAGTGAGTAATTGCAGATTGGGTTTGGGACGATGGCCACCCGTCATGAGTTGTTCTCTTTATACACGCACAAAACTCAGTCAACTTTCTATCCGAGCCGTGAAGGTGGTAAGATTATTTGTTTAGCCTACAGCGGTCTTGGTTTTTAGCAAACAATAAATATGTGAGACATCTCATAACTCACTTCAACACGCAAAATTCCGAACCCCTCTTCACCCTGGAAAGACAAACCAAGTTTTTACAAATGGACAATCGTGTACTTCGGAATTTCGCCGCATCTTATTGATTGCGATGGTTTTGAATTGCCAAAAAGTGGACAAGCGCATCACATATGGAACGAGCACTGAGGAAAACCATGTAGGAATAGGGTCATGGATTCGCATTTGTTGGAAAACACTGGGAACTTTCCTTCACTCCGGGTCTTCTTGAGACACAGGTCCATTAGATCTTTACTGGAAGCATAGACCCAAAGACATGTCCCAAATCACATTTTGAATTACTCTGAAACGAGTCACCGTAGAATTGGCTCCCCAAAAGTCGATATCGATTCGACTTATTATCAGGCTGTCAAACAGAGGGCAGTAAATCACAGTGAATCATAGCGAGAACAAGATGAGAAATTTAGATCGTAGGGCTCAGTCACAATCTGCATGTGCCAATCCCCTCAATTAGAATGGCCTCAATCATACAAATACAATCCGTGTAGCGGCGCATCGGGCGTGGGACTAGATAACAGGGCCTCGCCTCAGTTGTTTCTTACAGGCTAAGAGTACTGGTTGTGATCTTCTACAACAATCGCTATAGTAGGCAGAGATTGAGGCGTATACATGTATATTCGAAATGGTAGATGAAAAAAAAAAGGCTGAGAAAGATCAGGTCTCGAACGACTGGGTATTCCAACATGGTGGGAAAAGTGGGATATGATGATAGGCAGTAAAAAGTTAAATCGTACCATAGTAGGCAAAGACGGTTTTCCAAGTCCCGCTCGGACGCGCAGCAGATTTCTTTGTTCGTTTGTGTTTTAGCTGTTTCCATCGTAGCTCGGGTAGTACTGAACGCGGTACCCGCTTCTTTCAGGGGGAACCTTTTCTTATCCAGGATGTTGTCAAAGAAAGGGTCGTCGGCTATATTCTTAGCGAGCTCGCTCGCCAAACGATCTATTTTAGGGTTGGGAGCTGGGATGGTGCAGCGACGATGAACTTATTGAAGGGGGAGGGAGAGGGCGGGTTAGTTGTGCTGGAATCGTTTTAATGATGGTGATGAACTGCATTGGTAAACGCGTGCAGCACTTGCAGTTTACTGTGTAACTTGTGTAATAAAATATGCTTCTAATTTTTTGTATTTTTTTTGGTATGATTTTGGTGTTGGCGGAGGATGAATGGTTCTCAATATAGTCCCTGGTGATGGTGCTGAACTCGGCATCGTAGCTACTACTGGACGTGTATGGATTTACCGTCAAATCAAGCTTAATAAACATGATACGCGTGGACTTCGAACAAACGAATTCTTCGTGAAAACGGGTAGTCTTCAACAATCACCCAAAGAAGATCAAACTAAGAAGGGCGGCGCAAACAACAAGTCCACACACACACACACGCACAATCGTGTCATCATACACATATCCAAAAGAAGAGAGAGCACAAACATTTGAACCTCACAATCTTCAATATTCATATACTCCATTTCTCGTAAACTAGGAACATAACAATACATGTACACGGTGATGCCCAAGGGCCAAAAGACAAACACAGTGCTCATCGCTGACAAGTGTACAAAAGGGAATAAACAAAAGGAAGAGGTCGAATCGGAACGTCACATGACCCCATTCATCCTCTCCACCAACGGGCGGATCTTTGTATTCCACCGTTCATCAAGTCTACGCGACCACGACTCTTTGACTGCATCTCCTCCTTCACCATCACGGGCATTACCATTGCCGTCTTTACGTTTCGGTGTCGAAGAAGGTTGTTGCTGTTGACCAGCAGGTGCAGGAGATTGAGGCGTAGCCGACGAGTCGTTATTAGAATTATCCATCGCAGCCGTGGTATGATGAGTGCCAGCGACGGACGTCCCGCGGTGTCCCGGTGAAGAAGAAGAACGGGGCTGTGAAGCCGTCTGAGATTTAGTTCGAGAACTTTTCAGGCACATGTTTGCCCGTCGCTTTTTCGAATGCGTTGCGTGCTCCGTCGGTCTGTCGGATCCTTCGCGTTAGCAACTTCATCGTCTAAACCTTCATGTCTTCTGCACGGGGGTAAAGGGAAGGGGATGCCATGGAAAATAAAAAACGTACGATTTTCTCGTTCAAAGCTCGGTGCTTCTCGGTATCTTGACCCCATTCACCGCCCCACTTCTTCTCGGCGGCGTCGAGGCCTTTGTCCAAGTAATCGCGCTTCTCGGTTGGGTTCGCAGTGGAGGACGCAGCGGCGGGATCGTTGGAGTGGGCTGTGGCGGTGGGGAGGGAGTTCATTTTCGTTGAGAGAGAGAGAGAGAGAGAGAGAGAGAGAGTGTGTGTGTGTGTGTGTGTGAAGTTGTGGAAAAAGGTAGGTAAGAGGTGAGAGGTTGTGATAGATTGGATTGATTGGATGAATGGAGGGAGTTGGAAGAGGAGGAATAGAAAGTGGCTGAAGGCGCTGTTGCTGTGTTTATATATGTGGCGCCTTACGATTTGCAAGTGGATTACTAGTATGATGAGGTAGCCTGCATTTCTGTTAAGAGACTTGAATTATACCGTCGACTAGGGGTAAAACTTGTTGCGTTTACATCATTGCTGTGGATTCAAGTGTTTGATTCGCGGTGCCGGTATGCGGTGATCAATGATCATCCCCTCCTCCACTACCCACACGGAAAGGCGGATGGATATACAGACTTATCCCTGGATAGTTCTTGGACAAACAAGTCGAACAATGACCCCCTTTCTCACTATTGCACTTGGCTACATACATAAAATTGCAATACAAGAACCCCAAGCAACACAAACTTGGCTTCAACGATAAAAATCTCCGACTTGGCAAATCCTTGTTTTCTGTCTTCCACCTTGGTGAGAGAGGGTCTGTCGGGCCGGGTAGTGACATCAATGGATCTAAGATCATCCCGTGAAGAGCTAGGGAAAAACAGGGTCTGGGTGCACTCTGTAGATGTTGAAGTGCTTGTTGGTTTGTTTGGGTAGAGCATACAAAACATGATGTGACGTCATATCCGAGCTCCAGTTAAGGTGGGGCAACGATGACGCAGTATCGTCTATTTTTGGCTGGAGTGGTGGGGGCATGTTCAATGCTGTGTAGCGAATTATTATTTTATTTCGAAAATGTATTGTGGGTTGGAGAGCTTGAGATTTTCTAGCAGGAGAGGGGAATGGAAATGAACAGGATGCCGGTCTTGCTTGTTCGTTTTGTAGCTTGGATATCATGTTCCGTGTGATGTGACCCCCGAGCTGGAGAAACATACATAGTACTTTTGCAATTAGACTCTTACATCCTTGAAAAGCGACTTCTTGTTATATAGCCTGAGCTAGGATTACTATATATTTGAAGGGAGATGATTGTATTTGCATAGGGTGTTCTCTTGATCTTGAGAGGGGACGGGTTGTGGATACTGGCTGGTTTCACTCTGATATGTTGTGTACTAAATAAATACCATACAACATCCAACACAATCAATAAGCTTCTGTACTCGGGACGATTCAAACGATTTAACTAGACGGCGGTTTTGCGAGTATTCAAAGGTGAGGAACTGGTGGCCTCTGCCCTGCAGTCGGGTTCAACTAGTACTAGACTGTCGTGCAGTCGTTTTCTCTTTCTCTCTCTTCTACTTGCACTATGAATTGGAATGAAGAGAAGATATACCGGAGGTCAGATAGTTTGAATAAATCTAGATCTAGATAAGATGGATGTATACAAACTACCCCGCCAATTCAACGCGCCTCCCCAAGACTGCCCTAGCCTCAGTTTCGCTCAACGTCTCGAAACCCAACTCATCCAGGACATCCCGCGCACTCTGATTGTCGGCGAAGAGTCTAGTTTCGACTTCCCATAGCCCAAGCTCACCGTTCGCTTCGGTTGTGTCACCTAGGCTTTCTCTTGGCGGTGGCGTCTCGCCCTCACCAAGGAGCTGTGCCTCGCTTTCGTCGTCGTCCTCCCCTGCACCCCATGCTTCATCCCAGTCTTCCCCATCCTCGCCAGCGCCGCCGCCATTAGGGTTGCTGTCAAAGGATGTGTCTGTCTTGACCTGAGACTTGCCACCACGGACAGGAAGCCCAACTAGGCGCGCACCTTCAAGACACTTGCGGAGCCCGGTTTCCGCTACACCTGGGCCAATGGCTTTGTTGACGACGCGACAGATTGCGGCAAGATCGGCCGATAGTTGTGCCGCACCGGCGGTTGAGAAACGGTGTCTGCTCATCACGTTGTCCCAGAGCGTCGTGGAGATGGTGAGAAGGACTCCCCTAGCGATGCGGCGCAGGGGCGCCGGCGCTAACGCACGGGATAGAAAGCCAAAGGTGCTCGCTAAATGGGTGAGGAGTGGATCCAGTTCAGCAGTGGGTGATAGATTGGCGGGGGTGGAAGAAGCACCGCCGGTGAGGGTGGCCCAAGGGTTGCTGTGGGAGGAAAAAGTAAGCATAAGCTCAACGTAGACGGTTTCCGTATTGGGATACGTACATGTGTCGATAGGGTCGTAATGCCTCCCGTACGTTGCTATTCAGTGTATCGGTAATGATCTTCTCGCTCCGGATGCGGAGGCGGGAGTACCACCCCGCCGTTTCGTCGAACAGCGCACCGCCATCTGTGTCCGACTCGCCTCCGATGGCTTTGGATGTACGTTCGGCGACGTCGGCGATCGTCATGCTGCCAATGTTGTTCGCCTGGCGAGCGCGGTCTTGCAGCTCCTCCCAAATGTGCAAGAAGAACTTGATAATCGGTTAGCATTGGTGACTGTGGGAAGGATCAAGATTGGCTAACATACAACGTCATCACTCCAGTCCCGCATTGCTCTCTCGAGATAGTCTGCACTGCCATATGTCTTGCAGAGACGTTCAAGCCCTTCAACGCCATGCAGCTTGTCTTGTTCTTCTTTGGACACGCCGCCCACAGCCCGGCCAAGCGAGGTGGTCAAGGTGAGGTAAGCTTCTAGATTGCTCGATAAACGCTCATGAAATTGGTCGAAAATGGCAATCTGAATGTCAATCAAAAACCTCAGCTTCTGGGAAAAAGAAGTGAGGGGTCTGTAACGATCTGCAGTGCAAGTCAGAAGCTGAACCGTCACATATCGTCTGTCTGGGCTGGCTCACCTGTGATTGTTTCGAGCAAGTCATTAACCCGAATGGCACCCTTGGTGGGCTTTGTGGCTTTGAGATCGACACTTTCGTAATCCAAATCGCCAAAATCGGGAGCTTCGGTAATGCTTTGGTATCGAGCCAGTGCAACTGTAAGCCAAATTAGCATTGTGCTTTCCCATGGGGAACGGCCAAAAAAATGCATGCAATATGCAAACACATACATTCCTTTTCGACCTGCAACCACCGCCCAAACAGGTCCCCCTGTACGAGAAATTCCCACGCAAGGCCGTTCCAGCCTTGGAGCCCGTAGCCCCCATCGTAGCGCCATTCCTCTCTAACAGTGGTGTCGAAACTCATGACCTCGTGCATAAAGTGGCTCAACAGCTGCGGCTGAGCCGCCACCTTGGGGAGAATGGCGCTAATCTTGTGCCTTAGCATGGGCAACAAAGCAGTGACGAAAGCAGCTGTCGCATCAATATATACAGGGGTCAAAGCAAGATGTGTTCCACGGAAATGCTTCAACAGGATAGGCTGCAGATAGTCGAGCACGAAGCCACTGTAGTCGTCTAGAATGGAAGCAACATGAGAGAGGAAATATTCGGGTCTATCAATGCGGTTTGTCGGCTTGTCCCCTTCGAAGTGATAGCGGAAGCGCATCTTGAGCGATCGCACAAGCACCTCGAAGGGAAAGAGTACAGCGGGGAGTTTGATGTTGGCGCTGGAGTCGGTAGCATAACTCAAGCCCTCAAGCTCGGGCATCTGCAGGTCCAGGAGCTTCGTGACAGCTGTTTCCCATTCTTCCTGTAGCTGGGGGGGTATAGCGGCCTTGACGTTGGGCCAGCGAATCTTCTTCAATATCGCTTCGAGATCGGCGGCAAAGGCGTCGAGGATCTTTGTACGCAGAGCGTGAGTAATCTGATGTACGTGGTGGATCAATTGAGGGGCAGCGCCTTCAGCATCGGTCTGCAGGTGGATCAGACGAGTATGGAGGGAACGCAATTGCCTGTAGGGCTGCAAAGCAGCTTCATTGGATGTCTGGAGCTGGGACTGGGCGTGGTTGCTTAGGAGCTGGACTTGGTGCAGCAGATCGACGTAGGCGCTGGCAACATCCATATGCTGCAGGGTCTCGAGGAGGCGCTCGAAGCGCGGAACGGCTTCATCGCTGGTCTCGGAGGCGGTGATGATGGCCAGGCGGCGGTCGATGTCTGCCTGGTCCGAGTCGAAGGCGCGGGCGCGGTCGTGCAGGTCGCGATGGTGGGCGTGTTGGGCCTGTTTGGCGGCGGAGAGGTCGCGCTGGGCGGCGTGCAGCTGCTGCTTGAGCAAGCTGTGCTGGTCGTGAAGGGTGGCCAGCAGGGAATCGAGCGAGTCGAGGTCGGCGACAGTCTGCAGCTTGTCGTCGAGGTAGTCGGCCACACGGATTTGCGTTTCGTCCAAATCCATGTCGAGGGCCGTATCCATGGTGAGGATGGCGGGTTGTCGAGGCGTTGTGTGGAGGGGTGCGTCAGGCCATTCCTCAGGCAATGTGGCTAGAGTCTTGTTGTTGTTCGGACTCCCGAAGTCAGTCCTTGTGCAGACCAACACCACCACCAGGACCACGACCAGCACTTGTCAATTCGTGCAGGCCGGTAGACGGGAATGAGAGCAGGAAGGGGAAAAAAAAGACAGGCGGACCATCTCTCAACGCGCGTGCATGGATGCATGCATTCATTCATTCATACATACATTGGTTCGTTTGGGTGCATAAGCTGGCCACCTCCGATCGATCTCCATCCCCATCTCCCATCTTTGCAGGACAACGGACAAACCACCGGGTGCTCATTGCTTCCCTAGACGCCGCCGCTGTCATGCTCGTCCGTCTCGCGTTTCAATCCGGTTGTTCACATCAGGCGATATTGATTGCCTTCACCTACCTGTCTGCCGCCGCCGCCCGTACAAGCATGTCTGGCATCGACAGATAAAAACCGCTCTTCCCCCCTCGCTGACTCTCGCCAGTCCTCTTCTCTCCCTCTTATCACTGCTTGGCCGTCCATCCTTCTCACCCATTCGTCGTTGATGTTGTGATACATACCTACATACAGCTACCGAAGAGGGTAATTCCAACGAGCGATCGTCAGCGGCGTACACGAGCTGGCTGGCCTGTCTGCTCCTTGGCCCCCGCTCAGATCCTGGGTAGAGATTCGATTGCCGAAGTGCTAGCTAGCCCCAGCCCAGCCAACCAGCCAGCCAGCGCCAGCGCCAGGGTACCAAGTTCGATATTTTTTCCGCCCTCGCCACCCGCCTGTCACCGCTCGTACCATACCTACCCTACTATTCTGCTTCTTTACCGAGCTACCTGACAGCTTTTTCTTAATTGCGCACCCCGACCTCTCTGCGCTTCCACCTCTCTCGCTTCCCACGCTTCCCAACATCAAACCATGCCAAAGGAGAACAGGAAGCGCGGCCGTCGCGAAGAGGCCAAGAAGCGCAAACGGGACCACGACGACCACGATGCCGCTCCCAAGCGCCACAAGCAAACTTCCCCTCACCATGATCCTACCGCCGCTGCACCAGGTGACGATGAACAACATGTCTTCCAGGACGACGCTATCGGGGGCGCCACTCATCCCGGCGAAACCCCGTTTTACGGCATGCTTGATGAGGAGGAGCAGGAATATTTCAAAAAGGCCGACGAGTTGCTCGAACTGAACGATTTCGACGGTCCGGAAGGCCGCGCCCTATTCCTCCAAAACGTCTACAAGGAAGCCAACGGAAAGGAACTCAAAATAGCACACAGCCAGTCGTGCTCCCGTCTCATGGAACGTCTGATCCTTCTCTCAAGCCCCCAGCAGCTGAAAGATTTGTTCCAGAAATTCACCGGAGAGTAAGTTGGTCATGCACTCGTGCACATCTATACCCATTGCTAACCATTTTTCCTCTCCTTTCTCTCCAGATTCATCCACCTTGTCCACCACCGATTTGCTTCCCACTGTTGCGAAACCCTCTTCATACGCGCTGCCCACGTCGTCACCGAAGAGCACACCAAGCCAGACCTCTTACAGACACCCCCCTCGTCCGATCCCAATGAAATATTCGTCACCATGGAGGATCTCTTCTTGCATACCTTGGACGAGCTGGTGCCATACCTGAGCTTTTATATGACGAACCCTTTCGCTTCCCACGTCTTGCGTCTGCTTTTGGTCGTGCTTTCTGGGGCCCCGTTGGAGAAGGAAAACCTCAAATCCGCCCTTCACAGCAAGCGAAAGGAGAAGATCAACGTCCCGGGCGCTGACAACACGCGTGATTACACGTTGCCTAAGAGACAAGTCCCACAGTCATTCCTGGACGCCTTGGAAAAAATCATCAATGATGGCGTTGCCAGCCAAGACTCCAGCTATCTCCATTTACTCGCCACTCACCCCACAGGGAATCCCACTCTGCAGACACTGCTGAAACTTGAACTTACTCAGTTTGGCAAATCGCGGGCAAGGGATGAAAAATCCCTGATTCGTAGGCTGCTTCCGGATGATCCGATCAAAGAAGGTACCGAGAGCGCATCATTCATCAATGGCCTCGTCTATGACACCATTGGCTCCCGACTGCTAGAAACTATCATCGAAAACGCGCCGGGAAAATTGTTCAAGGCCATATATTCCGAATTTTTCAAGCAGCGGATGGGCAGTCTGTCGCGCAACGAGATTGCCAGCTATGTTGCTGGTAAAGTCTTGGAGCGTTTGGGCAAAGATGATTTGGAAGAAGCCATGCGTCAAATTGCCGAGCAAATACCGGGATTGGTCGAGCGGAATCGCACGTCCATTATCAAGACGCTTATCGAGCGCTGCGTTGTTAGGGGGGTGAATACCACGCCCATCAAGAATCAACTGGAAACGGCATACAAAGGTGCCAACGGATTCGAACTCAGCCGTATGCTGAAGCTCGGAGAGGGACCTGCGGATGATGGCAAGACGAACCACAAGCACGAGCAGTCTTCTCCGGACAAGATCCATGGATCGCTCCTCGCTCAAGCCATGTTGGCCGTGCCGGGCTCATTGAGCAAGCTCATTTTCGATTCGTTCTTGAATCTGGGCGAGCAACTCACCGTCAGGGTGGCGCGAAGTCCAACAGCATCGCGAACGTTGCAAGCGGCCTTGACATCGCCCAATGCTTCTCTGATTTTCCGTCGCAAGGTCATTCAGCAGCTGTACGGGCACATTGGAGAGTTGGCTCTGGATCCGGCTGGGTCCCATGCCATTGATGCTGTCTGGAAAGGCACTCAAGGGCTTGCCTTTATCCGCGAACGCGTTGCCGAAGAGCTGGCGGAAAACGAGGGCGCCTTGCGTGAGTCACATGTTGGTCGTGCGGTCTGGCGCAACTGGCAAATGGATCTCTACAAACGTCGCCGATCCGACTGGGTCCAGCAGGCACGGTATACAGCTGGCAACGACGGATTCCAATCGTTCCCCGAACAAAACGACACCGCTTCTCCGTTTGTGCAGAGTCAGCGCGCCAACAGACACATGTCGGCTATTGAACTCGCGCGGAGAAAACATGCCGAAGCAAAGGCAGCTATGGCGAAAAAGGAAGCTCTGGAGAACAAGAAGGAAGCTTCGCATTCTAGAAACGAGGGCGGTGACAGTGTTGCAGCGCACTGATTAGTGAATTGGCAGCACCATGGCTCTCACTTGGAGGTTTCTCGTACGTATCTATCCGAACCCGGACTAGGCGTGTCGGTATTCGACGCTAGGTCCCTCCTAGACGAGACTATGCAATACGTCTGACCTAGTTTGCCTATGTTCAGACAGTCATTTCCAACAAAAAAATAAAGAGGCTCACGTGGGCGACGTTCTGGATCGTTTTCCATGTATTCCACCGGGAGGCAATTGTCAGGTCATTTTCTGCGCTTTCAATTTAGCTAGATACCTTTTTTCCTCGTCTTCCTCTCCTTGCACCCCAGCAGAGTGGGGTAGTCAATAGTCATACATATGTTATAACAGAAAATTTCTTATACACACACATCACTTCGTTGCCGAACGGGGCGAACATTGCATATTTTAGGGCTGATGTTTCGACATTGATTTAGCATTCCACTGGCTCCGTTTTCCACGTTAGTTGACCCCCACATTCTTACATGTCGGTTCGGTGGGTCTGGGAAACTTATAAGTCAATCATCTCTCAGGGACGACTTCTTGTTCGTTCCACCCAACTTTCATTCTTTGGACAAATCGTCTTTTTGATTTCAAAACGTGACACACGTTTTCTTATAGTCAAACATGTCTGCACACGCTGAAGAAGCGCCCCTCAACCGGGCGGACGAAGTCAAAGAGGTATGTTATGTTTTTCGTGAGGCAATTCGTCAAGAATCTTTTTTGGAGCCACCATCTCGCCACCAATCCCAGCTTTTGTACATATTTCCATGACGCGGAATGTACGCGTCAAAGTCACGAGACTTTCTTATTCACTCCATGTGTTCCCAGCTTGTACTGCCCGGGGGTTTTTTTTTCTCGTGTACCCGCCAATACCTCTCTTTGACAACACAAAAAAAAGGGAAAGAAAATAAAAACTTCCCAAGACGTCTCAATTAATCTGCACGATTCCAGCCCTGTCTTTCTTACCTCGTACCTCTACCCCATCATCCCTCCTTCTATCCCTCCCCCTAAACCATACGCACACACACTCTCCCCTCAATTCCCTTCAATCACCATCCCCCTATCCCACCACAACCCACCACTTCAACCAATCCCCCTAAACAAATAAAACAGCTCCTCGACGCCCTCATCCCCCAAATCCACGCCTTCATCTCCGCCGCAGACACAGACGCAACCCACAAACACACCGGCCGCGGCCTCGCCATCCCTTCCTTCTCTCCTTCTCCTTCTCCTTCAGAATCAAATACTACACGGACGTCACTGGTCCAGCATCTCCCGCCCAAAGAACTCGAGGGGATATTGGTTGGGAGTGGGTTCTTGGATATCTGCGGGAAAGAAGAGAAAGGGGAAGGGGAAGGGGGGAATGGAGGAGGGAAAGATGGACTGGTGGAAGTTGTAAAGACGTTGTTGGGGTATAGTGTTAATACGTGGGATTTGGGGTTCTTGGATAAACTGTATGGGGGGACTAATGCGGTATGTTTTATCCCTTTTTTCCTTTTCTTTTCTCTGTCTCTTTCCGTCTATTTGTTTCTCGTTGTTTGTTTGTTGTTTAGTGATATTGGAGGAGAGGAGAGCGTGGGAGGGGAGTTTCTCTTTAACGTTTGTGGAAGTGACTCTCTCCCTTTTCTTTCTTCCTTCCACCCTGGTTCTACGACTTTTTCCCCTTCTTATTCTTTCTATTCCCCCTTTTCATTCTGAGAAAGGGGAAGAGATACACGATAACGACCATTCTCGCAACATGTTTGGATCTCAAGAGCATCACAGAGACAGCGAGAAAAAAGATGTTCAAATGGATTCGATGGAGAAACTAATTGGAATCACCTAGGTCGGAGTCGTATCAGAGCTTTTGCTAGCTACACTGAACACAAACGTAAGTCCCTTTTCCCCCCTTGTACAGAGACTATTCGTACTTCTCCAATTCCCTCTCATCTCTCTGAAAATTACCATGGACCCTTGCTGTATGAATGCCAGTTTTACAACACCCACACCTCAAAAAAAATAAATTCCCAAAACCAACCCCAGTCCTTCACACATATACACTGACTTTACAACAGGCCCACGTCTACCAAGTCTCCCCAGCCTTGACCCTAATCGAAAAACACACCTCCAAATACCTCTCCACGCTCTTCTTCCCCAACGCCCCCAACCGCGGCGGAATCTCCCAACCGGGCGGCTCAGCCGCAAACCAGACGGCCATCGTAGTAGCCCGCAACACACTGTACCCAGAGACCAAAACACACGGCTCCTCGTCGCACAAGTTCCGCATCTTCACCTCCGTCCACGGGCACTACAGCGTCGAAAAAGCCGCGCAAATCATCGGACTCGGCTCTACAGCCGTCATCAGCGTCCCCGTGGACCCCGCAACCGGCGAAATGATGCCCTCGGCCTTACAAACCCTCATCACGGAAAGCAAAGCGCGCGGCGAAACCCCCTTCTTCGTAAACGCCACAGCGGGCACCACGGTCCTGGGCTCCTTCGACCCGTTCGAAGAGCTCGCCGCCATCTGCGCCGCTGAGCGTCTCTGGCTGCACATCGACGGGTCCTGGGGCGGCTCCGTCGCCCTCCACCCTGCGTACCGCGCCGACCGCCTCGCCGGCGCCCACCTCGCAAACAGCGTCACCGTGAACCCGCATAAGATGCTCGGCGTGCCGACGACGTGCTCGTTCCTGCTCGCGCGGGATCTAAGGACGTTCCATAAAGCGCTGACGTTGCCTGCTGGGTACCTTTTCCACGACGTCGCCGCTGGAGGAGAAGACAGAGAAGAAAAAGACGGGGTAAATGCAGACCATGTGTACGATTTGGCTGATCTCACGCCGCAGTGCGGTCGCCGCGCTGATTCGCTCAAGTTCTTTCTCGCCCTCAAGTACTACGGCACCCGCCGCTTCGAATCCTGGATCGCTGCCGCTTATGATAACGCGAGTTACCTCCTTTCCCTCGTCAAGCAGCACGTGGATTTCGTGTCGGTCACGCCTGAGCCGGTACCATGTCTGCAGGTGTGCTTTTACTATGCCAAGGGTGGTGTTTTGGGAGACGATGCCGAGAGGAATGGACGCGTGACGAGTGAGGTTGCTAAAGGGTTGTTGGCGAGGGGGTTTATGGTTGATTATGCGCCTGGGGAGCGGGGACGGTTTTTCAGGGTCGTGGTTAATGGGGCGACTACGAGGGGCACTTTGGACGGGTTGGTGAAGGCTATTGCTGAGGTTGCTGGCGAGTTGGGGTATTAGTTAGATTAGGTGGTGGGAGGACTACGGGTTAGTTGGTATATACATACATATATATAGAGAGGATATATGGAATACAAAGAGGGAGAGGAGGAGTATCAATGATTGTTTTATCATATTTTTAGTATATGTATTTTGCTTTGACTTGTTGTTGCTGTTGTGGTATACTCATATAATGGCTGGAGAAGTTCGAGCAAGAGCAAAATGAACCTACCCATGCATGCCTTGACTCCCTTATTTCTTGATACTCCAGATATCCCCACCCAACGAAACCACCTTCTCGCTCTCTTCCAGCTGTGCAAGAAGCACCTTGACCTCCTCCTCCGCAAAAGGGAAACCCCCCTGCACCATCATGCGCATCATCATCAATATCCTACCAACACCCATATTCCCCTGGTTCGTCAGCATACCCACAATAAAGCTCATATAAACATCCTTCTTCTCATCGAGCAGATCCGCCTGGCTCTTGACCGTGCTCGTCTGTGCGGCCTGCACCTCGGCCAGTTCCTTAGCGACAGCCGCAGCATCGCTATCGACGGGGTTATCGGTCGAGCTCAGGTTCTCGACTACAATGAAGGTCGAGTTTGACGTTTCGCGGAGCACCGATTTGCCGACCCAGAAGGCGACGGCTTGCTTTACGAGAGCGTCATCCATTTCCAGCATTTCTTCCAGTTGGTCAATGGTGCGGGATATTGGTGCTGTTGTCGTTTGCTCATCGGACTGCGGTTGGAAAGCGTGGATGACGCTGACTTGCCATGGAGCGAGGTGCTCGAACTCTTCGGTGCGGTCTTCCAGTTCGAGTGTGATGCGGCTCTCGCCAAGGGCGTTCATCCAGTGCAGTTTGCGCATCCCCTTGATACGCTCGAAGCGCGATTCGTAGTCTTTCTGTAGTGCTGATATCTCCGCTGGGACATGGAAATCGTCATCACGAAGAACGGGCCAGAAGAAAGAGGAGAGAATTTGCGCATTGAGAGCAGGGCCCGGGGGAGGCTGGGAAGAGATCGGTACAGAGGATTGCCGACGGGACCGCAGTGATTTTGATCGAGGTGTTCGAGGGGTTTGGAGCATCTGTTCTCTCTGAGCGGAGGTTTCGGCAGCACTGCGTATGGCGTCGTTGATGCGTCTGGATTCGAGCACATCGCGGAGCATGACTTCGCATGCTTGGAGTTTCTCCTCGCCTAGTCGAATTTTGATGAGTTCTAAAAGGCGAATTTCTTTCTGGAACTCAGGATCCTGACAGCGCAGCAAATGAGCGCCCAGAATGTTTTTCAACTCATTGATGAAACTATCCCTATCCCATAGAGTGAGAAGGAAGTATATCACATCTTCGACTTTGGACTTCTTATATTCCGGAGATGCGTCGTGTGGAAGAGGCTGCCAGTTCAGATCGTTCCAGTTGAATTCATCATCGGTCGTGTCGGTATGCGCAAATGGTTTAGCCATCTCACTCGCAATCTCATAGCACAACTCCCCGTTGGAAGGAAGATTGCGCTCGTTCTCATCATCTACATCGATCAGAAGGCTCGCAATGATGATACGAGCCGTGTCTTCCCGGTCTTTGAGATATTTACGTATCGGACGTGCTACGCTTTGAAGCAGGACTCCTTTAGGCTCCAGCGTATGGAAAGCACGTATTATCGAGATGTAAACATTCAAAATGTACGTTGTCGTCGCGCCTTGATGGAGAAGGCGCATAGAGACCTGTCGCGAGAAACTGGTTTTCAGGAATTCTTTTGCGCCTTCGAGCTTCAAGTATTCCTGCCTCATTGTTAGCTTCTCTATTGACTCGAATGCAGCAAGAGGGCGACCACCTACCTTGAGATCAAGAATCGCACCCAAGCTTCGATCCCAGTGAATGATAAAGTCAAATAGATTCGCCACTCTCGCCCGACCCAACCTAGACATTGCCATCTCCTGCCATTCTTTCAATTGCGTTGATTCTACTTTTGTAGACTCGCATTGTAGGCAATCTAGAACTAGCTCCGCAAGTGGACGAAAACCGTTCTCGACCCAGTTCCTCATCTCGGGCACCACACATTCCTTCGCGAACCAGTCCACTTTCAAGTAATGGCTGCCAATGAATGTGTCCACTAACTTGTTCATTGAGTGACCGAATGCCCTCTGTGCCATATCTCCACCCAGACCAACACGCTGTAAATCCACGAGAAGGGCTGCTATCCGATCTCGCACTTCGTCTGCACTTTCGGGTGCATAGATATGTTGAACGCCATCCAACCGTATGTGAAAGCGGAAGAGCCTGCAGCCTGCATCGTACAAGACGTGACCCAGTGTCTTAGAGAACCGATTTGACGGAAGACTGTGCGAAAAAGCAGCATGCATATCCAGTTGGAATCTGCTCTTCGCACCATCTACTATTCCCGTGTCTATAGTATCTTCGTCCATGCTTGCCCGTATGGTGATGTTGCTGGCATCTTGATGTAAGAAAGGCATTATATGCTCGTCGAACGGTTGGCGGTAGAAACTCTGGGCTCGGTCGAGGATGCGCTGCGTTTCTTCAAGAGTATCCCAGGTAGCGCTCAACGGAATCTCCTAAATCTGCTGTCAGCGCTCCACCCTCTCTGCCGGTTACAAGGTGCCACACCTTTGCCCACAGCTCTTGTAAGCTCGGTCTGACATATTTCGCAAAATGCAGCCTGACCTCGTTCGTATACCACCCAACAAGCCCCTCCTCCGTCCTCGCACTTTCCGCATTCTTCCCTGTCCCCACTAGCAGATAGCTCAGCGCTTCGTCGATGTCCCTTGTCTTCCTCATTCTCAGCCCGGTGTGATTGACATCTTTTGGTAAGCCTAGAAAGCGTGTGGCCGTACTCCAAGCAACATTGCGCCTGGCAGCATGATGCAGCTCTCCTCCGCTATTGCCCACAAATGGACTGCCAAAAGAGGTACCCGGCGCCGTATGGCCTAAATCTGGTGTCGCGACCGGCGTGGGAGTGGTATGAGAGAGGGACGGGACGGGGAACACGGATGCGAAAACCAGAGTTGCGTGATCCATGGTGGTGTGCGATGCGATGGTGCTAATACGCTGACCCCGCCTGGTATGATCCGAGTGTGTTTGTGGAGAATGGTTGCATGGCAAAGCAAATCGGATGTAGAATTCAAGGGGTGTGTGTGTTGTCCATACTGCGTTCGAAAATGTGAGGCAGTTTGGCCAACGAGTCCTGTGCAAACGGGTGTATGGAGCTTGTGTTGACGTTCATGTCGCGCGCGGGCAGAATAAATCCAGGGTCTCGCGCTCGCCCTACAACACAACTGACGCCTCTTGGCAAAACTTCCTTATCCTGCGTCAGCACATCGATAATACACATCTCACTGCAAATGATTTGTTGGGCGTGAGCCAATTTCCCAAATAAAATCACTGCTTTGTATATGTACATGCAAGGACGCCAGATACACGTATGAAAACCACCAAGTTTGATACACACAGCGAGAGAACTGTATTTTATACCAACAATTCAGATAATAGCATGCCCCGAGGCGCTTTTCAATCAACTGGAAATGGTTTGTTCAGAAATATCAATACCTACTGCTGAGGTTTTTCGGTATGTTCAAGCCACACACTGATCCTTCAAAGCCATATCGCAGAAACCCAACAGGCTGTGACGACAAAAGCCAAGCACTCTTTCAGCAAAAGGACGTTTTGAACAAGAAGCAAACGTCGTGGCGCGGAAAGAAATAAAAAGACAACTCCACTTGGATATTCCCGAAGAAGAATGAAAACAAACAAATGCGCCGTGCTGTTCCCTCCCCCCAATGTGATTTACCCCATTTCTTTTTTTGAGTTCGTCATGATATCAAGAATAGACGACACACGGAGATACCGATACCCAACTTACGTCCTACGGCCTTAAAACACCATGTCGTCGACGGAATGCCTCCACCCGTTCCTCATAGAAAAGGATCTCTCGCACCCTAAGCTTCGGTCCTTTCTGGCTATCTTGCAACAGGGATTCATCGTCAGAATAGTCATGAATTTCGTCAGAAGCTTCGGACTCTGTCTCGTCACCGTCCGCGCCCATTCCGTCGTCAAGCTCGTCTTCGTCTTCGTCTTCATCCTCGGTCGCCTCCGACTCGTCATCGGAGATTATGGGGTCGTGAGCTACGTAGCCTGCGCTAGCTGTTTCCCCTACATGCATTCCATCATGCCGTAAGTCATAATTTGAAAGCCGGTTTTCCAAAATTTCGAAGCACTTGTTCGAAAGGCCCATGTAACAGAGTTCGATTTCGGGTCGGAGATGTACAATATCTAGAATTTGATAGGCGTATTCCCGGGGATCGAGGTTGTTTCCGTGTGGATGATCAGCGATGAAAGGAATATATAGAGAGCGAATGTGTGGTATTAATGGTAACCGCTGCAGGAAATGGTGCTGGTTTATGATTAGCCTCAAATGTGTCATGTCAGGAAAGTGTACCCACCCAGTCTTTATAATCAATGGCGACGGCAAGCTCTCTGAGGCTACTCATGCGCCCGCTAGTAATAAAAGTAAGGATATCACGACTCAGCATCCACCGCCTCCATCGCAAGCTAGTAGTCGCATGCCCATCGTGCGATTTTTCGCTGCTATCTATCATGAGTTTTTTCAAACTTGATCGATGTCGACGCAGTGGCCCTCGATAAATTGCCTCCACAGTGACAGTCGACTGATAAGATCTACCTTCTTGCAAGAAGAGCACTTCCAGAGTATTAGGAGCAAGAGTCTCCTTCAGAAAGGAAATCAAAGACGGAGATACTGTGTTTGTGTGTATCTTTTTGAGGTTAAGAGTGTATTCCGATCGAAGCGTATACGAGGCTTTGTATGCTTTGGAACTTGCAGGGGAACCTGTGTAAGCTGTCCGGGGTGTATAATTCCGACGAAGTGATTTCCAAAGTTGTTCATGATTGTTGCAGTTCAGCAGTGTTAGGGTTGTCATTATCGTCCAATCGAATGCCCTGAGAAGAACGGGAACGGATAATGGAACTCGCTCAAGCTCGAGAACCTCCAATCTCAGTTTGCCGGTCAGTTCTGGCCCGGGAAGGGCGTTCGTGTCCTGGTCCAGGTCAAAACTGACGCGATTCTGAGATCGTGTAGTGACAGGGAGAGCAGGGAGAGGTGGCACATCCTGCAACAACCCATCACTGTCAAGCGGACCGGCCTCTGTCGCGTGTGCAATAGGAGCAGCCGAGAAAGATTCAATACCATCTAGCAAACTCACTCCTTCCGGTATGGCAGGGCCATCAGTGGTGTTTTCAGTCTCGTCATTGCTAATCTCGGGATCACGATCAGGCAGTGGCACTGCGAGAGTAGGCTGCATGCTGGCTGTGTCGATCTTGGTGGAGGCAGTCCCCGTTTGCCGACTGTCTTGCACGGTTGTTTTCCGGTTTCGCACGGTTCGTGGATCAGTATGCCGCAAGTTGTGAACCCTCGCTACGAGGATTCCCAAAACCCCACCCAATCTTTTCTCGCCGATTGAACTTGCTCCTATCCATGAAGCATTATAATCAACCTGCTGGATCCTATCGCCTTCCCAAGCTGTGACCCAGTCTCGTTGCTGAGCGTGCGGTGCAATGCCGATTCGAAGCTCGCGCAATTTATTCTGGGATCGAGCAATCAGAATGCTCATTTCGTCAAGATAAGGCAGCTCATCGATGTCGAGAACGCTCAAGCTTTTCAGAGGCGGGATCACAGAGAAGGTAGGGTACTCTACCCTATCCATGGCTGAAGCAGAGGGAGCATGGAATATTTGGGGCAGAACCACAGGTGGCTGGACCAGACCTACTCCGGATGGATGGGTGGTACCAGGAGGCGCCGCCGTGTTCAAAATCATAGGCGGTGCAGGTGGAGGCAATGGTACGTCCAGCGTGTTGTCATGCCACCGAATCCAGAGGCGGTCCAGACGGCAAGTGTCACCGTCAGTCCTGTCAGCTTGGCTAGATAAAGCTAACCATACGTCGCGCAAAACGCCAGTCGGCATGTCCCAGATGAAAGTCTCGAGGTTGATCATACGCGCGAGTGCTAACGCCACCAAAGTTCCCAACATTTTTCCACCTTCTTTTGTAATCATATACTCCTGAACCCATGCTGCAGGCCCGTTGCCCAAAGAGAACTTTTTAGTAAATTGAGCATAGTAATTGCCGAAACGTCGTCGCGGAATCGGATAAGGTGTCGAAGCGGCTTTCCTCGCATGGGGTAACAAGTTGGATTGATGTGATCGGTTTTGGTGCGGAAAACAGTCATCTCCCGTGACTAGAGTTGCAAGACCATACGTCAAAGCATCTACTCCGGACCTAGGCTCTGTATGGGTACTTTCGTCGGGCCAGACAATGTCGAAGCGAGAATAGATGTAGGGAATAGCAAGACGGTGAAGGGCAGAATGGCAGAGAGCGAGGGACGTGAGATCATTGGTGTGGGGAAGTTGTTGTATGATCTCCTTTAGGATATCGACAGGAAGATCCAACAGCTTCAACGGGCCCACCCTCGCCTTTTCCTTGCCTTTGAGTTGTCTGGAAGCGGTGTCGGTCGACGAATGCATTGCGCCGACTGAAGAAGAATCATTGTGGCGGCGACTATCGACTTCGTCTTTGGACTCGGTTGAGTCTGGGGTCGCGTACGAGGAGGCATAGGTCGGGCGAGAGAGCGAGGGTACAGGCGAAGGGGAGGGCGAGACGGATGTAAGCAGGTCGTCATCATCAAGAAGTGGGGAACCAGTCCTTGGGGTGCTGGAGGAAAAGGGTGGAGAAAAGTCCATATTTGTGGGGAGACGGTCACGTCTCGCCGGATCGCGAAGGCATTAATCCGTCATGGAGAGGCTGGACAGCCGCGCGGTTCACAGCGCAGCAAGCGATGTGTACCTCAGACGAGGCGCGAGCGCAAGGACGAGCGTGGATGCGGAGTCGACGATGACGAGCGATGGTCAGAGAAGGTATGAATGAGAGAGGGGGGGCGGAGAGGGTACGTGAGGGCGAAGACAGAGCACGGAAGCAAAGGATGTGTGGGTGTGGTAAGAGAGTACGTGAGTAGTTGGAGTTGATGCAGGACAAGCACTCCCGCTTGATGAGACCGACCGGGCCCACCACCAATGGCGCGCGTGAATCCCGGCGGGCGATCAGTGCCACACCAGCCCGCCCGTGGCAGCAACGAACAACAAAAACAACAACAACGCCAACAACAACAGCAGCATAATCAGCATCCTCCTTGCCTTCTTGTTTGAAAAAGCCTAGAAGAAGAGTAGCAGACTCCCCAGCAGCTAGGAAAAAAACATCAAATCTGATATCCACGTTTGCCGTGTTATCTATATGGGCATTTTCCCAAAGGCAAGATGATGTTATACTCGACTACTGCTGTGTAACCAGAGGAAGGCCAATATTGGAGTACATATGCAGTCATTACCATACATGTATACATATGTATATGCATCTGTTACCCCATCACTATATACACCATGTGCATAGCTCTGGGCGTCACGTAATCGCTCTTCCCAACCACCCTAAGACACGCAAGGTTCCCCGTAGGCGCTGCTATTCAACTCGATGCTCTCCATTCTTTTCTTTCTTTGACCCAGGACAGGCTGCGAATAGCACCTTGGATATGTAGTGTACGTGTGTTGGTCGATGAAAGAGGGCGTGCAGGGTGCCGTATCTGCCACCACCTTCCGGCCCACAACGTTTCATCGCCAGTGCAACAGACAATACGCTAAACCCTTTCGGTGCCCTCCACCCACCCGCGAACCATGGTTCCCTGCGCCGTGTCCGCCTCACAAGCCAACTATCAGCTTGCCGTCGCATGCCATGTTGAAACCTTTCCCTTCAAACGCCCCTCCCAAAGGTATATTCCCATTTTGACTCTCCAAAAACAAAAAAGAAGTTCCTACCCAAACGCCGCTCCTGAAAATGCTCCATCCCAAATCCCTTCACGTCCATCTCGGTTTGTAATATCCCTTGGCCCAAATCCCGTCCCTCATCCCAATTTGAGCGCTGTCTGTCCTCGTTCCGGATCTTCCATGCGGATAATCTTCACGTCGTCCATACTGTGCACCTTTCTGTTGTTCATTGATTGAGGCGTAATCAGAATGTACTGCCTTCCCACTGCTCGTCGTGCTGCTCCAATGATCAGAGTCATGCTCACGTCGCGATTGACAGAGTCCATGAATACGTCAAATTCGTCCAAGCATCGGATCGGAGAGCCCATGGCGTCCCAAAGCGCGAGAAGTAAGCAGATGGTCGAGAATGACTTTTCGCCGCCCGACAGTGTCTTGGTTTGACGTCCTGCTGCACTCTGCACCGTGATATCCGGTTGCACCTCAATGTCAAGCCGTTGGTTTGCATGATCCACGTTGAGGCTGCCACGGAACTGTCGCTCGCTGAGAAGATAGTTGAAAATGATGCGCGCTCGAGTCGTGATCCTCTGACGGAACTCCAACCACCGCCTTTTGCGCGTTACCAACGCTTGTTTCAGTTTCTGCCATATCGTCGTTAGTACCTCTCTCAGATCTCCACTCGGTTGGATACTTACGTCTTGCACGGCTTGGGCGCTGTTGATACTCTTCTTAGCCTCGTGCCATGCCTTCTGAGCCTCGACTGCCTTCTCGTAGAGTTCCTGCTCCGAGCCACCAAGTTGTTTTTCGGCACGCACCCGTTCTTTCTGTAGTACCTCCAATTTTTTCAAGAGCGAGGCGAATGTCTGCCCTTCCGGTACCTCTACGCGTGGCGAGATCTCGGTAGCACTCTTCAGGTAGTCGTCGAGTTGAAGTTGTTGAGCTGCGCGTTTGTTTTCCCACTCCGTCTTGTTGGTCTCGGCTGCTTGGACCTCGTCTAGGGCTTTATTCTTCGCTCGCAAGGCTTCATCTCTTTTCTGCGACAGCGTCGCCAGTCTTGCCTTGACTTGCTCTGATCGATACTGAACTTCATCGAGAACACGGCTCAGCCTATCCACCTCTGTCTTGTGTGTACGCGACTCTGTGTTTGCCTCATCAAGCGCAGTGGTAAGGTCCTCGTATTGCCTCTCGTCAGCTTCCAAGTTCGCTTGCGCCTCTTTCAGCTCGACCTCCAACTGCTCCACCATTGCGGCATCGGGGATCGATGCAGCAACTTCTCCTTCCAACCTCGTCATGTCATCTTGAGCCCGATCCATCTTCACTTTCAAGGTTTTTTTCTCCTTCGCGTGCTCGGCTAAACTAGCCTGACAGTCATTTACATGTTGTAGCTTGTCTCGCGCATCGGCCTGGAGAGTTTGTATTTCTCTCCGGATGGATGCAAGGTTTTCCTCTTCGTCTTGTATTTGCGGTCCCTTGTCCGCTTGCATGCGGAACTGCCCTTTATACTCGTCAATATAGCTGAAGGTGCTGGTGGTGCCACTCTCATTCGTGGTGAATGAATGGCCCATTCTGCGGCTCATATCCGACATGGAGAAACACACGGCTACGTTTTTCCGCTCGAACGCGGGCCTATCCATGAACTCTTGTGCTTCTAGTCGTTTTTCAATCAAGACTATCTTCTCGATCTTCAGGTTGATGATCAACTGGTTTCGGACCAGGTCGTTGTTGATCTGTACACATATTAGTTCTGGGCTGCTAGGAAATGTGTTCGCGATTACCTTGAGCGCTCGCATCCATGTCAGAAGTTCGCTGTCGGGTTCCTGCCCTGATGTATCGATGGGTGTCGTACTGCTGGGAATATAGATGGGCGCCTGGCTGTGGGAGGTCAATAAGAATGTTCCATTCGGACAGTTCCTTCACTTACTGATTCGCTCGCTTCATGATAGCAGAGAGAAGGCTTTGGTCGGCTTTATTAGTCACCACGAATGCTTCTAGGGCAGGGCCAAACGATTTTTCTAGGATACTGCCCCATTGAGGTTTGAGGAGTTCCACGTGACGACCGATTGGTCCCACCGGACGTGTCTTGAATCTGGTTTCCGCTTCAATCTCGCGCAAAACATAGGCGAGGGTTTTGGGATCTCGATATGAATCGATCCAGCTGCGGTTCACTTGCTTCAACTCACGAATTTTCGTGTCCGAAGCCTTCTCTTCACCGCGCTTTTTCGAGGTCTTTGTATCCGTCTCAGCCTTATTGCTTTTTGCTTGAGCAAGCTCCTGGGCGAGATCGTGTACGCCTTCACCATGAATTTCCCACTCGGACTTTCGCTGTTCATACATGGCTTTTGCTTCTTCGTACTCCTGCAGCTTTTGGGCATGTATGCCATTGTCTGCTTGTGCCTGCAGCTCTTTCTGTTCATCAATTCTCGACTGAGATAGTGCTACTGTCTTTGTACTGGCAGAGATACCGCTTATAATTTTTCGTTCATCTCCCTGGTTATACTGTTTAACAAGTGCTCCGGTTTCAACCGCTAGGTGGGAAGATTGAACATACCTTGAGACGGAAGACGCGGGCTTTGACTTCACCCCACTTTTCTTTCTTCTCCTTGATATCGTCCTGTGTTGGTTGCATTTCAGCGTCGCATCGCTGGATCTCTTCTTTTGCGTCCTCCAGTGCTTCGTTACAGCGCGCATAGTTGGCGGATTCTGTATCTGCCTTGCTCTTTCTGTTTTCAATCAAAGAGCCGATACGTTCGATCTCGGAGTCCATCGTCTTCAGTTCCCCCTCCTCAGCCTGCACTTGCGCCCATGCCGCTTGGTAGGCGAGACCTTGTTCTTTCTTTTTCATTCGTTTGATATTTTCCGCATTTCTGGCCTTTGCGACAGCTTCCTCGTACCTCTTCTGGTAAATTTCTACATGGCCTTTGTATTCTTGAGCTTTGGCTTCCTGTTCCTCCAGCTCTGCAGCTATCTGCCTATAATCATTGTCAAGTGCCTCAAGCTGCGTGCCTTTTAGAAAAAATCTGTACTTGTCCCGGGCATTAGAGTCATTCAAGAACTGCCGGGCCATGTCCTGAGTAAGAACATTCATGGGATTGTCAAGCTGCATAGCAAATGCATCAATGACATCTTCGACGTCAGCCTTCTTCACAGACACTATCTTGCCGCTCCTGTCTTTCAATTTGAACCCCGATGTGCCGGCCAAGTTGAAGTGCCGCTCGACAATAATCGAATCACCGTAAACTTCTGGCCTGTACGCAAAAGCGCCCCGGTTCTTAATCTTCACAGCAAGATTGCAATATTCGCGTCCGGCTTTGATGAAGCTTTTAAGATTCTGTCCACGATTGGTCGCACTAGCTTTGCCCCCAAGACATATCGTGAGCGCTGTCAGCACCGCACTTTTTCCACTCCCATTATGTCCGATGATGAAGTTGATCAATGGACCGAGAGGAACTGTGAGTTGTTCATGGCACATGAAATTCGTACATCGGACCTCTTCAATAATCCCCGCTTCGGCCGGTACATTCTTTTTATTCTGACTCCTTTTCAGACTTTTCTGCACAATCTGGGTTGCTCGAATGTATGCGGCCTCATCCTCTTCGTCATCGGCGGTTACGTCTTGGGTATTCTCGACCGGAGAAGAGCGGGAGGAATCGTCCGACTCGCTGGGCTCTACGGAAACGCGCGGACGTTTCTTTCGCGGTTGTATGGGTCCTGTGAACCCTCGGGAGCGCTTCGCCGGCAGCACTTGTGCCATGTTGGCGGTTCAGTGCGAGGGAGGTTGCCAATGTCGATGTGAAATTAGTTGAAGCTGAGCGGCGTGGAGTAAGTGCAGTTGGACGACGCGTTCGCGCGCAGTGGGCTAGCCCTGCTAGTGGCTCGGCAGCAACTTCCACTTTAACGATTTCCTCCAAATGTCGTATTCAAACATTACATGTATGTTCATCCTCAGTTTGGGGAAAGATTGAGCGGAATTGAGCGCAAATGATAGTTAAATAAGACTACCGATATTTACTATAATACATGCCCCTCCAAGCAACGTTTCCACACACTGTTTGCCAAAATCTACATGCAGCCTTGTGAGTTGACTATAATTCGATCACGTGCGGACGTGACAAGCACGCTAGCCGTATGTAGCTGCAAAAGTGGGCCATCAAGCCCCAGCAAAAGGGATACTATAGAGTTTTACGTGCTGAATGAATGGGCAGCACTCTAGTAAAAAACTGGTGTTTCAAAAATCGGTGTTTCAAAAAGGCGGGCCAACCTGATTACTAAAAAAATCACGGGCAGGCAAAAGAGATACAAGAGCAGTCTCCTATATCAAAATCCAAACTGTACGATACACTTCAAATATTGCATTGTAAACTGCATTGGACAGCCAAATTTCTTCAGTTCATTTACCATGCAGACAACTCCGTGAGAACGGGTAGACGACTAGAAACATCACAGCTGTGCAAGGATATGTATTTTCACCCAGGCAAAGAATATATGTTGCGCTCATGACTCCCTCTCGTAGCATCACAGAGCCGATCCACCCTCTCGAGTGAATCGACGACGCTGAAAAAGTCCTTCCCCAAAACCATCCTCACAACGCTCAACGGCGTGCTCCAGTAATGGCTCGGGATCCAGAGTATATGAAGTGTGCACGCATCTCACAGCTATCCAGAGCAATTCACTTTCCGACCTTGCGGTGTACTAGCAGAGAGCTCGGCGACTGGACGATACTATTTGATGTATCGCGAGGATGTACTGAGCAGCAGGAATGAGTCTGTTCTCTGAGCTCCACCTTAGACCGCGAAGATTGATGAGTTTTGTTTGGATTTCTCGTCATGAGCAGAGCATGAATCAGGTGATTATTGTGTTGCTGACTGTTTGATTGATTAGGGAGTCAGGCCATGAGCTTCGCGTGCAAGTTATGGTGCAGCATTGCTCGGCTCCTAACCGGTATATCTTATTATTGATCGTTTGGGTGCAAATGTTAGCTTCTAAATTCCATTGTAAGCCTTGTTGGTGTGTTATGCGGCGGACGAAGCAAAAAGGACCTTCCTAGGATTACCAATCACCAGGCTGTTCGAACCGCTCCCTCCCATGTCATCGAGCAGCCTGTCCATACCACCCAAGTCAAGTTCACCACGAGCGAGCAGCGCTCTATCTGTCTTTCGTGTTTCTTCGTCTTCAGCCTGTTCTCCCGTAAACAGCCCCATTAAATTCTTCCCGCCAGACTGAGGCGCATTTGCCAATATAACCAAGCGATGTTCCCCTGAAACAACGACATCTCTGGGGACAGCCATCCGAGCCTCCTGGGTTGTCGTGCTGAATTGACCAACTGAGGTAATGGACTCGTTAAACAAAGAAACATCTTGTATTCGTGATAGGCCTGATCCAGACATTGAAGTTCCGTTCGCTGCTGACGCGGTTCGTTTCCAGAATTTGGCAAGATCTGTGATGCGGTGGATTTCCGAGCCGTACCAAATCACAACTGAATCCTCGACATGCTCATGATGCGCAGCTGTTAAGGAAGCAACTGAAATACCGCCGTTGGTAGGTATAGAAGTGGTGGTGGGTGATGTACCATGGAATAGAGTTTCCTCTTTTCTCCGCCTTGTGTTCGGTGTCATTGGCACAAGTGAGCTACGGCCACTGCGAGATTTGGGGCTGGCAGGACCGCTGCTGGCTCGCTCGCTATCTGATGTCCCTACAAATCCACGCAGGGAGAATACGGATGGGTCGGCCGGGGGACTTGGTCCTGAACGATCTATATCCCACACACCCCATTCACCATCCGAGAGCAGTGCGATGATGTGATGACCATCCGAAATCCAGGCAGCGTCAAGAACTGGTTTCCGACCAGCAAGAGCAGGAGGAGCGTTTGCTTTGGCGTGCTCAAACCCTGTTTTGAACGATGCAACAAATGCACCAGATTTGGCAAGTCTGGTGCCTGCTCGCATTTTGCGTTCTGCCGATAGATCAAAGATGCGCACGGCGCCAGACTTATCTGCAATGAGCAATTGAGTGTGGCGAGCTTTAGGATATTGCGCCGTATTGAACGTGACTTTTGTAGCAGGTTTTTGAAGGGTGAGGGTATGAGATGGTGACACGGGACCATCCATCTGAACTGATGTTTTCGTTAAGTTGAACCGCCAAAGCTTCAAAAGTCCGCCTAACTCAGATGAGTGTGAAGCGAGAAGCAGGTCGAAGTTGTCAGAACTCATAGCAGGAGCATCGCCATCATTCTGGGTAGTCTGCTTGTTCGAAGCATTGCCCTCGACTGTATCTACATCCATCTCATCAACTTGAGACGGCTTACGACTGGAAGCGTCTCGTGCAGTCCAAGTCATAGACACGCCCCTTGGAATATCTTGATGACCTGCATATGCTGGGATCGTCGCAACTTCTTCGCCATAAAGTGATTTGCTCGGCGAAGTTCGGTCTTTTGCGACATTGGATGGGGGGTTGAGCGGTAATGTGATGATTCGCACCGTGAAGTCTGCACAGGCGACCGCGAAGACGAGTTTGTTGGCGAATATCGGTGGGGTAGTTCCGGCAGAGAGGAGCTCCGAGGCTGGCGCAATGGGAGGTACAGCAACATGTAGAACATCTGTACGAAGGGACAGATTTATGTGCTGGATAACGGGCGGAAATGGGTGGTCTAAGTCTAGTTCCTCCTCTTCATCTGCGAATGCAGCCTTAGGTAGCGGCTTAGGCGCAGGTTCCTTCGGGTCCGAGTCTGAGTCGGACAATAGATCAATAACATCGGTGGCGCCATTGACTTTAGCAGGCGGCTTCGAGGGCTGTGCAGAGACGGTAGCTGTTTGTTTCAAAGGACGCCCTCCTCTCCATATGATACCAACCCCGCCGGTATGGCCATAAAGCAAGACGGTTGAGCCGTTGGGAGCTTTAACAGGGTAGATCTTGGTGTCGTAGACTCTCGATGGCAGCTCGTACCTATAAGGACAATAATGAGCATCTCATTTTACTCCATATTGCGAATACGTAAGAGGAACACACCTCAGCTGCGTTGTCTTCCCCTTTGTCGAAGTAATGGGATTCATGGTTGCGCTCATTCCTGGCTGCTGCCTCGTCGCAGCTTCTGCGCGGGTCTGAACGATGTCGCACACGCGAGACGCCCTATCGTTTAGCTATTTGCAGCTGGAATTGAGAAACAAAAACCACTGAGGGTATATTAGTGCTCTCGGTATGTAGGCGAGATGTTGCGGTGGGGCTGCGCAAGAGACGCGGAAGGGAATAGGTGTGGATGGTGGTGGTCGGTCGGAGGTGGTGCGGAGTGAAGTGCTTCTCTTTCTTTCTTTCTTGGAGAAAGCGCGTCCAACCAAACAAAACAGCGCGCGTCGACCTCCCACTTCACCACCACGCATCTATTTTCGCCATTTACCATGACCACACGGCCCAGCGACACCGCCAAGAAGCCTGCCCTCCAAATCTCCCTCGAAGCGTCCGCGCATACATAGCACAGTCTCCTCATGCCGTTAAACGAACCCCCGCATGGCCGCCCTACATTCAATCGGGGTCCGCAAGCCCGCCGCGCTTCCATATCTGATCGCTGAGTCCCTTCTCGACCAGAACTGTACCGAGCACGACTACACGTGGGAAACGTACCGAAACGAAGACCCAGACAGCCCTACAGAAGAAGTAGTGACGACAACTCATCATGTTGTTTGGTCGAGAGGCGGGGTGGTGCGCAAGGTCTTCAATTTCGAAATAGAAAAGGAGCCCGTCATACAAGCATTACTCACGTGGTTCACCACTGAGCAGCAACAGAAAAGTGCTGTGTCGCAAGTGGCAACAGATGGACTGGAATCCGATCCCCAACGTACCTTTGTCACCCAAGGCACTCAGCCCGCTACCAATCCTAATGCGCCGAATCACCACACACCCACTACCAAGGAAGTCAGGTCTCGCGCTCTAGTCGTCTTCCTCAAATCCCAAGCACACGTTTTCTTTCTATCCGGCACTACGCATATCGTGAACCTTCCCTTTGAGGTAGACAAGGCCTTTCCCGCTGCTCGTGGCCTTATTCTACAAAGAAAGCTCGTCACACCAAAAGCTATACCTTCTAGTCCGCAGCTTCCTTCGGCGCCTCCGAATTCCTTCCTAACAAATCCTCAATCTTTTCTGTCCCAGACATTCACCCAAAGCTTTGTCCAATCACGCCGCCATGCTTCATCCTTGGGACCCTCCCGGTTAAGTATGGGAGGACAGAAGCCAGGGCCAGCGATGCCCTTGTTTCTAGAAGAGCTGGCGAAGAGTTCTGCCATTGCAAACACGGAAGGATTACCTAGGCTGTATTCTTTCACTGATCCGCTTGCTGAACTTGGTCTGGTGGTGCATGTTACTACAGGCTATGAGCGGGATAGTCTACTCACAGTCAACGGTGCTGGTCACAGGAGGTTGGAGGCAATCGATAAAGCCGAAGAGATCATCTACGTATCTGCAAAGAATGAGATATTGTTCGATCAAAGTGGAAATGACAAGCCTCTATTGATGGTCATTACGGCCAACTATAAAACGAATACATTCACCATCTGGTCTGCTGCCTACATGGAACCCAAATCAATATCCAATTCTCGCAAACACCATGCCCCACTATCTGCCCAAAAGTCTCGCCGTCGCAGCTCCTATGGGCCTACTGCCCCAGGCACAGGCGCAACCACACCTGCAGTCCGAGGTACTGACAGACTCCGAGAGAGTCTTGGTGGCACGATTAAGAGCAAACCACAACCACCGTCGTTCAAAGCTGCATCGCAGAGTAGGGAGAGACTTTCAGACCAAGCAGTGGAGGACGCTCTCACTTCACAGCTGAACCCAGCTTTTGATCCAGCGCGTCAACCGAATGAATCGAGGCGTGTCAGTTCACTTCTTTCTCGCGCCGAACTTTCAACTAGCTTTGATAGGACAGCTTTTCAAGATTTAGCTACCCAGCGCCACAGCTTGGGGGGAAGTTTTAACGCAAGTTTTGGAGCTAGCCAACGTAGCCGGCACTCTCTTGGAAATGAAAGATTGAGTTTTGGCGGCTTCAATCCATCGCGTCATCGGGCCTCTACCCCTGGCAGCATGACCTCACGTTTGAGCCTCGGTGGCGCTTCAGTTGACGATACATTTGACGAAACGATGGACGATACTTTTGATACTATAGAAGATTATGACGAGCTGGACGATCTCTTTGCACCGCTCGACGCTGGGACTGCTCAGGATTCAATGGAGTCACTCCGCAAAGAAATGATCATGAGCGTGGTGACCGAGATACCAGTACAAAGCTTCCTCAAACCAGGCCGATTTGCTCTGGATGATCCTACTGTAGAACCCAAGGTGCGTTTTCGAGCTGACTAGGCTTCAAGACCAGTACTGATTCTTATCTCACAGAGCTCCTCGAAGGTTTTCTCAATGACGGCACCTTTCAATTCAGCTACGCTACACGAGAGAAAGTTATATATGTACATAGTGCATTCATCTTTGGAGCACCCGCTCGAGTGTGAGCTCGCGATCTCCCGCAAGAGGCTATCACCCTCCGCGTCAACGACTCCGGCTAACATGCAAACCACCGCTCCTCGATACGCATGCGTACCCAGATTCATTCAAGTCCAAGAGTTAAAAGGGACACGGGACGCTGTAAAAATCAGTGACGGATATGCAGAGAGGGTGGCCACCCTTATGGCGTCCGATGCGGGCAAGCCGTGCATTTCTATATCGGCAGGTTGGGGCATTCATTTACCGACCAGTTTCACGTTGGAGACGGCAAAGCTTTTCAACCCATATGCTATTTTGCAGGATGAACAGTCACGCGTGACTGCAGGACTTAAGCGGACCGTCAATATTAAAACTCCTTTGTTGGAGATTTACTGCCCTGGACCTACTGGTACGTTTGAAGTTATCGATCGTGAATCTCATCGATACTCAAATCAAATCCGCCTTTTGCCTAAACATGGCCGGGTAGCAGCTTTATTCCGGGTGCTATCTCTGATCCTGCCCAACCATGCTGGAGACTTTCTGCTGGAGATTTGGTGGAATATACGCAAAGAGCTACCTATTGAGCAGCAGCACGACTCTCAAAATGAATGGACGGCGTTCGTGGCCACGCTGTTCACATTGGCGATGCCATTCATCGACGAGCGCAGTAGAAAGACCGGCCGCAGAAGCAAATCGGCACATGGGCGAGGCATAGAACGTTCCCAATTGGAAGGATCCGGCGAAGATGAGAACTCAGCCTGGCGTACCATGTGCAACAGACAATTGTCTCACTCCAATGCAAAATCCTGGCAAAGCAATGCTTGGCAATGGGTCCACCAAGCGTATCCCGCATTTGAGATGACGAGTCCACTCTCCAAAAGTACCCGGAAATACCAATCTCCAAGTATTGGACAGCAAATTGCTCGGAAGCAACACGTGCTCGTTCTGTGTGCAGATTTGGCTCGTCAGTTCAATCAGTCGCCCATTGGTAAAGCTGCAAATGACCATTGGAGACGTCTGTCACCCTCGGAGAAGCAAGATTTGCGTATATCGACCCTGTCCGAAATCGTGGTCATTCTTCACCTCTATCGCGAAGAACTCAAACTAAATGTTCTGGCGAATGATGATACAGCACATGAAGTCGGGAGTATGGCTCCTGTGCTTGCTCAGCTAGGACATTGGCTGCGTTGGGATGCATGGGGTCGCAGGCAAGGAGCATACTATGACCTGGACGGTGGGTCCTCAGAACAGTGGGTGTATGAGGACACAAGTTTTGTCCCCAGCGTTCGACTGCATTCTCAACCCTGGGATACTCCCCCATCCATTCTCGAGTGGCTCAGCGTGGTGTCAGGCGCTCGTACATATACGCCATTTCCCACACTCGCGACGTTGATTCGCAAGTCCAAAGCATCCCCTCATTCTTCCGTGAACATTGACGAGGTTGTGGCAGCTGCAACACCCCGAACTGTAGCTTTGCAAAGGTTCTTTCGTGATCTAGATCATACTCTCGGCCCACGCAAGGCAGTGGAACTCATTGAAAAAGTTGGCATAACTATGCAGATGCTTTCGACGTTTCCGGAAGCCGCACAGGCTCCTCTTATGGAGTTCATCACTAGGTGCCAAACCAACCCACCCACTACCTGGTCTAGATCTCTGTTACGCCTAATTCAACGAGAAGACATGGATCTCGCCATGGCATCAGACACAGATACAAGCCAGGATATAAATCAACATAATGGTTATATAGGTACAGGCTACCAAGCAGCATTGCATGCTTCAGTGTCTACGCGAGATATCCATACAATATGCCAAAACGCCGAACGGTCAGACACACTGGCATCCACAGCTGAGTCGGACCGGCATACTATAACGAGGCTTATATTCAAAGAGGACCGTCGATTTATGGAGGCTTACAGTCTAGTAGAGCCCACTAAACCGTCCGTTGTGTACTACGGGTACGATAGCAGAGCGGAAGATGTAACTGTCCTGGAGGGGCAGAAAGCGTTTGTGCAGTGGGTCATGATACGCACTTTTTCCCTTCCGATAGGAAATTCTATGTTGAAGTTCAGCAGCAAGAAACCTCTCCTGACCGAGAAGTTCTCGTTGATCGGTTTCTCAACATCTTGCGTCATGAAGCCAATGGGGAACGTTGTCACAGCAGACAGAACTACCTACTCGGAAGAGAAGTTTTTCTGGGCGTTCTTCAATCAAGGAGTCTCGGCTGGTCTCAGCATCTCGCGGGATGCTCAAGGCATTGACACCTCTTGGATCATGTACAACAAACCGGCAGAATTGTCGAACAGACATGCTGGGCTGCTGCTGGGCTTGGGTCTTAACGGTCACCTGAAGAACATTGCCAAATGGCTGTCCTTCAAGTACCTCACACCAAAGCATACAATGACCTCAGTTGGTCTATTACTAGGTTTGTCCGCGTCCTATATGGGCACTATGGATACGCTGGTTACCCGCTTGCTTTCAGTCCACGTTACCCGGATGCTGCCACCAGGAGCAGCTGAGCTTAATCTCTCTCCCTATACACAGACTACAGGTCTCATGGGTATTGGACTGTTATATTACAACACTCAGCATCGAAGAATGAGCGAGGTCATGCTGTCAGAGATTGAGCATGTCGATGAGCCAGATCCCTCTGAACCACTCGACAGTCTTCGTGACGAGGCATACCGTCTGGCTGCCGGGTTTGCGCTAGGGTACATTAATCTTGGGAAAGGCAAAGACTTGCGAGGATTGCACGATATGCGGATTGTGGAACGCCTTTTAGGAGTTGCCGTTGCTCCCAAACCTGTCAGCATCGTCCACATACTCGACCAAGCGACTGCTGGGGCTGTCATTGCCATTGCACTTATTTTCATGAAGACGCACGATGAGGCCCTTGCGCGCAAGATCAACGTTCCGGACACCCTTCCTCAGTTTGATTACGTCCGACCTGACATTTGTCGTCTCCGCACTCTCGCAAAACACATGATCATGTGGGATAATATCCGTGCTGACGACGAGTGGATAATGAAGAATCTACCCGTGGAGTACCGCGATGACCATAGTCTCAAGGGAATCACGAAGCTTCGTAGTGAACAGATGTCGTTCTTCAACGTTCTTTCGGGGCTGCTCTGGAGCATATCGCTCAAATACGCAGGGACTGGCAACACGCAGGTCCGAGACTTTCTCATCCGATATCTCGACCAGCTCATTCGTATCAATAAACTTCCCGCCCACCGATACGATGCCAAACTCTCACGCAACACGGTTCGCAACTGTCAAGACCTAGCAGCCCTATCGGCCGCCACTGTCATGGCAGGCACTGGTGATCTCGACATCCTTCGTCGTCTACGTGGTCTTCACGGACGGATCGGCTCAGACATCCCCTATGGATCCCACTTGGCGGCGCACATGGCCATCGGAGTCCTCTTCATCGGTGGCGGAACATACACGTTCAACACATCCAACAAAGCCATCGCCTCGCTCATCTGTGCCTTCTATCCGCTCTTCCCTATCGATGTACAAGACTCGCGCGCCCACCTCCAGGCCTTCCGGCACTTCTGGGTTCTAGCCGCCGAACCGCGCGCCCTCATCGTTCGAGACGCAGACACAGGCAAAGCCTTCTCAACGCCCATCACCGTCCACCTCCGAGCCGGCAGCACCGACCATCCAGCCTCTACACGCTCACCGTCCACCTCGGATCAAGACGACACCAAAATCAACCTAACGGCGCCCTGCCTCCTCCCCTCCCTCGCAACAATCTCCCGCATCGAAACAAGCGACCCCTCGTACTGGCCCACGACCCTCGACTTCGTCCTCAACCCCCTGCACCTTCACCGCTTCAAGCACTCGCAAACCCTCACCGTGCGCCGCCGCGCCCCGCACGACCGTCACAGCACCGCCTTCTCCGCTACCCTCGCCGCCCTCAACGACGCACAGTCCTCGCGCTCCGCCCGCCTCATGTGGGACTGGCTCTTCACTCTCCCTGCCCTCGTCGAGTTCCAGAAAGCGGATGTCGGGCTCATCCTCCCCACCGATCCATTCAGCTCTACGTTTTTGGATCCTAGGGACACGCTCGTCGATCATCGACTTGTGCTGGCGAGGTTGAGCGCGAGTTGGCGCGCGCAGGATTTGTGGGTGCTGAGGGGCGTTTTTGAGTGGGCTGATGGGGTTGCTGCGGGTGGACAGGGGAGGGTGAGGTGGTTGGGTCGAGAGGTTTTGGATCGCTTGAGGGCTGGGGTTTTGGAGCGGGGGAGGAGGGTTGGTGGGGAGTGAGCGAGTTAGTGCAAGCAATGATGGAGCTGTGTGGGTGCATGTGCATGTGTGTAGGAGTTGTTGCATTTGGAGGGGGGTTTTTTTTTTGTAATGGTGAGGAAAAGGAGTGGGTAGAAGGTATGTGTGTATACCTGTTGTATGTATGTCCCTCTTCTACCTGATAGTGATTGATGGATAGATAGATGAAATCTGCATCGCTGGGTGGGTCAACGACCGTTTTCAAAAGTCAATTCGAGAGATTCTTAGTACCGATTCTATTAGCCTGCGTGCTTTAGTGCTTTTATCACTTCTAGGTTTATAATTGTATATCATGGCATCTGCTCATGTGAAAAAAGAAAAGATGGTAGCATGTTACCAGCGATTCCAGGTGCCGTAGAATGTGAAAGGCTGAAGATGTTAATCAGCGGCACGCGAGTAAAAAGAAGGCTCATGACCCTTGTAAGGTTTCCATCCAGAATTGTGATTCATTCGAGACTCATATCTCAGTATCTATACTACATAATTCATGTGCCGTCATCATTCATTCGTAATGACCCCAGATTCATACCCCGGCCGCGTATTTCGCAGACTTCTCCGGCGCCTCGTTGGGGAAATATGGTGCTAAAAGGGAAGAAGGAGGCTGAGTGGTACTGAGCCAGCTGCCGTTGGATTTCAAGATCAGATCCTTATAGGATACCCCACCAACGCTCGGCATTGAAGGTGGAGTCATCATCCGACTTCCAAGTGGAATCAAAAGCGTTGAATAGAAACAAATCGTGGTCGAACGAAGCCCTGATGGACTTGATAGCGGCTGCTTGAGCGCTCTTGGAGACTTCGGCCTTGTCGTGGCTCGTGCCTTGCGAAGGCCATCCGGACTCTGTAACGACGACACGCTTGTTGGGGCAGGCATTCTTAACGCGCTGGACTTCGCTCTTGACGAATGTGCCGGCGTCCTCTGCCTTCGTGTTGGGATCGAAGAAGGCATGAATATTGACGAGTGTCATATCGGACTTGTCGCATAGATCCGGGCTATTAACGATAGCCGGAACAGTCTCTACAGGACCGATGGGACCGTAGTAGCCAACTTTGGAGAGTGCATTGCGGACCTGGTCGAAAATATCGTGTACTTTCGCAACTGTGACGACACGTGCGTTGACCCGCTCATTCTCAACGGACACGAGGCTGATAATGCTCCAGTCACCGCCATTGTAACGGCTAACCGCATCAGACAAAGCACTGACGACGTCCTGAATATCCTGATTGGGAGTGTATATTCCAGCCATCAACTTCTGATTGTTCTTCCGGGCCTGCTGGACTGCCACCGGAATAACACCGCAGTCGTTGCCATAGATACGGACGATGCCAAACTCCTTCATTTTCTCAAACTCAGCAGCCATTTCGTCTGGAGTCTTGCACTCAATAGAGCCCTGGCTCCCTTTGAAGGTATCATAAGTGATACCGAGCGGGAAACTGTCACTCGATTTGCCCTGCTCCGGCGCAGAAGAGGGTTGCGAATTGAATGCAGCTTGAGAGCTAGAAGGGACTACTGCAACGGAGGTTGCCTGAGAAGACGCTGGTGCAGTTGTATGCTCTGCAGGGCGCTCCGCCGCATGAGACAACGAAGCGGAAGTAGGTTGAACATCGAGCGAGAATGCTGGGGTTGGCAAGACAGGTCCCGGAAGAGCAGGCTCAATGACAGCAGCAGTAGAACTAGCCACCACAACCGAAGGAACCACGGCAGTTGACTCGATTCCAGGATCCAAAGTGGCGATGGTTGATGTATAGATTGGGGATCCGTGCTCATCAATGTAGACAACCGCATTGGTAACCGACTTGGTGATGTAGACAGTCTCGGTGATCAAAGCACGCTCAGCAACTGCATTTGTTAGTCTTGCGGATTCTTGACGACAGGCAATCGGAGTCCAGGTCACGAGGGAACAGCATTGTACTTACGGAGAGGGTATCCAATGGCTCCGGCAACCATGGCAGCGCCAACAAGAACGCCTGAGAACGCCGTGACCCGCATGATGTCGACCCAAAGGCAGAATATCCCAAATATGTAACGTTAAGAAGAAAGACTGTTGGTGTCGTCCAGCGACGTTAGAATCATTCCATGCGTAGCAAAAGAGATAGCAAGAGCTTGAGAGGAGCACGCACGAGTCTTGCTCTCGATTCCACACTCACTCCCCGGTCAACGGGACAGCAGCTGCGGAATGTAGGTAGAAAATGCAAGGCGTGCAAGAAATGGGTATAGAATGGGAGAGCGGAGACAGGACAAGGTGACACGCGGAGGTGCATATGCAGGGCAAGTCGAGATTTGGCAGGCAACCGAGTTGACAGAAAGGGAGGGGAGGCATTACCTTTATGTCTTTGGCCAAGATGGCGCAGTGAAGGAATGGAAGTCGATCTGATGATCGGAGTGATGGAGAGAAGAAGGAGCGCCTGGAGAACCAGAAAAGAGAGGGACAAGGAAAGTGGGGGATTTGAAGAGAGAGAATGGACAGAAGGAGAGAGCGTGAGGTCAGTCAATATGGCAAGTAGAGAGGATAGTGAGGGTGTTTGTTTTGGGTAGCACAGGACTCTGGCGCTAGCCGGAATAGGCATCGCCGGGGGTGTCTCGAGGGCAATCACGTCGAGGTAAGGACAGCGGGTGAGGAGAAGCGTTGAGCTGCAGCCGTTGGCTTCTTGTTCACCGTGAATAGGGTCGAGTTGCACGGCAAGTGAAGCGCGTGAACACACCCCCGGCCGACTAGATCTACTCCACCATCCAATATCTCTTTCCATTGTGTACATGTTTATATAGATATATGTACCGCTTATTGCAGTCTCTCTGCAGCATCCTGCGTGCTTTTCAGGGATTGCATAATGCATGCATATGCGATCAATGTATAAGTTTGTGCATAGACGTATACGCATATGGTCAGAATCGGTCTTTCAGCGCACTCGGACATGTCGTCTATCGATCCTTGGACCTGGGACAGAGAGTCTGGAGCATTATGATGTAACATCCAGGAACCGTACCAGTTTTGCATCGCCAGACCAAGGCATTCTGTAAGGCACAGACCGCGGTTCATTGGGTGATGGAAGACTATTTGCTCGATTTTCGTAAAAGTCAAAGTTAATCGGTACTAAGATGGCGGATCGCGTACTGTGCGCCGACTGCTACAAAACACGTCCCCATCACCCAGTGTAGTCGAATTACATGTGTTGCTCTCTGTTGTGATTTTGCAGCCCCAAGGAACTCGACACCGGTTATGACCCACTGGGAGAGATGGGGGAAACCAGGAACCAAACAGTCCTCCCATGTGATAGCTCTTTCTCGTGTAGTTCCGACGGCGTAAATCGTTGAACGGTGAATGGAATATACCGGCCAGGAATCAAGAGTGTGCAGAATGACAGATCCTGTCGTGTGCTGCTCCACGATAAAATTGGTCCTTTCTTCTTGACATCAACATCGTCAACGCTGTGAATCCCAGGTGACGATGTTCCCAGACAAGAGCACTCACGATAGTCCTTCGGTGTGATGAAAAAAAAGTGACACTGCTGTCAGGAGCAAAGTGCAACGAGTGATGATGCTGTGTGGTCAACGATGGCGTCTTTTAGGGTTGATGCTTCGAGCAGAATGCAGGCTAGCCAGAATACGGGTGATTGGCGAAAATGCGGGGTGAATAATGCCAGCCTAGCTCACGAGCCCGTCGCCCTCCCACCTCCCCTCCTCTTTTTTTGCCTGTCCCGCTGTCAAGTCAAGTCGTGGTGTTGTGGGCGTCGATCCAAGTTGCCGAATGATGGAATGGGTGTTGCTCATCAGGTTTCTCAGTCGCACACAGAGCGCCACGCACCGCGGTGCAGGGGAATGGCGCACAGAGTGTCGGCAGCGAGTCTGTGACGTTTTGCTCGTCTCTCACTCGCCTCGCCTAGCGCGCTACTTTCACCGCAAGCGAGTGAGTCCAGATTTCTGCAATTTCTGCCCTCTATATAAACGGATAATCTAGCAATGATTATGTGCAGTGCGAGGATTTGTACGAACCCATTTCTTGCCTTTTACCAGAAGTGGCCGCGAGTCCCGCACAACACTGCACTTACCAAATCTTTGGAAACACACATCGCAGTGCGCGAGTTCGAACCTTTGTTTTTGCGGATTTTTGCTGACTGATTTTTTTTTTGCGCAATCCTCCAAGTGCCGCTACCATCTATCTACTACCACCTACCTTCACTGTCTTCACGTTTTTACCACTCACATTACCTTCTGCCGACAGTAATCCTAAATGGCGATGTTTGGTACATTCACTCTTAGTACGAAAAACAAAGCCTGATATGCTGATATATACACAATCCTAGCAGTAGGCAATGCTTGCGCGAATAATAATGCAGTCTTCACGTCTTACATTTCTCACAGCACTGCATCGCAATCTATAAATCGTACATGCGTACATATACAGCATATAATAACCACCTGGGCAGTCTCTAGCACCGCGTCCTGATCCCCCTCCTCTTCTCCGACTCCCTCTTCTCAAACATAAGTTGAACACCTACGAACAAAGCTCCGCATGAAACCAGCAAAAAGCTCAATCCTGACCAACTACTCATGATCCCATGAACAAGATCCGCCAATCCATCAAGCCCCAAAGCAAACCCCACAAGATTCGCTGCCATGAGCATCAGGATTTCGCCAACCGCGCCCACGCCGCAGAGATAGCGATATGCCATCGGGCTATTCTTCCACTTCCGCGCGGGGAAGATTTTGGAAGCAATGAACTCGGGCAAAACGAAGAGCGTCACAAGCCAGCCCCACATGAGCAGGCGAAGTTTGATGTCGTGCCAAATGGCAATGAACGAGAAGACGGTCAAGTAGTTGAGTGTGGTTCGAGCTTTACCCCAAAAGCCCGACGAGTGGCTACCTCCTAGTGGGATGAACAAATAGCGCAAACTCCATTTGTTGAAACTGCGATGCCAGCCGCGCCAGAAGTTGGTCACTGCGTAGTTGTCGCTCATACAACGCACCATATTCTCTGGCGGATCAACACCGTCAAGAAGGGCCCAGAGACGGAAAAATCGCCAGGGAATGAGAAGTTTGAGCCAGATATGCTTCAAGTTGAAAAAGCCAAGCATGCTCAACTCGGCTGGTGTGAATAAAGACCATTTCGGACGTTCTTGGAAGATGGCGACCATGTAGCAGTAGTGAATCATAACTTCCATGGTGAGAAGCACGACAACAAAGCGGAGGGCGTACATTTTGGTTCTCTGCAAGGAAATGCTGTGGGGTCTGTAGCGAAGCTGAGAAATGTAGTCGTTGAATGTCACAATAGGCCCGGCCAGATACAGTGGAGAGTACACAGCGTAGGCAAAGTAGTTTCGAAAACTGAAATCGCTTGCCTTTGCAGGTATGGCTACTCGATCACGCTCAGAGAGGTTCGAGGGATCAAGCTGTTTCTTCTTGAAGTCATTAGTCATATCCAGGCATGAGTATGAGACCTACTAACCTCTAATGAGCTTCCGTCGCTGCTACTGAGGCTCCAATAGTAATCCAGGTTAAAGCTGATGAGTCGCAAAACCGTGAAATTGAACAAGACTTCCCATCGGGCAATGAGACCTCGATACATGTCTAGCGTGTAGGCGACATTAGTCCTCCAAGGCTGCTCCAAAGTACCGCGGTGAGAGGGAAGGATGAATCCAAGCATATCGCCAAAAACGAATCCTTTGTATATGTCATTGGCAAACATAATGCTGACATTAAACACCCAAGTCGCCGCGGGGATGTAAGACTTGGGCAGCTTCTTCGCGATGTTGTAGTTGACAAGAAGGATTGCCAGGATCTTGATGATAGAAGTACCGTGCAAGGCCGTAATGAAGATGGCTCCAAAAACAACATCAAAAGACATTCTCTGATTCAAACGGGCGTCCGCAGCAGCAGAAGGCGTCAAGCCCATAGTCAAGCCGCCTGCGGCAGAGGACCCAATATTGGTATAAGTGTCGGCTCTCCAAAAACCGTCATAAGCTTTTCGAAGTAAAGGATGTACTAATACAATGACGAAAAGATAGGGAAGGTTTGAACGGAAGCTGTTGTATTGTTGGTCTGAATTGTCCTACAACCAGTCAGCACTGTAGAAAGGGGTGAAGATTATTGTACAATCATACCACATGGCGACCAGGTATCCAACCCTCGGACAATCTATGCGCATATTCATGATACGCCGGGTGTGATTCTACATACTGATCAGCAAGTATTCGGAAGAGCAATGCTGTCATTATAACCAACTTTTAGATACATCCATTACAGTCTTGCACATGAACATGATGATGAAGCCCACGAGAACAACATAGGTGTTGAATTCGAGTGTACCCCACCGCGACGGCTCTGCATCATGATCAACCCCTTTGCTTTTGGCCTGTCCATTATGGGCTGGTAACGGCGGTGCAGGGTCGAGTTCCGCAAGCTCGAGAGCCTCCTTCGGGGGTGCGTTGGCCGGAACGATGAAGCGGGTGTCGAGTATATCTGGCGAATACAGCCGCCGCAACTTTCCAAGGATCATAATGTGAATAGCGCGATTCGCATGACAAGGCGCCAATGGTATGTGTGCACCCTGAAAGTACGTTGGTGGAGGAGTGTTTGATAATCAGGTACGGCTGTGCCGCGGCGGGAGGGTCGACGTCTACCAACCAGCCTAGGTACGTACTAAGTAGGTACCTCAAGTGAGATTCGCGATCATCAATGCGCCCTCTGTCACCACCACTCACCTCCGCCCCACCTCAACACCGCCAAAACCATTTCTAACCACCGAGGCATCACGCGTAGATTAGCCGAGTACAGCATATAAGAAGCTTCGAAAAGCTCTTGCGCTCGTGACGGACTTGCGCCATGAACATTCCAAATTCTTCGACCGCGCCTGCAGCTGGCGAGTACGCTGGAGGTAGGCATTGCCGCTGTCACTGTCACTGTTTCGATCTTTTGTTAATGCATTTCTACAGATGAGGTCTCTGCGATTGTCCTCGATCCTGGCTACTGGACAACCCGCGCTGGCTTTGCAGGTGAAGATGTACCCAAATCCGTATGCCCTTCCTTCTACGGCCAGCTCGACTCCGATTCCGGCTCGCAACAACTTTTTGGCGAGAACGCGATACACAACCCGCTCGGAAACCTTCAAGTGAAGAACCCATGGGGCTCCGACGGGATTGTGCAAGATTGGGAGACTGCGACCAAATTGTGGGAGTATGCGATCACATCACGCCTGACAGGTGCAAAGCCCGGCGACCCAACCAAGAACGGGCTGAACGACGGCACAAACACAAACGGCGATGCTATGGATGTGGACATGGATGCAGTGGAGAACCAGGAGAAGCCGCTCGAGGACAGCCCGCTACTAGTGACGGAACCTGGCTGGAACACGGCAAAGGCGCGGGAAAAGTACATTGAGATTGCTATGGAAGAATGGGGCGCGCCGGCATTCTATCTACAGAAGACGGGTGTGCTGGCTGCTTTCGCGTCCGGGAAAGCGTCAGGCATTGTCATCGATGTGGGTGCATCGCATACATCCATCACACCCGTGCTGGACGGCATGGTTCTACGAAAGGGCGTCCAAAAGTCCACTCTGGCCGGCAACTTCGTCTCGGAACAGATCCGCCTTATCTTCAAGCAATCTCAACCCGAGATACCCCTCACACCGCACTACATGGTCAAATCCAAGACAGCAGTCGACGCGGGTGCATCCGCACAAGCAACCTACAAAACCTTTGCGACACAGCCCACAGACTCGTTCCGTCGTCACGAAGAAGAGCGCGTGCTCACCGAGTTCAAAGAATCCGTCGTCGAAGTCTGGGGCGGCAACGGCCGCCTCTCCAACGGCGCCAACGAGGACATCGCCAAACAGATGCCCGGCCGTCCCTTTGAGATGCCCGACGGCTGGAACCAAGTCTTTGGCGTCGAGCGCTTCCGCCCTGCCGAAGCCCTCTTCGACGCCAATGCCGCCGTTCACGACGCAGACCACCCCAAACCAAAGGATGACCAAACCATCCCTCGTCTGGTTCAGCAGGCCGTCCAGCACGTCGATGCCGACCAGCGCCCCTTGCTGCTCTCCAACATCGTGGTCACGGGCGGCTCGACGCTGCTGTACAAGTTCAACGATAGGCTCAGCAACGAGATCAACAACATCTACCCTAGCACGCGGAATAAACTCTTCGCGCCGGGCTCGGTGGTCGAGCGGAAGTACGCCGCTTGGATCGGTGGAAGCATCTTAGCTAGTTTGGGTAGTTTCCATCAGCTGTGGATCTCCAAGAAGGAGTACGAGGAGCATGGGCCTAGCATCGTTGAGAAGCGGTGTCGGTAGAGTCGATGGGGGGGATTGTGGTTGTGAGCCTCGAGGGGCTAGAGAGAGAGGTGGGTAGGGGGGATGAGACGAGGGATGAAATACCATCAAGGCGTCTTTTGGTCAAAAACTAGCTAGCATAATGTCATTTATTCTCATCGTTTCAAGTAGTGAGATGAATTGACATGCCGCAAAGAGGTTTAGTTTCGGTGTGTTGCTCTAGTTCAATCACATGTATCATGAAGTTTTGATTCATAGTGGAATTTTATTATTCATGTTTCGTAGCCTCTGTGCCGATCAACGAGGTGCTGCTAGATGGCTTAATACGATGCAGCAGCAGTGTGGCTACTGCCCCAACGCTCAGCTAGGTCATCAGTCGTTCGTTTCCTAATCCATCATCCACCCCTACCAACAACACCTACGAGTCCACATCCATTGTTTCCGCCGTCGCCGTCACACTGTCATCCTGCAGCTCGTGGACAGTCACATATTTGCTGATCTCTTCCTTGGTGATGATTTTCTCGTTCAAGACCGCCGTAGTGCCACGCTCGAACTTGTAGTTTCTCGCCTTCGCACCACGTTTGTTGGGAGTCCTGAAGTTCCTCATCAAAGTGGTCTTCTCCTCAGTGATGACAGCCACGTCCACGTTGCTTCCGGATCCCAAATCGTTCCAGATACCGGCCTCAATAGCTTCAGCACACAACTCAACGGCCTTTTCCCTCGACAGGTTCCTCTGCCACTGTGTTTCGAAAACGGACATGGCGGCGAGCGAACCGGAACCCATCGTCACGTATGGCAGCTTATCGGTGGATCCGTGGGCATGTACAGTGAACAGGTGGGAGCCAGTAGGGTCTACACCAGCGATGACGAGGTATGCTCCAATGTGACCCTGATAGCGGAAGAGATGTTGCTTCAGCATCGTCATGCACGTCACGACGCGGGGTTTGCGGCCGGTGGACAGAGCGTGGAGCTCGAGGTTGGACGAGATGATGGCGGTTGTGAATTCGGTATCTGCAGCGGTACCTGCACCGGCACACCAAATCTGAGGGGCGATGTAGTGAAGTTTCTCGCAATTCTACATTTCCTAGTTAGACGGGCGGTACTACTACTGGACGGGGTGCTGGAGCTGAGGGCAAGCCCACCTTGTCTGCTACTATGGGACCGCTCGTCGCTCGGGTATCTGCTGCAATTACGACTCCGCCATCAAACAGGCAGCCCACGATGGTGGTTCCGGTGCTGGTCGCCTTGGGTAGAGGTACACCCTGGGCGTGGAGGGCGGCATTACGGTTGTGGTTGGAGAAGTCGAAGCCGGCCATGGTGATTGATGGCGCGGATGTGTGCGTGTGTTTGTGAGGGGAAACACGAGGACGTGCAATCGATCTACGGCGGAGTGGGATTGTTGACTGTAGGCGGGGCCGTGGTCGTTTGTCGTCGCTGGAGCTGTGGTTGGGATGGCCGCGATCTAAGGAAGGCAACGGTGGTTGACGCAGCGCTGGAAGCTCAAAGCTCGGACGCACGGTTTCGCCAAGCCAAGCAGCTACTAGGTAGCAAATGGATTGGATCCACCCACCAACCCCATGCTTCTTCGTCTTTGCGCCTTTACTGGCGCTGGGAAACATTTTGAGCTTGCTACACCCATTCCATGCCTCTCTGCGCCTACGAGACCACCTAGACACGACTATTCCAGCCTGCGTTTGCTCAATCGGATCGTCCCCCGTGCTCCAGCTCCAGGCCCAATCTTACCAACCTATCAATACGAACCTTGAAATTGCCGCGGACGCGCCTGTTGCGTCTATTATACCTATTATACCTAGCTACCCTCCTCCGCGTGCCTGCCGCATCAGCGCGAAGGCCACCCTCCTCCCTTCACCATTTTCAACAAAAGCTTTGAACTCTTTCGCCAGAGTCCGCCTCGGCTCTCTCCACGCTCTTTACCATCATCACCCCCATCTTTTCGTCGATCGACCGTGTCCTCCGATGCAAAGGCTCGCCCGGTGATCCGCAAAACACCATCGCGCGAGATCCGCCCAGATTTCCTACGCGCAAAGATGGCGTTCGCATCCAACAATGCCTCGCAGCCGGCCCGCTCGATCACCGAAGGCCCTGCTATCTCAGAGGTAGACACAGAGGTAGACACTCCCGCCCGATCTAGCTCAAGCACGCGTCAACTAACCCTCCTCCGCAGTTGATCGGCTTCACGGCCCTTGCCCAAGGATCAGAAGGTGCAGCCAAGTTGAAGCTCCTTCCAACTCCATGGCCTAGCGACAACCTGCCTCCCTCTTCCGCCTCTCTTCTTTGTGTTGCCTCCATGCGTGGTCTTCTAGCTGCAGTCTCTCCGGATACCCTCACAGTATCGTCGACCGCAAACGTGCGCAAGGCTTTTCTACAGAAACCCGGCGCGAAGGATGTCATTGAAGACTTCAAGCCTGACCTGGTCATGTCGATTCCCCAGCCACGTCACGTAGCTTTCTCTGCGGACGAGGAGTACCTCATACTCTGTCCCGAGAAGGGCGGTTTGCACATCTACAATGTGGATGCTCTCCTCGACGGCAACACAAAACCAGAGCGCCAAATAGACACCAACAACGACTCTGTGCGCGGATTGTTTCCCAACCCCGACGCTGATCTGGCGCATTATGCAGCTTTCATCGGTGATTCTGGCCGATTGGAAATTGCAGACATAACCACTGGCACAAAGCTTCCTATCAAGAATGATGGCGCGACTTGCGCCTCATGGAGCGTCAGAGGGAAGGCTTACGCGGTGGGATACAAAGATGGCACGGCGGCAGTTTTCTTGGCGACAGATACACAGATTGGCACGATACCCCGTCCGCCTACTGTCGAGGACGGTTGGGCTGGTATGTTTCGGCCATTGACTTTGATGTCGCATAAAAGACAAGCTAACAATCAGTACAGTCTCGAACATCTCATATCTTGGAAACGACGACTTCTTCGTCATCCACTGTCCACTATCTCCCAGTGACGATGGCGAACCCGAGGAAGCACAATACAACTTTGTTCAAACCAAGTTTTTGAAGAAAGAGACGCCAAAATTTAAAGATTTCACGTTTCGCCGATTTGATTATGATGCCATATTCCCGCAACAGCTCGACGATTCGCCATCACGCCCAGCTCCGACACGGTTCTCAGTCTCCAGACTAAGGAAATGGGAACCAATCTTGGAAGATATGCTGATTCTTTCAAGATCCAATTCCTCGGAGATGGTCATTGTCGCGAATACTAGTGATAAGATATCACCAGAACAGGAAGTTGTGAATGAGTACATGATGGTCTTGCTGCAGGATGTCCGAAGACCAAGTGTCCCTCGTCAATCCCTCGGGGAAGACCTTGAAAGCGCTCCAATAGGCGAAGTGCTGGACTTATCTGGCACAGATAAGGTCCCACGACCAGCGAAACGCTTGTCGGAAGAGGTCGAGGAATCGCCAGGTCCATTGCCTGCTTATATGGTACTTACAAGCGAGGGTATTTTGGGGGCGTGGTGGGTAGTATGGGACAAAGCTCTGGAAAAAGGCACAAGTTATCCAGGACTTACGGCTGTCAGTGGTACCGCTAGACCGGCCCCGAAATTTACAGCCCCGAAGCCTCAGTCTCCATCTTTGTTCAGTCAGCCAGCATCGAATACGCCCAGTGCAAAAACCACTTCACCCTTTACACAACCTTCACCTGGCGCGACTTCATCTACTCCCACGTTCGGATCAACAGGGGTCTCTTCTACACCTTTCGGGAAACCAGCACAACCAGCTTTTGGACAAACCAGTACACCAGCTTTCGGGCAACCAAGTAAACCCGCGTTTGGACAACCGAGTACACCAGCTTTTGGACAGCCAAGTAAACCCGCATTTGGACAACCAAGTACACCAGCTTTTGGGCAAACCAGCAAACCCGCCTTTGGACAAACAAGCCAGCCCGCTTTTGGACAAGCAAGTCAACCGGCGTTTGGTTCCACTTCTCAGATTGGCGGCACAGCGTTTGGTGCAGCTGGCTCAGCTTCCCAGACATCCGCGCAGACCAAACCCAATCCATTTGGAAGTGCAACGGGGTCGACTTCGGGATTTGGTCAATTGGGATCCGGTAAATCAAACGCACCATCGCCTTTCACCAGTTTTGGAAGTGCATACGGCGGTTCTCCCTTCAACAGTCTTCCCGCGAAACCAGCGTTTTCCGGAACATCAAATGGGTTCAAGGGATTGAGCACCGAGCCAAGTTTCGGCGGCGAGACCATCAATCTGACCGACTCAAGGACAAGCTCATGGGCGAATACTCCTGGACAACAATCAGGGTCTGCATTCAGCTCGTTTGCATCGAACACCGACTCAAACACCAGTGGTAAGGAGCACACCGACAACAGAGAGCGAGACGAAGCCACACCGACTCCGCAAGCGCCACCGACACAGGCCAAACAGAATATCTTCGGCCTTCCCGCTGGAGGCTTCAAACTTGGGAGCACATTTGCTAATGAGAATGCATCGGCAAAGGGTGCAGACGGACCTGGGACCTCAGGTGGCTCTCTTTTTGACAACAGTTTCACATCAGCTTTGCCAGGATCCAACTCAAAAGCCCCTGTAACACCACAGCAAGAAAAGGGGCCCGAGGAGTTTTCTACCACGCCAGCTACTCAGCCAAAGTCGAACCTTCAGTTCCCTGGAGGTATGAGTACGTCTGCGCCGAAATCAGAAAATGATCTTCCCCCAATTGCTGGCAGCCCACCTGTACAAGTAGAGGCCCCCAGCTCTTCTGTGCCTTCCTCTCCTCTTCATAGTGATGAAGGAGATGAGGAGGAGTCAGATGCAGGATCGGATGAGGGAGAGGAAGAGGAAGAGGAAGACAGTGAAGAGGACCAGACAGGCGATATTTCCGTCGAGGAGCAGGACGACGAAGACGGTGAAGAAACTACAGAGTTTTCACCTTCAGATGCTGCGCGTAAATCGCGCCCAGCGCAATCCGGCTGGTCTTTCCAGGACAGCGCCCACCAGTCACCACGTATACCCCCTGCTGCTCCGACGCCACCTCCTGCATTTTCGCAACCCTTCAAACCCGGATCTACACCCTTTGCGCAACCACCCAAGGGCAGCCCCCTGTCATTCGGACAATCGGCAGCACCTAAGCAATCCTCGCTGTTTGGTGGATCGAGCAAACCAAACCCATTTTCATCTGCAAGCCAGCCCAAGACCGGTCTCCGCCCTTCGAGTGGAATGCGGGGAGCGTCAGACTCTGTTATCAATCATGTTCGACGGGAGCCCTTACCCGGCTCTGGTTCATCATTAAGCGCATCAATACAGTACTCGTCAGGATCCGAAGCACATGAGCCAGAGGTCACTGATTTGGTGGACGATGATGACGAGAGGATTCGTCGAGAGCTTGCAAGTGACATTGTGCCTTGCCGAACTCTAGATCCATTCATTGCACGGCAGGAATACAACGGGGCCGCCCTCAACAAGACTGGACACGCAGCTCAGATTGAAATTTTGTATAGGGACATCAACAACATGGTCGACACATTGGGACTGAACTTCCGCTCACTCGAATCCTTCGTAGACTACCACAAGCAGCCCCACCGAGACAATGACCTATCCCTGGACGACTTAAGGGCAATCGAAGAACAAGGCGAAGACGGTCGTTGGTTCGAGGAATGGACTCATGCTGAGATGGACGATCTGAAGATACTCGAGAGTCAGCTTGAGCAGCAACTGGACGAAGGCCGAGTGCACTCTGTGTTCGATAAAGTTAATCAACTGCACCGACTTACCATGGACTCAGGAAAGCTGTCGACTAAGATCAACGGCGTTCGACGTGAGCTCGTTAGTCGCAAGGACCCAGATAAGCTGGAAGCGATTCGCAAGGCCCCGCTTCCGAAGGACCTTGCAGATCACCAGAAGTTACTACGGACTGAGTATGCTCGTCTACTGACGCTGCTCAGTCAAGCCGAGGAGGCCATCATGCTTCTCAAATCAAAGCTTGCATCTTACAATGCAGAACACGGGAAAACGGGTGCTGTGCCAACAGTCGATGCTATTAAGAAAACCATCAACAAGCTCATCGCCATCACCGAAAAGAAGAATAACGACATCACCCTTTTGGAATCTCAGTTCCGCAAAGTCGGCCTTGCGATCCATAGCCGCCCAACCTCGTCGTCCTCTCGGGCCCTCGGGACGCCTGCGCGGCAGTCTCGCGGGGTTCGAGGCGAAAGCCCCTTTGCTACGCCTCCCGCAAATCGCAGTCAAGTCAGCTTGAGCAAGCTAAACAGGACAGCACTTACACCAGAAGTAGACGCGACGCCTACTAAAGGATTCGGGCTCTTCTATACCCCGGAAGGATCGCCTTCAGCGGACAGGACGTTGGAACAGCTGGGAGAACTGGATGACGGAGTTCTAGCGGAACTAAGAGAGAAGGCAAGGCGACGGAGGAAGGCAGCAGACGACCTGGAGGACATGCTTGTACGAAAAGGAGTGAAGCAGACAAGAGTGCCTTGATTGGAGAATGGAAGGATTGGTTAAAGCTACGATTTTGTATGAATAGGCACTTTTTTTTTGTTGTAATCTGTGCGTTTTAATGTTTGGACTGAAAGATTTGCAACCCCGACTAGCAATACAGATGCAGGCTGATGGTCTACAAGTATGATGGATTTGATCTACTGGCAACAAGGCTGGAACATTTGCCTGCACTCTAGATAGTTCCGATGGAACTTTTCGAGGTTGAAAAATGGTTGATTAAATGTAGTTACAAACTCCAATTCGCATGATAGGTACTAGTGAATGCACGGCTTGACGTGATTGGTGGGTACGTCGACGAATCGAATCAACGGGGCAACCGAGTGGGAGTACAAGACTGGACCCTATTTCAATTTACGCGGGTCGCGTCGCGGCGCCCCCCCCCCCCCCCCCCCCCCCCCCCCCCTCCGCTTGTATTTATTTATTGTTGTTGCCAAACCTTCACCGCTTCCACTGCTGCATCACCCCATTTCCACGCCCAATTCTCCTCTACTCGAAAGCATCCATCTCGTCTCTCGTCTCGACTCTTAGCCACTACCAACACCCCACTATCATCCTACGCCCTTGCCCCACATCCACAAACAAACATGTCCGTTGTCTCGTTGCTCAGCGTCGAGGTCAAGAACAACCCGGCCACGTTCAACGCGCCATATGAGTTCGAGATCACGTTTGAATGCCTCGAACAGCTCCAGAAAGGCAAGGTCGTCGCGTCTCGTTTCCCGTTGGTCTATACTAATATTTGCCACAGATCTCGAGTGGAAGTTGACGTACGTCGGCTCTGCTACCTCGTAAGTGCCCCTCCCACCGTCCTCTGCACTGCAACAAACAGACATTGACAGCGCCAGGAATGAGCACGACCAGGAGCTCGAATCTGTCCTCGTCGGCCCCATTCCCGTCGGCGTCAACAAATTCCAATTCCGTGCAGACCCTCCCGATCTATCTCGCATCCCCAACAGCGAAATCATCGGCGTCACTGTCATCCTGCTGAGCTGCAGCTACGACGAGCGCGAGTTCGTACGGGTGGGCTACTATGTCAACAACGAGTACACGGACGAGGCTCTGGCTCTTGAGCCACCTGCCAAACCCGTCATCGAGAAAGTGCGCCGCAACATCCTGGCAGAAAAGCCGCGAGTGACGCGATTTGCGATCAAATGGTATGACTCGTACTCTGTTCGGTAACCCGGGCAACTGCTGATCGAGACAGGGATTCCGACGAGACTGCTCCACCAGAGTTCCCCCCAGACCAGCCCGAGGCCGATCTCGTTGCAGATGGCGACCAATATGGTGCCGAAGAGGAAGAGGAGGAAGAAGAGGAGGCGGAGGCTGAGGGCGCCGCTGTGGCTGAAGGCGACGACGCGGAGATGGCTGGTGCTGATGATACAGCGGGACCCGCTGCCGACGACGACGCAGCTTCGGAAGCCGGAAGCGAGGAGATCGACATCGAAGAGAGCGAGGGCGAAGACGAAGACGAGGAGGAAGCAGAAGAGGAGGGCGGTGATGATATGGAGATGGACGATGCTGGACCTGCCAACGATGACCAGAGTCGCCCTCAGCAGCCTGCTCCCGCCAATGCCGATGTCATGGTACACTAGATGGCTGAATGGTGACGGAGCACCTACTTGGTCCTGTCAACGCCTTTGTGAAGATGTCGATGCATCATCACTTGAATACCTTGGAGCGCATGTACGATGTTGGAGATGGTGAAGATGAGGGGCAGTGTAGATACCACGGGACTTTTGGGAAATGGATGCTATGAATGCTAGGGCATTTGCTTGCCTACACGACACGGAAAACAGCGTTCAGGTACGCATATAATGATGCTTTTGATGGGCAGCGATTCCTCGCCTTGGGGAAAATGAGATTAAACAATAGAGAAGCATGAACATGATGAATGATGGCCGACGCGAATTCTCCCTATCTTTACACATGGGCTATTGAAACTGACTGACTGCAAACATGTGGTTGCAAATATAGCTGAGCAAAAAGGGTGTCAATTCTAGGGTACTGCGTACCCGAGTACGTATGCTTCTTGTTTGAGAATGGTTCATGGTCCGCCATGAGAGCAGAGCATGTCATCGGGGATGAATCGCGTGGGAAGCCGAGGCCGGTGGCCAGGCCGATAAAAAAGCCTCGTGGACCCTTGGGTTCGTACATAGGTACGCAGGTAGAGGAACACGGTTATACGAAGCTCAGCTTTGCGGGTTTGGAGTTGTCGCGACTCAGCCTACCGGTTGTGGCGCCTTAACGCAGCACAGCCTCTCTCTTCACGACGGTTTGCGTACGTTTACACTTCAACTGCACGTATAGGAGGACGTCGAGAAGGCCGACTGGCAGGCTTTGGGAGTCATGTTGGCCCGAAATTAGCTGCTTGGTGGCCAGGATCCCCGTGCCACGACGGCCTTGGGGTCACTTTGGCCATCTGATTGCTTATTCGGAGCGGACGCCTACGTCAGACAAATGGTCCTAATACGGGGAGAGACAGGAAGCTTTTTTTTGGTTTCATTCAATGATCAGGAATCTTCGCCGAGACACACATTCTCTAGTCTCTTCAAGTGCTGGCTGTCCGACTTTCCCTGTCTTTACTTGTCGTTTCTCCAACTTTCTTTTTTTTCTTTTTTCCCTGCGCTGCCTGAACAGAGCCCTCCTGGGATACCTAAGACTCTGAGAGTAGCAGCCCAGCAACCGACACCTCCGGCCGTTACCCGCGCGGGTTACCTACTACTATTATTACCATCGTTGTTATTGCTATTACGGATCCATCGCCACTTTTTCAACGCGACCCAACCATTTGTCCACGCTGCTCAAGTCAAGGGCAAGACAAACTAGCACCACTGTCTCTCTTTGCATCCATCCATCCATCCATCCATCCATCCATCCATCAATAAAGCTGCCTGTCTGTCACGCCCGAGCGAGGAGTGACTAGGGCTGAGAGCTCCCGTGGAATCCCCCCCTCCCCCCACTACACTACATACGCACGCTGCTGGCCCACTCCACCAGAGCCGCCCTCGGCCATCAAAGACAGAACAGCCGTACCAAAACAAAGACTGCCAGCCAGCACCCAAAATGAGCTACCACCCAGGACGTCAAGCGCCCCAGATCGGGGCGACATCTGCCACCTACTTGCCAAATCAGGACGACGATTTCTTTATGCCGCCGTCCGAGGTCCCAGTCGCCCATCCAAAGCCCCAGCGGTTCGTTTAGCTCTTACCTGCCTGCTATACCCGTATGTCATTTCTTGCGCGATTGCTGACACTTCCTGTTTTCCTTCCAGTGTCATGCCCGAAGTTCCCGAGAACATGCAGGAAAACCTCGCCCACTTGGAATTAGAGGCCAACGGTCCTCGATCCAACGCGCCCATGTCGCCGCCCCCTCACGGTTACAACCACTCCCAGCCCTCCTTCCCCCCGCGCGGTTCCAGCTTCCAGGGCGAGCCCGCGCAACATAACCACCAGGGAGACTGGCCCGCTCGACACGGAAGTATTTCCTCAACCTTCAACCAACCCCCAGCCGTCCAGCCGCAAGGTATGCAGCAGCACGATAGCCACGACTATCATAGCTTCGCGCACGCCAGCGAAGCCCCCAACTTCTCCATTTTCCCTCAACTGCCAAATCGCCCGCCCAATGTCCCCCCGTCCGACGATGAGAAGGAAGCCGTGTTGGAAAATGCCCGCTTGCCCGTGCTGAATTCAAACGACCCGGAAATGCAGCTTGCCTGGGCTCAAGATGCTTTGCAATACGTCGACACCGCGCAGCTTCACGCCCAACGCCTCGCTGAGCTCCAAGGCCCCCGACCCACCACTCCCGCGGTCGAGCACCAACTGCGCGTCGATGCCATGAACGTAGTGGGCTTCCTCGCCGATCAATTCCACCCAAAGGCCGAGTTCATGCGTGGTATGTGGCTGGAGTTTGGAAAGTTCGGGTTGAGGGCAGACAAGAAAGAGGCATTCCGGTCCTACACTCGGGCAGCTCAGAAAGGATATGCCAGAGCAGAATACCGGATGGGTATGCAGTTTGAGCAGTCAAACGATCCCATCAAGGCTTTGCAACATTATCAAGCCGGTTCAGAGGCTGGAGACTCGGCTTCCAACTATCGTCTGGGCATGATGACGCTTCTAGGCCAGCATGGGCAACAGCAAGATTTCGCTCGTGGAATCCAATTGATTCGACAGGCCGCCCTCACAGCCGATGAGAATGCGCCACAGGGTGCCTACGTCCTGGGCATGCTTCAAGCTCGAGAACTCCCACAGATTAGTGTTCCGGAAGTCTACCTTCCTTACGACGAGAAAGGTGCCAGACAGAACATTGAAAAAGCTGCTTACCTCGGGTTCGCGAAAGCTCAACTCAAAATGGGTTCGGCTTACGAGCTTTGCAGTCTCGGGTGCGAGTTTAGCCCTACTCTGTCACTGCATTACAACGCGCTAGCATCGAGGCAAGGTGAGTCCGAAGGAGACATGGCCATCAGTAAATGGTTCTTGTGTGGTCAAGAGGGCGAGTTTCCAAAGAACGAGGAATTGGCCTATCAATTCGCGCAGCGCGCTGCGAGTGCGGAACTGGCCACGGCAGAATTTGCCCTGGGCTATTTCAATGAGATCGGCATGCACGTTCCTGTCAACCTGGACAAAGCATTGGATTGGTATGAGAGGGCTCAAAGGCACGGCAACAAAGATGCCGAATCTCGAATCGAGAGCATATCCAAGTCGAGGACTCTGTCGAAGAAAGATCACGAGCAAGTCGCTATTAGCAGAATCAAGTCCCAGCATGGCTCCATGCGAGGACAGCGTCCTGCTCGTTTGCAGGCGAAAACCAACATCCCTACTTTAGCTCCAATCGACAGCAGTCCTTCGGATTATGGCGACTCCCCGGCTCGAGGAACCACTCCATATCCCATCTCCGACCAACCACCAGCTGTCTCTTCAACTCCAAACAGACCCCCCACAGTTGCACCATACCCGGTGGACAACGGTCCCCCACGACTAGACCCTCAAAGAGCACCTATGGCCGGCGGATTTGCACCTGAACTACGCTCAGCCAGCGCTCGTCCAGTGTCATCCGCATTCAACATTAACCCCGACGTGTATGCCCAAGGCCCTAGACCCAACGATTCGTATGGGCGCGGTCGACCACCTCCAGGCGGACAAATGGGTCCTCTGCCCATGCGACCAGCTACAAGCGTGGACCACATGGGTCGTGGAGGAGGGCGACCTTCGCCTGGTCCTGGAGGATATCGGCAACCCGGAGGCCCAAGCGCTCAGCGACCAGAACCACATAGCAGGCCGTCAACAGCACAACCTCAGGACTACCATGGTCCAGGTGGACCGGCCAAATTACAAAAGCAACCGCTCAAGAAGCAGCCAACATTGCCAGACATGGGCTATGCAGCGCCTATGGACTCGCGGCAGCATACTCGTCCATCGACTGTGCAGCCCGGTCATGAGGGTAGATCTTCCTCTCGACCTTCGACTGCCACACCTAAGCCTTCGCAAGGCCACTCTTCCCCTGGACTTCCAGCGCAGCCCAAACCAGGGAAATCGCCGCAACCGCAACAACAAGGCGCAAAACCACCAAGTGCGAAACCACCAAGTGCGAAACCTGCGGGGCCAAAGCCTGCACCCGCGAAACCTGCGGCTGCATCTACTCCAGGCAACGGCCCAAAGACGTTCGACGAGATGGGTATCAGCCAAGCACCCAAAGATGGAGATTGTGTAAGTTTCTGCCCCCCTTACCTCTATAATGGAATATCTCGTCGTACTAACATGTACGCAGGTTGTTATGTGAATCACGAGTGTGAAGCGTCCCATGAATCATTGCATAGCGAAGCTGGCGACATGTCTCTATATCCGGTCGTGGCCTTCTTCTCGACATTACCCTGTTTTCTGTGTCTTTGTGTATTGTTTTTGTTTCCTGCATATGAATCGAACCAAGTGAAACCACTTTCTGCTTTTATACCCAAACTTTTTCTGCCCCACGATCCAAAGATGAACAAGTGTATTTCCTTTTTTTTGGCAAAAACACAGTCATAATAGATTCTTTGTACGTAGCTCGAATCTTGCGTGGCATCAACACATGTTCAATCCTCTCGGTTGTATTTCATTGCCCCTGAATTATATCACTGAAGCGACAAATACCTGGTTCCTAATATCAAAGTTCTTAATACATTATGCATACTCACGTACTTGATTACATTGTAAAATACCCGTCTACATGTGAGCGTGTGAAAGGCTCTACCAGGCCTCACCCCTCGCGCCTTCCCCTTCAACGTCCCTTCACCCCACACTTCATTCCTTCCTTCCCACCCAGTCAATCAGCCAATCAATCAGTTAGTCCTCGCTAGCTGGGCCCTTTCCTTCTTCTTTCAAAACCTGACGCACCTTCATTTCCATCTCTCTTCACTTCTTTCCGTACACTTCTTTATCCTTCTCTCTTTCCTCTGGTACACGCCATCACACTCATATCCGCGTGCCTATTGTCATAACATTCCTTCGCCAACCCATCTCCCCTCAATCTGAAACAAAAGGAAACAAGACTATGGCTCCTCGCAAGAAGGTAGAGGATAAATTAGCGACTGCGGCGGTAGCGTCGAGGAAGAAGGGCGGTGGTAGTGCTGAGGATAGCGGATCTGGTGATCCTGCGGACCTGATTATGAAGTATTTGCGTGAGTAACTCCTCTTTTTTCTTTTTAGGGTGGGTGAGCAAGAGAGATTGGAAGGATGGGAATAGTGAAGTTTGCTGATTCTCGTGTTGTGGGGGTGGGTGTACAGGGAAGGTCAAGTGAGTAATTCCTTTTGAGGTGGCGAAGATTAGGATGTGGATTGTGGAGTCGGAGACTGATTGAACATTGGTTGTGATGTGGTGTAGTCGTCCGTATTCGGTGAGTTGGTTCTTCTGTTTCCCATCCTTTTCTGTTTTACTTTTGGGTGTTTGAGTGCGGATTGTTAACGTCTACTCATCAAGGCTATTGAGATCTCGGCGAATCTTCATAATAAGGTCACGAAAGGTATGTCAACGGTGGAGTTACGGACTATGTGGGATTGGCGAGGTTGGGAAATGAAAGCTGATCCAAAGTGCAGCGGCTACAACGAAGATCCTCAAGGACCTCCATGAACGGAACCAGGTCGAAGGGCGTGCAGCAGGTCAGTGGTACCCTGCCCCAGCAATGTTCTCATGGCAGTATATATCCTACGATGAAAGAGTGGCTAAACATGTACACAGGCAAGCAGATCGTCTATCACGTCCATCAGGTAAATTATACCTCCATTTCCCAACACTGCATGGGAGTATACGATGTCCCTCTAGATTACACACTAATCATTCCTCTTCCGAACAGAACCCAGACGACGCCCTCACCCCTGAACAAGTCGCCTCCATCGACTCCCAAATCTCCGACCTCCAATCCGCAACCGCAGCCCTCAATACCACCGCAAAAACCCTCCGCAGCACCCTCGCTTCTCTCAACTCGACGCTCAGCACCTCCGACCTCATCGCCACCGTTCAAACCCTCGACGCCGAGAAACAAGAGATGCTCGCCCGCCTCGACATGCTGAAAGCGGGCAAAGCGAAGAAAGTCACCAAGAAGGAGCGTGATGAAGTGGAGCGGGGCTGGAAGACTGCGGGACTGGCAAGTAGGAGGAGAGAGAAGATTGCTAGGGAGATGTGGAAAATGATTGAGGATGTGGTGGAGGGGACTGAGCAGAGGGAGGAGCTTAGGGAGCAGTTGGGTCTGGATGATTAAGGGAGTGTCTTCAACGCTATATTGTGGCAATGGAACCGCGATATGCGAGCGTAGTCTAAGAGATGGCGAACAGGTGGAATATCGTATTGCCGGAAGAAATAGACGGAGATACGGAAACTCAGAAAAAGGGAGGTGATATGATTTGACGGAACAAAAGCGAATATCTCGTTAACATTAGCGTTTAAGGGTATAAGGGAAAACAAACACGATGATGCTACGCGCTGAAGAGACCCCGAAAAGAAAAGGCAGAACATGATGAATGCTTAGCACACCGAGAAAAAAAAATGATGCATCTCAAGAAGATGCCAACCAGTCCAGAATAGAAAGACAATGGAAACACCGATCCCATGATGCAAGATTCATGATGCAAGTTGCGCGTTCAAAAACGTAGACAAACAAACCACGCATGCAGACGCAAGTCAAATGCCAACATCACGCAACGCGACCCACCCACTACTCCCCATCTTGTCACTCGTAATCTTCGTCTGTGCCTTGACGAAGCAAAGGCTCGCTCGCTATAATCGCATCTTGCTCGCCGTCGTCGGCTTTGGCTAGGGCCTCGAGTTCGCGGGCCAATGCCATGCCCTCGGCCTTGCCTCTATCGACATCGACCAACATCAGGATCGGGAATGGGAGACCGACAAGGACCGCCAGGAACCAGAATGCCTAGAAATATAAGAAATTAGATTCAAAATGTCTGAAAATAAGCGAAGAAGAAAGAGAAAAGAATGCACAAATAACCACGACACATCAAACAAGAAGAAATATACAAGGAAAAGAACTCACCGGTCGAATCTCGCCATACGCATCCGTAATGGCGCCTACAATCGCAGGGCCAAACACACTGCTCCCCTTATCGGTAATAGCATACAGCGCGTAAAACGCGGCCTCATAGCCCGGCGGGATGAGTTCGCCAAAAAGACTCCTGCAATAGCTGCTCAGGCCGCCCAGGACAAAGCCATACACGGCGCCGAGGGGGTACATTTCCCACTGCTGCTGGAGGCCGAAGACGCCGAGTCTGCGGACCGCGGGGATGTACCCGATTAAGCCGTACAAAGGAATGACTTCGAAGAGGACAATGCAAGCGAGGATCGTTTGGGAGGGTTTGAGACCCAGGGCGATGCTGATGCGGGACCAGGTGAAGGCGCCGAGAACACCGGAGATGGTGGCGATGACGTTGATGAGGGCGAGCGGGGCGTATCCCATTCCGAGGGTTGTTTTTGCGAAGAGGACGGCGGTGCCGGAGACGGTGGCGATGCTGTCGCTGAGGAGGAACCATGCTGCTAGGAAGAGGAGCACGTCTTTGAGGAGGCGCGCGTGTTTGATCGTGCGCCCGAGGCTCTTCCAGCTGTATGTAAAGTATGCGATGCAGGTGCGCAGGTTGGATTTGTCGGCCGCGATGTGCAAGGGTGGGCCTGGGCGAGGGCGAAGCCACATGGCTGTTGGGATGGTGAAGATGAACCACCATGCGCCTACGATGAAGAGGACTAGACGGAGACCAAAGTTTGAGCTTTTGAAGACGATGACGACGAGAACGCCAATGGTTTGGACGAGGAGTGCTGCGATGTAGCCTATAGCAATGCCGTAGGAAGATATTTTGGTGGAGAGGGCCAATTCTGGGGATGGTGTTGCGCTGGATCTGGGGTTGGGAACCGTGAAGTCTGCGTCGGATTGGGAGCGTGGGAGTAAAGCTGTCGTCGCATCCATTACGCCGTCGAGCACATTCTGGTCTCGGGCCAGCTCGTTGGAAGAGTATTGGGCGTCTTGAATGAGGGAAGATTCCGATCCATGAGACCTATCCATGTCTTCTTCTTCGTCCAGGAAGCTGGATTCGTTCGACGCACCCGCATACCGCACAGTCGGATGGAAGCGCACCAGTAGAGGCAAGAACGAGTTCAATAGGACGAAACTAGCCCCGAAACAGGTGTTTGCGATAATGGCCAGAAGTGCGCCTAGCACATAGAGTTTGGGCACAATTGGTAGGAACAGCATAGTCGCTATACTCCCCACAAAAGCAAACCACAGTAAAAGAGTCTTGCGGAAGCGACCGTGGTCTGCTGCGCCCGACATGGAAATGATGAGGAGGGCTTGGATCAACACGGATATGGAGAAGGTGTACATGGCGAAGCTGGCCGTGTTGATCTCAATACCGAGTATGTAAACGACGCATTGTCCGGTGTCTGGTTTGGGGGAGAAGGCGGAAAATGGAGGAGAGGAAGCAGCGGGCGGGAGTGAAGTCTTGCATGAAGTGGTACGGTCGGAGAGAAGGACGCCATTCTCACGAGCGAGTTGTTCGAGGGTAACAGGAATAAAGCTACCGATTCCGCAGACTACAAAAACCTAAAACTACTGTTACCGGGTATTCGCGCATTGAAGTTGTCTCTAGACGTCGCGCAGCGAAGAGCTGTTGGATCGAGAGGAGGAGCTATGACATACCTCGGCAGCCCACCCATACATGTAGAAGCCGGAAAGCTCTTTGTCGCTCGTCAGGCGGGTGTCTTCGCCATCGTACTGCGGCAACGGCGGATTGGATTCCATCTGGGAGGTTCCCTCGGTGGAGCTCTGCTCGTCATCGGCGTCGTCGTGCGATGAAGGGGCCGAGGCTTTGGAAAAGGACGAAAGATTTCGAAGGAGTGGTGGAGGTGGACGCTGTTCCTCTTGCCGGGGCGTCATTGTTCACCCCGCGAGTCTGGCGTTGATTGGCGGGATTGCTGTGTCACCTTGAGCAAGACATGGTGAGGCGATGCGCGCCGGATGAGATGAGTATGTTTGCTGAGGGTTGCTGGTGGAGTTCCTTGGGTTCGGCGAGAGCGGAGACGAAAGGGAGAACCGGGAAGGAAAAGACGGGGGAGGGGGTGTAGGTAGATCTATCTGATTCTGGGGGTTGGAACATACGACGATGCGCGTGCATACTAAAGCTGCAGGTGATGGTGTTAGGTTGCAGACAGTTAAGCATGTGACGTTTCGGCGCAAGTTCAAACAGTTTGTCCTTTTATTATATATACTTGGATGCTCTTCAGCTGGCATATTTTATTGTCAAGCGTTGTGGTGTCTACAATAACGTGTCTGCTCTGAGTTGTGCACGAGCTGGTCAACACTAGATGTATACATAAAGGCGATGCATATGTCATGCACCAACAAGTCTGTGTAGCGCGAGCAGATAAATCAATATATATTTTTTGGTAAGACGCAAATATACTTGCTAGGAAATACAAGCACACAGTTTCGACTGATGTTGCCGTATACATATTCTGTCAAGCCAGATGGTTATACCTTAGCATACAGTTCGTACATACGATCGTGGAGAGTGAATGAGTGCAAGCGGGCGCTAGTGATTTGGCCAAGACGCTAAGCAGCCAGGGTCGCTCTTTCGTTCTTCCTTCAGCAGTCAACACGCCCGACGTCAACGTCAATCCGCATCCACGCATCCTTCACAACCCACAACACACACCCAACACCTCGACTCCCTCCCTCACCTTGCGCTTTCTGCGCTTGCTCGTCAGATCACCCTGCCTTCGCCAAACTGCGTACACGTTTGCTCTCGTCTTTTCTGGTTGCGTCGGCGCCGGCGCGCATGTGCTATCGCAACGAGATAACCAGCCACCACAACACCACCATCACCTTCGACCCGATCTCCTCGCCTACAACACTGGCTCTTGTCAACATAGTATAGAGCCCTTGCAATCATCCCATCGCCGAACTTGCCTTTGAGCCACCGCTAGAAAGAGAGGGAAGAGTTGCGCCGAGCGGCGCGAGTGGCGCGCGCGCCCAAGAGTTGTGGCACCAGGGCCGGAGTATGCCAGGACTTTTGAAGATGAATACAAACGGCGCGAACGGAATCGCTAGTACACGCGAGGGGGATGGCAAAAAACGTACCCATGACGGGAAAATCGTCAATGGCGAGCGCAACACTCCCCGCCCGGAGTCGTCTGCGGTTTCAACGACAGTGGCTGACCAGGTGGCCCAGCTGCCACCGGAGCTTGTTCAGGTTGCTGCAAGCTCATATCACCCCTTGTCCAAGTTGCTCGAACGCATCAACCAGGAGTGTTTCAACGATCTAAATGATGTCTTGAACTCAATGTCAGAGATACCCACCTCGAACCAAACCAATGGCGCCATGCCAAACGGCCTCGGATCTTACAATGCGGCGGCAAACACTGAGGCAAGCCAGCGCAAGAAACAGCTCATGCTGAAATTCGCGCACGATAGCAGGACTAAGATGATCAAGCTGCTGGTACTTACTGATTGGGGGCAGAGGTCTGCTGCATCGGTGTCTAAGCTGATAGATATTTTCAGTTGGACTAGAGAACAGACTGCGGATCTGGATATTGTCGATATTCAATTGCTGGAGATGAAATTGCTCTCTAATGAAGCACGACAACGAAATCCGGACATCAGGACCGCCCTTGAAATTCTGGCAACAAAAAAGGCTGAATGGTTGCCTGATATGGGCTATTCACCTCCAAATCCCATTTCATCCGAAAATGCGTTAGACCTGATGCGCTACATGAACACCTCCCTGTACATACGGCTGACCGTCCACGAAAAGCTACCTCGCCATCTTCAAAAATGGCGTGTAGGGTCCGGCAGGGCGACATTTATCGTCGAAAACGAATTTGAATTCGACGTCATGTCTTTTGTAGAAGACACCTCTGAACAGTGGCATTTCATCGATTTCAGGGTGCTCTTTTCACCAGCTCCAGTAATTGACGTCGACAGTCGATTCCTACGCGAGCTGAAATTGATGATGGACAGTAATCTCGCAACGGAGGGCAAAGGATTGGAGGAGTGCTTCAATTTTCTCCACAACTTCACGTTGACCCACAAGATCAGCGTGCTTAGAGCGCAAGCCAACGAAATATCTCGAGGTGCTTGGGCTGGCTCATTACGAGTGGAATCGCCACATCGACAGCTGGTGCTGTACTATTGGACTGACAAGCCCGGGAAGAAAAGTTGGCTTGAGATCGGCATATCCAGCAATCGATCAAAAAATGGCACAGAGTCATGGCGAGGCCCGTCTATACCATCTTTGACTACACGCTGGTTTCGTCAAGGAGTTGAAGTCAAAGACACTGATATCAAGATTGACTGGAATGACATCTCTGCCGAGCGAACGCTGAAACACGTTATTGCGCTGCACGTTGGGCATCTGATCCGAACGGCGCGGGCGGGCATGGACCAAAATTCGGTCGTCAAAGAGTATATCTCTACTTCTGAGCCGGCTGATTGCATGCTCGAAGCATCCATGGGCGCCTCCGTAAACAAGATCACTTTATCGGTACAGCCTGCCAATGGGAGATACATTCTACAACCCATCACCATGGTATCAGCGCAAGCCGAGCATGCCATCAATCGTCCACACAACCCTCCGAGTCCCAGCAAAGTTGTCACACAATTATTGGCCCAGTCGCTTGTGAGTCTCGTGCACCGATGTGCTCAGCAACTTGGATGGCAGCAAATTGCACAGCAGTCCTTACGTCATGACACGGTAAAGATGGCGACCAAACAAGATGTGATACAGTTCGCTGTTTATCGGCCTCGTGGGTGGTCCGCTCAAGGCGGCTCGAAATGGGCAATTGCTGCCGTTGTTAATGCTGCGGGCGAAACCTGGTGGCTCTGCGAGATGGGTCCAACGAATAGCACGATTGAGTTTGCTCAGCAAATCCTCATGGAGAAGCCAAAGGGCCAATCAAGGATCGATCGCAGTACCTTGTCGGCTATTGCAAGAGTTGCGGTATCCACATTAGCATTCCACGTGAACATTCAGATGCTTAAACGAGAGCAAATGAAACACACGTTGGCTAATGATTTTGCAGAGCAGCGACCCAATACTACAAAGGGCGTGATACGTGGTTGGGTGCTTCACCTAAAGACTTCGGAACTCCTGGCTACGAAAACCGGCGAAGACCCTTGGCTTGAGCCCAACATTCGTTTGGTCTGTCACGGTTTGCGAATGCAATCTCACAGCGTATGGCATATTGCAGTAGGGACTATGATACCCGCTGTAGCTGCTGATATGAAGAAGCTAATGGCGTCTTCTCCCCAGCTCAACTTCAATTTTTCAGATAACGGGCATTTCCAGATATTGTTAGACACACCATTCGGCGAGGAAGTGATCAGCAAACTGAAATTAAGACTACGAGACATATATCGTTTACGTATCTTTGCAACAATCCTTCGAAAGCGGAAGATGCTTCTGGTCTCGTCGTCACTGGGGCACGTCAAATTTCAGTATGGCAAGGATCTTTGGGCGACCGTCAGATTCGATACAGGGGATGAGGTCCGGGTTGAATTTTGCAAGAGCGCTCCACATATTCGTATCCAGCGCCTACTTAACAACATTCTCAACGATAAGTCTTTGACTGCAGCATCAAACCGTGGCGGAATCGTCGGTCTGGATCGATTTTGCACTTCACTCCTTCTCACCCGGCCCATCCTCACTGCTTTCGATGGAATTGAAGCTTCAAACGCAAAGACCTTCGGGAATCCGATCATTCACGCACATGCGATTGGGGTCTACCGAATCACCTACGCCAACCCAATCTGTTCGTTTGACATACGCCTCAAACCCAAAGGCGACAAAGCACTTTGGCTCATCGAAGACAACGACAAAAAGCCAGCCGACTTGCGACCAAAAAACCAGCGTGCCCCGAATTACAAACGGCGCGAGGATCTCACTACCGCTCTCCGTACTCTATTTTGGAAACGGGAGGATCTTTGGTATGGCGTAGGCAGTGGTATCATCGCCGAGCTCGACGGTATTCCGGACGCTTTGAAGCACCTCAACGAGACTGTCGTCGCCTATCACGATGCAAATGCTACGAACACTACAACTGCAACTACAACTGTAAAGACCAGTGCCAAAGAAAGTAAAGTGGCACCCGAGAAAACCAATGGCGTGGCTGTTCAAAACAAACCCGGTGGTGGAGGCAGTGGGCCAGCTCAGCATCAACGTCCTCCGTTCAACAAAACCAATCCGAGCGGAAAATCGCAGGTCAAGCGGGAAGTCATTGAGATCGACGATTGATGAGGTGTAAACTACGGGAAGCCGAAGTCGCTGTTACTGGCCCATGCCCTTGCAGGTCGGTCGAAAGGATTTTGCTCGGTTGCAGCAAGTCCTTTTTTTGTCGTCGTGTTCATTCGACAACTTTCTTATGCCCCAATACAATATATCCAGTTGTTTCTGTTTTCCGTATCTACTCTCTGCGCATTACTACCCGGATCTGGCGTTTTGTTTCTGCACTTCGGCTATCCACCTCCTCATCTTTGATTACTGCTCTAGAACAAAGCAAGATAAAGGCTTTGCCCAAATTTGCTCTTCACATTTTGCTTCTACTGTATCATAAAACAAAGTTTGCTGTTTTTTTTTTCTTTTCTTTCTTTACTTTCACCTTCTCTGTTCGACAATTATTAGCACGCGTCTCGCGTATGGGAAAATGAATGAGAAGTATGTAATGGGACGAGAGGCAGGTTGCTGCTGCTGTACGGATTATGGATATGGAAGGAGAAGGAGAATCGGGTGTGCATGGATGGACGAAAGGGCGCGATAGTGATTGAGCCCGGCGGTCAGGTAGTTGGTAGTCGTGTGGGATGGACCTAGAGGTTGTAGAAGAGGAGAACAATTTCAAACAAAACAAATCATAACAGATCCAATGGATGCATCAAAATGAAGAAGATTTTGACAAATGAGATTGTTCGGTTTCTATTGCATGTTTACCCTGCTTGCTTGCCTGTCTGTCTGTTTACCTGCACTGTCGTCACGTACGTCCCTTTTCTTCCAATGTCCTACTAATACAGGTGGTGGTATGACATTTGCCGGAGCCAGCAAGCACACTTTATACATTTCCTTCTTTCTCTTTTGCGGAACCAAGATTCAAGCGAATCGAAAAGGGCAAAACAACAACAAAATGTGTTTTACGGGGTTTTTCTAATTGCCCTTCTTCACCCAATTCTCCATCTTATCCCTCGTCTCGCCGACCTTATCCTGCAGCATCCCCACACCCATCTGGCTATGCGCCTTGCCCGTCTCCAAAAACTGCGTCACTCGCTCCCGAGTCCGCAGATGCGCGTCCGCCAACACGGGGTACTTCTCCTCGTACGTCCACGCAAGATCGCCGACATTCTTCATGGTAACGGGAAGGAAAGTGTACGCAGCGCCGAGACCGATAGCAGCAGGCACCGAAGCCCTTAAGATGATGCCGCGGTTGCGCGTCAAGATCGAACCAGCTAGGGTACCGATGAGAACGTTGAGGGCGCCGGGGAAGAGGCGCTCGCCGGATTCTTTCGAGGGTGCTAGCGAGCGGACGGTGCTTGTGAAGGAGTGCTCTAGACGCAGGGTTTCCGTGAGGGCGTTGTTAACGCTATCTTCTGCGCGTGTCGAGGCGTGGTAGAGGGCCATGCGGGCATGTCCGATTTGCACGGCGAGGCGGTCCGTTGGGGTTGGACGGTAGGGAGTGGTGGTTGTGGGAGTCTCTGGGGCCGCGGGTTTTGTGGGCGTGGGCGCCGTGATGTCGAGGGGTGTGTCGTCGTAGATGGGTTTGCGGTTCAGCTAGAGATAGAGTAAGTACATAGGCCTTGTAGCAAAGGAGAATACGAAGTATCTGATCGTAGGCGGGACGTACAGCTGAGTCTTCCAACGGTTCTTCGGCGTGTAGTATGCGCGGAGAAGAGAGAACCACGGCGGCTCCGGTGACGGCGGCCACGGCCGGGGCAAAGGCACGCTGCGGAGGGTCAGATACAATATCGATTGTGGGATTTTATATCACATACCTGCCGCAGTATCGGTCTGAAGGCCATTGTTGTGGTGAAGAGGGCACAATGGATGGTTGTTCGTGGTTGTCGAGAGATGAGGTTGGGAACGGGAAGGATAGGCTATGTGTCCGTGCGCATCTAGGATAATCTTTGTATGAGCTCAAGCTTACAGAGTCGACTTCAGACAGTACTTCTTGTTACACTGTATACCTAAATGCTATTATAGCTCGTTAGTCAATCATATTGCATCACATCTCGCCGCAGCAAAAGGATTCAAAAGGTTTTTGGACGGCTTTGGCTCTACAGCCAAGAGAGCATGTGCAACCACTAACATTGAACCGAGGGACTTCTCAATCAAGTCTCGATAACCAATCTTCACACATCACTCCCCACTATGCTCAAAAGACTCGCGCATACGAGGCAGTCGTCATGGGTGTGTTCACGATGCTTCCAGCAATCGCAGCAACCTCGTCGATTCAATAGCAACTTCGGCGCAACCTCCATCTCACGCGACCCAGAATCCTCGCCTTCAGCATCAAACCTGTTTGGCCTCTCCGCAAAGAGCACAAAGGAAGATGATCAAGCGCTCCGCAAAATCTTCGACGATGCCGATTTCTGGGCTGACTCTCGCCGCGCCTCGAAGTCAGGTAAACCGACCGGTATTGCGGGTAACAAGTTTCTGAGCCAACCTGGAGGCTTCAAGGAGTTCGCAGACATCACACTGCAACGATGCAGCGCCGCCGTGGAGAAGGTCAGTCGGGCCAGCAGTATTAAAGAATACAAGGGTCTGGTGAAGGACCTAGACCGGTTGAGTGATCTCCTGTGCAGTGTCATAGATCTGGCAGACTTCGTTAGGAGCACTCATCCGGACCGGCGGATGCAAATGGCATCCCACAACGCATATGCGATGACACTTCAGTACATGAACAAGTTGAATACCACTACCATCTTGAACGATCAGCTGAAAAAGGCTGCCGGGATTCCGGAGGTATGGAACAGCTGGAGCGAGCAAGAGCAGGTTGTGGCAAAGATATTGATGGCAGACTTCTCGCGTAGTGCTATCGAAATGCCCGAAAGCGCCAGACAACAGTTTGTGGATTTGAGCGGCGAGATTGCGCAAGTTGGCACCGAGTTTGTAGAGCAGATGGGTCCACAGACTGCCTACCTGCAGTTTGACTCGAGGAGGATGAAGGGTTTCCCACCGAACATGGTACAAGCATTGACCACATATAGAAAGACCAGGATTGGTACGATGAATCATGAGGCGCAGGTCGCACTCAGTCATGTTGAAGATGCGGAAGTTCGGAGAGAACTGTACATGGCAGTGAGGACAGCGGACAGACCGAGCATCGCCAGGCTGGAGAAAATGCTGAAGAAGCGCGCTGACTTGGCGAAGCTCTCTGGATACGAAACGTTCGCACATATGGCCTTGGAGGACAAAATGGCCAAGAGCCCGGAAGCTGTGAACCAGTTCTTAGGTGCATTGGCACAGGATAGCAAACATCAAGTCAGCGCAGAACTACAGGAGTTATTGGAGCTGAAGAAGGCAGATGCTCATTTGGATAACAACCCAAATCAGATCAATGCCTGGGACAAGTTCTATTACAGCCACAAGGTGCTCTCGGGTATGAACAGTAAACTGCGGACACCAGATTTTCTTTCGGCATACTTCTCGATCGGAACTGTCATGCAAGGTCTTTCACGGCTTTTCGATCGTCTATACGGCTTGCGTCTCGTTCCGCGCCACACCCAACCTGGGGAAGTATGGGAAGAAGACGTGAGACGTCTAGATGTCGTTTCTGATACCGACGGGCACGTCGCCGTACTCTATTGCGATCTATTTTCACGTCCAGGCAAGACACCGAACCCCGCGCACTTCACCCTTCGCTGCTCCCGTGAGATCTCAGCAGGAGAAGTCGAGGAAATGACACATATAGAACACAACTTCCCACCAAATCTTTTTTCTTCTCCACTCGAGATCGCTACTAGCGGCATGGATGCATCATTCAACAAGAAGACGGGTTCACATTTCCAGCTGCCAACGATTGCACTCATCTGCGACTTCTCGAAACCTCAACATCGACGGCCTACTCTCTTGAACTTCAACGACGTCCGCACTCTGTTCCACGAAATGGGTCACGCATTGCATTCCTTCCTAGGCCGTACAGCCCTACAGAATGTGTCAGGTACACGCTGTGCCACAGACTTTGCAGAACTACCATCAGTCTTAATGGAACACTTTGCTACCTGCCCAAGTGTGCTAGGCCTCTTCGCTCGCCATTGGGAAACGGATGCCCCATTGCCCGTGGCCGCCCTCGAAAACCGCCTGGCGATTGACATACGCATGCGGCCCGCCGAAACGGAAGCCCAAATCCTCCTCGCCATGCTCGATCAAGCATATCATTCGAGCCTGCCACTCTCTCCGGACTTCTCGAGCACAGAAGTGTACCATGATGTATACAACACGTACGCGTCTGTCCCTGAACCCGCCGGCACAGCGTGGCAGGGCTTCTTTGGTCACCTCTACGGCTATGGTGCTACGTACTACAGCTACCTCTTTGACCGCGCCATTGCAGGCAAGATATGGACCGATGTGTTTCAAAAAGACGGCAAACACAGCAGTATAGACCGCGAGAACGGCGAGAAATACAAGGAGGAGGTGCTTAGATGGGGTGGTGGGAGAAGTGGGTGGAAATGCATCGCAGGAGTACTTGGGGATGCTAAGTTAGCAGAAGGTGGGGAAGTGGCGATGAAGGAGGTTGGCAAGTGGGGCGTTAGAGAACCAGGTGAGAAATAGATGGGCAGTGGAGAAGCAAGAGCGACATAATTTTTTGCCCATTCCTAGTACAAGGTGAGGGCAGGCGGACGACATTTTCCTCTTAGTTGTCTAGTTTCCTCGTGTACATAGAGAGTTTACCATTCCTTGTAACATTAGGTACATACAACTTATAGGTACATGAAAACACGTACACACAGAGAGAGTGACACGAATCGCAAAAGTCCCCGCTGTGGTGTCGTGGTAGACCAGCATATGTATTCTCTGGATATGTATGCCAATCTTTGCTCACCCCAGTGTGCAGTTCTTCGACCACACCCTCGAAACCTTAAAACTTCGCCCCCCTGATCAAAGCACAACATTCAACCATCTTACGATTTTTGATTTCATGAACTACAACCTTTGTATCAAGTAAATGAAGAAGAATGAACAGGTCAACATCCACAAGCTCAACCCCCCGCCCTCAACAACCCCACCTACTCTCTCCCCCTAGATACATTCGAACCCCGGAAAGAACAGAAAATCTAACCAAAGATTGAAAAGTGAAGAACCAAGTTGTCTCCAGCCTTACATAGTCTTACCCATACCACAGCCCACACAACTCAACGAAGAACCATCCGTCGTCACTCCTAACCATCCATCGTGTGTTGTACTAGCCAGCCACTCGTCGACCTTCCATCGATCTCCGCAAAGGTCTACCTGCCTACATACCTAGCCTTACTAACGCCTTCCTCCGAGATGAAGTCGTGAATCAGAAGAAGGAGAAACGTTACACAGCATGGATGGCAATTAGGGGGGCCCGTAGCGTAGCGTAGTACATACAACAGCTCATCCCGCTTCATACTCAGTCACAGCATCTGTGTATGTGTATGTTAATGTGTGTGTTTGTGAGACTACACCACTTCTGCATCGACGACATGTACATGTACATGTACATATATACAAGTGTGAGACAAAAAAAAAGCATTTAGTCGGCAGCTGGGCATACATGCATACACAATAGGGTGTTACCTACCGCCCGGTGTACGGGCTTTTCATGTGTGTGACAAACCCAAGTTTTTCTTGTTCTTGTACGACTGTCGGGCATTTTTACAGTTACACACCCGTGTTTTACGTGTACGGACGGGAAAGAGGGACATTGTGCACAAGAGGTGTCTCACGAGATCTGAAACATGTAGTCTCGGGGTACAGATCCTGTTCCTCTGGGGGGGGGGGGGGGGGCAAAAGATTGTGTGAAGTGAAGTGAAGTGGCGGCGGTGGTGGGGATCGGAGGGACCGGGAGGGAAATGTCCTGGGGATCGACCGGGCTGGTTTTCTTGTGCTGCGTATGACATGACGCGGAGAATGAACAATGATAGGGAGAGTGGTCTTGTTGGAATTATAGAGGTTTGTAGCGCGTGGGGGTTGTGTACGTGGTTTACTAAACAGAAAGAGGCTTGTAGTTTTGTCATGTTTTTCGACCATCTGATTGCTCGCTACTTGGGTACGAGATGAGGAAGTATCAGATACTGTATGTACTCCACCAAAGTTCTAGACTCTGCTTGCCACGTCTCACTTACGTCCATCAAAGTCGTGGAATCCACTATATACATGCACCTTGAAGTACGCAGTGAATCACACAGCCCCAGAGCCTGGTGCTGTGTCTTCTTACTCAATGACAAGCGCTGTAGCAGTAATCTCGCGTGCCGCCTCAAAATCGCCACTTATTACGTAGATGGTTTGCATTGCATAAGCAGCCTCTGTAGCGAAGTCCTCTATGCCCTGGTTTTCGTCGCTGCATCGATCAGCTGCTTCCTGCATGACGCGGTCTTGTAGCGCGATGCAGCGTCTGTACGCTTTGAGCGCATGAGTGACGAGGCCCAAACCGTGCCACATTCTCCCCATGTTGAATTCTGCTTCCGAGCAGTGGATGGCTACATTGTCCTTAGTCCTCAGGGCATGATACCGAGTCATGAATGACATGCCCTGTTGTATTTGGAACTGCCGGTTCTCGGCCTGCCGCTTCACAGCGTGTTGAATGTAGGAAATGCCTATGCACAGATTGAGCACGGGGTCGTCAGGAACGATGGCGAGAGCACGGAAGTAGTAATTCAAGGCTCCTTTGTAAGATCCACTGCACATAAGAACATGGCCGTATAATGCGAAGAGTGATGGGTCGTGGTCCTTGACTTTGCCTAGAATTTGCTGTGTGAGCACCCCTTGCATCCAAGGGGCTCTGTCGTTCCCCTGGAAGTTAAACCGCCCGCGCTGCTCAGGCTTCAGCATGGCATAATCAATCGTCTTGATATATCGCAGGAAGGCTTTGTGCGCAGCACCATGCGCATACGCATCCGACACAGGGCATAGGCGGTTGGCGACGCTGTAGAGACGGATGATATCCGCTCCGAAGGGAAACCTCCTCATGAACGCGCGAACAGCGGAGGATATTTGCACCGAGTCGTCTACAGCAAGTGCACATGCCAGCCGACACAACTCAAGTTCATGTGAAAAGGTCGCAGAGCGGAAGACGATGTTGGACTGCACAGCAATGTCGAGCGCACTGAAGCAACGATCCACCTCGTATCGGCGTGCAAGATAGAGCGCATAACGACCAAAAATCTCCACCCATTTACTGAAGTCAACACCCCAGAAAGTGCGCTCGACAACGTCTGGCCTTTCCTCCAAATCCCTCTTTTCTCCGCCATCTTCTACCCTATTTGCTTCCACAGCAAGAATCATGAGTGACGATTCCTTCCAAAGTTCTCCGTTCCCTATACGTCTGAAGTAGCCGTTAAACTCTAGACGCCTGTCGAAATAGAAGAGTTCGAAAGTTGAGAATTCCTCGATAAGTTCTCGAGCTACAGATATGTATTCTGATGCAGCATCCTCGTCACCAGCATCTGCAGGCTCATGCAAGTCATGCAGCCGCTTGAAGCTGCTGATTATCTCCCGATGCTGGGCGCGTTTTGCTTTCAGATCGTCCGCGTTATCAGTTTCCAATTTCTGGAGTCTTTCGCGGAAAAGGCTGCGTATAGCATGGCTCTCGACAGGAACTTCAGTCCCTTCTAATGTCACAGATCCTGCCGAGGGTCCCGAAGCATTGGTCCCATCTTCCTGTACGGGTAGAAAGACTGTGGGCTGAGATGCCAGCGGTCGATGTTTTTTCCTGTACAGACCACGTCCTTTCGCTGGTCTCTTGTTCAGCGGACCTGGTTTGGGTCGTTCTTGCGTCGCGCTTTCGTTGTCCGAATCATGTTCAATACCAGTAGCAGCTCTGACTTTCTTTCTGTATCTTCGTACTTTGTTTTTCTTAACATTGCCTTTCCCCCGCGCTTGTTTCCTCACCTGCCTGAAGTGATCAAGCAAGTCAGTGTATCCTTCATAACCCAATTTACGTAGTAGCCATGCACCTTTGTTCCTATAGAGCGTTTCTGCACGCTGCCTGGCTTCATCTTTCATCCCGATATCCTCAAAGAATTTTGCGAGGATGGCGAGGTCATCAAGTGTTGCTGCATTCCACTCTTTCAGAATGTCGATGATGAGTTCGGCGTTCTCTGTGTCTTTGAGGTTCTTGTAGCACGTATAGAGTCCTATGAAGCTCTTCATATTGAACTCGTCTTTGTTGATCCGCAACAAAGGTTCGTAGAATCGCAACGCAGCCCTGTCCTGGCCAGTCGCGTGCAGAGTGTCCGCGATCTCGCGGAAAACATCTGAATAATCACGGGCATATGAATATTCGCCTTCATCCTCTGGCTCCAGCATATTCAGATGGTACATTGCTTCCTCATAGTTGGACGGTTTCTGTCGCAATCGAAACAGTCCCATTTTCACCCTGATTTCCATTGGCAGGTTGGCACCATAGTCCACTGTACTGGAGTTTCTCTTGAATTGGGGCACGTTGATCCGCCTGGGAATATCTTCTACGTCAAACTCTCGGTCGTCTTGCTCGTTGTCCCAAAAATCTTCACTCGCTCTTCCTTGTTTCCATCGACACAACGTTTTGAGCTGGGTCAGAGCGTGGTCGTGATCTCCTTTGCGGTCAAGGAGATCTAGATAGATATTCAGCAGATTCCAGTCCAAAGTCTCGTCGTCGTCTGTCTCCACAAAGTGAGCTATGGACTCCTCGAAACACTTGGTGATCTTATCCAGATGGATCCGAGTCTGCTTTGGTGAGGAAGTTCCTAGTACAGCCATCTGCTTCAATATGTCGTAATTATGTTCGTGTCCTTCCATTTTCAACAGTTTTTGACAGAGCCTCACGCATCTGGAAATTTTGCCTCTCTCTGCTTCCAATTCGAGTTTGCGGATGCGAGCATCGTAAGTGTTTGGATCGAGCCGGATGATTGATCGCAGACAGTTGACACACCATTCCTTCTTAAATGCGTCCGTGTACTGCGGGTATTTCCTCGCATCGATGTTTTCAATCCGATATATAATACTCCACCAGAGATCGGGCTCGCGCTTGGTATAAGCACCCAGTATCAGGTTTTCAATGGAAGCTGGCTCATCGCCTAATCCTGCATACGCCTCGGAGAGAATGTTGTACGCCATGAAAATCTCAGGATTGATCTGGATTGCCTGTGAAGCATAGTCGATTGCTAGCTTGAAATCTTGCGATGTATATGCTTCGTTGGCAAGTTTTTGTAGTCGATTGAATTCTGGGCCAGGATCAGCGACGGCTTGAGGACCTCTCACACCCTTTTTTCTCCCGCGTACGCCTGTTTTCCGTTTCCGCGGGGCGGCTGTACCACGGAAACCCCCTCGACCTCGCGTGGAAGGCCGACCGCGTGGCCGACCGCGAGTAGGAGCCGCCTTCGGGGGTCTGCCACGCTTCGGTACTGGCACTTCCCGCTCCTCGTCGTCAAATCCCTCTTCGAGAAGTAGTTCGTCGGGGTCCTCCTCGAGCTCACCGTCCGAGACAGAATAATCCTCGTCGACTTCCACATTGTCAATGTTCTCTTCTACTACCTGAAGCATACGCTCTTCTTCGCTGTCGTCCTCGCTAGAAGACTCGAACCCTTTGTTGAAGTACGAGTCCTCCAACAGTAGTTGCTCATCTTCATTCTCCCGTCCAGGGGCCGGAATGAAACCCTCATGTACGACAGGATCATTCACAAGGAACACATTGTGCAAGCTCTCTTCATAGGAGGTGCTTGCAGCTGGTTGTACGTGTGGATGTCGGGCCTGATGCTGTTGTATACTGGTAAAAGAGCTAGAGTATGGCTCCGGTTGTTGTTGAATGCTGGAAAAAGAAATGGGATGATTTTGTTCGTGCAGTGATATGCCTGGAAAATAACCCGGATGTTGTTGTTGTTGTCGAGGTATATTAGCATATGGACTTACATACGGCAGTCGTTGATCTGGTTCTTGCTGCTGCTGCTGCTGCTGCTTCTTCTTAGAAACTCTGGGTTTTCGCGGTCGTTTTTGTTTTGGTGGATCAATGGGTGGTTGCTGAATCTGCTGTGGTGGTAGTGGCGGTTGGGGTTGCGGTTGCGATTGCTGGGGTTGATGCAGTGGTGGAAGTGGAAGTGGAGGTGATGGGTACTGTGGCTGCACGAAAGCATAAGGACTTTGATATGGTTGCTGACCCTGATATTGGTGAGGTAGGTATGGTGGCCCAGACGAAAAAGCTGGAATGCCTGGCTGAGAATTCCCCGTGAAGTGAGGGCCACTGACTGGAGGGTCTGGAAAGGTGCCCGAGACAGGCAAGAGCTGTCTGGGACTTGGTTTTGGGCGGATCTCTCGTGGCGGTTGTGGTTGCCACGGATTGTGTGGGTCGCCTTCAGAATCCATGATACTCCAGCTCCTTCAAGGTTTTGATGTGGATGTTTAGGTTGTAGTCATTCTTGGTTTGAGTATCTTTAAAAGTGCTGGTTCATGGTGCCAGGATAGGCTTAGCGGGCAGGTAATCTGGAGAAACAAACTCGGTTCACGTGATAGCGCTAACTCAACGGCCGCTGGAAAGCAACCAACGGAGAGATGAGTTATAAATAAATATAACTTTTATAAAATATGTGAATGTGATGTGAATGGAATGCGCTTGAAGCATATTACTGTTGTATTGTATTAGCATTCTCAACTCGTCGATCACATTCAAATGTTAGTACTCCTTCAAATGTTTGCAGGCACCTGTGTACCTACCTAGGTAGGTACATGCCTATGTACACGTGTAGTTAGATGGGTACCCACCTGCATAAATACAACACGATGTGCTAACAGCAACCAAAAAGTAGGCACAACGAAAACTCAAAGCATCTAAATACCCTCATTCTAAGCCATGAGTCTAGAATGTGCAATTCTACCAGCCATTACATGATAATAATACATTTCCAACCCAGAAGCGAACGCTGACACTTCAACTACCTTATAAATCGAGAAAAACCAACGCCGAGCTATGCATATCATGGGGTCAACTTAGACATTACTGTCGTCCCCTGGCAAATTAACCATCTCATAATCGCCAGCGCCATCTTTCCCTCTCCCTCGACCGCGTCCTCTCGTCTCACCCACGCCGTCATCATCGGCGGCATTATTCGTTGGACGGGCGGCGGGCTTTGTTCCAAAGTTGATGGGGCGTAGCTCTCGCCACTGGCAAGCCCATACTCCGAGAGAGGTCATGACGCCTGCGCTGCAAATCTGCAGCGCCCACCAAAACAGGTTGGTCGGTATCGCATGCGAATAGAGAGAGGTGATGACGAGGTGTATGAAGTGTATAGTGAGTGCGAAGTCCAAGACGAGTTTCGAGCGCGCGATCAGAAGAAGTATAAATACGGCACTGGGAGTAGTTAGCATCTTGAGGTTGTGTTTGCGACGGGAGGGCTGCTGCCTACCATGCGAGACTGTTCAGCACCCAAACAAGCCCCAGCGTCCATCCAACTGTAGTATCCCCTCGAAGACTTCGCCAACTCAGAAGCAGGTCTGTGGTGACCTCCTTCCCAGCGACCAGCGCGGTGAAAACGATAAGGATTCCAGCGCATGCATAATATGCGAGTTGTAAGAGTACGATCTGCGTAAGTATGCGGGTCGGAGAGAGATCCGCAAGCGCGCCAGGGCGTGGAGGTCGGCGTCGACGTGGCATGAATCGGAGAGGTATCTGTTGCGTGTAAAGAGAAAGGCTGCGCTGTTGGGATGTCGGAAGAGTGCACGTCGACAATGTGTCTCGGAGGTGGTCCCTGGCTTAGCGCCAAGCCCGCGTCATCTCCTCCGAAAGCTCGTCGATGATTAATCCCGAGCTCACCAGCACACGCGCGTGTAGATTCTCGACTTTGCGGCACGTCAATTAATTTTGAATCGTCGATTCCACACTCTGTAAATAACTTCTCTTCCGCCACAAAAGTGACGTGGAGGTTGCTGACCGGTCGTGGCAACAGGGCATCTCGCAAACTTCGCATACTCTCTACACAATGGGCTGGTTTTCATCGGACGACAGCACCACGGGTGTGAAGAAGACCTCCGGCGGCGCCTTCGAGAACCCGTCAAGAACGAACCGGGCGAAATGTTACGAGGCGCGCGATGCCTTCTTCGAGTGCCTCGACCGACATAGCATTCTCGACAGTATCAATTCCAAAGCCGGAAGGGAGGCGACAGCGAAAGCATGTGGAGATACCGATAAGGTGTTTGAGAAGAACTGTGCACACAGCTGGGTACGATTTCCACAACAATTTGCGGCATTGAGAGGTGCTTGGCTGGGGTTCTGCATGATTACCACATCTTCAAGGTGTCATGCATAGTCTGAGGCCTCGCATCATGTGCGTAGAAGCCGACCCAACTTGCTGACCAGTAAATCATAGGTTGAATACTTCAAGAAACAACGAGTAGTGAACTACCAGAAGGAGTTGGCGATAAAGAAGATTGAGGCTAGCGGTGGAGAAATAGTTGCGCCTCAACTGCCCATTGGAAACCCGAAATAGAGAGCTTGCTCTATGTGACGGCTGGAATTCGACCATGTACACTATGTATAATACCAATGTATTGCTTTGCTTCAAAGAGAAAGCCTGGCTATAATGATAACGCTGCTTCACGACTTCCCTTGCTGGTTCAAACATGTGCTCAACCCCTCGTGCCTATGGATTATGCCAATTATAGAATTGTTGCACGAGAATTATTCACTGGAGCCTTGACGAGATGTGTACGAAAATTGGCGCCAGACACATCATTGACGACGTGTACTGTACATAGTTATGGAAGTCTGGATGGTCATGTGCACGAGACCTTGATGATCGATCTCCGTCATGCACACATAAAAGCTGTAGAGTCTCAACCTGGAATTACTTGCAAGGGATATGCTTCTTAACAGAAACACATCATTTCTCCATCTGCCTTAGGTACGTAAAGCCTTCACACGTAGCATGACATATACACATGTATATCTCTGATGCAGCACGAAAACCGAAATACCGTCGAGGTAGTGCATGCTGTAGAACATTTCGAGGCGCCAGCGTCCGAGACACTGTGGCTGAAAAAGCGGCGTTTTGTGCTAACCAACCGGTTTCCCCGCGTAGAGAGTAGTCAGGTTTTGATTACTTGACGATTTGCTGGCCCTATGCGGTGGCTGTTGCAAGAAAAACCACCTTCGCCTTGGAAATTGCCCTGAGGCAGATGCCGCTTCACGTCAAACATTGCATGATGTGCTGGTGATCAGCAAGCGGATGTACAGGACGCGCTCCTCCCTCGGAACCAAGCAAGCCATACTCGATCAAGCAAAAGGCGGTCATGATGGAATATGCAAAAAGCAAGTTTGGGTAGAGTAGATTAGAAAAGTGCATGGCCCCACATGTTGCGAAAGTGGTCTGAGGAGGAGTTGTACCGGTGTGGGTAACATGGTGATCGATCGGCCAGCCACGTTGCATTAATTACAATATGCAGCTAGCAGCAAGCAGCGTGTGATAATCAGCCAAATGAGCCGGACCACGGGAAGGATGCTTGGGATCATGTGCGGTATAGCCAGCCTCCGCATCGTAACAGTATAACCGTAGGTACCGTGGCTGGCTTACAAAGGGAAGAATCATCAGAGAGACAGCAAAACAAGGATATGCAGGCCCGGCAAGTCTGACGACGAGATGGCATATGACAGATGTTGGAATAACCGCGGGCACTAATCCATGTAGAACCGATATGATGGGAGACTAGTGGAAGTTTTGATTGGATAATGCAAGATGCTCCAGGAATAAAAAATGCTGCTAACGCCTGTTCAAGATAACCGAGCTTTTTTAGTCCGATTCTGCCGCCTCTGAACCGTCCGATGGTGTGTCTCTCTCTCTCGCTGCTTTGCCCCCACTATCTCGCGTTCGGATTTCCCCTTCTGCCTTGCTACGCGTTCAGTACCCTTGCGCTTGGTATATTGGAAAGATCCTTCCGGGAGAGAACTCGTCTCTGAAAATGTTGGCCTCGGACTGATCGCCCTTCATGGGAGCCACCATGCTGCTCTCAATGGCAAACACCACATCCGTGAACACTCCTCTGAACTCGTGCTCGTCAAAGATGAGCTCCTTCCACATTTGAGCAACTTTGCGTGGAGGATTGCGGAAGATGGGTCCAAGACCGAAAGCGCCTATGACGAGATTGCGGTGCCCGCAATATGCGGCTATTCGGAGGACTGTGCGCATCTTCTCCTTCATCAACTCTTGCTCTTGGGCGAAGCTATACTGCGTTCCCGATTCGTCCAACTTCGGTCTCCGAACAGGTGCCACCGAGATGACGGGTAGTGATACGATGTCATCTGTGGCAAACGTTGCATAGTTTTGGTCGGGCCCACCCCGAAAAACGTCTGAACCAGGGTTAAAACAGTTATACAGGTAGGTCATGGTGGGGGGAGGAAATGTTGACCTACAGACTTCTGGCGAATAAACACCCCCTCTCTGGGGAATAGGATAGAAGTTCTCATGTCTTCCAGGCATTTGTGCATTCCAAGGCATGGTCAGTGCTTGAACGAGGTTGCTCCTGCGAGCAAAGCACTCTTCAGGTGCCATCAACCCCGACTCCCAGTCGCCTCCTGCTCGTTTCTCATTTGCAGTGTTTACCACTGGAATTCTTTTGCAATTTCGGTGTGCAGGATCCCGAATCGCATTCTGATACCAACCCAGAGCGTAGGTGACGGGATCACCCTCCATAACAGCTACCCTGGTCCGATGATATGATCGTTTGTCGGAGCTGACCTTGACGGCAAGAGTATCAGGGTACAAGTAAGAAGTTTTGGGGTCTCGAACATAGTTCTGCCAGATAAAGGGAAGCCATGTACGCTTTGCTTCGGCAGCTATCTCTGATGGCTTTGGCCTGACTGGAGACATGATCACATATGTGAGGGATCGATGGAGAAATGGTGGTTATGTCTGAGATCATCAATGGCGAGCAAAAGGGTTTTGGGGGGTTGAAGTTTACAAGTGGCAAATAACGGCCGGTGAAAATAGATCGATGACTGAAGATAGAAAAAAAAAGAAAAGTGAAGAGTGAGGAGGGTATGATTCGTCCGTATTCTCCTTCTATAGAGGTGATAGAGGTAGGACTATAAATTAGTGTGGGTCGATGTGTAACTAGCAGGGAGCATTTCGTTTTTCTCGAGGAGAATGCGGTGTACTAGAGTAGGTGGGATTCGTTAACCTCATACATGGATTACATTGACCTGGGTCTGAAGCTTAGGCGGTGGCACGGCTACTTGGACAATCTCTTGGGGGGTACAACTACACACAGAGACGGACGGCAACGCCTAAGTAGTGACACCTCGTGTGGCTTGCTGGTAGGATCCCAGCTGGCAGGAGCAGCAAGCAGATTGGGTGGGTTGGGCACCTGAGGCAGCCAGTTCCCACATAGCAGGTTCCTGAAGCGTTGCCTGCAGCATGAGGGACATGGATCAGCCATTTGGTAAAGGAGCATACATCTCGGCGATCTCTGGTATGGCGTGGGGAAGTAGATCTGACGCGACTGGACGGCAGGTCGATCCATGACAACCTGGTATGATATGCCGGATGTGTTTGCAGTCAGCATAGCAGCGGCTCATGATCCGATAGTACAGGGGATAAAGAGAGCTGCATGGCTTGGCTGGATCGGAAACGATTAGATTGCTTCGTATGGGTGGGTGAAGGTGTCGAGACCGTGTCCATTAGCCATTTGCTCCTGGGGGAGAGTAGACGTGGTACATCGTGAACTGGTCGAGCGCCCACTGCGTTTCCGTCCGCTTCGGTGCGGGCCCTTGGGGCTATTGCGCTACGATGGCCGTGAGATGTCAAACGGTGGGCTGGATCGGGGCGCAAAAGATGGTCACCCGAAGTGCCTTGGACATGATGGAGATGAAGAGAAGTGCCGACAGCCAATGAGCGCCGAGCGCCGAGACGATTGATGATGGTATGAGATGTCCGATGGCGCAACAGCGCATACAGTGCACACTGAAGCACTTGGATGTCTGGATGCTGTGCACGTATACGCAGATGCAGCAACGACTAGAGCTGTCTCATGTTCATCCACTGCCATCATTGTCGAACGATGCATGGGAAAAGCTGAGGAGTCACCGCCGTTCTACAAAGTGCATGTTTTATATTATGCGGGGCCCGAGCTTCCTGCATCCGCCCATCATCCATTCCTACCTACATACGGTACCCGATCTCATCGCACATGTGTTGATGTATCAAACCACGTACGCTCAGATACAGATAGGTACACGTAGAGCACGACGTCGTTAATCGCCGAGTACCTGTATTGCGTCGCTTCGCCTCGCCGCGTACCCCTGTCTTTGTGTACCTGCTTTTCCAACCGTCTGGGTAACCTTAGTGTTTAAGGATCTTGTCCATCGCCCTGCTATCTCGCGCCCTTCTACATACACACATCCAATCTCATTTCCTCCCTTCTCATGCACCTCATGGTGAGGCGAGGGCTTTCTCGCCTTTTCCCCCTTGCATGTAGACGCCCCGCTTCGTGGCCATCCACGTCATGGACGCGTCCGACCCGACATGCCTCAACACTCTCTCCGCCAAGTATAGCTTCCCTGTTGAGGCAAACTTCGCCCCCATTGTCTTCACAGCAACCACCTTCTTCCGGTGAGACGTTGACGATCAATGGCTTTGTGCGCAGCGTGCGGAAACAGAAACGTGTCGCATTTGCTGCCATTGGTGACGGCTCTTCGTTGCAGACGGTACAGACTGTCTTGACACCTGAGCAAGCTGACGGGTCAGTACCAGAGAGGGCCTTTGGGATCAATAATCTTATTTCATGTGCTAATTGAAACCGAACAGTCTATCTACCGGTGTGGCCGTGACTGTCACGGGCCGTTGGTCGCCTTCTCCCGGCAGCGGGCAATCTCATGAGCTACAAGCCGAGACTCTCCGTATTCAAGGAGAGAATGATGCCACGGTAAGCATAGTTTCCTCGTCTCTCATATGGTAGATCACCTGTCTCATAATCCCGCACAGACATCACCTTTGCAGAAAAAGTATCAGACGCCAGAGTTCCTTCGCACATTGCCACATTTGAGAGCAAGGCTGCCGTTCAATTCACTGCTTTTAAGATTGAGATCTCAAGTCACTGCCAATATCACCAACTACTTTGCGAATCATGGCTTTGTTCAGACACATCCTCCCATCATCACATCGTCCGATTGTGAAGGAGCTGGCGAAGTCTTCACTGTAGCACCGGAACCACCGTCCAAACCAACTGAACAAGTCACTTCCAACACCCCGCAAAAGCAACAACAGGAGTCTTTTTTCGGATCTACAAAGTATCTTACTGTCTCCAGCCAGCTCCACTTGGAAGCATTAGCTCAATCTGTCGGCAATGTATGGACTTTGTCACCGACCTTCCGTGCGGAGAAAAGCGATACAGCTCGCCACCTAAGTGAGTTCTACATGCTGGAGGCAGAGCTCACATTCGTAGACGATGTCTCCAAGGTCATGGATGTTGTCGAAGGCATGTTGCGTACCGTTGCTACTGAACTTAAATCTTCCCATGTTGGTAACGAGTTACTTGAGGGACGCAAACAGGATCATGCTGGTGATCCACAGCAGGACAGCACGTCAGTGTCTCCCACAGTGCTCGCTCAGAGATGGCAAGGCATGATCGATGGACCGTGGCCACGCATCACCTACAGGGAGGCCACGGAACACCTCACGGAAGCTGTGGCGAGCGGCAAAGTTGAATTCACGTATCAACCCGGGGGAGAGGAAGGTCTTCAGACCGAACATGAGCGCTATCTAGCTGAAACTATTGGAGACGGCGGCCCACTCTTCGTAACGGATTACCCACGCAAAGTCAAACCATTCTACATGGCGCCCTCGAGTGGGGTTGCAGATGATATACAGAAGGTTGAGACGGTTGCATGCTTCGATCTTCTCGTACCAGAGATCTGCGAGTTGGTAGGAGGATCCATGCGTGAGCACCGCTTGCCACAGCTGTTGGCGTCGATGGAGGAACATGGCCTTGCACCGGATGGCTCGTTGCAGTGGTACTCGGACTTGCGGCGGTACGGCAGTGTCCCCCATGGCGGGTTTGGACTCGGATTCGACCGTCTTCTTTGCTATTTGTCTGGAGTCTCCAACATTCGGGACGTGGTTAGCTTCCCTCGTTGGCACAAACGGTGCGACTGTTGAGAAGAGAAGTTGGGGCATATGGCTTTAACCGTGAACTTTGTTATCTGATACGTTGCATGCCTGCATCACACAGCGTTGGGTAGGAGAGATGCGGTTCGTGTTTGGGACAGCAGAAGTGGATATGCATGCAAAAGGCATGGTTGTAAGATAGGACATGTGTATTTGTGATATATTGTAGGGCATTGTACAAAATAGATGAAGTCTGCAAAAGATTGTGTAGCACAGCTGTGGGGGTTGGAGAAGTGACTAATGGTGGTGTGGGGTGGGTGTATCTAGCACGCTAAACCAGTGATATCTGCTGCATATGTACCAGTACAGGACCATGTCACATACATACATACATACCTAGCTACAGGCTTTGGGCGTGGGCAAGCACACAGGTGGCTCACCATTGTCGACAGATGGCCCGAGTACTTAGTCAGTACCTCTCTCCCTCTCACGCACCAAAACCAAGCCAAGGGGGGTTGGGCACACGGAACAAGATGCTGTTTCTGGAGGGCGGCGCCGAAAGTCCAGTCAGATGATCTGATTAGATGGCATTTTCCCATCGAAGCGTAGTGTGTTCCAAGCTTCCGCTTCCGCCGCTGGTTTATCCATGATCAAATAAAAGATGCGGCACGGCCGAGTCAAGTCCGGATGGGTACGTGTATAGGCTGGCTGCATGCTGCGTGGGTGAGAAACGGCACATGGGTGATAAAACAGCGATGTCGGCGATGAAGATGCAGCCAGCGGCCGCAAAACCTACTTACCCATGGAAGGGAAACGGGGAGGGAAAAGGAAGCAGAGGCCGTTGTCTGAGGATCTGATTAGGACACATGGTGCTAGCTCCGTCTTTCGCTAAGATCTGACTGAAATCATTGATGTTTTGCGCTGCATGGAGCATGGGCGGGCTCGGCATTCCGGCCCACCTTCAAGCAACTTTACTTTTCCTACACTGCAACAGCTGCTTTCCACCAATTCACCGCCCGGGACTCCATTTCATCCTCGTACGCCCTCGAGAGCCTTCCGTCCCCTCCGTCTCCTCGCCACCCCGGAAATCGCAAACCTGGACTCTGCGTCACCAGCACGCGGTCAGTTAATGGCCACCTCCCATGAGCGGACAGCTGTGGAAGAAGTCGAACACGAGTACAGCTCCCTCCCTCGCCCACTGCCTTGCTCATCATGTTGCTTCTTGTCTGACCGCCATTTAGATATGAAGCTCTCCCTCCCAACTTCTCCCTGTCGGCGAACATGCTCGCAGGCGCCTTCGCCGGCATTGCCGTACGCTGCCACCTTTCGCGATGCACTGGCGGACCTCGACTGATTGCAAACAGGAACACTCGGTCATGTATCCGGTCGACTTGTTGAAGGTGCGCCGCCCCGTCCGAGCCAATTCGACGCTGTTGGAACTGCGCTGATTACAGACCAGACGCGCATGCAAATAGTTAATCCGTCCCCAACCGCCATGTACACAGGCATATCCAATGCCATGGTCACCATCTCAAGAGCAGAAGGTTTCCGCACATTATGGAGAGGTGTCTCGAGTGTCATTGTGGGAGCTGGTCCGTTTTTTTCTTTTTCAACATCACCGACATTTGTCGCTGAGAGAGCTAACACCCGGCAGGGCCGGCGCATGCTGTCTATTTTGCGTCTTATGAAGCTACCAAACATGCTCTGGGTGGTAACGAGGGAGGCAGCGAGGAACACCACCCTTTTGCAGCCGGTGCGCAATTTCGCTTGCCTCTTGTTCTTAGACACGCTCGACTAACACGAAACAGCCGCCAGTGGAGCAGCCGCCACAATTGCTAGTGATGCGCTGATGAATCCATTTGATGGTGAGCAGCATACATTTTGGTAATCCTGTTGCATGCTAAAGTCTTCAGTGATCAAGCAGCGCATGCAGCTGCACGGCTCTATTTACCGGTCGGTTCCGCAATGCGCTCGCGAGGTGTTCCGCAATGAAGGCTTAGCCGCATTCTACGTCTCCTACCCTACTACTCTTTGTATGACGGTCCCGTTCACAGCACTACAATTTATGGCCTACGAATCCATATCGAAGGTTATGAACCCCACGGGACGATACGATCCCTATACACACTGCTTCGCCGGAGGATTGGCGGGAGGAATCGCGGCTGGATTTACCACACCGCTTGACGTTATAAAGACACTCCTTCAGACCAGAGGCAACGCCAACGATGTCGAGCTCCGCAACGTGTCAGGGCTGATGAACGCGGCACGGATCATCAAGGAGAGGAACGGCTGGAGTGGCTATTTCCGGGGGCTGAAGCCGCGCATCATCACGACAATGCCCAGCACAGCCATTTGTTGGTAAGTGGGCCTCGACACGATTTTGTTTTCCCATTCGTTTTGGGGCAAGTGCTGACTCGGCGCGCAGGTCCGCATACGAAATGGCAAAAGCCTTCTTCATCGCGCGCAACGATCGCAGTCAGCCCAGATAACAGGGCAACGCTGCCCACGCGGGGTCATTGAACATAGAAGTGTGCATGTATGTGTTGCCTGGTGTGTGCAGTCATGGGGCCAGGAAAAGATATAGGCGAGGAGAACAAAAGTCGCATTTGCACATATTCATATTGGGCATCTAGAGCGCGGCAAAGCTTTTGTTGCTTGGAATCTGCTCTGCTCGGACAAACACGAAGTCGGTTTATTGCATAGGCACAGAGATACCGCTGGCTTAGACGGACGACCATGTGGCGGCGTTTGGGAATTGCTTTTGCTGTCAGTGTACCATAGCTGGTTGGGGTTTCGGAAGCGTTGGCGTCTGAATTCGCTTTTGAGCTCGTCGAAGAATAAAGGTCCGTAATCGATAAAGATGAAAGAGAGTTAGCTTCCGATTAGCATTCCGTGCCGCCAGAGTCCCGCAAGTACTTAGTAGGCATGTACTGCTATGCAACCCATGACTGCAAAACAATACAGAATCGTGCTCATATGAACAGTGTCGTGCAGTGGTGTATGTATGCATGCAGACTGAGGCTGCTCGGGTCATCCCGAGGCGCATATGTAGAGTGTGGTTTGATTACTGGCTCACGAATGGAATTGAGGCGCGCGCTACGTCACAGATCAGAGACCGCGCGAGCCCATCCACCATTCGCTCGCATGCCCACTCATGGCTGGCACGTTCACCACTGTCGGCGGGCAAGGCTTGGGACAGCACGCCCATTCTTTTACAACAACAGTTTTGAGCCGCTGACAAGACATGCGCGCCAACTCAACCCAGAAAGCCTATGACGAGGCTTTCCTGGCCTGCTCCACTGCCGTTTACTTCGAGAGCCAGGTTCGTTGCTCCATAGTCTTGCACCACCACTTCCGCGCATTCTTCGCTGACCAACTGACATCATAGAGTAACGAAGCAGAAGCTCTACGTTCATGGAAATCTGCTCTAGACCACATCTACTACCACAATGCCCGCCGCCTACCTTCCAGCTCCCGCACCACCTCCGAAACCGATCGTGCTCTAGTAGAGTCGTTACACCAGCTAGAACTGCAATGCAAGGAACGTGTGGATTTGCTCGAAGCTTTGAAGAAGAGCCGGGAGAATGCCGACGAGAAGAATGCAGAAAAGAAGGGTACACCTGAACAGGCAGATCCCAAGGCTCCCACCCCTCCTGCGCATACAACCCCTCTCGATTCCTCCGAGCCGAGTGCTTCGTCTTCATGGCTAGGAGGTGGAACAATACCGCCGGTAGACTACTCGGACCTATCTCGACCCCCTCCACCTCGCCCGCCGCTGCCTCCGCGCCCATCGATGACCCCGCGAAAGAGCTCAGGAACCAATTCAACTCGTGCCCTAAACCCAGCCCTGGGTGCATCCTCGTTGCTTCCAGTAGCAAATAAGAAAGAGTCACGGACGCCGTCGCCCGAGAAAAGAGGACGTATGCTGAGAACCCTGAGATCTGGGAAGGAAACGAAATCGAACACCGTTAGCATGTCTTCCTCACTGAGACCTCAGCCTCCAGATGCTGCGAAAGCAGCAACACAGGCTTGGGTGTTCAAGAAGAATCCGAGCGCCAGTAGATTATCCAAAGAGCCGGCCAATTCTCAGCAACCCCAACAAAATTCTCGTCGGTCTTCTTTTGAGAGACCAACATCAGGAGGCGAGGCTCAGAAACCTATGGGGTTCATATCCCCTCGGGAAGTGTCTCCTCCGCCAACATCACCCTTGGCTCAGAACAGCTCCGGTTTATTATCCGCTCAGAATCTTACTCCATCTACAGATGTGAAAAATGAATTAGAGCCGGCCCCCAAAGTTATACGGCGAAAAGAGCTCAATCCAGCATCTTTGTCGCGAGGTCCATTCGGTGTTGACCGATCAAGAAACACCCGAGCAAGCAATCCGTCACTTCCTTCTTACAGGAATGAATACCCAGACTCGGGCCTCAACCCACGGCTTGCCGCTGCGGCTTCTGCAGCCGCCTCGAGATCCTGGAGTGACGAATCTAGTAGACTAGCGCCAGCCGCAGCATCGACTCAGCCATCGACTGCTACTAATAGCGACAGCCAACAAACCCTATCACGTAAACCAAAGAAAGCACTGCCATTGCCGATACAGCTGGAAACAGAAGAAGTTGATACAAAATCGCGACCACCTCACCGAAGAAAAGGAAAAGCGAAAGATGATAGTACTGCACGCGCCGATCTTCCTCCTACTCCTACGTCCGACACTGAGGACTCAGAAAGCTCGCATCCTGAGTCGGATGAGTGGAAAGAACGTGTCCGTGGGATACTCAAGAATTTACCACGAGGTGTCGATGAACAGGCAGCTCAGCAGATTCTAAATGATATCGTGATTCAAGGTGATGAAGTGCATTGGGATGATGTGGCTGGCCTGGATGTAGCAAAATCTGCCTTGAAGGAGACGGTTGTGTATCCGTTTCTGCGCCCCGATCTCTTCATGGGGTTGCGCGAACCTGCGAGGGGTATGTTGCTGTTTGGTCCCCCGGGAACAGGAAAGACTATGCTCGCAAGAGCCGTTGCTACAGAATCCAAGTCGACTTTCTTCGCCATCTCTGCTAGTAGCTTAACGTCCAAGTTCTTGGGAGAGTCCGAGAAGCTAGTTCGTGCGCTCTTTGCGCTCGCTAAAATGCTGGCTCCTTCCATCATCTTCGTCGATGAAATCGATTCTCTGCTCTCGTCTCGCTCTGGCTCCGGCGAACACGAGGCTACCCGTCGCATCAAAACCGAGTTCCTAATCCAGTGGTCCGACCTGGCCAAAGCGGCGGCTGGACGAGAGCAGACCGAAAAAGATAAGGAGAGAGGCGACGCAAGCCGGGTTCTAGTTCTCGCCGCAACCAACTTACCATGGGCCATTGACGAGGCTGCTCGGCGGAGGTTCGTCAGGAGGCAGTATATTCCGCTACCGGAAGACCACGTGCGGAAGAGCCAAGTCAAGACCCTCCTCAGCCATCAAAAGCACGAACTGGATGACACCGACTTGGACCGTCTAGTACAGCTCACCGACGGTACGTCTCAGCATCCACACTCAATCTCCCCTAATCCGTGCCTCCCTTCAATCAAAACACCCCAATCTTCCGCCTTCCATATAACTAACTGTGCGAGCGTAGGTTTTTCCGGCTCCGATATCACAGCACTAGCCAAAGACGCAGCAATGGGACCCCTAAGATCCCTCGGTGAAAAACTGCTGCACATGACCATGGACGAAATCAGGCCGATGCGTTTTGAAGACTTTGAGGCTAGCTTGCATACCATCCGTCCTTCTGTGAGTAAGCAGGGTTTGAAGGAGTATGAGGATTGGGCACGCGAGTTTGGTGAAAGGGGTGGGTAGATAGGTGGTAGGTCAGCTAGCCAAGTAGCTAATGCGTAGAGTAATAGCACGAACGAAAATGAGTGCGTGCGATGATTGAGCGCAATGAATTTTATGATTGATGGCTAGGTATGGCTCTTTTGAGTGTTTCTTGTGGACGTTGTTTCGCGAATGAAAGCGTGATGTCTTTTCGTTTTGAATGATTGAGTCGGAAATGCGATTGCTCGAGAGAGCACTTGAGAGCATCAAACAATCCTACTATATTTCCTCAGTAACAACAACAACAACAACAACAACAGCAAGAACAAACCCTCTCCCGCCCTCCCTCCATCTCTCCCAAGCACATAACAAACAAGAACTATGTACACCCAAACCACCCATCCGTCCCCCCACTAATACCACACTAGACCCAACTCATCGCCATCCCTCCTCCCAAACACCACCACCACCACAAGAAAAGAAAAAGCTTAACCGCAAAACCAAGCTTTCCCCCTTCCAACGATCATCCTATCCATTATCCATGAAGAACCTTTAGTTAGCGAATCAAGAGGTAGAAAGTGGAGATGTGGACACCAAACACTTGTGATACCAAGCGAAGGCGGAACGTGAAGCCATGGCGCCAAGGGGTGTGTCTCATGAGTGGGTTGGTGGGTTCAGGGGGTCCGAACTGCTGTTACGTCTATGTGTAGTACGATCGATGATCAGGATCAGATAAGAGTGGGTTGGGAAGAAGAGTGGGAGGTTTTGCGCAATGTGTGAGTGAGTGTGTGTGTGGTCCGTTTCTACCACTCCTTGGTACCCAAAAAAATAGTCAAAAAAGTGGAAAATTATTATAAAATGAATAAATTAAGAGAAACGTCAAGTCATCATTGCTAACCAAATGACGAAGAGAGTGAAAAGGAAGGAAGATGCTTATTTCTTACCATAGTTTAGTCGATAGATAGCATCCATCATCCTCACATCCTCATCACCGTAAATCGATGATACTTTCCACATATACGGGTATCTCGCAACCTTTCCCTCTATACTCACCCACCAAGTCTATTTTTCAAAATAACACCAAAAAAAAAAGAATTGCGGCCAGACAAATCACACGAATAGTACGAATATAACCCATAACCCAGGAGACGGAAATAGAAGAGCAGCATGAACATGAACAAGCACAAGCACGCGCACCACCACCACCACCACCACCACCGCACCATACCAATCCCTTCCCATCACGCAACTTGCAAAAGGGAAATTCCGTTCCCTTCGGCGTCCTCGGAGCGCGCAAGAAAAATGTAATGCCTGGGACCGCATTTCTAAAGCTCACCTTTGACTGTTTTGTTTCGGAACAGGTGTGTGTGTGTGCGTATGTGTGTCAACGTGGAATCCTTCATGCCGAAATAAGAAAACAAAAAGCCGCTCGTCCCCGATTCCTTCCGATGTGATGGTGTTTCCTTATCACTCACGACGAACTGCCTGACTGGGATGGGTACTGCGGTATATTATGCCATGCCGAGTGTAGTGTGTGGCGTTTGAGGAAGTGGGGAACAAAGTCGTTGTTGAAGATAGGGGTCAGACGTTTGGAGCTTCAGAAGTTTGTGGTTGGGATGGTTCGTTGTTTCTTCTTCTTTTTCTTTTCCTTTTTCGGGGTTCAATCGTGGTTGCCTGATGTAAGATACGCGTTGTGGATCGTACGATATGTCAGTGCCTGCCTGTTTTGTCTTTGGGAGAGGAGACAGGTTGGTGTGGCCTTTCCTGTTTATTTGGATGGTCTAGAGTTCACGGCACTTTTTGTTTGGTTTTTGGTTCACTTGAAAGAGCAGGAGTAAATGATATGGTGATGTGAATTTCTTCTAAGGTATCAAGATATAATGGTGACAATTGGCTTTCTTTCCAAATAGAGCTGTAGCACTGCTACTACACGGATATTTTGAAAACAGCTAAGGGGCGGATGGCTGGGGAATTGGGGGGAGGGAGAGAAATGACTATTACGCTTTACAAGAGAAAAAAAACTGCGACCCATGAGAAAACCGTCACCAAGCGATGACGGGGCAAGACGAGAGAAAATATGTACCGGATTTGATGAAGAAGTAGGAAGCTCTCTGAATAACAGGACATATTACCCGTCAGACGAAAATGGGGAATGTGAGATGGATTTTGGATTTTTTTGAAATCTTCTGTTATGTTGGTACAGTAAATGCGACTAAAAGTTCTCCTTGCCCCATACAAAGCTGAAGCCCGGTTCTGAGTACTGGTTGCACTTGATGTGGAGTGTTGAACCGAGCACTTTGGGTCCGCAGAAGAACACACCAGCTTCAGCCGGCGAGTGGATCTTGCGAATAGACTTGAAAATCATATCCCAGTTGGGACGACCGAAATTTGTGGGCGCGCGGAGACCGGTGATGGCGTCTTGCTCGGCGTTGGCGTCGTTAATCATGATGTTTGTTGCGTCGTCGGCCTTGATCTTGGCGGTGAGGTAAGTGTGGATTTCGATGTGGTCGTCGAGATCCTGGGCTTCGATGGCGAGGAGCAGCGAGCGGAACCACTCAAAGGATCCGAAATCTCTGCAAATCCAGAAGAAATAGACCTTTCGGAGGCGTGTGCGGCCCTGGGGATAGTTCATGCGGTACCAGATACTCTTGAGGATGGAAGCGAAGGGTGTCACACCGATACCGGCACCCACGAGAACGGCGATTTCGAACTTGAAGACATCTTCGGATGCGGAACCGAACGGCCCGTCGATGTAAACACGGGGGAGAATTTGGCGGAGAGGGAGTTCGCTGCTACCGTCCTTTTCGCCTTTACCACCGCGTTCGAGATTGCAGCCTAGCGCCTTTCCAAGAGCCTTGGTGAAGTCACCGACCATACGGACGTGAACGGAAATGTAGTCCTCCTCGGGGGCACTTGTGAGTGTGAAGGGGTGGTATTGCCAAATAGAGACTTCGGGGCAGCACAAGAAGATGTACTAGGTTTGTTAGCCAATGGTACCTTCATGCAGAATCGTCCAACACATACCTGACCAGCCTGAGTTTTGGTATTCTCCTTCTTGACTTGGATCTCCACAACGTTGCTGGGATGCTGAATGACCTTGGAGACGTAGGTCTTGTGTCGGCCACGGATCTCACGGGAAGTACGCTCAGCGAGGTAGGCGAATCCACCGTACATCCAGTATTCCCAAAAGACACCAATACCGTCGCAGAAAGGCGCAAAATCAGGCTTAATCATGCAGAAAGCACCGTGAACGGACCAGAAGATGAAGAATACGATAAAGAGGTGGTGAGTGTACCAGAATCGTTCAAACTGGGCCCTTCTGTTCTTTTCGGCTGCGGTAACGCACATGGCAGTCAAGGCGATCAACATGACATATCCAGACCATCCCGGACCAGTGGCAAGGTTTGCAAGAAGAAATCCAACGAAGCCGAGATCCCTATCGTACGCGAAGATCCACAAGTTCCTCCAATGCGCAACAGTGTGCAACCAGGAAAACCAAAGGATGGCCCATCCCACGAGCTTGTGGAAGGTGATATTCTTGTCGAAAGGAATGATACCGTTCAAGGGTGTTCGGCGGACCATGGAGATGAGGTTCCTGCATACGGGGAAGAGGATGAAGGCTACGTCGACGTGTAGAGTTAAGGCTGCTGAACGAGCGATGATGAAGGTGAAACCGAATTGCGCGCGGGTCCCAATGGAATTATCCTACGATATCGATATCAGTGTTCGTTCGAATAGAGAAGGTACTGGTCACTCACTTTGAAGCCATAATGGGCCATACCAAAGCCGAACACCATGCAATGCAATATCAAGAAAGCGAACACGAAGCTGAAAAGGTAAGCGCATGCAGGACCTAGGTAGTAGAGGCATGGACATACAATCTTCGGTAACCCTCGTTGACCATCCACCGATCGAACTTTTCCTTGAGAAAGAGCTCTCGGGGCTTCTCGTCCGACATCTCTCCAGACATGAGCATACGAGTGAGGGGCGGCCATCTCGACCTTTCTCTTCCCGTCAGACTTGACGAGGCGTACGCAGAGTTTTGCATGGCGGAAGGAATAGGTCGCTAGCGACACGGGATTAAGAGATGTGGTGTTCAGAGCCTGCTGAATGGCGAAAGTATACAAGAAATAGTAAAAAAGAACGGAGGATCTGAATCTAACGAGAGGCTACGGGTCAGAATTTGCAAGGCGAGGAGCGAACCATGGTGGAGTAACAAAATAACTTACTACAAGAGTGCACGGCACTGAAGAAGGGAAGAGGTCAGCTACGTCCGGCTAAAGAGGCACCGGCATGAACATCGAGGGACGCGAAGGGCATGGAAAAGACTATAAGGAAGTGGACGAAGGAGAGTTCAGCATATCGGGACAGGGATGCGGATGTCAAGAGAAAGATGGGTCAGCGCATCAAGTCAAACGATGAAAAGTCGTACCATTCTGCGCGTTCGCAAGCCCAAGCTGCGACACAGAGGACTACCGTCGGCTTTGAGGACGGCACCAAAGAACCGTACGGAGCCAATGGGACGGGGGTCAAAGGTGGCGTTTTGTTATCCCAGGGCTCGAAACTCGACCAACGTGCGGGTGATGCAAAGGAAAATGGCCAAATGCCCAGTGTTGCGACGTCGGATAGGCGTTTCAGCCCCGGGATGTGAAACGCAAATCGTATCGGCTGGCGATGACCCCTGGTGGGCCCCATCCGCTACGTATAACCATTTGCTTATTCACCATTATTCCATCATCGCTTTCGATCTGTCTTCGATTCTCGACATGATCTGCTGCTCGTTGTGCCTATGTATATAACATGTATTGATGCACCTGCATACATGTAAACAAACATTCACGGCAATAGCCCGCTAGCTGCCGTTCTTTTCTAGCCCTAGACTCGTGTTGCAGCCTCACACTTCAACCAGCTACCGGAGGAGTTCATATACCATAATGTCTGGAATGAGAGATCGGAGACGAAGGGTACATTGATTAATTCAGTGATAGAGTAGCATTCTAGAAGATGCGATCTATGTAGAAGCCGATCTACTATCACGTGATACTGTCACGTGACCTTCGCCTTTCACGTCTTCTAATGTTCGAATACATCCCAAGGTACAAATCGAGCTCAAAGCATCTGGTAACCGCCGCTTGCTGATATGGTCTGGCCACTAATCCAACGCGACCTCTCTTCTGACAACCATCCAACCACTTGTACTATATCATCTACCGTACCGTGGCGGTGCCTATGTGACATCAGTATCAGATCTCAGCGTGGTAGTGCTTGCGTCCGAGTCCGGAATACTTACTCGACAGGCGTTGTCTTCAATTGCAACTCCACAATTTCGGCCGGAACATCATCTAACATGTCGCTCTTGACTGGACCCGGCGCCACAGCCGTGACTGTGTGTCCTGATGATCCTAATTCAGCGGCTAGCCCTCTCGTCATGCCTTCTAACGCGGCTTTGGAAGCAGAATACATGGCCAAGCTTTCCAGTCCCTGCCTCGCGCCTATTGACGATATATTGATAATTCTGCCTGGCGCCCGAAGGTAAGGAACTACGGCTTTAGTTGTTAGCAACGGTGCCCGGACGTTGACCGAGAAAATTGCTTCGTAATCCTCGGCCGTTGTCTCTAGAATAGACTTGGAGAAGAGTACGCCAGCGTTATTCACAAGAATGTCAATCTTTTCGCCAAAAGCTTTTATCGTCTCTGACACGATCTTGGTAGGGGCGTCGACGTTGCCAAGGTCGGCTTGTACCACGATGGCCTGGCTTCCAGAAGCTTTAATTTTAGATGCGACTTCCTTTGCGCCCGCTTCGCTTCTCGGGGAACTGTATACGACGGTTACCTTTGTCGGCGGTATTAGCATTGTGTACATGATAAATATACTGCTCTAACAACAACGGCCGGCGAGCCGCTTGGATGTCAAGAACATACTTTAGCTCCCTTTTCACCCAAATGTAAAGCAATTCCTGCCCCTATTCCTCGAGAGGAGCCCGTGACAATCGCTACCTTTCCTGAGAGTGGAAGTTGCGTAGACATCGTGGACTGTGTGTGCTGTGTATTGGCGAGCAACAGGAAACTTGTAAACTCAAACAATTGCTTTCATTAGATTCAGAGGCTGAAAGTTGAACTAGAATTACATATGTGCGCTACGCGCAACGACTTAAATTCCTTGACGAACTTGAGGGCATTGCGATATGTTGACTACGTAACACCGAAAACCAGAACCATAGCCCGAAATCCTTCGGCGCTATAGTCTGTTTTCCACGACTGGTGCCACAAGAGCTACGCGAAGGCTACCAGATGTGTTGATACGCTGGCTGGATATGTCTGTTTAGGGTTAGCGAACCTGCAGAACACCAATCAACCCCGCCATGTACGTAGCGACAATCACCAGAACATGAAAACGAAGAAACCTTGGAATCGCGGGTAAGATATGTATGTCAGACTGCATTTCCCTGATGACAACATTGGCCTCGTGTGTTGGATCGTAAACAAGTCTCGGATACCGGAAAGATAGCTCATTAAGTCCGTCTCACTGTGCTCCGGAACCGACCAACAGCCAACGCTTGCAGACAGATACCAACCCCAGACAGTACGGCGTGCTCTATCAAACAGGTGTTCCCGTTTAGCCCCTGAGACCAACATCCGCTATACGCCAAACTATGGTAATCATCATTGTGAACGAACGTGCATGCTGGACCGTTCTCGACCGTAGATATCTAGTATGAACAACTGTTTCCCATCGCCATACAGTCCAATGATATCTGCTATCAAAGCACCCAGAGCCTTTAATCCCCCGGCCTGGGAATATAGATCTAAAGTTGATATCTAGATACACTTCTATCATTCCTTGCACCCCTGTTTCTTATCTTCGAGACACTTCGGAGTTATCTGCAGTATGACACGGCTCTTCGAATTCTGAGCTTTCTTCCTCTCCATAAATCCATTCCGTGATGGTGAACGGGATATGAACATTCGTGTAATTGTCCTTTGAGCTGACAAAGCGACAAATGAGCTTCCAAAGTTTGTGTCATCTGTGAGGCTCGTACTGCACTTAGTGAAGACAATCGCTATCGATATTGAGCTTCTGCATGTGGTGAATCTGATGTTAGCTGTCCCCATTGACATGTGTCTACCACCCTATACACACTGATCAACAGTGGGGCTTGGTATACAGACATGAGTTGCACAGACATTGAACAAACAATCACCTGACAACTTCGAGTTCTTTGCATCATCGCGCTACAGAGAGAATGACAGAACATTACGGCAAGACAAGGCTGTCCAGATGCAATAAGGAAATACAGAGCGCTTACTTAATAAGGGGAACATTAAGGGCAGTATCGCCATAGATATGAAAAATCCGTCAGATACCAGCATACCGCTGGTCTACCGGGTTGGAACCACTTACTTATCGCCGGTGCAAGGGACGATTGGAATGACGTCGACTATCATGGGTTTGCCGTAATTAGTTTCTTCTTTTTACGCGTGGAATTCGTTAGCTGACTTCGAACCTGGAAGAGATATGTCTCGGGGGCATCCATGAAGCATCTGCAACCTTGGTATTGCACCGAAGAATATTGGACTGTCAGGCGGATGGCGGATGACTACGATACGGAGAAGGAGACAGATGGTTATGAAGACATGGCTACTGTTGCTGAAGCAGAGAATGAGGTCGAAATGACTGCTGACATGGTGTCGCTTGAACTTCCCACTCATGCCTCAAGCAAGCAGCTCGAGCCCCCCCCCCCCCCCCCCCCCCCCCCCCGAGATGATCTCCGAGTCCTCCCTACCCTAATCTCGTCTCACCTTCTGAAAGTTGTGTATCGGTGCCTGCTGCGAACACCAGATAATCGGCCCGTCACTAGCAAAGCGTCCAGTTTAGCAAACGCGGTGTTTTCACACTTGAAAGTACCCTGATTGTCGAAGAAGGAGTCAAGCAAGGCTGGTGGAAACATTCTAGAAAAGGACCGGGGCACACAGGATGGCGGTACCTAGTGGCAAACACAGGACAAACAATGTTTTGGTGACGGTCGGTGTGCCCAGATGAGTTGGCGTAGAAATGGATGATGCTGGATTGCATTTCCGGCATCGTAGTTCATTGGCCTAGGAGCAAGGCATCCGCGAGTGAGATGATTGTGTCGGATAGTTTCCTTGATTTCCAGGACCACCTCGGAGTTGAACGGTCGATGGTTGTTGGCCTTGGGCTAGCCTTCGTATTGTTCGGCTCGGAACCTTCCTGCTCGGCTAACTTTTCGAATTTTCCCGCACCCTGCACCCTCCAACACCACGCTTCCATTCTTCTCTCCGCGCGTCTATCCTTCTATATATCTCGCACCTCCTTCCCTCTGAATCTCACTGATCTTCACAGCATCAACCATAACAGTAGGTGGCTTAATTCGAGAACAAAACCAAAAAAAAAGAATTTTTTTTCACAGGTCGTCATCTCGCATCCGTCCGGTCGACTTCGTACCCCGCACCAAGGTTGAAAAAAACAACTTAGAGAAGCAGAGAATCGTCATTATTATCACCATGCCGGGCACCAAAATCATTAAGACGGACGTGCCGACTGAGCGCGAACGTGAGGAACGTGGTACAAAGCGCACACGTGAGCATACCCTGGCTTTTGCATCCCATACCATAACCACCACGGCCGATCCCACCTCATCCAACCTCCCGTCGAATCCCTGCGCTGCAACACCTCATGACAATCACTAACACAGCTTCTCATCTGGTAGGAACACAATCGCTACCCCCACCAGATCTCCCCAAGCTGGTTGCTGAGCAACATGCTCCTATCCCTAGCAGCGACAAAGACACTCAACGTCTGATAGTCGTCCTGTGCAATGCGACGCTCGAGACATACAAGGCTTCGCATGGCTCCGGTCGGGGCCCCGGCGCGCGAGAAGACAAGTACAACTTGTTGAACAGCGACGATCACATCGGTGTCATGCGTAAAATGGGCCGCGACATCAGCGAGGCGCGACCAGACATCACCCACCAGGTGCGCCATCTTCAATTGCTTACAACTACTACCACCGCATGTCTATTAACTCGATCCAGTGTCTCCTCACTCTGCTGGACTCGCCTGTCAACAAGGCCGGCAAGCTACAGATATACATCCAAACTTCACGCGGCGTGCTCATCGAGGTCAGCCCGACTGTGAGGATTCCTCGTACCTTCAAACGATTTGCCGGCCTTATGGTGCAGCTTCTGCACCGTCACCAAATCCGATCTACCACATCCAACGAGAAACTCATCCAAGTCATCAAGAATCCCATTACCGACCACCTCCCACCCAACTGCCGCAAGGTCACTCTGAGTTTCGATTCCGAAGTAGTCCGCGTAAGCGACTATATCGCGGGTCTCGAAAAGAAGGAAAGCATCGCCGTTTTTATCGGAGCCATGGCAAAAGGAAACGACGACTTTGCTGATAAAATCAAAGACGACACGATTGCCATCAGCCAGTTCAACCTCAGTGCCAGCGTGGCTTGCAGCAAGTTCTGCCACGCCGCCGAGGATGTATGGGGTATCTTCTAGATGGAAACCCCCCCGAATCTAACCTATCCTCTCCAACCACGCCTCGGGTTAACCATGGCTGATTTGGGTTGTGCACAGGAGTGCAGTTTACAGCGGGACACGCTCGGGCTTAGATCGCAACATCGACAGCCTGGGCGTGTCTGCCGCTTTTGTTTTTGAGCGTGTGTTCGAGTTTTCTTTTACAACAAAACAACTCTCGGCTTCAACGTCCAAAATCTCCTCTTCAAAACGAAGAGCACAGCGGAGTAATCAACTTGCTCTGCGTCTCCTGTGGCATCCTTTGTGGCCTTTGTGCTGGGCGTTATCGCGCTCTTGAAAAGAGAAATACCTGTAGGTCTCGTCAAGCTGGTTCGTCCAGCCTTTGACACTTCCTCTGATTTGGAAAACGGGGCCCATCACTGCAGATAGTAATTAGTGTAGGTAGCTGCGGCTTGACACACGTTGGCTTGATTGACGTCAGCCTTTAATAGTCAAGCGAATGCAAAACATCGCAACCAATTCAACTATGGCCTGCGATTCCAACCTTGCATGTATTCAACATACATAGTGTGCCCTGCCCAATGGCCGGCAGCGGGTCTTGGTATCCTCAACGAGTAGGATCCGGCTTGCTGGTCGGTAGGAAATCGTCATGTCCTGTTTTGTGACCGGGCTAAGGGGCCGTACCCCCTTGCCCCTGTACGTGCCGTACATTGGGATATCTGTAAAGAGGTGCGATGCGCGGTCTGGCCTTCGCCTATGGCGGGAGACGTACACATGGAGATGTATCGGACTACAGGCATGTGTCCTTTTGTAGGCAAGTATCACTGGGCAATCATGGAACTTCCGGGGCTAGGAATCAGCAGCACTACGCCATGAGATCCTAATGGTCCCCTTGATCGGTTTCTTGGTCCTCTGTGAGACCTGTTGACTGTGTAAAGCCAAGGCGTCACACTTTGTGACTAACGGAATCACTACGCAAAAGCAGTCATGACTGCTGCGTGGACGTATAGACGTTATATTGCTCATGCAGCTCGACGACACCTGGCGTGCGGGCAGGGCTTGTGCGGCTGATGTCGTAGCACAGGACTCGAGAGACATGGGAATACATTCCGCTGGAGTTGCGATGTGAGGCGAGAGCCGCGCAGGAATGCAGTGGGTGGATACGGGCCGGTGGGAGATCCAATCCGCATCTCTCGCTTCTGCTCCAACGTTAGCTGCATACGATGGACATGTGGCAGCACGAGGACGCACGTTGACAACGGACTCCTTGATGGCCAAACAGCATCAGTGGGGCGGCCTACTGCGTAGAAGCGGCTTTCCCGCGCTGCCATGGGTCGCCCTGCCAATTCATCTCATCATGTAGAGTGACCTCCATCCTGGGGTCTGTACTGAGGTATAAACCGTCGTCTAGCACCGACTTCATTGTCCAGCTTCAAGCACCTCTTGTACCATCTACCCTCTACATCTTGCTGTCTATCATTCCTGAGCTCAGCATAAACTGTTCTTCCTATTCGTCTTTGTTGTTCACTGTTATTCATTTATATCCTTCCTCTCTTTGACCAACCCTTTTCCCTTCCACATAATGCCAGTCTCCCACATCGGTCTCACTGTTTCGCACCTACCAACTTCTTGTTCATTCTTTCTAGCCGCACTCCAGCCCCTTGGATATCGCTACATCGGACAGCAAGGCAGCCAGATTGGCTTGGGTATTCACGATGCCGACTTCTTCCTATGCCAAGAAACGCCCGGGTAAGAGGCCCACTGTATACCTTCTCAAACCACAATTGTACTAATCCACATCACAACAGCGTAAAAGCTGGCGCGGCGCACATAGCTTTCACCGCCCCTAGTCGGACGGCTGTTCGAGACTTTTACACGGCTGCTTTGACTGCCGGGGGTCGTCCCAACGGAGCACCTTCCTGTCGTGGAGATGGGGAGGGCCAATTCAATGCTGCGATTCTAGACCTGGACGGCAACAGCATCGAAGTCGTCTTTAGAGATGGTCCAGATGTCAGAGATGATGGGTCCGTCGTTCACCATAGCAGGGTGATTACATGGCAGAGAACCGTTTCGGAGACCTTTCACGACGACAGAAGTGTTGTCAGTGCTCGTTCGACTCAGTCGGCCTCAAAGCAGGCGGACGCTCCTCCTGCCAGCAAAGCGCCATCAGTTGTCTCAACGGCTTCAAAAGCTCCAAGTATCACGAGGAGTGTATCTGAGCCAGTCACCTCAACCCAGCCTCCTGCCACCACGGAGCCTACCGGCGATGGTGCCGCAAAAACCATTATTGGAACTCTTATTGGTGCCGCAGCTGGCGCCGCCGTGGCTTATGCTATGGTTAGCAGCGAGCGCGACAGCGCAAAGAAAGAGGCAGACTTCAATGTGTTGAAGCAGGCGAAGAACATGGTATCCCAGCTCACTCAGACCAAAGATCAATCCCAGCCACCCATGACGGACCCACAGCCGATCCATCAACCACAACTAAAGGCACTACCAGCACCTCACCGCAACATTAGCGATACCGAATCGCATTACTCAACATCTCAACGCAGTGTCCGCGGACAGCGTGCTATTGAAGCTGCGCCTTCGGATTATCATGCTGCCCCATACAGTCTTGCTCCGCCGCGAAGCGAAGCTCCCCGGGTGGCCGATTATGCTCAACCAACATATTCAATAGCACCATCTCGAACCCAATCGACAGCTCACCGCTCAAGAGCCCCATCAGAGTATGAAAGAACCAAGGCAATCGAATATGTGCCAGCACAGTCCATCGCCCCCACCCGTATTTCATCAGCATCGTCATCATCACACCGCTCCAGTTCAGAGTACGAGAGGCCCAAAGCCATCGAATACATCCCCGCCGCCTCTATTGCGCCTTCCCGGAGCAACTTCTCCACTCATCGCTCGAAGACCAGTCCAGAGCTTTTGACCATAGAGAAAGCCAGGAGCACGGCCTCAAGAGCGCACAGCACAGCACCCAGCTCTCTTATTTCGTCCTTTGTACCCGAGCATATCGATCGAAGATCCAGCGAGGGAAGCGTCGCATCCAAAGCTCGATCTTCCCACAGCCACGCATCCAAGCACAGCTCGCACTCGAAAGCAAGAAGCAGCAGCAAAAGCCGTGCACCATCACCACCTCCCCCGTCCTCAAAGGTAGCATCCAAAGCTGCCTCCTTGGTCGGCAGCATCTTAGGCCGCGACACCAAATCGCAAGCCAGCAAACATGACGCAGCCTCCGACTCGGAAGACTCGGACGACTTCATCGACGACCTGATCGTAGACGACTTCAACGACACAGATACCGTCGCGCCATCCGACAGCATCTCCAACGCCGGGTCCCGCCGCAGCCACCGCAGCCACAGAAGCAGCCACTCCCATCACCACCGCAGCAGCAAGAAAGACCGCGACCACGGCTCCAGCGCAGACTCGTCCATCAGCAAACACAGCTCCTCCTCCTCCCGTCACAGCCGCTCTTCAAAATCTAACCACTCGTCTTCTTCTTCCTCCCGCCACCGCCACCGCTCCCCTACTTCTTCTGTCGACGGCAGTTCAACCAGCAAATCAACACACTCCAAGCACCGCCTGCCCTCCGTCATCTCCGAGCCCTCCGACACCTCGACGGTCAAACCGCTCCGCAAATCCTCCGCCTCCTCCACCACCACCGCCATCCGCACCCCTTCGCGTCGCAAAGACAGCGTGGTGCAGCAGAGCAGCAGCAGCAGCGGCGACGACGCAGCGTCCTTGACTTCCTCTTCCTTCAAGGATAAAGTCGTGTATGGCGATGGGGATATCCCCGTTAGAGGCGTCACGCAGAGCATGGTCGATGGGCTCGAGATGGAACATAAGGGGAAAGGGAATAGTAGGAGCATGATGAGTTTTGCGCTTGGCCAGAAGTTGAGGGCTTTTGAGGGGGCTTGAATGTAGCTACGGATGGATTTCTTTTTGAGTTTGTATGGGATGGTGAGGACTGTTATGCACATAGATTGCGCTTTGAAGGTTTGAGCGGTGCTGGTGGGTGGGTAGTATGGAACGTATAGCAGCATTAGGAGTGGTTTGGGATTAGAATGTGTGGAGGGCTGATATATTTCCCCTATAGATGAATCTCCTTGAGCAATGATATCAACGGTATTTTCACCGAGCACAAACGCAGATTCTCTTCTCATTTATAAGAACGAATTACCGTTGCATTCCGTCTATAATCATGGCTATTGTGCAAGTCCACATGGCCCGGCGATCTGATCATGGAAAAGAAAACGTCATGCTCATATAAATATCGAATATACTTATGACAGTTTAATCATGAAGATTAAGTACGATAGATGGAGTGTTAATCTTAATGCTCATCCTAGATACCAAGCGATTCCCGCACAGCTCTGCAAAGTTATTTCGTGGCCCGACTTATCATTGTCGGAACAACACCGGTTCAAATATCTAAACTAAGCAGGTAATAACACGGAAATATAGTGGGATCTTTCAAGGTGTGTAGCGTGTTTCTTTGCAACACAGAGAGAAAAAAAAAGTTTTCAAAGTTATAACACATTCAGGTGATGACCAACACCTTCTTATCACGCAAGCCAAACTTCTGCATCTAGCGCCCTCAGCTTATGATATACATCCCAAGATTCGCCTGGAGCTAGGGGTGACGTAGGAAACCTGTGAGTGATGCAAAACTTTGCTTGGCCGACTATTCTAAAGAATATCTTCTGATCGTTCCCCTGTGGGTCTATCGATGAATTGTGTTTCGTTTCAGGGGATGGTTCAATTCCGGGTGTCCAGAGAGATGGGGATGTGTTTACATCTACCGAATTTGGTGAAGATGTATGCCGTACGATCAAAGAGTCAGATACCCCGACTGGGAGCAATATGTCTCCGCGTAGGATAGGGCTGTTCGTGTAGCCAAAGAGCGACTCTGATGTTCCTGCGGCGCGGAAGATGCGTTTGCCTGTCATGAGCCGGAAGATTCGTAGACGACTTTCGTTGGGGTAATCTATGCTGAGATGTTGCTGGTGTTGTTGTTTCTGGGCAACGTATGCTGGAAGGTCTACATCGTTATCGAACAGTACTCTCCTAAACAAGTCGCTGAATTCATCCGAGGAAATTATTTTAAGTGCTTGCAGCCAGTACTCTAATAACGTAGCTTCAGGGTATATGGCCGAGGTTTTGCGATAAAAGTCAGGCAGGGAGTTAATGACTGAATCGAAGAACTCTCTTAAGCCTTCGACCGAATTATCTTCCAAACACGGGCCTATCTCTTCCACAGCGGCGCAAGCAACTCGTCCTTGCTCATGATCGTCGGTCTCCTGGCCTAGGGTAAACACATGCATCTGCAACTTAACGTGCTCGCCGTCATTTTGCAGGTAGTGCGTGTTGCCTGGCCAAAGGGATGCAATAGAGTGATCTGGTGGAACACCAAGATTTGGGACCCACGAAGGAAGATTCGTAGGCGTTGTTGATGCAATACGTTGCAGCACAGTACCCAGAAGCTGGCTACTTTGCCCAGCCTCAAGACAAGCCTTTGCAAATGCCGTGTAGGTCTCGAGATCGTTTCTTGAATAATCGATGGACAACACGATTGTCGATTTCGAGCCCCTTTGGGGTCGAATATCGGTAGCCATACTGTACAGAGCAAATATGCGATCCCGGTTATCAGTCACGCCGTAATTACCGAACTGTTCCAACAAGCTTAACATGTTCAAGCCCGATCTTTCGGATGCAGTGTCTTTACCTAGGTTCTCTTCTGTTGCCTCGATCATACAGTGTTTTTTCCATACTGTACACATATGCTGGATTTCGCTCACTTTTCTGCGAGCGTAGGTTGAAAAAGATCTAGAATCGATGATGTGGGTGAGAATGTTCAGAGCAACATGAAACCTGGCCCATGACATGCCAATAGATCCGCAGATGAGTGTCACATCGATATTAAAAACGACTTCTTGTATAATCCACATCCTGTTGAAGTAGGGTGATTCCAACAGATGCATCGTGCACTCGATTTGCCGACGGTCTAATTCAATCTGATTATCTTCAGCCACGTAATGCCTTCGCGATATATGCTTCATCACGGCGAGGCCTCGTTGTGTATCTCCATCGTTACCGAGCCACGCGAGCACACTCGCTGCACTTCGGAAAATGTCGACCATGAGAGGTATCTGAACAGCCTTCTCTTTGTCATCTTTTTGATTTATGCAAACAGCATCGGCCCACATAAGCCTCGTATCGATCTTATGGCGCAGTCGTCGCAGCGCAATGTCGAGATTTTTTGTGACCAAGATATGTGAACCGTCTGAGGCATACAGAGGTTCGGTGAGCTTAGGCGCGCCCCAAGTATAGGAGAGCGCTTCATATTCGCCTTCACATTCTCGAATGCTAGCCTGATTGAATGAGAAATGAAGAGGTAAGGTCGGGTCCAAAGACGGTTCAAGAACGAGGATCCTGATGTGTGCGGGGCCTTGAAGTGGACTATAGACGTGCAAGGGTGAAGCATCTGGTTGTGCGGTCATTGTTCAAGCAGCTGTTGCTCAGAGAAGCAACGGAAGCGTGGTAGGAGAGAACTGTGAGCGCTCTTGGCCCCCAATACGCTATGCACATTGCCCTCCAATGGACTTGCAGCCTGGAACGAGATGAATGTAACACAGGTGCACCCAAGAGCTGTCTGGTGACGCATGGCGATAAGACAGCAGACAGAGAGGGCTCGGATAACTGCGGCGCAGCGATGCGATGCTACATTCTAGACGGGCAAACGCAGACACAGTACAACACCGTGGGGTGAACATGGCGTAAGACAGGGAAACAAAGGAAAAAGGCAGTGTTGCTGGTAAACGGACATGGAAAGGTTGCATCCAAACGCGCATGAAACAAACATTCAATGGTACATTCAAATGTATGTACGAGCAGTCAAGCACGCCCGTGACTCTGATTTGCCGCTTCCCCAAAGAGGACTAGCGCACGAGACTCCGCCACTAGCACCAGAGTAAAAGCCCCGCTCCCTCTTCAGCCTTCCCACCTCACCACATCACACATCCATCCATCCATCCACCCACCCATCCACATCCACCGCAGCCTCAACCTCAGCACACCCGACCACCACAAAACATCAACCGTCTTTCCAACCAGACATATGACAACACAAATTCAGAATCTTCAATCCTTCGTACGTAAAGCCCACACACAGCGTGATAGGGACATATTGGACTGACCGTCTGCAGGATCCGTTCGCGGAAGCCGAAGACTCGGTTGGCGACGTCAAGACTACTAGTCAAAACTACATCCACATTCGTATCCAGCGTGAGTTGCCCCCTCGACACCTCCTTCCATCGTTCCTCCGAACCTCTTTGTTGTACCGACAGTCGCGCTGACGTGCCGCAGAACGCAATGGTCGTAAGACCCTGACCACGGTGCAAGGTCTCCCCAAGAAATTCGATCAGAAGAAGATCCTCAAGGTCATCAAGAAGAAGTTTGCCTGCAATGGCACTGTCGTTGCCGACTCCGAGATGGGCGAGGTGATCCAGCTCCAGGGCGACCAGCGCAAGGATGTCCAGGAGTTCTTGACCGATAAGAAGGAGGGGCTGGGTTTGGATGTGAAGACCATCAAGGTCCACGGTTTCTAAGCTCATGCATCTGCCATGCCGACCCGCCCCCCGACATCCACCGAGTCCACTACGATTTCGGCCCACGCGATATCCTATCAAGAGACAACATACGGTCGCTCACCTAGTTTGCCCTTTGTTGGTTGGTGGGGCACTTTCACGGCGCAGCATGGCAGATACCCTATTCGGTCTACTCTTTTTTTCTTAACGATTTTTATGCTTTGAAGGAATAGCAACGGTTATTGAGGACTGTACCTCTTATGAGTTGTCGCTTTATCCAAACAATGCGTGGCGATGAAAATCACAGCGGACCTATGTAACGCAAAGTGCTCAGGTCCGAGGGGCCGTGCTTGTTAGCCGAATGCACTGGGTCCAGCTGCACATTTCATGTTCGGGGAATTATGTTTAACTGCATGTATTGAGTTATCAAATGGCAGTAGCACTTTCGAGAGAACACATATAAACGTCTTCCAGTTCTGGGTTACGTCTGCTCGCTCGGACTTGTGTCACTGTAGTCTGGTCTAGACCAGATTGTCCGCAACCAATAGAGCGCCTGTGTTTCACATAACTTTCATAAAACCCCAACATTCCTCTCCTTGAAACAAACAAGCGCCATGTTACCTATTCCGCCTCGGCATCTCGATGACCGCCTTTTGCCTCTTCCCTCACAACCCTCATCTCCTGCTTCCTAAACATATCAGCCAGCTCACCGGCCTCAGTAGCCTCCTCAACGCTCTTATCTTCCCTGACCTTCAAAAACCTAGGAAACCTCGTGCTCAACCCCCTCTCCTCGCTAACCAACCCAATAGCCGCCGTATACGTCGGACTCAGCGTCAGATCCGCAAACGCAACCTCCCAAACCTCTTGGGGCTGGAACCAGACATCCGGCTCGCCGCCGCCGCCGTTATAATCGACATAGGACGGTTTAACCGCCATGCCACCGGTGGATCCAGCTTTGCGGACGACATTTGTATTCTCCGGGTCATCAGGGTCGTATTTTGCGCGATGCGCTTTGTAGAAGGCGTCGGTGAAGCCGGACATGCATTTTGTGAGGGCTTCGAGCTGGCCCGTGTGCGCGTTGCGGACCGCGAGGAGGATCGGGGACCACCATGCTGCTTTGCGGCCGGAGCCGTGGAAGCCCGCGATGGGGATGAGATCGAGCGTGTCGGAGGACGCGGCGTAGTCTTTTTTCACTTTGAGCCATGAGTCGAGGCGTTTGTCTGGTTCGTAGGTTGAGAGGAGGGCTTTGCGACGGCCGCTGTGGGGACGAGGGGTGGGATCGTCGGCGGTGTCTGTGGAAGTAGGGACTGCTTTCGCCTTTGAGGGGTTGGTTTTTTTCTTGGGGGTTGCAGGTAAGGAGGGGGCTTCTGGCGAGTCGTCTAGGTCGACTTCGAGGTCCGGGTTGAGTGCGTTGTCGAGGACTTTGACCATGATGCCTTCGCATTTGGTATCCGTTGCGCTTTTGAAGAAGGATTGGACCACTTCTACGTCGGCTGATGTAGCGTCTAGGCTTTTGACCCAAGTGAAATGATGGGGGATCTCGATGAACAGGCTACGCAGCAGATTCCTTCTTTCTCGGAACGAGCGATTAAGCAGCTCTTCACCGTTCAGATACATCAGATCGAAGGAGAAAAGGCAGACATCGATCGTGACACTCCCAATGACTACATCCTTTCTGGCACGGTTGGCAAGGGTTTGGAAAGGTTTGAGCTCGCCGCTCTGTCGATCGATGGCTACGACCTCTCCTTCCAAGATAAAACTCGAAACGCCCTCGCCTCGTATCTTTGGAACCATGGCCACCAAGTCTGGATATTTGTCCGTCATGAGCTCTAGATGCCGTGAAAATATCGTCACTTTTCCTTTGTCGTCACAGTGAACCTGGGCTCTTTGTCCGTCATACTTGAACTCGCAGCTGAAATCCCGACCTTGCAGTTTGGTGAGCATCTCGCCCATATCGCGCGTGATGGAGCCCAACATAGGTCGAAGCGGCACGTGTAAGGACAGTCCGCAACGGATAAGCAATTCGTCGCAGATACCAATCTCAAGTAATGTAGGAATCAAGTCATTGTAGTTGGGACGGCGGGCAAAGCTAGCTTTGACAATCTCCTCGTTTCGTGAATAAATTGCGACCAGATCTTCTTTCTTCATCTTCCGCATTGCGTCTGAAGCGCGAACGTCGAAGTCGGCACCAGAGGGTTTGGATAGCATGAAGGCGCGTGACAATGCGATCAGCATCGTTGTCTTGACAGCTCCAATCCGCAAATGTTGTACCAGTGTCCGAACAATATACCGGCTCTCCTCCGCGCCCCTCGCATCTTGCACAAGCCTCTCTACGATTCTTTGCTTCGTTTCCACGCTTCCCTGACCTTTGCTGTTCGCGACCTTTACCAAAGAGTCAAAGACGCTCTTGATTGTCAAGGGCTTCGGCTTCCGCAGCGTGAACGACTGCCTCTTCTTGGCTTCGAAGGCCACATCGCCTGGGTCGCCATATTTGCTATATAGAGTCTTGAGGCCCGCGTTGTCCAGTCCGCACACCTTCTTCAATGCCTTTGATATAGCCGACCCGCCTAGTCCAAGCTCAAGATCGATGTACGGCGGGGATATCGAATTGGTCGCTAGCCAAACCGCGGGAAGCAAGCTCTCGGGATCGCCCTCGATAATCGTCCGCAGCAGATTGACCAAGGTATCAACAATCTTTATTCTGCTTGTGGTACTGTTGATAAGGACAAAACACCGCGTCAAGAGCGCATACGTCGCATGTCCTCCATCAGAAGCCCAGTGCTTCTGGAGATCAGGTATGTATTTGACCGGTGAAAATTCGAGAGGGCTTTGGTCGAACGGGATGTTGTTCGAGACGGTATCTTCGTCTGCGGCGGTAGACTGGAGCGATAGGGTATTTTGCTGTTTCTTTGGGGTTGGGGGCTTAGAAGGCTCGTCGGGTGGCTTCCTCGTGTCTGATTTATTAGCTGTGAGGCTGCCTTGCCCGTCAAGCACGCTGTTGTTTTGCGGCTGCTCAGACTCTCTGCGGAGCTCTGTAGCATTCGCAGATGCAGCAGCCGCATTGCGATCTTCAGCATCCCATTCTGCCTGTAACTTCCTGGCTAATTGCTCGTCGGTCAGAGTAGAGTCGTCGCCTTCGTTCAGCCCGTCGACAGTCGTGGGTGTTTCATCCTTTGGTTGCTCAGCGTCTGGTTTAGCGTTTGCTCTTTGTTTTGCGAAGAAGTAGTTCAAGTTTCGAACAGGCTGGCTTGAGCCATCGTTTTTCTTGCGGCGCTTTGTGGGACTCCCCATGGTGTTGAAGGGCGCAAGGCAATTCCATCGTGAATGCTTTCGGCCATTGTCGTGAACCGCGTTCGTGCACGTCATTGATTGATTGGGTGCTCGGACCACAATCGCTGGTAGCCGCCAATCTCACATGGAAGATCATCGACATCGAACATCTAAGCTTGCATGAACTATGTAGTTCTCAAATTCTAACTCCTCATAATGAGGTAGACACGGATGTGTTATAGAATCATTTTTTTCTTCATGGGAACCTGGACCAGTATTATGAAGTGTTACGATACGTAAAGCATTCGAAAGCAGAAAGCAAAAGATCGACACGTGATAGCATAATTCACGCTTTCGATGGTTTTTCAAACATTCAACATTCCCAAGTAGGGATATCTGAACATATAGGTGAAACCCATAGATACCGAGCATGACTCTTCCGGGAATAATTGTATTATACCCCACATGCACATGCACCACTAACTCTAATATTGAATCCTTCTAAAGTCCTTCTAACATTTTCCCCGAGCCTCTATACATATCCAGCCACTAAGACAAGGTACCTTCACACGATTCACGTCTATACATATAACCCTCTCTTCATTTCCTCCAGCTTCCTCTGCACATTCGCCCACGTCTCCTCCCTATACGTCCCTCCCAACCACCAATTCCCATCATGGTCTTTGCCCAAACAAACCGCCGCGTTTCTTATACTCAACATCTGCATCGACGGCATAGTGTAAAGCCCGACTGGCTTACCCACAACGTGCTTCCTCGCCGTCTCCCCATCTCCCTTCACGACCGCGGCGCTGAAATCCACGTCGAAGAATTTTCCTTTGTCCCAGTTGGTGAAAGGCGCGATTACCATGTCCGCTCCTTCGCCGAAGAGTGGGGGCTAGGGGGTGTAAAGTCAGCGAAAAGGCCAGCGTTCATATGAGGTTTTGTCGATCGTGACTCTGTAGGGGTACTGCGTGATACGTACCTGTCCAGTAGCAGCATACGATGCCCTGTACAGTCTCATATTCGCGTTGATTTGAGGCCGTGTAGTCTGAGCAGCCAAGTCTGATCGAAGACGCGCTGCAACTTGTCCGAGAGGAAGGGCAAGGATTTCGTCGAGCTGGAAGAAAGTGCTTACACCAGTGACGGCGTTGCCGACGAAAGCGTCATCTTTGGTTAGGATTTTGGGTTCGGTGTTTCGCAGTACATCGTTCATGTTGAACATGTTCATTATATGGATGATGCGTGTGGGGGGTGCGGTTAATGCCCAGGGCTGGCATGAAGTAAAGAGTCGGTGCATCTGCCTCGCGGGTACATCGTCAGTAGTGTTCGACAAGTGGGCCTTAAACGGTCTTTTAGATACATGGAATGCTCCGTGATGTACGTACCCAGGCGCCTAAGATATCACCATCAGAAAGGAAAGGTGTGGGTTTGTCAGGGTTGCGGGTGTCCATGACCAGCGAGGACTTATCCTGCATCGCCTCGAGATCTCTCATTGCTTCTGCTCTGATCTTCGCGAAGAATGGAGGGGGAATCATGATCATGCGAGATTCCTCGGCGCGGTACAACGTCAACTCCCATATCATGTTGAAGGCGAACTTGTAGAATTGGGAGTTGGTTATTGCCTTCTTCTCGAGCACGTATCTTTCCTCGTGCTCGTCATCCAGGTCCAAACGCGCACCAAGGGAGACAAGGGGTGACATTTGTTCGCCCATCAGGTTGGGAACATCTTGATCCCGTCCCTCGAGTATTGCTGTCCACGCCTTGATGATGGCATTCTGGCTCATGGCATCGAATAGGACGTGTGGCCACTTTATAATCACCAAAGTTGCGTCCGTGAAAGATAAAATGCGCAAGTTTAGCGCTGCATAGTCTCCAAAGCAAAAGTCCTCGATTTTGGTGGGACTACCTTCAGCGACAAGCAATGGGCGCAAGAACTCGAAACCAGAGCTGACTTGCACGGAGCCATCTGCACGTGGAAGCTTAGAAGCAAGCGGGTGCTCATCAATCCTCGTGGCGTGCTTCTCATGGGTGAACGAAACGGCTGGTCTTTCTGTTGAGAATTCCTGGGGGATGTGACATTCAAGTTTTCCTTCGGCCTGTATCCCAAGATCAGTTCATATCCTCCTCGGACTTGTAAATAATGACAATGCTTTCATACGTTAAGTCGGAGTCTCCCGCCCAGTCGTTTCCACCCTTTCTTTTCTACCAGCTTCTCCAGCGCGTGAATGAGCTTTTTCTCATCGAGCACATCATCAAACAGCATAGCAAAATCAAGGATCATACTTCGATTGGTCTTCGTATCTGCCCGCAGAGAAAAGACAAAAAAAGTCCAACAATTAGCAAATCATTTCCCCAGCCGCAACACTTTGCGCATCACCATGATATTTTTCTTTTTTTTTTCTTTTGATAAACATACCATCCAGCCAACCTAACGGGATAACCGTATCGGTAGGAACACGCTCGACAACGCGTTTCCCCCTCACCCAATCGAACCACGACGCCATCCTCTATAATGGTCTAATCCTGTTTTTAATCCTACGATAGAAAGGAAAAACTGGAACCCGAGAATACAAGCAACATGAACAAAAAATAACCAACGAAGTAAAACGTGCAAGAAAGTAGTCGAACAACAAAAGCCTTCGGAATTTAAGGAGAACGACAAGCCGAAGGAAGGAGAGGCTTGACACTTGAGGTTAGCATGAAGCAACCGTGCGATGCCGAATGTGGAGATTGTAGCGTGGACGCCCCTTCTCATCCCCGGTCCGATTCGTCAACGGGGCTAGGAGCATTGCGTTTGTTGTATTTGCACAGCCACGGTACTAAGGAAGGCGTTTGGCTTGTTTACGGTTCGAGTATTCTGTGTGTAGCTAGATCCCACGAGGAGGTGACATGTGGTGTACGAGCTGGTGAAGGGTAGTTGCGGGAGGTGACGAGTTCGGAGCGGAGGTCGGTGCACTGATTTCTGGGCTTTGGAGTTGAGGCTGATTGGGAATTCGAGGACCGACTGCACTAAGTTTATGAAATGGAAATTGGTTATTACAACAGCCTCATCTTCGTTCAAGTCCCACGTACAAAAAAAGACACCCCGAAATTGTATGGGTATCCAGCTAGCTAGCATGAAAACCAACACCATACATACAAAATGTCTTCCACATTTGAAAAAAGGGAATATTATCATACAAAACTAACTGAAAAAACTACAACAAGAACACAAAGGGAACAATAACATCCCCTCCTCCCCCAAACCCATCAACAAAGATCCAAAAAAGACTAACCACCTCTCAACCAGCACAATTCTCCACACCTTCCTCCGTGCCAAAGGCTCAAGACAGCATATCTACTATCCCAATCAACATCCCCTAGCAATTCATCTCTTCGACTTCTTTCCTACAAAGAAAAAACAGTGTCAGTACATCCCATATCACTCTCCCCCCACAGCCCCAAGTCAATCAATCAGATGATCTGCTTACCATACTTTGTCTGGTTGACAAACAGCCTCTTAACAGGCAAAGGCGGCAAATAGCCCTCGTCGTCGTCGTCGTCCTCGTCGGGCAAAGGCGATGGCGTCGTACCCTTCTCCACCGTCTTCTTGGTAGGTTTCTTGACCTTCGCCGGAGCGGCCGCCTTCTTCATTTTCTTCTTTGGTGCAGCTTTCTTCGCTGGCTTCTTGGTAGCTTTGGGCCCAGCAGCAGCAGTGGTGGTGGCATTACTTTTCTTTCTGGCAGCCTGTTTAGCACCCGCAGCGGTAGCGGTGGCATTCGCCGCATGCCCCTGCTCAACTAGCCCTTGATACACGCTATCGAAATCGTATGTCGCGGGCCTGTTTACGTTCCGCCCGCTGCGGCGGGTTGCTGCGGGAGGAAGTGTGCGCGCTGCCGCTCCCTTCTTTCTCGCGGGCTTAGGCTTGGTGACTTTGTCGGCCTTGGCCTTGGTCTTGGACTTTGGCTTCTTCGCCTTCTTTGCCGTTGAGTTTTTGGAAGGTTTGGGTTTAGGTGGACTGCTGGATTTTCGTTCGTTTTGCACGGTCGTTGAGGATGTACTCGCGATACGTTTGGAAGGGCGATTCGATGATGGGGTTCCTTGGAGGAGAGAGCTGGGGAGAGAGCTGAGCGGGGAGCTGAGTGGGGAGCTGGAGCTGATCTTGGAGTTTTGGGGGGAGGATCGTTTGCGTGGGGTGGCCATGATGTTTTGTTTGTGCTCGTGTGTGTGTGGTGAGTAATAGACGGTAATTCGTGGTCAATGTAACGAGGTGTACAAGGGTATAGAGTTCGACTCTATATCTGAGATACCTTTAGTGTTGAAGAAGAAAGAAGGAAGAAGAGGAGATCAAAGAATTGAGAAAAGGAAGAATGGGGAAGTTTAAATAACGCAGACGGACAGACAGACACCAGGTATACCTACCATGTTCCGGATGCGGCATCCCCATCGCTATGTCCCCCCTCCGTAAAAGAATTAACAGTTAGCAAACAAAGAGACTCAATCAATCAATCAATCAATCACATCTGACAACATCCAACTACCTCCCCATTCATTCATTTTGAAGGGAGGGTGGGGGAACGATTGATGCTGACTGCAAGAATGCATCAATGAAAGGGGACCTGGACAGCAGGCATGCTCTTTGTTCTTCCAGCAAAAACGCCGTTGCTAGACCGTTAGACATTGGAGAATGTCCAAAGGTTGTTACGCTGTGGACCCTTTCTTCTCCGGATCCTTTGTTCGTTCTGGCCTGTTTAGTGGACAGCTTTGAGAACGGGTATTTCGTTGTGATTTTTCGGGGTTTTGCGGGGACCCCCAGAGTTCTGAGGTGCTATGAATACGGGGGAGGATAGGATCTGATACTGTGCAGATGGCAGATCATGACGTGCAGTTCATGAGTGAGTGATGCTTTGCTCACGCTACTGGAACGGAAGAAGATGCAAGATGATTGGGGTTAACGACACACCCTCTCAAGATTACAATCCAATATTATCGGAAGGCACGTGGGCACTATGCTTCTAAATCTAATCTAGTGAATACACCATGTTAACAAGCCCGTATACACAAACATATACACATATATACATATCTACGAGAACAATCCCAGTCTCCTCAAGGTGCTTACATGCACCCTGCCATGACCACCCGAGTCTTTTAGCCTACGCTTGGCCAATGCTATGAGATCGCCTCTTCTATGCCAGAAGTCATTTTCGAGTTTTTGTGCTGCTTCCAGTCCCTCGACTTCTTCGACGAGCCGCAAGACCCATTGCAACCTCCGTGCGGAGACAAAGTACCGAGCCGAAAGCGGTCTTGCAATGCATGACTCGACAACAGCCTTTATGAAAAGAGGTGGAGGTTTTTGGGCGCTGTTTTTGATGTATTTGTACATGGTATAGATGGAGCGCCAGCTCTGGCGCGGGGTGAGCGAGGGGTCAAGCGAGTATTGGTTGGCGAGTTGAGCGAGCAGAGCGACGCGCGTCTGGATGGAGGTGTATATGTTGACGTCGCGGTAGGCTAGGGGGAGGATGTTGTTGTCGCGGGCGCGCTCGAGGATGAAATTGAAGAATTGTTCGGATCGGAGTTTGTAGACCTCTCGACTCAGGTTTGCTGTGCCCAGGCTGGCGACCTTGACCCGCAATTCCTTGCACGCAGCAAGAAGTACAATATAGCGTTGGCGTTCTCGTTCCGTGAACAAATGGTGAGTCTTGGAATATTGCTTCAATTCTTGGGTCCTGTGTTTAACGAAGTCTGCCAGGAACGAGGTGTTCGAAAGTGGGATACCCCGGTCTGCAATGCGCCCAAGCAAGTCCAACACGGGTGGCAAGCCGTGTTTCCTGTAGATATGAGGGATCATCAACTCGATTACCCCATGATTAGGCAATAGTGACTCGTTTAACTGATGAAGGAGCTCCGGTAGTATCTCGTCGAATGGCAGGGAGTCGAGCGTATCTGTATCTGCATCGCGCATATACGTCTCTATAAACAGAAGTAAGCGCGTGGTACGCTTTCCGTCCCATGAGTGATGGCTGATCAAACTGTTCAGAAGAGCGTATAATACAAGGTGCTGTGGCATATGAACAGCACCTGGATTGACCCAGCTCGAGACCAACCGGTGAAAAGCCATCAGTGACGTAGACACGCCGTCTTTGAGTTGGTCCGATCGGCGGTCAATCTGAAAAGTCAGCTCGATGAAACGCTGAACTGCTGTGTAGGCACGGCCCTTGTTCAAGTTTGGGAATAAATGCATCGCCCATTCGTAGACCAAGTTATGGGGAACACACTCCAGAACCTTGACAACGATCCGGTGAATGGCATGCTTGTCCTCTGATCGTAGATGGGGTCCCATCAGCCTGCCAAAGCGCGGCATAGCAATGTAGGCGGGACCATTGAATATGTATAACAGGTGGGTTCGAAACTGAGAAGCAGACAATTTCTCGCACAAATTGCGCAAGAAGGCCCAGGCAGTGGTACCCAATGTCCGATTACGGGCAGCCTCAGCACCCCATAGCCCACGGATGAGAAGTCGTAGAGCCAAGTCTTGACGAGGACCTTTGGAACCTTTAGCATTCCGATTCAGGCGTGCTAACTTTCGATAAAATTCGAGCAACAATCGAGGATGCTCTTGGACATTATGAAACATGGCATCGATTGTTTGCAATAGCTCCAATCCGCCAGGCGTATATATGCCGGGTAGCGCGACGCGCTCTGCAGCCAACAAACTCAGGATGAGACTGCGTTCGCATTGCACTGTAGAAAGGTATCGAAGTACGAAAATGACATAATCGCAAGCATCGGCTGATGCTGAAGGTGAATGAGCATCGAATAAGTGAAGAAGAGATTCGCGGGGGGCAGCTGCACGAGACAAGTCGGCAAGATCCAAGTGGGTCTTGAAGTCGTGGAAACAAGTGTATGCATCTCTGGGGCGCGATTGTGTTTCGGTGGTGATATGGACGGTAGTGATTGAATCATCGTAGGCGGGTGATTCTAATGTGGGAGCGGATAGGGCATCTGGAGTATCGCAGACGGGTGGCTCTAATGCAGGAAGGGAAGAAGAAACGTTCGCTATAAGCCATGATTAGATATGGCTTGACTGTGTTAAAAGAGTTGACGGCACATACACGAATCAATGGGAAGATGCGACAAGGATGGCGGTTCGTATGTCCATTGCGGTTCCCGCCTCTGGCGGAAGGCAGCGAACAGAGCGCGGAGGTTGAACGACGGCGGTGTAAAAGCTTCGGAATCGTGATAGGTCGCCTGGGCGGTCATCTTCCTCTTCGCTGCCCTTCGCTGAGCCTCCAATGGCCCCGGGACATGGCTGCCATGCCTTTTTTGATGAGGGCAGACGGCGCGAAAAAAGTGTGTTACGGTGCAAGACAGAAGGTCGTCGGAGATCCAGATATGCGGGGAGGAGGCATTGGGGTTGAACGAGTGCACTGCTCGACGGCAGGCAATGGGCGGGCTTCGCATGAAGCGTCGAGGGCAAGCATAGGCAAGACGAGTTGCATCTGGTGGAGCTTCACCTACGATGCGAGTTGTCGCGCCCAAGCTGCAGCAGCTCGGGACGATGCTTAGTCATTCTACCAGCCTCAAGCCACTGCTCGTTTTCTGTGATCAACACTTATCTACGCAACTTGCCCGATCTGGAAAGTTGAAATTGAGATTGCGTGCAGACATGGCGACGGCAGCAAAGAGACATGTTGCTTTTCTCCCTCCAGAGTCTATCTATCTGTGGGGGGTTCACAGGCACAGGCAGGTGATGATATGGCTTGAGCATGCAGCTATCATGGTATTGATTGCTCGTCGTCGCAAGCAACGCCTTTTGGCGGAACACGTTATGCAAGTGACGAAGCGGGACAGAAGGCTATTTAGGCAGCGGGACATGGAGTTTTGATGCAGGCTGGACGTTGGCAGGAAATTGGCATGTTTGAGTGTGAGATTCAACGTTTGGTGCACGACATGATGGAGCGATATTGCTTCCGGTGAGTGAAGGGAGCAATTCAATGAATACCTAGGTACGTACCCACGGTGCTAAAAAAGAGGGTTCGGACTAGGTGTAGATGGTGGGACAGGCGGTGGTGAATGTTGCGTCAATAGTGCAGGAGAGACAGGTTCTAGAGACAATTCGAGGATTGATGGGCGGCGATCGCGCAGGTCGCGGGCGTGTGGAGAAGGGGAGTGAGTGGAGTCGAGAAGGTCGAAGAAGGACTTTGGTTAGTAAGGAGAGGCACGCGTCCTCTCTCTTCTCTGTTGGGGTGGGGGGAATCAATCGGGCATAATAACCTTTTCCGGGAATGGGCATGGCAACGCGGTGGCGACATGGCAACCGCACCGAATAGACTTTTCTGGCAGCGTGGATTCGGTGGTCAACGTTTATTGTTTCTCTCTACCCTGCGTTTTTGGCCGTCGTTGTTGTGGTTGATGATGATAAGTGATGAGGATGGGGATGAGGATGGGGATGATGGTTCGGCGTGGGTGTGCGTTGGCAGGCAGGCAGGCAGCGTCAGCGGGTGGGAAGGATGGATGGATTGGGCGTTGCGGCTAACCCACATTACGGCAGCGCCAGGCACAGCGACGTTGTGAGTGGCCCGAGGCGGGCGGACAGGCGACGCTGGCGCGCCCGGGATGGCTTGGTGGGCTTGGAGGCCGTCCTGAAAAGGTTTCAAGGCACGGCCTATCTGCCGGGCTGATCAATATATGGGAGCAGAGTCACCAACAGCGGCGGCTGCACATAAGCAATACATTATAATATCACATACGCAGACAGACAGACAGCCATGGTATGATACTCATGAATACGATAGATGGATAAACAGACATACAGAGAGAGGAAGAGATAAGAACAGGTGCTGCACAACCACCTAGGTACATAGTAACTCCGCCTCACCCAGGCAGGCTGGGGGGCTTGCTTCTGGGCCCTCAATGCCTTGGTCATGGCAATCAAAATGAGTGGCTACACCGGCTGTCGGGGTTTGCCTGCCTGCCCACTCGAGCGCCTGTGCGTCGCCTGCCTGCGTCTGCTTCGAGTAAAGGCGGCCCGTGCTTCATTTCATCTCCTGCCGTCCCCCCTTCGCTGCCCTGCCCTGCCCTCTGCTCTGCTCTCCTCCCTCGCTCCCTTCATTCACCCTCGTTTGTGCCTGTCCGTCCGCACTTTGATTGACCCACTCTCTCATCCGCCCAAGCCCGCCCGTCGTGTCGTGTCGTGCCTCTGCCCTCCTGTCACTCCTTGCTTCTCCCAGTCTTTGCACCTTTCCTTTTCTCCTCACCCTCGTTCACTCTGCTTCCATCGACACACTCTCGTTTGTGCCGCTGCCCATCTGCCACATTCCCCCTCTCCACCAAATCAGGGGCTGTATCTCGGTTTCACTCCAACCCGGCATTCCTGTGTCCTACACGACCCGTTTCAACCCATCCCCATCTCTTCCTCTACCATCACCATCACCACCATCCAACGCCTGCGCCGTCACTTCCTCATCTCCCCCGTGTGAACTCGCCGACGTCCTCAACGACTCCCATCCACGCCGTCCCTCCACACCTGGATCCGGCCACGGGACGCCCTACGACTCCACGAGCAAATCTTTTCATGTGTCTGCCGCCCACCGTCTAGACACACAAACGGTACACCGCCTACCGAGTACCGCCTTCGATACACCTGGACACTGACCGTCAACAGTTGGTCTTTGCTGGCGAAGCGCCTCCATCAATCGTCCATCTACTCTCCCTAACCCTTCCGAGTCGCCCATCATGTTCACCATCAACCACCTCTCCGCCTTGGTTGCGGCTGCATCCTTCATGTCTGCTACCTCGGCCGCTTCCTGGACATCGTCCTCCGTTCTCCAACTTCCCACACCCACAGCCAAGGCCGAAGGAGCGGCCACCATGGATATGATCGGGTGCTTCAACAGCAGCGCTCCCCTCGACGACCACGGTCCTGGTACCTTCCAAACCGATGGCAACTGTCAGCAGATCTGCCTTGGTTTCAAAAAGCTCGTCCTCGGCTTGTCAGACGGCGACAGATGCTGGTGTGGAGACATGTACCCAGCAGAAGACTCAAAGGTTCCCGACACCGAGTGCGATGTTGGATGCCGCGGTAGTCCCAAGGAGGTCATGTGTTAGTCTGCCTGTTCCTCCTAATCGTGACCCAACCAATGCTAATATATTGTTACAGGCGGTGGCAAGAGGAAATGGAATATCTACAACATGAACACACGACCCACCGAACCCGATTACTTTGTCGATGACACCCCCTCCTCCTCCTCGGCGTCCTCGAGTGCAGTGGCCCAGAAAACCAGCTCAGCCGCCAGCACAGCAGCTGTTACTCAAACCCAGTCCTCAGCTCCTCCTCCCGAGAACAAGCCAAACACTGCCGGAATCGCTGCTGGTGTCGTGGTCGGTGTCGTCGCTCTGGCTGGCATCATCGGCGGTGTATTCTTCTACCTTCGTCACAAGAAGAGGCGTGACGTGGAAAACGAGTACCGCAACCGCGCCTCCGTCAACAACTTCGTCTCCGGAGGCAAGATGCACACAAGCAACTCTTCCATGACCGATTCTCGTCTGGATCCCGAGTTCATGGCTAGACGGCAAAGCAATGGCAGCATTGCTGACAACGAAGATTATTCACGGCGGATATTGAAGGTGCGTAGTAGTCTCCACTCTTGTAATCATGAGAATCATATCAACTGACGAAATCATTAGGTCACCAACGCATAGATGCGCTAACGAAAGCAACGGGTGCTAAAACGTTCATGCTGACGCTTGTCTACCGATTCTCACCTGCTGTCACGAAAGAAAGAAAGAAAATCTCCTGCCGCCTGTCTCGGTTGAAACTTTTTGTCAGTGTCCACACGCCTGACAAGAGCAACGGCGCACTTGCAAATCCTGCTGGCTGCGTATTCGAACCTCTTCCACGATAGGTCGGTCTAGGGCCCTCGTCTTGTGTTTATATATTCTGGGCTGTTACATTCGGGCGTTTGGGGTATATTTAAACGGGTAACTATTGATCACTCTAAACCGGCGCGCGGGGCATCTTGGGTCTAAACCCCTTATTTTCATTTGTTCGCTCCTTGTGCCTCCATCGATCCGATTTCTCCTACTCGTCGTAAGCGTGAAATACGACGAGTTGAAAGGAGAAGCGGCTCTGACCTTACCTACCTATCCCTCCTGTACTGTCGTGATAGTGTCGCTATCACTTCCAATATCCATCAAAACTCCACGATCTTCCCCTCTTAATCTCTCCATCTCTCATGTCAATGACATTCCCTTTTTTTTCCCTATGTGTACCACGCATATACCTCTTGCATTCAGCGTGGCTTGGCTGTTGCTTCCCTGTGGGCCAGACCAGACGGGCTGCGATTCTTCTTCACACAATGTCATATAGCCCTTTTTCTTTTCCTCTCCCCTTTTGTTTTGGTCTCTTTCTCATGCGCCTCTCATAGTCGAATGGAAGAATAAAATCAAATCCAAACAATTGTCCTTTTGTGTAGCCGCGTCTTGGGGCCGTGACTGCCCTCCCTTCCCTATCCCCCACCCCCGCCCCCACAATAAAAACACTGCCATCCATTCAACATCATGCGTTGAAAGACAATAGAAAGAAGAGGTAGAGAGAGCGAGAGCGAGAGAGAAGACCACAAACAAAACAACAACTTGGTGAAAAACGCACATTGCGTAGACAGACAGACAGACAGATGATTCCTAGGTTAGGGGATTAGTAGAATACATGTAGTCTGTCTGCTTTGAACAACGAAACCACAGCTATAGCAGTCGCAATGGCAATGGCAATAAAGCACCGTTTTGCCATGTCCTCGAGACATGATCTACACCTTTTTTTTTTCTTTCTTTCACATTCCCTTTCCCTTCATGAAAGGAATAGTGGTGTAGTATAGTTATATTTCTTCCCAGATTTATTCACTGCCGTGTTAAACGTGCTGTATCGATTAATACCTCACCTATGTGTGTATGTATGTATGTATGTATGTATACAGGCGATCATAGTCTTTTATCTCACGCTCCCCCCCTCTCTCATTCTCTCATTCCGTCAGATATATGCAGCTGAACTCTATTTTATCTGTGTAGGTATGTATCTAGGGATCGGAAAGCCCTGCTACGTGTATCAACCCTATCGACCACTTCACTCACTCACGAGGAAGAGGCGTATGTACGTAACTGCAGATGATAATAATAAAACTTGACGTCAGAAGCGAGAAGCCGATGATAAATTTGGGAATGAGATCAGAGACGCACACACACACACACACTGCTGAGTCGCCCATCTATTTGTTTGTTTGGAACCTTGGTGTGCTGGACATACTCATGTCTCTGTGTGTGAGAGAGTGTGTGTGTGGAGGTTATCGGAGATGGTGTGTGTGTATGAAACAACGAGACGGACTGCCCATGAAACATAAACATCAAACAACAAAAGCGGGCGGTGTCACGACTCCGGCTCATGACCCCGACTCCGTTCGTATGTATGCACGCATACTGGAATCGTGAGTTTTGTTTGGATCGAGATCACAGCAACTTCTTGTGAAACTTCTGCACAAGGCTTCTTCTTCTTCTTCTTCTTCTTCTTCTTCTTCTTCTTCTTCTTCTTCTTCTTCTTCTTCTTCTTCTTCTTTCGAAACAAATCGAGAAACCCATCAAAGAACAGTACGTGCTAGATCGATAAGACTACACGCGCAGAGCTCGAGACTATGGGGTGTAAGTCAGCAGTGTTTGAGTGTGTGTAGGATAGGTAGGTAGGCATGTCACTGTGGTGTCTCGGGTAGTCGCTGTTTCGAGCCTGCAGATGAGATGAGTGTATGTGTGTCTACCTGCCTGCCTGTCTGTCGTGTTAATAATAGAATAGCCTGCATGGCGTGACGTGGGGGGCATTCGGTATTTGTGGGGTTTGATTGGGATTGGATTTAGAGGATGTGCTGTGTATAGATGTAGGTGTGATTATTTCTTGTGCTTGCTTAGGGTCTAGGTGCGGTTTGGTGTGTTGAGGATAGAAGATTTATATCATTATACTTGTAGGATACGTCTTCAGCTGGACTTCAAGGGTTGTATGGTGTGTCTTGCGTTTTGTAGGATAGGTGGGATAGAAATTAGTAGACAGCAGTTGTGTACGAATCAACTGAAGATCTATTCTCTACTTTATTTCAAAGCACGAGAGGATCCGTGATGAATCAACCATCAGGTCTGCGACATAATTATATCACGTATGCTGTGACACTGCCTTTCAAATGAAGGATTTCACGAGACGTGAATGAAATCTGTTGTCATTCACATCTCCAGTGGTATTTTATTTTTTTGGGATGGAGCTTAGGTAATCCTACACACAGCGATGGATTACAATGAGGAATAAACCAAAATAACGAGCGATAACCAAAAATTCAAGTGGTATTTCATAGGTTGTCGTTCTAGGATGGAAAAGGAATATTGAAAGAATGGCCGGAAGACCACACACAATCTAGTATCTCTCAATCAACCATACCCTCCGTTTCGAAGCTTCCATCTGCCCCGAAATCTCCTGATCCCTCTTCTTACTCAACAGGTACTCCTCCACCAAACCCTCTGGAAGTGCAGTCTGCAAGTCTTCGTCTTCACCAAGTACCTGCATCGCCTCCTCTACCGTCTCCGGCAATTCCCCAAGCATCTCATAAGGCACTTTGCTCTCCACAACATGAGACGATTCATACTCTGCGTCTTGCGATCCAGCACCGCCCTTATCCCCCACAAGTCCCAGAGATCCAGCCGCGATGATGGCAGAAAGCGCGAGATACGCATTTGCGAACCCATCCATGCAGCGTATATCCCATTGTCCAGGTGATATACGCTGAAGTGGGATATTGATATCGTCTTGCTCCCAAGTATGCCATTTGTCAGTCGTCCATGGGTCGTCCACGATCTTCCTGTACGATTCGGCTTCAGGCATGGTGAATGCAAGAATGGAAGCCAAGTGATGCGCAATGCCATTCGCAAAAAATTGCATATCCTTTGAAGGCGGATCGATAGAGATATGCAAGCATGCAGCTGAATTGATACCTGCGAATGGTTGAGGGTGTAGCGTCGCTCTCCACCCATGCAAAGCAGCGAGCTGATGAATGACTTGGCGTGCTTGTAAGAGAGAGTCAATGGCCGCAAGTGGCGATTGCGGTGACAGGATGAATTTATACTGCCCAGGTCCGGATTCGGCGTGGAATTGTTGTAGCTCAATGTCCATTCCCGACAAGGAGGACACTATTTCTGGGAGGAAGGGAAGTTTGATCCACTGTTCTGGAGTAATGGCATCTTGCGCGTTCGTGTCCATGATTGGTGAGTATGGTTGTTCCGGGTCAAGGGGGTTGCGCGAGAGGAATGTAACATCTATCTCGAATCCACAAAGCAAAGCAATGTTGTGATTGTATTTGAGATTATCAACGAGATGCTCGAGATTTGTACGAGGGCATTCACGAATTGGCCGACCAGATTCATCTCGCCAGAAGCACAGAACTGTTGCAGATGGTAAGGAGTCTTTCTCGTGTGTTCTTCGCAGTGAACGAAGATCAGCCTCCACATATATTTGTCTGATAGGAATTGACTCGTGCTGAAGCATTCCAATCTTGGCGGAAGGTATCTTGATTCTGCTTCCAGAACGTATCATACGATAGAATTCCTTGATTGGTACAATGCGTGATCGAATGCTCGCCAGGTAGTCGAGCCATTGGACGTAGACGTATTTGACATTCTCGTGTTGCGCTAAGAACCTGTCTAGTAGTTGAGCATCGTAGACTTGAGGCTCTTTGGGTGGGGGTGGGAATGGAGGCGGCTCGTAACCGCCTTCGGGTGTACGAGATGCTGTTCGATTTATTCCAGTCGCAAGGGTGGGAGGGTTTGAGGCGGATGACATTGGAGCGGCAGACACCGGCTCGTCTCTCGACTCGTACGCAATTTGCCCCTGAATCAATGGCACTTCGTTAAATACCGCTTCGTACCTGAGGTCGTAGAGAACATTGGAATTATTGAACAGGATATCTTTTGTCAGAGAGATAGCTTGGTGCGGTGTAATATCATCATTGTTGATGTACTCGATGGCCAGCTGTTTGGAAATTGTCAACTCATGCTTTAATTAATAACTTGAGCGAGCAAATACTGGATTTGCTATAAAGTTATTATTCGATCAAATGGCAGCTTACCTCTAACAAAACCTCTCTAAATTGCCGGTTTGACAGCCAAAATGTCTCTGGAAAGACCCGTCCGCTCGACGAGAACAATAGTTTGCTGCCTGGCACGATTTCCAAAGACTCACGCAATACAGTCTTTTGGCCGTCTTTGCTGAGCATGGGGAACACACCGCCAAGGTCAAGATAAACGTGTTTGTAGACAGTGGCAAGGTAACTGGCCTCTCTTGTATAAGGATAGGACGCATGCAGCAATACAAATGGGACTTTCGAGTAGCCCTCAATGAGGGGCTGTAGATAAGCCGGGCTCGACTGTAAAAGGCTTATGTCATTGTCTCCTAGGCCGGTATGTAATTGGAATGGCTTCGAAAAGGCCTCAGGGTGAGTCAGCTGCTCGGACAACACCTCAAGCGTCCTAAAAAGTGGGATACGAGGTCAGTACAGTCCAACTGTCGTTTGTATAGCTGATCATAGATCGAAATGCTAAGAACCATGGTGAGTGGTTGCAACTTGCATTTCAGAATACGTACCTCAGCACTAGATAATCATTGAGGGGCTTTCTATTGATACGAAACTTCTTCTTGGTTAAACAACGCTCCACATACCGCTCGAAAGGATATGCCACTTCTTGCGCTGCTTGCTGATAGTCTGGTTCGATGTCTAACCCAGAGCGGTAGCATATAACGGACTTGAAGCCTGCAACGGAAGGATCCTGTACAGATTGGATAATTTCTCTTTCAAATTCCTCTGTGAAAGTCACCCACGTGTCTGTGAAGAAACTGGCATGATCGAGAGCGGTCTCTGGTACGTCGCGCAGTATTATTTGCATCAAGCTTTCAGCTACCGTCTCTATACGGACGATCCTTTTGCTAGGTGCTTTCATATACCGATCATGGAAATCGTAGGGGTAGACTCTATCTGGCCCGGGCATTCCATCATCGACGAGTAATGCATGCACGCCTTCGAAACAGCGTTGACTGAGCCGTTCTGGATTGGATTTGAGCCATTCGAGTCGCTGTTCAAGGATGTCCGCCCAATCAGCATCATCAGAACATTCATAGAGCTGGCGAAGTTGGCGTGAGGCTCTCAGATGAGCGAGTGACTTGGGGACATCGCGAAGCGCTCTTCCTTGAGCTTCCGACGTGATGGACTCGAAGGGGATTGCATCGCCAAAGGCTGGTAGGATAAGGTTACTGGTGTGGTGATCGATGATAGGGTAGTTGTTGACAATGTAACGCAGCTGCTCGACCGTCGGACTTGGAGTTATATCTGACGGATACATGATGCTGCCTCTGACTGCAGACTGTATTAATGTAGGGTATGTCTAGTAATGTCGTATGACTTATAGCCCTATCTTCCAAGGCTCACAAGCTTACTAGCTTCTAGACAGTTCAGATTGTGACAAGCCAGAGCAGAAAATTTAAGTGATAATGGTAAGCAAAGAGAACAAAGACAGAGATGATCATCAACTTGGCATTTGTTTCTGCCTCGGACTGGCTATGATGATAAAAGATGGTGGGGGATGCCATCCCCGGTATCAACATCAGACGACTAGCTTGTCGCTTCCAAGGACAAATGTAGACTTACACATTCTAAGCCTTTTTCGGTTAGTCTCCTCCTATGACGTGCATTTTGTCACAGCTATCGATGTTTATCGATTTTTATGTGTTGAGTGAGCACTGTAGTAAAAAACACATCTGTGATTTTTTGTCCCTGCCTACTTTTTGTTACCTTTTTTATATACTTTTTAGGTGTAGGAACCACTGTAACTTCCAATCAAAAAAAAACTAAACACATCTGTGTTTCAGAAACGTGTTTTTTACTACAGTGCTCACTCAGCACGTAAAAATCGATAATAATATGTACTTGGCCTCTGGATAGCTCGGATACCGCAACACATAATTACCCAGGTATGCACAGGTCAACACCTGTACATTAGATACTATGTATGTCTAATGGACGTAGATTAGTTGTAGAGGATATGATGTCTTTCTAGTTGAGTCAAATTAATATATGTACGCTGTCGTGTATCGAGTACAACTTAGCTTACTACATGCATCAATTGATTTGTATATAAAACCTAGGAAGCACCTGTTCAAACAAACACTCGACCGAGTATATGAAGTCCCTTACGCTACCGAGAGGAAGGGATGATATATTCAAGATGAGCTCTGCGTTACCTCCACAGCATCCACCTCGCTTGCTTCCTTCATCTCCCATAGGAAACTGATGTCCTCGGGTCTTTTCACATCCCTGGGTCTCTTGGTGACCTACAAGATAAGTAAGCTGAAGTCAGCCGGAAATATCATTTGTGGTTTGACTCAGGGCGATACCATACTTACCAGCTCCAATACCCTAAGTTAAGACCGTCGCGTGTCTTCAATGGGAATGGATGAGCAACAACAAGTGCATTGTTTAGAGCTAAAACGGCCACCCAGTGGGCGATATGCAGGAAGTGTACCGTGGCAGATGGCTGATGAATAGTATGAAAAAATGAGTGTGCAAACAACAAAAGTGGGATAGTGAGTGTGGCTGAGAAGTCGAATAGAGGGAAATGATTGCACAGTTCGAACAAGAGATAATGGGGAGTGTGAGTATGATGATTACTCTTGAACGGTGTTGTAACTCGGCAACATGAATCCAGATTCAACTGTAAACATGCACACAGGGGTAGAGTATGAGTGCAATAAGCAGTGAGGAACTGATCCCTGGGTAGCTCGCATTGCCGCATTCATTTTGAGAGATGCTGCTGGCGTGATATTTTAGCTATAACCACGCGGTAATGGCATCAAAATCCTATGAATTCTTCGATGTATGCTGGTGTCACAGTGTTTTTTTCGCGGAGGAGTTCTCAAGTGCACAGATATCTCGAATATTTGATGTATTCTCTATTGGATCCCATAGCGTGCAAGGCTCGGCAAGACATATGTTCGCTTCATTCCACCAGTACTACTAGCTAGTAACAATCTACAATCCTATACCACCAGCCCAAAATTCAAAATACTCAAGTGAGGTAGATGACTAATCATAGCTTCAGGTGAACTATTCTGTGAAACTATCATTATGTTTATGCGTCTAGCTTAGTGTGTTCCGCCAGATTGATGATTCTACGGGTTTCAGCGAAAAACAGCAACCACAACTTGATTGCCATACGACACTAAACACAAAAACAATTGCAACGCTTTGCAATTTACTATGGATCACTTTCCACTGCACTATTAAGTCATATATTCTAATCTCTGCTTTTACGTATAGTTGTATCGCAACAGGCTTACGCAAAGGCAATTTCCGCTTTACTTTTTAGTTATCGCTTGTTTTTTTTTTAGTTTTTTTTTACTCTTATAACCCTTCGCTGTATGTCGGATCACCCAAACTGACTCCGAATCAATTAATTGTATATTAAGATTCTTTAGAGCTTTCCTTTTTATTTGTAACCTGCCTTTAGGGGTATGGTGTAGTTGTGCTTATTCAAACCCAGTCATTATAGAGTGAGTGGCTAAACAACATTCCTTGTTCATCACATGTCCTTTCCAGCTCTGCACAGTCCTCCGCGTCCCAGTCTTTACGATAATCGCCATCAAGGCTATATAAATGCTGTTGGCGCTGGGCCAGGGGTAACACAATGTTGCGGCTGCCAAGAGGCTAGCCAGATAGGGGCGCCAGCGGCCATTCACAAACGCACGTCTTTTCCATGTCGGGTGAAGGAATCACAACAGTGCGTAGAGATGGCGCAGAATATATAGCCATAGACAGGCACGTATGAAGTTGATTGATTATATGATTGGCTCAGTGTAAGATGCCTGAGGCATATATCTAGCCAGATCCGCGCTGCGATGGTCGCGTGCATGCCCACGCACACACACTCAAGGAGGGCACAGGAAAACCACGCATCGATTATTTCAGTCTGGTTTTCTTGTGTGAAATTCCTTGCGCCAAGACTGCTTCAATATTCTTTCCTTGGCCACGGAGAGTGGACAGAAGATCAAGACTGTAGCATCAATTTATACCGAGCTTTGCGCTGTCTACTTATGTATATTCCTTACCCACTCAATGAATTCAACATGCCCGTCCCCTCATGACAGTTGATGTACTCAAAAGACTGCTGTTCCGGTTTGAGGACCAAGATTTCGTGAAATAACTTCAAAGACAATTGGAAGTTCAATTTCTTTGCATACACAAGAAAGCCTCCGAAAATGTTGATGTGTGTCTGGTGCGATTTGCTCCAATACTCCAGAGAGGCCAAGTCGTCAAAGTAGCCTAGTCCAAAAGTCCGCTCCTGATCGGCCTTGTGAGTTGTAGGATCCACCACGTCCCACAGGTTCATGCTATAGCAGCCGACGTCTTTGCCATTGTCGCGGAGAAAATTCATGCCCTCGATGAGTACTGGGTGCATTGTCTCCAGATATAGCTTGCGTTCCTCCGGGAGAGTCCCCGACCAGTCTTGACCAGATCGGATGATGCATAGGTTTTTCTTGCCTTGGACTTGGACACGCTTGCCCAGAGTGTTGTGGCTCCCCTCAGTGGCGGCCGAAGCCTCCCATTTATCGCCCGTAAGTTGATCGGTCTGTGCTGCTGCCAGGCGATCTCTCATACTCCCCCAATAACCGTGTTCTTCTAGCTCGCCCGAAATCTTTTCCTGCATATTCGCAGCACCCTCGGGTGCCGAATGATTGGAGAAGATGGTTTCAAAACGCTCGAGCGAAGGACTGAGGACCTCAAGGAACCAGCCGTGGTCCTTCTCTGCGCTCAGGCTTTCCCACCATTTTAGGAATTCAGATTCCAGTGTCCATTGTTTGTAGACCTCAGTGCCAGACCAATACGCTATTACGCCGATGTTGAAAGCGCTCTTCTTGTCGGTTACGGAGACCACTTCCCAAAAAGCTGGCCGCAAGGCTTCCGGTCCTTTGGCCATGAACTCCTTGACCTGTGCAATGGCAGTTCCGTCATCGGCCGACGGCGATGAGAACTGCGCGCCGATTATAGCCATGACAAGATTGTCCATCTTCTCTGGAAACCGTGCACAATATCCCGGGAAAGGTGGCTGGAAGTTCTGAGGGGTGCCCACCGGGCACGTCCTCTCTGCCCTCATCTTCTCCGGGATGGCGCATTCCAGCATTTTTGAAAACTTGAGTAAATAAAGGTGTTAGTAATAGAGAAGGATCCTGTGGTTTGGAGGGGGGGAGAGTCGAATCAGTGCTGTCCTGTTGCTATCTATACCCAACCTGCCGGTACCCCTAGGACAGCGTGTAATGCAAATACTCGTAACCATTCACGGGGTTTCTATTGATCATTCACTCGTTACTGACTCGTGAAACCTCGTGAACCCTAGCCCCTCACTAAGCAAGTACGAGGTATCCCTGTCATTTACTCAGTGAGGCCGACTGCCGAGTTAAAGCAGCGACCTCCATCAGTTTCCGGCACTGGCCTCGTGGTGCCTCGTGCCATATGTGACAGGAACAATCCTGCTTGATTCGAGCATGAGTGAAGTAATAACGGATGAGAGATCAGCGACAAGAGTGTTCCCCTGTCAAAAAAAAATACCAGGTATCTCTCAGATATAGATCAGAGCAAGATCTTCTCCATAACAATGCGATGGTGCCCATAATCCACCGCTGTTTCCCTCTCGTTTGATCCATACATATGTATCTTTAGTCGAGTTGGCAGACTTTGCCTTGTTGTCAAATTCGTTGACGAGTATTACGCATTCCGCAGAGCGAGATGAGTAACCCTTTCCAGATAGAGGCGTGGTCGGAATATGGCGTGGGAATGGCGATTCTGCTGGTGCGCATTGCCTATCGCTGTACACAGGTTGGATTGAAGTGGGAGGGCGACGACTACTTTGCAGTTCTTGCGTGCGTCTTTTTTACGGTGAGTTTCACCCACTACTAGTGAGTCGCGCTAATAGCTGACGGTTGTACAGGCTGAGCTGAGCATGCTCGAGTTGATAGGTAAGTTTGACGAGATCATACACAGGCGTCCGATACTTGAATATTAACATCCATCTGCTTGACAGGTCAGAACGGGTCGATAACTGGTAGGTCTCTCCAAGAGGGTTCAGCATTCAATTGTTCTCATTTGGACTTTAACTGACTTTGCGCCCCCGCCTTAGGCTTGAGTGATGAGATAGCTCTCACGCTCACCGAAGAACAAAAAGTCAAGATTGTTTACGGCAGTAAATGTCTCTTGGCAGGATGGATCGTCTACACAACATTGATCTGGTGCCGTAAGTTTATCTACTTCTCATCCATTTGGATTCACACTACCTGGAGTATGCTAATCGACAAATCAATACGTCAGTGAAAGCATGTATGCTATTCTTCTATTGCAGATTGACGTGAGAAGCCAACATCCCAGGCGAAACGGACTCAGCTGAACAGTAAACAGATTCAATCTACAGCAAAAGCGTCTTGTGAAAATCACAGGTGCCATCTGCGTGGCCGCGTACCTAGCGACCATAACCGTTTTCCTTACCCACTGCCACCCACTGCCACGACTTTGGCAGGTTTACCCATATCCTGGAGGTGAGTTATTCGACAACATTCGACTCTACAGTACGCTCACGCATACCAGATGACTGCGCGTTAAACATCTCGAAATACCTGGCTCTGGTTGTCACGAATGTCACGACAGATCTGATGATCTTGTACATTCCACTCCCGTTATTGTGGACAGTTCAGATTCCTCTACGGAGGTATGCTCACAGCTCAAGTGCCGTACTAGAGGAACTTACAGTACTGATACGTCATTCACAGAAAAATACTCTTCGGCTTTTGGCTCTGCACTGGTGTTTGTAAGTACATGTATCCGCGTACCTTACAACTACAATTTATGATAATAGTATGCTGATCATCAAACTATCCAGTCATCATGATTGCCACGATCCTCCGGTGCGTGATCTGTTTGCAGGATGTATCCCAGATTAATGTGGGAACCATCTGGAGTATACGTGAGACGGTACTGTGCTTTCATCTCTTCCACCCACTCAACTTCAGTTTCTGGATCACTCCTGATCTCGCATACCTTGGCTAACAGCGCTGCAGTTTGTGGGCATCATCGCCGTGAACCTCCCTGTTCTCAAACCCTTCCTCAGCGCCGCAACTAGCAAGATTTCCAGCGCCGCCAAACTCTCCAGCCAACGTTCCGAATCGGCAAACATGATGCCCGACTCCATGAGACTATCTCACGTTAATCGGCACGGCAAGAAGCGAACGGTACACGAGATTACTGCAGCGGATAACTCAAGTGAAGAACGCATCATGCACCATAGCGAAGATGGAAGGGCGTCTACAGAGCATAGCAGGGAGCGAGATGATATGGGAGGCATCAAGGTCACCAAGAGTTATAATGTCCAGAGTGGGACAAGATGAGAGTGACTGGATACTCTGCGATAGAAGACCAAACCACAAGCCAACCCGGCGCCGACCGATGCCAAGCTGGGGGCATAGCGGGGTCGAAATGAGGAAAGAAGCTTCGGAAAATTAAATGTTGAGGTCTGCACAGCAGAAACACGCAACCTGTCCAAGAGCACTGCACACATCAAGCACGAGGAAGATCAAGGGCTACGTATGGCGGTAGAAGAAGGGGCATCCGTGTAAGATTAGAAGAGTTTGAGACTCTCATTCAGGATCAATGCTACTACATAGATTGAAGGGATCGCTCAAAGACCCGAAAAATGGAGTTCCAACAGCCGGAAATGACTGCACTCAGTCTACGGCCACAGCAACCACCTGTTCCAACACGTTATGAAGCCAACATGCCATGAATCGACAATACGATAAAGGGGAGCAAGCTAACCTATCCCGACTGCCACGAAGCCCAACCTACAGACGACATCAAAGTGCTTAGCCAACGCTCAGCGACCATGCAAAACCCCTCACACCAGCACCACTTGTTCTCCTTGACACAAGTTGACACGGGAACATCATGTAGCGTCCCTTGCCCTTCTGCGAGCCCCTCGTTGACAACGTCCAGAAAGAACGCAGGTCCCATCCCTCTCAGTCATGTCAGGATCATCCCTGACTATTTCTCGGAGCGTCTCAGCGGCCCGATTCCGTTACTCCCCATCGACTCCCGCCCCCCCTCGACTCGACGACGACGTTTGCAGGACCTTGATTGCACTAGCGTTGGAGAGTGACAAGCCAGTCCCTTTCTGACAATTCTTTTCTGGGCTCGATCAGCAGGTCAGCACTATTTGGAATCGATGCAGCGAGGAGACCAGAGAGCAGCAGCATGTCACGAAACCACGAATACCCACGACATGACAGTCTTCCACTCTATACAATCAGAAGATGCAACGTTGATAACGCAGCATTCTCGAGAGAGGTATCGCGCGAGAAGGAAGAAAAGCCCCGAGTCTCCATCACGGCCATGGACCATGACATGACGCTCGACAGACTCCACGTAGCTAAAGCAGCAAGCGAAATATCCGCGTTCCGCCCGTGTGCCACGGCCCGTTGGAGCCAACGACGTGCCAAGTTTCGAACGGGTGCCCGGCCAAGACCCCGCGCTCTACCTAGCGTCGTGTGCTGAGGTAGCTTGACCTGGATTGATTGCCAGTTGGGGTTATTTTCTTAATTTTTGTTTTTCGCCCTGCCTGCCCTGGACGCAGCTTGCATATGCCTAACCTCGCCCGCTCTAGAGCTGACGCAGCGGGGCCAAGGGTGTGTGTAAGCTGGGAAAAAGAGAATGAGGGAAATGGTGTGGGGAGGCAGAGAAAGAGTGTGTGTCTGTATATGTGATGATGCGTGGGTGAAGTATACATAGAGTACGCGTCCCATCATCATCAGCATCAGCATCATCATCAGCGCCATAAGCATCATCATCAGTATTATCGAGCATGTAAATGCGGAGCTAGCTAGATACATTTTACCCAAGGCGAGGAAACAGAATTCCCGTGATGTGATCCCCTTCACCGCAGCCCCTCCCCCAAAGAAAAAAAAACTTTAAACTTCAACTTCAAAATTCAAACTTCTCCGCCGCCCATCCATCCATCCATCCATCCAACCATCCAACCATCCAACAAAACCCATCCATCCACCCCCCTTCATTTCCCCTCTAAAGAACCCACGGGGATCTCCCCAGTCCCCTCCCTTCATTTCATCCCCGTACCAACCAACAAATCTACGAAATACCGCCGACCGACCACCCAAAGGGATCATCCCGTACCGCGTCACCCCTTGCACCCCCCCGCCATCGGATCATACATCCATGTGTGTGATGTGTGTCTGTGTGTGTGATGACATGGCATGGGCATGGGCATGCGGTGGGTGATATATACATATGTATGTATGTATGTATGTATGTATGTATGTACGCAAGTTGGCCGTTTGAACGGCCGTACGTACCGAGCAAGCAAGCAAGCAAGCATTTTGCTTGAATGATATATATATATATATATATATATACTACAGTATGTATACTATACCTTTGTACTATGCTATAGCGTACTATATTTCCTCCACACCCGTGGAAGGTAGGTGCTTTGGCTGGCTGGCTGGCTGGCTACCCAGCTACCCAGCTGGCCGAGAAGAGAGGTTGTGATTTCATGTAGGATCTAAGCAAGAATATGCACGACGACTGTCCAAGTAGAGAACCGAACTGTCCAATGGGGGGGGGGGGGGTATTTTGTATGTGTGAAAAAAAAAAGAACATGGTGGTTATTTATTTATTAACAGCAGGAGCCGCCGGTACACGCTCTCTGGGGGGAAAAACGTTGCCCGTGAATGCTGCAAAGAAAAAAGAAAGAGAAAACGCCAATACAATGACAATAATGATGATGATGATATTTCCCGCCCATGAAAAGCCCAGTCCTTTACCTTGCCCTCCTTCCCGTTTGGAAATAAAAAAAAGAAGAGGAACAGAAGAGAAAAGTCCAAAAAGCATTCCCTCGTCGGTCCAACAACAACGTGGGCGAAGAAGAGGAATCACGCGCTCTGCCGCCCACATTTTTGTTTTCTTTCCCTCACACGTGCGTCCCTAGCACAAACATATATATACCTCAACACCCTACAAGAGCACCATGGCGAAACCAGAAGCCACAGCAGCAAGGACATAGAGTCCCAGACCGACTCGGACCTCGACGGCACCGGAGGCGCCATCACTCGCGGACCCAGCAGCGCCACTGGGTCCTGAAGCCGCGGCGGCACTGCCAACAGGCACCGTGCCATTGCCGTCCTTGCCAGCCTGTTTGAGCAGACTAGGGCACTCGCCCGTGGGCGTGGGCACATTGGCCCTCAACGTCGCGGACCCCTTGAAGCTGCACGAATCCGGTTTCTTGCCCGTGCCCTCGTAGTACGCGTTGAGCGCAAAGTTGAGTTGGTCCTTGGAACTGCACATGCCGTATGCGCCGTAGGACGACGAGGGAGAGCCGGCGGTGACGTTGCGGTTGATGCCGTTGCAGAATTTGCCGCCCGAGGCGCCGCACGCGACCCCGAAGAGGGTGCCGTAGTCTGCCTCGTCGACCGAGTCGGCGACGCTGCAGGACACGGACGAGGACATGCAGGCGCAGAGCTGGGCGTTGACTGGCGGAGGGAGAGGGGAGGCCGGGGCGCGCCAGTCGGAATTCACAGAGGGGCAGGCTGCGGGTTGGGTGTTTGTTGGGTTGTAGGCGGACATCTGGACAGCTGACGGTGTTGCCTTTGCGATTTCGCTCGAGAGGTTGTTGAAGTCGTCGTTGGTTTCCACGTTGTTGCCGTCGACGGTGGCGAGGCCGAACTGGTTGGCTTCCTCAAAGTACATGTAGACGATGCCGCCGGACCAGACGCCTGTCATTTCGGGCCCGTAGAGGGTACCGACTTCGGTGAAGAGGCGCGGACGGGGGGTGTTGCAGCCATATTCGGCGAAGAAGACGGGGACGTCGAAGTTTTGGAATTCCTTGGTGCGGACGTCGAAGCCGGATTCGGTGAAGGAGGAGTCGCCGCACCACGAGTAAATGTTGTAGCCCCAGAAGTCGATGGCCTCGGCGCGGTCGCCGCAGTCGAAGAAGTTGGCCAGGTTCTCGCGGATGTCTGCGTCGTCGTTTGTGGCGTATCCGACGCCGATGGAGCGGTAGTTCTTGGCTTTGATATAAGCCTTGGAGTCGCGCACGGCGGCCTTGACGAAGGCGCTGGCCAAGGTGTTGTTCTTCTGGTTGGATACCTCGTTTCCAGCGAAGAAGCCAAGCGTGTTGGTGTACTTGGACATGACATCAATAACCTTGGTGTAGCGTGTGTAGAGATCGACATTCCATTCAGGCGTGTCACGGTTGACGGACAGAAGGGGCTCGGAAAGATCAGCAACAACATAGATGCCGGCGTCGGCCAGGGCCTTCATGCAAGCATCATGGCTCTCATCTGGATTGATGGCGTACACACGGATGGTGTTTGTGTTTAGTTTTTGCTGCACATGACAAGGTTAGTTTGGTGTGGTGTGATGTGGAGTGGTAGAGGGGAGGTTGCGTCGTACCAGGAAGGGAATGTCGCGTTTGCATGTGTCGGAGATCAAGGGATCGACGTATTTCTTGTTCAAGTCACCCGACTGAGAGCTATTGGAGCTGAGCTCCTGCTGGTAGGCCACACCTTTCATAAAACTAGAGAAGGAAGCATTGGTGATTAGCCAAGTCCATCATGGACCGTGTGAGAGCCAAGCGATGTGACGTACAATTGGGTGCCATTCGTCTTGTAGAAGAATTTGGAACCTTTGATGACAATGGGATCGAGGTCGGCGGCAGCCAAGCCGAGCAGAGCCGTTGCGGCGGCGGCCACGGAAAGCTTCATGATGCTGCTTGGTTACGATATTATGTTATGTACTGTACGGTTCCTTCCAGAGGAATTAGGGAACTATCCAAGACAAACGATAAAGGTCTTGGGAATGCTTGGACGTTCTTGAAAGGCTCGGCGTTTTCAATGCAGGACAGGACGAGGCCTGAGAGGAGGGGGTTCGGGGGGGACGAAAGGATTAAAAGTATTTCTTGGAAAACGGCTTGGACGGACGGACAAGAGAATGTATGAAGCAGAAGTCACATTAAAAAACGCAAGAGAAACTAAGAGGCGAGAATGCGGCAAGGTACTGGACCGTTTGCAAGGAGGACGGGGATTTGAGGGGGCGCAGGCGTTCAAACGAAGCGAGTGTCTCGCAGTCGCCTCCTCGAAACCGTATGCGCCAGCTCCCGAAACACTCTGGCAATGTGCTGACGCAGAACAGAAGGCAGGCAGTAACGCTACATGTTTGATCGAGGGTGGTGTATTAGGCCGAAGCCGTCAGGGATACATGTATCGGGGTAGCTGGAGGGACTAACGCAGGCACACGTTGGACTGACGCGCGGCAGAAGGAATGCCCTGCGTCGCTCCTCAGCGGCCATGAACGAGAATGTCGTACACTGCCTCGTTGGAGGACGACGTTTGCTCGCTCCGTCGGACGTGGGCTATGCGGAGGGTTCCAGATGGGGGAAAAGTTTTTTTCTTCTCAGCGTATATATAGCTGACGTGTTAAGTCTCACTCCGGGCAAGGATTCCAGTGTCGTCTCGTACCAACTTCCAAGTTGAAAGCGAACCTAAAAAGTAGCTTGCAAGAACATGGCCGAAACGAAGGCATGTCACGATTGACAAGGCGCGACGGACCGAAATAACAGACACTGTCCAGAGTCCGAGGCGCTGGCTTGACGCTACATGTATACATATGTACATAGATGAGCAGCTGTGACTACGTACACAGCTGCTGCCGACGACAGTTGACAAGTTCACGCTGGAGTCTGGCAGAATAATCCGATGCCGATACGGCGTGTGGAGAGGGGGTGGGGTGGTTGAAGAGGGTAGCGAGGCAGGTGATTGGCTGGGTAGTGGCGGATGGGCATGTTGTTGGGAATAGGGGAGAGGGGACATGGGGAATTTGAATGAAAAGCAGGAAGTAAACGGGTAAAAAAGTAGAAAAAAAAAGGCTAGAGAGGAACTACGGATCCATCCATGATGCATCGATCTGGGGCCATGTGGGAATTTTTCTTCTTCTTCTCTTTCTCTTCTACTCTCGACCAGCATGCAGCAGATGGAGGTGGAGGTGGATTTGTAACCAGGTGCCATCGAAGCTTTGCCTACTTGGCCGACCTGTGACAGGCTCCAAGGCGCATGGGCGCGACAGAGCAACATGGCATTTATGGCACCCATGCTTCCGGAAGCCATGTGGTGGAGCGTCATTTCAGCAAGCCGTGATTGTTAATCTGTTTGCACAGCACTCGCTCCGCTTCCCTCAGGGGGGGTTGGCGGGCATCGCGATCGCCTCGGATGATCCGAGGACGAGGACGAGGCGAGGCGAAGCGAAGGAGAATAAATAGCAGTCGGTCGACGCTAACAAAGACAGGAGAATACACATGTAATTGTGATTGCAGCACTCCAAAGGCGATGGTCTCGGAGTGAGTGAGTGAGTGTGTGTGTGTGTGTGTGTGTGTGTGTGTCCGTCAGTGGGTGACGGCTTGCGGCGACCGTTTTGACAGGCGGGCGCCACAGGCAGGATCGAGGCAGGCCTATCGATAGAGAGACGGATGGCCGCTCAACGGGGCCGTGCAGCAGCCAATCTTACATGGGCCACGGCCAGCTTTTGGTGATTTCGCTCAGGTTTGATCGACGGGGGACGCCCGGCGGCGGCGGCGGGAGCTGCTGTGCCGGCCATGGACGCGACACCGCTGGATGCATTTTTCTGAATGGATGAATGGATGGATTGGGGGTGGGGGGCGGTTTATTGGTCGTGACGTGCTGTCCATCCACCAGCACGGTGAGTGGCAAACAGCTGCCATACCACTGCATGTACCTGAGTGACTATCGAAATTGGATTCGAGCCACCCCTTTGCTGGCCCGCACGATGCTTTCAAAGGTTCCAGCCGATGCTGCAAACTCTTGGAATGACTACAAGAGTAAGCAGCTTGGAATGCGTGCGTACATGTACCTGACTATGAATGAATGAATGTGCGTCTAAAAAGAGGCGACCAGTCGCTGCGCTTGCTGTCTTATTTTAAGCAAACCGCCGCCTCACCCATACATCACCACACACATGGACTACCAACATCCTGAGTAGTCTACCGACTCGCCGCTAGAACATGCGCCGAATGAATGCCAGGACAAGAGAGCAAGAAAGCAAAGAAAAGAAAAAAAGAAGTAAAAAAAGCTGCCTCCATGCGAGCCAAAGCAGGCTTGTGTCGTGCTGTCTGTCTATCTGTCGGCCAACTCTAATGCCCGATCGGTGCTAGCACTAGCGGCGAACGGGCGCCCGGGATTGGGTGGGCGACCATCTTGGCCATTCCCCCTGAATCAATCATTCAATTCACTCTCTTGCCCCCCCCGTTAAAGTTGGCCGTGCCCCAAAACTCGTGCACATCCTGCCCTTCCCAACCGTCCGTCGCTCTCTCTCCCTCTCCTCCGCCCCCCCCTTCTCAGCAACCCCGAGAGTCCATTTTTTGTTTCTCTTCCATTTCTTTCCAGACCGTCTGCCTCTGCAGCCCGTCGTTCCTCTCACTCACTCACTGTCTGCCTGCTTGCTTGCGTGCAACTTTGCCTCCATCGCGACTTCCAAGCCGTCGGAGACCCGCGCCTGGCGCAGCTAATCATAGCCACTGCGCGCTCTTGCCTCATTGTTGGCAAAGCAACCACGTAACCACCCAGCCAAACACACTACCCTACAGTAGTCTTTACGCACCTACACGTACGCCTCCTACCCGACTTCACTCCCTCGCTCTCCCTCCCTCCCTTTTTCCCGAGCCAACCGCCATCCTCAATCCCTCCTCTCTCACTCCCTCCCTTCCGCATTGCGCTCGCTGCTCACATAGCCAAACATAGTGCACAGCCCCCTGGACCTCGTTTCACCTCGAACCCGCCCGATTCCTCACAACCACCACCAACCACACTCGTTCCCTTCGACCTCGATCGCTCGTCAGCACCCAAAAAAAAAGCACTTCGACAGTCCTCCGAATAACCTTTTAATATTCCACCCTCTCGTGTGCTTTACGCCGAAAAAAATCCCCTCGTTGCTCCTAATGCCCATTGTTTGAGGTATGTGCAAATACACCCGACAGCTCGCGTTTCACACGCTCCGTCGCCCCTCTCCATTTAGCCCCCTGGATGTCTTTGAGCGCTGACAACCCACGACAGCTTGTACATTGCACTCTAATTGCTGCCCATAATGTCCGGCCATCCGCAGCAGGCCGCCCACGGCCAGGGCCAGTACGATGATGGCTACGGCCAGAACGGCCAAGGCGCCTACTATGCAGACGACCAGTACGGTGGCCAGTATCAGGATGGTCAGCACGGCGACGCATACTACGACGAGTCGTACGTACATGGCTTTCCAATGCAAAAATCAACCCTGTACTGACTCCTTCACAGCGCCTACTACGATGACCGTGGCCAGCAGGGCCAATATCAACAGAACGGCTACTATGATGACCGTGGTCAGCAGGGTTACCAGGACGAGTATTACAACGACCAATATTATGATCAAGGAGGCCCTCAGGGAGGTTACCACGACGGCCCACCCAGGCGCCGTGGACACGACTCTGAAGATGACTCGGAAACCTTCAGCGACTTCACCATGCGCTCCGACATGGCTCGTGCCCAGGATATGGACTACTACGGCCACGGCGATGAACGCTACAACAGCTACGGTGGTGGCGGCTACCGCCCCGCTTCATCTCAAGTTTCCTACGGCGGCAACCGCTCTTCCGGTGCTTCCACCCCAGTCTATGGAATGGACTACACCAATGCCCTTCCAGCTGGTCAGCGATCCCGAGAGCCATACCCTGCTTGGACTGCCGAGGCTCAGATTCCTTGCACCAAGGAGGAAATTGAGGACATCTTCCTGGACCTCACCAGCAAATTCGGTTTCCAGAGGGACAGCATGAGAAACATGTACGATCATTTCATGACTCTGCTCGACTCCCGCGCTTCCCGCATGTCGCCCAACCAAGCCCTTCTCTCACTACATGCCGACTACATTGGCGGTGAAAACGCAAACTACCGCCGATGGTACTTCGCTGCCCACCTGGACCTCGACGACGCCATTGGTTTTTCCAATATGAAACTCGGCAAGGCCAACCGGAAGACCAAAAAGGCCAGGAAGGCCGCGAAGAAGAAGGCGGGCGAGAACCCAGAGAACGAGGCCGAAGTCTTGGACGCCTATGAAGGCGACAACAGCCTGGAAGCCGCAGAATACCGCTGGAAGTCCCGAATGAACAAGATGTCCCAGCATGATCGCGTGCGCCAGGTTGCCCTCTACCTGCTCGTCTGGGGAGAGGCTAATCAGGTCCGTTTCATGCCAGAATTGGTGTGCTTCATTTTCAAGTGTGCCGATGATTGGCTCAACTCGCCCGCTGGTCAGGCCCAAACGGAGCCCATCGAGGAGCTTACCTATCTCAACAACGTCATCACTCCGTTGTATCAATACTGCCGTGACCAAGGATACGAGATTCAGGATGGCCGCTACGTTCGCCGGGAGAAGGATCACGCCCAGATCATTGGGTACGATGACATCAACCAGCTGTTCTGGTACCCCGAAGGCCTGGAGCGTATCGTCATGGAAGACAAGAGCCGCCTTGTCGATCTACCTCCGGCTGAACGTTACGCCAAGCTCAAGGATGTGGTTTGGAAAAAGGTCTTCTTCAAGACCTACTATGAACGTCGATCGTGGTTCCACTTGATTGTCAACTTCAACCGCATCTGGATCATCCACGTTAGTACGTTTTGGTTCTACACCTCGTTCAACTCCAAACCTCTCTACACCAAGGAGTACGCGCAGCAGTTGAACCAGGAGCCGCCACTGGCTCGAGTACTCGCCGTGGTATCCCTTGGTGGAGCTGTCGCTTCTTTCATCAATGTCTTTGCAACTGTCGCTGAATGGGTTTACGTCCCGCGAAAGTGGGCTGGAGCCCAGCATCTTACTAAACGGTTACTTTTCTGCCTCCTCGTCCTGGTCATCAACATTGCCCCAGCTGGATACATCTTGTTCATCCCCTATGAACAAGGCGAGGACAGAATCCCGATCATTGTTGGTGTGGTTCATTTCATCATCGCCCTCGTCACCTTCGTCTTCTACTCCGTGATGCCCCTTGGTGGCCTCTTCGGCAGCTACATGAAGGGCAAATCTCGACAATACGTGGCCAGTCAAACGTTCACCGCCAGCTACCCTCGTCTCCAGGGTAATGATATGTGGATGTCTTACGGTCTCTGGGTCATGGTTTTCGCCGCCAAGATGTCTGAGTCTTACTTTTTCCTGACGCTTTCCATCAAAGACCCCATTCGGGTGTTGGTATCCATGCAGCCACCTCGATGCTTGGGTAACACGTACGTCGGCGATATGCTATGCAAGCGCCAGCCCATGATCCTGCTCGGCTTGATGTATTTCACTGATCTTATCCTCTTCTTCTTGGATACCTATCTGTGGTACATCATCATGAACATGTTGTTTTCGGTGGCTCGTTCGTTCTACCTTGGTGTATCCATCTGGTCCCCTTGGCGTAACATCTTCTCTCGACTACCCAAGCGTATCTACTCCAAGGTTTTGGCCACCACCGACATGGAGATCAAGTACAAGCCAAAGGTTCTCATCTCTCAAATCTGGAATGCCATCATCATCTCCATGTACCGTGAGCACTTGCTCGCCATCGACCATGTCCAGAAGCTCCTCTACCATCAAGTTCCTTCAGAGCAAGAGGGCAAGCGTACTTTGCGGGCACCCACTTTCTTCGTTTCCCAGGAAGATCACTCCTTCAAGACGGAGTTCTTCCCTGCTCAAAGTGAAGCTGAGCGTCGTATCTCGTTCTTTGCCCAGTCTCTCTCGACACCTATTCCAGAGCCGCTCCCCGTCGACAATATGCCCACGTTCACCGTCCTGATTCCTCACTACTCTGAAAAGATTCTGCTCTCGCTCCGTGAGATCATTCGTGAGGATGAGCCCTACTCTCGTGTCACCCTTCTGGAGTACCTCAAGCAACTTCACCCGCACGAGTGGGACTGCTTCGTCAAGGACACCAAGATTCTCGCTGATGAAACCTCTCAATACAACGGCGAGAACGAAAAGGGAGAGAAGGATACCGCCAAGACCAAGATCGACGATCTGCCCTTCTACTGCATCGGTTTCAAATCTGCGGCCCCAGAATACACTCTTCGTACTCGTATCTGGGCCTCTCTTCGTTCGCAGACTCTTTACCGCACAATCTCTGGTTTCATGAACTACAGCCGCGCCATCAAGCTACTTTACCGTGTCGAGAACCCCGAGGTCGTTCAGATGTTTGGAGGCAACTCTGACAAGTTGGAGCGCGAACTCGAGCGCATGGCTAGACGCAAATACAAGATTTGTGTTTCCATGCAGCGTTACTCCAAATTCAACAAGGAAGAGCGGGAAAACACTGAGTTCTTGCTCCGCGCTTACCCCGATCTCCAAATTGCGTACCTTGACGAGGAGCCTCCTGTCAACGAGGGTGATGAGCCCCGCATCTACTCTGCACTTATCGACGGTCACTCGGAGCTCATGGAAAACGGCATGCGACGACCCAAGTTCCGCATCCAGCTCTCTGGCAACCCTATTCTTGGTGATGGCAAATCTGACAACCAGAATCACAGCATCATCTTCTACCGCGGAGAGTACATTCAGCTTATCGACGCTAACCAAGACAACTACCTCGAGGAGTGCCTGAAGATCCGCAGCGTTCTTGCCGAGTTCGAAGAAATGACTACCGACAACGTCTCGCCTTACACTCCTGGTCTTCCCAACACCAACTTCAACCCCGTCGCTATTCTGGGTGCCCGTGAATACATTTTCTCTGAGAACATTGGTATCCTTGGTGACGTCGCTGCCGGAAAGGAACAGACGTTCGGTACTATGTTTGCGCGTACTTTGGCACAGATTGGTGGCAAGCTCCATTACGGTCATCCCGATTTCCTCAACGGTATCTTCATGACTACTCGTGGTGGTGTTTCCAAAGCGCAAAAGGGTCTCCATCTCAACGAAGATATTTACGCCGGTATGACTGCTCTTCTCCGTGGTGGCAGGATCAAGCATTGCGAATACTACCAGTGTGGTAAGGGTCGTGATCTTGGTTTCGGCTCCGTGCTCAACTTCACTACCAAGATCGGTACTGGTATGGGCGAACAGATGCTGTCTCGTGAATACTATTACCTCGGAACCCAACTCCCATTGGATCGCTTCTTGTCATTCTACTACGCCCATCCTGGTTTCCACGTCAACAACTCCTTCATCATGTTGTCTGTGCAGACCATTATGTTCTGTTTGATCCATCTTGGCGCTCTCAAGCACGAGTCGATTGTCTGCTACTACAACAAGGATATTCCCATCACCGATCCTCAGTACCCCAACAGGTGCGCTAACTTGGTACCCGTTATGAACTGGATTTCAATCGTCATTCTGTCCATCTTCATTGTGTTCTTCATCGCCTTCATTCCGTTGGTTGTGCAGGAACTCACTGAGCGTGGTGCGTGGCGTGCGGCGACCCGTCTCGGCAAGCACTTTTCTTCTGGATCGCCTTTCTTCGAAATCTTCGTCGTCCAGATCTACGCCAACTCGCTTCACACAGTTCTGACCTTTGGTGGTGCCCGTTATATCGGTACTGGTCGTGGTTTTGCCACTGCCCGTATTCCTTTCGGCATCCTGTACTCTCGATTCGCTAGTCCCTCTATATACATAGGTGCTCGATCACTGATGATGTTGCTGTTTGCCACCATGACCATCTGGGGCGCTTGGCTTGTATATTTCTGGGCATCTATCTTGTCGCTTTGCCTGGCACCGTTCCTATTCAATCCTCACCAGTTCTCCTGGGACGACTTCTTTATCGACTACAGAGAATATCTTCGATGGCTGTCGCGCGGTAACACCCGCTCTCACAGCGCATCTTGGATCGGTTACTGCCGTCTCTCTCGTACCCGTCTCACTGGTTTCAAGCGCAAGGTTTTGGGTGACCCCTCTTCGAAACTCTCTGGCGACGTTCCTCGTGCTCGCTTCGGTAACATCTTCATGGCTGAAATCCTCGGCCCGCTCGTTCTGGTGGCCGTCACCTTGGTTCCATATCTGTTCATCAACGCGCAAACCGGCGTTGCTGAAGCTGATCAAGATGCGATTGAAAGAAAGGTCCCATTTAAACCTGACGTCAAAACTCCCACCAACTCACTTATCCGCGTTGCGCTTGTGGCATTGGGTCCTCTTGCCATCAACGCTGGTGTCCTTGCTGGTCTCTTCGCATTGGCTTGCTGTGGTGGCCCTCTTCTCAGCATGTGCTGCAAGAAGTTCGGTGCGGTCTTGGCTGCTATCGCCCACGCCATCGCCGTCATCATGCTTTTGGCCTTCTTCGAAGTGATGATGCTCTTGGAAGGTTTCGTCTACACTAGGGCTCTGCTCGGTATGATTGCGGCCGTCGCCATTCAGCGATTCGTCTTCAAGCTCATTGTCGCTCTCGCCCTCACTCGTGAGTTCAAGAGCGACACTGCCAACATTGCTTGGTGGACCGGTAAATGGTACACCATGGGATGGCACACCGTCACGCAACCTGGTCGTGAGTTCCTTTGCAAGATCACGGAACTCGGTATGTTTGCAGGTGACTTTGTCTTGGGTCACTTCCTGCTGTTCTTCATGCTCCCAATGATCTTGGTTCCCTATGCCGACAAGTTCCACTCCGTCATGCTCTTCTGGCTGCGTCCTAGGTTAGTACCTTCCACTTCCGCTCTAAAATGCTTCCTGCTCACATTTTTATAGCCGTCAAATCCGCCCTCCCATCTACTCCCTGAAGCAGACCAAACTTCGGAGACGCCGCGTGATCCGGTACGCTATCCTGTACTTCTTCATGCTCTTCATCTTCCTGGTCCTGCTCGTTGGACCAGTGCTCGTCAAGAACTTCAACATCATCCAAATCGACTCAATATTCTCCTCATCCATGCGCACGTCACTCATGGATCTCATCCAGCCAACGTCGGCAAACAACAACGACACGTCGAGTGGTGTCACTGGCGCTTGCATCCAAAGCCCATGCCCTCAGCGTGATGGTGGTGGAGGTGATGCGGCCGAGACCGGCTCATCGGATTCCACTGCTCGCCGTATGCTCGCCTTTTAAACATGGTCGACGCAAGGAGGTTGCCCGCTTCTTAATCTTTCCCCGCGGCTCATAGCTTTTACTTGCATTGTACAACAAGGCGCATATGTCGGCCGCATGATGTTCGGTTCCAGGTGCCAATGACGATTGTAATATTTTGGCGCTCTCCATGAAGTATGTCATGTTTTGTGGGTTTTTGGGAGGAGTGGGCATTAGAGTTTTTCTTTACACTTCCTCTCGTTTCTCTTTTTACTTCGCCTCTGCTACGGAACGCAGATTGCACATATAAATACGATTGCTCATTGGGTGTTTTTCTTTTTGATTGAAATACGGAGGATTCGGGTTGGCGAAATGTTAGATAGTGCTGCATTCAAATAAATGTACGGATCCCTATAAATGAATGATCCAACAATCACCTTCGCGTAAAGTGTCTGTGTGTCCTGATGTATCTTCGAACGTGAATGATTCTGCATCTTGGCCATATCGGAAACCCTCCCCACCGCGAGTATATTCTGCGGGTGGAGCATTTTGCTGTCTACTCGGTGCTGTGTGGTTTGAGAGTCTTGTTGTCATAAGCACCTGTAGCTCAAATTCTCACTTGATGGCTATATACATATGGATATTTGGTGTTGCCTTTGGACGATGGTGACATGGAAAGTCATGATGAACGTTTTGTCCGTGCGACGCTGTTTCCGACCGTCGGACCGCGCGCTCTCTCCCGAGAAACGCCGCAACCACACCCTCGATCTCTCAAAGACAACACTTACTTGCGAGTCGACCCACGAAGCGCATTCGCCCACGTTCCTTTTCTCTGAATCAGCCTCCTATCTCCCGATAGTAAATCATGGATTTTCAAGAGGCGCAGATGGCGGTGACACGCGTCCTGCACGACGCTTCGTCACAATTTCAGCGCATGCCCGGATCCGCCATCATCTTGCGGTATATCAAATCCAGCTACCAAAACGATCCCGTGCGCAGCGCAATTGAGCTATGTCTGTTCTTATTTGCAGTGCGGTATATGCTGGCGCCGAGTTACAGCACACAGAAGAAGGTCGCATTGAGCGAAGAAGTAGGTTGCTCAAAAGGGGCTGGAGGGTTGCGGGAGTCCTGGACGTTGCTGATACTGGAATAGGAGATTGACGAATTGGTGGATGACTGGACACCAGAGCCACTTGTCGCTGCTCCCACGCCGTTTGAAGAAATGGAGACGGAGAAGAGAGCCGTCATTGTAGGGTATGTGGGCGTCGTCCAGCGCTTCAATGCCGTCCTGACTGACCTTATCGATGCTGCAGACCCACGGGACCCAAATCGAAACTTTCCAACGGCCGCACAGTAACAAATCTTGCCTCGTACAATTTCTACAACTTTACATCCAATGAAACGCTCAAGGAGAAGGCCATCGCCACCTTACGCACATACGGTGTCGGTCCTTGCGGGCCTCCTGGATTCTACGGCACCCAGGATGTACACATGAAGACAGAAGCAGATGTTGCAGCGCATCTTGGGACCCCCGCTTGTGTCATATACGCCCAAAGCTTCTCGACAATCAGCAGTGTGATCCCGTCGTTTTCCAAGCGAGGAGACATCATAGTCGCGGATCGTGCAGTCAACTTTGCAATCAGAAAGGGTATCCAAATCAGCAGAAGTGCAGTGCGGTGGTACGAACACGGGGATATGGAAGATTTGGAGAACGTGCTGAAGAAGGTCACAAAGGAACAGGCGAACAAGCCGTTGACTCGGCGGTTCATCATCACAGAGGGCATGTTCGAAAACATTGGCGATGTAGCAGATTTGCCGAAACTGGTGAGTTGTAACGACCAATATACAAGATGGACACATCAACCACTGACGCAACCCTTCCACAGGTCGAGCTCAAACTCAAATATAAATTCCGCCTCATCCTCGACGAAACATGGTCCTACGGCGTCCTCGGACGAACCGGTCGCGGCCTCACCGAAGCCCAGAACGTGGACGCCTCCGAAGTCGACATGATCATCGGCAGCCTATGCGGTCCGCTCTCCGCCGCTGGTGGTTTCTGCGCAGCCAGCCAGGAAGTTGTAGAGCACCAGCGCATCTCATCGGCATCTTACACATACTCGGCGGCGCTACCCGCGCTGCTCTCCACGACCGCCAGCGAAACAATTGCCATGCTCCAGGAGCAGCCTGAAATTCTGACGGGTCTCCGCGATAACATCAAAGCGATGCGTGCGCAACTTGATCCAAGGAGCGACTGGGTTAAGTGCACCAGTACCTCGGATAATCCAATCTTGATACTCGTGTTGAAGCCTGATATTGTAACGTCTAAGGATCTGAACACGCAAGACCAAAATGAAATTTTTCAGGATGTCGTTGACGAGGTATGTTCTTTGCTCCCTTTTTCTTCGCCTACTCTCCTGATTCCACCCCCCCTTCCCTCCCTTTCCCTTTGTGACTGGAACCTCGCATTGCTGACTTGTTTCTTAGTGCCTCACCAACGGCGTACTCATCACCCGTTTAAGAGCCTATCCTGTCGCCCAGGGCACGCAAGCCAAAGACCAAGGCTGGCAGCCTACCCCCGCCCTCAAAGTCTGCGTCACATCGGGCCTGACCAAGAAGGAAACAGAGAAGGCGGGGACCACCATCAGACACGCCATTACCAAAGTCCTCAAGGCACGGAAGTAGCATAACCAGAACAAAGCAAAGCAAGGCAGACAGTGGTGTAGAAAAAGAAGTAGAGGAATTCGACCCGGGTTCGCGGAGTCTTCTCTTTCCCTTCTCCTCCCTTCCCCCCCATTTTTTTCTTGGTGGTCTTGCGGTTTGGTTTCAGGGGGGGACGGGGATTTGTATGTATATATACTGGATATTTTCTTTCGTCTTCTGGCTGCTACTCTGTTACAAGCAAGAGATCGGAATAATGTACTTGGGGTAGATAGAAGAGCCGGCATAAAGTGCGCCACGTTATGAGCTTTGCAAACGGCAAGACTAATACCTAATAATGTTCTCTAATAAACAGAACAAGAACCGGGCAGTCAATCGTTGCAACAATATCGTTAATCACTTGTCGTCGTCGGCGGCAGAATCGAATATTCAACATGGCTGTGGATTTAATGGACATTGCGACAAGGATCCAACATCATGTATCAAGTTTGTTGTACGTGGTGGTCGGAGGAGCGCGAGGTGGGGGAGGGGGGGCTGGAGCCAGCCTCTCTCCCTTCGCGTCCGGGGAAGCCCATCCCTCCCCCGAGCTACGTACGTGTGCGTGCAAGTTACCAACCCAACCCATAACAACCTTAGCCACGCCACCACCGACCGAAAGAAACAGAGAAAGAAGATTACAATCCACTACTTTCTTCTTTGCTTCCCTAACACATTGAATACGTTTTGCGCCTGCGCGAACCGTCTCAATCCCTCCGTCCTCCCGCCTCCGCCTCCGCCCCGGCCGGCTTTGCGTTTACGATTCTTGGATTTGGCGTGGGATACGCTCGAGTGGATTGTGAGAGTATCAGAGAGAGAAGGGGAGTGGTATTGTAGTAGAGTTGTTTATGTGACGACGACAAGAGATAGTGGAAGTACGCATAAAAGAGGATCAGGTGGACTCAAAGAGAGGACATCTGGAAGGCAAGACACGACAACGAAACGACACGATACGCTTCACCTTGATCAATCCATCATAGGTAGCCTCTACGGAGCCGTTCCTTCCATTTCGTCGTCTACCCCATCGCCCTGCGAACCATCCTCTCTCAATCGCTCCGCCGCGCCCTCACACACACTCGAACCTCGAACCTCGTCTCCCACCGCTCCACCCCCAACACCAATTTACGCGAAAAGAAGGCGTTAAACAGTACAGCACAGCAACAAAGAAGGAAATCATGGCCCGTACAGTCGTAGGCTCGGCGGTGGTAGTCCGCGAAAAGTACTACTGGCCCGACTCGATCCTCAACATCTGGTTCATCGTCATGCTAGCAGCCACGGGCACCATTCTAGGCGTCAACGCACAATTCATGATGATCCAAAGCCAAATGAGATTGGGAACGCCGTGGTACGTCACCCTCGTCCCTCGCCTCCCTGTCCAAACTCGCAGCCAGCTAACAGCGAGGTAATTTAATGCAGGATCATGCCGTACGGCGTCTCGGTCGGGGTCATCGCTCTCATCTTCTTCGCCATCATGATGGCTCTTATTTCCCAGCGACGCCTTCTTCCCGGCGTCGTGATGCTGTTCTCGTTTATTCTGCTTGTGCTGTTCATTGCCGGCGTCGTGGGGACGGCTATGCAGCTTTTTGGCGGGAACAATGTGAATAATCAGTGTAACCGGTTTGTGGGCAATATGAAGCAGTATGGGGCAAATGTGAATACGTTGGCTTGGTTGCAGCAGCAGAATATCTGTAAGCGTCCTGTTTTTGTTATGTGGGGGTTGAGTGCTGACTTTGGAGACAGGTCAATGCTGGCAAGCCGTCTTTGCGTTTTACATTGTGGGATCTGTCTTCCTGGTCTGGATGATGTTCATCGCGTTCAACGTCAATCGGAACCAGTACGAGTGAAACGGGAGAAGAAGACGGTAGTTGCGCTCCGTCTCTCTTTGCTTCTTCATCTTCTCTCCATCATCCGTTTGCCGCAAGCGATCTTTTTTCTTCTTCTTTTCTTTCTCTTTATAACGTACATGTATATACCCCCTAGTACAATTTTACGAATGCGCTGTTTTTCTTTCTGCTAGGTTATGAAGATTATCGACGGAGGTTGTTGTTGTTATGTTGTTAAAAGGTCTGCTTGCACGCCCAGTAGAATCAAAAGTACAAGGATCGCACAAGGACAGAAGAATGCAGGTCTTGTAGGGATTCCCCCTGGGTACAAATCTCGTTTGTACTTTGTTTTGAGAACCCAGAAACGAGAGGGCGGACGGGAAGGGGAAATGAGGAATTGTAATAGTAGACAGCCAAGTTGGTTCATCACGTTCTTGGCATACCTATACAACCAGTCCAATCTTGCACCGTCTGCTGTAAACTTTGTTGCCATGGATCGCGCAGAAGAGGTGGGTGTGTGTGTGGGGACGCGTATCCAAGCAAGTGTGTGTCGCATCGGCCAGGTGTCTGAGACCCTCCCGAAACCGCGCCTGCGTTGTGCACGAACCCACCGCCACCGGCTTCCCCCCTCATCTTTTATATTGTGTTTTGGGATTTTTATCTTACTTTGATTGCCCTCCTTCTCTTGCTTGCTTTGCTTCGCTTTGCTTTGCCGGACGATCCCTTCGGCAGCTATGACTCGTTTTGTGATGACTACCGAGCTGCGAACCTAACTAACCTACCTTTCCTCTTGTTGGCGGGAATAGAAGGATCAATGCTAGAACGGCTTCGATTGATTCTGTTGCTGTTAAATACCCCCCCAGGCATCTCCACACTCCCCCTCTCCCCCCACCGTTACCATCAATTTTTTTTCTTTCTTTCTTTCTTTCTTGAACTTTTGTCTCTCGTCTTCTTTTCTGCGCCGAGACTTTTCTCTTCGGAACTGGACGTCGTCGGCTTCGTTTGTGTGTTTCCACACCGGTTGGATCCGAGGGCCTTTTCTTTCCATTGATTGATTCGGAGAATTGATTGCATCCAGTGAAAAAGGCAATCATGGAAGTCGCCGACAAGACGCTCTCCATGCTGTCCGTGGGCAGCAACGATGACCTGTATATCCGGCGACAGAGCACGCTCTTCAGAGAACTGGAAATGCTCCTAGACTTGAACCCGCGCGAGCTGAGCTCCAACCTCCTCGCCCTGCCGCGGGAACTACGAAGTCTGATCCTGGAATACGTCCTCCCAGAGGCCACACGGGACACGCGCCCAGAACTCCACACAAACCTCTGGGGCGCGGACATGATCCACGAACCCTGGCGACACGACGTCTTTGGCTACGGCCGCCAGGTTCCCAAAGTGCAGAGATTACACCCCAACCTCCTCCTGGTCAACAAACAGCTGCGCAACGAGCTCCTGGCATGCTACTTCCGCCGCAGCAAACTCACGCTGCACGCCGAACTCCGCAACTCGCGGGGAAACAACTGGCACTTTGACTACTCGCCGCATATCCTGCAACTCCCCATGCTGCCGTGCGTCTCGCACGTGCGCTTCTACGTGGAATGGAACTACACCATCTCGAATCCGACGGCCCGCATCGACGACCAGGTCCGCATGACAAAGGACCTGATCCAAGCCATGGACACGCTGCTCAACCCCTTGGAAGCAGTCGAAACCATCGAGCTCTCCATTCTGTTCTTCTGGAAATTGCGCTCGGGCAAATTCTACCCGCTGTCCATGCAGGACCTGTTTGATCTGGAAAACGTCTTCAAAGCCAACGCTGAACCGCGGTGGCTGAGGATCTTGCACTCCCCTTCCCCCTCTTCCTCCTCCTCATCAGCAACAGCAGCAGCAGCAGCAAATAAGAAGTCGGATTTCCTATCCCCAGACACCCACTCCGCAGGCGTAGGCTACAAGCTCTCCTCGGAAGACAAAGGCACAGAGCAGAGCGGCGGCATGGAGATTTTCGTCTCGAGAGATTTGGAAGAGTCCATGAGAGCGCGGCGGAAAAGCAGTGCGGATTTCTTTGGGAATTATGAGATTGCCGATCCGTTGCCCCACCCGGGGTATGAGCACGGGAAGATGATTTGAGAGTGGTACGTCTATGTATACGTATTCTTGTATGTCTGTGTACGGGCGCGTGTGTGTCGATGGTCGGGGGAAACGAGGGGGAAATATATACATGTATGGTACTTACTGGGAGATGAGATGGATATACCCTTTTCATTGTAAGACGGGTGGTTGGAACGGTGGCCAGATGAGCAAGTGAGCGTGTGTGTATCTATTGGATGTTTAGTAGATGCCAAACTTTTTCCAGTATTGTGTGTGTGTGTGTGTTGTGTGAGAGAGAAAGAGAGAGAGTTGTGGCCGTTCTCAACCCGCCTCCCAATTTAAAAAAATAAATAGCTCTTGTGTATGTGTCAAAGTCGTCCTTCAAACCACTGTTCCCTTTCCTAATCCAAATCACTGGAAACCCTCTCACTCCATCATGTCAAGACCAATGAAAATTAAAAAAAAAGCTAAATTTCAACCTCATTCACGCGTAATGACACAATAATTGTTTTACGCATTACCTATAAAGCCCCTTAGACCCTCGAAGGGGGGAGCATACTTTATATATACATAGTAAATGTTGCATTGCTATACCTTCATTCCCAATCCCTCTCACATCACGTCACAGTTTCACGTTCCCAGACGCCCGTATGCGATCGCCAAACTTCATAAACAAGAACGGAATGGGTGTGAACAGCAACGCGACGAAACCCAGTAAGCTATTGCCCCATCCATACCCCATCGCCGCGTACATCTTTTCGCTGCTCAACTGTATCTCAAGATCAGCAAGACGCGCATCGTGCAAGTCCCACGCCACAAATCCACACGAGAGAACATGGGAGAGGGGATTTGGGAGGGAAAAGAAGAAGAAAAAAAGAGACAGACAAGAGAGAAGAAAAGACTCACAGGAACAAGCGCAGCACAAAGACTCCTCGAAACCGTACTCGCCGCCATGGCACTCGCAGCATGCACGGTAAAAACATCGACCAAATACGTGGTGCCGGGCATGAAGATCATGAGGAGCGAAAACCCCACGAAGCCACTCCCAACCATGGGCACCATGAAGTGCAGCGCATACTGCACGCTCCAGCCGTACAGGAAAAACCCAATGGGCAGCATCACGGCGCCTGCTGCCATGACGGGGAGCCGGTGCTCGGGGACAAACGTCCCCGCTTCGAGGTGTCTGCTCGCGATGCGGTTCCCGAAATGCGTGAAGACGAATTGGCCGAGCAGCGAGCCGATTCCGATTCCGAGGAATGAGAGCCCCACGATGCCGCCGTGCCAGTGGTATTGGGTTTTGTAGACCGAGGTGAATGTCGTGAACAGGATGTACAGATAGGTGTACGAGATGGCAATGTAGACTGAGATGGCGGCGCAGATGGGGGAGCGGAACAGCATCTTCATAGGCCGGACGATGGAGAAGCGGAAGAGGTCCTTTGTGGAGAGGTCCGAGGCCAGTTTGGAGCGGAGTTTGGGGTTGCCCGTCGTGGTGCGGAGACGGTGGGCTTTGCGTTCGAGGATGATGGGCGCAGAGGTTTCCTTCATGAGGAGCAGCGCCATGAGGAACGAGGCGGCCGTTACAATGGCTACGAACCAGAAGTTCCAGCGCCAGCCTTTGGCCACCGTTAAGAACCCGCCTATTATGGGGCCCACGCAGGGGCCGATTGCTGGAGCATGTAGGATTAGCGGGTTCCTTGACGCATTTTTTCTACAGTGTTATAGTGCTGTTCACCTCACAGATCACGGCTCATCCGGGCAGTCAAAGAGTAGTACTTTGGAAGGTGTCATGGGGGAAACTAGACTAAATAGACTTACTTGGACCCATCATCCACACCGACATGGCTGTACCTCGCTGCTCCCGTGATATCAAATCCGCAATTGTACCTGAGAAAACAAAAACAAAAAATCAGTACGTCTCCCTCAACATGACATGGTAATCAAACTCACCTCCCCCAAGTACTTGCGGAGCCCCGCCAAAGGTTCCCATCAGAAATCGGAATACAATGAACATGGTCATGTTGGTGGACACGGCGGCCGCAACCGTGAAGACGATGAAGAAGGCTACACAGCTGTGGTACAGCGGCAAGCGACCGTACATCTCCGAAAGTGGCGCAATTACTACAACAAAGTATCATCAGTATGCGTGACTCCAACAAAAAAATCCGGCCTTCATTAGCAACCGCAAGAGCAAATGGTATCATCAATGATTCCAACGTTGGTGGTCAAGACGTGACGTCGCCACTTACTCGACGGCCCAAAAGCGAACCCCAACACATAAACCGACACCATGAAGCTCGAAAGCATATTTGAAGTTGAATGGAAATCCTTCATGACCTCTGGAACCCCCGGCGCAAACATACTCGACGCGAGCGGCGTCAGAAACGTCAGCAGAGACACAATGCTCACCGTGCCCCATTTCTTCAACGCGGACCAATTCATGGGGTTCTCAGGATCGTCGATGCCGTCCCAGAAGACCACATTTGGATCGTCCTCGCACTCGTTGCCAATGCCGGCTTCGTTGCTGGAAAGGGATTCCGCCACGCCTTTTTCGGGATCGGGGGCGGAGGGATGGCATGGGTCGAGCTGAGCGTCAATGGTGTGGCTTGGGACTTGATGGAGGGAGCCGACATTCGAAGGGATATCTGCGTCGTGGCCTTCCAGGGCGGCTTGTTCGATGATTTCGCTACGTGTAGGGTGGCGGTAGAGGCCTGGGGCCTCCGGTTTCCCCATGGTGGAAGATGATGTGTCGTCTTGTCCAGCAGAATATCTTGTCCAGCATTAGCTTTTGGTTGATGGTTCCGTGATCCGTTTTCCACAGTCTTCGCAGCCAGTCGATGGATACGTAGTTGTTTCGCGACCTGTAGACCGAGGCGGGTAGGAGTTGATGGAGAAATGGCAAATTGAGCAGGTACAAGTCAAGTCTGCCGCTAGACATGGGATTGCCGATCTGCAAACGAGGTGACGTTCAGACGATGAATTCGATCGAGCAGTACTGCAGGAAGAGCATCAAGCCAAGCAGACGACGGATGCTTGTCTCGTAGGTATGTTTATCGCTTGGTCAGCACTTTGTACCCAGGAGTTGGGTAACGCAGAGATGGCCCCCGCATATACAAAGTGCGATGAAGAGAGAACAGGTACATGGGTGAAATACGAAGACGCTCGCAGTCGCGGTTGAATGCATGGATCCAAAGACTCATATAGGATCACGCGTTGCAGCATCAATAGTACACTGGAGGAGGCTAACTGCGTACATATCTAGCTCGGCCGGCAGATGATGATTTAAGGCTGGCGCCGGGGTGCTGGGCCAGTCAAACGTCTTTGATCAATGCACATCACTTCCCTTTTGCCCTTTTCCGTGGTCGGAGCATCTGGGTTAGCGACCGAGTGGCCTCGTACGAGCTTATATCCGTCATGCATTCGCCTATCTCCGCATCAACTACTACCCCATAACTTCAACAACCATCTGAAAACTCCGTTTTCGTTCAGGCCTGCATCCCTCTGTGTCTGTTGTCCATCTCCCCTGCAATCGGAATTCCACCATCGCCTAGCAAGTAAGTTTGGCGGGACCGGGGATCTTGTACGGCTGTCCGTTTCCAGTGGGCTGGCCGGTGGGACCGTAGATGCTGACAAGAATACCAGGGTCAGAGGCACTGTAGGCACCCGGGAACGAAACTGTCTGTGCAGTCGAGCTACCGGAGCCGCTGACGTTGATTTGGGCGCATCCCTAATGTCCACCGCGTGAGTTGTTTTGATTGTGAGGAAGGAGGAGGGAGAGGACACAGATGAAGGGCTAGAAGAGGGAACAACGAACCATGTAGAACTGAGCACCGCCTTGCTTGGATGCCGAGTGAAGAGCGATAATCTCAGCGCGGAGCAGGTACTTGCCCGGTGCAACGCACGAGGGTAGTGTAAAATCTTGCCAGCCGCCCGACTCGATCATGCGGTCTACACCCCATTTGCCAGAGCCATCGAGACCGTCTTCGGCGACCTTAAACCACGAAAGGCCGTCGGTACCGCTGGATGCTGGGTCGTTGACTTTGGCCATGTAGAATAGAGTGGGACCTCAAAAGGTGTAAGAATAGAGGAAAGACATATCAAGAACCGAAACGGACTACCTTTGTGGGATTTAGCAATCGGGTGGTCTGGGTCGTTGGCAAACTGTGCACCCCCGATCACATGTCCCCATTGTACCCCAATCTTGTCGCCGGCCTTGACATCGATGACTTTGGAGGATACAGGCTGTGAGAAGCCGCTGTTACAGGCAAAGTTGCCGGCGTTGACCTGACACAATCAGTCCAGTCTAAACAATATTGCTTCGGTACAGGGTCGGAGCCTCATCATGCCATAGCACGTGGCTGTCTTGAAAGCCGACGTCTCAGTATCTGGGATATGACTGACATTTTGGATCGGGTTGTTGGATGTCGGGGCTCTGATGCCAACCAGTTGGCCTTGGTCCTAGCTGTGGTGTGAGCAAAAATCACCTAGGGACTTGCCATTACGGAGTCATAGAAGGGTGACTAACAGCGCCGTTGACACGGACTCGCTGAGCAATGCAGTGAGCAGTGATGAGGGAAGGAAGAAGGGTGAGTACGGTGGCAGCGGCGAACTTCATGATGACTGGTGAGTGAGAGTGAGTAAAATATATACTGATGTAGCGATGAATAGTGTCGACTTTGGCTGGCGATAGAGAAGTGAACGCAAGAGTGAATACTGAACCAAGGTTTATATACCTCCGGCTCGGGCACCACTGCCTGTTACGAGACTGCGTGCTGGGATATATGCCATGGCGCCCTAGCACTCTATCCTGAGCGTGGTATTCGCGCAGAAGCCCATATGCAATAAAGATGGTACTGTCATCTGGTCGTGGGGATGACTTGGCATACTCCCCACACTCTATACCATGCTCTTTGCAGCATTCACCAAAAGCCGAGACGACCGATAAGCTTACTGTCCTTGATATAGTTGATATAGGTCAAGGTACCCTCGTTTCAGGAACCAGTCATCACGGAGAAGTCATATCGAGATGGGTTGAACGTGTTAGTTTTGATATTAATGTTTCATTAAATTTGCCGGGCTGGGCACCGTCCGTGTAACGGTTTGCTGTGAGCGAACGAAGAAAAACGATGGTAGTCGTATTTAAACCCATGCCGTGCTTTTTTATCGCCTTCATCGGAGCTTGGAGGTCTTGGTGTTGATGTTGCCGGTATTAAAAAAGCTTGGGGCTTGTTTGTTGGTGGTTGGCAGCATGGTCCGGCAGCTACCTGTATACATTATATCTCCGACGCCAGCTGCTGTATACAAACGTTGTGTGAAGATGAAATGAAAGCGTGGTTGAGAAAAATGAAGGGTTGTAGAGTTGCCTGATTTCATCGGAGTTTGGTGTTCAGGTAGGTATGTAGAAGGCCGGTGGGGAATACGTGGTGCATCTCCGATGGCATCGGATCGAGGGTCCCACTTGAACAGTGCGTGTAGATCAGCGCAGTAGACTGGACATGAGCATGTGGAAATGCCAATGGAACATGGTGGACGGGGGTGTTCGCGTATCTGGGACGAACAATTATGGATAAACTGGGTCAATCCCAAGTTGCAGATTCGTTAGTGCTTCTGGCTCGACGGCAGAGGATTTGATCAAATGTCGGCAACTACCACCGCAGTGCCATTACAGAAATCAACAGTTGAGCCCGGCCACTGGTAATGGGGGGTTCGTCCGCGACCGGCTGGTGTGATTCGCAAAACGGCCGAGCAGGTATCAATTAGTGCAGACAAGCAGTTGATGGACGACGACATGATGGCGTGCATGGGAGCATCGGCGAATGTGCTTGTGCATAGTGTGCCACACTTGGTGCGGGATGAGACCTTGTTTTTGCCTGTTGTGTCGTGCTTTTGCTTGCCATTCGGTGTGGCACAGAGGGTTGCGCGAGGCTACAAGAGGCATGGAGCGAGGCGACGGAATGACGATGGTCATGGATCGTCGTGTTAGCTGGTGTTGCGGGAGGAGACGGGTCTCCATGGGGCCAAGGCAGAGGGGGTCCATGTGTCATTGTGTCCGTACTTGGCTTGCTTCTCAGGGAAAAAGATGATGCATGACATCACCGTCAACATGTGTCATTGCATCAACCTTGACAAAATCAACCCCACGACGTCTCCTGCTTCTCTTCCGATACATACACCGCCTCGATCTCTGTAAATACACACGCAGCACACTGAATCCTTTTCCCGTGCTTCTCGCCATTGCAACACCAACAGCAACAACAACATCAACCGCCCGTCCGTTGTCTGCCGCGCCGCCCCAATTCCGGCGCTTCTCCCCTTTCTTCCCCCATCACGCTATCCATCCATCCACCCGTTCACTACCCATCGCCTTTGCTACACCGCAGCAGGCATCCTCCCTTGTCCCCTCTTTTCTCCGCCCCCCACAGCTGTTCATACTCTCCACCTTGTTCTCCTCACCCTCCTGATCCCCGCTACCAAACTCAAAACGCTTCCCCATGGCGTCGCAACACGGTTATCAGTCCAATTCGGTCCCTGCGCCCAACGACCCCAGTCACTTGAGCAGAGGTTATGGCGACTCCTCACACCTCAATGTTGATGTCAACGATTTCGGCAGCATGCCAGCCAACCACACCGAATCCTCTCCGCTCGCCCAATCCCTCCCCGAAGCCCAACGCCGAGGCCGCTTCGAAGAAACCTTTGACGCCCGCACCCGAGGCTCCTCCATTATCGACCCCAACGAAAGATTGGAACGCTCAACCTCGCGCGCGTCAACTCTGAACCAAGGTGCTGCGCCCTCGCGAAGTGGTACCCTCAAAAAACGATCCTCCGTCAAGCGCTCCGGCAGCTTGAAGCGCAGTGGCAGCCGCAAGAGCTTGCATGCTGGGAGCATACGCGGTGTCAGTATCGAAGATGAAGGCCCCGCCTCTTCCAAACACAACAATGTCTTCTATACACCTGTGCCTACCTCGGGATCGCCTACCGAGATTCTTGCCAATCGCTTTCAGGCATGGCGCAAGTTGCTCAAAGACCTCATCGCTTACTTCCGGGAGGTCGCGACTTCATATGAACACCGCGCTAAAGCCCTCCTCAAAGTCTCCAACGTCATCAACAATACAAACGCCCCGACCCTATTTCTGACAGAAGGTGGCTTGAACGATGCCAATCGCATTCTGCGCGACTATCACAAGCAGTCCGTGGCCGAAGCGAATAAAGCCAAGGACATTCAGGGGGAAATCATCAACCAACTGTCAGGTCTCCGGGCTGACCTGAGCCACAAGATCAAGGAGATCAAATCGCTCAGTGGTGATTTCAAGAATTCGGTCGAAAAGGAAAAGGAGGTGACCCGGAAATGTGTAGCAGCCCTCGAAGAATCTCTGTCTCTGGTGGACTTGGACCCCGCTGCTATTGCTGGCAAGGGCGATCCCTTTGTTGTCAGGCTTGGCGTTGAAAGGCAAGTTGAGCGGCAGATTGATGAGGAGAACTATTTGCACCGCGCCTATCTGAATTTGGAAAATTCCGGGCGCGAGCTGGAGTCTATTGTCGTGGGCGAAATCCAAAAGGCCTACAACGCCTTGGCCAATATCCTCAAACGCGAGGCTGACGAGAGCTACTCCACTATTGAGAGACTTCGCAGCGGGCCCGTCGGCATGCCTAGAGACCAGGAATGGAATGAGTTTGTTACCCAAGATCCTCACTTCGTGAATCCAAGCATCTCCCTCAGAAGACTTGAAGGTAGGTGCTACACCTAGCTCTAATGAATATAAAACTGACATACCTAGATATTGAGTATCCCGGAAAGCACCATCCTGCTGCCGCAGAGGTAAGAGCGGGAATGCTCGAGAGAAAGTCAAAGTACTTGAAGAGTTATACACCCGGATGGTGAGTTCTGTTCTTTGCGGACCCAGCTGCTGGCTTCTTTACTGATTGTTGTAGGTACGTGCTGTCGCCAACACATCTGCACGAGTTCAAGAGCGCGGATCGTATTTACACTCAGCCTCCCGTGATGTCATTGCTTTTGTCCGATCAAAAGCTCGGAAGCCATTCACAGCCAGGCAGTAGTTCACATAAATTCGGTATGTCACCTGTTCTCGAATCTGAGTGAAGCAATGTCGCTGACCGGCCGTAGTACTCAAAGGCAGACAAACTGGGTCAATGCACCGAGGACATACTTGGGTCTTCAGGTATTAGTTTCTCTGTACTTTTAACTGTAGCTTGTTTGTTTACCTCTTTCAGGGCCGAAACCTACGATACCATGTTAGCCTGGCGAGACGATATTCAAAATCTGATTGACAAAACTGGTGATGAGCGCAACGCCTTTGTGCGTCGAACAACCTCCCACAGGCGCAGCATCAGCGCAGGAAGCACACGATCTTTCAGCTCAGGAGGTGGTGACTTGGATGAAGACGAGGCAGATGCCGTTCCATTCTCCGCTAGCCAGTCGTTGGTCGGACAGCAGCCGCAGGAGGCCGAGCCGCAACCGAGACCGAGTCCAGGTGGGCGATTTCCATCTGATATCCAGGTACAACGTCACTTACAAACGCCTCGTGTGCCCTCCAGTCGCAGCTCGTCGGAGATCGGTCAAGATGTAACCACCATATCCGGTGGTTTACAAGGTTCCCACCCACCTAATATGGCCGCGGCAGCTCCCTACGATTCCGTCCATCAAGAGTACCACTCAAACGCCAACGAAAACCCATACGAATACAATCCAAACCGCGCAAACCAACAGCATGTTCCTCCTCCGTTACAGCAGCAAGATTCTTACTTTGAAAAGAACCCCCCTAGAAATTACACGTCGGAACCCCATCCTTCATATGACTATGATCCATCCCAAAACTTGACGCAAGACAATTACCAGCCTCGGCCCCGTGACAATCTAGCCGCTTATTCGAACGGTCCCGAGCAACGGCCTTTGAGCGATTATGCCGATTGGATGAGTCCCGCCGCTGGCACAGTGGCTGGAGCAGCCGTAGGAGCTGTCGGGGCTGATGCTTACCATCGTCATCAGCAAGAGCAGCAGCGGGAGATGGATGCTCATTATGATCCCGCAGACATTCAACCTCTTCCTGAGCGCCATCCCGATCATATAGCGCCTATCAATCCCACTGGAACACTGACCCCAGCCCCTGGAGTATCTACAACTGAAATTCATGCTCCCTCGCCGCTATCTTTCACCAATGTCGCCGACCAGTCTTTTTTAGACGGGGCTCAGGTACTCCCCAGTAGATTCTCTACAACCACCGCCGGTACCTTCAGCCCATCCATTGCCGGCGAGAAAGTCGATGGCGGTCCAGTCCTCATTCCCGGCACCAACGCACCGGTGGAACCTCCGTCTGTGAAAAGACAGAACACCGATTTTAGTGTCTCGGATCTGCATGTTCCGGGTGAGTATCCTAAGGGTTCTGGGCCTGCGAAAGTTTAGCGTGTTATCTTGATTGGAAAGCAGCTTTCGTGTGTCCTGTTTTTTCTCATTTACTGGAGTATGCTATGCAACATGCTGCGAGAAGTTTTCCTTATTCTATTATTGCGTGTGTATGGATATGGTTGTTTTTGCTCCTGTTAATCTGCGGCGCTTTTGTCTTGAGTTAAAGATGCGAGAAATTACGGTGGGATATATGGGGGCCTGGCGCGATATACATATGGAGGGTGGGAACACTCGAGGCCCTGATTCTCTAATCTTTTTTGCTCCCATTCTCTCTCTCCCTCTATGCTTGTTTCTTCTTACTATTTGTAGCTTTAAATTACTTATCTAATGCACCGCTCGACAAGCCCTTCTCTAATGTTTTCTACAAGATTGACCTTGATTCTATAACGCTGGAAAGAAGCGTTAACTTAGCTCCAATTCTAGAATTTCTAAAATGTATTCACGCATTGTGGATCAGGAAATTAGAGGCAACATGCTAGACACGAATACAGCAAAAACAACTCTAATTTCGTACCTAGCAACATTTGAAAACAGTACAATAAGGACAGGAAGCAAGCCAAAGCTTGTATTGAAGATATAAACAAGGGCTCTACAGAGCAAAGAAGAGAAACTGCTAATCCATTCATCATCTGCGGATGATCCTCGACACGATTGCCATCTAGGTGCTTATTTGCAGCTGGCCGCTTGGGGGTCGGCACTAAGTAGAGTACGACCGTGTCAGCGAGTGTATGAGAAGCGGTTTTGTGAGAAGAAACTTACATGAACCACCATTTAACGCCTTCTCTATGGAAGCCACCCTTGTCGCAGCCGTTGATCTCTGCCGAGAAAGCCTTGACACACAAGGCGCGATCAACGTCCTCTGAATCATTGGCCGTATATTGAATTTCAAAGTCAATGGACTTTGTCTTGTCGCCTGCGAGAGGACGGCAGATCTTCCTATCCTCATTTACCACGTCTGCGCCAACGGCGAAAGGGCCCCTCGCGATCATTTCATCGCAAGCAGTTTCAGCAGCAACAAGCGCGGCTTTGTCACCTCTTCCACTGGGCCTGTACAGAACATTAGTATTGGTTGCTTTTTTTAGGAGTGCTGATTGCAAGAGGTGGAACACCTACCATGAGGCTCCAGAAGTATAGCAAGACGCGGAAACGCCCGCGATGAAGGGAGCGGCAGCAGCGAAGATGGTGATGAAGTGCATTTTGAGATTTGATTGGAAAGAATGGACGATAATCAATATCAGTAAAGACTGTGGAGTTGAAGGTTCGAAGTGTGTAAGCTGTGTTTGTGATGATGGAAATGTTTTCCTACCAGAGCTGTCGCCTCTCCTTATATGATCCATACATTAGCATCTCGCGCGACATGTGCTTTCCAGTCTAGTTTACAATCTTGGAGTACATATCAAAGAGGTAAGTGGGCTCGGATGTGCATAGATTGATGGTAGGTGCAAAAGTCCGCGGGGTGTTCCGACCTAGTCGGATGAGGTAAATGTACCTTCAGGCAAGTCCCAAACGGTACACTGCCTACTAGTAGTTCTACACAGTACGTACTATGCACAGTAGTCGCTGGCCTCTCGCGCGACTCATTGCACGGCGTTTCATCTACGGGCTCATTCTAGTCCGATGAGGACCAAGCTCACATTCGCCAAATTAAAGCTCGATAACTCCGAGAACAAAGATAGGAATTCTAACCCGTAGGATCACCTAAACTCCAACCTAGAATAAATAGCAAATAAAAATAATAGATTTGTTACTAATGCAGGTACACAAAAGGTTTTAAGTTTTTTTTTAATTAGAAGTTATAGTAGTTTCTATACTCAAAAAAGATAATAAAAAAAGTAATAAAAAGTAAGTAAGTATTAAAAAGTTTAAAAAAAGTATTTACTTTTAGCACTAAAAGCTAAAAATATAATACTTAAAAAAAGCTAAACTAGCACTATAGTATATAGCTATAGTAGTTATAGCTATAAAGCTAGCTAAAAAAAAGCACTAGCACTTATTTATAAAAAAATAGTTTTCTTTTATTAAATATTTAGTTATTATTAAAAACTTAATAATAATTTAATGTTTAAATAATAGCTACCTTCTATACGCCTATATATAAAAAATAATTTTATTTTATTTTATTTTAGCTAGCTAATTTAGCTTAAAAATCTACTTACTTACTAGTAAATTATAAACTATAAACTATTAATATAGCTACTAAGCTTATTAATATTTTTACTTTAAAATTTTTACTTTTTATTATAATTTATTTAAGTAATAGTTATAGTAGCTTTAACTACTTTATTTAATTACTTAAAATAGCTTAATATAAATTATTAATAATAAAAACTATTATATAAGTACTTATCAGTAAAATAAATAGTTTAAGTACTTTAAAAATAACTAAAAATAAAGTGCTTTAAGTTTATATATAAAGCTAAAAATAAATAAGTAATATATACTTATATACTTATAAAAAGTAAGCATATATAAAAAGCTTTTTTTTATTTAAGTAAGTTAAGTTAGTAGTTTAAAAAAAAGTAATAATATATAAGCTAGAATAAGCTAAAAAAGTTTTAGTAATTATATAAAAAAATTATAAAGTAAAAAAATAAAAATAAAAGTAAAAGTAAAAGTAAAAATAAAATAAAAGTAAAAGTAAAAGTAAAAATAAAAGCTAAAAAACCAAAAGCTATAGTTAAATATTAAAGAAGTAATATTAAATAAGCAATATTAAATAAGTAATATTAAAAAAAGCTAAATTTAAACTAGGCGCTATAATTAATTTACTAAGCTACTTAAGTAGGTTTTAATTATATAAGTAGCAAGGTAAATTAAATTAATAAGCTAAAACTAAGTTTTATCTATATTTTGTTAGATAGAAATAAATTTAATAAGGTATTAAAAGAAGGGAAAGGCACACGAACGATTTGTAACTACACAAAAGGTTTATCTTAAGAACTCGAGAGCAGAAGCGCCGTCTATATTCCCAATCACTTGTCTCGAGCGTACCTTTGCTACTGCTGTCTCTACCTCAACAGCATAGGCATCTACATCAACCTTTCCTATGTTTCCAATCAACTGTTTTGCCTCATCAGTTACTTCAGCATGCTTCACTTCAACGCCTCGTGCTGCACTAGTGCAAACCTTTAAGCAATCTTCCAACTGCTGCTTTTGCAATATCCAAAAGTCTAGTTCTGCCTGACGAGCTGCGCTAACCGCAACTCCTTCGTCACTCTGTTTGCTGTTTACAAATGCAACCATGCGTCCGAGCTCTTGTTTGACGTCGCTCACTTGAAGGAGCAGGCTGTTGCTACTGCTTTCAATAAGCTGTCTGAGTTTACTAACATCTTGAGCAGTTGATGAGGTAGCAGCTCTGTGTAAAAGTTTAGTTCGCATATACCAGATTCAAAGGACTGACGTACAGCGAGGCCAACCCAAGGGCAACAGTCGCCGTGGTCTTGAACGTGCTCAAACGTGATGCAAACCGCTTAACTTCCGACTCTTTGATTTGAAAGCGAAAAAGGTCCCGGTTGCTCATCCGACTAGCAGTGGAATGCTTGAAGATTCTATCCAGCTTGGCACTGAACGCATTGCAAGCGCTTTGAAGCTCCTGGATGCACGGTCGAAGCTGCACAAGGCTGTGCTCAAGTGCAACTCGATATTGCGCGCTCTCATGGGCGCCTATCTGTTGGTTCAAGTCTGCAAAACTCTGGAGCGTGCGGCCAACTTCGTTGATGTCGGTGCGAAGGTAGGAAAGCTCGTCTGGGGCGTCTCGAATGCCTTCTATCAGATCGTGAAGAGCTTTACAGCTTTTGTATGTGGCGTCCGCCAAGGTGATCACAGCGGATATAATGCCGAGCTCTGCGGCCATGTTAGATGCAAGGAGATTATGACTGAAGGTGTAGTTTTGGCAGTATCTAGTTCGATGTGAGAGTTTGGTGTGCTGCTTACTTTCGTATAAAAACCCCGTTCCTAGTTTAGCTCTGCTAAGTCTTGTTAGTGGTGCATATGTACTTTGAGCGGGGTACCTGACATACACACGACTCATTCATTGGTCGATGAATTCCCAGGTAATCAATTGATGCATCAAAGCTCAGCTCATGTCTAAATCCCACGAATGAAAGCCTCACCTTTTTCAGGCTGGCGCTTAATCATGGTGTTTCCGCGCACGTGCGAAAGCTCTAGCAACTTGCAAGTAAGTACCTGAGAGAAATTTCTGCAGTAATCGATGGTTAAACAGCTTCTAGGTGTATCAGTTCATAGTACAAATAGGCAGTGACTAGTTACTCTGAGCACGATACTTTCTACAGCTGCCGCTGCGCCCTGGTAACCATGTCGGAATCCACACGACTTCAATCGCCAGGCATAGAGAATCATCCCCCCAATTTTGCAGCCAGCTTTCTAGGAGAACGAGCATTCGACTATCACGCAAATCCAGACGCAACTCCACGACCTGTGGTCAATGCCACCGCAACAGGTGACGCGCGCATGATTGTTGGAAATGTCAATGCAAATACCACCATCACGGGTGAGGTCAAGAACGTCAAGGTATACCAATTTCCCGAAATCCAAGTCGGTTACTCTTCGAGAATTGCAAAAGACGATGCAACGATCCGAAGATGGCTGACGTCGACCGACCAAACGTCCGTATATCAAGAGATACTTGATCGCCGGGAGCCAGAAACCAATCGCTGGTTCATTGAGAATGGGGACTTCGAGCGTTGGGTCAGTCATGATCCTCCTGATTACGCTCGGTCCGACGACACAGACCAGGAGGAGAATACTGAACAAACGCACGGCATCAACCAAGATGAGCTTGAATCGGCTAAATCGGCATGGCCAAGATTTTTGTGGATTCATGGAGGCGGTATGTCTATCATAGGCAAAGTGTTGCGCACGAAGATTTGCTCAGCAGACTAATCACGACAGAAAGTTGGATGCGGTAAAAGCATACTATGTTCGTCCATAGTAGAAAAACTTTTAAATCGTGGGGGATACGAGAGTACACTAATATGCTACTTCTTCTTCTCGTTCAGAAGTGCCGATCGCGGAGATTTATCCGCACTGTTGCGTTCGCTTCTATCACAGCTTTGTGATGAACCCACTGTGCCCGGCCCGATGGTAGAACTCTACATGAAGTGCCACCAGACCTTCCCAGCCAGATTACCCACCCTACTCGAGCTGAAAGATGTTACAAACAAAGTCTTCGACAAAGTCCTTCAATCTCAGAAAGTATTTCTAGTTCTGGACGCTTTAGACGAGGTCACGTGGGGACCGCAGCGGGAGGATGTCTTGGATTTTACGTATGAGTTGTCGCAGAATGCGGCTAAAGGGCTACAAATCGTCGTCTCTAGTAGGAACGATACTGATATTAGGGAACGTTTCGCCTCCCCCGACACCAATTGGAAGAATATACCTATCCAATATCAAGATGTAGACCATGATATCGAGAAGTACATCAACAACCATATCGAGAAGTACCCGTCTCTCAAACGACAGGACGCGGCAACTAAGAATTTGATTCGCGAAAAATTGGTCAACAATGCTCATGGAATGTGGGTAGCCGATAAGTATTGCCGGAAAGATAGGAAATGAGGGTGCTAAGGTCCTTTAGGTTTAGATGGAGTGCTCTACAGTTATCCAGCCTCAGGCAACTTCGATCATCAATGCCGAATTCCATCAAGAAAGCCCTAGAGGAGATACCGAAGGACTTAAATGAGACCTATGCCCGTATTCTCGCCGGCATTGACCAATACTCGGTGCAATTAGCCATTCATGCTCTTGAGTGGCTGGTTGCATCGAAACGAACTTTTTACATCGAAGAACTGGCTGATGCTTCCTCGAGCGGGCTACAAGATATCGAGCAGAGTCCATACGAATTTAGGGATACTGCGCTGGAGCCCTTCCACTTAGTGGAAATGCTTGGAGACCTTATTGAAGTGTATCCAGCCCTCCCTGACAACTCCCCCCCGGAGCCCGGCCAGCACAGCGTCTCACTGTCGCATTTCTCCGTGCAGGAGTTTCTTCTAAGAGAATATATTAAGACGTCTCCGGTGTCTAGGTTTGCACTGACATTGCACGAAGCCCACTTTTCGGTCGCGCGAGACTGTCTCGTCTACCTTTACCGCTTCAACACTCCTCCGCGCCGACTCGATAGCGTAAAAGCAAGAATGCCTGGGTTTGCGCTCAGGGAGTACGCGTGGTACAACTGGGAAAAGCACGTGGCACCTAGCACAACGAACGAGTTCATCAGCGACCCGACAAGGCGAACAGCGACGATGTTGTATACCAATTTCAAAATCCGATCAATCTGGACAGATGATGAACGATCGAACACATTGACGTCCTGGCTTCCCACAAGAGAGAAAGAGAGACTTCTGAGGGCTTTGAATGTGCCCTATTTCTATCCCAATCTGGGTGGATATTTCGAAACGCCACTAGGGCCTCATGATGATCCCCGCTGGTTTGGAAACAATATTCCAGACGCCGCAAACAAGGAGATTGCCCTCATTTCTATTCTGCCATGTCTAGACCCTGATGACGACCTCAGATGTCAGCTTCACATTGTCAATCTTCGGGAAAACCCCGATTTCAAAGCCATCTCGTATGCATTGGGTCCAGCGGATGATTCTCCCATCTATATTGGAGGATCGAAAAAGTCGGTCCGTCCTCAACTTGCCAGCATCTTCCGCAACCTTCGCTTGCATCAAGAAGGCCAACAGCCTAGGTTTTGGGCGGACGCGATCAGCCTGGAAGAGTGGCAGTCTAATAGCAGTTCCGTGGTCATAGAGAGAGATCGTGTGTATTATACAGAAACACGGCTTTTGGTCATGCTCACCGAGATCTTCAAAAAAGCACGAGAAGTGATGATTAGCCTCGGGGAAGAGCTACCTGGCGACGAGGAAGGCATTTCGTTGATGTACAAGCTTATCCAGCTAACGGATCTGGCCTTGGAAGCCAACCAGGAGGATGAGTACATTGGTGAAAGTCGGCTGTTCGACGAGGTAGCTCGACTCGAAGAGGAAAACGGCTGGTCGGTGCTGAATTCATTATTCACCAGAACGTGGTGGCAACGCAGGTGGACCATTCAAGAGATTGTACTTGCAAGAACAGCTATCTTGTTCACTGGCAATATTGCATTCAGCTTTGACATCATCAATCGCTTCGTCGAGGCTGAGTCGCTCATTCAAAAATGTCTTCTGGAATACCATGGGCCTCTAGGGCAAGGGTACCACGAGGTCTTCGGATCTTCGAGTTGGGAAAGCATCAAGAATCTATCCAGATCAAGGCGAGATTACGCCGAGAAAGGATCCTTGGATCTGGCTACGCTTATCTGGAGGTTCCGAATGCACAAAGGCATGTATCAAGAGGATGTTTTACGGACCATTGTACCATTGACCTGGACCCTTGATTACGATTCCTCCTTCGAGGTGGATTATCAGGACACCCATCTTTTCAGATTGGATCTCCCGGAGGCAATTGCCAAGGCCTCCGTCAAGATGATGAAGAAAACGGTGTTCCTTCGATTGTTGTCGTTGCAATCGGTGTACTCGTTGAACACAGAGGACGAAAAAGCCGACGTCGAGCCTCAAACCTGGTTACCAGCATTGGAAAAGCACGCTGCCGAGGTGCAACCCTTCATTCGATGCACCGAGGATGCCCCCAAGCTGTATAGCGCATTCGGGGAGGAAACACTTTCGCTGCAATTCGCCTCGAAATGCGTCGGGTTTAAACTTGATGAATTTCCGGAAAACAAAGAACATGACCTAGAAATAACGCGCCTCTCTATCAAGGGGGCTTTTTTCAGTACAGTTGAACGAACTTCAGACGCATACTTGACCGGTCTGAGAGATGAGGCCATTCTAGCTTTTGCCCGTAATTTAGCAGATACGGCTGTGTCATGGATTGAAGAACAGAACCAAAAGCGCTCGGATCTGATATCTGTTGAAGGAGGTGATTGTTCAGCAAATGGGGACACTCAGAGCTCACTGCCCAGCCGCGAAGACATATGGCGCACTTTGCTAGCCGACCAATACCAGCCCGACACTCGACTGCCTGACCAACTTCCTTGCCCCGATCTTCCTTCGTCACTGCCGCCAAAAAACGACAAAGAGGTTGACGCATTTTTGTCCGTCCCCGCCACCCGGAAGGCACTCAAGTATCTGTACGGACGAAGGCTGATGTTGACCAAGAGCGGGCGAATTGGTCTAGCGCCAATTGGAGCACGCAAAGGCGATACCATCGTCGTCTTCAGTGGCGGTCGAGTTCCGCATGTGATTCGAGAAACCAGTAAACGGATGGTAGGACATTTTGTCAATATTCCGCTTTGGAGTTATGTTGGGGAATGGTAACTACTTCTGCTCTATTTGATGGCGACTTTGACTGACTCAAGACAGCTATGTGCATGGGATCATGGACGGAGAGTTTACACTTTCCAAGTCCGATGGCGAGTCGGGTGTTGCCTTTGAGCCTATTGTTCTAGAAGGGGAGATGAGGAAGGTGCCAGACTCGGGGAGGCCTCCATGGAGACAGGACGCGGAATAATTTACCATAGGTAAGCAAGCTAGATGTGCAATAAGGAACCAGAATTATAGTTGAGAGTCATCTCCCCACTGTAGCCAATGCACTTTGTTGTTTCTTCGTATGGACAGTCTGGGGGGTACCGGAAATACACGTGGTTTTTATCTCATCGCGTCGTCAATTGGTGTGTTGTCTGGTCGTCTTGTGTTTGCGGAGGGCAGAAGTGGATTTTTGGGTTGGGGAGTAGGCAGCAGTCAGTCATGTCGTCAGTATGGTGTTGTTGAGATGGTGTACCGTGGATTGCAAAGGGCAGAGCTCTAAACTTTTTAAGTTTTGTTTTTTCCCACCTGTCTTATTACGTGAGGTGGCCCACCCTTTTCTTTTACACTAATCTTATTCGTCCTTTTTCGACTGTAACCAGCCTTCAGGGGTGTGGTACAATTACATGTTCATTTCGATCGCGGTATTGTCACGTGAAACGCTAGCGCTCTTGCTGCCTATTCTAGCATGCATACTTAAGTATATAAGCAACATGTACTCCTTCTAGCAAGTGGTTCTTTCCTTCAAACCTTTACCCGTCAATCCATCATGGAAGCCACCAACCTCGCGCACATGGCGTCGCCGCTGTTCCGTCTCCCTCGAGAACTCCGCGACGAAATCTATGCTTATCATGTCTATGAACATGATGGCTATTTCCATAGTTTCGCATCGGGGAAGCTCTCATGCTCCGACCAACGCCCCATCGACCTTGACCTGATGTTCACGTGTAAAGCCATCGCCCAAGAGATGCGCGGAGTTGCACTGCTCACCAACAAGGTAACCTTCACCACAGGTCGATCAGAAATCCAAGTTGACGATAGTGGAGACATTTCCCTAGCAGGCAGATTCGAGCGTCTCTTGACCTGGATACGAGCAATCAAGATGCAGATGCTAGTGCACGCCCACGAGTGCGTGACACCCGACATACTAGACCAAATCCAGATCCGCCATCCGTACGTCGGCGCTCTTTTTGCGGATCGGTTTCGCGCCGCCATCTCGACCACAGCAGATGATGTCATGCCCATAATGGTATTGGTTGGCAGCACTCGATTTCTCGACGACAACCAGGTTCCTCTTCCTGTCCAGGACGCCCTCGACACTGCTTTGACCCTTGCATCCAGCGACCCTCGCTTCAAAGGCAAAGCTCTTCAAGCATTCGAGGAAGGTCAAAATTTCCTCATGAACATGACCTTGGTCCCTGAGGCTTACGATATGATTTTGCAATACCGACCGTGCCGTTGGCAAATCCCTGATCCCCACGAACTGGCATCATTCGAGGCCCTGATGCGCCCGTCAGATCCAAACTTTGTCTTGTATGATTCGATGGAATACCGTAAAACGAGAAATTTTTCGGTTGGTGTGTGGTATTTCTCTGCAACCGCCGTTGCCATTCAATTCCTGAAGCGCATGTCTGAACGGGGACTTCGACTGCGCAATATCATCCTGGACGAGGACTACAAAGGAGTAGCTCATCCAGCCTATCATATTGCTGGGCTAATCCCTTTCTGCCAGCGCGATCCACAGCTTCGGATAAATCGACGAGTCGGGAGCATCTATCTATCCGACTGGGATCACATCGCTGATCATTTCAAACTTCCGTTTCGTGACGATGTTATACTCATGCTCTATCAGACTTTTGTCTCTATGGTAGACTGGGTTTGTGCAACTGGGCGGTTGTTGGACCTTGGCATGCCCCCGCAGTCTTGTTTCACAACTTTTGTTGTGCGCTCAGATAGCGACCTGAACTCATGGTCCGCTCTCAAGGTGGCCGCCTTCTGGCAAGAGAGTATGCTCAAATGGTTCAAGCGGCAAGGTGGGAAGCTCCCACCGCTGACATATGACAGATGGGGGGGACCGTATGCCCTACCGATCGCTCTTCCAATGGATTTTTCCGAGATTGTCCATGCTCTTCTCAAGGGAGACCTTTCAGTTCGATGCCAGCTTTCCAATGCGGCGGCCGACAATCTCCCGGAGTTATCCGAAGGCTATAGAATCCGTGACATACTTTCCCCGCCACAACAGAACTGGGATATAAAAACTTGGAGAAAAAAATGGGGCGACGTGCAGTCGGTGGTCATTAAACTTCCAGAAGGTGGGGAGCGCACCCTGACACTTCCGTACGTCAGACATGGCTACGGCCCACCAAGTCTCAGAAATTTCCGGATCCCGCAGCATCGTTTGCTAGGCTTATCAGAACAGACACGTATTAACTTGGAGGAAAGCATCAGACGAAGTGCAGTCGACGAAGATTAAACTTCCAGAAGGTGGGAAGCACGTTCTGACACTTCCGTACATCAGGCATGGCTACGGCCGATAGTTGCCTTGAGTCAGCGCTGCTCGTGCAGTTAAGATTGCCAAATGTAACATCTTTGTTCAAACTCTAGAATAGTACCAGATTAGAAAAATGAGATATCGTATGCCGCTTCCAACAACTCGACCAGTGACAAGCACATCCCATTTCGTTGTTTTTTTCTCGCTCCATGACACTTAGTTGCAGCCACGCCGAAGTCAGCTTTGTCTTGGACTTTATATCCGCCGCACAGTAACCAAAGCAGGATACCGTCCAGTTGCATATATTTATACAAATAGCTTCTCTGATGTAAAGGTTTTTTTATCACAGGGAAATAAAAATAAGCGTAGATGAAATAGTACATATATTGCTTGATACTACAAAACACAAAAGGTAGCGACAGGAAGAAAGATAATCTATAAAATCGAGGATAATAGAACAACGCGTCTGCGGAGACGCACTGCTGCCTCCCTATGCTAGTAACGTGAAGGGCTGTAGTCGCGGGTTACAAGTTGCTCAGTTAAGCTCAACCAGTGTCTTGATGATGTTTGTGATTGCACCGATGATGAAGAAGGATTGGTGGAGTTTCTTCAAAGCGGCCCAAAGTTCTTGAACCATCCTCCGATAGGGTCGAATTCTTTGGCCTTGACCACGTCCATGTTGAAGAGACATTCGGCCCATATCTCGGTGTAGGGTATGTCCTTGGTATTGACCTCTCTCTCGCCATTCCCACGGCTCCTCTTGCATTCCATCGAGTTCTTCATTATCCAGTGCATGTCCATTTCATATTTTCCAGTCATGGTGTCCCAGATATTCTTGGGGAGCCCTTCCCAGCCGTAGTCGGCCGTGTGAGAGCCAGGCGAACGGCCTTCTTTAACTCTGATAACTCTCCAACAGGCGCCGTCTATCCACTTGCTGGCTGGGTAGCCATCGGAACATTGCTTATCCCCGGTCAAAGGGTTGATCCAGATGAGATAGCCCTGACTGCTGAGTATACGAAGGCCGAGTGCTTTGCGCTAGTATAGGTTAGCTAGGATAAGCGCGCAAGATCGGTATCTGACAACTTACCAGCATGCTGTTACCCACATCGATATACTTACCCCATACGTCATCAACACTATCAATGAGGAATTTCCCGTCGTTAAAAAACCGTCCAATGGGTGACTTGAGCACGCTTGATTCTCCTGTTTGTCCCGCTTGAGGTAGATCCTCTGGATTGCCTTCTCCGAACAGGTTCCGCATGGTTTGCTCAAGTGCTAGCTTACTGTGGTTGTAGTATTGGCCTAGCGTAGTCTCCAGCCCGGTTTCAGCGTCCTCCGGTGACCATGTAGCAGCTCCTACTCCAAATGCACCGCTGATGACACCAACGGCTCCTCCGAACGGACCCGCAAAACTTTTGGCAGCCCCTTCCCCTAGATTAGCTGCAACCGCACCCAAAGCACCAGACGCCGCGCCAAAAGCCCCAGACGCAGCTCCGTGAGGATTGACTTTGGGATTTTCAGCGCCAAAGTCTTTGATAAGATCGCCGAGCATGAGGGAGTTAAGTAGAACATTGTCCGAGAGCTGTTTGTCCAAATATTCAAAAACACTGTGAGCCTTTGCTACAGCGGAGAAGATCCAATAGTTGTTGGCTCTTTCGTTATCGAAAAACAACTCTATGCTCATCCATCAGCTGTCATGATACCAGATAGACGGAAGATGACTTACTGCAATCAGCAGCATGCCCACACACGCCTCTCATACTAGCGCAATCCCAGGAATCTGACTGCTTCTTATCCCACGCGTTCTTGTCCAGAGTTCGAACCCAATCTTTGTGTTTATCGCCTTGGGTAATGATATCGAGATAAACGGAGGCGCCTGTCTGGCGCCAGATATCTGCGGCAACCAGGGGCTTGCTATCGTCCAATTCATGCCCACAGATCTCATCGTAATTGTTGGGGTCGTCCAGTGGTAATGCTCTGGCCTTGAAATGAGCAATGCCTTTCTCAAGCTCGGGTGAAAGAATAGGGCCGGCGAAGACATTGGATACAGCCAGCATAGAAACGAACAACTGATACATTGCCATAGCGATTGACAGTGATAGTGAATAACAGGTAAAAATAAAGGGGAATGAAACTGAAGCTTGAAAGGCCCAAGCAGGGACGAAGAAGAATAGGAGATGATGAGTTGCAATAGTGCGCATATTGCTTTGCTTTATATTTCCATCTTCTCCACCATTCCGTTAGATTTTAGGCTTACCCAGCGTTTACCCAGCCTTGCACAGGTGCTCAGCCGTTTTTGATACTGCATAATCCGACCAATGGGGAAGGTTGAGAATCCGGTAGGATTTTGAAATTTTTGGAGGACTCGAGGCGTTCCAAGCTGGCACTGTGCCAAGACGTCGAAAAATACAGAATTCCCATAGCATATCGAGAGAAAATTCTAAGCTAAGAGAGTGACAATATTTCGGACTTCAATTGTATCCAAGCCCACTAATAGTGGTCATTGTCATGATACCCCACAAATCGAGTCCTCCGGAGGACTCAGTAGCCTCAAGAAGATCAAGCGTGAAATATAGTGCACTGCAGGAGGGGGCGTAGTTCTAGTGATCGTGACGTTATTCGGCACAGTAAGGGGCCAGAAAGAGTCTTATAGGGATGGTGGACTGGTTCTTGGCCCCGGCATTAGAATAAGCTAAAAATAGATGCCTTCTTTGGAGGGAGAAAACTAGAAGTCATGGGATTGCGGCGTAGTGTAGTCCTCCAGGCAGATATCGGTACAACTGAGCCGATCGCTGATAATGACTTCTGATGCCGCGAGCCGCCCTCAGAAGCAGGCTGTGCGATACTCCACGATTGTAATTTTCCGCGCTCATTATGACCGCATCTGAATCACTCGCACTCGGAGCTCTGTTTCGCACCTTGCTAATATGCCTTGCCCGTTATCGTTCACTCTATTTCCTTCCTTGGTGACGTACGCCAAGCAAATATGAGGAACGGGGACAAGTGTAGACAAGATGGATGGTGCTGCGAGAAGTGTTCAATGTGTACGTCCATCCAGCGGATTGAAAATCATCAGCGCAACGAAGAAATACGAATTCCGAATCTGTTTCCCAAAAACCTGCTCAATCTTCCGGATACTCGTCCCTAATATTGCTTACGAAGCACCCTGTGCTTCTATCCCAACGCTTGAAATAGCGGCCTGCCAACTTGAGCATGGCATTCGTCGGTTCTGATGTCGCTCCCGTTGGGATGATGTTTTGATCCGCAACGTAGCGAAGGGATTTGTCAGAAGCCCTAGTGAATAGGAGCGCGAAATATCAGCGTTGATTCATGACAAAAGTAACAGATAGAGCACAGGCGGTGGTAGACAGAAGAGATGGAAAACTTACAGAATGTGGTAAAAAGCTTGGTTACGCCCAGCAGATAGCGTGTCTACCTGCATCACCTGTATCCATTCCTCATCCTGCTCACATGATGTGTCCCAGCCTATAATGACGCCTTCGTACTGGTATCGCACGTGTTTGATCAGCTGACCAATCTGATAATATACGACCTCATCCGTCGGGTCATGTGATACGCGCGATTTCACGGGTTTGGCCAGTCTGTCGTTTGTGCGTATAGTCCTAGCGAATTTCTCCAACTGCGCGCCTTCGCGGTTGTTTGAGTTCGCAAAGTAGGGGACCACGTGACGCTCGAGGAGCGAGACGTCCCATGGTTGGTGAATCTGCATGTGATCAAGTAGATACGGCAGATACTGTCCACGGCGTGGCGTTGTGGAAATTAGAGTGTTTGCGGGGCCCGATGTGGCGGTACTTGGGGAGAGAATCATCATGGACCAGATTGTAGCGTAAAAGGCCGTGTCTATATCCGGGGACGAATTGGCCCATGCGATGCCATCGTCTATGCTAGTGTTACCTTGACGAATCGTTTGTACTGAGTTCATGATGTTGCGTGCGGTGCGTAGGACCATCTCACGCGTCGTGGTATCGGACAGAAAAGTCGTGTGCTCAGCACTTGGAACTCCCATCTGGCGAAGCACGCGTTGAAGATCTGCAGAAGGGACTTCGTCGGATGATCGGAAAGGATCCAGGTACATGGAGTGTAGTTCAGAGGAGCTAGTAGGTTTGTATAGTCCGTTGAGATCATAGTCTTTAGGCGCATACACGATGCAGTAGACATGAAATACGAAACCACAAGGCCGAGCATCGAGACCGAGGCGTTTGGCCAGGGCGCAGAATATAGCAACTGATATCAAAGGAAGTGACTGATGGGGTGGATTGTGCAACGCGTAGCCAATAAAGCTATTGCGGAGAGCGCGGTAGGACGCATCGGAAACGCCTCGAAAGCCTTTTGTATGTAGAAAGCCTGCCAGTATGGAGGCTTTGACCCGAGCGCTTGCAGTGGCAAATGTGGGATGATTTTCCAAGAGTTCTCCTGCGAGACGATTGATATCTCGATCGATGGATTCCCAGTCGACTAACGAGGAGATGGAGGTAAAGACATCGTACGCGCCTAGAGCCGTTTCAAGGGAAATGTCTTCACCTTGGTCCAACCTTTTCCATAATTTGATTGCAGATTCGCGCTGAATCATACCCATGATAGCTTTCGCATAGTATTCTCTTGCCAGCACATCTGGCATGCTTCTAGAGCATACGGATTGCTCGTACAATGATTCCCAGGCGTCGGATCCAAAATTGGCAATTTCATTCATGTGTTGTATCCTGCTTAGTTGGGAGCTCAAGACCAATTCAAACAGTCGGTTTGTTTCCTTGTTCGTCCTCACTCGCTGGACGAAGAGGGCACGCCAGTCCACGTCGGAGAGGGGACCAGCGAATTTGGCCGCTATGTGATGATGCGAGGCCCACGTCCTGAAGTGAGTCTTGCAGAAGCTTCGCCATACTACAGGGACATTGCTGGTAAAATCATTCACGGTCCTGCTTGTCAGGGATACGGAAATCAACGATGTTGCATCGAGATGGATGAATATGGACTCGAGGATCTCAACAGGAAGGTCTATGAATGTAGGCGCCATAGTAAATTCCAGGCGTAGAGATGGGGCGATGCCAAGCGACAGTCTTCACAGTGATTGCTGATCCTGGGGTGGAGGTGAACTTGTATGTCGTGTGTATTGTGCAACGCGGACTGTCTTGCAGTTGTATGGTGGTGGTGGTGCTGCTGCCGGCGCTGGTGGTACTGGTGGTGGAGGAATATGACGTTGGCGGCCGGGTGTCGCTAATACCTAAGCGGGCCGCGGGACTGGATAAGCCGCTCGCGATAACGTACCTCATGAGTGCGTCAAGCATACAACCAACAGTATGTCTCCCATTACGCAGAGAATCACTTCAATGCGATGTATCGGCCAATCCCCGAATATGAGTGCGCTATGGACGTGTCGTTCCAATGAGGAGATTTCATTTTTTGGTATGTGGCAGCGGTGAATATATATTCCAAGGCGCCCAACTTCGACATGGCTTCTACATTGAAATGTTTCAATGTCACTGCCGGTTCATAGTCGAGTCGTTGCAGAGAGCACATCTTGTTCACAACGAGAAATCTCTCAGCCGCCGGCAGGGTGCGGAACGCAGATGGCCCGAGATGAACTCCTAGTGAACCGGGCTTCCAGCTGGTGGCGTCTTCATGGATGCTCGGCTTTCACGATTCCCATGTTCGATTCGTCCGACGGCGGAAACGGCCCAGTGCATGCGACAATCCAGCGCGCGCACAGGCATTTGCGGTGAAAGAAGCATCAAAAGGAGCACGATAGGATATGTCATCCTCCCTTGCCCATGACGCGCTAGGTCGTTGGATCAGACTTTGATCTGTAGCGGATCTGGCTACTAATAAACAAAACCCCCCACCATTTCGCCGCAGGGCTGCAGCACAAGCTCCATGACATGGCATCCTAGCAGCGACCTCATCCCATCGACCTCACCTCTCCTCCCTCTCTCCCGACCTGTCCCTTGATATAACATTCGCATCACCAGCCCGGCTTGCGCGACACGAATCATACATACATACCCAATCCCTAACCCACCATGGCGGCCGAACTCACACGCACCGAGTCGTTCCAGTACCCGTCGGGTCACTTCGCCCATCTCTCCGAGAACCAACAAGTACAGTTACAGGAATTCAAGCAGTTATGCCAGGCTGGCGGTTATTACACCCCCGCCGGAACAGACGGCACCAGCGAAGCCAGTCACGACGACGAGACACTTCTGTATGAATGAATGATGACCCGGTCGCAGCTTTGCGCAAACCAAAAGGCAGTCACTGATCCCCCGCAGACGCTTTTTGCGCGCCCGCCGTTTTGTGCCCCAAGAAGCATATAAGCAGTTCCAAGACACCGAAAACTGGCGCAAAGAAAACAACATCGATGACTTGTTCTTGACCATCGAAGTCGAGGAATTTGAACAGACAAGACGCTTGGTACATACCTTGATTCCCCGTTGCTCTGTTGGTTCATTGTGACTGACCTTTTGCGCGCAGTATCCCCAATGGCTTGGACGGCGGGACAAGCGAGGGATTCCCGTCTACCTGTTCGAAGTCGCCCCGCTCAACTCCAAAAACATATCCAACTACGAGAAGGATCTCGCAAAGGCCAAAACCACCTCCCCGAAAGTCGCGACGAAGAATTTGCGCCTGTTCGCCTTGTACGAGTCGCTGACGAGATTTGTTCAACCCTTGTGCTCATCGGTGAAGCGTAACAACCCGGAAACGCCCATTTCGCAGAGCAACAACATTGTGGACATTAGCGGAGTAGGCTTAAAGCAGTTTTGGAATCTCAAGAACCACATGCAAGATGCGTCGCAGCTAGCTACTGCGCACTATCCCGAGACGCTGGACCGCATCTTCATCATCGGCGCGCCGGGTTTCTTTCCGACTGTCTGGGGCTGGGTAAAGCGATGGTTTGATCCCATCACAGTCTCCAAGATCTTCATCCTCTCTCCTCAAAACGTCTACCCGACCTTGACCCAGTACATCGACCCTGAAAACATCCCAAAGAAGTACGGTGGACAGCTCGACTTCAAATGGGGCGACATGCCCCACCTAGAGCCCGAACTCGACGCCCAAATCAAATGGGAAAAACCCGCGACGCAAAACGGCAAAAACACGTTCCCTATAGGCCCGTTGATGTGGGAGAAGGGCGCAGACGGCCAACTCAAAGCTATAGCCGTGGGCCACGAAAACGGGCAACCAAGACGAAGAACAATCTTCACGATCCCACACCCAGTAACCATACATACAACCGCGGCGCAATCGCAAACCGCAACCCCCACCGACGCCATCAACGACAATGCGACGACCACCCAGCCTTCAACAACCGCAGATACCGCCACCGGCACCTCGACCCAACCCACCGACACAGCCGTCGAAGCCGCATCCCTCGACCAAACCCCACCCTCATCAACCGCAACCCCGCAGCCAGAACCCGTCCAACCATCCCAATCCACACCTACATCCACCCTCCCCGTGCGCGAGGGGACCTCGGAAACGCGCTACGACCAGCAACACCCGACGCACGCATCTGGCCAGCTCGCCACAGGCACCCCGCACGCCGCCACCAACGACCACGGCCACGGCGACAAAACAGTCACCATGGAACCGGGAACGGTCGGACAAGCGCCAAAGGACGTCTCTGTCCCTACCCCTGCTCCCTCCGAGCCCGCGGCCGCCCCGGGATACGTCGAGCAGGCCAAGGCGGCGGTGTCGAGTGCTGCTGGCGCTGTCACGGGGCTTGTTGGCGGCAGCGCTGTTAGCAATGGGGATGGGGTGGTCAACGGCAACGAGGACAAGGAGAAGGAGAAGTCGCCGGAACAGAAGGAACTCGATTCAAAGATCGATCAGACGGCTGTGCCGGTCGTTGAGACTATGCTTCGGGAGCAGCAGAGAGCTGGTGTGCCGGAGACTAAGTCATAGATGATCAATATGTTGAGTGAGGGTCCGTATGTGGTTGGGTTGGGAGAATCGCCGTCGGTCATAGGCCAGCAGGCACTATTGTTTGGATGACGAAAGAGTGGATGGGTGGACGGATGATGGGTTGCTTGGCTAGATAAAAACAAGATGGGCATGGGATGGCATAGAAACAATCTCCATTCTTCTTCCGTCTCTCTCTCTCTCTCTCTCTCTTCGCAATGCCAGGAAGCAAGCAGTACAAAAACACACAGATTCTACTGACTCACACACGCACGCACGCACGCACGCATGGATAGATGAATAGATAAACGCGCAAGGATATATCAGGGTATAGTTAAAATTGGATTATGGTAGTAACAAAGAACAATAAAGGAGACGTTTTCCGGGAAATAGAACGAGTTGAGAAAAACCACGCAACCCATCCGATCCAAACAAGAAAACGTTCCAATATATATGCATCCCGCCCACCCCATACACACATAGGCACACACGCACACAGACAAGACAGACGTAAATAGCCATACCCAACATTATATCAACGTTTGCAGCATGACTTGAAACTTATTTCCCAAAAAAAGCCGTATTATCGCATTATAAAAGGAAGCGCATTCTCAAAGTGATGGTGAGAATAAGACGCGCTTAGACGGCGGAGGAAGTCTTGGTGGTGGTCTCGATGGGAACCTCGATGTGCTTCTCGGCGAGGTTCATGTCGGCGGCGAAGGTGGTCGTGGGCTTCCACTTGGCGGAGGTGCGGGGAGTCGACTCCTCCATCATCTTGTCGACTTGCTCGAGGGTAAGACCCTTGGTCTCGGGGACGAAGAAGAAGGCGAAGAGGACTGGGGGGAGAGAAAAAGTCAGCAGGGTTCGTTATAGAGAGAGAGGGAGAGATAGCGAAGGGGAACGTACAGGAGATGCAGCAGAGGCCGCCCCACATGAAGAAGACGTTGGATCCGAGTTTGGCGGAGTTGGCCTCGTTGGAGACAAGGTAAGGGGTGATGATACCGATGATGCAGTTCCAGAACCAGTTGGAGGCAGTGCTAGAAATCAGACAGTCAGCTGCAATGTTTCTCGATTGGGGGGGTGTTTTGTCATGAGGCAACTTACGAAAGACCAACACCGCGAGCACGGATGGTGAGAGGAAAGATTTCACCAATGACGACCCAGGCGCAAGGACCCCAGGTGGTGGCGAAAGCGGAAATGTTCAAGCAGATGAAGGCAATCATGGCCTTGACAGCGGCGGGGTTGCCGGCCGACTCCTTGCCCTCGGTGGCACCAATGGCACCGACGATGAACTGGCAGATGACCATGAAGGCAGCACCCCAGATGAGGAGAGTGCGGCGACCGAGCCTCTCAATCATGACGAAGCAGAAGGGGGTGGAGAGGACGTTGACAAGGGTGGTGACGAGAGAGATCAAGAAGACGTTCTCAATGGTGCCGAGCTGCTTGAAGAAGATGGGGCCGAAGTAGAAGATGAAGTTGATGCCGGTAAGCTGCTGCATCATCTGCATGACAATACCAAGGAAGGTCTTGCGGGCGTTGGAAGAGGGAGCAGAAAGCTTGCCCTCGAAGCAAGCAGCCCAGGAACCGAGGTAGCTGGTCTGAGGGGCAATGGACATCTCATACTCGTGGTTGGCGATGATCTCAGCAAGCTCATCCTGGATGAACTCTGAATCTACAGGCTGGCCACGGACGCGGGCAAGAGCCTTGGCAGCCTTGTCGAGCTTTCCCTTCTTGACGAAGAAACGGGGGGAGTCGGGAAGGAGGATGAGACCGGTAGCGAGGATGATGGCCCAGAGGAACTGGACGGCGATGGGGATACGGTAGGAGCCAGTGTCACGGCGAGCCTGGGTGGCGTAGACGACGCAGTTGGCAAGCAAGATACCGATGGTGATGCAGAATTGGTAACCACCAACAACAGCACCGCGGACCTTCTTGGGAGAGATCTCGGACATGTAGAGAATGACGACACTGGAGATGAAACCAACACCGAAACCAGCAATGAGACGACCAGCGGTCATGACGCCCAAGCCAGTGGAGGCGCACTCGAGGATACCACCGACGCAGAAGACGGCACAGCCGATGATGATGGTCAAGCGGCGACCAATGAAATCAGCCAGATCACCAGCAATGATGGCACCGAAGAAGGTACCGGCGGACAGAATGGAGGTGGTCAAAGAAACCTGCCATTGCGGGACAATGAAGGAATCCTTGTAGGCCTTGAACTCTGCGTTCTCGGGGTCGACACCGGGGAACTTGACGTCGGGGTACTCCATGCCAGTGTACTGCTTGATGAAGTACTCCATGGCAAGGACACCACCCATCCAACCGGTATCATAGCCGAAGAAGATACCACCAAAGGCAGCGAAGGCGACGATGAGGTAGGCGCGGAGAGTCACGGGAGCCTCGACGCGATTGACATCGGTCGTGCCGGTGACGGGAACAGCTCCACCACCAGGCATGGTTGATTAGGTTGTAGTAAGGTGGTTTGCTGAGGAGGGATCTTGATTGAATAGGTTGCACGCAAACGCGACCCTGGCTCGAGGAAGAAGAGCAAAGGAGAATTGAGGGATGCCTTCAGAGGGGGAAGCGGACAGCAGCGAGGGACGGGGAGCTTTTATTGTCAAGAGGCCGGGGGTGGTTGTGGAGGTGCAGCACGGTCGGGGGAATGGGTACAGTGGAAAGTAACATCAAATCCTTCTAGAAATACTGGGCCGGAGCAGCGCCCCAATGCAGTTAGGCCAAGGCCCCGAATGGAGCAGCGAGCGAGCATTCACATTTCACAGGCAAACCGAGGGGATTGAAGTGATTTGCTCGTCGCGTGTTTGCTCACCGCGCAGAGGCAACCACCACGCCTCTTGACCCAAGCGATGCCATGTCTCTTTTCTTTTCTTTTTGTTTTTCTTATTCTTCTTTTTTGCTTCCTCTCGTGTTTGTTTGCTTTTTTGAGCCGGCGAATTGGCAACGGCGATGCCGGGCGTGGAGAGCGGATGGCTGACTGGGGCCAGGCAATAGATGGAGGGTTTCGGGGATGTTGCTCAAAAGGGACCCTGAACCAACAAGTGGCCCGGGCGGGCTGGGGCAGCACCTGGGGGAAGCTGGGGCACAATGGCGGGTTAGCACGGCCTGGCTGGGGGCCTTGGCCTGGTGCATGGTTGTTCATCCAGTTTCCTCACCACACAACACAGTCCAATGCGCGCGTCCACAGCCGAGGCGGCAGGCTTTGTGGGAGCATGTACATCATGCACCGATTGGATGATGCGCATGGCTCGAGTACGGTGAGCCACAGCCAACCCTTCCTGTTCACATCACGTTGCTTGTCACGGTCAGCAAACCTTGGCCAGCCAGCACGTACCGACCGAGCGAGCACACATGACCCCTACTCCGGTCGACATGGTCAGCTACCTGACACGCCGTACAACCGTGGCGCGGAGAGAGAGAGAGAGAGAGAGAGAGAGAGAGGGACACAACCTTTCCGGCCTGGTGCACAACTGCTGCGGCGGTCCTTGTGCGTTACATCCCAACTCAATTTCAATCAAGTAACAAACCAAGTCAACGATGGAGGCATCGGACTTTGAGGGCAGACGTTGGCCTTCCCGCGTCCAAGCATGCGTGCAGTCGTGCATAACCGCCTGCCGAAAAGCCTGTCCAATATGGGCGCGCCGTGGCATGATTGGCTCCCATCTCCGAGTGCCAGGCGGCTGGAATGTCGTGGTCGTGGCCCGCGTGGCACACGCCGCCGTCCTTCCCGCGCCTTCACAGCAAGCCATCTGATGCTTAGGTAGCATGCACACATCGAGTCAATGCATTGCTACATACCTAGATATGTGTGTTGTGTGGAATCAATCCATGGGGGGGTTGCACCGGCTGCCAGCTGTGCCAGTCTTGACTGACTCCTGCGAGCCTGACTGGACCCTGCCCGTCGCCTAGTAGCGCTGTCGACAGCTCCTCCCTCCTGTTCTCTGCCACACCCGCCCGCACATCTGGAGAACCCTGTCTCCATGTCCTCTTCGCAATAACAATCAATCTGCTCTGTCGGCCCGGCATGGCTGCCATCCTCATCTCTTGTGCGCCTCCTCGCATCCGCCGAGCCTGCATCGGGAGACGATCCTTCGTTGCCTTGTTTGTTTGTTGAATCCAACTGTCAAATGTCTTCTCATCAGCCTGTCAGCTTGTCAACGCTGCACCATCTCTTTCGCCATTGTTGTGGCCAAACACCCGTCCGCTGTGCTTGTGGTCCCCTCTTTACTTTGCCCCATTGTGCTAGCCCCGTCACCTCCCAGCCCGCGGACCAGCGCCCCTGTCAAACCCAATCTGCTGTCACGAGCACTCTACTCCCCAAGTCCACATCTATGTACATGAGACTGTACATGCATCGCGGTATCGAGGCCAACAACCGGCCTGTCACTGCCCCTCATCCTCATCGCTTCTGCTGCCTACGCCCAATATCCCTCTTTCAATCCATCCCGTCCGTCTCGTCAGCCCCCCATGGTACTCTGTTATCTGTACCCAAGTCTCCCACGTGAATGCCTCCATCATCTCCATCTTCATGTCATGCGTCTCGAGGACATGAATCTCGTATAAAACCATCGACATGCAAGGTTCTGCCTGCCCAACTCCCACAACGCTAACGCCGAATCAGATTGATTTCCGGCCAGCATGGAGCGTGATGCAAAATTCCGGAATCCCCACGGCAATCCTGATTGCTCTTTGCGTATTCGTGCCATTTCCTGGTTGGGCGCTTGGAAAACGCCTGGCGCTCCACACTGTCATTTCTCTCTGTCCCTCCCCCCTGTGGGGGATCGAGATGGACCTTGGGGCTAAAAGGCCAAGTCTCACGGTTCGCGGAGAGAGCCACGGGCCAGAAAATTTGCTGTTGAAAATTCCTTTCCGTGGCATGCGCACCGCCTGAATTTGTTCGTTTGATTTCTGGTCAAGGGACGAGCTGGCATGCTAGCAAGCTCCGCCATGTAACAGCTACATCTGTAACAAAGTCTCGACCCGAGTCGATTTACCACGCTCCACTTGGAGAGGCTCGTCCCAAGCCATCACCATGACAGGTCAGCGACATGATTTTCTGCCAGCACATGGGTGTTGGCGAGTCAGCTTGCAACGTTGACGGATATACTCCGGTAGACATGCATACAGTCTTCGCCTCCGAAAATTCCTGGGCAGTGGGCTGGTGTTTTCGGTACTTGGTAGATGCATGCAGGCACGCACGACTAACCAAAGTCGTTAACATTCCATAGGAATTTTATTATTGGTGGTGTTTTGATGTCGTTATGCCACGCGATGCCCCACAAGCTTCCTGTCGCACAATCATCGAACCGTGTTGCTGGACAGAGCTCGACCGTGATGGTGGGAAATACCCCAAGCCCAGCGTTGAACCTGGTTCATGGCGACGTGTATCGTGGGAAATGTTCTTGAGTCGTGGATCCGTACTAGCTCAGCATATGGTGGTACGGAATGGCGGTGTTGATACTAATGCGTAGAATCGCAAATGGGTACATGTCTACATGTACCCGTGCCAACGAAGTGCCGTGATGGAGCGCGAGTCGAGGACGCTGACACTTCCCAGCTGTTTGCTGTACCCCGTCCCCATAACAAAGTGGAGAATGGCGGAGCGGCAATTTTGGAACTCAAGTTCAAAATAATTGAAAAGGTACACTATGAATGCAGGGACCAATCTTTCGGCGTAATGCTATGAAATCGGTCTCTCATGTCCGAAAGGATAGCTAGAAGCGAGCGCTAGCAACTGAAATTTCCTGGTCCGCAAAACAGCCGGATGGACAATGGTGAGTCGCATCCAGTGACATGTGCTTTGGGGGCGGAGATTGCAGGCGGAGAGGTCCAGGAGGACACTGTCAGGCACTGTGGAGTCCTCTGCGGCATGAAGAAATTGTTGGGGGTGGAGGGTTCTGGGGAAGAGGGTGGAGGAGAAGGGGAAGGGGAAGAAGAAGCAGGAGGAGATGGTGGCCGGATTCGCAATCGGCAAGTACAGTCTGTTCTAGCTTCAATGTTGACAGCCATGACATGTGGCAGCGCGCAATTGATTCCAAGCATGGCACTTCGATCGGTAGTTGATGTTTCACCGCATCTGCTATGTATACACATAACAACCCATACATTGATGTATACGCGGAGATTTTGTCACGATCGATGATCGGCCTACTGCTCCCTGGCCCTGTTCAGTCCAGACGTCCTCAAGCCCAGAAGATCACGTGCTTGACTCGTTCTTGACATCCAGATGTCTGGAACCTTTCAACATTTGAAGCATTCAAATGCTCGAATGGACGGTCTCGTGAACACGCCTGCACATTACATGCATGGCATTCCAAGGCAAATGGCTATTTGTAGCCTGGAATACTGAAAACAGAGACGTTCAAGTCCCCATCCTTTATTCACCAGGGTGGATTTCAACAAGACGCGAATTATTTCATGACATTCAATGTTCGCCCAGGTGAATTTGTGAATATGAGGCTTGATGAGGCTTGCTGTGGCTGATGACGTGGCTGGACCGTGTGTACGTCATTCTCAACGGGTAAAGCGGGAACTTGTAGCCTTAAAATACATATGCAGGGCGGCGCATGGGAAGACAAACACCAAAGACGACGCGCCATGAGACATCACCCTCATCCACACCATGGCTCACCTTCTGCGCGGAAAGCAGGCTGGCGTCCACAACGATCTTTCCACCGGCCTGGCCTCTGACCTGTTTATTCTGGATCATGTAAGACTTTGAGCCTGAGCAGACTGTGCCCCGCTGTACCGCCCTCCCTCACATCTCACCAGGTCAAAAGCTACGGCATCAACTCTCAAATCTCGCAAATAGCCTACGACCCCGTCCAAGCTCTTCTAGCCGTGGGCACCAACGAAAGCAAGTTCGGCCCCGGTCAGATCTACGTCTTCGGCCAGAACCGCGTCGAGGTCATCTTCCCCCTACCGCACCCCGCCTCCGTCAAGATCCTCCAGTTCTGCGCCGAGAAGCTGCTATGCGTTGATTCCCGCAATGACTTGTCCGTCTTCTCGCTCGTCACCAATCGACTGCTCAACGCCCATTCTCCGCCCGCTAAAATCACCGCGCTACATAGCGATGCGACACTAGACTACGTCTTGTTGGGGACGGTCCAAGGAGAAATTCTGGCATACGATTTGGACAGAGAACAGCTGGCTCAATTCAAAATCCCAAATCTTTGGAGACAAGAGTTCCCTCAGTCCCGCCTCAGTTCAATCGTCACACTCTCATTCCACCCGCGAGATATTGGGAGTCTACTTATTGGATACACCACGGGTGCTGTCATATACTCATTCAAACAAAACAAAGCTCTCAAGTTCTTCCATTACGTACTACCCAAAGGGGCCCCGGGCGGTGATTCGGATCCTGGGAACATTCATAGAGAGCGGACTCCCCCTTTGACTCAAGCTGTCTGGCACCCTACCGGTACTTTCGTTCTGACAGGACACGAAGATAGCAGTCTGGTGTTTTGGGACGCAAAAGATGGTCGCATTGTTCAGGCTAGGACATTACAGGATACAAATGTCAATCAATCTGGCCCGGGCACCTTTAGTCCAGGAGGAGGACCCGGTACGCTCGCAATCAAGAGTCCAATCTTCAAGATAGCTTGGTGTGCGAACGAAGATCCCGATGACACCGGTCTCCTTATAGCCGGAGGCCAGCCGTCTAACATTGCTGCCAAGAGCATGACTTTCTTCGAGCTAGGACGCACCCCTATATATAACACATCCTCATGGCAAATCCTCTCTCAACACTTCGAAGATCCTAAGCGTCAAAGAATATTACCATGCCCGCCAGGGGTTGAAGTTGTCGATCTCTGCTTGATTCCTCGTTCCAGCCCACATTATGCAGGGTGTCAAGATCCTATCGTCATTCTCGCCCTACTTTCATCTGGAGAGCTCATCACGCTATCGTTTCCTAGTGGTATGCCTATTTCGCCTACGAATCAACTGCATCTCTCACTCACCCTTACCCATCCCTTTGTGAACAACATAAGTCTCGCCCCGGTCGAACGAACACGCTGGCTTGGTATGACGGAAAAAAGACAGCATGGCCCAAAGTTTCTTACAGGCGGCCACGAAGCATCATACCCTCTTAAAAGATTTGAAAACCGCAATGTTGTCCAAACGTCCCATGCAGACGGCACAGTTCGATTATGGGACGCTGGGCATGCTGATGAGATTGAGAATAGCGCGCTCCTCCAAGTGGATGTTGCTCGAGCTGTAGGTCGTCTCGATAACGTCGATACAACGCAAATATCATTTGCCGGTGCCGCATCCGAGCTCTCAGTCGGACTCCAGTCGGGTGAGGTTGTAGTTTTTCGGTGGGGTATCAATCAACATTATGGCCAGGACTTGCCTCCGGGTGAAAACACTCCTGGTTCCCTCACGAATATTGTAGAGAGGAGCGAAGCCGGATTGAAAGAAGGTCTTCTCCCCTTTACGCTTTTGAGTGAAGACCATGGGCCTGTAACAGCTCTCAAACATTCTGATGTAGGATTTGTTGCCGCGGGTTTTCAGGGTGGAAGCCTCGCTATAATCGACCTCAGAGGACCGGCGACCATCTACCAAGCCAGCATGTCTGATTTCATCAAAGCGGACAAGCGCTCCAGCTTCCGGAAAAGTACCATGAATGCACCAATGAAGTCCGAGTGGCCTACTAGCATTGAATTTAGTGTCATGACGCTGGACGGCGATGAATACTCCAGCATTCTATGTCATGTTGGGACCAATCTGGGCCACATCGCCACGTTCAAGCTTCTTCCTGGATCCGACGGTCGATATTCTGCACAGTTTGCGGGGGCATGCATGTTGGATGACAAAATCGTAAGAATCAGCCCGATTCACTCTGCCAGTGGCCGACCTGCATTCGCTACGCAGACTGCTGTGTCGGGCCTTCGAAACGGCTCCAAGGTCGACGGAGTTCTCGTCGCAGTCACATCATCGGGAGCCCGCATCTTTAAACCCGCTACACAGAAAGGCGCTCACAAGACGTGGGATCAGTTCTTGTGTGATTCGGCTGCTATCGTGCAGTATCAAGACCTGGGTTATGCACTCGTCGGACTCTACGGCGATGGATATGCTCGCGGTTACTCCATACCTGCATTGAAAGAGATTGGTGCGGTCAATGTGTCAAGCATCCTTGACGTCCGCCGTTTCTCAGAAGCTACCATTACCAGCACTGGAGACATCCTTGGCTGGAAAGGGCCTGCTGAAATAGCTCTAGTCAATATTTTCGGAACTGGGGCGAAGCCGTACGTAAAACTCCTTTCTCCCTCGCAACATACCCCCCATGCTGACAAAATACACAGCGACCAAACCAGAGATACCCTCATGAACCCCGATCTCCTCATCCCACCTCGACCCACCATCTCCAATCTCCAGTGGATCTCCGGCACTCAGCACGTGACACCCGAAGACATGGATCTCCTCATTGGCGGCCCCGACCGCCCGCCCTCCAAACGCATGCTCGCCCAGGCACGCGCTGACGAAGAAACTCGCCGTCGCGAGGCTCGCGCGCAGAACCCCTCTTCCTCATCAGCGTATCCATCCTACCCTACCGCGCAACAAAGCCAGCAGCAGGGACAGGAAGGGTGGGGTGCATGGGCTACACGCAACTTCAACGAGCGCACCGAGAAGCTAGGCATGGTGGGCGACAATATGGACCATCTGAGTAGCAATAGTAAAGGGTGGGCAGACGACGTCAACAAGTACGTCAACAAGCAAAAAAGGGGCCTAGTTACAAGTGCTCTGAAGAGCAAATTCGGGTTTTAAAAAATCAGCGTGGGGAAAAACGTATCAATAGGTTAGGATGGGAGAAATGTGCTTTGGAGCCTGAGACAAGAAGAGCGCAGGGGAGTGGTTTTTGTCAAAGGAGAAGAGGCGACGTTCCAATTCCACCCGCTTTTTGTTTCTCATGCTTTCCTCTCTAGTCGTTGGGCGTCCTGTGTTGGATGTTCCTTTTTCGTGGAGGGTTTGATAATTACCTCTTCCCGCTCCCCCTGCTGGGTACTTTGGTGCTCTATCAATTTTGGTATAGCTAATTTCCTAAAAACATTACTAATCTATATCTTTTTTTGTTCCACGTGCGTACGCTTCCTGATTATGGATCTCCGTCTTTGCGCAGTCTCATTAACCTAAGAATTCTGAGTTGAGTTTGGAGTTTGGGTGATCCTACACACAGCCAAGGGTTTACAGCGACGAAAAACGGCCCAAAAAAACAAGGCGATGACCAAAAATCCAAGGGTATGCTTTATACAGCTCATCTTGTATAACCGACCTATAAAAAAGAAGAAGAAAATAGAATATATTGTTATCTTAGTCATCCCCTCCTAGCGCTTTAAAAACGAGGGAAAGGGAACGAAGAAAATAAATCACGATGAATCGAGCGTTGTATGTTAGATGCAGTGAATATGCATTTGTTTGTAATGATTATCTAGCTTACTGTCCTATCCTGAGCCTAACTCGGCCTCTTTCTCTCCACACCTATTTCCGGGGGGAGGGTGGTGTAAAGTCAAGGTCAAGGAAGCAAAACATCAAGGTTCGAGCTATTACTTGGTAAAATGGGGGAGAACAGGGGAGGAGAAGCACAGATTAAGCATTATTACTTCTTCGCGATTTGGCTGACAAAAGTAGGTTGTGGATAACAGGGAGAAAAAGAAGAAGGGGGGTAGGAAGGGAAGAGTAGGCAGTGTCCTTTAAGTACGTACTATATACGTGTTAATGTTAGTAAATGGAGTTGTAAAAGAAAAAAGAGGGGAAAAAGGGGGTAGCTGAGTGGTTGATGGCAGTGAAGGTCTCTAGCCATCGCCACAGCCACGCGTCACTTAAGGAAAAGTTATTTTGGGATTTACGCGGCTCTTGCGACTCTAGACTACCTTTGCTTTATCCAAGTCAAGAGTGAAGGAGAACGGAACCGAGTGTCGCTAAGGATAGGAAATGATTAGATTCTACAGAGTACCGTCTGAGCGCTTCATTCGGATCTATTCTCCAAGTCCAGTAACAAGGGAGATAACAGCACTTACCCCCATAGACCAAAAAAGTAGAAAATACCAGATTCTTTCTACCTGTTTAATGTGTTATGTTGAAGTAAAATCATGCACTACGCAAACAGAACAGTGTAATAATGGACTACAACGGCAGTAATATTCGTAGTATATCCGCACACTGTTGGATACAGAGAACCAACAGGAGTAGAAGAAGAAGAGACTATAAATCTACAAACGCCAGAGAACATGCTGTGAGGAAACAAGATCTGCCACTTCAAGTCAAAGTGAGACAGGGAGTCAGAACGGGAAGGCGGTGAGATAGGGGTAAGGTGGGTGCGAAGAACGAAGAAATGAGTGCGGATTACCAATCGAAATGACAGTGAGAGCGATATAGTGAGATGCGACGGAGAGAGGTCTGGAGATGATGAATTGCATTTGAACTGCTGCGTGGATCAGCGGGGGAACGTGTGGGAACGGTGGAGATGATGGCGATAACGATTTAGTAGCTTGGAGTCTATAGATAGGTGTGCAACGAGGGTGTCGTGTTTCATATCTAGTTAAGTGCGCAAAATGCTCTTGAGGATATTCGATGTTGTTACACATTAATTCATCGGTACAGTGCATAAATTTAGGTCAAGACGTGATAGTTCGCCAAATAACAAGTAAAACTCGGAGTAGGCGCATCCAGAAAAAACGGCGTCTTCACAATCGCCACCGTGTGCCATCTTTTCCCATCTCGGAAACTGGTAGCTAGATGAGGCTGTGGAGCTGGCTCAATGTCCGCGCGATTTTCATATATATGGGGGAAGTGACGAGAAAGGCAGCTCAGAGGGTTTTTTTGCTTGCGCGCACATTACCTACTCGCGCGAGAACTCATCTATCTCACCACCTCCCGGTCTTGAGACGCGTAAAAGCAGAATTCGAAGACACAAATTGTTCTTTCTGCTGCTGCTGCTGCTGCTGTAGATTTTGTCCGGCACTATGCGTTTATTTACCAGCCGGCGGATTTTATTGATTCCCAAGGTGGTCGTTGGTAAAGAGTTAGGGCTTAGATCAGCCCGTATTCCACATGAGATAGGATCAAACGCTGTAGAAGGAGCCGGCGTCTGGAAATTTGCAATGATTACCTGCTTGGTACTAGGTGATGACTGATGTACAGTGCGGCCTCCAGCGCACACCCACCACAAACATGACGTGCTGTTCCTCCCGACGATTAGGTCAGAACCTACGAGTTAGAAGGATGGAAGGATTGAAGGGACAGTAAGACTGAAGCGCATGGATATATAATTCGCAAAGCTAGTCTAGACTACCTTGATGTAGCAGAGTGGTGTACGCAGGCTGCGTCTACATAATGCACAATCTGCCGATCGTCGTTGGCACAGCCCTTGAACCGTCGGACATTTCAAAACTGCTGCGCAAGTGGTGAGCTTGTTTTGATTTCTATTTCGGATGTTGCCGGGGTCGGGGTTTGGTTTGCGACGAGCTGAATGACTGTTTGGGTATGGTTGGGGCCGAGTTCAAGTTGGGTAATGTCCCCCTCTCGCTTCTCGCATATTCAGGAACGGAACTTGTCCATGAGGTTTGTAAGAAGTCCCTTTTTAGGCTTGGCCTGGTGCTCTGCATAGAGCTGATTGATGTTTGCCACGATTTCGGAGTTGTTGGTTTCGTTTGCCGCTTTGATCAGGTCTTCCTTTGGGGGGAAATAGGCGCCTGGGATGTTTTTGCCCCGGGCGAAGAGCACCTCTAGCACATCTGGGCGCTTCTTCTCGACGGCGAGTCTTGCGACATGTGGATCGTTGCAACTGAAGCCTGCGTCGAAGAATTGCTCGAAAGTCGATGTTGGCAAGCCTCCCACTACAGCCGCCGAGACGTTCCAGCAGCTGGGCATGGGGAATGGCGGCGGCTCGTTAGGGTTTGCGCCAGAGTCGAGGAGGACTTTGATGAGTCCGTCGCCATTGGGTCTGGAAGCTGCGTACCCCAGGGCATTGACCGTTTCGTCGTCGCCCATCTCTTGGCTTGCAACTGACGGATCCTGTTTGCAGACTTCACGCAGCACTTGGACGTCTCCAGTTTGGATCGCCGCACGCATTGGTGCACCGTAGAAGTGGCTGTCGGGAAAGGTCTTGCAGAGGAACGTTATTGTTTCGACTTGTTTACCTTCGATAGCCGCCATCAGCATATCCTCGACGGACACTGGGCGTTGGTCATCCGGGATATTTTTATCGATTGAATAGGGAGTCTTTGGATGGTCGGGTCCCATGTTGAGTTCCTTGAATATCTTTTCTAGAGCGCACATCTGTCCGCTTGTGCAAGCGGCAAGAATTTCTCTTTCTTTGCTCGCCATGATGAGTATGTGTTCAACGAGTAGTAGTCAGACTTGAACTGTGAGATTCAGGTCGAGGTATTGTTCAGTGAATGAATGAATCTAGGAACAGCTCAAAGGCGCAGAAGCAGATAGCGCGAGGTATTGCTAGGGTTTGCGGGGGGCTTCTTTTCTCGTTTACCTGTAATAAGAGATTTGTACAATCTACGGAGGCCGAGCATAAGATTGCCAGGGCATTAAGATGCTGATGTGCAGCGTGACGTAGGCGCGTATAGCATAATGGTAAGATGTCGATTTTACAGTTAGCACGCTGATTGGCCGCTCCTACTTTGTACGAAATCGCCAATGTCCGTATTACGATGCGGACTTTAGGGTTTCAACACAAGGGGGCTAGCCATCGCCGTTTTTGGCCCCACCAAGCACAATTAAGGTTGCTTCTCGTAGGAGTCAGTGCGTTACGCATCGCTAAAAGGGAAGCTCAGCGGAGAACTAAATTGGTGTAGAACAGGGTAGAAGGAAACCCAATGGCAATCAAACGTTACGTGAACGTGCTACCAGCCCAGCACAACTGAGTACTAAACTGGTGTATAATGCCCTAGTTTCAGTGGCAGGATATGGAAACAATACAACGCAGCTCAGCCTTATGAAGGCGCGAAACTGATTCCTGCAGGGAAATCCTACACGGCCCCGAGTGGCATCCAAGCAGAATGGCACTTGCGAGAGTGTTGAGCTGCGGCTCTTCATGAGATCGATATATAAGAGCAACTGTTCTCCATGCTGCCCACTCTACTCATCCATTCATCCATTCATCTCTCCGTTCAATCGGCTATCCATTCTTTTTTTTCCCCAGTCATTCATTCGGTTACTCAGTCTGTCTTTTACCCATACCTTCATTGCTGCTAGCTTTTCAGCACTCATTCTTTTTTGACTCACTCATCTTTTGCACAATCTCAAACAAACACTATCTTTGAATCAAACATCAAGCAACAATGGCTGTCGCTAGTACCCCCAGGAACGATGGACTGAGCACATCTTTTGTGCAGTTCTTCGTGTACGGTCTCCTCTTCCTTCAGCTTGCCCCAGCTGTCGAGGCTGGCAAGTTCAGGAACGTCTGCAACTCGCTCAAGTGCTGGGCCAAGGACGATACGACCGGCCCACCACCAGCCATCAAGCCCTACAAGTTTGCCGATCTTGAATGCCCCAACCCTGATGCTCCCAAGGATAAAACTGGATGGAACATCTACAAGAACGCTAAGCCTATGCCCAAGGTGCAGGACATTGTCGACGACATTCAGCTCTGCGGTCTCCTCAACGAAAACACCGCTACCATCTTCTACAGTTTCGGTGGAGGCAAGACCAACGCCGAGCGATTCATCAAGGAGAACCCAGATCTCAATGGCAAGACCATCAACGACCTCCTGCCCGTCAGCTGGTACCAAGCCCTCGAATCCGTCGAAGGTGTTGGTGTCGCTGGATCCATGGCTCAGATGGCATGGATCGCTCGTACCTCGCAAGCTTTGGCTAAGGCCTCCCAGGGCGATGCCTACATGGTTGCTAAAAACGCAAACATCTACACTGTTCCCTACAAAGACAAGAAGGAGCTTGCATGGAGGGGCAAGCACAACGTGTGGTTCGACTACGAGTTCGCCACACTCCAGAACAACAAGAACGTGAAGAGCATCAAGACTGTTGACTCGGAAACTCTCAAGATCGATAGCTCCGAGAAGGGCTCGTGGACCCCAGGCAAGGGCGACAAGGCCGAGGAGAACATCAACGCCGACACCGTCACTGCGGCTAGTCTCCAAGCCCAAAAGGATGCATACAACCCTGACTGCGACCAAGATGAGGATGAAATCACACCCGCCAACGCCAAACGCGCTACATCCAGCAAGTCTGGTGCTGCCTCTGCCACCAAGTCTGGAGCTTCGTCCTCCGGTGCTGCTGCCTGCACCCTGAAGCCCAAGTCATCCTCCTCTCGCGCAAACAACGGAACTACCTCAGCCACTTCCTCCGGTCTATCAAGCTCCGGCTCTGTCACCCTCACTTCCTCTTCTGGATCTGCCTCTGGATCTGCCTCCAGCTCTATCTCCGGTTCTGCCACCAAGAGCGGCAACTCAGTCTCTGCTTCTGTGACTGGCTCCGCCTCCGGCTCTGCTTCCGGCTCTGCTTCCGGCTCTGGCTCTGCATCTGCTACTAAGAGTGGATCAAGCTCCGGCAGCTCCGCCTCTTCCACAAAGGTCGTCAGCAGCACCGACAAGCCAAGCGCTACTTCCTCCGCGCCCACCACTCTCATCACAAAGACTAGCTCGTCTTCATCTAGCTCCAAGGTCTCCAGCAGCAGCGAGAAGTCCTCTAGCAGCAGCTCCAGCAGCAGCTCCAAGTCATCTTCGACCAAGACTACCTCCAAGGCTACCACCAAGACCACTTCTTCCAAGAAGTCCACCAAGACCAAGAACAAATAGATGCTTACTCATCATGGGTTTGCAATGGGTATCCGAGGGGCAAAGTGATTCTAGAACGTTTACGCATGTGTTTTTAGCGAGTAGGGAGGGCTTCTATGTTTTGATGTCACTTTTGTGTGTTTTCTTCACTTCTTGTATCTTTTCCACCTCCTCTTTTGCAGATGAGAAAAAAAGATCTGTTGAGGGTTTGTTTAGGGTTACGGCAGGAGCCCCTTGGTCGATGGTTATCCCAAGAAATGTCTACTGCGTTTATAGAAATTGAAGAAGTTTCTTCATGTTTTTCCACCACACAATGAGTACTTTGCAACTTCATTAAACATCTCTAGTGTCTGCAATTGATTTGATAGCAGTGTGCAACGAAAGGGAAAGCTCTATACTAGTTCTTTCGGGAACGAACTAAATGTGGTGGGTTCCATGCTCATTACCCGAGATTGGTAGTTACTTTTACATCTCAACTCCGCCCACAGACCCAGAAAAAAACGGTACGTCTTTTGACCGAGAAGAGAAAAAGGGGGTCAATGATACGAGGCAAATGTACCAGCTCTTGCTCACAGGTTAAGTCGACACTTTCGTACCCCTCCCTCCTTTCGTACAAGACGGTCAGCAACACGGACTTCCCTCAAAACAGGCAACACAACCTCCTAATCAAGGCATATTACGTGTGATTGGGACTCACAATCTTATGTCATTTCGGGCCGTCTGACGAGAATGGCGCGTTTACACATACTTATTTGAACGACCACTATAATTTCCCAAAGAAAAAACGCGTGTGCACTGGATTCGAGCTGAGCTGGAGAGAAGCAATTTTCATTGAGAGATGGGTGTCGCGAATGCAAATAGCGCGGCAGAAGGAAGATGACGTTATAGATCCTGTAGTTCTAGCATCATCATCTAAAATTAGTTTTTATACTGCATACTTCAGATATCAATGCACATCAACACGCTGCACAGCATAACCACGCCCGCGCGCGGAAATTTGGTAGTAATATTATCTGGTGCGGCCAATCGACGACACTTGATAGCTACCATGCTCGCAATGTGCAGGCTGCGAGAGTGCCAGACTGTGACTTGGGCTGCTATGCAAAAGATTGTTAAAAAGACTCAGATCTTAATTCGAAGATCTGAAACTGGTGTGTCTGATGGCAAGGGAGGAGGAGCGGAAGTGGTGCTCTTGCGGGATGAACAGGGCTGTGGTGATAAGCAAATATTCTATAGCAAATATCTTAAGGCAATGGGTGGTCAGAGGGATGGGATTATTCTTTTTTTATTTTGATACTTGCGATAAGGTTTTGTGATCATAGTGATGTTCGAGGTCCAGTTTCAACGAGTTCGCGCGCGCGCAGAGTTGTCCTAGAGGAATTTTCTTCCAGCCTGGCTGATGAGCCTGCTTGACTGCTTGGAGTGAGGCAGAAGAGCATAAACTAACCTACAGCCACCTCACTCCATCTCTGTCCCGAAACTATGCAATTCCATTTCGGCAGTGATTCCTACGACGACAGACAGACACATAAATCATGTATCCCGCTATCCCCCCAGTGAACCGAATCATCAAGATTAGTCAACATTTCTCAAAGCAAGTGCAAGGCGGAACACGAAAAGAGATTGTCAATCATTGCACATAGTGGACGGCTATTGCCATGCCAAGCAAACCCTTAGTCATCCATGCACATATACATAACCCATGTACCTTTTCTTGGGGGCCAAAGTCGCCTCGCGGGGGTCGTTGTGGAACTCCCTCCCGCCTACCCATCACATGGGGAGATGAATTCCACTTGCCACTCCGCCTCTCTCCATTCCAGCTCATCTCATCTGATCGATCGCCGTACTATCTCCGAGCGATCCTTCCAGACCCAACTTCACTGATGGAATAATATGTCCATCTGTGCCTCGGCCTCCTGCGGTCTTCGTACGAACATTTCAAGTTGCATAGAAAGAGGCCATACCACAGAGTGTAAATTCTGAGTAAGCTGTTTACGTCATATGCAATATGATGTCTGGTGTACATGAACAACGCAATGTAAAGGTCCAAAATATGTGCATGTACACGAGCTATCTCCTCGAAAAGGCTATTAAATCACGAAGAAAAGAACCCCAACAATGCGACCGTGAGATCTAAAGTTGATGTTGTTGGCGCGAAGAATTTTTTTTTTTATCTTCCTCTTTCGTAATAGACAAGCAAGCAAGCGTTCCTTCCGAACCACACCAGTGACGTAAATGTAAAGTTTTTTTTACTCTATGCCTTGTTTCTTCCTCGGTGCCTCAAGTGTCACCATGCCTGTGATGCTAGTTGATGTTGATGTTGTTGTGGGGGGAAGGATCAAAGTTATCCGTTAACGCCTTTTGGCCTCGGATTTTAAGGTCTTGGGGGTGGCGTTTGAGTGGGTGAGTGGAAATCCGCTTCGCTCTGATTCGCTGGTGGTGGATGACAAACGATGTCCTTTCCTGTTTCGGGAACGGCGGGGATGGAGGTGAGGACGGTGTTAAGCCAAGTCAATACGCAAGTGCTGTATAGGAAGTGTTTACGTGGATAGGTGAAGATGTGTATATAAAGGATGGGAGGGAGGAGCTTTTTGTGGTTTCTTGTATTTCACAGACAAACAGACAGACAGACACACACAATCAACCAATCGATCCATCAACACCATCATCATAGGATTTTTGCTTCCTCACAAGACAACAATCAACAAGAGCAAAGAGAAAAAGACGATAGTTCATCAATTTTAAATTACATCTGTTCCAACTTCGTTTCCACCAAAGCTACATAGCAACACTCGAATCCAGCAAAGATCGATAAACCAGACCAACAGCAATGTCGTCGGGTACAGCAACTTCCTACAACGACCAGACCAACGCGACGCAGGTCGCTGCCGACAATGCCTCCAACATCGCTGGCAAGATTGTTTTGACTACAGGCGTGAGCCCTGGGGGTACCGGTGCCTGTAAGTTGCACTCTCACACGCCCTCGTCAATCAAGCTTACTGACAATGTGCTACAGTTTTTGTCGAGACTATTGCCAAGTATAAGCCGCAGCTGCTTATTCTTGCAGGTCGCAGTGCAACCAAGATCCAGCAGACAGCTGATAAGATCAAGGCGGACCCCGCCGCAGAGGGTGTACAGGTGCGGACGCTGGTCTTGGACTTGGGCTCGCAGAGACAGGTCAGAGAGGCGGCTAAAGAGGTGCTTGCATACCCTGAAGATAGGATCGATGTCCTGGTGAACTCGGCGGGCATTATGGCTGGTCCACACCGTAAGCACACTGTCCCTTCATTCCCAGATCTCTTGATGCAAGTGATACTGATCGTGGTTATAGGTACAACGGAAGAAGGCATCGAGTTGCAATTCGGCACAAACCATATTGGGCACTTCTTGTTCACCAACTTGATCATGGAGAAGATCCTCAAGTCAAAGACTCCACGCATCGTTAACGTCAGCAGCAACGGTCACCGTTTCTCCCGAGTGCGCTTCGACGATTACAACTGGCAGGACGGCAAGACCTACGACCAGTGGCTAGCCTACAGTGGCAGCAAAACAGCAAACATCCTCTTCACCAAATCCTTGGCACACAAATTGGGTCCCAAGGGCTTGCTGACCTTTAGCCTGCATCCTGGAGTCATTTTCGATACTTCGCTAGCGGGCGCTGATTTCTCCGATGAGGACTGGGGTGCGCTCAAAGCGATGGACAAGGCACTCGGCCATCCTCTGGGAGAGCCAGACGCCACATTCCCACTGAAGAATACGAACCAGGGCGCTGCTACGCACGTAGCGGCTGCCTTTGATACTCGGCTCAATGCATTCAATGGCGCCTATTTGCAGGACGCTGATCTTACCGACGAAATCTACCCGCCAGCCACGAGCCATCCCGAAGACGTCGAGAGATGCTGGGAGCTAAGCGAGCAGATTGTTGGCCAGAAATTCCAATACTAGGAATGATGGACCGAGGGGTATCGTTTGCAAGGGGAAGTCGTTTGAGAGCGCCTACAATAGATATGTAGCATACGCAGTAATACGAGCAATTCAAAATTAACTCTTTTACATTTGCCTCACGTTCTTCAGTCTTCATGCCCATTTCAAGCAGCGAGTGGCCTCGTGTGCTTCTTTGCATTCCATTCCGCACACCCTAGCACCGCACTTGATGCACCTGATGCTCCCCCAATAGCCACAATTATCACAAAAATGGCGTCGTGGGGGGCCATTCGACGGGGGCGGGGCAGCATAGGAAGCAGCGTAAGGCAGAGGAGGTGACGAGAGGAGGGCTTGTAGTTCGGCAGGATTGACAGGTGGGGGCATCGATGTATCGACTGAAAGCAGAGGCTCATCATCAAGTTCACTTTGTGCTTTTGGTGGTGCTGGCGTGGACGGCGGGGCGGGAGTGGTGGCTTCAGAAGGTGTGGGTGGTATGGAGGTTATCAGGTTGGTCGTTCGTCGTGAAGGGTGGGCTCCCAGTCGCGACAAGGTGGTAGCGGCCCGAGGTTGAGGGGCTTGCTGAAGCTGTGCCAGCTGGGCTTCTTCGTCGTCGAGCCAGTGCTTGATCTGGCGTTGATACTGTATGATGCGACGTGCGTTCTGTGTCTTGGGAACCGCTGGGGTCGATTAGCGCACTGGCTGATTGGCAAGCCCATTGGATCAAACATACCCGACTTGCCGGGGATTTCTATAGCCTGCTTGGGATCGTTGTCTCTGTTCAGCTCGGCGATGCGGCGGGCGATGGCAAGCTGTTGTCGCGAGGTGAGCTCGCCATCGCCGCGCGGGGCGCGTGGTTGTGCAGCGGCGCGCTTTTTGTTCTTGGGGTTGATGGCGACCTTGGAAGGGTCGTAGCCGGTATCAACGACATATGTCCAGCCCGGAGCGATGGACGCAGTAGAATTGGGTAGTACTTCGACGTGTGGCATGACGGTCGATATGATGAGGGTTCGAATGCTGGCGTGAATTTGTTGTAGTGGCGTAGGTCAGAGCTCCAAGCACAACAGGGTAGATGACGGGGGGGCAGAATGCCTAGGCGGTGAAATTGCACACGGAGACCTTCCGGCAGACATCGTCACCTCTCCAGACGATTTGCAATGCGCAGTCGACCCGTGGGGGCGCCCAAAACTTGCTATTGTTAAGCAATGACGGCCTGATTACTACTGGGTTCTGTCTGCACACTCCTAGTATCCTTGCATTCGACTATAATTCTGGCGTTGTACACATACATATACGGTAGTATACCATTGTTATTCCCCAACAACACAACAGCAGCAGCCGTCATACCACCACTAGCCATTATTATTGATGAGCCCACCTCCTACGACAACATGGTTCCCTATTCGAGCCCAGTATCCCATCTTTTCATTGCCCATTGAGGTGCCGACGCCCCATAGACCAGTCGGCAAGCGGAAACCACCCATCCATCTCGCGCCCTTGGCCCCACCCTCTGATATCTCCAAGTCTGCTGTGGTAATATTCATTCACAGCCTCTACGATGATGCCGAGGGAGTCGAGCGTGCGTCTAACCTGTTACCGTCCCTGTGACCACTCCGTGTCAAACTGCTGACATGTTCACAGCCGTGGTTCGTCAGTTACAAGCTGCCACAAACCAGCCTCATATAGCCTGGAATATACCCAATGCAACCGAGGGCGACTATCTGACATTGGCCTGGTTTGCGCCTCGGAGACTGACATGTACCCGTCCATCGCGCCCTGAAGAAGAATACGAGGACGAAGTGGGCCTCATGATGAGCGTAGGTTACGTTGAATCTCTGATCGATCAAATCGTGGCGACTGGCGTCCCGGCAAATCGCATCGTTTTGGGAGGCTTTTCCCAGGGCCACGCAGTTGCATTGCTCACAGGTCTCGTGTCCAAGTACGCCGGAAAGCTGGCTGGGTTATTCGGCATGGCTGGCTATGTTCCTCTGGCGGGAAAGATTGCCCAACTGCGAATGGAGGCTGGATTGCCGGAGAAGACGGACAACAATGTGGCCATGTTTCTTTTGAGAGGCTCAAGAGATACGATTGTGCCGCAACGCTACGTAACCCTGTACTCCAAGGTGTTGAAGGACATTGGCGTCAAACCAGAGAACTCTCTGATTCGAGAGTACGAAGGCTTAGGCCATGCAATCAGGAGTGACGAGATTGAACACATTGGTCAATGGTTAGAACAAGTGGTGCCGCCTTTAGAGTGCATTCGTAGCGAGGGGCCCAGCGAACAAACAACGATTGACCCGGCCCTCCTCGACAAAAGCGCTGAAGAATGACTCAAAACATGGATTTCTTATGAATTCGCTTCGATTCAGTATACGTATCTGTGTGCAACTGTGTATGCTTCGGATGTGGTGTTGTTAGGTTATGCGATGTCGTGAGGTGTATCATTTGAGAGATAGCGCTATTGAGTTTTACGTGCTAAGTGAGCACTTAAGTAAAAAACTTAGTGTTTTAAAAAGCCTAGGCGTTTTAAAAAGGCAGGCTAACTCAATAACTAAAAAATTATAAGTAAATACTACTTAAAAAATTTTTTTTTAAACTATAGTATAATAGTTTAACTATTTTAACTATTTTAACTATTTTAACTATTTTAACTATTTTAACTATTTTAACTATTTTAACTATTTTAACCTTTTTAATAATTTAAATAATAAGTATTTTAATAATAAGCATTTTATAATAACTACTACTTAGTAATAAATAAAAAATAAAGTATAAAGTAAATAAGTATAACTTTTTTATACTAACACTTTACTTTAGTAATAAAATTATAAATTTATTATTAAATTTACTTATAGCTATTATTTATATTAATATTTATAACTTTAACTAAAAGCTTATAATATTAGCTACTTTAAAACTTAAAAAAAGCTTTTTTTTAAAGTAAAAAATTACTTTTTTAAAGTATTTAGCTTACTAATAACTAGTTTTACTATTTTTACTTTTATTAATACTAACTTAACTAAAAATATTATTTTAAATAATATATAAGCTAAATAAGTATATTAATAAAAATAAAAGTAAGCACTTTAGTAAATATAAAAAATAAAAAAAAAATATAGCTAATAACTTAAGTAGTAAATACTATAAAAATATTTAAATAAAAGTAGTAGTTTAAAATAAGTTAGTACTTTTAAAAAGTTATACTTATACTTTATTACTAGTAAAGCTTAAAAAAAAGTATAAAGTAAATATAAACTATTTTTTATATTATAAATTATAATAATAAAGTAGTATTTATAGTAATAGTAATTAAAGTATAAAAAAGTTATTATATAAAGTAATTTATTACTTTATATAGTAATAGATGTATAAGCTTTAAATTATTAACTATAAAAAAATAGTATATATATATTATATAAAATTATATTGTAAAATAGTAGATTAACACTAATATATTATTATAAACAACAAGTGTCTACAAATTGTACGGCGTGACGAAAGATAGCGCGACGGAGCTAATATCCTGGAAGAAGATAGAGCCAACGCCCAAGCCCAGTCGGCCTTAGCATGTGGAGAGAGTCAGAAGGCACAAGCACGACACTCGTCAAACAATCCATTTACTCATCCACTTGCACATTAGCCGCACCGCGATGCACTTTCTCTATCCCTCCCTGACCATCCCGTCCGTCGCTCGCTTCATCTTGCATGTCTTGGGTGTTTGCAGTCGTCTAAGATGCCTCGCCTCAGGCGGTACGGCTTCTGCGCCGCTCTATTCCTGACTTTCATATTGCACGACGTGTATTATTATACACTGAGAATTGCAAGCCGAGGTTCGATTCCGGCGGAATCTAAGTACGATGCTACACTATATGAAGAAGACGAAAATGGCGTACCGGCACAGGAACTGAGCTATCACGAAAAACCCGCTGAGGCCCACAAAGGCGACTTCATCTCGTGGGAGAAGGTTCCTCTGAGATATCCCATTCATTCACCGGTGGCGCTGCCGAAAGTCAAGCCGCGCCCTCTACCCCGCATCCAACATCAATTCCGAGAACACGATGCCGAGACGAAAGGCAAACAAGCAGATAGGCAGGCTCAAGTCAAAGAACAGTTTCTTAGAAGCTGGAATAGCTACAGGGAAAGAGCATGGATGCACGATGAATTGAAACCCGTCCAGGGCAATTACCAAGATCCGTTCGGCGGTTGGGCTGCGACCTTGATTGATTCTTTGGATACTCTTTGGATCATGTAGGTCTACATTATTCGCATTCTATGTTGTATTCATAACTCTGTTGTCGGCTATACTCTTTCAGTGGACGAATGTTGGCTGATTTCAGGTTCAGGGGACTTCATGATGAGTTCGAAGCCGCAACCTCCCACGTAGAGAAAATCGACTTTGGATCCACCACTCTGGACAAAGTCAATGTTTTCGAAACCAACATTAGACAACTGGGCGGCCTGCTGGCTGCATACGAACTGAGCGAAGAGAGAAGACTGCTCGCCAAAGCCAAGGAGGTGGGCGAAATGATTTTTCAAGCTTTTGATACCCCTAATCATATGCCCACAACAAGATGGGTAATGTCAGACAAAGTTGCCGGTGTAGATCAAATTGCAGATGCCAACCTATTGCTGGCGGAATTGGGCTCTTTCACTTTGGAATTCACTCGCCTTTCGCAAGCCACAGGAGATCCAAAATTCTACGACGCCGCAAATCGAATCACGCGATTGCTCGCTGACCAACAAATGAAGACCAGATTGAGGGGAATGTGGCCTAAAATGGTCAATGCAAGAGCCATGGACCTCACTCAGGGTAGCACATTCACGCTTGGTTCCATGGCAGATTCTACGTACGAATACTTCGCTAAGGCGTATGCCCTTCTCGGTGGCACTGATCCAATTTTCGAACAACTCTACACCAATGCAATGGAGACAGCAATCAACTACACCCTGTATCGACCCATGAACCCCGAGAACCTCGATCTCCTAGCCACGGGTCACATTGATGTTGACGGAGCCGGCGATACCTCACTGATCCCAGAACTCCAACACCTCGCCTGCTATGCTGGTGGCATGTTCGCACTGGGCGGGAAACTCTTCAAAATCCCCGCTCACGTAGATATCGGCCGTAAGCTCACAGATACATGCATCTGGGCCTACAGCGCCACACCTTCGGGAATCATGCCCGAAGTTTCAAAACTCTACCCCTGCCCCCCTCCGCTCGACTCCCCTTGCACATGGGACAAGCAACTCTGGCGAGAGAAAGTCGACGCCCTCGCATCAGCGCAGAACCGCAAACCTCTCTCGCGGCTCCCGATAGGCTTCACAGAAATGCGCGATCGAAGATATCTCCTCCGTCCCGAGGCCATCGAAAGTGTATTCGTCTTGTACCGCATCACAGGCGATGCAAAGTATCAGGACGCTGCATGGGATATGTGGACCGCCATCACAGCCGCAACGCAAACTCGATTAGCCAACTCGGCGATCTGGGACGTTCTCAACGTTCCCCCGACCAAAGATTCCGGTGTAGACACGGACGAGGACGAGAAAAAAAGGATGCAGGATTCCATGGAGAGCTTTTGGATGGCGGAGACGCTCAAGTATTTTTACTTGGTGTTTGCGGAGCCCGGTGTGCTTAGCCTGGACGACTGGGTTTTTAATACCGAGGCGCACCCTTTAAGAATCCCGAGGACTGTGTGATTAGATGTTTGTGTGTGTTTCTTGTATGGATATCTGAATGCTGGGGGGTTTTTTTTTTTTGGATTAAGCGGGTGTAGTGGGTGTAGTGCTGTGGGGGACTGGGCTTGAGATCCGGAGGTTCAAATAGATTCCTTTCGTGTACACACACCTGTCTTTGAATTACAAACTCCATTTCCCCCCTTCAAATGTGTGTATATCACCTTCACTTATTCCTAGATGGATAGTATTCGGAAAACCTGTATATTTCTTTCATTTGTACAAGGATGCTTCCTCGGTGTTTATTGACGTCGTCTTCGGTTCTAATCCCTAGCCTACCTCCTCTCGACTTCTAGACAAGGACTAAAGACATGGTTCCGAAGGACATATTCATCTTTTAATCTTTTATGAGAGATGCATCAGGGTGTTGAAGCAGTGCTATCCTATCAAACAGAACAGAATAGAATCGTGCAGATTCAAACCCTTGGTATCAAACTAGGTACCAAACGAGTACTCATGATGCGTCCATAGCATCCATCAACATCCATAACATCCATCAATTCATCCATTCATTCGTTCAATCAATCAGTCAATCATCCATCCATCCATTCATGCTCCCAACAAACTTCTCGGAGCCATGATCACCACCCCCAGACCTCAAACAGAGAGAAAGCCAATCTGCAAAGAACCAGGAGCCAGCCCCAGATCCAAGAACCCTCCCTTCAAACCCTAGGAAACCTCTTACAATTCTCCTCCAGATATCCATTCTCAGCCAACATCTCGACCCATGCCCGAATCGCGGGGCCAAGATCATGCGTGCGCGCCTCGGCCTTTTGCATGTCGGAATTCACAACCCACTCTTCAGCGGTATACTCCTGGAAGAGACGTCGCATCTCAGCAACAATGTTGGTACGGCGCTTGATGAGCTCAGAGACGTCGGATTCTTCGTCGATTTCCGCGGCGAGGGCAACGGGGACCGCGTTGCGTTCGAGCTGGCGCTGCTCGGGGGTGAAGCCGGAGAGGAAAGAGGGGCTGGGTGGATCGCAGTCGCCCTCGGCGACGAAGTCGCGCCAGGTAGGGGTTAGAGCGGTGAGGCGGGTGTCGAGTTTCTTGATGGTGTTGTCGGCGACACAGATTTCGCGGCGTAAGGGGGGAAGTGGGCACTGTGCGAGGGCGAAGAGGCCGTAGTCGTCGCCTCCTCCGGCTATGAGGGCCGCGACGCGGTCGCTGATGGAGGAGATCCAGGATTTGGGCGAGGAGGTTGGGTAGGTGGACATGGCGGTGGGCTGGCTGTCCATGCCGTCGAGTTTCCAGACGGTACCGTTGATGGGGACGAAGACGATGTAGTGGTGGCTGTTATCTTCGAAGCTGTCGTCGGACTTGGGGGACTCTGCGTCGCGACCACGGGTGGACGAGGTTGCAGGTTTGGTGGTCTTCTCGGCGGACTTGGGTTTCTGCATACCATACTTTGCGGCCCGTTTGCTCTTGAGGGAGATCAGCCGGTCGTTTTCGAGCATGTCCATCTTCTTGGCGAAGGAGTTGTGGATCTTTTTGACGTAGTCCCAGCTCGCAAATGCTTCCCCGCGCTGGTAAGGTGTGAAATCCTTCGTGAAATCCTTGAATTGGCGCATGTGCTCACCGATGTCGATGTCCAGGTCCATGTTCTCTTGGGCGGTGGGACTCAAGTTGAGAAGCGCGTGGATCATGGCGAGAGTAGCGCAGCTGTTTTGTGCTGGCATTTGATTGGCGAACCACACGTCGGGCGGGCAAGTTTTTGACTGGCGCTCTTGATCAAACTCGCGGTGGCGGAACAGCACGACTAGACCGAAGATGGGCCTTGGAAGGTAGTCTGGGTCCATCACAGGCATCTCGCGAACGGTGACACCCTGGACGCCGATCCTATGAAGAATGGCACTGAAGTAGGCTGGCTCGCATTCGAGCTCGCAAAAGCCTTGCCAAGTCTCCTTGTCAAGCTTGGTGGCAGATTGCTCAGGTGGGCTCGGGAATCGCTCAGAAGTATCATCATCTTCTTCTTCGTGGGGGGGAATGGATGGGGGAGTCTTGATCTTCTTTGAGAGATGCTCCTCTTCGGCAGGCGAGGGGGAGAGAGGCCTCTTCATGGAAGCTGCAGACTGGTCGACCCGGGGTTCATCCGTGCTGACAGGCGAGGACAGTTTGGGAGTCTCGGTTTCAGGAAGTTTGGAAGAGAGTGGATTAAATTCAATAGACTCTTCCACTTGATTATCATCAGTAGACGTTGGTGTCTTAGCGACCTCTTTTTCATCCGTCTCGGTGCTGAGTAAGGGGGTACTGGCGGGAGCATCTCCGGACAAGGCAGTTGGGGTTTCTCCCGGAGAGGAAGCAACCTCTTTCACAGGGGGAGTAGCATCTGTAGAGCCTACAAGAAAGGAGTCAGTAGAGTTCATGCAGACATCTGGACATATATCTCAAGATGTCCATGCAGTCCCGAATCACCGCATTCTGTACCGGGAAAACATACCAGCAATTGGTGTCGCAGCTGGTAAGTCAGCCATTGCGAGTGAGTATGGTTGTGGATTCAGGATATAGAGAATCAGTTGGGCGTGCTTGGAGTGGTTTGAGGAAGTTGAGGTTTGAAGTGTACGAGTGTTGGGAGGAAAATGAGTCGGGAGACCATGATGAGACTATATAAATTACGAGGGGATATGTGCCAAGACTACAGCCTATTGTCACATAGCATGGAAACAGAGGTACAATAGCAAACGAGCAGCAAGGAAGGTGAATAGGAAATGAGCACGATGGGGAAAATGGGGTGAAGGTGAGAGTTTGGGTCGATAGGCAGATTGTATATTAAGATATCGTCTAGTCCTGAATAGGCTAGGTGCCGCTGTCACTATGGGCAGAGAACGTAGTTGACACTCGAAGCAGTAGAATAGTCGTGGGCTCGAGATACTTCATAGATATCTATATCGTTTTCGAGCAGCTGAATCAAGAGGATTTTAGCGTATTTGTTACTGGATCCTCAGCAAACGTGTGCCTGTGAACTGTCAATCAAGGCGGTAAAACCTGAGGGCAATCTCGCACCAAAACGGAACGAAGAAGCACCAGGTCTAATGAAGTCAGCTGGACGAACTCATCAAAAAATCAGGAAGTCCAGCACTGAATACTGCAATTTTCATATTTATCTCTCTGAGATGTCCTACTTATTACGTGTTGATGAGTTGGGCAGAAAGATACATAAGTGTCACAGTAGCATAGCGGGTTAGCGAAGGACAGACGCGCCGTGATTGGCTGAAGCGACTGGGTATGACCTCGCGCATCGCAACGCGCCCAAGTTTTGTTTGACAGCGGCAGATCATACGAAACACAGCAACGACACCGACAACAACAACAACAACCACCCGCCCACCACCACGCCTCTCGTCATCTAGTCACCGTGGGCGCACTTCCAACTACACAAGCAGCCCATGACAGTGCAATCTTCGGTATTCTGCTGGCCATGAACGGCACGCCTCGACGAGGACCCGGCGGCTTTCCCGCAACGCCGCAGCAAAACAAGGGCTCGCCATTCAACCAAAGCTTCAGCTCCAATGCTTCCACATCCACTCCCAGTCGCCCGAATGTGCGCTCTCCTCTGCAAGAGGTCCCCAAAGCCTCACCCGCATTAGATTCGCAGCCTGTCATCCCCACACATATGCTCGATGCTGCACAGCAACGTTTCTACGTTACCTCCTTCTACATCGCCTTGCTGGCATGGAAACTCTACAACCGATGGACCTTGGAGGATGACTCTCTAGTTCTGTGCCTCAAATGGGCCTTCATAGATCTATGTTTCATCTTTGGGGTCCCCCTTCTGGATATTCCTTGGATGCAATGGAGCAATGGAACCGCTTTCTTTTTCTTCGTGGCCCACGCGGTTGTGGATTGGTTCCTCATGTATCGCATCAGTATTCCCTTCGGTGCCATGTTCGCCCCGTTCTATGCCTTCCTCTTCCAGGGTGAGACCGCCATCAACGAGCATACCGTCAAGCCCGCCGACATCTTGCACAACCCGAACCTTATTCTGGGAAAGCAGATTGTCAACATCCTCCCCGAGGGCTCTGCGATATTGAACCCCAACCATGAGTCCTTTTGTCTCAACTCGTCTGTCACTCAAATCGAGTTGCCTATTCTCGTGAACCAAACAGAACCTGTCGAGATGGAAATGGTGCGCATCGATATCGAAAACAACTACAACGAGACAATCACCATTAAACAAAAGGAGCTCCGGAAGCTCATGAACAAGGCGAAGAAGGCATCGAAATACATGGATCCTGCAGACCCCGTGGTTCTCAGGTATCCTGTGAAGAAGAAAGGCGTGTATCTCCTGAAGAAAGTCACCGATCAGTCCAAGCTCCAAGTGCGCCCGCGCAAGTCGAATGTGGTCATTGCACAGTGCCCACAGGCCAAAATACGCCCAACTGGGGAGAATCGCTGCCGAAACGACGTATCTGATATTGCTTTGGAAGTGGAGGGAGTTCCTCCACTTGCTGTCAAGTATCGTCTTACCGTCGATGACAAGCCGCGAGGAGGCTCCGAGTTCCAAAACCTCCAGGCCGACGATGTCGTTTCGCCTTTATCGCGGCATACTTCTCAAGCTTTGGTCAAGAGTGGGGACGAGGACGTGTCCTGGGCACGCTCATCCAAGATTACGGTCCCGTTGAACGAGACCCTTACGACGGGTACCAAATGGGCGTATTCGATTGAGGAGGTCCGAGACGGCCTTGGAAACTATGTCAACTTCGAGATGGTGGAGGACGAAGATCGCCCAAGGGTAAAGATCGCCGACCTGTCGCAATCTCTACACGTTCATGAGCGTCCAAAAGTGCATCTCAAGGAATGCAACCCGCAGAACCCCCTTCAGGTTGCCAAAGGCCAATCAGCTCATCTCCCCATTCATTATTCATCGACTGGAAAAAGGGCTATCAACTCTGCGCATGCCATCGAATACCTCTTCACGCCCGAACAGGATATCGTCGCCGATGGGTATCAAAGTTCAGACGCCCAACTCAAAAAGCAGACTTTGAAGAACACCTATGAACAACCTCTCATCTCTGCAGCAGGTCTGTATACTCTCAAGTCCATCTCAACGGATTTCTGCACAGGTGAAGTTCTCGAACCTACCTCATGTCTGTTACAGAACCCTCCCCAGCCAGATCTTACTCTGTCCAGCGAGGACATCGTTGATAAATGTGCCGGGAACCCTATTGGTCTTCGCGTCGCTCTGGACTTCACCGGAACTCCTCCTTTTCATCTTACTTACACCGAACAAAAGAAGGGTTACAAACCAAAGACACGTCACCAGCAGGTTGGCTCACTCCGTGGCTCCGTGGATCTTACCCCCGCCGAAGCTGGTCATTACACCTATACGTTCAAGGAAATCTCGGACGCAGTGTACCAAGGCCACGTCTTGGACAACCTTGTCCTTCAGCAAGACGTCAAGCCACCTGCTTCTGCTCATTTCATCGAGGGCAACCGACCAAAACAGGCCTGTATCGATCAAACAGCTGAATTTGATGTGCGTCTTGTGGGCGAGGGGCCGTTCCGCCTAGAGTATGAGATTGTTCACAATGGCAAACGTGCCAAGAAGACGGTCGACGTTGAGGATTCGCATTACACCATCAAGACAGACAACTTGAAGAGTGGTGGCGAGTACACCGTGGCTCTTTCAAGTATAACCGACAAGATGAACTGCAAGGATTTCTTGAAAGACGAAGCTAAAGTCAATGTTCGCCATGAGCGGCCAAAGGCTTACTTTGGATATATTGAAGGCAAACAATCAATCATGGGTCTGGAAGGTAGGAAGGTTGACCTTCCGGTACGACTCACTGGTGCTGGGCCATGGCAATTGGAGTATGAAAATCTCGACACCGGCTCGAAGGAAAAGACTACCATCTCTGGCGCCAACTCACATCTTAGCGTCAAAGAGCAAGGCACCTACCAACTACTTCATGTGCGTGATGTCGTGTGTCCCGGATTTATTGAAGAAAAAGCAAGCCAGTTCAACGTCGGCTGGATCTCGCGACCTCAGATTAGCATAGCTGAATCTCCGTCCATCGTGTTTGAAAAGGGCAAATACATCAAGGACGCGATCTGCGAAGGCGATGAGGACTCATTCGATGTAGCAATCACCGGTACGTTTTTCAAAGATGTGATGTACATTATACCTGCTAACTGATATAGGAAATGCCCCTTACGATTTCTCCTACAGACAAGAGTACAAGGATCAGAAGGGCAAGACGACTTCTGTCAGCGAGAAAGACGTCAAAGCACCAGGTGGCGCTGCATCCATCCGCGCCGAAACTGCCAGAGCTGGTGTATATGAGTACACCTTCACGAAGCTCGCCGACAGTCGTTACGATCATTCCAAGAAACATTTCACCCCTCTCTTTGTCCAGCAAACCGTTAACCCCCGCCCATCGGCGCGTTTCGATAAACCAGGAAAGACTTATCCTTACTGCGCTGGAGAGACTGATGGCGAGGAAGTGATACCTGTCACTCTCGAAGGCATTCCTCCTTTCTACTTAGAGGTGGAAATCAAACATGCCGGCTCAGTGACACCCGAAATCAGCTTCCATCGCGATATCACAACTACTAAATACGACCTGAAGATTGAACACCGCAAACTCCATCTCGGTCAGTCTTCCGTCTCTATTCGCAAAGTGCGCGACGCTCGGGGCTGTGGCTACAAACCCCCACCAGGCGGCCCGCGGGTGCAAATCAGTGTGCATGACGCCCCAAGCGCAACTTCGCTGGACGACAAATCCGACTTCTGCGTTGGCGAGCGCCTTTCTTTCGCGCTGGGTGGTCAACCTCCTTTCACTGTTTACTATACCTTCAACGGCTCCCAACGCAAAGCATCCGAGTCGCGCACCACCTTCCGCCGTCTCGCTGAGCTCCCTGGAACTTTCACCATCACAGGTCTTCGCAACACAGAATCCGAGTGCCTGGCCACGCTCGACATTACAAGGACCATCCACCCCATCCCTACCGTACGCTTATCTGGCGGCGTCGTCTCCTCCGTCGATATTCACGAGGGCGGAGGCACCGACCTGGACTTCACCTTTACGGGTACACCACCGTTCGAGTTTACTTACACCAAGAGCACGAACGCGGGTAAAGGGCGCAAGAGCAAGGTCCTGGAGATCCGCACCGAGACGAGTCACGAGCACACGATGAAGATCCCTGTACAGGAAGAGGGTACGTACGAAGTTGTCAGCATCAAGGATGCATGGTGTAGTTTTAGCAAGGCGTTTGAGGGTGTGGATGGTGCGAGAGGGCAGAAGCTGTTGACCTAGTGATGACAACCTTTCTTCTTCCTTTTTGTTTCGATTCATTTATGTGTTTCCTTTTTGTTTATTCCTGTGGGAGATTTCGACCGTGTCTATGTGTGTCTCAGACGTATTCGAAAGGAAGGAATGGAGGGGAAAAGCATTTGCAGAGGCGTTTTTATTGGGACGGTGTCGAACCATGATCTCACTCTCGGTTCGCGCTCTGAGTTTGAAATCCATCATCCTTCCTAGCTTTTATCTGGAATTTTTCTTTTTCTGATGGGTTTTGCATCCAGTGTATAGACTGTCTTCTTCTACCCCTATTCTTGGTTTCCCTTGTGCATACTCAGACTACAGAAAACAGAAACTGGATAACAATAAAAAAACTGTAAAATTGTACTCCGTTGCAATCGGCTGGAGGTCGTGACTTGACATGTGTGTGACTTGTATACATGTATATGTATTTGGGTATTCCTTTTTTCCTTTCAATGGTCGATAGCCACTCCATGAAGAGAATCAAGACAAGAGACGCTGGCTCTCATAAACGTGTGTCACACAACGATGAAGAATTCCCCAGTACAGAGAAGAGAAAAGTTCAAATAACGGGGTTTCCCCTCCCGCATGATGCATAAATTCCATTGAATAGATACTGCAGAGATAAAAAGAGGCCCTGGATCATGTTTTGCCCTCATCTATCTATCTATGCAAGGCCTCCCTTTTGTCTTTCTCCCTCTACGACCGCCGACTCGGTGCTTTCAAGGACGCACTCGAAAACGTCGCCGCGGCTAATTTCTTCTGTCGCTGCTTCCCTGCAATCCCCGTCCGATCCGTCGTCGGCTGGGCAGCCATGAAGGAGTCGAATTCCTCGTCGTTGTCTACATCGTCGATATCGCCATCGCTGTCCGTATCTTCTCCATCGGCCGTTTTCTTCCCGGTGTGAGGTTGTGGAGGAGTTTCGGTTTTGGGGAGGCGCTTTAACGGTTTCTTGGAGTCGATGTTTTTGGTGTCGTCATCGTCGCTGTCATTGTCGTCGTTGTCGTCGTCGGCTTTTGAGTTTGGATTCGCAAACGGTTTCGAGGCGAGGACGCGGCGGCGGAGCTCGGCCATTTCCTCTTCGTCATCGGAGGATTCGGGAAGGTTGTATGGGTTTTGCTTCGCGAGTGCATCTTGTTGCTCGCCATCATCTTCTCCATCTCCGGCTTCGCCGTCCTCGTCTGAATCGTCGTCTTCGTCCGACGAGAAGTCGATTTGCCGCCTATTCATATTTCCGCCAGCCCACGCGTCATCGTCACCACCATCTTCCTTCTCCTCCCTGCTATCGTTGTATTCCTTCTCGAGCTTGGCTAGCCATTTTTCTTCGGCCTTCTTGATCTGCTCTTCGTTCTCGCAGTTGGAGTACCGCTTCAGCAGCGCAGCATTGATATCCAAAAATGCCTCGCCATAGCTAAAAGACGCGAGGATGTCCTCCGCCCAATCGGGATGCCCGCAGATATAGTACGTAGCAGCGATCGCCTCGACGCAGTTCAGCCTCCACGGTTTCCCGTAGTTCGTCGGGTTCGCCGCAACGAGGTACGGCAGGAGACGCTCGCACTTGCCGCCGATTTTGCCAAAGGGAACTTCGTCGATGCGGTTCCAGCTCGCTTCGACGACCGCGGCGCCGTATTGCTCGAGGACGTCGTTGTCGTCGCGGCTCACGACTTTTTTGCCCTTGGGGCTTACGACTATGCCGGCGAATTTTTGGCCCACGTGGAGTTCGCGCAACAGGCCGAGGCGCATCAGACGTTTGCCCGAGCACCGCTTTGCATCACAGTGACCTAGATCCCAGCATGCGGGCTTAGGAGCTTTGCGTGCCTGTGTGCCTTCGGTGCCGGAGCCTTCGTCGTCGGAGCCGCGGGGGCGAGGTGGGGGTCTTGTTCGTGGCGCGTTTGAGTATTTTTTGCCCGATTTGAAGTCCTTCTTGTGGCGGACCATGATTTCGGATAGTATGTGTAGCGTCTCGAGCGTAGTATGAGCTTTTTTATGGAAAGGAGATTGTTGTGGCTGTCGTGGTGTATAGTGAAGTAGCTGCGGGAGGGGGGCAAAACAAATTAGAGAAATCCAAGTCGATTACTTCATAATGCTATCGATAAGGAGCTCTTTCTCAACGCCCTACAGAATGCATGTCCACACAAATCTGGGTAATACAACTTCAGATGTTCAATGTTGCAATTGGGTTCACGTGAAATTGATATCTCGGTCATTTAAAACGTCTATTCTCTTGTATCCGAGTGGTTAGAAATACTCACTCCGTCCGCCTCCTCACGAATGCCGCTTGAAATGCAACCCAAGTGCGTCGAGAGACAAAGCCCAGACCCGAGAACTCGCTTTTGAAAAAGGTATTTATCATGACACACCCAAGCTTGGTATCTCGCCCATCTCATTTTTCTGTTGCCCGCTAAGGGAATATGAAACTTTCCATCGCATCTTGATGCTGTTGCCAGATCCTGTTTGTACACCGTTCAGTCTGATGTTCTGTGTCACGCCGTTTTGCTGATTTGGAGCGAGCGAAACGCCAGTCTGCGGCTCCAATTGCAATTGTGCGCCCTATGATTGCGTTAGACGAAACTCTGATATATAGATTGATATGGTCTCCTTACCTTGGATGCAGCTACCTGGAACGTCAACCCAGATACTGGCAAGGACGTGTTGTTAGATATCCGGGACTTGACTAGAAGTGTCGAATCTGTTTCTCGAGAGACATTGAAAACGATGTTCAGGCTGGCATTGACGACTGTGAGTTCTTTCGAAGTATCTGGAACGGCCGACGAAAAAGTCCACTCGTCGTCATCAGCCGCATCTGCTGTACTACTTTGTGCCAGCGTAGAAGGCGGAGCGGGGGATGATCCACCCAGCAGATCAATGGTTCCTGACCCTGTCGATTGCTGGAAGTGCATCGGAGAAGCCTGCCTTGGTGCTGGACTACTCAGCGAAGCAAACGGATCGGGTGTTCGTGCTGGTTGGGGTGGTGGGTGGGCGATGGAAGGAGGTAAAGGTGACGAAATTTGAGATGAAGGCCCCGAGTTGGAGGTTGATCCAAATAGGTCCGTGATGGACTTCGCTGTATTCTGGTATTGAGTCTGCGATTGCGGGACTGGGGCGCCAGACAAACCGAGCACTATGATTCGTTAATACATTGACGATGGTCTGAGGTCGATTGAAATACCTGATCCGTTCGACGAGCCACCGAGCGCAATACTGCCGCTCTGGCCATAACTCGGTGCTCCCAATGAGAGACCAAGAAGGTCATCCTCGAGCGCATTGCCCTTTGCAGCCGGTTGTGCAGAGCTCCCTGCAGAAGATTCTGGAGCTGCAGGAGCAGGAGCAGGTTCTGGGTCTCCAAAATCGATCAGATTCAAAGTGTTGTTGGGTCCCTGAGAAACGCCAGCTCCGCTCTTCCCAAGGGTTCCTTGTGGTATCTTGTTTGCTGCTTCCATATCCCCTTTCTTGAACAGCTTGTATCTTTCTATTGTCCGGTTGATGCTGTCGTTGATTTCGAAGAGTTTGCCCACAGCTTCAGTGTCGTCCGACTCTTCTTCGCACATTCTCTGAATCTTCGGGTGCGCGCTCTGTAAGGCGTTTGCCAGTTCCTACGTATGTTAGCCTTATGGCGTCTATATTTTAGCCTGGAACATATCTTACCTCAAAAACATCGCCCTCATTGATGGGATCTCCGGGTTTTTGGCCTTGAAGCATCTCTTCCAGTATCCTTGCTTTTTGTTGGATTCTTCCAACCTCCTCTGCGGCCTTTGCACGCCAGTCTGTTTTGTTCCGCGTATCAAACCCAGCCATGACTTTCATTAATTTGTTGGCTTCCTGTAGATCCTGTGGGCCACCACGTCGAATCAACTCCTGGAGCTTCGCGGACTGCGCTTCACGTTCTTCTTCTTCCATTTCGTCGGCCGATCGAAGGTTCTAACTCAATATCAGTATAACAGCCTCGATAGCTCCATACATACGCACATCACTGGGGTTGAGCACAGCGGCATCCTCTTTCCGCACTTCTGGAAACATGTATCCCTTGTAGCTGAGCAGCCTGTGCATGTCCCTTATGAAACCCAGATCCTCCTTGTACCGCGATGTCAGACATATTGTTTGCCGCCATTCTTCTATCAACTCGAGAATTCTGTTCTGCACGCGCGAGGAATGCACCGGCGGTCGTTCGGGAAAGCGACGGACAAGCTCATTGAGAAACTCTTTGGTGCTTATTTGTAGATGGAAAGGGTACCCGCAGTTTTTCACACAGATATCAAGGAGCTACATGCTGTCAACTATATGCACCATGGGGGCGAAATGGACAGTCGTACGCTGAGGGCGAGCAAGGCCACATTCTGATTACGGTGGTTTATATATTGTACCAAAGTCACTGCTGCTTCTCGGGGTCTAGGATGCGCATCAGATACTGGTGTTCAGGATAGAGGTTGCGAAGACGTACGCGGTACCCTTCTTCGAATTGATCAAATCGGTGATCTCGAGGTTCAGCGCGAGGTTAGGTTCGAAGTTCTGAGGATCACATGCGTTTACTAGAATTCAATATTAGTGTACGAAAACTTAAAAAGGGTCAGGAGCTCGCACATATGAAGCGCTGTAGCTGAGATGTGGGCGCATCCCCCCATCCTCCGTATCGATCGCGGGCGGCCATCCGTGCGGATGCCGCCTCCATTGACGTCGTTTGAGAGCACGCAGGGAGTCTTCTGAGGTATAAGAATTCGGCCGATGTAACGAGCGAGAACGGTGGCTTCAATATGGGTTCCTGTAGGGTCTGGGGTCGAGTGGCATGCCTGGTTTCGGGGTCGTGGCTGGATGAGTGATGGCGGGGCCTGTTGCTCTTGGCAGCGCTACGTAAATGTAAGGTTTCCGCTTCATCCAGGCCATGTCGCTTTCCGCCTTTTCGTTCATGTTTCTATGAGCGAGCACCATTTCCCTCCGCCAAAAACATGGACATGTTGCTTCTCCATCGTGACATTCTTCGGAGTAATAGATTGCTGGAATAGTCGCGGACAAGCCGATTCTATTGATCGACAGCCTTGAGTTCTACGCCGCGCCCTGCATATACAAAGCGGCACATGAGAACCCCCATTTGGATCCACCTGCCCGCCCGGACGCTCATGTTCTGGCATACCTCGAAGTACCCAAGGTTCAATTGTTGCACCCCTTCTTGCGAACACTAGATATCATACTCTTGCATATAAACGCTACGTATGTAGGGCGGGAGTGGTACATGCTGACACTGTCCGACGAACCCCGGACCCTGACCTTAAAAAACGTTTACTACGAAGTCAGATGACAACTCGCATATCAGGACCCAGAAAAGGCAGCGATCGTATACATCCAATATTTCCATTGAAACTATCCCGGCCAGTATGGCAGCGTCATGATTCTTCACCGCAAGATGTTGTGCCTTCTGTAAGGTATCTGATGTGCGACCTTCCGTCAACAGGTGGATAACCCTCGCCTGAGTCCCACCTGGTTTGAACCTTCTCGCAAGTACCGTACGACAAACACATCTAGCTTCGATAACAGAAGAGCTCGGGATATGACATGTACGTCAGTTTCTGCTGGGTTTTAACTACATATGTACAATCGTATTGTTCCTTTCCCCGCACAGCCACATCTGGGAACCCAATCTATTCGAACCCCAGTGAATTATTGGAAGCTTCCCAAACAGGAAATATTCCTGAGTAGACCCGCCCGTAGTCGCAAAGATCGATGGTGATCTTCGTCTTGGACATCGGAGAATAGCACAAACAGCTATTTTTGCACGCCATTGTTCTCAGAAGACCCTCTGCCAACACCGTGCATGGTTCAAGTGAACCCTGTGCGGTACGGATTCAATAGTCCCTGGCAGCGTAGTATGAACATGTTGATCCATGGAACGTGGTCATGCGACGTAGTACCATAAGGCCACCGAGATGACGATGACGCCCTCGCATCAGACGAGAGGAGAATTATTTAAGACCCTATGGTAAACATGTATCTCTTCGTTGTAATCTCAAAGACTTCTCACATCAAAGCAACTTACTGTCCTCACTTCAATCCCTTTCGCACAAACCAATCATCCACTACAAAATCAACATTCAACGCCCGTTAACACCATGCGCTACACACTCGCCTTCGCCACTCTCGCAACCTCGGTCGCAGCTGTAGGCAATGCCGTAGTAAAGAACCAATGCACAAGCGCCATCTACGCATGGTCTGTCAGTTCTACAGTCAGCAGCCAGCAAACCATCGCTCCCAGTATGTTCCATCCTATCCCATCATCCCGTTCCCAATCCTAGATCCCCTCCATACTGACAAATCTTCCCAAATAGACGGCAACTTCTCGGAGCCCTTCCACCGCGACGACACAACCGGTGGCATCGCACTCAAGATCACGCGCGCCGCTGATGGCTTGTACAACGGTTCTCCACAGCAGATCTTCTCGTACTCGCTTGATGGCGCCACCGTCTGGTATGATCTGAGCACTGCTTTTGGCGAGCCTTTCACTGGATCCAAGATCACTGTTACCCAGGAGGGCAGCAGGTCCATTGAGTGGCCGACTGGTAGCAACCCCGGTGGTAGCCAGGTCAAGGCTGGTGTCAGTGAGAGGGATGTTGTGTTCACGGCTTGTGCTTAGAGACGAGTGACTAGTATTGAGCATGGAGGCTGAAAAAGATAATGAGAAGTGCTGGATAAGAGTTGGCTTAATGATAATGTTATAACAAATCACTCAAATAAAACTCGTATATTGTATGATCGGGCTTCGCAAATATCTGATACATGGCCGCTGTTATGGCATTTGTGGGGTACCAAGTGTAGAATTGCAATTTTCTAATGCTAACAATAACCTGGAGAAGGAAAGAACGAATAAAAAACACCCTGCTTCAACTCTCCATTGGAGCATGTCACAACAAAGCTGTGTACTAGTAGAACAATTCGACGCTTGACATGAAGCAACAAAATGCATACAAAGTAACAATTCGTGATTGGGAGGTCGTCAACGTACATCGAATGAATCACCTCATAGATATTCTATACTTTTTATACATTCTAAGTTCTTGGGACCATAGCATTCCCCACAATATACACACGTATACAGATACAACAGCGCTTTGGCCTCATAGCCTCTGGCTTCTACTCTCCATGCTTACGACACCGAACTTGCTAGACAAAGTCCTAATTGAAAGATGGGAGAGGAATTTACATCCAGTAATCCTTGACAAAGTACGTAGCGTAGCCAGCCACGGTCGCGAGAAGGACTTGAGTTCCGTAGAATCCAACACCACGGCCAGTACCCAAGCTTTTCGGCCTCATAAGACCAAACTCTGCATGGGCGACGCGGAACGTGAAGAGAGTAGCCAAAGCATAGTTGATATATTTCCTATACCCAATGTCAGAGTTATGTTCCATGTGTCCTTTCGGCGGCAAGACATGAGCAAAACAAGGATTTCAAGTCTACATACCTGGGAACACCGTTGAGTTCGGCAAGGAGCGAAACTACCAAAAGAAGAGGAACGTTCTCGTTGAAGTTGACCTGGGCTCGCGAAGCTACGTAAAGTGGATCGTCATTTCCCTTAGTGGGATCGATCTTGTCTCCCATTGCACTAAGCGCCAAAGTTGATTTAGCCGCTGATATGCATCATTGATCGACTACGTCGTAGGGACTTACGTTCGGCTCGTGATACGGTGGTAGACGACACGATTCTGGAGAAAGATGTAGTAGGCCGCGAACGGAGCAGCCCATGCTGCGGTGGCAGGGGCAAGGTGAATGCCGAGGCGGCTAGTGGGGATGGACATTGTGAAGGGTAGGATGAATTGAAGAAACTGAAAAGATGTTCTTTAGAGAGAGATGGAGACTGGTTTTCAAGGTGATGGGAAGGTGTGAAACCGTGTATATTGTTATTGTTATTGGTGTGACTAAGCGGTGATGAAACCTTGACCGGGCTATTATACCAGAGTTAGGCCGAAGGGGGAACCGAGAAACCCCGGGGCCCACGTGTAGTCGACGTAGTGCCCGCACTGTGAATAGTGGAAACACTGCGTAGTGGTAAAGTAGAGTACAAGTAATATACAGAAGTTAGGGGCCGTATCTAACGTCATTGCTTTTGATACACTCTGCTATCTGCAGATGTAAAGTGTTCCTGCCATACTAACATCAAGGAGGTCATCCAGCTACACGTACGAGATGTATGTACGAGATTCTGAACAGCCCCCAAGTGTACCAAGAGCTACATCACCGCTTCTTGAAAGATATTAGCATCCGGGGTATCATTCAATGTAGGCGTGACATACTGGTCGCATGTGTTCGGCATCGTTCTCGCGGTTATCTTCGCGTGCTTCTTTCAACATCTTGTCGATGCCTCTATCTTGCAAAGCTTTCTACCATATTGTTAGACATCTGCTGTGTGCAGACCAGGAAACGGTCTCGAAAATGAAACAGATATACATACTGAAAGGCATTTTTCATACTGCTTAAACAACGGATCGCATTCATCGGATGTAGCAGACCCCCGTATGAATTCTATGTACCTCTTATCAGACTTGTTCGGATTCAGGTGCGGGAAACGGTCTTGCTTACTCTCGCTGTACCATTTCAGAAAGCAGTTATCGTATCGTCTGTGTTGATCAGATTCAGATCATGTCAAAGGTAGGGCCCGATATAACACACTCTTTTACTTCGTTGCATTCGGGTGCTAAGGATGCAGACATGATGTGAATGCAGATGAATGATGGTATCGTGCATCGTCGCAGGCAAGCAGGCAGGGACGAACAAAGGCACGACGGTCGCGATGCGTTATCGATAACGCGCCAAGACCTCAAAAAATCCTGGGAGCTAGCTCATTGTACCCGGACCACAGCGCGACTGCTTTCTTCCAATCGCCAATCCTTCAACACTCAACCCAGGCCGAGCAGGACTGCAACCGGAGGCAGCCAGCGCACTCTCTACGAAAATACTTCGTGCCCCCTATCTGCGTAACCTTTTCACACGCAATGCTGCAAGGCCCTGTCTACTGCTACAGCTGCTAGTCGACCTGCCATGGACTCGTTCAAGACGCTCCAAGATTCCATCTCCGCCGCCCTAAAGTCCACTACCCACTCCGCAACACGCATCAGCGGCGCCGATCTTGCATTCCAGAGGTCGCTGAACCCTGACGCTGGCGATGCACTCGACGGCCAGAATGCGCGGCTTCTTCGACTCGCGCAGCGCCTTCTGGAAAATGCTGCAGCGAGCCCGGACGCTGTAGGTCCCACGCTTTCCGATGTCGAATCCATAGACAACAATTGGCGGGCCGTGGTTGATGTCATCGACAGCTTGCTTGAGAAGGCCGATACTAGCCTGGATGAGTACACTGGTGTTGTAAAGCGCCTAAGTCCTGGAGCTGATCTGGTATGTTATGATGGAATGCTATCGCCCAGCTCCCCATCTTGCTAACATGCGATTAGGCTATGCCAGCCGCCAAAACCCGGCCGAACCCTGCCAGACCCCAAGACAAATTCATTGACAAGCCACAACTGTCCTTCATACATAAACCAATGAACAATGAGACTGGTGGCTTCAGGCCTCTCATGTCCACAAAACCTCACGCCCAAGTTCCTCTGGCGGAATGCTTGAAGACGTTCAAGGATTCCCATGGTCGGGAACAGTATGTACAATATGCCACTATTAGCAGCATATTCAATCTGACGACTGCCATAGATATCCTCATCCTTATCAAACCGAAATCGAAAAATACGAGTACCCGTCTACGCTGTACGAACAGTCGACACCCATACCGTACCAGCCATTTGAAAAGACATCCGCCACATATGTCGACACCCCGGAAGCTGTAGCGCTGATGTTGGCTGAGCTAAAGACTGCCCGAGAGATTGCCGTTGATCTGGAACACCACGACAGTCGGACCTACATTGGCATGGTTTCGTTAATGCAGATCAGCACTCGTGATAAAGACTGGATTGTCGATACTTTGAAACCATGGAGGAGGCAGCTCGAATGTTTGAACGAGGTCTTTGCGGACCCAAACATACTCAAAGTTTTGCAAGGTGCCTATATGGATATCATATGGCTCCAGCGAGATCTAGGATTGTACGTTGTTGGTCTGTTCGACACTTATCATGCGGCTCGCGCACTCGGCTATCCGTCAGCCGGCCTGGGTTATATGCTCGACAAATTCGTCAACTTCAAGGCGCAAAAGCAACACCAGTTGGCTGACTGGCGGGTGCGACCACTCACGCCAGAATTGTTCGACTATGCCCGGGCTGATACTCATTTCCTTCTCTACATATTCGACAACATCCGGAATGAATTGGTGGAAAAGTCAAATTTCGAAGATCCGGAAAGGAACAAAGTCGACTACGTCCTCCAAAAATCCAAAGAGGTTGCACTGCAACGCTATGAACACCCTGTTTACGACATCGAGTTTGGTAGCGGTCGGAGTGGCTGGTACAATGTCCTAACGAGGGTATCGGTCCAGTTCGATCCTCAGCAATTTGCCGTCTTTCGAGCAGTGCATAAATGGAGGGATGACTTGGGACGAAAGGAGGACGAGAGCCCGCTGTTCATCTTGCAGAATCATGGTCTTTTGTCCATCAGTAGAGCCATGCCGGAGGACAAAGCCACTCTGATCAGCACTATCCAGCATGTCTCACATATCCTGCGTCCAAACATGGATAGCCTTGTTTCGGTGATACGGGAAGCAAAGTCGGAGGGCCTCCACGGACCAGATATGAATGTAACACTACAACGTATCTCAGATAAGCGGGACGCGGAACGGGAAAAGAACCTGCAGCAACGGGCGCAATCTGCATCAACTCCTGTGAAGGCCACACCGGTAGTGTCCAAGCCTACACCCCTTGGTTTCACTGCCCAGCACCCTCCCAGTTTCGTTGCCGGCGAAACTCCGAGGGCTACGAATTCGCAATTCTGGGGCTCATTGTGGTCTAACAAACCTAATGAGCAGCGGAGATCCTTCTCTTCACAGGACATCAACTTGGCTCTACCCCTACCACCGCTCACAGCCGAGATTTTTGCCGACAACAAACACATTGAAGAGCCGTCACCAAGTCTGACCAAGCTAACATTCATTCCTAAAGACGAGAGGCCGGCGGAGGATGAGCGAACTGACATATTTGTCGTCAAGCAGCTCGGCGGTCGGAAACGTAAGCTTGGGGAGGCGGCAGAAGAGTCTGCCGAGACTTCTACACTAGACCCTATGGTTGACGACGAGATCATGCTTGACGAGGAAGACTCGGACGCGATCAAACGGAAAGAAAAGGCTGCAAGGAAGGCAGCAAAGAAAGCAAAGAAGGAGAAGGAGCGGGCAGCTGCACTGGACTACGACAACGAGGACGACGAGGTATTCGATTACGCGAACGCCCCTAGCGTGTTGCACGCTCGCGATGCGGAGAGGAAGACTGGTAAAAAGGACAGAAAAGACAAGAAGAAAGACGCCTCCTTCAACCCATATGCTAAGCTTGCCGATGTTCCTAAGGGCATGGCTCGCTCGCAGAAGGAGAAGTCTGGCAAGAGCAAAACGTTCAACTCGTGATAGGGGGAAATGGGCATTCTTGAGCGGCTTTCTGTTTAATGGTTGATTGATACCTCAGTAGATCCTATGACTTTGCATCGATTCAATTCCGGCTCGCCATAGAGCCATTGTTCTTTCTTCTCAAAATGGTTTTTCTGCATATGTGCCTCACCATTTTACCTAGTGAATTGTGCCAATACTGATCATAACCACGAGTAACCCAAGGCTCGGTCATTCTCGTTCCCCGGATACAATCAAACTGTCTAAACGAGCTGGCCATCCAAAGCCCGATAGAAAACACCGAAATTCCCACTCCCATCCTTCCCTCCCTTGCCCTGCGCCGCATTATCCATGACGGCAAAAACAACCTCGTCCCACCAACCCCCCGCAAACTCGCTCTCCCTAAACACGTCCAAGAAACACTTCGCAACCGCAGCTGGCGGATTCCGAAAAACCCCACACCCCAACGCACCAAGCACCAACTTGGTGTGCCCCTCCGTCGCTGCAACCCTCAGCACCAACCGTATTTTCCCCATGGTGATGTCGCGGTCCGTATCATCCGCAAAGTCCTCGCCGTCTGCTGTAAGTTCGGGCTGTCGGAGCGCGGCGACGCTGACAACGCTGAGGGCGGGGAGATTGAGCGCGTCTGGTTCCTGGAAGCGCGTGTGGCCTGTTGTGAAAGACGAGCGGAAGAGGGAGACGTTTGGGGCGTAGAGGGCGGAGCGGGGGTGCAGCGGATAGTGGTATCTGTGGAGGGAGTGGGAGAGTGTGGTTCGGTAGCAGAGTTCTTCTTCTTGGGCCATGGCGCCGTTGTGCCCTGGGGATTTTGGGGGGTTGTCATGTTAGTTATGTTTTGCAGAGCAGTTTCATAATTGTTAGATCACGATTCGATGCTTCAATGTACGACTACGCGGTGTCTAATCATGTGATCTTGGAATGGGGAAATACATACAGCCGCCGCCAGCGTGGATATCGGAGGCGAGATTTAGGACAAGTGTAGGTTTGGCTGAGGGAGTTGTGCTGCCATTGGCGTTGAGATTGATTAATTGGGCTTGCGATTGGACAAGGTCTCTAACAGTCAGGCCTTGGCAGAGAGAAAGCGCAGTATCCAACGTGTCACCGTTCACGACACGAATGGCGGTCTTGTGAGAGACAGGTGGTACGAAAGAGGCAATCGATTGCGACTTTGTCCTGTCGGGACATTGCGAAGGGTCCAGAGGTGGAAGATCCGGTGGGTTGGTAGTAGCTATGCTGGACAGGAGGACGACGGGGAGCATGTAGAGAGTGCATGCTTGCGTATTGAATGTTCGATACTGAGAGGCTATCCTGGGAAGCTCTTTCCTGGTATCACTCGCTGTCTGGCGCAGGAACTCTCGTCGCTCGTCGTAGCGTTCTTCTTTACGCTTGTTGTCTTTGCCGTCTCCCTTGTGCTCTTTTTTGCGGTCGTCTTTGTTTTCGTCCTTGCGTTCGTCCTTGCGGCCGTCGACTTTTTTTCTATGCATTGTGAAGAAAGGGTGATGTCGAACTTTGGTCATGGTGAATGTAGTGCTGTTTCCTTTCCTGGGATTGTTTGTGGGTGGTATTCGAAGTTCGGATGCAGTGTGTTTGATAACGAACGCTGTATTGCAAGTGGTGTTGAGATTGTAGGTGCAAAGTCCATAGTCCAGGCAACAGTGCACTAAATCATTATGGGAAGTGCGACTCGATCATTTCAGTCAAGGTCGAGGAACACATGTGCAGTTTAAGATGAGTGATTTCTTGCGTTGTCGCGAGGGACGCGTAGATTATCAGATGTACATGATACTACATGATACTCTGCAGGGGTTTGCAGTGTTTACAGCGCTTTACGATGGTTTGGGCAGGATATGCGATGTCATGTGAAGAGAGAGGGTTCAGCCCTACGGCGCTGCACGCGTGGTAAGTGCCCCACATCGCTTGTTGCGATCGGCCCCAAAAGCAATCATGGTTGTGTTTGAGGCCCAGATGCTTTCCCACCATCATACACTCCACTTTATCGTGATACCCTATCCAAGGAAACATATTACCATGTAACTCTTTACCAGTATATAAAAAAATGCGATCCACCACCCTCTCCGCAGCAATCCACCCTTCGCCAAAGCGCAAACGTGATCCACCACCCCCGCCTATTCCCCATATAAACACCACCCTGCGCACAGAAACCACACCGCCTCGAGACAGCCCAGAACCAGACAGCCCCAGAAATGCCGTTGCCGATCAGCTCCAGAGCATGAGCTTGAAGAATATTCCGTCGATCCACATGGGCCCCCTTTCGCCTACCGACGATATCATGCGGAAGAAGCCCAAACTGCAGGACAAAAGCAGGGTGGATAGCGGGACATCGCTGGACGAACATCTCGCAGGGGTAAACATAGGACTGCAGCAGGATGGTCAGAAAGACTCCAAAAATTCGGTCGCTGTGAACACATTACCAGTCCGTCGTAAGGAGATACCAGAAACACCTGAGGCAAAGCAACCCCGCACTCTCCTCAACACAGTGCCCGCCTTTGCACAACTCCCAACATCATCTTTCCCAACATCGCTATCGCAACCGCCTATCGTCGGAAGTGATGATGCAAAGACCAAAGAAAACACACAACCACGCCGTCGTACCAAATCCGTCTCACCTCCGCCTTCACCGCTCACGTGGCAGGACAGCGAGATCACGGGACACCTTGCAGACCCATCCAAAGATCCTGATGATGATGGGACAGGTCTGAATGGGATCGGCTTTCGGCCCACCCCGGCCACAGCTTATGCGCGAGCTCAGAGAAGAAGGCAGCAGGTGCTGGATTGGAAAGCCAGAGAAGCGCGGGAAGCTAGAGCTAAGAGATCCGAAAGGAGGAGGAGAGGTGTCGGAGGTGCTTCATCAAGGGAAGCGACGGTAGAGAGGGAAACACGTACCGTAGATACAGCGATAACATCTGATACTTCCCGGAGGACCGTGAAGTTTGCAGTATAGTATGACTATGGTTATCTAATTTTTAATGACGATTGGGCAGTCGGGTAAGATCAACGAAAAGGCAGTTGACATACAGAGGATATAGTTACGATGCTACGATTTCTTTCATACTGTACAAACGATAGCGAAGCTCTCCAAATCCACACACTACCTTCTAGACCTCGCACCGCAGTTCGTGATATAATATTGGTCCGATTGTTGAATGCAATAGTACATTTGTTGATACACAATTTTGGTACAGGAACGGACAACGCCAACATCTTACATCGTTTGGCCTCGCTTTGCTCCCGCTCTCGTCCCGTGTCTTACCAAAATTTCAGATTTTTACTTGCCCAATAACTCCACGATTTCCTCCTAATTTGCTCTTGTCGCTGCATTTCTTCGATTCGCTCCTGCTCTTCCCTCGCTCTGCGCCGTGCTTCTTTCTTTGCTTCCATGGAAGCGCGCTTCTTTTCGATGAGCACTTGTGCTTGTTTCATGCCGTCCTTCTCGCGACCACGGTAGTATTGGCATGTTTGATAGTGACCGCAAGCTGCCATGACACAGATTCCTACGGCCCAATTTGTGCAAAGATAAACCGGTCCTGCGGCACGCAAGGATTAGCATCAATGTGTATAGAGTCCCTCCCCTAACAGTCCGGCCTTTGCCAACCTCGAAAGTAGAAAAAGAAGAAGGGTGCACATACGTCTCAGGACTGCAGCCACACTTCCTGCCACGAACCCACTAGCAATACCCGTCATAAGTCCATCCCTTACACAGGGTCTCTTGTGAAAATTGAGATAATACTCCGGGCCTAACCTGCGCACCACGTCGAAGTAGGTTGGGCCGTCCTCAACGCGCTGGCCACCCGCTGTATGCGCAGTTCCTCCAGGCATGATATTGGCGGGGGGCCTAGAAGCGCGTAGGATTTCGGAGGCATTGGGTGCTTCGGATGGGATCGATGAGGGTGGCTGCGGTTGCTGCGATTGCTGTGATTGCTGCCGTGTATCGTCTGCCATTGTGGTGTGATGTGATGATGGAAGAGCAATCGTGCCGGTAGATTTCGGATTTGCAATGGATTTCTGTATCAAATGTTGTGATGATGTGTCGCTTTTACAGCTTTCCCCGCGGTAATTGATAGGTGGACGCGTGATACTGTGTCTCCTCGTGAAAGTGGAGGTTCTGTATGATGGAACGGCTCCTTTCACTTTACATGCAGTGCAGATGTCATGGATTATTTTCGGCTTTTGACATGGCACCGCCACATTTGAGCCACACCAGAAAACCAATTAAGCCCTCGACGCGCTAAAACGCGTGCACGCGCAGCGGCTTTTGTCGCCCAAGTACCTACCTTTCGTGCCAATTCAACACAACACACCTCCATAGCAATCGGTATTCCCCGGTCCAGTCTTTTTCGACGCTGTTTTCTAATTGTACCCATGATACCCTAAACAGTACATATTCTTCACTTTAATACATCTCTGCCTCCTTTTTCCCTACAACATGGCGCCTCGACGGGGAGGGCAGCCCTTTCGCCGGGTTGGCAAGCAGGGTAACACATCCTATGGCCCACGGAAGTCGAAAACAGTGGACGGCTCTACATTACGCAGTACAGAAGCCACATCACAAAATGAGAAACTCGAAGCCGTACGACTCGCGAACCGTATTGATGAATCCATGGGCTTTCCCCGCTACGATTCCGGCAAGAAGAAGGTGGGATGGTTATGCAACATGCACTCCACCACAGTCGAAGACGAGAATGTCCCAGGGGGCAAGGCCGGTGTCGACTATTACTTCATTGGCGACGATGGCGACACATTCAAAGCTACACTCGAATACGACCCGTATTTCCTACTTGCTGTGAAGAAAGGCCACGAGCCGGAGGTGGAAGAATACTGCAGAAGAGGCTTTGAAGGTCTAGTCAAGTCGATGAAGAGAGTCGAGAAGGAAGATTTGAGCATGCCGAATCATCTTACGGGGTATAGGAGGACCTTTCTGATGCTCAGCTTTGCGAATGTGAACGACCTGCTTGCCGTGAGAAAGGTACTGGCGCCCGTGGTGGAGAAGAACAAGAAGAATGTTAATGCAATGGATACATACGTGGAGGTGGCTAGGTGAGTACAAAGTTCCACACTTTTGTCAAAGAGGACGACATCACTGATCAGTGCAGTACGAATGCCGATTTCGATATCTTTAATGACGATTATGAACACGAGAAACGATACACAGCGACGATTGATGCTAGCGATTTTGTTCTTGATATCCGGGAATACGATGTTCCCTACCATGTACGAGTAGCTATCGACAAAGATGTACGGATTGGAAAATGGTACACTGTCGAGGCAAAGCACGGAGTCGTCTCTATGACATGCATAGAAGACCGACTCAAACCCGCGGATCCTGTTGTTATGGCATACGATATTGAGACGACAAAGCTTCCGTTGAAGTTTCCCGACCCTGTCATTGATCAAATTATGATGATATCGTACATGATCGATGGCCAAGGATTTCTCATCACCAATCGCGAAATTGTGTCGGAAGATATCGCCGATTTCGACTACACGCCCAAACCCGAGTATCAGGGTCCCTTCATGATTTTCAATGAACCAGACGAGAAAGCGGTGATTGAAAGGTTCTTTGAACACATAAAAGAGGCGAAGCCTACTGTCATTGTCACTTACAACGGTGACTTTTTCGATTGGCCTTTTGTTGAAGCGAGATCGAGCGTGTTGGGCATCGACATGTATCAAGAGATCGGGTTCCGCAAAAACAGTGAAGATGTATACCACTCTGATCACTGTGCCCACATGGACGCTTTCGCATGGGTCTCTCGAGACAGTTACCTCCCTCAAGGAAGTCGTGGTCTCAAAGCAGTGACAGTCGCGAAATTAGGGTACGATCCGGATGAGCTAGATCCCGAATTGATGACTCCGTAAGTCCAAAATATGAACTGCTATATTCGAATCAGGACTAATCCAAGTGTGCAGGTATGCGAGCGAACGACCCCAGGTGTTGGCTGAATATTCCGTCTCCGATGCTGTGGCCACGTACTACCTATACATGAAATACGTGCATCCATTTATCTTCGCTTTGTGTACAATCTTGCCACTAGGACCGGACGACACACTACGAAAGGGTACAGGTACTCTCTGCGAGATGTTGCTCATGGTTCAAGCATATCAAAAAGGTATTGTGCTTCCAAACAAACACCAGGCACCAAAGGAGGCCTTCTGGGATGGTCACTTGCTAGAGTCCGAAACGTACGTTGGTGGTCACGTTGAAAGTATCGAAGCTGGCGTCTTCAGAAGTGACATTCCGTACAACTTTGCAGTGGACCCCGCCGCAATCGACGAGTTGCTGGGTGACCTTGACGCAGCGCTACAGTTCAGTATTGTGGTAGAAGAGAAAAAGAAGCTCGAGGATGTTACCAACTACGAGGAGGTCAAGGCACAGATCACAGAGAAATTGATGGACCTGAAAACGACACCAAACAGAAGCGAACAGCCACTAATATACCATTTGGACGTCGCTTCTATGTATCCCAATATTATGACCACGAACCGACTACAGCCTGACTCTATGATTAAGGAATCGGACTGCGCTGCTTGCGATTTCAATCGTCCGGGAAAGACTTGCGATCGGAGAATGCCTTGGTCATGGAGAGGAGAGTTCTTGCCTGCGAAACGAGACGAATACAACATGGTTCGAAACGCGTTGGAAAATGAGAGGTTTCCGGGCAAGTACCCTAATTCGCCTTCACGGACGTTTCAAGAATTATCTCCGGACGAACAAGCCAATCTTGTAAAAAAGCGATTACAAGAATTCAGCAAAAAGATCTACCACAAGATTCACGAATCGAAAACCACTGAGCGGGAGGCTATCATCTGCCAACGTGAAAACCCATTCTACATCAACACTGTCCGTGACTTCCGTGACCGACGCTACGACTACAAGGGGAAACAAAAAGTCTGGAAGGGCAAAACTGACTCGTTGAAGTCTGCTGGCGCACCTGCCCACGAAGTCGAAGACGCCAAGAAGATGATCGTCCTGTACGATTCTATGCAGTTGGCTCACAAAGTTATCCTGAACAGTTTCTACGGCTACGTCATGAGAAAAGGTTCCCGATGGTACTCTTTAGAAATGGCTGGTGTGACTTGCTTGACAGGCGCCAGAATTATCCAGGTCGCACGACAGTTGGTGGAGAGAATTGGACGGCCTCTCGAGCTTGATACCGATGGTATCTGGTGCATGTTACCCGCCACATTCCCGGAAAACTTTGCGTTCAAGCTGAACAATGGCAAAAAGATGCCCATCTCGTATCCTTGTGTCATGTTGAACCACTTGGTACATGCCAAATTCACCAACCACCAGTACGAAACGCTTGTCGACCCCGAAACTTTCCGTTACGAAAAACACAGTGATAACTCCATCTTCTTCGAAGTCGACGGACCGTACAAAGCCATGATTTTGCCCACTTCTAAGGAAGAGGATAAGAATTTGAAAAAGCGATATGCTGTTTTCAATCACGATGGAAGTTTGGCCGAACTCAAAGGTTTTGAGGTCAAACGTCGTGGTGAGCTGAAACTTATCAAGAACTTTCAGTCTCAGATCTTCAAGTTCTTCTTGGAAGGCACCACGCTTACGGAAACGTACGGGGCAGTTGCTTCGGTAGCTAATCGATGGCTCGACATCCTTGATACACGAGGTGCGACTCTTGCAGATGAAGAGCTAATGGATCTCATTGTTGAAAATAAGAACATGAGCAAAACTTTGGAGGAGTACGGTAGCCAAAAGTCGACTTCTATCACGACAGCTAAGCGACTCGCCGAGTTTCTGGGGGAGCAGATGGTCAAGGATAAGGGTCTGAACTGCAAATACATCATCTCAGCAAGACCGAGGAACGCACCTGTCACTGAGCGCGCCGTGCCTGTTGCCATCTTCTCTTCCGAAGACACTGTCAAGCGCTACTTCTTGAGAAAATGGTTGAAAGAGGACCCAGGTGATATGGACCCTCGCAGCATTCTTGATTGGGACTACTACCGCGAGCGTCTAGCATCTGTCATTCAGAAACTGATCACAATCCCTGCTGCGCTACAAAAGATACTGAACCCTTGCCCTCGAGTGCCCCATCCGGAATGGTTGGACAGACGGATACGACAAAAGGATGACAAGTTCCAGCAAAAGAAGATGACTGACATGTTTGATAAAGCTCTGACAGTCGCAGACACAAACGTGCTGGGTAACAGAGTAGCCGCAGTTGATCTTGAGGATTTTGGATCGGCAAAGACACCAGCCCTATCTCAAATGAAGAGAGGTGCTGTCACTAAGATGGTCACAAAACGGAAAGAACCTGAACCTGCAGTACCTGTGCAGTCCGATCCGTATCACGCTTTACCGAAAGTCATGCCTTCAATCACGGAAGACTACTCAGGCTGGCTCATGTATCAGAAACAAAAGTGGAAAATACAGAGACAAAATCGACAACGTCGCCGGCATCTGTACGGAGACAAACAAGTTGACGCTTCCGATTCGATCGCCGCTCAGTTTCGCAGACAGAACGAGCTTCTGTATACGGGTGCCTGGCAGTTGGTCCAACTGCGTCCCTTGGAGACCCCAGGAATGGTTCAGGCATTTGTCTTGATTGACAAGAAGATCCACACTCTAAGAATTATTGTACCGCGGCAGTTGTACTTGAACCTAAGAAGTGATGATTTGCCTGACGTATCTCTTAACGGCTGCGATGTTGAAAAGGTCATCAATCACACCTTGCCTAATGGACATCCTTCCATACACCTCTTCAAATTGCAGATGTCGGAGCAAGCATATGTCGATGAATCTAAGAAGCTTGCGACGCTTTTCAATCATCCCAGTGTCGAAGGTGTCTACGAGAAGCAGATGCCGCTCAGTACCCGAGCGATCCTCGAACTTGGCAGTATATGTACGTTCGACGACTCACAGAAGGGCGCTTTAGGCAAAGGCCTTGATCAGGGTTTCCAGCTCTCTACACTTCGAAAGATGATATCAACAACGCCATACCTTTCGGACACATCCATGAGCTATATATACCTTTATCACGTCAGTAGCGGAGACCGCGACATATATGCTCTGCTTTCGACTTGGAATAACGAAGGCCTGATAATCACTCAAAAGGACAGAGAAGATGCCGATGCGATAAGCAAAGTCGACCGCATGTACACGAATGCCCTCCAGAGGCGACTGGAAGAAAACGGTGGTGAGCCATGGCAAACATGTGTGGAGTACCCTACCGAGATGCAATTCAAATACGTCTGGCGGAAGAATAGGCAGTTGGCTTTGACGCGAATCGACAAGGAAATTCGAAGGCTGAAGGAAGAGTGCACGGGTCCATTGGTTGTGGCTATTCAGGCCACGAACCACGCCATGCTGTCCCACGATATTCACGTACTACGAGATCTACCGATCATCACTCTACAGGCTGATGAGTCCGACAAACAGACTTTGACACAGATGCGATGGCAAGCCAATATCTCCAAACGCATAGTTAACCATTACCTCGACCTTGGATCCTGGATCACGCACCTTACGGAACTGGCTCGCTACGGAGATATCCCCTTGTGTAATCTGGAGAGTAACGATCCTCAATTCCTCATCGATGTCACCTATGCAAGACGTCTGCAGAAAGAGAGGGTGATTTTGTGGTGGTCTGCACGACCCAAGCCGGACCATGCAGGGCACGAAAAGGACGACATTCTCGGCCCGCTCGAGACTGTTGAGATGCCGTCTATCAACAATCCCGGTACTTATTCATCTGTTTGTATCGACATCAATCTTCGACATCTGGCCATTAACACGATTCTCTCATCCTCTCTGATTAATAATCTGGAAGGATCAGAGTCTTTCTCCTTCAACCCCGCGGCTCCCTCTTTCACCGCTGCCAACGACGGCACGAACGTTATATACTCCGACAACGCGTTCGCCACTGCAGGCATCACCGTTCTACGTGAGATGGTGAAGGCATGGTGGAGCGAAGCCGCAAAAGGTGACTACATGGCTGATGTAATGGTTCAGCATCTCGTCCGTTGGGTTAGCAGCCCCGGCAGTTTCCTTTATGACCGCGCGTTACATTACTACGTGCAAATGATGTCTAAGAAGGCCCTGCAGCAGCTCATGTCTGATTTCAAACGCGTGGGCTCAAACATCGTATTTGCCTCCCCGTCTCGCCTCCTACTGCAAACTACCAAAGCCGAAGTCGGAAACGCTTACGCATATGCGGAGTACATTCTGAAGACCATTCAGGCGAAGCCGTTGTTCAACTTCTTAGAACTTGAGATCAAGGAATACTGGGACTACCTCGTATGGTACGATGAATTCAACTACGGCGGAAAGGGGTGCGAGAAAGTTGTCGAAGAAGAGAATCAAACGCTGGAGAACATCATGCATTGGCAGCTCGCATCATTCCTTCCTGAGAGGCTGCAACCCACGTTCAACTCGTGGGTCGTCGAGTTTATCGAAGTGATGCAGGCGCGAAAGCGTCCACCCCTAGGTCCAGACGGGAGTGTTGCACGAGCAACACAAATTCCACTCCGACCCCTAACTGTCGATCCTAACGAAGCCACCCAAATCCTCCCCAAGACTTTCACCAAACCTCTTTTCAAGCAAGTTTCAGCACATCTCCGCCAACATCATCAAGAGAAAACCAGCGATCTCTTCGCCGCGGATTGGGACTTCCCCAAACTCCCCGGAAGCCATCTCAACCTACGAAATCCTGTGCTTCAACTCGTGAAGAGCCTGATGCAGGTTCTCAGTCTGGATCGCGCCATCACGCTCGAAGTGCGTCTGCTACGCAAGGAACTATTAAATCTCTTCGAAATCCGCGAATTTAGCGCTGAAGCTGGATTCCACAACCCCAGCGCCTCACTCATACTACGCAGCCTCATTTGCGACGAGTGTGCCGCATCCCGCGACGTCGATCTCTGTCGCGACGCCACACTCCTTCCCCCAACAGCCCCAGACCAGGCTGCCGCAGCGCCCGTCAAGCTCAACTACAAGTGCGAAGTCTGTCAAGCTTCATTCCCGCAGAATGCCATCGAAGAACGTCTCGTGGCTGACGTGCAGAAGCTTGTCCTCAAGTGGAGCGTGCAGGATCTCAAGTGTGCCAAGTGTAGCCGTTTGCGAAGCAATGAGTTCATGGAGCACTGCACGTGTGCGGGTGAGTGGGTGTGCACCAAGGATCGGAAGGAGGTGCATAGGAAGTTGGGAGTTTATGGGGGGATCGCTGGGTTTTTCGGCTTGCATATGCTGGGAGGTGTTGTGGGCGAGTGTTTGGAGGGATTTTAAGGATTGCTGTTCACAAAGCGAAGAGGTAGAAGAAGTTTGAAGTGCGGGACATGTTGTTCTGACCGTGTTTTTGTTGTGAGCGTGTTTTTTTCCTTCTGGCGTTTATATGTGGGTCTCTTCATAGGTGTGCATTTCTCTGGAGTTTTGTGATGAGTGGGATATCCCTGATAGTTGTTAGTTGGCTTCGTTGTTATAACTCGTTCTCATTTGGTTTCTGTTGTCCTGTCTTGGCTTGCAAGTATTTGTTCGGTGGCATATACTCATACACATTATGTTTTGCGTGTCTTCAACTGCCGTGAGTGGTAAACAGTGAAGTGACAGTAAACCAGCTGCACACCATTGATTTGCGAGCAGAAAGCATAACTCATTATCGAAGAATCACAGGGACAGACTAGATGATCAGAACAACAATATTATTACACAACGACATGATACCGGAGGTCGCTGAAAGTAAATAACCCCAACGGTGTGTTGTGTACCATGATTAAACTAGGCGTTGGCAGCCTATGCGACAACATGCAAAAAAAAAACAGTCCTGTACAAACGAACAGCTCTCAGATAAAAGTTCTCAATGCCCCTCGTGATCCCAGAGAAAGACAATCTCTCAACGCCTTTTCCCTATGATTATCCCATTCCCAAAGATTCCCCCACGAGCGAGCGTAACCAAGAAAGGAAAATCCAAGTCCCTCAGGCCTTCTTGACCCTCTTCCCACGATTTTCCTTCTCCGCCTCACCTCCCTCAACCACATCTCCACCATCCTTCTCCCCATTCTCCTCCTCCTCACTCACACTCACATTGCTCCCTTCAACCTCCTCCATAACCCCCCTCTTCCTTTTCCCCCCAGCCTTGACAATCCCCTCGCGCTTCCTCAGCTTCGCGCTCTTCCTCTCCACCTCGGTCACAGGCAACCCCATATCCGCGGCAATCTCCTTGATCGTCATGCCCGCTTTCCGCCCTTGAACCAGCGTCGCCTCGAGCTCCGGCGTCCAGGAGAAATCCGCCGGTAACTTGGCGAGGTCCTGGAACTGCAGGAACTTGCGCTCGCATGCGGTGGCTTGGCGGGAGAGGTACGCTGCGATTGCGGGCCAGGGGGTTGGTGGGGACTTGGCGCGTTCTTGGGACATGTAGGTGTATTCCTGACGTGTCCAGTGGGCGTAGCGGTACTGAGGTGGGGGTTCGTTTGGGGCGGGTTTGTCTTGTTTGGCGGATTTCTTTTTGGTTTTTGTGGATTTGCTGGTGGGTTTGGTGGCCGTCTTTATGGAATTTGCTTCTGAGGCGGCGGAGAATGTGGACACTGTTGGAGAAGCGGTAGTAGAGGTAGTTGAGATATCGCTCGTGTCTTGTGAGGCCTCGGCTTCTGTAGGTTGCGGCGGAGACGACGAGACTGGGGGTGATGTAGAGCTGTCTGTGGCGGAAGTGCTACGACGGCTCGGAATAGAGATCTTGACAATGAAGGTTTGGACGCCGACCGAGACGTACGTGGGGGTACTCCCCGAAGATTTCTTGGGCCGAGCGTTGCGTCGAGAAGAGCGAGCTTGAGACTTTGCCATGGCTGTAGACGGTTCGCAGGTTTGTGGGTGGTTGGTTGTAGAGAAAGATTGTGTAAAGGAAGGTTGTGCAAACTAGCCCGTGGCAGCGACTGTATGAAGAAGAGTAGAGAGTGAGCAGGTAGATTGAAGGGTTAATATATCCTGCCCTACGCGCTACACTCTGTAAACGAGCCCTCTGTCACAAACAGACGTCTATCACGCGCGCGTGGTCAGTGCATCAGGCAGCAATGTGTTCGTTTGCTGTTGAAGACAGGTGATGGGCTGGACGTAGTAACGTTGGGAGTGAAAGGCCGTTCGTATGAACATAGACTGGCCGATGGCGCGTTTGGAACTGTATGCACGCTTTTTGAACTCAGAGACTGAGCTGCTTCGAATTCGAACCCATTCATATCATGCAGTTTCCAATGTAGATCTTTTGGGCTGTATACAACGCTCCAAGTGTACGATGATACAAATACAAGTATCGACATATTGTAAATCGGAGCCAGACACTGCTGTCGCAGATATGCAAATCCATAAGAAATGCAGACACAATAGACTGTGTGACAACAGCCTGTTATCATCGTCTACAAAATCTTGCTCCTGAGAATGTATCATATGATGACAGAATGCACTATACTCCAATTGATTTTGAAGATGAAGGAGTGTGTATGGTACTGTGTACTCTATCTTAGATTACTGATATCTAATTATTCTCATTCCTTCTCATAGCAGAATAACTACAGCTCCAAGGTAAGGAGACGTTTTTCGGTAGTTCAGCCTCATAATTAAGAAGTCAATTGTTCATATACGGACACAAACAAGTGACGATCATCAGCGAAGATTGATCGAAGGTCACATGATGATTGCTGGTAAACATCTGGGCGGTAGAGAAGCAATTCCTTGACAATATACATTTTGTTATCATTCGAATATATACAATTAACAAGACACCAGCGACATAAACGCTCGAAGTCATGACATCATTCCTGATCAGACAGGATCAAAGTTCTTTATAATACCCGAAACCTCGCGGCCGCTCTAAGCGGAAGTGGGGTTCCACTCCTGGGTGTACAAGCAGCTGATGGGGTTATCAGTCTTGTAAGCCACAGCAGACACACCAGTGCAGTTGGTGTATCCGCCGGGGTTAGAGGAGCCCGCGAGCCAGAGACGCCATGCGCCGTCAATGGCGTTGGGGCATGCCTGGAGGCCGACGCCGTTGAATTCGAGCTCGTTGTTCTCGTTGAGCGCCCAGCCCTTCCTCTCGCCGTTCCTTACAACGGGCTCGGCGCCTGATGTGTAACCGACGATACCTTGACCTATTGTCTTGAGTTAGTATATTGATGCAAGAGAGGGAGGAGAATGATTAAAAACTTACCCATGCCGGATCGATCCACGAACATGGTCTGTGGGTACGCAGATGCTGCGTGAAGGTGGAGCTCAGTGTCCTCGAGGTAGAAGGTGGCATAGTTGGTGTCGCGTTCCACATCGCAGGTGGAGTTCTGGGAAGGCAGGCCAACGTAAAGACCCCTTGCGGCAGCCTGGATGGGAAGGTTCTGGATGGGCGAGCCGGAGCGGATGGTGATGAGACCGAAACGGGCGTTCTCAGGAATAGTGACGCCGGCCTGGGGCAGAGCAGAAGCAGTCATGGCTGCGGCAGAAGCAAGGAAGGCGGTAGTGAACTGCATGTTGGCGGTGTTGGGTGATGAGATTATTGATTATGGGATTTGTATGGTGAGAGGTAAGAATTGGTATTAAGAAGTATCGAAGATGATGAGCGACGATGGTGGTGATGATGAGTTGGATTCTCTATCGTTTATAAACAAATCGACTGCGTTTGCCCCCTATACTCCTTTCTTGCCCCATGTCTGTTTAGTTCCTTGTCGATGAAGCTCAAGAGGCTGGGCAATGCAACGGGATGAGCTCATGTGAGCCGCGCGAAGTAACTGGAGCAAAGGGCTACACCTCGGCCCAACGTTGTTCCTTGTTTCTGGTACGTACAAGCTGTGGCGAGTGCAACAGTACTGGGTATTGAGGCTCTGTTTCTGTGGATTTGGTGATAGAATGAACGTTGTCGTTGGACGCTTGACGTCAAAGGCCTCTGCAAAAGATGGAGATGGGCGATCGGATCGGGTTAGTGGCCGCAGTCTAAATCGCCCGAGAGCGCCCCTATTCGCTAACAACGTGGGTCGACTGCTCCCAGAATAGAAGATCGGCACCAAAAGACTATTGATCAATAAAATTGTTCTTATGCGCGCATGAATACCTCGGAACCTTCTGGAAGACCAACAACAGTAGCGTAAGTAGAGCCGTGCACGTTAACACTCTGCTTGAAGAGCGTATTCTTTTGGGCTAGTTTGCCTACTTGACCACATCAATACGAGCGATTAAATGTGCGAATGAGGCGAGTGGACAGCTCAGTGTCCACATGCTCCGAGCTATGTTGGCGAGTGTCGAGTTTGGTCCTTTGCCATAGCAACACATCATACCTGTCGACCAAGAGTCGGTGAAGCTGGCTTCTAGATCATGTACACGTCTTCCACGCTTCGTCTCCCACGAGGATGGACCCCTATTCCTGATCCAAGGCTTGCATTGCATCCTGTTGGTTACTTGCATCCAATCTAGACCAAGTCGCAATCCATTATGATTGAATGGCATGCTCCAGTACCAACGGTCGGTGAACGGATGCCGTTCTTCGGTCGTGAGAACAACGTGCTGGAACAGACCGAATAGACCATATACCCCAAGAGGTGTACAGCTGAGTGTGAAAGTCCAGCTTCATTTGTGTGCGCGGACTGTATGCAGCGGTACGACGATGATGGTAGCGAATCATCCATTGAGAGCCATGGTCGGGACTTTAACAAGCAAAGGAGTTACCGTCGAGAAGATTTTCCTTCAAGAAGGTAACCGATGGAGTATCGTAGAACACCTTACGGGAACTGCCCATTGCAGTGACGACAAAGAGTGAAGTGATTGACAGTCGGCGTCATATCGCGCATTAGAACAGTGTCGTAACCAGCACACGCAGCGAGGCTTCGAGACCTGCCGTTAATGGACCAGGAATCCTTTCTCTAGACAGCAGAGGGCTTTTAGGGGATGACGCAGGCGGCGAGTTCTGACATGTCGGCTAGTTATGACATGCATAACAGGTACGCGCTGTCTCACATCCTCGTATGGGTAACCAAAGCTAACCCATCGACCTGGTTTCATGCCAAGTCGAAAATGAAGGGATGGAAAATCTTGTAATGAAATGCCCAGATTTTATGCCGCACAGGCAAGTCAAGACGAGAGCGCTTGGGATGCAAACGAATCGCTTGCGTAACAAAAGGTTGAATGAAGTATGAACAGAACGTGTGCAGCTTTGAAGAACACTCCTTTGTGATGGTTATTATCGGAGTTTATGAGATGCCAGCATACGTACGGAGGACGAAATCATTTTCAGTAGAGTAAATGATGACGAGGCACATCTGCAATTCACATTAGTCAACATTTACCGATGAGTGCGACTGGACTTGCTGAAGAACACAATGGACGTGCCTCTGCTAGACATGATCTGAAGCAATTCGCTTATGTGCCAGCGGAAGCTGGCGGTGACAGACCGCGATGCTCTGGCTCCTCCCCGGATCCAATGCCCAATCACGGAGGATCAGCTTGTTCCTCTTGTGGGTGTATTTCCTCCAATCAATGCTCCATGTTACATACCATGAACAAAGCTTGCACGCGGACTGGGCGTTTAAAGCCGAATCTTGGGATTAGGAATCTCTGGAAGCGTAAAGGTTCGGGGATTTCAAAACAAAAAGTTGGCGATTCCTTGGCGTTCCGATACAAGCAGCGTCGCACCTTGGGCGTATGATCGTCTTCTCAAACACCATAGCAGCCACACCTCCGCGGCACACTTTACCCAATTACAGCGCCACAGCAACATTTACCCTGGACCCAACCACCTCGCTATACCGTTCAGCATTGCCATGGTGACCGCTTTCTGTTTGGCGTTTTGCAAGCCGCTTTGCTGCCCTTCTTCTTGTCTCAGGCTTGGCGAGAAGCTTAGCCAAAACGTCTCACCATGAACTGCCGCTACTGTCTCGAGTCCCGCAGTTACGACCAGAACAGCCTACCGTGACCCTCCTTCGTGGATGGACCTTCTGCGCTGCTAGCGTCCGTAACGAAGCGCCTGACGAACACGTAGAACCGCACCGCAAATGGCGAATCAGAAGCTCCCCACTGGTCAATTCCGTCGCTTGGACATTCAGAAAAGCCTTGATGCATTGCTTGCTGCCTGATCATCGCGGTGAAACCAGCGTCAACCCGTCCCTTGAACCGTGTATACCTTGTGAACTCTGGGAAGTGTGGAGGCATGGAGGTGTAGTTACATCCCGGCCGTCTTCCTGTTTTGAGTGTGGCAGGCGTTCGGGGGAATAGCAAGCATTCGCCTAGCCGCCCTCAAAGTCGAACTTACCCGTTGAGTTGGAGAGGTGAGACGGGGATTTCGTCTTGACAGAATACTTAAGTCGACTGTATCCACTCATCCAGAGAAATCATTCCACTTCAGCATCTTCATCGCTTGTCCTTCTTGCTTCTCTTCCACTCTCTTACCTTCTTTTCATTCTCTTCGTCGATTGATTCGACTGTTTTAAGCTTCTCTTCACTATCCTTTATCTGCAGCGCAGTATTGTATACTTTTTAAGTTTTATATCTTATTCATATACACTTTCATCAACCATGCATTTCTCCACAATCACCCTGGCTCTCGGTCTCCTGGCCGCTGCTCCCATCAGCGCCAGCCCAGTCTCTTCGCAAGGCTTGACAGCTAGCAACGTAAGAGTGATCCTTCTCAGCCATATACTCCCTACTAACAGTATCTCAGAACCTACACGAGGCTCGCACGGTTGAACCTGTAGCTGCTCCTGTCGAGCTTGAAGCTCGCCACCACAAGGGCCGTGGAGGCAAGAAGAACGCCAATCAAGCCAGATACGTTGTCACTGAGAGTGATGGACTGAGACTTGTTGCCCGCCACCACAAGGGAAGAGGCGGAAAGAAGAACAACAACAACGCCGCTCGCGATACTGAGCTTTCTGCTCGTGCTCCCCACCATAAGGGCCGAGGAGGTAAGAAGAACGGTAATGCCGCTCGCGATGTTGAAGAGGATGAGGATGAGGAGCACGATGCCGATCTGGCTACCCGCGCCCCTCATCACAAGGGTCGTGGAGGCAAGAAGAACGGCAATGCTGCTCGCGACGTTGAAGAGGAGCACGACGATGCCGATCTTGCCACTCGCGCCCCTCACCACAAGGGTCGTGGCGGAAAGAAGAACGGCAACGCTGCTCGCGATGTTGAAGAGGAAGAGGATCACGACGATGCCGAACTAGCTACTCGTGCACCTCACCACAAGGGACGAGGAGGCAAGAAGAATGGCAACGCCGCTCGTGATGTTGAGGAAGATGAGGATGAGGAGCATGAGGCTGAGCTGTCCACCCGCGCCCCTCACCACAAAGGCCGCGGTGGAAAGAAGAACGGAAACGCTGCCCGCGATGTCTCAGACGAGGAAGAGCACGACGACGAGGAGGACGACGAGACCGACCTCGTTGCCCGCGCTCCCCACCACAAGGGTCGCGGCGGAAAGAAGAACAACAACCAAGCCCGCGCACCTCACCACAAGGGTCGTGGTGGCAAGAAGAACGGAAACGCTGCCCGCGATGTCGAAGAGGACGAGGAGGAGGAGCACGACGCCGAGCTCTCCACCCGCGCCCCCCACCACAAAGGCCGCGGTGGAAAGAAGAACAACAACCAAGCCCGTGCCCCCCACCACAAGGGCCGCGGAGGCAAGAAGAACGGAAACTAAGTGCTGAATACTGAGAAGGGGAGCTCGCACAGCCAATCCTCTTTCTCCTTTCCCGCCGCTTTGTTAATACGCACAATTTACTGTCTGTACCTACTCTACCTATCTGTTGATACACACCCTGAATTTTCTTGCTCTTGTTCATATCATACTCCGTTTTTCCTCTTTGTTTTCTCCTTTCTGTTGTTCTGTGACAAATTGTTCATAGGTCGTGTTTTCGTTACTGTTTTTCCATATTCCCTATATCCTTGTTCATACGCAAAATCCCCAGAAAGAATATACCAGAAAATCATCAGAGGAATCGAATAAGGAGGGTGATGTGGTGGAAAGGATGCGTTGGACTGAAATAAAGCAAGTATCTATCTAAAATTTCTGGTCCGTGAGTCTAGGAAACGTACTTGGGTGGAGTGGATAAGGATGTTATCTTGTCCTGTATATAGATGGTGGTGGATCGATGGCAATGCCATCTCTTTCTCTTCATAGGAGAGACGAAATAAAATGTGTACATATATCTGCTTGAATATCTACGCGAATGTTTGGCTCAGTGAGCAGATGAAGTGAATAACCTTTTGCTCCCCTTTTTTGGCGTTGCTGTATGCGACATATGCGATTAGACGGCAAAACACAACGGCGAATCACTTTTTTTCCTGTCTATGCGAATTATGGAAACGGAAAAATTGGGTCTTTTCCACAGTTTGTCTTTTCTCTTACTCTCTCACTCTCCTTGTTATATGTAGAGACTCTTAAATGTGTGTGTGTGTGTGTGTGTGTGTGTGTGTGTGATACAACACAGTGCATACAAGACACCAGAATTGCCCTCCCATACGCAACACCTCGCTCTCGATTCCAATCATGTTTTGAATCCTTCTTGGCAGTCTCTTGGAAGAGCCTATTTGACATTCCCGTAGAACAGAATTATTTTTGGGTGTGGGTGAGTGAGTGGAGTATTTCTGTTTCCAAAGATACTGTCCTGCTTGGCGGCGATTGGCATTCCAGAAAGACTTGCCGTATGGAGCGTATATCCATTGGCGCTGACAATGCAGTGAAACACGTCTGGTCGAATTGACTGATTGTCGGTTCCTTTTCGGTTAGGTAGAGTCATGTTTTAGAACGAGCAAGGTACACGATGTATGTACACGATAGAATGACTAGAAGAAGAATAAGAGGAAACATGTGTGTGTCAAACGTTGTTTGCTATGGGCGAGTAGATGTTATTGATATTCGGCGTAATCATGTATATAAGAGAGAGAAAAGCGGGTTCGCATTGAAAAGAAGTCAGTATTTGAGTTCTTGTGTTTCAATCACCCGAATCGACTATGAATGTTGATGCTTCGCCTTTGCAAATACACTATTGCCGTATTGCGGGCGCACGAAGCGCAGCACGCCGGATTTAGACGTGCTGGCTTGTATATACCGTTCGCTGTTCTGAATCTGGGCGATTCGAAGCTCTCTCCATCCCCATATGTTGAGGGAAGATGATGACTCACGTCTTTCGCAGAGCAACTGTCAGTGAAGAAACGTCCCAACAAAGAAGGGGCGTACGCATGGCACACAAACCACGAAGCGGGAATCTCAGTCTCCTCCCAGCACCTTGTACAGCTCGTCCATGATGGAGCCCAGAGGAGTGGCGCGATCTACATCTACAAATCAATCAATCAACCGCCTCATGATGCACGTCAATGTTTCAACCCGTCATACTCTGATCCACGTCTTGTTCCGGCAGCTCGGGCTCGAGAGTAGTCGGCTGGCCGAGCCGGCGCAGGGATGCCCTAAGCTTCTCGATGCGGGCCTCGAGGTGTGCTATCTCGTCTTCCTGATCCTCGCAGGTACGGTCGATGCCGGGGAGAGCCATGACGGCCTTCTGAGCGCGCTGCAGCTTGAGTTTGACTTCGGCTGTAGCGGAGGCTACCTGTTCAATCTCGAGGGGCCCGTCGGCGGGCGGCTGGCTCGGCGTGGGGGTTGGAGCGGTGCCGGTGGCAGGCGGGGGTTGCGAAGAGGCTTGAAGTAGGCGACTGAGAATCTTGTGGAGGTCGGGGAGCACATCAAAGGTAGACGGAGGCGGTAGATCCGGGGTAGATGGTTGTGGGGGGAGTGCTGGCGTCACGGGGCCTGTAGCAGGAAACGAAGCTGCTGCCGACATAGACGCGTGAGGTGTTGGAGCGGCCGACATTGTCGGTGCAGTAGCAATGGAATAGGATAGTACCTATGTATGGATCGACTCTAGATGGAGGTAGGTTTTCAAACGTGGTGGAGCGCGCGTGCGTCGATCCCGATTACTGTGTTCCCATGCACGACCAGGACGCGACTGCTGCTGACGGGTGGCTGCAGGCTGGCGGTGGCGGGTGCGCCCGAGTAGGAACCAATTGGAGGGAAACTGTCGCGGAGTATGGAAAGGTTGATGCAATCGAACAATGGCAGTTTGAGGGTAGACTGTCTAAGTATCTATCAGAAGTGGGGGGGTGGGCGCAAATGGGATGGATGTTATTGGTGTTGCTGTGGTTTTGCTTTTTGGTGAGAGACCACCAGCTCAACGCGCGGGGGGGCTGCGCTCTTATAAGCAGTCAAAGTGCCCCGCCATGATTTGTCTGCCCCTCCATTCACCACCAAAAAAACATCACCGGCATCGTCCACTCCCCAACATCGCCCATTGGCCCCGTACAATGGCAAAAGTCGAGCAGAAGACTGTCCTCATCGTTATCGACGGATGGGGCGTCGCCACCGAGAAGTCGCGCAAAGATGGTGATGCCATTCTCGCCGCTGACACTCCCACCATGGACGACTTCGCCAAGGAGAACTCCAAGACTGCCCAAGGATATACAGAACTCGAGGCTTCTTCTCTCGCCGTCGGTCTTCCCGAGGGTCTCATGGGCAACAGTGAGGTCGGCCACTTGAACATTGGCGCTGGTCGAGTCGTGTGGCAGGATGTCGTCCGCATCGACCAGACCATTAAGAACGGCGAGCTCAACAAAGTCAAGAACATCCAGGAATCTTTCCAGCGCGCAAAGAACGGCAACGGCAGGCTCCATCTCCTTGGTCTGGTATCCGACGGTGGAGTTCATTCGCACATCAACCATCTCGTGGCTATGCTCAAGGTTGCCAAAGAGATCGGCGTTCCTGAAGTCTTCATCCACTTCTTCGGTGATGGCCGAGATACCGACCCCAAGTCCGCTGCCGGCTACATGGAGCAGCTCCTCAAGCACACAAAGGAGATTGGTCTCGGTGAAGTCGCTACCATCGTGGGTCGGTACTACATCATGGACCGTGACAAGAGGTGGGACCGCGTTGAGATTGGAATGAAGGGTATTGTCTCCGGCGAGGGCACCGAAAGTGACGATCCAGTCGCTGCTATCAAGGCCAAATACGAGGCAGGTGAGAACGACGAGTTTATCAAGCCCATTATTGTGGGAGGAAAGGAGCGAAGAGTGCAAGGTAAGCAAACTTATCCTTCCCTAGAGTACCTGCATGACCACGTGCTGATTGGACCAGATGGTGACACCTTGTTCTTCTTCAACTACCGTTCCGATCGCGTTCGTGAAGTCACCCAATTGATGGGTGACTTTGACCGTTCCCCTAAGCCCGACTTCCCCTACCCCAAGGACATTCACGTCACCACCATGACCCAGTACAATGTCAAGTATAATTTCCCCGTCGCTTTCCCGCCACAGAAGATGGACGACGTGCTCGCAGAGTGGCTAGCAAAGCAAGGTGTAAAGCAGTGCCATGTTGCTGAGACAGAGAAGTATGCTCACGTCACTTTCTTCTTCAACGGTGGTGTTGAGAAGCAGTTCGATAACGAGGAGCGTGATATGATCCCATCGCCAAAGGTCGCTACCTATGACCACGAGCCTAAGATGAGTGCCATGGCAGTGGCGGACAAGATGGTGGAGAGGATCAAGGAGGGCAAATTTGAGTTCATCATGAACAACTTTGCGCCACCAGACATGGTTGGCCACACAGGTGTCTACGAGGCGGCGATTGTGGGTTGCACTGAAACCGATGCGGCAATCAAGAAGATATACGATCAGTGCAAGGAGAGCGGATACGCTCTGTTCATCACTGCTGACCACGGGTAAGTTCTTCTGGTATCAATCGTCTGGCAGCATGTACTAACAATGCCTACAGCAACGCCGAGGAGATGTTGAACGAGGAGGGCAAGCCCAAGACGTCTCACACGACGAACAAAGTTCCGTTCGTCATGGCTAGCGCCCCCGAGGGTCTTAGTCTGCAGAAGAAGGACGGTGTTTTAGGAGATGTTGCGCCTACGCTCCTGGACATCATGGGGCTGCCCAAGCCAGAAGATATGGACGGCAAGTCTCTACTCCTCAGGAAATAGTGGTTTTGAATGAAATATATGAATTGGTCGCTGTGGGAGGCCCTGATTGATGGATTGGTCCGATTTTTTTGCAAAATTTTGATGAAGGTATATATATAATGATGGGAGCGTAAGTAATAGATGGCAGGTTTGATAGATCAATGCTAGACCATCATCCGACGATAGTCTCATCCGACATTGTGCAACATTGGAACATCAAAATCAAAAGCACGTGCAGATACACATGCATCAGTCGACATGGACTTGAGTACACAATAAAAATGTTGACGATGAGTGACCCAATCATGTTCAATAGGAAGGCTGCCAGAGGCCGGTGAAGCTTGGCTGCTACAGGGGTTCCTTCAGCTCATCTACTAACCCCACCATCCTTCCTCATGTCAGCCTTCAGGGTCAACGCCGCGGCCAAGTCAAGTCCTCCAGACATCCGACAAACCCCAAACTACGCGCCACCAGTCGCTCGTCCAGCTCACATTTCAGACATATATCATATCGTCTGCCCTGTTGAATATTGCATTCAGTCGCTCTGCGAGTTTGCTTAGTCGAAGCCCGGAACAACATACCCCTCCACGCGCCCGGCACTCGCTCCGATACCATCTATACCACCTCCCACCCTTCGAGCCTGCATACAACATCGATCCCATTCCGGCGCCTAGCTCCGTGTACCATATCGATAAAAATTATTCCGTTGACATTCTTTTGTGGAATTACAGAACATGGCCTCCAACGGTGGTTCAGGCGCGCATACGCCGCAACCTCAAGCTCAGGTCCAGCCGTGCAGATATAAGACAGGAAAGACCCTCGGTGCAGGCAGTTACTCTGTGGTCAAAGAGTGTGTACACATCGATACAGGCCGATACTATGCCGCAAAAGTCATCAATAAACGCCTAATGGCTGGTCGAGAGCACATGGTAAGATCCGAAGCGCGGACTTTCGCCCACGGCTCGCTATAATTCAGTATTCATGTCCGAGTGCTAATGTTGTTACAGGTCAGGAATGAGATTTCAGTACTGAAGCGCGTATCTATGGGTCACAGGAACATTCTTACTTTGGTTGATTACTTTGAAACGATGAACAATCGTACGTTGCTCCACAGCGAGTAACACATCATACCCCGATGCTAAACTCAACTGCAGTTTACCTTGTCACTGACTTGGCCCTCGGTGGGGAATTGTTTGACCGAATCTGTCGCAAAGGCAACTATTATGAATCAGATGCCGCAGATCTCATTCGAGCCACTCTATCTGCCGTCGCCTATCTACATGACCACGGCATCGTACATCGGGATCTGAAACCCGAGAATCTGCTCTTCAGAACACCTGAGGATAACGCTGATCTTCTGATTGCTGATTTCGGCCTTTCTCGGATCATGGATGAAGAGCAGTTTCACGTGCTAACGACTACATGCGGAACCCCTGGTTATATGGCACCTGAGATTTTCAGGAAGACTGGCCATGGGAAGCCAGTGTAAGATTTGCGCACAGCTTTCTGGTGGAGTCTTACTGACTATGAATAGTGATATCTGGGCAATCGGTGTCATAACATACTTCCTTCTTTGCGGCTATACTCCCTTTGATCGCGACTCCAATCTCGAGGAAATGCAGGCTATTCTAGTTGCCGACTACTCTTTCACCCCTCTCGAGTACTGGCGCGGCGTATCTCAGACAGCGCGCGAGTTTATCCGACGATGCTTAACTGTGGACCCAGCAGCACGTATGACGTCCCATGAAGCTCTGTCACATCCTTGGATTGCGGACCTCGGGAAATCAGACGCAGAAGGCGAAGAAGATCTACTACCAACCGTCAAGAAGAACTTCAATGCCAGGCGCACTTTGCACGCTGCCATCGATACGATCCGTGCCATAAACCAACTTAGGGCAGGCGGTGCAGCAGGGATGATGGATGGTGTCAAGTCGAGTGAACCAAGGCGAGGTGCGCCTCCTGTCAATATTCCACAGCCAGCCGAGGAAGAAGATCCCATGGAAATCGATAGTCGAGGAAATGGACACGGCCAGACTGACGAGATGATCAAAGAACAAGAACGAAGAATCCACGAAACGCAGCAAGGGCTGTGGAACAAGCGTTAAATGGCATGTTCTGTATATCAAGAAAAAAGATACATGCTTCTGGAAGCTATTGAATCTTTATTTGATGAAACAATACGATGTAAGGTTGGATGGACGAAATGTGTCTCCAGAGCGGAAAGTCTCTTTCGTCCCTCACTTCTTTCTATTCATGTAGCCTCGTTTTTCGCATGAGAAATATAGAGATTATTATCCACCACTTGCTTGCAGCCATGACGATAGAAATGTCGACCTGTGTGAAAACCAATCTGTTATTTGTTCAACATACCATCTTTGAGCGTCTTAGGGGATTGATGACTGTTCACCTCGAGACCCAGCTGGACTCGAAATATTGGATGTAGCATGCCCACTACAGAACAAGATGAATCTCATCATTGTTTATGCGTGAAGACAGTGGTCCCTGGCTCCAGTGTGAATTCACAACGTGCCAATGACAACTGAAGGCGCGTTCACTATGTCCCTTCACTTGATACTCACAATGTGTCTTATTTACACGCACAATACACGAATGAATGGTATTTAAACTCCCCCAACTCTTGCGCTCCCAGATCTTTCTCTCCTCACCACATTCCAAAAACAACCACCGACCACAACCTACCTCACTTTCAAACGAAAAATCGCACAACTCTCATCAAAATGTCTACCACTGACACACAATACCCTACCCTTGACTACCCTGGTCTTCTCGCAAAGACCAAGGCAATATACACCTCATACGACACCGTTCACTCCCTATACGCTACTTTCTACCTGATCGAGCGTAACGATGTGGTGAACACCATGACCCTGATCGAGCTCTATGGGATGCAAGGGCGTCTCAACGGCCTCATCACCTCCATCGAAGCCGAGCTCAATAACTTGTTCGCCCTCATCGACGATATGGAGCACACGCACTCGCAGGTATACTACGCTCTGCTCGTGCGCCGCGGCACCAACTGCGATGTTGAAACTTCTCGTGGAAAAGTTGCAGGCTGGTTCAACCAGTGGCGTGGATGGTGGGCTGAACTGGAGGGTATGATCAACCTGCAGCCCATGAAAGATCAGGTTGAGCGCCATGTTGAGCAGCAGAGCTGGATGATCAATGAGGGCGGGTGGGATGAAGATGATTAGATTGTCTTCTTCTTTCCTTATTGAAAAAATGGGGTGTTGCGATACACCTTGATACACTTTGGGTCGAAAATTCGGAGTTTTGATATTTGGAGTTCGGATCATGGGAACGGTCTGATATAAAAACATATATGGACCCACACCACCGAGAATATAGGTGGGTGGGGATGAAGTATGGATACGGATAATGTATGAAATGAATTGTTTCTTTAACAAAAATATGATTTTCTTGTATATAATGAACGTGATGGTGAATGATATACCACTGAAAACGAAAGCTTTAAGACACGCCGCTCTCTCCAGCTCTAGCATTCATTGACACCCCTGGGTGGGAGGGAAGCATGGAGATAAAAGCCAGAACGTAAGCTCATCGATGTTTATGGTTTGCCGGTGGCAATTAAGTTTTCTGGCAATTGACGGAGCAATTAGTGTGCAGAGATGTCTGAGACATTTGTATAATTGAGTAGGTGCTCTCCCTCTTATAATTCTGATTCTTACAGCCAGTACAACCATCTGGGGTAGTATCTACATTTAAAAAGCATTCAATTTCTTACTTTACACGACTTGTATCACTGCTTCATCTTTTGATAATGTTCGAGTTTATATAAACCAGGCCCATGCCATAATCCTATACAAAAACGAACACGAAAAAATGCATACAACAAGTGAGCATCGGAATTGTATTTGGGGGTACTCCTGCTCTTGCAACACTTGAATCAAGCATTGTGTGATTATGACCTCACTCAGTGAATGTGGTTACATTGTTTTTTATTTATTCTGAGTTGGAGTTTAGGTGATCATACACACAGCGATGGATTACAACGATAAATAGGCCAAAAAAAACGAGCGATAACCAAAAAAACATGGTCACATTGTATCTGTACAATGTCTACACAAGGTAGAGATCGCGCACAACATGAGGCCTATTCACTTACTTAAAGGTACTTCCCGGTTGACAAATATGGAAATCAGATAATTCACCACCTACTTGATCACACAATAAGCGTACAACAAAGCTCAACCCCAAAATCTCAACCTCAACAAAAAAACGATACCTCTACATAAAGAATGTCCTGCCCAGAAGAGGTAGCCAAAATCACTCATGGAGATGCAGCCAATGACTTGGCCCACCAAACCATCGACGAGATCCTCGAAAAAGGCAAATCTTACATGGACCGTTTCGAGAAGTTCTCCAAGGACTTCGATTCTCTGCAATCCACACTAACCAGAGATGATCTGACCCACGTCGAGCTCGACGCCACCGCCATCGAGATGAACAACCTTATCGATGGAAATGCGCCGTTGCTGCAGGAGTTCAGGGAATATACGGATCTTCTCATGGGAAAACCCATCTCATTCTACGGGAATCTCCTGTGGAGATCAGGGGCTGTACGAACCGAGGAACAAGCCAACGATTGGGCTACCCTCTGGTACGAGAACAACTTGAAGGAGTATGATGCTCAGCTGCGTGAGGTACCCGAGGTAGATGATCTGCGGCAGCGCGTGAATGGTTACGTGGATACAGAACACACGACTATCGATGTAAGGGATAAACTGCAGGAGCTGCTGAAATTCTTCGATGAACATGGGATAACTGAAGAGCAGCAGGAGATGCTGATGGACATCATGAGAGACGAGAGCGACGATGAGACGATGTCTGAAGAGCCTGATGACCTGGAGTCATCTGACTGAATAGACTTCGAATAGGTCTCTGGATTCTTTCGTTGACGGGTGGACTCTCGCTAAGTATCTTCGCGCTGCCGAACATCAAAAATACAGGACTCATCTTGATAGTCTCCGTGGCATAGTTTCGCTCAGTCATGTATGAAATTAGACGTTTGAAAAGTTACCCTCTGACTTAAATGTACCTTTCATGTGAATAGAAGTGTTGCATTCGTGACTGTATTTGATGTGAGAAACTTGCATAACGCGTGCTTTCACCATTTAGCTGCCTTCTCTGATTGTGAATTTATTTCCAAACCTTCCCTCAGACCGACACCCTGGCAGTATATCACGAACATCGCACCCCCTCCACTGCCAGACCAATCAAGCACCTAAAATTGACCCAACATATGTGGCACAAATAAGTTCTCTTTCAAGGCCCGTATAACAGTGCCGTCTTTGCAGAAAGGCAACAACAGGTACAGCAACTGCAAAAACACAACACATGACAGCGCGATACAAGCCTCCCCTGATTGTCTTGTCAGCAAAATGAGCTTTCACAATGATTATTGTGTGCGTAGACCATGGTGGTTTAACAGAGTGTTCTGTAATTGTGTAATCACAACACCAACCGGGTAGGCTGTATGAAAGATGTTCACTTACTGAAAATTAATGAAACCTATCAAGAATAGAAACAAAATCACAAAGTACCAGAAACCAGAATTGCCGAGCACTATGAGCTGCAACAACGAGCAATCATCTGGCACAGGGGGCAACGCCCTACAAAACTTTTCTTTCACCGTGCTCACGGAGATCACAACGCGACTCAGGCAACTGAACCAGCGTCTCCGTGAGCACGAGAGAACACACGGCGCACTGCTAACGACAGTGCAAACAATGGCCACCGTTCCAGCGCTGGGCGCTGTGGAGATCCAGCTTAACCTCCAGCTGACCCAGATCCAGACTGCGGTGACGGAATTCCGCAGTCTCATGGACCGCCTGCCACGCGACAACAATTTCCTGATCGCGCTCGTGCAAACTACACCTGAATCAGGTGTGATGAGTTACGAGCAAGCCAGAGCTCGAGTGCTCGCCGATCGGAAGGAGTTCGAGGAGTGGCAGGTGTGGATAGATCTGGAGCTGGAGGAAACCCAGCTGCGGGATACTCTGGAAAGCTGTTTAGAAGAACAGCGTGAGAAAATCCAGAGTGGCGGTGGTCTTTGAGGAGTCATAGAAGTTTTTGCTTTTAATGCGAATGTTTTGTTTTTATATATTGTGTCGTCGTTGCAATTGGAGAGAGATTTATCTAATTCGTGATGTTTGTCAGTAAAAAATATTCTCTTCTCATGCCCAGGAATGAACATAAACAGCCTATCCACAGATCCGAGGATAAGTAAGAGACTCACTTTGCTACTATGACTGAACCAAGATGGACATCAGAGATCAAGAAGCGAACAGCAAATCGAAACTCCTGATGGGCTGTCTATCTGAACGACAGCACAGAAACTGCAATGCAGTCAAAGCAAGGAGTGAATATGTTTATACGAAAAAACAAGATATGACATATAAGTCACCAGCAATGAAGATGATATATAGGGCTGAACAGTTCGAAGAATGATGAAGTCAATACATGTATCTTTTGGCGCGTTCATGCTCGGTTTTTATACACGAGAGCGCGGGGTTGATACACCAGTGTATTGGTGGTTTGGTGTTTGACAATCTGAGACAAGGTTCACCGGTACAGATGGAAGACACAAAAAGCAATCAATGAATAATCCAGTGCTGATTGGAGCGATCTGAGACGTGTTGTTTGCCTAATCGCAATTTGCTTCCACCGGTTGCATGTCGAAACACGACACGACCAGGGTCAAACACACTGCATCAGAATACGATCGAATTTTCGCGCTTTTACACTAATCCTCAACCTTTCTTTGCTCTACATGTTACACTCTGCGCCCTAGGTTCTGACTGCTTGTGCAATTACGAACAGGACTGTTAATATAAATACTAGTAGCAACCAACCCTCGGTATTTTCCGTCAACGAGCGATTAGTTTGCCATCTCTAGATGTTCTCTGCAAATTTGTCGGATTGAGACCGGACAAGCAACATTCTTAAGTCCTAAAACTGTGACCGCTTCCCCGTGAGAGCGAATTGGTACATAGCCCAATAGCTCATTTTCACACTCAATGCCAATCATTTGGGCAACTTCCTGCCACTCCGCAACTACCCTTTTGTCCAGTGTTAAACCCCAAGTCGCCCGCCAGGTGATTTTAGCCCAGCGGAAACCCTTCTCGTATCTGAACACGGCAGCGTAGCCTTTTCTTCCATTCCAAATTTGCATGGTCTGAAGTTTAGGCATGCTCTTCGCTACCTGTGCCGCTTCCACAATTGTGTCGTTGATATGTTTTGGATGGTTATCTGGCCAAAGGGCCTGCGAAGTAAGGGTCAACGTGAGAAGTTGTTCCCACACCCAGTTTGGTTTGCACACTTTCCAAAATTGACATGCGTCCACTATGAAAGCCGCAGATAGATGGTGGAGAGCGAGGCTTGCCTCTGCTAATCCTCTCGTCAATGGTGTGCTTGTGATTCGATCTTGCCTGGGATTCGGAGAAGCGTTGGGCCCAGGAATGATGTAGGACTCGTTGAAGTCCTCGAATATAGTCAACCGTTTCAGTTGATCGGGCATAATAGACTTCAGGGGTTTGAAAAACGTTACCGCACCGTCTGCAGAGTACAGTAAGCAGGAAGAATGGTGTTGGTTGTGATTTGTAGCAATGATACAATCACTTACATTTGTCTATTACTGGCTGTGCCTTTATTATATTTTCCCTCCAGGGCTCAATCCATAGCTCTTCTAGATTTGGAAATTGAGCAACTAGTTGACGGAGAGAATGAGACCCCCATTGTCTTCGTGTTTGCCGTCGCAAAAGTAGATGGGTAACGCAAGAAGCTTGGGGCACAGTGTTCCAGAATTTTTCCCCTCCATTTGAAGAAGATTCAGTGGAGTCGCAGTCTGGAAAATATGTAGGAGCGAAGAGCTTCGTCAGAGCTTGGGAGGACATATCAGCGTCGCCGTGTGACCTTGACTGCATGGGTTCTTCTTCAAGCGTGCTGGAAGGTTCAAAACGTATGTATTTGAATCGTTCCGAGTCGGAGGGTGAATAGATGCTTATATCAAGAGTCATACCACCGTCATGAGGAAGTACGCTGAGGAAGCGCAACAGGGCGCGGATTCCTTCCTCAGCTATGGCTTGTGCGGCTTGGTATTCTTTTTGACATTCAGCGTCGAACTCATCAAGTCCCCGAATAAAATCGTCTAAGTCTCCTTCATATATTGCGATATTCCCGGGAAATTCATAATTGCAAGTAGGAAGCTCGATCGAATACCAGATATAGTTAATCAAGCCAAGGTTTCGGGTTCGTTTTGCTATCATGTTGGTTATCGTAGGGATGTCTTGAACCTTGAGATTAAGCGAACAGAAATTGTGCTGTTCAACCGCGTGTTGCCACTCTTTGCATACTAAAGCGTACGGCGCTAACTTTGTATGACTCTTGACCAGGGCTTTCAAAATCATGGCTCTAATCTCCGGAGGTAAGGATTTCCACATCATGGCGATGTTCAGGGCGGACAAAGAAGGCAGCGAAGGGGAGGGAGTAAGGTGGTTTTGTAGCAAATAGATCAATTTTCAAGTATTCCCATCAGAATTCGAGTGAAACCAATCAGTCTCACACATTTGATATCGGAAACTCATAGGCATCACTGCTCAACAGATCGACCAATCACATCAGCACCAGCGAGTACCACCAATGGGCGCTCGCGAATGACCAACCACCAAGACAACATGCGGTACCAGCGACCAAGTTATCTCACTGTAACAGTCTATCAGAGTGTTTGGATTCTCCATGTGTTAACAGTCGCTCATAGTTTCGTTGGCAGGCTGACCGTGGTGACGTATCCCGATACTTGGTTAGGGCGGGCCCACTGTAGGAGCAGCGATCAACACCCAATTAAGGCTTTACTTTATGTCTCGATCCTATTAAGATTCCTTTAAAACCATGTTAAGATACGATTTGACAGGATATCAAAATAGAAAAAGTAGTTGATGCTCTATATTCGGGTGGGCCCTCCCCGTGTGGTTGATGTGCTTGACTAACTTTGATGTTGAATGCAGCACACCTCCCGCGCGACATCTGCATTTCTGATCTTGAGGTTTCACACCACACCATCCCGAGAGTTCAAACTCACGCCGTTCCCCTCGAGGGCCCTAAAAGGTTCTATCTCATGATGTTTCCTGGAGGGGTTCCACACCATAGACTACGAGAGGTCCAACTCGACACACCATTCGACTCACACCCTCACACTCAAACTCTTCGTCTACTCACCATGGTCCAATAAGACGAGACCAGAAATTCATCCATCACATAACCACTTGAAACTTCAGAAGCTCAACACATTCAGCTCATCATCCCCCCGTTCCCCGCGGAAGGGGTTCCAAATCATGTCGTCCTTGGGAGCATTTCAGCTCCATTCAAACCTCCCAGGGGTGGGCGTTCTGAATCATGTCGTCCTTCGGAAAAGTCCAGTACCCCCTCGCCCCTTTGGAAGATGTTCCACATCATGTCGTCTTTGAGAGTCGACGCTATCGTCCCTGGAGGGGTTCCAAATCATGTTGCCCTCGAGAGGTTTCTAGCTCGCCAACCTCATGAGAGGAGATGAGGTTGGGGGAAGAAGGCAGTTCAAATCCAGTGGCGCGTTTCTTATTAGGTTTTCGGTGTACCCATGTACGTATTCGTGGTGGACAGGTCGGATTGATTCAGAGTTGGACATGTCGGATATAATACACATGTGTTGGCGTCTCTCAAAACAGAAGTAGTTGTACAATTATTCCGAGCCAAGAGGAATTCAGAGAAACTCCAATTTGATTGAGGCATTCGCAAATCGTTGAGACATTCACGTTATCTATCGTAAGACTCGATGGAAGAAGTCTTGGAACACGACATTGAAAGCTATGATGAATTGTTATATGGATGAAGAATATGTTGATTTGCTCCCCTATTGGAGTATTGACGCAATCTTATGTGAGAAGTGAAAAGAATACCTGCTAAAGACGGGAATTGTGCCAAATGTTCCACAGACTAGCGTATGAGAGATCCTCCCACTTGCCAGTCTGAAGCAAGGAAGGCAACTATAAATATCTCCATGAACCGACGTTATGATCCAGACGTGGGAGCTGGGCAAGAGCAGTCTCGATCGCAGCATCAAAAGGTGTTATTGTTGGATCTTGAGCTGGGGGTGTATAAGGTCTAGGGGGAGGCTGCAAGCTCTGCCTCCTGTATGCAAGGGTGTGAAGAGTCAAGCGTAGCAACCTGTTAGCATCGTAAGTGTCGCATTGCGAGCGGTGCCAATTAAGATACCTATCCCAAGTGATCCGAATCATTCTATAAGCCTCCTCATTGGTCATATTGTTATGAGTGCAGCTCATAATTAGATTGTGAATGGCGCGTAGATCAACTTCCCTCATGCGAAACACCATCCTCCTAAGGAGATTATACGATATCTCGATCTGATCACAAACGATGGCGGTGGCGGCTTCTGCATCGGTTATGGTTTGAGCTGAATGAATGGCAAGGACAGCATCGCGACGTGCATTCTCTGCGTTGTCAAATTGATTTATGATGCTGTCCAGGTCCTTAATCAAAGTGAACACAAGTTCTCGGGTGAAGGAATCAAGGCTGTCGAAGATGTTATGTTCACGGATTTCCTTGTAACAAGCCATTTTCGAGTACTAGAGTTAGTTAAGTTTGTAGTTGATTTGCAATTTGACGTGAAGCAAGAGTTTGCTATGAGTATATGTGCTATGCTTTGATCTGAGGAATTTGACTGATAGATCGATTGTACATTTGTATATAGACACTATAAATGGTCCCTGGGCATACATGGCGCATTAGAAGAAAACGTAGCACCTGCGTTGAGGTGTGTAGTTACAATGAGTGCACATTGTTAGTCGTGTCGTGCGGTCCACTCTCGTTTTTGGATCAGAGGAGAACGAATATGTCGGGAGTGTTTGGCCGTCTCCAAATCGAAAGCTGAGCATGTAAGATTGCCATTTACAGTGAGCGCATACGTGCACGATGCTCACATCCGCGCCGAAGAGCGTGTAGCGGGTGCTGACAATTCCATGAGGTGAGCTTCATTTCGTAATGGAATTGGATATATAACGTGACTGCGTAACGACATTGTACAACTGAGGAAAACAACGTAACCACCCTGGTTCTTCAAGGGTGTCTGATAAATCGCAAAAGGCAGAAGCGTACAAGTTTGCCTCTGTACGTACATGGGAAAAAAGGTGGGTCGGTGTTCCCTGTAGACGTCTCTCGGTATGAAAGATTAAGAAGGTGGTACAAGGGGCACATGGGGGCGAATGTCGATCCTAGAAAACTCGCCTAGACACCCTTGTGTGCTAGCCCCTTTTGTGGATGCAAATGTATAGCCTAGCCGGAATAATACACCTCTCCTCAACCCCGAGGCCACTCAATCCGAATTTGTAAACCTCTCCAATCGGGACAAATGACCCATGTCAGGAAAAGTTTGAATCCCCGAGCCGTAATTACAGAATATGCAGGTAGAGTATTGAGAAGGCAATCTGACATGTTGAGATAAGGTGATGGGCACTCAGGCTGTCCAGTCCTTCTCTGAAACACATCGTTGGAATCAAAAAAAGACAAGCGGATCGGCCTGTAGCTCACTTAGTCCGGGTAGAGAGTCGTGAATGACTGTGCAAAAAGCGTTGTGGTTGGCCGGCTCCTCATCTTGATTGTCCGTGAGAGGCGTCAGCCGGACCTTCCTGACTAAGCTTTTTGCCTCAGGACTCAAGTGTCGTATGAAATCCAAAACTGGCAGATAATTGAAGGCGTAGAAGTGGAATAGATTTTCCGAGTAGAGAATCGACAGGCATTCGTTGTAGATGAGACGATTTGTTTGCAGGATGTCGAGGCTCAACGTGTCTGGGTGTGGGCGGCACTTGCGATTCCACTTCTTGCTGATGGCGGTGGATTCGCAGTCGGTATACAGCAGAAACCTCCTTGTTGAGGATGGCAAGACATATCTGAAGATTTCGCGGCGGATTTCCGAGGGTATGCGGAGTAAAGGCGGATAGTTGTCCAACGCGGTGATGGTTTCGGGGATAGACATCTGTTTCACGATGGATTCCTTGGAGCCCCCTCTCCTGCTCAGATAAATGTCGCTCGAGGCTGATTTTGTAGGTACGGGAGCCAGCTATCGCGAGACTCGATTAGGTCACCTCACCACCTAGTTGAATGAACAAAACATTGGCGTACCTTTTTGGATGCTGTCTTAGCCGGCATATCTAAAATAAGGGTGATACAAGAACAGAAAAAGCAGAGTGAGAATACAGCGAGGAAACAGAGCTAAATAACAATCCCCGAGAGTCGAAGCCTAGAGCGGCAGGCCAGGTCACGAGACTTGTCGGGGATTGACCTTGTGGGAGGTGACGAAGAGAAGTAAGTCTAGAAGAGCTGGTGAAGCGCTAGAAGAGTGCGACAAGAGCAGTCAAGGAATGTGAGATCTAATCGAAGGGGGGATCTTATGCAGAGAAGTGGCGGTGGAAGACTGGAAGGGTTGCACAACCGCATGGGTTACTAAATGCTCTCAGAGGGACGAGGGATACCAGCTGGGGCCCGTGCGCAGCTGCGGAACGGAATCACTGTTCGGAGGGGGCCCGTGCCCGGCGGCTCAAAATTATGTGAGCGCGTTCAGGCGCCTGGTAGTGGGGAGGCATACACGAGAGAGAAAGCTTCTACCCGTCGACAACAGCCCGCATACCTTGGTTCCCCCGGTTTCCTGGTACCATTGTCTTGTTTTTGCAAGTCTGACTCCGCCTCCGTTCTGTTCTTGCTTGTACATAAACTGCCACCATGTCATTCGGCGGACAAACACCGACGATAGTCGTGCTGCGAGAGGGTAGGTACATCTCTCGAGCTTGATTCCAGCATGGCGCAAAAGGTGCAGAGCTGACTTGACTTGTAGGCACCGACCAGTCTCAAGGTCGAGGACAAATAATATCCAACATCAATGCCTGCCTCGCTGTCCAGTCAACAATAAAGGGAACTCTGGGCCCGTACGGTGGTGACTTGCTCATGGTGGACGAGAACCAACGGCAGACAATCACCAATGATGGCGCGACCGTCATGAAAGTATGCCATCCTCGCCGTTTCAATATGCAATGGAACAGACTGCTAATCGTTGCAGCTGCTCGACATCGTTCACCCCGCTGCCCGCATCCTTACCGACATTGCCCGCTCGCAAGACGCCGAAGTAGGAGATGGAACAACATCGGTCGTTGTGCTCGCGGGAGAGATACTGAAGGAGATCAAGGACTATGTGGAACAGGGCGTCAGTAGCCAGACCATTATGAAGGGTCTGCGGAGAGCTTCCAACCTCGCCGTGAACAAGGTCATGGAGATTGCAGTGGATACTGCCGAGGGAAACCAGCGCGAGACGTTGCAGAAGCTTGCTGCCACCGCTATGAGCAGCAAACTCATCCACCGGAATTCGGACTTCTTCACAAAAATGGTCGTGGACGCTGTTTTGTCGCTGGACCAGGACGATTTGAATGAGAAGCTCATTGGCGTCAAAAAAATCACTGGTGGTGCTCTTCAAGATTCGCTTTTCGTTAACGGTGTCGCTTTCAAGAAGACTTTCTCCTACGCAGGTTTTGAACAACAGCCCAAGACCTTCGACAACCCCAAGATTGTGTGTTTGAATGTGGAATTGGAGCTCAAGAGCGAGAAGGACAACGCCGAGGTTCGAGTGGAGCAGGTATCTGAATACCAAGCCATCGTGGATGCGGAATGGCAGATTATCTTCAACAAGATGGAAGCCTTGTACAAGACAGGTGCTCAGGTTGTTCTGAGCAAGCTACCCATCGGCGATTTGGCGACACAATACTTCGCCGACCGAAACGTATTCTGTGCTGGCCGAGTGGCCTCGGATGATTTGGAACGTGTGTGCCGGGCAACAGGCGCGAGCGTGCAGTCCACCTGCTCCGACATTCAGCCCAAGCATCTCGGTACCTGCGAGAAGTTTGAGGAGCGCCAAATTGGTGGTGAGCGATTCAACTTCTTCGAGGGTTGCCCAGAGGCCAAGACATGCACTCTCGTGCTCCGTGGAGGTGCCGAACAGTTCATTGCCGAGGTGGAGAGAAGTCTCCACGATGCCATCATGATCGTCAAGCGTGCGATCAAGAACAAGAACATCGTTGCAGGCGGTGGCGCCTGTGAAATGGAAGTCTCCGCCTACCTCCATGCGTATGCTGACAAGGACGTGCGAAACAAGCAACAGCCCATCATCAAAGCATTCGCCAAAGCGCTGGAAGTGATACCCAGGCAATTGTGCGATAACGCGGGTATCGATGCGACCGACATCCTCAACCGTCTCCGTGTAGAGCACAAGAGGGGCAACATCTGGGCCGGTGTAGATTTCGTGAATGATGGCATCGCGAACAACATGGAGAGGTTTGTCTGGGAGCCTAGCTTGGTCAAGGTCAACGCTCTGCAAGCAGCCACTGAGGCCGCCTGTTTGATCTTGAGCGTGGATGAGACGATAAGTACGACTCCCCTTCATTTGATGACTCTCCGCCAGAACACATAGCTAACAGCAATACAGAGAACCAAGAATCGGCTGCTCCCCAGGCACCGAACCAAGCCCTACCCCCAGGCGCAGCACAGAGGGCGCTAGGAATGAGGGGTCGCGGAAGGGGTATGCCCAGGAGATAGAAAGCGCAAGTGCAAATGGGTTGACGGTCTGTAATATCACGAATCCTGCGCATTAGTGTCGACACGGCCCGGACACAATAAAAAAAAAGAAAATATTATAACCTTTTGCAACCACTTTTTTTTGATTGGGGTTCGTGGATCATCAAAGATACATACGGCTTCATGTCTTTTCATATACGTGCTATCATGATGTCTCCTCTTCTAGCCCCATCCCATAGCTCTTAACCCGACTCCAGTAGAAAGCCCGGTCGTTCTTCAGTCCGTACGGCGCCCAATCATCCGTAAGCCTGTTGTAACTCCAATAAGCCTGCCACGACAGCTTGTTATTCCGAGCCCCTCTCCCCGCACTGCCCATGATCAACTCCATCTTGTCAAGATACTTTGACGAAACGCCCGTCTTTTCAACCACCACCATGCCCTCCTTTTCGCTGTCCTCAGAGCCTGGGATCTCGGGGCCGCTTAACCGCCACCGGCCTACCATTGCGTCCTTCATGGGTGCCGTGGGGAGTGTGGCGTGGTTCTTGTGGACGTGCTCCTTGGATAGGTAAGGGACGACGTCCGCGGGCTCGGAAGTCGTCAGCAGCGAAATGCACGTCCCATTACGGTAGAAGCGGAGATATCTGTAGTACGTGACGATATGAATGGGCGTGTTCCAGGAGATGGCGAGAGGGGAGGAAGCTCCAGGACGGGTGTAGTTGACGGTGGAGATGTAACAGCCGTTGAAGCGGATGCGGGGCCGCCGGCGGAAAAGCGAGAGATAAGTTGGGTAGGGCGAGGGGACGAGCATAGGCGTGACGAGCTCTGGGCTCGGCAGCGAAGAGGTGGAGTCTTGCTCGAGGTCGAGGTCGTCGTCACCGAGGATGTAGCCGCCTTCGCCGTCGTCGCCGAGCGGTTTGCCGTCGATCTGGCAGCCGAATGTGTAGTGCATGGCTGCGAATCCGTATTCATGGCCGAGGGCTATGCGCTTCCATACACGGTCCTCGGTTGCTACGAGATATGCGAAGCGCTTGCAAACTTGGCTGAGGCGGACGAAGGCTGCTACGTCTTTGATCGCGAGATGCAGGAGAATTTCTGAAAGGATTTCCTCGGGAATGCTGGCGATAGGACATGGCGGTGGTGGCGAAAATTCCGTAGGGGGTTCTTGACCTTGAATGGTGAGGTTGGAGAAAGAATCCAGTAAGTCCTTCACAGTTGAAGAAAGTCCGGCTAGGGAATGGTGAGCAGTATTATTGCTGGCGGTTGAGGATTGGCTCTGGGGCTGAGTGGGTGGTTTTGGTGCTTTCGGAAGAGATGCAAAATATGAAGGTGGATAATGCTTTGCCTTGTAGGACTCGTGGACTCGATCGTCGAGCTTGAACGCTTTCCGATACAGATTCACACTGTCTCCTAAACTTCCCTGTTTCTCCTTCTCCACGGCACGTTCGTAGTGGTCGAGGGCTGAGTTGGGTTCTTGACTAGAAGATGCTTCGGGTGATGAACCCTCATCCAACCGCCTACCATGCTGTTTCTCGCCCAAGTCTTGATAGACATGAGGCTGCACCTCGTCTACCTCATCACTTGAAATCCGCGCATGCAAAGGCGTTTCGGGTGCGCTGCTCTTGGGATGCTTACTCGAGCTTGGCTGTGACGTCTTTGAGGGCGCGGGCTTTGCGGACCGTGGCTGCTTATCCTTCGCTCTGGCAGATACTTCTTCTCTCCACCGCTGACGGAAAGATTCGAGCTCGGCTTCGGTAGAGTCCATAGCGACGATATGAGGTTGAACGGACAAGGTAGTGCTGGCGGAATTATGGTGCTAGTAAGTCCGAGATAATGGGGAGGTCCGGGGGAAAGCCTAGTGTTTAAGTAGTACGGTTGTTTGCGGTGGGTGCGGATAGGATTATCCTATAGGATAAGGAAACCAAGGCAATCCAAGATGTATGCGAAAATCAGAAAAGGGCGCTGTGTGAAGGGCTTATGACTGTTCGGATGGATGCGTCATTCGGATGAGTCATTAGTAGTGATTCAATAATAACTATAGGCGACACAGGGCGACTGAGCGCGATCAAGGTATACAGAGTGTGATGTATTTCAGATAGATGGATCAGATAAAAGAGATAAGTAACGTAACGTGGGAGGCGATCGGAGTTTCCATTGCATCTCCGATTCGCGGCTCCTCGGAATAGCTTGGGAGCTCCTAGAACTTCTTTTTCTGCCGCTTCGTCATCGACATCGCCTCTCTCAGTCACGGCGTCACTACCCCCCGTTCGCCCATTGCCCCAGCAAACATTCTCCACCGTGGACCATGCGCACGCCTTCCTTCTCTCGATTTTGGGATTTTGAATACACGCCTCGCGCTGATTCGAGGTAGCTGGATTCATTGCCAGACAGGTCCACTGGGGACAAAAGAGCCGCGAACAGGAAACTCCAAAGTCGAAGCACAGCAGTCATGTCCAAGAACTCTGCCCCCGATGTTGAGAGCAGTGTGTCTCTGGCACAAAAGATGATGTCTGCCACCACGGGCAGCATCATCACCTCTCTTCTCAGTATGCCCAACTCCCCTCTTCCCATCATCCGATGCTATGCGCTAACACGACTAGTCACACCCTTGGATGTTGTACGAGTGCGTCTCCAATCGCAATCGCATGCCTCGAGCCCTTCGCCATCCTCATTCACAAACCCGCGCGCCTACACTGTGGGATCTCTAGCACAGTTCCGTGACCTGCCTCCGAATCTCGGCATCACCACTTGCTGCAGAGAGGTCTTCTGGATCAATAACCATGCCCCTTTCTGCGTTGCTGGACCCACCCTGGCCCCACTCAACCCTATCGACACATCATGTGCTGTGCATGAGGTAGAGCGGAGGACAATCAATGGTACTTGGGACGGATTGCGCAAGATCGCTCAAAACGAAGGCCTCCGGACGCTATGGAGAGGACTGTCACCAACCCTGGTTATGGCCGTCCCTGCCAATGTCATATACTTTGCTGGGTATGATTGGTTACGTACAGCACAACAGTCGCCTTTCCGCACAACAGTTTCCGATGCATACATACCATTGGTAGCGGGTGCCACTGCACGGGTCATGGCCGCCATCGCCGTCAGCCCTATTGAGATGTTCCGGACCCGAATGCAGGCAGCGAGTCACACGGCCACAGCAGCGGGTCACTTTCGCGAGACAATGGACGGTTTACGGGAAATGGTGGCTTCCCAAGGCATTCCAAGTCTATGGAGAGGCCTCACATTGACTTTGTGGCGAGATGTACCTTTTTCTGCACTGTATTGGTGGGGTTACGAGTACGGACGTGACGCCATAACTGATATGCGGGGACGAATGGAAGCAAGGAACTATGGAGACGAATTCCGTGTTGGTCGCGGAGAAGAGAGAAGACACAGGCGAAGTCGCTCGCGCAGTCGAGAGAACCACACCGCAACATTGGTCGACAGCTTTGTCGCTGGTGCCGGCTCAGGCGCAGTCGCTGCTTTTGTTACTACACCGTTTGACGTCGGGAAGACAAGGCAACAAGTGACCCAGCACACTGGTGACTCGGCGCGAGGCCTTCATGGAACTGCTGTACGACCAGAGGACCGTTCTATGCCTCGCTTTCTTTGGTATATTTTCAAAGAGCAGGGCACATCTGGACTCTTCAGAGGGTGGGCAGCTCGTTGCCTCAAAGTTGCTCCCGCCTGTGCCATCATGATCAGCAGTTATGAAGTCGGAAAAAAGATGGCCACTAACATCAACGAGCGTCGGCAAGAAGACATCTGATCAGGATCTAACACATTCTCACTCGGTCAATCACTCCTCACTTTGCTAATCACGAAATTTCCACAATCTCTGCACTTTTGACTCGGATTACTTTTAATGACATCAATCGACGATGGTAGGCATGGCGTTGGAAGCGGCTGCATTGGGTGGTTCTTTCAAAACAAAAACATTTCCTGATACCAGTATATTTTAAGGCTCACGCCTGTATTTGTATGTACTTTTAGCATAGCGTAATTGAGCGAAACATCAAATCTCACAATGATCAAGTCTTCTACAGTGAATTCAATGTTGATGAAGTAATTCCTTCGTGAAAAAAGTGGGAGGCCATCAGATAGCTACGGCAACTGCCGATAAGATGAGATAAGCCGTCACGCCAAAGCGCGAGCGCGCCTGCTCCACCAAAACACACTTCAATGTTAGCTCGGCTGTGCTCGAAGCATTCGTTTGCCTTACAACCCTCGCGCATTGCGCCAATCAAGCAAAGATGATAGATGTTGAAGATTACGACGATGTCTTCAAAGGCAAATCATACTCAGACGGTCTCGTATCCGACATAGAAGAGAGCCAACATGTCCATCACGGGTGCACTTTCTTTGAGCGGCTGCTCAACCTTCTCAAGATCAATAGCAGTGAGTGCGCGCCACCATCGGATACTGTGATCGCAATTTGACTTTTATAGGGCATTCTGGACGTAAGATATACCCTCCAAAACAGGAGAAAGACCTCCGCGAATTGCACTCCCGCATAGCCTCTGCGCCAATCACGCTACATTACAAACACTGTCTCATCCTCTACCTCCTCAAGGACATCACACCGTCCAATCATGATACAAATCTCTCTGAAGCCTTTGCAATGAGCGTACATCTTGAACCCAGCTTCTGGACATTTATCGAGGGAATATGGGAGCTTGATCATCTACAATACGAAAACGCGGTCATGCATTTGACACACCCAAGCATAATACAAACGTTCGCCGACGACATCCTGTTGGCGCTACTTCGGCGGAGAGATCGAAGCGGCAGCTTCAAGCTAGAATTGGGTGATGACACATTACCAATGGCGTACTTCAATTGCGCAGATCCGCCTCTAGAGGGCGAGGCAGTCCGCATCCAGTTCACAAAGTACATGGCGGTGCGCAACGTCAGTGAGACGTACCATTGGATTCGCTCGCGGCCAGAGAATGAACAAAAGCAGCTGCTGGAGGCCCTTGTCGAGCAGACATTTCACACAGGACACCAACAGTCGGAATCTTACCCGACGGTCGATCGGGCCGTGGAACTTGCGGGCTTGCCATTCGACGAAGAGGAGGAGAAATGGCTGGAGGCATTCCTCACTGAGGGCCGTGGAAGGATGTTACCTGGAGCGGAGGACACGATCATAATGAGGAGGTTAGCAAATGGGAACTTCCGCGATGTCGCTGGTCAAAAGGGGCCGAAAGGAAGGAAAATCGATGGTGTTACTTGGGATCTCTTGAGGAATGGAGTCAAGCGGGGATTAGGTCCCAGAAGCGACGAGGAGAGGATTCAGATTTGATCAAGAGAGCTATGAGAGAGCCTGACTTCGAACAAGGTGGGGCTCGGCTCGAACCAAAACATTCTGCATACGCGGAACATGCGTACGCAAGGAGATCTAGTGGACATTGGGTACAGCTTTTGGGAGCTTCACTGCCACCTGAAAGTATACATGCGATCCACGGAGTAGCTCTTCATGAAAAGAGCAATGTACAACACACTTTCTCGAAGAAAAGCAGATATGGCACATGGTCTTTCAAGTGATGGCTGCCATTAAACGCAAACATTGAATTCAAGACTGTAGAAAGAAAGAATTGCTACACAACACAAACAACAACTCATGCCGCCTCAGCAGCCCCAGCCTCGTCCTTCGTAACCGTCATCCGTTGTCTCAAATCGCCCATCAATCCATCCGCTTTTGACTTAGCACTGGCCTCCAGTTTCCAGCTCTCGACCTCCTGCCCGCCTCTTAACACTCCGATCCTCATTGTCGACAACAGATTGTGTGCCGCATTACTATGCATGTACACGCCTCCATTGAAAACTGCCGTAGCATCCTTACCAAGCGCACTCTTGATCAACGCCCGTCCACCAGGATGCTCTTCGACAAACGCACTCACGTCGTGAATGACGCCCGCAATCGAAGTCAACGCCGCACCACCTTCCACCTCTGCTTGGAACTCCTCCCACGATATCACGGGGAGATCTGCGAGCGGTGTACCCCAGTCTAGCTTGGAGCGCGCAATGTCGACAGCTTTTTGCTGCTGTTGGAGACGGCCTTTCTCGATTTCGTTATGGCGGAAGCGTTTGAGGTTGCTTGCGAGAGTGGTTTTGGAGAGGAGGTAGATGAACCATTTCGTGGGGTCGTATTGGTGCCAGGATATGGCGTTGCCTAGATTGCGAGCGTTAGTATCTTTGTTTGAAATGGGAAGTGGGAAAGGGACACGTACGGTAATCGCTTGGGAACTCGTGATGGAAATTGTGGTATCCTTCGCCGAGGGTCACAAGGGCGGTGATCCAGTGATCTCTTGGAGTCCTTCGGTCATCGAAGACTTGGTCGCCGATGTAACTAACATCCACAAGTCAGTAACGTCCACACTCTACATCCAAGTCTTTCCATGCAATCGATCTTCAGACCTGGAGAAGGTATACGTACTGAGCCAGACTGTTCACACAAAACGTAGCCTGCTGGACGAAACAAGCCCTCATAATCCCCGCATACACCAACCCACCCCACCAATCCCCCCACAGCAGTCCAGCCACGCACATGGGGAAAATCCAAGCCGCCATCAACATCGTCTCCAAGAAATGTTTATGCTGCCACACCACGACAGGATCTTCATCGAGATCCGAGATATCCGTTCGTCCAATCATCCTCGAATCCTGCTTGAAGATCATCCAGCCCAGGTGCGAGAAGAAGAAGCCCCGCAGAGCGTTATAAGGGTCCTTGTGCGTATCCGTCCATCGGTGGTGGGCGCGGTGCTTGCTACTCCAGAACCTGATCGAGCCTTGCACCGCCCCGGCGCCTACAAACGCGAGGAAGATGCGGAGCGGGAGCCGTGCAGAGTAGCAGCGGTGCGACCATAGTCTGTGGTAGCCTCCCGTGATGCCAAAGCCTGTGAGGAAGTAGTAGATGAGCGACCACGCGAGCGTCAGACGGTGGATCGGTGTGTACTGGATGGCGAAGAGGCCGTAGATGGGCACGATGATTACGAGCGTTGTGCTGATCCAGTTGATGTGCTGGTACCAGTTGGAGAGGGTGATGGGTTCGGAGGTGATGCTTGGTTTGGATGTTGATGTACGGGGGGGAGGAGGTTGGGAGGACATGCTGGGTTGGACAGCCATGGTGGAATGTTTCTTTCACTCTATAACGTTATGGACATTGATTGAGAAAGGTGTAGGTTCCTTTTTATACGTGTGTGCATGTTCAAGATGCTTTAGGCATATGTAGTTTTTATGGGGTCATTTGAGATTTTCCTTTTCACTTCGGAAGTTCGCTCTATGTTAAGGCCGCGTGTTCCTTGCGTGATAATCTCGCGCCAGATTGACACGGGAAGTACGGTCAAAAGGATAGTAGATGGACGACTATTTGACATGTGCTTGATGGATTGGTGTTTGTCGCAGGGCTGATTGGTCGACCTTGGTGGTTCGACACCGGCATTCAAACCAAAGGCATGTCCGTTCCCGACGGGGATATGTCAACGTCCTGTATTCGGCCGTTCAGGTGTCGAATTACTAGAGCACTAGGTACTTAGGTATACATATGCAAGCGTAGACTTGCTCCGTCGGTTTCTTTTCCATTGAGACGGCGCGTGTGGCCTATCAATAGAGGTTGGTTTTGTCGATAAAGAGGATCATGCATGTCCGTTCACTAAGGCCCAACAACCCTGACTGATTCGAGAGGTTATGATGTGCGCATGTATGTGGACCAAGTCTGCTGAATCATTCGAATATCATAATCAATTGTTGGATGGGTATGTCGGCGAACATCTGGGTTCGTTTACTTCGATATCCTATCCCACTACGTCTGTCAGTTTCAGTTTCGCTGAAAATGAAGGTCACATTATATGTAGCCAAATTAAACAAATACAGGCAATCATAGTGAGCAGCATCGAAGACGAAAAAAGTCACAGCAGCGACAAATTGATATTCATTGCCGATATCGGTAAAACTACCTGATATACCATGATTCTTCCGCGCTGCACATTCCATTTCCAGTGAGGACCATCTCGCTTATGCGGCAATGGTAACCTCAACCTCGACACCAGCCTCGATGTTGATGATGATCTGCTTGACAACCTCGGTGGGGGCGTTGAGGTCGATAAGACGCTTGTGGATGCGCATCTCGTAGGTGTCCCAGGTCTTGGAACCCTCACCGCAAGGGGTCTTACGGGTGGTGACCTTGAGGTTCTTGGTGGGGAGACGGACGGGGCCTGGTATATCGTTCAGTCAAAGCTCTTCCCACGGTCTTCATCACAGCGACGTACCCTTAACGCGGAGGTCCTTGGTCTTGGCACGGTCGATGAGCTCGGTGCAGACCTTCTCGAGGCTCTTCACGTTGCGGCTGGTGAGGGTGATGCGGATCTTGTGGATCTTGGGGCCCTCGAAGTCTCCCTTGTCGCCCTTGTTGTCTGCGATGTTCGTTAGGCGCTGTTCTCTCTATATGGGACGTAGGCGGGGCGCATACAAGACATGATGATTGTCGGAGGTTGGTGATTTGGAGAATGGAATGTGGTTATAGTAAATTCCAGTCACGACCCGGATGCTTCGATCTCTGTAATGTGATGACTGATGCTGCGATTTTTTTGACGGCTGGCGTGGAGATCGGTCGTCTATCATTTTCAGCACTGTGGGCGGAATCTTGGCACGCCAGACCAGAACGAGGCTAGCGCCCGGTCATCCAGGACGTCAATGATTGATGACGGGGAATGAGTCGAGTATGCAAGCGCAAACATAAGAATTAGGCTGCGCTGGCCAGTGTGCACCTCTGAGCTTCATCCCATGGTCTGATACACGTCCTTCCTACAGCTCCTGGACTGCCCGAAGTTGTTTCCGCCATGGCACTTCCACAAATTGTACCTTTCCCAGCAAAACCTCTTCGTCAGCAAGTCGTTCCAAAAGAGTGGGAGCTGTATCTGGACGCATGGACATCACTGGTTGAACTCTATCTCCGCCTCCCAGACCAGCAATTTGCATCGGCTATATCGACGGAGGGATCCTCTATCGTCGATTTTCTGGCATCGTTTTTCCACGAGCTTGCCAATGACGACAGCATTTTACCCACGGCGTTGACGCTACGCAAAAGATGCTTTCACCTTCTACACAGGATCTATTCAGGCCATCAGGTCCCCTCGGCACTCCTGAAATGGCCTGTATTATCCGACATCTGCCATTGCTTTCCCAAAAGCGAACAGCTGCGAGCTCTTCTGAGTCAGCTGTGGAAGAAAGAAGCTGATGTCATTGAGAAGAACCTTCAGCTGGCCAAAACCTCTTTAATCAAGAATCTTGAATCGAAAATGCCGCAGAATGCAGAAGACACGTTGAACAAGCTTGTCCCTTTGCTAAGAGTATCTCCTGAAGCCGGCACGTACATGCTCACCGGATCGGACTTCATGGACTCGTTAAACGCCGCGTACTCTAATGTTTCCTCTGATATTCAGGTGAAGCTTACTGCGACTGCTTTCTTAGGCTTGACAGCTTTGTTAGAAGGTCCCAAGCCCAGCCTGTCTACTTTATCAGACCACCTGTACAGTCTGAAGACTAATGGGGAACGGCAACAGAAATCGGCTTCTACGCAAGGGTCGCTTGTCGCAAGTCTGGTCACCAACACGCCTTTCTTAGCTAAAGTCCGTGATAGGGCTACTGTCTTGGAAGCCACACGAGTAAAGAACTTTGCTGCTGAGCTTAGCGTTTTCCAACAACCGTCCATCGCTCGGCCTCGGAAACTTGTTCGGCGCAAAGTTGATAAGGGTAAAAATAAACAAGTTACTCATGACCACCCGTCTGAACATATGCATGTTCATCGTATGACATTGATCAGCCAGATCCAAGACCTTTTCCCAGATCTTGGGTCCGGTTTCGTAGCCAAATTACTTGATGAATATGACGACGATGTCGAAGTTACTACTGCACATCTTCTTGAAGATTCTCTGCCTCATCATCTAGCCAATGGTGATCGAAATGAGCAACTGTACGTAACACTGCATCAACCCCTCTAAAATATTAATAAATGTTCTAACATCTTCTAGGCCCACCGTTGAAGCCAGCGCTATTCAACAGGTTCCCCAGTCTGAGCCACCACCGTCCATGCGCCGCAACGTTTTCGATAATGATGAACTTGATCGACTTGCTGTCGATGCCTCGCGGTTGCATCTCGGCCGGAAGAATCAACAGCTTACAGCCGATAAAATACTGGATAACCGACACGATGCCCCTAGCAAGTCCGCTATTCTCTCTGCCCTTGCAGCATTCGATTCAGATGATGATGAACGTGACGATACTTATGACGTTGAAGATGTCGGTGGCACGATTGATTCTACTGCCGACGATGCGAATACGCAAGACAAGAACGAAGAAGCCTTGTTCAAAGCCTATTCCACTACGCCTGGAGTGTTTGGTCGGGATGCAGCGACGAGAAGAAGTACCGCTAGGACAGCATTGAAGTCTGAAACAGGCATGACCGACGAAGCCATCGAAGGATGGAGCATCATGATAGGCCGAGACCCGAAACGCCTCAGGCGGCTGGAAGCCAGATTCGCAGCTTTCGCTGGCCAGCAAACGGAATTGGCAACCACCGCCTGGCGCGCAAGTCCCATGGGTTCCGAAGGCGAGGATACGGGAGGCGGTGGAAGGGGCGGTTCGTCAGGCAGGGGTCACAACAGAGGACAGGGTCGTGGCCGAGGTGGCGGAGGAAGAGGTCGCGGTAACCCTGCAGGCCCTGCCGATGACAAACAGACTCAGGTTGCACGGCAAAGGAAAGACCAAAACAAAGGTTCCCGGGCAAACCATAACCGGAGAGACCAGAGAGCGAAAAAACTGGCAAGAGGAGGTTTTCCTGGATAGTCATCAAATAGCATGTTGAGGTGACCAACTTCCACGACGATGTTCGACTATAGAATATTAGCATTAGATTTCTGTGACTCCCTATGACTCTATGGCGAAGATGAAGCGACTCTGTAGAGAAGGAAGGTTGGTAGATGTACTAGCGGGCTTTTCAACATCAAAATTTGACCGTGTCGAATCACTTCGAGTCTACCAGCGATTCCGATCATCTAGTTTCAGGACGGATTTAGAAAAGCACAAAGTAATTATCGAGCGGAATTAGAAGGTGAAAGACATGGGACACGAGTGAAAGCCACTAGTCCCGTCAAGGTCACTAGCGCTGTTTCCAAAAAGTCAATTATGCATTTAGCGAGCAGTCGGGAATTCCTTGGTCCATCCAGTACATCATCATACAGCCGCGTTCTTCCTTTTGCAGAGACGCCAATATGGACGCTGGGGGGAACAAGAGAAAGGCTACTTCAGATCGACGAGATGGAGGTGCCCACAAAAAGTCGAAGGTGAGTCAGTCACATGCGCACGAAAGGGCACCCAGTGCCTTTGCGCGATCATATCATGCGTCTCCAAATATCGTTGACTGATAGACATAGACGGGTAAGAAGAATTGGGAGATGCCTCGAAAAAATGGTGCGGAAGCTCGTAACATACAGCCCGGCGACACGGGTATCTGGGCGACATGTGCTATGAAAAAAGAAGCTCCATCTACAACAGAGCTGCGAACTCTGTTTGAGGAGGTATGTTGATTGTTCTTGAGATGCGCATGGAATCATGTCTTTCCTACGCCATGCTGAACACGTGTGCAGTACGCATCACAATTGTACGAGGACAAAGTGGTCAACGAGAAAACCGAACCTCAAGATTCCGATGATGAGGGCGGTGACATCGAGGCCGAAATCAAGAAGGAGCTCGAGGATATCCGCAAACCTGCCACTAACCCTCTCTTCAAGTCGGTGAATATAGGCACTGCTTGTTGTAAGTGACAATATGAGTCTGAGCAATCCTAAATGCTGATGTCAGGTTCAGTGGTATTCTTCAAGACACGAAGCCCTGTTGAGCCAGTCTCTTTTGTTAGTCAAATTTGCCGGGACGCTGCCATGGGGAAAAAGCAGTCAAACTGCAGATTTGTCAAGAGGCTTACGCCAATGACGCTCATGGACAAGGCGACAGAGAGAGGCCTTGACGACGTTGCCCGAAAGGTTTTGGCTCCACACTTTCATGTACCGGATCAGGAGAGCAAAAAGGTGTGTGAAACGGTCTTGTATTGCTGACATGTTCACTGTCACACCATCAATGTGTCTAGCTCTAACTGGATGCCAGTTTGCTATACGAGTTACCATTCGAAACAACAAGCAAATGACGCGGGACAGCGTAATCAAGACTGTCGCTTCCATTGTCGGACAAGGGCACAAAGTCGATCTCTCCGACTACGATCTACTTATTCTTGTGGAAATCTATCAGGTAAGACGGACGCGCGTGCTCACCCCCTAGGCAATCAGCTTAGCATTCGCACAAGCTTACTAGAAGCAGAACGTCCTGGGCATGAGCGTTGTTGGGTCTGATTACGAGGACCTTAAACGATTTAACCTTGCAGAACTTACCGAGGCCACACGTACGGCTGATGATAGTGCTACAAGAGGTAGCGAAGCAACTTCAGACCAAGCAGCCACAGCTGTCAAGGTGGTGGAGGAAGCAGACGCATGAATCTTTAGCGCCAGATAGTTAGGGGATTATATATGCTCTATTTCCGAAGCGGATACCTGAGCGTACACCAGCATGAACCCCTTTACATGCATCGTTGATAGCGCAACCCATCAGCGTACAGAGCGTGCGATGATTAGTGTTTTGATGTATGTATGTTGAAATAGTGTTGTCGAACGTGTGATGGCACTACCAAGAGATGGCGATCGCCAGAGCGACTAGTGTGTGATGGGCAAACCATCCATTGCTGGCTCTTTCTGAACGCGACGGAAAAAGATTCACGCGGTGTGCAAAGAAGGTCATGGCCACGGCAAGTTCGGCAGCAAGCTCGACATGTTTCTTCGATCAACCCATTGACCGATATCAATCAAGTCGCTTACCCTGGTCAACTCAGCTCCAACGCCCGGCAGCTCGCTTACGCCGCAGTAGCTCTTACGAGCCTTCTCTTCGCTGTTTTGTCGCTTCTAGCCCTCGACCCGTGTGGAGTTGCATTCGCAGTAATATGCGTGGCCAATCAAAGCAATCACCAGCCGATTGCGCTTGTCCGCGAATGGATGCTTTAGACGAGGAATCCAAACGTCTTACACCATCTCTCCTCCCTTCGCTTCTTTTGTTTCTAGAAACATCAAATTAAGCTTACATCGTCATCTGTGACCATGGCGTCGCGGTAGGCGAATTACCCGTTGACTCAATTCCACATACACAGGCCCGGATCCCATATGCGTGCATGTCGCATTGGTGCTTTTGCTATCATACGGCTGCCCAAACACCCCAAATCCTTGCTCAATGCTACCGTACGGCGTATACTTTGACGGCAGCGCTATGGTCCGTATTACCTGTTAACACTACTCACTCCATTCAATAATCAATGTCTGTGTATTCGAGCTTCCCCCTTTCATATCAAGCATCATTCAATCCAGCAACCATACATCGTTCCTCTCATACTCCATTGCTATCTGTGCATCTGTTCGCAACCCTGGCCGTGGTTCCCGTCTGTGAGCTAGTATTTGTTCATACATACGTGAATCGACACGATGCGCTTACCTTCTGTTGACATCTTCACATGTCGTGAGCCGGCCTGTCTGTATTCGACTGTTGCATCAAACATACCATTACCCACATCACCATCAACAAGCCGTGTTGCTGCACCTTCGACACTCACAGCTATGCAGCAACTGGTTCAAGATGCTCTCAATACTTCCAATCTAGGTGCTCAAGCTACAGAGCGGGTTGAAGGGCAATTCCATCATATCCAGTTAGCCAAACTTGCCGACGGAGATGCACTCATGATCAAATACCCTTCTAACCACAATATACGCTTACTTCGCCATGAGAGGCAAACCCTAGAAGCTGAATACAGGACCACATCTATCCTACGCGAATTTACACAACTGCCAGTTCCAGAGATTGTGGATTACGATGGCCACGGAAGTGTGTTCGGTTCACCGTATCTCCTCACCGCCCGCACGCCAGGACAAAGGTTATCTGAAGCATTGCCTTACACCTCAATAACTGAAAAAAACTCCATCGATAGGATGCTTGGGTCGGTAGTGTGCACGCTCGCGTCGCTCACTTCACCACGCTTTGGGCCTATCCACGAAGTTTCTGGCGGAAACGGAAGCGACTCGTGGCGTGAAACATTTCTCGGCATGCTCGAAGCTGCTCTACAAGATGCCGAGGATATGCTCATCACGTTGCCTTACGAATTTCTTCGGCAGCGCGTGGGACAGCATAGGTCATCGCTCGATCACATCACCGTACCGAGACTGGTTGCTTTCGATATTTGCGATCCCGAGAACGTCCTCGTGGATGAAGACACCAAGCAAATTACATGTCTCATGGGTCTCTCCAACTCCATTTGGGGCGATCCACTCATGAGTGACGTGGTCGCAAATGGCAGTGATGACTTTTGCCGGAGATACGAAGACTCGTTCCCTTGCGAGGAAGATGCCCAAGTTCGACGCTCCATGTAAGTCCTCTAATCGTTTGAGTTCCACGAGCAGAATGCTAACACTGGCTCAAGATACGCTGTGTACCGAGCGGTGGTGCAGATAGTCGCCCATCATTATCGACCGTATTCCGGTATCGATGAACTCGAAGCTCGACGTTCTATGACACATGCGCTCAACGAGCTTGCGCATGAGTGAAGGACGTATACATGGCGTATAAACTGACTGGATGATTGCAAGGATTGTTGCGGTGCGCATTCACCGCCAGGTCCTTCAGAAAGTGGAGAGTGGCAACGCGGATTGAAATAATTGCTTCCGCGCAGAATAAAAATGCTCAGCTGGACACCATTTGCCTCCATTATTGACTCCAAATTATGGATGCCTGACCTAGTTTACTAATGCATTCAATGTAATAACTGGTATGTGGAGTTAATTACCAATCAGCATATGTAATGAAGAGTGATGTTGCTGCTGTCATCGGACACCAAATCAGGTTACGGTCGGTCCTTCAATGCGGGCGAAGAGCCGTTCGGAGATGGCCATGTTCAGTGATGCTTAATTGGTCGCTGATCCTCCTTACCAATGTGTCAGCGCGGCACGGTTGGGATGTACGAGTATATAAAACATTGCATTATTTTCCTTATCACTTACTGGAATGGACACGTAGTATCATTATAGAAACATGAGCGTCATCAAAGCACTGGAATTGTTTCGCAAAGAGTTGGGATCGGAGATTGAGATATTGGCCGATCAGCACAACGGCGCCTTCATTGAGTACGCAAAACGCTGGACGGATATTGGACGCAAAACTCCAGCGGCTATAGTGGTACCTTCTTCAGAGATTCAGATCCAGAAAACGGTAATTAACAATGTTTTCTTTGTCACGCTATCGTTCTTCGCGGTGACCAGGTCACAGACAATTCAAGATACAAGTTAACTAACAAAGCAGCCAGGTAAAATGGGCCGTCGAAAACTCAGTGCCCTTTGTGACCAAGAGCGGAGGACACAGCGAATGGAGCACGATTGATTCAAGTGGCATCATCATCGATCTCAGCAAGTACTCGAGCATTGAAGTAAACGCAGCCGAGCAGAAGGCCACACTCCGGGGCAGCATTCTAGCCAAGCAAGTTTCGGTTGCTTTAGCAGAAGTAGGGCTCTTCACTGCGTTAGGGAATGGCAACCCTATTGGAGCTATTCCTTACTTTCTCAATGGAGGGGCGTCGGTAGTTACATCGTGTGTGGGGTATGGTTCCGATCAAATTCTGTCTGCTCGTATGATTGACGCCAGGGGCAACTTGATTGAAGTCACAGATAGCGAAAAAGATATGGCAGACCTTCTCTGGGCCCTTCGAGGCGCGGGCCAGTTCTTCGGGCTGATCACAGAACTCACGGTCAAAGCCTATCCATTCTCTGCACTGGGCAACGACCAAGGAGTAATATGGACCGGAGTGTTCATTTTACCATTGGAAAGGGCCGGCGAAGTAGCGGAGGCGATGAATATAGTGGCCAACGACAGCACGCATCCTACGTCAGGATTGATGATGATCATGGCACCGCCTCCCAAAAATGACCCGGCGCTCGTGATATCAGCTCGTTACAGAGGCAACCCCGAAAATGCTGCACAAGCTTACAAACCCCTATACGACTTGAATCCTCTAATGGCCAACGGCGCGCCAGTGCCCATCCAAAACACAAGCGACGGCCACGAAGCATTCAACGAAAAAGGCACCTTCAAGCGCTTCGCAACCACATGTCTCCCTCACTTCAACGCAACCGCCATCCCCGACGTCGTACAACTCTGGAAGACCATGGTGACCGAGTGTCCAGACGCCATCACTACATCGTTCAATTTCCAGTGGGACTCGCGCCTCGCACCCGTCCCCGCGCACGCGCCCTCGTCGTGCAGTAGCTTGCGCGACACGCGTCTGTGGCAGAACAACTTCATCTGGCACACTGATGTCAATAGTCGCAACAAGGTTGACGAGTTCAGCGATCGAGCGATTGCTGCTATGCGTGGTGATGGGGAGCGGAGGGAGTTTCAGAACGCGACGCGAGAGGGTCCGATTGAGCTTCGCTATCGCGATCCCGTGAAGCTGGCTAAATTAAAGCAACTCAAGCAGGTTTGGGATCCGAATGGAGTATATACTCGACAGCTTCTCGATGGTTGATTTGGTAGGGATGGGCTGATGTGAGTAGGAGCTCACCCTACTCAATAAGTCGGTGGTATATCTACTACCAGTGTTCGTTACGCCATCTTCTAGAGCAAAGGTCTGTTATACTATATCTTCTTTAGAAACCGGAAATCATGGTCAAGCTGCCCAAAATTTCCACGCGTGTTCTAAATGGGGGGTCATGGATACAAGCATGCACCAGTCAACTCACAGATGCACATAACAGGTCCCTACTAAAAAAAAAACCATCAAATTCACCATAGAATGGCCAATCAGTGTTTTCTACGGGTTTCGATTTAAAGCTGACCCGCTGCTGCGACGAATGTCACTATGTACCTACCGCGTAAGGCGGCCAGCCCCCCTAGACTCGGTCCAATAAGCACTTGTTCTGTACATGTATGCTAGCATCTACTATAGCACATTGCACTAAGAATTCCGTCCGCTTTGGAGATTGATTGATGTCATGCACCAACACTCGAAGTGTATCAATGTGTATATCGGGTTTTCGGGTCTTTGGTCGCACCGACGACTGCGACCGGATTACACGTATAAACACATCTCCACGGCATATGTACGCCTTTGAATTTCCCAACGTCCTCACCTCACTCCAAAAAAAGAAGAAAGGCAAACAATGCCTCCTCCCGGCCAACTCCTCCACGCTCTCATCGCAGTCTTAACCGCGACCCTCGGCTTCATCGCAGACTGGAACCACACACACGTCTACAACCCGCGCTGGCCGCCGCACGCCAAATTCCACAACGGCCAAACCATGAGCACAGGGCTGCTCCTCGGCGGCACCGCGCTGTTCCACCTCTTCGTCCGCCCGCTGGCCAACCCCCGCGATAACCTCAACGTCGTGTCCTGGATCCTGTGCCTCAACTACGTGGCTCAGGTCAGTGCGGTTTTTTACCCGGGCTCCCTTCCTATCGACCCAGAGTTCGCGGGGGGTCCTGGTGGCGCGTTCCCGCAGGCTTATGGCGCTGCTGTGTTGGTTGGGGTTGTGGGGGTTGGGTATTGGCTTGAGGAGGCGAGGATTCGTCGGTTGGAGGGGAACGTGGTGAAAGCGAAGTAGTTTTTCATTTTTTTGCTCCATTTCTCGACAAGGTACGAGGGAGGACGATGAGAAGTTTCGACTGAATGATGGGCCGCTTGGAACGAAGGAGAGATGGATGGTCAAAGAATTGATGTGTTGGGGCTACTGTCCCTTCTGCAGTGCTGTAGAGTTACGTACAGATCTGTGTCGAAGATGATGCGTCTGGCTATTGGCTTCGCATCTCGAATCCAGCAGCGCAATCTTTGATATCTTGATACTGCTCATCCGGGCTCGGCTTGCTTCATCGACAGGCATATATCAAAACCCCACATTTTGAATCAGATAAAAAGTATATCGTTTAGCGATTCCGTCTCGTCCCAATGGATGAATGGAAGATTTTTTGGTTATCGCTCGTTTTTGGGTCTATTTATCGTTGTAACCCTTTGCTGTGAGTAGGATCACCTAAAATCCAACTCAGAATAAGAAAGTGTGAATGAATAAATGAATCATTCTAAGTTGGAGCTTGGGTGATCCTATACACAGCGATATAGTTATATAGATAGAGGCACTACAAAAACAGGTCGTTACCAAAAAGTCCCAGTGTATAACATCTGACTACTTGGAAGATCAATAAATTGACTATGCAACATCTGTCACGTGTCCCGTGGTCGTGATCGGACGCGTCTGCGACGCGACGAAAAGGCTCTAACAGGCTCACCAGCCACACCAATTCCTAGACGCGTTCGGCAACCGCTTTGGAAGTACCCATCGTCACCTACCACGATTCTCAATCAACAATTATCATTTTGCGATTGCCTTTGAACCGTCACCGCCTAGCAGGTTGATACTCGTCGAAAATGAGTAACTGAATTCTATCTACTCACATGTCAAGAACTGATTCGACGCGGATTGCTGCACAGAGTGCACCTTTTCGTTGTTGTTTTTTTGGTGTTCTTTTTCTAAATGACGTTTTCTCCACAGGTTCATGAGTAGACGCGCAGAATCCTCTGCGTTTTATACGAGAACTGGAGATCCAGACCCTTGAGGACGAATTCGACGGTACTGAATATCCAAATGACGGCTTGAATGTGGCACTACACAACTATCACTGGAATGGGCCTCAGAGCACCACTCAAATCAACTTTTACGGGCCAACCACTACAAAATCCAGTTGACTGGTCTTGATTCTCGCTTTTCTATGAGTTTTGTGGAGCTCCCGGGTCTTACAATGAACTTCCTCTAGCCTCACCAACTCCATGGTCAGAAAAAGCTGGAATGACCCGTTACCAGACACGTTCCGTCACGCAACCACCTCATGATATCCACACCTGCCAGCCTACGTCGTGCCTAATCAAGGCTGAGTCGCCTTCTAGCCTTGGGTGTCCCATCAATCGTGACTATTGATCGGCCCAAACAAGGCAACATCCAGGTTGTTGGGATTCCCAAAAAGTCTCGGCGGAACACGTGGGTATGCCAGCAAGTGGAGGACCATCCCTTGGCATTCCGCCTGCAATTCCAAACGGCAACAAGGGAACGCGCCGCCTAGAATGTTATTCCATCCCAGTGTGTGTAGGGTCCAATGCCGCGTTGGGATATATGCGCTATGGGGAGGCAAAGCCAAGAGAAAGGCCTCCAGTCGCGCGTATACTCTCCGCCAATGCTGTAGACGGTACGGTACCCAACATCATCAGACGCCGCCCGCGCAGTGACATGTGGAGTAGGAAAGAAAGCAGTCTACAGCCTATCATGCATGCACATGTTCCCAAAAGCCAAAGCACCGGGAGGGCTAAGGGGAAAGACGCAAACGCTAGAGTGTGCGAACTGGGGCAATAGCCCCCCTAAGTGTTTTTCTCGCGAAATTCCAAGACGTTGCGGAGAGTGAATGGCTAGTTTCGTTGTCTTAGAAAAGTCTTGCTTTCTGGGCATTGTGTGGCATCAAGGATTCTAGTCGACTTTAATCCCATCGAGCTGTTATAGGATCTGGAAGAGCTAGAGTTGATCTCGGACTTCGCCTCTATGTGTGCCATGGACCGGTCAGTGGCGACAGGCAGGAGTTGTGGTATCTGCTTTTCATTCGCAGAGTCGAGGACGAGGCAGCCTTGTGGGCATTGCTACCCACCATTCCTCATATTCCCGATAAGGCAACAAGTGGGCTATGTGGAGAAAGGTATGATTACTTGGAGACCCCAAGAGAAAGATGGTATTGCACATGTCAAACCTGTATCGTAGTGCTGATGTGGATTGATTACACGCGTAGATTGATTACCACTGTTGCATAGTAGTGAGCAAAACTTGCTTGAGATTATCAACACCAACATTGTTCTTGGGGTATGGGAAATGATAAAACTTATCGGATCGACTTGACATACAAGATGAACACCAGAATACATATTCCACATACTCGCAAAGAGTGCTCGCGGAGATAACTAGGCGATGCATGCTTCAGTCTTGCGATGACTTCAATTCCCCCAATAAACCGTTAGCGGACCAGGAAGCGTTCATTACATGTAATTGCGTCAAAACATGTGTTATTTAGTGCTGGCTGCCGAGGACCACAGCAGTCCTGGATGATAGACCGGCGACAGCGGCAAAGCACCAAGGTGGTGAGTCCGCTTGGAAAGTCTTACGGAATCTTGTTTGGGCGATACAGGTTCAACGACGCACCCACGTGGGCTCGAGTTCGAGCTACGGCGCCGCTGGCCAAGAGCGGGCCAAGAATCCCGCTACCCGCTCACACCAACACAACCATCCCATCCAAATACCAGAGTTGTACGTTTGTCATGCGCCTTGTCCAATCCATCGACGAAAACACTGCAAGAGCTAGCCTTGGATGGACATGACAAGAAGACCAGATTTTCCTTCGGTCCTTGAGTTGCTGGGCGTGGACCTCGCCCAGCTGCCGGGTTATCGTATTCGAAGTCGCCTTCCAGTGCAATTAAAATAAATATGAACCTGCTTCCATCCCAATATCGACCCTGTCTTGAACTGAGCACCTGCGAACTCAAGTTCTATTGAGCCCTTCCAAGTCTTGTAATTCCACTGTCAGTGTAGGACAGTTACACTCGCCCCTTCTTCAAGATGGCAGTCCTTGGCATGTTCGACTACATCTTCGCCTTCGGGTTGATCTTTGCATTCCTCGATGCATGGAATATCGGTGCCAACGATGTCGCCAACTCGTTCGCGACGTCGGTGTCGTCCCGATCGCTGACGATGAAGCAAGCCATGCTGATAGCTACCGTGTGCGAATTTGGAGGAGCTGTTTTGGCTGGTTCCCGTGTCGCCGACACGATCCGAAACAAGGTCATCAACGTCAAGGAGTTCGATGACAACCCCTCTGTGCTGATGTTGGGGATGATGTGCGCATTGGTTGGATCTTCGCTCTGGTTGACGCTATCGACAAAGATTGGTCTTCCGGTTTCAACTACGTTAGTGCTCCCTCCTGCGATAGATTCTCCCTATGTTCTACGTTGACAAAATCAGGCACTCGATTGTTGGCGGAATCGTCGGTGTCGGTGTCGCTGCCCTTGGAGCCGAAGGTGTCTCTTGGGGATGGAATGGTGTCGCCTCCATCTTCGCAGCTTGGTTCATTGCTCCTGGTATTGCGGGAGCATTTGCGATCATCGTCTTCATGATTACTAAATACGGTGTTCTCCAACGCAAGAAGCCCCTCCAGGCCGGTCTAATGATGATCCCCGTCTACTTCGGTTTCACGGCGGCAGTCTTGACTTTGGTTATTGTTTGGAAGGGTGCTGCCTCCTTGGACCTCGATGACTGGACTGCGGGACAAATTCTCGGCTGCACTTTTGGCGTTGCTGGTGGAGTGGTGGCCCTCTACTGCATTTTCCTGTTACCCTTCCTCTACCGCCGCCTCGTGGTGGATGACTGGACACTCAAGAACTGGGAAGTCATCAAAGGTCCTCTGCTTTGGAAGCGTGGCCCTGTCCCTGAGGTCCCCGAGGGAGTCAGGAAGCAGGTTGTTCAAGATTACTACCGAGGGCACGGCAACCCCCATACCAACCCAATCTTGGCTACCGAAATCGCCGCGAACCCTCAGGATGCTGCCGCTCAGGCCGATCCGGAGAAGGTTGGCGGTGTCGCTGCCCCTGCTGGTTCCAGCTCATCAGCTGCCTCTACCGATGCTGCTACTGAGCCCAAGCTCTCGCAGTACGAACAATTCCGTCAAGATTGCTACCAACATCCCGCCAAGAGTGTTCAAGGTATCATGGGTCGCGCCAAATTCTTCATCTTCCGCGGTGTAGAGCGCGATCTCGTGGCCGAGCAAGTTGGTGAGAACGGCAAGCCCAAGGGTTTTGCCGCCTCCTACCTCGCCAAGGATCTGAGCAAGATGCATGGGCACGTCCCCCACTACGACAACAAGACGGAACATCTGTACTCTTTCCTTCAAGTCATGACTGCCGCCACCGCCAGTTTTGCGCATGGTGCTAACGATGTCTCAAACGCTATTGGGCCTCTCGCCGCCATCTTCTTGATTTGGAATACCGGTGAGACGTCCTCCAAGTCTCCCGTCCCCATTTGGATCTTGGTCTTCGGAGGTGCCGCCATCTCCATCGGTCTCTGGACATATGGCTACAACCTCATGATCAACCTTGGCAACCGTCTGACGCTCCACTCGCCCTCGCGTGGTTTCTCCATGGAGCTCGGTGCTGCCCTGACTGTCATCTTGGCCACCCGTCTCGGTCTTCCCATTTCTACCACTCAGTGCATCACCGGAGCTACCGTCGGTGTCGGTCTTTGCTCGGGTACCTACAAGGCCATCAACTGGAGGATGATCGCATGGATCTACATGGGCTGGATCATCACTCTCCCCATCGCGGGTATCATCTCCGGTGGCCTTATGGGTATCATCATCAACGCTCCTCGTTGGGGACTGCAGCCAAATGAGATCTAAATCAAAAGTTTCGTATCGTCTCGGGTCGTAGGAATCTGGCCTATCGATTGGTTCTCTCGGAGGGGAAGGTTTGGTGTGCGGTGATCAAACTCCAAGTCACTCTTTCTTCTCAGTGAGGTTTTGTCATTTGCCGCGATGCGCGCCGTTGATATCTCTTTCTTTCCCTCTTATCTTTTCTCTCTTCCTCTGCGTGTACGTTCAAATTGACCTGTGTCGGGTTGTATGCATGTTTGTAGAATATTCCGTTAATATACTGTGGCAATTCAACCACTATCCATGATTATTTATCTGTGCAAATGCCGATATTATTTGAAATTCACCCATCGCGGCTGGGAATTTTCAACCTTTGGTTATGCGGCCTTCGTTGGTTGACATGTATTGGAAGTTGGTTAACAGCCCAACCCTCTCTTGCGCAGTGCGGCTTCGTTCCCATCGGAAGCTAAGACATGCGGTGCCTATATTATAATTCGTCACATTTTGCAGACGTCTTGCGCCTATTGACTGTGTCGACCAGTCCCTTTGGCGATGTTGTCGATTCAGATGTTGGCGATGTTCCATGTTGGTTCGGAGGAATCGATCGATCATGTGGCTGCCCACACGGTGCGATGATGATCTAAGAAAGCTTGTGAAACATACGCTGGGCATCAACCAATAAATCACCGTAAACTTGTTTCATACATGCTAACATAGTCACGCTATCCCTATGATGGCTAGACAGCATGTACACTACTTACCATCCTCCTCTTCATAGTCCCAACCCACGCCTCTTGGACGACAGAGTTGAGCATAACACCGCTGCAACCAAATATTATCGTGGAAATAAAGCTACTGTGATTCTTTTTGTCTCGTCTTGGTCATATGCTGACTTTTCCGGACCTTTTTTGCATACTTTTCAATCCGGCCCCCCAATTGGTGACTTTTCAAGTTTGACGATATCAATTTCACGTATTTAAACGCATATTCTACTTTTTTAGAAAAATATCAACGTCACCACGACAGATCAAATCACATAAAAAAGGCATATATCGATGTTTTACGGCCACGGCTTTTAGATAGAATAGTTTTTATCTGACCAAGAGAATGTGGTTGGGCAGATGTGCAGTATGTGGGTTGGTAGAGGCTTCAGCTGTATGGCGAATGACAACGATGGGATACCGATACAGCTACAACAACAGCATGCATACAACATCAGACCCAGTAGAACGACCAGTAAAACGCGACGAACGAACAGATATGTAAAGGTCTTGTATTTCGTATGTACGGACGCTACTGTTACAACACAGGAACAAGATTCGAGTAGGTATACACGAGCACATAATAACACCACCACCAACACAGCATCTCGAATACATGCCACAGCACACCTCATTGATGGCGCACACACTATAGCTGCAACAGACATCGTTCAATTCATCCACCCCAATTCACCTATTCTTACAATAGATAATGACCAAACCCAACGCTGTGACAATGCTAAGAAGCCCCTCCCCTCCCACCAAAACGAGACCTCACTCACATATACATTGATGCGTGTACTGCAACAGAGCTAGCGCATCTTTTCTCTTGCGAACAATGGATGAAAGGAAAAAAAGGGGAAAAGGGTGTTGTTGATTGCAATAAGAAGATAGTAAGATGCTTAAACGAGAAGCATCTTCCTGGGGTCCTCGATGAACTCCTTGACCTTCACGAGGAAGGTGACAGCCTCCCGTCCATCGAGCAGACGGTGGTCGTAAGTCAAAGCAAGATACATCATCTAAATATGGTTAACATCTTCCGATACGAGAAAAGATTGAGTGACTTACTGGTCGGATCTTGATCTCGCCGTTCACAACGACGGGCTTATCCTTGATGGCGTGGAGACCAAGGACAGCGGTCTGTGGCAAGTTGATAATGGGAGTTCCCATCAAGCTGCCGAAAACACCACCGTTGCTGATAGTGAATGTACCTCCAGCCATATCTTCAATCGTGAGCTTGTTGTCCCTAGCCTTCTTACCGAGATCCGCGATGGACTGCTCGATTTCGACCATGTTCTGTGACTCGGCGTTACGCACGACAGGGGTAACCAGACCCTTCTCAGTGGCAACGGCCACAGAAATGTCGACGTAGTCACGGTAGACGATGGTGTCACCGCCGTTGGGTCCCTCGATGGATGCATTCACAGCTGGGATATCCTTCATGGCCAAAATACAGGCACGAGAGAAAGCTGACATGAAACCGAGTTTGACGCCTTGCTTCTTGAGGATCTCATCCTTGTACAGCTTGCGGAACTCCATGATGGAGGACATGTCGACTTCGTTGAACGTGGTGAGGGAAGCAGCAGTGTTCTGGGATTGCTTGAGACGTTCGGCGATGCGTAGGCGCATACGGTTCATCTTGACGCGTCGCTCCTCGCGACCACCAGGCGCAGATGTGGACTTGGACTCAGATTCCTTTGGTTTTTGCTCCTTGGGGGGAGACTTCTGGGGAGGAGGGGTGGGCTTGGACTCCTGTTTAGGGGGTTCCGGTTTTGACTCCTCCTGTTTGGGTGGCTGAGATTTCTCCTGCGACTGCTCCTGCTGGCCTTCGGGTTGCGAGGAAGTCTCCTGCTCTTTTGGCGCGGCGTCCTTGGGCTCTTCCTTGGCCTCTTTCTTTGAACCGCCAGAAGGCTCACCACCGAGCTCGAGCTTCACGAGGTCTTGTCCCACGGTGACGGTATCCTCCTCGCTAACCAAGAATTCCTTGATAGTACCGGCTTCGGGGGCGTTCACAGAGACATCGATCTGAACAAGTTATAACCAACTCCAGACACAGTGTTGAATAGTGCGTACCTTGTCCGTCTCGATGGTGGCAATTTCCTCATCTGCCTCGACATAGTCGCCAACCTCTGCATACTCGTTAGCAAAGTCTGCAAATTTTCAATCCAGTATGCGCTCACCTTTTGACCATTGCTTCAAAGTTCCTTCTGTGATGGACTCGGCCATCTGCGGGACCTTGACCACTGTGTCGGCTACGAACTACGTTAGCAACTGAGTCTCGCAGATAGGCTGCAAACAAGGTACCATAAGTTCGTGATTGGGAAATGAGGGTGATGTGCGATGGGGACAAATGTCCAGGGCGTCTGATGACGTATCAGCTATGGTTCTTCGCAGGCTCTGAGGGGTGTTACGCACCTTGACGCCTGGCTCAAAAGACCGGACGATGTCGCTCTTGATACGGCTGAGTAGCTTCGGGTCGCATTGCTGCTGGTGGATAGACGGGCAGCTCGAGAGGAAGCGCGCATCAAAGGTTGAGATCGCAGAGGCGCGGAGGCCGCAAGGCGGCGGAGACACTGTTGGCCAGACATGACGGGAGGACGAACAGCAGACAGACAGGCGAGGAGAGGAATGAAGTGGATGGAAGTGGGAGACCAAGGGGTGGAGGAGGGCGAGGATACAATTTGTGAGGGAATTGATTTCACGGAGCAACAAGACCGGGCAGAACAGGGCTGCTGGCAGAGCTCTGTCATGTCTTGTCTCCCTCCGGCCGGGAAAGAGCGGCCGTGCACACACTAGGGCCAAAGCCAACCCAACGTCAACCCAGGACCTGCTGCTCTCTATATCGTGACGACCAGCCATTGCGCCCGCTGCCCATACATTTGAGACGTGTCACCACCCGATCCGACCTCCCCCGAGGTCTCGCGTTATCGCCATGAGTTCCAAGCTGACTGTTCTGTGCGTGCCCGCCCGCCACAGCTGCCGGGCTATGGATCCCCTCACACGATGAATGCATCGCTAACACGATGCAGCCACCTATACCGGCGCTCACTAAAGCTATCCCTCGACTGGGCTGTTCACCGATATCTCTGGCGGGGCCAGGCTATGTACATCCGCTCGTTGTTCGAGGCGAACAAGCACGTCAACGAGCCTCGCCTGAAGCGCGTATGCATAATCGACAGGACTTCGCATTCCAACACCATGATTGACCGAGTTGTAGGAGCTCATCAAAGAGACCGAAGATCTGCTGGAGAAGTGGAAGCACCCCGACCCATACGTTGCGCCTACGGCGCCTGGAGGTGAGTTCGGAACTCAAATCTATGAACGTAGGACCCATTACTGACATGCATAGGCTCCAAGTACGAACGCAATCTACCTGCTACTTATTTGACTCGTACGTCTTCACCTCATTTGATCTCTGCTTGTTCTAATGTTGGCAGCTCCCCCGAACATGAAGTTGTAAGGAGAAAGGGTAGTGATGGCTTTGTACATATATCGCAGGAACGTCTGTCAGGTAAACTGACGCGAATCACACGAAATCAAAATCAATTTTCTTTGTTCAAGATCATTCGCTCTTCAAAACAACATGAATGCTTTACAAATGATATATCCCGTTGGCATTTGGATAGAGATATTGGCCTATGCATAATTAACAAATCTTTTCCGTCTGATTGTCCAACTATTACGCCAAATGCGATGAATTCGAAGACCGCCACCATTTCGCAAAGAGATCGCACTGAAATTTCAATAATATTTGATTTGTACATATTTCTCGCAGAATCATCACGTTGATTCCACAAACTCGAGAACCACGAGCAACGCGCAAAATGCGCGTTCTGCAGATGGGTCAAAGAAAGCTCGATTCACTATGGTCTCGAGTGAAGCAATTGCGCAATGCATGCGTGGTAGCTGGTCGATGGTAACCAGCAACCGACTGTCGCATCGAGTGAAACATGAATGGCTGCCAAAGTGATATGCGACATTCGGACCTGAAAAGAAATCGAAACTGCACAAAGATGAAAAGACAAGTTTTGAAGTAATCCTTAATTGCTCATGAGCCACCCATCATCTGGGAATAATGTATAGCTCTGGTATTTAGACCCTAGAAAAGCCGTGAAACCGCACGGAGACCCAGACCCGAACCCCATTATCATGAAATGAAAACACCATACCGCGCCGAAAAGAAAAGCACATTTACATCTCCTGGGAACCAGCGTTCTTGCCAGGCTTGGCGGTCTTCTTGGGAAGGAGGTCTGAAACGTATGTTAGTTGATGAATCAGGATATGCGATAACGGAAAACGTACTCTGGTGAATGTTGGGGAGGACACCACCCTGGGCGATGGTGACGTGGCCGAGAAGCTTGTTCAACTCCTCATCGTTGCGGATGGCGAGCTGAAGGTGACGGGGAATGATACGGGTCTTCTTGTTGTCGCGGGCAGCGTTACCGGCCAACTCGAGGATTTCGGCAGCGAGGTACTCGAGCACAGCGGCGAGGTAGACGGGAGCACCGGCACCGACACGCTGGGCGTAGTTGCCCTTGCGGAGAAGACGGTGGACACGACCGACGGGGAAAGCGAGACCAGCCTTGGAAGAACGACTAAAGATGAAAGTTAGAAAATGCTTTGAATGCTGCAAATGGATGAGAGAGGTGAGATTGGACTAGACAACACAGAATGACTTGAAAACCAAAGCCGAAAAAAGGTAGTGAACCAAACAAGACGCGTTGGATCCAAGTCGCCATGGAAGACGCGTCAAGAAATGAACAAAACCCGAGGATGGAAAACCATTCAAGGTAAAAGTATGCGAAAAGCAAATAGGTGCCAAAGGCCCGAGATGAGAGCCAGAGGAAAGAGGAATTGGGAAGTACTCACGATTGGGCGCTGGACTTGGAGCCGCTGGCCTTGCCTCCGGATTTGCCGCCAGTCATTTTGATAGAGGTTTTGAGTTTGGGTAAAACTGAAAAAGTAGAGGGGAGTGGGAGATGGGGATGGCAAAAAGGCGCGTTGGTTGAATGTGGTGGGAGGGCGAGAGTGTCGAGAAGATGGAGAGCAAGTCGACGTTGGGGCGGGGAGGCAGCTTATAAGGAAGGCGCGGCGGTGTTGTGGTGCGCGAGATCAACCTGTCTCGCTAGCGCGCTTGCGGCATCTGCGACGAGCGGCGGGCGCTGAGATCACGCTTCCCAGCCTCTCGCCGCCTCGCTTAAGCATCCAAACTGGAAGGGAGACGTCTGCACGGACCACCCGCCGCCGCCGGATCACAACATCGAGCGCGCTCCCCATAAGAAGCGCGTCCCCCGCCGCTGCTCGACTTCTCTTCTTTATCTCGATACTCCACCCGCCATCAACCCATTTCAATCAACCACCAGCTTTACGCATTCTCACCACTTTTTCTCACCTCAACTTCCACCTCCATCTCCAAAAATGCCTCCCAAAGCCCAGAAGACTCCTACCACTGGTGGCAAGGCCCCAGCTGGCAAAGCTCCCGCCGAGAAGAAGGAGGCTGGCAAGAAGACCGCCGCTCCCTCTGGCGAGAAGAAGAAGCGCACCAAGACCAGGAAGGAGACCTACTCTTCTTACATCTACAAGGGTGAGTTTGCAATTTTCACCTCTTGATCCGCGCAACAGGCTGCACTTTATGCAATCGCGTTCCATCGCGTGTCCTTTGCGCGATTTCCCCCTCTCACTTCCTGCCTTATCAATGGCATTTGTTGTTTGAGTCACAACTAACGCGTCTTTTGCAGTCCTCAAGCAGGTCCACCCTGACACCGGTATCTCCAACCGTGCCATGAGCATCCTCAACTCTTTCGTCAACGATATCTTCGAGCGTGTCGCTACTGAGGCCTCCAAGCTCGCCGCCTACAACAAGAAGTCCACCATCTCGTCACGCGAGATCCAGACCTCGTACGTACTCACCCATTTCCGCATTTGGAATTCTATTTCATGTTTTCTAACATGCAATCACAGTGTCCGCCTTATCCTTCCCGGTGAACTCGCCAAGCACGCCGTCTCTGAGGGTACCAAGGCCGTTACCAAGTACTCTTCTTCCGCCACGAAATAAGGGTGCTGCTGTCGTGTGCTTTCTTTGGGTTTCTTTCTTCATCTTTGTTTGATGAAGGTGGTTATGGAATGGTGTTCATGGGTCATTTTAATGCGATCATGGGACGGTTTGCTTGTTTCCAAGGCCTTTTGAGGTCTGATTAAGGGGTCAAATATCCGAGGGTGTATAGTGTATCCCTCACCGGAACGAATCAATTCTTCCAGTTCATTTCACTTGTTTATCCACTTCCATTTTGTGAATTTGTCTGTCCCTTTTTCTTTTCTCTAACATTTCCATTTAGTCTTCTGACTTCAGAAGGTATCATTCTGGACCCATTTGACGCTCACATAGGCATTGCCATATCACGTCAAATTCAGCTTGCGGTATCGCGTCATATGGAAACTTCATTTTTAGGGCGTCGAGATCAAATCTCGATCTTCTCCACGTTACGAAAATCGTACATTAGACAAGTACACGGAAATCTGATATATTCAACCATTTCAGACTCAGAATGTGCATTTCGGATTCCATGAGAATTGTCGGATATATTCTACCTTCCCAGAAGAAAAAGAACGAAAGAAAAAACGCCAGAATTCAACTCCAAAATCTCGATGCAGTTATCTAACATTTGGGGGGAGCACGTCTCCCACGTTACGTCTGGCAAACGGGATCGACAGCGCGTCATGATGACAAGGGACATCAAGCGCCCCCCGCACGTACGTCTTTACGCGTTCAAGAATCCTCTACCGGATTTCCGAGTTTCCAGAGCGCGCTCGCTTACTCGAGCCCTTCCTCATCGAAACTTTCTACTTCGTCGATAGCCCCCTCCCTCTCCTGTCCACGTTGGGGCGGTTCCGTATCGCTGACGTGTATAATGGCTTTACCTTGCACACTGACGACGCTCTCCTTCCACTTCTCCAGATCGTCCTCGTTGCGGAGGAGGAAAGCGAGGAGCATAGACGGGTCCATTTCGCGGACATCGAGGCTGCGGAGGCGGCGCGTGTGACAGGCTGCCACCTCTTCTATTGTATATGTGGTTGGATCTTCACGGTAGGGCAGGTAGGGACGTGTGTTGTGAGGGTCTAGGTAGAAGAAGTTGTTGCCTTGTGTTCCAACGAAGTAGTGGGATGCGGATGGGCGACCCCTGCGTACTGTTAGTAGCTAGTAGCAAAATCACAGTGTGCATGTTTTATCCGCGTGTGGAATAACTCACCCTGCTATGCCAACACTCTGTGTCAGTTGTAGTGCTGACTTTAATGCTTCCCAATATATGGGGTTGATCTTGTCGATGCCTAGCCTCGTCCCTACGAGGACCAAGGTCGGATGGAAGACACCGTCCTCCATAGCGATCTCTTTCAGCTTATCTTCGTACACATCGGCACCATCGCCAGAGACATAAACCTTTAAGCCCGCTGTGTCATACTTATTCACAAGGTCTTGTATACAACGCGCGGCTGCTGAGGGACCGAACCACTCCCCGGGGTACTTGTTACACACGGCAGCTCCGTGCTCTACGAAACGATGTATAGAAAATGGCGCTTTCGGATCGTCAGCGAACAACGAAAGGAGGGGAAGATGGCTATTCTCGGGGCCCGATGCGCTGATTCTCCAATCTACACCTGGGTCAGTCCAAATCTAGCACAGTAGTATCACAGGTGAGGGACCGACCTCGTCCCAGGCGCAAGGCAAGCAGAGAGTTGGCCAGAATACATTGGCCAGACCGTATCATGCACCCAAAGCCCTGATCGGACGTGAAAGCGTTCTGAGTCAGGTTCTGCATGCGGACACGAAAGGTCATGGCCGCTGTTGCCTTGCGATCCTGGCTCCTCTGTATAGGACTGAAGCCCGACCGGTATGTCATCCATATCCTCGACTCCAAGTCATCCAAGAAGGGCGGTGGCCAACCGCCATACTGCGCAGGGACCTCTCCGTTGGCAGCCTCCTTGCGCTCCGATTCTTCGGTGCTGGTTTGTATCCAGCTATCATCGTCGTTGGTGCTTTTACGATCGGATTGTGGTGCAGGAGGAGGGGATGCGGCGGGAGGTGTGCTCGTTGCGTCATATGCAGAGGACTTTGGGTCGTATTGGTGGCCTAGACACCATATGGGAGAAACGCCGTCATTCGTGGGCAAGGGGTCGTAGAAGGTGCGGAATATGGTTCTGCCTACGCGTTCGATGTCATTCATAGCGGGCGTGGCGAGTTGGATAGGCTGGGAGGAGGTCGGCGTTTGAGGAACAGGTGTAGGTCGTGATGGGTTCGTCAGAAGGAAATCAGGTTACAAGCATAGCTGCACGCAGAGGAAGCCAATAATATAGGACGGCAGCAGGAGTGAATACAATAACGGGAAAGAAATCAGCAGTCGTGTAATCTAGGAGTAGCGGTGATGGTTGATGTTGGTGATGGTGGAAGGCCGAGAGAGACTGGTGCAGCTGCTGGTATGCTGGAGTATGCTATGGGGCTGAGGTCACTCGCATGGATGCCTGTCGTCTGCGGGGGAGGGGTCCAGCGGACCATTCATCTACATAAGCAGATGACGGGTCAGTCGGAGATCAAGCAAACATTTGAAGCTACGAAGCGCTCTGCCGGCAAGAAGACAAAGATAAAAGTCGCTGCCCGATTTATTTTTACGGTTGAATAAATAGCAAGCAAAAAATCACTCTGTTGAAATACACATGTAAGCATGTCTTGCACGGGCGAGCTGTCCCATTCCAGCGAGTCTGTCACTAATCGATTACACGTCCACGGCAGAAGCACGTGTGGGCAAGCATGTCTTGAATAAAGAAAGATGGGCTCTTGCTGTTATAGAGTCTATCTTCCATAGCATCACCTTGGACTCATCATCAACTTTCAGCTTGCACGCATTTATTGGTAGTCGAGGTTTGGCCGCAATGTCGCATCCGGTATCCATTATTAAGTCGTCGTAGTTGACAAGGTACGTACCTGTCCTACTGGCTAACGGGCAGCCCCACCGCCACCGCAAAGCCGCCGCCTGACCGCATCATCACTCTTTCAAAGGCAATTGTCGTCAGGGTGGCGCATCTGTCAATCTACGATCACCTGCCTCCTCTACAGTCGCTGTCAACACACGGCCATCACTCACGGCGACAATTCCATCATGGCGAGGAAGAAGGGCAAGAATGGCAAGCCCAAAGCCAAAGGCGGCGCCGCGAAGTCAGTACCTCGCCAGTCCCAGCCAAAGCGTGCGTCGCAATTCTATGGCGACGCCCAACAAAATTCAGGTCGTACGTTCCTTCCTAATTCTATGCGTTTGGGTTGTTTGTTTGTTTGTTTGCTTCTCGTGTCTTGGACCACCTTCGTTCTTGTTGACACTGCCTAGCACCCACACGCTTTTCGCTCCGCGACGAGGCACGTTGGACTTCAAATCACCGCACCACTGCATTCGATTCCTCCAAGAAACTTCGCAATATGCCTATTGCCTTCGTGAGTGCCGGTTTCCTCGAGGGAACCCTGGAGAAAAAAAGTGTGCCACCACTCGAATCCAAAGACCGTCCTGTGTCGCCACCAGATGTCAACACCCAGGAAATGGCCGATATGACAATACACAGTTCGTCGCCCTCGCCATCTGTCGCTTCTTCTTCGGGCGCCTCTAGCGAGGAAGTCGTCGTGTTCAAAGGCCGTGCCCAGCCTCAATCGGCTCCCTCAATTGAGCAATCCGCGGATGCACCTTCGGATAATACCCGCCCCACTAATGAGCATGCCAAATCTACTGTGACTTCTCTAACCGTTGCGATGGCATCGTCTGCTGTGAAATCTGGTCCGGAGTCCGATGCCGTTTCTAAGCAGCGTCGTGATGGCAAGCCAGCATGGGAGGTTCAAGCGCCCGCCGAATGGGTCTCAAGGAGCAAGCCAAGAATCGGATGGCTGCCTTCGAGAGACCGGCCGAACATGGAGGCATTCTTACGCGGTGAGGTTGACCCACGTACCATGCACCATGATGTACAAAACATATGGGAAAATGAAGAAGTTCTCAATATTGCTTCGACATTCGCCAATCGCCCCTTGGATCTGGATGGCGGCACTGATAGCGAATGGGGGCTTAGTCCAGACCAATCCGAGAGTCAAGATGAGGAGGATGACATGGATGGCTGGGATTCGGATCAGCTACGCGATCTTGACGATATGAGTACGTCCACGGATATGGAGGGGAAGGTGATCCGCATCCTTAACAAACGTACGCGCAAGAGTGGCCCACAGTACCTGGTAGTATATGAAGGCTCGGTGGCAGACGACGCGCGCTGGTTGCCTGCAACATTTCTTACGGACGTGGCAGATCAGGAGCTTGTTCGCAAATTTGAAGCGAAACTGGCTGCCCGCCCTGCTCCAGAAAGCTCGACTAGTGAAGATGATTCGGAGCTTGATGAACTGGATGACGAGGACAATGACGAGGAGGAGGAGGAGGACGATGACGATGACGATGATGAATCACTAGACGACGAGACCTTAGCACGGGTGTTACAGAAGCAGGAAGAGCTCGGTCTGGGATCTGAGGAACTGCTTCTACACGCCGCCGACGAGTACTTCAAAGATGACTGGGGCTCTATAAGCGGGATGGACTCCATATCTTTCAGTCGTCCAAACAAGCGACGCCAATTTCGAGCTGGTGGAGGTAGGCGTGCAGAGCCACATTTTCCTTCCGCTTCGGCTATGGCAGATGCATTATCACAAGATGCATACGGTGGCTTCGACGTTATGGATTTCGAGCGACCATCGCTTCGACCTCTGAAGAAGGGTCGCCGCAACAAATTGCCACCAGAGCTTGAAGATACGGAATTCACCGAACAGTTTCGTGAGCAGTGGGACGCTGATCGAGCGAAGAAGCGACTGAAGAAGGCCGAGCGAGAAGAACTTCGAAAGCAGGGTCTACTGGGTCGCAAGGGCAAAGCACCCGACTTGAGCGTCAAGTACAGCAATGGTGCAGATTTCGTGGACATAACGGAAGAGATACGCAGCTTCATGGCATCTGACAAGCAGTCACTCTCGCTTCCTCCCATGGATTCCCGCCGGCGCGCTGTCATCCATCAACTCGTCGACTACATTGGCCTCTCTTCAAAGTCTCGTGGCGCCGGCGCAAATCGATTCACCGTCCTGGCCAAGACTCGTCGGTCAGTCGCGTTCGATGACGACGCTTTCGATGCGCTCATCGATCAGAAGAGGTTCCGGAGTCGCTGGGGACGTGTCGATACGACCCCTCGTGGACCGAAACAAGCCAAGGGTAAGGGCGCCAGCGGTCGTGCCGGTCGTCCCAATGTGGGCTACAAGGACGGCGATGTCGTGGGTGCTTCGGCTCCTGAGCTGGGTCCTGAGAATCGCGGTCGTGCTTTGCTGGAGAAGATGGGATGGTCTAAGGGGATGGCTCTTGGTGCTCATGAGAATAAGGGTATTCTGCAACCGATCGCTCATGTTGTGAAGACCAACAGGGCGGGTCTGCAGTAAGGGAGTGATGGGCATTCCACGGTTCTTTCTGGTGGAGAGCGTTCTCTACGGCCAATATATGTGCCGAGATGCGTTCGTGTCTTGCCCGCTATCACTCGGATTTGTGCATTCACGAAATGGTGTTCGGAGCATTGTATGATATTCATGAGAGGGACTGATGAAGCAAGTGTACTTGTACGACTTTCGGGTGGATTGGTCCTTTTTCTTCTTCAGGGAGCACAACGGTTACACTTGAGACACTTTTCTTTCGTTGCGGGTATCCCAATATCCGCTACGGACTTTTTATGGAGCGATTTGTAGCTCCGACGATGCACTGCAGCGTTTCCTCGATGGAAGGGATCGCTTCACGTGTCACCTGTACACTACATCTTGGACGGGATTGATTTTGTGTGCGGTGCGATACCGGTGCCATGGTCGCTCGCGACTGCGGTATTATCCTTCACTCACACCGATCCCCCGCTTCCCGCCCTTACTAAAAAAAAATTGAATAACTTGTAATGAAAGAACACACTCTCACCCTGTAGACTTCTTTGTGATGTTGTCATTCTTGTCCAAGTAGAATTAAACTGTGTGGGCTGGAGCGATCGATCCTTTGGGACACTCTGCTCCCTCCACATATACAAAGACACAGCACGTATACTTACATGTCTTCCCCCACTCTTTACATCTCTTTATCCATTCTGTTTCCCTTCTCTACGTGCAGAATGTAGCCTTCTTTCAATATCCTTTCGATTTAGTGTTTGTCGAAGTGAGTTTTTTTTCCGTCGACTATACGATATTTTGTGATTCTAAACTAAAAATACATGTGAAAACCATACTATCTACTCGAAAATAAAACCAGTGCTCCCGCAACTCACCGAAAAATGCCTCTAGACTTAATAAAATTATATACCTGAGGTTGATAGAGACGGTGAATGTTGTTTTAGATGAAATGGAGGAGGAATGGTGGGTGGTATGTGTGTGTGGGTGAGAGTGGTGCTGTTCCACAGTTACTTTCTAATGACCACCATTACTATCACTACAACCATTATCCCGACGGAACTACTTTACTTTGAGTTGATACCACCGCGTTGAGTGTCGACTTTTTTTTTTTTTGTTGGATTTGAAGTTACAGTGTTTCCTTTCCCTTCCCCTTTTTATTTCTTCTTCCCTGCGGATGAGATATTGGTATAATGCTGCTTAACGTGTAGTAAGCCGCACCTCTACAGCCTTTTAATTCAAATTCTTTGTAGTGAAAATCGGGAAGAGAGTCCAGCGTGTTCTCGTCTGCTTTTTTCGTTCTATTATTGCTATAAACCTATCGTTATGTGTAGCATCACCCAACCCCCGACTTACAATTCAGTCCAGCGCGTTCATATCAAATGTAGAACGATAGTATAGATCGGTGCAGGAGGGGATTCGTTCAGAAAAAAAAGATGACGACAACAAATAGAAAGACGTAATATTGTAAATTGTATCCGCCCTCCGCTCGATGTAGCGCCATGGATCCTTCCTGTAACGCCGCGCTCAATCATTTACCCTTTTTGTATATACCTAGGGATAACGTAACGTATATGCTTGAATATCCAGCAAGAGCCGTAAAAGAAAGAAGAAGAAGAAAAATAAAATAGAGAAAAATACAAAGAGAAATCGAACACGACAGAACGAACCCCCTACCTCCCGCCAACCTGGCCCCTAGGAATCGGTCTAATCCAACCGACAGCCAGATTGATACCCAAAGTCATAACCCCGACGATCCAAAAAACTTTCCCATAGTTCTTGCCGTGATATCTGAAAATGATGGCGAAGACGATGCCGCCCAAGTTGCCGGCGGCACCGGTGACTCCGCTGACGACGCCATTGGCGTGGGGATGCACGTGCGGCACGAGGCCGAAATCAGCACCGTTGCCGCCTTCGAGGAAGAAGGCCATGCCCGCGACGAGGCCGAACATGGTCGCCTGGGACTTTGAATCCAGGACGCCGATGACGATGAGGAAGATGCCCGTGAGGATGCCGTACGTGTGCAGGACCGCCTTTTTGGCCCAGACAGAGCGGGTGCGTCTATATGCTAGATCGGAGATGTAGCCGCCTAGAGGTCTGGTGACGCCGTTTAGGAGGCCGAACATGGCGGCCCAGTTGCCCGTTTGCTGGAGCCCCAGCGTCGGGAAGTTCTTGGAGTAGTAGTTTCCTAGGATGGAGTTGATTGCGAGTTCGGCGCCGAAGGTGCAGAAGTAGCATGCTGCGACGGTGAGGGTGGGGAGCGAGAACATGACGGCGAGCATGTCGCGCAGGGACGGTTTGCGGATGACTTCGCCGCGAGCGGAATCGAGCATGTCTTGGTCGGTGGTTTGGTGTTCCGAGTCCTTCCAGCCGTGGGGTTTTTCGGAGGAAGAGGCCGAGTCGGGCGTATCTTTTTCGGTAGGGGCAGGGGGCGCGTCGGTGATGCTGCCTGTGGCATCGACGCCCGAGACGACACTGTGTCTTCGGAGGGATTCTTCGGCGGCCGCTTGACGTGAGTTCCAGCTTCCCGATGGGGTGTCCTCGCCCAGGATCAAGAGGCATGCTGCTACGAACACGATCAAGACTCCTGGCACAACGAAGCTGACTCTCCAAGCTTTGTGTTTGGGCAGTCCGTCTTTGACGAGCCCGTTGTATACTGCGGGCATGACGAAGTATGTGATTCCGCCTCCCAGGTTACCCAGTCCTCCGGTGAGAGCATTGGCGGTCCCGACGACGTTCTTATCGAAGAATCCCGTGGTCCAAACTTGACAGGGCACAAAGGAGCCACCAAGGATCCCAATGAAGAATCTCAGTGCGTAGATACCCCGCGCATTCTGCACGGTTCCGGCAAGAAAGGTGGGAATGGCTCCAGCGAGAAGACACCCAGCGAATGTCAAACGTGGTCCGAAGCGATCGCAGCACGGTCCGGCGATGAGGCGAACAATAAGACTGCGCATCTCAGTTAGAAAACCGGAAATCTAGTATGATACATGACGAAGATCGATCAGTGTTGGAGTGAGTACGTACGTTGCGGTCAAAGCGATGATGTTCGAGTTGGCGACCTCAAAGCTCTTCATGTGTATGTCTTCTGCAATCACATCTGCCAGGAGAGGTGGAAATGCTATCAAAAGAAACAGATGGTCAGCGTCAAGATGCTTGAGATGTTTTGTGACTTTCTCGAGTGAAAGAACGTCCAAACGTACCATACCAAGACCAAAAGGCAATCATAAACCCAAACCAGGAGAAGAAGAAGGTCCGTCCATACTTGTCGGTGATGGGATTCAAGAATGGTATCGACCGGGCCTTCTTGGTAACGGGATTGATCTCGGGGTGTGCCCACAGAAGCGAGAGGTTGACCATATCGACACACTGTTGCAATCGAGATCAATTACAGTACACTCGACGTGTAGGATTAGAATGGCCGAGCAACGAATGATCCCGATGAAGATGCCTTGATAGGTTGTGCAACAGCAACGAAAAAGGAAAGGGGGTCTTATATGCTGCGTTTGATATCGGAGGGGGAGGAGCACCCCCGATGTTTGTATGCCGTCATCGCATGCATAATGGGAGAAATAAATATCTCCGTTGGAGTAGATCAGCTCGTATGAACAATTCCGCGGGGAAAGATGGACCCAGCTATCTGTGCTTGCAGGAGCCAGGGTATGTGTGGGTGCGCCATGGGGGTATTGTCAGATGAATAGGCGCTTCAAAAGGCTCGAGTGGCCCAGACCAGAGGGCATACGGGCGTGGCTTGATTCGAGAAGTCGAGAACTTGGATATACTCCCAGAGACGATGCTTTCCTTCAAGATGGTGAAGCAAAATGTGCGGAAATGGCGAGTGAATTGGTCACAGCATCTCACGGAGACGCGGGTACTCTGAGAGTGAAGTGCATAGAAAGAAGCCCATCATTGGCTGGATGAGAACAAGACGCCGTCGATCGTCTTATCAGACAACCTCAGTAGTGTAGATGCGGGTTGTACGAATCGAGCGGGCCTTATCAGTAGCTGGAGGTGCAGCAGATGCCACTCCTATGTCCATGGGCAACGAGATGAGTTCTTCCGCGGCCAGTCTGTGGATTCACAGTGTTGGATCCACCGTCTCACGTTGCTTGAAGCGTAGAATTGGCAGTCTGAACAGGTGCTGCAAATACAGGAGAAATTCAGACCCATGCGCCATCTGATTGCCCTTATCAGTAGCCTTGCAGCACATGGTATGCTGGGTTCCCAAAATGGACACGAGTGAGTCCTCCTGGTGTCGAGAGCGTCAGAATAAGCCGGGGACAAAGTTGCTCGGTGGTGCCTTATTTCCAAGCAAGCCGTGTCAAGACTGCGCCGTAATTCTTGAACGAGATGTGTATCGTGGTGCTCGTGAGCTTGGCAGTGTCGAGGTGGATGTTCCCGAGACGGCGGCCCCTAGATTGGTTTTGGCGTGCGAGATGTCTCGAGCCTTATCTTGGACTGGCAGGGCCAATGAGATGCGAGCTAATGCCCCGAGGAGATGTCAGCCACAACACGTTCGTGCCAGATTACGAGTGGGTCAGGATTCATAAAGGACTTGACTGATGATCATCTTATTCAGATTCAAACGTGGCTAATATTGTTACTACTCCCCCTTCTCCCACCATCCCCCCGGCAAACGACAGGACAATCCCATCCGAGGAGCCACACCGAAATAGCAATTTCAAACAAAATCCCGCCCAAATGCACATGCCAGGATGTATTAGAATAATGAAAACGGGGCTGGTACTGGAATATCATCGGGTAGCGCCGTGCTAAGAGAGGAAAACCGAAACTCCAGACTGTAACCGTGTCGATTTTGTACCGCCGAGGTGTAAGACAGAATAGGAAATTCGTTAATTGTGGTCGTTAATACATGAGTGGCGAGACGTGCTATGAAGCGTCCGTGGGTGGAGGAGTCGGAGGTTCGATGACGGGCGGGGGTTCCGGATCGATGATTTCTTCCGAAGTAGGAGGAGCTGGAGGGGGCCGTGTGGGTTCTTTGGGTACGACGACCTCGCCCGTTCTTGGCTTTCGTCCATATACGACATAACTGTGCCGTCAGCGCCATAGGGCATTGTACCGTCCACGAACGAACTCACATTTTGTTGTAGGCATGCACACTGCGATCCGACAGTGCTTTGCGAACCTGGACCAAGTACACCTCGATCTCATCCTTTGTCCATTCCAGTCCTCTGGTGAACAGCTGCAAGCTCCAGGCCTGCAAACCATCCAGGTAGCACGTCTCGTTGAACCGGCCCAGCATTTTGAATTGGGGGTCCTTGGGCCATGAATTGAGCGGTAGCTTGAATACCTCTTCGTGGACATCGACAAAACCAGCTTGTTCGTACCACCTCTTCAGCTTGTTGGCGATGCGTAGAGGTTTCCCGAGGTTCATGGCGGCTTGATCTTGTGTCTGCACCCACTCGGCGTAGGGCCAGCTGCCAGCCATGGTCCCGTCGTCGCAATACACTGTTGGCATGATCTCTTGAGATTCCATCCAAGCACCCGGTTTCAAATGGCGGTACGATGATTTGATCACTTCACGAAAGTCCTCGAAACATCCTATGAGGAGTCTGGTGTGGATGAAATCCATGGGGTCCAGCATCCAATCTTCCTCGTTTGCGTCATCGATGACGAACTTCACGTTGTTGGGCACCCTATAGATGTTTTTGATTAGCCTGTGAAAGGAATCGAGCCTTGGGGTGGATTCGTGATATTACCATTCGGGCTGTATAGGCGATAGGTCTGTTCCGGTCACCTGCAACGTCATGTTAGAACAAGATGGCGAGGGAGTGCTTTGGACGTGCCTCGGCCTTTGGGAATTGGTTTCCTATATTCGTCAGCATAGTTTGTAGACGCAGCGCAAAGAATCTGATACCTACCCATCTCTATAGCCCATTTCCCCGTGCCGGTGCCAATATCGAGTATTTTGCGGGGATCCTTGAGAGGAGCGAAGAAGCTGCGGCCTTTGAACAAGACCTTTAGGATCTCATACTGTAGGTCCATGCGCTCTATCTCGAACTGGTCGTTGGGGAAGGGATATGCTGGAGCGACATGGTCAGCGTCGGCATCGAGGGGGGGGATTGCAGGGGCAAGCATGCTCACAGCCGGCCTGGTAACGGTGATATGTCCTGCCATTTTCGCGAACAAAGTTGAAGATGCTCTGATCGACGGATTTTGTACTACTGCAAATTGTTGTGAGCGCAATGAATATGGAGACGAGAGAGCAGGGCGACGAACGTTCCGCAGCTTTCGAGGCCGTCCGAGGGGTCAGACTAGAGTGGAGCGAGTCGAGGTCAGCGGTGAGATTGGAGAACAGGCGGAGAAGATGGGGATCGCATAGCATGGAATCGCGTCGCGAAAGGAGGGTATATGGTATACGGGGACATGGTGCAGGCAGGCAGGCAGGCAGGCAGGCTCGGAAGCAAAGGTGGTTCACGTACGTCGGGCTCGATGATGGAACCAGGGCTCGGTGGAGGCTCGATGGACGAGGGCGGGCTGTGGTCGCGCGGTGGGAGCGGAATGGCCAGCGACATGTCTCGTCGTCGAGCAGACTGACTGACTGACTGACTGACTGGCAGGCAGGCGGGCAGCAAGCAGTGTGAGGTATGGACACAGGCAAAAACACAAACACACACACACACACACGCACGCAAACAGACACACCGGAGTGCTGGGAAGACGCGAGAAGGCGAAAAAAAAGCAAAGCACCCAGCTGGGTGGAAGGGCTGTTCCCAAAGCCACGGCTTCCTTTGGGGTTGGGGGCGCTCTTCCGTATGGGGCAGCCCAATTATCCGCTGCCACCGCGCCCTCGTCTGCCGTTAAATTGTCCATGGGATCAACGCGCGCAGGCCAATCAAGCACCGTGGCAGCAGGGCACAATGGGCACCGCGCCATCTGCCACGCCATAACGTTACATCCACCGCCTCCTCTATGTACATACATTGAGTCGATATCAACGGGTTACTTGCTGCGTACATAGGTACTATGTATGTATGTATGTATGTATGTATGTATGTATGTATGTATGTATGTATGTATGTATGTATGTATGTATGTGGATTATGGCCGCCGGTCCCGCCGTGCTGGCGGGCGGGCCAGCAGCGTCAGGTCAGCACGCAGCACGCAGCCCACATAAGACACATAAGACACGCACCGAGACGGCGGGCTGCCACCCGAATGGACCGCTTCTCTCTACTGATTCTCCTTCGACGTGTCTTCGCCGGTGCATCCATGTCTCTCCGAAATACCACCGTCCGTCGACAAAATCCCATCAATACCATTGCAATTACTCGCTGCATCCTGCCCAGGCACCGCACGTCCCTGTCCCCCCGTTGAAGACTGGCGGTCCGAACTGCTCCACCCAGCCTTTCCCGTCAGCGCCATCCATCGGCGGCTAAAAGCCGGCTCCAATCCTCAGGCACCCATCAATCTGAACCCTCGCCATCAAATCCATCTGCTGCCAGCCAATCTGCACAACACACATTCAAACAACCACTGCAGCTCCTCCGCCATGGCCAGGTATTTTGCTGTGCGCGCCACAGCAATCTTGTTTTGCCATGCCGGTATGCAGCCGTCGCCAGCCATCAGGTATCCCCTCTAGCACGCTGCCTGGGACCTGTCGTGTGGGGTCTAGGCCAGGTCACCATCTCATGTTTGTTGGGGGGAGAGAGCATACTAATTTCCAAAACCACCGTTTCATGCAATGGATGGCCATGCACTTGGGTACACCGCAGCTGACTTGGATGCAGGAGCTTCCCTGAAACGATAGACATTACATACATCACAAAGTCCATTCCACGAGAACAAGTCATATGCTTTCATTGGCATTCGTTACATCATAACCAAGCATGGCGAGGCCACGCGCACGCTAGGACTACCTCCACTTGGTCGTTCCCAGCCAGCCATCAAGCCTGCCATACCGTTCCGCTACCCCACTAAACATTACATATGTAGCCGTCTACTTTTGCTCGTGAGCGGCATGTCCGCCCTTCTCACCAAGCTCATGGGCAAGCTGGCTTCCGGCTTTGAAGGTACCGTCTGGGTTACGCTGCCCACTGTTAGTCGGACCCTTCGTTTGTTCCCACTTTTCATCTCTTCCATAATCTCTGTACTTACACCATCCTTCTCAATCTGATGCTCGTGGGCTACATGTCCACCCTTGGAACCAAGTTCCTTGGCCAAGTCAGAGCCCTTGGTGAAGGTGCCGTCCGGGTTGCGGTCAGCGTGGGACTGGCAGACAATCGTCAGTAAAAGAGCCATACTGCATCGTGAATACAAGCTCATGTACCTCGTCGTTGGGGCCGTGGGAGGCGTGTCCACCCTTGGCTGCGATCTCACGAAGCTCATCCTTGGGCAAGTTGGCGAAGTTGGCGGGGCTACAAAGTGGGAGGTATCAAGTCAGTCAAGTTCGTGTACGACTATTTTGGTGGGATATTGAAGTCTCAAGGTGCAACACCAGGTAGTGTCTCCCCTGGATACCTCAAACCCGCAATACACGTACTTGGAGTCAGCCATGGTGTTATGGTTTTTGGGTTGGAGTGTTTGGGTGATGTTTGATTTGGGACTTGGAAGGGTCTTTGAAGTTGAGTGAAGAATGAGTATGAGGTTGGTTCATGGGAGAAGAGGGCTCACTCTTATACCTCCGCCGTCTACATCCTCCAAGCTACTACTCCCGTGCCACTGTAGTGCGGCGTGTAGCGGACTTTACTGGGCATACCGCATCCAAACGGCAACTGAGGGGCAGATCACACTCCTCAGCTGTTTTGATTTGCTCTCAATCACACATAGAAGCGGCCCCCAGCTGTGCTGCCTTGCCGACTTCCTTGTTGTGGATGCCCCCTTCGGCTTTCAACAGCCGCTACGTCATACCTAGTTCTCACGAGCTCTTCGTTAAGTGTCTCGACTGCTAAGACGCGTCGCGCGTCGCGCGTCTCGCTTAAAGTTGGAGATCCCTGCCCGCGTCATGGCTGCCTGGAGCTTCGCCGCATCAACTTCCACTCCAGACTTTCCTCTCCACTTCTTCTGATACCAGTTGTCCAATCTACTTTCAATTCTCCTCAATAAAACCCCTCAATTGCATAAAATCTAGGCCCCACGTTCATCAATTGCTCACTGCATCATCATCACCATGAGTCTGAAGCGCAAGGCCACCGACGCTGCCGCTGATGCCGCAAAGAAGACCAAACCCAACGCGAGCATTACCTCGTTCTTTGGTGCTCCCAAGCCCAAACCAAACGCGACCGTTGCCGCCTTCGATAAGGAAGCCTGGGTGGCGAAACTGACCGACGAGCAGAAGGAGCTGCTGCAATTGGAGATTGAGAATCTGCATGAGAGCTGGCTGCCTCACTTGAAGGATGTCCTGGTCTCGCCGACCTTCCTGCAGCTGAAGCGATTCCTCAAGCAGGAGATTGCAAGCGGGAAGACGATTTACCCGCCTATGAAGGACGTGTACTCGTGGTACGTTTCCACCCATTCGCCCCATTCGAGAACACGCATGCGTGGTACAGTGCAGCATGGGCAAGAACTGAGCTAAGATTCAACACCAATAGGTCCAGACACACGCCTCTCAACACCGTCAAGGCAGTCATCACAGGCCAGGATCCCTACCACAACCCCAACCAAGCCCACGGGCTCTGCTTCTCCGTCCGCCCACCAACCCCCGCCCCACCCTCCCTGCAGAACATCTACAAAGCGCTCAAGAAAGACTACCCGACCTTTGAGTCACCACCCAACAAGGGCGGTCTGCTGACCCCGTGGGCCGACCGCGGCGTGCTCATGATCAACACGTGTCTGACGGTGCGCCGCAACGACGCAAACTCGCACTCGGGCAAAGGCTGGGAACTCCTGACGCAGAAGGTCATTGACACCGTGGCCAAAGTGCGCACCAACGGCGTCGTGTTCCTGGCTTGGGGGAACCCCGCGCAACAGCGGGTCAAGAGCATCAATGCCGAGAAGCATTTGATCCTCAAGAGCGTGCATCCGAGCCCGCTTAGTGCGGCTAGGGGCTTCTTCGACTGCGGACACTTCAAAAAGGCGAATGAGTGGTTGGTGCTGCGGTATGGCGAGGGTGCCGAGATTGATTGGAATCTCAACGTCGACCCGGAGAAGGCGGGCGTATAGGTTATGCCTATGTCTTGACTGATTTTTTTTCTCCAGTCAATCAAACACTAGGCAAAAGCCTTATCCAGATTCGTTGGATTGACGTGTGTTTTTGCTTACGCTTACGGCAGCATGTTGCTTCTGAGTCACAGTAGGTTCTCTTCAATGGTCCATAAAAATTGCGAGCGAGCGAAATTTTTCTTGGGAATGGATTGGCGTTGGTTAGGCGTGGGTTTCTTGTCTACAGGCGCCGTTGGAATCTAAATCCCACGAGGAGATCAACGGTTGGTAACGGGCATCGGGTACTGGGTACTAGGGCGTAAATACTGTCACTAGATACTGTGACTTGCATGCCCATGTGTATGAGAAAGAATATGCAAAGTAAAGGCAATGTTAATATCAAAGGTATCCCAAAAAACACTAATACAAGCCGCGGTGACGACCGGTCGAATCATTTTTCTTGCACGAGAAACATCACCACCAGTGAGCACAGTTTGTTTTCTTTGAAGCAGGCAATTAAAATTGATTCGCTAGCACGTCAAGCACCAAACGTGATCCTAGTGTAAATATTGGTACAAAGAAAACCATGTACAAGCATTCCTTAACAGTAGTTCATGCAGATTCGTCGTCGTCGACGCACAGACACACACCATGCCATCACCGCCATGGTCCGTTCTCTCTCGCGTTTCGTTCATTAAAGGGGAAGAAAAAGCCCACGCAATTGCTTTTTATCGTCGCACTCATGTGTCATGATGATGCGGGTTTTTTTTTACAACTGCTGCGCCTTGCCCTTGGCCTCGCCCTTGAGCTCTTGTGCTTTGCCCTTGGCTTCGCCGGCGACCTCGCTGGCCTTGCCTTTAGCCTGGCCGGCAGCCTGGTTGGCCTGGCCCTTGGCCTCGCCGGTGGACTCGGGAACGGCCTCCTTGACCTTTTGTGTGACCTCCTCTGTAATAGGAAAAGTAACGTTAGCTTGAGCACTAGATAGTCTTGAAAGCATGGGACGACAAGGAAGAAGCGTATGTTGTCCGTCATCATCACCGTTAAGTGAGATGTACACGAGTCCTCCCCATCCCGTGTGCGGCTACGTACGAAGAAGCTCGTATGAAGGAGCTAATTGGGGGGAGGGAATGATCAGGTGATAAAAAGGGAAGGAGGAGTGACAGGAAGAGAGCAGAAGCTCAATGGCGAAGAAAGAAATTGTGTGCAAAAGGAAGCAGTGAATACATACCACCCTTCTCGATGCCCTTCACGACCTGATCCGAGATGGTCCTGTCAACCGTCTTGGCGGCATCCTTGACGGTCTCGACGGGGCTCTTGCGGACGATGGGGGAGGTGCTGAAAAGGCGGACCTGGCGGGTGATCTGGGCGCGGAACATGATGACGGTTTGTTTGTTTGTTTGTTTGTGAGAGAGGTAGGTAAGGTGTGCGTGTGGGTTGAGTTGATGGGTTCGTATATGCAATTGATGCGGGATGTGTGAGGAGATGTATGTATCTTTTATCAACGGACGGAAGAAGCTTTTAAAGGGAGGAGGTTTCGAGTTGTCTGCGGTGCGTTAGTGGTCCAGCTTGTGATGGGTATGACGTAGTGACAGCATCATGGGGGGATGCAACGCTCGCTCGGGTTAGGCGCGTGGTCATAGCTCCCAAGCTCCCATCCGAGGTGGTGAGCTGTTTCCATGTGTCACTTGTGGATGCATCGAGATGCTCTGCCATTAGAGCTTGTGAAGCTTTTTTTGTTCGTGCTTCACACGGTTTATTCTACCCCCCTTATCTAATTAATTAATTATTATACGATGATAGACTAGTATGTCTGTTCGTCCTCGGGCGCATAAAGCGCTTGCTGCCACCAACTGCATCTCGGTCCGGCGTTGGAATCCCTGATTTCCTCAATGCCGGTGATGTTGAGTTCCAGCACGCGTGCATCCGGGCCGTACATGTTGAAGTGCTTCACACCTTCGGCTTCCGGTACCCCGGTCATTGCGAAGCTTGTGATGAAATCTTGAAGCGCTATCGCTACGGTACGGTTGGTCACACCCTGCCCTGGGAGGCTAAGAGCACCGCCATCATAGAATGTGTAGGGTACATCGAAGCCGTGAAGAGCTGGCGGTACAGCAAAGAGATAAGAATAGGTCTTGTTGTCGAAGCCAGTGCTCAAGTAATTGGTGTTGCACGTAAATGCCAAGTCCGAGACCATTCTAAAAGATTCCAAGTCAGCCAAGTTCGAGAAAAAGAGTTGCGTCATGTATCATGTCGCGATTCTGTCGTTGATTAGGATATACGTACATGTCTGCTCGCTCGAATTGGTTGGTATAGCCTAGAGATCCATCAAACACAGCTGGGTAGAGAGTCTCGGTAATGTAATCGACAGACTCTTGTGGAATGCCTCGGAAATTGGTTCGAATGAAACTCTCCAAATCATCAGACGATTGGATGAACGGCGGCGTGAAAAGCGCGCCTTCCTCAGCGTTATGACCGACCATAACCTGCACGTCCTTGGCGAAACGGCCTTGAGCAAGAAGCTGTCCCGGTTGAAGTGGAACGAAATCACCGTCTACGGCAGGACCGTATACAGACTGACCGTAGGTTGGTTCGTACATGACTTGCTGTTTGTTTGCCTTGATCACGGCCTCAGACGATAGAGCACGCAGATCAGCCAGGCTGGTGCTGTTCGTTAGCTCGAGGAATTTCCGGTAGTTATCATCCTGTACTGATTGTGACGAGATGGGAGACCAGCCTGGAGATTGGGGCACTGCTTTCTGGAACGGAACAGCTCCCTTCTCGCCCCCATAAGCGGTGATTTGGTGCATGATACTGCCTCCTCCCGCGCTCTCTCCGAATACTGTCACTTGTTTTGGATCACCGCCGAACAGGTGGATGTTCTTCTGGACCCATTCAAGCGCAAACCTTTGATCGTAAAGCCCGAGGTTACTTGTGCCGCCTTCAGACTGGTAATCAGGCCCTCCCATCCAGCCCAGAGCCCCAAGGCGATAGTTGAGTGATACGTAGACAATTTCTCCCAAGCTTGTGTTACCAGACGCGGCAAGCAAACCAGCCGGGTTGTTATCTGAAATGAAGGCACGAAATCAGTGAAATTCTCCAGGAAAAAGCCATTGTGTATTGAGCTTAATCAACTTGCGCAGTGTACTGTGATTCACTTCAACAAGGAGTCTATACGTACACTTATCTCCAACTGTATAACCACCTCCGTAAATCCAGACGAGGACTGGGGCGCCAGAGCTAGATGAGTTCGCTTTGTCGAGGATGGCCTTGGGAGCGAAAACATCGAGGAACAGACAATCTTCGGTTTCCAGAGGTCCAGCTGGGGGCGCTGGAGAGCTGGCGTTTGCGCCTGGTGGGACGTAGGTAGTAGCATTGAACGGAGCGCCGGTGAGGAGACTGAGAAGGAATTCGCGAGTGATAGCACTCCAGGCAGGCGTAGCTTGTGGGCACCGACTATCATACGAATTAGTCTTTGAATATGGTATTGACGAATTCGTGTAAACAGTACCTTCCGACATCTCCGATGTTCACAGCGGACCTGTTGACTGCGGGCTCTTGAGGGACAGCGAATCTCAGTTCACCTACAGGTGGTGCTGCGTAACGAATGTTGGAAAAGTTGTAGAAACCGCCAGACTCCTGCAAACAAAGTCAGCAAAATTCAGGCGGATATCCTCCGGTTCAATGACAACGTCTTTGTACGCCGCACTGTGCAGTGTCTCGATGGTCGACGACCTTCTGCTCTTCAACTGGATGAGCTAGAATTGGATAACTCACGTTAAATCCATAAGCCTGGTGCAACTGGTAACCCAGATCCACAATTGGCAGAGATGCATTCACACCCTGTGCGGCAACAGCTTCCAACAACCCAACTGCCACAGCCACGACACTGAAGGACTTCATGATGAAAGCTAGTCAGTTGTCACACAGACTTCTAATTCTCCCGCTAGAAATTCGACGCTCGAGCGAGTCGAAAAAGAGTCGTAGGGTTCGAAGAAAGCTACCGGGAAGGAAGATTAATTAGCTTTATAGCGAGACTTCGGGCTCCTACGCCTCAGGGGATTCGACCACAAGGTGCAAAATTTCTCTGTGAGAGGAACTGGGGCAGTCACTAAAGAAATTGCGTGGACATTGCAATGCCTTTGTAATATCCCTGACGCCATCTATCGTCGGGGTATAACCACGCATACCGGGGCTGACGTTGCTAGTCTATTCGACCGAAGGCTTAGCAACTGTCACTTTTTAGACCGCGAACCCCTCATCTTTGTCGATGTACAAGGCCACCACGGACGTTGATCCAAAACAAGCATGGTGTTGTGCCGAGGGGCCGGGCTTCCCTTTTTCTTCCCGTCTCCGTGGACCTCCGAGCGCACTCATCGTACTGGCTTCGTACATAACGCCCAAGCCCTTGTTCACATTATGATGTGACAGTCTGTGCACAGCAATAGTGTGAATTCTTGTGAATGACTCTCTCTGCGATCGAATTGGCAGGTCGCGACCCAAATGTGCTCGTCTTTGTCTTTGTAAAGAAGACGTAATGTCATGGAGATGGAACACAGAAAACGAGCATGGAAGGATTCCAGGGCCTCGGCATGAACCAACATTGCAGGGTTTCCCCGACGTGCAGACAACCGAGACGAATTAGTGGGTGGCGTAAGAAACCAAACATCGATGTTTATATTAGCGATTTATGCGTCGACCGAAAGCTTGCGCCATCGAACCGATTGCCGTGTGGCATCGTTATAGGTGACTCCCAGTCACCGAGTCAGTTAGCCTTATCGTGATATCTTGGTCGGCTATGAATCCTATGCGCATTTTTTGTTAAGTCTCTGTAGTATTGAATCCAATATCCGATATCGTTGCTATAGACTTTCCAAATGACACCGTACGCCTAGTAGATGCAACCGTCACCAATGCTATTCCGTCCCGATTTAGTCGCTACATATCAAAAACGAATTCCTCATTTCGTCCCAAACACTCTCTTGATATCCGCAAATTTGACGGGCTTCACCAAGTACTCATCCACGCCAGCATCGTACGCATCTTGCTGGTCCTGGGCGCTAGCCAGTCCCGTCAAGGCTACAATGCTGCTTTTCTTCAGATTCATTTCGGTCTCAAATTGCCGGATGGACCGCGTGCTCTCCAAGCCCCCCATTACCGGCATCGACAGATCCATGAGGATGAAGTCGAACGGTCTGGTGGGTGGATCTGTGCTCAGTGCGTCACGTTTGTATAGGTTCAAAGCTTCCAATCCGTTGACTGCTTCCGCATAACGCAAGCCTTGTCGCTGAGCAAATACTACAAGAAGTTTCAAGTTGATGGCGTTGTCGTCGACGAGAAGCACTCGAGGATTGAAGTACTCTGACGGTGCTTCGCTACCGGGTGTCTCGGGGACCTGATCCGAGACCTCTATATTGGTAGAGGGTGATGTGAGTCCGCTCGGCATCGTCGCCGAGATCAAGGGGGAATGCGCTCCTTGGATAGACGATGGCACTGCAGAGGCACCAAGAGTCAGTCCGCTGATACTACGAAGTATTGGTATCTTTCCATCTGTAGAGTCGCCAACAACAGGACCTGGAGCGGGTGAGGATTCGGCGAGACGGATTGGTGGCTGCTGCACTCGGGATTGAACGTCGTGATCGAGAAGCATCCTGACCAATCTCCGGGGACCACATGGCTGCGCGATTATGTGGATCACCCATGGGAGTGAGATGAACCGCCTCGTGTTTGATTCTGTCAAATCTCTCTCAGTCTGATCCATGCAAATGCAGATGACAGTAAGCGGTTGCAAAGTGAATCCGTTCTCTTGTTGACGGCCCAGGATATTGATCAAGGAAATCGGCTCCGTTATCAAGACATCTGGGCGGAATTTGTCTGGATCGAAAGTTGAATGTGTTTTCATGTGACAACCATGGCAACCCATCATGATCGAATCGCGCATTATCTCTCCAGACCCGCCCATACTGCTTGAGGGGAACACGACGCTCACGGTCTTGTCCTTCAATTGCGGAGGTGTCTCGGTAGGTCCTGAGTCAACTCGTGCTTGTTCCGCAGGCCCTGCTGGTAACCTTAAAGCTACTGAAACGGTAGTACCTTTCCCTAACGTACTCTGCACATCAACTTCACCTTTCAAGGATTCAACAATTTGCTTGACAATCGAAAGTCCGAGACCAGTTCCGTTTGAAAAGGGGTCCTCCTGGCTGAAGGGGGAAAACAGCTTGGTACGCTGATATTCGTTTGACATACCGCGTCCAGAGTCTTGTACTGAGAGCTTAAACTCCACGCTATGGTCATCGAATCTTTCTTGATTTTGCTCCAGTGAGACTTGTATAAAGCCGGTCTCGGTGTATTTGAGAGCATTGCCGAGAAGATTCCTGGAATTTGAATTAGCGATCTCGTAACATAGTGGCACAGTATTCACTTCCGGGACATTGCGATACTTACATCACTACGCGACGCAAAGCACCCGGCTGAGATCGGACGATCCACTTGAGCAGAGGCGCGACACTGAAAGTGACAATTACGTCACCTTTATTGTTCAGAAAGCCTGGTGCGTCTCGGTCGTCGGCTTTTTCTCCCCCAGCTATGCTGGTGGTCCTCGAACGAATCCCTTGGTCGTGAAATGCGGCATTGTGAATGTCGTGTGATTTGCGGAAGGTATGGCCAGCACTGACGGTCTCAACGACTTCTTCCACGAGCTGCGCCAGGTTGAAGTTGGTTGTAACTCCCAGTATAGAATTATCGGCCGGGACCCGACGATTGCGGCCCTTACCCGAGTGCTTACGATGGGTGTTAGCACTACGCAGTTTGTTGATTTTGGCATAATCCAGAACATGATCAATGGTGTCCAGGAGGGTTTTGCCACAAGTCTCAATCGAATGGACTAAGGATTGCTGATAATTGGAGGAGACGGCATCACGTAAGAATTCAACAGAACCCAGAATTCCATGAAGCGGCGACCTCAACTCATGAGATATTGACGCAATGAAGGTGGTTTTGGCACGATCGGCCTTCTGCGCGTTCCATCGTGCAATCTCGCTAGTGATTGAATTCCCAAAGGCCTTCAAATAAGGCAGTTCGTTGTCAGGATTCAATATCCTTCCTGCTGATGTCGTCCACACGAACCCTACGGCCACCCATTTCTCAGAGGCAGGATCAAACAGAGGCAGGAAGATCAAGCTGCGAACATTTGGCAGGATCTTGATTAGTTCGGTGGGAATGAAGCGATCGCTGATTTTCCTATGTCTCTTGGGGGCGGTAGCAGTGCTACTGTAGAAACCTTCATCGGTCTGTTCAGGAGCACTTTCCGATTTCTCATCACTCGAATTGACACCAGTACCCTCCGCGTCGAAGTTAAAGAACTTACCGTGAGGATATTTGTTAATGTAGCGCTCCAAACTGGCTTCTGTAAAGACGAAATTTTCTTCATCCACAGGTGCAAGGCTCTCACGACAAGATATACCGGCGACTGGGCAGGGTTTGCTCTCCGCCACAGGCAAAGCATCCTGACCACCTTCCTGATCTCCTGGTACGGTTCTCCCTTGGCTCGCTGACTTGTTGCGCCGGATGCTTCGTTTTCTCTGACTTGCTGTTGCTGAGCCGGCCGTAGCGGACGAGTAGGAGTTTTCATCACTACTCCCAGAAAAATTGGCATTATCGAATGATTTACCTAGATGTGCAGCAGACGCATCAAAAAAGACAACACCTTCGGCATATGTCGACTGGCGGATAATGCGAGCGGCTCTCTGAAAGATGCGCGAGGTGTCAGGCTCGGACTCCCGCTTGCGTTGGGACGACTGCTTAGCTACGGGCAAAGCACCCGAAGGCTCTTCATCCGCTATAGCTTCAAGCCGCGCATTCTCCGTCTGCTTCTCTAGTGTTGTTGGACGATGTCCGGCCGCGCCTTGGAACTCTTTCGAGCAAGAGCGTTGGATGAAGTCCGTCAATCTGGAAGCAGTAGAACGAAAATCAGTACGGGTCGATCAAGGAAATATCTTCCAACGCACGAGAGTGGACGTAAACGTGCACTCGAAACACACATACCCATTGACCATACGCTCACCACTGTTACGAGCGTCGCTGTTCTTGGCCAGCTCCAAATGTTCCATGACAGTTGCTGCCACATCTTCAAGAAATCTAACGTCGGCAGCACAGAGAGAAGCGCGTGGTTTTTCATCCGACACAGCATAAACACCTATCCTATGGCCATTCTTGGTGGTGATAGGAACACCAGCGTAGAACCGAACCCCTGGTTCGGCGACAACGTAGTCGCGAGTGCAGAAGCGAGAGTCCTCGCGGCAGTCTGGGATGATCAGGGCGTTGGCCACGTACTCCTCGCCATTCTCCTCACGAGCAGTATAGATGGAATTGAAGGCATGGTGGCACACGGCGTCGTTGCGTGCAATGACAGAATGACCCAGCCATACTTCGTCCTCTTTGCGCTCTGCACTCTGTGTCTGAAGCGACAGTGTTTGCGTTGCCTCGGCCAAAATATATTGTTTGTTCGAGTCGATAAGCGATACCATGGCCCTTCGTACATTCAAGCGCAGAGTAGCGAGCTGGGCAAACGCCGTGAGAGACTTATCGGCCGAGGTGCGCGGCTTGAAGCCCTCGTCTGAGTACGAAGTCAGCAAAGTTCAGGTGAATTCAGTCAGAGGTTCCCTAGGTCATGGCGAAGTACGTACAAGTGAGGCCCTTCGCTCGTCCATCGGCCTGATTGACGAGATTCTGGGCATCAAGCCAAGGGTGGTAGTATCTGAGGGTTGGGGTGAAGCGATTAGAGATGTACAGACGACGGTGGTGTTGGTAGGTGGTGGGGTACTGGGCGGAGGTCAACCACCTACCTCTGAAGGTCGATCTCTCGCCTGGCTTCAGCGTATAGACGCATGTTCCTGTTTGCCTCTCGTCGGCTTTACTTTGCGCACACCTCACAGGAAGAGGAACGAGTGCAGGTGAGAAAACTCGGCCTAGGCAAACATGGAGATAGCCGTTGTGATGAGAGGTTCTCACTTGGTAACTTGGTACCTAGTAAACAACGGATCACGATTGCTACAGCACGCATAGCCGGCCAAGCGAGGGGCCCATTTCCCCTGTCGCAAATCTGCGGGCCAGCATATGCCCTGCTTTGAGTTTTTGCTCCCCTCGCGATTCCACTCAAAACCACGATCTGAGGTTCCGCTGGGAGTGGGCGGGCGGGATCGTGCATCGAGAATTGCTACGTCGATTCCGCAGCCAATAACGCCAAAGCCTCGGCGTAAGCGAGAGACCAGGTAGCTACATTAGTTTCCATTGAGTGTTGAACAGTCCAAGAGTCTAGATGTAGCTGACTTTGGCCATTGCTCATGGATGGTATTGTGATATATCGAGACGGGATTCGACTGCTTCATAGACAGACTCCATGTAAGGGATTGAGGGCTAACCCGTCGTCCTTCTGACGCTTGACTCGAAAACTCTGAACATCTGAAGTCTGGTGAGTCATGGCATTTGCGTCAGGATCCCCAGGACGACATGGGCACTGGAGAATAATTGCAATGCCGTTGCTCGCAGGTCCTGCCATTGCGAAGCAAACATTTGAATGTACATGGATAATGCTTATTTTCGTGTGTTTGTATACGAATCTGGCAGACAGACAGATGAATTCCTGCAGCGACCGATTCCGCTGCCAATCGGTGAATCCTCGGAGCGTCGTCACCGCAGCGCGCGCTTCGAGGCTGATTTGTGAATTTCTCTCTCCAGCTTCACACTCACCACGCCCATCAAGTCCAACCCCCCCGCGTCGTGTGCCCGTCGCCCGCTGTGTGCGCCCTGCAGTCTGCCCTGGATAGTCATATATCGCTCTCAACTACTGACTCCCTCGAAATCCTCCCCGCTCTTCACCCCGCCAGCCAATCCGACCAGTGATCTTAGCACCGCCGCTCTAGAGAATCAGACTACAGACTCCAGAGAACCAGACTCCCGACCACCAGCACGCCCAAAAGAATCCTCTGTATATTTGATCTGTGACTTTGACTAGTCATGGCTGCTTCTACACAGTTGGCTTGTGAGTCCGCCCATTCACATCTTTACCCTCCTTGCCTGCACCTTTTTTGCTCACATCTCCAACCACAGACCGCACCTCAAAGGGCATCGGGATTTTCAATGCCGCCCCAGTTTACGAACCTCTTTCCGGCTTTACCAAGTCCGTGTATTCTACAATATAACCATCGAGTACCCTTGCTGATTCCCCTACAGGCCAGAAGGCAATCTACGCTGCTGCTGCTACTCTCCCGACAGCAGGTATTTTGCGTGGGCATCCCCCGAACAGTAAGCTCTCCCATAATTCGCTGTTTATGCTCTTCTAACATGGAACAGGGTTTCGGTTGTTGATGCGTCCCTCGGCCACGTCGTTACCACGCTTCCCACCCCTAACGTTTTCGAGCTCGGATTCTCTCCGCTAGGCACCTATATTATTACTTGGCAGCGCCCGACCAAAGATGAGGACGGGAATGCAACCAAAAACCTCAAGGTGTGGAACACTGTACCAGAAGCGGGTGTTGAGGAGCGGACCGTGGTGGGCGAATATGTACAGAAATCTCAGACGGGCTGGAACCTCCAGTACACCTCGGATGAGAAGTATTGTGCTCGCGCCGTGACAAACGAGGTCCAATTTTACCAGTCTGGCGACTTGAAGACGGTTTGGAACAAGTTGCGCGTCGAAGGTTTGACCGATTTCGCGGTGTCGCCTGGCAAGAACCATTCAGTTGCCGTTTTCATCCCAGAGCGCAAGGTATTTTCACGTCCCTACGCATATCGTGTATGTTTGAAGCTAACATATTCTTAGGGCATGCCCGCCGCAGTCAAGGTCTTCCAGGTACCTCAGTTCAACTCCGCTGTCTCCCAGAAAACTTTCTACAAGGGGGACAAGGTCCAATTGAAGTGGAACGATCTGGGCACGAGCTTGATTGTTCTCGCCCAAACGGACGTCGATAAAACCAACAAGAGTTACTATGGCGAGACGAACATGTACATTCTCAGCGCCAACGGTTCCTTCGACTCGCGCATCCAGCTGGACAAGGAAGGCCCCATCCATGATGTAACGTGGTCACCAAACTCGAAAGAGTTTGGTGTAGTGTACGGCTACATGCCTGCCAAAACCACCATCTTCAACGCCCGCGCTGTTCCGCAGCACAGCTTTGATTTGGGCCCGCGCAACACGATTCTATTCTCACCACACGGTCGCTTCGTACTCGTTGCCGGCTTTGGAAATTTGGCTGGCCACATGGATATCTACGATCTTGAAAGGAACTACACTAAAATCTGTACTATCCAAGGCTCCAACTGCACTCATTGCGAGTGGAGTCCTGACGGTAAACACATTCTTACTGCAACCACGAGTCCCCGCCTTCGTGTCGATAACGGAATCCGTATCTGGCATATCAAGGGAAGTCTGATGTATCATGAGGACATGGAGGAACTGTACCATGTTACATGGTGTCCTCAATCGACGTCCACCCACCCCTTGGACAATCCCCTCACTCAGGTGCCAACACCACACCCTTCAGCATCGGAGTATATGAGCAAGGTCAAGACACCCTCGAAACCGGCCGGTGCGTATCGACCTCCGGGCGCTCGCGGCACTTCTACACCTCTCCTTTTCAAGCGCGAGGACGAGGGTGGCGCTGCCTACACCAACACGGGAGTTTCTTCCAGCAATGCGACCTTTTCGAATGGCTTTGGAAAGCAACGCCGTCGCGAGGTTCCCGGTGCTGAGCCCGCCGATTCCCTTCCTCCAGGCGCTGCACCCGGTGGCGGTGTCAGCCTCACTGGCACGGGAGAGGGAGAGGGTGAACTTTCAAAGGCGGCCCTCAAGAACAAGAAGAAGAGAGAGGCAAAGAAAGCAAGAGAGGCTGCTGAGAAGGCTTCTGGACTGGCTGCGGACGGCAACTCTGGTGCAGGCAGTCGCAGCCCGGAGCGCCGTGACCATAGCCGAAGCCAGCAGCGTAGCCGCAGTAAGAGTGCAGCTAACAACTACGGAGGCAGAAGCGCTAGCCATCACCGAAACCACGGTAACAGTCCTCATGGCCGCCACGGACACGAAGAGGGAAACCACCGCGCTCAGATGAACCACAACAATCACCACCGTGCCGGATCTGGGAATCAGCAACAGAGAAACAACCACTCTGGTCAGGGGCCCATGCACATTCAGATTGAGAACCAAGGCCCTGTTGCACCCGATCTGACAGTCACAAGTCCCGGTGGCGGCGGACCCAATGAAAAGAAAGTCAGGAGCTTGTTGAAGAAGATCCGCGCCATTGACGACTTGAAGATGAGACAGGCTGGCGGTGAAAAGCTCGAGGACACACAGATCAAGAAGATCACGACCGAGGAATCGATCCGCAAGGAGCTGTCAAGCCTTGGCTTCAGAGAGTAATGAGACAGCCCGGAAAAAGAAAAAGTGGAGGCTTTGCTGCATTACAAGGACCCGTGATTCTTCAGCATCTTCCGCGGGTTTTGGCCAAGTTTGAATGCGAATATTCATTTGCCAGGACTCTCGGGAATCATGCCTTGACATGATGGAATCGGATTTTGATCGAAAATCGAGAAAAAAGCTGTGTATGACTTTTACTCGTTGTTTGGATGAGTTGGATCGAGCAAGCGTGAGTAGGCTACGGCGTTTTGGGGTGGCCTTAGTGTGTGTTGTGTTGGAAGTCAAATAGCCATTCACAACCATAAAAAAAATTCTTAATCGAGTGTGCTTCTGTTCAACCTATTTCTGCTTTTCCCCATGAACAGGATCGCCGTGCGTTCTCTGTGATTCATCCGGATGGCGTGAGATCGTAGCGTCAGTGTGCGATGTATACATAAGTATCGTTGCCATTCAAAAAGCAATAAGAAGGAGCTGTCGCATACTTGAGATAAAAAGGTCGTCTAAATATAATTCAACGCACTGTAGCTACTACTCAGAGAGTGCTTGTACGGTCTTGTATTCGCAGCATCCCCACGTCGTTCTTGTTGTAATAGCTCATCACTCATGCGACCTAAATCGTTTGCTCTCTTGCGTTCGCCTTGAGCATTGATGGATGGGCTGTCAAGTTGCGTATACCGCCCGGTTCGCATGTCATATGCCGGCCAAATGAAGACAATATCACCGCTGCCATCCTCAGCACTTTCCTTTGCGTCATTATGCCTGACTGACTGTTTTAGTCCTTGATTGTGGCTTTGGAGACTTTGTTCTTGACTTTGCTCTTGAAGATCGCCATAATGCACCGTCATGAGCTATCAAAACGTCTTCGAGTAGCAGTATGAATGTGTGTAGGTGCGAGCATTTTGTCAATGATATGCCGTGTTCTTTGTATCTCTCCCTGTTTGGTTTGTCGATCTGCCGCTTTCTCCACTGCTATATTTTGTACCCTCAATACGTGAGATGGTGCTAACGTTGTAGTCATTGCCTTCAACGTTCGTGAGCGTTACTTGGTATCTGGCTCTAATCTTCGATTCTAAAAGGGATAAGTGAAGCATGAGCCAGTTGGAAGTGATGGCTAAAGGAGATTGACCCTCAATGAACATGCAAAAGATAGGCATATTTGAAGCAGACCAAAGATAGATCTGCACTTACAGCAACACACAACTCCAGGAAAAAAGAATGCCGAGGGACGGGTAGGGAGCCCGCTCTAGGGCTCAAGAAAAGCAAAAAGAAAGCTCGACGCCGGCAGGATTCGAACCTGCGCGCCCGAAGGCATATGATATCTATGGGAGCTCCAGAAGGAGAACGTTCGAGTCATACCCATTAACCACTCTGGCACGACGTCTTTGACTAATATGAAATTTTGATCGTATGCATAATTTATATAGCAGAACAAAATCTCACTCAATGCTCATGTGAGTTGGGATGAGAGACTTACATCCTTCTCATGCCCCGCAGAGCAGGCTTTTTGACACGCTGTCAGGCTAAATGAATAGTGCACTATTCGCTGCTTGCTGCATCACACAGTCTCCACTCGCCAGTTCGGGAAAGCGTTCAGTTGGGGCCAAAGCGTGGGGCGGATCTCCACTAATTGCGCAACTACATCGAATCCAGCACTAACACCATTGGCTTCATGCAGGTGCATAGAGCTTCCGCCTCCACCATCTTCACGAATCCATCTGGCCCATCTGGCGCCTATCTGCGCTGCCCCTACACAGGATCACGTACCGCATCTCAGGTACACGCCTGATTCAGCCAGCCTGCCGCGTCATGTGCACGCCCGCCACCTCCTGCAGACGCTATAACCTCACAGCGTAGTGTACGCACCTCCGTCGCCATGGACACAATTGCAGTTGCGCCTAAGGGAGCGTCCCTGGCATCCCCCAAGGTTGTTAAAAACTCCAAGGGGGCCATTGTACCCAGCAGTCAAATGGCGCATATTGCGTACGGTTGCGGTCAGTACCTTGCCCTCTCCCGTATTCCCTTCCAAATCCCCCATATCGCTCTATAGCTTGCATCGCTGATCAACTGAGCAGAACACATGGGCGAGATGCTCGAGAATGCGCGCAAAGCAACCTTCCACAACTACCGGCAGATACTCCAAACCATTTTCGAGAAACCGAGCGTAATAGCCCAGACGCACAAGGGATCGAGCGATGGCCGGCCTGTCGTTTCGCTCCGCCCTACCTACCTTTGCCTACAGTGCCCCAATATCATGACCGAGGCGGATCGAGACGAGCATATAGATTCCAAGAGACATGTGTTTGGTTGGTCATACATATCGTTGTCCGTGGCGCTTGGAGCTAACACGCCGTAGCTGTTGAGTCGCGAGGCGGGCATGTTTACTGCGGTGACTGCCAGGATTTCATATACGATCCCGATCTTGAGTCTAAGCGATTACAGAAAGGTCTGCCTCTTCATATGATGGAGCCGCACACTCGAAGCTAACGGAAGATATGGCAGGCAAGAAGCGGAAATTCGAAGACACAACCACGACCGACGAGCATAAACTCATCATTAACAATTCCACGTTTCTTCCTTGTCGCGCGATCGGCCTCCGAGGTCTATACAACATGGGCCAAACATGTTTCATGAGTGTCATCTTGCAGACGCTCATGCACAACCCTTTCATACGGAATTACTATCTAGCGGAAGGGCACAAGACAGCGGAGTGTGAGCGCGAATCATGTGTTAGCTGTGCTTTGGATGAGATGTTTGTCGAATTTCACTCTGCCGAGAAAACGGAGGGATTCGGCGCCGTCAACATGCTCATGGGCAGCTGGCTGGCAGGAGAGGTGGGACCACTCACATCACCACTGAAATTTCGCTTGCTAATTCAGCTGTACAGGCACTAGCAGGGTACCAGCAGCAAGACGCTCACGAGTATATGCAATTCATGCTCAATACTCTCCATCTTCAAAACGGTGGATCCTCGGATTCCGAAGATTGTACGTGCATTGTGCACCAAACATTCCACGGGAAGCTCTCCAGCACTGTCACTTGCGATAGTTGCCGCAACACCACTACCGCTCTCGATCCGTACATGGACCTCAGTTTGGATATCAAGAATTTGCCTAAGAAGCGGAAGCTTGAAACAGGAGCTGGAAGCGACACTCAGCTAGATCTGAGAGATTGTCTCGACAGATTTACTGGCAGGGAGAAACTAGGTTCCGCTGAGTATACGTGCAGAAATTGCGATGGAGGACAGAACGCCGTGAAGCAGCTAAGCATCAAAATGTTGCCGCCCACACTATCAATACATCTCAAGGTAAGTCCCTCTCCTCATTCTTCACCCTGCAATCATGCTCATCGAGCGCAGCGATTCGAGCACTCCAAATCCACGTCTTCCAAGATCGAAACAAAAGTCTCCTTCCCTCTCACCATTGATCTCTACCCTTATACAACCCAGTACCGCTCCACCCAGGGCAAAGGCGCAAAATCTTCGTCTGCACCAACGCCATCAAACTATAACATCAACGCCCCCACCAACTCCCTCATCTACGAACTATCCGCCGTTGTCGTGCACAAAGGCAAGATGGACTCTGGACATTACATCAACTACTCGCGAGAGGGAAATGATTGGTTCGCGTTTGACGACAGCAAGGTCGTTCTTGTCAGCGAAGCCGAGGTGCTTGCCGCCGAAGCGTATTTGCTGTTCTACATGATCGGCAGTCTGAATGTCTGAGTTTTTACCGGTGAGTCCGCTTCGGGGGGTGCTCGGTTCGTGTTTTTATTTGTCATTCTTTCATGGGTGTTTATAATCTTTGTTGCCTCTGCTTTTGCAGAAAACTCGGTTGGTGGCGTAATAGGGGGGCCAGGGAAGGATACGATTGTTGCTGTACTATTATTTATACCCATGGGGTAGGAGTACTAAAGGTCTCTCTCGGTTCCTCGCATTTCCAAGGGCGTTCTTTCTCTTCCGTAGAGCAAGGCAAGAGGGGTTTTGATTCCACCGGCTATCGCTATCGATGTCACGGGTGCTACAAAGGTGTATACGGCGTTGAAAAAGAAAACCCATGGAAAGATGGAAAGGTAGTACTCGGATATACGTATACGTATATATATATACATTCCGAGCCTCAACGTTCAGGGAATTAAAGTTCTTCATCCCTCCCATTGATACATCCAAAGTAACGTGCATGCATTGCATCCCCCTGGCCTCCATTACGAGGGCGGGCCCACCCTAGGATCAGCTATTAACACTTTTAAAGGCTTTATCTTATGTCTAGATCTTATTACCTGCTTTTCGAAACAATGTTAAGATACAATTTGATAGAGTATTAAAGTTCAAAGAACAGTTGACACCCTATCCTTAGTTGGGCCCTCCTCAGGAATGTCTATTCTCGTCATCAGCATAACTCCTCCCCGTAAGACCCGCTCCACCCACTCACACAAACCAGTGAATTTACTTGCCTCTACAGAAAAGCAGGTAGACAGACAGATGAAAACTGGGAATGATGACAATCAAACGAACAAGAACTGGACAAGTTAACCTCCCCCCTCAAACTCAAACCCAATCACATCCCCGCGGCCACCACCTCCGCTCTCCGCTCCGTCGTCATATCTCATCTCCCTTGCGCACCAGAACTTTTCATATACTTTCATATTCATTTTTTATTATTATCATTATAATGTTTCCGTCTGTGTATATGTGTCTGTGTGTATGTGTTCGTTCGCCCTTGCTTTGCTTTTTTCTTCACTTGATTGATTGTCTATCTCTTTCTCTCCCTCTCCTCCCCCTTTCCTCTCTCCACCTTCACTGGCTACGACATACTTTTGTCCTGTTGTTGTGTGAGATTTTACTTTACTATTTTTTCGTTGTTGTTGAGAGAGATGGGGCTCACTTTAGTCACGCACGCACGCAGACAAGCACATGCGGACGCCGGCTGTTTCCGAATGAATGATGCCCACAAACTCGCAGCATGTGAAGGAGAACCAACAGGTCCGGATCTCCTATACATTTCTCAATCCTTGGTGTGTGGGGGTGTGGATGGATGGATGGATTACCCACTCATCCCTCCATCTCCAGATCTCGTTAATTATACATATCAACAGAACAGGAGGAAAAAGAAGAAGAGAGGGAAAGGAGCCATAAAACATTCATTAATCAATTCAGTTCACATATAAGCCGCACCTCTCTCCCCTTCAGAGGAGCGACCAACCGACTAACCAAAAAAAGAAAACATGGAGGGAATATACTACAGCAGCTGAATCAAACCGGAAAAAAATTACAAAGAGGAACATCTACAGAAGGGTATATAGCACGCGAAGATGACGGGTATCCCTTTGAACAGCACAATCCCCCTTCCCCTATCATCACTTCTTTACACAGTTTCTTTCGATAAATCATGACTGCGAAATCATTCATCCGACGGCGACGACACAGTATCCCTGCCTTTGCCACCGGGCGCCAAAACAGGGTCGAAACACTGACAATCCTCAGTGTTGCCGCCCGACCGTTTCCCGCTGACAAGACTCGCGCACTTCCACGCGACTTCCATGTCGTTGCACTGCATAAGCAGATTCCAGATCCTCTCTACCGTATATCCGAATACGGGCGCGCTCATCGGGTCAGTTCTACCCTGCAGATACTCTTGCTGATGCGCCCAGCTGTTTGGGTTCACAAAGGCGTCGTGGACGTCGGCGTAGATGGCCTTGTCGATACCGCGTATACGTTTTGCTGAGGCGATGAACTGTCCTTTGTAGGAGAGGAGTACCTTGTCACAGGTGGTGGTGTTGGATATGCGCGAGTGCAGGTCGGGGAACAAGTGCGTCGTGTCTTCGAAGCCGTAGCGGTCGCCGCAAGAATCGCAATTGCAGACCTGGCCTGACCAGCCTAGGTTCAGCATCCCCGTGCGCACAGGATCGAAGTAGTCGCGGATCCGAGGGTAGAACTCGCGCGGGTTGTGCACATCTGCCTGAAGGAACAAAGTGTGTTTGGCGAGCGAGTTCCAGTTGTGTAGGATGTGGTACAGGTACGTCTCGCCTTCTCGGCCAATGTTTGGGATGAGCGTCACGTTGTTTGCTCCCGTTCCCATGCGAATCCAATCCACATCTGTCCCATTATCTTTAACATAGATGTGCACCGAGGCTCCCCGGAGTTTCGGCATCGCTCTGATGGTCGAAATGAGACGAGCCACCTCATCAACTCGTTCTTTGTACATGCTGATCACCATTTCGATGCCTGTCGAAGGGGTGTAATCCAAATCTAGCAACGGCTTTTGTGCAGCTACATCCTGATGGACCCGGTGTGAAAAGTTCATAATTAAAAACATAATCCATATCGAGGGAATAGCGACTGCGAGAATGAAACTGGAGATACGGCGGAAAACATTTCTTTGGGGCCCTTTGCTATCGATGGGCTCGGCCATGTCCACAACGTCGTTGTCCTCGCTGTCTACGTAATGCGATGTAGGACCACTGGGTACGACGCTGTATATTTTCCGCCGATCGCGAGTTGAGGGGAGTAGGACTTTACTGCTAACGAAGATGATTGCGACAAGGAAAAACCAGAATTGGGTCCAAGACATATACGAGCGCCGGAGTATGAGAGTCGACCACAATCCAACTGTTCCAGTCATAGTCACAAGAGCCAGCATCTCACCGATCGTGTCGTCAGCTCGGGGTTCGCTGACTGCGTTCATGGAACCGCTCAGCGGAAACAAGAATGACTGCCCCAAAAGCATAGCTGTCGCGGTCGCTGCGCAGTTTACGATCAACAAAGGAACATCCCAGAATCGCATGGCATGGAAGAAAAGCCTCCATGATTCGTCCCGACGAGCAAGCGCCCATATACCCGTGATGAGGAACCCGGTGCAGCAGAAGAGCAGCCTCAGCCGTTGTAAGTCGTGTGTAACGCCGGCATTCTTTGTGGTCATGGAATTGTATGCGCGCGCGACGCCGGCGATGAGTACGGCTGGGATTGCGGATTCGAGAACAGGAACGAGCAGCCTGTATTCGCCGAGAAGGATTCCGAGGCATCCGATTGCGACAAGAGCGACTTGAGCTATTTCCCAGCGTGTCTGCGAGCCGTGAGGTCGCACCAACTGTATTAAAGCTTGGACGCCTGGGGTAATGACCTATTTCAGTCAGGAAGGAACGGTGTGTAGGCTCGGAGTGGACTCACAGCGAGCATGGTCAGCGTGGGCAGGTTTTGGGAATGTAAGACGGCGTGGAGGCTAAACGATGTGGCCGTGGCCATGAGAGCTGCTATGATAGTGAGAGGAAACCATTGCTGTCGTTGTTCTTGGCTCGATGAAAGCGAAGGTTGCGATGGAGCTCGTTGCAAAAAGTCTGCGGTTGCAATCGCACTGGCGGTTGCTAACTGGAGCAGATGTAGATGAATGGGATAGTGGACATTCAACTCGACGAGGAGATATCTCGAGCTGAGAATAGAGATTGTAGCGGCGGTGACCCAAACAGCGAGGCGGACATTCTGGGCGGCGTGAAAAGCGAGGCTCAAGCGGCTGCGGTCGTTGTAAGGCCTACTCGGAGCCAGCATGGTGAAAGTGGATGTGGAGGAGTGAGACGGGAGGAGCGAGGAGCGACAGATGGTGAGGAAAAGACAAAGAGTGGACGGGTCAACATAGGCGCCCGCAACGGGGAGTTCGTATCAGGGCATGAGGGTCAAAGTGGTGGGAGGGGGATGAGGGGAGAAGAAGGGATGGGAGGTGAGGAAGCCGCAGTCGGTCGGTGAGTTCAGACAGACAGACAGGCAGTAGGTACATAGTATCCAAGTAACACGGATTCAGGATCCAATTATCTGTTCATGTCATTAGGCTAGGCATCCGCTTATTGGCCCACTCATGAAGCCCGTTACCCTTGTCTCACTCTCTCGCGACTCGAGACTAGGCTTGTCACCAAGGATTACGCCGATCGTTCAGCATACACACATACAATTGCCCCGTCGGCGTCTGTCTCTCCAAGACAATGTCCATTGTTCCAGCCATGGACATTCGCAGCCTTGTGAGCATTGAATGATGGCGTGACGCGCCAAACGTCCCGTGTGTGGAGACAAGGCGTCTCGCCAAGAGTACACGATAGGGGGGCCGAAAAAGTGCGTCGTGGTGGTGCAAAGGGCTGCACAATTGTCGGGATGCGCCCCCATCCACCTAACCTCGCCCAACTGTCTCTACACAACAGTCTGTATTCGAATCCATGGCAGTTCACTGTGTCTGTGTGATCCCCCTCGAAATTTCTTCTGTAGTAGGTGTTTATCAAGTCCACCTGCATCCTTCTAGCGGGACTAGCCTCAAACTAGGCGCGTTGCCAGACCCTCGTTGATGCCGTGCATTCGCGTTTCTGCCATCATCTATGCGCCGGCCCTGTCGCCGTCAAGTTTGCACAACGCCATCCGCTGCAGTCGTCTGGCTGCTAACGGGAGCATGCACCTATCAAACCCAGACTGTCTAAAAGTTTTTGTGCCTGAATCGAAAAATTCCTTCCTACTAGAAGAAAAATCGCCAACAGGGTCCACGGCACTTTGGTGTGCAACGTTTACCGGCGACCCATACATGCACGACATGCGCCATTCTCAACATCAAGGTTTGCCTATACTCATCCACTTGACTATCCGATTCGTTGCTTGCACCACATGTGCATACATATAACCAAACCCGTCAAGAACGCCAATCCCGCAATCTGCTTCTTGTGTTGCATGCATTAGCCCGTTACATATGTACCTAGGTAGCTATTAACTACGCCACAGTGTATTATTCTATCGTCTTCTTACCACCCTGACCTTCGTAATTACTTCTTTGGAATAATAGTCGTCACCATTGAGAGCAGACATGTGCTATCGTACTCGAGAATCGGCCATATCATTTGTTGGTACGGTACGGTATTGTAACTGGAGAGCCGGCGCCAAGCCATCGGGGGCGCGTATCACCAACGCGCGTATATACGTACATATTCGACCCAAGGCATCTCTTCACAGACTACCTTGCGCACTGTCAAAACATGACTGGAACAGACCTCTACGATGAAAAAACGGGCCAGGTTTACACTCAGGTCAGCACCCCGGTTCAGTCCATGGTGCCAGCCTGGGTAAGCGCCTGTAATGGACGGAAACATCTCGAAAATGGCCATCTACGCAAAGAACAAGGCGCATCTTCTCTTCTCGACATGTCTTATCGGCGATGTGCTCTGAATGGCTTCGAAGCAGATACCATCGAGTTTCTGGGCCTGTTTCTCGCTGAGAAGCTCTACACTTTCTTGAGGAATAGGTAACTTCTCGCTGCACGCTGATCTGCATCGATTGGAGACTGACTGAAAAATGTCCATAGTAATATGGTATCATTCCGAGATTGGTTGATGTTCAGGAAGACCTATCCGGAATCCAAAGTAATATGTCAGCGATGGTCATTAAACATCACTCCACCCACATCACTAGGTCCCCCCCGAGAGCTCCCTACGTTGCAAAAGTACCTATCCAACACCTCACCAGCAACCTTGACGTACCTTAGTATCCAGAATCTTGCCCTAAGTGCCGCGGATCTTATGACATTGGTTCACATTCCAAATCTGGCTGTGCTTATCCTTGAACAAACGAGATCCATGCCAGACGATTTCGACGGAGGTGTCCACAGTCACTTCATGGGAACCTGGAAGCGCGAGATATCAAACAAGAAAGCCTTCACGAGGCTCCGAGCTTTGGTTTTTCGCAACTTTGCCGCACGCGACTCGGCGAGCCTCTCCTGTTTCTCCGCCTGTCCGAAATTGTGGCTTTGCCACTCACAGGCTAACCCTTACAATCTCCCTCCTTTAGTAGATGAATGGCAACTCGTGAAGAAGCAGAATGAAATCGCTGCGCTGGTCTTCATGGAGCAGACCTACAACACCATACACGAGAAGATGCGCTTACTATACACCGTTGCTGCACAATTCGCGGGTCATTCCAGTGCCGAGCCAAGCGACCCATCCGTCTCTGTTCGATATGGCGGTGGGTCCAATAGCTGTAGGGCAAGCCATACCAGGTGGTTTGTTCGAGTGCCTTCAACCAGTGAACCCTCTCCTGACGCCATGAAGCGACAACGTGATGGTTCTGATTCCAGGAATACCGGAACGCAGCAGCCCAAGAAAAGAAACATCAAAAGTGGCAAGCAACAGGACATTGCATCATTGCTCAACACCTTATTTTGAGACTTCTGGAACACGGCTAGATTGACGCAATATGCGACCGGGAAAAAAAAAAGGAAAACAGATACCAGGACAAAGAAGAAGGAAAGGTTTCTCAAGGAGTCTTCGCAATAGCACCAAGCATGTTTCCCAAAAACTATAACTGCTAATTCTCAGTTGATGTACGTCCACAAAGTCGCCTCATGAGGTATTATATCATGGTTAGGTACTCGGAAAGCCATCATAAAGCCAAAACAGCCGCGTCGCTCGCCATAACGGGTTAAAAATTCCTCTGATCCTGCGGAACTCCACTCGTTCCTCCCGATATCGAATGCGATGTGCATCGTCCGAGAGACATAACGTTGAACGAATACAAGATTTCGCCAAGACCCCTGCAAACTCCACCCACCTGCGTGACTACGGCCGTAAAAACAATCGAGCGGGTCCCAGTTTTTCTTTCCCCGCTCCGCTCTCAATGCGATTTTGGATACTCTCTCTCTGGATCGTTATTCCATCTTCCCCGCAGACAATGAGATGGGTTCTGCGAACCGGATTCTTCGGAACACCCCCGCCTTAACACCGATACTCCTGACCGAAATGACTCACAACACAAGACGTTTACGATGCAATCAAGAGTCGGTTGTTTGAGCTAACATGTTGCATAACGTTATGTTGTGAGCTGATTCGGAAGTCCAATGTCCACCAACTAGGACTATTTGGGTATCTGTGTAGTTGCTACCAGGGTGTCCTAGGCTTGTGATTAGTGAACCGAGCTACGACATTGATGGTATTTGAACAAGACAATATCCTCCTCTAAGAACAAAAAAACACAAGATTACAACTTCCTGAATCATTTGTTCTTCAACTGTGTCTTCTACTCAGTGCTTGGACATATTCTGCATATCATCCTATACGAATCTCGCCTTCTTTCGCGGAGACTCTTCTTCCCAACAGCTCTCGCCCGCCCTCCCTCTCCATACTCAACTCACATAAATAAAACCAACAATAAAAAATCCACAAAATCCACAATGGCATCCCCCCCAGCAAAAACCCACATCCTCGACAGAAACAACTACACGTCCCACCACCTCGTCACCCTCTCCCCAGCCCCAACATTACCTCCGCTCCCGCCATCCTCCCTCCGCCTGCGCACCAAAATCATCAGCCTAAGCACCAACAACTTGAGCTACGCGCGAATGGGCCACCTCCTAGGCTGGTGGGACACATATCCGCTCCCTCTGGAACAGACACCAGCACCATTCAACGACGCCTCAAAGTACGGTCGCATTTCCGCATGGGGCTATGCAGAGGTCGTGGAGAGCAACGTCGCAGGCATCGAAGCCGGCAGCGCGACGTTATACGGCTACCTCCCCATCAGCAGCGAGGTGTGGACCGTGGCGGTCGAGCAGACGGGGATCAAAGGGCAAATCGTGGTCGTAGACGCGTATCGGCAGCACTTGTTGAAGATGTATAACCGGTACACGGTGCTTGGGGCGTCTGTTGCGGAGCTCGAGGAGAGGGGCGATGGAGGGTTGGACTCGCTGGGCTGGGATGCGTTGATGCTGCCGACGTTTGGCACCGCGTATAACATGAACATGTACGGGTTTGCGTGGGAGGATGGGAACCGCGTGCATCCTGGTGGGGAGAGGGAATGGACGGCCGCGGACGCGGATCTGGATGACGCCGTGGTCGTGGTGCTGAATGCGAGTGGGAAGACGGCCATGTCGTGGGCGTATGCGCTGCGCAACTACCGGCCAAAGGAGCACCAGCCGAAGATGATCGTTGGGGTTGCATCTGAAGCGTCCAAAGCGGTGGTGGAGGGGAGTGGTTTCTACGACAAGGTGGTGCTCAATCCCGACGCTGAAGCTTTTGTGGCGGATCCTGCTTTATCCCAGGCTCGTCGCGTGCTTCTCTTCGATTTTGGTGCCAGGGAAGGGGCGTTGAAATCGTGGCGCTCTGCACTCTCCTCTGCCGGAATTCCTTTCACTTTCATGGGTTTAGGCGGGGAGGTAAAAGCTTTAAGCCAGGAGGAAGTGATGAAGGCCTTGTCATCGCAGCCAAGCGACAGGATCCAGGTCCACGCAGATGTGATGAGAGAGAAAGGAATTGCCGTCAAAGGCCAACAATACTTTGATGAGTTCAACCACACTTGGGAGCGCTTCAAGGCCACGGGTGGCATTAGGGGCATCAATCTGGTGTGGGGTCAGAGTTTAGAAGATTGGGAGCAGGGCTGGGAAGCTCTTTGCCATGACAAGATACCCAACATGGCGGGTACCGGTTTATTGTATCGGATTTGATCTACTCTGAAGCCGTGGGTAGAAAGTCATAACCATGAGTCCAGAATGTTACTATAAGCTGTCACTGTGTCTCACTGCTGCAAGACGTAAAGTCTCGGCACACAGCATTTGAACGATTTTAAGTTATTGGATGTACGTCACACTTTCGAAGGAACATTGAAATCTCATCATACTATTGTGACATCCTAAATATGTAGGTGAACAGTTCATTCGATCGTAAAGTTATGTACCTTGACAAGCTGTTCCCGACTATGATTCAAACCTCTCTCGCTAACTATGTTGGTTATCAAAGTACACGAGTCGTGAAGGGGAGCATCATGCTCGAAAAGCAATCTCACGCAGCCACTTAGGCAAGATGGGCGAAAGCGAAAGCGACGACGATGGCCACGATCGAACTCTTGCCGGCGCCAATGATTGGCTGGCCCTCGTTTGGATTGGGATTGAGAGGGACTGCAGAGTAAGGCGGCTTCGGTGGAGTGAAGCTGCTATTACCGCCCGAAGGCGAAGGATATCTAGAATTGAACGTCAGTCATGAAGTACATGGCATCACGCAAAATATAACACTTACCCAGATGCGGATCCGGATGGACCACCCGGAACACTCGTCGCGGTACTCAGAATATTGGAGCTGACTGGGGGTACAGTGCCATTGTAGACTGGCAACGTGCTGGCGGTCATTCCAGGATTGCTAGGGACAATCACGACGTGCGTCGTAGTGGTGTGTTCAGGCAGGCCGGTAGGCCCCGAGGTAGGCCAGATAAACGACGAATATGGCGGGTTGCCGGTCTGAGTGGTAGCAAAAGTATCGTTGGGAGGGACGGCATATCCGCTCGAAGCATACGAGGCCGACCGAGAAGAAAGTGGGTAGGTCAGAGTCGCATTGGTGAATTGGGCGCTGGAGGTAGTGTCGGCGGATGGAACACCATAAATGGGTGGAACAGGCAAAGATGTAAACATGCCTTCCGTGTTTGTATTCGATGACCTAAACGGGGTGCTATTAGAAAGATGAATGGAAGTTGAACTCTGAGATGGATGATCATATCCGTTCAAAGAAGAGCCGGGGGATGTCAAAGTGCCGCCAGTGATGGCACTTGGTTGACTGGATGCATAGCCACTGCTCGCAGAGGGAGAGGGCTGTGACGAAACAATGACACCCTCAGACTCGGTATAGTATGTACCGACAATACTGCTCGGGAGATATGGCGAAGAAGCGCTTAGACGAGGTGTAGTGGAAGTCGTCAGAGGACCCGTGGGAGCCAGACTACCTAGCCCAGAGCCGGAGCTTTGGCTGGGGACTCCTGGAACATACGACAAAGGCGTAGTACCGTGAGAAGAGGAGGCCTGACCTGGGGCACCTGGGCCGAACGAAGTGCTCTGCGATGGTGGATAGAATGAGCCAGTTGGAGATGTCTGACTTGAGATAGCTGGACCGGATGAGATGATCTGGCTAGGGACACCGGGGACGGGCGTAGTAGGACCACCCTGTCCAGGGGATGTCTGTTCGGGAGCAGAAGGCATGCCCACGCCCGGAGTGGATGTGACCAGGCAGATTGTCGTAGTGGTAGTAACAGGGACGACCGAGGTATAGACCGTGGTGGCCTCTGCAGGGCACTCGGTGACATCCGGAGCACACTTGGTGACGGTGAAGTACGAGGTCGAAAACAGAGTGGTAGTGGTGACGGCGTTCTTGTCCGCGACATCATTGTCGGCACGGCGAATGACTGGATGACAGTTAGTTTCGAGAGCAACGGCTGAAGCCAAAGGGGGATGACTTGCTGTCAGGCGAGGCAAGCACAAAGGCAGCCTGGACGGCGACCACAGCAATCTGAAGCGGCTTCATCTTGGGTAGGTTCAGTGGTTGACGTAGGACTCAGGGAAAAGAGAGGCGAAAGAAAAGAGGCGATGTTCAGAGGAGCTTTTGGACGGACAAGGCGAGGTGAGCAGGTTAACGAGAGTAGGGAGTCGGATGGAGAGAAGGAAGAGAAGAGACGAGGCGGGGGGGGCTGGCAGTTTATTATCTTGGTCGAGTTGGGCATTGGGGGAAGGCGGTGTCAAGACTAGCGTGGTTACTGTAGCCAGGCGCGAGGCAGGTACGGACGGGTACACAGTAAACAAACCGACGGACAAGTCGGACAGCCGGACAGTTTGGCAGTAGCGGCTACAACTCGATGCTCATGGGATCATGTTCTCCGAGATGATCTATTGAATGTCTCTCTGCAGTTGTTTGACGTGCAGGGCATTCTCGTATATGTATGTACGGACTTGGGTATGTGGAGCATCACGTGGGCTTGCAATTCACTCACTTCTCGGTGCACCGCACCAGAAGAAGGTCAAGTAGCGAATTGACAGCCACAACTTTTGAGATGCCGGTTTTGAGATGGGTTGAGAAGATTGGTGCTTGAAGTCCATCTGTGTCACTGAAGATATCCATCATTTCTTGAGATGGTGGTGCCATTGGGAGAGACTGAAGTCTTCGTTTGTGAGCAATATCAAGAGCATAAGACTGTACACATGAACCTGAACCTTCTCTTTCCTAGATAGCAATGGAATGCTCCTTCCGCAGGCCATGTTTGACCGCTTGATGGCGTGCTTGTACGACCAAACCCGCGGCCGGTCTATGCTGCCTGCCGGTTTATAAGTTTCCATGCACTTCCCCCCACACTCTTCCGTCCGCACCTCACCTTCACACTCACTTTCCTTCATTTACTACGAGCAGCACCTCAACGGCAGCCAGCATTGAGCTTTTGCACAAGCTTGGGCCATCCGTTGTCTGCCTGCTCGACTATAAAGCCTTCGCCGCCCCTGCCATTCACACTTTTCCTTCACCACCCTTGAACCCGCTCTAACGCATCTTCAGACAAGCCATCCCGTTAGCCTCTACAGCACATTTACTCCAACATCTCTCTACACCAATCTCAATTCACGACACCTTCATCATGAAGCTCTTCCTTGTCGCCGCCGCTGCCTCCGTCGGCATCGTGGCTGCCCGCAATGTCCAAGCCGACAAGCCTGGTGAGCAACCCCGCGACGCTATCTAGGTGTCCATGCAGCTACTGACAATATACTTTGAGACTTCTGTGTGGAAGAGCCACCCGTTACCATTACCGTCACTGTCACCCAGTGCCACCACTCCACTCCCATGGTGTCTTCCTCCGCCGCTGCTCCACCCCCAGAGGAGACAACCACATCCGGACTATCTACCACTGGTACGTACATCCCAGATACACTGATGCTCCACTACAACCTGTTTGGATGTATCGTACTGACTTTATACCTTTAGGTACGTTCGTTGTCATTACGAGTTCTGCTCAAGCTACTCCCCCGGGTAGCTCTGGCTTTGCTTCGTCTGCTCCAATCGCCTCTGAGTCTGCCAATTCCACTTCTCGGTCGGTATCTCAGTCCGCATCCGAGCCTATCAATTCCGCTTCTCAGCCGGTATCTCAGCCCGCCTCCGAGTCAGCCTCTGTGCCCGCGACCGTACCCGCGACTGTACCTACCACCATACCCGCGACTATGCCCACTTTCCCGAGCTCGAATTTGACGTCAACTGCCGTATCCTCCACCATCTGGGAATATAGCGGTACATCGTCCGTCTCTTCAACTTCAACCCGCAAGCAGCCAGCAACTGCTACCGAGATCCACGACAACGTTGCGGCCCTCCCTACCGCCTTTCCTGGCGTCTTCGTCGTTGGTGTTGCTGCCATGGCAGCTCTGGCTTGATTGAACCCCATTCCCGGTCACGCGTGTGGCCTTGTCTGTTGGCAACTTCATAGGTTGCTGGAAAATTCCCCTTCCCTTTATTGCACCCAACTCTGAGTTAGTAGTTACTGATGAATCTCTCGGTACCATTTGGGAACCCGAGACCTCGGCGAATCTGGTGGATGGAATGTTGAAGGATCGTCAGGGACTTGGTACTTCAGCTTAGCTCAGTTCGGTTTAATTCTGCACAGCTCTAAGTGTCGATCGAATCAACAATTGCTCATTTTGCCTGTCCCGGACCCTAGTGGTTGCAGAGAAGTCGTATCCAGTTGATGAAAATTTTTCTTAAAAATACAGCAAGTAAATCATCGCTGCCCCCGCCACACACCACTTCAACCACCACCACCCCTCTTCTTCCTTTCCAACTCCTCCATACAAGTCTTCAAATCCTTTAACTTTGTCCCAAACTCTCCTAGACTTAAAAGCGGCATATTTTGGCTTATAAGTATTACCTGCCTTGCCATGTGCTGTAACGTATCAAAGTCTGGCCTTATAGCTAGGTAATTCCTTTGTAGTGTTTGCATCTTTGATTCTAAATCTTCTGCTTCTGCTTCTGCTGTGTTACTACTTCCTTGTGTACTTGTTAGTGAAGGAGGTAGTTGCTTCTTGCGCTCCTTTGCTAACTCCTGCTCCGTTGTATTGTGTAATGCTTGTAGCTTTTTATAAGTCTGTAATAAGGTATTGTATTCCTTTTGTAAACTTGTTCTCTCTTTTGCGGTTTTGAGGTTGGTTTTTAGAGTTGCGTTTTCTTGTTCTAGGGCAAGGATTTGAGCGGCAAGGTTAGACTTTTCGTCGTCGTCGTCGTCGTCAATAACAATAGGGTCTTTAGACGTGTTTTTGCAATTGACCAGCTTATCTTTGTCCTCCTCTTTTTTAATGCTTGTAGTCTTGGAGGGGACGTTAACTTTCTTGTTCTTTATAGGCTTAGGATCTTTTGCGGGTATTGACTTCTTTGACGCTGCTGCTGCTGCTGCTGCTGTTGTTGTCTTTGTTGTTTTCTTGCTTGGTTTCTGTAGTACCTTTTTATTGCTTGTTGCTTTTGATAATGTTGTGCTTGCAGTGTCTTTCTTTTGTACTTTAGATAGAGATTTGTCTTTGCTATTGCTAGATGCGCGTCGTTTTTTGGTTGTTGACGTTGTTGCTGCCATAGTAGAGTTGTTTTCCTGGTTCCACTGATTGTCCCAATTGATATCGCTGGGTAGTTCAGGTGATAGCTCCGATGTTCTTGAGCTTAGCTGGCGGGGAGGAAACCTGCGATCTTTTATAATACGGGTCCGAGCTCGTATGCGATCGATGCTGGAGGAGGTGCTGGCAGGGAGCTGGAGAGGTAAGCAGGGAGACAGAGCTCTACTCGTGCGTTTCCGAGAGGTCTCCTGACGAGAACAGGTAAGTGAGGGCCGCGGCATGTTGATAGACGAGATAAAAAGACAGGTGATATGAGATGACGCGTAGTTGTTGACAACAGTGGTTATTTAGAAGAGAGAGTGGAGAGCAGTTGAAAGAGTGTGCAAGAAATAGTCGGACAGAACAATACCTTGATTGAGTGACACGTGCTGCCTAGTGACGGGACTAGTTGGTATGAGCGGTGAGATGATTTGGGAAAGCGGTAAAGGCGGGAGCATAGCCGCAAAATGTTCTTATCGGTCAATGGGATATAAGGTCATCGGGGAGATTGAGACTGCATGAACACATCGAACAACAAGTGTAATTGATCGATCGTGAATGACGCAGGGTCCTTGGTAATGGATGATGACCTTGAAAAGAGAGGGAGGAACACCAGCAGCTCAACCTGTCTCACAAGCTACTCGGAATTGATTCGCTTATCATAAACACCTAACAAGTATCATTCACATCGTGACTATTAGATAAAAGGAAAATGCTTTGCCTTTTTCAACCCCAAATCCTGATATCCCTGAAGCGCCATCCGCGAAGCGCCAGCGTGTCCAGCGAAGAACAAAAAAATACTGTGATAAGACATATATTGCCAGCAAGCAAGTAAGAAGAGTAAGTGAAATCAGGAAAGTACCGAACAGAATTCCAAAACAAGGCTAAACGTACTAATACACGTCCTCGCCCTCGCCACGGCTGATCCTTCCACTTCGACTACCCGATACCGAGCGAAGCATGCTACCCTCATCTTCAAGTGCCTTCCGCTCTCGCTCTCGTTCTAGCAAGGCCCGCAGGTCTGCGTTCTCCTCGGTCTTTTGCTCTAATCTCTTGCGTGCACCACTACGATCCAGTAACCTGGCTTCTCGTTCAGCCTTCAGCCTCCTCTCCAGTTCTTTGAGGCGATGAATCCACTTCTGCTCGCTCGTTTGCAAGGTACCGGCTGGGGGGTATGGATGATCTGGCTGGGATGGCGAGGTTTCGACGGCTGAAGTAGAGTGGTGGCGAAGGAGCGTCTGTGCCATGCTGGCACGCTTTGAAGAGGTTGGTGAGCCAGCCCTTGACGGTGACCGCGAATTATCTACTGTAAGACCTGTAGATGTTATGGCGCGCAAGGTCTGGACTTCGGTTCTCAAAGTCTTATTCTCCGTACGAAGTTTGTTCAGCTCCGTAGTGTTGAGCTCAACTATACCGCCACGAACCGTACTCACTCGCCCGATGGAATCTTTCTGAGCCCTCACCATTTTCTCCACCTGATCAAGGCGTTTGATGCGGACGTCGAGAGAATGTTCTAGTGTCTGATAATCACGAACCAGGTCTTTCTCTAACTGCCGAATTCGTGTGCGGAAGCCACCAATGATACCTTCCACAGTCTTGACCGCCAGGATGATGTTCTTGTTGAATCCTGCGAAGTGCTTGGAGATGAGTTCCATAGATGGCAGTTCACCATTGATCAGTGCATGGCCACGAGACCACTCAGTGCCGCACAGAGTGGAAAGGCGATTCCATAAAGCGTAGAGCAGGTTATTGCGCTCTGTGAGTTGTTCACGGTACTGTTTTTCTAGGTTGTGCAGTTTCTGGCGGTCTTGACTGCGTAGCGTTTCGAGCTCCAACACCTTGGTTTCATGTTGCTGGATCGTCCTCGTAACTGACTGATGACTTCGTTTGGTGGTCTCGAAAGTGACTTGGTCTTGGCGACGGTTTTGTCGCTCACGTTCAAGCATATCTGCTAGTTTTCGATTCTCCATCCCCGTGCTTTCCAATAGAGCATCCCGACTGCGGAGAGTTCTTTCTCTCTCCGCAAGATCCTGTTTGACGTTATCAAGCTCCTGCATGTTGGCATCGAGATCGCGCTGGAGCTTGTGCACATCCTGAACAATGGTGTCAAATATGTGTTTAGTGGACGTAGAATTGGTGGCGGGTACCTTCAAGAGGCTCGCTCTTGTACCGTTAAGATTGCCCAAGGCTTCGCGGAGGTTGTTTTCAAGGTCATCAAGTCGCTGCTTCCATTGCGTGGCTTCGACTTCTTTGCCTGACAGATTCTGCCGCAATTTTCTATTTTCCTCTTTGAGTTTCGCCAATCGCGCATTGAGCTCGGTGACGACCTTTTCCACCTCTTGCTTTTCTTGGCTTTCAAGAGCATCGCGTTGACGTCCCTCTTCGTTGACTCTTTCTTCCAAATCGCGGTAGCGTTCTTTTTCGTCCTGAATCGTAACGTGGGCTGCGTTGAGTGATGACTCAAGCTCCCCAATCTTGATTTTGTCGCCTTCTTGCTCTTCACGCAGGAAGTCGACTTCTCCTTGGCACGACTCCAGCTGGATATCAAGCTTCTCATTCTTCGATCTCTCCTCTGAAAGGAGCTTGTCTTGACGAGTGAGCTCCTGGTTGGCGTCCTCTATTTCCGATTCCAGGTTCTGGATCTTTCGCAAGCTCGCATCGCGGTCGTCTTCAAGCTGGAGCAGACTCTCGCTTACAGTCTTCATTTCTTGTTGGAGAGCGTTGAAATCTTCGTTGGCGTTCTCAATCTCGGTCAGGAGGCGGTTGCACTCTTGTTCTTTCTGTTCTTGCACAATCTCAAGCCGCTCAATCGTCTCGAGAGCTTGTTGTCGGATGTCTTCACATTCCTGGTCTTTCTCTTGCAGGTTCTCTAGAATTTCATCGCGTTCGTGAGACAAAGCCTGCAGATCCTCTGCCTGCGCTTCGTTGTCTTGCTCCAATATTATGAGTTTATTTTCTGCCTGTTCGAGTAGATCGAGATGTCCGTTTAGTTGGTCGTCAAGCTCCTTGTATTGCAGCTTAGCCTGAGACAACTCATCGCGAAGGAGAGCGCATTTGGCTTCTAGGTCATCGCGCCCACGACTACGCTCAGGATCGCTTCCTTGTGTTACCCGTGTACCTCCACTGGCTCGTGATGCGGACCGTTGGTGGTTACGTGAGATTGAACGCTCTAAAATACTATCACCGGCGATAGACCCACCATCGCCCCTTCGCAGTGTGAGCTTAAGGCCTTCGTTTTCTTCGCGCAGACGCACATTCTCCCGACTGCGCGATGTAAGCATGGAAGCTTGAGCGTGTAAGTCTCTTTGAAGCCTATCATTGTTTGACTGCAGTTGCTCAACGAGCGTCCCACTGGAGCCGGTGATTGTTAAAGACGGAGGCTGGTCATTAACCTCGGACCCTGCAGTCGATTGGGCGTGCAGAGTAGTATAGTTTCGTCGGCTGTTGTAAATGTTTTTAACATTGTTATTTGTTGTCAGATATTGCGAAGACTGGCTGTGGAGCTCCCGTAACCGTTGAGCTTCCTCGCGGAATTGATCTCGCTCGCCTTCGGCTTGTTCGCATCGCGCTTCAGCATCTTCGCGTCGCGCGCGCTCGTCTTCGTAATCTTCCTTCCACATACTCATTGCTTCATTGACACCAGCAGACTCCTCTGATGAGGCCTTCCCGTTCATGGTCTTGATATAGTCTTTCATGCGTCGGTTATCCGCCTCTTTCAACATAGCCGCTTCTTTCCATTCTTCTACTGTAGTTTCGGTACTCTCCAGACGTTCTCTGAGAAACTCTATTTCTTCGAAGGCAGCTTGTTTTTCCGAATCATTGCTGAGTTCGTCCTCAGAGACACTTGTCGGAGATTTTGTTGGCTCTCCATCCTCGGCCGCTTTGAGTCGTCTCTCGAGGTCACGTAATTTTTTGCGAAGACCCAGGTTGTCTTTCTTTTCATTTGCAAGGTCGGTTTGAAGCTGAACGTTCTTGTTGATCATCTCCTTAACATTCTCATCAGATCGGTCTTGCAAAGCCTGGTCCAGGAAGTGGATCTTAAGCTTCAAATCAAAATTTTCCTTGCTCAGTTTGTCGATCTTGCTGTTCTGCTCTTTGAGGGTCAAGTTATGTTTGCTGCGTGTGAATGGGGTAGCCATGTGGCGTTTCTGGGGAGAGTTGCCGTGCTTTTCGCGGAATTGACGGGCAACAGTATCTGGCACTTGAATATCCCTCACATGCCTAGTAATGACGGTATCAGTTGGTGCAGTCAATTTTACGGTCGGCGCACGTGGTGTTTCGGGGGGCGTGGAGGAGCTGGGCCCTTCTTCGTCCAAACGCTCAAGGTTATTATCGGGGTGCAATAATCCAGATAGTGAGTTGGCACTAATGCTTCTTGTCTTATCCCAGGGATTAGAATCACTGTAACCTGATACCGAAGATGTAATGCTTCCGAGGCTTGGCAATCTGGAGAGAGCAATGCTCATTCTATGTTGGTCGCTGGATCGGGAAGCTGCGCCACCACTTTGCAAAGCAAAGTCTGCACCTAGGCTGGCTGTGCTCGTACCGTCTCCAGAAGCCTCTGAATGATTCGTAAAGGAAGATACGGAAGATCGATGACTTGAATTCCGGGACTGTAAGAAGCTAGGCCGTTTTTTGGCGGTTGTGGGAAGAGGCGGTACCAGATTCGTGATGTCTTCTACGCTTAGGTCGTGATCATCGGTAAACGAGGAATGATCTTCCAACGGTCCAAATTCTGGAGCTTTTACTGTCGAAGCGCTAGACGTGGGTCGAAGGTCGTCTTTCTCCCCCAGTACTTCGTCTGCTGTGTCCTGGGTAGATGTCGAATCCCCGGGCTTGAGTCCAGGGGCAAAACGGGACAAGTTTCTTTGAGCCGCACGTGCGGACGGAGACGAGAGAACAGCCTCGGAACTTGACTCTGTGGTATCTAATGAATCATCTGTGTCGATATCCAACCGTCGTGTTGCGGGTGTTTTATATGCGTCGGCGGGCGTGGGCGGCTCGTCTAACGATAAGGAGGAGCTTTCATCGTTTGCTTCTGGGTCACGCCCCAGATTTTCGGTTTGCTGCGCTGGCTCTTTCACACTTGATGTTTGCTGCGAATGACCAGGTGAACCTCCAAATAAAAAAGTGTCGTCAGCACCTGCCGGCGGCGCTGGAGGCACCTCAGCCTGCGTGGAGGCTTCCGGCAAGAAACTAGATTCTATATCCTGCAATTGACGCTTCATCTCATTGTACATGAATCCACTTTCGCTTCCAGGGCCAGGGCTTTCTCCAAAGTTTGTTTGTAGAAAACTATCGTCGTCGTCGTCTTGTGGCAGCGGAGGAAGATCTGAATCGGCCATGTCAAACGCTTGTACATCTTCGCCATCTGATAAATCATGAGATAGTTCGTGTGTCTGAGCAGCAGATGCTGTTGATCGTGAGGGGAGGGCTGGCTCCGGGGGATTTATTTGAGGCGCATTGGAGGTCGAGCCAGGAGTGGCCTCGACGGACGCCGCCATGGTTCAAAGTCGAGTTCAGGTGGGCGCTTTAAGTGAGTGGTAGTCGCAAGAGGGTTGAGGACTCTTCGGTCTGCTCATCAGCATGTTTGAGAGTCCGGGTCTGGGGGGTTGGGACCGAAAAGCAGTGGGTGAGTGCGCTGGTTGATGATCTCAAGCGCCAGAACGCGCTTCCAGTACAGGGATGCCGCGTGTTTGGCGGCCCGTGCACTATTTGTCGTCAGAGGGACGGAGCTTCGAAGTGCGAACCATCTAGCCTCATACATTGATTCATCCCACACCACTCTTTGACTCGTTAGTGCCCAGTCTATGTGTCCACTAGTATGAAATTCCCATTGTTAACTGTATACTACAAAGTCCCAGCATCAGGGTAGCCACCAGGAACTCAATCAGTATGATGGACGTGGTCTTTTCGCCACGATATTGATTGCCAGAGGCTCATATACATGAAATCAAGCCTATGCAGACTCGCATGTATGAGCAGGCTCCTGCACCTCCGCAACATTCACAAGACACACTGGTCATCCCCTGATTTCCCATTTAAACGCCAAACGCTTTCAGTTATGCTCAGACCGGTATCTCATGACTTTGCCTTTTCCCGTTTCTTTTCCTTCTTCGCTCTTCGTTCCTCCCTCCTTTTCAGTTCCTCGGGGGTCCGATGCTTCTTGAGCTTCTTCACTGCCCTGTCATCTTCGTTCATATCTGCATGCTTCCGCTTCTCCGATCTTGCCTTTGAATGAACACCATTGGGGACAGCCAAACCTGCAGTTGGCGCCTGTTCAGGTTCGTCCTCGTCATCTGATGATCCCAGAGTTACCGGCGTACGATCCTTCGCTCCTGATGGGAAGAAGCGCATCTTGAGCCCTTTGACCTGGGGCAGCGGGGCACGGATAGTAGACATTGTGATGGATGCTGCTGCCTCAGAGCCTGTGTTTGGGTCCGCTTGATGCGAACTTAGTTTGGGGAGATCAACAATCTCGCGGAGGTGGAACGAGTGCGAGATTCGAGACGAGACAGGTTTGTATCCGTTTTGACGTGGTATGATGACTTGTTGCGAACCACCATCCTCTTCTGCGACGTCTGAGAAACCATAGCTAGCATTTTTGTGCTTCAATACTGCCTTGCCTTTGGTCGCTTGATCCATGGCCAGCTGTTGCAGGTCTTTGAGTGATATGTTGGCGGGTGCGGTCAGGTGCCAAATCTGCTTTCCTTGAAGATTGCTCAGCAGTGTGGTAGATGGTAAAGATGCGGCTCGGCTGGTGGATGCCTGATTGAAACCTCTCGGAGGAACGTATGCGCTCGCTGCTACCATTTCCACGTCATGTATATTTGTTGGGGCCGATCGAGGTTGTCTGCGTTGAGTGTCAGTAAGTATACCCCGAAGACCTAGCTTGGAATACCATACGTTGGTGTTGCTTTTGATGTCGCCGCAGGAGTATCTGCTTCAGATTCGTCGCTTGAGTCGTCCGAGCTACTGTCGCTGGTGCTTGTACTCGCCGCCTTCTGTTTTTCTCGATCCTGCGCTTTTCTTATGTCGGTCTCGGGCTCATCTTCGCTGTCATCTGAGCTACTTGTAGTAGTACCATCTTCTTCCGTCGTGACCTGCTTGGGTACAGGTTTTTTGGGTGAAGGTTTTTTTGGCGACTGTTTCGATTTAGCTGAGCTCTTCGGAGCTTCTTCTTTCCCCTTTTTCGATTTTTTGGTCTCGCTAGCCGTCACACCACTTTTCGGTCTGTGTACTGCGATTTGTACAGGCGTCTTTTTCTGGGGCCGTGCTTCGGTCTCGCTCGCAGAATCGTCGCTGCTGCTCACGAATTCTTGGCTCAATGCGTTTTTGGAAGAATTGACTGTCTTCTTTGGCGCGGAGCCAGGCGGAAGCACCGGTGTTTTCCGGGGTTTGCTCATGATGCGTGGTGTTGCTGATTTGGGTAGAAAGCTTGCGAGTTGGTCGCGAACTTTTTTGGCGGAGTAGTTAAAAGTTCTGCCGCGGCATTATTGACCGCTTTACATACGCTAGCCACTTTAGGTAACACTATAAAAAGAGTGAACGTAGAATTCATACAGCTCGTCACAGGTAACCCAGAACAACGACAAGAGTCAAGATGTCAGGAAAAAGAAAAAGAGGCAGAGATACGTTTGCTGAAGATCCGATAGAAAGTACTTTTAATGACACCACCGTCCGATCATTTAGAGCATCATCTGACTCTCGTGCACAGAGCCAGTACCCAGTGCCAAACCTATAAGTGCAATTGCTGCAGCACGTCTCCAGTTGGAGGCGAAACTTCAGGCACAAAATGCCCCCATCAAAGATGTCGGCGCGCTCGAGTCGGCCACAAGCCCCATGGTCGAAGCAACATCCGACTTTTCGGAATCTGAACTAGAAGAAGACGATCTCGTTCCACTCGTACACCAAAATTTCAAACTATGTTCATGGCGCAGAATTTCGGAAAACATCTTATCTGACACTGAGTCTGAGCTGGCTATAATACTGGAGAAGCATCAAACCATCTCATTTGTAGGTTGTTTCGATCTCAAAGTCTTGAAAGGCGCCGTGAACGTCAATGGCGCCAATATTGGAGCTGTACCTCGCGCGAAAGACACTGCGAAGGAATACAGAGTATATGTTCCATCCACACATCCAATCACCAAGATCAGAGGCTTGGATCGTACAAGTCATGTTCAATTTGTGAGCTGTCAGGAGCCAACTCTACTCGAATCCACCGGCCCGTTATTTGCTGGAATTTGGGCGACACCAAAGGACAAAGGGAGATCATTCGAATACGTAAGTGAAGAGAATTTACTTGCAGATGCTTTTAGAGAATTCAAGCTGATATATTCCACAGATTCAAGAGTCAGATGCAGACCCTTTAAAACGTGCTCTGGCCCCTGAGATTGCCCCAGAGGAATGGATTCGCAATATTGAAGACATCTCTAGCGCGTCTTCTGTGTCTATTGTCATAGGATCCTCTCTTTGCGGAAAGTCGACATTTGCAAAGAGGCTGCTAAATCGCTACCTCACTGGCTTTGGAAAGACCGCGAAAGCTGTTCCATCTGTCTGTTACCTTGATCTCGACCCCAGCAAGCCAGAATACACTCCCCACGGCCAAGTCTCACTTACGAACGTGCGGGAAGTCAACCTCGGGCCTGCATTTACGCATCCGATTTCAAATCCCGGGGGTACCGGCAAAAACGAGACAGTCGCCGCTCACGCGCTTCCAATGCAAGAATTGGCAAACTACGAAGACTACTTCAAATCATGCGTCTCCGATCTCTTCCAAGCCTACCGGGCTATGCGATCCAAAAACATCAATCTACCCCTCATAATAAACACCCCAGCAGACCTCTACTCGATGCACTTCCCACTTCTAGAGTCGCTTCTCACTAACCTCAAACCCGGCAACATCATCCACCTAGGCAACACTTCTGCCATTGACATTGAGGCGGCCGAGAAACTCCATTCCCTTTCCACCATCTCCGCAAAACAAGGCAGCACCCTCTTCGAACTCCCCGCCCAACCCCCTCTCCTTCCACCCTCACGAACAGACGCCGAACTCCGCGCCATGCACATGCAGTCCTACTTCCACCTCTCCCCACCAGCAACATCCTGGACCCCACAACCCCTCTCCACAACAACCCCCTGGCAATTCACCTACGAAGAAACCCAAACCCGCACCCAAGACATCCACAGCGTCCTCCTCCTCAACGACCCACCAGCGCCCTCGCAACTCGCCACCATGTTAAACGGCTCAATCGTCCACATCATCCGCACAACAAACCCACCTTCCCTCCAGCAGTCCCCCCAAAACGGAAAGAACGCCATCGATACCAACGGACTCGTCCCAAGGACAGCGAAATACCGTATCCCTTACATTCCCGCAAACCAAACATCCCATGCCCCGCTAACCCCACACCCACAATCCACTCGTCTCCTCTGCACCGCCCTCATCCACTCTTTCGACCCCGCGTCCCGCGTCGTCAACCTCCTCGTGCCAACCACGCATGACGCTCTCCTACACGAGATAGATCCCAGCGGTGGTACTGCGACGGTGTTGGTAGGCGGGTGCTGCGATCTACCCGAGTGGGCGTACGTCGAGGACGCGCATGTAGCACTGGCGGATGGGAAACGCAGGGTCAGCGAGGCGGTTGGGGGCTCGGGGTTGTCTAGGGGGGAGGAGGACGTTGCTATGGATGGGGTTAGTGTCGGGCCGTGGGTTGAGCGGAAGAGCGTTGTTGATGGCATGGGGTATTTTGGGACCGTGAGGAGGGTTCGGAAGTTCCTTGGGTGAAGGTTGCGTGGGATACATGGTTATGTTACTCTTTTGAATGGAGTTTAGATTACGTTTTGCAGAGTCTTGGGTAGATGGATTGGTGTGACTAGATGAATTTTTTTTTCTTTTTGGCTGTTTTGGCCAGGTTCTGGTTCCGAGTATCTTGATGGAGCTTTGTGGAATGCGTGTTAAACAATATGTTCCAACAGGCCGATAGTGACTCGGAAATCCTTCAGTCCAGTCACCGAGGCCAAGTATAAGAGTACATTAGCCATTTATTCACTAAGCTACTCCCTAACGCCATGTTGTACATCGTTAATCGACACGTCCTGTCCATTCGTCTGCCAATCCTCGTTCTGTTAATAAAACAATTGTGAAGAAGAAACCGTACCGTTTGTTCATTCAATCATGAGCACGTAAACACGTTCAATCATCGTTCCTCCACTCACCAGAAGGATGTATAAAGAGGCCGTTCGACAAAACCAGTCCTGGCCGTCATGCAAATATAGGGAAATCGCCTAGAAACGCCAACTGCTGGGCCCAAGGCCCAACTATGCAAACCATATTCCTTGTGCTATGCAGTAGACACCCGGTAACCAGTGAAAGAAGTCTTTCCCGCCCCAAATTGTAGCTTTCAAAGAAGAAGAAGAAGACCAATGGCAACCTAATTCTTCTCGACTGATTCCTTCACACAGCCCTTCCAATGAATTCGTCATTTTCGCTCTTGTCTTGCAAGCGCTCGACCTCGACCTCGACCTTGACCGACGACCGATCGATATCAAACGGGCTCGCTAGCAAAGTTGGTGGGCCGATGCTTTCCTTCTTCGGACTACTCTTTCCTTTACCCTTCATAAACTCCAATCTCGCAGGCAAATTGATGGCTTGCTTGAGAGCGGAGGTAGAGCTGCTGCTAGCAGCACGCGAAGGACTAGCCAGTATTGCTTTTCGGGAACGAGGAGAAGATGTTGCGGCTGAGGAAGCGACTGAGGAAGCGACTGAGAAGGCTTTACCCATCTTGCTGTTACCATTAGTTGAGCCAGAGCTGTTATTGCGGGACGGTGGAGAGGATGAGGATTCGCCAGGAACAGTATTAGTGGGGAGATTAAAGGCCTCCCCAGGAGATATAGGACTGTTCGTTGGTGTCGTGCTCGCCATTGTTCCGCCGACGCCGGTGCGTAAGCTTGGGGGAAGAATCTTGACGTTCCGGGTAATAGGGCAAGAAGCAGAGGGCACGCGCGTAGTAGCAGGAACTATTAGTATAAGTATTAGCGTAGGGTTACTAGACGATGCCATCTAAGACCCATACCTATGGAGTAAGTTGAGCTAACACTGGATGACGTGCTCGGTCTCTTCGGGTGTTTAAGAGGGAGTGTTGCCTGATCGTCAAGACGAGGAGCATCGCTCATGGTGTCATCATGGAAAGATGTGACAGGGAAGGTTGATGCTGAAGAGTGAAAGGGTGCAGGCGCAGGCGCTGGAGCATGTTGCATTGCTTCAGCTATAACATCTTTGCGAGGAGCATAAGTTGTTACACCGGCAGGTGACTCAAACAACCCTATTTGTGGTCGAGGAGGCCGGTCCGGAATTTCTGAGGTCTTGGTCCGTGGGCCCTCTGAAGCACCAGGCGATCGGTTGCCATCTTCCATTCCTGCCCCATGTCGCTTAGGAGAAGCGGGAGTGCTCAATGGGAAGCTTGTTGCCAAATCTCCAAATCTCTCTTGATCTGGAGATGGAGGCTACGAGCAGTCAGTATACTTGCTGTAAGAGCGCTGTACTATACTCACTGTAGGTTTTCTGCGCTCGGGCGAGAGCTTTTTATTGGATCGTGGGGAAATGCCTGGATCGGCATTGCCTGCTTCATCCGTAAGACTGAGACGATTTGTATTGGGGGGCGTCATGGGCCGTTGGAGATCAACACGTAAAGAAGTGATCTTGCTCATTGTCTGGGTATCCTCGCCTTCTGGAGAGCGATCTGGTGTGATGGGTTGCTCCGTGGGCATGTTGATAGGCAATGCGTCTGTCCGGATGGGGGGTAGAGATGGGGGTTGTTGCACTGACGGTTCATGACCAGCCAGGTTTGCTGGAAGATTTGCCTGCACAGGCGAAAAGGGCGTTGGGGAAACTTGGGAAATTGGTGAGAGAATATCTCCCGAGCGTCCGCTCCGGTCTGAAGAACCCACGATCTTCTTCAGCTTCTTGATGTCGGATTTGTAGCCGCGGACGTCCAGCTTGTAGTAGATGATCTCTCGGACGTAAAATTCAATCTCCTTCCGTAGGCCATTCACCGTAGCACCCAGGCTATCGTCAGCTGCTTCACCGTTTTGCTTGACTTTGCTGCTCTTCAGTTGTTTGTGAAGCCTATCTACCCAACGATCGATTTCTTCCTTGGAAGTAAGGGCAGTCGGATCAGGAAGAGCATCATTTCCTACCTCACCTGATAGTTTGAGTGCGGCATTTCGCCTAATTTCGGCCTCTAACAGCCACTTGTGGCAATCGAGCTGTCTCTCCGCCTGCTCCAATGCTCGGCTCTTCTCCCCAATAGTGGATTCGCGATCGATGATTTTCGTACGCAGCTCCTCAATATGAATCTCATCCTGCTTTGTCTTGTGGAGCAGCTGGCTCTGAATTTCGGATTCCAGACACATCTTTTCATGTTCAGCCTTCAGTGCTTCATAGTTCTGGCTCATCACGGAAATTTCAGTGTCCTTGTCTCGTATTTGTATCTGCAATCGATCCACGTGGTCCATGAGAGTCGTGAGCATTGTCCGCAGTTCCGACTGGTCTTGTGGACTGATTGGCGAGAAATCTGCAAAGTCGGTGGCCGCACTTTCCCGGTTCTTGATAATCGAGGATGGCACTTGAAGTTTCGGCGGTTGAGGATCGAATGGGCTGCTGCTCGTTTGTATGTTGTGAAGTTTCTCTGACAGGTCCACCTTTTCAATATTAGTAAGCTCCAATCGGTACTCGAGTTGATCGACTGTATTTTGCAAAGCGACAATGTTCTTCTCCAATTGCTCGTTCTTGCTTGCCTTTTCCTTGTACTCTATGCACGTCTTCTCAGCTTCCTCGAGCATACTGATGTATTTCCCCTCCGACTCTTTGGTGGCTTTGAGACTCTCCATAACCTTCTCAAGCTGGGCGTCGATGGCCTGGTCATTCTCCTCTTGAGTAGCGGCTCTCTTAGCATTTCTCTGTTGGGCAAAACGAATGTTAGGTCGGGGATCCTGGGTACTGGACTCTCGCGATATGTTGCGACTGGCTATGGTTGTTCGTCGTGTTGTACTTAACTTTCGTTTGAAGCGGTCCATCTCTGAAGAATCGCTGGCTGACCGCAGCGACGGTGCACGTGCTTGGCTTTCAATCGCAGTTTCAAAAGACTGGCGGCGGTTTGAATTGGTAGACGCGCTGCTGGTGGATGCTCGTGAGAATGCTTCTGGTACTGCGGGCGGGTCGGTGGTGTCGAGCAAGAAGAGCAGGTGGTTGCTAGAGGCTGCGCCAAAATTAGCTTGTTCTGTTTGGCTGGATTGGTCGATACATGTAAATGAGGAAAGCGCGGCACGGATGATTAAGCACGTACTGTGATGGAGGGTCCTCTGCTTCTGCTGTTCTTCGAGCGCTCTGGTGTAATTTCGCAGCGACGACGTCTCGGCAGAATGTGCGTCCACTAGACTTGCAACGTGCGCCTCGTGCGACCCACGCAGACTTGCGAACTGTGCTTGCAGCGTCGAAATGGTCTGATCCTGCGCTGTGATGGTCGACTTGAGCTCCTCGATCTGTTTGGTCCGTGCCGGGCTGTCCTGAGGGTTTGAGCTGCCACGCTGTATATGGTCATTAGCGTTTGTTCGACCGCCTTTCACTCCTGGCCCGACTGGAAACTATGATACGGCTATGCGAGACGGGGGAGATGACGATATCTTTGGGTGTCACGCATTTCCTACAAAAGAACAGGGGCACGCGCAACTACATCAGAACTACGAGTGGGAACGCAATGGCAGCGGAATTTGGCCACGACGACACACTCTCCATACATACAGGATCAGGTTCTACTTCAAACACCGACTTCACTTCACTTCAACGTTCCGGAGATGTAGGCAACAACGGGCATGGTGGTACAAACAGAGGCCACTTACTCGGAATCGGTCGTTGCCCGATGCTCCTTCGCCACTCATCCTTCTTCCCTTCCCTCCTATCATCAATGGCGACGGTCTCAGCAGCGCATCCAGACCCACATGAGCCTTGACTGTATCGGAACTACTGTTGTAATCTTCAATGGTCGATTCAGAGCACGTTGGGAGTTTACTGTCGGTCGATCTACCGGTGGATGACGATGGAGTGACGGGGTTGGAGTGCATCTTTAAGCGTTCCGGTTGCACGGTGGTCTCACTTAAGCTCTTCATGTGCCGTGGCCTATTTGGTGGGCCTGGTCTAGCAGTGGGACCAACGGAATTGACACTACGAACCGACCTCATGGTGCGAGAGGTTGCCCAGCCCGTGGCTAGGGGTGGAGAAGGGAAACCCTGATTTTCGAGTAGGATGGATCCGGGAAGCTCGACTGGCTCTGGTGTCGATGGAAGGCTTTGCGAACGTGGCTGGCTAGGGAGAGGTTTATCTAGTAGGGCAGAGGATCTAGGATATACAGTGGGACTTGTAATCGGTGAACGCAGCTTGTCATTGAAAAGTGCCAGCAGATTGGATGCCGCATGGACGGCGTCAAAAGACTGTGGGGAAAAGGCGGCGCCTTGGTAGTTCAGACATTGGTTCTTATAATCTGGTGTGATGATTGTGAGGCTCGGACGCTGGCCATGTCCACGTTCTGAGGTTCTCTGTCCAAGCATCAGCGAATGAGGCATCACCACATACTCGTACCCCTGCTCAATCTTTGGACAACGCTCGTGGGAAGGCTTGGTGCTGCATAACCACGTCGACGCGTACAGCGCAATTGGTCCATGTATCTGACAGCGCACAACTGCACGCACGCCTTCCTTTCTGATGTGATACAAGATCCAACATGGTGCAGAATCTCAATGTACGGTCATACATACCTTGGTAGGACTGGTTGGGACTGTCTTTGCCGGGCGTTCGTCGTCATCGGCCAACATGGTATCAATAGGGAGCAGGCCTCCAACCCTATGATATGTCTCTGGGGGAGACCTGAGGGACCACGAGGGCCATCTGTTCTTTGTAGACATGTTGAGCAATTCGAGCGACGCCAGGCTACGTTAGCGCAAAGGGGGTAGAAGGAAACATTAGAGCTGATATGAGAAGCACCGGACGAAGGAGAAAGACCGAGCTGAAGAAGCAGAGAACGACATAGGCAGGACGGTAGGGCCTTTAGAAGCTTTGAAGTGAGGTATGCTAGGCAAGGCAGATGAGGCCATGGGGGCTGCTACTGGTACCCAGCTGGCGCCAAACGCGTGCATGTCCAATTGGAGGCATTCCAGTCGATGTGCCAGGCAGGGCTCGGCCGCTTACTGGGCTGGACGAGGGCATTTCAAACATAGAAGTATACTAACTTTATTGCGTCGAGAGAGGTGAGACTGCTGGTCTCCAGTCTTGTTTCAAACACAAGTGAGCGAATGGCAGTGCTTAGCGCTGTTTCCCACGCTAAAGCAGGCGAACCACGCTCGGGCCAGCTCGTTGCCGGTTGGCTAGCTCTGACTTCAACCTGCATTGATGCAGCTTTTTTGGTGCTGCTGCGCCCGACTGAGCACGACGGGTCGTGACGACTGCGCCGCAATCCACTGTGAACAGCCTGCGTCTTCACACTACACGTCCCTACGCATCCACCTACCGTAATACCCATCATCTCGTCTGCGCGGCCTATCGGATCCGCCTTCCATGCGATAGGGTACCCTGCTCAGGCTCACTTTGCGCCCGGGTTGCCTGTCATCCACCACACCTTCTTGCTAGCCAGCCATGGCGCATGAAACGAGGACCCGAGAGTTATCACCGTGGAGTGCAAGGCGTGCACTCACGGAGCAGATGAACGGACCCCAACGAAACCCACCGCCGCCGCCTAAGGAAGACCAGAATGCCGCACCATGGAAGAAGGATATGCCTGGAAGGCCCCCAAGGAACTCTTCACCAGTTCGTAATGCGGGGAATGTGAGCACAAGCAAATCCCCACCTCCGAGGCGCCGAACAGAGGCAGTACGCGAGAACGAAGAGAAAGAGCGCACTCGACCTGGTTCTCGTAAATCAGAGCAATCTGGCGTAAAGTCTCCCTTGGGCTCACGCGACCGCGAGCTCTCACCGGAGCCGTACAGGAAACCCCAGGACAGTCGTGCCGACGAGAGACGACGCCATCGGTCAAAAGACAGACATGGCGACAAATCCACCCACCGGAGGCGGGACAGCTCGAGAGAGGGGCGGCACGAAAGATCCAGAGAACGGCGACGACATCGATCATCCGAGAGAGGGTCCGAGAAACTAGACGGTTCCAGGCGCGATCGCTCCACGAGCAGGACTGACCACCACGGTCGATCAAGGGGGGACAAAAGAGACCGCTCTCCTATCAGGTCCGAACGTCGCGATCGATCCAGAGATCACTCGCGGGACCGGTCCAGAGACAGACGGCGGAATCGATCGAGGGACAGGAAAAAGGAATCTGAAAGCGGACGCACACACGACAGGAAGCGAGACCGTTCACGCGACGACCACAAGCAGAGAAGACGAGATCGCTCCCGCTCTCGTTCAAGAGACCGACGTCGCCATCATTCCCCAGACCGCGACACCGATCGCCGCCGCCGCAACCGCTCTCCCTCATCCTCATCCTCAAGATCCCCCTCGCCACCCCCCAAACGCCACAAACCCATGCGCTCCCCTTCGCCGCGCCGCCGCGCCAAAGCTCCCCTCCCCTCCCAAGAACTCTCCTTCCGCGGCACCGACAACTCCTCCCTCCCCCCAACCAAATACGGCGGCGCCCCACCTACCATGGAAAAGCCAAACTTCAAACCAACCGGCCTCCTCGCCAAAGCCGCCAACAAGGTCGAAGGCACAAAAATCTCCCTCAAATACCACGAACCCCCCGAGGCCCGCAAACCCCCCAAATCAGCAGCTTGGCGCCTCTTCGTCTTCAAGGGCGAAGCCGTCGTCGACACCATCGAGCTCCACGCCCGCAGCTGCTGGCTCCTGGGCCGCGCCCACCAGGTCGTCGACTACCTCCTCGAACATCCCAGCTCCAGCGCCCAGCACGCCGTCATCCAGTTCCGCTATATCCTCAAGACTACCGAAGATGAGTTTGGCGTCAAGACGCAGCGCGGCAAAGTTAAACCGTATGTCATTGATCTCGAGAGCAGCAATGGGACTGAGTTGAATGGGAAGAAATTGGACCCGGCAAAGTACTTTGAGTTGAGGGATAAAGATATCCTGACGTTTGCTGGGAGTGAGAGGGAGTATATTGTTGTGCTTCCGCCGCCTGATGAGGTCAAGGAGGGTGTGTAGCGTGGGTTGGTGTATATTCATATGTGTATCATTGTTTGTGTGTGGCTGACGACGTCCCATGCATGTGTATCATCAATCAAATCAAAAAAAAAAATTAAACCAAACAACAATTCCATCGTGTTTTTTGTTTATATTCTGGACCCGATCTCGCATTACCTGACAAACCACCACCTTCCGCAACCCCTTCGCAACATCCCCGATTTGAAAAGCTGAAGTGCCAAAGTCCTCATCAGCAAATGAAACGCACGCCAACAAGACAAGACATTCCGCATCCACCAACCGCTCTTCCCCACTTCGTCCCCTTATATAAATAAATAACAGCCCTCTAACAAGCAAATAGTCAAAGAAGAAGAAAAGAAGAAGAAAAAAAAGGGTGGCATTAAGTGCAAGTATGTAATTCACTAACCGCGAAGAAGAACGAGGGAGATTGGATTTTAGAGTTCTCCGATCCCACCACCACGATGAAGGAGAGGGAGGGAGAAGAAGAGTCATTAGCTATGTCACCCATTCCATTCCATTTCCCAGAACGCCGTTATCCTCTCTCATGCCTGAATCAGGAGTGACTCACGTCCATGCTGTCTGTCATGATATATGTATTACACCATCTCCTCGCGATGTCAGTCGGTTGGTCGTTGATCGTTTCGTAAGGTTCCATTACCGCATCCATCCATCCACTCATCTCTCGCGCATCAAGCCGCGTCATCCCAAAAGTCCGAGTATAAAGAAAGAGAAGAAGAAAATAAAGTGACCTCAATAATAGTACCGCGGAGCATTGAAGACATGGTACCGATGGCCTCGAACGCCTTTCCCACGCAGTTTCTCGGGAAACCTCAGCCCTTTGGGCACAATCTCCTCCGAGACGATGAGATCGGTGCCTTCGGGCTGATCGACGACGAATTTGCCGACCTGTCACAACGTGAGAGTCAGTACACCATGCCATACATGGGTAGATATCGCACCAAGGAGGAAGGGAAGAAAACGAACCTGTAGCTCGGTGTCGGTGATGGTATGTCTAGAGACCCTAGCATATCCCGTTCTCTTCATGCCCTTGTAGAGGATATACTCGCACCACCTATCCCAATCGCTGGGGTCGATATCCCGCATGCCGCTCTTCTCGCCGACGTACGTGTTATAGTTGCCGTGGAAGGGCTTGATGACGAGATAAGAGAGAAGGATGGCGGGTCTAGGTGTGGCTTTCATGAGGTCGGCCATGTACAGCGATTGCAACCTACGATCTTCTGGGTCTTCTTCTTGTCCAGAGTGGAAGACGAAAACGTCTACCAAGGTACCGTATGCGTTGATGGTGGCTTCGATCGCGGGTGCGAGTTCGCCGACGGGGCTAGGGAGTAAGTGATGTGTGGAATTGACAATGGGGAATTTGCTTAGGAGTGCCGCACCCCATGTGTGCTTATTGGGGCCGGGGCCAAAGTCGACGTACATGCCCAGATCTTCCGCGAGGAATTGCGTGGTGTCGCGGTTCCCCATGATGATGCGTTGGAGATCCGACTCTAAGAGGCCAATTACGTCGAGTTCCAGGTCTTTCATTAGGTCGCGCATGCGCCGCTCAGAGCTCCACATGTCGTTGTCCAGGCTGAAGTGTACCGTCCATATACCGGCGGTGATGGATTTTGTTTCGGGGTGGTAGGGTGTGTAGTCGTAGGAAGGGAAGCGTACATAGGCGATCGCGATCGCAAGAAGCTCCAGGAATCCGAGTACGATCAGATAGTATCGTCTTGAGCCTTTGGACTGTTTTTCTCTCATCGTTTCACTCAAAGGTTGCATAGACGCACTGAAAACGCCCGCACCAATGCAGAGCATCATAGCAGTCATGACCCAGTCAGTGTGTTCACGCATAAGCGGTCCACCCGGCACAAAGGCGTATGCCACAATCCACACATGAGCTAGAACCAGAATATTGTAGATAAGGAACCCGAATCCAAAGGCACGACTCGGAGAAAACCGCGCAGCATGACCGAAAAAGACCGGAGTGATGGACATCACGTAGACGGCCAAAGCAAGCCCACCGTAATATCCCTTCCAATGCTTTGAGGTTGTGAGAACAGCTGCGCCAACTGATCCAACGCCATATGATACCCATGATTGACACAAAGCTGGCTTATATATACCCATACACAGCCCAAAGCCCATGGCAAGAAGAGTGATAGCGCCATGGGGAACTGCAAGAGGTCCGCGAACGGGATATCCTTCCCAAACCCAAAACATCATCGTGCTGGAGTCTGATAAAAGGGAATGCATTGCGAAGAGAAGTCCCCCAATACCAAAGCTAGTTAATGTGGCAGAACCGTTGATAGACCCGGGAGTCGGGGGGTCCTCTCCAGCGCTTGCAGTTGAGCCAGTGGATTTCAATATAGCAAGGACAGCGAATGCAAGGCCAAGTCCATTCCACCCACCATTGGACTCATGCATGATCGGCCAGATGGGATTATTTGTGTAAAAGGCAAATTTGGCAATGCTCGATGCCAACAGGCCAAGACCGAATGCTAGGATGCGAGCTTCGAGACGTTGGGGCCGTGTTCGCTCTGCATAAAAAGTAGCTGCCCACGACAAGGACGCCATCCAAACCCCGAAGCCAACGCAGAAAACACGGTTCGCTGGAGTCGAAATCAGGTAGGCTAAGAGACCAGAAAGCGAAAGCAAGTGGCAGATGCGAATGTAGCGAATAACGAGGGATCGCAGAAATTGGATGGACAGAAGAAATGGTGATACGGTAGTCATCACCAGCACCTCGTAGCCAGATATGCCCATATGCCAGAGAGGAAAGTCTGTCTCGTTAGCCATAGAAGTTGTGAGTTTCAGGATACTTACACCAAACACAGACACCCAAGGAAGTCAAGGTTGACCAATAGACGAACTAGGGAATCGTCAGCTAAGTGGCCGATATTCGGGTTGAAGCAAAGCCTTACCCCATTATAAACATCAGCAAGGGCGTTAAGGAGCGCATTCCATGAGAAACCAGGCTCAAGTACAGCGGCGATCTGGCTGTTCTTCCTACACTGATATTAGGACAGACATCGGAGTGGGTCGGCAATGCGACGTACTCTTTCTCAAGAAAGACGTCGGACACGGCTTGCTTGCCTGTACTGCAGGAACAATGTGAGTCAAATGGCAAACCCATATATAATTGCATTGAAGCGAAAGCGGAACTATCTACACTGGGAACCGACGTACATACCCACGACTCATGCCTTTGACATCTCTAATGAGAATTTCGAAATGTTGGAACTCGTACACAGTTACCGCGTCAAAAGCCACATCGAGAAGCACCAGCGACCATTCAAAGAAAGCGTAAGTGGTATACGCTGTGATGGGTTAGACTGTTGCATTGGATTTATGTCAAACAACAAGACTCACCTCCGGCCACGCGGTGAACTTTATGCTGGATAAAGAAGTAGATCAAAGGCAAGATGATTGCATAGAAGCTTCCCGAGAATAGCTTGCGATATCTCAAAGCAACAGGATTTCTAGGACTGAGCGCAATGCAACCGAAGGTCCAAGGTATGGTTGCTACCAGGTAGGAAATCATGAAAATGTCGTGCCAGTCGTGGTCATCGGTCGAAGTAATGTAGGTCCATCCACCACATGTCAATGATCGGAAGACGCCCATTCCGGCGACAAGTTTAGGGAGAGTCGAATTTGGTTTGCGCGTGAGAATGTACCAGAGACCAACAAGCAAGAATCGTGGGCCTGGGTCCGATCGTTAGCATTATTCGAAGGAAAAAAAAACCAGAACCATGATTCTAGCTCTTTAGAGTAGGTAATCCCACCAGAGGTTAAGGCGATGAAAAGCTGGAACACGGTCCGCTCCGGGTATCTATCGCCAATGGTCGCGGAAACAGAAGGGAACCATTCTTGTGGATATCCCTGTGTTCATGTCAGCCACTATCTGAGGTTTTCGAATGCTGTGCTACTGACATAGAACTCATTTTGGACTATCTTGTGATAGTGGAGGGAACTAAATGCAGTTAGCACGAGTGGTGCATACGAGGTATTGGCATCATCTTGGTGTTTAGGACATACATGCCGACAACGAGAGCGCCGACAAACGCGCCTGCGAGAAGAATCAGCATCTGTGAACAATTTGTGTAGTAGAATTTCAACTCACAATATGCCAGTGCTGTATGCGCCCATGAGATCCATTTCGCGTTGATCTGGGAGTATCTGTAAACAATGCTGTTTGTGTACATGGGCGATCTACGCAGGGATGTACGTACTGTCGCGACGACGTCACTGTCTCTTTCTCCAGATTTGGACGACATGATGAAAGAAACCAGAAGAGATTCACACTTGGAAGACCATCAGACGAAGCGTGTGAGCGAGGAAGCGGGGGAAGAGGAGGTGAAAAGCAGGAGAAGGCGGGAATGTGTTGTTGACAAGAAATGCTGGCCTGATTGATGGCTTGGTGCCGGGCTCTACCGGGAAGTCGATGCCGTGGCACACAGCGGGAATAGGGTGGAGAACAGAACCGTTTGATCCGGATGGCAGGTCCGCGGCTTCTATAGCAGCTTCAGGATTGCAAAGCGTTCATCCCGGCGTGCTGACGCTTGCAAGGGGAAATTATACACAGTTCGTAGAATGACGACTGTCTTGGACGGGCTGCGTGAGGTAGTTCAGTAAGTAGGCACTGGGTAGCTTTGGGTTGTTGGTCGAGAAAGCGGTTAGCCCGGGGCTAAACTATCTCTCCGAGCGGAAGCGGAAAGTGGAAGCGAAATATTTTTTGCAACTTTCTCTCCAGATGCGCTAAGCTACGACTTTTGGCGCGTACAACTTGACCACTTCCACAGAAGACATACCACCGCAACTACCATGGCAGGGCCTAGCGATAAAGCCCGCTTCTACCTCGAGCACTCTGCTGCCGAGCTCAATGAGCTCGCGCGGAAAGAGATCTTCTCACGAGTACGCTGCGCCTCGCATCTTCGCCCATCGTTGGAGCTACTGCTAATCTTCTCGGCAGGATGAAATCAGCACCATAGCGAGAAAGCGGTCCGACTTTGAGCACATAATCAATGCGCGCGGCTCGAGTCCCGTCGACTACATGAGATATATCGAATTCGAGCAAAACATCGACGCCCTGCGGCGAAAGCGTATAAAGAGGATGGGCGTGCGGTACAAGGGTAGCGGGCAGCGATCCATATATGCCATCTTCAACCGTGGCACTCGCAAATTTGCAGGAGATCTGGGATTGTGGATGCAGTACATTGACTTTGCGCGCAAAGACAAAGCCTATAAGAGGTTGAATGAAATCTTCACGTCGGTGGTTCGGTTGCACCCTACCAAGCCTGAGCTCTGGGTCTATGCCGCCAATTACTTTATGGAGACCCAAGCGGACATCACGGATGCGCGAAGCTATATGCAGCGCGGGTTGCGATTCTGCAAACACTCGGAACTACTGTGGCTCGAGTACGCCAAGCTGGAGACGATATACATTGCAAAGATCGCAGGACGAAGAAAAGTCCTCGGGCTGGACATGGATCGGACAAGGGACAATACGGAGGATGATGATACGGGCATGATCGCGTTGCCAGACGTTACCGCCGAGGACATCAACCCCTCTCTGCAAAAAGACGACGCGGTAGACGAGGAAGCCCTGAAGCACCTCGAAGCTGCACCAGTGCTCACAGGCGCGATTCCAATCGCAGTATTCGACTCTGCCATGAAACAATTCAAAGGTGCTGCGCTTGCGGAGAGGTTCTTCAACATGTTTGTAGAATTCGAACAACTGCCGTGCATAAGACGCATCCTCCAGCATGTCATCGATTATCTCGAGCAGAACGCCCCACAGTCCACCGAACACATTGCCTGCAACTTTCGTCTACGTTTGTTCGACGTCCGTCCTACGTCAGGCGATTTCCCGTCAGCTTTCGCCGAAGCACTGGCGTTGCTCGGTTCCGCCGGCGAAGCAGGCAAAGCCCACATTGCCGAAGTTGCCATCAGACAGGTATTGTCTCTCCTGCTGGTCGACAACGCGGATGAGATTGACGCAACAGTGCGCAAAGTGCTGTTATCACGGCTACGCTTTTACTCTCGAGTTCTGGAAGAAGCTGCAAACGGGAGTGGGGATGGTATTGTCGCGCTTGCTAAATCGCTGCGCAAGGAAGGGAAGAAGAGGGACGCAGAGTTCATGATCCGTGCCAGTATCAAGCAGTGGGGGACGAATGAAGAGTTGCAACAGTTGCACTCCTCCCTAGACACATGAGAAGCTGCTAGGCTCCCCGCACACAAACACTTGAGCTCACCGATGACTCGTCTGAAGAGTCAGTCAGGTGGCTGCGAACGTCGGCATGGACCAGTGGCAAGCGAGCTCGTGCATGCGATAAGTGAGGAACATGGGTGAAGAATGGTAGCGTTTGAGTTGCAGCACATAGATATGCAACCCGGGCTGCCTGACACGACTACTCTGTACTACCTCTCCTAGAGGACTTTTTTGCGCTGTGGTGCTTTTTGGACTTGAGACGTCGCTCGTTGTCGGATTTCTGGCTAAAGGGGGTCTCAGCACAAGTGGGTGGATTGGGGGGAGCAGAGCGGGTTCAGACGTACAGGTGCTTGACGCGCTGGGCTTGGGCGGCCGATGTTTGGCCGGGGATAGCGTTGCGGCCCGCGTCGCGGACCTCTTCCAACAACCTCTTGTAGCAGCTGTGGGCATTGTCCGACTGCTTGCGGCTGTCGTCGGCGTGGATGACGAAGGCATTGGATTTGAGGGTCACATAGCGAGAGGCGCGGATGTGGGCATGCAGCGGGGAGGGGATGTGGTGGAGCAGAGCGTCCAGAGGGAGCTTGAGGGTAGCTTTGGAATTGACTCTTTGAGCAGCAGCAGCAGCATGGATTTAGCACCGAGACAAGCTCCGATTAGCGCCATGCAAGAAATACGCACTTGTTGACATTCTGGCCGCCAGGGCCCGACGACCTGCTGAAGGTCAATTCGCCGATGGACCTGGGAATCGTCTCGGCGTGCAGCTGGCCAAGCCAAGTCCGCGCAGCCTCAAGCTGGTCGTCGTCGCTGTTGCTGTTGCTGCTGCTGCCGCTGCCGCTGCCGTGCCCGCTCCTCGTCTTCTTGCTGGATGCGGATGCGCGTCGACGGCAGGGTGCGGTGGAGAAGATGGGCCAGGCGGTGGCTGCGGGCAATTTCGGTGTGGTAAGAGAAATGCGCGGCAGGGCACGCAGCATGATGCAGAGATGATGGAATCAACAATCATCAAATCGTCGGTGCTGCTGGAGGTGGTGCTGGTGACGGGATGGAAGCGGCCACATCAAACATTGACTGAATCAATCAATTGATTGATGCGGACGGACAACACGTGCACGATGCGCGGCAAGGATGCATGGGAGCTTCTGTCTGTTCGTGTTCTGGCCACCCAATTCCGCCGTGAACAGTCAAAAGTGGAGACGCCATCTGCGAATTATAGCATGATGATGATTTGACCCAAGGCTCAAGCTTTCTGTAGTCGCGCGTTGACGGGAGGGATCACGGCCAAAAAAAATAAAAATTGAAACATTGATCCTGTCCTGTCCATGTCCACGTCTGCCTCTGTGCGAACCACAACCTTTGACTAGCACCTACACTCTCTCCACTCATTCTCTCCTCTTCTTCTTCCTCTCTCTCTCTCTCTCTCTCCCCCCATCACATCACCCTCACCGTCAATCATCGCCTTTTGCCATCCCGTCCCATCCCCCGTCGTCCCCTAATCGTTTCTCATCCCGATTTCTTCTTCAAGCCTCCCCTTGTGCCACGTCGACTGCAGGATTTGCGTCTGGTATCGACTGATTTGAACGTACCGGCTCGCTTGCCTCCTCCAACCCTTGTTTGCACCTGAGTGGCTGCTGATTGCGACCTTGACTGATATCCTCGCATACCTACCTACATACTTTCATACAAAGTACACCGCAGACCCCACCTCATCCTCCTCTGTCCGTCCGCCCCGTCCTCCACACACACAAACACACACACACACATCTGTCGGTCCGTCGTCTGCCTGCCTGCCTGCCTGCCTGCCTGCCTGACTGTCTCCCTGCCGCCGCCGCTCCCCCAGCTTTCCTTTTCTCCCGTCTGCCTGATCGCCCATCTTCGACTCCCCCGTGCATGTACGTGTCTTGCGCTGTTGACCTCTTCACCGAGGGCCCTTGCTTGTAGCTGCGCTCTGCGCTGTCCCTAGCCTTTATGCTCTCCAGCCCTCCAGAGGAAGCAGAATACACTCGCACTGCCACCCTCACCCCCGAGTCGCCGAAACCTCTCCACTATCCATCGCCATCCAACATCCCCATTCTTGAGAAGCAGATGGACCCGATGCTGGGTGAGCCTGCCATCACCATCGGAACTCCTGCTTCATACCACTCGCTTGCGCCGCCCCCGACCCAACCCCCGAGCGTCCACTCGTCCACCACCACTCCCTACTACGCCGATTCTCAATCCACGCAGAATGCTCCGGCCTACAGCGGCCCGATGATGGGTGCCCAGTCGCAGCAACCACCTACGTCTTCATACTCTGCTCAGAACTATTCTGCCCAACAATCACAGCCCTCGTACCCTGATGCGCAGTCTGCTGCTGCCTACCAACATGCTGCTCATGATGCCAACGCCTACTCCTCCCATGCACAGTCTGCCTCCAACCTCCAATCCGTCGATGTGCAGGCACTCCTTGATCGGCTGTCTACTCCCACAAACAATGCTGCCTCTGGCCAATATGCCGCTCTTTCCTCAATGCCCCATCAGCCTGTCCAATCCCACGGCAATTCACCCACTACCTCCTTGCCAGCCGCCGCTAATCTCCCGCCGCGCCCTCCGCCCCAGGAGAAAGGTGCCACCAATCCAAACTACAACCCGAATGATGACATAAGATCCTATCACCCCCACAGCGGTCATCGTGCATCTTCCCAATTGCCATCCACCAGCACCCGCGGCGCCACGGCGGATCAACACGCGCGTTCAAACCAGAGCCCCAGCGCTTCTAGCTTCACACAGAGGCAGACGGGCGAACAGGACCAGATGGAGGACGATGAGGACGATGATGAGGATCAGCGCTGGCCACCCAAAGTGAATGAAATGTATGAGCAGTTCCTCAACGAGGAGAGGAGATTCGTGACAGAAGGGCAGTGGGAGAAGTTTCCCTACGGTTCGCGACTTTTCATTGGTAAGCTATAAACGCCTCAACGCTGTCGGCACTGTGCTAACTCATCAAGGCAACTTGCCCACTGAGAAAGTCACGAAACGTGACATCTTCCATCGCTTCTATCGACACGGCACTCTTGCGCAAATCTCTATAAAGCAGGCTTATGGCTTTGTTCAGTTTATGGATTCCGAATCCTGCCACAGAGCCATTACTACAGAACAGGGACAGACAGTGCGAGGCAGAAAGATGCGTGAGTAGTATACTAGACCTTCGATTGAGACTTCATTTAACCCGATAACAGATCTCGAAGTTTCCAAGCCACAACGAAATACGAAGAAGATTGAACCCGAAAGAAACCCCGCCCCGGCCCGACGACGTTCCCCAACTCCAGATTTTGCTCGTAGAGGATCCGGTCACCACGGCAGGAATCCAATCTCGCCTCGAGAACGAGATAATCGCAGACCTCGCGAGAATTATCGACGGTCCCCCTCGCCAAGGAACCGCTACCGTGGGAGAGATAGGAGTCGAGATCGCTACGACGACCGACGACGAAGTAGAAGCAGGTCAAGGTCGCCGCGACGACGTCGAAGCTCATCGCCTCGAAGGGGACGTTCGGACGATCTCCCACTTCCTTTCCGAGCGCCAAACGATATTCCGGACGTCCAGGTGCTGGTCCTCAACGAGACGCTACCTAGGGACTTCATACGATGGGTCGAAGATACATTTCGACGCGCAAGTCTGCGTATCGATGTTCTCATCATGAGCCCGCGTCTCGACGAGTCGGCTGTGGTGCAGAGACAGATCGTCGAAGGTGTTTTGGCGGTTGTCAGATTGGACGCTACAGCCTTGTCCAAAGGCAAGATTGATATTCAAATCTTCAATCGGCAACACGGAATCAGCAACGTGCAGTTCAATAACTACGTCGATCTCGATCCCGGCACTGCCGCCGCACTCGTCATCTCTGCCAAACAGAACTCTAACCAGCCCGTGCAACCGCCACCGATGCAAAACACGTACGGCCAAGGGTACAGTGCTCCGCATCCGCCCTATATACCTCCAGTGTCTGCCACTGCGGCACATGCACCGAATTTGTCAAGCATAATAACGTCAATGGATCAGACCAGTCTGTCGCAGCTGTTGGGAGCCATCTCCGGCAACCAGGCGGCACCAGGCCCACAGCCTCCTGCAGGGCTGACGCCAGACCTGGCACGACTGCTCAGCCAAGTGTCAGGATCGAATCCAACTGCTTCGTTCAATCTACCTGCAATTGCCAACCAGGCCTATATGAACCCGTTCCAGAATGTTTATAACAGTCAAGCTCAGCAGCCCGCAGCTGGCCATAACGTTGGCGCTACGACACAGCCCGGACAGCCGGACATGAATGAGATCATGGCTCAACTAGCCAAGTATCAGCGGTGAAGCACCCCCATGAGTTGGTGCTGACACTCAGCAAACAAGACCTTACAGCTCCAACGTGTATTCGATTCTTATAACAAAGCAATTATTCACATTATAGATTACAACAATGCTATCAACGATCCCCCTCACCACACACTCTCCCTTTATCACTCCACGCCATCTCTGTCAATGGCCTCGTGTGGGACTTGAATCCTTTCAAACACATTTGGAGGGTGGACTGAATCTGGAATGCTTACACGGAACCTTTATGATGTTTCTCTAAATTCAAGATGAATGTGAGGAGTGTGATTTATCCCGCATTCCACATCATCTCGTTGGCTTGTTCACAGGAGGATTCGTATTCGATGACGGACTGTTTTGGTGCGGAGAAAAGCAATGTCAAGGAGAACACAAGCAGCGCACGTCGGGTTGAATCAATCAAAGGCTTCAAATAACACGGCGCCCGAGCTTGCTTGTCCTCGGGAGAAAGAAGTTGAAAGGTGAATGACAAGTCCACATCCACATGATGGTGGTGCATCTTCAATGCCATCAGACCAAAGAGTCTGGGACGATTGTGAGAGCACCACGATCTATCCTGGATTCATCTTATAGTATCTGTCTTCAGATACAATTTTGCCACTCTTATAATGTATGATTATCCCAGTCTATCAATGCCTCTCAAACAAGTGAAACAGACCGTGCTTCTTATAAATGCCTAGGCCTTCGTAGTCTGTTATTAATTAACCAACTTGTAGCTATATACATAGCGTTGCAAGATACAATATCCTGTGTTAAAAACAGTGCTTGCAGTTCGTCCTTGTAGCATAAGTTGTATTCCTATTTATACGCTTGCCTGTCTCTACTTTTACAATCTAATTAACAGCAGATAACATAGATTAGAATAAATCTCGTAACTAATAAAGCATAGAATAGCAGAAGTTGTTAGGTTTTAGGTTTAGAAATAATAAATATATTTTTATTCTATTTTTTTATGTGCCTTAATTAATAATTAATATTATTAATTAATTTAAGCTATCTATTAGCTTAGTAAAAAATATTACTTTTTAAGTAAGTTATACATACTTTTTTTTTTAGCTTTTTCTAGCTTAACTATTATACTTTTAAAAGCTTTTTTACTATCTTTTTAGTTATTACTTATTTTTTAGTTTATTTATTATTATAACTTATTACTATATATAGAATTACTTTAACTCTAACTTAAAAAATAAATAAAAGCTTTTTTAAAGTTTTTTTTTTTTAATTTTGAATTTATTTTTTAAAAAGTAATTACTTCTTTATAAATTTTTCTAAGTTATTTTTTTAGTACTTTAATCTAATATACTTTTTTTAGCTTAAGCTATTTATAATACTTAAAGTAAAATACTTTAAGTTATTAAGTTTTTTAATTAAAATAAGTTTTAACTAACTTATATACTTTTTACTTTATCTTTAATACTTTATCTATATATTACTTTATTAGTTTTTTTCTTTATATTAAATATTATTTGCTAGTAAGTTACTTTTAAATATTAATTACTAATTATACTAGCTTATATAAGTGCTAGCTACTAAGTAAATACTTTATAGTAATAAGTATAGTACTTTATAATACTAATTTTTTTTTAATTTAATTTTATTACTTTTAACTTTTAATATTTATTTCTTTTGCTTAACTTTTAGTCTTTTTTAGTTTATTAATATTTTACTATTCTCTATTTACTATTTATTATATTTACTTTTTTATATTATAGTTTTTACTTATTTTTTAATATTTTTAAGTTTATTTAGCTTAGCTTAGTCTTACTACATTATTAACTAATAACTTTTATTTATTTAAGTAATAAATAGTACTTTTTTTTAAGTTAAAATTAAGGTAATCTTACTTTATTTTTTATTTTTTTAAGTTAGAGTTTAGGTAATTCTACACACAGCAATAGTTTATAATAAAAAATTTACTAAAATAATAGTAGGTAATTTTACACATAGTAATAGTTTATAATAAAAAGTTTACTAAAATAATAAGTAATTACTAAAAAAATTAGCAATTTTAACTTTTACTTAAGCTTAATAAGCTTAAAGTTAAAGTTATTTAAGCTATATTAGTAAAACTAGCTTTAATTTAAAATATTTTTTCAAGAAGCTAAAATTTAAAAAAAAAAAACTTTATATATATATTTATCTTATACAACTATATAAGTATATATAGTAATTTTACTTACTTCTAACTTTATATATATAGATAAAGCACTTTATTTTTCATTAAAATAATTATACTCTTTTTTACTCTGCTAATTATATTTTATATAATTATTTCTAATATTATTTTACTTTAATAAGTCTTTTTAGAAAAATAAGCTAATTAATTATACCTACTATTATTATATAGTATAAAAAAAAAGTAGCTAAATTAGTAAAAAAAATATTAATTATAAATATATTTTATAATATAATACTATATACTTAAGCGGTCTTAACTTGTTTGTGTGCCTTTTGCTTCTTCTTTAATACTCTAATTACATATTGCTTTATTACTTTTTTTTTAACTATTAAATATTATGCTAGTAAGTTACTTTTAAATATTAATTACTAATTATACTAAGCTTATGTAGGTGCTAGCTGCTTAGGCAAAGTATTTTTATAACATTGCCGCATAAGAGTTAGTGTTAAAGAAGATTAATATTGCTAAAGCGCTACTAGTTAGCGTAGGCAGCTTAGTGAAAGTGCACAAAAGGCGCACCTAAAGCACTAAAAAAAGACAAGTATTATTTTAAACTATTAGAAGAGAGTACTTTTTAAAAGTAGCTATTTTTTACTATTACTAGTAGTGTAAAGCAAGTACTATTACCTATAACTACGCCTTATAATTTTATAGTAATACGCAGTGCTTTACAATAATAATTTTTTTTAAATTTTATTTTATTACTTTTAACTTTTAATATTCTAGTTTTTACTTGCCTCTTTAATATCTTTAACTACTTTTGCTTTTAACCTTTTATTTATCTAGCTTATGCTAGTGTTGCTGCATCTAGTACCTGCCTTATTAAATAATATCTTTTATTATAAAAAGTAATTTTTAATACTTTTATAGCCTAGCCTAACTTTATTAACCTTGCTATTTACTAGAATCTAACTCTTATGCTTAAGTAAAAGTAAAAGATATAGCTTTAAATATAAGCTTTTTTTTTTATACTTTTAAGTGCGCAACTTATATTTAGCTTTATAAGTAAATATATAGTAACTTTTTTTTAGTTAATATTAAAATAAAAGTTAAAGTAAAAATATAAGTTTATTTTATTTTACTAACTAGCTGCTGCACTATAAGCAATATTATTAAAAATTTAAGCTTAGTCTTGCTAAAAAAATAAGATTATTTATAGATTTTGTTGCTAGTGCTAGGTATCTATAATATAGTAAAAATAAGATAAAGAGGTATGTTGTAGAAGTTAAAAATAATAGAGTTTGCTATTACTATAAATTTAATAAATAAGTCTTTTCTATAAAATTAGTTATAGTATAAAAGTAAAAAAAAAAAAAGTTTTTTATATATAATAGTGCAGCAGGCATTAACACTATTATAAGTTATAAATATATACTTTAGTTTTCTTATATTATTATGTATTCTAGTCTAGATTTTAGCTTTTTTTAGTATATAGCAGTTGTGCTGCTGTTCTGCTTTAAGTGTAGTAGTTAGTTAAAGACTTAAAGTTAACTTAAAATAGAAAACTAGACTAAAAAAAACTAGTTTTCTAGTGCTAGTGCTTAATTAGGGCTAGTGCTAAAGAGTGCCTTTTAATTTCTTTTTTAAGTAAAGGCAAAAATTACATGTCTTTTTAGTTATTGCCTGTTATTTTAGTTTATTTATTATTGTTACTTATTGCTGTGTGTAGGATTACCTTAACTTTAACTTAAAAAAAATAAAAGAAAAATATACTTAAGCTATACGTAAAAGTAATTTAGCTTATTATAATAATAGCTTAACTTACTACTTATTAAATTAAGGCACTAAAAAAAACTTTTTAAAAAGTAAATTTAAAGTAAAAAAATAACTTTAAAAAAGCTTTTAAAAGCACACTAGTTAAGCTAAAAAAAAAAGCTAAAAAAAAGTATATATAACTTACTTAAAAAGTAATATTTTCTACTAAGCTAGTAAATAGCTTAAATTAATTAATAATATTAATTATTAATTAAGGCATATAAATAAATAAAATAAAAATATATTTATTATTTTTTAACTTAAAACTTAATAATAAAGAGTTCTACTACTTTATTTAATAAATACTATAAACTATACTGGCTTTAAAAAGTAACATAGTAATAATAAAAAAATAAATTTATAAACTATTTTATATTTAAAAAGTAAAATAGTAATTAAACAAATCACTACTTTATTATAGTAATAATAATAAACTAGTTTTAAGCTATACTTTAAAACTTAAAAAAGTAAATAAAGTATATAACAATACAAGCATAGTACAGCTCTAATATAGCTATAAATTAACTTAATATAAAAATTATATAAAAATAAAAAGTGCTAAAAAAAATAACTTAATTTTTATAAATTTTATATAGTAAAATAATTAAAACTATTTAACTAAAGTTAAAGTATTTATAGTTTTTATACTTATAGTTACTAGCAAGTATTTAAGTAGTATTTTTTAATTTTTATAAGTATTTATAGTATTTTAAATATATATAAAAAATAAATTAATTGTTTATATATATATTTAAAAGTAGTATATAGAGTGCTTTTATTAAAAAGCTAAGCTATTATTAAATAGTACTTAAGTTTAGTATAGCTAAGTTAAAGCTTAACTTAAATATAGCTAGTAATAAGTTAAGCAATTATTATAATAAGCTAAAGTACTTTTAAGTATAGCTTAAGTATATAGTATTATATTATATTACTCTTTATTTGTAAAACTAATATTTTTATTAGTAATAGTTAGTATGTTTTTAAAGTAGAATAAGGGTATATAAAAGCGCTAAAAAAAAATAAGTAAGTTATTATATTTATTTATTAC